ACCACATCCCAACACCCAGACACCCACGAAGTTAGGCAGTTACACCCTGGCCATTTCACACCAAACCCCCCTCTTTTCGTCCATTTATTGACCAGTGTGCGTATCTAATGTCACACACACCATCACATCTTGCCCAGAGCCCCCGAAACGTGGTCCTTCGCAGGTTAGAGTACACCCATATCTCGCCGTCGCACGTGACATTCTTTCTGCGCTGCCTGTACCCACCATGATCCCTGCCGCCTCCAGCACAACGGCACCCTCAGGCTGTCACACACCGAACACCCACGCTCATATTTGCATTCGGAACACAAGTAGGGTATCCTGGCCATCAAGAACTGTTAGAAGGAGATAGCGAGACAGGATATCATTCAATTGTATCATGGCGTGACCGATGTGACAGAACAAAATTAGAAGAATGAACGGACGGTTGTAATCAAGATGAAGTCATAGGAATGAAATGATTCCAATGATGGTTATGGTATCTTCACACCCCGTCATCACTTCAAGAATGACCTAACAGGTAACGTAAGAATGACTCATCGTCAATCTTAGATAAAGTAACGGATTCCGAAATTGGAACAATGTAACAGGGAATTGTACAGAAGGAGCTAATATGACCAGTATCGTAGTGGTCATGGTTGTAAGATAGCCCCGGAGAGATATAAGTACTCAACACCTTATCAGCTTTTTTATTTAGATCAACTATGAACGAATTAAATGAGCAGTTCAGAAATCTATCAATCACCGACAACGGTAATCCTCAACAGGTAAATCTCAATACAATTGCAGAGCCATCACAATTGTTCTCGGTTTACTGCGTCAAATATCAGAAGTTTCATTAGTTAACTAGAATAAAAGCTCAACGTTGCGAGCCTTTGGGCCTTCCTAAGGTTTCTCAGCGTTTAACATGAACGTCACCTACCATGACTCGTCAAGCTTTCTAAATGCTAATCAAGTGTATTTTTTTACCGCAGCGGACACCTCAGCGATGTCTGCTGGAGATGTCCTACAACAGCCACCGATGATGCGAGCCCCGCAATCAATGTATCTCTTAACCACTGTGTCCCAACTGTTCAGTTTGTCGCTGTTTGCATTCCAAATCTTTTTCTCTGTATCGTATACCTCGCCACTATTTGGATAGGCCAGTAGAGGCATGTCGGGAAGGGCTCGATGCAGAGACTCCAAAATGTTCGGGGACTCGTTAAAGCTGACGCAGTTGATTCCCAATAATAAAAGATTGGGGTTTCTCCTGTTTCCAAGACCTTTGATTATATTTCCAATTTGCTCCATAGTTGTTCCATCTCTCAAAACACCATTTTCATGGACAGAAAGCCCGATGTAAAAGGGCTTTGATAAAATCCTTTCATCCCACGACAAAATTGCCTTCAGCTCATGAACATTTGGAATGGTTTCAAAACCAATCAGATCGAGATTATCGTTTGTGTTGAAAAGTTCCAATTGTGGCCTAAAGTATTCATAGTAATTAATGCTTTCGGGACGTGGACCATAATGTCCAGTGAACTCGCAACAAACGTGCGCACCCCATGGCCCAATCGTACCGATCAGATAGTTGTCTTCCCCGATGCATTCACGAGAAAAGTCGACGATTTTGGTGAGAAGATTGGTGTAGTCGGGAAGAGTTTTGATAGGTGTATTTTCTGATACGGATTTGAAGCTGGCCTGGTAAGTGACGGTCATCAGAATTTCGGCGCCTGCCTTCATGAAGTCGTCGAACATTCCTTCCACTATTCTTCTTTGTGCAGACGACTTATCTTCCCAAAATGACTTGTCAACAAACGGAATGGTTGACCACACAGGATTGGCAACCTTGATACCTCTATTTTCCATTTCCGTGCCTTGACCACCATCAAGCACAAGAACCTTGTCAGGATCTTCCAAAAGTAGCTGCTTCAGAGGAAGGCGTACCATTTTGAAAGTATTCAATTGTGGAGAAGCTTGGTCGCAAACCTTGTAGTGCAACAGATCAATGTGGCTTTCTTTTAATGCTATCTCGATGAGGTAAAGTCGGCGGTGATATTTGATAAATTTTTCTTCTTTTCTTTTTTTCTTCCGAACTAGTCAGCCTCCTAAAAGACTACTTTCTTAAAATGCAATGAGCCTCATTGACTCATTTTGTCACAGGGTTCGCTGAGTCATTCCAGGCGCTTAAACTTCAGAGCAAGGTGGCATAACTCTTTCAAGGATGGGGCCAGAATTAATGGACTTAGGACCTCACTAATGCACAATCCTGCTCCATAGAATCCATTCTACAAACTCTTTACATGAAGGGGCGCTCGATTATCAGTCTGGTCTCACTAGCCACTTACGGCTTACATCACTTGTCACTCTGAAACCTTCTCATTAATTGCCTATATCTCAACACCTTTAAATAACATCAGGAAAAAGGGGGCTGGTGGAAGTCGATTATCCACTCTGAGGCAAGCTCGAATGCAACCATTTAGCACCAAAATCGATAAACCTTATAGTAAAAGGGCCTTGAGGCAATTTCATCTTTTTCGGCCTGCCTCTGTTCCTGGAAAAGCTCCAAATTTTCAACAGAGCAGCCGGTATCAAGATCAATGTCAGATCTCTTGATGTACCAATGCCTCCAGTCGTTCCGATAAATTTTGTGCCCAAAGTAGACAACGATCATAATCGGGATGCTTAGACAGTACTCGAAAAACGCCTTAGCAGAGCTCGGTTCGCCCACCGGAAATGCGGAGACATATACCTCACCAGCAATTAGTAAGGCGTTTAAGATACAACCTAATATCCCCCCATAAACACCTAGAAGCGATTTGTAGGCAATCTCGTCTGTAGATCTTCCTTGCTTTTTCAGTGCCATCCTAAAGCGCAGTTGAGATAGACAGATACAGAACCAGGTGAAAAAGGACGATATGGAGCACAAAGCAAACAACCATGTAAAAACAACACTTTGCTCATTAGAGGCGACAAGGAAACCCAAAAGACCGATAACTCCACTTATACCTATGCCAACCAAAGGTCTGCCCTTCCTGTCCATGTATCCGCAAATCTTGGGTAATTGTCCAGATGCACCCAGTGCCTGAATCAATCTTGAGGACGCGTAAACGCATGAATTGCAGACAGAAACGACTGCGACTAAAATCACAACGTTCATGAAGTTGGAAACTCTGGTACCCATGGAACCTGTATTGCTCAGGGCAATGACAAAAGGTGAAGCGCTGATATCTTCGCTTGTAGAGCCATTTAGAAGACGTTCATCGTTATAGGGAACCAGACAACCAATAATGACGACTGTCGTGATATAGAACAACGCAATTCTCCAGAATGTGCCCTTGGCGGCTCGTGAAATAGACGAGATATTTTTGGATTCCGTAGCAGTCAAGAGAACAAGCTCACTACCTCCAAAGGAAAAGGCTGCCGACACAAAGGTGTTACATAGGTTCTTGAAGACTGGTACAGCAAAAGATCCCGGATCATGCCAATACTTGGTTCCTATGTAGCCCTGGGAATTAGGGCCGCCTCCTGCAATCAAGACAATCCCAATTATAATGAAGATAATGATGGCAACAATCTTTATTATGGATAAGAACACTTCTGTCTCCGCGAATCCTCTGACGCCGAACAAGTTCAAAACCATGATAAAGACGTAAAAGATAGCAACCCATACGGCAGGATTAACCGATTGATTCCAGTAAGATATCGTTAGGGAACAACCGATCAGCTCACTCGGGAATGAGATCAACCAAGATAAAGAGTAGTTTGTCGCAACCGTAAACCCAATAGACTGATCAACGAATCTGCTGACATGCGTAGCGTACGACCCGGAAACAGGAAATTGGCACGAAAGTTCTGCTGCACTCTGAACCACACAGAACATAGAAGTACCCACTAGTAAGAAACCGATCAACAGTGATCCAGGACCGGAGGCCAAGGAATACCCCAGACCAATGAAAAGGCCAGTTCCCAGAGTTCCTCCGATGGCAATCATACTGAGATGTCTTTGGCTCAACACCTTTTTATAAGGCTGCTGCGCCAGGTTCAGCTGGATCTTTTCTTGTTCCGTAAGCTCACCAGATTCACAGTCTTCCGGAATTTCATTGAGCTCGCTTACCTTGAACGAATCCTTAAATCTGCGGATGGCCGACGTGCGAGTTCCATATTGAGAGTTTGTGCGCACCGTTGTGGTGTCGGTCTCGACTTTTGTGAATTTGTCAGACTCGTATTCCATCCTCGAGCACTTAACCACTTGGCTGTGGATGAGTCCTTGAACCTGATAATACACATCTCATAGCCGTAGTTCATCATAAAAAAAATATTTCGAGCATATCGAAATTTTCGATTCCGGGTAAAGTCAAGACGTGCAGCCAAACAGAAAAAGAAATAATCCCCGCGACGGACATTTACGAGCCACAAGTCCTGAGCCACATGCTGCTAGGTAAGCTCAAGGCAAGGGTGGTGCTGCTGGATGCATTCGAGTTGACTGCTGGTAGATCAAGCGTTTACGCACCGATGAAATACGCCAGCCGTACCAATGCACAGGTGCAGGCCCAAATTTATGTCAACATTGATCCATTCACATCAAACATGCTTACTGTGACACAGATAGCATGATTTGGTTATCTTCGCTCCTTGTAGCCTTTCGCAAGCTGTTTCCTCATATTTTTAAGGTCCGTCGGTCAGCTCAATCCTGGAAAGAACGGAGGACGTCATAGTCGCACTTTCAATCCTTAAATTATAGGAAATCAATCTTAGGAGCATGCGAAATAACGGGTGCAAAGGTATTATGACGACCCTATTAGCTAACAAGCATTGGAACGTTAGCTGGGCGACCGAATGAAAAGCATTGACAACTTCCGACAAAACCACGTCAGTTCATCAGTAATCTGTGAGAGGTCGCAAGCTTTGTAGTCGAATAAAATTTTCAGCTTTAACAAATCTTATTAAGGTTAAATTCCGTAGTTCACTTATCTTGTGCATTCTGAGTCAAGCGGACGTTATCTTCAAAGCGCATATCTAAATATCAAATTTTCTCTACTAGTTAAATCAGCAAAGTCTGATTTTATTAGTGGTGGGTATTTGTGTATTTGCTGCTTTGTCTCTTCTCAGGTACATCGTGTTAGAGATGTCTTCACTACGAGTAAGTTTCAGTGATTCAGCAACGTAGTACAAGCGATTGCACCACTACTCCCGATGTGCTCCATTTGCAGGCTCACTGCATCAAGTAATGAGTTCCAACTTACAATAGAGGTCAGTAGACCTTTACAAAATCATAGTTAGACCAGCTCGTCTAGTACAGATGTCCAGAGAAGCTTTTGCCTATGTGTAGCAAAAGCTGCAATAGCTAGTACACTGAAACGCCATTTTAAGTCATCTTACTGAGATTCCAGGTTCAGATCATCGGGGAACAGAGAAGTTCGTAGAAAAAACTTGCATCTTTCCATTTCTCGCTCATCGAAGCAGTGCAATCTTTAATCGTAATTGCCACATCTTCTTGACCATCCTCAACTGGCAGTAAAAGTCAAGCCTCATATCCTTCAAAGTATTCCAAAGGAGCGTGTAGCTAAAAACAAGGACATATCAGTCTAGTTAGTGCTTTAAAGAAGAGAAGCACAATTTTTTAAGTAGATGAAATACTTCATCATCCAGGCATTGCTTTCCTTGTTAGACTTACTCGACTCAAAACTATCAGACGAACAGCTATTAACCATCGGACCTTGAAAAATTGTTGAAGCTGCTATTGCGGAAGTGCGCCCATGGTGGGCATCCAACGAAGATTCTTTTAGAGACATTATGTGCACGACGATAAGAGTGCGTTGAGGATCTTTAGAACTATCTTAAAGCTTCTCAATAATAAAAATTGGTCATTGCGGCTAGCCGAACTTTTGGCGAAACTGCTTTTTCTTTTCTCCTCTAAACAATCAATAGATGCTGATTTACTTGCGAGACAGAATGATAGCGAAAATGTGAAAAATGCCAACCCCTAAAAATCAGAAATCACAGAAAACGTGTGCAAACCTCAAGTAACTGTTGCGGATGTAACCTTAATCTTTTCCGCTGAATTTTAATAATCATGTTGCGTTTGCGTTCGAATCTCTTAATTTCAAGTTTTGCTTAATGGCAGCCAATCCATGAAAATGAAAGCTTATTATCAAAGAAAGCGCTTCCATTTTGGTTCTCGACTATCACAAAACAAAGTGTTCTTCTTTAAAAGCCTCATCTTTCATTCGCAGCCTGCCCTTAGGTTAAAAGACGGCAATCCTATGAGCTGAGGCCGTGGTTACCACAATATTTTACTGGCTTTGGTGGCTTCCAATCGATCAAAACACCCGGATCATTCAGCTCGAATACCTCCACCTTGAGCGGCCTGCAGACGGATGTCATATCCGCAACATTTGCGCAATTATCGGACACCCCACCTTCACCCCACCCCCAATTAGAAAGGTCGCCTCCAGGACAAGCAGAAATTGCACAAATCAGGTCTACTTCGCAGAAAAACTCAAAATAGTCATTTTCCCCCGCGGGGCATGTTTCCATGAAATACTGATCATTTTCATTTAGGCCTGTTACCTGAAATATGTTTAGAACGTCATGCACATCTGTCTCTTCACCGCCGAAATCTTTTATCGCTCGATACAAATTTGAATGGCAATGGAAATCATTTTCCTGACCACTTAAGAGCTTATCGACGTAAGGGTCGCATCGCGTTCCTAGCAGGTCGTGAACTCGACCTCCATTCTCATTTGGTCCATATTCTGAAAGTGTATCGCCAATAATAGTAAGAAGCGGCCGTAGATAAGGCAAATTAGACCATAACTTGTCGTATACCGAAACGTGGGCCGAATGTAGTTGTCTCGTTCGCGAGGCCCACATATGCTCCCTAAATTCTGAATTGGCTTCCCAGCAATTGAAATCGCAAACTTGTGGACCCTCCGGAGTGGAAATTCGAACGATAGACCCTTTTGAAGCTTTCCATGCTTTTCCAGACCTTTCCTGCACATGATAAGTGTCCTTTAAAGAGCGCTCGGCCCTTTGCACCGAATCATAAAATTGAAAGTTAGGTAACAGTATGGAATCCTTCGAAGTAGGGAAGTATGCTGGTGTTGGTTTTTTGTTTCCATACTTCTTTATTTCACTTTTCTGAGAAACGTAAAATGGAAAAGCCATCATTTCCCAGACGTGACTCCTTCCTATGCCTCCTTATGTATAATGCGCTATGATCTTGAGACCTAAAATCCGCCAATTTTATTGCCTGACCAAGAAGCAGTTTTATTTGTATTCTCATTTTTCTAGCAGATCAGACAACCGTCAATGTCGCACGTTATCAGCTTCGGAAGATGTATTCATCAAAATGCCGAATGCTTTGATTAGATACTATCGATCATAAAGTCAAAGAGCTCAAGACTACTCTCCTCAAGAGAGCAGGCACATACCCATATAGGCAACTCAAAAACCACCCATGCTGCTACGCGATTACGAACGATCGTTAATGCTCAAGTAAGGGGAGATAACTATTAACGAACAGAAAAATCTGTTATCTATTGACTTGATCGGTGATCCTCGCTAGTTACGGAAATTCGTGTATCTACGCACGGCCACAAATCGAAGGTTGGCATTTTAATGTTGAAATAATTTTCAATAGTACCGGAGGATAAACATGACAAAGGACTGTCTCATATTCTAGGCTGCATGTGAATGACTAGACAAATATCTTTAATACAATTTCGGTTGTTTATCTTTTTTTTATTGTTACTAGTTTTCTTTCCTGAAAAAAGGTGGATTGGGAGATGGTAATATGAGTTTTGATTTCTTCCTGCATCAGGTGTCGAAACTTTGCTTCTTAATTGTAAGATGATTTATCAACACCGTTGGTTTTATGTGACCTGATATTTTTGTCATTGTAAATGTTTCTCGTTTTTTTATTTCAAGTGCGCTGATATCATTAGTCGCCAATGATTCCTCGAAAATCTAAATCTCTTGAGGTTTATCTATTGAGGTTTTTCTTTATCGGTGGTTGATAGATTTCTGAACTGTTCATTTAATTCGTTCATAATTGATCTAAATAATAAAGCTGATAAAGAATTGAGTACTTATATCTCTCCGTGGCTATTTTACGACCATGACCACTACGATCCTGGTTATATCAGCTCCTTCTATACAATTTCTGTAATATTGTTCCCAATTTGGAATCCGTTACTTTCTTCAATCTAGACGGTGAATTCTCATCATACGTCATTTAGCATACCACATATGATCTGATCACGATGTTCTGATGATTTTAGAACTTTCAATGGACCTGTTTTAGCTTCCAGCTCTTCCGCGGAATGCCAACCGTCTGTCCAATCCTCTAATTTTATTCTGTCATATCGATCACATGATAATGCAATTGAACGATATCATCTTCTCGCCAGCTCCTTCCAACAAAATTGTAACGGACTTGATTTAGTATAGAAGGCTTCTAGAAGCACTATTTTCACAATTCCGTTCACTTTGTACGCTAAACTGCGGGTGATTATTTTAAACTCGTCTGAATTATGGAAGCCAGTGGCATCCAGACCCGTAGTCTAGAAAATCCTTCTTGTAAAATAGCTATTCAGATTTCGCAAATTAAGTTTAAGCTTACTATTCAACATACACAAAATTAGGGACGGGAAAATAAATTATGTGAAATTGTTCGGTGCAAAATGAGTGAAGGCGAACAATCAAAGATAGCGCGCGTTTTAGAGACGACTATCATCTCCGCCTGAATGCAAAATCCAGATTAGTTAAAATCTTTAACAAGCATTTATTTCAGGAAGTATTATACTGCTTCGCTTGTTTGCTTAATGAGACAAAATACCTGACAAATTCATCAGGACCAATTTAGAGATTATGGGCTTGATTCCGCAGTTAAATACAAAATCAGCCAATGTTTGGCATTAACTAATTTTTAGAAAGCAAATCCTTGTACTACAGCTCGGCGATTTTTGAGTTGTTCACGAAAATATTATTGTGTGTCAATATTGAAATAAAGAAGCAATCATACTAATCAGTTAATCCGACGAATCAGGGTACCGTCATTTAAAGGCTTTAAAGGATGACATCGTTGCGAGACAGGAATCTCAATATATGGCATTGAGTATGTTCGATGTTGGATTGGCATGAAATACAAAAGTAAATAACGGTAATTTAAACTTTCCTTGCGGCTCATTAGGAGAAGAACATGTTACTAAATTTTGTCACCTGCGAAGGCTAATCTGAACTACGAGAAAGCAATGGGAGAGCACGAGACCTCCATTCGAACAATTTCAGAAGTTTAAGTATGCGAAGCGGTTTTGAACGTATAAAGAAATGGGGCAAATTATAGGGTGGCTATGACAACTTGATTATCAATTCCATCAGTACAATTATTAGCACATTGATAGTAATCTCCTAAGTCTGTCAAGGAATCACATCTTACAGTTTGTCTCTTTTCCATGGCTCTATGTACCGGAATAAGTTCTAAGAGGTCAACAGATGGATGTCAGAAGATTATTGGAGTTGTGCTCGAGGATACCCTTCTCTTTATCTGTAGTCGTCCGGAAATGGGGGGGGGGAGGGGGGGAAGCTGTGATGAGGTACGTTTGCAGATAGTCGTCCTGCAGTTTTTAAAAGACTTGTCAGACTCACGAACGTTATATTTCATATTTTCTTCAACACATTAGAACTTGAAATGTCAGCGCTCTAAGGACCGCGCTAAATCTTGTGGTGAAATAAACTTGGGGATTCTCAGAGGGGTAAAGCTTAAGATTCAGTTTTAGAGTCCTCTGCGTATGCCCCATCTAAGCCGGCGATGTCTAAAATTGAATGGCGGAGAGTCCATTCGAGCTATCCATCTTTAGCCCTTGCCGAATTTCGCTGAGCTTTTTCCTCTGTTGGCCGCAATTAAAATTATCTTCGCTCAGCCAGATTTCGAAAGATTCTTTTAGTTCTGGCCATTCGACATCCAAAATCGAAAACCACTTGGTATCTCTGTTGCATCCTTTTGCAACAGCAGCTTGGCGAAAGAGGCCTTCATATTGGAAACCTAACCGTTCGGCTGCTCTTGCCGAAGGTTCATTTAAGCTATTGCATCTCCACTCGCATCGGCGATATTTGAGAGAGTCAAAAACGTACTCGAGAAGCAAAAAGTGGACCTCGGTGGACATGGAGGTTCTCTGAAGAACTCGAGAAAAGGTAACTAACCCAATTTCAATCGAACCGTTTTTGGTATCAGGTCTCATTAAAGCTACAAGGCCTACAGGCGAGCCGGTGATGATATCAATAACAGCAAATGTTACTTGCGGCATGGTTGACATGAAGCCTTTCACGCCTTGTTCAAAATCCCCCTGTTTATCAAACGGACCTAAGGGCAAGTAAGTCCATAACGTTTTATCTGCAACGCCACAAAGCACGTCGAAAAGTGCTTTTCCATGTCTTTCGAAGTCTAAGGGCTCTAATTTGCAGTATTTACCAACGAGCACTTTTTTCTCGGGGAGACTGCGTTCATACCACCCTCTTAGCTCTTCTCCCAGAACTTGACCAAACTCGTTAACCAATATCATCTCAACGCAGCTCTGTTCTGATTCTTGCCAAGATGGATATGTCTTAAAAAATAATGGAGTCTTAAGTAATTCCTGAAAGGATGACTCATTAGAGATGGCTGTTGCATGTCAAAAATTCTAATGTTTTCTTCGGGTCTCTGTGGCTCAAGTACTTGAATAGACAGCGCATGATAAGCGCTTTCAAAGGCTTCGAAACTAATTTATTTTAGCCGTCACGAACAGTCTTTCATGGTTTCCAACCCATCAATCTCGCTCATCTTTTCAATGGAGAGTCAAATAGGCTCTTCACCAAGCATGAGCGGGCTTCTAAAGCAGTAAATAGGATCTTGCCTTGAATTGACGCGCGTAGAGAGTTCTTCGGGGACGGATTTCCGTGGAGGGCCTTTGATACAACGACCTCAGGGAAACGATTAGGACTTGATCTTTACTGGGTTTGGTTATGTAATCACGCGCATTTTCAAGGAGTTCCCGAAAAGCGTCTTACTCTTTGAGAAGCAAAATGTCAGTACTGAATGACCTTAAAAAGAGCTTGGGGTAATCTTGCACGAGCGAAAGACTTCTGGGAATCACATACCAAGTAGTGGACGAGCCGCTTGGCATATACTAATTTCATGTCCACACGGCCTATAGTTCTCTGGTCTGCTTGCGCTAATTAGCCTGCTGAATAATCTGTGACAACACTTTTCTGAGTGAGATTTCCATTTTGCAACTTCTGACACTGGCAGATTTTTAGCATCAATTCGACCTTCATAGTGTTCAAACCCGAGCTGAAAACAACCATACCAAATCGCTAATGCAGTTCAAATTATTAAGTAGATCTCTAAAGCAAAACAACAAAACTAAACACCACAGGCATGGATGAGTCAAACACTAATTAATTAGCAAATTGAGATCTTCCTCTAAGTTTTGGTCCAATTCTGTATAGCACAAAAGGAATAGCAGCTAATACCACACAAAAAAAGCCAACGAGTGATGAACCCCATCCAACAGGATACTTCTCGCTGCCAAGGTTATTATACATTGCCTGGCCAAACAGTGGGAAAGCGCAGGCAAAAACGGCACGGCAGAATCCATTCCCCGCAAAAACCGAAGCTAAATACCGTGGGAAACTGATTGCGAGGTACGCGAAGGCCGACTGGAATAAGTTGAAAACGTTTATAACAAAAAACGCTTCAGCAATAATGGGTAATATCCAATGCACACCTGCCGCCCAACCAAAGAGAAACAAGGATAAGGGGAGGCACCAGCAAACATACATAGAAAGGAGAAGGAATGTTTCTGGAGTAAAAGTATTATTTTCAAATTTTGGTGCGATCACCTTGACAAGGAACACCATGAAACCAGCATAGGCAATGATACAGCCCACACAAAAGCCCAAATATGCCAAACCCATTTCAACTAGAGTGAAGTGGTATATTCCAATGAAGACAATGGGAAAAGCCTCAAAAAACAGATAAAACGCACCATAACACAGCGCAATGTAAATGTCAAAAGCCATGACAGCAGGTTCTAGCGCTATTATTTTGAATGGTCGATAAAGCGTATCCAACAAGAAATCGCTAGCCTTAATTTGACTGTCGATTCTCTCTTGGTTAGTGTAATAGCGAGAGTCTCCAGTAGACTTTCTCATTCTCGCAGCGCGGCGCGAGAGTATGTTTTCGGACTGAGTCTCGGGGAAGAAAAAGCCAAGAATAATAGCAGTTAAAGCGCAGAGCCACATCAAAAACCAGAAAATGTATCTCCAGCCCTTTGCAACAACCATGGATGCCCCAAGTAGCGGTGCCAAGACCGGAGCAGCTACGGCACCTATTGCCCACAGCCCGACAAACGCAGGCACTATCTCTGGTGGCATCATGTCACCCATGGTTGCCCCACCTGTAGCCAACGAAGGTGAGCATAAAACTCCACTGATAAAACGAATAACTATGAGGCCACCTATATTTTTAACCGTTGCTGCACCGACTTGAAAGAGCATAAACATCAACAAGGTGATCATATAAATTTGTTGCCGGCCAACTTTAGCAACCTCTGACAGCGGGGAGAAGATCATAGGTCCTAAACCATAACCCAAGACGTACATTGATAGATTGAGAGTCCCGACAACATGACCCACGTGGAAATCCTTCTGTATCAATTCCTGACCCGGCGTATAAATTGAGGAGCCCATATAAGTCACGCAAGTCAACAGCATGACTTGGAATACCACCAGACCCTTTTTTGGGTTAGACCAGTTATGTGGGTTTTCGGGATCTTTGGGACCATTCCAAGAAATTAGAAAGGGATCGGGCGGTGCCTCCCTATCTTGTTCTGCTTCTTTTGGTTCTTCATTAGTTCCTAGTTCCAGATCTGAGCTTTCACTTGTGTTAGGCGGTGACTCTCTTTTTGATTCGGACACACTTTTTTGTCCACTTCCGTTGTCAGGCTCTGCAGCTCTTATCTCTGGGGACAACTTCACCACTCCTATCTTTTCCAAGATGTCAAGCGCAAAAGTGTTTCGAAAGGTGTCAGTGTATCCCATATTTATAATATCAGTGGATGTTATTCACGGTGGAGATCCCATGCTAAGCCCTGACGTCGCCCATCGTTTATATATGTTCTTCTATCAACCAAGATTATTCTCAGGTATGCGCCAATCTCCGTTTGCTCAACGAAAAGTAGCGCTATAGCCACACCGGTGACAAATTTTTTAAGGGACGGTATTGTTCTAATAATTTGGTTTCCGCCTTAGCGGCGCTCAAAGCTTATATCAGCCTTGATTCTTCACTCCGTAAAGATGTGGGCCCTTAGAACTCACGTGCATGCGTCAAAATTGATAACCATTGTCTATGCAGCATGGGGCAGGTTATGTAAGTCTGCGCCAGACATGCAGAGAAAACCCTTGTTCCCCCGATGATCTCACATTACTAGGAAAGATCTTTTCCGTAGTTTTTTCGTTACAGGTAACGTATCGCGGCAATAACCGGGCTTTCATTCCAAAGAAGCTAAGAAAGCAGAAGGGAGTCTTCTTAAGCGCGATTCTTGAAGGGCGTCATTCAAAAAAGGTTTTATGGTTACAACTACAACTCAATGTGGGTTCACTTATGAAAGTTGCGCCCTAACACACATGAAGATCATTGATTTAGCAGCAGTAAGCACAAGTCGAAATCTTTGCCAGACCCTCGAGGCTGGCCTAGTATATATTTTGGATTAAATGAAAGTGAGTGGTGAGTTAAGCAACAGATTCACAAATTTTGTAGCTGAAAAAAAAATCCCTCCGGACATGAGTTCAACAGCTGTCTTTAACGTTACTATTTCCTGGGGGCTTCCCAAGTCTTTTGAAATGGAAATGTCGCCGGCACCAAAGTAGATTTCAAGAGAAAAAAATTAATTGCCCTTTGGACAGTCGTTTTGCGAACTACTTCCCCACATCTCAGCGGGCTTTTGACGGAAAAAAATATGGAAGTAAGTCTTTCGTAAGCCACTGGAGCCATTTTTGTACTGACTGCAAATAAGTCAGCCGTATCAAAATCTTGAGGGATCATACCTGTATGTGTAAAGCAAAACTATCTCAAGGCCTGTACCTCTTACGGAGAACTCAATAGCTCCTTGATTGGCGCCAGGGATCAAAACCGATGAATTTTAATCTGATAGCGGTTGGTGTATGTTGTATTGCTCCAAGTAGAACAGTATAGCCGCTTTGGCTCGCTACATCGCGTAACATAAGCCCGAGCCAGATCTGCAAGACGAATGGGCAAGACGAAAAGTGCCCATTACAAACTTCACGTATACTAAGTCGGTCTTGGAGCAGCTTCCTGATGTATGAATCCTTCTTCATATCGTTTCTGAAACACTCTGAAATGTAAAAGAAGAAAATCTCGCTCACAGTAACTTCTGTTCAGAATTAAGATATAAAAAACCTGCTGCCTCTTCCTTTCAGGAAAGATGCTGTGCAATGCTGGCATCTGTTATATTTCAGACCAACGTGAGATATCATTGGAGCCCAACGAAACTGGAAAGAGGTAACTTTCCCGTTGCTATCATGCGTATCGCTTAGTAAATATGTTTCCATGCGCTTAGGATGCTTGCAACTCTTAAAAAGAACGAGGTCAAGAAAACCTCCTGGTGGTGACACAAACTTGTATAATTCTGCGGATAGAATGAGTTTCTTGACCTATTCAAGAATAGTTGGACTTGATAAAAACAATTAAATCATTTAATTTGATAAATTCGTTATTAAGATTTCCGATCAAATCCTAGCAGATCTTTGTGCCTAATACATCTAAAGAATATATTAAAAGTTTATGCGATTTGTTTCTTTCTAGCAAGCGTGTAAGCTCCTCACATTGTCTGATTTGAGATTGTTACAGTCCTGGTACCCGCGTGATAAGTTAGGCAACGATGAATTGGTAGGCTGGCAAAACTTTCTGGGAGGTTTGCTGTGTGATAAACCCGCGATGTGCGAAGCCAAGTTTATTGAGTATATGCTGCATCGTTTTGTTAGCAGGATGAGTGTCGGCTCTAATGTCCTTGTAGCCCTTTTCTACCGCAAGAGTTATTAGTCCTGAGAAGAGAATGGTCGAAAGATTCCTACCGCGAAATTTATCCGCAACCACAGTTCGATGAACAACAACATATTTTTCGTGATTACTCTGAGGAAGCCACTGCCCATCGATATTCGTGTAATCTGGATCAGTTCCTCCTGATATAGCGCCCACAGCAGCTATTTCATTCTCGTAAATTAAGACGTAACCCTCGCCCTTTCTAATATCTTCTAAAAGTCCATCGGAATTGGGATAACCTTGTTGCCATTGGTCAATTCCCAAGGACTTGAGATGGGCTTTAGCTGCATCAAAGATGATCATGAGTTGCTCAACTTCATCAGCTCTACTTTTCCGAAGATAATACATTTTTGGGCCCTCAAGGCGTTTGCAGCTGTTGGAAACAAAAACCTTCGCTGGGGCTGCTATTATATAGTGCCAGCGCTATACTAATCTTTGCCATAATAGTGACTCATTCCAAACGCGAGGTGTTATCGAAAAACGGAATTTGCATCCATTGTTAATGTATTCGTTGTACACGAAAAGCTAAAGGAGGCATGTGCTCACTATGAAGGCCCATGTGCTAGTAATAGGATTTCTGAGTAGTGTTACGGATTCTTCTCATTAGCAGTACAGTAGTTCATGATTTCATTTGAAATAACGACGGAAAAGCTCTTCATCAGCGGCTAAAAGCAAACGGGAATGCTCGTTTCGCGAGGGATTATGATTGACTTCATATTTCTCGACTCATTAGCATGTCAAACATGGCGTAGACTTTACCAACAAACTGTTTTGTAATGTCAATTCGTGCCTCCAAAACACAAAGACTGAGTTCTTTCTTGCATTTGAGCCGCGAAATTTACTGTACTTTAACTCACTTTGAAGAGTATAAACGTCTGAGGCTCTCTGGACCTTCACTCTCATAGTGGAGATAAGACTATGTAGGCCACGGCAAGTTTTTCTATATTAGTCCTTTGATATAAACTGTCTCGACCGCTGACACATGGCAGATTGCTTGCAGCCGCCAAAAGCAAAATTCATCTTGCTCTCCCATAAACTGTAATTCCCCCGAATTCGTGAAAGATAATTAGCGCACCAAGGTGAACTTTCTTCAGCATATAAAGTTATTCACCATGCTATGAGTGTATAGGCACACCAAGAAATAGCATCTATTCGCTCGGGGTGAAACAACGTCCCATTCTTTGGCGTTCAGCTGAAGCGACAGAAGGTCACATAACAGATTTTCAGAGTTGTTGAGGATAGTGCTCTCTGATCAAACTGGCAACCTTCCTTCCATTCTCGCCGCTAACTTCTGTTTCAAGGTTTTCGATGATTCCTTCAACGTTTTGCTTGGGGTCACCCTGGCTGTACTTGAAATTACCCTCCATGTGGTCTATTTCGATTTCTAAAAGCACAATGCTCTTGAGCTTAGCATCGATGTACGCCGCAGGTGCGTCAGAAAGCTTCCATTTCTCCTCGTAGGCTTCTCCCTCGGGTCTTTTGCCCTCTTCTTGATCTGTCACTTGCTCTAAGAACTCCAAAAGAGCTTCTTTGTTTTTAACGACGTGAGCAGTACCATATACATGTACGGCCGAATAATTCCAGGTTGGGACAAATTTATGAGTTTTCTTTTTCAATGGGTACCACGAGGGTGAAATGTATGAATGTGGGCCCTGAAATACTACTAAACATTGTGGACTTTCTTCCAAAATTTCTACATGGTGGTTTTTCGCAGCCAAATGTGTCTTAATCTTATGCTTCCCACTCTCATTCTCCTCAAAAACAAAGGGCACATGCGTAGCATGCAAATCGGAAAATGACGGCGATGCCCTCGTTCCTTTAAGCGGATTCCAAAAGCTCGAGTTGCCTGAGGAACCCTTTCCGCAGTTGAATATGATTCCAAGCGGATTTTCGCGGATAAGCTTGATCTGCTCGGACTCATCTTCAACATTAAAAGAAGAAGGGATGTACATGTTGCCTTTATGATTTCAACTGGTATAATTCCACCTGTGAACCAACCCATAGACTAGTTCTTTCATCGATGTCTTCCTGAATTTTTCCATCTTTATACTGTTTCACCTTATCGCACTTAGCCTCTTTGCAACCAAGTGCGATTATTGAATGAGTCAAAAATCCGCCTTCATTTGAAGATAACGTTAAAGGGGTTTCCAATCTCGCAAGTTCTTGAAGTTTAAACTTTCACCGTTGTCACAACTCTCTTCTTGATGCCCAATCATATTACATCATTTGTGCATAAGTTTGTAGTGGTTGACGATGCGGATTTTGCATTTCTTTTGAATTCGAAAAAAATCAAGAGGTATATAAAGCTTGGATATTATTTATCGGAACGCTTTCGAAAAAATTATTCAGGAAAGACAGATAAGCGGTTTTCTCAAATAGTTAGAAATGTCGGCTGCTCCAATCCCTCAATACACGATGTCTGACTACGCCAAATTTGCGTTGGCTGGTGCGATCGGTTGCGGTACCACGCACTCTGCGATGGTTCCTATCGATGTCGTCAAGACCAGAATCCAATTAGAACCAACTGTGTACAACAGAGGTATGATTGCTTCTTTCAAGCAGATTATCGCAGGTGAAGGTCCCGGCGCTCTTTTAACTGGTTTCGGTCCAACTTTGTTGGGTTACTCCTTACAAGGTTCGTTCAAGTTCGGTGGTTACGAAGTTTTTAAGAAGCTTTTCATTGACACTTTGGGTTACGACCAAGCTGTGAACTACAAAAACTCCATTTACATAGGTTCTGCTGCAATTGCTGAGTTCTTCGCCGACATCGCTTTGTGCCCATTAGAAGCCACCAGAATTAGACTTGTGTCTCAACCAGAATTCGCCAATGGCCTAGTTGGAGGTTTTTCCAGAATCTTGAAGGAGGAAGGTGTTGGCTCTTTCTACAACGGTTTCACCCCTATTCTTTTCAAGCAAATTCCTTACAACATTGCTAAGTTTTTGGTTTATGAACGTGCTGCTGAGGTCTACTTCGGCATGGCTGGTCCTAAGGAATCCTTAAGTGCCTCCACTACTACCGGTCTTAATTTGTTGTCTGGTTTGACCGCTGGTTTGGCCGCTGCCATTGTTTCCCAGCCTGCTGACACTTTATTGTCTAAGGTTAACAAGACCAAGAAGGCTCCAGGTCAATCTACAATCGGTCTTTTGGCGCAGTTGGCTAAGCAATTGGGTTTCGCTGGTTCTTTCGCTGGTTTGCCTACTCGTTTGGTCATGGTCGGTACTTTGACTTCTCTGCAATTCGGTATCTACGGTTCTTTGAAAAAGAGCTTGGGATGTGCTCCTGCCATCGAAATCGCCGGGAAAGGTCACTGATTTTTGTACTTTGCTGAGGAGCCATTTTGTATATATATAAAAGATGAAAATATTCGCGTGATGTCATGAAGCTGACAAGAAGACAAGTGGTTTTAAAATCTTAGTTATAGTTACATGAAGCCCTCAGTCCTTCATATAGGCATCAAGCTCTGCGTCGAGCTGGTCAGCGGTTGGCTGAGAGGGTGCCTCTTCCTTGTCTGCATTACGTGACCGCCTTGGTCCACGCTCACCACGTCCTTGATTGCGTCTCTGTTGTCTCTTTTGACTTTCGAAGATCTCTGTAACGACTTTTGCCTCGTCCACCACTTTCCCATTGATTGCGTCATGAACTTTTTCCAGCTGCGCTTCATTCTCAAATTCCAAAACGGCGACTCTCTCTTCTTTCTTGTCATAGAAATTGACAAGCGTTGGACTCGAAATTTCCCTTACGAGATCTTCGATGCGATAGTCAGAAGTTTGGAGAGGTATTTTTGAAATTCGTAGTCTTTTTTTGGTGACCAGCGGTGGCTCCTCCTGTCTTCTGATAGCATCTCGTTGGATACGTGGGCCATAATCCCGTCTTGGTGTAATTCTTGTATCCATCCGCGCAGCAAGACCATTTCTTAGATCGCGACGACGATATTTCTCAACAAATCAGTTAATATTCATCTTTTGCGCTTCGCTTTCGTTAAAGTCGGTGGTTATGAACTTACTGTAACTTTATGATGTTGGGATGGTTTCTGGTACTTTGTATTAGTTTGTTGACTCTTTCGTATCTCATAGAAACATTAATTCCATACTTCGTTGTTGATAATACTATCTAATGACTCTTCAACCGACATGGTTACTCTTTCGATGCTTCCACTTCACTCTATAGCTCGTTATTTAGTTATCAAAGGTTTGGCTTTTTATTTTTTAGTTAAGCCCATGAAAGAGATGTTACCCGATTCTTCAAGCGAAAAGATCACTCAAGATATCTTGGAATCTTGGAATGCCCTGATAAGTCGTACGTATCTTCTTGAGCCAAGATATCGATTGGGTAAATTGCCTGAGGACGGGTTCGACTGTGCTCAAATTTCCATACGCAACGGCCATTCTGTAAGCTGCCTCTTCGCAATGTTGGCAGAAAGCTGAGGGTCCAAATTTAGTATTAAGGGTATCAGAAATCTCTGGTACAAGGTCCAATTGGTTATGCTGAACAATGTAAACACTGTAATTCAATAGAAGAGTCGCTATCGCCACGGCGGTTGCTGTTTGCAGCTTTGGATTTGCAAAACTTTGATCGTCAATTGTTTTGAAGACCGAGGAATATACTGATTCCTTAGACATGAGCTCTTCACCCCATGTGGGGTTAGAGAAGCAATTTGCAAGGGCACGGATGGTGAGCATTGCAAGGGTTGGATCCGATGAGCCGAGCCCTTCTTCTATGAAGTCACTCATGCAGTCAGCTGTAGGCAGCAAGTGAACAATTAGCCGCAAAATGTCGTAAGAGGGAGTTTTAGTTTTCCAGGAGGAACGAATGACCTCAGCCTGTGTAAAGAGAAATTCGTAATTTTCTTCCAAATCATGAAGTGCGGCCCCAGTTGAGGCTAGTTCCTCGTCGTTGAAGGTTTTCTCGGAAGCATTCAACTTGACAATACCGCTAAAAATTGCATCCACATTATAGGCGCTAAGTCTCAAATATGTCTTGGTGGGAACGACTTTCCCTACGAACGATGCAACAGGGGCCGATTGAGTCGGAGGTGCAGACTCCGGTTCAAATGTAACAGCATCGGTGTTTTTTATGATAAATCTGACTACTTCTTCCTTGTAGGATGAAGGAAGCTCGTTGTCAGCTAAAAACTTGTCCGCTGTGACGTAAGGATTATCGGTGAGGTTAAAGGGAAGCTTTAAGGGTGGCATATTGTCAGAAATATCAACATCAAACACATAGTCATATCTTTTGCCGTTGTACTCGGCTTTTTTGTCGCTTCCCGCGGATGATACTACATCTCCAACTTTGCTCCATGCTTCTTGGGTATACCGGTGCGCCTCAAGGATCCCTGCTTCACTTTTCACTACGACTATCTGGCCCTCATTGCCTGGCTTTTTTAAAACTTCGGGGGGAGAAAGCCTCGACTCGTTAAATTCCATGGACTGTGCACTATGAGCGGAACTCTCGACTTCTTGCTGAAATGCTTGTAAGTCCTGCTCCGACGCTAACCTTGAGGTTTCTTGGCTGAAAATTCTTATTGATTTATCGCTGCACCCCACCACAATATCCCCATTGGGGAAGAGATCAAGATCCCATATGGAGATGGCAGGAAGTGTTATCACCTGTTGAACCTCCCCGTCTGTACTCCATACACGAACAGTCCTATCTTCTCCGCAGCTCACCAGACGGCCATCTTCCAAGTATTTCACAGCGTAGACAAAGCTCTCATGGCCAATAAGCGTCTTTTGAACATTGCCATCCAAATCCATGATCTTTATGGTTCCATCGTTGGAACAACTAGCAAATTTGTCGCCCTCGCCGTAAACAGCCACATGCCGAATCACATCATTATGGATTCCAGAGAATGTTTTCACACTTTTAGAGCCTTTCCAGACCTTTATAGTCCTATCAGCGGAAGCTGTTAAAAACGTGTCTTCGTTCACGGCTTTGATGTCCCACACTGATGCGGCATGGCCCACCAAATCGTACTTAACCTTTCCATTCTCCCAAACTTTGCCCGTTTTATCCCAGCTTGAACTCAAAACATAGTTTTGCCAACAAGAAAGACTGCAAACGTTGGACTTGTGTCCAACTAGTACGTAGTCAGGTTCTAACGTTGTACTGTCGTCGACAGAAAACCCATTTATAAGCATATCCTGTCCGCCGAGGTACAAGACTTGTTTGGTTTCGTCAAAAGCAGCGCTGTTTATGAATTTGTCCGTGGCGTAAATCAAAGATTTAATCCAATCTCTGTCTTGTTTCTTCCAAAGGAAGGCCTTACCGTCCCTTGAAGCACTAGCAAAACTGCCATTGCTCAATGCTACCACAGACCTCACGTCCTGTTCATGGCCGTAAATGCTTGAGCTGAGCTGATACATCGATAAGGACAATGTCGAGTAAGTTAAAGCTCTCTATATTTGACCTTTTCCTAAACGTGATATAAGTGAGCTTCTTGATGCGACCTTAGTCTCATGACATTGATCGAGCGATACAGCACTAAGGACGAACAGCGCACATGTAACCGGTTCAAGAAACGGATCGAGCATAGATTAGAGGGGAAATATTAAGAACACATTATATACGGAAGCCGTTGCTCGCCCCAAGGATAACATCCTCTAGCGCAAATTGACAACGAATCGTCCAAAACGCCTGAGATTGATATCTTCGTTGAGCATATCCAAAATGTACAGGAGCGCACAGCTTTGTTCAATCTCATCGAGGTAACATTGCCACTGAAAATCGTAGCCTATCACGAGCGTCACCGCTGGATAATTGAATGCATTTGAACTCTTTATTTTTCGAATGCTAAGTTTTCATCGGATTCACTTGAATCATATTAGTTATGATATATTTATGATGGTGGATCAACAACTTTCTGAGCGTCGCAAATTAATGTCGGTAATTCCCGACGCATAAGAAGACCCTAGCTGGTTGGACGAAAATTGATCTCTTGAATTTCCTCTCTCCAATTCTCAAACCGTGTAAAACTAGTCAATTCCGTGAAAAGAGACTGGAGTCTCCAGATTTCTCTCCAGTGCTGGAAAATCAGCCACTATTTTTGTCAATACAAACTTTTATCTGAAATCCGTTCGAGGAGTCACATTGGGGAGCTATTCTTCAGTAATGAGTGGTCCTCTCTTGTACACCAAGGTCAATGATCGAATTTTAGTTCAGCGGAACCTTATTGGAAGCGAAAAATCAATTGTTTTGTGCCTAGGACCCCAAGTCGAGGATATTGGGTTTGTGGACCCTGGGGAGTTTCCAGTTCGAGCTGATATTCGCAAGATTGCCGCAGTGATTGGATATGTGAGACTAAAATTGAGAACCTATTTTTTGATAGCGAAACGTGTTGAAGAGGTGGGCAAGTTAAACGAGCACCGCATCTTTAAAGTTGTGGAATATGAGATTGTTCCAATCGGCAAGTCTAATGTCAAGGATAACGATGAGACTCAGTATCTGGCGCTACTCAATGCGCAACTGTCAGCTGCAACACTTTTCTTTTCTTACACTTACGATTTAACCAATTCTGCTCAGCGAAACGAAAAGAGGACCCACAACAGCTTATCTTGGAAAGATGCAGACAAGCGATTTTTTTGGAACAATTACGTCACGGTAACGCTTCAAAACTATGCGAAACAGGACTCGCGAATCGACCATTTCATTACCCCTATGATCTTCGGCTATGCTAAATTCGTCGATACTCAATTGAACGACACGCCACTCACCATCGGACTAGTCACAAGGAGGAGCACCTTGAGAGCTGGGACAAGGTATTTTAGGCGCGGCATTGATGCTGATGGGAATGTGGCCAACTTTAATGAGACCGAACAGTTCACAATGATTCACGCCAAGGATAAAGGCGGCAATTCTGATTTTTTCTCTTTCTTGCAAACGAGAGGCTCTATTCCGTTGTACTGGGGTGAAATTAATAACTTGAAATACAAGCCTACGCTCGTCTTGGGTGAAAACTCTTCTCTAGACGCTACAGCCAAACATTTTGCTGAGCAGAAGCATCTTTACGGCGAAAATTACCTTGTGAATCTGGTCAATCAGAAGGGTCATGAGCTTCCTGTTAAACTCGCATATGAGTCTGCTGTCAACGCTTTGAATGACCCAAAAATTCATTACACCTATTTCGACTTCCATCACGAATGCCGCAAAATGAAATATGAAAGAGTCAAACTCCTTATCGAGCACTTAAACCAGATGGGATTACAAAGCTCTGACGTTTTTCACAAAGTAGTCGATTCGAACGGCGTTACGGAGCGTGTGGAGAGGGAACAATCTTCCGTTGTAAGAACAAATTGTATGGATTGTTTAGACAGAACTAATGTTGTCCAGTGTGTTCTAGCACAATGGGTTATTCAAAACGAACTAGAAACTGCCTTCGTTGTCAGTCCCTCTTATACGTGGGAGAGTGATAAAGAATTGTTATTCAAGTTTCAAGGCTTGTGGGCTGATAACGCGGACGCAGTTAGTCTCTCTTACTCTGGAACAGGCGCTTTGAAAACCGATTTTACGAGGACCGGGAAGCGTACTAGTGGGGGTGCTTTCAATGATTTTTTGAACTCTGTCTCTAGATATTATCAGAATAACCTAACAGACGGTCCAAGACAAGATTCTTTCGACTTGTTTCTGGGCAATTTCAAGCCTTACGAAAACGGAATACAATCACCGTTTTCTGACAGAAGGCCATTTACCATCCAGGTGATTCCAACAATTATTTACGCTGCATTAACAGTTATAGCAGCTACAGTTTTCTTTCCCAAGGGCCATTTTACCAGCTTGAAGAATCTTTCGTTTTTGATCTTTTCTTCCGTGATATTGGGATCTTCAGCGCGCTTCATTTTGCAAAATGGCGAACAATATGTAAATTGGCCCAAATTAAACGAACTAGCTTTCCTTGTGCCAGTTCAAACTTACGACAAGGAACATCAGTTTAAGGGAATCAAGTACGCGTGGAGCTCCAAGTTCTCGAAACCGGATGCTTTCAAGAAGGATTAATTTTGATTTTTTGACGCGTATTGTACGTATTACGAATATAGAACATTACCAGGACGTTTATTCTATCAACTCCGATATGAACTTTTTCACTTCTGTTGACTTCATGAGCGCTTCTCCGACCAAAAACCCGTGAACACCTTCTATCTTATACACATCGGCGTCTTTGGCACAAGTAATTCCAGAGAGAGCCAGAAGTATAGTACCAGATGAAACTTCACTGATTAAGGAACTAGTGGTGTTCATATCAACGGTAAAGGAGTGCAAATCTCTGTTATTGACACCAACCACTTTCGCACCAATCTCTAGAGCTCTAGCCATTTCCTCTTTGCAGCTAACTTCAACTAAAGGTTCGATTCCCATTTGTTCCACTGCGTAGTCATACAATTCGCGTAACAGATCTTGTTTCAACATCTTGACAATTAGAAGAACGGCGTCTGCGCCGGCGAGACGGGCCTCTAGGATCTGGTATTTGCTGAAAACAAATTCTTTTCTAAGCACTGCTGGTCTTTCTTCTGGATTGCTAGCAAACTCCAAATCTAGAGCTTTTCTAACATTGATCAGATCTTGTAAACTCCCTTTGAACCAGTGGGGCTCCGTCAGGACTGAAATAGCGGCAGCACCTGCCCTTGCATATTTGAGACCTTGAGGAGCGGCCACGGCGTCGACATCGATGTCACCTTTCGAAGGCGAAGCTCTCTTGATTTCAGCCAAAACCGCAGCCCTATGTGGCCCTTGCGTCAAGCGTTGACGGAAATTTTGTACAGAGGGGGCCAAACCAAGTTCATAGTTCATTTCGAGGTCTTTGGTTGTGAAACCCGGAATTTTGGATTGAGTTTCTACGTCTTGTCTTCTCTTGGCATATACTTCGTCTAGAATAGACGGCTTGTTGGTAACTTTTTTGGCTAGCATTTGGTTGTCGTCCCAAGTCCCTCCTCTCATGTTCAGAATGTTTTTCACCATGAGGTGTCCCTCTTCAGTTAAAATGGACTCTGGATGAAATTGAACGCCTTCAACGGTGTAAATCTTGTGTCTCACACCCATAATGATCCCATTCCGAGTTGAAGCAGTAACTTCTAACACATCCGGTAGCGTCGACTGTTCTCCTGCCAAAGAATGATACCTTGTGACCGATACACCTTGTGGAACATCTTTGAAAATGCCCTTGTTATCGTGGAAAACTTCCGACGTTTTGCCATGTACAATCTCTCCGGCGTAGCTTACTTCCCCGCCGAAAACATCAAACATGCATTGCTGGCCCATGCAAACACCAATCACTGGCACTTTTCCTGTAAAATGACGAATACAGTCTCTTGAAATACCTGAATCAGTTCTTGGATGTCCTGGGCCTGGTGAAATGAAAACTATGTCAGGATTTAGCGCGGACAATTCATCCAAAGTTATTTTATCGTTTCTGTAGACTAGCACCTCGGCTCCTTCTGTGCATAGATACTCATATAAGTTCCAAGTGAAAGAATCATAATTATCTATTAAGACAACTCTTCTGCGTTCGGAAGTCATTGTTTAATATGCTGACTGGACAAAACAGCTTGACTTATTGAGCCCTTTAGCAATCTTGAATCTGTCCTGATCACCTTTTTAATGAAGAGATTTTATATCAGATGAGCTTAATTATTACTCAAAGATTCCAAAATTTTTCACCAGCTACAGACTATATAAACTAAACTTATCAAAAGCTAAGGAACAGGAGTGAGTCAGAACTTGAGAAACCTAAACCACTTCCACTTGTGTTCAATTATTTTGGGTTTAAGTGTCACATTTGACAAGTGAAACCATCGAAATGAGCCGTTGGTGAAGCCGGAGACTTTGAGAGTTTCTTAAATGAACATTGAATTTCACAATTGTAGTATTTTGTGGTCTCTGAGACTTTGATTAAAGCAAACAGTCTGTTTAAGAATGATGCCGGGGCTTTAATTCGTTAAGTTTACATTTTGTATGGAATAGTCAATATGGCTTGTGCACCGACACAACTCGTAGAAGCGTATGAAGGCAATTTAGTCCTATTTGCATGAAAAGGGTTTGATGGCCTTTAATTCCCGAGTGGCCTCGAATAGTGTAGAGTTTTGCAATTGCTTTCTCGTGCCATGCACCAGTATGATCACATCTACGTTCACACATACGTTCACAACAGTCTATAATCGATTACATTACCGGCTAGAACGCTACAGCAACATCAAAACCGAAAATTACAAGAAAACTATCAAGCCTCAAATAAAATTCACCAGTACATATACTACCGGTGGGTGAGGGCCATTTGCCGCGTTCAATTTCTTTGTTGAGTCTCTATTCTGCTAATAATTGATCCTAGCTTGTCGTTCTTCAAACTCTACGATCTCCGTTAATGATTGAAAAAATGATAACATTCGTGGCTTGCAACGCGTAAACAAAACTCAAGTTTTAAAACCACTTAGGATAGAAAATCGGCGTTTCAATAGGTTGATTGACACTTCAAACTTCAATGTCAAGCATCATTGAGGCTTCGGCCGCTTTAAGAAAGAGAAAGAACCTGAGAAGAGGTATTAATTTTACCTTAATGGTAGTTGGTGAATCCGGATCAGGTAGATCAACTTTTGTCAATACTTTGTGTGGGCAACAAGTCGTTGACGTTTCAACGTCCGTTTTGCTGCCCACAGATAATTCGACACAGATCGATTTACAACTTCGTGAAGAGACGGTGGAATTGGAGGACGAAGAAGGTGTTAAAATTCAACTCAACATTATCGATACGCCAGGATTTGGAAGCTCTCTGGACAACACGCAGAGTTTCAACGTCATTTCTGACTACATCAGACATCAATACGACGAGATTTTGCTCGAAGAGAGCCGTGTCAGAAGAAATCCTAGGTTTAAAGATGGCAGAGTCCACTGCTGCGTCTATCTGATCAACGCTACAGGACACGGTCTAAAAGAAATCGATGTGGAGTTTATGCGGGCGCTTGGTCCCTTAGTCAACATCATACCTGTTGTCAGCAAAGCGGACTCGCTCACAGTCGAAGAGCTCAAACTCAATAAGAGACTAATCATGGAAGATATTGACTACTACAATCTACCTATATACAATTTCCCGTTCGATGAAGGAGCCCTATCGGATGAGGACTACGAAACCAACATGTTATTACGTTCTTTGACTCCGTTTTCCATTATTGGATCAAACGAACTTTACGATTTGGGCGACGGCGCCATGATCAGAGGCAGAAAGTACTCCTGGGGCACTCTGGATGTCGAAGATTCTTCCATCTCCGATTTTGTTGTCTTGAGAAATACGTTGCTCATTTCGCATTTGCATGATCTAAAGGACTACACACATGAAGTTCTTTACGAAAGATATAGAACCGAGGCTCTTTCGGGGGAAAGCTTGCCACCGCTTTCTTCGGGCACCAAAGAGCATCAGGGTTCGCCTTCGATATCTGCTAAGTCGTCACTACAAGGACCTGCAGATGTGCAATCAACGAGCTCGAAAGCACCAAACCAGGACACTTATTTGGCACGCGAAGAGCAAATTAGACTAGAAGAGGAAAGACTGAAGGCATTTGAAGAACGTGTTCAGCAGGAACTCTTGCTGAAAAGACAAGAATTACTTCAAAGAGAACAAGAGTTACGCGAAATCGAAGACAGGTTAGAGAGAGAAGCCAATGAGAACTCAGAAGTTAGTGTCTAGTTCACAGTCTCATATCCTTCGTCCAACCCTGTAAAGCCCTACTCCAATATCTCATCAGTACTAGAAAAAATTTTTTTTGGATTACAGCTCGAATTATAAAAACCTTTTAAATTTATTTTACACTAGTCATCATCTGATCAATAAATGCTCTCATAACAAGAACTATAAGCCATGATAGCTACTAAATCCAGACGGATTTGGGGTGCGCAAGAATTGCGTGTTTTGCTTTAGCCACTATTATCTGTTTGCCTTTAAAATGATGAGGAACTAGATAGGGACAACTGACTTCGTATGCATGACGAGGAAAGTCTTTTAGAAGCCCAGTTTTTAGTAGAGCTTGGGCGCCAACTCTGATCTTTCTATAAGGTTTACAGATAATGGTCGGTCTTAATAACTTGGTAACTACATACCGGTGCACTCAGGAATCGTCTGCGACTTTAGGAGCAGTTTTCCAGCTCTTGAGATTCTTGTGCGTAACGAAATGTAACGCTTTATTAGTTTCTTCTTCTTTGTCCTCTTTCTCGGGCTTCTCAGGGGCACTGAAGGAAACTTGCGGAAAGACAAGAACGTCGCCCACAAGTTTGGGAACTTTTAGTAAATGGAAATCTTTCCAAGTGATTTTCTCGAATACGCCACTTTGAACGTAGTCGTTGAAGTAGGTGAATATGACGTCGGTCCAAATGCCTGATCCCGTCCATTTCATTATATTCAAATCATTCCTGAGATTTGAACGCAACTCTCCATCCGCCCTACGTTGCAATGTGGTTTCGGTAACTTTTGCGACAATTTCCCGAACAACAGGATGGCCCCGTTTGGCCAGCATAATCCAATTGCCAAATTGCAACCTCCTGACGTAGTTGCTCCTCCAATCAGGACTATTGGCGTCGCTCTCAACGCCGATGATTAGTCCAATTTCTTTTGGGGAGACGTTTTCGGGAATCCAATTTGGCACCGGCTGTAGCGGATTGGTATCGATGTCGGCGTAGACGCCACCACGCGCAAATAAGACCAAATATTTAAAAAAGTCTGCCTTCAAATTGGCTGAAGGCAGCGCGTCGTAGGCTTCAATCACCTCAGGTATCGAAGAGTAATAGTAGTGCACAAGAGCCGATGCGGTGTCGTCGTTGATAATTTCGTGGACAAAACCAGGGTTCTTCTCGCCCCAGTTCCGCTCATAAGTTTGCAAAGTTTTGTCCATTCTTTCGTCCATATCCGAGTACGGCCATGTTTGCCAGATAAACGCCGGAAACTTGCGCGTTGTGCCATACTGGAAAATAAGTGCCAGCTTTTCGCGCAATGTAGCGTGAGCCGAAGGTTGTTTCAAATCTTGTATTTTCTTTTCAAGCGCTTTCCTTTCTCTTTCAAAATTCCGCATTTGTTCGTCCTGTTTTTGAAGCACTTCCCGAGAGAACTTCTCAAACATCTCGATCAGGGCTTCGTCCTTCTTTTGGGATGACGCTGCAGAGTCTATACTTTGGGTGATTTCTTTGGGTAGGTTCTGCAAAATGGCTTGCAAATCCGTTGATCTAGCGGAACTCAAGAGCCTCCAAATAAAATAGGACCCAGCTAAAAGCGGTATGAGCACGAAAGCATAGCGCTTCCAACTCGCGCCCCGTGATTTCGCCATTGTGACCGCCAAATCACGAAGTAATGCTAGCGAGTGAATGCTAATTCTCTAACGCGTTTGAACAATTAACTATGTATTTCCAATTCCTCCTATGGCCATCACTAAAAAAAACGTGATGTCGTGCTATACGAATAAAGAGCTGTCAAGTACCTTGAATTCCCTGACCATGGCTTGTATTAGTCGGTAGCCACCTTCTATTGAAGCTGGTATAGATGCATTCTCATACTGCGTAGCATCGGAAAGTTTCCGAAGTTCTTTTTCGCCTTTTAGTGGTATGTTTACTGTAATTACAACGTCGGTTTCGAACTCTTTTAATCTTAAAAGAGCGATGCATACCACGAGAGTTTCTTTCAACTCTTTCTTGCCCCATTTGTATGCCGGTTCGACCGCTATGGCCGTCTGTGCGTTAGGTCCTGATTTGACTTCATGTTTCAGGAGATGCCATTCTGAGCTACCGTTCAGATCAGAAATCTCGCTTAAATGGACTTGTAATGCTTTTAAATCGTCCGTTTCTTCAACTTGTTGTAGCAAATCGACAATCACGCTTTCATCGAGTCCCAGACCGTCTTTGAACTCGTCGATTTCGGTCTCTTTTCTGCTGTTCACAAACACTTCTTGAGTGTCAGGCACTTCACGCAGGAGCGAGGCGTCGAGAAAGCCTTTGGGAATCACCGAGGCAATTGCACCGCCATAGAACAATTGGGTTTGGTACATGATTTGAGATGGAGGGGTTGCGGTTCGCTATCCTCTGAGTATGAGCAGAAATCAGCGATGATTCTTAAAAACTTGACTTTCAAAATGAAACCTAGCAAGCGCAAGCTGTAAAACAGAGAGGGCATGGCACGGGCCATTCAGTAAGCTGTATGCTTGCTCTATGTGAACCCGAAAATAGAATATTACAGTTTTCAAAGCCTAACTTGGCTGATATTTTCCGAAGATCGTTGGGTGCCGGACACGACAAAACACGAAGGGTTCTACTATGTGTATAATTGTCGCAGAAAGCGCTAGAAAACGACTGTTGCGATTACGAATCAAATTATTGGCCACTGAAATCGATTTTAAGTGTCTGGCGTGCCCTATGCCACATTTTCTGAATTTGTGTCAAAGAGGATTTTTTTCCGACAGACGCACCAAGATGCCCTGGCGTAAGCTAACTGCAAAGCTGAAGATATCCGCTCAGTGCTTGATAAAACTGAAAAAGTTTACACAGCACCTGGCTGCAAACGTGCAAAAGGAGCAACCGGAGCAAATTCTAGTACTGCCCTGTACCAAAGGCATTTCAGAACCTTGGCAGATGTCATTTCCATCAGCTTCAAGCGATGAGAGGTCTGTCGAAGCGATCACGTGACCGAGATCATTGTACTAATATGTGTTGCTGACCTTAAAGGTTCATTAGCTCTCTCTCTTTGGTCAAATGTCGTTCTTTCCAAGTCCTCTTAGCGGTTTTCGTTCGTCTTAATCCACCAGCGCGGTTTTTTTTGTCAATACAGCCCCACTGAACAAATACGTGTAAAGGCGAACCCCAAAGCTATGTGAAAAACACACTGCGAAGACAAGACCCATAACTAAGCGAAAGAGAATGAAAAACATATTGGTCTTGTTTTTAAATAATTAATGCTTCCACGAAAGCAAGGAAAAATATCTTGGTTCGCGTTGAAATTCCCTTGCTAACTAGAAAGCCCTCGTAACCTTCATAGCACGTGAGCTCAACTTTAATGCGTGACCAAATCGTAGTCAAAACTGCTCCAAAAACGTCTTACATTAGGCAAATGTCTTGAAACAAAGCAATTTGAGCACTATTTGACTTAAAGAAAGATCACGTGTGGTAAAGACGGTAACAATCGCCATATAACCCAAGATCCCTACTCGATAATAGATGACCTTTTTGTAAGAGATTTACCCCCTACTCACGAACGATATTATTCCTTTCATCATGGTTCTACATCGGCACTTGAAGGCTTGACATTTCAAAGCTCGCGCTAATGAAGTTATCTTATGCGATGTGCTTACATATCTATGGTGCCATTGACAGCTGATCATTACTCGTTACTTACAGAACAGATTTCGAAAGCAAAGGCCACTAACTTCAGTATTCAGTTACCTGTAATTTGACTTTTCGATGCAACATACAGCGGTCAACATAATTTTTGGGAGGGTATTTCGGCAGAATTGTTGTAGTTCGATACCGGGTAGTCCGTCCCATGGCTCACAGACAACTCACTAGGTTACCTACTCACAACTTGAGTTGCCCACTCTCCAAGTATGCTCAATGTCCTTTTCAAGATGTTTTTGATATACGCAAAAGCCACGTGACCGATGACAATCAAAGGACCGGTGGCAAAAAAGGTAAACCAGTTGAACATGGATTACACATTTACACCATTCACTCCATTTGAACACAAACAGAGACAGAGGTTTTGACAAGTAAATCTCGCCAATTTCATATTTTCAGAAAATGTCTGCGACCGGCGAAATTGACGAGAGTCTTTACTCGCGTCAGCTATATGTCCTGGGCAAAGAAGCGATGTTGAAAATGCAACATTCGAATGTTTTAATTATCGGTCTAAAGGGTCTTGGTGTTGAAATTGCGAAAAACGTCGCATTGGCTGGTGTAAAGTCCTTGACGCTGTATGACCCAGAGCCTGCTACTATTCAAGATCTGTCGACGCAGTTTTTCCTGACGGAAAAGGACGTCGGCCAACCCAGAGATTTGGTGTCGCAGGCCAAATTGGCAGAACTCAATTCTTACGTGCCCATCAAAGTCTTGAAATCGTTCCAGGACGAGTCGCAGCTCTCGCAGTTTGAGGCCGTCGTGGTGACGGATACCGTTTCGCTTGCCCAGAAAGTAAAATTGAACAGCTTTTGCCATGAAAACGGCGTTAAGTTCATCTCGACTGAGACAAGAGGGCTGTTCGGGTCTGCTTTTGTGGATCTGGGTGAAGAGTTCATGGTGATCGATCCAACCGGTGAGGAACCAAAATCCGGCATTGTGTCCGACATTGAGCCCGACGGAACCGTCACGATGCTCGACGACAACAGACACAACTTGGAAGACGGTGACTATGTCAAGTTTTCGGAAGTGCAAGGTCTTGAAGGTCTCAACAACGGCACCCCATATAAAGTAGAAGTGTTGGGTCCGTTTGCGTTCAGGATCGGATCGGTTGAGAAACTGGGCGTCTACAGAAAGGGTGGTCTTTTCACACAGGTCAAAATGCCCTTGAAAATGAAGTTCAAATCGCTACAGGACTCTCTGAGCCAACCAGAATTTCTATTCTCGGACTTTGCCAAGTTCGACAGAGCCGGACAATTGCATTTGGGGTTCCAAGCGTTGAGTGTGTTCCAAAGCAGGCATCAAGGGCAGCTTCCAAGAGTCCAGAACGAAGAAGACGCTAATGAAATTGTTCAATTAACTACTGGACTAGCTGCTCAGGAGCCAGACGTTCTTAGCGGCGCAGAAATCAACACTGATTTGATAAAACAACTTTCTTACCAAGCAAGAGGTGACATTCCAGGTGTGGTAGCCTTCTTTGGTGGATTCGTGGCGCAAGAAACTCTCAAAGCGGTTTCTGGTAAATTCACTCCGCTCAAACAATACATGTATTTCGATTCATTGGAGTCTCTTCCGGATCCTAAAGAGTTCCCTAGAACGGAGGAGACTGCTAAACCTTTGAATTCTCGTTATGATAATCAAATTGCGGTTTTTGGTCTCGATTTCCAGAGAGCAATTGCCAACTTGAAAGTGTTTTTGGTAGGTGCTGGTGCCATTGGTTGCGAAATGCTCAAGAATTGGGCCTTGCTAGGGTTAGGTTCGGGGCCCGACGGTAAAATATGTATTACGGACAACGACTCGATCGAAAAATCCAATCTAAATCGTCAATTTCTCTTCCGTCCCAAGGACGTTGGAAGAGATAAGGCTGAGATTGCAGCAATTGCTGTCAGCGACATGAACGCCGACCTAAAGGGCAAGATACATTACATGACCGAAAAAGTTGGTCCCGAATCTGAAACCGTTTTCAACGATGCCTTCTGGACCTCTTTAGACTTTGTTACAAATGCTTTGGATAACATCGATGCCCGTACTTACGTTGATCGCCGCTGCGTTTTTTACAAAAAGCCTTTGTTGGAATCTGGCACATTAGGAACAAAGGGGAACACGCAAGTTGTGATTCCGTACTTAACTGAGTCTTATTCATCTTCGAGAGATCCACCAGAAAAATCCATCCCCTTGTGTACTTTGCGTTCTTTCCCTAACAAAATTGACCACACCATCGCTTGGGCAAAATCTTTGTTCCAAGGATACTTTACCGAAGCCGCTGAAAACGTTAACTTCTACCTGACTCAAAAGAATTTTGTCGAGCAAACGCTCAAGCAGGCGGGAGATGTTAAAGGTATTTTAGAAACAATTTCAGATGCTTTGAGCAACAGACCTTTGGAGTTCGAAGATTGCATCAAATGGGCTCGTTTGGAGTTCGAGAGAAAGTTCAGCAACGATATTAAACAACTTTTGTACAATTTCCCAGCTGATTCAAAGACATCAACTGGTGCGCCATTTTGGTCCGGACCTAAACGTGCTCCCAAACCCCTTGAATTTGACATCAATAACCCCGATCATTTCCATTTCGTTGTTGCCGGAGCCAACTTGCGTGCCTTCAACTACGGCTTGAAGGGTGATGGCGTCAATGAGCCTAATAAAGCCTTTTATTCCAAAATTCTAGAAAGCTTCACTGTACCTCCGTTCTCGCCACGGTCTGATGTTAAAATTCAGGCTAACGATGATGAGCCGGATCCTAATGCCGCAGGCGCTGAAAGTGGAGACGCTCTTGAAGTTTTGGCTTCATCCCTTCCTGATCCCTCCACCTTGGCAGGATTCAAGTTGCTTCCAGTCGAATTTGAAAAGGATGACGACACGAATCATCACATCGAGTTCATCGCAGCAGCATCAAACAATAGGGCTTTGAACTACTCAATTGAACCGGCAGATCGCCAGAAAACCAAATTTATTGCAGGTCGCATAATACCAGCCATCGCAACCACGACAGGCCTAGTGACGGGACTGGTAAACCTTGAGCTTTACAAGGTGGCTAGCGGAAGCAAAGACATCGAAAAATATAAAAATGGCTTCGTGAATCTGGCTTTGCCATTCTTGGGTTTTTCCGAACCGATCGCATCCCCAGAGGGTAAATATAACGATAAAAGTTACGATAAAATTTGGGACAGGTTTGATATAAGCGGGAATATCACTTTGCAGGACCTCATTCAACGCTTTGAATTAGAGGAAGGTTTGGAAATTACAATGTTGTCTTACGGTGTCTCCCTCCTATATGCGTCCTTTTTCCCCCCCAAAAAACTCAAGGAAAGAATGGGTCTTCCTATAACGGACGTTGTCAAACTCGTTACCAAAAACGAAGTTCCAAGCCATGTTAAAACGATGATATTGGAAATTTGTGCCGACGATAAAAATGGGGAGGATGTCGAAGTGCCATATATTACTGTCCATTTGTAGGCGATTATATTTCATGGTGTAATATAGGTTCAGTTTATGTTGCGGTGGTCCTAGAGATGCGACTATTGTTTAATTATGTTGTTATTATTTGGTTTGACACGACCTATTGTCGTTAACTACTCTCCCACTTTTCAAAGTTACTGCCCGAGAACAGGCGTTTAACATTTGTTCGCTATGTGTGATCACTAATATTGTCGTGCCTGGTATCCCACTTCGAATGAAATTGGAAAGGGAATGAGCGTGTGCTGCATCTAGAGCTGAAGAGCATTCATCCAAGATCAGGAGTTTGGGCTTTCTCAGAAGAGCGCGCGCAATGGCAATTCGTTGAAGCTGTCCTCCAGAAAGAACGCAATTGTCTATTGGAGTGCTTAACCCGTGAGGAAGTGCCATAACGAAATCAACCATGTCCACAACTGCGAGCGCGTCTAGTATTTCTGCTTCTGCCAAAAAATTTTTGTTTCCATACTTCAAACAATCAATAACGGACCCAGATATCAAATTGCATTTTTGTTCAACAACAGCGACTTGATCCCGTAGTGCTTCAATGTTCCATTCGTTGACGTCACTTCCATCGATAAATAACATTCCATTTTCAACCTGATATATTGCCGTTATAATTTGCCACAATGTGGATTTCCCGCAGCCGGGCTGACCTACTAAACCCACCACTTCCCCTTGCATGATGTCCAGGTACAAATTCCTCAAGACGGCCGTATGCGGGATCGCTGCATATGAGAAGGTCAGCCCATTAAATCTGATCAAGGGTAACTGAGTTGAAGTGTGGAAGGATTGTGTACGTTTCCCGGTTTGCACCATTTCACTTTCATCGATCTCTTCTAGGAGTTGAAACACTTTGAAGGCAGCGCGTTTGCCTCGGTTAATTTCAGGCATTCCAGATATCAAACTCATGCTCGTCATAATAGTAAAGAGAAGCAGTGTCAGAGTAGTGAACATTGTCCCGACAGAGTATTCATTGGTAAGGACTAGCTTAAGACCATAATAGAGTAAGATTGATTGGGTTATCGCAACCAAGGCATTAGAGGAAGATACGCCAAAGCCTACCGCCAAAGCCCTCTTCTTTCCGCAAGTTGACACCAACAGTTCCAATGATAAATATTTCTCTTTGAAATGATTCTGTAACGAAAAGCATCTGACGGTCTTCACTGTTTGGGTTATCTCGTACAGCAAGCATTCGAGTTTTGCAATTGCATTTTTATATTCTGTTTCACGCGCCTGCATTAAAGACCCATATATCCCAGTGAAACACAGAAACAAAGGAGCCAAGCTAATACATACTAGGCTCAACTTCCAGCCAGAAACAAGAGCCCAAGTAAGTCCGCATGACGACACGACAATCAATGTCATCAAGGCTGAAATGAAGTCAGAAACGAGACATCTCAGATCCCTTAGATCGTTTAAAATTAAAGCAGAAACAGCAGCAGTGTCATTAGTATGTGAACCGAACCAGGCAAAGCCGTGCCTCGAAATTTTCTCAAACGATTCTAACCTTAAAGTTGTTATCCAACCTTCACTGCAATACGCCAAGATAAACCCTTTTAAAAAAGTGAACAAAAAGTCCCCGAAAGCAACGGCCAAGACAACTCCAGACCATTCTGCCAAGTAGCTCGCTTTCCTGTCATCTTCATTGGCGGTCGATACAGCACCCAAAAGTTTGGAGAAGGTGTAAGAGAAAAGAGGATTAGTCGCGCCGGCAACCACTGAGCAAACTAAACCGGCGGCCAACCATTTTTTTTGGGTAACAGTCTCGATCATTTTTTGCATGATATGTTTGAACGATGTTGTTTCCGCTTTCTTGTTTTCTGTTGTGTTCTTTTCCGCGTCAGCGTTCAGCTCCGGAGGATCGAGGAGGACCAAAGCTTTCAAAACGGTGCGTTGTTGAGGGGCAAGAACACGTTCTTCGAGCAAATCGATCGATTTTTTACCCTCATATAGAGGGTTTACATCTTCGAGGCCAAACACACCCACAGTCCTCTCAGACTTTGGTGTCCCGGCCTCAGAGCCTAAAACCTTTTCTTCGACTATAAAGCCGTCCACCTTATCATTGTAGCCTGGTCGTTCACCCTCACTTAAAGTTTTCACGTCATTATCAAATTGGGTATCATCTTGAAGCAATTGTAAATTTGACAACTGAGAAAAGGGATTCGCCAGCAAATCCTCCTTAACTCCCGCCTCAGCGACTTTTCCGCTATCAAAAACGTACAAATAGTCATGACTTTGAATGTCAGAAAGATCGTGAGTAATTATGATTGTTGTCTTGTTTTTTCTCCAATGCCGAATCGCCTCCATAAGTAGGGTGTGGTGAACCCTATCTTGTGCGCTTAACGCTTCATCGAGAATCAAAATTGCACTGTCTTTTATGCGAGCCCGAGCCAATGCCACTCGCTGTTTCTCACCACCGCTTAAATCTAAGCCCGATTCTCCGACTAAAGTCTGCAGGCCCAGGCAAAGATCATCTAGTATTCGAGAAAGAAGCGCCATCTGGCATGCCTCCCGCATAAGCTCACATTTGGAGCTTATTTCCTTATTTCCCATTAAAATGTTGGCCTCTATTGTATCTTGTAGAAGCGTGCAATTTTGCTCAAGTAGTGTTACGTTAGCTAAGAGAGCTTTTTCGCTTAAGGCCGCGATGTTCACCCCATTTACTAAAATAGTTCCAGAATTAGGAGCGTAGAATCTTAGAAGAAGGTTGCCAATACTCGATTTTCCTGAACCTGATTTGCCTACGACAAAAGTTGTTTGATTCGAGGGGAACTTCAAGCTCACATTCTCAAGGACCATGTCATTAGGTCTCGTTGGATAAGAAAAACTCACATTTTCAAAAATAATACCAGGTTGAGGGTAAGAATTGTTCACTTTCTGCACTAATGTCAATTTGGGCTCTTCGGGTGTGGTAAAAAAATCCATAATCCTTTGCATTGCAACAAAACCTTTCTGTAGAACAATAGTTTGATGCGAAATGTTGTTGGCAGTGCTTACAAGAAGGACACAGGCCGAGAAACACGTCATAACGTCACGTACGGTCAGTTTGTTCCTTCTGACCATCGTATTGCCAAACCAAAAGCCTTGGACGAACATGCACAGCGTCAAAAATCTCAAAAATGAATAGTTTAGACTAGAAAAAAGAGACATGTTGACGAAATGACGCTGACTCGCTAGGATTCTCGACCGAAACTTGGCGAGTTCCTCTTCCTGCGTACCCAGAAGCCTCACCATTTTGGCGGCATTCATCGAAAAGGCCAAAGCTTCAGAAGCGCGAGACGTCTCGTTATTCTCTGCCTTAGCACACTTATTAACCAGCTTCAAAAGCAGAAACGTTATTAGAGCCAAAATGGGCGTGCTGGCCAAAGTGACCAACGTTAAGGACCATGAATAGTACAGAGAAATTCCAAACAATGCAAACACGGTAACCACATTTTGGAAAACCATAGCCGAGCCCTCAGAAGCAGCGGCCCGTACTTCTTCAACACATCTATTCAATTGCGTGAAATCTCCGCTCAATTGGTCTTGACCGTCGTACCATGCCATCGACTTCTGAAAATACTCATCTCTGATTCTCGTGCGAATCCGTGCCACCTGTCTCTCTCCTAGCGACATCCAAAGAAACACCGTCAACCAAGTCACTGGAACACTCGCGACTCCAGTAATCAAAATGGCCATCGTCTTCAACGTTAGCTGCCGCATGAGCACATGGACCTGTTCATGCGACATGGCATAGCTCTGAAGAAGCCCGAAAGTCGACCCAGTCAATACGGAAGTTATCGCTGGCACGGCTCCACATCCAACGGTACATACGATCATCGCAAGAATGAGACACCAGTCTTGACGTAAAACGACATGATTGAAAATGTGAACTTTGTCACTAAAGCCTGGGTCTTTCATTGTCAGCCGATCTCTAAACTCCTAGATGTTTCCCACTCTTCTATCGTCATTTCAAGCCTCCAGCTGCTTCCAAATCTCAAATATCTTCCCACTCTTATACATCCTTTCACATCATAATGAACCTCATTTGATACACTTCCAATACTCCTATTTGACCCGTCCCAAAAACCGATTCCCCACATTTGCGGACTTGATTCTTTCCCATACCTCAAACCAAGCCCAATGCTCCTAGGGATGGCGTCAGTTTCACAGTATTTACCCTTTTAGTGGTGATCAATGTCATAGATGGGTTCAAGTTTCTGGTCATGTGAAAAAAGTTACCTTCATTTTTTCACATGGACACTGCTAAAGGCTGACAATGAAAAACCGAGGGGACTATCATCGTTGTCCTCTGATGAAAAGTATCGCAACAAAGCAGGTCAGAGGGAATTAGCTCGATAACCAGCAGGAATTAAGATTTATAACTGAAATTTAGCGAAGCCATTTAGTGCAGAATATGAGTGTACTGGCGAAATTTACGGAGAAGTTCAACGCTGTTAACGATGTTTATCTGTCGCTTTTGGCAGATATTGACTCTAGCGAGACGAACTTGCGCATTGCGCTGTTTTTCATAGCATTCAACCCCACTTTTTGGAACATCGTTGCCAGACTAGAATACAAGACTCATTTCATCACTAAGATTGCAGGTTCTGCTAAACGCGGGTGCTACCTGCTGGCGTTCACCATTTTTTCTTTAGGACTCGTGAGAGATTTTTATTTCCACCGCGCATTGGATTTCCAGCCGACTTCTACTCTGCTGGACTCTGACGCCGTGAGAGCGGCCGGGATCGCCTGTCTCGCCACGGGCCAAGTGCTCGTCGTCACGTCCATGTACCAATTGGGCGTCACCGGCACGTATCTGGGCGACTATTTCGGAATTCTCATGGACAACATTGTTACTGCGTTCCCCTTCAACGTTTCAGCCAACCCAATGTACCAGGGCTCCACTTTGTCATTCCTCGGTACCTCGCTGCTGTACGGAAAGGCAGCAGGGCTTTTCGCCACGGTTATGGTCAATTTAATGTACACGCTTGCGCTTAAATTCGAAGAGCCCTTCACAGCGGCAATTTATGCCAAGCGCGATGCTGAAAAGGCTAAAAAGTCATCTTAAGGGGCTCTTTGCCTACTAGGTGAATTGTGCAGTTTTATTTCCTCGTATTTTTTCAAAAGTCGTTGAAATATTATGGAGCGAAGCGCCCAAGTGGCTTTTTGACTCTTTGGTGCTTCTCTGTCGTGAGAAATGGCGAAAATGAGCCTGTTCATCGTTGAGTTCATAGTGTTTGTACTATATAATGGGTTGAAGCCAGATCGGCATTCAATCCACGTGATCAACAGAGAACTCAAATTTTGAAAGCTTTTAGATAAAGCGATGAGATCCGATTGATATCTTCACCTCCAAGTGAATTCGCCGCTGAGCCATTCTAAGTTTGCGATGCCTAGAGATCCCTTAATTGGAATTGTCGGAAAACCTTCTTCCGGTAAATCCACGACCTTAAACTCCCTCACGGACGCTGCGGCCCAGGTTGGTTCTTTCCCGTTCACGACAATCGAGCCGAATAGGGCTACTGGATATCTGCAAGTGAAGTGTGCATGTGCCAGATTTGACAAACAGAAGCTTTGCAAGCCTAATTACGGGTGGTGTAGTAATGGCAAGAGACACATACCAATTATGCTTCTCGATGTGGCCGGGTTGGTGCCTGGTGCGCATTCTGGCCGTGGACTGGGTAACAAGTTCTTAGACGATCTCAGACACGCAGATGCGCTTATTCACGTTGTGGATGTGAGCGGGACTACCGACTCGGAGGGGAAGAACACAAGAGGTTACGATCCTCTTTACGACATCGAATGGCTTCAAGACGAAATTCGGCTCTGGATAGAGGGGAACCTGTTGAAAAGGTGGGGGTCTATCGTGCGTAGACACACCGCGACCAAGTCCTCCGTAGTCGACACTTTGCAGGCGCAGTTTGGTGGTTACGGTTCGCACGCTCCGATGATCCAGCGTGCGCTGCAACGTATCAAGGGACTTCCACCGCTCGAAGAGTGGGACCAGGATTGGATCACACAAGTGGTCAAATCGTTCATGATGGAGAAATTCCCCACGGTGCTCGCGCTCAATAAAATTGACCACCCCGACGCGGACAAAAACGTCACGAAAATCATGCTCAAGCATCCGAACACGAAGGCCGTGCTCACCAGCGCCGTGACGGAAGTTTTCTTGAGAAAGTTGAAAAAACAGCGGTTCGTTCACTACGAAGAGGGCACCGAGTTCGTCGATACCAACGAGGATGATCCGGACAACCTCAAGCCGCTTGACGACAAACTGCTGCAACGCATAGACAGTATCCGGGACCTCGTTCTGTACAGATTCGGCTCCACAGGCGTCGTGCAGGTGCTCCAGGCGGCCGCCGACGTACTGGACCTCATCCCCGTATACATGGTGAGAAATGTGCACACTTTCACGGGCGGAAGCGGCGAAAACGTCTTCCGTGACTGTTTCCTCGTCAAAAAAGGAACGCCCGTTTCCAAGGTCGCCCGCTACATCATGGGCGAAGTCACCATTGCAGCCATCGAGACTGTGAACGGCGTACGAGTCGGAGATGACAGCGTAGTGGAGCCGGGGAAAAACGACATTCTGACTTTTAAGCTTGCACCTAAAAGCGTGAACTAAGCTACACACCAAAGCCTACTACGTATCACCTGCATATACACTGCTAATAGACAAAATTGGCTTCATTCCGTCAAACAGATCTGTGCGTTATCTGATCTGTTACGCTTATCAGTTTGGATTGCAATCTAATCTCCATCTACTGCCTTATTTTCACTCAGTTCATATCTGGATGCTCTCTGAATTAGCCGTTCAAAAATAATTTTGTTTCTTCTTGACTTCGAAATTCGCGAATCTTTGTGCATATGTGCCTGCATAAAACCGTTATTCAGGCACGGAGGATAACGCAGGGTTGCAACTGCGGCCATTAAGCCCCGATCAGGGTCTGGCCGTCGGTGATATCTTAATCGAAGGCAGCAGCAGGGTCCATGAACGGCACCAAAAGTACTCGATGTTGCATAATCGGCGCCAGAGGTGCGGCTCCAAAAATGCCTTATTGTTGCGTGCGGCATAGAAAATCCGTGTTTCTCTGTGGTGGTCTTTAGGCCAGCACTGCCCTTGAGAGGAAAACAGTAGCGGAAAATGATTAGTTTCTTCTCTTATCTCATCAAGGGTCCCAGCCTCAAGCGGGGAGAACCCGCGAAAGGTGTGACCAACGGCCATTGAACCAGTATAGTGGGAGTGCATTTATAAAAACGGTGGTAGATGGATAAGGACGGTATGTTGTGGTGTTTCTGGTTTCTCGTTTTTTAGAGGGTATAGCAACAGCAATGACTACTTCTATCACCAGCCCAGAGAGTGCATACGCACAAGACCCTGAAAAGCTTGTAAAAACCAGCGGTATCTCGTACTCGGACGACCAGCCGGCCAGTTTCGAAGGTGTTAGTATAGCGGCGCCAGAAGACGGCAAACACGATGGAATTCGACTAAAGAAGGCGCTCGACGCCCGTCACGTGTCCATGATTGCCATTGGAGGTTCGCTCGGGACAGGTCTCCTGATTGGAACCGGCAGTTCGCTTGCGAATGCAGGTCCCGTCTCCATCTTGATTTCCTACTCCTTCATTGGTCTTATTGTCTACGTCGTGATGAGCTGTCTGGGAGAAATGGCGGCCTTCATTCCTCTCGACGGCTTCACGAGTTATGCGTCCCGGTACTGCGACCCAGCCCTTGGGTTCGCAGTGGGTTACTCCTACTTGTTCAAATACTTTATCGTTACACCCAACCAGCTCACGGCAGGGGCTTTGGTGATGCAGTACTGGGTAAGTCGTGACAAAGTCAATCCAGGTGTCTGGATCACCATTTTCCTCGTTTCCATCGTCATCATCAATACCGTGGGTGTTCGCTTCTTCGGTGAATTCGAGTTCTGGCTCTCGAGTGTCAAGGTTCTCGTGATGCTGGGCTTAATAATTTTGCTGTTTGTCATTATGCTTGGAGGTGCCCCCAACCACGACCGCACAGGCTTTAGGTACTGGAAGAATCCAGGCGCCTTTAAACCATACTCAAAGGCGATCGACGGATCCAAGGGCAAGTTTGTGTCCTTTGCCTCCGTTTTCGCATTGGCATTGTTTGCATACACTGGTACAGAGCTTTGCGGTATCGTTGCCGCAGAGGCCAGAAACCCAAGAAGAAGTGTCCCCCGGGCTATCAAACTTACTTTGTACCGTATCGTCGTCTTTTATGTCATCACCATCTTTTTGCTAGGTATGACTGTTGCTTATAACGACCCACTACTATTGAAGGCCAAGAAAATGTCTACATCAGCCGCAGCCTCCCCCTTCGTCGTCGCAATTGTCAATGCTCAAATTCCAGTCCTGCCTCACATTTTCAATGCATGTGTCCTCGTCTTTGTATTCAGTGCTTGCAACTCGGATCTTTACGTTGCATGCCGGACGCTATACGGGTTGGCTATTGACGGAAAAGCCCCCAGAATTTTTGCGACAACCAACAAATGGGGTGTTCCTTACTACGCTTTGATCGTTTCGGTGCTATTCTGTCTTCTCGCATACATGAACGTTTCTTCTGGATCCGCTCAAGTTTTCAACTATTTTGTTAATGTTGTCTCCATTTTTGGTCTGTTGAGTTGGATCTCAATTTTGATTACTTACATTTGCTTCGACAAGGCGGTGAGAACTCAATTTGGTGACAAATCTGCACTTTCTTACACTGCCAGTATGCAACCATGGAGCGCATATGTAGCCCTGTTCTTCTGTTGCTTGGTTGGTCTGATTAAAAACTACACAGTATTCCTAGGCCACAAATTCGACTACAAAACATTCATTTCGGGCTACATTGGCATTCCAGTTTATGTGATATGTTATTTTGGCTACAAGATCGTCAAGAAAACTAAGCTCATCGCACCTGAGAATGTCGACCTCTATACCTTCAAGGAAATCTTTGATCAAGAAGAAGAGGAGGGTAAGTTACTTGAGGAAAAGAAGAGAGAGCAAATGCAAAATTCGGGGATAAATCTTGGTTACATCTACGAGAAATTTTTTGGTTGGATTTTTTAAGTTGACGAAACAACTTCATAGCATATATATAATAACATTAAAGCCCTTATGAATAATACCCATGATCTACTCTTATACTTATTCAACACTCAATTAGACTTGCCTCTCGCGGTCCTCCGGCAGAGATGGCGAAAAGGGCTTACTATCACTTGCGCCAAATTGTTTCCCACCTTCAACGATCAAAAGTTACTTCAGACTCAGTATTTCGTAATATCGTTTCAATCTATATCAAGAACAATTATAAAACGTTATAATGTTATAGAGTTTACTCGGCCTTAGCATTGGTAGCAGCAGTCAATTGAGCTTGCTTAACCAAAGAGGTTGGAGCGTCCATAACTGGCAACATAACCTCAATAACTCTGATCTTGCTGTTCTTGTTGAAAGCAGCATCTTGAGTCAGCTTGTCCCACTCACCAGTGGTGGCGACTCTAACGGCTTCGTAGTCCTTGGCACCGAAAGTTGGCAACAATTCCAAGTGCTTCCAAGATTGAATCTCGTTGTATTGAGCAGTCTCACCGTGAATCAATCTCTCAATGGTGTAACCGTCGTTGTTCAAGATGAACAAGTATGGCTTTAGACCCCATCTGATCATAGTGGAGATTTCTTGAACGGTCAATTGCAAAGAACCGTCACCGATGAACAAGATAACTCTCTTGTTCTTGTCCAATTCCTCAGCAGCGAAAGCAGCACCCAAAGTAGCACCAGTGGTGAAACCAATGGAACCCCACAAGACTTGAGAGATACCGTAGGTGTTGTTTGGGAAGTGAGTCTGGTTGATACCGAAAGCAGAAGTACCGGTCTCAGTGATGACAACGTCACCTTCTTGCAAGAACTTGCCAACTTGGTTCCATAGCCATTCTTGCTTCAATGGAGTAGAAGCGTCGGTAGCAGCGTTGGCCTTTGGAGCAGCTGGGACTGGGACAGGCTTGTAACCCTTGGCAGCATCAGCGACCTTAGACAACAAAGTTTGCAAAGCGAACTTCATTTGAACACCTGGGAAAGTGGCGTTTCTGATCTTGATGTAGTCGGAGTGGAACTCAACAACGTTCTTGGTCTTGTAAGAGTAAGAGAAAGAACCGGTGTTGAAGTCAGACAACAAAGCACCGACAGACAAGATCAAGTCAGCAGACTCAACAGCCTCCTTGACCTCTGGGCTGGACAAAGTACCAACGTAGACACCACCGAATCTTGGGTGTTTCTCGTCAATACCACCCTTACCCATTGGGGTAACGAAAGATGGGAATTGAGTCAAGTCAATCAACTTCTTAGTCTCAGCCTTGACGTTGTGTCTGGAAGCACAAGCATCGGCCAGGATAACTGGGTTCTTGGCGTCCTTGATCAATTCCAAAACGGTGTCAACAACTTCCTTCTCGGCCTCAGCATCGTTAGGCTTCAAAGACAAATCGATTGGCTTGTCCAAAAGGGAAGCTGGGACCATCTTGTCGACCAAGTTGGCTGGTAGACCCAAGTACACTGGTCTCTGCTTGATGTAAGTGGTTCTGATGCAACGGTCAATCTCGGCTGGAGCAGAGGTAACGTCAGTGACCATAGCGGTGGTCTCAGAGATGTTGGCAGACATTCTGTGGAAAACAGTGAAGTCACCGTTACCCAAGGTGTGGTGCAACAACAATTGCTTAGCTTGGGAAGAGATGGATGGAACACCAACGATGTGCAAGACACCAACGTGTTCGGCGTAAGAACCGGCAATACCGTTCAAAGCGGACAATTCACCGACACCGAAAGTGGTGATCAAAGCAGACATACCCTTGATTCTGGCGTAACCGTCAGCAGCGTAAGCAGCGTTCAATTCGTTGGCATTACCAGCCCATCTCATACCTGGGACTTCGTAGATTTCGTCCAATAGACGCAAGTTAAAGTCACCTGGCAAACCGAAGATGGTGTTAACATCGACTTGCTTTAGTCTTTCGAACAAGTAACGACCTAGAGTAATTTCAGACATTTTTAGTTGTGGGATTGTATTTGGAAATGAAATCCTTGGTTATAAGAAAGACTTAAAAGAGAATAAATCATCGAGAGGTCTATTAGATTAACGTCTTCTTCCCTCTCAATTTATACCAATCGCGCGGATGGGCAGGCAGCCCGTGAGGTTCCGGCTTCCTGTAGATGCGATGCCGGAAGCTGGCCTGATTTTTTCTTTCCGATTCTTGAGAGTATTCACGTATTCATTTTTCCAAAACCCGGAGAAACGTAGCTACGCTGGTTTTTCTGGTTTCTCCGAAAACGCATATTCTCGTATGCGCATATGCAATTTTAAGACTCAATGCTGGGTATGCGAATATGAAGTTTAGTGACTATGCGTTTATGAGAACCTGAAAAATGTAGGAAAGACCGCACGATAATGCAAATGGCGATGAGCACCGATCATGGATATGCAGGTATAACGTGAACAACCAGGAGAGATGAATGATGGTGGGACATGAAAGGCGCAACGAGACGTTCAATGCGGTAAAGGATTGGCTTGAAGGCCGGGCGGAATCTTTCACGACTGGCGATCCCACCATATTCGCCGAGTACGTGGTACAGTTGTTGGGAACCGTGCCATTTGTTGATGATGATCGGGAGCAGAAAGAGCTGCTAAGAATTAGGGTAGTCGACGAGCTCAAAGGAATTGTAGAACGGACCCTCCGAGAGGGCCCATTCCTCGAGCAACTGTGGCAAAAAGTGCGGGAAACATCATCACTACAACCAATAACAGTCGAAGATTCAAGCACGATTTTGGTCACGAATGTGCCAAGACCCAGACTTAACATCCGCGACGTAAGAGAGGCTTTTGAGCCTTACGGCCGGCTTGCGCTGTGTCGCGCGGATCTGGAGCGTCGTCAGCTTCTAATTGGCTTCAAACACAGCTCGTGTGCAATCAGATGCGTCAGCGCGAAAGGCCCCTTCTTTGGCAATCGTTTCATCAAAGTTGAGTTGTGTCGCGAACAGGATGCGTGCTTCGAGGGTGTAGATCTTATGGAGAACGAAAATCGTGGCCAGGATGGGATGGTGCTTACGAATCACGCCAGTGTTGGACAATCCACTGCGCAACAAGAGAGAACTACTGCTCAAAAACTGAACCAGCAAATGAAGAATAATCAGGAAGGTCAGCTGCGCTCGAAGGAGAAGCTTTTGCAGGGCCATAGGTCGATGCTGCAGTTGCTGGCAGAGAGGATTGGGGAATCTGGCGACAATGAGGACGAGCTGCAACAGCATGCTCTGGAATTCGAGCGAATCCGACAAAGCATGGTCTCGCTGAACATCTTGCCCGCAGAGATGGTCAAGAAACGCATCGAGCGTTTTCTCACAGAAAACCCGGAAAGGGCCCGACTTTTCATGACAACGAAGAGATCGGATAAAGGACGTGCCAAGAAACGACCCATGGTGGCACCTTTTCAAAAGAGTCTAAGGCGGAAAAAGCGGTGATCCAATCTTAATGCAAGGTTCTTCGTATCCATTAGGCTAGTTACTGTTACAAAACTTGTCCCGGAGACAATGCAGATGCGGTTAGGTGAATGGGGGAAATGGGACCTTATTCCGCACTCATGCCTCTCGTTTTGGCTCGCATACGTTCTATCCTAGCTTTCAGCAGGGATGTTACCTCTGCGGCTCTTTTCCAGCTTTCATCATTTACAAAATTGCTGCTGAGAGCATGTGATTTGCTACCTGAACTCAATTGCAGAGACGTCACTCGTCCAGGCAAGTCGTCACTAGATTCACTAGGCGACCTCGCTCGCCCTGAATTACGCGGTGAAAATCTGGTCAGACCTCGCTGTGAGGCTTCTGCCGCGGTATGTGCGATTTCGCTGGAAGACCGATCAGAGCTCGCTTGTGCTGAGTTGCTCACTTGGCGAGGAGGTGGCGTTCCGGGATATACCATCGAAAAATGAGACGAGGGTGCGCCTTGGGAGGAAATGGAGCGAACACCGAAATTGGAAGAAGAGAGTCCACTCTTTATCTCGAGCTCATTTTCCAAAACCGAGATACGTGTATGTAGTTTTGAAATTTTTGTATCTTTGGCGCGGGACTCGAGGTGTACTTCTTCTTTGCTTGCCTGCAGCTGTCTCATTTGTTGAAGCAATTGCGTGTTTTCGGTCTTCAATTGCGCTATATGCGCTTGGAAATCGGTGATTTTGCCAAAGAGCTCTTGGCGTTCGCGCATCCATTTCTGTTTTTGTAGTTTCAAATCTTCATTCTCGGCCGCTATGGAACTTGTCCTGGATGCCATGGTCGAATCGGTCGTCAATGACCTCGTGGTGAGACGCGATTTGGCAGCATTGGCATCTGTGAGTATATTTGAATTCAGCGATGCGTCAAGTTTGAGAGGCGAAGAGGGTCCCCGCTTGGATGGCAATACAGACAAAGGTTTGCGCGATGCTGGAACGCCACTTTGACGAGGTGCCAGTTTTGCGGTCGTGGGAGGAGAATTTACGCGAGCGGGAGGTTTTGTCGAAACCGTTTCAACGGTCGGCGCGACCCGCGTGCCGACATTCTTTACTTCCACTTTGGCAAGATAATCGTTGACTTTCTTCTTTTTAAGATTATCCAGTTTATCGAAAACGTCACTCATTTCACGTTCGCCAAAAAGTTTGACCAAAACCGCCAACGCACCAAACCCCGCATCACGCACCGTTTGTTGGGTGTCATTCACAATTTTCAAGATCACCGGGGAGAGCTCGGGAAGTAATTTGACCAGGAGTTCATCACGGGTGTTTGCGCTACTAGGTTGCCATTGCGTCAAAAGCCGTGTCAGAAATTTGGTGGATTCGATGCGTACCTGCGGTGTTTTATGTTTCATGGATGTGATAGTATCTTCTAAGCACACGTCAATACCGCAGCACAGTGCCACGGTATCGAGAGCGGTGTTTAGAGCCTCACTGACGGACTGTTTCTTCTCTTTAGTTCTATCGAGTAAAGGCACGAAAACGACACTTGCGTAATTTCGATTAAAGTTGGATTTTAGCTTGGAGCCAATTTCGTGCACTGCCGTCGCGGCTATAGTAACTGCTTGCACGTTGGCGTCTTTTTGGATAACGTGCGCCAAGAGCCTCAGAAGCTCGTTATAGTCCTGGTTCTTGTATTCCAGTTTCTTGGCAGGTACCAGTATAGTTGTGAGTAATTCTTCGAGGACTTCAACGCGATCTTTCCATTTTGTCGAGGTTACGCGCTCCGAGAAATTGTCAGGCAATTTGTCGAGCACGCAAGTCGCCGCGAGCAGGTCGAAAGGATCGATTTGAGGCTGCTGTTGGTATGCAGAATCGGACGCATTGGTCGCAAGCAGAGCATCGTTTCCCATCAGGGTGTCACCGTCTTGGTCCTTTTGGGCCAAGTCTCGTTGCTGTTGCAACTGCCATTGGAACAGGCGCGGCTGCTCTTGCGGCGGAATCGAACCCGTGTAGCCGTTAAAAGTTTTGTCGAGATCGCGCTGCTGGATTGGTTTGAGTTTGTCGAGTAGAACCTCCTGGAGAAGATTTTTGCCGAGCCACTTGTAAAGTTGCGAAATGAGGTTCATGGTCTGGGACCGGACGTTGCGGTCCGCGTGACTCGAGAGCTTGGGGATCGGTTCCAGAAGGTGCGTGAGAAAGTCTTGCAGTTGGCCGATGTTGACGAGCCCGAAACACTCGACGATCTTGGCGATGCACTCGACGCAGCTGGCGACGAGCCTGGGCAGCTTGTTAGAGAGCAAAGGCTCTACGAGCTCGACGGCGTGCTGGGCGGAGACGTCGAAGGCCACCAGCGTCAGGATACATTCCTGGGCCTTGGCCTTGGTGCTGGCGCGCGAGGATCCTAGTCCCTTCTCCGCGAGCAGTGGGATCCACGCGTCGCGCGCTTTGTCGGTCTTAGGCAGCGCGGGCAGCTTCTGGAGATAGTCCAGAAGCGCCAGAAGCGCGCTGAGCGCCTGTTCCTGCGCTACAACGTTGGAATCGACGATATAAGTGGCGAATTTCTCCGGATTGCGCCAATATTCCGCGAGCGCGTCTGGGACGCGTAGCGTAGACGCGCTTTCAAACTGGGAAGCGAGATCCTTGTAGGCGCTGAGACGCGCCTTCCAGACTTTGTGGCTTGCGCGCGCTTCCAGAGGCAAAGAGCTGAAATCTTCGTCAGTTGGATCCGCCATTGGCGATGGCGCTGTGTGGTGGTGTCAGAGGGGATGGATGATTTGGTTTGTTTTGGTTTGTGGTGATAGATCAGAGCGGAATTCTACGTAGGAAGTGACGAAGATCTTTCATACCCGTTCTAAGTGATATAAGCGTTCCTCATCCGGGTAACCTCAATACAAAGAGATGGGTTTGTCGCTTCATACGGACCTTTCGAGATATGTCCGGGTAATACCAGATGCCAATCTGGCAAGTATGGACGATCCATCTATGATGCATTTTACCGACAATCAGAATTAAGTTTCAGTAACAGGTCGTCGAATATTAGTGGCTTTACCCACCGACGATGAATTTCATTAAATGATGTCTTTACGTGCGGGCTACCTTGTTTCCGTCAAAAATTAAGTTTCTATGCGCCTTCTGGTAGAATGGGTGATAATGTTTGGTTCAACATAGTTCTTCTTTCGCTTTTTAATGTTTACAATAGGAATTGTAGCTTTTAAGCTAAAAAAACGAAGGTGCGGAGAATACTTTCGTAATATGTGACGGATATTTACTTTATCGTAAGGGTTTACCCATTCGACTCGCATTTAGTACGATGAGTGACTACTTCAGGTTACTCATTACTCACCGTTAGTGACCCGCTGTGTAGAATTCGTTACTCGAGTTACCCAGTGGGTAGAAAACGATTCAAATGATTTCCAGTAAGTTACCCATTTTACCCATCATGACCGATCACAACGTACGAGGGATCTCTCATCGTAATCTTTGCCTTTCCAATTTAGAAGTTGACCTTTCCCTTTCGAGCATTAGGCATTTAAATAAAACATGCGTCAAAGAACTGAAGATTTGCTTGTTACGAGACAAGCACACTCATTCTCCGCTAGTATTCGAATGCGCGACGGGCAAGCGACTTCTTCATAAGCTTATTGCTGATTTTCTGTTCGTGTAGTGCCTGCCATTGCCTTTACGCGTTCTGTATCGATTTTGGTGTTTTTCACGAAACATAAAGTCTGCCCAAACAAATCCAGGATCCCTTTAGATCATTTGCACAACCAAGAACGAGCAACTAATATCTTGTGGAGTCGCGGCTTTTCATCTACCTGATAATCATCCAGCCTATGCCTATAGATGTTACCGGCTGCGTTAGCCGCTCAGCTTCTCCTGAGGCAAGGGATTCGTTCGTTGATGGTGCAGCACATCATGCAGCTAAAGGAAAATCACCAGAATCACTCAAGTCTAGTGGCTGGATGTTGAAATCTTCTCTTCCGCCCTTCTTTGAGTTTCCGACCATCAACGGTAAAAAGTTTGCGCAGTGTCTACTGTGGAAAACGGTATCCTGAAGGTGAGTCGACGGGAAACTTGTCCAAACATCTCCAGCATGCGCATCCGGCAGCTTTCAAAGACAAGAATAATGATAAAGTTAAAAAATCGAGAACTTTAGACGCTTTTACGCGGCGATCAAACGCCTTGAGGGTGTCCAGTATAGTGAGGGACGAATACCAAAAAAGCCCTGAGAGTTTCCAGACGGTCTTGCTTGTCGTGGAGGGTTTCCTTCCATTCCGCTATGTGCAGTTGAATTCTTGGAACATCATCAATAACTCAAGACACTCGAAGTTTATCCAATCAAGAAGTACCCTCGTCAAGAAGCTTGAGTTATTATCGGGTTATCTGGATGAGTGCTTGACGCTTAATCTCAAAGACACCCATCTCGTGAACATTTTGCTAGATATCTGGACCGCGCCCAATGGCGAATCATTTTTGGGCGTTATGGTGTCATTTGTTCCGAACATTTTCAATGAAACTACGCTGAGGTTAGCCAAAGACCCCTCAATTTTTTTCGACAGGAACGGCAAAGCTCAAAATACGCACTTGCTTGACTTTGTGAGGCTTGGAACAAAGAGTTATACTGGGTAATACATCTATACTCTAGTATCATCCCTTCTAGAGAAGCATAAATTATGGGACAAAGTCGCTACCATAACAATGGATGATGCCAAAAACAATAGTGCTTTTTATTCTTTATTGGCACACGATAATCTGAACTTGTACAAACCAGTGGCTCACCGTCTGTTCAAGCGGGTGCGCTACATTAGGTGCGCTAGCCATGTTTTGAACCTGCAAGTTCAAATGTTGTTTCATCATCTTTATTCCGAAGCCATATTTGCAGATGCCTGCACCAATATCGTGAAGCTGGCTAAAACTATGAGATACTCCACCCGCATAGCAACTAGCCTGAAAAATTCGAAAATTCCTCTCATTCCGCTTGAATGTCCAACGAAATGGATACTAAAATGGCGTCAAATTGAGAGATTTTTGGCGAACCGTAACCTATATGAGGCATGGTGCCAGAAAATGAAAGAGTTGGGTGAAGAGAAGCTCTCGTCTAAGCTAGAAAGATACCTCACTTTTGATGCAAGGACGGCCCAATTATTGAAGTATTTTGTCGCGGCCTGCGAACAGTTCTACAATCTAACTCTAAAATTACAGGAAGATGATTATAATTGCCTGTCAAGTGCCGTTCCTTTCTATTACTTTCTAGATCATTACTACACTGCCGCTTCACAAGCGGTGGAAGGTGTTACATTTTCTGACTCATCTTCAGCTAGTGATTTCTCTCGCCTTAACGGCTCTTCACCGCTGCACCCTGAAGATAGAGAACTTGTTCTACAGGCCATGATGGTTGCATAAAAGTCACACTTGAACCACTTCGCCGAGGTCAAGAAAGACCCCATTTACTATCTGTCTGTCGTGCTCGATCCCAGGCATAAAACGGAGAAGCTTTATCGTTTAATGCCTACCCCAGAGGCTGATGGACGCCTTCAAGTGTGTGAAGCTTTCATCAGGAATTATTTCAAAGAATATGAATCCGTCGGCCGTTCTAAAGAAATTGACACGAGTATCGAGCCCGCTTGTCACACGGTCCAGAACATCTTTGATTTTGACCGACACCAACTGGGATCAGTTAACACGAACATTGGAGACGAACAGGTGGTTGACGGTAACGCCGTAGACACAGCAGAATGGATGAATTACTTGAAAGAGCCCATTTCAGCTGTCAACTCGAGAGAAGCGGCCGTGTCCTGGTGGTTCGACAGACGTCGGAGATTCCCGCGGCTTTTTAAGCTGGCAATGTCTTGTTTTTTCACCAAAATTTCCACTTGCGACGTCGAAAGGTGCTTTTCTTTGGCAGGAAGGGTTATGCGCAAGGATCGCACGCGGTTAACAGGGAAGAATGTGAGAACCTCGATGGTTTTAAGAGATAGGTTCCTGAAGTTTAACTTCTACCAGTGCGATCCAAGCTCATCAACTCCCAAAGAATTCGGAGAAGTGGAAAGCGAGTGCGAACTGTGTGATTCAGACTTGGACGAATCTGATCGTCATCTCGACAGCGAAGACAGCGAACCGCATTTAGGCTCCACCAGTAATGAGGTCACCTGCGTTTCGACAGCTTCAAAGGAAGACCTGAACAGTAACGCACCAAACAGAAGGACTTGGAGGAACTAAAAGTGCGCTTCGCAAAGAGAGAGCGCTTAAGCCCTTTTAGCATGTAGCCGGCCTCGCACGCCCATTGTAATTTTCAACGGAATACCCATCATAACTCATCCGTATGTAACGACATTACCCGCTGCGACTCATCGTCGCTGGATAAAGCCACTGCCGGGTATACCCAGTGATCATGCCTGGCCATTGGGGACTATTTCAGACAATCTGAAATCACTGCATTTCGTATGAACAGTAAACCCCCTGATCACGCCTAGTCAAATATCACAAATGAGGGTCGTGAAAAGCGACACCTATATGTCCGGATGCTCCCACTTACGTGCGGGCTTTGGGTGCCAACCCTGGCCTTTCTATGAGTTTACAGATGAAGGTTGGCAGATCTACAGGTCCTTGTAGTGATGACTTAGCCAAAATCGAAGACGAATGCTGATGCTTTGTTAATCAGACTTGGGTTATGTTGATCTTGGCCTTCCGATTTATCATCAGTGGCAATTTGGCCGAGTGGTTAAGGCGTAAGATTAGAAATCTTTTGGGCTCTGCCCGCGCAGGTTCGAATCCTGCAGTTGTCGTTTATTTTTCTCACTGGGAAAGCCCAGGCCAGGGCTGACTAAAACATACGTATAAAGCTTCCAGAACCTACCGGTGAAAAAGGCGAGAATTGTAAGCACAAGTCACTTTGTACGAAACCACCCCTGGGTATAAAAGGCGAGCGCTCCCCTGGGCTCTCGTCACATCTGAATAACTTGCCAAGGACACTAGTAAACACATTAGCTACCTTTACACCCCACCCACCACCACACACACACACACACACACACAATGGTCTCCCAAATTAAAGCTTCTGCAGACTTCGAAAAGGCTATCGCCGCCGACAAACTCGTCGTGGTCGACTTTTTCGCCACCTGGTGTGGACCCTGCAAGATGATCGCGCCCATGCTCGAAAAGTTCTCCCAGGAGTACTCACAGGCCGACTTCATCAAGGTCGACGTGGACGAACTGCCTGAGGTGGCACAGAAACACGAGGTGTCCGCCATGCCCACCATTGTCTACTTCAAGAGCGGCAAAGAGGTCGGCCGTGTCGTCGGCGCCAATCCCGCCGCCATCAAGCAGACCATCGCCTCCAACGTGTAGGCCACGCACTAGTTACTACATAACCACTGTCTAGAGCCAAATTGTTCGTCTCGTCACGTCTCGTCAAGCACTCGCCGCGATCTCCGCAGCGGTGTACCCGAAAATGAACAGCGCGTCCTGCAGCGACCGCGTGTTCAGCTGGCACGGCGCCGCGGCACGTACCCGTGGCTTCGCGTTCCAGGCAATGCCGAACCCAGCCGCACGCATCGCCGGCAGATCGTTCCCACCGTCGCCGACCATCACGGTCGCTTCCACCGGCACCGCGTACTCGCGCGCCAGCCGCGTCAGCGTCTGCGCTTTGCACTCCCCGTCTACCACCTCGCCGATCGTGTGGCCGCTCAAAACGGTTTCGGAACCAAGCGACTCCGTAGCGAGTTCGTTGGCACGTGCGTAGTCCAACTGGAGCGTATCGCGCATGTAGTTCGCGAACGGCGTGAACCCGCCGCTCAGGACCGCGAGCTTGCATCCGTTTTGGCGCAGCACTTTTGTCAGCACGGGCACGCCCTCTGTGACCCGCAATTTCGCCTTGATCTCCTCGTACAAAGTAGCCGTCTTGATGCCCTTGAGCAGTCGCACGCGTTCCGCGAGCGACTGCTTGAAATCGATCTCGTTGTTCATGGCCCGGTCCGTGATTTCGGCGACTTTGTCTTCGACGTTTGCGTACGCAGCTATAAGCTCGATGACTTCCTGGTAGATCAGCGTCGAGTCCATGTCAAACACTACGAGGCCCTTCTGCTTCCGATACTCGTTGTTCTTCTGCACTACCACGTCAACGTCCGGTACCAGGAGCTGGGCCCACAGATCCTTGAGCGCGGGCAATGGCAGTGTGGACTGGAAATAAAAGTCCTGTGCACGTTCCGACAGCGGTTTTTCGCCCTCACATACGGTTCCGGGCGCCGTCTTTAAAAGTGCTTGTATCTGGTGTTTGGCCTCGTTTTCAAGCGTGGCCCCATGCGCAATTGCAGTGACCACGTATGGGGTGGAAGTCGTCATCTCGAGCTCGAGGTTAGTGGTGCGCGTTGAAGCGTTTCTGTTCTAAGCTTCTTTAAGCTTATTGTTGGTGATGAGTTTAGTTTTCGAGATCTTTAAAAATTAGAGGTCAAGAGTCTTGAAAAATTCCAAGCCATATAAACCAAGTCATCGCGCCGGTGAATCAAGACATATTTGAGCATTGGAGGCCGCTGTTGACTGTTTGAAGAGATCAAAAAACATGAGCAAATCGCTACGTATCCTTGTCCCGGTCAAAAGAGTCATTGACTACGCGATCAAGCCCAGAATTAACAAAGCTGGCACGGGCGTCGAGAAAACGGGTGTCAAGTTCAGTATGAACCCGTTCGACGACATCGCCGTTGAAGAAGCGGTGCGGCTCAGGGAGAAGCACAAAAACCTGGTAGAATCCGTGCACGCGGTGTCGATTGGACCCGCTAAGGCGCAGGATATCCTGAGAACCGCTTTGGCAAAAGGCGCAGACACTTGCACGCTCATCGACGCGAAGGAAGCCGAGCTGGAACCTCTCGCGGTCGCAAAAGTGCTCAAGCGAGTCGTCGAGGCCCAGAACGCGAACCTGGTCATCCTGGGCAAGCAGAGCATAGACGACGACTGCAACAACACGGGCCAAATGCTCGCTGGACTGTTGAACTGGCCGCAGGCGACAAACGCAGCGAAAATCGAGTTGGACGCGGCCCGCGGCCGCGTCCAAGTCACCAGAGAAGTTGACGGCGGTGAAGAAATCGTGAGTGCAGCTCTGCCCATGGTGGTGACGACAGATTTGCGTCTGAACACGCCCCGCTACGCGACGCTACCCAACTTGATGAAGGCCAAGAAAAAGCCCATGGAAAAGCTGACGCTCGCAGATTTTGGCGACGTGGACACGCAGGCGCGGCTCCAGACTTTGAAAGTCGAAGAACCTGCCACTAGAAGTGCAGGCGTTAAGGTCGGCTCTGTTGACGAGCTTGTCGAGAAACTGAAGGCTGCCAAAGCCATCTGACGCAGCCGATCCACAAGGACAAGTATCTAACATTCAACCACATATACTATTTCTTCATTTCCTCTTGGCGGGCGCCAGGATGCCGGACTCCAAGATGCCAGGAGGCTGTCTACGTAAGTACTTATCTGCATACCACTCGTCGAATTGAGCCGTCGCTTCTTTCCGGGCCGCAATAGCCACCAGCACAGCGTCGCATTCTTCGATCCACGCCCGTAAGTGCTCCGTGGCGTCCGTGGTCTGAGGTAATGACAGTTCAGGCACGTGCAGACGCTGTCGCGCGCGTGGAAAAAGCTCACTTCGTGGATTGTTCACACCAGCATGCCGCAGATAATTCTCGGCCGCCTGCGACATGAGCTTTACGGTTCTGCTGACACTGCTTCAACTGTCTGAGTCTTGCTTGGGATCAACTGATAATCTTCCTTATATAGGCCAGCTATGAACGGTTTCTGCCGTAAGGAGTGCTCAAAGATTAGAATCGGTCCATAAGAAACTTCCAAAGGTTTTCGAACCCAGTGTATCAAATAGACCGTCGATCCACTCAGAGACTAGCTCGAGTGGCCCGATAACACAACCCTCTCTCAAATAGAGCTAATTGAACATTGAAAATATGAAGGTGACGAATTCGTAACCTAGTCTGTAGGGTTCGTGAAAAGAGACCAGGTTCATTCCCAGGCGCTGGAGTCTTTGAACAGGTTAAGAAGCCGTCGCTGCGAACTTGCCCGGGCCTCTGAGTCTTATTCACGGCTCAGATTCCCCTTCCGGTACTCTGGACGACTGTCTTCAGTGTTGAGCTGAGAGTAACTTAGGTCACTATGAACGGCGTGCTCAAAATTGTACCTAAACGGCTCCCATCTCGACTAGACAGCTCATGAGACACAGCAAAGCGTTGCGAGTCTTGTTTAACTGACCCGCGTTTGTATTCCTTCCCCAGGAATGCTGTTTGTCAATGTTCGCTTAATTCACTTCCATAAATTTTCCAGTCGCAAGTAGCCAGGTTTTCCGGGCTTAAATTCACCTCCAGTTGTTGCTGCCTCTGCAATTTTTGCTAACCCCCCTGGCCGTCTTGCTTCGTTTGTCTTCATTAGTCTTCATTAGTCTTCATTTTGTTTTCGACTTTTGTCTATCTAGGTCTTTATAGTGCCAATCGTGAAAAACAGACCTTCTAAACTCGACAAACAGCACAATAAAGACAACAAACAGGCTGGCAGACAATCTGGCGTATGTAAAATATTTCAACAAGCCGGATAAACTGTCAGTTCTTTTTTCAGATTCGGCTTCTTCCTACAGGCCCTAAAACAATTCACTGAAGTTGCAAAAACTTTTGTAAGAGCTTTGGGAACCACTAAAACAACGACAGAAACCACGACCAATAGTGAGCCGAAAAGGTGCTGAAGTGAGTTTCGAATGTACCAAATTCGTCATTGAGCGATGAGAACCCATCGGCCACAACGATGGCATCGTTTAAGGAACAAACCCGAGATATACGATGGGGTCACGTGCGCAGGTGGGGCCGATCTTTATATAAGGAACTGTCATTGTTGAATTGCATTGTTCTTCCGATGAGCTGCGATATCGAGAATATCGCACCGAATCTAAGTCTCTCCCCTTCAGCTTCAATATGCTGAATACTACCCCAATCAATATCGACAAATGGTTGCAGGAAAATGGACACCTGCTTCAGCCTCCGGTCAACAATTTCTGTCTGCACCGGGGCGGTTTTACCGTTATGATTGTAGGCGGGCCCAACGAGCGCACCGATTATCATGTGAACCCTACGCCGGAGTGGTTTCATCAAAAAAGGGGCCACATGACCTTGAAAGTCGTGGACGAGTCCGAAGAAGGTCTCAGCCGGTTTAAAGACGTCACAATCGGCGAAGGTGACTCTTACTTGCTGCCGGCAAACGTTCCACACAACCCTGTCCGCTACGCAGACACGGTAGGCATTGTCGTCGAGCAGGACAGACCCGACGGTCAACACGATAAAATGAGATGGTACTGTTCAAAATGTCGGGAGATAGTATGCGAGTTTCATTTCCAGATGCTGGACCTGGGTTCCCAGGTCCGCGAGGGCATCGAGACGTTCAACAGCGATATCAAGCACAGAATCTGCAAAAACTGCGGAACAGAGAATTTTTCCAGGCCATGACACCGAGAAGTGCTACTCTTATGGTGTGACATGCCGTCTTGAGCGGCTGATCGCGTTTCCGACGACGCACAACTTGCCTCAACTGCAATCCGCTCTGTATCTACTAACCACTATGTAATTGGCTAGAACTATCAGAGCTTTAACTACTGAGAAGCCGTTTCCTTGGCCTGGATGTCTAGTAGAGCCGTTATCACTATAGTCATTATAACTGAAAAACTTAATCTTACGATGAGGTTCACAGAGTTTTGCCATTTGGATAACTCAATTCGCCCAAATGTCTTCCTGTTTCTGCGATAAAGCAATTGAACGCACTGCCGACGATGTGGCTACGAACGCGCAGGACAAACTTGTCCAATCCAGCGATCCGAAGCACCCAGCAAACCTGATTTGCACACTTTGCAAATTATTTTACTACAACAACTGGGTAACCGGCACAGGCGGTGGAATATCGATCAAGGACTCCAAATCCAAGTACATTTACATTGCTCCTTCGGGTGTGCAAAAGGAACAGCTTCAGCCTGAGGACATGTTCGTGATGGACCCAGAAACCGACGCTTACGTGCGCACTCCACAGAAATACAAGCCCAGCGCTTGCACACCGCTTTTCATGGCGTGCTACAAGAGACGTGCGGCTGGCGCCGTCATCCACACACACTCGCAGCACGCGGTGATGTGCTCTTTGATTTTCGGAAACGAGTTTAAGATCGCGAACATCGAGCAGATCAAAGCGATTCCAAGCGGCGAAAAAGACCCCGTTACGGGCAAAGATATCAATCTGTCCTTTTTCGATACACTCGCGATACCTATCATTGATAACACGGCACATGAGGAGGACCTTGTGGGCGGACTTCAGATGGCCCTGCACCAGTATCCGGCGGCCACCGCAGTCATCGTCAGAAGGCACGGTATCTACGTCTGGGGCCCCTCTGTCGAAAAGGCCAAAGTTTTCAACGAGGCGATCGACTATCTCATGGAACTCGCCGTCAAGATGTACCAGCTGGGCATTCCGCCCGACTGCGGCATCGGAGACGAGAAAAAGCATCTGACGTTGTAACGTCGTCACGTCGTAAAAATCTCTTAATGCTACATGCTACATGCTACATAAATCATATGCTGGTGCGAGCCTCTTTGCTCTGCCACACTTTCCCCCATATCAAATGCTCATCCGCGACCCTGTTTAATGTGTCTCTCAGCTCCAGCGAGTTCCGGTCGTTGCCCAGGTCGTGCAAATCCACTGATTCTTTCCCACCACTATCTAGAGGCCCACAACACACCACCTGGCTGCCTCGAAGGAAGTAACACGATGCTATTTCCTGCTGCGACACTCGATCTCGCACGTCCGAGAGCACAAGATTTGTGTTTTTATCAAAACCCTCCAAAGTAGCTACAAAACATTGGCCCTCGGTTGTAATTACAACGACGCGCGTGTTCAGAAAGTCTTTTAGTAATGGTGACATTCGCGCGACTAAGAATGGGAAAGCTGGGATGGATGGTGACGGTTTTTAATGGTAGGCCAGTTCAATCATTGATGAGATGGTTTAATAGGTGATGCCTGTGAAATAGATCACGTGTCGTATACGAGAATAAGATATGAAAATCCGATGAGGAACTGTTTATGAACCAATCAGCTAATCACTGAAAACAACTGCAAAACTCAGTCAAACTATGCCTGACAGCGAGGAAATTACGGAATGTTCATCACCTCAACTTTATATGGAGAGTGACACGGACAAGCAGATTTTAGAATGGGCCGGAAAACTAGAATTGGAGTCGATAGAATTACGTGAGAGATCAACTTTGCTGATTGCGGCAATGGAAAAGAATTCGCGGGAGCTCAGGGGCTCTTTTTCGAAGCTCTCTGAGATTTCGGAGCAACTGAAAGAACTTAAAGGTATTTGCGCTATTGTGGGAGGTCCCACAGATACCCTTTACGACAGGTTCGAGCGCGATCGAGTTTAATTTACTAACAGGCGTCAATTTGGGCCAGACTTGAACGTACAGGCCGAAAAGACTACAGAGCAGCAAACCGCTAGTTTGGACAGAGTTTCGGGGCTTGAAACCGCGGTCAACGCCCTTCGTGAAGAGCTTTTGGACGTAGTTTCGCGGACCGCCGAGGCCGAGTCACGTGCTCGAGAAAAGGCCAACAACCAGCAACAACACTTGTGGGAGTCGCTCAAGGCTGTGTGTGAGACTTCAGAGCTGATAGCGCGCAATTTCGAGCGAAGCTGCGCTGCGCAGGAGTCCCTGGAGCGTATGATGCGAGTCGAAAATCGCGAATCGCTGCTCAAGGGCCTGAGCGAGTCCCTGACAAAGTCCGTTTCGGAATCCGTATCGCAGTCCGTGACACAGAGTATCTCCAAAGCGGTCTCGAAAGAGCTACAAGGCGCCGTAGAGTTCGCGGTCTCGCAGGCGCTGGCGCGTGCCCCGCAAACCCTACTCCCGCCGGTCGTGTACGACGACCGGACAGCGCTTCGAGGTCACGTGCCATCTACCCAATTCCACCCAACGTACCACCATTATTCACATCCCTACCAGGCTACGCCCCCGAGCACTTTAATGCAACCGACGCCACAGATCGCGGTCGCACCCGCTGCGCCTCCTGCAAAGCGCGCAGCTACTACTCGCTATATCATCCCATGGGACGAAATGGCCGGTGCTGACCTCTCAAGTGAATTGTAAGAGTAAGTTATTTGCTCTCGACAGCTCCCTTGGCATCCAGGAAGCGTTTGCCTGTGACCTTGCGCGAGTGATCGACTTCCACGACCAGCGTCTTGTGGCCCACGAAACCCTCGCTCTTCAGCCGTGAATAGTATAGGTGGTAGCAGGGCATGTACCGTTGAACGAACAACCGCACCTGCTTATCCGACATGCCCTGGTTCAGGCCCAGCGCCCTTTCCTGTTCCAAGCGCCAATTGTACACGTTCACCACATCTGCGGAAATGACAATGCCGACAGAAGGAATCTGTTTGTTCTGCCACAGCCTTTGCGAAAAAGATTTAAGAGCCTCGTCCACTTCCATCAAGCCATAACCTTCCGCCGCGGCTTCTCTCAGCGACTTATTTGTTTCGCCTAGCGGCAAATACCCAACAAACCAGCCCTCGAAGACCACGATATCTATCGGAAGCTGGAGCGAGCGCGGCAGGCCTCGGTCACCGGTGCCTGCATAACGTGCCTTATCATAGGTAGGGAAAACGATGGTTCCTTCGTCGTGCGTGAGCAGCTGATGAACACACGAGTCCAACAGGTGCAAGTCATGCGTTCCCGGCAGACCTCTGCCTTGCCAATATGCATTGTCAGGATGACTCTTGGCCAGGGCAGCTTGATCTGCGTGGGTCAAATAGAAGTCGTCGATGGAAACGCTGGCCACGAGCACGTGACCATCGCTTTTCACGGATAACGACTGCTCGAGGCGACGGGAGGTGTACGTCTTTCCTGAGCCTTGGGGGCCATTCAAGAAAACGAACAGTGGTTTTTTGGCCGCTGGAGAGGCGAGGTGTTTCTGATAGCATTCCCAAACGAACTCCGTTGCATCCTCTACTAAAGTCATCCGAACGACGCAACTCTGAAAGGATTTTATCGTCACTGAACAGTAGAGATTTGTCTTTGGAACCGATTGTTAACAGGAGCAGCCATGAGTGGGAAACCAGGTCTCGTGACCGTTGTCTCCAAAAACGAGATCACTGGGATTACGTAATCCAAGAAGCCTCTCAAGGCGGCCTTTAGCGTCTTTTGGCGCTGGGAAGCAGTGAAAAGTTGACTTTATTTGTTCTGAAGATGAGACGTTGCAACGAGATCATTATACCTTGTCACTAAAGCCTTGCGACAGGCAGAGAAGTTCTGGCAGACGCTAGGCTGAGATGAGCTGGTTAAAATAAATTTTGCGTTATCGCGCGACACTGAAGTTATACGGGCAGTTGCGAACTTCCCTGCCTGGCTTTTAATAAGGAAAAGCTGATACAACTACTGCTGCAGATTGTGCGTCGTCGAAACAGGTTAGATTGGAAATGGTAAACTTTTCCAAATCTATCATGTGGCTACTCTCTTTCTAATTATTTCGCCCGTGTTATGAGTAATCTACGAGTACTTAGGCTTTTTACGTGGCGCACCCACTTAAAAGCGAAGCCTGCTGGACACGTCGCCCACAATTTGCCAAAGCTTCTTATAGCATTCGTCTCAAATAAATTTGGTTACCTATTTAACTAGATACCATTCATTCATCATATAATTAATAGTATTATCATTGTATTTTGATACAGTAACCTATTGAGATGTACCTTGTTTGCAATAGGGTAATTTGAAGCGAGAAGAAACGTTACCGCAAACAACATCCTAGGGATATCAATTCTAAGTCTTGTAGAAAAAAAGTTTGCCTTGCAATTAAGAACTCAATCACAATAATTGGCTTGTTTGGACGATATCAGCTGAAAAAATACGCTGCTGAGCTAACAAAAGCCGGTCCCTGTAACTAAAAAGTAAGTTTTTAGCTTGGGCAACTAATTTCGCTACGCCTGTCGCATTTGGCGCGGGGCGCAAAGACCCACACACAACCGATCCATTGCCAAGCGCATACATGAGCTGTTTAAACTCTGGCCCCAATATCTGCTAGGCTGACACCCGATGCTACTCCCTCACCCGCTTCGTCCGCCTGCTGGTTGGTCATCGCAAGTATGTCTTTAACAAGAGCTGAACACGATTCAAGCTCGCTACTGTTTGGTTGGCCAGAATAGGCGAACTTCAAGTACAGCATCAAAGCGTCTGCCCAATCGTGACGTTTTGCGGCGATTTCACACAAACTGGCAACAGATTGTAGGTAGTGGAAGCTCGTAACAGTGAATACATTCAAGTCTTCCAAACCTTGCACTCCATAGTTGCTGAAAAAATCTCCCAATGTGATGTAAACCGTGCCATTGCTCATATCATTTGGCGAAACTTGGTTGTTCGCGATGGCGCGCAAACTATCCGAGTAAGATAAGGACGCTTTGACGCCCGTAATCAAGGTTAGAGTGGCATACAAGAAAAGTTCAAAAAATAACATCCCTGGGTTGAGAATGGAGAAGGAATTGTAACTTTTAAAAGTCTTTGATACCTCCCACTAAGTTGGAGGGGTCTCATTCATAATTTTCGCAAAAGTTCCTTGACCAAGCAATTGGAGGAGGCGGGGGCGTGAATATCTAAAAAGATGCTCAAAGTACGACTGTGATTTGCATGGCGTGAGCTATGCGACAAGGTAAATCATTTGAATGATAGCATGCAAAGGACACTGTTCTGCCTTTTTTCTTTGCACAAGCAACGACATTTCTCTGAGCCGCAGTCACTTGTGCAGCTTATTATCAAAATCAAGCAGTTTCGGACTTAAGAACAATTTTGACAGATTAATTACCGTTTGCAGCACCGTCAATTTCTTGATCTTTCTTTTTCTCCTTCGAGCGTTCTTGGCAACAATTCTTGCGTGCCTATGGCCTCGGTTGACGTCCAGAGTATTAAGGGTGTAACTGCCTGTTTCGGTTTCGAGGAGCTCCTTGAGATGTCTCGGACTTTCTCTCAGAGTTCCTCCCGAGGTTACAGGCTTTCGAGCGATGGCTATGAAATGATCAGAAGGCTTTCCGGCGTACGTGGTGTGATAACACTTAAATCCATAACATGCTGGCTTGTTTGTAGTTTAGAAGCAAGAAGTCAATTCACTGCCTATCGGAAAGAATCCATATATTGACCTTGTCATATTTGGCAAGACAGACGTTCAAAGACTTCAGCAGCGACAAAACATGAACCAACCATCGTCTCGAAGTCTTCAATGTTTTTCGCTTGTGAATCTTTCTTCATGATCCTGGACTTTAACAGCTCGTGATTGGAAGCAGAATTTCTTATATAGATATCCGGTCGGAAATGGTAGTAAGGGAGATTGCGCTGGACAATAAACGCTCTGCTTTACCACGCCACGCTCAACGAGTCGATGGTTCGATTCAAGGATGGAAAGGTATTGGAAGGTGCTGTTAAACTACACAATTATGCTGTCGCAGGAGAAAATTGGGACGATGCGGCGCTTTTCAGCATGTTCGCTCGCTATAGCGGCCAAGCCCATGACTATTCAACCGACAATGATTTGGCGCTTGATTTTGCAAAGCTAATCGCAAGTAACCAAACCGTGATCGAGACAGGGATCAATAGTAGCACTAACGGTAAGCTTGCTGAGTTGTACGCCAACCTTTCACCTTATTTAGCGAAGTCCAACGAATTGGCTAAGCGTGATTCTACGTGTTGAGATGGCAGTCACGTGCCTCCGGTGGATGACTGGGACAATCTCTCAGGTTGGTTCCAGGCAACGGAGGTGCCAACGTCCGTTCAAGTTCTCGGGACTACTGCTGGGGTAGCTGCTGCATTAGTTGGTCAACGGAAACTAGATTCGCCTTCAGCTGAGCAGGTGGGAAGCTAGATTGGTGTATTTCTTCCTGTGGCGCAAGTTGCGAAATCAGAGGAGTTGCCTACGGCTCATTGAAGTTGTTTTTTGGGTGAGCAATAAAGCCAACGACCGCTTTTTATCGACGATGCAAATGCCAAAACACGCGCGGGCACAACCTATTGCGAGAAGCTCATGCCCAAAACAAATACATACTATATTAAGTTGTACAGCTTATGACGATTTAAAAAGAGTATGATTCATTGAAATATCTCGAAGTCTCATTGCCATCCATCTTCTGGAGTGGTTAAGTGACCGCGAACTCGATTATCGGACGGGAACACTGAGTTAAATATCCAACGAAAAGAGATACAAGTCTCGATGTACAAGCTTTGAAAAACAAAAACAAAGACCAGCAGCCTCGCTAGTAAAAAGCTAGAGAGTACCCAGGCAAACAGCACGCTGTAACCACTCGCTGGAGTACGTATGATATTATTATCCAATTTCAAGGTCACGTGACTTTATAGAAATCAGCTGAACCGGTTCCACAACCTACCTTAATGGATATAAACATAGCGGAAATAGGAATTATAGCACGATCATCGTAAAGCTGGCCAGACATAAAATTTGGTTTCCTACTAAAGAAATTGCACCAGCCCATTGTTCATCTTAATTCAATGTCAACGCAAGTTCAACGGTGCACAGTGACGCGGAGCATTATAAATGAAAATATCTCAACGCCCTCGCGCTTATAAAACAATATAGTTCGTAACTACTTGAAGTAAAGTGCTAGCTTTCATGATGTGATACCCCGTCACCGAGATCACTTTCAGGATGGTTTGCAGTAAAAAAGCTTAAAGAGCGTTCTTAAAATATCATGCGGTGTACGGGTTGAACAGGGTCTTTTTTGCCTCCGTGAAATTCGGACTTTTGACTTTCGAGAATCTTGATATATTAACGACCCAATTCTCAACATCTCTAAAATTTCGCTACGTAATCAAGATTATAATTGACGATTACAGGCAATAGAAGTCAAGTCGTCATGTTTAGATCTTTCAAGCTTGCTATTTGGTTGCTTCTCTCCCAAACCATCTTTGGAGGTGCCGTCACCTATGAAGACGCGCTCTCAAATATGTTGGTCGGAAACATCACCGTTAATCATGGTCAAAGTGCTCTAATTGAATATTATAAACCTGGACCTTTTGAAACCTCTCTTGACGCGTCTTTAGTGTCTCTCAACAACGGGAGGGTTGTATCAGACGCTATTGAACTGTACAATTATGCCATTGCCGGCGAAAAGTGGGGTGACGCTGCGTTTTTCAAAATGTTCATAAGCTACAACGGCCAAGCACACGACTATTTGACCAGCGAAGACGTAGCCAATGACTTTTCGACGCTCGCTGCGGGAAATCAAACTGTGATCGACACTTGGATAAAGACTACCACCAATGAGAAACTTGCCGAGTTGTATGCTCACCTTCCAGAGTTTGGTTCGAGCAGTTAGGCTACTAATGGAGAACTTGACGTTTTGTGGTGATACTTTAATATGACGGTTGTATCCGTCTGGTGTAAGAAGACTGTATATGGCGATATTTAAAAGAGTTTTGAAACTCAAGGGCTATGGTTTGTACGCTTGTATGGTGGCTCATCTGGTGTCACCCAAGCGTACACTTTTTGATAAAATTAACGATGGAATTTCTTGAACCCAGCCTCAAGATCTAATTTCGAGGCTGGCAAGCAATTATCTTAAGGGGTCATTGGCGCTTCCGCTGCTCCCTGGTGAGGTCTACTGGAATCTTCTGTCTGATGATGTAAGTCGAGCCTCAAGTTCAGGTCACATGGCAGACGCTGACACCTAGGTGAAGGACCATTTACTCGTAGCCATTGCTTCTCGTTCTGTCTGGAGTAATTCACTAGGCACGTCAGCGACCGACACCCATCGCTAGCTCATCTCAATATTTATACTGCCCACATCAACCTTTGCTTCATATTAAAGCGAGGCCATAGAAACAAACAGCAGAGTCCATTGCATTTATGAAATTGTGAGGGTGTGCTGACTTGAATACCTTTTCAAATTACATATCAAGCCTTTCAGTATATCAAACCTTCGGGGATTCTTACAAGCATTTAATCAATACCGACTTCTAGGCACTTTGGCAAAAGAGGAGCGAAACGAATGTTTTGCGATTTAAAACTTACACCACAAAAATCCACGTGGTTCTTTATCAGTTACATATCCGTATCAATACCAAGTCTTAGGCGCTATACAATTCTTCTCAGGTCGACATCTGACCAAGAAAACTTTAAAACATTCCGTCGATTTCTCCATCGTCATTGACCTCCACATTCATGAAACCGCAATGCGTTGGCAACCCTGGAATAGTTTGAATCTCTGCAGCAAGCGCGTAGAGATATCCAGCGCCGACCGACGCTCTCACGTCGCGAATAGGAAATGTGAAGCCCGTTGGGACACCCTTGAGGTTTGCATCGTGCGATAAAGAGTACTGGGTCTTGGCAATACAGATAGGGAGATCACCGAAGCCTTGCTTCGTGTAGAGGTCAATTTTCTTTTGCGCTTCGGTTAGAAATTCGACGTCACCAGCGCCATACATCTCGGTGGCGATGGTGCGGATTTTGTCCTCGACTGAAACACCTTTGGTCTCATACAAGAACTTGAACTGGTTGGTGGCCTCGCAGGCATCGACGACACCCTGTGCCAAGGCGATAGCACCCTGTCCACCTTCCTCCCAGTGGTTAGAGACGATGGCGTCCACCGCACCGGCTTTGAGCGATTCCTCTCTGATGACTTCATGTTCGCGGTCAGAGTCCGATGACATCCTGTTGATTGCAACAAGTACCGGTAAATTGTAGGCCTTGGCGTTAGAAATGTGTTTAGCCAAGTTAGCGCAGCCCTTTCTGAGCAAGTCGACGTTCTCGTTTAAGTATTCAGAGGGCAAAGGAGCGCCTGCCTTGACTTCAGGGCCTCCACCGTGTACTTTGAGCGCTCTAACAGTGGCGACAATAATCACCACGTCCGGCACAAGGCCAGAAGAACGGCATTTAATGTTCAAGAAACGTTCTCCACCCATGGTGAAGTCGAAACCGGCCTCTGTGACGACGTAGCCTTGTTTTTCACGTCTTTGTTCTGGTGAAAGGGCTTTGTCAACACCTGCAAGCTTCAAAGCCATCTTGTCAGCCAAAGCAGAGTTTGCCCCAATGGAGATGTTTGCGAAAGGCCCAGCGTGAACGAAAACGGGGGTTCCCTCTAGCGTTTGCATGATATTTGGCTTGATGGCATCCTTGAGAAGCGCAGTCATAGCACCTGCACATCCGATGTCTTCACAGGTGATAGGCTCACCAGCCTTGGAAGCGGCCACGACGATATTGCCCAGTCTCTCTCTCATATCAGGAAGTGAGTTGGCCAAAGCCAATACGGCCATACACTCAGAAGCAACAGAAATGTCGAAGCCGGTCTTTCTGGTGAAGCCACGTTCTGTTGGTGCCTCTCCGACTGTAATACCTCTTAGAAATCTGTCATTGCAATCCACCACCCTTCTCCATGTAATAGTTTCTGGATCAATATCTAGACGCGCAAAACGGGTGACTTCTTCGGGGGTTAGAGTGTTTGGGTCCTGTTTCTCGATGCCTAGCTTCTTAAGTCTTCTGAGCATGGTTGGGGTGAACTTTCTGATGCCTCGTTTAGTTGGTACCAGTCTCTTATAGAGGGCCGCATCCTTTTGAGTTGTCTCATGGAACATACGTGTGTCGATCGCAGCAGCTAGAAGGTTGTTGGCCATGGAAATGGCGTGAATGTCACCAGTAACATGCAAGTTGAACTCGTCCATAGGAATGACTTGCGAGTAACCACCGCCAGCAGCACCACCCTTGATACCGAAAGTAGGTCCCATGGAAGGCTGACGAACGTTGGCAAAAACAGTCTTATTTAAGTGAGCACCCAGCGCCTGCGCTAAACCAACAGTAGTAGTGGACTTACCTTCACCGAGCGGGGTAGGTGTAATACCCGTGACCAAAACGTACTTACCGTTTTCTCTAGACTTCAAACGGTCTAGGATATCAAGCTTGACTTTGGCTTTCGTGGACCCGTAGGGTTCAAGTTCCGAGGCCAAGATACCGGCTTCATAGGCAACTTGTGTGATCTCCTTGGGTTTCTGAGCTCTGGAAATTTCGAAATCTGAAGGCACTGGTTTCAACAAGTTTAGAGGCAGAGGTGCAAACGCAGGTTTGTCATCTCCTTGTAGCGATCTTCTCGCGGCGTCCAAACAATTGCGCATCAGCATGGCAACGGTCATTGGGCCGACTCCGCCGGGAACGGGTGTTATCAGTTCAACATGTTCGCGTGCCACGTCAAACTCGACGTCTCCGACACACCTATAGCCGCTTTTTTTAGACGTGTCTTCGACGTAGTTAGTACCGACGTCAATGACAACAGCGTTTTTATTGCCCTTGAACCATTCGCCCTTGACAAAATCAGCTCTACCGATCGCAACGACGATAATGTCTGCGGTGGAGACGTAGAGCGGGATGTCTTTGGACTTAGAATGTAGCACTGTCACGGTTGCGTCGCGAGATTTGAGCAATTCTGCGACAGGGGCACCAACAATGTCGGATCTTCCGATGACAACAGCGCGAGAGCCCGCAATTTGAACACCGCTTCTATCCAAGAGCTCGATAATTCCCTTGGGCGTACATGGGTGGAAGTAAGGTTTACCGTTACGTTTGTTCAGCTCTCCAATGTTGAAAGGACCAAATCCGTCGACGTCTTTCTGCGCCATCACGGCAGAAGTGACTTTATCTTCGTCAATGTGCTTAGGTAGCGGCAATTGAACCAAGATCCCATCAACACTGCGATCCTGGTTCATTTCCTCGATCTGCGCGATCAAAGACCGTTCCTCGACGTCTTCGGGCAAATGCACGAAAATAACCTCAATACCGGCTTCTTCAGCAGCTTTTCTCTTCATCCTCACATATGTAGACGAGTCTTGACGGTCGCTGACCTGAAAAATGGCCAAAGTAGGTTTAAAGCTGGAGTTTTCATTTCTGATTTGCTGGATGTCACGGAGAATTTCCTCGCGAATTTCCTTGGCAATTGCCTTCCCGTCGATCAAAGTAGCTGTCATTGTGGGATTGGATTCCGCTCACCAGGAGAATACCGTCTCATAGGTTGTAAATGGCCTAGAGTTGTGCTGCTTATATACCTTTTCTTCACCAGCTTCGTTCGATATAAAGTTGACTCGGGTAACATCACCATGAATGTGAAAAACGAAAGTGGAACGAAGAATTAGATAGCGAGTGAGACGGAAAAATGAGATCATGCGATAAACACGAGCATTGGACGAGTAAAGTATGAGATAAGTAGTGCTAGATAAATTCATCGCTTTTCTGGCATGTTTTTAGTATGTTTCAGATGTGAAAACGGTCTATTTTGGGTCAAAAATGGACTAGAGTTTAGATCTGGACAGATGTCATTTTCGCCAGAAACACAATTCAATGGGCGCGGAAGTAATTTCACCTGGACTTTGTGCTTGTGGGCTAATTGATGTCGCAAGTTACACCAGCGCTAAAATTACGAGCATTTATTATGTGGTCTTTTGTTGATCTCGAAGAGGGCGGATTTCTCCCAGCAAGACCACTGAAGTCGAGATTAGTGTATCTTTCAGGAGCCTTTACAAAGAGTTCCGCCCATGATGTAATTTATCGGGGATTGCGGGCGTCAATAGTCGACCCTTGCCCAAATTGGTCAATTTGGGCGTTCACAGTTGTTTTTGAAGGAAGAAAAAATAAGCTTTGATTATTTATATCCCCGTATTTAAGGCCGGTAACATGGTGCAATGGGCTAGGTATACCGTCTCCTAAACAATTATTACAATCTGCGTCTTTTTTCGGTCTGTTACTTCCAGTGAGAGAGATATGGTAAAAATTTCACGTAGCACTCTTAATGGACCAGGGATGGCGTAACAATCCAGTAATGATTACTGGATTGTTACGCCTTCAAACGCTTCCCGAGTCGATCTAACTTGGGGTTGCTGTGTCATCGCGTTCACGTGCTGGCAGCCACCCGTAACGTGACTACACGATAGTATGTAGCGTAGGCTCTATCAAATGCACTCATCCTAAGCAGTTTGTCACTTGCCGAAATTCTGATTTGTAGCAAACCGTTCAAAACATCTTTCAATCTTTTTTCAAGACCTTAGGCTTCATAAATGGATAGTTACCAACGAGGTGAGCGTGCGATAGACATTATGCCTGTAGGAAGGAGCGTATGGAGGATAATACCATCAGTTGGATTATTCGTTGCCTGTATCACGTGACCAAGATGACAGAATTAAACAAGGTCTTGATTGATTCCAATTCGCATCTACAGAGAGGTCTCAAATCTAAGTTGATATCAATAATGAGCAATGAGATATGAGTAACGAGATCATCAGCATATCTCAAAGCATGTTGTAGAACAAGAGGAAAGTGTTTACAAATTCTCATTACAGAAATAAGGTATCGAACGAACAAATTTCAGAGAAATTTTATAAGCTAGAAATTGTGTCTAGCTTTAAAACGGTCATGGTATTGAAGTAATCATAGAGAGACATAAAATCTCAATATCTTAGTCACTCTACTATAGTGATCGACTATGAACGAATCAAACAAACTATTCAAGAACTTATCGACTACCGACAATAGTAAATTTCATGATGGTAGCGCCGCAATAGTTGCCTTACTGTAAGCCAGAAATCCCACCAGAGGAAAGCAGGCAACCACTACTACCGTAAGCCTCGTAGACCAGGTTCCTATGAGATTCTGTTACCTGGTCTTTATAGTCGTGGCGGTGTTTGTGACATAAATGTTGTGACCAGGGGTTATCATCTGTATACCACTTCTCGTTGCTGGCATGCCTATTTCATTGGTTGCTGTGCACCTACGGTGGCTGCACTACACTTGACGCCCCTTTCATAGCAACTGTTTCTGAAAGCGATCGATATGTCACTGGCTTTCTTCTCTAGTGTACCACAATGGCTAGCTGTACTGCCGTTGCTGTCAATCAACCATCAACCCACATATTAGCCAGCCAGTCTTATATATTGCTACGGACTTCAGTCTGATCAGTGGTCAAGTCCAGTACATCTGTGAATGGCCCATGGTGTGGCTCTGGGAACACCAAGTGGTCGAGCCGATCAAGACTGTAACTCTTTGTTGCAGTGCATATGTCAATTACATATTCGTCAATTTGGCTTATAGCTTCGAGTGACGCGCTAGTAAACAGTACGACGGGTTCGGCTTGTAACCCAGAGTGACGTTAGCTCTTCTAATATTGAGTATAGAGTCAAATAGCGTAACAAGATTGAGAGAAGCTAAAGTAACCGATTTGATGTAATCCGAACTATTAACCTGCTCAAAAGCGCCGTCTCAAAAGTCTATCTTAATTGTTTCGCTATCACAATCCGCATAACAGCTAGCAATGATTGTTGTAACAACTAGACAAAGTGAAAGAAACACTATATGATACTCTAGCGGGTCTAGTATATGAAGTATTTTCAGTATCTGCCAATCAAATCTTTGGAGCCATGTACGAGAATTGAGACAGTGATAATTTTGAGGAATTACCCGAATGACTTCAGGGCTTACAACACCACTACCTTCTCATGGTTTTTCTGAGGGTGGTAGTAATAATGTTAGAGAAACGACTGAGTTTCAAGAGAATAAAGTAAATATTACTGATCCAGGAAACATAGATTTTTGGGCAATGAAGGCTTACCGGTTTAGGAGTTTTGTTTTCGGCTACAAAGATGTTGATTTTGCTATATGATAACTTTCAGCAATACAGTGGGCGCTAAGGCAATATTTTGGGTCCATACGACAAGAGCTGTGTGCCAGAAAACAGGGCTTGCAGCCTTTAAGTCCGCTTCCGTGATGCTAAGTGTTTGTGGCAATATTTCAGCTGTCCAGAAGACTTTCTCAGCTTTGTTATCAGGCATCTGCTTCAGAAGCACAGAAACGTAAATCCACTCCGGACTTTTGCAGTGCTTTATCATGAACGGCTTTTTGGAAGGTTTAATTGGTCGTCTTCGAACAAGAAATTTGAAGGGAAGGGATGAATAGAGTCTCGATGCTCAGAGGGCAGATGCGGTAGCCAATGGCAAACAACCATTGCAATTGGATCGCGAAAGATTGGGAGTTACTTCATGCTTTTAAAAACTGCATTATGGGGAAATTAGTGGAAAAGTGAAAATTACTTGCACAAGGGCCACGAGGTGTATAGAGTTCACTAGCGATGGTTTCAGGGAAAAACTGAATGGTATCGTCATACCAAAGAAACTAAGGTGTTAGGTCTCTACTTCCGTTTCTGCATTCACTCGTCTTTGGCGCCTGTTTCGCCGTGACACTAGCACGGAACTTGCCTCCAACTCAATTATTGTTCGAAAATGTAGCATTAAAAAATCTCTACTCGTATCTAATAAGCCTAAGAATCGTGTCCTCGGTTCGTCTCGCGAGGTCTCGAATTCTTCAGCTATCAATATCTCATAACTTGGTTGATTTTTTATTCGTTGCACGTTTATTGTATCTAAGGATCTTAAACTTAATGTCTAATCGAGCCAGCAAATATGTTGTTTGAAGCAAAGCAGCTTCTGAAATTTTGTAGCAACGGTTTAGATTTGTTCGGCTCTACTTAACTTTGATGGGCCATAGCTATGTTTCTTCACATATGTACTATATAGATGTTTCTACCATGGAATTTCTGATCCATCATAGCTAACAAAGCGATCAGTAAAAGTAGGGCCTTGCTTGGCTAAGATGTTTTCGATGATTTGCGAGGCGGAGGCTTTAGGGGTTATGGGAGGATACTTTTCCTGTATGGCTTTTGCAATTTCTGGACCCATCGCGTTCACAGTATCGAAAAACAGGTCTGTACCAACAACACCGGGGTGAATTGCAAGAACCGAGAAGCCCTCATTTTTGAGTGTAGTGCTCAGATTTCTGACGTAGAAATTAACTGCCAACTTCGAAATTGCATAAGCCGGTGTTACTTCGGGAAAGCAGATTTGAATAGACCCGGCAATTGAAGATATGACTGCAATATGCCTTGTTTCTCCTTCTCTCAAAAGAGGCAGAAATGCTTCAATGACTCTGATAGGCCCTAGGGTATTAGTGTCAAAAACTCTGTGATACTCTGAATCGGAAGTTTGCAAAAGAGCTGAACTACTCCCAACACCAGCATTCACCACCAAAACGTCAATTCCACCTGGTGCCAGAGTCCGAACTCTTGTAGCGCTTGCTTTGACGCTTGCAGCATCGGTAACATCTAGAGAAACCACCTGAACATTTTTATGGCTCTCAGTCCATTCTGAAAGCTCACTGGCCTGATCTGGATTTCTGGCTGATGTGAAAACCAAATTTCCTTCGCTCTGTTCGCTTAACTCTTTCACTAGAGCCAATCCTATTCCGCGAGTCCCCCCAGCAATAAAATAAGTCTTCCCCATTATGTTAAATATGAAACTGATGCGTGTGCAAAAATAGTGCGCCTAAATCAGTCATTCATGAGCACGATACATGTAGCCTTTTGTCTTTCTTATAGCCCTAGTTTTACCAATTGGTGGACTTCCGATCTCAGGAGAGATATCCGCGGAACGGAGAGTGATTTACAGATCCGCGGAACGCACCCAGTCGCGATTTAGTTGCTAACCGTTTGCTGCAAAAAGCAGCGGCCGCGACCAGCGTTTGCCCTTGGGCCTTGATTCTGTCCGCGGAAGTCTTGATTCTCTCTGACAAATGAGTTGATCTAAGGAAACCATTCCGGTAAGACGTTTAGGGCCTCAGTGCTTCTTCAGCTTTTTCCATTGTGTTGCAATTCATTTGTTGCCGACCCGGATCCTTGGGGGATTCCCGCCCTTGTTTGGACCTTGTTTGGCCCGTGTTTGGCCCGTGTTTGACCCGCTTTAGCCCGCGTTTCGCCCGCGTTGGGCGATTTTGGTACGTGAAACTAGCTCGAAAAGACCTCCAGCCCTTTGGGCTATCGAAATTCTGAGAGAAAGTAGCTTGCCATCTGGCTAATTTTCGGCCGCTGTTTACGTGTTAGTTCAACGAATAGATTTCTTCCATGTAGTTCTTTATTGAATCCACCTTTTGGAACATGGGCATAATTACGATCTATGAGCTACACTGAATAACGACGAAACTCGAATCAGGATCCTGACTCGATTGTTTATTGATGATACTAGCTCTACTTCGTGATAGATTGCACGAGTTAGGCTGCTGCGTTTGGAAACCCACTAGGTCATAGTGGGACCTCTCCTAATGAGCCGGGCTTATGCTACACATCTGTGTCATGTTTAGCGTGAACAGTGGCTCGACAAATGATTTACAATCACTGAGTCTACACTTAATCGAAAGCATAAAACCGTCGTTTTGGAGGACAGGTGTATAGGTTCAGAGACTATCATCAAGAACCATGCTTGAAGTAAAATAAGCGAAATCAGATGATCATACTGCTGACATACCAACCAGTCATCCGCCGTAAGGATCTTCCAAAAATTAACCAAGGTTTGGTAGATGTGATGATAATGAATTAACGCTATCGGTGAAACGTTGGAAAGAGATGGCGATAAGTGCTATCGCCAGTCAAAGTTCGCCGGTGGGAAATATCACGTGATCTCTGTGACATAACCTTACGGAGGCTTATTCGAATCGCGCCAGGAAGCCAGTGAAGTCCAAAGGACCCCACTGATGGTCGTGAGATCATTAAATTACGGCAATTAAGGCCATTGGGGTGACAGGCTATATAAAGCGAGATTTTTCGCTGCGTTACTCCGGGCTAATCATTTATTGATGATAGTGAGATTACAAGAATTGTATGATCAGCATTATGGAGGTCATATGCCAAGCTACAACATGCAAAGATATAAGTATTCAATACCGGATAAACTTCAATTCGAAGAATCACTGTGAATCAACTAAGTAACCAATTCGAAAGATTTTCGGTCGCAGGCAGTGGTGAACCTCAATAAATATGGTACACCATATACAAAAAACGGGCAAGAGAAGCCCAACAGCGGCAAGAAGCATATTCCAACATTGCAAGTCAAATGCGGGATATGAGAAAGACTGGCCCTGTTCACCAGCCATGTGACTTCGTTTTTGAGCACATCACGTGCTCGCCGCCCCCATCCCATATTTATTAAAGGCTTCTCCATGTCCATCTCTCGTAACTAGCATACACCGGTATCCGTCTCCCCACAAATCATGTCAACAGGCCTACCCGCACCATGGACCGTGAGGTTTAGCAAGTCCAAGCGCAGAGAATACTTCTACAACCCAGAAAACAAGCAATCGCAGTGGGAGGAGCCCGAAGATACCGATCATGCGCAGCTCAAACAGTATCTGGCCGAAAATCCGGTTAAAGTGCGCTGCCTGCAGCTCCTAATCAAGCACAAGGACTCACGCCGCCCTGCGTCGCATCGCACAGACCCAATCACAATATCCAAAGACGAAGCGCTCGAGGAGCTCGCCGCGTGCCAGAAGCGCATCGCTCAGGGCGAACGGTTCGAGGACGTTGCCCGTGAACGCAGCGATTGCTCGTCGTACAAACGCGGCGGCGATCTGGGATTTTTCGCGCGCGGCGAAATGCAGCCGCCTTTCGAGAAAGCTGCGTTTGCCCTCCGCGTTGGCGAAACGACGTCCACACCTGTAACTTCCGATTCCGGCGTCCATCTCATCAAACGGGTCGCATAAAACCTTACGTACCGCTACATACTCCAAAGCTCCCGGTTGTACGCCTCTGTGAGCGCAGGGTCCTCGCCGTACTCCTGTTGCCAGTGTATGAACCCCCCACGAAGTATCCAGATGCGAAACGAGGCAAGCTCATGGTCCGGCAACGACCGTAGAAACAACATCGCTGCGGCTGGTCCACGCTGCTGCGATTGCGCACAATGAAATACGCAATTGATGATCCCATCGTACCGATTTTTCAACCGTTCCCGCAGCTCTTTCACCACTGTCTCGTTGTCCCGAAGGTCTCGGTACGGGTAGTTCCAGCATTTGGCAATATGGCCTCCTATGTAATCGCTCCCGCGGGCGTCAATCACCTGGAAGGACTCGTTCTGGCTCGTTACACCCTGACAAATCCATTCCTTGAGCTCACGTGCGTCCAAGTACCGGATCGCAGCGACGGATCTTGGGTTCATTGCGCTGGGTTAGAGGTCGAAGTTCACCAAAACCCTTTACACGAAGGGTAATTTATATAAAGATGGCCTAGTTGAGAGACACAGGGAATAACGATGCACTGTGAAAGGACACGAACGGACTAAAATGGCAGATAACGAACGCCAGACGTCGTTCAAGGAACGAATTAAGAGCAGATCGCTAACGAATCTGTTCAAGCTGAATCGAAAGAGACCTTTTGAGCCCGAGGGCGAGGATTTGGCGTCAAATGAGTCGTCAAACGAGCATCGCAGCGATGAGGAGCATGAGAGGGGTACGAAACGTGCCAGAATTGCAGAAACTGGGTCAGGGAGCCAACAATTGGCACAGGCGGGTGTTGGCGAAGAACGAGAACGGGAACTTGATGCAGAATTGCCGGAAGAATTGAGAAAATATAGACCAAAAGGATACCGGCTTAAATTGCCTCCCAAGGGCAGAGCAGTGCGCGTTTACGCGGATGGAGTGTTCGATCTGTTCCATTTGGGCCATATGAAACAGCTGGAACAATGCAAAAAGACGTTTCCTGAAGTGACACTTGTGGTGGGTGCGGTCTCGGACGAGGTCACCCACAGGCTCAAGGGTCTGACGGTTTTGACCGACAAGCAACGTTACGAAACGCTGCGTCATTGCCGGTGGGTCGACGAAGTCGTCGAGGACGCGCCCTGGTGCGTGACCCTAGAGTTTTTGGAACAACACAACATCGACTACGTCGCGCATGACGACCTGCCCTATGCCGGCGCGGACTCCGAAGACATTTACCGCCCCGTCAAAGAGCTGGGTCGATTTGTCGCCACGCAACGTACCGAAGGAATCTCGACCAGCGACATTATCACCCGCATCATCCGCGACTACGACAAGTATCTAATGCGCAATTTTGCGCGTGGAGCGTCGCGTCGCGAATTGAACGTGTCCTGGCTCAAGAAGAACGAACTCGAGTTCAAAAAACACGTGAGCGACTTCAGGTCTTATTTCAAGAAGGGTCAGCATTCAATCAACCACGCGTCCAAAGATCTGTACTTCGAAGTTCGCGAAAGATTACTGCGTCAAACTTTAGGTAAGAAACTGTACTCGAAACTTGCGGGTCAGAATTTCCCGACCAACAAGACGATTCGCGACCGTTCACCGGCTTCTGATTTTGCGCGCACCTACACGGATGCGCCCTCCTCAGAAGAAGAGTCACATCCTCCTGATGATAGCTTCGATTCCGGTGCCAGCGACGCTGAAAATTCACAAAGTTCCACCCAGGAGTCGCACGAAGCTTCCAAGACCCGCAAACCGCACTTTAAAGAATAACGAATTAAATTAAGCTACGTAGCATTGGCTGGAAGTCCCATTTGGTTACCGGTTTGCCACTCATGTCACCATGTTCCATATCATTTTCCATCTCATTTTCTACCATTCTGTCATTAAAGAATCAGTCATAGCAGGCCTGAAAAATTTTCCTGTCATAAAGAGAAGACCAATTCTGACGTTAACTTAGCAGGTCCATCGAATCATTAATACCAATTGAATCGCTAACGATGGGGTTTCTAGGCAGGCAATCCTGCGTGGCAGGTAGAAGACAATTCAGCCAAACCAAGAACATTGGCAAGAAATTGAACAAATACTCCTACATTATCACGGAACCAAAGGACCAAGGTGCATCGCAAGCAATGTTGTATGCTACTGGGTTTAAAAAGACAGATTTTTCCAAGGCCCAGGTTGGCGTAGGTTCTTGTTGGTGGTCAGGTAATCCATGTAACATGCACCTAATGGATTTCAACAACAGAATCAGCGAATCTGTGAACAGAGCTGGTCTGAAAGCTATGCAATTTAACACAATAGGTGTTTCCGACGGTATTTCTATGGGTACCAAGGGTATGCGTTACTCTCTGCAGAGTAGAGAGATCATTGCGGATTCTTTTGAGACAATTATGATGGCGCAACACTACGACGCTAACATCGCTATTCCATCGTGCGACAAGAACATGCCAGGTGTTTTGATTGCTATGGGAAGACACAACAGACCCTCGATTATGGTTTACGGTGGTACCATCTTACCGGGGCATCCCACATGCGGATCTGCCAAGATTCCCAACAACATTGACGTTGTGTCCGCATTTCAGTCGTACGGCCAGTACTTGACAAAAGAATTCAGCGAAAACGAGCGCGAGGACGTTGTCCAACACGCTTGCCCAGGTCCAGGTTCTTGCGGTGGTATGTACACTGCCAACACCATGGCTTCCGCTGCCGAAGTCTTGGGTATGACTTTGCCCAACACCTCGTGTTTCCCCGCGGTGTCTAAGGAAAAGCTTGCCGAATGTGACTCTATTGGTGAGGCTATTAAGAAGACTCTTGAATTGGGCATCCTACCTCGTGATGTTATGACCAAACAGTCGTTCGAAAACGCCATTACCTACGTTATCGCTACTGGTGGTTCTACCAATGCAGTCTTACACTTGATCGCTGTCGCGCACTCTGCCGGTGTCAAGATTACTCCCGACGATTTCCAGCGCATCAGCGATAAGACTCCTCTATTGGGTGACTTCAAGCCTTCGGGTAAGTACTTGATGGCTGACTTGATGCACGTCGGTGGTACCCAAGCCGTTATTAAGTACCTCTACGACCAAGGTTTCATGCATGGGGACACTTTAACCATCTCTGGTGACACGTTGAAAGAACGTGCCGCTAAATGTGCTGGATTGACCGAGGGTCAAGACATCATCAGGCCTGTGTCGAGCCCAATCAAGCCTCAGGGCCACCTCCAGATCCTTTACGGTTCTTTGGCTCCAGGAGGATCTGTTGCTAAGGTTACCGGTAAGGAAGGTACTTTCTTTAAGGGTAGAGCTCGTGTCTTTGACGAGGAGTCTGCCTTCATCCATGCTTTGGAAAAGGGTGAAATCAAGAAGGGTGAAAAAACGGTTGTCGTGATCAGATATGAAGGTCCAAAGGGTGGTCCAGGTATGCCTGAAATGTTGAAGCCTTCCTCTGCTCTGATGGGCTATGGTCTAGGAAAAGACGTTGCTTTGTTGACTGACGGTAGATTCTCTGGAGGTTCTCACGGATTTTTGATTGGCCATATTGTTCCTGAAGCTGCTGAGGGTGGTCCAATTGGATTGGTCAAGGACGGTGACGAAATTGTGATCGATGCTGACAACAACAAGCTTGATCTTTTGGTTTCAAAGGAGGAGCTAGACATGCGTAGATCTCAATGGATTACGCCAGCACCACGTTACACCCGTGGTACCCTTGCAAAGTACGGCAAATTGGTCTCCAATGCCTCTCAGGGATGTATTTTGGATGGAGACGCATGAAGAAGTGATATTATAGAAAAAGCATTGCAAATTGAAGTTGCACCGGGTACAGATTGACCCGAACCTATTTATTAGTGACATTATGTATTGGTTCCGAAGAAATCAAGTCCATGGAATGGACCGGTTGAATACCTACTTACCATCCTCAGGAAGCCTCGAGGGATGAACGTGGTTGCCATATCGCAGAGGTCGTAGTTGTCAAGGCGCTGTAACGTGAAATAACGCTTACACGTGATCACTCTGTCCAGTTCTGGAAGGTTGTAGGAAACAAAGACTACGGACGGCAACTTAGCGAGAGACGTAGACATGCGCTTAGCAATATTGCCTATTAAGATTTGGATTAGAACGGCGCTCTCTCACGCATTAACTTATTGTGAGATGAATACTAATTTGTCACGTGACGTGATTCCACTCACAAACTTAGGTCTTTCTGAAGGCTGATGAGAGTAGCTTTCAGGAACTGGATACTTTTGATTTCTGTAATTGAGGTCGTTTTTCTTTATTGTGGAATTTCTGTTTGGAGCAGCGGCTTGCCGAGTATTTTAATTTTAACAATAACAATTAACCTTTCCTTGGTAATTTCTCAACCAATGAAGAATCAGTTTTTATATCACTAGGATGGATACTTTATAGTTCATTACTTTTGTGAAAGTAGTATGATGAAATCCTATCGTATAGTGCGGTTGAATTGAGGATATTATCGTATTAGTGGCAAACTATGATAATACATTTGCAGTAAGGGGCTCTGATGTAAATGGATTGATGAACTACTGAGCTCTCCTCATCTGCTGTTTCACTCGGTTTTCAAACCTTAGATAAGAATCAAGCGTCATCTATGCCCGGACAGAGCAGCTTATTTTGAACAAAAAGAAAACGAGTGCATGTCGCATAAAGAAGACCACATTGTTTCTAAGAAATTATCCATCATCATAATAGCCTTTTTCGCGTTATGGCTCTCACATCATTATGCTATTGCCCCTTTTTAAGCAATAATTTCGATGGATTATTTCTTATCACCACAGACTCAGAATACACTTAAATTCAGATCACTCTCTCACCAAAGCCTGATTGAATTTTTGAATTTGTCAAATCAGCGTTTTTCGCCGCAAGAAGTCGTAATATCGTCCATCTGAGGCTTTAGTGTCTTACAACAATTTCCATCAAAAACGCAGCATAAAGAGCCGGATTTCGCCCTGCAACGCTTTCGGCACTTTTAACAAATTGAAGCTCACTCCATCTAGCGATCTCTTTGCATGCTTAATTTTTTTTGGCATTCTATCTTGTCGATTCTCAAGAGATGAGATCTGTTTATATAGATGAAATTTTTCAGATGGGCATATTGATATTTGACCCATCTCATCTCATCGACTAAGACAAACGGAAACCTCTCAAACCCGTTGATAGAGGTCATGATTTCAAACGAGGCTATCTTCATAGGTGCCAACAAACAGGTGCAAGTTAGTGACTACCAGGCTGAGCGGCAATTAGTTGCGTTTGGTGCTGGCAAAACCATTGCATTATGGAACCCATTAGATTCAGAATATCGAGGTGTCTTTGGCACTCTCAAGGGCCATAACGCAGAAGTGACATGTGTTAGGTTTGTTACCAACTCAGATCTTATGATATCTGCGTCAGAGGACTCCGTAGTGAGGTTATGGCGATTCACTGACGCCCAAAAGGCCCAATGCATTCAAGTCATCGAACATCACAAACATTCTATTACATGCGTGACAGTGGATGAAAACGTTTTTGCAGTGGGTTGTGCGGACGGCTCTGTTTCTTTATGGGCCATTTGCAATGGTAAAGCAAATTTAGAGCAAGAGTTGCGCTGTCCGAAGGGCATCTTTCCACTGTGTTTGGCGTTGAAAGCAGTAGGAAAAAAGAATTTTATAATGGCCCTTGGTGGAACTGCTGCCAACGTTTTTGTTTACTCTTTTGACGTAGAAGGAGGTTTAAAGACATCGTTCCAACTTGCAGCTGAACTGGAAGGTCATGAAGACTGGATCAAAGCACTTGATTTTTATGAAGAGACGTCCGGTAACTTCATTTTGGCCAGTGGCTCACAAGACAGGTACATTCGACTTTGGCGTATAAAATGCAACAATTTGATAGGCGTTCCTGTCTATGAAGACTCAAAGCTAAAGCTTCTAAGCAACAAGCTGTATAAATTCAGCATTTCCCCAGGTTACGAGGTGGCAATTAATTTTGAAGCTCTGATCATCGGACATGATGATTGGGTCTCCAGTGTGCGGTGGCATCCAACTAAACTTCAGCTTTTGGCTTCGACTGCGGACACAGCACTGATGATATGGGAGCCTGATGAGCTATCAGGAGTGTGGGTATGCGCAACTCGTCTTGGAGAGTTATCTTCGAAGGGAGCTTCGACCGCTACAGGATCTGCAGGTGGGTTTTGGTCCTGTCTGTGGTTCAATGCTAATGGCAGAGATATTATTTTGACCAACGGAAAAACAGGCTCTTGGAGAAAATGGATATCTAACGATGCCTTGGGCTGGGATCAGGATGTGGGCATTTCTGGTGCCAGTCGGGAGGTAACCGACGTTGCGTGGTCTCCCAACGGGAGGTATCTTTTGTCGACGTCGCTTGATCAAACTACAAGGTTGTTTGCCCAATGGGTACTGTCAAACGGGCGAACAAGATCGGGCTCGTCGTGGCACGAGTTTTCAAGATGCCAGATACACGGCTATGACCTTAGATGTATTGAACCTATTACGACCACTAGATTTGTAAGTGGTAGCGATGAGAAGGTCATGCGATCTTTTGATGAACCAAAATCAGTAGCTCACATGCTGGAAAGGCTTTGTGGAATACCACTGGATAACGTTACCGGGATGCCAGAGTCTGCTTCTCTACCAGTACTTGGCTTATCAAGTAAAGCTGTTGTCGCCGGCGAGGATGAGGAAGGATTAGACCCTGATGAAAGAGAAACCAACGAGACGAAAAACATTTCTTACTCTGCAGTGTCAAGCTTAGACAGTCCACCCTTCGAAGATCAGCTTGGGCGCCATACGCTCTGGCCCGAGATGGAAAAGCTTTATGGGCATGGCTATGAGATTTCATGTATCGACGTGAGTCCAGACAGGAGCCTTATTGCTTCCGCATGTAAGTCAAACACTCTTCAGCATGCGGCCATCCGCATTTTCAGCACTGAGTCATGGTCAGAAGTTTGCCAGCCTCTTGCTTTCCATAACCTGACCATAACTCGGCTGTGTTTTGCCCCAGATAATGACCATATCTTGAGTGTAAGCCGTGATAGACAGTGGGCCATTTGGAAAAGAGGGCCTGATAATCACTTCAACCTCATTAACACAAACGAGAAAGCCCATACGAGAATCATCTGGGATGGCGACTGGGCACCAGCTGCTTACGGACGGCTTTTCATTACTGCATCGAGAGACAAAACTCTAAAAGCCTGGAAGTTGTCGTTAGAGAATGAAAATTACGAGCTCGAGAACACCGTCAAGATACCAGAACCAGTCACTGCTGTCGCTGTCCATCATGCACTTTTGGCTGGAAGGCTTCTTGTCGCTGTCGGTACCGAATCCGGAGCTATACTATTATACTTATACGACGGAGAGTTTAAAAATGTGCTGAAGATGGACTCCGTCATGTCTCCTGCGGAGAGGATTACGAGAATCAGATGGAACAATTCGTGCCATGCCAAGGATTACGTCTTAGGTGTATCCAGTGAAGACCATTCGTGTCGCATATATCGCGTACCAGAAGATGGCATAAAAAGGGAGATGGTATGATATGTCCCTAATGTCAATGATACGGTGTAATCAAACAATTTTCCATGACTTTAACCATTCGAGATGTTTATAATTGGTACCCCGCCCAGTCATCCCAAGTGCAACAGGAGACATGATGACAAAGACGTAAGTGGACAGAGAAAAGAGCAATAGGTATGCGGGAACCTGATAGCGCTTTTGCTTGTCTCTCAGAAAGTAGTCTACTAGAGATCCAAACTCTATTATGGCGAAGAATAACGCAGGAACATAATGGTGAACGTATGTGACTCTTCCCATGCCAACAAACGGCAAAAAATGCAATAGCCAAGCAATGAAAGGGAGGATATGCTGCACTGCGAAACAACTCAATTGATCTCCCGTAAAATATCTTGTCTGACGCTGCCACTGAATAAGGAAACAAGAAGCGACAATCATGAAAGTAACAATTGCGAGGGATGACAACCAAGTATTAAAGGGTGAGCCAAGTAGGAAGTATCTCACAGTGTGTTCCGACCATCCACACATTCTTAGGCCGACATGCAAAGTTGGCCATTCCCAAGCTTTGCTTTCAAGGACGTCAAACTTGTCAGGATCAGGAACAAGAGCATTGTTTGATAAAGCCATAGCGAAATTTGTTAGTACGAAATCTGTCCAAAATTTTGATTTAGGAGGCACGTAGCCCTCACTTTCGCGCATTTCGGGATTCCAGTGATCTTCCACATTCCACCACGTAGACTTGTCTCTCTTACTCCATGAATTTTTGCAGACTATTTCGGCCTGCTTGAAGCCCCACGTAGGATAAGAAAGACCTGTAGTGGCTAAATAGCATCCCAGCTCCTTATGTCTGAGCCGGAAACTGGAAGAAATCGGATGCAGAATATTAGAATTTTCCAGAGGAAAAGATGCATTAGCAGAAGTGAGTTGTTCGACAATTTCAACTATCCAGTCATCCTTTTCATCACCAACGACTTCATCACCATATCCAGATACCTCGTAATTTCCTTTAGAGACATGAGAAGGTATATCATGCGAATGCAAGTTTGCCCTGGTGTTTTTGTGAAAAAGTCTAATCTCAGAGTTATCAGTGATAAAAGACAATTCTCCCAGCTTTTCATTGTCGGTTTCGCCGCTTGTCCTAGCATGCTTGAAAATCCATACATTATTGTCGTCGGCATGGCCATAACCAGTTATTTGCCTTTGGCCTGATCCCACCGGATACATCTGGACGTGAGAGTGAAGAAGGTTGGGTGACAATCCGTGAGACCTGATTGACACTTCAGAGCCAAAAGCCACATTTCTTGGTCCAATATTGATTTTATTACCTTCAAAATTGACTTGTGCTAGCGTATTGGCAGAAGCATCGCCTGTTCCTGACTTGTAAAGAATCGCAAAATGAATCTTAAAGCAGAGAAGATAGATGGAAAAAGGAACTATTATCAAATTAACGATGCGTACCAACCAATGAGTATAGTAACGTGTCCGTGGCATGCTCGTGTCGCAGCGGTGAGCAAATAGGTCAGTAACTGTGTATATGCCGGCGACCAGTGTAACGAAGAGCCCAACCCACTTCACAGAACAAACACAGCCAATTGAAACCCCAAGTGAAAACAACCACAGGAACCACTTTTTAGTCAGTTGTTCCCTCCTTAGCCTGTGGATCTGGGTCAGGCAATAAAAAGTGGTAGCTGTGAAGAACAGCAGTATGGAGTCCAATAGAATGAATTTTGAAAGTGCAATGTATGAGAGCTCCGTGGCTACCATGAAACCGATAAAAAAAGAGCCCAATATGCTCAATTCCATGTTTCGAGCCGTGAAATACGCCAAGGGTGTGCAGAGGGCTCCAAAAATAGCATTGAATTGTCGCATGAACGTATAATTAACATTCTTAGGATATAGCTCACCCGAAGAGAATTCAAAATTTCCATCGAAACCTGCTAACTTTTCGCTTAAACCAATGAGCATCTTTCCAAGAGGCGGATGCACGTCGTGATAAAATTCATGCTTGATGTAATACATTCCAAATTTGCCAAAATGTGCCTCGTCCCAAACCACTGCGTTGTTGGCACCAATTCTGTAAAGTCTCAAATAAAAAGACAACAAAGTCAACGCTATTACAGCGACTACCGTTACAATCTTTCCAACACGCAATCGCTTTTTCGAGCTCCAATTGCCCGCCGGGGCTGATTTCTCACCTCTCCTAGAATTTCCGTCAACCTCATTATCTATCGTGCCTCGACCACCAGAACCCGGTTCCTCAAAATTCTTTCGACGATTTCTCAGATTAAGATCCGACGATTGTGGGAGGAATGCTGAGGATGCCATTGAACTGGATATACAATCTGTTTCACCTCACTCAACGCGAACTCTGGTCACGATTGGCATTTGAAGAAAGACTTTAATTTTCCGTCGGAGTTATACAGCAATTATCTTCTAGTACTCTGAACCTATAAAATTAATCGACGAAGGAGAAATTACCTTAATCGGGTCCAGTTCTCTGAACAACAGGACCAATTCGAGCTGTTGGATATTGGCACGGAAGGAATCCGCTATGTCTTAGAAGAACTTCGAAAAACGTGACAATTTTTGAAATGTCTAATTGGTTGAAGTTCCTCATATTTTATGCAGTTCCATAAGGCAATTTCTAGACGTTCAGTGTCTCCGAATTTTTCGTATATTTTGGATAAATGCCACCAGATTTCTGGTGAAAAGTGGGCGTCTATTGATTTCTCTATGGCTTCCTCGAGCATTAATTTCAAACGTCCGTAGGCGGCCGACTTGTCTCCGTCACCGTAAAAAGCATTCTCCTTCTTTTCCTCTCTTTCTGAAGCTTTGAGTACATGGTTGGAGCTGGCAGGTTCCTCTGGGTTGAGTAATCTTGCAAAACCAACGATTGCATCCGTGTTTAATTGATCATAGTAAAAAACCGTTTCAAACTCTGTAAGAGCCTTTTTGTGATTGGTTTTCAGCAGAAGATAGCCATTCGCCAGATTATTGTTAAGGTTTTTGAAAGTTCTCGTCACAGCAATGGATTCATGCAAAGCCTCTTTAGCCTCTTTAAGGTTTCCTGCCGCGTCATACAGCTTTGAAGCAAACAACCAAACAAACTGATGCAAATATTCTATGCTTTGATTATAGGCGGTACCCAAATTGTAATTGTGCTTCTCGCCGGTTTGGAAAAGAGCTTTGTACACCTCAAAGAGTTCAGGTAAAAGTTCGAGCGCATCCCGGACCCCAAACATGTCTTCTAACAAACTTAGCTGCGTGAGTTTCATGAAAATGAATTGCCAGCGGTCCTCCGTTGAAGTGAGCGTACCATTAGTGAGGGCTTCATTCATACCTTGCAGTACCGAACAGACAATTTTGAATGCAACATCTTTTTGTTCTTCAACGGACTCACATAGGGCAAGTAAATGCCAAGCGCGGTAGTCATTAGGCTCGACTTCCAAAATAGCCATCTTAATGTATTTCTTAGCGAAATTGATCTCGCGTTTCGTCGCTAAGGTATACGCATATTCAAATTTGGTTTGAGCGCAGCCTGGATTGGCAACCAGCGAGTTGGAAAGATAGAAACATAAGTCATCATTTATAAGCTTAACCAGATCGTCTTTATAATGTCGATAGATTACAGCCCAAGAATTCCCAAGAATGGCTGCGACGCGGCTTGACAGTTTCAGTTTGATACTATTGGAAAGCCAATCTAAGCAGTTGTCCTTATCGAGAAGGGGAAATGAATACTGGTCATAGAAATACTTCAGTAACAGTTCCATTTCTTGAATCGTTTTTGCAACCGAATAGACTTCCTGAATTTCATGCCCACTACAATACTCTATCACGTAATGGTATGAATGGAGAACAGAAATTATGTCGAAATACTTGCCCTCGTTTAAATGCCTATAGTTGTCATTGTAGTTCAAAAAATTGACAAAGTTCAAAATGCTTTCCTCATGCTTACCCACACGTGAAAAGTAAACCATGGCTGTCTTAGCAACGTTCATGCTTTGAAAGGTCTTTGCCATGGACGAAATGATAAAATTGTTCCATTCCAATGAAATATCGCCCTCCACTCTCTCTAGGTAGAACCGCAGAGCGACATGAAACTCTTCAAGCAGTTCGTGGTTGGATTCATCAGCTTTAGGGAATTTGGCTTCTTTCAGCAGAGCTCCACCGACTTTCAGTAACTCTGCGTCGTGATTCCGGTAGTCTGTGCAAATTGCTAAGTAACATGCCAATGGGGTCGAATGGAGCTTTCCGGCAGCATCTCCCCAATGTACTGGTACTCGTGATGCGATTGAGTCGAGGTAATGGAAAGCGATAGCATTCGAGTCTCTTGGGATGTGCTCAGCGACTTTACTAATGTCGCGCAAAAGCAATTCTTTCGGGCTCTCGCTGAGCAGAATTCTATAGTACAAGTTCTCGACATTGAGAAATGTGTAAAAGGCGTCAAAGGCCTTGTGATCATATGTTATCTGTCGTGCCAGTTTCAGTTGTTCTGTCGCTTTGTCGATATTTGACAGGTAAAAGTAGAGAATGCCAGCAATATTGCGCCATATCTTTTCTTTCAAGCCGCTCAGACTTCTTTCAACCCTTTTGCAGTCTTTCAACAGGATTTCAGCTACTTTCTGGTCCAGGTTGGATGCACTGCCCAAAGTATGGTAATGAAGTCTGTATTGAAGACTCAGTAGGTCATTCAATTGCTCGTCCTCACTAAAAAATGTTCCAGAGCCAACAAGACGCTTTTCCAAAGCTCGCTCCACACTCTCATGTGCGGATGTCATCCTTAGTACACAATCAGGATCTCAATTACAATCGACACTTGATTCAGAATGCACTGCTTCTCGAAATCCATTTAAAGATGTCAATAAACCAATCTCGTGTGGGAAAAAAGGTCACGTGGTAATTCTACTCGAGCCTTCAAGCCTTCGACATTACTATATATGATCGGTATTTAGAACCCTATGATTACGCCGCGATTTCGACTCGCAGGGCTCAGTTCTGAGCTCCTGGGGTGGTTGTTGTGGGCTTCTTTTTCTTCTTTTGGTTATCGATTTTCTCGACCTTGACTTCTTTGAGTCCTTTCTCCTCCAAAAGCGCATGGATGTAGGCCTCTACTTCGTCCATTACGTCTCCCTGAACAATAATTTCGTCCTTTTTCTCGGCGTTCTTGGATACGGAGCACCCAGTAGCGAATTTGGACGCAAAAGTCTTCGCGAGTTTCTTCATGTCGATCTCAAACACTTCCAGCCCAGATATGGCGATCATGCATTTACGCTTCGTTCTGGCTTCACGCTTGATGACCACTTTAGATGACAGCTTTTTCGCGAGTTCACGCTGTTCTTTGCTCTCTTGCTTTGCCTGCAGTTTCAGGAGGTCCTTCTCTAGTTTTTCCTCTCTTTCGCCACCGATTGACGATTCCGCAAGCTTTGCAGTAGCACCCTCCAAATCCGCTTCGTCGTACAACTTGGCGTACAATTGCCTATCGGCATCTCGCAGCCATACTTTGCATCGCTTGACTTTACCAGTAAATTCACAGTACTCAGGTGGGTAAGAGCACACTTCACAGTACACTACGTGTTTTAGTGGCATTATTCAGGGATCTTCAATAGCTCTTTGATGCGTTAGGGCGGGCCAACTTGTTAAATCTGGATGATCTTTAGATGGCTTCGATGCTCATCCAGCTCTATATCACTAGAGCGAAGAATCTTCAAAAGTCTGTCGTGCGATGTGATACTAGCAACCTCTTGACCAAAAGCATACATTTGAGCACCCATTTCATCATTCAAGTCCTAAGAATCACGTTCAATCTTCCAATCCAATTTAACAAAGTATATAAGCGCCTTCTTCTTGTGTGTTTTCTTGTTTTTTCGAATAATTTAAGTTGTTTTTCAAGGTTTCACACATTAATGAAGATGTCAGTTTCCTAACCGGAAGAAGCATTCGAATAATAGTTAGAATAATAGTTAAAACAACGTTGTATTTCGAATGGTTTGAATCAATCAGAAATTCGTATTAAATTTTGGCGCGGATTCTTATAAGTTTAAAACGCATTCTTTAGTTTTCCCAGCATTTTTTGAGTCCGTTGAAATTTTCTTACATAGCTATGAGAGAGAGGCAGAAATGTACGTCGCTGATAATTCCTCCTACTTCACTTTATCGTTCTTGGTCTCATTAAAGTCGTGAGCTTAGATTTCTGAACCTTTGGAATTCATGTGTATCTTTTTTATTTTTCCGTCACAGTGGTGTGGTGTCTTTAAAAATAAGAACGAGATACGTCTATCCAAACAATACATAAGAAACAAAAATGAAAGGCTTGCTGAAGTCGAACTCTGATATCAAAGGCACTAATGACACGAAGGAAATAGGGATGGGCACTTAATATAGCGCTTTCTACCATAGTAGAGATATTTCAAAAAAATTTCTAAGAAATGTAGAGCTCGCTGTATGCGAAACCCATATTGCTACTCATTTACGTATAAAAATACTTACCCAGATATAATTCAGTCATTGCTCACGGTGACATAATGGCTTGTATCATGTGACCGGAACACATACGGTAATCAAGATCCATCACCATTATTAGCGAATAGCGAGTACGATGGAGGCTGAGACCGGACACAAGTAAACAGCTCGATTGAGAGTGTTAGGAGCGGTTTATCTCATTAGCTAAATGTCTGAGAATGTTGGCAGGAAGAAATCACATAGATGGGTGAGTGCTTCGAGAGCTGCGTATGATGGATCCGGTTGGAACAGCGATGACAGCAGCGATGACGGACTTGACCGTGACGCGAAAGAAGAGGTGCACGAGTTGCCCAATCTACCCCGAGAAATTAATACCAGCGAGTTAGAAACAAGCCCTGATCTAAGGTCAAGCTTGCCGACCACGGGGGGCACCCCATCGCCGCGTTCTTCATTGGACAGAAGGCGCACGACTTCTCCAGAACAAGTGAGCAGAAACCTGGACTCGCTCATGAATCAAATTTCCCGCGAAATGACTCCGCAAAGCACAAATAACGCGCGATTTCCATCAAATGACGAGTCGCTTACGCCGCACCAGTTTTCTCATGCATCCAAGCGAATATCGAGTTACGTAGACGGCAGCTTAGGCGAGTCTGACTCTGAAGATGATGATCAACAAGAATCTGGCTCCGATGAAGAATTTAAAGTATCCAAGACCGGATATTTTGCGAATTATTTGAAAGCAGAGGAACCGGGGGACGAAGGCGATATTCAAAAGCTACAGTTGGGCAGTTCAGCTTTAGCGCCGGAATATCATGTGTTCGGTGAGAGTGCGGATGCCTCTGCTACTAGGAATAGCATATCGTCACAAGGTTCTGTCATGAGGCGCTTTGAAAATTCGAAGAGCTCGCCAGACAAGGAAGCATCATCCGTGAGTAGCGCGACCAGTGGTGATAAAAGTGTCAGAATGGAACCAGAGGCAGAAGAACTTCGTGAAGCTACCGTCCCTAGACCCACAGAAGCACCGACCCAACAACCACCTCAGGAAGATTACGACAACGAATCATTGTTCAATCAATATGAAAGACACAGTGCGTTAAGTTCTCCGAGTGAGAAAAGCGAATTTAGGAACTCTGACGTTGACTCCCCGCTACGGTCATCACGAGCTCAAGCGTCCTCTGAAATTTCACTGAATAGTGGCAGCGGTTCCTCGGGCCAATATGCCAAGCCTGGTTCGGATTTGAAAGGCCAAAATGAGGATGAACCCTTCAAATTTAAAGCGAGGGACAGACAGTCGATGCTCGATAGTAGTGGTGATGAACACGACTTTGGACCATCAAGCTGTTCCGATAGCTCCAAGAACACGGAAACCTTTAAGGAGGATAACGATTCGACGTTCATGGAAAAAAACGACCGCAGGAGCGGTGACGATTCAGATGACAATTTTGAAGATGAAACGTCAACAGAAAGTGACGATAACTCCATTACGAAAACTATTCATGAGGGAGCGCTTACTCCTACTGTTGATGTGTATGCAAATTTTTCGGCCAATGCAGACAAGGCTAGCGTGGGAAGTGGTCAGGAGCAAAGCTCAGAACCTGCATTAAACCGCCAATCTATCAAGTTAGACAAGTGGCAACCAGACATAGACTCCCATCGGACTGCATTTCTGCAAGATAGTACCCCCAAACCACCACAAGGTTTCGTTATTGATGAAAATGGAGAGATGGTAAACCTTACACCATCTTCAATGAGAAATAATGTATCCACAGTCGACCAAGGTGAATTGGAAAGTCACTGGGAAGCTTTTCCCTCGACTGATGAACAAAATGGTGACCTTCAAACTATTACAGATACGAAAACAATTTATGATAATCAAACTGCGTTCAATGTGCCTGGTATTCTCACTACGGGCGACAATTTACCTCCCTTGCCAGACGTTTCCGTGTCAGATTCCGATAAAAGCAAAACGATTACAAGCTCTGATTCCATTTTGAAAAAACTGGAAGGCAACAAAAATCGACATGACTCCAATTTCAAAGAGAGCTTCTCTGGCCGTGAACCGAAAACGGCCGAGATTGCACAACTCAATGGTCAGCCTGTCCCTGAACTAAACGTGAACAGCATAATAAGCGCAAAGAGTTCAACTCATAAGGCCAAAATCACGAAATTAAAAGATTATTCCGGTAGCCTCGAGGAATACGATTCAGGTTTACAAAGTTGGATCAACTACGCACTCAAAACATCAACTTCCGATAAAGATTTTATATTCCATGACTACTCGGTCAACTCGCACGTTCGAGACGCATATGCCCACGCTGATGAGTTGAGTAAAAGGGTCACCGTGAGCAGCACTGTTGCCAACGTGAACCAGAACGTTTCTCATTTGAAAAGGAAAGTGTTTTCTCATACCATGAAAGAAAAATCAAAAGGTCTGTTTTCTTCTATCGGGAAAAAGCTTTGATATTATAACAATTATTTAGATGCATTAGCTAGTCTTTTTTGACCATGCCTTCTTAACTCTTTATCCATGAGTTCTCTGACTCTATGTGCACCGGCAATTCCAATAGCAAGGACGCTTTCAAATCTATCCAGTGGAATTTTGTCCTCGACAAGAAGTAAAGAAAGCTTTTCAGATTTCCCAACGACTGCTAGCGTAACACTGCTCATAGCATTTTCTTCCAATGAGTTCATATCTAGAAGCGGCGTGGTATCGTACAGCCCGACGGAAACACTGCTAATGTAGTCGTACATGGCAATTCCGGCATCTATTAAAGCTAGCGTGATGCCGTTAATCAAGCTGCTCATGAGACCACCGTCTTGTTGAAGCACATGAACCTGGATATCGATAGATGTACGAGGATACAAATGTAACATCACGTTTTTCTCGAAAGTTCGCACAAGTGCCGTCTGCATTTCGAGAACTCTTCTTTCGTTTCTATGACTAGCCTTACTTCTCTCCATTCTGGAAAATTTGGTGATATTCAAATTGACGGAAACTGACGCATGACTGAAACTTGCCTGTGAACGTAACCTGGGTTCTTGTGGTCCCGTTACCAGTGTAATGATTTTGTTATTTCCTTGTTCAAGATACGATGAGCCGTCCGCAGCATCGGGATGCGTATTTATTGAGCTTTCAAACCTTCTCAATTCGTTCCAACGACGACCATCTAGTCGCAAACCCTCTGGAGAGTAGATTTCAAGTCTTGACATCGAATCAAAGTCCAATACAGGGTCTCTGTTAGTGATGAAACAAGTGTCAAATTCTACCAGTCAAATTTTGAAAAATGTCAATTATCTTGATCTTGCAGTAAAGAAATGTATATAAGAGAAATCCATCAAACAGTACAAGCCAAAGCGCCTATATCAATTCTATTTAAGCCAGAAAATGCTACTCGGATTTCTTGACCTTAAGGGAATGATTTCTGATTCTGTGATCTTCGACCATTTGACCAAGAATCCATATATTGCTGATGAAGAAGGAGACCGACGCGACGAAAATATTGAAAAAAACGTTCTTGCCCTTGAATTCTAGTAAATATGCTTGTGATAGCCAGAATGCCTGGGATGCGACCCACAAGAAGAGCATAAACAGACCTTTCTTGCGTGAAATTTGCGTGTCTTGAAGGTAAAATGGTAGAAATGTCAAGTACCAAATGAAATACTGGGAGGTGCATACTTTGTTGTAGGCGACAAATGTAAAGGTCTGGAAAAATAGGATTGACATGAGATCGCTGAGACTGGCTGTGTTGTCGAGCAAAAATGACAGCGCTATCGTAACAGCAGCCTGTGGCACAAATGCGAGTTTTGGCCAAGAACTCTGCTTCAGCGTCGCAGAGTCTAGGTATAAGAGCATGTTCCAGAGGGAAAAATTGTGACGATGGTCAGTGCGGTAGAAATGGTAGAGGTACGCGTTGTCTAGATACTCGTATCCGTAGAGCTTGTACATCCAGAATGTTAATGCAGCTGCCGTTGTTGCAGTGGAAATACCGATTTTGATCAAGTTCTTGAACCAGGACGACGAACGTGAGCGTGTCTGGTAAATAAAAACAGCAATGGGTAAGCAGTACATGACCGGGTACAGTTTGAAATGAATTGAAGTCCCATAGGCGATTCCAGCGGCTACGAAATTGTCAATTTTCAAGAAATACATGGTTAGTACTACGAGACAGCAGACGACGCTTTCTGCATTACCACGAGTGCTGATCGTTATAACCATGAAATTCAGTAACCAGAGACTCGCGAGCAATTTACGTCTTCGCTCAGAAGTACAATCCAGTAACACCACGATCAAAATCCCTGTCAAAAGGTCAAACCCAATAAATATCATCTTCCCGAAATGAATCCACTTAAAATAGTGATTAGGAACCAAAAGCCAGCTCAAAAGGGGTGTGTATCGGTACGTATCCCGAAGAAACGGTGATTGCAAGTAATACGCATATTTGGCAGCGTCATTAAAGACAAAGTAGTCAATATCAGTGTACTTGACTTCAAAATGGGCATCTTGGTAAATTCCGTATAGGAAAAACCCAATCCTAAGCGTAAAAGACCCCAGAAAAAGGGCTATAGTGGACAATTCCATGACTATCAACGCATAAGAAGTTAAACCCTGAGTACGGTTCTATTTCCCACCTTTTTAACGTTCAATTGAGTCCTTGATGATGATAATTATTTTCTGAAATTTCAATTTCAAGAATTGTTCGGATTCACTTCATATTCAACCGTCGATTCCGTCGCAGAAGAATGGGTGACCAGGTACTGAGCTATGACGAGTTAGTAGAACATATAGTGAGTAATCGACCGGTTCCCAATATTGTAGAGGTACCCAACTTAGCCCTCGATGCGTCTTTGAGAACTGAGTCCCAATTGAAACCCAGGCCGAAACCTTGGGAAAAAACGGCTTCAACAGAGTCAGAGCCCGCTGAGATTGATCAGGACACTTCGAAAGATGAAACGGTGACTTTTCCGGTCGCTGAGGCCACAGTTTTTGCCCGTAATGAGAGTTTTGACAGTTTATCGAAATATTACGCTATAGAATCGGAATTTGAAAAACACTTGGAACAGTTTTTCGATAATGGGAATGGGGACCCTCACGAATCGGGTTAGGTCTGGTAGGTTTTTTTCCGGAATTTGATTTTATGACTTCATGCAAGGTTTGCATATTCACATGGCATCTATATCTGTTTATCCTCTTATGTACAAATAACATGGAATAGTGGTTAAGGTTTAGCACCGCTCGTTCTGAGCACGAATTCGAACGCGGCCAGCGCGGCGGCGTTGGCCGGGAAACTTCTCAAGAAACTAGGAACAAAGCCTTTGAAAAACCCTTTGACGCCTTTGGATCGGTAAATGTCATAGGCCGCCATGCGCCAAGATTTGAAACTTCCGTCATATTTGTCGTTGCATAGGATGACTTGTTTGATCACGTCGCTCGGATACGCAGTAGTCCAGAATCCAAATGACGCACTGAACCCACCAGACCAAAAATTGATTGCAGTGTCGCTCAAATGGGTGTTTTTCTTGAACCATCGAGTCAAAAGCTCGTAGGACCCCCACCAATAAACAAAATGGGTTCTGAAAATCAATGTACTAATCAACCCTTTGTAGATGCCTCGAATTCCTTGTAAACCGTAAACTTTCTTGATTACATCGATTGGACCCGTGTACTTCGTAGTCTTGGCATCGTATTGTACTTGAAGTTTGGCTTTTGCCAGTTCTACAGGAGCAGCGATAAAACTGACAGACCAACCTGCCATGACACCACTAAGAATGCACCCAGACAGGGGTAATTTGGGATCGTCTCGATACACATATTTTTGAAGAAGCATCCTGTAATTGTGCAAACATCCCAGCATCACCGAATCCATCATCACCCAACCAACCAATGGAGGAGTAAATCCCAAATAAAACCCACGGATTCCTTGTTGACGGAAAGTCTGGTAAACACAGTCCAATGGACCTTTAAACCTTCCACTTTCTTGCGACGTTTGAAGCCGAACTTTGATCGTGTCGAATGGATGCCCTACTGCATTTTTGGCAATACCGGAAAACATGCCCGAAACAAACCCCATCACTCTTGAATACGCCTCATTGGGACTTGAATCACTAGATTTAGTGGTCCCAGACATTCTAGAAATCCTGTACTTTGTAGTTAACGTTAAAGCTCTTGTAGATTGTCATATGGAAATTTTTCGGACGATGTGATGATCCGACGGTGATGAGGGTGGTGATGTTCCGATGGTGTTGATGGCTCCAATTCGAGTCGCTTCGCTTCGTTTCTTCGCTAGTGAGCTTCGTCATCTGTTTCACGCTTTCAACCAGTTGTGCAGCTAGTAACTCCTCCACCAAATCTCTTGGCGTGTCGTCAATGTCTGTGATGAGCAGTGATGATGAACTTGATTCAGGCAGTAACTCGATGAAGTACCTGAAGGATCAACCTAAACCGGCTCTTGAGCTTGTAGAACGTGAGATATTAGTTTAACTGAAGTCTCTATATGTTAGGACTAGGATTCTGGTGATAGTTGGATTTGCTCATTTCAAAGCTCTGTGCTTAGCCAATTTGCCAGATTTGAGCGTCTTATTCATTGGAAGCGGTGGAAGGAAGGCGCTGCACATATCGAACACCTGTATTAGGTGCAATTGAAGCGATTACAGAGAAACGAGCTTGATCTGTAAGATTCGCATCCTCTCTTATGTCTCATCGGTATCTCATCTCTTCTAGGTTCCAGATCTTAAAATTCAATAGAGCACCCGAACAGAAGACATCAAACCAGGTAAAAGACAATGGTCGAGGCTGAACGGATGCCACGTATGCAAAGACAACTCGCAGAGTTGGTGCTTTGTGTGGGCAAATATATGGTAAATTTGAGTTACTTGGCGTATTATATCGAGAATTGTGAACGGGACGAAACTATGAGTGGAGACCGAACAAGGTCAGAAACGCTTCAAATGACGGTGATGATTGCGAGCGCGTTCCGAGTCCATTTCATGCGACTCTTGGAAATTCGAGATTTGTCCATTGTCAAGCATTTGGTATCAAAAGAGCTACTAGAACGTGTACATCAATACAGCAGAGAACTCGAAGTGGAGATTTTGCTGTTGCGAGACGCAAAGACGCGCCATTCAGGCGTCGTTGAGGACGCAATTTCCAAAGCACATGCTAAATTGCCCGTGCAATTACGGAATTGCGTTCTGGGATTGGCACATATCCATTTATTCGTGCGTAAACTGCCACTCGAGCCCAAATTCGAAGTTTCTGACAAGCAGTTTAGCGTGCTGTCTCGTGAACTTGAGCAGGACATGCTAGCACCTTGGCGTGCACAACTTAACGGACTTCGAGCGCAGGTCGCAGTGTTGGTAACCCAAGACGCACAAATTATGCGCAAATACAAAGAATCTACTGTACCACGTTCAGAAAACGTGTCTGAGGGCGAGTCAGCGCAAAATGCGTCGATAATTGCTTGGCTTCAGACCCAATTGGGTGGAACTGAAATCGATACTTTGTCAACGGCATAGCCTTGAGGGAGCGTTAAGTGAGCGCGAACTACGAACCAAGGCAAATGGTCATCTAGCTACGCTAAAGAGTTCCAGAAGGTGGGAATGTGAAGGCGAAAGCTCTCAAAACCATCACCACTCGAAGCCGAGGATCAAGTTAAATAATCGTAACGCACGGAATTCACTGTTACCCATCTACAACTCACTTTCTCTCCAAGCCAAAAATGTCCGAAATCATGCAAGAAGTACAAAAAAAGCTGACTTTCCCGATCGATTTTGCCAGTCAGCGTCGAGCGGACACCTTGGTTTTCCGGGTACTTCTTTTCGGTACCATTACAGCATGTTTTGTTGGGTTTTTAACACAATCTGTGGTTAATTTGGTGTGGTGTTTTGGAATTAGTTACTTCCTGAGTCTATTGGCAGTGCTACCTAGCTATCCATGGTACAACAAGCAACGCCCTACTTGGGTCAAGACAAAAATCGGGTCATGAACCACCAATAGCATTTTGCCCCTTCTTGCTCAATAAGAAGCATTACCACCGAACAAGCATTATAAACAAAAGATTTACTACTACGATCTCATGAGATAGTAACAAATGTATATGTTAGATAGCGTCGTGACGATTACATTGACATGGTCTTTTGAAGGATTCGTGATCGAAATCTCTCGTGATCCGACAGATAAGAGAGAAACGACGAAGAACAAAGGAACTTAACTTTTTACCAACAACATCGAAAGTCGAATTTGAAGGACCAAACGGAACCGATGGCCGACACCTACTATCTGGGATTTGATTTATCAACGCAACAATTGAAATGCTTGGTAATTGACCAGAAACTGAAATTAATTCATTCAGAAACAGTGGAGTTTGATCAAGATCTTCCGCATTACAACACCCATAAAGGTGTTTACATCCGTGAAGATGGTTCCATAGAGTGTCCAGTGGAAATGTGGCTAGAAGCTGTTGACTTGGTTTTCCTAAGAATGTCAAAACGGGAACATTTGGATTTGAAACTAGTTCGCGCTGTTAGTGGGTCTTGTCAGCAACACGGTTCGGTTTATTGGACCTCAGAAGGTCCCAAAATGCTTGAAACATTAAATCCAAAGTCTTCACTCAAGGATTTGCTATTCCCATCTGCTTTTTCCCGACCAGTGGCACCCAACTGGCAAGATCACAGTACCGGTGAAGAATGCGAAGCGTTTGAGAAAAGTTCTGGCGGACCACAACAACTGGCACAAATTACCGGTTCCAGGGCGCATTACAGATTCACGGGTCCACAAATAATGAAGATCGCACGCAAAGAACCAAAAGTTTACCGCAACACGGCCAAAATTTCGCTCGTATCTTCATTTTTGGCTTCTTTGCTCTCTGGTAAGTTCACCAAGCTTGAAGAAGCAGATGCATGCGGCATGAACTTGTACGATATTGAGAAACGAGACTACGATGACAATCTTCTATGCAATATCGATGCCAATGTCGCCGATGTTCGTGAAAAACTTGGTGGTGATCCTATCCCGTCGGACAAAGTTGAACCTGTGGGTCACATTGCATCTTATTTCATCGAGAAATATGGGTTGAATTCGAAATGTGAGATATATCCGTTTACTGGAGACAATCTCGCTACGATATGTTCGTTGCCTTTGCGGAAAAACGATGTTCTTGTTTCAATGGGCACTAGTACGACCATCTTGCTCGTTACCGACCAGTACCATCCTTCTCCCAATTACCACCTGTTCATACATCCAACTCTGCCTGGTCACTATATGGGCATGATTTGCTACTGTAACGGATCCCTCGCTCGCGAACGTATTCGCGACCAACTCGACGGCAACCACGACTGGAAACTCTTTAATGAAGCGGTCCTTTCAAAGACATTGAACACCGATAATGAACTAGGAATCTATTTCCCGTTGGGAGAAATCGTGCCAAGCGTTCCAAGCTCATATCGCAGGGCGACATTTACAAAAGACGCAACTACGGGTTCTGTGACACTCAACTTGGTCGAAAATTTTCCCAGTGTTGCTCATGACGCTAAAAACATTGTTGAATCACAGGCTTTGAGCTGCCGTGTACGCATCAGCCCCCTTCTTTCAAAAGACTGTGCCGATACTACCTACCACCTCGGACAAAATACAGTACACTTTGATTACGACAATTTCGAGCTTTCCGAGTATGCCAAGCGTCCCCACAGGGCTTTTTTCGTTGGCGGTGCGTCCAAGAACGACGCGATTGTTGATCGTTTCGCCGAAGTGCTCGGTGCGTCCGACGCCAATTTCCGTCTGGAAACTCCGAACTCATGTGCCTTGGGAGGTTGCTACAGAGCCTTGTGGTCGCATCTATTCTTCAGCAAGCAAACAGAGACTAGTTTCGACAAGTTTTTGGACAAGACTTTCAGATGGGGAACCGATGTCCAGAACTTGGGCATGGGTAGCAAGGAAATGTGGCAACATCATAATGAAAAAATAGCTGTTTTAAGTGCACTCGAAGCCACTCTATGATTTGGCAAGGTTTGCCGACAGATCCCATTTTTATGACTTTTATGACTACACAATTCCAAGACTCTCATGATACAGTTTTATATGTCTTCAAAAATCCCTTATGTCGCACAATTGAGGACCTTTTTGAGAGCCAAAATTTGACAGACCAAGTATATACTTTTTTATAAATTATCACCGAAGCGTGTTCTGATTTTAGTCTGCTTTTGTAGGGGGTTTCTTGTTTTGTAGGTGGTGATCTTCTCATCATGATCTTTCCTAGATCTCTTGTTAGTCAAAAAATTAATGCAAAGGTTTCTCACGTTTAGGAACTAAAATAACTGAAAAGGATAAGGAGGGCTTCAGTTTCGTTACGAGTTGAAACATAATTCTATAAAGATGTTAATGAGAGGATTGATTGCCCGCAAACAGGTTCGATATCTGACCATTTTAAGACAATTCCATGCCCAAAGAGCCCTGTTGAAGGCGGAGGCCTTTCTAATGCCAGCAATGTCTCCTACAATGGAACAAGGTGGTGTGGTTGAATGGAAATTCAAAGTGGGCGAACAATTTTCTGCGGGAGACGTTTTATTGGAAGTTGAGACCGACAAAGCCCAGATAGACGTTGAGGCGCAGGATGACGGTAAATTGGCCAAAATTTTGATTGACAATGGTGCCAAAAATATTAAAGTGGGCGAGCCTATAGCTTATGTCGCCGAGCCCGACGACGATATCAACAATTTAGAATTGCCGCCAGTGCTATCCCCGAAGAAAGTGGAGTCCAAGAAGCCAGAAGTGCAGCAGAAGTCGGAAAACAAAAAAAGTTCAAAACCAGAGAAAACGAAGGCAAAGAAAGATTATGGTAGAACATCAAAGTCCTCTGTGCTAGTCGCTCCGGATCAATCCCAAATTTTGCTCCCTTCGGTACAGATTCTTTTGCATGAAAAGCAGATATCTTTTTCAGATGCTTTGGACAAGATACCAGCTTCGGGACCAAATGGGAGGCTTTTGAAAGGCGACGTTCTTTCTTATTTGGGCCAAATTTCAGAAGGCGCTGTTGTAAAAGTCGCTGAGTATGTCAAGAAGGGAGAAGCTCTGGACTTGTCGAATATCGAGTTGAAAAAGCCAGAACCCGCGCAACAACAACCATTGAAGGCAGCCAATGTCAAGCCTGAGCCCGTTATCGTTCGTGAAACTTTCAGATTGAAAACGTCGCCTAATGTCAGCTACGATCAACTGGTACGCTCACTTAAGTCTTACATTAGCGAGGCCAAGTGGATTTCACACCGCCAGCCGATGTCCAATCCATCTTCTGAACTTTACGATGAAACTTTCGAAGAATTGATGGCTTCTGAACCTCGTCAGCCTAGGTTTTCTGTCGAATACCAACTCACTCCAGTTTCTGGTCCTCAAAACGTCACTGCCGGACAAGATGACATATTTGAACTGCTGGCCGGGAACGCGCCATTAGTTGAGAAGAAACCTGTACAAGAGCAGGAAGCATTCAACGAGTTTGTTCTATGCTTGAACGTGTTTATTAGCGATCGCTTCTCTGATGCGGAAAAGAGGGCTCAAACGTTTGTCGAGTATGTACGCGATCTGGAGATATGTTCTGAGAATACCTGAGGCTCAACCTTGATAATATTAATTTACTTTGCTAATTCAAGATCATGACAAGCGCTAGTAGACAAGGCTCTAACAAAACTCTATCTTGTTTATTTAAATTGATTTAAGTCATGATCTCGTCAATTTTAGAATTGGAAAAACCCATGGTCTTCCAAGAAGAGGACCACCTTTTGTACAATGTGAGAAATCTTTTCGTCACCAGCGCCAAGCTTGATGGCGGCCCTCTCGGAGGTGCCCAAGTAGAAAGAGTTGGTCTGCTCTGCAGCGTCTTTGAAGTCTTGAGGAATGATCAAGCCAGCACCGCTTCTGATAAAATCAGGCACCAATTCGACCACGTTTGGGTCCTCGATGTGGGTTAAGACCTTGATGTGCCTTGCACCACCGAATTGCAAAAATGTGGACAACAAGGCAGTGCCGAGTTGAGATGCATTGGGCAAGCCTTCTTCGAAAACGATCGCGAACCCCTGCTGGGCGCGAGGTGGGTTAGATTCCCTCAAAATCTTGACGACTTCAGGGTACGAGAACCATTCTGGGATGGCGCCGCCATCACGAAGTAGACGCCTCAACTCTGTACCGCTGATGTTCAAAGTCTTGGTAGTCGACAAGTCGATCTGGTCAATTGGAGCGTAACGGTCTTCTTCCTCTAAGTACGTAACCATTCTGAAGGGAACAACCTCGATGCCCAATTCGTTCTTGTAAGTCTCTACGAGCTCCTGGGCGTCGTATGGGCCGTAGAAATCAGTGCCCTTAGAATTTTTACCGGGTCCTGCGTGGTCGCGGCCCACAATGAAATGAGAAGCGCCGTAATTCTTACGGATAATGGCATGCCACACGGCTTCACGATCACCACCCATACGCATCGCTAGTGGAAGTAACGAAAGCTGTGCCATACCGCTTGGATATCTCTTGATGATCTCTTGATAAACACGCACACGAGTGTGGTGGTCGATATCGCCCGGTTTCGTGAGCCCAACTACCGGATGAATCAGAATTTTAGAGTTTCTCTCACGTGCGGCTCTCACGGTCAATTCTCTGTGGGCTCTGTGCATTGGATTACGCGTCTGGAAAGCCACAACACGGTCCCATTGCTTAGTCTCAAACTCGTTACGCAGCTGCGCAGGCGTCTTACGCAGCCCCGTGTAGTCGTAATGGTGTGGAAGTTGGATGGCCTGCAATTCACCACCCACGTAGTAGTCGCCGGCGGAATCAAGCAAATATTTGATAGCTGGATGGTCTGGATCGCCGCGGAACACGTGCTTGGCTTCGACTTGCTTGTCCGGCTTGTAAACATCAGAAACGGTCAGAATCGCGATTGGAATCTCGCCCTCTTGCAACAGCACGATACGAGTACCTTTGCTGAGCGTTTTGGCGAAACTTTCAGAGACGTCCAGGTTGATTGGGATCGTCCACACGAGTCCATTGGCAAGCCGAGAATTGTGAACGACACTTTCGTAATTTTTCTGGTCCAGGAACCCGGTCAACGGGGAGAACCCACCGTTTAGAATCAATTCCAGGTCACAGATCTGTCTTCCGGTTAGGGACCAGGTCGTGGGATTGGTTTCAGTTTCTTTGATGAGATCGTCTCTGATGCCCGCATCGCGAGCGACAAGGTCTTGCAAAATACCACCGTGGGGGGCCACCATTATTTGAGTTGGTTCGAGATCGGGTTTCTAGCAGTGCCAATGTGGTCAAAAGCGTCCCATTGGGTGGTTGGACATGCTTATATATGCTGGGTGGGGCGGGCTTGAATTCGCTCGGTAGGCTTACTTTCGGTTTAAAGACGTCAAGGTGTGGCTGAAAATAAATCAGAGCACGTGACTTTTAAAATTTTATACGTGAAAAGCGATGACACTACGGGCTCAAGTCACGTGACTCCATACACCAGAAATGGTTTCCACATGCGAGTCGAGTAGGTAGCTTTGAGTTTTTTCGTCGAAAATGATTGTCTTGGATTTTTTACCTAATTAATGTTTGAAAGGTTAGGTTAGCTTTCACATGGAAGGTCCAAAAATATGGTGGTTGTAAACGCCTCTGGAATTGGAAAGAGAAAATTTGCCAAATCACTTTTCTCCTCGAGCATTACCTGGAGCATCGTGTGCGGCTCAAGGTTCTAAATTTTCAAGAGTACCTTTTAAGGTACAAATATGGCAACTGAACAGTTCGTCGTTCGAATGACCGCATGGCAAGCGGTCCTCAACGCAATTTTCTATCTGGTAAAGGAAACGAAGCCCGGCAGAAAAAGAACAAACAAGGTTATTGACGTCTGCCACCGTCGGTAGTCGATAGGTTCTTGAGCTGTTTATTTAATTCGTTCATGTTTAATTCACATAATAACGCAGATAAGATGTGGAGTACTTGTGTCTCTCGGTCTTAATTCAATCCGTCGTCGCGATCACGTGGTACTGCAACTTGGCGGATTCCTGTCTCGCTATCTCCTTCCAACAACCACCCCGGTGAGCCCTCGTATAAAGTTGTTGCACACTCACGTGACCCTTATTCCCCCCACCCCACAAATCTCGCGGCCCACCAGGGCCACAGCATCGTCGTACCCCCGGCCACGGCCAGGGCCAGGGCCGTGGCCCTGGCCCAGACTCACAAGTCCGGCCCACGGTTCCGTCGCCCGGCATCACCCGCCGACCCCGCGATCCCGCCTGTGCCGCCCCTGGCTACGAATATACGACTACACATATATATCCACAACTATATATATGGGCACCACCCTTCCAGTGTCGCCTGGCCTTGGCTCCGTGCCCAGTTCATCGCGGCTCCACGTCGACGTACCCCCACCATCCCCCACCACCCCCCACCCAAAACCACACAGACCACCTGACCCCAGACGCATGACTGCCACGTGACCCCCTCCCCCGGTGACGTACTTCTCCCCGGTGTATGGGCCCCGAACTAGAAAAGCAATACGACATTTCCCAATCACCCTGCACGGCGCATCCCGCTTCCATCCGCTTCCGGTCGCAGCTTCCTGGGGCGGCGGATGTTGCAGGCGGATGGGAAGCCGCCCCAGGAAGCCGGAAGCCGCAGTCCCCGCCGCTTTCTGCGCGATGCCCAGACGGCGGTTCTAGAGCACGCCATGCTATTGTCCGCTGAGCCCAAGCGTCGTGCGTGGCCCATTGCGTTTGTTTAGGCAGGGCCAGCAAACCGGCGATTCCACAGTGACAGCGCAGGAGGATGAAAGAGGACGCAGCAGACATGGCAGCGCGGACTGGAAAAACAGGTGAGACCTCAGGTGTGCACGCGTGCAACGCACGCGTGCACACGACACACACCTTAGGGTAGCAGTGTGTCTCTTCGCGGGTGGATTGGTCATCTTGCCGTAAATTATATAAAAGCAGCAGTTGATCGTCCTGCCCAAATTGTTCCTCCTTTCTCTCTTCTCTCACCAGAACCCAGTTCACACATCATCAAATATCAACAATGGTTAAGGTTTCTATCAACGGTTTCGGCAGAATCGGCAGAATTGTCTTGAGAGTCGCTCTACAAAGATCCAACATCGAGGTTGTCGCCATCAACGACCCTTTCATCTCGGTCGACTACGCCGCCTACATGTTCAAGTACGACTCCACCCACGGTAAGTACCCAGGTGAAGTTTCGTACGAGGGTAACACCTTGATCATCGACGGTAAGAAGATCCAGATCTTCCAAGAGAGAGACCCAGCTCAATTGCCATGGGGTAAGTTGAACGTCGACATCGCCATTGACTCTACCGGTGTCTTCAAGGAATTGGACTCTGCTCAAAAGCACATTGACGCTGGTGCCAAGAAGGTTGTCATCACTGCTCCTTCCTCCACCGCCCCAATGTTCGTCATTGGTGTCAACGACAACGAGTACGCTGGCGAGAAGATCGTTTCCAACGCTTCCTGTACCACCAACTGTTTGGCCCCATTGGCCAAGGTTATCAACGACGCCTTCGGTATCGAGGAAGGTTTGATGACCACCGTCCACTCTTTGACCGCTACCCAGAAGACCGTCGACGGTCCATCCCAAAAGGACTGGAGAGGTGGTAGAACCGCTTCCGGCAACATCATCCCATCCTCCACTGGTGCTGCCAAGGCTGTCGGTAAGGTCTTGCCTGTCTTGCAAGGTAAGTTGACCGGTATGGCTTTCAGAGTCCCAACCGTCGACGTTTCCGTTGTCGACTTGACCGCCAAGTTGGCCAAGGAGACCACCTACGACGAGATCAAGGCTGTCGTCAAGAAGGCTGCTGAGGGCCCATTGAAGGGTGTTCTAGGCTACACCGACGACGCTGTTGTCTCCACCGACTTCTTGGGTGACTCTCACTCCTCCATCTTTGACGCTGCTGCCGGTATCCAATTGTCTCCAAAGTTCGTCAAGTTGGTTTCCTGGTACGACAACGAGTACGGTTACTCCACCAGAGTTGTCGACTTGGTCGAGAAGGTTGCCAACTAAGCGATATGATCTACTGCTAGGGCAATAGTTTCGCTTTTTTATGTACCGCAACGAACCAATATATACGTATGAATGATAATTTCACGTCATTGAAATCCGAATTCTTAGATGGTGCAGTACCCGGCTCCATAGCTAACGCTGCTTTCCATTACATTGCCAACCCGGCTTGATTGCGAGTACGCAGGCCAAGTAAACTTAACGCCCCGGCTGGGTCCCATTGACCCAAGTCCACACAGTAAAACCCCAATTGGCTTTTCGCCGCACACCGTGTTCCCAGTAACCTCTATGTACTGCTTCCAAAGTCCGTATTTGTCCCTGGGCTCCGGTTGCGACAAGAGTTCCATACCAAATTTGTCCAGCAGCTCAATGCTTTTCCAAATGGGCACTTGATGATGTGACAACTTGCTGCGCGCTGTAAGGGACTCGATCTCAGTGTCCTCTTTCAGCGCCTCTTCGATCTCGCCCTTTTCGCCCACATATCCAGTATAATTGAACCTGCGGCCCCAGTGACAGAAATCAGAACTCACTATGAACACGCAGTCCCGTTGTAGCAGATACTGACCCAAAGTTTGACCTAGTTGCTGGTCCACCTGCGTCGAATTGTGCGATATCATGATAGGGACCACCTGGACCTGAGAAATGTCAATACGTCGTAACGACAAAACCTTGTGAAGCATCGAAAACTGCATTTCAAGCGAATGCTCATCGCAGTCGACGTCGGCGTCCATATACTCAAATTCTTTCAATTTGACCAGTTCACTGGTCTTTTTAACGTCCACATGCAAGTTTCCAAGCGGAGTTTGAAGCTGCTGGAACCTTGATACCAAAGCTTTGTCCCGAAAGTACATGTGGTGCGAGGGACCCAATATGAACACCGTTTTAACGTGCGAGACGTCCAGAGCTCCATAAGCTTTACCCATTGTGGGCCCGCAATACGCATATCCAGCGTGGGGGGACACTATGACACGAGCATGTGGCACAACCTGCGTGCTACCAATAAACTGTTCTAGTTGCGAACCCAGCTTGTTCCTGTCGGAACTATACCAGGATCCAGCATGCGTCGCAGGACGGACAGCCATGACAAAACTCTTAAAGAAAGCAAACTATTCAATCGTACTCCTTGTATACGCTTCGTAACTCAGCTTGAAGAATGCTAAGTGGCTTGTTGTATCCCTTATCTTGCAAATTGTACACTTTTTATACATCACCATATATGCCTTTCGGTAAGGGCATCAATGCTTACGACATGCACATAGTTAAAAAAGCGACTCACCGGTTAGTAACCAAGGCTTAAAGCGACTTGAAGCTTCCGGCCGTCAGCAATTCTGCTACGATAGCGCTGGCATAGAGCCTGGGCTTGCGCTGGCGGGGGGCGGCATTTCATGACGGCTTACTCGAAGTCGGATTCTTCTTCTTCGGAATCGGATTGGTCTTCGAGAGCTTTGCTCTCCAAAAGCGCTTGTAATTCCGCATCTTCCGTCGCAGTGACGGCCTTTGGAGCCATGGTGACGTTGCAGACACCGTCGTGGCTTGTAATGACTTCGGAGATCTTCTCAATAGCTTTTTCCAACAGGTCGATACCTTGCTGTTTTTCAAGGGCCTGGGTCGTCAGCACGTAAAGCGGAGCGGCAACTAGTTTCACTTTGATCTGCATTTGTTCCGAAGAAATGTCCTCGGCCGCTTGCAGCGCAGCTTTGATGGCGTCGATGCCCTCGTAGCTAAAACAAGAAACTTCGATGTCGGCGCGGATCTTGACCGCTTGAGGAGTTAATCTGCGCGAAATGTACAGACGCAGCTCCTCGAAAATCTCCTTGCTAGGTGGCTCAATGCCCTCAAACACGGTGTCGTCGACAATAGACAACTTGAACGCATCGTACGCATGGCCGTACTTTCGACTTAGCGGCCATGCAACCGACTTGTACAGGTCTTCTAGCGGAAATGAGAACTTCTCCGCACAGTGCCTCATGATCGAATGCACCGCTTTGGACTTTTGGTATCTTTCTTCGCACTTGATGATATCCTCTGACGAAACACGACGTTTCGACAGATCGATATAACCTTTTTCCTTGTCGACACGGAGCACCACGACGACTTCATTTCTGCCCACACGGATCAGCCTTTGGATCGAACGGATACGTCTACGCGACAACTCGCTCAACAACACCATGCCTTCAATGTTGTCGTACTCGAGCAGCTTGACGTACGCGCCCATTTCGGCAATTTGCTGCACGTTGACCATCACCACATCGTCCACCTCCGGGTATTTGTTTTCGTAGAATCTGCAGTTTGACGTCGACATCTTTTGCAGTGAATAGTACACTTAATTCTATGGATTCTGACGTACAAGAGCTTTGGTTTCTCAGGTCGACAATGATTCACTATTTTTCCAGATGTGCTTGCCAGCTAGCTGCGTCTTTGAAGAGTGGAAAATTTTTACAGATATTCGTAGGAAATGACTCGTACATGCGTACTCAAATCGGTGTTTCTGGTTTGTTTCGCATATGTTTCGCATATCCGTTGTTTCCAGTTTGTACCCTGCAGGACCCTCATGGGCCCCTGCTGCAGTGCAAAGCTTGGCAAAAGAGAGAGCATATGATACGGTCCCTAAAGGGTGTTTCTAGGTTGTTTCTACTATGTTTCGCACGTCCACTGTTTCTACATCAAGTACTGCAAGCCAATTTCCAGGACTGGGGACGGGTAGCCTCGGGTAGCCTCTTTTGGTCACGGGTATGATACGTACAATGTGATAGAATCTTCCCGTGGTTGCGAGGGTAGATTTGTACGTTTAGAAGGTTTGAAAGATCAAAATGTTGGCTTCGGTTCCCGAAGTTGTCGGTAAAACTGAAAGTGAGAGATCTTGTTCATGATCAAAACAAATTCTACCGGCCGCTACCCGCCGTTTGTTTTCTTTCTTTGAAGGCTACTCGTGCATTTACTCATCATTATTTACGTCATACCCGTGTGGCTACCCGTACTCGTCCCCAGTCCTGCCAATTTCCATTCCGATTTCCTTATTCGAGACGTCTCCAAAGATAGCCACTGCCTTATCGGGGGATGATGATGTTTCAGAGCTGTCTCAGATTGGTGCTTGGCGCAAAAGCCGGAAACACAGGACCAACGAAACAAGTGCGAAACAAATGGGAAACGGAGGTACGTACTTGACGATGTGTTTCCCGTTTGTTTCTGTTTTGTTTCGCACGCCCGTTGTTTCCAGAATCGAGTTGCGGGTCACTTTTTAGCGGTTTATGTACCCCGCCCACATTCCTGGATTTGGTCATGTGACGTTGGCGCGACGACTAAACGTAGTAATACATACTGACACCGCGCGGGCACCCACAAGTGGGTGCCCGCGCGATGAGTGATTCGTCTTTGCGCACCGCTTCCTTTTTGTTACGCCTCTGTTTCCCATTTGGAGAAATCTAAGCAAGACCTTTGGCAAAGGCACGCTTAATGTGGGCGATATAAGTAGCTTATGAGACTTAGTCCATACTCCTTCACCCTTCTGGTTATTCCAAGGTATTAATTCCAATTATTTATCTATGTTTCTTTTGATCTCGACAAGGTCACCGTGCATGTCAGTAATTTACAGTATTTTAAATTCTTCCCATATATTCAGCACCAGAGATGCCAGAATCTCTCGTAGAACGGTCTGCTCTTGAGATGTTCTTGTTCGAGTCTTTTTTCTTCCTTTAGCACTTCGATGTCGATCGCCCGTCTGCCGGAATCGATGTCCATGTCTTCGGCGCGCACATAGAGTCTCCAGTCCCTGGTAGCCAGCTTGTGGCCAACGTAGCACACTATGAGAATGGGCAACGAGAGGTATCCTTCGAAAAACGACGTAACGTCGGCGCCAGAACTTCCTACCGGGAACAATGAGGTCCAGAAGGACGCAATCAAAACCAAGAAAATAACCACACAGCCGTAGACGGACCCCCAAACGCCTACCATTGAAACGAAAGGCAATTCCTCCAGAGATCTGTTTCTCTTTTTCATAGTGTACCGAAATCTGATGTGCGAAAGGTTGATGGAGAACCAGCAGAAGAGCGTAGAAAGACCCGACAGCGCACTCAGCCAAGTGAACACCTCGTTCTGCTTGTCGCTAGCGGCAATGAACGAGAGGAGCCCGAAAATAAGAGTAGCAATGATAGCGTAAAGGGGTCTCCCCTTCTTGTCAACGTAGGCAAACATCTTGGGCAGGTTCCCGATCTGGGCCATCGAAGCGGCGCAACGGGAGCAAGCGTAAACGGCGCTGTTGGCCACGGAGAGCACAGCAATGAGAATGATTGCGTTCATCAGCGAGGGCAGACCCTTGATTCTACCGTTTTCAATAGCAATCACAAGCGGCGACGCTGCAACGTCGACAGAACTGGAGCCATTGAGCAACCTGTCATCATCGTAGGGAACCAAACATCCGATCAGGGTCAAAACGACAATGTAGCAGCCCGTGATGAGCCAGAAGGTACGCTTACAAGCCTTGGGCAGAGTCGTGCGCGGGTTGACAGACTCTGCCGCTGACACGGCTATGAGTTCTGTGCCGGAGTAGGAGAACGCCGCGGTGACGAAAACGGAACATAGACCTTGGAATCTCTGTCCTCCGGTGTTGCCGACAAATGCGCCTGGCTCGTGCCAGTATTTGCCACCGATGTAGCCGCCGTGCGGCGTTCCGCCGCACGCAAGCACAATGCCCAGAATCGTGAACCCCAGAATGGCGAGGATCTTGACCATGGAGAGCACGAACTCGGTTTCCCCGAAGGATTTGACATCGAGCAGGTTTGCAAGGAAAATGGCCGTGTAGAAAATGGCGACCCACGCGTCGGAGTTGATGCTGCTGTTCCAGTAGCGGATGGTGATGGACGCAGCCACGAGCTCGAGCGGCAGTAGCACGGCCCATTGCGCGAGATAGTTGACGTTAACGGCGAACCCAAACGAGGGCTCGACAAACCGCGAATTGTAGACGTTGAAGCCCCCAACGACGGGGAAAGTCGACGACAGTTCACCCAACGCGTTCACGATCGTGAACAGGCAGGTACTGATGATGACCCAGTCGATAACAAGCGACGCGGGTCCGCCCGTTGTGAGGGCGGATCCAGAGTTGACGAAAAGACCGGTGCCAATGGCACCACCGACAGCGAGTGTGAGCAAGTGTCGCACCGACAGGTCTGCTCTGTACTGAGACTCGTCGGGCGCGCCGGTTTTCTCGCCGCCGCTGTTCGCGACGCTTCTCTCGACGTCGGTAATGCTGAGAGCATCGTCGACGCCCTTTTCTGACGTTACGCCGGTCTCACGCGAAACCATTGCGGTTGGGTCAGCCGGCACGGTCTGCGCCGGCTTGAAGGAGTCCAGGAGACGGTGCCAAGCACCGCCTTCGTTGTTCGAGGTACGATGTTCCAGAAAGCCCATCGATGTCTTTCGCCAGCGGAAGAGTCGCTGTAAACGCCGCTCTCCACTTGGATGCTTGTTCGAAAAGATATATTCTGCGAGGCCCACAGACTGTGGTGTTTCTTTTGCCCGTGGTTTCGGGTTGCGGCATCAAACTGGAGCCAGCACCAGCTGACCCGGTTCGGCGCTTTTTGCTTCTCATCGGCGATGCCTTTGATTATTTTCACGTTTCTTATTGTCTGCTTCCTGGTGCCTTCCGCGCCTTCGAGAACAGTGCCGCATTGTTCCGGAAGCCGCAGGAGGCGAGAGAAGTTGAACCCCGTCAAAAGCGATACCACTATGTAGCACCCATACATCCTTGAGGCTCAGCGGCTAATAAGCGGAAGCTGGTCATCGTGTATCATTTCCCGACCCTGCCCCCGCCTTACTGTAGGTGTAGCTTCTCAATATATCACCGTTCTCGTCTCGCTCATACGTGATTCGTCGTTTTGATTTGCGTGGCCCTTGCACATCCCTTGCACATCCCTATAGATATCTCAGTCACCAGCTAACCTGCGCAATGATGTAATAATCTCTATCTCACAGGGAGAATGACCCTGTCTCTACATGTGGGAGTACTCAGTGAGGAACGTCATGTCAAGCCCCGGTGACAGCACGATTGCGAATTTCAACACTTACTAACACCATACACGCTTCAAGCGCATTAGAGTCGTAGTCGTTACCATCACTCGAGGACCGATGACTGTACTGCGCACGATTTGATTCATTATGAGTGTTGACTCATTAGAACGCCCCTTGTAGCAGTAGGCGTGATACTGCTTGGACTCAGGTACTTCGTACATAATGACTCTCTTCACATGTATGGTCTTTCGCTAATGGTGTACTTTAATTCCTATAGCGTATGGGATCTGAACCTTATAACGGGAGAATCTTGGGTGGAGGTTCCGATTCTTTGAGGTTTCGACTGGAGGCCCGACTTTATAAATGTTGTATTACTGTGTATGGAATGACGCCAGTTTTATGTGATGGTACTAACCCATAGGGTCAGACTTGACCAGTGGGTAACAATTTTGTACGAAAACCTGAATATTACTCATTCCGGTCGACCCAGTGCGACTCATTTTGGTCGCTATGGGTCTGTCCTTGATAAAACTCGCCAATAATAAAAACCTCACGCAATGCCGCTCATTGGCAATGAAAGGGTTTCGTGAACATATTAAAACTACATATTGCTAGACATCCCCATGTTACCCACAAAGTACTCGTACGTACAAAGTGATGACTCATTTGTGACTCACCTTTTTCGCACCGGGGAAGTAAATTTGGATTTGGAGTGGGTATGAGTTTTACCCGGCTACTTAACGTGACGACTAGGGCCACCCAGTGTACAATTATACCACAGGGTTGAGACATCACCTCGCACCCATCATCCGCATCGCTTCATGTAGCGTTTGGCCACCTCCCCTTTCACGAAATGAAGCGGTGGCTCAATGGTAGAGCTTTCGACTCCAGTTAAATCCTGGAAATCCACGGAGTATTGCAATCGAAGGGTTGCAGGTTCAATTCCTGTCCGTTTCATTTTTTTCGCAGCTTTGCGGCGCTTACGTAATAAATTCGCGTGGCTTGGCTTTCTTGTGCTATTTTTAACCTGAGACACGAAAAGCCTTCTGTGCATGCCGCTGACGCGTAAACACGAAAACCGTAAGTGCCATCGTAGATGCCAACGCAGATGCGATCGGAGGTGAGACCAAGGTCCGACAACGAAATAGCTGGAATGAGGCTACGGGACGCGAAACGTCCGGCAACCCGTGGGAACGTGTGAACATGGAATACATGGATATATATAGGTGAGGAGCGATGCACGAGGCTGGTGCAAATTCATATTTAAAGCTGGCAAATAGTCTCTGTAGTCGTCTCTATACGCGCCGCACACCCCACACTCCCCACACACGCGATGGTCCGTCTCAGCAATCTATTCGTAGCTAGCGCCTTCGGCGCTAGCTCCGTGCTCGCAGATGCTTCCAGCTCTGTCGCACCTGCAGCGTCTTCAACAGCCGCGGCTTGTAACCCGCTCAAAACGAGCGGGTGCTCGCCAGATCCAGCCTTGGGCTCCTCGTTCTCAGAAACGTTCAACTCGGACTCGAGCTCCAGATTTACCCGTGCCACGACCAACGGTCAGCTCAATTACTCCTCTGACGGGCTGGCTATGACCATAAACAAACGGTTTGACAACCCAAGTCTCAAATCCGACTTTTATATCATGTTCGGCAAAGTAGAGGTTGAACTCAAGGCCGCAGCGGGCCAAGGTATCGTTTCGTCGTTTTATCTCCAGAGTGACGACCTCGACGAAATCGATATTGAATGGGTCGGCGGCGATACGACGCAGTTCCAGTCCAATTTCTTCTCCAAAGGTGACACCACTACTTACGATAGAGGTGCTTTCCACGGCGTTTACGAGCCCCAGTCCGAATTCCACAACTACACCGTTGACTGGGCTATGGACCAAACCGTGTGGTACCTTGACGGTAACGCGGTCAGAACCTTGAGTAACGACTCTAGTGAGGGTTACCCTCAAACTCCCATGTACATTATGATGGGTGCCTGGGCCGGCGGTGATCCAAGCAACGCTCCTGGTACTATCGAATGGGCCGGCGGTTTGACCGATTACTCCAAGGCTCCTTTCACGATGTACGTCAAGCGCGTCATCGTCACAGACTACTCTACCGGGTCTCAGTACTCTTACAACGGCCAGTCTGGCAGCTGGGAATCCATTGACGCTCACGGCGGTAAAGTTTACGGCAGATACGACCAAGCCCAAGAGGATTATTCGTCTTTGGCTGGGGGCCAAACTATTTCCACCAGTGCTTCCAGCTCTGCTACTAGCTCTAGCTCCAGTGCATCTAGCTCCAGCGCATCTAGCTCCAGCGCATCTAGCTCCAGCGCATCTAGCTCCAGCGCATCTAGCTCCAGCGCATCTAGCTCCAGCGCATCTAGCTCCAGCGCATCTAGCTCCAGTTCTTCGGTCTCCTCCAGCTCTGCCTCTTCTGCATCGTCCTCATCTTCGAGTTCGCCCTCATCTTCTGTCAAATCTTCATCTTCGACGTCTTCTGCCGCTGCATCGGCAACCTCCGAGCCTGCCAGCTCTACCGTCGCGACAACCACTCCATCTAATACGCAGGCCACAACCACGGCCAATCAAGACGCCGGCGTTTCCGTCACATCTTCGCCATCTGCGACCACATTGATAACTTCGGGCACCCAGAATCATGCCAGCTCCTCTCCCAGCAGCTCCAGCTCGGCTTCTGGCTCTTCTACCATATCAATTTCTATGAGCAACATTGGTAACATGCTGCACCTCAGCTTTTCGCTGATGCTCGGCACTCTGGCCCTGTTCATCTGAACTCAATTAACATAGCATGCATACACTTATGTAAAAAAGAATGGATAATGTGAAACTCAATAATGACTGAGCCCCATAGCCCATTATAAGATCCTTATCGACCTCATGTGGATCAGACGGAGAGCTTCTTCTAGCTTAATTTGAAAAAATTAAAGAAGCCCTGTAGGGGGCTCGAACCCCTAACCTTATGATTAAGAGTCATACGCGCTACCGATTGCGCCAACAAGGCTCTTCTGATGAAACTGAGATCCTTCTAGCCACCATAGTGACTGGCCAACGTCATTTTTATTGCTCTCTCATATGCTAAATTTCGATGATCTTTTATTATGGAATAAGAACTCATCGCACGCCTTCTAAAACCAAGGAATGAAGATAGAATCGGTCAGGGAAGCATTTGTCAGTGACTACGAAGTACTTCAGTTCCTCTCGCAACTCGAGAGAGAACACAACTGGGTACCTGAACTGCAAGGCGGTAGAGATGCCAACGGGAAAAGGAGAAGACCGTATAATCTGCCTCAGTTGCAAAAGATAACTCGTGATACTGTACATTACCTTTCGCTGTCGAAAAACGCCACCGAGGCTGAAGAGGGCGAGAGTGGGCAATCAAAAGCGTCAAATTCGCATCTAGCACGATTGAACGACGCTAAGTTCAGAGAGCTCATGGCTACGTTGAACGGATTCGAGTTGTTTAAGGCAGAGAAATTGCAAATCGTGAACCAGTTGCCTACGAATATGGTACATCTGTACTCGATAGTCGAAGAGTGCGATTCGCGGTTCTCCGAAAATCAAACCGCCGTCATGATTGATGCGGTCCAGAAAGCATGTGCTGTGTGACGTCGCGGCGCGGCGGATATGCGATAAAAGGCAGAAATAGCCTCATCACACATAGAAAACTTCTCCCTCCCCCTTTTAATTTGCATGTGCTAAATTAGCGAAACATTCAGCTGTTCGCCTCAGCGACTCTAGCCGTTCCTTGAGCAACTTCAATCGCTAGTTCAGCATTATAGAACTCTACTTTAATCTCTACCTAGATTCCAATCTACTTATCTTCTCTTCCTTTACCACATAGCATATGTGTAAATCTAGTCTTACTGTACATATACCTGTACCTATACCCGTACATCTACCCAATTCTCTAGTCATTTTCCTACCCAATTCCCTACCCACATCCACTTTTCACTACTCTTTTCTACCACGTGTGGAATTGATTATCAGGTAATTTTTCATTTTGACGCTTCCTAGATTATAAGGAGAAGGACTTGGCGAAGAGATTATATTTGATCAAAGGGTTCTGGTCACGAATTGTACAACTTCGATTACGTAGAAGAGCAGGTGATCTTAATTCAGGAGCTCGTTGGTGCTCTAAGCGTGAAATGAGATTTGGTGAACAACTTAACAGATCGCTTATTCGCGAGTACAGTTACTACTACATATCCTATGAAGATTTGAAGAACGAGTTGGAAGAAAATCTGAGCTCGAGTCACGGCCATTGGACCGAGGAGCTTGAGACGCAGTTTTTAGAATCGCTGGAAGTCGAATTGGACAAAGTTTACACCTTTTGCAAGGTCAAACACAACGAAGTGACCAGACGTGTGAAAGAAGCGCATGAACAAGTTCAAATGACCGTGCGTGCTTTGGATTCGAATACTCCGCCATCCGACTTGGATTTTGAGATTCTGGAAGACGAATTGTCCGATATTATCGCCGATGTGCACGATTTGGCCAAATTCTCGCGGCTGAACTACACGGGTTTCCAAAAAATTATCAAGAAGCATGACAAGAAGACCAAATTTACCTTGAAGCCAATTTTCCAGGTGAGACTTGACTCCAAGCCATTTTTCAAAGAAAATTACGACGAGCTCGTTGTCAAAATATCTCAACTTTACGACGTGGTCAGAACGCGTGGTAATCCAGTTAGAGGCGATTCCGCGGCTGGTGGGAAGCAACAAAACTTCGTGAGACAGACTACCAAATACTGGGTTCATCCCGACAATGTCACGGAGTTGAAACTAATCATTTTGAAACACCTTCCTGTACTTGTGTTTAACACCAACAAAGAATTCGAGAAAGAGGACTCCGCAATCACGTCTATCTACTACGACAACGAGGATTTGGACCTCTACTACGGTCGTCTACGCAAAGACGAAGGTGCAGAAGCGCACAGACTGAGATGGTACGGTGGTATGAATTCTGACACCATTTTCGTCGAGAGAAAGACCCATAGAGAGGATTGGACTGGTGAAAAATCCGTCAAGGCCAGATTTGCTCTGAAGGAACGCTATGTGAACGATTTCTTGAAGGGGAAATATACGGTTGAAAAAGCGTTCGCCAAGATGCGTAAAGATGGTAAGAAGTCTATGAAGGAAATCGAGAACTTGGAAGCTCTGGCCACGGAAATTCAGTATACGATGCTCAAAAAGAAGCTAAGACCTGTCGCGAGATCCTTTTACAACCGAACCGCTTTCCAGCTTCCTGGCGATGCTCGTGTCCGTATTTCGTTAGACACCGAATTAAGCATGGTCAGAGAGGACAATTTCGACGGCAACGATAGAACCAAGGGCAATTGGAGACGTATGGATATCGGCGTAGACTGGCCCTTCAAGCAGTTGAAAGAGTCTGAAATCTGTAGATTTCCTTACGCAGTTTTAGAGGTCAAACTACAGACACAGCTAGGTCAAGAGCCTCCCGAATGGGTCCGCGAACTTGTAGGGTCACACTTAGTTGAGCCAGTACCCAAGTTCTCGAAATTCATTCACGGTGTCGCCACATTGCTCAACGACAAAGTTGACTCCATACCCTTCTGGCTACCGCAGATGGCTGTGGACATCAGGAAGCCCGTCATATCATCCCAAATCAATATAAACCGTCCTGGAAGATCTGAAAATGACAGTGAGGATGATTTCTTTTCGGGTGGCTCTAATCCCTCTGGCAATTTGCTTGATACGGAAGAGCGCGTTGGCTATGGTGCCATCGAGGACGTCAATGAACAGCCCGCCGGTGCTCCCGCCCTTGCGCCGGGCCAGTCAGGCGCCGCTGTCGCATTTCAGCGCAGAGCGAACACTGCATCAAACCCAGTGGCCAAAAAGTGGTACGAATTTTTGGCCTTTTGGAATCACTACCTCTATGGGGACCAGATTACAAAAGTGGCTCCGGGTACCGTTTTCGACACGACTGTGAGAGCGCCTCCAGGAAAGACCATTTGTGTTCCTGTGAGGGTCGAACCAAAGGTCTATTTTGCGACCGAAAGAACGTTCTTATCGTGGCTCTCGATCGCTCTCATCCTCAACGCTGTAGCCATTTCCATGCTGACCTACGGAACTGCCACAACCATGGTTGCCTCTGTTGGTTTTTTCCTCACTGCACTCGTAACGATTCTCTACAGTGCATACGTTTATCGCGACAGAGTCGTCAATATAAGACTTAAAAACGCTGTTGATTACGAGAACAAATATGGGCCTCCAATGATTTGCGTTTTACTCGTTCTTTCGACTGTATTCAGTTTTTACTGCAGTTATCAAAAGGTTTCTGCTTAATCTCTCAAAAAGTTCCCTTTAAAAGAAGAGACCCGATGGTCAACGTCATAATTCCCAACCCAATTTTCCTGTACTTTATAAATACGCGCTTCAAGAAGTCCATCAGTTGATATGAAATTTTAAGACCCATTTGAAGCGCTTCAAAGTGTTGGCACTTTGCATTTAACTATAATCCTACAGTATGTAATAGCCTCTCTCATTCAGATATCACGTGATTTTAATAACAGGAAAGTTGACAATTAGATGAAAACAAGACGGCTAACTGCTGCAGGGACATCTCACAAGACGAGGAAATCGTTAGGATTGGTAAGGTCCGGACGTGTGATGGACTCTGGAGTTTCACGTACGACTCCTGTGACCAACTTTGATGTCATTGAGTCCGATAAAGAGAACATTTTGCCACTCAAAAACGGAAGATCAGCTGCTGCTTTATCCAACGCATTGCAAGACAAGAGCGAAGCCCGAAGTGCGGACAGAATCGCTGAAAAGCGATTGGCATTTGAAAATCGTATTTTAACGGAACTGGAAGTCTTGGATGACCCTTTAGAGCTTTATCTGGAATATATCGACTGGATAAACACCGCTTATACGCAGGGACCCCAGACAAAACAAAGTGGTATGGTCGAGGTGCTGGAGCGTTGTCTGATGTATTTCAAGGACATTGAAACGTATCGAAACGACCCTCGGTATGTCAGGCTGTGGTTGTGCTACGTCGAGTTGTTCTCAAGCGCCTTGCAGGAGAGACAAACCATATTCGTGTACATGTCAAGGAAACAGATTGGAATCAAACTGACTCTTTTTTACGAGGATTTTGCATCCTTGTTAGTCGAAATGAAGGACTACGCGCAAGCTAGGGATGTGTTGACTCGCGGGATCGAGCAGAACGCACGTCCTTTGCAAAGATTGAAGAAAAGTTTGGCTGATTTTGATGACAACATGCGGGTCATGAACGTAAAAGTGCCGTCAATTGCAACCGGAGACGGCTTATTAGACCAGGTAGAGTCTAGCGTAATTCTTGGGAAGGGTAAAGATGAAATACGCGAAGATTTTGTTACTGCGGGCAGTAGTTTGGATCAGTTGCACGCTAAACATCAGATTTTTAAAGACGAAAGCGAAGCGCATAGTATGATAATGTTAAGAAACGAGGGTTGGGATTTGCTTGAAGCGAAAAGATTTCGAGATAAGGAGAATAAAAAACTAGCTATTCCGATAAGATCTAGTTCGAATGTTGGTAAAATGGTCCAAGAAACACCGAGCGTAAGACCAGCAGAAAGAATTTCAGTTTTCAGAGATGATATCGGAAGAAGTAAGCCCGTGTACAAGATAATTGAGAGTGCAGGTCGAAAACCTGAAAAAATCGACTGCAACTTTGACATAATTTTCCCCTCTGCCACTCAGGAGTTTTCATTTGAAGAGATTCTGGCCATATCAAGAGATATTTACCAAAAGCGAATAAAACCAGCTAATGACAACGATCGCCCAACAAGATCATCGGCTAGTGCATCATCAACGCAAGGTAATGTCTCGAAAAGGCCCAAGTTGGCGCTTAAAGAAAAAACTGCAATTGAGAGCATTCCTGCCAAGGAGAGTGTCGGCGGCAAAAACGAGACGCGTACCTCTTCGTCTGGAATTCAAAAGATTACTTGTACGTCTGTCCTTCCACTTAATGATGAAGCGCATCCCGGAAGTTCAATACCGAGAAAGGATAAAGAAAAGGAACCGGGCTCGCCCACTGTCACTTTTTTCTCGAAGGACGCGATGAACGAAGTGTATTCAATGTTCAATCAAAGCTATTCTGAGCCCAAAGGTCATATTGATACTGATGACACCACCTCCAAATTTGCGGTTTATGAAAATTTCACTCAAGAATTTACGAGGAAAAGCATGGATGATCTAACAGAAGTTAAAGATGTCGCTCCAGAAGGAGGTCGGGTTGAAAGAACACCGCTCAAAAAATCCCAAGACAAGTTCCATCAAGTGAAAGACGCGGTCACACCGTCTTACAAAAGTAAACTTCAAGAATACATGACTCCAATCAATGAGCGGACGGAAAGCACGATCAGAATGGCACTTGACGCAGAGACGAATGATGAGGATACGAGAAAAAGCGATTTCTTGGGATCTATCACGACTGAGAGCTCACCTTTTTTGACCCAACCACAGTTACAAGCCCTGCCTCCTGCAGACAACAACCTTGTCATACCAGATCCTCTTAGTGAAAAAAGAAGGGAAGCCATGCTGTCATCAATTCAGCCTTCTTTGGACACCTACGGCACCTTTTTCAGTTACAGTCAATGTTTGAAAATGAGCTCACTGCTAAAGAAGATTCATAAAGTGTCCAAATCTGCGAACAAAAATCCAATAATTGATTTCAAAAAGACAAATGACTTGTACTGCATTAGGGCGGAGCTTGGAGAAGGTGGATATGCTACAGTGTACTTAGCGGAATCCAGTACAGGTTCTTTGAAAGCACTGAAGGTTGAGAAACCAGCGAGTACGTGGGAGTTTTACATTTTGAAGCAGGTAGAAACCAGGTTGATGGGTCACAAAATACTAGAGTCAATAATAAATGTGAGTTCACTTCATTGCTTTCAGGATGAAAGTTATCTAGTCCTGAATTATGCCCATCAGGGTACCGTTCTCGATCTTATCAGTGCTGAAAAGGGACGCTCTGCTAATGCACTGAATGAATACCTTTGCATGTTTATTACTGTTGAATTGATGAAAGTCCTTGAGTGTATTCACGACGTGGGTATCATACATGGTGACTTGAAAGCTGATAATTGCATGATTCGCTTTGAAGACAACGGGATGCCATTAGGAAATTATGATCCAACGGGGAAAAACGGATGGTCCTCGAAAGGTATTTACTTGATAGATTTTGGCCGCTCTTTCGATTTGACTCTCTTTCCGCTCGGCACGAGGTTCAAGGCCAATTGGCACACTGATCAACAAGACTGTCCCGAAATGAGAGAGGGGAGACCCTGGACTTACGAAGCTGATTACTATGGGCTTGCCGGAATAATACATGTAATGCTTTTCGGGAAATTCATAGAAACTAAGCGAATATCGGAAAATCGATATGCCATTTGCGGGACGTTGAAGAGATATTGGAAACAAGATCTTTGGGCAGCGTTGTTTGACATTCTTATTAACAGTAGCAACTTCGATAACCTCCCAATCACCTCAAGGTTGCGGGAGCAAAGAGAGCGGTTGGAGTCGTGCTTGCAAAATGAAGGCAGTGCCAGACTCAGAAGTGAAATTGTCAACCTTCAATCGGACCTGTCCAAGTTTAATAGATGACACGGCGGGTAATATATATAACATTGTAATGATAAATGATAAGTGCATTAATAGAATAATTGACTATGCAAGAGGAATTACTTTCATTGATTGGAGCTTTTTTCTGTGCAAATCTCTGTCGCTGCTGCTAATAAATGAGCTTCTCTTAATTCGACCCAGGGCGACTCTCCCTTACTCTTGCTTTCTGACACCGCTTACGATGTCATCCACCCTCAAGAGTAAGCATGCGCTCTCTATAGCGGTTTTGATACTTTGCTGTTTGATAACTTCGGGTTCCCACACTCCATAGTCCACCATGTCGGCAATTTTACCAGCATCTCCATCAATACCAAAAGTGTAATCTCCTTGAGTATGCTTGGCTCTTAGTTGCGACAATACCCTTATAGCGTTGCTACCTGCATTTTGTACTAATGTGCGGGGAATACACTCCATAGCATCAGCAACAGCTTGATAAGGCCATTGTTGAATACCTTCCAATTGTTTGGCACGCTCAGCCAGCTTTACAGAAACGGCCATTTCGGTTGCACCACCACCGGGAGACAAAGAAGGAGAAAGCATAACGTTACGAGCTACAGCCATAGCATCTTGCAAATTACGCTCTACTTCATTTAGGATATCTTTTGAAGCGCCCCTAAGCAACACCGTGCACGCTTTGGGGTCCTTGCATTCGTCCAAAAACGTGAAATATTCATCTCCAATCAATTCAACTTTGAAAACACCACATTGGGTACCCACATCGCTCTCTTTTAGATCTTCGACGCGATTTACTATAGTAGCACCAGTGACACGAGCAATTCTGTTGTTATCAGATTTCTTGGTACGTCTTAGAACGCTGCAACCACCCTTTAGCAGGTAATGTTGTGCCAAGTCTGAAACACCCTTCTCGGTTATTACGACGCTAGGGTTAACGGCCAAAATTTGTTCACACATCCATTGCACTTGTTCTTCCTCGATCTGTAAAATACGGTTCCAGTCTTCCTCACGAGTGACCTCGATGTTGGTTTGAGACTCTCCCTTCTTGTATTCGAGAGGACAGTCCAAAAGAACTACCCTTGGATTCTCAATGTAACGGGACATTTTGGGGTGAACAACGTCTTTGTTCAACATCACACCGTTCAACACTTTAGACTCCATAACGTCACCACCTGGTATTTTCTCAATACGCACGTATCTCTTTATATCGATCTCATAACGACTCTCAGCGTTCTCGACACCGCCAAAATCGATGCGTACGGTTCTCACCGCATTGAGGGCCAATTCACACATTTTCTGCGACCAATGCCTAACGTATTTAGTACCAATCGCAGCCTGAATCAATTTTTGCATCGCCTCGGTGTTTTCAACGTCTACGGGTCTGCTGACCTGTTTCACCACTTCCAGAGCATCACTCAACGCTCTTTTCAAAGCCTGAATAATGATCACAGGGTGGATATTCTTCTCAATGATATAAGGAGCACATTGCGCCAAGATTTCTCCAGCTAAGATAATCACAGTTGTCGTTCCGTCTCCGACTTCTTCGTCCTGAGTTCTGGAAAGTTCCAGCATCGATTTCGCTGCAGGATGCGCCACATCAATTTCTCTCAAAATTGCGTGTCCATCGTTCGTTAAAACAAGCCCTCCCATAGGATCTAACAGCATTTTCAACATCGCTTTGGGTCCCAAACACGTCCTGATCACATCAGCCACTGCTTTCGCAGCAGTGATGTTAGAGATCTGGGCTTCGCGGCCCGTCGTTCTTTCCTGGGAAGTGTTCATAATTACCACGGGAGCCTGCATTTTGGTCGGTCTCAATTGGCTTGTCTCACAGCTAATTATCTCGCTGAGATGTACCAGATTTTGTTGGATTAAAGCGTGGCAAATTTTTCAATTTTAAAATCTTGTAAGTTGGTCACGTGTAACCTCTTCTCCGTCATTTCAAATATCACCACCATCTTAACCAGATGGGGATAGACAAGTGACGGAGGTACTGAAATGAAATAGTTCTGATCAAGACCAATGTCTAAAGGTTCAGGAATATTTGAATTCGGCTGGGCATATTTTTCTGAATTTTAAGGTATTTCGAAACTTCAAAAGACCCACTGATGGTTGACTTATAAGGAAGTAAAAGAGAAATTAAACAGAGTAACTGATTGATATCGAAGTTGCTTATTTTTATAGGATTCGACAGGTTTCTGGATGTTTGGCACGTTTAGAGATATCAATGGTTCTTTGGACAGTAAAGGGATAAAATCTAACCTATTAGAAGTTTTTGAAATCATGATTTTGACCAGGATTCGCCTGGTAATGCCGTACTGAAGATTTGGGTTGATGCAACACAGGGTTATAATAAGCGGTGGCCATAACAATATTTATTATTGTTCACCTCGGACGAGTAAACATTGAGTGAGAAACATAAATGGCCAGTAGACTTACATTAATTGACATATAAAGTACATCGAAGCAGAACTAATATTGATGATATGCGATAAGCTTCCAGATCGCAAATCATATCAAAGCAGAGCTACTCGTTGAACAGGAATTGGTGAAAATGCTCATATTGTGAGAATTGTCACCGGATCCTAGAACATCCGAGAGTGTGGAAAACGAGCGTGAATCACGGTGTGGTTCTTTCAAACTTTCTTGCAAAAAGGTCTTGTAAGCCGCGACGTATTTGAAAAATGGATCTGATGGTGACAACAGGTTGTGCGAATATTCAAACAAGTTTGGTAATTCCTCGCGAGCAAAGTAGTCAACCACGGGCAGTCTTGGTAGTCCAAGGACAAGCGAGTCAGCGTCGGTACGGGTTGTCTTGAATGACAGGGGCCTCCCGTATAGACCCAGACAACCCATCATCGGTAGCGCAGCACGAACCATACTTTCTAAGCGATGCACGCCGTTGTGTGGGATGGGGCGAATTAGTAGTTCCGAGGTTGTAGCGCACATCGCATGGTTCTCATCGCTTGACGAAGTCGATACAGTCGAATTGGTGCGCGCGTGTTTCTTCGGTGACGTAAACGTCGACGCCAGTGACGAGGCTAGTGATCCCGAGGAGCCGGCTCTCTTGTGAGTAGAAAACGATAAAGAGGAAGACCTGCTTCTCTCAGCGGTCTTTGGTGGCCAGTGGACTTCACCCACGTACCTAAGTGTCGTGAGTCCAGCAAGCAAAGTATGCAATGACGCCCTGGAATCTCGAGCTGAGCCCAAAAATAGTGGATCCACTTCGTCAGCCGATTTAGGCGTCAGGTTCGAAGGATCAGTCAAGCTGCTTGCAGGGTCCAAAACGAAAAGTAAGTCTTCAACAGAATCAGTCTCTGAAATATAACACAACACATTCTTCGAGGACGTTGACTTGTCGTCTTTAAAGAACTTTATTTTGTGCTTGCCCTTGCTTTTAGAAGATTTATCCACATAGCAAAATACCCGCGTCCATTCGCCCTGGATGTAGAGCTCGCACCAGTCTTTGTAGTTGTAACTGTTGTGCAACAACTGCGAGATATCCGGGAGTTGAGAACCGACAATGGATATAATGCTGGCCGTCACAGCTTTGAATAGCTGGATCTGCTCAAACTGTGCTAACATACAAGCATCAAACAGCTGCGAAAGGTGAGGTTCTGTTGAGCTGGGTTCCGCGACAAACATAGCAGCGCCATTTTGGAGCTCAAGACACCGACAACTGCCTGTATTTGCCCAGGAAACGCCGGCGGTGTTTGCAAGATCAATAGCAATACAATTTTGCCAGTCCTCAGCTTGGGCGTCTTTGCCTTCGGGAGACTCAACCAAGATCTCAAGTTGGGCTCCTCGCAGCACTATACGTTGAATTCTGTATATCCGGTGCGGATTCCGCACTTCGAGTGTGATGGAGTTGGGGTTATCGCACACGTAGTAGATTTTTTGTTTCTGGCACTCTACTTGCGCCTGCAGGGGCCTCAACTGATCGAAATGGTCCAGTTGTGCCCAACTTGCGCTCCCTGCGACATGTTCGACACTAGGCGTGCTTTGAAAATGGGCTTTTAAAGGAATTATCATGACCAAATTTGTCCTAAACAACTACCACCTTCTCTCGAAATTTCCTGACCAACTTTCAATATCTTCCTGCAAAACTCACTTGCAAGTTTCACCTATTTTATACTTTCGACTTACACCTGGTAACACCTAGTGAAAAAAGACGTTTCTCGATCTTCGGATATAACCAGGTTTTCTTGAAAAATGACGCTTGGGCTCACGCTTCACGTCAATATCGCAATCTGTTTCTCAATGGTCACTGGAATAAGGCAGTGTATAGAAAATTGTTGTATCCAGGATCAAGGTATTTAAAATCCTGGATGTGTTCTCTTGCCGGATACTAACACCAGTTTCCCAGGTCGTCTTCAATATTTCGCCCAATCCAATGTTATTCCGAACTTTCAGTAATCGTCAAATAAGTCTCGGCTAGATGACAAATGCCTCAGACCCAAACTCGATTTAAATTCAAATCCCACCACGGGAAACCCAAACTAATCCTTGTCCAGGCGCAACCTCTATCGTATTCGGCTGTGGGCGTGGCGTTGCTACTGAGTTGCGTCTGCTCTCAAAGTGTACGACTCCGTATAGTTTAGTTGCTCCGCTGGTTGCAAACCAATAGTTACTGTAGAAACCAGACTTAGTTAATCGATGACAATCGATATAGCCCCTGCGTAAGAGAAAACGGGAGTGGGTGTGAATTAGTACGCGATGAATTGGCTCAGCGTGGCTGGGGAACTGAACGATGATGATGATTTGTCTGGAACTTGATTCTTCGCCGTAGATTACCTAACAACCGTTCCTCGGCTTCTAGTTTCTCTTTTATAGTTGTCTTGGAAGTCTTGAACTTGGGAACTTGGTATGGCAGTGAAACCACTGGGTTCTGAAACGATGGCTTGGACGTTGGTTTGAAAGATATGCTTAGCGAGTTTTGAAACGTTGCGCAAACACATCGTCAGCCAACTTTTATTTAGCGATAGCTATAGACTAGTTTTGGTTAGTAAGTTTGATATGACGAGCGACGCTTAATGTGTTGACTGGTCGGGAAATGTGGAAAGGGTGTTAATGCGAAAAGATGCAGCTGTCTGAATCTGGTGTATTTCGCTTACTTGTTGGCGGACCCTGTTTGTTGAGGCCATTACTTTTGAAACTTGTAGGATCTTATTTTGAAGATCAAAAGATGCACCTGCGCATATCTCGTCTTTCGGGTATGGTATTTGTTCCGTAGCATTCCTAAGGCAAGAGAGCCGGTTCGTAATTGGCTAGAAAGCAATTCCTTCTCTTCTTGTTCACTCAATTGTCAAATTCGTCTTCGCCTAAAGCTGGGACGGGCTTCTGTAGGCCGCTCAGCAGCACTTGTTGCCTCTCGGATCCCGCGTAATTAGGTAGAGCAGCGGCGTGCAGATCGAAATCAGTGCTCAAATCCGCGTCTGTCACTCCGTTAATAATGAATTTCCGAAGCGCTATGTAATGCTTGGAACCGTAATTGGAACCTGCCTCAAAGGCTATGCTTTTCACGCGAGGCTTGAGTCGCACGAACCACGCCGGTAGCGGGAAATGCTGACGGACTTCACTACTCGAAACGTCGTACTCGTACGAGCCTAAAAACAAGAACGACCCGTCTCGCTCCCACACAGGTTGGACGGTACCCATACCCTCGGGATTTGCTTCTTCTACCGCTTTCACAAAAGTAGCAGTCGCAGGGGACTGCACCTCGACATAAATTGAAAACTTTTTGGGTGCCGCCTGCATGAAGTGCACGTTGTTGGTGAATCTGCCATGGATATATGACAACTTGGTCAAGAAAAGCGGTTGCGCGAATCTTACAGCCCATGAACATCGGCCCACGTCGCGGCAAAGCCAATAGGTGGAACTATGCTCGTAGGAGTCCGCCAGCAAATCGAACGGTGTCACTCCATTCGCGGCAGCATTGCGCGTGCCTTTGAATGTCGCAGAGCATCGATGGTTGAGCAGCCGGGTTCCAGTACTCGCCGTGCCAAAATCTAGGTCGTCTTGCCATTGATGCACGTTAGAGTTGTAAATGCGTTGGAAAAACCGGCGCTGTACAGCTTGTGAGTACTGTTGTGGAGCAGGCGGTACGGCGCCTGCCATTCTTAAATCCAGTTGCCGATTCAATTCAGATTCGACCTCTTCTAGTATCTCGCGCTGACTTCTGTGCAGACCCGTGTTCAATTCTTGCAAAAATAGCGTCTTGTCAACGTATTGCAGCTCATCCTGTAGAACCTGACGCACGTAGCGGGTAGTGTCCAGCTCCAAGGGCCTTATCACCGCGTCAGCGAAGCGACCAGCGCCTTCGATTATCTTTGGAATGGCGCTTTCTAAGTAGGTGTGCATCTCTGGCACAACAATAACGCCCTCCGTTGTATTATCAATCAATACAGGAATGTGTTTGGGTAAAACTTTGGCCAAGCCCTCGATCAGAGTCTCCTGCCACTCGGTGATATTTTTTAGGTTCAGGCTCCACACAACGGGCCGATCATGGGCCACTTCCGAGTCGCGAGACGCCAATTTTTTAACGTTTTTTTCCACTTGCGAAACAACTACCTGAATTGCATGATCCAGCTCGTTCTGTACTCGCTTTCGTTCTTCTTGTAGCTCTCGGTACATACGATTGACCTGCAAACGCAGCTGTGCTACACTATCTTGTCCGCCCGCAGGCACAGATTCGGATACGGTCGGTGCAGGAGCCACTGTAGCCAAAATTACAACAACCGCCACCAGTAAAAACGCTATTATGCCAATACGATTGTTATTGAACTTGACTTTGCCGTCCCACAATTCTTCTTCTCCGGCCGCGTCTCTGTTGTCCTCTCGCAAAAAGTCGTCATCTTCTGCGTCACCGTCGTCTTCGAAAAAGCTTTGGTCCGCTTCTTCTGTGTAATCAGTATCACCACTGTATTTCCCATCTTCTTCGTAGTCGCCGTCTTCGAAGTCATCGTCGTCGTCATAATCCTTGTCGTTTTCGCTGTCTGTATCCCATGCACGGCTAATCGACCCACGAAAGTGCGCATATTCGCGGTCTTCTGCATTCTGATTTTCACCCGGAACAGTTGTGAAGGTTTCCCCCCCTGTTTGCCTGCTTATCTCGTGGTCACTAGCCTCTGACAACAGTCGACCATATGCTCCTGTAATTGAGTCATTATAGAGCCGCTTTGGCTCATTTTTACGCGCTTCCATTCACTAAGTCTGATCTAATGGTCCTCTGGTAATCTGGTAACCCTTGAGCGACGTATATGACCCTCAATCGTCGAATTGGTTTCGCCAAATCCATCTTCAAACGCGCTTCCAGTTTTCGCGATGATCTTGCAATCGTGAAATCGTGAAAAGAGATTGATTATCAAATCTGTTGATGTTCGTACGAAGGTACAGAATTTTTTAGATTTTCAGCACTGGAAAATTTTTGGAAAGTTAAACTTACTACATCACATCTCAGAAGGTTGATCAAACAGCGACAATAGTGCTTTCCGGTGGCTTACAACAGGCGTTTAAAGCGTTCAATTGTGAAAATCAAAGTTTTCTTTGGCATTGGGAAGAAAAAAGCAGGCGAGAAGAGTCACTGTTCATTAGGTCACTTATCAGCGGCGTCCGGAAACACCCTCGAAACTCAAAAGTCATCGATTTTCGAAGAATAATCAGCCATGCTTGTGCGGTGTAAACAACACGCGACGTTAGCTTCTTCCGTGCCTGTTCAAGTGCAACAGCTGCGTCACATATCCAGAAGACGTATTGCATACCCATTCTACCCATTTGAGAGAATGGGTCGTCAGCATCCGAAAAAACACGATTCGAACCTGAAACATGCCATGAGACAATTTCTCGGTCCTCGAAACTTTAAGGGTGAATACTCGCTGAACAAATATTTTGACGTTGCGACGAATCATGAGCCCAAATATATCACACCGGATCTTGAACGTGGTGTGGCAGTTCAGTTGCCTGGGAAGTCACAGTCGCGACATGATATGGCTCGTGGTGGTGCATTTCGAGGCGCGTCCCAATCCCGGAAATTGCAACCGTTTCCGCATAATAAAAACTGTTTTACGAACCTCGCCCTGAGCGACGAAATCAGATACGCTATTCACGACGATATAACAAACAATCAGCTCTCAGCACAACAAGTTGCTCAGAAATATGGTATAAAGATTCCTAGGGTGGAAGCTGTGGCAAAACTGATCACTATCGAGCAGTCGTGGGAAAAAAATGTATGTTTACAGAAATCACTAGAACTGTGTCAAGTCTTGCTGCAATGCTGAACATGATGAGTTTGAGAAAAAAATATTCGATTAGTCTTGAAGACAACGATCTCATGGTTATACATTTTCAATTTCTGAGTTTCATGCCGCCAGCCCAGACGAGACGTGAGGACCCCTCGTGTGTTCAATTTACTAACAAAGCTTTACAGAATCATATCACTCCGGCATTACGAAAGATGTCTTCCGTCATGTTCAACATGTTCCCACTTTTCGAGCCTAAGTTCGAGAAATCTAGGGAGAACCTCTCTGAAATTCCAGTTCCTTCTAAAGCGCTCAATTCGCGGTTTCTTACAATCGCTGAGTCTGAGCCATTTGGTCCACTAGATGCTGCTAAAGTTTTAGAGCTTGAGCCTGCCGCTGAAACATTGCAAAAACTTTCCACTGAGGGTGAGCACTCCGCGGGTCACACGGAAACGACTCGCAAGCAGCGTGTAGTCTACGGTGAACTTTTGAAAGGTGAAAGGTCAGTGTTCAAATTCACTCATAAACCGGTGGGTAAAGTTGGATACCGGTACGGTGCAGGAAACCGTGACAACAAAAAAGATCGCAAGATTGGTTTCAACGAATTGGGTCAAATGGTATACTTGTAAAAAGCCTGTAAATACAATCCTTTACTTTGATTTTTTATCTATTACAGCTGCAAGCACACCCCGGAACGGGGCAGATCAAGTGCTTCTCGAACCATTCTTCAGCATGGCCCGCATGCATTCCATGATTGCATGTCAAGCAGAAACTGAACCACTCGTTCATACTCAGTCTTTTCCTCTCCACGGTCTCTTCTTCAGCATCCTCTTTACTAGTGGTCCGGCCACTGATTAGGATTGGTAGGTCGGACGTGCCCATGGGGAGGAGGCATATGGAACATCGGGGAAACGGTGTCCCACAGTGAGGACACGAATACCTCTGGCGCGGTTGCGAGGAATTGGAGTTACCTGTAAATCCAAATTTCTTAGCATTGGAAAAACCTTTCACCTTAGTTGCGCCATTATCAATGATAGGCTTATTAACATTTTTATTGCATGTCAAGCATTGGAGGTATAATTGGCGAGGTCTCACTTCGACGGTGCTCTCGTTGCGATTCGTCCTTGATAACTTTGCTCTCAAGACGTCAAATTTCGCACGCGCTGAAAAAAGCTCCCACGCATTCAACATATCTCTATAGCTCTGAACCCATTCGTCGACCCTTTCATCCCTAAAATACCGTGGACAACCAAAGATTGAGATCAACGCTGCGGTTTGAACGTCGCTAGTTTTGTTGACATACGAATGCAAAAGTTCAATACCGCTTGGAGTGATGCCTGTCAGTATCAAGCCCTCAAGCTCACCTTTTTCAATTACTGATGCCGACGTCCTTTCCAAAAACCTAGTCAAATCACGATCGTTAAGAAATCTCAAAGCTACCCCAAGCCTTTCTCGCAAAGATATTGCAGGCTCGTAAAGAATGTCCCACCAGTCATTGTCAGCTATGAATCCAAATATTACCCTCAAGTAAGGATCCTCAAGATCAGAGGACATCCTTCTGCATTGATCGCGCCAAGCATTGTTGCCGGGTTGGTTCTTATAAGCAGCATATCCCGCAATTGCGGTCGCAATGAGCCGCAAACGCTCTTTCTTGGCAGATGCTAAAATATCGATGGCTTTCGTAACATCACCGAAGAAAACTGCCCATCCTGCCGCCTTTTCGTATTGGCCCAATTTAATTAATTTTTGATACTTTTCTTCGTAGTCTGCCGGGGTAAGGTCCCACCCAGATATTATCATACAGAGCTTCCGCTGCGTGGGTTTTTTTGACTCTAGAAGAACCCGCATTTTAGAAGTGAGTCCCTGCTGCGATTTCGATCTGCCTCGCAAGCGTATAATTTTTTCGAGTTCTCTATCGAGTTGTTTCTCAGTTAAAATAGTGTCTTTTTGATATCTGTCTTGCTTAGAGAGTCCATCAAGTCCATTCCAAATACCCAAAATTCCTTCATAACCCAGATCCAGCTCACCAGAGACCATCGTTCCATCGTCAACGGAAGCCTTTGCGATAGAAAGCCATCTCCACGTATTGCGGATGTAGGAGTTGTTTTGAAGCGATTTTAATTTGTCAATGAGCTCAACGGTCCCCATCGGATCAAGCCCATAAGATAAAAGCGCGCGTCGCCTCATCAACATGCTAATATCATTATCTAAAAGTTGCTCCGGTTTAAGGACCACGCTAGATTCAACTTGAACATCAGAGGTGTCATTATCGAGGGCCTGGTGGCTGGTAGAGAGGTTCTCACTTTCGGTAGACTCCAAGTATGCAATCTCAGAAGAATTATCCATGTCGTCGATTGACAGATTTTTCGCTGTAGTTAGCAGAGCATCTGATTCTACAACCTCGTTGGCGTGGCCAACATTGAACTCTTCTAATCCTGGCTGGTCGCCTACTGAAATGAGTAAATCGTTACCGCAATTGAATTTCGAGATCGAGACGCCTTCATCCAGAGACATCCGGAAAAGAGTGCCGGATTGTCTCATGCAAATATAACTAGTCACACCTTCAAGTCGCGGTACGTAATCAAACGTGGCAACACGATCAAAAGTGGTATTTATGTCACGGACAGTGGAAACAAACAATGTGTTGTTTTGTTCTTGGGAGTGGTCGGTGTCTGCAATGGGTACCTCAGGAACTCTTCCTAACCTCCACCTTCTTACGAGCTGGCCACTATGCAGTGTTGAGAATTCACCATTTTGTAGTGCAGACCAACGAAAGCAAGAATTGGTGTATTTTCTTGACGCTGCACCATTGCCCATAAGTTTATCGAATTTTAGCAATGGCTGAGCTTCTAGGAACTCCCTTGATCCCCCATCTGATACTAGTCTCCGTCTATCCCAGATGGCTAAAGTCCCATCATCCGCATATGTCGCAAACTCCCATAAATTGAAAGGGTTTATTTTTACATCGTAGCACAATCTCGTTGGATGCTGAAAGACAGGTGTTGGTGACCTAAGATCAATTTCCCTTAAAAGTTTCGTGCTGCCAGCAATAATTGTTGTCTCATCCAAAAAAGAGACAGATACAATGGTTTCATTCGAACAGTAAGAAAAAGCTGGATTAATAACGTTGGAAGAAGTACTTTGATAGCTTACGTCCCAAATCTGAAGGGATGGATCATACTTGTTTCTCTCAAAACCCGCTGCAATAAGGCCATTCGTACTAATGCCTATGCTATTGACTGCTCTTTGCTGTTTGGCCCTTACTTTCAAATGAGAACCGCTATCACCGGTCGCCGCAGCGTCTTGCATGATATTGAAAAGTCCAATTGTTCCGTTTTTTTCGCCTACACCAACAAAACCTGGGTCCACATCCGAATAGTCCAAGCAAGTGATATTTTCGAAGTTCTTGACTGTTTTGAGCTTGATAATCGAGTCGTCGCTTTCATTTTCTGGATCAACCTTGTAATGAGCTACTTCTTCCCGGGTTGGATTCACAGATATGTAGTCATAAAGACCATCTTGAGACCAATTAAGAACCTTCTTGATGAGACCCATTAGATCGTCGTCTCAAGACTCTATCAGAGCCAATGCAGGGATCAAAAGGTGTTTTTGACTGAAGATTCTTTATTGTGATTAGCAGTATGCTAATAAAGTGAAAAATCAACCAGTTCGTCTCTAATGCTTAAGTGATAAATCGACATCGACGACACCGGATGTCGCCAGCAGATGTTGAAGCATTGGGAGTTATAGGGTCCCGTGATCGTAGTATCATCACCACAAACTTGTTCACCTTCGCATAAAGTTATTCAGTTTTCTGTTGTCGCCGATGGAAAGTTCCTCGACGTCGCTCAATTGTTCCTCTTTTAAAAGCTCTTTCCCAACCCACGGAATCAGATCGATCTCCCCATTTTCAATGAGGAAGTCCTCTGGAAGACGCTTTTCCACGTCGATGCCTTCAATTCGAGCTATGTGCGCTGAAAATTCGTCGGCCAATTTCTTAGATTCGAGTTTTGTAATTCGAGAAACGGATGCATCGTTTTCAATGGAGTCTATTACTTCTGTGACGGATTGTTTAAGTATTTCCATACTCATGCCTTTGTCGCCATCAATCTTGGCAATAAGGCCTTTTAACTTGTCGGAGGTCTTAGCATCTCTGGTTAAATGACCAAAAGATTTGCTTCGGATGATATTTTGGCCCACAAATTTCTGAACAAGATAATGGGAAGGTGAAAGCGCTATCCGTTTACAAAGCGCATCGGCAGAATTGCGTTTCTGAGCACTTGCCTGGCGTTTTACCAGTAACGAGGCTAGGCTTTGCAACTTTGCAAGGTCCGTTGCCAGCACTTCGGCAAACTTCACTCTCTCCTCCAGCTCCTTGGTATTGAAAGTATTGAATGAGTTGGGATCAAATTTTCTAATCAGAGGAGCTCCTCTCTTTAGTTCTCTCTTCATAGACCAGTATTTGCAGAAGTCGATGGCAAGTTTCTCAGCATTGGTCACTTCAAACATTTTGAGTACATTTTGAACAATTGAACTGAAGTATCGAGGCGCTATTGGAGTCCCCCGGGTGGTCTTCCACCTGGTATCTGAAGTACCTTGTGCCTGATTCTTGTTCGAATTATGTCCCGGCGTTTCGGACCCGTTAAGGCGCTCAAAATACTGTCTTGCTTTATGTATCCTTTCTCTGCAATCGTCCCAGCCAAGAGGAGAGTGCTTATCGCAGAAACTTTGCAATTTCACCCCTGGAGGCAGCATATTTGAAGCGGCCTCGAGCATTGTACAACCTCCAAAATCCATACACAATCCGACTCGTCTTGCACATGTTACATGGTAAGCTGTAAAACAGTTCTTGTTGGAACATTGAATGCAGGCTCCGATCCTCTGGCGACAAATATAACAAACAAGCTTCCACCTGCTTTTAGGTATCTGATCAATCCCCTCAATTGGCTCCATATAATGTGCGTTAACAAAGAAAAGCTCTGGAATCCAAATACCGCACAAGACGTGTCCCCACGACCCTGTGTCTGTTTGTTTGAATGCTCCTGTGTGACTAGGACAGAACAAACAATTTATCTTTCTATTTCTAGAGATCATACATCTTCGACAGAGCCATTGACCCTCAGGAATAAAGACGACTCCGTAGCATTCTTGGTGCACCGCGACATCGCAGCCATCACAGAAAACTATGGCATTGGAATTATCACACTCAGTTCTCCCACAAACTGCACAGGGTTGGTCAATCAAATAACCAGTGCCGTCATCCGAGCCGTAAGCATCGAAATTATCCCAAGCTACTCTTGATTCGTTCGTTGAAACGGCCGTGTTGTGAGTGGTGTGGAGAGGTATTTTCTTCTCTAAACTAAACCACTCGTTTTCAAGGAGTGTCATAACAATCTCAAATAACTCCTGGGTCATCAAACTTTTGCCCGTGTGCGCAATTCGTGAGTTGTTGAGATGTCGTAAGTAAAGTTCATCTTGTTCATCCATATCGTACTCCACCTGGAAGTTGGACTGATTGCGAGAGAAATTGCCAAAAGGATTACCTTTCTCACCTTGAAACCCATCGCTTTTCTTAAAATAAGGCGTTCTGTTTTCAACAAATTTCTCTTCGTTGACAAGCCGCCCAAATCCATACTTTATATACTGTTTCGGTGTCTTTCGGCCATTGCCCAATTCCGATATGCTGACTTTACATTTCTTATACCTTACCTTCGCTTCTGGTAACGAAATTGGTTCCGTAGTTATTCTGTCATTAATTATTAATTGCTTCATTGGTGCTTCATTATCTTCGGGGACCGATATGATTGCAGCAGTGTCCGTTAACAGAGGTATGAGAGCTTGTTGATCCAAGTCAGGGTAGAACTCCCGGTAGTGTTTCTCTTCTCTGAGCTTTGGACCATCATCTCTGACACTAGGAGATACCTTGGGATACATGGAATGCTCGCGTAATATCTTACCTTCCTGATATTCTGATCTGTTCACGATGATCATCGTTGATGAATCTACAAGTTTCCAACTTACAATAACTTGGAATATGTTCGTGTATAGTGACATCAATACCGAGGCCTTCACGTGGTTTCCTCACAGCACGCGATGAGCCAAGTTCGATGATAAAGGGTGTATGAACCGATGATAGGGTGGCCTACGGGGCATTGTCCTCACCGTGGTTTCCGTGAATCCAGGTCCATTCCTGGTCGAATTTTGAGCTTTGTGGGACTAAAGTTGACGTAAACCAGTTGTACCGAATAGGAAGCTAACTCCCATCCGAGAAGTTGGTGTCTATCTTTCAAAGTCTAGCAAATAGTCTGCAGCTGTTCCCACGGTGCGACTGGTATCGCCAAACATCAATTTTGCATTATCCTCTGCTTCTATGAGATCACCAGAGAGAAATTGTTGGAGATCATCGTGCACCGTTGAAGGCGTGGCTGAGCTTTCCCCGGTAAAAGGAATTATCCGAGTGTCAATAATCTGTTCCGGTGAATTACTCGCTTCTATTTTGACTCTTGGGTCGCTTCGTGCACCCGAAACAGCAGCGACTCTTTTAGCCGATGTGGATTTCTTCAACGCTTCCAAATCCTGAATCTTTTTCAGCAATTGTTTCTTCTTGCGGTCCTGTACCTCTAGCACTTGCATTAAATAGTCCAAATAGTCCAAAGAGCGGGTCAAAATGACACCCTTGTTGGCTTTGACTTCACGGCCTTGGTCATCAAAATTCAACAGGCTAGGAGGTATGAGTTTGCCCAACTCTTTGATTTTCTGCTTGATAAGTTCACGCCGCCTTCTTTCCACTGCGTTATGAAACTCGCGACGTCGCCTGAGCTTTTCTTCCTGTGTCAAACCATTACTTCCAGCCAAGACAGAATCTACCGGCGTTCCCCCTCCAACGCTGCTCACAGAGGATTGTCGTGGGTTTAATTGCCCGCGGAGTGAGCTCGAAAGGTAGTTACCGGACCGGAAACTGTTGGATGGAGACCTCAGACTCGTAGACAGATATTGCTGCAGATGCGAAGTGTCTAGGGACTCCAGTTGTTGCGGATGGTACCCAAATGACGACGATGGGGACGCTAGGTCATTTCGGTAAATACTGGAGCCAAGTGACGACGCAAATTCGTCCGTCAAATTGGCAAACTCGTCGTTACCTGCGTCTTGAAAAAGTCCAGTTTCTTGAACATCGTTCGACAACTCACCGGGTGCGACACCAGCGATGCTACCACGGTTTAATTGAGCTCCAACCGTCGCATTAGGAGCCAAAAACTCATCTATCAACGTCGCATTTTCGTGCGCGCTGGCGTTAGCCATCGCGCTGCGATAGTCGTTGTGGTTCTTACTAGTTTCTTCATCATAATCCCTAGTAGAGTCTGGCAGATGTCCATACACGTGCGGCCTCGCTCTGGAGTAAGACATGGCATCGAGTGGCGGCGCCGAATCCTGCGAGTCTATGTGCGACTGAGCCAAGTCTGTCAATCCATAAAAGCCCCCTGGCCCGAGAAGTTCCGCTATAAAATCCTGATCTTCTTGCTCATATGTCATTTCTTCTTAAGATAAACGACAGCTGAAAGAGGCCAGGCTCAGATGCACCACGACCTGCGCTTCTAAATACTTCGAGATGTTCGGTATTTTCGAATTTGGAGGTTCTTGAAGATTAGATTAAGACATCCAAAGAGTATCCCATCACACGGAAATGACCAGCTACACCACGTGATTTTGTGTAAAAATGTATTCGATGACTCAGGTAGATACGTTTATACGGACATGGGTACTGCTTGAGTTTCGTATGTAATGAGCTTATAAGTTAAGGACCGGCCCGTCAATAGTGCTCCTAACAAGACCCTAAGAAAGAAAGCGCAACGTGAATGTGACAGAAACCCACCTAGGAGCCAATTGCCCCATGGGCTATTTCTCAGCTAGTTTAAATGAGCGTTGTAGTTTAAAGAATTGCTTGCAGAGAATTATTCGCCGAAGTTGGGCCCCGGCGCTGGAGTGTGGGTAAGCCATGGGTAAATATATCTATTCGTGAAAGAGCTTTAGTCTTTTCGTATTCGTAGGATGAAAATTACGGTCAATACCAGTTGATTCTGGGTAAACTCGAGCGTTGACTGTGCGTGACCGAATTGTAGCTCTTACTGAGACTTAGATCTATCCACTTAGGATTAGAGTAGAAGAGTCGCTTTGTACGTGTATGGAATTAATATCATGCTACTTTAAAATATCAAGGCTTACCTGGGTCAGCGGTTGGCTTCGTTGATTGAGAAAATATTTGACAATGAGTACAGACACCTCCCCATTATACCTCAAAGCATATGGCGGCCTTACGCCCTTTGCAGCTATGACTGTTTTCTTTTAAATCATTCTTGTACTCTTGCATCGCCCGTTTCTTCCAACAGGTGAGCTATCTCACATTTTCACGTTGTTCCGCGTATCATGTCACTAATTATTCTATTAGCGGGAATCGTGATTTCATGGCCATCTCTGGGCTTGTTTGACCATCCGTGGCCTACACCCGCTTGACTCTCTCTTATTTTATTCTGTCATCGTGGTCACGTGATGTTCACCAATTTATAAAGTACATCGATGGTCATCCTCTGTCATTCCCTTGCAGCATAATGTAGATGTCATCAAAACTTTTGTGAAGCCGGATCACCAGATTCAGCTTTGATGTGTTCACGAAATGCTCAATGGCAGCGTTAAGCAGTAATTCTCGTGGGATAATTCACGGGACGACATTCTTGTAGTGGCCCTATCAAAGAACCCAATCTCTTGTATAAAAGGAGTTCCCATTATACAAATATGTAATGAACACAGCTCAGTGGAGGTGATTCTCACTGAAAGCGTATGAGATTTTCCCCAGTCACGTGGTGATTGCGACAATTTACAGTACAGACTTTTCATCTGATCCGGCCACAGCTACGACGACTTTGGGACGAATCTAGTTTCACGCGTAGTCCATATTGTTACTTTTACTCTTTATTGCTGCATTTTTGAAGTACACGTCCGTAGAAGGTTTCTAGCGAAAGAATATGGAACTGAAAATCAAACAATTTGGATAAAATATTGAAAGTTGTTAAGTAGAAAACAATAAAGTTGAACAACAATTTCCTAGATACTTACACTAGTAACGTAACAAGATTTGTAAGATTCTGAGTGCCGATATAAAAAAACCAAAGCTGTATTTGTTAGCATATTTTTTTTTGAAAACTTTCCAAATCAAAAATGCTCAAAAAGAATTAGAGGCAAAAAAGCGCGTTCAGAATCCAAGCATGCAAAGCATCCTGTTCGCTTAGATTGATGATACTGAATACGCCAGCATGAGCTTCGATTTTACGTGACTGTGAATTCTCGTTAAAAGTCACATGTCGTTCACGTGATAGTCACGTTCCACTAGGTTAAAGATAGATCACTAAATTTAATTGAAAACCCGCATCGATGAACAATTGAATTTGACACATCGCTAATCTACCTTCTGAGTCGGTATTTTGGTACATTTGAGAGTGTATTCGGAATTGGCGTGTGCGAATTAGTCAAAGTGAGCCGTAATGTCCGGAGAACAAGTGAATTCGCTACGGGACTCTTTAAACCGTTGGAACGAAAGTAGAGCTCAGAATTCCCAAGGTTTCAACGAAGGTGCCAAGACTTTTCTTTCGTCATGGGCAGAATCTATCAACACCAGAGCGCAGGACGTTTACCAGAGACTTCCCATGACTCAACAGGATTTGGTGCAGGACCAAGAACCGTCCTGGTTCGCGTTGTCGCGCATGGAACGGCTCATCCTCTTTGTATGCTTCCTCTTGGGAGCCACAGGCTGTTTCACTCTGTGCGTTTTCCTTTTTCCAGTTCTCGCAGTTAAACCTCGCAAGTTCGGGCTTCTGTGGTCTATGGGCTCGCTCTTGTTTGTTTCCGCGTTTGGTGTCCTCCAAGGGCCTGTTGCTTACTTGAAGCATCTGAGCTCTAAAGAGAGACTGCCTTTTAGCATTTTTTTCTTCACAACCTGCTTTTTGACCATCTATTTTGCTGCATTTCAAAAATCTACAGTGTTGACCATACCGTGCGCCGTCTTACAACTGATAGCTGTAATCTACTACGGCATCAGTTACTTTCCCTTCGGAGGAGCTGGCCTGAGGATGATTAGTTCCGTGGGTATCAATCAAGCTAGAGGAGCTCTGCGCATTTAAGTACCAGACGTGCTGATTAAACTAAATAAATAGAATTCGAGGCTGAAAAATTAGAGCCTACGTCCTGTTTAAACTGTGGTATTGGGGTGGATCTTCGTCGCTTATCATGGCATCATCAATATTTGTAGATTCCATGCCGAACTCGGCCTTGAAAATTGGCCTACCAGGGACAGCCGGACTATTAGGGTTTTCATTAATCAATGAATCAATGACGGTGTACCTCCTCCCACGCGAACCCGGGGGCATTTCGTGGCTAAAGCTGTCGGGCCCTGTTTGCGAGGAAGTCCTTGATAGAGACAATTGCTGTATACTAAGCTCTTCAGGGTCATAGGATGCGATCAAATTTGGCGATCCCATCGGAGACACTCGAGGTGACCCTATTGGTGAAGCAGGTACGGATATTGCTTCTTCGAAAGAAGGTGGAAGCAATTCTCCCTTCGTCGCCATGTCGTAAGTAGGAAGCTCGATGTTGTCGTTAGTACACATGTCAGACACAAGAAAAATTGGAGTGTCGATCAATACCTCGTAATGCTTTTCTGGATTTTGGCCATTCCCGCCTGAACTGATCCTGAGCATAATCTCCAGCTTGTGCTTGACGTGAATATTTTCGAAATTCACACTGTCCAGGTAAAGTCCCCGCTTTGGTTCGTTAAGTTTCGTGCGGGTTTGTACATGCATGTTCGAATTTGAAAAAAACTTTGATTCGCTAGGTGATGTAACGTCGGGGTGCACAATAGAGCTCTGTCGCGATCTTGAAGTTACTGTGGGTCTTCGACCAGCAAAGAATCCAATAACTCCAGAAGCAGCGCTCTCACGACGAGTAGAAGTTCCAGCACCTCCAACACCTGCACTCTCGAAATTTGCGGAATTAATAGCCGAAAACTCATCTATACCATAGGGTGGGACATTTTTCGAGGTCTTTCTATCCAACACCAAGTATTTTGGGAATTTGACCTTCGTATCAATAGTTAGAGTATCCGCCACATCAAAAGTTCCGTTCTCTCTAGATCCCTGTGTCACGGTTGTATATGCCAAAATGTTTTCAGATTTACAGTTTTCCACAACTTCTTCCCTCAACGCTCTGGCGCCTTTGTCTTTGCTTCTTATTTCGATTAGAGGCAAGATTCGCTCCTGCTTACGTCTGGATGTGAACTCTGCATAGTAAGGGTTGTAAGGATCATTGGAAATAGCCTCCGTTTGATCGAATTCGTACTCCAGACTTTTGGAAACAAATGTCACTTTTTCCAGTACGCTTACACGCAGCCTTTTCACCGCTATGTTCTTCACGATAGGTGCTAGTTTTATTTTCAGCGGTACCTCGCTTCCGATCGGTACAAATTTCTTCTGAAGTGAGATTTCGTAGGAGAGCGCGTTGTTCCAAATACGATTGATGTACACCGGCTTGTCCGCAGTTGAATCAGAAATAACAGGCGGCATCCTTATAACATTGATTGGATAGGATGCATCGAGCATCCCGCGGGACTCATACGAGGCTGAGCTGGTAACGCTGCTGTGAAGGTGATTTTTCATTTTCTTGAAGAAATTGTTGCCACTACTACTTTTGGAATGGCTTCCGGTCTCCTGATGACTTTCATCTGAGCCATTCGTTCCATTGGTAGCCTTGGAGTTGGAAAAAGAGAGATCGCTACGATCGTCAAACCCTTGTTTCGAGGGATCCATTTTAACAGCACATCGAAAATTGTAGTTCACGCGGCCCGAGGGGAGATAGATGGTTTCGGGGATGTTGTTGCTAAAGAAAACGGGCAACAAAAACAGGTACTCACCGGCTTCAAAATGCTCCTCGGGTTCACAATCCAAGAATTTGAAGAATTGCTGCCGAGACTTTCTTCTGTTACGGTATTTTTCGTCAGCCAAGTTCTCATTCTTTTTGAAAAGCTTTGTGTGTATTGGTTCTTGTCTCTCGATAATTCCCTCTTTCCAATCAGCTCGCTGAGGCACGAAAAGAGTGAAATTATCATTCCCAAGGTCCCAATCTAAACTCTCAACTGTATAGTATTCTTCTTTCAAAGTCTTGTCCGGAGGAACGCCGTATTGCCAATATACTCTGGCGCGCGAGTAAAGTTCAGCTTTAATTTTGGAAAGCTTACCGGGCCGCTTCAGAGACAAAATCACTGCAATGTTGAAAAGCACATTTTTACCATCGTTTTCGATTGACTGCGCATTGCTCACTTCGGTGATCGCCGATTCTGAACCTACGACGTCAGATGTTGAGGGAGCCGCGACGTCTGATTCGGTCGAGCGAACAGAAGTTTCGAAATTCAAAGTTTCAGCCGGGTCCACGTTTCGCGAATGCCCTCGCGATTCATCGAGCATCGCCAGGTGGCTAAGATACTCGTCATCTTGTGCCGAAACCGTGGGCAAAAACACAATCTCTGACGACGTTGCTAGCGAAATACTGATATTTTCAGTTTGACTTAGCAATCTGGGATTTAAAAAACCTCTGTCTGAGAGATAATTGGAGATGTACTTGCGGATTCCCACCCCACGAATTCCACTACTTAAAGCAGATTGCCTCGGGTATGAAGAGCCATAAGCGCTAGTTTTACCATCCTCATAGTCCAAAGACGGCTCACTAAGAAAAGCAGATTCCTGGAAGTCGTCGTCTTCCCAGATATGACGGCTCGCGTCGGTATGTCCACTATGCTCAAGACCGCGAATCTCGCCAGAATGCAAATGATGTGCGAAAGTTCCACCTGATCCTGGTGAAGTACCCAAGCTGCGACTAGCTGGAGGACTGCTGCCCAGTGACCCGGACCTCAGGATGTTAGTGAACGCATGTTTAATGGAAGATCTGCGTGCACCGCCGGCGCCGCTTTCCGCGTGAGCGTTATTGCCCGAGAAATCTTCGAAATTCGAGTTTGAAGATATTGGGACTTTCGTAGCCACAAATGGCATCTTACAAAACTGTGTTGTTTCGACAAAAGTCACCAATTTCTATGACCCAAGCTCTAAAACGACTCGTAATACCGTCAGACTTGATGACCCTCCCAAATCAGCCAAGTTTCACTGGAAAAGTTGCGTACAAAAGGCCCCTGATGAAAAAAAATTGCTTTCCTCAATTTAGACCAGACAGAACCCCTTTCACTTTGCACTAAGGGACTTGATTTGCTTTAGTCGTTTTATCGTTAATCAGCCTTGCCCGTGATCGTGATAATCTCAGATATGGCCATCTCAAATTTCGATATACCATTGTACGAAGGTACTTTATTATATTCAACCTGGAATTATGCAGGACTAGACGATCTAATCCACTTCTATCACAAGGAAAAAGTGACTTAAAATAAAACCAATTGGGGGCAATTGTGGCTTCGATATGGGATCGCTGAAAACCTTTATCAAGGAGGTTCGATCAGCCAAAACTTTGGCCGAAGAGAAATCGATTATAACCAAAGAATCGGCCAAGATTCGAACGAAATTGAAAGATGATCATTTGTCGCTAGAAAAAAGGCGTAAAAATATCCAGAAGCTGCTGTATCTGTATATTTTGGGCGAGAAAACGCATTTTGCGCAGGTTGAGTGTATTAATTTGATTTCCTCGGACGATTTTCAGAATAAACGACTAGGATATTTAGCGGCGGTGTTACTTTTGGACGAGCAACAAGAAATTTTAACGCTACTCACGAACCTATTGAATAACGATCTCAACCATCCGAACAGTTACATCGTCTCGATGGCACTCTCTGCACTTGGGTCTTTGACTTCACCAGAATTGGCGCGTGACTTGTATCCAGATGTAGAACAGATCATTAACAGGTCTACGGAGCCTCTGCTGGTGAAAAAAGCATTGCAATGCGCAGCAAGACTGGTGACACGCGACGCGGCATTACTGGAAATTTTTTATCCTTACTGCAAGAAAGTTCTAGACAACCATCGCCTGTGCACGCATGGCGTTCTTTTGGGCGTGCTAAAACTTTGCCAGTCCATTATTGAAGCACGAAATTTGTACGAATTTGACAATTACCTGGAAATTTTAGCGTCTCTCATCGATTCGATGCCGGAATTCTTCTCCCTTTTGCAGAATTTAAATTCTGCCGTTTTCAACCAGGAATTTGACGTCAATGGCACAAGTGACCCATTTTTGCAAGTAGAGCTGCTACGCACTCTGCGAATGCTGTTTGCTTGTGCCCCTGAGAAAACGATGCAGTATGTGGACAAGTTTGGGGACTTACTGACGCAATTAGCTTCAATTGGAGATGGATCTAAAAACAGCGCTCACGCGGTTGCATACGAGTGCGTGCGCACAATTTTTGAACTTCAATTAGATCAGTCGCTTCGAGTGCTTGGTGTGAATATTTTGGGCAATTTCTTATCCGGAAAGGACAGTAACACGAAATATGTGGCGCTCAACACTCTTTCGCGTGTAGTACCACAAGAGCCGCGGGCTGTTAAAAAACATCGCAAATTCATAACCAAATGTTTACTCGATACGGATGCATCCATCAAGGTGAGGTCTGTCGAGCTGATTTTCGCAATTTTGGATGAAACCAATGTGCAAGAGCTAACAAATGAACTAATCTCTTTCCTTGAAATTTCTACCGAGGATGACAAAGACGTGGTCAATTACGTCGTCGAACATATAATGGTAGTGTTGGAATCGGAACGCTACGGCGAGGAGCGCTGGAGACTGGATATGGCTATAAAAGTCTTGGAGCTAGTTGGCGAATATGCGTCTTACGAAAAAGTCAACGAAGTCATGATTATGATAAACAATGCCAGAAGTATCGAGCTCAAGGCTTCTCTTGTCCTGAAGATTTTGTCAACAACCATTGACGCTCCTGCTGATAGTAAAGTTTCTGTTGAAAACAGTGGGTGGAAACTCGTTGCAATATGGTGTCTCGGAGAATACGCTGATCTTATTTTAGGATCATCTGGGTTAACGGAGGTCAAGCTCACTGCATGGCTTGCCAACATGAATAGAATGTGCTACGATGAACCAAGAGTCACTAGTTTTATTCTTTCCGCGGCGCTCAAACTTTCTTGCAAAATTCAAAGCAAGAGCCAAATAGAGGATTTACGCCTTCTCATAGCAGGACACTCGAAAGATACGAATTTATTACTGCAAACGAAAAGCACTCAATATGGCATTTTATTTAATCAGCCAACCAAGTCCAAGAAGGCGATTCTTGATGCCATGCCTTTTTTTGCCAAAAACGTCGTCGAGGAAACCGCTTCTTCGGCAGAGACCAGACAACCGGTCAAAAGCCCCCAAGCGGCTAAAGAAACGAATCTCTTACTGGATCTGTTCGACACGGATCCTGTTCCTGCTGCGATACCCGGTGGACTTGGTGGACAAAAGCCGCCTCTAAACTCAAACGGCCAGAAGGCCGCTCCACATGTACCTACCGATCATGAACATGTCCTGCAAGCGGCGGATAAAATTTATGATTGTAACAACCTTTCTGTGTATGGTAAAGTTGTTTTCTGTGCCCATCAAAAAGCAGTTATAGAGCTAAACATTCAGAGCAAGCAAAAAAAGATAATCAATTTGCATACAATGGCCGCAGTCGCCAAACTACAACAATTGAGCATGGGTACACTGTCATCGGGAGTGATTGATCCCAGTGGGATTGCTAAACAGCAGCTCGAACTCACTGGAAGTGGTAAACTTAAATTGCGCGTAAAGCTGAGCTACACGGTTGACGGTGCCGAGGTATCTGAGCAATTTGATCACAGGTTTGCAGAAAGTTTGTAAATACATCGCTATTTACCTAACACTGAAGTTTGCTTCAAATTCCGTGAGTGGAAAATCCGGTGGTCTTGCCCTTTGGTGCCAAATTCTCCATCTTAGAGCCAATCTCATCGGTCTTGGAGGGATGAATCTTGATGTATTTGTCGCTCAAAGGCATCAAAATCATATTGTACACATAGCTGGCACCCTTAGTTTGAGGTAAAGCTAGGTATAGAAGAACAACGGTTTTCATGAACCAGTAGAAAGGAATCCAGTACAAGATGGCCTTAGACCAGAATTCCACGACACTCAAGAAAGCAAAAACGACCCAGTAAGTCAATAGTTCAGTGTCGTCATTTTTGTCTGTAGTTTTGAGCGCAATTAGCGAATAATATGCGGGTAGAGCAAAACCGGCGAAATTGGCCAAAATCTCGCCGATGCCTCCAACGTTGATGAAAATCAAAAGTAAATACAGCGAAGCACCACCCAAGACACCGTAGGACTTGGGGAGCTTCGTTTTGGCTTCAAATTGCTCAAAGGCACTGTTACCAGCAAGCTTCTGTAAAATTGATTTTTTGTTAGTAAAACAAGTCTTGAAAACCCATTAAAGCCGTTAAAATATGCCTCATCGGACCGGAAACAAATCCCTTGGACTATTCAAATACCAAGGGTCCAGCTGAATAGATCAAATACCTCCAAAATCGATAAAGTAGAATTTCACGACAATACCCTAACTTCCGATAAAAAAACTCCGGGAAAGGGTAAAGGTATGAGAACTAACACGGGCATGTCAATAAAGATTACATACGGTGTCCAAAGTTTTTAGTTCGTCTTGAAATGTCTTGATATAGTCAGCCATTTGTATGATTTAGCGTTGTCGCAGCCTTGAAACTTGTAAACTCAATGTAGCACTGCCAGAAATCTTTACTCTTTTATAATCGAGTTCCCATTCGAAAGGGTCAAGAGCAAATAATCATGAAGGGTGAATAAAGCACTCGAATATGAATCATTGAAATACTTCGTATTTTAACAATTAGCGGATTTAGCTCAGTTGGGAGAGCGCCAGACTGAAGTCAACTTCGGTCGCTGTTATCTGGAGGTCCTGTGTTCGATCCACAGAATTCGCAATTTTTTATTTAAATCTTGAAATAGGGCAGCGCACAAGGAACAACCTTTAACGGGCTATACATCGCTTTCGGCTCGAGGTTGCCACCTCATTTAGTCGCCAAAGTTTTGAGTCAATCGGACAAGAAAGCAATCTCTTCGATTGTAGCGCCCTTGGGATCTTTATCATCATCGTAGGTACCTTCTACGCTGAGAAGAACAAACCGAGGCGGAGGTAAGCCAGTGATGGCGTTTTCAGCGCACACATGAGTATCGTTGCAAGCCCGCATACAGAGTTCTTCATAGTCGAATACAAATTCGGTTTTGTTACTGGGCAAAATGACTATGGATTTGTTTCGTTGTAGCGTTTCGTAATATGGCTCCGAGGGAAACACTTGGAAATCTTCTAAAATGGTAACAAACCTGTCCGTGAAAACAGAATAATTTGGCGAAAGCCTCGTGAGTTGTTCAAGATCCAGTCTCTCTGAATTCAGCATATCCCTTAATTCAGTATCGAATATGTGACTGTCTTCCGGCAGGGCAATGGCGCTGGCGACATTACATCTGCCGCGCAAAATCGTCAACGGACAGAAACCAGTTTCGTCCTCCTCTCGTTTCTTTATTTTGATCCCCTTGACGTATTTCCCGTGAGACGGCAAAACCGAGACGGAAACATTTCTCGCTGGCCTTTTGCCCCAAAGAATCATGCCTCGCGTAAGCGGCTTGTCATTGTCAGGCCCAAGGTCAATGAGTAACTTTGCACGCATGTCCTTATTTAAAGGCTGCCAGTGAGTGTAGTTGTTGCCATCGACTGCAGAATAGACAACATCTCCTGGGACCCCAGCAGTGAAATTGGTGATTTGCTTGCCCTCGGCTAAATTGTTGTCAATATTAAGGAGGGGTTCGAACAATGGGAGTGACAGCGTTTCTCTAGGATTTAGAGTATAGAACGTAGCCGGTAGGGACTCGTTTTTCGCTAAAAGTTCTGTCCACATATGGTGAGCGCCGAGTTGCCGATCCGTATTGAAACTTCTATTAAAAGTCTTCAACGTTACAGCCAGATCTCCCTGCTTGTGAATGAGGGTGGCATTTTTATCATCGATAATGACATCCAACACCTGTCCCATGTATTTGAAATTTCGAATTGCAATGCCGCCAGGAAGTAATGGAAGTTTCATGGGGATGAACTTCAAAAATCGGTTGATAGTTTTCGAGGCGGGATCCACTTCGTAAGAGTACCTCAATCCCGTTAGGCCAAATAAAATGCCTTGCAAGAAACCAGCGTTCCCAGTTAAAAATGGAAACGAGGGTTGGGTTAAACCGTTTGTCAAAAAATCATCATCCGACTGTTCGCTGAATTGCATAAAAGGTGCTCTCAAGTACGGCAGAACAGATTTGTACAAGTAGCTCTGTGACGAACATCCATGATTGAGAAGTGAAGAGGCAGCGACAAACACGGGGTAGGTCATGGCTGGACCGGAAGCCGACTGTCGCTCAGAGTAGTAGTACAAATTTCTTATCGCGTTTTTCAAAATCGTTTCATCCGTTATATACCCCAAGGGATAAGTCATAAGCACCACATCCGCTTGCTTGATTTCAACAGACGCGTTCATCCCACTGTACTCCAGTGTAATATTAGACTCTGCCATGGGAATATAAATGTTTTTAGAAATGTGATTCCACTTCGGATCCACTTCATTGCCCAGATGATAGCCTATGTCTGTGGCCCACTTCATTAACGTCTTGATACCAGCATTCGTGAATGCACCATTGTTGACGAAATTGGCGTACTCATCTGGATCAGTTAAATTGAACGTCTCGTATTGACCCGTGGTATGGTTAATCTGGACATATTCGGCAAAAAACTTGGCTGCATCCCTGACGAGAGGCCATGTGGTGTAACGAAGATAGTCTTCTCCTTCGCCATTCAAATACATTAGGAAAGACGCCATTGCTATATCAAAATTGACGTGGTACTCATAGTCGACACAGGGTCCTGTGGAGGTACAATTGGCAAACCTCCCCGAAGTCCAAGGATAGAGAGCTCCAGAATAATCATATTTTTGGGCGTTCAGGACGGCCTGCTGGTGCGTGCCATTACGGTAATTTACAATATGCCGTGCGATCTCCGGAAAAAAGGGCAAAAGTGAGGGCATCATCCAAATATCAGCGTCCCAGAATACCATACCACCATATGAGTCGGAGCTCAAGCCAGAGACGGGCATTGGAAGCCCCCTTTCAGCAGACACATTGAACCTTCTCGTATTGGCAAGCAGATGATATAATGAGGATCTGGCCGCAAGTTCCAATAAGCTATCAGAAGGAATTTCAATATGTGCATCACTGTATAAAGCTTCCCACGCAGCTCTATTACTTTCAGTCAGCTTGTGGCAGCTGCCTAAACTTTCTTTTACTACTGACCTTGCGAACTCCAAATTGGTTTGATCACGGCGTCCGTCGCCATACTCGGTGGACATTATACCCGTGAACTTATTAGCCTTAAGAATCGGGCCATCGGCTTCCAGTTTGACACTCACACATTGAGAAATAGTAGTGCGATTGTCATCAAAACGAAACTCGGATTTTCCACTGCGTTCCCCATCGTAAAGCAATTCAAACGAGGAGTAAATAGACGCCGAGGAATACGGTACGTTGTCTGGGTTCACAGTCATGTAAATGCCCCCTGAATCGTGTCCAATATCTTGCAACGCGACTCTCCTGGCGGTTGTATAGTTTAAACAATCACATAGTTCCAGATCAACTTCGTCTACGTCCCAGCCTGGGTTCACGTTCAACTCCAAGGTGACGATTCCAAGCGAATGCTTACTTCTATGCGCCAAAACAGAGCTTTTCACGTGTAAAAAGCCAAGCCAATCGAGTTCAGTGGAAACAACACCCGTTTGCATTGACAAGTTTTGATGGTAGTTCGTCACATCTTCGAGCCGCACATCTTGGGCAGAGAACTTGAGGCTCCCGTTCCGCACAGAAAATTGCAAATCTGTCCACTGCGGAATGGCGGACAAAACTGTCGAATATCCGTCGTCGTCCAATTCGGGGAAATTAGTCGAGTTAAGTTTTGGCTCCAGGCAATAAAAATCTGAGACAAACGCACCTGCAAACCGTTGATTCCGAAGGGGCCACCCATTGTCGAGAGCACCGGGAACACTACTGTTCGCTGTCCAAATGTTTAGCGTGTCTAAGGCGTAACCTAGCCCCACGTTCGGTATCCGGCTCCCAATGTACCCATTGCTGACATAGGGTTGTCGCGAAAATGTATTTTCGGAGAAATAGCTCGTACCGACACACCAGTGCACTTCATCGTAGTAAGTGTCGTCAGAATCGCTTAGTTGTTCATATAGTTGCTGCGACGATTTTCTCCGGTTTCTAACCCGCTCGCTAAAACGACGTGTACTCTCGAACACCGAAAGCCCGGGTTTCAATTTCTGTAAATACGACGTCACCGTAAACCATCCCAACACGAGTAAACAGGTCAAAACGCTGTAAAAAAGTCTGCTTTTGGCTTTCTCGGTCTTCATCTTCCCCGCATCTAAAACCCAGGTCTCTTTAAACTTCAAATAGGAGGCGCTTCTCGGCGCACTGATACCGGACTTTTTTTCCTTGAAACAAACGAACGCTTCTCAGTGACTTCTTGAAAGGTTAAATAGTCATCGAGCAGACCCTTAAGTCTTAGTTTCAACTTTGGTCCTGTGGGTGTTCATCTCCCTTCATCTCCATTTTCAAATGACACATTTCGTATCTGACAGATACTAGAAAGATGATTTGAACGGGACTCGAACGGCGGACCAAAACGTAATCGAAATTTATGTTGTCGCTGTTTACGAGGACCGTTCTCAACACTGAGAGCGTCCCGCCTAAGAAAACTCTGATGTTTTATCACCACTTGTCAGGGATAATAGACGACACGCAAGACACGAAAGGGGGCGAATACCAAGTGGGGAAAACTGAGTACTATAGTGTTGGGTCAGAGCCGAATATCTCCTAATTCCTCACGGTTTTAGCCAGAGAAACGGTTTTTGGGGGGCACTAGGGGTGTCTTGAGGGGTAGCCGCCGAAGCGGGAGACCAGGGAGGGGGATTGGGAAACGAAGCGGGAGGCTCCGTTAGACGGTTGCTAGTCCAAGAAAAGAATTCAGGTACCAGAGAAGGCGCAAGAGATACTTGGACGGCTATATCGCTCCTTTAGGCTACATTGCATTCGCTGGCGTCTTCGGCGTTTAAGAAAGGGAAAATAACAATCACGTGATCCCGAACATTCACACTACACGTATCAAATGATATGAGCGTACAAGATCACGTGACCATTTATCAACCAAGGACTCCACGTCCAAAGAGATGTTTACGTACTTGAATCACGTGACCTGAGTGGTCGAAATTCGCACCAACTATACGATTTCTCTGTGGTATGCCGTCAACCGTAGAGTCGCTGCTCATACGTCAAACGTGCGTGTCACTTGCGAACTGTGTCGAGCATGATTCTGCTTCTGATCAACCTGCACGGCCCTCTCACGTGAAAGCACGAAGCACGTTTGATGGCCGCGTCCGTGACTTTCTGAGTGACTCGAAACATGCTGCTTATGCCACGGCGTGCACCCGGCCAATCAATACAAGCAGCTTGGAGGTTACCCTGTCTTAAGACCAGCCAATCAAATTATTGAAAATCCGGTTTATTCGCTGCGTCTACGAGAAAGCGAAAAAAATAGTGCGAAATCGGTCAAATATGGAAAACGCCCAGTGAGCGTGCGAGTAAAAAAAATTTTACAGGCGGAAACAAAACCGAGATTGGTGTCTTTTGAAAAACTGAAGACCCCTTTTTAAACAACAAATTTTTTTTGGTTGTTTCGTTTCGATTCGCAGAGAGAGTTTGTGTGAGAACCAGCAGCAAACAGCTCCGAAAACTCATCCTTTCTTATATATTCCTACTTTTTGATTCCCGGCTCGTCTCGCTACCCTATATTTGCCAGTTTCCCAGCGTTAAAAGTTGTGATTGTCTGTCAATAATAAGTCGTTGAGAAAAGAAGAAAACCATGTTGTCCCGTACTGCTATCCGTACCGCTTCAAGGTCGCTTGCCGCCGCGTCTGTGGCTCGCACAATGAGGCATATCGCCAGACCAGCTCTTTTTGTTGCTGGCAGAAGATATGCGAGCGCCAAAGCTCAACCCACCGAAGTTTCCTCCATTTTGGAGGAAAGAATTAGAGGTGTTTCCGAAGAGGCCAATTTGAACGAGACCGGTCGTGTCTTGTCTGTTGGTGACGGTATTGCCCGTGTCTTTGGTTTAAACAACGTTCAAGCCGAAGAATTGGTCGAATTTTCTTCTGGTGTCAAAGGTATGGCTTTGAACTTGGAACCAGGCCAAGTCGGTATCGTGTTGTTCGGTTCCGACAGATTGGTTAAGGAAGGTGAAGTGGTCAAGAGAACCGGTGAAATTGTCGATGTTGGTGTTGGTCCAGCTCTTTTGGGTAGAGTTGTCGACGCCCTGGGTAACCCAATTGATGGTAAGGGTCCAATTGAGACCGCTGGTCGTTCCAGAGCGCAAGTCAAGGCTCCTGGTATTTTGCCAAGAACTTCTGTCCACGAACCTGTTCAAACTGGTTTGAAGGCCGTTGACGCTTTGGTTCCAATCGGCAGAGGTCAAAGAGAATTGATCATTGGTGATCGTCAAACTGGTAAAACCGCCGTGGCTTTGGATACCATTTTGAATCAAAAAAGATGGAACAGTGGTGCTGATGAAAAGAAGAAGCTATACTGTGTTTACGTCGCTGTGGGTCAAAAAAGATCCACCGTTGCCCAATTGGTGCAAACCTTGGAACAACACGACGCTTTGAAATACTCTATCATCGTTGCTGCTACTGCTTCTGAAGCCGCTCCATTGCAATACATTGCTCCATTCACCGCTGCCGCCATCGGTGAATGGTTCAGAGACAACGGTAAACACGCCTTGATCGTCTACGACGACTTGTCTAAGCAAGCTGTCGCTTACCGTCAATTGTCTTTGTTGTTGAGACGTCCTCCTGGTCGTGAAGCTTACCCAGGTGATGTTTTCTACCTGCACTCTAGACTTTTGGAAAGAGCTGCCAAGATGTCCGACAAGAACGGTGGTGGTTCTTTGACCGCTTTGCCTGTCATTGAAACTCAAGGTGGTGATGTCTCTGCTTACATTCCTACCAACGTTATTTCCATCACTGACGGTCAAATCTTCTTGGAAGCAGAACTATTCTACAAAGGTATCAGACCTGCCATTAATGTTGGTTTGTCGGTTTCTCGTGTCGGTTCCGCTGCTCAAGTCAAAGCTTTGAAACAAGTCGCCGGTTCTTTGAAACTGTTCTTGGCTCAATACAGAGAAGTCGCTGCTTTCGCACAATTCGGTTCTGATTTGGATGCTTCTACCAAGCAAACTTTGGCCCGTGGTGAAAGACTAACCCAATTGTTGAAACAACACCAATACGAACCATTGGCCGCCGAGGAACAAGTTCCATTGATTTACGCCGGTGTTAACGGTTACTTGGATGCCATTGAATTGTCGCGTGTCGCTGAATTTGAGACTGGATTTTTGTCCTATTTGAAATCCAACCACGAAGAAATTTTGTCTGCTATCAGAGAAAAGGGTGAATTGAGCAAAGAACTGCTAGGTTCTTTGAAGACTGCCACTGAATCTTTTGTCGCGACTTTTTAAACTATCATTACCAGGTATATCACCAAAACTTGCAAAAAACTAAAACAAGAGAGAAATAGAGCCCAGAGAAAGCATATGACTTTACGATTGGATGAGTACCATATATTTTAAAATCTAACTACCTTGCCTCTTAAATTAAGAATATATATATACTTCAACCACCTGTACCAGAAAAACTTGAATTGTTGATAATATTGATGTAATGATGTGTTGGCCATCTTTAACAATCCAAATCTCTAAATCAAAAGATCACCAACCTTCGTCCATAACGCTGGGACGGACGATTTTGACAAATAATTTGCCGTTCAGGAGAACAACCCTATGACCAACACTCCGACTCCGAGTGGGTCTGTCGATGCTACCAAGGTTCAACCCATCCAGAGGGTTAGTGACGATGATTTGTACAGACATTCATCGCAGTATAGAATGTGGTCGTTTACTCCAGAACAACTTGCTCAGAAGCGAGTTGAAATCAACGCAAGAGCCGCTACGGTTCTTGAAACAAGAGTTCGCAGTTTCCTAGAACAAAATCCCGATTTGGGCAGCGACGAAGTCGCAGCCATTACAGAAAAGGCTGTCCCGGTCACTGCAGATGAAGAAGTCTTACTAGTGAATTATTTTGCCCGTATGCTTCTTACGTTCGCTACTAAGATGAATTTACCAACCGAAGTGGCTGCTACGGCGGTGACATTCTTCAGAAGGTTTTATTTGAACAACTCAGTCATGGACATAGTTCCAAAGGAGATTTTCTACACGACGTTGTTCTTTGCATGCAAATCCGAGAACTTTTTCATTGGGATCGATTCGTTTGCCAAGAAGACTAAATCCAAGAACGAGGACGTTCTCAAGTATGAGTTCCGTCTTTTAGAGAGTTTGCAGTTTACGCTTATGAATCACCATCCGTTCAAAGCTTTGCATGGATTCTTTCTCGACATTCAAAACATTTTGCAGGGGAAAGTCGACTTGAATTACATGGGTCAGGTATATACCAATTGCAAGAAAACCATAATGGAGGCGATTTTGACCGACGTGGTATATTTCTACAGTCCTCCGCAAATCACGCTTGCAGCGCTTTTGAAGGAAGACGAAGCTCTCGCGATGAGATACTTGGATCTTAAATTCGCTAACGAGGACTCACCTGGTGTATTACATCTCGAAACTCTTCGAACTGTCATTGTTGCGTGTAAGGATACCATGTCAGCTAACGCGGTACCATCGAAAGAGCAGGCTACACGCACTGTAGCTAAAATACATTTTGGTCAAAACCCATTGTCTGTGGTGGAGCGGATGCGTAGACAAAGAGAAAGCGCTTCACCACCATAATATCAAACATGTTGTTAAGTGTTCATTAAATTCCTATGTACATATGCATTAATCTTACGCCAACTTTATGAAAGCGCATGTACTGTCTTAACTAATTGATATCAATAAAAATGTCTTTTCCAGCAGCAACCTGCCCGGCTGCAACTTCGAATATTATGCATTGATCAAAACCGGAATTGGAGAATTGTCATTACCGATCTCTTTCCGGTCATCACTGTCGGGCCCTTCTACCACCGTATTGGTTGCCATCCTGGCTTTTAATAGGCTCTCTCCTTTACAAACTTTTTCGATTTCAAAAGAATCCAAAGTTTCGTATTCCATCAAACCTTGTGCTAAACGTTGAAGTTCTTTACCTCTTGCCTTCAAAAGCTTTCTGGTTCTTTCTTCAGATGCTTTCAAGATTTCTATCACTTCATTGTCGGCCGTGTCACGAATTTTGCCCGACCAAGTCTCCCATTTATCGGCAAGATTGACAGGCCCAACGCTGTCACTCATACCATATTGTGTTACCATGGCCCGAGCAGTGTTCGTGGCATTCTGTAAATCGGACCCGCAACCACTCGTGGTATTTTCCTTCCCGTAAATCATCTCCTCGGCAATCTTACCGCCCATGCATACATCCAGGCGGGCTAAACATTCCTTTTTGGTAATGTCGACTTTGTCCATCTCTGGTAGTTGAAACGTAATACCCAAAGCTCTACCTCTTGGAAGGATAGTAGCTTTGTACAGCGGCGTAGCTCCAGCGGTGTACATTGCCATGATGGCATGACCGGCTTCGTGAAATGCAGTAGCTCTTCTCGCAGCCTCGGTTAGTACCATGGTTTTGCGTTCTGCACCCATCAGGATTTTGTCTTTGGCCCATTCGAAATGAGACATATCGACGGAAATGGCATTTTGTTGACATGCATAAACAGCGGCCTGATTCACTAAATTCATAAGTTCGGCACCGGAGAGACCAGGAGTACCTCTAGCGATCAATGTAGGATCCACATCTGACGCAAGTGTGACTTTTTTCATATGATGTCTCAAAATGTCGGCTCTTCCACGAACGTCTGGAAGGTCAACGTTAACGACTTTGTCAAATCTTCCAGGCCTAGTTAACGCTTTGTCAAGAGACTCTGGAAAATTGGTCGCACCTATTATGATTATACCGCTAGTTTGAGAAAATCCATCGAGCTCGACCAAAAGTTGATTCAAAGTTTGTTTAGCGTATGCTTGATCCTTTGGATTACGTTTTCCTCCAATAGCGTCAAGTTCATCGATGAAAATTATAGCCGGGGCGCGAGACCTCGCTTGAGAGAACAGTTCCCGGATACGTTTAGCACCAACACCAACGTAGACCTCGTCAAATTCAGATCCAGACATGAAGAAAAAGTCGACACCAGCTTCACCAGCAGTAGCACGCGCAAGCAAGGTCTTACCCGTACCTGGTGGCCCGGTCAAGAGAACACCTTTTGGAAGTTTCCCGCCCAAAGATTCGTATTTGGTAGGGTCTTTCAAAAAATCTACAATCTCTTCGAGTTCTGCGCGTGCCTCGTCACATCCACGAACGTCGTCAAATTTCACATTGGTCTTGGCAACGTCAACAGATTTGTCGGCCACCTCAGAAGATTTCAGAAGAGTTGTGTTCTCTGAAATGTACCGGAATCCTTCTGAAAATCCGTACGCAAGAACCCCAAATACAATAAGCCATTTAGCCCATCGTGATACTATCGTTAGTGTGGATTCCGTGACCACCACATGCAAGGGTTCTTTTCTCGAACCCATGAAGGGATTTAAACCTGGTGCTCCAGCATAAGGAGCACCAGCCGCACCAGCAAAAGCAGGATTTTCAGCAGCGTTTATAGCACCTGACGCAACGGCCTCACTAGCGGCAGCGCCGGTCATAGTCTGTTTCAACGCCTGAGCTTCAGCGTTACGTCCAGTCTTTTGTAGCGCTTCGGCGTAAAAACTCACACATTCGGGTGACGAAGCGATACCCGGTGTTTCAAACCGAGATACAACGTACTGCGGATAGTCTGATTTCAAAAGCAGTTTATAAAATTCTGCCTGAGAAGCCGGATTACTGAGGTCGCGGTTCGCTTGCTGCTCCTTTTCCGCTAATATCGTATGAGAAACGGGTGTATTGGCAGTTTGGCCACTTGCAGATGCTCCAACCGAGCCCTTCAAGCCGTCGTTCTTCACCGTTTCGTTCGATTTTTCTGTATCACTGACACTGCTATAAAACCGTAACCGGGCTTGTTTCCCACTTAAAAGCGCTCGTCCTTGTATATGTCTCGAGGCCAAGACCGCCGCTCTCGTCACTGACGGGGCAAGAAACCTGCCTGGGCCCTTTAAAGACACCAAACCAAGTTTCCATAAACTCATGGATTGTTGGATATAGACTTGGTAATGTCACTGTCAGCTTCAGAGTATTAGCTTTCTCGAAGATAACTCATTAATGATTTCGGAAGTGGCAAATTTTCGGTGAAGTCATAATGGACGAGTGGAGACTTATCACGTGATTTTAATAGATGTCAATATACACGAAATCACGTGATCTCTAAATCACATGACTAAGACTCTGTCTTAATAGATACGGTTTTCGGAGTACGGAACCGAGTAGAATAGGACTGGGGTGTCGATTTCGATGCTGTAGCCATCGATGCGCGGCAGTGCCAGAGTGCTTGAGGTTTTTCTGCGGTTTTTCTGCGGTTTCCCTCTGCATCGTTCTTCATTCCTGGATGTGTATGAGAGATCTTGGTATTTTGACAGTCAAGTTCAGGTAATCTTCCGTGTCTGCAACCTCTAGTGCATGCTCGTTTGCCAAATGCAAAAGACATATGAAGCAGAAACTTGTTGACAGGTCTTTCTTGCTGTCACCAGTGTAGACACTCGAAATCTTCTCCGTAATGTCGGTAAAACTCAACGTAACGCATGCATCTGGGTCATTTTCGATCGCGTCCGACAGTGCTAGTTCCTTATCTTCAACGGTACTGATAATAGATTTCCATATGTTATCTTTCAACCTTCGTACATCAACACGTTTTGCAGTACGTGAGTAGTTGACTTTGCCCTCCTTGTTAGCTACCGAAGTCTGCGTGAGGCTCTCCGCATCAGCTAGAGGAGGTCCTAGTAGACTCGTATCGGAGTTCTCGGCAGCCTCGCTGAACGCCTGATTGAAGTCAATGCCGGCGTCGTTTTCTTCCGGAGCAATATCATCGGAGTCGTTACCACCGTCAGCAAGCGCAGAGCCTCCATCCGTCCCATTTTGCCCCAAAAGAGCGTTGTTATCCTGCTGTTCATATTCTTTGGCCCAAAAGTTTTCATCGGCAATTTGACCCTCTTTTTCACCGTCATCCGTATCCACATCAAAGCCAGCCGTCTCCGGTATTTCATGGTGTCTGTTTCGCAAACTCTTGTGTGTGAAGAAGCTCATGTATTGCTCGGGTTTGATGAAAAGCTTGGTCACTTTCTGCGTCGAGAACTGGTAGTCATCCGGTAGAAGAAAACGGTCAGCAGACTTCCTCATCTTAAAAGGCATCTCTATGTTTGTTCGTTTCAAAGGAATAAAAACTCTCTCTTCGATATGGCTATCGATTTCAAAGAAATTGATTTGGCATACATCCTTGGGTTTTTTATTCTTGGTCGTATCCTTGGGCTCTTCTTCTGCGTTGGGAGTTCCATCATTCGCCGAAGGCAACTTGACCTCATCAGCTTGAAGCCTCTGCTTCAAGTTTCGTACTTTCCAATGTTCGCGCCCTCGCCAACTGTTTCTCAAAGTTTCGTCGAAATAAGCCATTATTTTATTATCCATCAAACTCGTTATTATATCTGCGGCGGACTTGTCATCCTCGTTACTGTCCAAGGCTGAATAATCCACCGATGCATTCCCATTCAGTCCCCTATGTTCCTCGATTTCTCTTGCAATCTGGCCGTTTTCAAAATCGTCATTTTGATCAAACGAGTCCGCATATCCGTCTGCATCTAATTCCTCTTTCTCATCAGCCGGTGACGTCTCCTTGAGATCTTCCTCGGAGAGAAAGTTTTCAGGTTTCCGATTAACCGTATCAATAAATGACTTAGCCATCTGAACGTTGTCCATTACCATTCTTAACTGTTTCATTGAAGGGCAAACTTCAGATTTGCCAATGACATCGAAATTGATCATTTCCATGCCCAACGCCAAAATTTCGTCTTCCATATCGATTGAAAGGCTTGTATCGTCTAGCTGTAACTTTTCCGTCCCTTCACTTTTGCTTGAAATTGGTGGCGGAGTCACATGCGATTCGTCGACATCCATGCGGTCTTCGTCTTCAGCGTCACCTTCAGAGTTGTCTTGACCGCTCGGTACTTCGACCGCCTGTTGATTGTGAGAGAAAGCCCTCGAGTCCGAAGAATGATTTGTGCTGGCATCAAACACAACTCTTCCAGATTCGTCAACGTGCAGAGTATTGATAAGCAAAGACTTAGCACCGCCTTCATCAAAATCGGCAAGCGCTTTCTTGAAAAGCGGGTCAATCGCAAGTTCTTGATCAAGCTCTCGTATTCGAAGCGTATCGAAGTCCACCAACGTGGTTTCCAACACTCGGTTATAATTTCTCCTTCTAGTGGTGTTATTTTGTAGTTCCGCCGTCATGGGAAGTCCCGTGTGTGGATCTATCGTCACTGCATCGTCATCATCCGCGTTTTCCTCCCCATCTTGTCCGTATCTTCCACCACCAGAATTATCAGCGTTTTTACGTTCTGCCAACCCACTCAGCAGTTTCCCAGTCTCGGTCGCTACTGAATCAACTCGCGATGAGTAAATCTTAACACATCCGTCAAGCGTTGCGGAGGCCCGTTGGAAATTGATATTGTCCTCTGAGTCCTTGAGAACGTTAAGATCGTGAAAATAATCAATCAAAGCAAAATCCCAACTGTTTCTGGAGTTGATTTTATTATCGGTGGCCATCTTTATCCATTCTTCAAAATTGGCCATCACGGTCGCCTTGTTGGTGAATATACCTAAATCATCTTCATCCTCATTAAGATTAGAGGCCATTGTGCTATTGCGTGTCTCGAATACCGTCTCTAGGTCACTAGATCGCCTTACTGGGCGTCGGTTTGTTTAGTGATCTAGGATCATTGACGTGTTTACCAAGTTCATCACTCTTGAAGTTATTTAGTACAAAGTGACATCAACAACTACTTGTGTATATTAACAGTGAAAGACCAAATAAGAAAAACCGAAGGTACCCAAAGGCCTTGATTTTTCTGTTTAACGAAATTTATCCACTGCGTTTTAAGAGTCTTCTCAGTCTGGAAAAAGCTCGAATCGTCCCCGCAGCTGTGAGAGCGAGAAGAATTGCTTGAATAAAATTAAGAATCTTCATCTGTCTTTTCTCGATCTCAATGGCTTTATGGTAAGGTATATCGGCTCTGAACGACACCATCGTGTAGAGCGGCAGCCATTTACCCTTGAGGACTCTTGCCAATATGGAGTCCAGTTTCTTTCTTAGCAAAAAAGCCTTAGAAGTCACTTTATGGGACATTTCTTTGTAATTGGCCTTTGCGAGTTCAATGATGGCAACCAGATCCTTATGGCGCTGCTGTGAGTAGCTTTCAAATGCTTCAGCGGGGCTCTGACTGTCTAGCAAGTTCATCAATACTTTGATGTCTTCAAATCCGCAGTTCATGCCTTGCCCGTAAAAAGGAACCATCGAATGGGCAGCGTCACCGATCAGAATGGCTTTCCCGCCAGGCACGTGATAAGGCTTACATTCAACACACATCAAGGCTCCCTTTGGATGGTTGAGAAACGCTTGAACCGCGTGGTCGAGTCCCATTAAGTGAGCAGCGTCGGGGAAGTTTGCAAAGAAAAATTGTTCGATCTTGGACTTGGAGTTCAAGGTCTCTACCAGCGACCAGGGTCCGAAAAACGTTGAAGTAAACGATCCGTCCGAATTGGCAAGTGCAATAAGCATGTAGTTGTGACGGGGCCAGATGTGAAGGTGGTTTGGCGAAATCGAAAAGGGACCTCTGAAATCGTCATTGAATGTTTTCGCAGGAGGAATGTACAACTCGATGTAACACGTGTCAATATATTCCTGGGAATAATCCATACGGACGGCATGTTGCATCTGTGCTCTGACAGTCGAATAGGCACCATCACTGCCCACTACGAAATCGAATTCGAACGATTCTTCGGCGTTTTGCCGTGTTTTGAAAATACAGTTTTGTTTGATATCTCCGAAATTGATTCTCACAAGTTTGTAACCGAATTTGACTTCGACGTTCTCCAGCGCATCAAGTTCGTTCAAAAGCCTGCTGTTCAAAACCGCTCGATCAATTGAGTTTATGCATTCTCCGAAAAGACCGTAATTCTGAGCTTCCTGGTTACCCTTCGTATCGTGTATCATTCTTCCCTTCATCGGAATAATTCCCTCAAGAACCCGATCACACACATCTTTGTCAACGTATTCCAAGGACGAAATTCCTCTAGCAGAAATGGCAAGATTAATGGATCTTAGATTCCGGTCAGTTGTACTGGTAAGACGAGGATCTTCTCTGTACTCGAAGAGAGTAACTTTGTACCCCCTTTTCGCAAGAGCAATTGACGCAAGACAACCGACAAGTCCTGCACCTATAACGGCGACAGGTTCACCCATCCTTGTTGAAGTTTATCAATTTGTAAAGGCGATGCCGGTGGACTGATGATATCCTCGATATAAACTGATTAAAAAATCATCACGTGGTCATCAGGTGATGGTCGACGACCACACCGAAAACCAGAAGACAAGAGGAACTGAGACCAATTGACAAGGCGATACAGAATTTCTCTAGCTAGTGCACTGAGATATATAAAGTATCTTTGAAGGGAGCTTTTGACATTGTCAAGTTGGAATATCGGCTGAGTAGCATCACGTGATCACCATGTCAGGATAGCATACGAAACGCTAGAATCGACCCAAAGAACGCGCTGACTCCAATGGTAGGCATGAAACCTTCACTTTATATTAGTCAAACAATTTGGAATAATATAGAATATACGACTGATAAGGTTCCGCATGTAATCTTGTAATGTGATGAGAGATCGACAAACCGTATTACGCTAATTGTATAGAAGGTAGTTCGTGCAGTCTCTGAGCGGCAATTTGGTGAAGGTGATCCATTGTATTGTAAATTCTCAACTGTTGAAAAGACTGTACGTCAAATTACAATGCTAAGTTGCATTATTGAATACTGTTTGACGCGGCCTAGGGGATGAATAAAATGGAGAGACCAAACTTCAGGAAGCCATGGAAGTGAGGAATTTTAATAAAGATCCTGCAATTACTTAACCACTGAAATTAGACGGTTAGTGGCGTGAGGTAAGCATCACCTTTCGTCTTATCCGATGTAATGGACGCCAAGTAGAAAAGATTTGATAAAAATTAGATAGAAGGAGACGATAAGACCAAGTTTAAAACATTAACGTTACCAGGAGAAAGCCGGAGAGGTACAGACACTCCACACCCGTTATATCTTACTCTCAGAAAACCATGAACGATTTAAATGAACAATTTAAGGTCCTATCGACGCCGGCAAGCATCAATATCAACATCTGATGATTTCCGCCTTTTAAAGTATCCGAACTGGCCAATATGAGGGCTACCTGCAAGTTTGGTGAACTACAACACGACTAACCTGGGCCGATTGTTTTCCGGCTTCCACGTGACTCCTTGAACTTTCATTAGCTTATTCCTTTTACTGCAGAAGCGCCATCTTGTGAGGAACATGTATGAATGACTCATGTTTCGGATACTTTTCATCATGTCACAAACCTTCTACGTGGTTCATTGTCGTTCAACTAAGTCTCGCGTGGAAAAGTTGCAAAAGGTTCCGTGAAAACGGTTCAAATGTCGTAGCAAAAAGCGGGAATTACTTATGGATAAAGGGGAACCTCTTGCTCAAGCAAACGTTCTACACTGGTTTGTCCTTCTTTCTTTTGCGATTTTTGTCTTGTCATTGCAGAAAGGATTTCTTCAAGTGGAAAACTGTCATCGAAGTCACGTGAGAAAATGTCCGAATAAACTCGTTTAACAACACAATAAACGGCGCTATGAGAACTGGCACTCGGAGTGGGGTGTTGACCCATCACAAATCAATCTTCAGCTCAATGTTACCATGATTACCATGAAAAATGCATATTTAATTACACAGGATTAATCAGAATGTTAAAAAACAAGGTTCCGCGCTGCGACTTTGCGCTGCGACTTGTAAAATGTGTTCGGGTTTGTTGCAAATGATTTTTAGATCGGTTCCCACGTAGCGCTCAGTTGACGTCTTCAACCTGTTCAACAACGGCCTTGTCGTCCCATTCGGCGTTCTTGATCGCCAGACGGTGATGTCTGTCGAGAGGGGGCTCACGAAGCACGTCGCGACGACGAAGGACGTAGGTCTGGAAGTCGGGCCACAGCTGGCGGAATTGGTACGCGACACGCTCGCGGAGAGGTACGTCAAATACTTCGTCCAACTCTTCCAAAGTGAGTTGCTTTGTCTCGGGCATGAGGAAGTACACCAGGAACCAGCCTATGAAGTTCCACGCGGCGTAGAATCCGAACGCACCTTGAGGCTTTAGCGCGTGCAACATGCGAGGCCAAGTGAGCGACAAAATGAAATTGAACCCCCACAGGATGATGGTGAATAGCGAGGCGCCAATGGCACGCACGTAGAGCGGGAAGACCTCGCCGGCCACGACGAAAGGCACGACGCCGCATCCGAACGAGTAAATGGCGGAGAAAATGTAGATACCCATGGAGACGACGCCAAGTTGGGCTTTGTGGCCCGGGATCCAGAACGCGAACCCGGTGAGGAGCAAAAACACGCCCATCCAGGGGAATGTGTTGAGCAGTAGAAAACGGCGGCCAAAACGGTCGATCATGAAAAAGGCCGGGATCGCAAAGAAAAAGTTGACGAGCCCGAACCCGAGCGACGCGGCCAGGGCCGAGATCTCGGTGAACCCGGACTCGAGGAAAATTGCAGACGAGTAGTACGCGATGACGTTGATGGCGCAGAATTGCTGCATGAACGCGCAGATGAAGGCCACAAGCATGGCGTTCCGGTTGCGCCGCACGGAAAACACTTCGCGAAGCCGCGTCAGGTAGGGCTTGTCGAGCGATTCCTCCTCCATGAGCAGTACGTGCTGGTAGAACAGGTCGCGGCACGCCAAGATGCGGTGGCTGCGGATCGCGCACGTGCTCTCGTACGCGTCCAAATACCTGCCTTTCCCCATGAGCCACCTGGGCGATTCGGGACAGAATGGGATCTGGAACAGCACCAGGACCGCGGGAATCAGCGCCGACGCCAGCATGAGTCTCCAGCTGAGACTGTCGCGGACTCGGTAGAAAATAAGCGAAAAAACGTAACCCCACATGATCCCGAACGCCGTGAACGTCTGCCAGTTCATACACACGATCCCGCGCAGTTTCTTGGTCGAGCACTCGGCCAAATACACAGACACGGTCGCGGACTTGGGCCCAATGCCAAGCCCGAGCAGGAACCGGAACGAGAACAGATAGTGCCAGCCGGGGACTCCGGTGGGGCCAAACGCCTGCAGGAAACACGTGATCGCCGAGATCGCGCACGTGACGAAGATCACCTTTTTGCGGCCCAGCCAGTTGTTGAGCGGGTCTGTCAGCCAGCACGAAAACCCGGCGCAGCACAAATAGGGGGCACCGTTGACGAGGCCCTCGAGGAAGTCATCTTTCACGGACTTCGATCCGAGCCCCAGTTTTTTCGGATAAATCAGGTTGGCACCGTTGATCACGGTTTCGTCCATACCTTGCACAGCGGCGCCCATGGCCGAGGCACAAATGATCGCGATCAATTTCTTGGGAACGCGCCAGGGATGGTGGATCTCGTCATAGCACGCGAGTCGTTCCTCTTCGGAAAGGAACGTCATGTGATCGTAGTGCTCGGGCCGACGCGCGAGCGCGGCGGCCCGAGCAAAGATGTCACCCTCATTGGGGAGATTGTACTTGTGGGCAAAGGCACGGCCCATCTGCATGACCTGGTCCTCAGAGTACTCCGCGAGGACGTTGTCGGGGACATGTTCTGCGGTTTTTTCTGTGAGGGACGCGTCTGAGGCCTCGTCTTTGGACACGAAGACGGCGCCGGAGGAGAAGTGTGGAGCGCGGTCATCACTGCGCACGGCCTCGGAGTCCGAGCCCGTACCCGAGCCCAACGCCGAGTTGGCTCGAGAGCGCTGCTGGAAAGCGGGTTTGTCAAGGGAGTCAGTGGACATGGAATTGTCTGCTGAAGGTGAGTTCTGAGTGTGGTGAGAGGAACTGGAAGGTGGAAGAAGGCCGGAGAGCGGAAACCGCGACTCTTATATAGAGAAACAAGCCCGCGGGGAGCAAGCCCCACGAGCTGTAGGAACGGTCTCGACCAGGGGCATGTTAGAAGACAGCGGTATGCGCCGCTAAAGGTCGAAGCGCCCAAGGTCTGCCCGGTTGTCTGGGCAGCGGGGGCGGGTCCCCTGCCCGAATGCGGTAAGAAAAGGCCGGACGCGTTGCCACACGCCACGGGTTGCTGTGGAGCAGCGGGGCGTGTGCGGGGGTTTCTGGGCCGGCCAGGGGCCGGCCGGGGGCCGTTGCTGGTGGGTGCCGCACGATTATGTCACAGAGACGTAGGTGCGCGGGGCAGCGGATGGGGTCTGGGTGGGGGCCCTGCGTCAGTCGGACGAGCGGAGCCAGCCGCGCCCGTCTGGAATGTTCCATAGGTCCGCGGCGGGGCCAACGGAGCTGTCGCTTGGCACGGCGCGCCGATCAAGGCACGATCGCGTATCTAATGTGCTCGCTGGGCGATATGTGCTCGTGCCCCCGGCGGGTCCCGGCGGGTCCCGCCGGGATCCGCAGTGCCGCATGTTTCAGCCCGCGTGCGGCGCTCGCGCGTAACTCCGGGACGCATTCGACACGGCAAGCCGATGCGCCGGCCCAAGGGCGCGAATCCCGGGCGTGCGAAAATGCGCAGCGTTCGGTGCATGCACAAAGGGCGACCGACAAAGAGCGCGGGATTTCCGTCCGACGTTGCCAGTGGCGACCGTGCGGTGCGCAGCACGGTGCAAACCTCAAGTCCGAGCAGGATCTGCGTCCGGGCCGCGCCGACGTGCGCTGGGTCGCGCAACGATTGGCGCGACGATTGGCGCGACGAGGGCCGACCGCCGCCAGACAATCATCTCACGTAAGCGCCCGCCAATCCTGCCTGCGCCCAACTCCGAGGTGACTCATGCGGCCGTCCCAGTGCGACTCGCTGCGTAGACATTCGGCGATAAGCGCCCTAACGCCGCGGCGCAACCGTGTTTTTTTCTGCCGAGGCTCTTGACTGGCATTGTTAGGACGTGCATGAGTCGCGTGCCTGCGTGCCTGCCGGCTCCTGATCCTCGACAACACAATAGACGCCCCGGCAGCGGCGCCGGGGCCCACGCGCACTTGCGTAAGCGCGCGGCACACGAGCCATGCGGCTTGCCGCATGCGCAACCCCTGGCAAATCGCTCGTTCTGGGTTTTGCACGGGCGATATCCCAGGCGAAGTCCCAACGGGGATGCCGACTGGGATCCCGTCCGGGCTCCCGTCCGGGCTCCCGTCTGGGACGGGGGCCCTCTGCGGCACCCGTGTGGCCCCTGCAGCGCTGTGCCAGCAGGGGGTCCCAGCAGGGATCCCCGAGCGCTTCCGCGCTTCCGCCTGCGCGGATACCAGGCCGGGCCGGGTATCCGCATAAACCGCCGCAGGCCGAGACGCGCGCGGCCGCCGCCGAACCCAAAAGTGCCGCCGTGTGTGGGTCTCTGACGCAGTGCTGCTGCCGTCTGCCTGCAGTTTCCCCCCGCGGTGGGCAGCGGCGATGGCCGTGGCGACGTGCCGTGGCGCCGTGCCTGGGCCAGACGCTGTTCTCGGGAGGAAACGACGCGCGCAGCGCCAGCGCAGCACAGCGCTACGGACGTGCGTTCGTGCGTGAAACGGCGTTAAAGTGCGTTAAAGTGCGCATTGTAGCTTGGAGCCCAGACAATATATATAGAGCGGTGCGGCCGCCGTACGTGCCAACCGGCGCGGCGGGGGCCAGATTACACCACTCGCAAGCCACGACGACCACGACCAGTCTCACCATGCAATCCAACGTCAAGTTGCCCTCTATACGGGCGATGCTCAGCGGTGTGCCCGCTGAGCTCGCCAGCGCCGGCGGCGCTGGCCTGAACGCCAGCCCCGCGGGCGCGCTCCCCTCACCGGAGCTGTACGTGGCGCCGTACATGTGGAACGCCGCCGTACCATGTTACACCATCGCGAGCGGCGGGTTTATGGGTGTTGATCCGCGGCGAAACCCGGCCTCCGTGCGCGTCTCGGTCTCGCACGGGGCGAGCCCTGCGCTGGGCTCTGCCGCGCTGGGCTCTGCCGCGCCCGTGGGGCCGCTCCCGGGGCCGCTCCCGGGGCCGCTCCCAGCCGCGGCCCCAGCCGCGGCCCCCCGGCTGGCGGACCCGCGTAGCAGCCTGCTGTCCTACCCGCACGCCGCGGCCGCGGCTACGGGGCCCCCCCTGGGAGCGCCCCTGGGGGTGCCTCTGGGCTTGGACGGCGTGCCCACCGCAGAACAGGCACCGCTCAAATGCGTCTGCCGCAACAACACGGAATCCGGACACCACATACCTCGCCCCCGAAACGCGTTCATCCTGTTCCGGCAGCATCTCCACCAGCGGCTTTTCGCCAAGGACTCGGCCGCGCCCGGACCGCGGAAACCGGGCCCCGCGCCAGACACCGCAGCCGCCCGCTACGCGGTGCCCGCGGAGGTGTCGTTCCGCACAAACTCGCAGGTGTCTCGTGAGATCGGGCGCCGGTGGCGCGCGCTCAGCGACGACGACCGCCGCTACTGGCAGGAACTCGCGCAGCGCGAGAAGGAACTGCACCGCCAGCGGTACCCGGACTACAAGTACATACCTAGAAAGTCGCATGCGGGCAAACGCCAGCGCAAGGACGGATGCGAGTTCTGTCGCAGGCGGCGCAGTCACAGCTCGTAGCGGCTGTACATGTCGCATTGCATTCTTGGGCGACCCAGCTGAACCACACGTCCTAGCGCAGCCGCGGCTGGAACGCGGCCGCGCATCTGTTTAGACTAATACATAATACTAATCGATCCGCGGTGACATAATGCGGATGTGGGCCGGCTCGGAAGCGGAATTGTTGCCGGCGTTGCCAGGCCAGCCAGCGCAACAATGCGCGTGGCGTGCCTGTCGGATCGAGGCTGGCACAATGGAGTGGCACCATGCGAAAAGTGCAGCGGAGTGTTTGGGTGGAGCTGCGAGAATGTTGGGTGTGGAACACCCACACCCAAGGAGTGTGTGTCGTTGCGAACGAAGCGGGTTTGCACGGAGGGCACGTGACCCGGGACAGGCAACACCCATACCCCGCGTGTGTGTCTGTATCTCTGTACGGTCTCCGGCTTCCAATGCCATCAACGCTCACTTCAAATCTCTCCGTTGCCACCATGAGCCACTCCCCGCCTGGATAACCAAGCGGTTGATTGAGTTTCGACCACCGTCCACGACTCCCACCGCAATGTCCGGCATGCCCAACATGGTCAAAAGACTCGCCTCGCAGCGATCGCCGCTCCGGCTGTCACCGCTTGCAAGCGTGAGTCCGCGTGCCCCGAGCGCCTGGAAGCGCGTTCTGCCGGGCCCTGCTGGCCCCACCACGCGATCCCTCCATACCAGCCCACCGCTGCTTCTGCGACGCACGCATAGACTGTTCAACGAACAGTCTACCAACAACGACAAGAAGGACAACGACAAGAAGGACAACGACAAGAATAACCGCAAAAAGGAAGATTTCAAAACCCTGGGCGAATATTTCAAGTCTCCCGAGTTCGCAAAGACCGTTTACTTGACCGTCGGATTCACCTTTCTGTTCCATGTGCTCACGTCGGGATCCGGGTCCGGGTCGGACAACGACAACAACAATGTGCTTACATTCCAGGAGTTCAAGACCAAGTACCTTGAAAAGGGACTTGTCAAGCGAATCTTCGTGGTGAACAAGTACCTTGTAGAGGCGGAGTTGATGCCTCAAGCCGCGCAATCCATCGGCCAAAACGAAGGTTTGTTCCCGTTCCAGCAATCTGCGCCCATTGTCGCCTTCACGATCGGGTCCATCGACGTGTTCGAAGACCAGATGGACCAATTACAAGACGATTTGAAAATCCCCTCCAACGAACGTATCCCCATCACTTACGTCGAAAAAGCGTCACTATTACAATATTTGGTTCCCTTCCTGCCCACGGTCATCCTGCTTGGAGGTCTCTACTACATCACGAGACGTGCGTCCTCGATGGGCGGTGGCGGAGGTCCCATGGGAGGAATGTTTGGTGTGGGAAAGTCACGTGCCAAGCTTTTCAACAAAGAGACCGACGTCAAAGTCAAATTCAAGGACGTTGCCGGTTGTAACGAGGCCAAATCTGAGATTATGGAGTTTGTGCATTTTTTGCAAAAACCGGACAAATACAGAGCACTTGGTGCCAAGATTCCACGTGGCGCCATTTTGTCTGGACCACCCGGTACTGGTAAGACTCTTCTGGCCAAAGCCACGGCAGGTGAAGCCGGGGTGCCGTTTTTGTCTGTATCCGGCTCGGAATTTGTTGAAATGTTTGTTGGTGTCGGTGCATCCCGCGTGCGCGACCTATTCGAAACCGCTAGAAAAATGGCACCTGCCATTATCTTTGTTGATGAAATAGATGCCATTGGTAAAGAAAGAGGTAAAGGCGGTGCCATGGGCGGTGCCAATGACGAAAGAGAGGCTACTTTGAATCAACTGCTGGTCGAAATGGACGGGTTTAGCACTACGGATCAGGTTGTGGTTCTTGCGGGCACCAATAGACCCGACGTATTGGACCCGGCTCTGATGAGACCCGGAAGATTCGACAGGCATATCCAAATTGACGCTCCAGACGTCGAGGGAAGAAAATCCATTTATCAAGTTCATTTGAAAAAACTGAACTTGGATCCCTCATTTGCATCCAAGCACGAAAAGGAAATGTTGGCTGGTAAATTGGCCGCTTTGACACCCGGGTTTGCAGGTGCAGACATCGCCAATGCTTGTAACGAAGCCGCTTTGATTGCGGCTAGACACAAGGATCCCTATGTCAGATTACATCACTTTGAGCAAGCCATCGAAAGAGTCATTGCTGGTCTTGAGAAAAAATCGCGCGTCCTTTCAAAGGAGGAAAAACGAACCGTTGCATATCACGAAGCTGGTCATGCCGTTTGCGGATGGTATTTGCAGTATGCGGATCCGCTTCTCAAAGTGAGTATCATACCTCGTGGGCAAGGCGCTTTAGGGTACGCGCAATATCTACCGCCAGATCAATACTTGATCAGTGAAGAGCAATTCAAGCATCGTATGATTATGGCTCTAGGAGGTCGTGTATCTGAGGAAATTCATTTCCCGTCCGTGACAAGCGGCGCCCATGACGATTTTAAGAAAGTCACCAATATGGCGCAAGCAATGGTCACGAAATTAGGAATGTCCCGAGTTATTGGTTACGTTGCTTACGACCAAGGCGAAGGTGGGTTCCAAGTGAATAAACCGTTCAGTGATTCTACCGCAAGGAAGATAGACTTAGAGGTGAGACGCATTGTTGATGACAGTTACGCGCAATGTAAAAAGCTTCTCACCGATAATCTTGAAAAGGTCGATAAGGTCGCACAAGAGCTTCTCGTGAAAGAAGTGATAACACGGGAAGATATGATAAGACTATTGGGACCGAGACCATTCCCCGAAAGGAATGAAGCTTTCGAGAAGTACCTTGATCCCAAAAAGGATGATGGTACTCCCGTTCAAGCATAAAGAGAGCACTCATCATCTATCTCTCTGGCATTAATATCTTGTAGATAACTCGTCGACGAAGCGTCTTCCGACGGATATGTATAACAAAACTACAGCAAATGAAGTAAAGATTTGAATTACTCCTGTAGAAATTAAAAAGTTTCCTCATCTGTTATTAAGTTATGCCGTGCGTGAGGTTGCAGATCCACAGTTTCTTCTGTTGATAAAATGCCGGCTTGAGAAACGTCACCACCGTGACCATTCGTGGCGGTGGGTTTAACTTCTTCCGAAGCCACTTCAAAGCCCTCTTCCGTCGCATACAAGATCTTTTGAATTTTGTCCAAAAACCTATCCAGCTCATCAGAACTGTTTTCATAGACACCCTCTTTGCAAAGATCTTTGGTCGACTGTGACAAAATCTCTATATCTCTCAATTTCCCAAAGTAAAAGTCCCGCTCTCGCTCTAAAATTGAAATGGCTTCCTTGTACTGCTTTAGTTCATTAACTAAGTTTTCGTTATTGGCCTGCGCCTGCGATAGCTCTGTTTGAACGCTCAAAAGCTGTTCGTTTGAAGCTTTTCTGGAACTCAAATATGATGCACTTCCGCTTCTAGATCCTACAGACCCGACGCCACGAGTCGAAGCCGTCCCACTGGAAACTCGAGGTACAGGTGTGGTACGTCTCTTGGTAACGCTGATGTTAGAGCTTGCAACACCCGCAGGAGTAGAAGCCGGGGACGCTCGCGACTTCCGTCGAGATTCTGCGTCGTAATCACTTTCATCCTTGTTCTGGACCCAAAACTTCTTAAGCCACTGCAAGAACTCTAAATTGTCCTGAAACCTGCATTTGACCAGTTTTTCCACGTAAACGGTTTTCTCCACCTTATGCTTCGTGAACGCGCTTTGAAGGATCTTATAGTTCGTAATAAACTCGTATTCTACTGTAGAATTAAACCGCACCCTGTGCATGGGCAAATCCCGGTAAATAGAGTCTACTATTTGGCAATACGCGGCTCCAGTCCCACATTGTTCGACTTTCGTGTAATTCAGTTTCAGTAGGTCATTTACCCAGCTTAAAAGCTCGGATCGCGATTCTCCGACACCACTCATTTTCCAAGCTAACCAGGAGCCAACGTTACCAAAAATATTACGACCTCACAAAAAGTTCCCAGGTTCCGTTTCCGTTACCAGTTTGTTATTCTAACGAGACCGATGCGTTCCAATTAGAGGGTTCTTCGAGACGTGTTTAGCTTTCGTATCGAGCGATCGTTTCGGAAAATCATTAAATATCACCAAGTCACGTGCTACCTCATGGACATTTAGCTTTGCTAACAACTAGAAGGCCTCTGCTGGGTGGGGTAAAGCCAGTGAATGTGATTGGAAGCAGAGCTTCAACGATTAACATGAGCCCAATGAATTCTCACATAATTATATAGATCTACAGCTTTTCCGATTTGATCAGGGACCCTTCTTCATACATGCGATCGATACTCTTGCGAAACCGCTTGAAAGCATTTACTCTTTTCACCTTGAGAGTAGGTGTTATCGTATCGTCCGCCACCTTAAGCGGTTCGATCTCGATGTATATGTTATGAATCTTTTCAAAACCTTGGAGGTTTTTCGCGAAACGATTAATGATAATGATGAGCTCTTTGCGAAATTCTTTGTTACTGTTCAGAACGTGAACAAGTTGAACGCCATGTGTGCCGTGTAATGCGGGGATTCGGCGATGTAGCACGGGTCCGAGAATATCCAAGTCAAGCCCTATCACGGCGACCAAAAACGTCTTCAATGAGTCTCCATGCACGAATATTTGCGTCAAGTAAGGACATGACGACAGATACAAGTTCTCGATTTTCTCTGGGGCGATGTACTCTCCCTGTGCTAATTTGAAAAAATTCTTCACGCGGTCTATGATGGAAATCCGTCCCTTGGTATCGATCGACGCGATATCGCCTGTACAAAACCAACCCTCTCTGTCGAACGCTTTTTTGGTCTGCTCCTTGTCCTTATAGTACCGCTCAAACACCTGATACCCACGCAATTGCAACTCTCCCTTCAGGTCATGCTCTGCGTCGTAATTCATTTCTGGCACAGACCGTAATCTGCACTCCGTAGTCACGCCCATCCCGCCACACGACCCTGCGTCTCTCTCGTGTGGTTCGCTAAGCGTGACACCTGCAAACGTTTCCGTGAGACCGTAACCTTGTCGCATGCCCATATCGAGTGCGCTTTTCATGAAAAGAAGCGTATCCTTTGAGATCGGTGCGGATCCCATCACAAAGAAATCCGCGTTTTCCAGGCCTAAATTCTCCCGAATTCGATCGATTAACACTTTGTGAAATACCACGTTATTCAAAATCGAGTGATCGGGCCCGCCATGTGCACTGAATCGTTCTTGTTTTTTTTCCAAGATATTATTGGCGACGTTCTTGGCTAAATTGGACATGGTTTCCGCATGCAAAGAGTTTTTGATGCCAGCCTCGAATTTGGTCATGACGCGGGGCACTAGGCATAAGATATCGGGCTTCAGAACTTTCAAGTCTTCTACAAGAACTGCGGGATCCGCTTTGTGCAGAAACCCGAATCCGGTACCGATCGAAAGGCCATAACTGGCGATCATTCGCTCGAAAATGTGGGCCAGAGGTAGGAAACACATATCGTGGAGTTGTTTGCCTTTCTTGTAGGTAGGAATCCGGAATGAGGTAAGAGCAAAAGTCACTCCTGCTGCCAAATGGCTGTGTAACACTTCGACGCCCTTTGGTACGCCAGTGGTGCCCGACGTGAACGATATCGTGTAGACAGAAGATGGTCTTGGTGGGATCAACGCCAAGTTGCTGGCCGCGCCAATCCTTTCGACCTGCTTAAACGTAAGCACGGAAATATTTTCGCCCTTTGCATTCCGCTTGACGGGCAAAAGAGTATTGTTTAATTCGTGCAACTCTTGAGTACTGATGTCGTCCATGCAAATGAGAGTGTTCAAGCTTGGTAAAGAGGGCAGTAAGGACAAGATTTTGTAAAGATTGCTACGCGAGAGCACCAAAACGGGTGACTCGGTAAAATTCAAAATATACTCCGAAGTTTTGGCACCCAGAGTTTCATACAGCGCCGTATTGGTGAGCGCGTAACACTGACAAGCCAAGTCTGCAATAAGCCATTCTTTACGGTTCACCGACAGCAGCGAAACGATGAACCCGCCCGTGTTCAACGTGGCGTGCCGTTTCAGGTTCACCACTGTCATGATCCCGCTGCCCAAATTACGGCTCCTGGCCTGAATTTGCCGGTACGACTCGAAAACATAGTGGTCGCTCCATTCGCCCGTAACCTCGTCCAAGACTCGCTCGCCGAGACAGTCGTTGTCGGGATAGCACTCGACCGCTAGATTGAACAGATCGAACCCAGTTGCCAGGCTCGAATCAACGCACGACACCAAGAAATCTGGACTAAAAGAGTTGCGGAACACCGCGCTGTAGCCGGGCTTCGCCTCCATTCCTTTAATAGCTACAGCCTGGCTTTTCAGGTATCTCCGGTACGGCACGTGCATCGTCAGGGGCATTGCTCCTACCAATGCCCTGAGGTACTCCTTGGACCGAAACTCATATTTCGCAAGCTCGTTTTTCAGCTTCAAGAACTTCAAGTCCTCGTTAACCAGTTGCACCAGACTATTCTTTTGTAAATCAGCCAATTCCTGTGACGAATCCTTCAACGTTTGGTCGAATTCCATATTATCGGTATCTCAAAGGATTCCTCTTCAAGGTTTCTTTTCAAGGATTCCACTTCAAGAGTCGCTCGTTCCAAAGAGATTCACTTTCAGTTCCTCCTTTTATATCTCGTTTCGAGACCTTTCCCAGTGATGCCCCAATGATGCCCTCTGCCTGACGCTGTCATCTGTTCCCCACAAAGTCGCTACGTACGAAAGATAATTTAAAGTCACGTGTTTCATTTGCAAGGAGCACCGCTTACGAAACAATCACGTGCTCTCGAAGCTCACCACCGCTTCCCCCGTCATTCCTCACCTACGGACCGAGTTTCGTGTCTGCTGAACGCAATGCGCAGTGGTTTGCCGAAGAAAGGCTCGTCTTGCAAAGTTATCAACGCCAAGTTCGCCTCGTCAAGTTTTTGCAGAAACACAAACGCCTGACCGCGCGTCTTGGGCGACATCGCAACGTTTACCACTTCCCCGTACGTCGAAAACAGTAAGTATAAGTTTTCGCGCAGAGTCGCGATCTTTATCTTGTCGTTCAAATTACTCACATACAGCGTTCGCTTGGGCGTAACAGGCTCTGCGGTTTTTGTGCCAGGCTTGGGCTTTTTGGACCCCGTTTTCGGGTCGGTGCTTACATCAGCGTTTCTAGTACGCCTCTGGGATGCAGCCATTGGCTCTCAGCGCGCCTCAATCTCTGATGGGTAGCTGACGATGTTCGGTATTTTCGAGTTTCTATATGGTACTTAAATAGGCTTTTCCAGAGATGACTTGGTGAAAAATTGGATGGGTAAATACAGTCACGTGACCCACTTCTCCCAACACTACGTCCTCTTTAGTTGTGACTTCCAAGCGCCAGAGCATCCTGGAACCCGTCTTGGAACACGTCTGGTACTCCAGGTCCTTTGCTGAACGCCATTCCGCCGAGCGAAAGGTTTGGCCCGTAAGATTCGGCAAGTTTCGATTTGATATGCGCGAGCCACTTGTCGTAGCCCACGTGAAACTGCGGCAGGCACTCTTTTGCAACGGTTACTTGCCACAGACCCTTATCCAAATCTTGCTTTTGTATGTGTAGGTGGTTCGAGAGCACCGTCTTCACAGCCTTTTTTACGACGGAATCTGACGGGACGTTGTGTTCGCCGAGCCCATTGAGCCAGTGTCCGCCCAGCATAGCGGTGAGCTTTGTATAGACCTCGGGGTTTCCATTTGAGACACTTCGCGTAGCGGGCTCGTTTGTAGAAAGTTTCTTGTAGTTCTGCTCGATGACGGAATCGAAAATCACCCCGAGCAGGTTTTCCTCGTTCCGGTTAGACTGTGGCACCAAGTAGCCAAAGGAATGCACCGACTTCAAAAGGTCCTTCCCGCGAAGGTAAAAATTCACGAGAATGACGGTATTGGATTGAACTTCGGACAGCAATTGCTTAAGGTCAGCTTTCGATGTCATTTGTGCGAGAACCGTGGGTGTGTTGGTGACCCTGACATGGTCGAATGCCTCGGGAAAAACCTCGCCGTCCGTGGCAAGCTTGAGCTGGCCCGCGTTACCCACTGCTAGCTGTGACACGTGCTTGTCCATCAGAAAGCGGACGTTCGGGCTGGTGCGCAAACTGTCGCGCAAAGCATTTGGCAAGCTTTCCAGCCCATTTTGAAGTCCCAGCATCGGTATCCGGCTGAGTCGGGTCTTTAAATTTTCCAAATCGCGCTTGTCTCGCGCCAGTGCGTGTTGATATTCCAGCAACGGTTCGCTCAAAACATTCTTCTCCCCTGATCCTTCGGTCTTGGCCTTCTTATTTGCACGCATCCGTTCAAGCATCGCGCGGGTCCAAGATCCATGCGCTTTTTCCATCTCCACGAGGGCACGCAAAGTTCTCTGCGCGCTGAGTTTCCGGATATCATCGGCGTAAATGCCATGGAAAATGGCACTGAAAATGTTGTTGGCCACCGCTGCAGTACCAAACCGTCGCGTTATCATTTCAAATGCACTTTCATCGCGACCAGGATGAATTGGACCCCGTCTAAACGCTTCGCCAAGCATGCCACTAGTAACTCCTCTACCAACAGGACTTAACAAGAATTTCAACATTGTCAAAACCCCATTCGGTACTTGCACGAGCTCATTATTCGCATCCAATAAAAACTTCCGGTTCGCCTCGGATTTGGATTCGATATACTGTACAATATCGCCTTGGTTTAACGCATACAAAGTGTCGATCATCATTACAGTTCCATCAGAAACACCTCTCAGAGTTCTGGGTCCTTTTTCCACGAGAACATTTCGCTGTTCACGATCCTGAACCGTACAGGAATTGATCCAGCCACCGGTCTTGCTTTGAGCGTCAAAAATGGTTAATTTCACATCTGGTCTTAACTTGGACAAAAAATAGGAAAAACTCAATCCTGCAATCCCAGCACCAACAACCGCCACATTAGCATTCCGCGGTAAATGAGGTGGTTGAATCAACATCTCTGAATGGCTCAATCGGCTCTTTCCCGCGTTTTAAACATTTCATGGACGGTATCTCTAATAGGTTTTCGTTTATACTAGCGATGACTTGAGTTCCCTCTGTACGAAACGATCACCTGACAAGAGACATCAAGCTTGACGAACCATCAAAGGCTATCTTTTGATGCCAAGAGCCTTCTCTTTGCTCTGGCGTAGCGAACTCAATCTCCATGAATTCTGGTCTCGCGAGAACTGGTTATGCAATGGTATAATTTTGGCCTTTTTCCGAGAATTCCCACCGTCTCCAGTTTTGTAGTAATGCGGAGCACTTTCGATGAGCCAATGCGGGTCGATAGCGGTCACTTGGGACATGTACTCGCGTGATGTGAGTATCAGATTGTTGTATATCACGTACTCGTGCTCTTTGCCGAAAAGCGAGCTGGAAGGATGTATGGCGACCGAGGTTTGGTCAGATATGGTCTTATAACCCTCTGAAGAGTCTCGCTTGGCTGCGTTTTTGAAAAACCCGGCCACCAAAGTCTTGCGTATAAGATCCATGTCACCATAACAAGTGGCAAGTGACAGTCCTAGTTTACGCAAGATCTGAGAGAGTTGGTTCTTGACGTCTCTGGCCCTTTTCAAATGTCTTTCATGTAGATAATTGTTTTCACAAAACTGTTTAGAATACCCGCTTTCTTTCCAACGATTGAACACATTCAACAACGTCAAATGGTCGCCGAACGGATGATTAAACCGGATCTTTTTGTTGTCAGCGTCTTGGGATTTGTCTCGTGGTCGGTAAAAAATGCTTTGCACCGAAAGCATCGATATGATAGTGGCCATATCTTCGGCGCAAGCATTCTCCACCGCGGTAAGGAGGGATTTGGACAGGCCGGGCTCCATCGGAAACAGCGTCATTTGCTTGCCAACTTTGGTCAAATTTCCAGTATCGTCGATGGCTTGTAAATGGTACAAGTCCTCGAGCGCAGATAACATAGACGCCCTAGGAGGTGGATCCATAAACTCAAAACTCAAGAGATCATTGATACCCATGGCTTTCAACATCAAAATCGTGTTTGACAAGTTTTGTCTTTGAATTTCTGGTGTCGTATTGGCCGCCATCTCGTCACGATACGCAGCCTCAGTGTAAAGTCTGAAACATTTCCCGGGACCAGTTCTTCCGGCTCTACCTTTGCGCTGATCTGCCTGGGCACGCGAGATCGGACTCACTAATAATTGTTCCATGCCGATTCTTGGGTTGTAGGTATTGATCTTGGAAAAACCAGGATCCACGACGTAATAGATTCCGTCAATGGTAATGGAAGTCTCCGCAATGTTGGTCGCAAATATAACTTTGCGGGTTCCCTTGGGCGTAGGTTCAAATATCTTAGATTGAACCTCGCTGGGCAAAGCAGAATAGACTGGCAAAATGAGTAACTGCTGAATGCTCTCTCCCAGCGCTTGAACCTTTTCGTAAAGAACTTCGCAGCAAGTGTCAATTTCCTCTTGACCAGTTAAAAAGACCAGAATGTCACCCTCTCCCTCGTTTATATGAATCCCCATGACTGTATCAAGCGCGCTCTCTATGTAGTCCATTTGTGGAGCTTGCGAATACAAGACTTCGACAGGGAAAGTCTTGCCCGGAATTTTCATAATAGGACAGTCCATGAAATATGCCGAAAACTTTTCTGCGTCTAACGTCGCCGAAGTGATTATCACCTTTAGATCAGGTCGTTGCAGGGCCGCTTTCTTAAGAAGTGCGAACAATACGTCAGTAGCCACTGTACGTTCATGGGCCTCATCAAGCATAATTACTGAGTACTTCTGCATTACCGTATCGATCAGGGCTTCCCGTTGCAACATACCGTCCGTCATGTATTTAACGCGGGTTTTTGGAGAAGTGACGTCTTCAAAACGAATTGTATAACCAACTTCCTCACCAACTCGACACCCCATTTCGTCAGAGACTCTTTTTGCAACAGATATCGCTGCGACTCTCCGCGGCTGTGTGCAACCGATCACCCCATTCGCTGCGAAGCCTTCTTCATCCAAATACTGTGTGATCTGAGTTGTCTTACCTGAACCAGTCTCACCTACTATGACGAGGAACTGATTTTCCCTAACAGCTTTTACGAGCTCCTCACGCATTTTGAATACCGGTAGAGATTCTCTTTGCTCCTTGATGGTCATATTTGTCCGCTTCCCATAAGATATATGCTCTCTCTTGCGAGACCTTTCCCACGCGGTCAACACATTCTGTTTAGTCTCAAAATCTAGTTCCCTCTTATTAGCAGGATCATCAGCCATGTGGGCATCGCGCTCTTCACGCTCAAGATTTTTTTTCAGCTTAACTTTGTCCTCACGGTGCATTTTCATGGTTTCTGATCCATGTGCGGCCATGCGTGCAAGTGAACCCGCGGGCAGCTTATCAATCTTAGGCATTTCGTTCTGTTTGGCTTGATCATGCCGATTTTCTAAGAATTTTGGCTTGTCCTCACTGTTCAGCTCAACGTCAAGATCATCCTCACCGGTCTCCAGGGGTCGCCGCTGCGCAACCTCATTTATAGCTTCTGTAGCTTCTTGCAGTTCAGGGTAGTCGTCTATCGATGCGGCTCCGCTTGCGACCAATTGGCGAATTTCCCACCTTTCAGGGGAGGTTAATTTCCGCCTGGGAGCATTCGCTGGTCGAGCCAAGGCCATTGGTCTACCACGCGCAGGTGGCGGCTCGTATATACCAGACCTCTGGTTTATATTCTTTAAGCTCATTGAAATCTTGTTTCTGGCCTGAATGCGTATGACCTGGACCTGGACACGTTGCCCTACGCATACAACATCCGATACGTCTTCAACCCTAGCGTGTGAAAGCTCGGAGATATGAACAAGACCCTCCGTCTTGGGGCCTCTGGCATCCAAGAGACGTACAAAGCACCCAAACGGTACGATCCTTGTAACGACAGCCGCGTAAATGTCGCCGATAACCACAGGCCTAAGCTTTGAAGAATCGTGAGTAAATGCTTTTGATCCTGCTGCAGTTGTAGGGCTATCACGAAGCCCCTCGGCGGATCTCAGATCCCAATTTACGTTGCCGTTGGGCATACTTAAAACGTCCGTATTAGCATTATGTCTCCGTTGTGGCTCCTTCTGAATCTTCACACTGAGATACATGTTGCGTAACACATCGTGCGACAGTCCAGTATCAAGCGCCTGCATCTTTTGGCTAAAGTCCTTGAACGTGTCACAGGAATCGCATGTATCGAGAACAAAATCTGCCACTACTTCGTCTGAAATACCAACTGAATCCTTTAAAATCTTTGAAATGGCAATTTTACTGTTTCTAGAGGTTCTCCCACAATTCCTATTGTGTTTGGCAATCTCCTGACTGATTTTGACAGCGCAATCGCGATCGATGCCCACATCAAGGGCTATAACTTGGTCTTCGAAACTGCGTCTGTCAGCGCTCTTGGCATTCATTTCAAGAATAAAATCACACACGGCATCATCTTCCACACCGACCAGCCTTGAAATAGCATCTCTAAGCGATTCCATGTAAGAGCTGACGGCTTGTCTGTTCACCCGGAGCTGCCCGAGCAAGCGATGGGATGCTCAATTCTCAGATTTTGTCTTGAGTAGTGATCTGTGACGAGATCACGTGATGTGAAAAACGATCACATGCCCCATTCTGCGATCCATCCAACGCCTAGCGAACCAAATTTATAGATTTGTAGGTAAATATACAGTGCTCTCTTTCCTCATTCTACTCTCCCGTGCTTTAAAAATTGGGTTCCTCGCGGACACCGTCTTTGTCGACGATTTTGACGAGCACGCCCTTGAAATCGATGGGCATTCTGCGTTCCAATTCGTCAACACACATGCGAAGCAACTCAAGACCCTCTTGCGTTGTCATGTCGGGCCGGTAGTGACGGTCCAGTAGCGAAAATGTGTAGAAGCCAGAGTAACCGTGCGCCGCGTACGGCAGTTCCGCTTGTGTGCCCAAATAATCGATCTGGTATAATCCGGGCTCTCCCTTTTTGGCGTCAAACCCACCCAGTAATACGTTCACCTGGAACGGTTTCCGAGACCTGATCGATTTGGCTAACTCCTGTCTCACGAAACTCGCTGTCGCGTATGGCGAAAGTTCGTAATTCTCTCGAATCGAATACAATTGCATGTTCACTTGGATGTATTCTGCGAACTGCACCGTGTCACCAGCTTCACCGCTGAACGCCAGTAACGAATGTTCCGACAAAACCCGTGTTTTGTCATCGGTCGATTTCAACACCGAAATACCCCTCGTAACAGCCTTAGAAGTGGCCAAAATCACGGAATCTTTCACTCTAATACCTAGAACAATATCCATTGCGTGCTATTATGGCCTTTAAACCAGGTTTCTAACCGATGTGCTTGTATTTGCTCGGTGCTTTTAACCTTCACCAGTTTGCCACCTTATGGCGCTTCCTCAAGTTTGTTAAGGTGTTGGAAAATGAAGGGACATGAATACGTTCGTGAAACATGATTACAAGTGACCTAAAGATCGCTCTCAACGTAGTGAGTATTAAATGAGTATTCGCGTGTAATTACATTTACTCGCTTTGTACGGGTTGAGTATTCGCCGAGTATCCGATATTGGTGCTTGAGAAGTATATCACTATACACGTATCAAATATTAAATTTACGCGTTTTTCAAGTTTACGTGTCGTGGGTTTAGGTGAGAGAGCCATAGCATCGCTTAAAGTCCAATTTTTGACGTTGTTTCTGTATACAAGCCGCGTTGTTGAGAGTGGTTTACGCATAATTGCAGTATTCACAGTTTTCTTCGAGTTTGCCGGAGTGTTTCTTTGCGTATTGTGACCTAAGGTATCATGCCCGCAGTGATGGACTCAGATGGTTCAACGATGATGCGATCAGAGCCGGTATCGTGCGCAACGGACAGCTCACCTACGGAGACGCCTGTTCCGGCGAGTTTACAGAGCAGTAGCGGTCCCAGTGCGTCAGATATGCAGTATTACTACCAATACTTGTACCCTTTCAAAACCGTGTTCCAATGGCTCAACCATTCGCCCAAACCTGGTCGCGATATGAGTCATCGCGAACTCGCAATGGCGTTCCGGTCCGGTGCGTATAAGCGATACAATTCTTATGCGACCGCACAAGAGTTTAAGACCCAAATCCAGCGTGCCAACCCGGACCGGTTTGAAATCGGTGCCGTCTACAACAAGCCTCCGAAGGACAGAGACTCCATTTTAAAGACTGAGATGAAACCGCTTGAAAAAGAGATCGTCTTTGATATTGATATGGATGACTACGACGCGTACCGGACGTGTTGTTCGGGCGCAAACGTGTGTTCCAGATGCTGGAAATTTATCTCTGTGGCCATGCGTATCATCAACGTGGCCCTTGTAGAGGATTTCGGGTTTGAAGATTTCATATGGGTTTTTTCCGGAAGAAGAGGTGCTCATTGTTGGGTCAGTGATGTGCGTGCCCGTGTTTTGAACGATTTCCAGCGCAGACAGTTACTAGATTATATGAACGTTTTGAGGCAGCGAAACGCAGACAAAAGGTTGAACTTGAAGCGGCCTTACCATCCGCATCTGGCTCGATCTTTAGAGCTTTTGAAGCCCTTTTTCGTTGACGTCATCTTGAGAGAGCAGGATCCTTGGCAAAACGACGAGACTGCGGCTCAGTCTCTACTCTCAGGATTTCACGACAAGCAGTTAATCGAACTTTTGAAAAAGCACTGGAAATCTGATCCTGGTAGGTCAAGCGAGGATAAATGGAACGACATAGATGTAGTGGCGTCTCAAATCAAGCATACGTCGTCTCTTAAAAAACAGGACTTCTTTATCAGACTACGAGAATGTAAAGAGGACCTTGTGATGGCAACGCTGTACCCAAAATTAGATGTAGAAGTCACGAAACAGACTATCCACTTACTGAAGGCGCCTTTTTGCATACATCCTGCTACGGGCAATGTTTGTGTACCGATTACAGAAGGTTTCAAGCCTTCAGATGCTCCGAAACTGTTTGTTCTGGAGCAAGAAATGGAAGCGAACGGCAACAACGTCGAAGCGACCTCTTTAGAGCCCTATTTGAAGCAGTTCTCTACGTTTGTTAATGCACTCATGAAAAAGGAGATTTTCTCGAAGAAGAGGAACCGTGAGGACGACCAAGATCTCGAATTTTAGTTACTACGCGCTCCGCGCACACGACATTTTTAACAATTTGCATCTATACAGCACCAGTTATGTAATTTTACAATCATCAGAGCCTCCTGGTTCTGCAAAATCCTCGTCGTTTGTCTGGACCTTCTCAATAACAATCTCCTGTCGACCTGGATCGTGATACCATTTCAAAAGCTGTGTTTCGGTATCATAAGAAAACCGGCCCGATGACGACTTAACCGTCACTGATTTCATGGGAAAATGGCACTGTGGGAGGCATATTAAGGAGAATGTTTCAACTGAGCCATTTTCCATCCCACTATTCGCCTTTCCATGGATATGCAAGGCGTAAACAGCCTTGGTAAGATCGAATTCGGCTTCGAGAAATTGGCCGTGAATTTTGACAGGGAAAGGCCGCATTATCGCATCCAGTGCTCTGAATCCGCTAAAGTCCATCTCTGAACTGTTTGCATCGTTGCTGTTTGGCATTTTATAACTGCTATCAACTGTAGGACGTGATTTTAGGGGTCTATCAGCGTCATCTTGTGACCAAATCGAAAAATCCTCATTATTCCATACGTCACCCCACTTATGGTTGTTTTGATGGCAATAGCACCACAATGAGAAGGATAGGTTGTTTCCCTCCAAGGCAAAGCCAAGCGCGTCCAGAGCGCTCGACTGAGATGAATAAACTCCGTCTTTATACGCGCTTTTGTTATCCATGTCGAAAGGCATGCCGATTTCAGTGAAAAAAACCGGTACCCCTTGGCCAAGAAATTCTTTTCCCTCTACGGCCATTTCGTATAACTGGCGGCGAAAGCACTTCTTGATATTGTTTTCGCCAAACACAATACTGAATACTGGGTTTTTGTACTTGCCTCTCATGATCCCTAAAGTGTCGACATTGTAATAGCGATTCCAAGTTTTGAACATTAGTGACATACCATCATAAAAGTGACAAGCATAAACTGTACGCTTATCAATTAATTCTGAGTCTTTCAATTTGGGTGGTTCTTGCAGTGTAGGAGGTTGCAGAAATATTAGGGACTCCTGGCAAATCTTCCTCACACCCGCACGATATTTAGCATAAAAATCGACGAAGAGGGTGTTAGTGAATTCTCGAATAGTGAATTCAGTGCTTTCACCATTGATGTGATAAAAATAGTCCGGTTTGAGCATTCTCGGGTTGCCGTCCTGCGAAAATTCCCACACTCCATGCAGCCGCCAAATGCATTTACCCGCTTCCCATTCGTCAGACCTGATCCAGCCGTGGACTTTATCAATCTGGTTGCGTTCTTCCTTGGAAAGCCAAGCTGATTCGCCCTGGGGATCGATGAGTTTTGTCCCAGTCTTGCGAGGCCCAAAAATGGATATTTCATAAGTGGGCACTTCCGTTGCAATTCCTTCGCCCAACATAAAGGATTGAAATCCTGAAGGAGTAGTTCCACGCTTTAGCTTCCGGCTCTTGGGGATCTGAGAGAGATCTGGGTCGCAAAAATACCCACAACTGGGCTCGTTGATAGTTTCAAGTCCTATGACACAATTCTTTTCGACAAGTTCCGGTGCCTTCTTGATCAAACGCGCGTAAAAAGTCAAAATCGCTTCGATAAACCGGTCTTGCAAGTAATCTTGGATGTTTTGCCCATTCACAACGCATTTTGGAGCGATCTGTTTACCACCGAAAAAAAGCGTGAACATCGTCTGTGCAGCGAGCCTGTTGTAGTTGGTAGGCCATAACATTTTGGGGTACGGTTCACGTTCTTCGCCAGTCGCTGGATCGATGTAGAAATTGTGTAAAATCGCAGCCTCTGTACTCGCAAACCGGTTAGGTTCAAGCCCAGCACAGTGTAAAGACCAAAGCGGTGCACCGGACCCGCCGGTAAACCTGGACCACACATCCTGGTGCGGATCCAAATACACGTAAATGCCACCAACTTCCTGAATTTGGCGGAAAACCTCGATCAAATAGTCCATATACCCGAAATCGTAAACCTGAGGACCCTCGTGCTCCAGGGCCTCCCACGTGAGCGGGAACCGAATACAGTTATAACCTAAACTCTTGAGTCGCACTAAATGCACAGCCAACTCCTCAATCTTGGTCAAATTGTCCTCATAGCTGACCTCACTAGCATCATCGTAAAACCCAGAAGTCAAGGGGGAATGGCTTGTAGAAGTCGGTTTCACTGGATTTTTTGCGGAAGAGTCAAAATTTACTCCTCTCAACACAATTTCGTTACCGTCTGGATCCAAGAACGCGCCCTTGGCGCTCACATGGATCTTTTCAGGCATAACGGGTAGTTTCAAGTTTCGATACCTTGGCGAATCTAAAGGGTTCTTTAATTTCCTCGATATGTCGTTCAAAGCGATTATCAATGAAGAGATAAAAAACTCCGATACGGGGAGTCGAACCCCGGTCTCCACGGTGAAAGCGTGATGTGATAGCCGTTACACTATATCGGATAATCGTTACTATCTTTTTGAATGGGAATGTCTAGGAGGCCCACACAGATCTAGTGATCTCTTCTAAAGAGCAACGACACTTTATGGGCATGTTGAGATACATGGATGAATCCGATTGTGACAACATAAGGCCCATGCTCACTTGTTTTCGCTATATGTTAAGAATGTCAATGTACGCGGTACTTTCCCATACGTAGTTAGGAGTCATCCGTCGTTCAATATCATGTATTTAAAATATTGACCTTTATCCGTCAGGAGGAAATGGCTTCCTTACTTGTAGGTATATCACTTGTTGAGTACATATATCTCTGTGATTGTCTTGATAATATGGCCCATGATGCTGGTCAAGTCGTTTGGTATACAATTCTTGTAATATCACATCAAATATCGTCCATTACCTCTGAAGAGAGACATGGTGAATACTAATCCCACACAATCATAGTACCAGGGCTTCTCCAATTTCGGTGATACACCAAACCCTTGATCATCATTACGATCGTCTGTCATAGCCTCCCATTGAGTTTCATCAAGCAACTCGTATGAGCCTTTCTTCTGACATTCTGACGCCTTCAGCACGTGATTGTAGTTCATCTGTGAAAACCCTTGACTACATCACGTATTGTATAATTCCAACACATCTAAAAGCTGTCGGAATCACAATCATCATGTGCCATCAATGACTCGAAATTTACCGACGAGAGACTGAGGCACACTTTCGTGCGGAACTATTGCCCAGCATTCAAGTGCGTTAATGGGTTTAGGTCTTGTCGAGAGTTGTCCCTGTTTGAGCTGCGATTGTGATATTTGCTGTTTCATCTTGAGGTTTGGATAGTATTATATGATTCGAATTTTTGTAATAAAGTCGACTGGCGCACTTCGAATTAACTGCTATTTGGGCACTTTGGTTTGTCTGTCTTACTGGAACTGCTAACAGATAAAAACTTTTATGACGTTGAATATCTTCGTATATAAACGCAATGCTACGCAAAGCAGCTCATTCCTTGGAATGCGACTCCGATTTTGTCACTGCAGTTTCTGGCGCATTTTTCAACGGAACGGGTGGTTTTGACCCTTCTTCGTCTAACTCGATGTCATCAGCAACAACTTGTCTTGAAGTGGACCGAGACTTGGCCTGCTCTTCTTCTTGCTTGATCAGCTTCTCTTGTTCTTTGAGCACATTCAATTTGAACTCATTGTCGTCAGAACGACGCTGTTCTTCTTCTTCGACTGATTCAAGCTCGGCCTCGGACTCGGCTTTATTCTTGTCTGACTCGGTAGCAGGCTGGGGCTCCGCTGCTGGAGTAGCGGGTTTTATGCCATGGTTGACCACTACAGCGGCCTCGGGCGTCTCTTGTGGTGCCTCGGGTTCCTTAGCCTTTACAGTTTCTTCCGTAGCGGCGCGTGCCTCGTGCTCTTCAGTCTCAGCAGCAGATTTCGCCTCGGAAACGTCGAGTTTCGCCACGTTGTAGACTGGGTCTGGAATAGAGCTTAGCACTTGCAGAATACCATCGTAATAGAGATCCATTAGCCTGTTGTACTTGTTATCTTCGACCTCCCCTGCGGGTTTGGAATGCGCTTGCAGATTCTCCCTTGAGAGTCCGCCAAACGTGTACGCGCTGCTCAAAATCATGAGCACGCTGGGCACTTTTTGTCTCAGACGAAGTTCCAGCCATATTTTCATGTTTTCGACTAAATCCTCACGCTGGACACCGTAAGTCTTGATTCCGCGCGACACACAAGTCTGGTACAATTCTTCGTTAGAGAGTGATTCCGCCCCTTCGTAGTCAATGGCCTTGTCGTCGTCCATAATGGTCTTGAGAGTGTGCCGAATTTGGTACCGTAAGATGTTGTCATTACCAAAAGGCCGCAATGACATGTACTTGGCCATTGCGACAAGCTGAGGACGCGACAAATTGTCCAATACGGTGTCATTTTTGAACATGCGCGCAACAGACAAAATTTCGTCGTGCGTGAAAGCATTAGCGTTACCATCTTTGGGCGAGTTGAGTTTGCGGAAGAAGTTGAGAAATTTTCTTTTGTTTTCGACGGTCTCAAGAGAACTGTAGTTGATGAGTGAGGATTCCTCGAGCGTTTCTTGCAAGAAATTCGAGGTGTTTTGCCTGACGTCGTTGAGTCGTTGTTTTTTCAATTGTTTATCCTTACCGGACTCGTACGTGGAAGGAAGCAAATTGGGGAAAATTTTGAGTGCGACGGGGAGTAAGAGCTCTGCGAACGGAATGATCAAGAACGCGCTGAACGGGACTAGTCGGAAAACGTCGCCCATAGTACGTTTGAGTTGTTTTTTTTCACGTCGCGACAGTTCGTAGCCCTCGACGAGTTTGACGAGCAGTTTCGTTGAGACCTTGATCTCGTAGCCAAGTAACTTGGTCCCGTTGACGTAGTGCCGGATCTCGTGTTTGATTCTATCCAAGAGCGGTTCCTTGGGTTTTGGCTTAGCTGGAGTTACCGGCTGCGCAGGCGAAGCCTGCGCAGCTGATCTCTCGTGGTCTGCCTCGACATGCTGTGGTGGCGTTGACGAGCTGAGACGCAGCTGTTGAAGTGAACGTGGCTGGCGTGAGAATTGACTCATCAAACCCGCTGAAAATCTGCTCTGAAAATGCAAATTTCGGGCAGCAAACGTGCTGGCATATCTCATACGCGCCACTGTCAGAGCCACCATGATTGGTCGGGGGGGGGGGGGGGGGGGGGCGTCTGAACTAAGGTTATTAGCGGCAAGTATCAAGAGTTGTGCGATCTAGAGATGGTTCCAACTTGTCCTTATATCGGAACCGAGATTTTGGAAATGAGGTCGCTGTGTACGATTCTCTCGAAAATGCGTCACGTGCGTATATCCCTTTTGACGTCAATACTCATAATGTACTCTTTTCCGTCTGGCGTTACTTGGCTCTTTTTTCTCGCTAAAGGTGACAGAAATGTCTACAAGGCCAACTCAGTTATGAGCCCTGTAACTTCACTTGATAAAGCATATGGATTTGCTTACTTGATGAAGACTATAGATTGACTCACTTGAATACCGGGAAGTGGTTCTATATGGAAACTTGCCTACTTAGCGCTCACTGCCGTTACACAGTGCTACTCAGAAACAATAATACTTAGCCCCCCCATGCGCGCTTTTTCGTGAATATTACCACACCCAAGAGTTTAAGGTTCCCAATACTTACGACGAATTCCGCTGCATTTCAGGTCTCGGGGATGTCCTCGGTGTTTAACTATCAATGGTAAATCGACACCACGTATGGCCATCTAGTCTGTCACTATTGCTTGATACTGACGCTACTCAGCAAGTACCCATTTACGTACGACGTGACTATTTTGCTAGTGACTCACTAAGCGACTCAGAGTTCAAGCCGGCCCTAGTCCCTGTCACGGCTTGGGGTGGCCACTATTTGATGACGCATGGGACTCAACAGACCATTGCTTACCGCTCGTACGGACCACGGTTTCCAACTACGTCGTAAGTCAATTTCATATAGCCTTGTACGGGTCTGTACAACAAGTGATTGTCACGTGATTCGCGTCGGCTGGCCACTCGCTGCTATGGAGGGCCACCTCAGTTCGACACTTCTGTTGCCGTTCTATCTATTAGTCCAACCTACCGCCACTTTTTAGTTCTTTCTTGTATTCGATTCTTCCCCGCTCTGGCTCTATATCTCATCTTAGAGAAAATCATATTACAAGAAAAACCAACCCCGAAACCACGAACAAACAGGCAAACACAACACCACAAATGGCTGTCGTGGTGTCACAAATCGAAACCCTGCACCACACGGCAGTGTATCTGCGATATTTGAAAGATGCATCGCTCGCCAACGCTCTGCTCGCGTTGCTCGTGGTGCTTGTCGCGCGCGCAGCGCACGTCACGCTCACGGTGTACACACGGCTTACGACGGACACAGCACACGAGCGTGCGGCGACCTTGAAACTACTAGATCGATGTCTACGCGCGTTCCAGATCGTATGGCTCGCACACGTCGCATACGCGACTTGGCAGTGGACTCGAATCGTGACGGGGCAAGGTCACGTGGACCAGCCGCACCAAATTGAGAAGCAGAGGAGTCACGTGATCACCGATTTCATAGGTGAATACGACACTGGTGGGCACGTTGCGCCGCTTTTGGTGGTGTTGGATCTAGTGGTGGTGCTGTGCCAGTTGCAGTTGTTGGCCGCGGGCATCGCGGGCATCGCGGGTGCGGAAATGTGTGTGCCACAGCTCAAATTGCACGAGTACGGAATCTTGGGCATATTGCGGCTGGACACGTTTGCAAGCAGAGACCGCGGCGAGGAGCTCACTGCGGCTGGCGAAGCCTTACGCGTCTATGGGAGCACCGACGAGGGTCGTGAGGGTCGTCACATCGACGTCACGTGATATCCCTTGTACACTGCGAAAGATACTCGTATGAAATGAGCCCACCTTTTGTAATAGAAAGCTCATCGCATCCACTATGTCGTCTTCACCAGTCGTTAACGACTACGCATCTCATCCAAGATGCCCAAGAGTGCCAAAATCGATGCCCGCGGCGTCATCGTCGTGCCCGCGCCCAAGAGCGTGCCCAACAAGGACCATCTTCACCGGCTCAATTACCTGTACCAGTTGTCACGGTTCCAGGCCGTCGTGAATCGGACCGACCCTAACGACGCACTCGCCCGCGCATATGGCGCGAATTTGACCGCAATCCAGCAGCGTACCAAGACCGCACTTGCGCCCTCGATCAAGCGCACGCTTTGCAAGAAATGTCGTCGTCCGCTCTTGCCCGGCGCAACGTGTCGTCCGCGGGTCACGAACGTGAGTAAAGATAAACGGCCCTCGTGTGACTTGTTGGTCTTACAATGCACGTGCAGTACCGTAAAGCGGTTTCCAATTGGTCGTGACCGCTCTTACCGTCCGTTCAGTGAATGTGACGAGAACATTCGACTGCTCGCGGGACCAGCGAGGAAATGAAAATTGCGTTGTCGTATACAGGCTACAGAAACGAGGCTTTCTGGATCTGTGCGTCGCGCTGGCCTTGCGCGCGACGCGACTCGGGGTAGATCTTGTACCCACGGTTGCGTCTGCTGAACCATTGAAACTTCCAGCACAGCTCGTGCGCGACGAGCTCACCGAACCCAAGCATGAGCCCGTTTACGAAGGGCAGCAACAGGTTGACGGAACAGGACCCAGCAAAGAGCAACACCCGTGTTACAGCGCTCACGGGCGACGTGGCGACTTTCAGGTCTTGCTGTGACGCTTGAGATCCGGTATTGCTCGCATAGTTCTCTAATGTCAAATCTTCGCCGTTATGTACCGGTTCGGGTCCGCCGGCAACGCTGCTGGCGACGCCCGTGGGAGCCATTGGTCCAGGTACAGCGGCGCCCAGTACACCGTCCGCGACATTCTCCATTGCGTCTGTCATAGCTGTGGGTGTCGCGCTAGCCAATTAGACCAGATGGGCTCTACAGTAAATCTTAAATGGACTTGGGAGAGAAAGTTCGTTGGAAATGACTCAAACCTCTACTCGTTCCCGAGTCGAAGTTTGAATCATACGGCCATTATGTGCTTCGCAGCCTTTTAGTTAGGCTCGGGTTAGAAGTGGTAGTGCGAGCACGGTAGCGCCGCGCTATGGACGTGTTACTTTTCCTGAGTGACACATGGCGCAATTCAAATTTACACGTACCGAATTGTTGTCTCGGAATCCGAAGGCTCCTCACGGTCGACCAATATTTGTATCTGTGCGTGATTATCCTGCTAACCATTCTCAATTTATATCCGGGACGTTTGCGAAAGTCGCGAAATTATTCCAAGTTCGGCATCACATGATAACACCTGGATCGAACGCAGGGCATTGCCAAAATTGTGTAAGCGGCGATAGGATCACATAGGACACTTGCTCAATGGTCGCTTTTACTTTCGAATCTGAAAAATATGACCCTCGCTACGTTATTGGCTAATCTGGGCATTGATGTCTCACCAAGAAACGTGGCCTAAGTGATAGAAGGAGCCTATACCTTATTCTATAAACGCATCAAAAGAAGTATAAGAGCTATGAATACGGTATACATTCCAGCAAACTGGTGTTTCTAATCGCATTTTTGAACTTCACCTCAGTTTCTTTACACTTCCAATTCGAACAATAAACTACTTCTCTGTTGAAAATTCCAGTACTGGTGGTCGCACCTTCCGAACGGATGACTTCATTTCTTCCTTCACAATTTGTTATCTTGAGGATTACCTGCGTCGGTAGTTGACAGGTTTCTGAACTGTTCCTTTAATTCGTTCATAGTTGATCCAAATAATAGGGCAGACCAGGGGTTGAGTACTTATATCTCTCCGTGGTTATCATAAGGATATGAACACTGTATAACTGGTCATATTGCCGCCTTTTATACAATTTTTGCAGTACTTTTCCAACTTGAGAATCCATTACTTTCGCTAAATTGACGATAAACTTTCTCCACATGTCGTCCATTAGATCATTCTCGATGTGATGACGTGGTGAAACGACAGCATGACCATCACTGAAACCATTCGGTTTCCTTGGCTTCCTGTTGAATTTACCATGGCTTGTCTTTTCAGTATCTGTCATCGTGATCCCGCATTACTGCAACTGGACGATATTCCACCTCGCCATCCCCTTCCAACAAAATTTACATAGAAACAGGAAGCTCAAGAGGAAATGTGGATTTCGGGTAACATGAGCAGACTGACTTCATTCAAGGATAATCCCATCCTAGACTTTTTCTGAACCTGCATCGCCAGAATCAAACTCTGAACCCCACTTTTCGCAGTTCCATAAATACCAAGCGGGCATTGATATTGAGACTTCAGCGGAGAGCGTAAAAATTATGTTGAAAATCTGATGATAAGGCTCATCAGATGAAGATGGTAGGTAATATAGACACGCATGAAGAGCCAGCAACATATTCATTACTAAATATTTTTCGCGCAGGACACGGAGATATTTGACCTTCTTTTTGGGGCATGTAATAGCGTAACATGTCATATCCCCATGATAATGTCCGAACATGCGATAAAATCTCAAGCTGTAGTCCCATCTATAGCCCAAAACAATGGGACAAAGCAAACTTGGCATAATAAGCCACATTATTTCCTCGCCTTAAACACCCATTTTGATTTTGTTTAGAAGTTTTCAGATCGTAAAGGTCTGGATGGTGATGTTAAGGGAATTCTTAATTTTTGTATTTAAATATGCTAAATGATAAGGTGAAACTTTTAGCGTAAAGCAGACAACAACTATCGGATATGATTTAGGGTTTGACATTACCTCAGCCAAAACATCAACGAGTACACCAGACTTCTCCGATGTTTTTTTATTGAGGTTTATCGTTTGTCGGTGGGTGATAGATTTCTGAACTGCTCATTTAAGTCGGGCATAATTAATCTACATAATAAGGCAGATAAGGGGTTGAGTACTTATATCTCTTCGTAATTATTTTGCGATCACGACTACTACGATCCTGGTCATACCTGCTCCTTTCATACAATTTCTGTAACATTGTTCCAATTTCGGAATCCGTTACTTTCTCTAATATTCACGGTGAGTCAGCATTACGACGTATATTGGATCACTCTTACAGTGATGAAGAGGTGTGACGACATCATGACAGCCACTAGAATCATTCGGTTCCTATGACTTCATCTTGAACATAAACCGTCCGTTCATTCTTCTAATTTTATTCTGTCATATCGATCACGTGATGATGCAATTGAACGATATCATCTTCTCGCCAGCTCCTTCCAATACTTCTTTCACACGACTCCTGTGAAATACAAATGGTGATATGGCACGTCTGCAAGGGAAACCAGGCTTCACCGACTTACCCACACGACACGTTTGGAGGAAAAGTCCGGTAATGCTCCAAGGTAATTGCATTGCGACGTGTGGAACGACAATATCTACACAACTGTGGCGCCAGTCCTAACGAGTCAAGCTGTACGATACTCCTCTAGCCAAACCTCGAAGAAAACTCCGTACAGAGGGAGCGATTTGTCGCTTGGTACGAAGATGTTAAACCTCGAGGCAATTTTACGTATAACGTGAGTTTTTGACGATTCCCCGCTTGTTTATCATATCTCTCTGTACGAGATATTATGTAATCCTCTTAGATCCCATGTACATCACCCTGCACGTTTTGCCACCGACCTTTTATTCTATTCAAGGTTCTTCACCTGCGTGAACTTCTACTTGAAACTCAGCTACAATTGGCACCAAATCACATTATGAGTGGCTACGACAGGGCGTTATCTATCTTTTCGTATGTGGGGGGTATTGACAACCAGCAAAGAGCGGCCGCTCTTTGCTGTCGCTTCCGTTAAGCCGCGGTGAAACGACACCTAATGACCTCTACTAACACCATCCAGACCAGACGGACACATTTTCCAAGTGGAATACGCGCTTGAAGCCGTCAAGCGCGGTACTTGTGCAGTAGGAATTAAGGGACAAGATTGTGTTGTGGTCGGTTGCGAAAGACGGTCGACACTGAAATTGCAAGACCCGCGCATTACACCGTCCAAGATCTCAAAAGTGGACTCCCACGTCGTACTTTCGTTTGCCGGATTAAACGCAGACAGTCGTATTTTGATTGAAAAGGCGCGTGTCGAGGCCCAATCGCATCGGCTTACCCTTGAAGATCCAGTCACGGTTGAATACTTGACGCGGTACGTGGCTGGCGTACAACAACGGTACACGCAGTCCGGTGGTGTGCGTCCCTTTGGCGTTTCGACGCTGATTGCTGGGTTCGATCCTTCCGACACGACTCCGCGTTTGTATCAAACGGAGCCCAGTGGGATTTATTCTGCCTGGAGCGCACAAGCCATTGGACGTAACAGTAAGACCGTACGCGAATTTCTCGAGAAAAACTACCAAAAAGACGCGCCACCTGCCGAAGAACAAGATTGCGTGCGACTCACGGTCAAAGCCTTACTTGAAGTCGTGCAAACCGGCGCAAAAAACATCGAAATCACAGTAGTGCGGCCGAATGCACGTATCGTAGCACTCTCAAGCGACGAAATCGACGAGCACGTGAGTGCGATTGAAGCCGAAAAGCAACTGGAACAGGAGAAAAAGGCCAAGCGTGACGATGCCAATTGAGCACCGTGCCTCAAACAATGAGTCGCCGGCGAGACTTCGTGGGCTTTTACAACATTCACGACCGTCGGGCCAGCCAGCACACGGGCCTGTCGTCAGGGCCAAATTGTCGTTGCCGGGGCAAGATAAGCCGGGCAATGTGTAAAAAAGTCACGTGCATTGCGCCTGTTCGGCTTCCATACGTGCCTTTTGTGCCTGTATTTGCCTTTATGTGCCTGTATTCGGGTATTTGTACACCTATTAGCAGCTCTATAACTGCAACCCACTCGTATAACCTAGAAAAGAGCGCAATGCACTGCCGTTGTGCGCATGCGGTTGTGCAGCGACTCCCGGCTTTTGCCGTGCCTTTGGTATCTCGATCTTTTCCCGACGAGCCGGGTAACATTTTCGTGAGATTTTTCAACGGTTCTCTACAATGGCGATGGAATCTGATGTTCCTGACAACTACATACCAGATAACTAATCAACAGAAACGCGTTATATACTACCTTCTTTTGGCCATTTGACCTCCACTGATTCCTTTAAAGATCTGCGTACATTGGTTAACGCCCAAGAACGGTGAAAAACGAGCTCTTATAGCGAGATCTAGCGCAATGGCGTTACAAGAAATAAGAGAAGAAGAGCACGAGACTGAGGGCGGTAAAGCCGCTGGTGAAATGGTTATTTTACGAGAAACGGGGGTAGCGCAGCACCCTGTAACGCAGGAGCCCGATCTGCTTGGGCCTGGTGATCCTGACGGAGCACCACCGGCTTCTATCGGGCTTGGTGTTATGATGCATAAAGCGGTGGTCCATGAAGCGTCAGACGGCGTTTTGTTGCCACCACTACCCGATGCGTCGCACCTGGGAATGACCCGGCTTGGGAGCGTCGTTGGAGCAGAGATTGCGCTCGAAAACGACGTGCAAGGTGCACGCGACGTTCGTGACATCGGGAACGGCGAGATAAGTGGTGTTGCAAGCGGTTTAACCGAGGTTTCTGCTACGCCAGGCGCGTCTGGTGCGCATGGCGCGAATTCGCCGCTTGATTCTGCCACGACAAGTGAAAGCGGACTTAGCAGCGCCATCGAGCTCGATCCGGGTCCTGATGGTGACGGTTTTGATCTTTCCAAAGCCCTCGAGATGGGACGTACCTCAACAGCTACTCCATTACCGTCCATGCCCAGTGGCCAAACGTCTTTGAAACCTGCTAAAACGGCTGCCGCGTCACCAAAACTGTCTTTAAAGAAAAAATTCTCAACATCGATCATTGCATCGACAGGCAATTCAACAACACAACCGTCCGGCGGATCTGACCAAAATTCATTCCAATGTCTGTCTCCGTCAAGCACAGGCATGCATTCTCACCATCACCACCATCATCCATTACAGCATCCGAACCCCATTTTATCGGTACGATCGTTCGAATCGTCGCCGAAAAGCAGCATTTTACCTCGTCTAAGTACCAGTATGGACGCGGCTCACGACCAGATCTCACATAGTTCGTCTGCGGTACGAAGAGGGCAAGGATCTCGCAAATTCAGTATCGGAAGTAGCGGTAGCTCTTCCCATTCTTTTTACGACGGTGGCGAGTTCGCGTATAGACCACCACCGACCTTAGTAGAGCACAATGGTGGTTCGCAGGTGAGTTTGAGTGCACTTACTTCACCCGGGACCATTGCTTTCCCGGCGAGCGGTGACAAAATGGCTGGTCATCCTAGCCCGAAGGGTAGTCCTTTACTGCGACGCGCGTCGAGTGCTATCTTACGCAAATCGTCGTTGACCCGGAAAGACAGTGGTAGAGATTCACAGCATGAACTGCGGTCTGTGTCCTCGTTTTCCGCTTTGCCTTACGATACACAACCGCTTGCCAAACAAAGATCGAAACCACGTAAGATTTTGTCACTGCGTTCCAATTGTGGCAGCCCTGCTCGCAGTCGTGCGGCCAGTGCCGCCGCCAGTCTTGCTGCCGCTGACGCAGTCGACAGTGGTGCACCCGAGTTGCCGCGCAATGGTGAATCCCGGTCCATATCCAACAAGCTAGGCAGCAAATTTAGACGAGGACTGACGCGCATGATCAGTGGATCCTCTTTACAGCTGGCAAACGCAACGGAGCGCGAGCACGATCTTCATAGAGGCGACACAGGGAGTGTTTCTTTGACACCGCGGTCATTCGAGGACGGGTCGCCCTTATTTGAAACGTTTGAAGACGTTCTTGGAGCCTCGCAATCGCAGATGACTTCATTCGCGGACAACACGAGCGTGCATAAGGGCGTTTTAGATAGATCTGTGAGCAGCAACGTCGGGTCTCTTCCGAAGCGAATGCCACCTGTCAAACGCGCGGGAAGTGACGGCAAAGACGGCACGAACGTGAGCGTATGTACTGCACGCAATAACAGCGTGTTCAGTGGCACTAACACGAGCGGATCCTCAAGCAATGAGTCCGAACAAGAGGATATCACCGTCGATATCGATGACCTTACAAAAAGCTTACCAGTAATCACGGTAACAGAACAGCTGGGCGCAATGAACGCGACCCCGATCCAGGAGCAGTCGAATTTGGCCTACGATATATTCTACAAGCATCATCACCATACCGCGAGTGACCCCCGCCGTCGCAAACCTGTTACGGACGTGTTAACCCCGCACAAAATTTCGCTGCGCGAGTATATCGGCGTGCTTATGAAACAGCAACAGGTCGAGGACGAACGATTCGAGTTGCTGGAACGCAATTTTTCCGCAAGTGGATGGTGTTCTGAACAGGATCTCACGAACCTTCGCCAGAAGCGAATTGTCATAAACAAGAAATGGGCCGAACGTATTTCATTCTACCAAAACAAGCTCGAGGCATAGTGTCCGCAGAAAAGCCTCTATTTTTCCCTGCATTTTTCGTACCCGTCGTATGCTCGATATGATATATATGTCGACATAATAACGACTTACAAGCATACAAATCAAAACAGAACAAAACAAAACCCACATACAAAAAGCCGACACACGCACAACTCATTGACTGCCATGCCGCCTGCGCAGATTGTCCAGAAGCGCTTGTGATTTTTTTTCGTTAACTTCTTCGAGTCGAAGCTTCAAAAACTTGTTTTCGTCCAGCAGTCGATCGATCGTGACATACAGCTCGGAGATTTGGTTATTCAGTTGTTTCAGCGTGGCCAGTTTCTCTTGCTCACGCTGCTTCTTGCGAACCCGGAACCTTGCCGACGCTTCCGTGTTTTTCCGTTTTTTCTCTTGCTCAATGCGGCGAAACTCGGCCAATTCTGCCTCCGTATAGTCGGCGGTGGCCCCACCGCCAGCCCCACTACTAGCCCCGTCGCTCCCCCCACCATTCACCGCCTGGATGATCTCTTTCCCGTTACCCGTGCTGACCAGCAGCAACGACAACAGCCTCGATCCGAGCTCCGAGTTGCTCGACACCAGTTTCTGTAATTCACGCGACAGCTCTCTGTGTTCGATCTTCTCGTTTGGTTCATTCATCTACGTGAATCTATCATCAAGCCCGGAAATGTTACGATGCCACCGCGGCGTTCCAGCTGGCTGAGAACGCCGTTCTTCTATATAAACGTATGTAACCGTACTGAGTTGTGGCTGCGTTGCTTACAACGCGCTTCCAACGGCTCTGCCTGGCTTTGTCAACATAGTTGCAATACCTTTAATCAGCAAGTTTACTACGGCATAAATCGAGGTTCAAGCTGGTTGCGAGCTGTGGTGGCGCGTTGCCGGGCCTACGAACACTCTCACAAGCGCCGTTGCGTAGGGTGACATGTTCGTACCTGGTGATACACGACTGCTTGAACGAGAAAAGCCACACCGTTCTTAGTGATATGTACAAAGTTTTCGAAAGAGGGCTGCCTGTTTTTAGTCGAGAGCCGGTACCCTGAGTGACCCTTTTTGGCGCAGTTGGTGGAGGTGCCATTAGTGGCGGACTCGAACGGAGACCTGGCGTTCGAAACTGGGCGGGCGCGGTGAAATATGGGAGGTGATGTAGGTCACGTGGTTTTGGTTTACGTGCTGCAGAAGACGGGGAAGACCATTTCTGATAGACAAGCGTCGGTATTGCAATAGGGGATTATCTACAGAGGCAATCGACTTTTGATGGCTGAACGTGTGTTTTGCTACGTATTGCGAACAACAGTGGTTTTTTCGGCGGTTTAGCGATTTCAGCGATTTTGGCGGTTTCGAGTTTCGAGCTGCCCGTCTTGTGAGATTCTTCCTGCCCTTCACTCGACGCCTCTGCGCCTCGATGCCTTCGCCAATGCACCGCATGGTGGTTGAAGAGCCTTGTGGTACGGGATTTTCCGAATCTCTCGGCGATTCCTCTGGCGACGCCCACACCGAGTCTCTCCACCTTGGAAAGATCCGTGTACTTGAAGCTGCGGAGCCCTTGCGCACATCGGAATCCCATGAGTCCACTTTGGTCGCATTGCTTGAAAGCAATTGGAAACTTTTGGCTGTTTGTTTCGGCGTCGCGTCGGCAGGATTCTTTTTCGGCTATGACACAGGTACCATTGGAGGTATAACAGCCATGCAGCCTTGGCTTGCACATTTTGGACAATCCGATTCAACTAATCAAAGTTATTTTATGCCCACAGTGCGTGTAGGCACCATCGTATCTGCATTCCACGTCGGATGTGTTAGCGGCGGGTTTAGCATTGCACGGCTTTCAGATTCGTTTGGCCGTCGTATGCCCATTGCGTTTGCCTGTATCACGTACGCCTTGGGCGTTTCAATTCAGGTTTGTAGCGTCCAGGGCGCTTGGATCCAATACTTGGTCGGTAGAATCGTCGTGGGACTTGCGGTGGGGTCCAATGCTGTAGTTGTGCCCATGCTTCTATCCGAGATTGCACCGCCTGGGCTTCGCGGTGTTGTTGTGGCGTTTTACGGTATTTGCGTTACGCATGGGATTCTGCTCGGCTACATCACCGACTACGTTGCCAAATCGGTCTACGCAGACGATCGTGCCTGGCGTATACCGCTTGCAGTTGGTTACTCGTTCTCTCTAATTCTGGGATTCGCGCTGGCGCGAGTTCCAGAATCGCCTCGGTTTCTTATTCAGAAGGGCCGAAATCAAGAAGCACTTGCATCAATAACGAGCTTCAAAAAAATGACCGCAAACGCGATGGCCGACGACCCGGTGCGCTGCGATGCTATCGAAGAATTCGAATATCTCAGGACCGTTTACGAATACCAACAGCACGAAACAGCGGGGGTAGCGTTCTGGCATTTGTTCAATCGGCGATACCTAAAGCGTACGGTCTCGGGAATGTGCGTTATGGCGTTTCAACAACTTGCAGGAATTGACTATTTCCTGTACTATGGGACAAGTCTATTTCAATCCGTAGGCATGCACGACTCGTATGTGACCTCGATCCTATTGGGCACCATAAATGCGGTAACTCGCTACATCTCTATTTTTGTCGCAGATAATTGGGGCCGCAGACCGGGGTTAATTCTAGGCTCATTGGGCTGTTTCGTATGCTTGGCCGTCTTCTCAACTGCTGGAGTCTTCGCAGTAGATCATCACTCGGCATACTTGGACGGCCATACTGCAGGTATTGTGATGGTCATATTCACATGCCTGTACATCGCGGTGTTCTCATGCTCCTGGGCTGCTGTGGCGCCAGTCCTGGTCAGTGAGATCTTTACGCTCTCAATCAAATCCAGAGCCATGGCGTTGTCGCAGTCTTTAAACTGGGCTACCAATTTTTTCATCGCACTATGCACTCCCATTGCCACGGCTTCTATGGGGTATGGTTTCGGCTACGTATTTGCCGCTGCAATGTTAATCTCACTGTGCTGCGTGCTTATCCTCATCCCAGAAACCAAGGGCATGACTTTAGAGCAAATCGACACATTTTATGATAAAATTAATGGATTTTGACCGCTGAAAGACTCAAATAACGTCCAAATGAGACCAGATCTACTCAGTGCTAAGCAACATTTGCAGGGGTCACTTCCACTGTCAATTGGACTCATCCTACTGACTTTGCGTGCTTCGTCATTTTATCATATAAATTCTTCTCATAGGATTCGAACCCCGGACATCATTACCGACGTTCAAAGAGTAACCTGTAATATAATCCATATTGAAATTTGCCACATTTAACCTATAGGATTTAACTATTCACGTCACCATTATACCAGGACCAAGAACGCGATGAGTATCAATTGTAAGTGAGGTGAATGCTTGAGGTTTTATGTGGAAAACTTATATACTAACTGGAGTTCACAGTCAAGGTTAAACACGCGGGTAAAGTTCACGAAGTTACGGTGCCAGACACTTGTAAAGGATCTGATCTTAGAGCCAAGGTTGCTGAATTGACGCAAGTTCCCGAGGCAAGACAGAAGTATATGGTCAAGGGAGGATTATTAGAAGATACTCTGGTCAGCGGTGTCGTGAAAAATGGGCAAACTGTCATGGTTTTGGGTACACCAGATGCGAATTTGATCGGTAAACCTAAGTCAGATCTCAAATTTGTCGAGGATTTGGATTCAAGGGCACAACAACAACAATTTTCTACGTTACCTGTGGGCTTAAAGAACCTGGGTAATACTTGCTACATGAATTCGACTTTGCAGGCATTGTATGCGATTGCTCCTTTGAGAGACACGGTTTTGAACTTTGCAGCAACAGCGCCAAATGACATGGATCCACACACCCAGCTAGTCAAAGAGTTGAAGCAGTGTTTTCGGGTGCTGAAGGAGAAACCACAGGAGTCACTTACGCCGTTAGTGTTGCTGGCGTTGCTTAGGAAATGTTATCCGCAATTTGCCGAGCGGGATCCACAAACAGGCATTTACAAGCAACAGGACGCCGAGGAACTCATGACGCAACTTCTACAGTCGTTGCAATTGGTTCTTGGAGAATCTGTAATGCAAAAATTCCAGATACAATTTAGGACAACGACGAAAGACACTGCGAACGAAGCCGACGTGGTAGTCAAAGACACAGATTTTGATCTTAAATTGCAATGTCACATATCGGGTACCACAAATTTTGTAAAAAACGGGTTACTGGAGTCTTTAAATGAGAAAATCGAAAAAAGGTCTAGTATCACCAATGTCAATTCTGTCTTTGATGTGGAAAAACGGATCACTAAATTGCCCGAATTTTTAACCGTACAATACGTGCGGTTCTTTTGGAAAAGAAGCACTGGCAAAAAATCCAAGATCTTGCGAAAAGTCGTTTTCCCATTTCAATTGGACGTTAGCGACTTGTTGACGCCTGAATACGCCCAAGAGAAGATTAAAACCAGAGAAGAATTACGTCAAGTGGAAAAGGAGAAATTAGAGGATCAGCGTGAGAAGAAAAGACGTAAGATCGATGACGAGGGGAACACTACGATGACACCTGCAGAAAAATGGGAAACTGAACAAGCTCTTGAGCAAAGCGCCAAAGAACATTGGATTTCGGAATTCAAGAAAAAATTTCCTCAAGATCTGAGGCCGGGCGAAAACCCATCTTGCGTTTACGATCTTATCGGGGTTGTCACACACCAGGGTGCTAATTCCGAAAGTGGTCATTACCAATCGTTCATTCGTGATGAAAACGATGAAAACAAATGGTACAAGTTCAACGACGACAAAATTAGTGAAGTCGAGAAAGAGAAAATCGAATCTTTGGCCGGTGGAGGTGAAAGTGACAGTGCTTTAATCCTGATCTACAAGGGATTCGGTCTTTGAGTGGGGGGTGTCGTTTTCCAGGTCATTGAATATATATCCATATAGTTTTATTTGCTTGGCGCAGGGACTTTAATGCGGGACCCTAAGGCTCATAGAAGTACACTTATTGACCCCAAGTCAATTTCTTAAATGCTTGGATTTCTTCATAGCAGTTCAAAGGTTTGCCCTTGTTATCTACAAGACATTGTACAATCGCTTTTTGAAGTTTGTCAGTGGCATCACTGACAGTACCAGACGTATGTGACTGCTCTAATTTTGCCAGACGTTGTTTCAGAGCGTCAACCTTGTCACTCAAAGAATGCGAGGAAATCTCGTTTTCCTTGCCCAAATTTTCCGCTAAAAGTGAAGTATTTAACTTATTTTCGAATTTCTTGAGCGTTTCTTCCTCCAATTGCACTAATTTCTCCGAAACTCGTTGCTCAAGGTACTTGTCAGCCAATTGTTGTCGCGTATAATCGATTTCCGTAGCATTTTCAAGTTGCGCTAAAAGGGTACTGGTAAAATCCACTTGACTCTGAGGTGTAAAAACACGCGTTTCTGCCGGCTTCGAAGTCTGTGATCCCATCTTCGCTCTTGAATGTGACCAATTAGAAGGGCAATAGATGCGAAATTGGACTGCTTTTATGCCTTTTTCCAGCTAGATTTGTGGTTTGTTCAAGGTTATTCAAATGGTGATGTTCTTGAATTTTTTTTTAGTGATCGTAATATATAAAGCGCAATATTGTCATTGGATGGGATATTGAAAAGGAACTGTACTAACGTAGTTAACAGGGAGAACTGGAGAAGATTTGAGGTGAATTGGGATGATCGGGGTGATCGGGGATGATTTTGGTGTCAGATGGACCTGCTTTTAACTATTTAAATGGGGAAAATGGGTCGACGCCCTTTTTCCGAGTTGAAAACGGATAGATTTAGCTGTAGACGCCATCAATGGAGGAGTTTAATAGTAATCGACGGATAACTTGATCATAAAGAGTTTGAATTGAGGTGATTTAGACTATTCAAGTGGGAAAATTGATGTGAATGACTTTTTTCGGATTGAAAAGTGGCACTTTTGGCGGTAGACGTCACCAGAGAGTTGGTTGATAGTTTGAGGCAATTGGGGATATCTGGGGTGCTTTTGAGCGTGCAAGCAGGTATTGTGAATGTGCAAGGCATCGCTGCCCTATTTTGACCCTTTTCTAAAGATTTCTGCCCCGCGTTGGTTTTGTGGGTTTACGTGGAACGACGAGAAGATCCCTATGTTCATGACGACAACGAGCAGGAATTGGCCGAGAAGATGGCCGAGAAGATAGCAAAGAAGCCTGGAAACTGATAGCAATGTTCGGCTCTTTAAAACGGTGTCAGATCCAGGAGTTCTGCTCTTGGACCCTCATATGGGTGCATCGATGCGATTCCAGACTCAACAATCTCCCACATTTCACAGTTAAATTACCTCTGAGATATTGGGATCATGATCTTGTGGATTTAGAGGTACACCTCCAGATGACCAAGACCTTAGAATCCTCAGTTACGCGAGCTTGTGAGCATCACTTCTCTGGATCAGCATTTCAAGACAAAACCTCAAAGTCTATTACAAAGCACAGTATGATACTTTACGGCGGTCATACTTCAGGGCTAACAGTGTGATTCGGCTATTTTTCTTCATATCTACACGAGAACTTTGGGACTGTGAGCAAGAATGACAAACCCCTTGTAAAAGGACTTTCAAGGGTTGTACTACAGCTATTGGCAGGCGACGCTGCAGTTTTAGAGTCTTCAGCCAAAAATGGTGATAACTTGGCTCTTGAAAATCTATGGAAGACTGGCGGACCTCGCATTCATACCTCCGCGAGAAAATTTGGCATATGTGTTTCTCAAAGCATTGAACGTAATAAGGCGTTCGAACAAAAGGGGATGCGTCATTGTAAGACAGTAACTGAGCTATCCTTTTGAGCAGAGACTCAAGAAATCGAATTTAACAAATCAGGAGGATAATGTGTCGAATAAAAATAATAGATGGACAAGACTCGAAGTCTTTGGTCGTTAAAATCGAGTCAAAACTATGTCAAACGTCGCAGTTTGAAATAAGCGATTGCGACGTGTAACCGACATCTCCATACACGGAAAGACGAAAAGTCAAATGAAGCCTATCTGCTCTTGTACAGACAAGAATTAAAGGACATGGAGTTCATGACAGGGCTGGTGTTCTTTAGGATCACGAGCCTTTCCTCAATGGATGATAAGATTCGTTCGACTACAAAAACTGTGAAAGTCGAATAATGAAAAATAAGTCCGAAAGAAAAGGTTTCGAGAGCGTCCATCTCCCCGCTAACCGACGTTAACACTGTTAACGTCGACAAATCTAACGGTCGATCAAGACAGGCGAGGACGACGACGGCCCTGACTTCGTCCCGTGACCTGGACCCCGTAACCGGTGACTATTATCCAGATTTTTGCCCTTTTCGGTGGTGATGCCGTAAATTCGCATGGCTGCACTCTATTTCTGGCTATGGTGCACGCGAAAATTCGATGATGAGGCTGTGAAACTTGGATCGGGTGTTGATAAGGAGGGCGAGATCCATTAGCAACGTGATTTTTGACCAAACTGTGTGAAACTTGGAAATTTGAGGTTATAATAAGAAATCGCCAAACGGGCATCGTGAAAAACCTGGAAAGTGACGAAGACAAACCCCATCTTGTGATAGTGCTCTGCCTTTGTTTCGGACAGAGCTTCAAGAGTAATGGCTTTCAGGTTTGGTGTTGCTTCCGCCATAGCGGTTGTACAGTTCGCATCCATGGCTTTCTTGATTATTGCATGTGTCACTGCTCCCGTTTTCAGCCAGATAGGCCTCTCGAAGTACAACGATACCGTTTATGGAACGTTTGGGTATTGTAATGGCAAAGGCTGTAGCAGTGCAGGGGCCATCTACGATGTACAAAGTTTGAACTCGGATGGTAATTGGAAATTGAACGACACGGCTCGAGAAAAATTGGCCAAAATTCTAATTGTCACGCCCATCGCAGCGGGACTTACATTTTTCGCCATGATTTTAAACACGCTGTGTCAATTTGGTTCTATTGGTGCCAGAGGTGGAATTTTCATTGCCAATTTGTTATTAACATTACTTGCGTTTGCAGCGTCTGCGTTGGCGTGCATAGTAGTTTTCCTACTTTTCTACCCTAATATGACCTGGTGTTCCTGGCTTTTGATACCAGCCGCGGCAGTCAACTTGCTATGCGTGCCCCTCACGTATTTGGTTCATTCTCAAGCTTCGAGCTCGGAGCCCGATGATGAGGATTCTCTGAACGATGCCCGGTCCACCGATATCGACGAAGTCAAGACTCATGAACCTAGCAGCCGTTTGGGACTTTTCGAACAGAATCATGATTTGTCTGCAAACGACGCTGAAAAGGACTTTATGGCTCCAAATTACTATAAAGGTCCTCAAATTATGACATCGACCACGCTCACGTCTTCTATGACTGCAGACTCTACCTCAGATCGTGAAGCTTTATCCAAACAGCGCACCGCGGACCCTTATAGTGTTTTCAACCGGGAACTTGCGGCAGGAGCTAAGCAGCCTGAAATGGGACTGGGCGCTGCGCGTGCAGAACCTTATTCTGCTATCCAGCATTCCCAAAGTAGTGTGAATGCTGATGGCAAGAAAATAGGGTATACACCCACGAAACCCGTTGTGCAGCGGCAGTATTCTGACACTTCTTCATACTACTCTGAAAACCCTGCATTTTCGCGTCAAGGTACTATGAACACTTCGGATTTGAAACCTGCGTCGGCTTTGGATGTTAGTGACAAAGGCGGCCAGGAGAAAGCTTCTAGTCAAGAAGTTCTACAGGGCATAATCAAGGGAGCCATATCTGAGGAAGACGATGAGGATTTTTTGAAACAACAAACTATCGATCCACGTGAAAGACCCGCTTTGGATGACGATGACGGAATTCAAGACAATGGTTCAGATTTCACCTCTGTTTCACAAAGAGGTATCAACCCCCACTATATGGGATACGCTGCTGCTGGAGGTAAACCCCAAGTAATGCCATATCCACAACAGCATCCGCGGGCGAATTTCTCGGGTCAACCCGTCTATGCTCCCCAAAATAAGCAAATGCCGCCACATCCAGGTCACGGATTCCAATCGGCAACAAACTTGAAACCCAGGGCAAATGTTGCTCCTCCTATGCCCCAGTCATATCAATATCAACCTTCCATGGGGTACCGTCCTCAACACGTGCCTATGTCTGCACCCGTTCAAAGGCCAGTTACTTCGAATAATACGTCTAATCCATCAGACGTACTTTTGAATACAAACCCAGATTTTGCAGTGGCTGGTCCACGTTCAAATGCTGCGGTTGGTGCAAACAAGTGGAAAACAGGTATAAATGCCCCTCCTTCAGGTGTTCCAATGTCAACAACCCACTACAAGCCCGCGTATAAGAAGCGTGTACCAAGGCCGAACGTGTATCCTTCTGGTCCCATGAACAACAATGGGATGTTTTAGAAATGCATACGTATTTGGCCATTACTGATGAAGCTTTGGCTTTCTATAAACTGATGTAATATTTAAGAGTAACTTCATAAAACGAAGGACCGAAGAATCGATAGGCTCTGTGAAACCATGAATTTCGCGGTACGATGCTTTTCAAACCTTTTGAACGACAAACCACTTTGTCGTGTCGGTGGCCAGCCAAAACCTGCATTCTCGTCGTCCAGTCCGGTGAAGTCGCCCGCATTTCTTCATTTCGAAAAGTTTCAATTACATGATTCAATCCTCATTATCCGGGTCATTAGTCTCTGGATTTTCAGGTTCCACTGGTGACACATCTGGTGTCGGTGGAGGATTATCAATTTTAGGAGAAGAGCCTGAGCTCCCTCGATGAGGCTTGAGCATGACGAAAAAAAATAACACCATCACACTGAGTGACAGAAGAAGTATAACTTTACACTTCTGGGTACGTTTCTGATAGCCACTCGCACGTTCTAACTCGCGTTGAGCACCTTTTAGCTCTATAACTGTGTTTTCCAAATTATAGTCTATGCGATCGACAATAGTTCCTTGATCTATAACCAGATTTTGCATCTCTCGGAAAATGGTACTTACTTCGAGCACACCGCGAGCCAATTGGGTTATTTCTTCGTCACGTCGTTGCAAATACGCTGTGTTGCCCACATTTACTTGTTGCTGGTTTTGACGCTGCAAAGTTTGTCGGGAATAAGAATCAATTTCTTGCTGGGTCGTTGCGTTGCTTTCCTGTTGCTCCTCCAGTAACACCAACGCGTTCTTGTCCTCAGAAGAGCTTGGAAGAGGCTTGAAATCATCTTTATTGAGAAATTTCAAATAGTTATTTTGAAGCACCCGAAACTTGTTAGAACTGGCTTGGATCCGATTGGCACAGTTTTTCTTCAAGTTCTCGAGTACCACGATGTCGCTGCGGCTTAAAACTTGGCCTCGAAAGCGTTGCGTGACGAGCACGGTTTCGACTTGCTTAATTATATTGAAACACACTTGAAATCCCTTGATGGTTTGGTAACTCAATTCTTCAATCTCTTTTTCGTCCGAGCTTTTGTCTTCGAACCCTGGAAGAGCGTTCTTCCGGTACAATCGTGTCAATTGTAACATTTTCGATTCCGCTGATTCCAAGTTTTCGTCGATTTTTTGCGAGAAATCCATGAATTGAGGAGGAAGCATTCCAGCTTTGTTTGTATCCATCGATACCATAGGGTACGATTCTTCGTTTCCAGCGGATTCTAGATCTGAAAATGGATCCTGGTTGAGCGCACCAACGCTGCGAACGTGTGGAAAAGTCCGGCGATACGACAGAAATAAGTTAGTGCGGTCTCTGAACATTGCAACTGGGAGCAGATTGACAGCGGAATGTGGACTTTTTGTTGTAAGGCTGTCGTTTTCTCCAACGAGATGCCAGTGGTTTGTTAGGGACCGAGTTTATATTACAGGTCGATCCTTCGTATAAAGTAATATCACTTCATCCCAAATCTGTCACCGAAATTATTGGGAAGAGTCAACATTATTGAGCTTTAGCAGCTGAGCTAGTCGAAATTTCTTCAAGATTTTCACTTTTTCCTCTTGCAATCCATTTTATTTTACGAAAGAGAACGGATTGATTATCTTTGTTGCTCTTCTTTTTTGATGATATTACCTCTTTCACCCAATTCATACTTTTCTTGTTCTTATTGCTAAGTTTTCCCATCAGCAAGGGTGAGTTTTGCTCCTATGGCTTTCGATGAGTCCTATTCAAACCATTTATGTTAGCCTTTCATAGTTTTTTTATCCTGTCATTGTAATCACGTGATACATTTAATCAATAATGCCAACTTGTTGAAACCTTCTTTCGTAGCTTCCACTGAACAAACATCCTGGTGACATATCAAGCTGATCAGCGAGAACTTCCACCACGTAGGCATGTAGCATATCGTTCACTTTAGCATCAAGATCTGAGAAGCAACCTGCCAAAAATTGTCGTTGTTGAAGTCGAGAGTTAGATTGACGATGTCAATTATATAGTACGATGTATATACGAAGTTTATTGAATAACCTCCTCTATAAGAACTAAAACGTGGCACAACTAAGTTTAAAATGGATAAAATAATTTTAATAGGATCAAAACCGGGATTCCATCACAAGAATGCGAACGGAAGAGCTAACAGAGCCCCCACCTTGAACTTGCTTGCTAGACCTTGGTATGTGGAGATTTCAGCAGTGGAAGAGGCGGAAGCGCTCTGAGATACACCAGAAACACCTGGAGCACCTGCGTTTGGAGTGCTCGCAGACCCAGCTGTGCCTGAAGCACTGGCATTAGGAGACGCTTGTCCGGCATTTGTCGACGAGCTTCCCTCTTCGGCAGGAGCAGGCCGGTTTCCTTGAGAAGCATTCACAGAAGAGCTACCGTTCTCTTGATTCGCTGTTGAACTCGACGATGTTGGAATTATAGTCGTTCTGGAGAGCGTGTTTTTGTTGTCTGGGCCGTTGGCCGTTTGAACATCGCTCCCAACTAAAGGTGCACCTTGCCGATCAGAGGTGGAAACGGAGCCTGTGGGCTGACCAGCGGGTGATGGGGCAGGATGGCCGGGACTGGAACCGGAAGGCAGTGGACCTGGCTGACCGGAACTGAAAGCGGCAGGCGATGGACCTGGTTGACCGGGACCGGAAGCGGCAGGCGATGAAACTGGTCGGCCTGGTTGGCCAGTAACAATGACGGTGCTAGTAACCACTTGACCATCTGTTATCGTAACCCGCGTTACAGTAGGACTTTCAGCTCCGCCTGGTTGTACAGCGGTCGTCTCAGCGCCCCTTGTTGCCGTAGGAGGGACTGGATTGAGGTTTTGAGTAGTCTCAGCGGGTATGACGGAGCTACCAGGAATAACATTGGAGGTGGCATTCTGGTAATATCCACCCGATGGGGTTTCGACAAAGTAAACGTACTTTACCGTCTGCTTTCCATCACTGCCGGTGAGTGTAGTTACTCCAGTAGAGTATGTCGAGGTAAACGCTCCAGTCCAGCCAGTGAATGAAGTAGTGGCTAGAGCTGGGGTCTCCACGTAGTACACGGTCTCAGTGGTTGGCTTGCCATCGCTTCCAGTGAATGTGGTCTCGCCAGTCGAGTAGGTTGAGGTGAACGATCCAGTCCAGCCAGTAAACTCAGTAGCGGCACTTGTTGGAATCTCAACGTAGTACACGGTTTGGGTAGTAGGAATGCCATCGCTACCAGTGAACGTGGTCTCGCCAGTCGAGTAGGTAGAGATGAACGATCCAGTCCACCCAGTGTAAGCGGTGGAGGCGCTAGTTGGAGTCTCAACGTAGTACACGGTCTGGGAGGTTGGCTTGCCATCGCTTCCAGTGAACGTGGTGGCTCCAGTCGAGTACGTGGAAGCAAACGACCCAGTCCATCCAGTGTACGCCGTGGAGACACTTGTTGGAGTCTCAACGTAGTACACGGTTTGGGTGGTTGGCTTACCATCGCTACCAGTGAACGTGGTCTCGCCAGTGGAGTAGGTTGAGCTGAACGACCCAGTCCAGCCGGTGTATGAAGTAGTGGCTAGAGCTGGGGTCTCCACGTAGTACACGGTCTCAGTGGTTGGCTTACCATCGCTTCCAGTGAACGTGGTCTCGCCAGTGGAGTAGGTTGAGCTGAACGACCCAGTCCAGCCGGTGTATGAGGTAGTGGCACTTGTTGGAGTCTCAACGTAGTACACGGTTTGGGTAGTTGGCTTACCATCGCTTCCAGTGAACGTGGTCTTGCCAGTCGAGTAGGTTGAGGTGAACGATCCAGTCCAGCCAGTAAACTCAGTAGCGGCACTTGTTGGAGTCTCGACGTAGTATACGGTTTGGGTAGTAGGAATGCCATCGCTACCAGTGAACGTGGTCTCGCCAGTGGAGTAGGTTGAGCTGAACGACCCAGTCCAGCCGGTGTATGAAGTAGTGGCTAGAGCTGGGGTCTCCACGTAGTACACGGTCTCAGTGGTTGGCTTACCATCGCTACCAGTGAACGTGGTCTCGCCAGTGGAGTAGGTTGAGCTGAACGACCCAGTCCAGCCGGTGTATGAGGTAGTGGCACTTGTTGGAGTCTCAACGTAGTACACGGTCTCAGTGGTTGGCTTACCATCGCTTCCAGTGAACGTGGTGGCTCCAGTCGAGTACGTGGAAGCAAACGACCCAGTCCATCCAGTGTAAGCGGTGGAGGCGCTTGTTGGAGTTTCAACGTAATAGACCGTCTCCACGGTGGCTTTACCATCCGACCCAGTGAAGGTGCTGAGCGCTGTAGAGTACGTCGTCGTCGCAGATCCGCTGTAAGGAATGGTGGTCGCAGAAGTGGTGCCCAAAATAGGAGTTTCGACGTAGTAGATGGTCTCGACAGTCTGCTTTCCATCTGAACCAGTGAAGGTGCTGAGCGCTGTGGAGTACGTCGTAGTCACAGATCCGCTATATGGGATCGTGGTAGTCGAGCTGACGTTCACAATTGGCGTCTCGACGTAGTAGACCGTCTCCACGGTGGCTTTACCATCCGACCCGGTGAAGGTGCTGAGCGCTGTAGAGTACGTCGTCGTCGCAGATCCGCTGTAAGGAATGGTGGTCGCAGAAGTGGTACCCAAAATAGGAGTTTCGACGTAGTAGATGGTCTCGACAGTCTGCTTGCCATCCGAACCGGTGAAGGTGCTGAGCGCTGTAGAGTACGTCGTCGTCACAGATCCGCTGTATGGAACGGTGGTAGTCGAGCTGACGTTCACAATTGGCGTCTCGACGTAGTAGACCGTCTCCACGGTGGCTTTACCATCCGACCCGGTGAAGGTGCTGAGCGCTGTGGAGTACGTCGTCGTCACAGATCCGCTGTAAGGAATGGTGGTCGCAGAAGTGGTACCCAAAATGGGAGTTTCGACGTAATAGATGGTCTCCGTCGTTGGAAAACCATCAATACCGGTCACCGTTGAGAACGCCGTAGAATATGTACTAGTTAGTGATCCACTGTAGTAAGTGAACGAAGTACTCGTTGTGGCCCTACGTGGTGTTTCCACATAGTATAACGTATCAATTGTTGGAAGACCATCTGTACCTGTTGTGGTAGTTACTGCAGTAGAGTACGTTAATGTTGAAGAACCGGAGTAATCAGTTGTCGACGTTCGTGAAATCGTTTGGGTTTCAGGTGTCTCAACAACGACGACGTCTCCTGTCGTCGTGTGGCCCTCACTATTCACATAAGTCGAGATAGTCGTGTAAGAACTTGTAAAAGAGTTTTTCCAGGCTGAAGTTGAATAATCTGGCTTCTTATCACATCTATCTCCATCTTCAACGTTGAAAATAAAATTACCCAAATCTTCATGATTAACACCATCAGCATCAACGAGATAGAACTTCAAGCCACCCGCGTAATTTCTATTAACGTAAAAAATACGCAGAGGATAGTAATAACCACCCAGAAGGGTCACAGTGATTTGATTCGAGCTTTGAGGCCAGATGGCATATAAAAGGAAATCTCCTGGATTTGAAACCGAGGAACCCATTTGACAACAGTTGAAAGCGTTGCCAGCACCAATGTTGATGTAAGCCAAGTCGTCAACATAAGCCAAATTTAAAGTATAGTTTCCCGTCTTGGGAGCATATAGATAACCTGTGATAAGCATCGAGAAATTAGACGTGGTGATTGGGGTATTAAATTTGTAGTTGGGAGGCAGCGTTTGATAAGTCGCTGCACAGGTCGAAAATCCATCTGTTCCAGTATCATAGGTTAAATTTGTGACACCGCTACTTTCTCCGAGTTTACCGCTTCCTAAAGTTTGGTACCCCCCGTGAAGGTAGGGCGCAGTGGAATAGATTGGATTATAGCAGGGACTAGTGGAGATCAAAGGCATACTGTAGTATGTAATGCTGAACCCCGTAGTGACTTTGCCGGGGTTACACCCTAGAAGTGTACCGCCATTGACACTCTGCGCTGCCCAAGTTCGGGTCACATATGCGCCCAGATACGCCACGACCAAACACCAAAGCATGCGTTAGAGCGAGTGAAAATTGAAATAAAGTCGTGAAATTATCGATGACGTTCCGTCAAGACAACATCATAGCCAGAGAATACCAAAGATGTGGGCGTTTTTTAAATAAAGACCCAGTCGTAAAGTCAACATTTAAAAACTTATCACACAACTCTGACAACGCTTCGAATCCGGCCGAGGACCAGTGAAGTCCAACAAGGGTTTACGGTCCTCCGAGAATGACACGCGGGACCTTCCTTATGGTTGTCTTGGAGATTGTCGACTCCCGTCCAGTTACCAAGCCTGATGTCAGCCGAGCTCTTGGGATGGTTATTCGTCCCCTTACACCAATCCCCCGATATCTCATGCAAAGACTTGGTGTGCTCGTGGTCATCCTGCAGGCAACGCACATTCAGGCACCATAGGAACGGGCGTCGAGCATGCGTCAAGGGTTAGGCACAGAACCCCGCTGATCAAGTAACGAGATATCTGCACCTAGCCAAATACTCCACTACTTTCTGAACCCTGCAAATTTCCGCCTATTCACAGAAATAGAAAAATCCGGCAGCTAACCGGTTTTTCACGATCCTGCAACCAAAACATTCGATGCAGTACAGCCACATGCTGGTGCATGAACGCAACTCTATGCAGCTCTTCACGTGCACCCGCCGAATTAGGACGTCAACGACTCACTGAGTATTGAAGAAAACCTCGGAAGGCCATTACATGAATCACCGCTCATGTCCCTGGAAAGCTCGAAATTTTGGTTCTTTCTAAGAACCCCGCTAGGCATTGGGCTAGAAGTCTAGCAGAAGTTACTTCTAACTGCTTGCTCCCTGCCTTCGAAATACTTTTGCAGGCGTTCAACGTAGTAAAGTTTTTTTCCGCTTAGCTAAAGCTGCATTAGGAACCGCCCTTACAGCGTGAAGCAGCCGCAGCTTCTTGCCTATCGTGTAGGGTCGAAAGTGGACAAGGTGGGCGAGGCAGATGATTCCAAAGCAACTTCCTCGGGCGGCTGAGTTAATCGCACCAATTTGCGATCATATCTCCGTCGGCGTACTAGTTAAGCTCCGCTCATGTAGGACTCCCCGGAACTTCATCCAACCGGCCGAGAACGGAGAAAGACGTGAACGACGCACATGAACAGGTAGAGCACAGTCGCTTCTATGCGTTGTAGCTCTATTGTGCTAGCGCTTGATGAGTTGAGTTAAACCAACGGTTCAAAAACTGAGGAACGTGAATGCATATGCAAGGCAAATCTCGAGCCTAGTATGGAAACAGAGGTGGGTATCAACCGAATTTTGTAGCTACACCTTATTAGGATTCTTGTAAAAGCTTCTTTAATCGGTTTCTTGCCATGACGGTGATGGTGTGGTGGTTGCAGCGACATATGGCGCAAAACGGCGTTTTAAGTCGGGAAAAGCACGGGTACAGTGCCATTGTCTCAGCTTAACATCATTTTAGGAACCTTTCGGGCATTGTAAAGCATGAGAGGTCTTTTCGAATCCTTTTCTTTGAGTTTGTACCCAGCACATCCACTTGATTAGTTCCTAAAGGTTTCTCCCCTGATTTGGTCTATATCGAAATTCTTAAATTGATGTCGCTTCATACGGACTCAGTCAAAATCATAACTCACTGTAGAACCTGGAATGTTGTGATAGAGTTAGCGAAAATTGTATTCGCTTGGCTAAAATTCAGGGCTTCTTGTCTCTTTTGGCGGAATTTCCACTTTGCGCTCTTTGTTTTGTTGTGTTCGCCAAAAATGAAGTTAATAATAATGTTTAAAAACCAATTTGTGATATTGGAGTTGGGACTTTGACGAGGCATTGCCATCTTACATGGTTTCAGCTTTTTCCTTTCGGAAAGATGCGATCCCCGGCCACTGACTTTTTGACACTTTGGTTGAGTAGCACCTGCTGGAAGGAGTTTAATATGAGATACCACTTAGAATTGGGTCATCATGTGATCACAATGACAGAATAACCCACGTAAACTGGACTTAAGCCAGGAAAGGCAGCTTAAAAAAAGCATGTACTCCAGTCACAGAGTGAGAGAGACCCTGAGAATCCAAGATGAGATCGTTAATATGATATTTTGTGAGTAGTGATAAAAAAACCCTCTACCGCTTAAACAAGGCCCAAATCTGGTTCTTTGGGGTCTAAAAATTGAATTCGAGACTGGTTTGGTGAGGTTTCAATGGCAATATTATTGTACGCGTTTGAACTACTCTTCGCTCCGCAGTGTCTTCTACGGCCGTCAGTGCACAAGGAAAGCACACGTAAGCGCACGTGCGCAGTGAGTTGAGTAAAATTTCATAACGAGTGAGTAATGAGAGACCTATGGATAAGTATTCGTAAAGGTGGTAACTTTAACGCGTAAAATAGCAAGTGTTACAGTATTATTGTATTCCCTCTACTCCATCTCTCTACAGAAGTCCAAATTATGTGGGGTAAATCCGTATAAAGTGACGAGAGTCATGATTCTCGAATACAAGTAAAACTCAGAAGTATTCACAGAGTGCACTGAATGATGGCAATCCTGCCCATTAGTACTGATTTGTGAGTGGGTAAGCTGAGCTGTTACCAGATAACCCTCATGATCATACTCTGCTCGGTTTTACCTACCCAAGACCAAAAATCGATGATATCACGCCGTACGCACGTGAGTACTGATAGGGTAACGTCGGTGTCTATCAATGCGACAGACTATTTATCCGTAGGTTTTCCAACTGCAGTCGTTCCGGAAAAGGCGTCGTTAAGTTTGGAAAAGCAACGTTAGCGATCACACGGTACTTTAGAAAATTGAAATTACGAGCTACTTCACAGTTAGAACCGATGACATTCGTTTCCAGGAGCCTTTCCATAAGTAATGATCAATCAACAAAAAGTTCTGCGCTGACGTTACGAAAATTGAGCATTGAAATACCTTCAACAGGGCTAGAGGTTTACAAAAGATTCCCATAAGTAGTACTTAGTACAGTGAGTTGCTCTCCGTACAAAATGCTTAATGCATCACATTACAGCATCTCATGTATAGTTCGCTTAAATTGAGGTACCATTCTCATCGACCTCTCGGTAGCCAAGTTGGTTTAAGGCGCAAGACTGTAATCGAAAATTTGTAATCTTGAGATCGGGCGTTCGAATCGCCCCCGAGAGACTTTTTTGTGGAATTTTTGTTTTTCGAGAAAGCATACCAGTCATGAATGCATGGATGGCAAGGGTATCAGTCTCAATGGTCTGTTTGATATGTGGGAGCATGGTTGAATTCATAGCAAATGATTTCTGCACTGGTTTTAAGCGCCAGATTGAACTGAGTATCAAATGAGTCTTTCGTATACAGCGAGCAATCATGTAAACAACAATGACGAACTTTTCAAAGAAATCTAGATCTCACTGGAATCACAATTTGACCAGAACACTAGAGCATCAAGTGTTCCGATTCCGATTCGTTTGTATCATCACGATTAAATAAGTAGACGGTGAAAATGCGGAAGCGGGTTTTTCTGGACAATACCATTGAGTTTCTGCGTGGTCGGGTGTATTTGGGGGCTTATGATTATACTCCAGAAGACACAGACGAAATAGTTTTCTTCACGGTGGAAGACATTTTGTTCTACAATCGGTTCCATTTGGACTTTGGTCCCCTTCATATTGGCCATTTGTATCGGTTTGCAGTGATCTTTCACGAGATTTTGAACGATCCGGACAATTCGGGCAAAGCCGTGGTTTTTTATTCGTCGACTTCGACGCGACAACGTGCCAATGCCGCATGTATGCTGTGTTGTTACATGATCTTGGTGCAGGCTTGGACGCCGCATCAAGTTTTGCAACCTTTGGCCCAAGTAGATCCACCGTTCATGCCTTTTAGAGACGCAGGTTATTCGAACGCAGATTTCGAAATTTCGATTCAGGACGTCGTTTACGGCGTGTGGCGTGCCAAAGAGAACGGGCTGGTAGACCTCAATGCGTTCCAACTCGAAGTTTACGAAAAATACGAACGGGTCGAAAATGGAGACTTCAATGTGCTTACCCCAGATTTTATTGCGTTTGCATCCCCAGTGGAAGATTCACAGCACAGACTCAGCCACAGTAAATCGCAGTTGAACGCCCCTTTCCGCAGCGTACTCAAATTCTTCGTCGAGGCCAACGTTCAGCTCGTGGTCAGACTCAATTCGCATTTGTACGAAAAAGCCCATTTCGAGAACGTGGGCATCAAGCATGTCGACATGATCTTCGAAGATGGTACTTGTCCCGACATGTCCATCGTCAGTAATTTTGTCGGTGCTGCAGACACCATCATTAAGCAAGGCGGGAAAATAGCAGTGCATTGCAAAGCCGGTTTGGGCCGTACTGGTTGCTTGATAGGTGCCCATTTGATCTATACGCATGGATTTACAGCAAACGAGTGTATTGCGTTTCTCAGATTCATACGGCCAGGAATGGTCGTAGGCCCACAGCAGCACTGGCTTTATCTCAATCAAAATACATTTCGCGAATGGAAATACACCATGAAACTCGGACTACAACCCAGTGACATGATCGGTGGACTTTATCCACTCGTTTCCCTTGAGGACTACAAAGACCAGAGGAAACATAAAAAAGCCGTCAAAAACAAGGTAGATAATGAAGGCGATTATACGCTAGATGAACATACAATGACTCCGCCAGGTAGCATCGAAAAGAGACCTCTACCTCCATCTGTGGCAGTTCCGCAAAATTCTCCTGGTCAGCCACGGAAGGGCCAAAATGGATCCAACACCGTTGAAAATATTGGGAAAGGTGGGAGACGTAAACCCATGGACAATAATAGCGATGATGAGTCTATGCAGGTCGATTCCAATCAAAGCAGTCTGAGAAGCAGCAGAAGAAAGGGCCCACCATCTGCCGAGGAGAGCGCCGTGCTAAAAGAGCTGATACCCAAGAATAGACGCGCGGTCTCGAGTAGTGGTGGAAGGCGATCCGCGAGTGGAGCGGGCATCAGAAAGATCTCTGGAACTACCAAGAGATAGGATACCCAGCATCGAAAAACGCACCAGTTCTGTGGCACGCCTGCGACTCGCGCATCGTGTGTAAAATACGTCATTCACGAAGTAGTCATCTTATATGTAACATGGAATCAGCATTTGCCCACTCTTCTCATGTCGCACGCTATTGTACTTGGTTGCCAATTTTAGGCCACTTTCGCTTGGTTGACTCCACGCCATTTCCCATTTGGCTATCTTCTGATCTGGAAGTGTGAATTTCCTGGCTGCTTCTAAAAGCTTTGCCGCTATACCTTGGCCACGGGCCGTTTGGCAAACCCAAATGCGAGAAATGCCCAATTTTACAACGGGACAAACGTTCGGCACCAATGTGCAACCATTTGTAAGCATCCAACGTCCTCGCTTAGCACTCAAATTGAGACACTCAACTGTGACAATTCCAATTGCACGATCTCGCCTTACATATACAAAGGCTTTGCCTGTTGAAGCTTCGTACTCTGATTCGCTTACCCCACTCCAGAAACTGTTTTCGTCGTGAGGTGCACTCAATGCGGTATTAACACATTCCATTAGCTCCAGGGCAGCTCGGGTTTCCGTACTTTTCGACCGTCGCACTTCCTTGATTTCATCCAACTCGTATGCAATTCTTGATTGACTTTTAGAAGTTAATCGGTTCTCACGAGCCTCTGAGGCCGCACAAAACGTCTCAACTAATTGGCCCCAGTGTTTCCACCATTTTCTGCCCCTTGTTGGTATTTGTGCAAAGCTATGAACTCCCACGAGACTTTCCAGCTCCCCATGTTCGTGTGCCATATGAAATTTTGAGCGAGGAACTTTCAATTTGGACCCTTGAAAAACGGTAAAGCGCGACTGTCTCAAACGCTTGGGGCCTGGCTTCGTCTGCATACCTCTAGAACTTGGCAACATCTAACGGGTTGCTCTCTCATCCAAGTACATCGCTCTTCCTTAGTTTTACGCGTCAATGAACTCGGCTAACGCGCTCGCGATGAGTAGATTATATAATTTTATAATCACTTTAAACGGTTAAAATATGAAAATGAGACGCTTAGTTTTTCTTCATCCTACCATAATCTGGGCGTGTGGCGTAGTTGGTAGCGCGTTCCCTTAGCATGGGAGAGGTCATCGGTTCGACTCCGGTCTCGTCCAAAATTTTTAAACTCCCAAGAAAACTTTCAATGATGGACATTTAGGGGCTTGCTGAGTGCATTTTAGGCCCTACGATGTTTCTGGTAGTGTATTCTATCGTCATTGTTTGGTTTATGTATTCAAGATCTACTACTACTAAGCCTTAAAGCTTTGCAAGCGATTTGCCCAAGATTCTGGAGGCAATCGCGCATACTTCTATGGCACTGCCATAGGAGGATTGGTAACCTGCACCGCCGATTCCGTAGTTGTGGACAACTTTCAAAGTTCCTTTGGCGAGCGGGTACTCAGAATACTCGAGTCTCACGCCTCCGGTCCTGGCGGGCCTCAAGGCCGCATAGGAGTTGTAAACGGTCATAGACTTAAGCTCTGGGACGTGGTTCTTGCACACTTTCAAAATGCTCTTGCTGAGATCTTCATTAACTTGTGGAGACCAATCGCCTTTCTTGAAGATCCCACCAACAATACATCCACCTTCAGCTCTAGGGAAAATGTTCAAAAATTGCTCTGGCAGGCCCTGGAGTTCTGCGGGCAAGGTTTCGACCATAACCTGAAAGGGCAAATCTTCGTAAATTTGTAAAATTTGGCCCTTGACGGGATAGACTTTAGCGATTTCCTCAGGTTCATAACGGCCGATCAATTTGCCCGCATTGACGCCTGTGGCATTGATGACAAGGTCCGGAACATAGCCCACAATGTCCACGACACCCGCAATATCGCTTAACCTGTCAATCCGTTTAACCTGGGCACCAAGCTTACGGATTTGAGCAATCAAATAGTTGTTGTACACGTTGGGAGTTACCGTGAAGGTGTCAAACTCGAATCCGTAGTAAAGTGCAGGGTCCATATTCCTGTATTTAATTTCTTCCTCGGACGGGAAGGTGATGTTGTCGACAAAACCTTGCTTGATGTACCAGGGCAGAGGATATGTCTTCAAATGGAACGACTTCAACCGATAGCTTTTGACACCGGATTCGGGTTCACTGCGAGCCAATTGCCGGAACCTGACGTATGCGGCTTTATCTCGTTGGATCTGGTCCAGTTCATGTTCCCGGGCAAAACTGGCCCAATTGGCACCGGCCCAGGGCGACGTGTAGTCATGCGCATGGTAATCACCAGGCCATTCAGACGACACAACCGTCAGGGACTCAATTGACCTAGGAAACGTTTTCAACAGACATAGTGACGACGTGAGCCCCGACACACCAGCACCCAAGACGACAACCTTAGACATAGTATCACCAAAATGTCACAAGCCGATTTTCACGATAAAGAGACGAACTTAGAAACCGAACCTCTAGTTGTTAGGGTAAAACACCAGTACGAAGAGAAAGCAGACACCACTGATGCAGTGAGAACCACCACCGACGATCACCAGACGTTTAAATGTTGTCGGTATCAGATACTTGAAAATGCCGGTGCGATTTTGTATTAACAGGGTTACGGGTTGGCTGCATAGATAAGTAGGGGTCCCTCGGTGCGTTTTCCGCTGAAGTCGCCCAGCTCACAGACCGGAAGAGCACGCGAGATCTGGCTTTGATAGCGTCAGTGAGATAGCTTGTCAAGGAGCGATTCGTTGATCTCGGTTGATATTCGTGTATTTCCGCTCTGTTTCCCATTCGTTTCCGGTTTGTTTCCCATATGCACTCTCACCATTCTCATTCTGGAGACTACGTGGCTCATGGTGTTGATGGACTCGAAGCGATAGTCACCCGAGTATCTGAACTGGGCTTCGATGTCTATTGTATGACGGAGCATATGCCTCGGATCGACCAGAAGTACTTGTATCCGGAGGAAATCACGGGCGATTCCAGTGCAGACCTCAAGCTTCTACAACAGAAGTTCATCGAGTACCTTGCGCATGCTACCAAAGTGAAAAATCGAGGTTTACGGACCGAGTTCATCATTGGGATGGAGGTCGAAGGCTGTGATTTGAAGCATATCGATTACGCTCAAAGTCTGATGCAACGTCATTCCGACGTTATGAAATTCTGCGTTGGATCGGTTCACCATGTGAACCAGATCCCGTTAGATTTCGACCAACAATGTTGGTACCAATGTCTCAAGAGTTGCGGCAACAGTGTGCGACAGCTCATGGTGACGTATTTGGAATTACAATTCGAGCTTTTGACCCGATTGAAGCCGCAGGTCGTGGGCCATTTTGATCTTTTCCGGTTGTACTGTCCTAATGAACTGGTTGTAGATTCTAGGAGCGGGGAACGAGTCCCTGACGGTTCAGAGTTTGGTGTTCGCGTCGGTGAATTGTCTTTGGTCGAGCAATGGCCCGAGGTGAAATCGCTAGCGTTGCGGAACTTGGAATTCGTGGCGTGTTACGGTGGACTTTTGGAATTGAACTCTTCTGGGCTAAGGAAAAAGCTTCAAGACCCCTACCCAGGTCGCGATTTTGCACAGCTTGCCAAACAGGTACCTGGGACGAGGTTTGTGTTGAGTGACGACGCACATGCGGTGAGTCAAGTCGGGGTGTGTTACGATCAAGTGTTGGAGTACATTGACAAAGTACTAAAGTTAGACAACTTGTACTTTCTATGCGAGACTCAAAGTGGGAAGCTGTGTGTCAATTCGATGGATCTGGAACAAGTCAAGTCGCATCCATTCTGGCAAAGGTTTCAAGATCAAAACTAGACATTGTAAATAAAGTTGTTGAATTACACTTGGGATAACTAATAGGAGCGACCAAACATACAATAGTTGATAGCACGTCTGGAACACTTGATGCAACCTTGGCCTGGTTTGAGTTTTGGTTGTTTGAAAGGAATGCACAAACTCTTGGCGCCCATGCTGGGGGATTTTTCGTCGGCTTCGAATTCTTCACCGTCATCTTTCTTAGCAGAAGAATCCTTAATATCTTCTTCACACTCAGTGACACCACACCATGGGGCCAAGATCACATTACCACGGTTCAAAGCTGGAACGAAATCTTTCCAGTCCTCAACAATAACTCTGTGAGTATCAAACAGTTCCTTGGCCCTATTGTACAAATCAGCTTGCATTTCTTCCAAAATCTGTGGCACGCGAGCTTCCAGTTCTGCAATCTTGACAGTGTACTTACGACCATCGTTTCTACGAACAATGGTGACTTGTTCTTGTTTTTGGTCCTTAGGACCGAACTCAACACGCAATGGGATACCCTTCAATTCATATTGCGCGAATTTCCAGCCAGGTGTGTAATTGTCGTTATAGTCACCAAAGACCCTAATGCTAGCGGCACGCAATTTCGTTTCTATAATTTTGGCAGATTGATGAATTGAAGCTCTTTCTTCATCGCCGGTCTTGGCGGTGATACCGACTGGCAAGACAACACATTGGTATTGCGAGACTCTTGGTGGGATGACTAAACCTTTGTTGTCAGAATGGATCATAACCATGACACCAATGACACGAGTACTCAAACCCCAAGAGTTTTGATAAGCAAACACTTTTGGATGCTCGGGACCCAATGGATTTTCGACACTGATGTTGAACATTTTAGAGAAATTTTGACCCAAAAAGTGAGAAGTACCACCTTGAATACCACGTCCCGTTTGAGGAATGTAACCTTCGACAGTCGTGGTGAATTCACCACCCGCGAATTTTTCCTTTTCGGTCTTTTTACCCTTGACGACGGGAACGGCCAAAAGTTCTTCGTAAACGCCAGCGTAGTAATCCAAGATTTGAAGCACTTCTTCTTTGGCGTCAGCCTCAGTCAAATGAGCTGTGTGGCCTTCTTGCCACAAAAATTCTCTTGTTCTTAAGAATGGTTGAGGATGCTTAAATTCCCATCTGACCACCGAGTTCCATTGGTTCAGTTTAATTGGCAAGTCTCTATAAGATTGGATCCATTTCGCATAGTATGGGTACATGACAGTCTCGGAAGTGGGTCTAATGGCGATGGGTTCTTCAAGCTCCGAGGAACCGGCTCTGGTGACCCATGCGACTTCGGGTGCGAAACCTTCGATGTGATCCTTCTCCTTCTCGAGCACGCGCGACGAGACGAACATGGGGAAATATGCATTTTGGACGCCAAGGGCCTTGATCTTGTCGTCGAACCATCTTTGAATAGCTTCCCAAATGGCATAAGAAGGAGGTCTCAAAATGTAGCAACCGGAGACGTCGTAGTAGTCGAGCATTTCACCTTTAGTCAAAATTTGTTGGTACCACCCGGAGAAATCCAAAGATTTGTCCACGGTGATCCCAATGAGTTTGGCATCTTCGATGGAGCCCGATTTAGCCACCGCCGATTTGGCAGCTGGCTTGGACTCCTTCTTGGCAACTTCTTGTGAAAAGTCAACAGTTTCTGGTCCAAACGCTTGCAAATAAGAAGTCAGTTTCCCGCGAGTAATGAAAACGCCTTCAGCAAGCTGCAAGACGGTCGAATCGGCCGTTTGCAGCACTTGCTCATCAACTAGCAACTTAAACTCAGATGTCGCCTTTGACAGGTATCCAACGTGAAACTCCTTGGCCGACTCGCATTGGAAATGTTGCTGAACGAGATCATCACGAGCCAATCTTGGCTCCTTAACACCAGCAGCGTTTGCAATGACAGGTGATGGAGTCGTGGTCGACTGCAATGCCACAACAACGACAGGGACCGGAACTGCAATTTTGGCCGTTTTGGGCTTAAAAACAAGCGTTTTGACCCCCGTTTTTTCCACACTTTCTTCCACGCACAATTGAGCGAATGATTCCTCCAAGGACATTTGAATAAACCCTTCTAAATCCTCCTTTTCACGTTGTCAAACTGTTACTTCGATGAGTTGGTCAAATTTTAAAATTTTTCACTAATCATTATCTCATCGCTTGATTTTCTTGATAGCGACAAACCATATTAAATCCGTGAAAATCCCTCTAACAGATCCATGAAAAGCCTGCTTTTGGCCAAAGAATATCTAAATTTCCGTGCCCATTTACGCTCTTATATACAGGTTCATAGATGGCGATCTTGTGTCGCATTTGCCATCTTTAGCCTTTAACTAAATGACTCATCGCTAGGACGAATTTTTCACTATACAAAAAAGTGAAAAACTCGAGGTTGTTGACCAGCGAGAACTCTCTAAAACAAGACAAGGAAACGTAGTATCATGGTTATTTACGTCCACGAGAAGCTCGGCAGCGATGCATTGAGCGTTGATGGAAGCAAAGAACAACCTTACAAGACGCCGGCTTTTGCCATTTTCGCGAAGGATGGAGATGAAAAATTAATGGTTTTCAAAGAAGACGAAGAGAAGGGCGATGATTACGTCGAAATCTCGGCCAGTGCACTGAAAAAGGCCAAAAAGGGTGCTGAGGGACTTAAGAAGAAAGCCGCGAAACAGCAGGAACTTGAGAAAAAACAGCAGGAAAAGGAAGCTGCGGAAGCGGCCAAAAAATTAGAATCAATGAACATTAGCATTGAACAGGACAAAACGTTACCTGAGGCACGCAAGGTAAAGATCTCACAGGCCCACGGGGCTGCTGACGAGCGTGTCAAAGTTTCCGGCTGGATTCATCGCTTGAGATCGAACAAATCGCTTGTTTTTGTCGTTCTGAGAGACGGTTCCGGTTTTTTGCAAGCCATTTTGTCTGGTGACCTTGCTCTCGCGTATCAAACGTCCACGTTGACGCTTGAGTCGACCGTAACGCTCTACGGTACCGTAAAAAAGCTTCCAGAGGGCAAAACTGCCCCGGGTGGTGTAGAGCTTGTTGTCGACTACTATGAGATTATTGGACTTGCACCCGCTGGTGAAGACGCATTTACCAACAAAGTCGCCGAGGGAGCAGACCCCTCGCTGCTTTTGGATCAGAGACATTTGGCCCTGAGAGGTGAGACCCTTTCCGCAGTGATGAAGGTGCGTGGTGCTTTGTTGAAATCCATTCGTCGTTTCTATGACGAGGAACAATTGACCGAAGTTTCGGTGCCCAGTATGGTTCAAACGCAAGTCGAAGGTGGGTCTACATTGTTCCATTTGAACTACTACGGCGAAGAAGCTTATTTAACACAATCGTCTCAATTGTACCTGGAAACCGTCCTGGCAAGTTTAGGTGACGTCTTCTGTATTATGGAATCATTCCGTGCTGAGAAGTCGCACACCAGAAGACATTTGTCCGAATACACACACATTGAGGCCGAATTGTCGTTTTTGACTTTTGAAGATTTGCTAGTGCATTTGGAAAAGTTGTTCACCAGGACTATCAAGTACGTCTTGGAAGACCCTGTAGCGGGTCCGCTTGTGAAACAACTTAACCCCGGCTTCAAAGCACCAGAGATGCCATTTTTGAGAATGACTTACCGTGACGCCTTGGTGTGGCTCAACGAACACAGGATCAAGAACGAAGAAGGCGAAGAATTTAAATTCGGCGACGATATCGCTGAGGCAGCAGAACGTAAAATGACCGATACTATTGGAGTGCCCATCTTTTTGATCCGGTTCCCAGTGGCCATCAAGTCCTTCTACATGAAACGTTGTGATGACGACCCCGAAGTCACCGAATCCGTCGACGTCCTGATGCCTAACGTTGGTGAAATCACAGGCGGATCCATGAGAATTGACCAGATAGACGAACTCATGGCCGGATTTAAACGTGAAGGTATAGACCCATCGCTGTATTACTGGTACACGGATCAACGTATCTATGGTACATGTCCTCATGGTGGTTACGGTATTGGTACCGAACGTATTCTTGCATGGCTCTGCGACAGATTCACAGTAAGAGACTGTTCGCTATATCCTCGATTTAGCGGCAGATGTAAGCCATAAACACTAGTAAAATTTGCTACAATATACTAAAAAATAGGCTTTTCTACTAAGACATTGAGATCCATGCCCACTGGCTTGATGGGCTCGGTCTTGGCATGTTCGTGATGGTGTTGATGATGGAAAACAGTCAATATTGAATCATCGCATGACTCAAATGAAAAAATCTTGAAAATTTGGTAATTTCTTATCGCGGAAAATAGACCTTAAACATATTAGAACAAGCCAGTTAGGTCACTTATTTGCTTCGACTCCTACCAATTGGCTCAATCCAATTACTAGCAATTATATACAATGGCAGAAGACAAAAAGCAGAAGCTTTGGGGAGGCAGATTTACCGGAGAAACCGACCCATTAATGCATCTCTACAATGCATCTCTTCCTTATGATTACAAGATGTATAAGGCCGATCTACAAGGAACCAAGGTGTATACGGCTGGATTGCAAAAGATCGGACTTCTGACTGAGGAAGAACTGGACCAAATCCATAAAGGTTTGAAAATTATCGAGAAAGAGTGGTCCTCAGGAGAATTTAAGAGACATCCAACGGATGAAGATATTCATACGGCGAATGAAAGAAGGCTGGGCGAGATTATTGGACGTGGGATCTCTGGGAAAGTTCATACTGGAAGATCGCGTAACGATCAAGTCGCTACGGACATGAGAATTTACTGCAGAGATCTTTTGACCGAAACCGTCCTTCCAGCATTGGCCAAGTTTATTGAAGTTATTCTGTTGAGAGCGAAAGAGGAAATCGATGTTTTGATGCCCGGTTATACGCACCTTCAAAGAGCACAACCAATTCGTTGGTCCCACTGGCTCAGCATGTATGCGACTTATTTCACCGAGGACTACAAGAGGTTGCAACAAATCACCGATCGACTCAACATGTCGCCTCTTGGTGCCGGTGCGTTAGCTGGTCATCCATATGGTATTGACCGTGAATATTTGGCCAAAAATTTAGGGTTCAACGGTGTCATTGGAAATTCGCTTGCCGCGGTTTCCGACAGAGATTTTGTCGTGGAAATCATGTTCTGGTCTTCTTTGTTCATGAACCACGTTTCTCGGTTTTCGGAGGACTTGATCATTTATTCGACTGCAGAATTTGGTTTCGTCAAGCTCTCGGATGCTTACTCGACTGGATCCTCTTTGATGCCTCAGAAGAAGAATCCAGACTCTTTAGAACTTCTTAGAGGTAAGTCCGGAAGAGTATTTGGTGAACTCAGTGGGTTCTTAATGAGTTTAAAGTCCATTCCTTCCACTTATAACAAGGACATGCAAGAGGACAAAGAACCCTTATTCGACTGTTTAACCACCGTCGAACATTCTATTCTAATTGCTACCGGTGTTGTTTCCACCTTGAATATCGTCAAGGAAAAGATGGAAGGTGCTTTAACCATGGATATGTTGGCCACCGACTTGGCGGATTATTTGGTTAGAAAGGGTGTTCCATTCAGAGAAACGCACCACATTTCTGGAGAGTGTGTAGCTTTGGCAGAGAAGACTCAAGTTACTGGGATCGATCAATTGACTTTGGAACAATTCCAAAAAATCGATGACAGGTTCTCTTCAGACGTTTTCAAAGTTTTCAACTTCGAACAAAGCGTTGAAAGAAGAACTGCCACTGGTGGAACTGCTAAAAGTGCCGTTTTGAAACAACTAGCTTCTTTAGAATCGCAACTTAACTAGCCTTCACATTCATATTTAATATTATACGGAACTTTTTTCAGAACAAATACCTGATGATACCAATAGGTAACCAGTTACCGAAAAAAAGCCCCGTTCTACTTCCCTTACCGAAAAACCGAACGCTCCCAACAATTTTCTCCCATATCCTAAGCCAGAAAGTGTTTTTGGAATAGACCAGACGGTAGAGCGGAGTTAAAAGTGCATCACTTATGTTAGCACCGGCGTATGACAGGTATTTGTAATTGCTTGGGCTGCCTGCAATTTGCAATACACCCAAATGGCCCAAAAACACGTTTGCCCGCGGAAATTCGGCACGTAGAACTTTGTAAAGCGAGTTGGTGAAGCTTGCTACAAAAATCTCAGGTGCATGACATGGAAGTCCAAAATTGAGAGACAACGACGGTGTCAAGAGAACTATCTGTATATCTGTAGGGACATGCTGGAATAATTTGCTTAAAACTTGCAAATGGCCCAAGAAATTGTCGTCTATTTCAGTTTTAACCGCTTTGGTGGACAAAGTAGTAAACTGAGATGACGGATAGTATGCTGAATTCGGTACTACCACGATGTTTTGGAAACTCAGATCTTCATTTTGTAAAAATTCGATGAACTTGGGAAGTTCACTGCGATTGATGTGGAAAAGACTCTCATCATCATTACGACCGGAACTTTGTTCCGAACAAACGAATATAATGAATCCACGTCTGTACAAGTCCATGGCAATAGATCTGGTAATGGGGTCCTGCATATTCCCCAAAATCAAAACGCACCTCTGATCGTTGTGCGCTAGATGTTGTGGCACTCCAGGTAAAAAGCGTGGCAAAATATGGTAAAGAGCAACTGCCCCTGTGGCAAGCCCCAATGCAGCACCAATGGCCATTTTATGCACTTTGATACCTTTCCAAAGAGTTTGTAATGCGTTTTCACTTGCTCGAATATCTCTGTTTTCAGATGCTTCTGGAGCGGAATCGTAAAAACCTTCTAAAAGCCGAGTTCCTGCTTTTTCGGCACGGGAATAAAGCGAATAGCACTTGTCAAAAATTCGATCAACGGCGTCTGCAGCCATTTGGAATTCGCTTGTGATCTTACAGAAGTGACTTTGTCATGTGCATAATGAAGATCTGATTCCTGAATGGATACTTTGTTTGGTTCAGGTACCTTACTGTATCACGTGGTTGTGATGGCAATTTAAGGACACCAGGAATTAATGTACTAAGAAGCATCTGTCGCTGGTCATGTCATCCATACAATTCGCTTTCAATCTTAAGACCAATTAGGCTTTCGTAGAAGCATTCACATTGCTATTATATTAGTTCATCTTGTGCAATTCAGTACGGGTATAAGTATTTATTTAATGCCATATTCGCTCAGTATAATCAGTGCATTTCATTTATGCCTTCTTACGTTAAAGGATCGTACAAGTTTTACCGGCTTTGGCTCGAACCTTAACCCTGAGTATGACCACGACTTGAAGTCTGACGCTGACCTAAATCCGCGCTTCGACTCTAACCTTGACGTTGCCTTGAGCCTTGACGGAAGCCTCTACGCCGACCTAAACCCTGACCCTCTCTTTGAGCTTGACGCCTACCCACGCCCTGACCCTGACCCTGAACCTTGCCTTTACCTTCACCTGTACCTCTGCTCTTACTCTTACTCTTACTCTTACCCTTAGTCATACCCTCACCTTCACCTCTACGTCCACCCTTACCTCGACTCTGACCATAGCGCTGACCCTGACCCTAACACCGACCTCTAGTTCTACCCTCGCCTTTACGTATGCTCCTACCCTCACGCTTACCCTGACGCAAACCCTGATGCAAACCCTGGATCATCATCCCTTTCTGCGTTTGTTGCAACTTCATATATCTTTATACGGACATTTTCTTCCTTAACACCCATACACTTTGACATATATCACCATTAACGACTTTACTCATTTTGCTACCTGGTTTGTCATGTCATTTCTACTTGCTCCTGCTATTCAAATTCAAAATTGATTTATAAAGGGGAACTTGATAATCGCTCGTAAACTCGCTTACAACAAACTAAGCCCGCGACAACAAACTGATAAAATTCAATGGGTATAAACAATCCAATTCCCAGATCTTTAAAATCTGAAAGCAGGTATGTTTCAATGAAACTATTATAATCAGCAATAATGAGTCTTTGGAATGACCCTCCGGAGGCGTCGTTTTGTAGGTTGGAGAGCGGTTAACACCCATTTCATTCTCCTTCATTATCAAAACCGTTTTGAAATAAACCATTCCTTAGCCCGAGAAAGTACCATAAGCTGACTGAATGTATTTTAGAAAAGCTGCAAAAGTTCTAGCGAGCTTTGTGAAGCCAAACCAATTTTTTGGCGCGGATAAAGTTATTCCACCTGAAGTACTAAAAAGTGCCAAGGGCCTCGCTATTATAACTGTGTTAAAAGCTGGGTTTCTATTCAGTGGAAGAGCCGGTTCCGGTGTTATAATAGCACGTTTGCGCGACGGAACTTGGTCAGCACCTTCCGCGATAGGCTTGGCAGGTGCAGGTGCAGGTGGGCTTGTGGGTGTCGAGTTGACAGATTTTGTGTTTATTTTGAATACAGAAGATGCGGTCAGGTCGTTTTCTGAATTTGGCACCATCACTTTGGGTGGGAATGTAAGTGTTGCCGCAGGTCCGCTAGGTAGAAATGCAGAAGCGGCTGCTTCTGCATCTATGGGTGGTGTTGCTGCGGTTTTTGCTTACTCGAAAACTAAAGGTATTTTTGCAGGTGTTTCTGTAGAGGGATCCGTTATAATTGAAAGAAGAGAAGCAAATCGGAAAGCCTACGGTGATAAATGTACCAGTAAGCTAATTTTGAGCGGACGTGTGCGACCTTCTCCAGCGGCTGATCCTCTTTATAGAGTATTGGAATCTCGGGCGTTTAATTACGGTCGGGGTGGTAATCGCGATCGCGATGAGTATGATGATGATGAATTCTACGACGATATACCTTCTTCATTCGGCTCGAGTGATGCCGATTCCTATCGGGCGAACACGAGATCCACCCGCAGAAGAGGAAATTCTGTGAGATCACAGAGATCTCATGATGACGATTTTGATGACGATTTTGACGATGGTGCAGACGATGTAAACGACTATTACTCGCGTGCAAGGAGAAACAGGACGAACACGCGTTGGGAAGACGACGTTTACGATAGAGACGTGGATGATTTATCAGGGAGACTACATAGTACAAGGCTTTCGGGCAACACCCCTTCTCGACCAAGGTCTGAAAAGCCAGATTTCGGTATGTCCCAAGCCGTCTCACCTTCAAGAAGTTCTAGAGCAGCTTCTTCTGGAGCACCTAAAGCAGTTGCCTTGTACAGTTTTAAAGGTGAGCAGGGAGGTGATTTACCATTCAGAAAGGGAGATGTCATTACAATCATCAAGAAGTCAGAGTCTCAGGACGACTGGTGGACTGGAAGAAATAATGGTCAGGAAGGAATCTTCCCTGCCAACTATGTGGAACTTGTTTAAAACAGTAATTTACAGAACTCACAATGTTGACAGGTGCTCCGACTTCCTTGAGGGCCATATTAGATTTCAAATTCACCATGATGGCTCGCTTTTAATGTAGTAGTATTTAAAGAATTCCAGTAAAAACCAAAAAAAAAAGATGCAACTAAGGCTTAGATGTTTTTGAGTTTTTTCAAAAGCTTGAGGTGAACGCTGTTCGACTACTTCAATTAGCAATGCAACGAAAGTAACGCCTTTCAAATCTATTATCTCTGAAAACCCAACAATTTTACAGCTTCATCCACTTGTTTACTCAAGATTCTTTCATTTTGCGGTTTCGTGCTCATCATTAGCAGAAAATCGGCAAGACTGTCTAAATCTGATCTCCAGTAGACTTCTAAAATGTATTCGGCAATACATTTTAGATTTTCTTCGCGAGTAGCTACCGGTGATTTCAAAAAGTCGATCATGCCGCTGACTTTTTTTTGCAATACTTCGATGACTCTTCGTCTCACAAATCCCTCTGCCTTGGCTCCCTTTTTGTAACCCATAATAATGGGTTGGCCATGGTCAAGGTATCTTGCCGTTAGGTTCAATCCATCAGAAGGCTTAAGGTTGTTGTTGGAAAATTTTGAATCAGAAGTAGCAGGGTCAAAAAAACCTTTCTTGTATGGCTTCGAACTATCTTGATTTTCTTGGGTTTGACCATTTTCCGATGTTTTCGCCATAGGTACGTCGAAAGATGCTCTCACAAAACTATCTCCAATGAGTCTGTTATTCATGACATTAAACAGTTTCCTGGCATCCTTTTGAGATTTGCACTCTACTATACCAATTAAAGCTGACCCCCAGGTATTCATATTTTTGGTAAGAATTTTGTTGAAATGTACACCCTCTCTGCGACAAATGCAAGCGATGAACTCTTCCGTGCAAATTGGACTCAAGTTGGTTAAAAAAATGGCTTCGTTTTGATGACCATTGGAAGTTGTATGATCAATTTCGTTTGATTTTGGACCACTCAGGTTTGGGAACCCAAGTTGTTTTATTTCAGATGAAGATCGGTCGATTAGCTTGAGAACCCGAATTTTTCTGCCTAGAAATTTTGAATCGTTAGCGGTCGAAATGGCCCTTTTAATATCTGAACCTCTCTTGAATGTGACCATCGCGTCACGTGATCCTTGTGTCAGTTTTTTGGAAAGGAACACGGACTTGATGGGACCAAATTGGCTAAAATAATCTAACAGCATTTCGGTCGTTGCTGAAAGGCAGACATTTTTGACGAGAACCGCGTTTCTGTGAGCCGAGATTCCGTGTTGATGTTTTCTTTTGACTTCAGGGTCATCTTCGGGCACAAGTTGTTCTTTTTGCAAAGTCAAACCTTGAAGTTTGGCCTTTCTCGTTGAGAACTCTGGAGAATTTCTTATCAGCTTATCAAAATGGATACCACATGAAATTATGGAGCCGAAGAATTCCCTTTGGTTGTAGTCTTCGATTGCTTTAGTCGCTGCAAGTCCACTTTCAAAATACACAAATCCGATATTTTTCCGTCTGTCCAGTTTACAAGACAAAATACTACCATAAGACTTGAAAGTGTCATAAAATATTCTGGTAGTTAACTCTTTCTTCTCTAATGGTAAATTTGAAAAAAAAACGTTGGTACCAACATTTTTGCGGTAATAGCTGTTGCGCATTGAGGGCATGAGTCGAATTTCTTTACCGAAAAATTGGCTGTAATTGAACTCGTTCATTGCACTCTTAGCTTCTTCCTCATGAGCAAAGTTGGCATATCCGTGACCCAAAGTTTCTTTGCCGCTTGAATCTCTGCAAACTTTTACCGAGACCAGAGAACTGTATCTGCGAAATAAATGCGCAAGATCCTTCTCTGTCACAGTTGACGCCAGATCTCCTACAAAAAGAGACGTGACGTGTTGACTATCAGCCATAGGGGAGCTGTCAGACACCTTGCGGCTGATAACTTTATTCTTGGATTCATGTGCTGGTATCGAAATGAGTAACGAAACCTCTGCATCTGATACCTGCTGAGATACCTGTGATACACACTTTTTCTGTGGCACGTTCTGGATGGCTTGATCTTCTTCAAAATTCTTCCTATGCTCATTCGCATTTTCTGTGATTCCATCCGTCTTCAGATTTCTCCTGGACCTTGCATGCTCTAAATTGGCGGGTATATTGCTGAGCACCAGCCCTCTCGGGTTCTTTGAAGCTACTTTTGCCTTGATTGGCATTTCCAAAAGACAAAAATCCGCTAAAACGACAAGCAGGTAGCAAACGCGACTTGAAGCTCGTCAACAAAACCTTTATCGAATAATTTGTAAACAGAAAAAGATTCAAAAACTTTTTGTGCTAAAATTTTGGTTTTGTTTTTGACGTTAGGAAGGTCAGGGGCGAATGTTTTGTCGCCTTTTTATTTCAAATTGCCTTATGATGTCTCGGCCGGTTTAGACTATGAGATTATCTTCAATATTAGTTTGGTCTCCGCTTTTATGTGATTGCCGTATTGTGTTCTGATTTTATTGTAAACCCTGTGACACAAAGTCCGTAATAGGAAAAGCGGTTATTGGTATGGTAACCTGTCCGTCGGCGGCTAGATTTTTACGTATACAGTTACTATATCCGTTTTGATCACGTGCTAAAAATGAGAGCTGCGCAGTGACTTTAAGTATTCACCGGTTCTTCCATAGTAAGGTTGATGTGGCGGAAGGTATCTTTGTCTACCAATGACATCAATTTCTGTGAATATGATTTTATGGTTGTTTAAAGTGACCTGCGTTTCTCGTCTCATTTCTGTCACAAGAAGTGCAATTAAACAAAGTTCCCCGTAAGTGTAACGCATTTAGGCCGGAGGGCTTTAAACGTTTATCCGTATTTCTAAAATATAATATATACGTGTATTGAAAAACTGTACAGTTATCGCTTTTTTTACAGGGCCATTTTCAAATAGTTAAGATGTCTCTACCAAAGATTCCTCTCTTGAGCCAATCCATGAAGAGAAGAACTCTTGTCCGCAGGGAAACCGTTTGGGCAAAATAGATACCTCTCCAAAGGTACATTGCGACAAGGCCACCGACAAACGAGTATCCAGGTAGATCAAAGACCGCAGAATTTCCAATGTAGGCCAACGATCCCAAGTGAACGTACTTGAAAGGCTTTCCGACATCTTCGTCCGAGACCAAGTGAACTTTCTCGTCGGCGCGGGCCGCTTCAAAGTACCTGGCGGCCTTGGATAGCTTTTTACCCAAGTACTTGCCCTGCTGATGGGCCCTTTGAGCAGTCGCGGGCATCGAAGTGGCTTTACTTTCGACTTCCCTCAATAACTCTGTAATTTGGGCAAAATCAAGAGCTCCAGAATTGTTTACGTCATACTTGGGGAGAACCTCATCCACGTTGTGCAAGTGTTCTCTGGTCTGAGGGTGTCTCTTCACAAGCTCCCTTGCCAAGTCGTAGATCTCCTCATATGAAAGCGATAAATGTTTGATATCATCATCGGTAATGATATCGATACTTCTGGAGGGATGCAAATGTCTGTTTACAATAAATTGTCTCACGAACTCGACAGCGTGCTCAGCTAAATCGGTTCTCACGGTAGCACAGTCACCAATTGCATAAACCTGTTCAGATGGCGCTCCAAGCACTCGCAAATGAGAGTCCGTCTCAATGGCTCTCCTATTTCTTTGAAATTCAGAAAGGTCCTGGACGACTTGCTTGGCTAAAGGATTTTGCGCCACACCAGTCGACCACAAGCATAAACCAAAGGGTAGTTCTTTGAATTCACTTTCGCCCGTCACACAGTCCTTTTGAGTGAAGACAACTCTATCTGGCAAAATTTTGTGGACACGAGAATTGATGAGTACATCAATGTCTTCCTTTTTGAATCTCTGCATAGCGTATTCCGCAATAGTCTCATCATAAGTGTTTAAAATGTTTGAACGGGATTGGATGATGTGGACCGATACTTCCTGTCTCAAAATCCTAGGGTAAACTTTTGGCAAATCCTCGTTGAGCAAATCAAAAACCTCGGCAGCAAACTCCACACCGGTGGGTCCCCCACCACACACAACAAAACTCAAAAGTCTTTTGCGCTCTTCGTCAGTTGTCGTTGGTAAACAAGCTAACTCAAGATTGTTTTTTATTTTTCTCCTCAAATCAATAGCATCTTCTGCTGTCTTCAATCTAGAGCAGTATTCAAGACCCTCTACACCATGAGTATTAGCAGTAGACCCCACGCCAATCACTAACTTATCGTACGGCAAATAGAAGTAGCGTTTCTCACCGGTCTGTGGATGAATTTGAGAAACTTTGACAAGATTTTCAGCAAATTCGACCTTCTCAGCCTTAGCTTCCAAGTAGTGTCCATGGACGGCGTTTACTATCTTTCTGATCGAAGCCATAAGACTTTTAACCTCGAGTGTACCGGTAGCAGCGGAGGGGAGGAGCGGGGTAAACAAGAAGTAATTTTGAGGTGACACAACAGTCACATCATAATCTCCAGCTTCAAGGGCTTTAATCAACCCCACGGAAGCCCATCCTGATCCCAAAATGACTAGTTTTGGCCTGTAAGACAGTTTTTCTTTAGCCTCGGAGTCAAACGCATCCAAATTTTCTCGTAAAATTGGCAGATTCTCTGGACCACCCAATTCAGGAGACAGAGCCATTTTGGGCACGTCGATATATTCAGGAACGTCACACTCTTTATAAGTGCTAGCATCGTAAACAAAAAAACCAGCAATCGCCAACATGACGGTCGAAGCCATGACACCTGTTCCAATCATAGACCATTTCAACAATTTCCCGAAACCACCGGAAAAGGCTTCCATCAGAGGAGGCTTATTCTCTTGTTTCGTGACATGGCTCGAACTGAAAGGCCTGCAAGCAAATGATGGAGTTCTCCTATAAAAAACCCGATTGGCATTGCCGCACCTTATGCCACTGAACGTGAGGGCTCTGCCACACGCTCTGGATGTAACGAGCGAACTTTTCATAGTTGGACACCCTTTCTCGAGGTTGATGATCGGTGAGAGCAAAAAGGTGCATCTTTGAATCTTAAACATTCAAATACTTCCAAAATACCAGATCGATTTGTCGAAAAAATGAGGTCCTACCCGGATTCGAACCGGGGTTGTTCGGATCAAAACCGAAAGTGATAACCACTACACTATAGAACCATTATATTCGTCGAGGAGAAGCACAATTCGGCCAATATATGTTATGCGACAACAGGAAAGTCTTATATAAGAAGAGGAGACACTTACAGAATAGAAATCTTTGTTCACTCAGTTGCCATTAATCCTGATCTCTTTCACCTGAGTAACGGTTTTCCCTTTTGAAAGTTGTTGAATACTGGGCGTTGCTTGACAATAAGGTTCACGAATACGATGAGCTTAGAAAGGACATCTTATGGATATGTAGTATTTGCAGATTAAGAGACAAATGCTAAAAATTGTTCTTCCCTCGAGACGCAATTCTTAAATTCAGTTCATGGCCAAATGAACAGATGTATCAGATGTAATGTAGTTGCATTGGTGACCTCGAGCGGCAGTAAAGTTTTGTATATACTCGTTAAGCTTGGAAAGACTTGCTGAACAGTCACTCGTCAAATATCCTTCGGGAAAACTCTCCTCCTTTAGAGAATGAGCAGCCCCGTTTTAATAACAATATTTTCGCTCCGAATACCTGTATGCTCTTTCGCATTTTAAGTTCGGGATTTATCTTTCCGATGTAGAAGTCCCTTGAGACTGGCAAATGAACTAGACCGGCCAAAGGTATCCAATTCCTTTTTTGAGCCTTGATTGGAACCTAGATCTTCATCACCTTGTTCTGTAAGTTCGGTTGGTGAGTTCCTTTGAGCAAGAGGTGTCATTCCAAACCCAAAATGTTTGGAAGCTGTCCCACCCTTTCCCGAATTTGAAGGTGAAATGTTCAACGAAACGTTGGACCCGCCTGTGTTATTCCTAGATAGACCAAGCTTTTGAAGCGACGAAGAAGAGCTGTTATTACTCCTCGAGAGCGCGGCATGAGACAGTTGTGATGTGCTGCCCACTCTATTCAGAAGAGAAGACTTCTGATGAACAAGCTTGGGCTTTTCCAGTTCGACATTGCGTTCATCGCCATTTTGATCGGGATATGCGGGTGGGAGATCTACGGGCAAAGAGTCTCCTCTCATGGCGTTCTCATAGGAGGGCACATGACTCATCGTGTTGATTTTCCAGTCAGCTCTTGATGATGGTGACCCTTGTGGGCCAAAAGAATTTACCCTTGACATATGATCGATTCCAGGCGATAACATAGGGGTTGGTGATTTTAAACCTCCCGGGATTGAAAGTAGACTATGAGCATTTCTTTGAATTGGAATTGTGAAGTAATCAGAAGCGGCTGTTGTACTTGCGCATCTAATGTTACCGGGACTAATGGTATGACCACTCTCTGGCCTCCCGTTAGACTCGGTTTCATTTCCTGCCGATCCCTGCTCGACACTGAGCATTTGAAGACCTTGATGTAGAGCATCGATATGTTGCTGATCAGTCATCGGTTCTGCTCCCGAGGCCACAGGCGATTGTCTGCCGGAGTTAACCGGAGTGTCCTCGACAGCAATACCACTCCAAAGCCTATCATAAATATGGTTTTCGTAATTAGGAGGTGCTAAAAGGCTGGCCGAAGAAACGTTGCCCGCATTTCCATCTCCAATTCTTGAAAGTTGAGTCAGGTCTAATTCTGAGTTCGTGAAAATCATATCGTCGTCTTCGTCAGGCTCTGCTTCGCTACTGTGTCCAGAAACATTTGCACTGCTGTCCAAGGAGTCTGTAGCTTTTACACCCAGTGCAACAAATGGTGAAATGAACAATTGCACGGGTAATGAGGCCCTAAGCTCCGAAATGTGACCATCTGGGTTTATTAGCGAAATGACGAACTTGAGCTTATGCCGAACTTTAATGTTGGCCAAGATATTACAGTCCTGTGTGCATTTGGAGAGACTTGGAGGAATGCTGAAAAGAGTCTCAACTTCCCACTTATCTTGAAAGGTTTCCGAATCTTCGAAATTCGCACCTGATGCACTATGGTTGAGGGGATCGCTCAACTTCATCTTGTTCACTATTCTCTCCTGGCTTGTAGGCGCACCGAAAGGGGCACAGTATGATGAATACTCGATCAAGGAAACTTTTATGGGTCCCAACTTCAGTCCCTTAAGTAATGGGACGATCATAACGTGAATCTGGGCGGCTGAGCCTATGGCTATTGCTTTTCCTGGAATTGAAATGGAGTAATCAACCTTGTTGGGCCAGGTATTGTCCACAGACATGGTTTCACTGAGCTCTACGGCATCAGGTGTCAAAGTTCGCACAACTCTCAAGTGTTTCTTACAAATCAAATCGGTTGCAAACTTGCTTCTTTCGATGGTAGCCTGAAGCTTGTAAATTACAGATGCATTGGGAAGACCCTCTACACTCTCTGTGACTGAACCTGGCAAAATTGCACTAAAAGGAAATTCGTAGTTCCCCTGTACAAGAATGTGAGAGTTGTTAGAAGAGCCTCCGCTCAACGACATCAACGATGTAGTCGATTTGGCCTTGTGTTGAAGCCCAGACAGGGCCGACGACGAATTCGATTTGCTAGGTATTGGTCTGGAAGAACTGTAATTATCGTAAAGGTTTCTGAAATAATCCTGAATGTTGATATTGTCCCACACATGCTCGAAAAACCGTTTATCGTATTTAAGATTCCGCTGGGTAGGCCCCTTGGGTCCCCGATAAGTTGTCATGACATTCAAACGCAACATTCCATACAGTCTCAGATTCAATTTTTTAATTTGCATCGGCTCCAAAACAGACAAAACAATCGTGCCCGACAAAAGCACCGACGACGCCTCATGAGGCGCCCCTTTTACGACAATAACATCGTGATCGGTCGATTTTATCCTAATATCGAAAAGCGCTGGTGCCTTTGATGATTTGCCACCGGTAAATACCATATCAAATATCTTATATCTCTGACCTTCTTACTTTTCAAAAGTCGTCGATTGCTAACTTCTTTAAACGCAGTTTGAACCTGTTTTCCACGATAAAATCGGCTACTTTCGGGGCTTCGACTCTCGACTATTGATCCAACAAAAATTAATTTATAGAATGCTGTATTGTGTCGGTATCGTGACCACTTGAAGACCACTCTTGCAGTCTCTTCAAGGGTATAGATTTCTTCTGTTCGAGGCGTTGATACCCTATAATTTTTATTGCTTGAAAAAATCAAGATTCCTATGAAAAGCCTAATCTAAGGCAGCTAACAGAACATGAAAATGCAGGGTAACTTTTCGACCAAAGGTTGGTCCTTTCAAAGAGTTAGCTGCACGGGGAGACGATGGTTTGTTGATACTTGGCCGATTTGACGGTGATTTGGTTGATTTTGACCTCCGACGCTAATCAAAAATCACCACCTCGAAGGCTCTCAGTAACAATCTTCGCAATGACAGTTAAGTAGATAAAAGTAGCAGATCACTCTTTGTAACACTTCGCGCCTTCACGACATCAGCAGTGAATACTGGCTCAGCAGTAAACAATCGCCGCCACGCTCAGGATCCAAGATGTAGTTGTACATGAACCCTTCGGACGAAATGACTCGTACAGGAAGGACCTTCATAATACCATGATTTCTGTCTCTTGAACCCCATGACCCATCTTCGAAAAGATCTGGATATTCGGAGCTGTGAATCTCGACCGGGGAGCCGACTGAGGCTATGGTTTTCACCGCATTGTTGTTTTCGACGGGTAGTTTCAAACTTGCAAAATGTCTGGATGGCTCCAAAATTGAGGTCACTTTAATAGGGAAATATGCGCCCAGGGTCTTGGCGGCCTTTCTAGATAGCTTTTGGGATGATTTGCGTATCATTCTACCGACCGTTCTTCGCGAAGAATCTATAACGGGTTCTTTGAGGGGATCCGGGTGATCGTCATGTGAGGAGCCAAAACTGGCAGCGGAATGGCTACCTATCGAGCCTATCTCGTCATTTTCCACATCCTCAATGTCTTCGCCAGAAAATACGCTGTGGTCTTCAATGTCACTGCTGTTTTGGTTATCTACTTTGCCGGGATCAGATGCAGTCTTGGCAAGTTTGAAAATGTGGACTGTTCGGCTAGAAGAACTTGCAGCTAAGAACCTATTATCATCGCTAAAACTCATCGAACAGATTTTCGTTGGATACGTGCCTCTTCTGAATTGATAAACTTTCGAACCTGTCTCAACAGAAAATACCCTTATAATTGTTCCCTTATCAGACGCAGTGGCGAGTAAAGTACCATCCGGACTAATTGTGAGCGCTGCTATTTCTCCCTTATGCGCCTCGATTACCATTGCCGGTTGCAGAGTTTGAAGATTGAAAAGGATGACATCTCCGTTCTTCACGCTATTGTTTTTGGCATTGTGGTTTGTCCCAGGTCCCATGGCGCTGGAATCAAACGTAACAATCCCCTTGGCATCCTGTGACCCAGTCAATGCACTTGAGCTGACTTCCGCGCCGGAAGATGGTATTACTTCGTTCGGGAGTAAAGTTATGTTATTGGTGGTAGCAAGGCCTTTGATCTCCGAATTTATTATCTTTGGCGGGGATGGATACGCGAGGTAGTTGCTTTCTAGAGATGGAGAAATGGTGACAAGTCCGTTCGAGTTGCTGGTAGTTTCGATTGTGTGTAACAGCCGCATGTTGCTAATGTCGTATATGTAAATTTGATCTTGCAAAAGTACTACAAGTCTAGATCTGTTCATTTTGACAGCTAGAATTGTAGACGGGAAAGTAACTTCGCATATCGTCGAGTGTCGCTTCGTGTTTAATATGCGCAAACGTCTTGGCGACATCGCCGGCTGATCTCCTACTCCCACCACTGCCAGCAGTGATGTCGAAAACAGCATTTCCACGATCCCATACCCACCTGTCTCATCAGAACAAAATTTGCCAAACGGCTCGCAATTGAATATTTCAAACCCATCAGAAGTACCCATTGATATGCACGATCCATTTTGATTGAAATTCAGAAAGTTGATCATACGGGGCGATTTTGGCATGTTCGGTACAAGCAACGGGCCCAAACTTCGACTCGTAGTCCAAATAGTTGAAACTCACTTGACCTTCAAGTCTGTTATCCTCAACTCGAACACCTATTTTCAATTGTTAGATGTAATATCTAGTAAATTAGGGTCCATGAAAATCTTCATGAAATGATAAAGTTAAGAACAACAAACTCTGAAAAACTGAGAGGATTCAAGCTATTTGGGCTTTCCAATTAGTTGCATGATATCTCAATAGTGAACTTTCTATGTACTTTTACCGCTTACAAGCTAAAACCTCTTATATAAATTGCTCGTCATAGTGTCACTTTTGTGATTAATGACTTTCGCTCGCCACTGTATACGTATGTTTTCGACACTTATGAGACTAATGAAACCTCACTCCTCGGATCTAGTATTATTCTTCCACTAAAATTGCTTTAATTTGGATACGCTTCTTGATACCAAGGATCTGGAACCATTAGTATGTAACGATCCATGGCTTCTCTAAACCTGTTTTTATATTGTCGTGGAGTAACCACAGTAGGTTCTTTCGTACCTCCTCCGACAAATCCTCTCTCCTTGACCCAGCTTTCAAGCTTTTTATCCCACGTAAACGTCCTTATAAAATCAATGATTCCAACTATCAGATTCAGGTTCTCATTATCGACTCCAACTACTAATGAATAATCCATAACATTGATTTTTGCCAAAAACAAAGTATCGTTCCATAAAGAAGCGCGTAAAAGCTTTTTGTCATATTCCCTGACAAATATTGGCGATTCGAAAATGTATTCGACCATATTTTCATCAAGGAGAACTTCGTTCTCTTTACCTGTCTGTTCAACGTGACGATTGCGCATAGAACCTTTCAAATCGAATATTCTCGTCATTTTCTTCTCATAGAATAGGTTCTCCATGATGATAAGATCTAATTTGAAGCTCTTGGTGGTCTCTGAATTTTTGATCTGAATCTGATAAAATCCGAATACCTTCGCTAAGGCCGTAGGCAGGTCGTGAAACATTGCTTGGGCCATGTATTCAAAATAGCTGGGAGCGAATTTGATGAAAGAATCTAATTCCGTGTGTGAAAGTTCCTTTATAACGAATCTGTCGTCCAGAGTTTTCAGAAAAGCGCTCCCACTTTTCCCGCCACTCGAATCCCATTTAATACACCGGGAAAGACTTTGAATGAAATTTCTTTCACAGCCACAGACACTGCGAAAAGCCTCGAATTGTTCTGCAAAAAATATCTTGCATGACATGACAGTATTGCCATCTTGAAACTGATATCTCAGATGAAGCGCCGTTTTTTTGGTCATTCTTGTTTCTAAATCTTCACTCTTGGACTCCTTTATATCCGGGGCAGATTGAGTAGCATCAACCGCAGTTTCCTCCGCCTTTTCCTCCATATCTTCAGACGAACAAACTGAAGAGGTTGATGCCACACGATGTGTCGAGTTTGCTTTCCCAGTCCCTTCTAGGTTCTCGAATTTCAAGGGATTGGATCCTTGAGCGTCTGGCTCCCTTGCGTTGCAAGTATCTCTTGAGCGCAGCTTCTTCATTTTTTGAAGATAATCAGTAGAACTCAAGCAAAAAGCTATTAGAGAACTCAACTCATCTTCACGAATAATGACTAAACTGTCAACGAAGATATGTTCTGTTGAAGTCGTTGGATAATGAAGGGGTTTCCAAAGTGTTGCTGCTCTGTCGGCCCAAAAATTCGTCAAGATTTTCATGAGCGATGACTTTTCTGACTGGGTATCGAAGCCTGATGTGTCTTTGTTTGCCGTAGTTGTGGTTATTATAGGAGGCAGAGGTTGCTCGGACTTACGAGATCCACTAGCCGGAGCATCCTCAGTAAGATCATTTTCTTTGCTCGTAGCCTCGTCTAAAATTCGCCGTCCCCATTGATGGATTGAGTTTTCTAATTCTGTTTCCAATTCATAGTTTGAATTGAGGTAGGCAATCGATCCCAAATTGACCCCATCTCTTACCAACGATCTCCCTAGGCCAAATTTTGATCCCCCGTTCTTCGTACTTTTAGCTTTTGTATCCACGTGGAGAGGTTCATCAACAGCATCCTTTGCGTTCTTATATATTTCAACAATTGGTCTCGACGATTCAACTCGAAGAGCCTTATATTTGTCCTTGTTAAGCTGCATACGTTCAAGCTCTCTTTGAAGCTCGAACTCTTTTGACAAGGCATCAAAGTGCATTTGGTCGAAAAAGGTCGCAAGTTGTCCCACCTTCGTGTGGCGATTACGGTCCCTGCTGCCCGCAGTTGGGACGCTCATGCCACTACTATCGCTCAACCGTCTGTAATCAACCTCGGAGGGGCTCCCTGAAAGTCTCTTTCGGTAATCACACGCTAACGAGTCTTTCGAGAAGCTCGCTGGTCTAGTCGAGCTTTTCCCAAGCACTTCATTAGAATTTATATGGCGAAAAGTGTCAGAGCGCCTACCATCAACAAAACTGTCATCCACCGACAGGTTGGTTGTTGTCAAGTGCTTTTGCTCGCCAAGGTTCGGGGTTGTGAAATGATGAGACATGCGAGGTCTTATGCTGGATTGGGTTAAACTTTGTGTGGCATCATTAGAATCACCACCTGGTTGTGACCTTGACTTTTTACGACTGGTGCTCTCATGCTCTTCTCTTTCATTGTCGACTTCGTCACCGTTCTTAAGGTCGCGGTCAGCTCTGCTTTGTGACTTGAGACTTGACTTCACACTTTCAAAATCATCTGCTTTCGCCGAGTCGTTAAATAGTTTCTTCAGCTGGGTGGCAGTTATTCTGGCAATATCCTTCTCGGTGGGCAGGAAACTTTTTTCGAAATCTATGAACTCAGTATCCCAGCCAGCAGCATCATCGTGAAGTGACCGAATCACTGCATTGAGACCGAGATGTTGGTCACCGGGAAGATTCCGATAGATTTCCTCAGTCTGGTTCAAGAGGCGGTTTTTTTCCTTTTCGGCCCTCTGCTTGAGTTCAGAAATGCGTTCTTTTCCCGAAACAGCTATTTCGTCGGGTTTCGTATCCAGCTTAACTCTTTCAAGCCTGTCGGATACACTAGCATAAAAATTGTTGATCTTATCCAAAATTGAGTAGTAAAGCTCAACTTTTAGCTTGATGTCGATGCTCGGTTTCCAAGTGACCTTCATGCGTGGAGGAATCAACTCGTGAACATCAATTTTTGAATACTCCATTCTCACCATGAGGTCGTTATAGCCAAAGTATTTGACATGGTCCTTGGCAAAATCGTGCGAACAATTTCCAATACCATTAGTACATTTTTCAGAGCTCCAAAACAGAAGCTCGAGGTACTTTCCGAATGAAAAATTCCAGGTCTTTTCGCTCATTTGCAGGATCGGGGTGGACGTCCCACATCTTTTGCAGTAACTCCATGTTAAAAGTAGATTTCTCAACGCAGGGTGTCTACCTTGTAGCTTCTCGATGAGCACATCCACTTTCCCTGTCCCGTGGACGTAACTCCGATAGTGGTCTATTAGTAAACTGCCGCAACCATGTTGACAAGGATAGCTAGCAGTCGCGACAATGTTCTTGATATATTGGCCGATTGATATATCAGTGTCCCAAAAATAGTCTATGCTAACCAATTGGGGGCCTATGCAAGGTGTTGCTGTTTTAGTTGAAATCATTGAATATAGGACATGGATAATTTGGTGTGTTCCTGTACCGAGCATGTTGTGTGATGCAGCATAGGACAACTCCCAGTGACGCTTTCTCCATTTGAACCGATCCGAAAGGTCTTCTAGCTCTCGTTCATGGATGAATTTTGCAAGGTATCCCAAATCTTGCTGAGTAAGGGCAGATTTGAGATTCAAACATTGAAGACTTGAGCTTTTCTGCTCCCAATCGTCATCGCTTTTCGATTCAGTGAGCTTTCCCTCTTTCTCTTTGATCAAAAGCTCGGTTTCTAGATTTCGCGCCCTTTCCAAGAGGAACGGTAACGGAAAGATGACTGTTGGCGAAACCGAGAGAATGCGGTTGTTAAATTTATCGACAAACTCTTTGAAATAGCCTGCAGCATTGCTCTCCAGGCGTCTCTTCTGTATTTCAAGGTAGTACTCTTTGGACAGATGTAGGAAGTTGTCGTTGAAAAATGAACTTTCTAGCTTCAATGCAAAGACAGCATATACAAGGAACTCGACGACATCTTTGATTTTACGCATCGTCTCTGTAGTTGAGCCTCTGAGAACGATTGTCCCACCAAGAGCCCTTTTGCAGCCTTCAAGAAAAGTGTAGGATTTGCTGATGTTCTCATATATGAACGTTCTAACCTCGAACTTCTCGCAAGTACCCACCTTTATTCCCGTAGCAAGCTTTTCAATTGAAATCGCGATATCTGCTTCCGTTAGCTTGGAAATTCTCTCAATAACTTGTGGCTTCAGATTAAACTGAACGACGATACCAGCTTCGTCGAGAAGCTTGAGAGCATACCCGCTGACATTAGCACCGACGAGAACAAGGTCTGGATTAAAAGATGTCAGTCTCAATATAAGCTTATTCAAGAATTCTTTTTCCTGAGCCATTACTGCTTCCAAACTCATGAAGTGAGTCCCATTTTTCTGATATTCCAGAGGAAACATAATGAGGAGAATTCTTGGGTTTTTCAAAAAGCGTGGCATCGATTTGTATGGAATTGTTTTTGAGTAAACAACGCCGTTCACAAATTCAGAATCCGTTATGGAGGCGCCGCAGATCCTTTTGATCTTGACATAATTCTGTTTGAAATCCATGGTCGGGGCTTTATTTGCATCTAAGTGGATAAATTGCAATTCCTTAAGGATCGGACGCAAAATGACCATCCATTCATCGCTCTTTTCGACATCTTGATCGTTCAAGACCTGCCTCAGTAACGCCTCCAGATGTAGAGCCGAAACTTCGTTAAGCTCACTCTTGCTAATAGGAACATCAGACCTGAAAGCTGAAAAAGAAGAGACAGCTCTTTTGATATCTCGAGACGAAAATCCATCTGTTCTTGGTTTGTGCTTGACAACTAGGGCAGATTCGTTACTTTTCGGGAAGTCGTTCTCATTGGAAACAACGGATAGCAGATTTGGCGCGCTTCTATTAAAAAGGCCAAATTCAGAGACTACAGAATTGGTCAACGTATTAGAACGACTCTTACCCCGTCTGTGGGACTTCATGCGTTGTAGCGAGGCCTGTGCACGCTGTAATGATTTTGTAGAGCTTCTTAGGGACCTGATCTGATTTTGATCGTGGTGATGAAAATCATTAAGAGTGGCATATAAAGACATGGATCCCTCGTCTTCTGACCCTTCACCTTCGCTTCCGCGCCTATGATCATCCTTTATTTTTTCTTCGGACAAAGATATCATGGGTGTTGATTCGGATCTATCGCCTAGCTGATTTTGAGAATCTCTGTTAACGTTTTGACTTGAGTTAGAATTATTGGCGCTGTAATTGAATTCAAACTTGAAATCGCTATTGGACAAATTCGCAATTACTGAATTGGAGGAGTGTCTAGTATGATGGGCTTCCCCACTGGAACCATTACCCATGTAACCAGAAATCGATTTTTTCAAGCTTATCTTTTGGGCTAGTTTGCTATAAGATGGCGCTCTTTTCGGTGAATGATGATCAACGCGAGAGCTATGTTCCCTATTCATGGGCGACATCGTTTCGATGTTTTTCAAAGTAGCTCTATCTTTTGTTCTCAATGCGTAACCTGTGTTCGTGTTTCTGGACGATGCTGGAAAGGAACTAGGCACACTGATCTCTAAAGATGCACCCTGTCGCGTTGCAGGTATCGCCATCTTAGGGGGAGGAGTCGGCGTTGATTTGAATCTTCTAGCGTCGTCCGTAGTAAGAATGCTTTGTACTTCGTCATCATTCAACAAAAAAACGTCACCTGCCATGCCTGTAGACGTTGTTGAGTTTTCCCTTCGCCTTGCCTCTAGTGGAATGTCTGTGTCCTCTATAGACGATTCCTCGCTTGAATTATTGTAGTTATCGGAATGTTCATAACAGTTCTTGCAAACTCGCATTTTCCCCTCATGGTTGAATCTAGCACCATCGACCAGCGATGTACAATTTCCACAGAAGATTTGTCCACAAATGCGGCAGTGATGCTTCCGTCTAAATGTGTTGAAAGCTTTGGCACACGAAAAGCATTCTTTGGCACTTTCGTCTTTCATCCAGTATTGTCTCGATAGAATGCCCTTAGCGGCCTTTTCGCCTCTCCTGTGTTTCCCATAAAACCCGAACAGAAAACTTCGGGAGAAAGATGCTGTCAGTGAAGACGAAGCACTGCCAATAGAAATGGCATCGTCAAATTCCGCGTAGTTGGGTTTATTATGGGAACTGGCAGCTCTTACTGGAATTGCTGTTACTGTGGACTTCGATTCGTAAATACTTGACCGTTTCTGTCTGGCATTGCTCAGCATCGGGTAATGCAAAGGTCTTGTCATTTCAGATTCGTTTGTACCATTTAATTGACCCACTTTCGCTGTAACTTGATGATTCTGGTTATCCTGTCGAGCATCGGATCCTCTCTGTTTGATAACTTCATCATCGTTACGCATCTGGTTTGAAGCGTTTCCCTGTGCTTGAGGGTCGACCATTCGTTCGCTTGACGTCGATTCACCACCACCCTTTTTCGCAGGGCGAGGAAGGGACATTCCACTTAAAACTGAACTCATATCAATCTTCGTGGTAGTTTTCGGCAAATGAGGTTTTTGCGCTAGAAAATCAAATACTTCACCATTGGGTTTCTCGCTTGAAACTTCTGACTTAATGCTTGCGTCCTCGAGCCTCTCTTTCATGAAGCAATACGCTTGAGTGATGTGCAATGTAGCAGAGATGTCTTAAAAAATGTCAACTAAATCAACTACAAATATCAATAACATCAACAGCATCGAAAAAGACAAGAAAGTTCACCAGAGCGTCATCTGAGTGAGCAAGTTGAACTCCTATAACCATCACAATGAGCTGATGCTTGACCAATTGGCGCGCAAGAGAAAGGACAACAGCTAGATGACAGTTTGGACGGTGAAATCAAAACATCACGGGTAACGAGTCTGTTGGCTTTATAAAGGAGCATCTCTGGGATATTTTATCATAAGCTGAGAGCCGGAATCACTATCACACAATGAGCGACACGCATAGCTTCGAATCGGAACTTTACTCAAAAAGCCACCAAATTTCGCTAGCGTTTAAAAAAGTTTCCGTAAACTCTAAAACGAGATCACATACAATTTCGATTAATTCGTCGTTTAGAGAAGCATCGCCCTATCTCGACAAAATAGCTTAGTTATGTTACACACTTGCAGGTCACTTGCCTGCGGGACTAAGCATAAAATCCTGATATAACTCTAAATGTTCCCAGGTTTTTTATACTGAAATGGCCCATATTTTACCCGTATTAATGTTGATTCAATTTTAACTTAGGGCCCAAATATTTAACTCTTTAATATTTATACTCTATAAACGATGCTATATATATGACGTTACCAACTAGGAGCGTGGAATAAATATATCAAATTTTGTAGCAAATGTTAAATTATCGAACAATTGTATGAATCTGCGTTCGAATCAATTTGAAATCAACGTGGCTTCGCGCTTAACAACCTCCTCAAAATATACATTAGATGTGATAAGAGTAGTATGAGGGTCAGATTTATTAACAGAGTATTTCGATAGGATTGTGGATTGTAGATGATATATTTCACAAGAGGCTATATATGATACTATCTTGAATACAACAGAATTTTTGAGCAAGTTGGTGACCAATATTAAGATTATTAATTTCCAATTACACAACAAAATTCATGTTTTTGACAATGTTTAATGTCAGTTTCTCCCAAGTCTTAAAGCTTACACTGTCTCACAAAATATTAAAAAAGAGTATCTCATATACGCAACAATAACAAAAATTACCACGTAAAATAAACATGGGACACCGACTTTTTTTGACATGAGTGAAGTTTCAATTAATTGTCGAAGACGTGGGTAGAATAGCAGTTTAACTAAAAAATCGAAGGCATCGCTTCTTCAGCAAAATCATTTCAACAAAATGAAATCGGTTGTGATCACTTCAAGATGACCAGAATGAGCTAAATCAGAACGCATTTGCATAGGGAACTTGATGATGTGTACAAGGCCCCAACTTTGGTAGTGGAATTCGAGAAACTTGGTTATACCGTCTACAATGACACATTTTCACTTCATCAAGAAAGGGTCCAAGACTTTTGAAAACCACTTCTTCAAGGTTGGACAACCTTACGAGCAACACAACCAAGGCTTTGATCACGAGTCTGTGATGGCAAATATATTAACAGTATGGATTCTGTTTGTCGCAGTATTCGAAAGCTATTTTGTTTCCGGCCAAGATTTGGCAAAGTCAAGCGCAAGAGACAGCAGGGTATCATTAATGCGCAACGCCCCACCCGATGACGCTTGTCCTCCATGTTTCAATTGTATGCTCCCCATTTTCGAATGTAAACAGTTCTCCACTTGTAACTCGTTTACAGGCAAATGTGAATGCCTGGAAGGTTTTGGAGGCGATGACTGTTCAACACCCTTATGCGGCGCTCTTTCCGACGGTAACACACATAGGCCCATTAGAGACAATTCAACAGAGATTTGCGAGTGTAAAGACGGCTGGAGTGGTATCAACTGTAACGTCTGTCAGGATGATACCGCTTGTGACGCGTTCATGCCAGAAGGAACGCAGGGTACGTGCTATAAAGGTGGCATGATAGTCAATAAATTTCACCAGGGCTGTGATGTGACCAACAAAAAGATCATCCAGATCCTGAATGGAAAAAAACCTCAAGTCACTTTTTCATGCAACAGAACTTCTCAAGTTTGTGACTTCCAATTTTGGATAGACCAGAAAGAGAGCTTTTATTGCGGCTTGTCGGCATGCGAATTTGAATTTGATCTGAACAACAACGCTTCACACTACAATTGCCGTGATGTCTCTTGCAGATGTCTTCCTGGCGAGATGCTTTGTGGTCAAAGTGGCTCTATTGACATATCAGAATTTCTGAAAGAGACTATCAAGGGGCCAGGTGACTTTAGCTGCGACCTCCATACAAGAAAATGCAAATTTAGTGAGCCCAGTATGAATGATCTAATCTCAACAGTCTTTGGCGATCCCTATATTACGTTGGTTTGCGAGTCTGGAGAGTGTCTTCATTATAGTGAAATCCCAGGTTACGAACCGCCTTCGAAGGATCGTCTCACGTTATTCCAAAAACTGGGGCTCACTTTCGGCTTTGTTGGTATTTGCCTCGTCTCTGTATTCGCAGCGTTCTTGATTTCGAAAAGCCCTCTCTTTAACAATAACAGCATTTCTCTTGATGAGGATGACGACAATGATTTTGATTTTTTAAAAGATGGCGTGAAGTCAGTGCTGACATTTGAGGACATGAGTTACGTTATAGGATCTGGTAAAGACGCGCGGAAAGTTTTGACAGGCGCCAACGGAATTGTAAAACCAGGTGAAATCTTAGCGATAATGGGCGGTTCTGGAGCTGGAAAAACAACTCTGCTAGACCTCTTGGCGATGAAGATGAAAACGGGACGTGTGAGTGGTTCTATTAGAGTAAATGGCAAGAAAATTGACAGAGAGCAGTTTTCAAAGTTTGTGGGGTTTGTCGATCAGGACGATTTCTTATTGCCAACTTTAACCGTCTACGAGACTGTGCTTAACAGCGCATTGTTAAGATTACCAAGACATATCAGTTTCCAATCGAAGCAGAAACGAGTCTACCAAGTTTTGGATGAGCTCAGGATTCTTGACATAAAAGATCGCGTGATTGGCGATGAGTTTGAGCGAGGAATAAGTGGAGGGGAAAAAAGACGCGTTTCTATTGCCTGCGAACTTGTGACTTCGCCCTCGATATTGTTTTTAGACGAGCCAACTTCCGGTTTGGATTCCAATAACGCTAATAATGTCATTGAATGCTTGGTGAGACTTGCCCTCCATTATAACAGGACCCTCGTTCTCTCGATTCATCAACCACGGTCCAACATCTTCAAATCTTTTGATAAACTGATTCTTTTGAGTGAGGGGGAAACAGTGTATTCGGGAAACGCCAGAGAGGTCAGTGATTTTCTACGCAACAATGGATATATCTGTCCCGCAGACTACAACATTGCCGACTTTTTGATTGATATCACGTTCGAGCCAGGAAAGAATAGATCAACGAGACCTGCCGATTTGGAGGCTAATGCTTTCGGCGATGCCCATACCGTGGAGCACACTTTCCCGTCAGAAAATAGAAATTCAGTATCAACTGCCACTCAGAGAGAATGGGAACACTATGCCGTTCACCGAGATGAATTAAGGTCAGTATTGGGGAGTACGATGAGCGCCGAGGATAATGCAGGCGATTCGCTCAGAACTCAAATGTTGCACTCATTCTTTGAGGAGAGTCCACAATACTCTCAACTGAAAGAAGAGATTGAAAGAACCAAAAATCAAGAGCAAAGTCCCGGGGGAATCCATAACAAGGAAACTAAAAAGGCTTCGTTTGCTCAGCAATTGTACATTTTATCCTCGCGGTCCTTCAAAAACATATACAGGAACCCTAAACTACTTCTAGGAAATTACTTACTAACGCTTTTTCTGGGCCTATTTCTCGGAGTACTTTACTACAATGTTGAAAACGATATCAGTGGGTTTCAAAATAGACTTGGGTTGTTCTTTTTTATTTTGACTTATTTCGGTTTCTTAACTTTCACGGGACTCAGCTCTTTCTCCCTCGAGAGACTGATCTTCTTGAAAGAGCGCTCGAATAATTATTACTCGCCTATGGCTTACTACATAAGCAAGATGATCAGCGATGTGATACCTCTTCGCATAGTGCCACCGATACTTTTGGCGCTTGTAATCTACCCCCTGGTAGGCCTAAACATGCAAGAAAACGCATTTTGCAAATTTGTGGTCCTGCTTTGTCTGTTCAATTTGGCAATCTCTCTGGAAATTCTATCTGTGGGAATCTTTTTCGAGGATCTCAATAACTCCATTGTTGTTAGCGTTTTGATCTTGTTAGGCTCATTACTTTTCAGTGGTCTTTTCATCAATACCAGCGCCATAACGAATGTGACATTCAAGTATCTGAAGAACCTCTCGGTATTCTACTACGCTTACGAGTCTTTGATCATAAATGAGGTAAAAACTCTTATTTTGAGAGAAAAAAATACGGTTTGAACATTGAAATTCCAGGTGCCACCATATTGAGCACATTTGGATTTGTTGTCCAAAATTTTGTTCTCGATATCAAGATGCTCATCGTCTTTAATCTTGCCTTCGTGATAGTTGGTTACCTGGCTTTGAAATTCGCTGTGGTCGAGAAGAGATGATCTCTATTTTATGACATGATTTTATACGAATCTGTCATGATGGACATTGAAAATGAAAAAAACAAGCTGAGTCAAGTTGGGTTTAAGAGCAGATCAATTGCAAACGAGCTTTGTCACCAAATAGGATGTCCTTTTCAGTCCAAGAAGTAGGGCTTTCAGATACTGCGCGGTCTCTCCATGGACAAATGAGTGCCAAAGGGACTTCTGTGCTGTTCACGCAGACGGAATTAAAGGATCTGACCAAATCATCCTCGCTTGCCGATTTGATGGCTTTGGTACAGGAACTCTTGAACAAGAACCTGATCAAGCTTATAAAACAGAATGATGAGCTCAAATTCCAGGCAGTGGATTTCATAGAAGCACAGAAAAAGGCAGCGATGTCTTCCGACGAGGCGCTAGTTTATTCGTATATCGAAGCGAGTGGCAGAGAAGGTATTTGGACTAAAACGATCAAGGCCAGAACGAACTTGCATCAACATGTTGTCAACAAGTGCTTGAAATCGCTCGAGTCGCAAAGATATGTGAAGAGTGTCAAAAGTGTCAAATATCCGACAAGAAAAATATACATGCTGTACAACTTGCAGCCGTCCATTGATGTGACGGGTGGTCCGTGGTTCACAGACAGTGAACTGGATGTCGAGTTTGTTAACAGTCTTCTTACCATTGTTTGGCGGTTCGTGTCCGAGAGATCATTCCCGGACGGTTTTAAAAACTTTACTAATGGGTCCAAAGAAGTTCTGTATGCTGCCAATGTCAGCAATTACTGCACCACAGACGAAATCTTGGATTTTATCTCAAATGCCAAAGTCGCCAACGTTGAGCTTTCGAGCTCTGATATCAGGTCTTTGTGTGAGGTGTTGGTCTACGACGATAAACTCGAGCGGGTCTCTTTCGATTGCTACCGTGTGACCATGCAGAGCGTCCTCGAGATGACACAGCCGGTCGACGCACCCAACAAGGGCGACAAAAACGAGGACTATTCAATTTTCCGAATTGCAAACGCCATAGCTCCGTCTGCGGACGACAAAGAAGCAGTTTATCTAGACGAATGGGTGCTTTGAATCTAAGAGACTAGCATGTGTCCCTACTTGATGATCATGTGGAACTACAAGCATTCTAAGTAGTTGCTCAACCGTCATGGTACTGGAAATCAGTTTTTCTCCACCTTCTCGAGAACATCACGGAGAACCTGAAAGTGTCGCGGGAACCGAATACAGCACTCCCGACCTTAAAACACCGATGAGTCATGCGTGCCAGAGCATATGTATTTTACATAACCATACTAATTGTAAGCATAATTCTGAAACTAAACGCACAGTTTCAGCATCAAGATTCAACATTGCACCAGATTTCAAAGTCGTTTCGAATGTTCGTTTTTTGAAACATGTTAGTTGTCGATTTTCCAGATTTTCGTCTAAAGAAATGAAGTAACATTAATTTGTTGTAAGGGGATTTTTAAAAAGTAGCCTCCTTAAAGAGCTCGAACTCGGAAAATCAAAAGCTTCAAATGAGTTGGGAGGGCTTCAAGAAGGCCATTAACAGAGCTGGAAACAGTGTGCTGATCAAAAATGTGGACAAAACCGTCGACAAGGAATATGACATCGAGGAGCGTCGTTACAAGACTTTAGAGAAAGCGGGCAAAGAACTACAGAAGGAAGCCAAAGGGTACTTGGACTCTTTAAGGGCCGTTACTGCGTCTCAGGTTACCATCGCAGAAGTTATTTCCAACTTGTACGATGATTCCAAAGCCGTAAGTGGAGGGGGTTACAATGTTGGAAACTATTACTTGCAATGCGTGCAAGATTTCGACTCTGAAACGGTGAAACAGCTAGACGGACCCTTCCGAGAGACGGTTTTGGACCCGATAACGAAATTTTCGACATATTTCAATGAAATTGCGGAGGCCATCAAAAAAAGGGATCACAAGAAACAGGATTACGACGCTGCCAAGGCGAAGGTGCGCAGGCTCATCGATAAGCCCGCAAAAGACGCCTCCAAATTGCCACGGGCTGAAAAAGAACTTGCCATGGCCAAAGATATTTTCGACAATTTGAACAACCAACTCAAAGCAGAATTGCCTCAATTGGTAGCGCTGCGAGTTCCTTACTACGATCCCAGCTTCGAAGCCCTCGTCAAGATTCAATTACGGTTTTGCACGGAAGGGTACACTCGTTTGGCCCAAATACAGCAATACCTCGATCAGCAATCACGTGACGACTATGCCAACGGGTTGCTCGATGACCGTGTAGCAGAGCTGCTACAGCAAATGACCAACTTGAATATTTGCACTTTGGGTTATAAATGAGGCGGAATACCACAGTATAATTTCGTGTAATATATCTGAAGTTCAATTTTCATGGAATCAACCAAAATCCTACGATTTTCAAGCCCGGTGGTGCGATGGATAAGCGAGAGATAAGAACCATCTTACTCGCGAATTTGGCTCTCACGAATTTTTCGTTTTGCTCTTTTCTCTTTTATCATGTCTTGGTCAAACTTGTATCTTTTCCGTATTACGTAAACCCCTTTGATTTTTCAACAACCCTACCCTCAGGCTTTCTCTTTGAAAACTTGATGAACCATAACTCCGGCAGAAGAGCAACAAGTTAGGGACGTTGAATGCGGTTACTGGGTTGAAGTTTGAGGTCACGGACACTTGAAATTTTGTAAAAGCGCATCATGGTTTTTATGCGAAGTGTTCGGCTCTTAATTAAGAGATTTTGTTTTAAAATAAGTCAGTGGAGCATTCAAAGTCCATCGATATGCATTACGCTAGCCGCATTGATATTTTTCACTTTGTCATTCCCTGTTCTCTTCCGAACCTCAGATTTCGGTGTTTTCGCTGGAGGGTATTTTGGTAAAGTTGATGTTAGACCAGTGGTTGAGAATGAGACCGACTTCTTTTCGCTTGCACAAATATATTACAGACGACATGACGACCAGAACGTTTTGCGACGAGATTTTCTGCTCAAAGCTCTTGCTCTTGAAAAGCATATGTTGTCCAATGTGTCCAACAACGTCGTGGATTTTGTAGAGTCACCTTTCCGCTTATGGAATAATAGCCTCCCCACCGTGCAAGCAGACGCATCACCTTTAAGAACCATAAATCTGAATTCACGCCAATTGTCTCGGGGCGTATTCCGCAACGTGTTGAAAGTCAACACCTACGTTTCTGCGGCAAAAGCGCTTGTAACGTCCCTCATCACGCGAGAAACGAACTCCAAAATTCTTCTGGAGGCTCTTTCTGATAACGCGGCCAGACTAAACGCTATCTCTAACGTCACTCATTTCAGCATTTTAAGTGCGACTGGGAATGGTGAGCAAGCAACGACTAATGATCTTGTTGAGATCTCCGTCACTGGAGTGAATAAAGCCGATTACGCTATCTTGGCATTCCTTTTCATATTCGTCACTTACACGTTTGTGCGTTCAGAGTTTGAAAGGTGGCCCTTGAAATTTCGAGCAACGATAGCCATTGCCACCTCTGTTGGATTGTTGTTTAGTATTGCTTCGTCACTGACATTGACACATTTGGCATTCAAAAACTGTGGGGAAAATGTGCCTCTCATTTTTATGGTTGTACCAGTTTTGGTTTATGCATTAGATGGCGAAGCCCGATTTTTGAGGAATACCGCTTGGTTGTTTTCACATGACGTTGAAGATAGCTTGGAGATAAGATCTCTAGAATTCTTACAACGTACTTACTTGAAGGCCACCTTCACAGCGTGCTACGAGTCACTGAAGGGGATTACTGCCATGCATTTTGTTTGCTGCTTGATGTTTCCTTTCAATGGGAAAGCTTCGATGTTCATTGTCTCAGCTACATTAATACACTTTATCTTGCGCTTTACTTTCGGAACTGCGCTAATCAGTTTGGATATCAACCGTCTACGAAATCATGATTTTTACGTGGATCGAGGAGTTCCAACTTTGGACACAAACAAGTCTTCCCCACATAACAGACTAACGCATCAAATCAAGCAATACCTTTTCAGCCGTAGTTCTTTCTCCAAATATCGAATTCTTTGGGTTTTGTTTTATCAAATTTTGTTAAACTGGAGATTCAGGATTGCACGGTCAGCGAGTATTAGTTTTTTCAGCTCTTCTTTGAATGGAGCCAGCGCGACCTTCCCAGGATTCGAACTGCGTTCCATTTCTCTTCAGTTTTTGCAGAGATACGGCTCAGGGAAATACTTAATCACTCGATTGAGCTCAGGACAATTTCAGGCCATTGATTATGATAATGAGGCCATAGCAAAATTAGCGAGTCATCCACAATTCGCCAATGATTTGGCTGCGGTTTATTCGTACCACTTTGACTCTCTCTTCTTTTTCCATTTTGTCGTCGCTCTCGTCCTATTTGCTGCTTCAAGCTTGCTGATGGTCCGTGTGATTTTACCCAGACTTGAATCGGATGCCCCATTTCAAAAGATGTCACATAAATCCAAGGAAGACGACAACGGTGTTTTTGTCAAAAGCACGAAACAGCGTGATCCAGGTACATTTTCTGTCAAGGAGCTATCGGCAGCAGGCCATTCTCTCGATATTATCAAAATCTGTGCCTCCCATTGCCCATTCATTGTTTCTGCTAGTATGGATCGCGGATTAAAAGTCTGGTCTCCTTTACTGACGCCAGTTCCTGTTCCAACTGATATACCACTTCCACGTTCCCTTTGGCCTCTTTCAAAAATTGAAATGAGTGACGACGGGAGTCACATTGCTTTCTTCAATCAGACGGGCTCCGTTACCTGCTGGTCCCGCAAGCAAATGGCCTTTATATGGTCGATACAAATTGAAGATTTGGCGCCAGGGCCGCTAGAGTGCCATTTTCGCTTAAAAACAATACCTGCATTCATGAAAAGGAAGGCGATGTTGAAAAGGTCTCAAAAGGAGGCTGATGCCGACTCGCATGCGCGCCCTACTCTGAGCAGAAGAAGTAGCGTGACTTCCGTTCTCTCAATGCAATCTGTCGGGGCGGGTCCGGGTCTCGTGTTGAAAAGTGTGACCGTGCCATATGGTGATAATCTGGCACTCCCTGACGAAGACGAAGTCAATGAGCTTGTCGTAGTTTCAAGCCAAGGTACCATTTTTTGCATCGATATTCAAGGCAACGTGGAGCGGTACTCGATATCGAATAGCGAGCAAAAACAGAGGCTGATTACATGCAAGCGACTTCAAACGCCTCGAGTGAACGATAGGTTGGTGAGTCATGATGAATATGGAAACCTGTTTATCTCAACTGTGGTTAATAACAAGTGGAAAACGAGGAAAGTGAACATAATGAGAGGTGCATTCAACAAGGGCCGAAAGCTTATGACTCCAGCCTCTCTGAATGCCCAAGAAAATGCGAGCTTAGAAAGGAATGATGCGAAAGACACCCCAATAATTGCAGATGAGTTTTGTCTTTCGGTGGTGCCATTTGTTGGGATGATATTGATCACCAATAAAAACAAAGCCGAACTCGTTGATGCCCAAACTGGAACCTCGATAAAATTCTTTCAGCTATCAGATCCGGTTTTAACATCTCTCAAAGTTTTCCATGATGAGCCAACACATTGTCGTTTCTGCGGATACGCATCAGTCGGCTCTTTCTCCATCGCTTACGAGAATGCTAATAAAGAACTTAACCTTCACACGTTTCAATTGGAGAGCAGGACGAAAAATAGCATTTGCCTCCGTGTTGATAGAGATCCTCGAGAAATCAGATGCCTGGGTATGGACTCCGTAGTAGAGAAAAGATATACTATCCCGGACACTGAAAATTGGAATGTGACTGATAGTAATTTCCTAATTGGCGTTAGGAGGAAAGCTAACAAAGAGGTAACAGAAGTTTGCACATCTTCTGCATCAACGTTGCTGACACACAGCAGCATGACTGAAGCTATTAAAAGGACAAATATTCCTCCAAAGAAAGTCCAAACCAAAACATCTGTTGATTATTGCATAAGCGAGATATGGGAAGGGTGGACAATGAGTGTTAACGGCACAGTCACCTCTCACAGTATTCCCTTTGGAGAAAATGGATTACTCACGACCAAAATTGGGCCGGCTGAGAAGTTTGGAACCAAAGCTATTGTTGTTGCTTTCGGAAATATAATGAAAGTACTCTTTTTGGGTCATGAAGATCTACTGATGAATTTCGAGGGTGACACTAATGAAGATGAAACCGGTTTAAAGTTCGTGAACAAGAGGAGAACTAGAATTGCTTCAAGGAAGTATCCTAATGATTGAGTCAGACCTTACGTGCATCGAATATAGTACATACTCAATTTTTGTAAATAGCGGTTCAAATCAAATGGCGCCTTTTGCAGCACATTCAAGATACGACAAACTTAACTGAGCTAATAATGTTTAGTATAGTATTACAATATGAAGCTAAATGTTAAAAGAAAAGTGTAGGCCAACACCGTTTTTAACTTTTTAAAATGACAATTACACAGCAGCTGAACAAGTCAATTAAACTGTTTTAGTGGGATTTTTACTTCCAAGCACGTCCCTCGTTACAGCATCTGATTTCCCTACCCCACTCGCTGTTCAAAATTTGTTTCCCACTAATTCTCCTGGATGCAACGGGGTCTAAGATAGAATAAATTACGTTACGGCATCTTGCTCTCTTGAGCTTTTCGATGGGTTCGTAACCGGCCTCATTTTTCCGACCTCTTAAATATTTGGCAAAAAACTCATCCTCTTTTTGAGCAGAAGTCCACAGCTGTCTCCCTGTCCGCATTGCCATATAAATGACACCGCAAGCCCATATGTCCACGGGTCTCGGGTCAAACTCAGCGCGATCGTATTCTTCGGGCGCTATATAGGGACCGGACCCGCAAACGCCTCCGATCATGTGCACGTCTTTTTCCCAAGCCATTCTAAAGCATTCGCTGTTCCCGAAATCTGTAATCTTTAAGACACCGTTGGAGGTCAGCAGCAGGTTTTCCGGTTTCAAATCTCGATGGCACACACCCACTTCGTGCATATAAACCACGCCACGGATGAGTTGTTTGAAAAAACAGTCTGCCTCCATGTATTCGAGCTTGCCCGCTGCTATGATGAGCGTGAATAGATCTCCACCGTAGCAGTACTCCATGACCTGGCAGTAGTTGTCTTTGGCATCTTGGAATAGGTCCAAAGTCGTTATTATGTTGGTATGCTTGAGGGATGAAGATATGCAAAATTCTGATTTCAAACGACGCGAGTACTTATCCGCAGACTCAGAGGGTTTACGCCGAAACTCTTTGACAGCATACAGAAGCTCGCCATGAGGCGCATCGGGTCTTTTCTTGTGACTGATACGCACGACTCCAAACGCACCTTTACCGACAACTTCTTGGCACCGCCCGTATTTTTCGGCAAAACTGAGCGGTACGGCCGCTGCAATGGGTTCCTCTCCAGAGACTTTCCGAGCGTAGTAGTTCTGGGCTAGTTGAAACGCACCGCTGTAAGAAGTGGCGTCCTGGCTCTCAACCTGCTTCACGAGCCCCGAGAACAAAGAAGGTGGGGCCTGTGGCGTGGCCAAAGACGTGGCTGGCGTGCTGGAAGAACCGGGAGTCGCGGGACTCGCCGCTGTTGTACCGCGTTTGACCATGAGCAAGTCTGGCACGGCGGATTTGGCCTCTGCGCGCAGTTTCTGCGCGCCAAGCATATTTTTCAACATACTGGTCAGTTTCTCTTGCCGTTTGCCGTTCTTGAGATGATGCTCGTGAGAGCCGTCCTCATGGACAACAAAGCGGTTCAAACACGCGTTGCTGGCGAGACTCGCGTTGCTTGCGCTCTTGTGCATCGCATCGGCCGCAGCGGCGGCGTCTGCCGCTGCTGCGGTGGCCGATTTGCCGCTCAGCGAAACGGGCGGCGAGCTGGACCGCGACGCGGGCCTTGAACTGGGCTGAGAGGCCTCAAATGAGACCGTCGAGTTCGAAGGGGATGGCATATGGCTTGTTGATGCGGCTGGCCCAGCTGACGCCCCGTGGGCGCCATGGGGCCCGAACCCAGTCGAAATGCCCGCTGCAGGCGCAGCGGGCCCGCCTGCCGCGCCGATGCCGCCATGTGGGGCCTTGGACCCGAAAAACTTGCCGATCTTGTTAGAAAAGGTGTTCTTACGCAGACGGCCCGCACTGGGCGCGTCTACGTCTGCTCCGGCCATAATATTGCCGCCTGCTTGTGGTACGCTGCAAGTCTGCCGCGTTACACGGTCTGAGACGTTGCGTAGGGAGTCCAGTGGTGGTTTAAGTGCTGTTCGTGGACGCGAGTCGCGAGCTGGGAGTTGCGGTGGCGAGCTCGGTCAAGTTTCCTTAACACGTGGTTGTCAGGCATGCTAGGCGGAGCCCGTAGGCAGCTCCCCCCCGCCGCCTCCCGCCGCCCTGCCCAGGCTGCCCACACCGCCTGCCCACAGCGTCTGCCCAGGACGACAACCCACCACGGGGACTGCCCTCCCGCCCTCCTGCCCCCCCCCGAAAAAATTTGCACCCCTGCCGCGGTCACCGTACAACGTGCACACACTCGTATAGACCGTCTCACCCGAGGCAGTTGACAGCGACCCGTACATAGTGCGCGACACGTCCACATACCCTTCTGCGTTACCTCCTTTCTCCACGAACAGGGCGTGTGGTCTAGAGGTATGATTTCCGCTTAGGGTGCGGGAGGTCCCGGGTTCGAGTCCCGGCTCGCCCCCACGTTAAGACTTTTTGTCGAACTCCCACCATCACAACGCGTGACCCCCCTCCGCGTCGGCTCCGGACGTGACCATTCGGAGCCCCACAGCATGACCATTGCGACCGCAATGGTCGGATCCGAGCCCGGCTCTCAAGCTTACTACAGGATAAGGGGCGGCCTGCCCGCCCAGCGTATAAGAGCACGGCGGGTGGGCCCGGGTCCGGACTACAACAACTTGTTCCGTCGAGACCAGAGGGAACTACCATCACCACCACCAAAACCACATATATTTTATAGGAATGAGCACGTTAGTGGGATCTTCAAGGGTGCGGTTGGCCAACAGGGCCACCGCCGCCGCCGTAGCGCGGGCGCTAGGCGCCCGCTTCTACAGTAACGGGGAGAAAACGCTTAAGGAGCGGTTTGCGGAAATTATCCCGGCCAAGATCGAAGAAGTGAAACAACTTAAGAAGGATTACGGTACCACGGTGATCGGTGAGGTGCAATTGAACCAAGCGTACGGTGGAATGCGTGGAATCAAGGGACTCGTGTGGGAAGGTTCCGTGCTGGACCCCGAAGAGGGAATCAGGTTCCGGAACCGCACCATCCCTGACATCCAGAGGGACTTGCCCAAGGGCGCCGGCGGCAGTGAACCGCTACCAGAGGCTTTGTTCTGGCTCTTGCTCACGGGCGAGGTCCCCACGGAGGGTCAGGTTAAGGCCCTTTCCGCTGATCTAGCGTCTCGGTCCGAGCTTCCCGAGCACGTAGCGAGTCTGTTAGACTCGCTTCCTCGCGATCTGCACCCAATGGCGCAGTTCTCGATCGCGGTGACCGCGCTCGAGAGCGAGTCTAAGTTCGCCAAAGCGTACGCACAAGGCGTGTCCAAAAAGGACTACTGGAACTACACGTTTGAGGACTCGCTGGACCTTGTCGGTAAACTGCCCGTGATTGCGTCCAAGATCTACCGGAACGTGTTCAAGGACGGCAAAGTCGCGCAGGTGGACCCCAATGCGGACTATGGTAAGAACTTGGCCAACCTGCTGGGGTTCAAGAACGAGGAGTTTGTCGAACTCATGCGCTTGTACTTGACGATCCACTCGGACCACGAAGGCGGCAACGTTTCCGCACACACGACCCATTTGGTCGGCTCGGCGCTTTCGTCGCCGTACCTGTCGTTTGCCGCGGGTTTGAACGGTCTTGCCGGCCCGCTACATGGCCGTGCCAACCAGGAAGTGCTCGAGTGGTTGTTCAAGCTACGTGAGGAGGTTAAAGGTGACTACTCACGTGAAACCATCGAGAAGTATCTATGGGAGACTTTGAACGCAGGCCGCGTCGTGCCCGGTTACGGGCACGCCGTGCTGCGTAAGACCGACCCACGTTACATGGCGCAACGTCAATTTGCACTCAAACATTTCCCAGACTACGACCTGTTCAAACTCGTGTCTACAATCTACGAAGTCGCACCAGGTGTGCTTACGAAACACGGTAAGACCAAGAACCCTTGGCCCAACGTTGACTCCCACTCGGGTATCCTATTGCAGTACTACGGACTCACAGAGGCGTCGTTTTACACGGTCTTGTTCGGAGTCTCAAGAGCTCTCGGTGTACTGCCTCAACTGATCACGGACCGCGCGTTGGGTCAGCCCATCGAGCGGCCCAAGTCCTTCTCCACCGAGAAGTACTTGCAATTGGTCAAGTCGATCAACGCGCGCAAATAGAGTCGCTTTCCTAAAGCCATGATGATTTTATGAGCATGAATACAACAGCATATTCGATGTACCCAACTTACCCATTCAATTATTTAAAATTACTAACTACTATATATTGGCCTTCTTTAGACCTGTCCGTTACTTAGTCATTCTTTACTAACTCGAAGTGGTGTTTTGCCCTGCGCCGAATTTTCCAGCTATAAAAAAAAGGGACCGGGGGCACCCCTTCTGTGAGCGAAAGAACCACAGTGGGCCAAACAGAAACATGGTCAAGATCGCTATTATCACGTACTCGTTGTACGGTCACATTGATACGCTAGCTGCGGCGGTACAAAAGGGAATTGAGGCTGCAGGTGGGAAAGCAGACCTGTTCAGGGTCGAGGAAACCTTACCTGAAGAGGTGCTCGAGAAATTGAGTGCGCCAGCCAAGCCAGACATTCCTATCGCTACAACAGAGACCCTGGAGAGCTACGACGCGTTTCTGTTCGGTGTCCCCACCAGATACGGTAACATTCCCGCACAATGGTCTGCTTTCTGGGACCAGACCGGTGGGCTATGGGTCAAAGGTGCGCTTGCTGGTAAATCCGCAGGTATTTTCGTGTCTACGGGTACTTACGGCGGCGGACAGGAACTTACCGCCAAGAGCTGTCTCTCCTACTTGGTGCACCATGGGATTATCTTCGTCCCTCTTGGCTACAGAGACGTGTTCGCAGAAGTCGCCAACATCGAAGAAGTGCACGGTGGGTCGCCTTGGGGTGCTGGTACGCTTGCTGGAGGCGACGGCTCGAGAACCCCTTCGGAACTCGAGCTCAGAATCGCAGAAAAGCAAGGTTTGTATTTTTACCAGACCGTCAAAGACTTTCCTCCTTCCAGAGCCAAAGTTGCTGCCAAAGCAGCAGAAAAAAAGAAGGCTGCTGAAGCGGCCAAAAAGGCCGAGGCTCAAAGGGCAAAATCTGCTCCTGCTACTAACGAGAAGGAGAAAGACAAGAAAAGCAAGTTCGACTGTTGTGTCGTCATGTAAACCAAGTTCTTCACTTTACCCTCTAATTCCGACGGCCAAGATCGTATTTCTTATGTAACATTTCCACATTCTAAAAACAAAAATAATTTCTTTATTCCTCAACGCCGAACGCGAATGAGAACCCATTGTTTTGTTCTGAAACCAAATCGTCCCATGTCTCTGAACGTTTCACCGTTTTCTCTCTTTGCTGCCGCTCCTCCGTCTCTATTTTAACACATTCGAGTACAGCGTCTTGCAAGTATTGTGCATACTTGGAATTACGGATCAATTCCACGAAGAACTCGTAGAGCGGGAACGATTTGCAAGAATTACTGCTCAAACCGCAGTCCGAATTTTCTAACCTCTCGTTTTGAGCCTGCTTTGACAAATTACGCAGCTTGCTGAGGTTTTCGACGCTGATATCCAGCGAAGTGGCATTTTTGAGAAAGGCATTCAAGGATTCGACCACATCCCTCAGGTGGAAGCCCGAAAGCTGTGCCTGCCTATTCTTGAAAAAATGTAGAACGCGTGGCAGGATCGCTGGCGGAACAAAATTCTCTGTCAATGCCACTGAGTCCGTAATATTTATGACCATGTGCCACCAGCCCGAGGGAACATATATACATTCGCCCGGAAACGTCACTCCTATAACGCAGTCACCTTGTTGGGCCAGTTTCACGGTATCGTTGTAGTACCCGGAAATAACCCATTCTGCCACTCCAACTGGGCATGTCACTTCTTCTTCAGATTTGTCCGTCGACACTCCCGGCGGTTTCACGTGGGGCGGCAGCATCACCCAAAGTTTCATGCCACACAGCACCGTATTCCATGCAGAAGTGTAGTTCGGGTCCTTGTGAAACGTGGACCCGCTTCCGGCAGGTCCTACGATGAGCCATCGATGATCCGGACGACATTTAACCTCACCTTCCTGAAAAAGGTGGAAAAGATCTTTTTGAAATAACTTAGGTGCTTTGTATTCGGTTTTTATTTTCTTTATGGCCGGACTGTTGCAGTCGAAAAGATAAAGTGGGGACTCGTCTCTGTTACACTTGAAATAATCAGCGTACGTTTTCAAATCCCATTTGATAGCTTCCTGGCGGAACTCAACGTCACCGTATCGCCCTACCAAATCACTTATATCCCATGCAGGCCAGCGAGCAGTCTTGCTAGACTTTAAAATAAAAGGTTTGTTAATCAAGCGTGATTCGAACTCTGCATTTGTTAAAGAATCTTCATCAAATCTTTCAATACCAAAATCCAAATTCACATTGGAGCAAAGCTGAGATGATTTAGATTCTACGTCGATAACGTTCTTGAAAAGCAACTCGTAATTGACTTGAGAACACTGGTATGGTCGGAACAGCACGTCTGAGTACAATTGATTCTTGACCGTAATATGCGCTTCTGAATTTAATTTGAGAAGTGTTTTTCTCCAAGATCCCCTCCATTTATCGCAACCATAGGGTGCTGGCCTTCTCGAAGAGATTTGGGACTCTTCAATCCTCTGAAACTCTTTCACATAGATATTTCTCCACAGCTCTTCATCATAGGTATAGGCATACAAAAATTTTGAGACATGGCCGAATGTCTTCAAGTCGGAAGGTGTATCTAAAAGCTCAATTATTCGCATTAATGTCGATTCTTCTAAGTTGGCCAATTTACCCAAAGATCTCTCTCGGGATTTTCGTAGCACTCCGATGTCATTATCAAACAAGGCATTTCCAGCGGGCTTTACACCTAAGGGATGTAATTTAACGTTAAAAGATGCATTAGCCAGATATGAGGGAGAACGTTTTGGGCGCTTCGGAGTTTGCGTCATCCGTGCTAGCTTTGGTAAAGATCCTAGATTTTTCTTTCACTTATTCTTGTCAGAGCAGAGCTCATCGCTGATCGGACGACAAAAAAATGTCAGAATGAAAAAATTTCTTTTTGTCATCAAGACCAGAAACCGAGTCTTCCATGAAGCGGATTAGCACTCTCTTTAACTTCATTCGCAGACTGATTGAATACCCAGCTATGCTCAGGTAAGAAATATAGACCACATTGTTTTCTGTATTTACAAGGATTCGTTAATATAAAATTGTGGTAAATTGTTCTATTTTTTGGTTTCGCTGACTTCCCTTTCCACAAGTAGAGTTCTATGTCTACGGTCCAGGTACGTTTCCTTTTCCTTCAACTTCTTCGTGTATTCTGTTTCTTTCTTCCCTGGATATAGGATGCGCTTGTCGTTCTCCGAAAGCTCTTGTTCTTGAATAGGCTCCGCTCGTTGTTCCACGGTATGGTCCTTCCATATGCGACGTATTTCATGGAAACAATGCATACAAATGGTATTGGCACGTTTGAAATGGCCACACGATGGGCAGCGATTAAGATGGTGAATCATTTTTAGCTGTTTGCGACCAGGACCATAGAGTTTTTGTCGTTTTTTCTGATGCGATACCTTCTTCTTGGGCACTGCTAAATATATGCCATTGTCATTCAATATGTCGGATAAACAGTTTCCCGCGTTGGAATCAGTAGCACCATAGCTTCCAATGGTAGAAGACGCCGCAATAGCGTGTCTTGGGGTCCTCGAAAGGAACGGCACGTTGAAAAGCGAAAGAGGCTTTGACAAAAGCCGCCTTACCATGGAATTGAGAGAGACTGACATCGCCAAACTTCGAATGATCTATTGTCAAGTTCAGCTTATTTCAGGATTCTAATATTTCTGAACCCTCAGTTGCAATTCCACAGGTAAAAATTTTTGATATCTTTGCACGAAACAAATCGCGTAAGTGAGAATGTAAAATCAACATAACCATAAATAAAAACACGATCTAAGAACGGGTCATTGACGAACAACGCACTTTGAAAGCTGCCTTTAACTTTATCAAGATGTCCATTTATGGAGTGGAGAATGTCAGTCCAGTCAACCCTCTCTCTTACGTTGGTTTTGACACCATCACTAGCCAGATAGAGCACCGTCTGTTAAAGAGAGGATTTCAGTTTAATATCATGGTTGTCGGGCATTCTGGTCTCGGTAAAAGTACATTGATCAATACGCTTTTTGCATCCCATTTGATTGACTCTGCCACCGGACGTGATATCACGAAAGAGCCCATTAGTAAGACAACAGAAATTAAAGTGTCATCGCATACTTTGATGGAGGATCGCGTCAAATTGAACGTGAATGTCATTGACACACCGGGATTTGGGGATCAAATTAACAACGAAAAAGTGTGGGAACCTATTGTCAAATACATCAAAGAGCAGCACTCTCAGTTTCTGCGCAAGGAACTTACAGCTCAGCGTGAGAGATACATCGCTGACACCCGTGTGCATGCCTTGTTATATTTCATTGAGCCAAACGGCGACGGGTTAACGGCTCTCGATGTAGCGGCCCTAAGAAGGCTTACCGAAATTGCAAATGTCATTCCTCTGATCGCGAAAGCCGACACTTTAACCACAGACGAAAGGCTTGCCTTTAGAGAAAAAATACAGGACCAATTCAAGGAAAACAACTTTAGAATTTATCCCTATGATCTGGAAGATCTGACGGTGGAAGAGTTGGAACTTAACGAAAGTATCAGATCAATCATACCTTTTGCGGTGGTTGGATCAGAGAAAGAAATCACCGTCAATGGAGAACTAGTTCGTGGTCGGAAAACACGGTGGGGAGCCATTAATGTTGAAGATATTAATCAATGCGAGTTCGTTTATCTTCGGGAGTTCTTGATCAGAACACACTTGCAAGACTTGATCGAAACAACTTCTATGGTTCACTATGAAGGATTTAGAGCAAGACAATTAATTGCACTCAAAGAAAACGCGAACACCAGAAATTCAGCTGCACACATGTCTCAAAATATGAGTTCCCTTCCTCAGCGTTAGAACTACGTTCTGACTCTAGATACCTTGAATAGTTGTTGTTTAACCCACTCTATAAAAAACGTTCATGAGGAAAAATATCACCGTCGGTTGTCTACTTCTAGAGGGGAGATAAACAAATCAAAAGATACATTTTAGTCATAAGAGAGGATTCACCTGGAACTCTTGACGATGAAAAGAAACGCACGTTCAACCTCAAGCGACTCTACGACCCAAATTAACTTACGGTAACATCAAGACAGCTTTGGCACGGTAATGTCACGGAGAATGCGTGAGATTCCATTAATGGTTCTACTACTTGGCGATGATATTCCCCTCCTAAGATTTTTTCGTTCAGATAGCTGAGATTCCAAAAAAAAACATTAAAACGAATTACGTTTTCTTAGACATCAATCATTTTTATAACTTCGGAGTCAAAGAACAATCTTATATTTTATTTTTCTCTTTAAGTAGTCTTTTAATGATTTATAAAAAAACAAAGAAAATAATTTATATTTTTTTGCTAAAGCGTGATTGTCTCTTGATTATTATTTTATTATAAGTTTAATTCTAAATATTTTTAGAAGTCCGAATCTATGCCTCTTCTTCTTCATCTAAATCAGGCATTGGGTACTTCAGTATACAAGCCAGACCTGTCAATTTATCTAATTCTTCCCCAGACGCGTGAAGAGAGCTGAATACAAAAACATTGCCGCCTAACTGCTCCACCTGGCTGACAAGTGCAAGACACTTTTTCCGTGTAGATACATCATCTGCTCGTAATAGTGAGTCGGTTATTAAAAGGGTATCAATCGCACCCAGCCCTGCAGCTTTAACAACTTCTTCCTCGCCATACCATGCCTTATAGTCATCATTGTTCAGGTGTTGTAAAAACTGATCTAGTACAACTGCTTCCTTGGAATTTTTAGCGTCCTGCAATTTTGATGCATACGCTGGGTTTTTCAGAACCTCGCTTATGCCCTGAATATAGCCTGTTGAACAGTGAGCAACCAAAAAGTTCGACTTCTTTGATAAAAGGTCTTTGTTTTGTTCTTCGTTAGCATAAAACATGATTTTTTCTAGTAATGTCTTCGCATAAAATCCTGGCGAACATAAAATTATTAACTTGAGTTTCGAAAAGTCGTAGTGCCTCTTCATAGATTCGTAGATGGCTTTATAAAACTTTTCTGTCTTCTCGTCAAATTTCAGGGCGTCCACGCTTCTCTTCTTCTTTGGCAAACTAATCTCAATTTTGTTCTTCAAAATTGTGCTAAAGGAGCTCAAAAGACAAATATGAGCGATTCCCTCTTGCAATGCCACCGCAGCAATATCGGAACGACTTTCGACATTGCATGATTCATTTAACAACTTCGCAGCGTAGGAATTGAAGTCTTGCTTAATTAAAGTAAAAGGATATTTGAAGTCGACGGTGAAGCTGAAAAATTTCCCTACAGCGACATCAACATTAGCTCTTCCAAGGGCATCTTCCGTGGTTATACCCTTGTATCTTAAGAACTCATGCTGTGGCTCAAACTCACTTGAAATGACCCTCAGGCGCAGCCTCATCAAATCGGTGGTCTTCTTTTTATTTGATTCGCCTGCTTTACTTGAAACCATACGCTTAAAGATGACCTCATCATCAGTATTGATAATGTTGTATAAAGTAAACAAATCCTCCTTGTCTTCAGGTAGGAGAGTGAGCTCAGCACCATTCTCCTTGCCGCTTTCCACTACCTTTTTAAGGACTTTCATTTTATTAGCCTTTTTCACTTTGACATGTTAAAAGTGCAAACCGATGAGGATAACTAATTTCCTTTAGACTACTTAATCCAAGCGTACGGAATGACGTTAAAGGCTTCCGAATCATGGAAGCGCTAACCTATACTGTCTCGCATCCATGTGCCCGCTGTGGGCCATCCTTGGCTGCGCCTTGACGACAATAGATAGATCATTAACTCAAAGACGCCATTGAGGACTTTGATTTCAACTCGTTCCCGTTTTAAAATAGGCTTAATGCTTACTTCCATACTTCTTCTTGCCAATATCGAGCGGAACATATTTGTACTTCACCATATGCTGGATTTGTCTTCTCATTGTCAGTAAGAAGAGCAAAATGAAGTAAAACACTAATATGGGCCAGAATACGGGCAAATCGAGGAAGGTGAAGAACGACATCACAAAACAAGCGACCGTTGCTCTCACAGAATTGTACCAAAACTTGAATTCTGGTAATCTCCTGATAAATGGTCGGAATTCATCACCTCGTTCACCTGCTTCGAGCTCATCATTCTCTTCATCCTGCTGTAGTGAAACGTCGAATTTTGGAGTCAAAAAGGCAAGGAACTGATTCAAAAGGTAAATTGCAAGCGCGTAGCACACAACGTACCAGCTATGAGTCCAAATGATTCTTAGGAAAAATAACGCCAATAACAATCCTAAACTCGCCCATCTTTCTTTGACGTGTGGCGTTATGCGATCAACATAGCTCTGATACACAGTTTTCAGGGCTTTGATTTGATTTGGGACGGAGGGTGCTAGCTCATTCAGGTCGGTGTTCATTTCAAGTCCTGAAGCACTGGGTACTTAGATGTTGAAGGATTGTAGGAAGTTGTAAGGACAACACATTGTACTTTTCTTAATTGTTTTACGAAAAATTTCCGATTTTCAATCGGTATAGAAGAATTTCTACAACAACGACGATGCCAGTACTGCGCTACGTCGCAGCAGGTTTGAGAGTATGATCTGCAATTTCGCGAGGTTCAAATTCTTATAGTTCTTTTTTATCTTTGAAACTAACGTTTTTATGCTGCAGCTTGCTGGTTTACAATATCAAAGACGCTATAACAGACTTCACAAATCGATTTACGGCCTGTCTTACGATCTCCATGTGTTGAACAGCTGCTATGATGTCATTTCAATATATTGTTCGATGAATTTCCTGTTTTCTAATCTAGTGAGGAGGCAGTTGTCGCTGCGCTTTCCCTTATTTTATACAGATGCGAGGAATATACCGGTATCCAAACTTCAGCTGTGTATATCATGCTTGGATTTATTCTGCTCAATTCTAGTTGTAAAGCAGCTGCATCAGTATCGGAAGACACAGAACATTAACCAAGGCGTGTCTTACCTATGTTTAATCACCATAGCATCATCCCTCATCTTTGGGGTTTTCACGTTTGCATGCTCTACCTTGAACCTTCCAATTGATAGTGGCAGATTTGGCGTCTTCTATCTGGAGCACGTTAACTATATGTGGGTAATAGGCACGTTGTTGTCTTCCCTGAAACTTTTCCCGCAAGTTACTCTGAATTGGTCTGGGATGTGCACACAAGGTCTTTCCTCAAAATATGTTGTTTTGACGTTAACCTCTGAACTGCTTGAAGCACTCGGGATGGCTTTTTTTCAGCACCAACACTGGTTCGAGATTCCGTTCAACTTTCGAACGCGCTATGACCTCTCTTTCAATATTATTTCCCTGGTTTGCATCCTTTACCAAGCACAATATCTATATCTGGGAGCAAAGAGGCGTCTCCCTCGGAGAAAAAGGCGTTAAATGTTGATGGGCATCTCTCCAGCTATCTTCGAATAGGAGAAAGGCGATCTACGTACTGTCAGTCTAGCATCGACAGTGTCACTAGCGGTTCCGGAGCTAGATGGGATGTCGGGGATCAACCGCAAATCTTACAGCCTTTTACCTAAAAGGGACGTCGCCATCTTTACACCCGTGCTTATACGTCGCTCCTCCTCTGTTTTAAAATCTTCAAGTGTCACTTTGGAGGCATAGGTCATAATGTTATCTATCTCGTCTTGCATCTTTCCTCTGAGATCGGAGTCATTTGTAATTATTAGAGCATTGGATTCTAAATCCAAAGAATAAGCCCTCCTTGTATAGTTCGAGGAGCCTATAATCGTAAGAGCAGGTCTTGTATCGTCTAAATCACTTTCCGATAGCCAGATGCCCTTAGCGTGATATGACCAGCCGCCGGGTTTGTTCACAATTCCTTTTTTCCACTCAAAAACATCTATGTGCTTGTTTTTGCCACTTTTCTCGACATCCTTGAGGAACTTTTGGCATAAATACAGGTAAGCGTTTGGTAAATGTTTAGAAACGCCTTTTGATTCGAAAAACCCATTGGCATGTGGAGAGGCTGTGATAACCTTGCCAAACTCGGAAGGAGAACGCAAGAGGAGGGTCTTGATAGATGGTAGCATGTTAAAATATCCAGCAGTAAAGGTCCAATTTATAGACTGATCTTTCATCTCGCTCAAAACTGTAAGAATTGAGCGTTTTTCAGTAGAGAGATCTTTACGCTTCTCAAACAAAGGCGTAAATTGAGATATTGGGAACACACTTGTAGGGTAGAGAGACGAGCCAGATTCGATCATTTCATCTCCTTTAGCCTTATCAAGAAAGTCGCTCAACAGCCTCGAGCATTCTCTGTAAAATGCACTTTGATCAGAATTTGGTTCCGGTGCTAAATTACTAGAGGGCCACAGCGTTTTGTATCGTTTTTCGCTAGATGAAAAGGCAACCTTATAACTGACGCCACTCACTAGCTGATGCAGCATGAAAAAATAGTCGGCAAAGCTTTTGGATTTGAAACAGTAGTAGCGATCTTGTCGATTTGTGAAGTAATCTTTGGAAAGATTTGCCCCAGATAAAATAACTTCGTCATCAAAACCATAAATCTTCATATGTTGCAGACCTATACCTTCGTTGAATCTGCGTGGGATGAGTGCTTCCTTAAGTCTTGTCAGTGCAGGCGTTCTGTAAAGTCTAAAGTCTACGCGATCTCCATGTTCGTCCACTAGTCTCGATAGGAGAGAAGCGGAGCAGGCCTTCGGCGACTCGCGTGTTCCCCTTAGGCCATCCAGAAGAAAGTATGCTTTCAGCTTTTTGTTGCGGCTCAATGCGCTTGACAAACAATCGATGAGTTCCTCTTCGCTCGTCCCAACGTAAAGAGAGGCGAGAAAAATTCTGTCCTCTGCAGAGGCTATCTTACTTTTAATGGTTTCATAAAACTTTTCAGGCGAATGTAATACGTCTATCTCTCCTCTTTTGAATAAAAACTGGGGATTGAAAGATGACAGTCTGCTTTTGACCCGGTTTACGAACGATTCGCTTATCTTCTTGCTCTTCTCACTGGACATCGTTGAGCAAAGATCTCGCGATTGAGGTACTGAAATTACTTTGAGCGGATTATTCAGGCAAGATCTAAGCGAAGTTAGATTTCTCAACATCTACTCATTACTCGAATGTCGTTGATTATTTCTCGTTAGGCAATGTTGGCGCTTTGATTTGAATTTTGACTGCTGAGGAAAATCGGTCTCTTAGAGGCACAGCTCATAAATAGCTTCAATCGCTTTGCTCTCGAACAACGGCTCGCGTGGCGTAATGGCAACGCGTCTGACTTCTAATCAGAAGATTGTGGGTTCGACCCCCACCGTGAGTGTTTTTTTTTGGTTAATATATTTTAATATAACCGCTGCAAGAATTTACAAATAATTCCACCCTACACTTTGCTTCTTTTCATTTAATTTTGATCTCGTACTGCCGTTCGCAATGCTCGCAAGTTGATGTAGCTGGTTTGATCTCGTCCGGAGGCAAAACCCTTTTCGTCTTGATATATTTTTCCACTTACATCGGTCTTCAGTGTTTCGACAGCGTTACCACGCTCGTCCCATATGCTTGACGTTAGCGAGTTTATATCACCTGGACTGCCAGCATCCATGCTAACTGGAGAAAATTTTGCGAGCCCGTTCATGCGACGAGATTCGGGTTTCTTAGGAGTCTTTGGTTGAAAGAAATCATGGGGCAGTTTTGACACCGCATGTGAGACGCTCCCACGGGAAGAACGGGGTTGTTTCCGACCTAATCCATCAGTGGGGACCGAAATCGAAATTGAAGACCTCTGTGAGCTTGCAGAAGGATATTCGAATGGTGGAGGCTGCAGTGTCTCCTTATGAGTTCCGAAGGAAGGAAACAGTCTATTGTAGATATTTTGAGGAAACTCGATATATTTGTCAGGAATTCTGATGTGCTTGTGCACAAACCCTAGCGTGGCTCCACAGTAAACTCCTGTGAGAATTCCAACGACTAAGAGTGTGATGAAGTACTGAATGCAAAGGGTGCCTGTAACAGCCGCCAAATGGATGTTGACATGGCGCAGGTCGTCAAGAGATGCACCATAAATTAGCATAAGCAACAGGTTTGTGGGCAGAAAGAGAATACGAAGCACATTCTTGGTAATGATTTGGGCCGGTGAATAACAAAATAATGTAAACATTTTCATCGCCGGTCGTAAGAACGACCTGTAAAACAGCAATGCGCTGGCTTCCACCACTCGGTTCATTGTTATAATGACTCTCTGTAGTACTTGACTCAGCTTCAGAACTTGTGCAAAAAGTCCCATGACGGCTGACGCGTCATTCGCTGGAAGCATTGTTTACTATGTTTCGATGTCTTGATATTTCTTGTAAAAGCCCTTGAGATGTCAATTTCTTAAATTATATAGTTACCCTCCCGACAAGAAGTATCACTATATATTATTTTAGGCTTTGTGAGAGAATTACACCAGCTTGCCAGACGGTATGAAGGTCAAGCAGAAGCCAAACTATCGGTCGATAAGGATATCGTCACCTGCATTAAGGTTACTTTATGCCCCTTCTTTCAATTGCTTTGGCTACCAATTAGTACTTTTTTCAAGATCTCCTGTTTCTGCCCCAGTTTCTTAACTTCTATAGACTCATGGGTTCTAATTATGGAGAAGATCAAGCCAGGAAACGCAATTCGCCAATTTGATACATCGGTGAGGCCGCGTTGCCTGGATCGTGTGGGTTCAACAAGCATTGCCTGCGAACTTTTTTCTGAACAGGTTATTGTTGTCTCTCTATATACTCGGCGCAGAGCCTAGCTTTCATGTTGCGTAGCTTGTCATGTATTGTTCAAACTCAGAGAGTGCCATGGCGGCCGTAGCGTAAAGGCCGGAATTCCATCACTCTCTATTGAACTCTCACAACTCTTGAAAGCGACCGCTCCGGCTGGAGACATAATGATGTTGCAATTGAGCGTTGGCAACTGCAAGAGTCGCAGAAGTTCTCGGGGGGCATTAAATATGGGAAGTCGATTCAATGCCGCACTAGAAAAGAACGCAAATAAAAAGCTTTCAAGAAAACACCATATTTTACCGAAAGCGCTTGTGTCCAGCTAAATATCAAACATCATAGTTTGTGGAAGACTCGGACGGACAAGAGTCAAGCTCGAGGCCACCTGGACGACGAACTTCTACGTGCTTTTACCTCAAATACCTGGCAATGACATTTGAATCACGTGATTTTGTATTGACGGGTTTCGACTGGTTCCTGAGGCTAAACATGGAGCAATTGGAGCCAACTCAGGTAGAAATCTGATTTGTAATCTTCAATAGTAGGATTTCGTCTTTCAGTCTGATTGTTCCTTTTCATGGAGTATATATCTTTTATGTTTTTCGAAGATTAATAGACATTGAAATGAGGGTCATGCTACTACATTACAAAACAAATATAGCAACAACACACCCCAGAAAAAAAAAGAACGCTGAAGCTGTCAAGCCTATCTATATTAATTCATGGGTTTCAGGCTTCCTGCGCCCTTCACAAAAATGTTCGATTTTTTCTCATCAATTTTGCAATTTTTACCCGTTTAAAGCCCAAAATATTTCGTAATAATGCGGAACTTGGCAACAATCACACTTTGAGTTCAGAATTCCGCTCACACAGGCAAACTACGGATAGTTCTGGATCTAATTTGAAATTGTTGACGTAGTTTCTTTAAATGTTCGCAGTAGACAAGCCTTTCCGTATGAAGTGAAGAAAAATGATTCATGAATCGACGATGAGCTGAAGGTCCGCGCATCGAAAAAAAATTTTCCAATCAGTCATTGAGTCAGTCTGAATATGTATAAAATGAGTCTTGTTAGTTTAGCCCAAGTCGAATTTACATCGTCCTGAACTCCTGAAATAAGCAATGCTTAGATTAGGTACGAGGTGTAAGCTTTTGGGGAATTTGCCTGTAAGGTACAGTTCCTCCTCAACGTCGGCACTTGCATACAAGCAAATGCATAGAAACAAAAGTCGTCCTCCACTACCAACTTTGGAAACTCCGTCGTGGAGCGCAAACTCAGCAGTGTCTTCGATCCTTTACGAAACGCCTGTGCCCTCCAGAGAAGCTAAAAATCAGCATGTTCTGAATTGTTTGGTCCAGAATGAACCCGGTGTTCTCTCGAGAATCAGTGGAACTTTAGCGGCAAGAGGGTTTAACATAGATTCCCTCGTTGTTTGCAATACTGAGGTAAAGGATCTCAGTAGAATGACCATTGTGCTCCAGGGCCAAGATGCAGTGATTGAACAGGCAAGAAGACAGATTGAGGACCTAGTGCCCGTTTTTGCCGTTCTCGACTATTCTAATTCAGACATTATCAAGAGGGAGATGCTGCTGGCTCGTATTTCTTTGCTTGGAGCTGAGTACTTTGAGGATTTGATTCATCACCACGAAAAGTCTACTTCAGGAAGCAGCCCCGCTACCGAAACCGCTATCGAGGAAACAAGAGGCAAGAAATATCACCCACTCAACTTGCCTTTGAGCGAAGTCTTGAGAATGAAACACGAACATCTCAACGACATAACGAACCTTGCGAAAAACTTTGGCGGCCGCATTGTTGACATAAGTGATACAAACTGCATTGTCGAATTGAGCGCCAAGCCATCGCGTATCTCCTCTTTCTTGAAACTCATCGCGCCTTTTGGGGTTCTAGAAGTTGCAAGAAGCGGCATGATGGCCCTCCCAAGAACCCCAATTGAGGGCGAACTCGAAGAAGATGTCGAGGGACGCATCAATGAGATTGTTGATTTATCTCAACTTCCTCCAGGTTAAACCTTACGCTAGCCATGCACGCTCTATGTATATCAGAAATAAAAAGTCTTCGCTTCCATGACAATGTGATTGTTTAGGGATATGTACAGGATCATGAAAAAGCACTATCACAGTTTTGACAAAAATGCGCTTTTACTTCTGTGAATGGTGGTCACTCTGCTGCCCACATCATCAAACCGATTTATTGTTAGCACGCCTTTACCTGTTTTGTTGGTCACGGCGAAAGTTTCTGGCCGAACAGGCTTGAGGAATTTTCGGGCCAATTTGAGCTCGTCTGATTTTGTGAGGAAGCTAGAAGCCCCTTTGAGTAGATTTTTTATAGCTTGAACGTCTTTCTTGGTGGAGAGAGTTGTGTTGAGAAGTTGCTGAGTCAATTGAGCCCTGCGTTGTTGCTTTTCCTGTTCGGAGACAAAGGCAACAATGTCTAACTTGTTGTCGAAACTTATAGATGAGTTAAGAGTGTCAACGGCTCCCTTGAGTAACACCACTTGTTGACTCACCAACTCAGCAGACAATTCTCTCTGTTTGGCAGCGAGCTTAAGTTCTTGCTCGGCATAGAAGAGAGCGTTGTATTGAGCTTCTGATAAAGAGAATCCATTCTTTAGAAGAGAACGCAGACGAATCACATATGGAATGCACACTTTCAATTGATTTTCTTCAAGAATAATGCCCAATTCACTCAGACGCTTTGTGAAATTTGACGCCAATTGTTGACGCCTAGATTCACGAGCCTCAAGATCCTTCAGGATAGAATCCCGCGCTAGGTATTCTTTACGACTGAGGGAGTTTTCCTCTTTTGTCGCCGCCGCTCCATCCGTTATTAATTGACGTCCAAAGCGCCTTACGCGTGGTTCAAAATGTGGTGTGGGAAGCTTTAAATCTGGTCTAAGAGCCACGCCTATAAAACGACGTTTTGGGTGGAAAGGATCCAAGTAAAATCTCACAAACCCTGGCTCTAACGCAAAAATCGTATGATCTTTACCAATTCCTACGTTTTCTCCAGGATAGAATTTAGTTCCTCTCTGTCGCATCAAAATTTCGCCAGGTCTGACTGGTTGGCCCTCATGCTTTTTCAGCCCCAGTCTGCGGCCCGCTGAGTCCTTCATGGAGGTTCTGGAACCGGCAGCTTTTTTCGTAGCCGTACGAACCTGGTTCAAAACATGAACCGAAACGCCTGACAGCGGTCTCCAAGACGTCAGACCTCTCAACATCTCCGGTTATTCGTCTTCTGCAACTAGGCGAATTTGGTTGAAATACTGAAAGTTTTCGCACTTTTCAATTATTCTCGAAAGTCACGTGAATAGTGACCGGCCAAATTAAAATTAATCTCGTGATAATGATATCTGGTTCCTGAAATCATCATATAAATACTCATATTAATGGATGGGCAATGGGATATCGTGATTACTTCACTCAAGGAGTTATACAGTGCGCAAGATGCTACAAGTTTTGATGACTCCGTGAATGAAAAGCGCGCAAATTTCCAAAACATGACGCTGGAACAGTTGGAACCTCAGTTGCAAAACTTCGAGAGACACGCCGGTGTTTTGGACACTGCGCGCAAGCTGATAGAATCTATTAAAGTAAATCTTGAAGTCGTCATTGAGCATGTTAAGAGACAGGAAGATGAAGTCGCTGCTGAGCTTGCGAAGACAAACCCAACAGGGGATTCTATCGGCAGATGTTTCTGGTCCAGTCCGTTCAATCCAAGTGAACCAGTACTCGTGGGTTCTGAAGTGGCTTTCAAGCCTAAACGCGGCGGAGAAGGCGAATGGTTTGAATGTCAAGTAACAAAAATATCTGACGATGGGACGCGCTACGAGATTCGTGACCCAGAGCCTGACGAGTATGGGAACCCGGGACAGATTTACAAATGCAGTTGGAAAGATATCATACTGATACCCCCGGCTAGCCTTTCGAAGAGTCAATTACCAAACTATCCTCCAGGAACCAAGGCTTTGGCGCGATATCCGGAAACGACGACTTTCTATCCTGCCGTAGTCACAAGTACTAAACGCGACGGAACTTGTCGTTTACGGTTCGAGGGAGAGGAAGAGGTCGATAAAGAGACCGAAGTTATCAGGCGATTTGTTTTGCCTTATCCAACGAGAAGATGACGAAAAGATTTCGGCTGGAAGCATAAATGAGCTGTCATGTGAGCATGGTTTTGGCTTATGACTGAACAATCATCATTTTACGTTTGTAGATGTAGCAGTTTAATGAAAAGAAGGGTTTATTATAATCAAGATACTAAAATGGCAGTTAGCCGGTGACAGCGAAGCCTGCTTGCAGACATGAAGGTCGGTACAAGAACAAGGAATCCAACCTATCGGATGTCAATCTCAAGCCTGTGTATTTCCCGTCTCTAGTAGACGTTAAAGATGCGCTTCTATCATGTGATGCTTTCAGGGTATGAAAACAGCTTTCCGGGTTTATTAGCTCCCTCAAAACATAACCGATATTGAACCTAATGATATTTAAGATGCTAGTCCATGGTATTAAGCTCATTTTTGGAATAGTGATTGTAGTTGGCGCTTTAGTTTTAATTCACCGAAGAAATGAGAGTTTCAGTATGCTTACCTTCTGAGATGCTCATCGTGTTATTATAGTACTAACAAATGTAAAGGACGATTGACAGACCGATTTGCTTCAAGAGTCACCAATAGATTTGGACGAAGAATACAACTCAATGAGAGCTTTGCAGGAGATGTCGAGGCAGGATTAAATTCTGACAATTTTGATGTTTTACACCATAACGAACACGACGAGCGAAATGGCCTTGATGATAAAGCTAAGAATGACATCAAAAAAATCATGATGGACAAAAATTTGAGTTTCGATGAGGCACGGCTAAGCTATATGAGAGACACGTTCACTGAACATGGGATAGCTCAAGACGGAACGCCGAAAGATCCTCGCACCGTCACTTTCGCAAGAGACTGATTTGCGAAGTGTGATTAATTACATAACGTCTCGCCTAAGGTTCTCTTTTTTTAAGGGAATCCTAATAGCAGATTTTTGGTAAAACAGGGCTGAACGCTTTTTCAAACATTATGATTTCACTGTCAGAAAACTATGCAGAAATTTACAGCATTCACAGTACCTTGTACTTTTCACACTATGTCCGTCTAATCTGTAGAAACAGTTATGAATGCAAAAGAGAATCATTAACCTTATATTACTCTTTGACTGAAATGAGAGCCAGATTGACCAAAATCAAATCGTTATTTTTTGAAAAGGTCCTGTAGATATGCATAGTCTGCTGAAATGGCGAGTTCTTCTACTGTCGAATCTGGTTCTTCCGGACTCAGATTCGTGTTTGCTGCGTATCTTTTTAGCTTGTTTCTATTCAAAATGCTCAAGCGCTGGAAAACGTTGTCCGGCTGCTTACTGAGATCGAAAATGTCAATTTTACTCGGAGAAACCCACATTGGCTCGTCTGTTTCACGAACATCTCCCTTTTTTATCGATAATCTTCTTCCTTCAACGTCATTAGCATTGTCTGCGCAAGAGTAAAAAGTATCGCTCGAGGGTTCAAGTTTCGGAAGACGATAGAAAATTGGCTCTCTATTAGTAAAAGCTGTGATCATGTGTTCATCCATTGATTGCGAGACGCTTTGAGCACCAGGTGAGGGCGGAACATCGATATTATCTAGTGTCAAATGGAAAGAACTAAAATCGAGGTCTTCCAGTATTGGCTGCCGTCCGTCAGACGAAAAGTTTAGTTTGTTAGACTTGGGGCGCTCAGAGATCTGAAGGAGATCTTTCTCCGCTGCAATATTTTTTGAGTCTTCAAGCTGCGAAGAGATGGCTTCCTTGAAATCTGGCTGCTTGGCTGGTAAATAGAGCTTGACGGAATCGAAAGAAGCTGGCCGACTTAAAGGTTCCTGAGAATTGAAGCTGAGCTCTACAAGTCTCCTATTAAAATCATTTTTCAAAAATGATTTGCTCAGACTTGACTCAGCACTTTCTCCCTGAATCTTGGCCCTGTATGTCATTAGAGCTTCCTCATATGTTGAATCATTCGATGGTGTGTTGTTTGCCATTTGCCTGTCGATATGTGGACTTGATACGTCTTGCACTGACGACAAAGCAGAAGGAATGAAAGGGTCCTGTTCCATAATTCCTTTAGTTGCGGTTGGGGATGAAAAGCCCATTGGAAAATCAAGCTTTCGACGAGAGGCATCCCGGACGTTCGGATTCGAGGCTCCCGAGTGTCCTGTTTTTTGAATTGCGTTGGTGGCCCCATCAAAAGACGAGTTTAGAACATCGCGGTTTTGGAGAGACGTTACATCTTCTTCGTCAGGAAATTCATCTATGTTCCTCAACGACGCCTCGCTAGATAAGCGGCGCCAATTGGAAAATTCATCGTTCGCATCTAGAACTGTCCTCATGCTGTCAAACAAGTCTCGAAACGATGCTGACTTACTTAAAAATTGCTGAGGAAATTCTGGCAGCTTGAACGCTTCTTGAGTATCCTCACTCACTGTCTGGACCGCACCGGCTTCTACAACATTTTTATCATGTACATCCATTCTCGAAATTGCAGAAATTTCGTCGGAGGATTTCACAGTCGGCTGCAAAACCTCTTTCCCAGACAGGGTGTTAGCCCCAGATTGCTCATTCTCTGTCTCTGGTTTTTCATTTTCCAAAACATCCGAATCTTGGCTTTTGTCATAGTGTTCTTGCTCTAGAGATTCATTTTTGAGCACCTCACCATAGAGGTCGTCATTGAATAATTGACTCTCGCGCCGCTTCTCTGCTAGCAGTCTTTCCGAATCTTCTTTTGCCTCGGATTGCGATTTTCTGGTCGAAGAACGTAAGCTGGATTTATTGGACCCAGCTCTTACTTTTCTCGACAACGGACTTTCTAGTTTGTCAGCTGTCTTCTTTATATTCTGATCCTTATGAGGCGGGAAAGTTGTCACACCCGGTGATAGACTCGTTGGTCGTTTTCCCTCGACAGAAAGAGATTGGTTTTGTTCTTGTTTCTTGTCCGAAAGCTCGTGAAATGGATGAGAAGTATGATTCTCGGTATTAAGACTCAAAACTTCCTTGGAATTTCCGGACGGCCTTCCCTGGCTGGTGTTTTTATTCTTAAGCGGTCGCTGCGACCTGGAATTTGTTTGGGCATCTTTGGAAAAACCATTGCCCGCAAAACCGATTTTTCCATTGCCAGATCTCGAACTTTCAACTGTCTTTTCTTTCGTCTGCAGGCCGCCACGAAGCATCCTAGCTAATTTTGAGAAAATAGAATACTTTTTCCTCCGCGTTACTTCTCTTACTGAGGGTTTGCTCCCAGTGTTCAGGATTGGCTGGCTTTGCTTTGCCTTCACGACGCTAGATGTTTTGATCACCTGTGACATCGATGCCTTTGGATTAGATGGGATCATTTTTGGGACTTCCTTTTCTTCGCGCTCTTTCATGTCGCTGACAGCGCTTCTAAACGTAGTAATTGTACCGTAGGAGCGGGTGAGATGGTGTCCTGGTTCAAATTCCCTTGCCGAAATGAGCTTTTCATTTTCCGAGCCCGCTTCGTCAGCCGCTGAATGTTTGCCTATTTTTTTGACGAGGTTTTGATTGACATGCAATAGACTATCAGCGTTCGACGACCAGAGCGAATAAAGATATTTGTTGTAATATTGTTTTATAGTCTTAACGACCTCTTCAGGCAAACTTGCGATAGCAGTGAGAGTCTTATTTGTCTCTCCCTCTGCGGTTAAAGTGACCAGGTTCACTGCGCGGTTCTCGTCGAAGGAAGCAAACATGGCGACTTTCAAATTGTGCTTTTGCAGTACAACCGGAGACGCCGGAATATTAAGGAATAGGGCAAATGGACATTTGATGTGCTCGCTAGTGTATGCACTGAGCTCGTGGACAGTGGAATACATTTTGAGCTTGTCTTGAGAGAATTTGAATAAATGGAAGGCTGTACTCTTTTCTAAAACTTTTGCCTTGTTAACCAGATCAACGAGCTTGAAAGGCGTTACATTCGATAGAGGCACATATGCAAAACAGTTGGAATTTTCACCAGAAAATACGTCTAGTCTCAAGTGCTTTGAGCCGTAGGTGGAGGCAGTGACGTCGTCTATGTAGGAATGGAATGCAACTTGTAACTCAGGAACTTTGGGAGGCAAAGGTTGTTCATTTATCAAAGAGTTCATTAGGATATCCGAGATGGGTAATTTGTTGATTTCGGAACCGTAATATGCCGTGCTCTCAACAATATTTAATACCACGATAAAATCGCTGAATATTACCAAAATATTTCTTACTGATTGATCATTAGCATCCAGGACATCAAAAACACCAACGACTCGCCTTTTGAGCCATTTACGTTGTAGTTCCGAGGGCCAACCCTTAGCCAACTCGGTTAAAATTTTGCCCGAAGGTGTAAAGACTCTGGTGCTATAAGCACTTAGAGGACCATCTAACTTCCCAAATGAGTCAATAACATCGACAATGTTGGTATAGTAACTTTCAATTTCTTCAGGACAATTCCAGTCACCTTTTTCCCAGAGTCTGTCGATTATGAGTTTGATTTTTAAAAGCTTCTCTTGAGGCCCTCGCACCAGACTTTCAATTTTCAGTTCTGTATATGTGTCCTTACTTGGAATCCTGCTCGCAAATTTGGACATGAACAGCTTGATATCTTTAGAGAAGTTTTTAGTGGCAGCTTCGTGCCTAGTATAGGCCTTATAAAAATAAGGAATCGTGACACTGCATGCTTTAAGAGTTTCTAAAGCTCCAAACTCAGACGCCGTTTTGAGTGCATCCAAAAAGATGCAATTTATTCTCGTTACTTCATCGATGGTTGGTGGGAACAACCGATTCAACTTGGGTATTGATAAGCCCTCTATTTCTCCATTAGAGATTTCAATGCGAAGTGGGATGAGGAAGTTCTGTAGAAATTGTACTAGGGAAAGAGTGAAACTCGTTTGAAGCTCCAAAAGTTCCTCACAAATGGCGTTCATCAAAAAAGTGTCTTTTCCGAAATGTTTCTCCTCGTCCGCAGGCGCTTTATACACATATTCAGTCTGTTCAGGAGAATACTCAATGAGCGGATTGAATAAGTGCTCCAGTTGTTCTCCCAGATGGAAAACTAACTCATTACTGCGATCGATGGTCTCGGGCACATTTTCGTAAACTACGTCCAGTAAGATAGAATTCACAAATCTATTCTGTAGAAGTCCATAATTGGCAAAACTTTCACCCAGCTCTCCAGGAGAGCAATTGGAAAAAAGCTGACAACTGCTCGCTAGGTCACCCGCTACAGTCGGATCGTAGTCGTATTTCATGTCAGGGTTCAAAATCTCGATGGCTTCAGCAGGTAAATCGACATATTTCTGCAAAAGTGACACCGCGATACATTTTCTGACCCTTGAATTCTTATGTTTAGGAGCAAGATTCTCAATTGCCGGATAAAACCTCGATTCGTGTGATATATCCAAAGCCTTTAGCATTGTTACACCAAACCGATCCAGCATCAAACTCTCAAGTCTACCGCTTAAAGGATTTTTGAAAACGGCAATCAGGAAATCTTTCCATATTAATTCATCATATCCTCTGAACACCGCAGCTTTTGGAAAAACAGTGCCAATCCAATCAACTTTGACCTGAACATCATTTTTATTACCATCCAGAAACGCGCTGTTTAAGTTATTACCGAGTCTCACCAAATTTCTATCCAAATCCGTCACGTCCCGTTCCATAGATTCCATGAGGTTGACAGTTGATACCCGGATCCCGTCGCTTTGTCCATCTTTCCGCATCGTGGGATGCCCTTATGTTGTTGACGATGCTATTATTTACATCTTCAATTTTTTTCCAAGATCTTTCATCTCTTTCAACTAGAAACTGATGATGTCCCGAGATGTCGAGATATATCTATGCCAAACTACAACCGGAGTCGACTAGAAAGCTTCTGTTACTTACTCCCGACATTCTAGAAGCTATAAAAAGTGGGCAAAAAATCGAGTTTAAAGCTTTACAGGAAACTCAGCAAGTTGTGCTATGTTCTGAAGAGAAGACTTGGTCTTTAAGACAAAAAAATCATTCTAATACGGTGTTTTTAACGAGAGAGTTTTTACCAGATGCAGACGAGGAGGGACCGGAGTTGAATGACGCTGTGTCGCATCATCTTGGGTTTTCCCGACAGTCTTTCGAGCTAGAACCGAAAATCAGCGCTGGAGAAATCAATGTAAATCACTTGCCCATATATGACGGAGAAAACCGAGATTTGGTGAAAAGTTCTACAGTTGAAAAGTTGATGGAATCGTCTCCATGCTCCATGAAAGAGTTCCAAACGAAATGGTATGCGGCCGGAGGATGTACCATCAACGGTGCGGCGTGTTTGCTGACACACGGGTTTTTATCAAGGGCATTGCATTTGACTATAATGAGTTGCATGGCAGAATCCATTGATCTGGACGATTTGAATGTGCGTGAGACCTTCGAGGCAGTAAGCAAGGACATAAGCGAAGCAGGCGAATTCAATCCGTACACACAAGAAGTCATCGAGACAGTGATAGGGAAATTTTGCCAGCAAGCACCAGATGGGAAACGATCGCTTGATCGCAAATCCGTATCGAAATGGTATGGCATAACCGCATTGAAGAAATTCGCCGCGAAGCAGCCTTTGAGTCATGAAGAATTCATGATTAAATGGAAATCTCAGTTTCCGCCCTATTTTAACTGCAATCTGGACATCTCTCTGTTACAGGGCCATTTCTTCCGGCCATTAGCATCCTCCATACATTATCTTTCGAGATCGACGCTGCCCGACGATGTTAAGGACAGATTTAAATATCTCTTCAAAATCCAATCGGTCTGGGACTTGGAAGACATTCAACCTCTAATTGAAGATTTGAATACATCGGGGCTTAAAATCGACAGCTTCGTAATGAAATTCGCTCGACGCAAACGGCAAGGTAAACGTACAATTGTAACGAGCCGATAACAGGCACAGGGAGTCATGAACATTGTATAGTTCGTCTATAAGTTTCAATAAAAAGCTATCAACAGGGAAATCACTTATGTGCTTGAGAGCACTGAATGCATTGTCTCGTACACTCCCAAGAAAACGGCGCCTCCAGCACTTATCCACATGGTACGCGGCCCAATTCCTCTGAAAAAGACTTTCCATCCCTCTTCGCGATATATGGATCTTGCAAGCTGGCCTACAGGTATGGATCTCTCGTGGAGCATGAGTCTCGTTTTCAGCACGTCTAATGGAGTTGTCGCGGCAGCCGCGACACCGCCTGCGAAACAACCACAGAGGGATCCTTGCCAAGGCGCCACATGGGTCCGACTCTGCGCCTGCGCCCAGGTCTTTTTCAAATATTCATACAGAGGGAATTGGACGCATGTGAACGGGATTTCTCGCATGATTGTCGTTGACCATCCGCGATATAGGTTCTTCCGGATCCCTTCACCGTTTTCGTTTCTCAAAAGCCTGGAGAGGGTCTGAAAAGACGAATCCGACTTGTGTGTTTGCGTACGTTGCTTGATAACCTCAGCTGGCACTCGTACCATACAAGCTGCAATTTCACCAATCGACGACGACACCATATGCGTCACAGTGTCAGCCGTTTGCGCACTAGATGTAAACACTTTGCCCATGTAAGGCCGAACGTACGCCTTCATGGAATCGTAAGTGACAAAAAACAGCGAGGCTCCAGGCGCACTAGCTACAACTGCGCTGCCTAAACCTCTGTATACTCCTCGGTAACCACCATTGGCGAAAAATCCACCTGCAGCTTGAAGACGGGTCTTCAGAGTATCAATGGGGAAGAAAACTATATCAGTTGACGTCCCAGCGGCTGCTCCAGCAAGCAATGATACAATGAAACCAGAGTTTTCCATTTCCACCCTGCTGGCTATGTCCTCTTATATTTTGATATAGATCTCGATAGGCGCTCCTTTAATTTTCAGACTGAAAAATGACGATAACCAGCCGAAAGGACTATTTGGACACCTCCTTGATCTATGAAACTGCGTTACGTCATTGAGATTCACGTCCTTGTTCTACTTATCTGGGCAGGATGACATCGATATAAATGAGCAGTCACATCATAAACTACAGATTTTTTACAACGCACAGCAGGCTTGTTGAATCGATTGTATTCAGCTTGCCTTAGCGCAATTCGCACCACAGGAGGACCAAGGCATCTACAAATACAACTTGGTGCAATACCAGTTGCCCCTCTTTGACCGTCAACAGGGTACTGCCCACCGGGTCGTAACGGGTCAAAAGTTACGCCGATTGAAAAACTGCAAGAGGACTAAACAAGAGAGCGGTAAACACAATCAATACGGTCGCAGCTGTCGTCTGTTGAAAGCCAAAGTCCCCTGCATCTGGCTCTCATCGACAGCGAAGAAACTAAAAAGTTGATCAAGATCAATTTAAAAATCGATCACCAGAGAATGTTGTTAATTTTCGTATGAGCGTACAAACTGGTTTTTTTCCAAGATTTGTCACTTAAGCGATCACGGTTTACTCATCTCTCCGACTTCTGATAGTATTTGAATAGAGTAAAAGTCAAGTTAAGAGAACCATGTTGAGGGCAATAGCAAGGTCGAATGTGTTCAAACAACACAGGGCTTCGTTTAAAGCTGCCAGATTTTACGCGACCGCGAAAGTGGCACTGGATGCAAAGTTAGAGACTCCAACGGACGTAGAAGGGGCTGCGCAGGAGTTAGCGCAAGTACGGGCGACTACAGAGCAAGTGAAGGCCTCTACGAGCAATGCGTTGAAACATGCGTTCCAAGAGAAGACCGGGTTTGGAACCAGACCCATTTATTTGGATATGCAGGCGACAACGCCTACGGATCCTCGTGTCTTGGACACGATGTTAAAATTCTACACAGGCTTGTACGGGAATCCGCATTCCAACACACATAGTTACGGATGGGAAACACACAAAGAAGTGGAGAGTGCTCGTCAACACATCGCGAACGTGATCAACGCGGATGTGAAAGAGATAATTTTCACGTCAGGTGCAACCGAATCTAACAATATGGCGTTGAAAGGTGTAGCTCGATTTTACAAGAAAACGAAAAATCATATCATAACCACTAGAACCGAGCACAAGTGTGTACTAGAAGCCGCACGGTCGTTGAAAATCGATGACATCGACGTGACGTTTTTGAATGTCGATGACCAAGGTATGGTCAACTTGGAAGAGCTGGAATCGGCCATCAGACCCGAAACGTGTCTTGTCTCGGTCATGGCTGTGAACAACGAAATTGGTGTCATGCAACCCATCAAGGAAATCGGTAAGATTTGCAGAAAACACAAGGTTTTTTTCCACACCGACGCAGCACAGGCATACGGTAAAGTGCCCATTGACGTCAACGACATGAACATCGACTTGCTTTCGATTTCTTCTCACAAAATTTACGGTCCTATGGGTATCGGTGCCATTTTCGTACGCAGAAGGCCCAGAGTCAGACTGGATCCAATCATTTCGGGAGGCGGTCAAGAGAGAGGTTTACGGTCAGGTACCCTTGCCCCTTCTCTGGTTTCCGGTTTTGGTGAGGCTGCTCGACTTATGCAAAAGGAGTATGCTGCCGACACTGCACACATTCGTAGACTGTCGGAAAAACTTACAAGGGGCTTACTCTCGATTGAGCATACTTCATTGAACGGGTCTCCCGAACATCACTATCCCGGTTGTGTGAATGTGTCGTTCGCATACGTCGAAGGTGAGTCATTACTTATGGCATTGCGTGATATCGCTTTGAGCTCAGGCTCTGCCTGTACTTCTGCATCGTTAGAACCCTCATATGTCCTGCATGCATTGGGCAAAGACGACGCATTGGCACATTCCTCCATTCGTTTTGGTATTGGTAGGTTCACCACCGACGAAGAAATTGACTACGTGATCAAAGCCATAACCGAGAGAGTTGCGTTTCTACGTGAATTGTCTCCTTTGTGGGAAATGGTGAAGGAAGGAATTGATCTTAACTCCATTGAATGGTCTGGTCATTGAAAGTCGCCGATTGCGAATTGCAAATTCCTTTATGGTCATTAACATATATTCTTTCTGATCCTTTTATATCGTTAAATTAGCTTAAATTTACATTTATGCCAATAGTTTCTTGACGGCTTCTGCGATAGCGTCACCCACTTCGGTGGTGGAGTTGGTGCCTCCAAGGTCACCGGTTCTGATACCGGCGTCAATAACTTGGCCCACAGCGGTCTCAATGGCTTTACCTTCTTCGACCAAGTCTAGAGAAAGTTTTAACATCATGGCAGCAGATAGGATAGTAGCCACAGGGTTAACTTTACCCTTTGGTAGATCAGGAGCAGACCCATGGCAAGGTTCGTAAAGACCGAAGGCAGTGTTCGTGTCTGGCAAAGAAGCCAAAGACGCAGATGGGAGTAGACCCAAAGACCCGGGAATGACAGAGGCTTCGTCGGAGATAATGTCACCGAACATATTGTTGGTGATTATAATACCGTTTAGTTGGGTTGGGTTCTTGACTAGAATCATGGCTGCAGAATCAATGAGTTGATGTTGGACCTTCAACGTTGGGAACTCGTTCTTGATAGTTTCTTCGACAGTTTTACGCCATAGACGAGACGAAGCAAGCACATTGGCCTTGTCTAGAGACCAGATAGGAAGGGGAGGGTTTTGTTGGAGTGCAAGGAACGCAGCCATACGGGTGATACGTTGAACTTCAGGAACAGAGTATTTCTCGCTGTCCCACGCAACACCGTCACCGGTGTCTTCCTTACGTTCTCCAAAGTAAATGCCACCGACCAGTTCACGCACAACGACGAAATCGGTACCACGCGCATGCTCGGCTTTGAGAGGTGACAAAGAAAGTAGAGACTCAGAGGCAAAATTGCAAGGTCTGAGGTTGGCATACAGCCCCAATTCTTTACGAATTTTGAGCAAACCTTGTTCTGGTCTGACAGCTCCAGTGCCCCATTTTGGACCACCGACAGCACCCAAAAGAACAGCAGACGCATTTTTCGACGCTTCTAGTGCGTCTTCAGGCAATGGGACGCCCGTAGCGTCAATTGCCGCACCACCAATCAAGTGGTTTTCAAACTCGAATTTCACACCGGGACGCACTTCAGAGATGGCCTTGAGCACTTTGATAGCCTCATCGGTGATTTCAGGACCAACGTGGTCACCGGACAACACAACGATTTTCTTAGACATGATATTAGCAATGGTTCCTATGGGATCCTAGTCGTTCCTAGTGAAAGGTTCAGTAGCTTATACCTTCTTTCACTTATATATACTTCTCTCGCCTGTCATTATGGCTACAGCTGGTCGTGATGCGTTTTCTGAAAAATTTTGGCCGGTACCGGTATATATAAAGCCGACACCGGTATAATATTGTCACGTATCACGAGGAAATATCGAAAATCAATTTCAAGTAGCCGCTGAAGTCAACTCATCAACTTCTCAACTTGTCAACTTTTCAGAATCTTTAGAAGAATAAAAAAGTCTTCGACTTTTGCTGGACGAAAATGCTATTGAGTAATGCATCAGTGAGTCGGAGCAGAGCTCGTACCGCCGCGAATCCAGAACCCGGCTTGGACCTTTGGCTGATATAATCCATGATCAAGGAGCTGGGAACTCGTTGAAACGGTTCAACAGTCGTTAGGAAAGCTGGTCGTAGATACAATGAAGCAGACCGTTTTTGATGAATCGAAGAAAATGTGAATTGGGTTTTAATATACAGCACAAGATATTGTCAGTTATTGGCAATCAAGACGTGAGCCCAGCCAACATTGATGATTACTACTCAGCAAATAGTTCGGACCGAAGAGCGGCTGATGCACGCAGTGCAGGAGAAGTCCGGCCGCAATTTTTGACCGGAAATGCATAAAAATTGAAAGGAACAGTTTCTTGAAGGTCTCAGTTCAAACGGGACACCAGAGAGTCAATATCGATCTCAACAAGTGGTGCACCTGCAGCATTGGACACAGGTCCTACACGTTGACGCCATTCCCGCTGTCTCAAGCGTTGCAGTTTACTCAAAGCACTGAATCCCGAAACTTCTCTGCTTAATGCAATAGGTTGCAAGAAAAACACACATTTCGCGAATTGGTCACCAAGCGAAGTGATCTCGTGGACAATGTCTTCGACGCAGATTATGCCTTCGTCGCCCAGCTTGGCCTCGACGAAATTGTTGTCGTTCAGCGGAACCGTGGTTTCGCCGTCCTGTACACGACCTCTTTTCTGGACCAAAGCACGCACCGTCGCAGGAGATGGTTGTCCTACTACCACGTAAGGAGCTACCAAACGCAACAAAGCAAACACGGACGATGTAAGTTGCACGAAAACACCTGTGTCCAACTGTTTCAATCTTAGCAAACTCAGCACACGAGCAGCTTTGTGCGGTATACGTGCCGCAGTGGGTCCGCGTACACGAACAACGAAAAGAAGTTTGGGTTCTCCATTGTACGAGACCTTAGTTGAGTTTAAAGCTTCGTCCCCATCATCAGCTGGTCCAGCATCATCCACACGCAGCATAAAATCCCTCTGCGTTGGAACATGCGTTGTTTCTCCACGTGCACGCTTTACGGCAAGCTTAGAAGCACGCTTCTCACGTTCACGTTCACGCTCAGATGCCAAACTAGCCGCAACAATCGTCTCTGCTCTCACAAACTTGTTTTTGGAAGCTCTTTTCCGCTTTTTTTCCAATTCTTTCCTTTCCTGTGCTTTTTCCTGTTTGTCCAAACGAATACGGTCTGCGTTTCTTCTCTTACGCAACAAAACCTCTGGGGTAGTATTCAATGAACTTGACATTTCGGTATCTTTGTTGGTACTATCCGTTACCAGGTCTTACCACGTTCTTCACTTACAGCGATGAGCTATCCACTATCATTGCCTAAGCTCATCGCGATGGTTAAAATTTTTGAAAAATTTAGCTGCTGGGCCATGGAAAAGAAAAGGTTATTAGACGAAAATTTTCTAAGTTTACCGTCGCGAAGAGCGATAACACACGAAACTAGCAAATCAGTGCATTGTTCTACGTTTTCGAAGAAAGACGGGTTTGACAACAACAGATTGTTAGTACTCGTAAGAGAGGTGATTAGCGTGAATTAGCACACAATGAGTGGCGCCAACGAGGCGGCCAATGGCGATAGATGGGCCTCACCAGTAGGAAATGTGGGCACGTTTTTGAACGGCCCTGTACTTGGAAGTGGGAATGTGACGGGTAGAAATGGTATTCAGACCCCTTTGCAAGGAGGAGGACCGATTCAGGTGGGTCCAGGACGTCTACCGGGTCGTTCAGAATCGGTTCCACCGGTAGGGATGAACAATGGCATTGGAATGGGGCAGCAAACGCATATGGCATGGCCTGCTGCTGCTGTTGCACAGCAGCAGCAACAGCAGCAGCGGGCATACGCGAGTCATTTTTTACCTCATGCGACTCATGCTTCGCATGCGTCGCATCATGCGGGTGCGACTAAACAACAATTTGGCTATCAACAGCCGTTTTCACCTTTAGCCTCTGGTTACCTTCCTAGTCCCATACCACAAGGTGGTGGGTCAGAAAAACCAGTCGATGGTAATCAGGGACGCGGGTTTGGTATACATTTGCAGCAACCGGTGCCACAACATGTGCTCACGACGCAACAAATGCCTTTCCACCCGCAGGTTTACTCTATTAGCCCGCAGCCCGTGAATGATAATAAGCGTCGCAGAACAGACGACGTGGGTTCCGAAGCACCAGAAAGAAAAGCCACCCAGGAGGGTACTTTGAAAATGCTCGCGGCGAAACACAAGGCGCGTCCACTTTCAGAATACGCCGCTGTGGTTCGACAAGCTGAAGTGTCGGTTTTGAATATGGATCCTAGCATGCATACTAAGACAGATATTCAGGCCGCGGAACAGAATAGGGAAAGAGAACGTCAGGTTTACGCTTTGATTTGGCTCATGAACACCTGTGTGCCAGAAAAGGACAGTTTTGTACCCAGAGGCCGTATTTTCGCGCAGTACGCGGCAAATTGCGCCCACAATAACCTCAAGCCGCTTTCGCAGGCGTCCTTGGGGAAATTGATACGCACGTTGTTCCCGGATTTGACAACTCGTCGTCTTGGTATGAGGGGTCAATCCAAATACCACTATTGCGGTTTAAATCTTTTGTCGGCATCCAAGGCATCGACTCCGACCCCGTCAGAGACTCCCGACGTATTGAAGAGTGACAATGCTTTTGCCTCCATTGCGAATCAGACTTTGCCCCCCGTGCACTCCAATACCCCCGTGTCGCTTCTGAAGTGGACAGATATCTTTGAAAAAGATGAACTCAGGTTGGCGGCCAAAGCAGAACCTTTCCCTGGCCCTGATATGTCAATTAACATTCCTGCGATTCAACCCTTTTTACCTCCACATACAGACCTTGACATCGCATCCTCTCTTGAATCGCTTTATCGCGTTCATTGCAACACGATTCTCGAGAGTATTAATTTTAAAAAATTTGAGCTTTTGCCCAGTACTCTAGAATCGTTCAGCTCGGCATCCATTTCTCCACAAATGTACAATCTATTCATTTCGGAGAGTCTTTACGAATGGATTTACGAGGCAGACGCGGTCACTTACAAGGCAATCGCGGCAATCTTAACCAAATTTGTTTTCGATTTCAAGAACATTTCACCTGCCGTTTTAACCAAATTGCAGGAACTTTCCAAAACGTATCCTAAAATGGTATCCGACGCAAACATGGATTTGCCGGTACCTGTTGTGTTAAAAAAAGTTCAACTAGCCGAAAGATTTGCGAACCTTGCCGCCAGAGTCACTAGATTAATTCGCGCCGCTGAGGCTGTCTCTTTGATTTTTGCAGATCCTTCAAAAACGTACCAAATGAATCACGAATGGAAGAAGATTGTTGACTTACCTTCTTTGTGTCGGACAGAGATTAAGTGCTGTGCGGAGAACGATGAGAGTCTCACGCAAATTTCCGAATTCATCAGTTCACAGATAGATGAACTGTTTTCGGAAACTGTTTTTTCCGAGAACTCTCAACCTTTCATAAAATTTGGTGGAAATGTAGTTGAGCATTTGAGTTCTTATAAAGAGATTCCAACGAGACTGCTGCTCATGATCGTCGGCAGTTTCGGCTCCTCAATTGTGCGAGAGCTCGCCATAGCGGGCTCAGAGAGCGTTGCATCTTGGCTATCCTTCAAAACGTTTTTGGACGAATGGCTGATTTGGCATGCGGAATTAGGACAGATGCTAGAGTCCTAATTGCGCTCTCGGTTGTAATATTGCATAGTCACACCGATAGTGTGATACATCTTTTTTGATTTTCTATTTCCACAGACATTAATGTACAGTACTTATCAGTTTTAAGATGACGATGATTTGATGTAATTACACATCATTTAATGCCACACAAACCGCGCCTTTGTGGTGACCGCCGTATTGCCTCACGATTTCACGTGTGGAAAGATCCCATAACCTGACGTAGTGGTCCGAACAAGCCGTTACCAAATATGCCGAATCTGCACTAAAGGCACAATCCCAAACCCATCGTTGATGCCCGTCCAGCGTGGTTTTGAGTTGGAAATTGTCCTCTACTGACCATACTCGCGCCGTATGGTCTGCAGAACAAGTGGCTAAATGCTTCACGTCCGAAGAGAGTAAAACCCTCGTAATATATTTGGTATGGGACCGAAACCTCGTCACTGGCTTCAAATTCGCTGCATCCGTGTGATTTGGCATCTGCCATACATAACAGTTCCCCTTGTTGTTACCCGCGACAAGCATGGAACCATCGCTTGCGACAGATAGCGATTGTAACGGCGTATTGTCCTCTGGCGTCAATTGATGCGTACACTGGTTTTCACCTAGGTCCCATATACGGATATTACCGTCTTGATCACAGGATATGAGCTCACCCTGATTGGGATGAATTACGACTTCGTTCACCGGAGCGTGATGCTTGTAATTACGTTGCACAGAAGGTGCCCGCACGTCCCATACTTTAATCGTTCCGTCCTCACTGGATGATACCATCCATTTATTGTCCTGTTGAAACGCTATCGATGTCACGTTTCCGCGATGACCCTCGAAAGACGTCACTGGATTAGGATTTGCGGTTCGTATATCATAAAGTCTAACGTGTAGATACCCACACGCGGCTAAAAACCGTTTGTCAGATGTGATTTCGAGTCGGTTGACCTGTGAATCCGCATGCTGGATCGTGCGAGAACAGACGCCCGTCAACGCCTCCCAAAACCGAATTGTATGATCATAACCAGCCGATGCGAGAATCACTGACATAACTCCACGCAAAACCGATACTATGCCAAACCTCACTGGTTAACTAAGTTCAGATGGATGGACAAGTTTAAATCTTGAAATGAGTATATGACGAGTCGGATTCGTGGAGAGAAACAAAATCACGTGACCAACAGTCACTTATAACGTATTTTTTGAGTCGAGAACGAGTATAATCTAGATTTTTCCAGAATGTTCTATACAAGGGCCTGTTTAAGCTTCTGAAGATCAAGAGATATATATAAGGAAGGAAAGAATAGAGAAACCATGATTCGATAACCCATTTGATACTTTCACGAAACTGAAAATCAAGAGTTCTCGTCTTGGACAGAGCGTTGTTATAGACATTACAAAGATTCTGTGCGTTTGAAATACAAATAATGGTTAAGGATTCGAAACTTTACGATCTTTTGGGAGTTTCTCCCAGTGCAAATGAGACAGAATTGAAGAAAGGTTACCGTAAGGCCGCGTTGAAATATCATCCAGATAAGCCCACGGGTAACGCTGACAAGTTCAAAGAGATATCAGAAGCGTTTGAAATTTTGAGCGACTCGAATAAGCGAGAAATTTACGATCAGTACGGTTTGGAAGCTGCTCGTAGCGGAGGTCCCGCTTTCGGAGGTGGCCATCCAGGAGCGGGCCCCGGTGGTGCTGGAGCAGGATTTGGTGGCGCGGGCGCCCACGCTTTCTCCCAGGAAGATGCATTCAACATTTTCTCGCAATTTTTCGGCGGTGCTTCTGGCGGCGGCGGTGCTTCGCCTTTTGGGTTTGCCGGTGCCGGTGACGATTCATTTGGCGGATTTTCTAGTGGTTTCCCAGGGGGCGGTGCAAGTTTTTCGTCCGGTGGGTTCCCAGGAGGTGCGGGTGGATCAACTCGATTCCGCTCCTCAGGCGGAATGCCCGGCGGATTCAGTTCGGGACCATCGTCTCCACCACATCAAGAAGAAGACACTGTGCAAGTGAATTTGCCAGTCAGTTTGGAGGACTTGTTCGTTGGTAAGAAAAAATCTTTCAAAATAAGCAGAAAGGGTCCCAGTGGAGCCCCAGAAAAGCAACAAGTTGATATTCAGTTGAAACCTGGCTGGAAGGCTGGTACCAAGATCACTTACAAGAATGAGGGTGATTTCAATCCTCGTACCGGTGGTAGACAAACAATGCAATTCATCCTCCAAGAAAAGCCTCATCCATTTTTCAAAAGAGACGGCGCCAATTTGATATACCAATTACCTCTAACTTTCAAAGAGTCTCTGCTTGGATTCTCGAAAACCATCCAAACCATTGACGGAAGAACACTCCCCATATCCAGAGTTCAACCAATCCAACCTTCAGAGACGTCAACTTATCCTGGACAAGGTATGCCTTTGTCAAAGACTCCTACTCAAAGAGGAGATCTCATCGTGAAATATAAAGTGGATTACCCTGTGACTCTCAACGATGCTCAAAAGCGCGCTATTTCCGAAAACTTCTGAGTTTCTTATAAAAGCTCAAGTGTAATATAAACCTTAACGAACTCAGATGACGCATGCTATTTCCACTGCAACATACATAGAACCAACTCACTACCACTACGAAGTAATTATATAAAAGATTAAAAGATGAGTGGTCAACTTTGGCACTAACAAAATGAAATTAGATTACATATACTATTTTTTTTTGGATTTAACTGGAACGGTGTAATTCGGTGAATGCAGCTTTTCCAATGACAACTTATTCAGCAAACTTTATATCTATTTCTTGGACTTCTTCTTCTTCTTTTCGGAGGAGTCATCTTCTTCAGACTTTCTCTTTTTCTCCTTTTTCTCCTTCTTGTCCTTCTTGTCCTTCTTGTCCTTCTTTTCCTTCTTGTCCTTCTTTTCCTTCTTTTCTTCGGTCTCCTTTTCAGGTTCTTCCGTAACGGTTTCTTCGACTTCGGTAACTTCGACTTCTTGTACCAATGGAGCCTTGGTTTCCTCGGTAGATGGAGCAGCATTCACGGCGACTTCGGCGTTGTCAAGACTGACATAAGATTTCTTCCAGTCCTCTGGAGTATTCTCGTTGGTTCTACCGTATTTGTCCAACTTACCATCAGCCTTCATTTGCTTCTTCTTTTGGGCAATTGGACCCAAACCCCACCTTCTGGGGTATAAATCTCTTTCCATAATGCAACGTTTGACCTTGGCAACAACACCATGGTCACAGGAAGCCAAATCGACAGTGGACATTTGAGCAATGGCCACAGCGATGGCCTCACCTTTAGTGGTTATTAGAACAACTTCGTCGTAAAGTTCGATACCTTCTTCGTAGCGTAAAAGACCAGGAATCATGAGCTTGGCACCGTAACAGACCGCATTGACCGCGGAGTCCTTAACGACGATTCTCTTGTAGCCGACAAGCAAAGTTTCCAAAGGTTGGATAACTTTTCTTAGGTACGACTCGTCTCTTGTGTTGTCGTATACCCATTGGGCATCGAGCACATCGTGAAGAGTCATGAGTTCGTCGTTTTCGGACAAGGCACCGGAACGAACACGACGTAGTTCCTGCATATGACCACCAACACCCATGAGCATACCCAAATGAACACAGAGGGTACGCATATAAGTACCGGCCTCACAAGAAGCCCAGAAGACACCCAGGTTTCTGCCCGCATCGAATTCGATCAAATTGGAGTCGTAAATGGTACGCACACGAAGCTGACGCTTAACGGCAGAGATCAGAGGAGGTCTTTGGAACAAAGCACCGGTCAAGTTTTCAAGACCCTTGGCGACTTCTTTCTCGTCTTTGACCGCATCGTGCAATCTAACCACACAGACGTACTCCTTACCAGCACCCTGTTGAGATTTCACCAGTCTGGTCGCTCTGTCAACGCACACAATCAAACAGCCCGTGACCTTTGGGTCCAGAGTACCAGAATGACCAGTCTTTTCGCATCTCAAAATACGTTTAACCCAGGCGACGACTTCGTGAGATGAGGGATTCGAAGGTTTGTCCAAGTTGATCACACCGGAGCTCACATACGATTTCAAGTCACGTTTGTGTGGAGATGACCCTGCTGGAATTGGTGTATAATGACCACTTCTAACCAAAAGCTTGTCGTAGTTTTTCAAAAGCAAAGGCCATTCACTTGCATCGGTACTTGGGCCGACATTTTCAGGCTTGATTAGGTACTCCTCCGACATTATTAGCAGCAACCTGTTCGATCAAGAAAGAACCCGAAATCTGGCTGATCACTTCAGTTTTCTATCTCATCGAAAATTTTTCAGTTAATTGAAAAAGAAAATCAAGTCAAAGTGTTGATGTCACAAATAACGAGAATGAGTATTTCGTGAGTAACGGATAAGTCATGTTAGACGTAAATGGGTATTTCATGAGTAGCTGAGATCACCTTACCAGCTTGATCAACGTGAAATCAACCCGTTATAGGAACTTAGGGTCTACTATGTGTGCTCCATAACTTTCATGATGTGGACTCTGACTTGAAACTGTTTGCGGGCCATAGATCTTGTTTTTTTGATGAAAACGTCGAGGTCGATGGCTTCATCGTGGAATAGACGGCCCAGGGCCTGGATACAATCGGTTAGAGCGTGATCGCTTGCGACAAGACCGTATAGTTGTAAAGCGACGGGCGATTCCGGCACAATCATGTCATCTATTTTCGTTTCGGGACCGTATTCTTGAATGTAGCGCTGTGCTTTATCGATTTCCGTGTCAAGCGCTTGGATTTCTGAGGATAAGACTTGGGTAGTGGTTAACACCGAAGACTTGAGGGTTTGTACGCTTGCGTCTTCTTGTTTGTAAAGTGATTGGAAACGGTCTCTTGACACCGAGATGGCTTGTGTTCTGGTCTCGAGAGTTTCGTGCACGACGCGTGCGTCCTCGCGTGCCAATTGTTCTAGCAAGTCGCGTAGCTTCTGTAATGCTCGTTCATGGTACGGATTAGCGGCTTGCATTTCGAAATTGTCGATGAGGTCTGGTTGGGGCGCGGCGGGGGCGGGCGGCGGCGTCATCAAGGTGGGTGACACGAGCGCAGGACGCGTGGATTTGCGAGAACTGGATGAAAATGGGCGATTAATGGGTTTTGGAGGCAGGGGCGGTGTTGCAACGGGACTGGTCACACGAGAGGATTCGCTGCTAGAAACTGGGATTGTAGTAGTATTCGGCCTAGAAGGTCTGGGCGGCCTGCTGGGCGGCCTGCTGGGTAAGATCGGAGCTTCCTGAGAGGTATCTAAGGGCCGTATCAATGCGTCTTGTTGTGCCAGGTATACAAGTTCCTGTAGCAGAGTCGCAATACGCGAAGTTTCAGGCTCCCAATACTTCAACCCCCGTAACGAGACCTTTCCATTCGAATTCAACACATTACTCACCTGTAACCTGTTCTCGCCGAGAGATTCCAAGTCTACTAACACAAAAGGTGCCACAATTGGATATTCTGGTGGTACCCATACATGCACGGGAACTGCAATTGCTGCTGGGACTTTCCCATACAGACACAACAACAAACTGGATTTCCCATCTGTCTCAGTGAAAACCCGCGTTCTTGGTCTCAAAAACCTATTCCCAATCAACGTTTCCGATACATCTTGAAACGTTTTTCTTGGATTGTGGTATGTCTATTGCACGTAAAAAACCGTTAGTCAATTAGTTGTACGGGACATCATCGAAAACTACCGGGGAAGAGCGAAAACGGCAACACCATCCATAAACATACAGAATTCACCACTTTGAACAGCCATTCCAGTACTTGTGGAGGCAAGTCACCGGTGTTTGTTGTGTTCATTATATACCTCGATGGGTCTTGATCTTGGTATTGATTCCGGTAGGTTTCGTAGGAAGAACTTAATTTCAAACTATGAAAAATCCACGTTCATAAACCCTATCAGTATTTGAATTTTGTGAGAGAAAGGCAGGGATACATGAGTTTGTAAGTGGTTGTGGATGGGTTTAAAGAAGTTTTGGCTATGATACTAACGGTCTGGGAAGTTATACGGTAGTTGGAGCCTTCGTGGTTGTTGTTTTGTCGTCAGCGATATTTTGGGTTTTGGCCCCCAAGAAGAATCAAACGTATGGACTTGGAATTTGATATGGAGAGATAGGAGAAGGGCTACTAACGTGTAGACAGTGTATGGAGGAGTACTGTGATTTTGTCATTGTCGATGATGTTTTTGATGTGGGCTATTACGTATTTGTCGCAATTGCATCCTTTGGTAGAGCCTAGAAGATCAGATTTGAGACCTGAATTTGCAGAGTGAGCACATGAGAAGCTTGTAGGCGCAGAGACCCCCACGGGTTAAAGATTTAAATAAGATGCAATTGTGATATTACACATTCGCATGTATAACTAAAAATGTTTGAAGGCAAAGAATTGCAAGCTCGGCTGCCCCCGCCGAGTCCTTGCGGTCTGTATGTCTGTCTGTATCGCTTCCCAGCACTGGAGACGGCCTTCAAGAGAACCCGTGGCCTGTGATCGGGTAGAAGCTAACTTTCTCAGGTCGCAGAAGGAGGAACCATTGCTTCATGTGTGTTGGTACTTGGTGGGTAATGCCAGTGCAGGAATGCCGCGTTTTACTCACCAAGGCAGGCCGTGACTCTGCCTTAGATACTTTATACGTATCAGTAATTACAGTCGTTACAGCATCTTCGATGATTCAAACTTTGAATCGTCTAGGCTCAACAAAAGCATTGCGTGAGGATTTTAATCTTCGAGAGCTTAACGTAACTCATGGAAAGACCAACTTATGGCAATGACCAGAATTTTAGAAATGTCGTTCAGATTAACCCATTTAGTACCCAATGCTGTTTATCTCTATACCAAAAAAACTCCGCGACGGGGAATTGAACCCCGGTCCCGAGCGCGACAAGCTCGAATTCTAGCCACTAAACTATCGCGGATAAATCATGAAAACATTTTCGGTACTAGATGACATGACGGTTCTTTGCAAAGAAGCAGTAATAGGCAACTACAGGAATTGACTCTCCTGGCCGGGGCTAACCATACACATAATGTTTCTGTCAAAGACGATATTTACGCTTGTAAAGCATTACTAAGCCTACGCTCAACCGCAGATATAAACTCTTCTGTTGTAACGTAGCTGGACCGATCGGTTTTGCCCAACAACAATGCCAGATCTTTGGTCATAATCTTTTCTTTGTCAACCACGTCAATGGTAGCAGACTCAAGCAATTGTGCAAACTGGACCACTTCGGGTGTGCCGTCCAGCTTACCGCGCTGCATGATGCCTCTAGTCCAGGCGAAAATCGACGCAATTGAGTTGGTGGAGGTTTCTTTGCCCTGCTGATGTTGCCGGAAATGCCTTGTGACCGTACCGTGTGCCGCCTCGCTCTCAAACGTCTTTCCGTCGGGTGTCATCAGCACGGAGGTCATTAGCCCCAGAGACCCGAACCCTTGCGCGACGATATCGGACTCAACGTCGCCGTCGTAGTTTTTCATAGCAATGATAAACCCGCCATTAGATTTGAGCATCTGCGCGACCATGTCGTCAATGAGCCTGTGCTCGTACCAGATACCAAGCGCCTCAAATTTGTCCTTGTAGTCGGTCGCGTACATGCTCTCGAAAACGTCCTTAAACTTGCCATCGTACTTCTTCAAAATCGTGTTTTTGGTAGTCGAGTACAGCGGCATTTTGCGCTGGAGTGCGTGCTCGAAACTCGCGCGCGCAAACCCTGTGATCGACGCAGTCGTGTTGTACATGGCAAGCGCCACTCCGCCATCAGGCCCGTATTCAAACACCTTGACGTCCTGGGCCGGGACAGATGGGTCCTTGGGAGTGTAAACGAGCCGCAGCTCGCCTTCGCCGGGCACGACCATGTCAGTAGCCCTATACTGGTCCCCAAACGCGTGTCTGCCAATCACAATGGGGTTTTCCCACTTGGTCACGAGCCGGGGGATTGTTGGGATCACAATGGGTTCCCGGAACACGGTACCGCCCAGGATGTTGCGTATGGTACCGTTGGGAGACTTGTACATTTTTTTCAAGTTGAATTCTGCGACCCGCGCCTCGTCGGGCGTAATCGTAGCACATTTGACCGCCACACCGTATCTTAAAGTCGCAAGTGCCGAGTCTTTCGTGACTTGGTCGTCGGTAGCGTCTCGGTACGTAATGGACAGGTCGTAGTACTTGAGGTCCACGTTCAAAAAGGGCAAAATCAATTTTTCACGAATCAAGTGCCAGATGATTCGCGTCTGCTCGTCGCCGTCCATCTCGACAATGGGGTTTTTCACCTGGATTTTCGTCATGACGAGTGCGGTAAGAGGCAGTGGGGGCTCCTTCGCGCAACAAATTCTCTAGGTATATGCTTTCAAGATTAAATTTGGCAATTCATCGAGAACTTGGTAAGCCTGGAAAGTCTTGGCTCTTATCCTTTTTATAGTTGTTTTGTTAAGGGGGAAGGCTAGGGTCATCGCGGCACTGGCATTTCATCCGGGGACGCCTAATATCCTTTGGGCCGATGGCCCGTAACGTGTGATATGCGTGTCACGTGAGAATAACGTGTACAAAACGATACAATTCGGAATCGCCCCAACGAGATGTCCGAATCGTTCTCCAGGCGTTGGGGTGGATTAATAATGTACAGTCCAACATTTGAAGTGCCTCAAAGGCTGGTTCTTTATAAATATTTTGAATGCGAGACGCGGTTTTCAAAGAAAACTGTCAATTTGACGTGGATCACGTGACCAAGGTGACAGAATAACATGTGAAGCCTGGGAAGCGAAAAGGTCCAAAGCTGGCGCGTCTTAGTCACCGCCACTGGTCTCCAGTTACTGGTGGTGCCTTTGAGTAGTTGTCACAGAGAATATATAGCTAATGCCCAAAGTCTTAGTTTTTTATCTCCATTAACGAACAAGTAACCAATCCAGAAGGTTATCTGCTCCGACGCCTGTAAATTGAACTACCAGTCGCAACGTAGTTGTTTCGCATGCTACAGTACATCGCTTGTGGTTTCCAAGTACAATGCACACCGTAGTAATCACCTAGATTTCCCACGTTTTGAACTGCTTTATGTCGTCCGGGTCTCGCGACATTGCGTTTGAATAGTATCGACATCGTATGCCTTCCCAATAACGCACCTCGAAATGCTTTCATCGAAACCATTACAGAAGGTTGCTTACTGCGAGAAAGGTCGTTGATGAGTACGCGATCACGTGACCGTGACGACTGAACCTGCTAATCCAAGTTACACGCGCTGCCCAAGCCAGAGTCCGTTTATCAGGATTTCGCTAACTGAATCCAGCTGTAAGCCGAGAAATGTATTATGCTTTGGGGATTGTTGTGTCTTCTGTTTATTCAGCGTCATTGTCGGTGCGTTCAAAAAACGTCGCATACAGCTATGATATAATTATGAGAGGACGCTAGTGGAGCCAAGGCAAGGATACATAAGTGCCATCGACAAAGCCGTCTGCCCAAACCCATAGAGAACAAACGCACCACACATTCGCAATTTGGCAAGGTGTCAAAAACAAGTCGTCATACTCAGATATAAATCTAAAACTCGTTTACTAAATTTAAAAAACACGTCTGCCGGCGCTATCTAGTTCTCCATCAACTCCTTAACGGTTTTCTCACCCGCTAGAACCTGTTGCATGCTTTGCAAGATGTCTTTCCAGGTGTCAAACTCGTGGAAGGGCACATTTTCACGTTTACAGAAGGTAACCAAATCCTTGCCACGCTTCGCGAACAGCAAGTCGCATTCCTTCGCAGCACTCAAGTCCGAAACACCGTCACCGCAATAGAAATACACAGGACGGTCGCCAGAAGCTTCGAACTTCTTCTTGTACGCCTCGATGGTCCGAGATTTGTCGTGGCCAAAAGCGGATTCGTCCTTGTACACAATATGCCATTTCTGGTTCTCGTCGATTTCGACTTCGTTGGATTCAATGGCCAGCTCATGGATCGACTCCGGACCGACCATTTTCGTCAGCAACGCTTTGATCAAAGGTCTCATCCCACTCGACACGACAACAATGGGAACGCCTTTTTGCTGTGCCCAACGAAACGTCTCCTTAAACCCGGGGTCCAAAGCGATCTTATCTTCCAGAATCTTGGTACACTCGTCGAACGGCGTGTTGATCGATTCCAACATCTCCCAAAATCCCTCTCGGAACGATTTGGTACCGTCCAAAACCCCGTCAAAAACTCGCAATCTTTTCTCCTTACCGAACCCCAATTCGTCCGTCAAATAGTCATTTGAGTCCTCTTTGGTCACGGTTCCGTCGAAATCTGTAAAAATAACTGCTTTCACCATCCTTTTTTTGGTAACCTAAAAAAAGTGTTGATAATTGGTTCTTAAAAAATTAAAGCCGTTTTGTCTTTAAACTTCGCCAACTTCGACCACTTTTAAGGACACCTGTCTGTTTTCCTGTGAAAATCAACCAATCCCTTTATATAGTGCGAGGTTTTTTCCCAACAGCAACAACATGTCGTGTCACGTCACTTTGAATCGCTCAACGTCCGTCGCCAAAGACGAACATAATCATCAAGATCATAACAACATGAAGATCGTGGTTCTTTCGGGAGGAACGGCCGCTAACGCGATCCTGCCCGCATTGGAATTGCTTGCCGATGAGCTTAGTTTCGTGTTACCGATATCTGATAATGGTGGGTCAACTAGTGAGATTTTACGCGTTGTGGGCGGACCAGCGATAGGCGACGTAAGGTCGCGGATCGTGAGTTTGGTCCAAGACGAGAAACTGCGCAGTTTGCTCGGATACCGGTTACCTGAGGACCAAGTGAGTGCGAAACAAGAATGGAACTTGATCGTAGAGGGAACGCATGAGATATGGCGCGGGTTTGCAAGCGAAGTGAAAGAGATATGTCGGTCGTTCCTGGTCCATATTCAAGCGGAATTGCTCAAAAAACAAAAGAGTTCCGCACCGTTCCAGTTCGAGAAGGCCAGCGTGGGCAACCTGTTTTTGACCGGGGCTCGGTTGTTTCTCGGATCGCTGGACGCCGCAATCGAGTTGATGTTGCGGGTGTGTCGATGCGACGAACGCATGAGCGTAATTCCCTGTATCAACACGAACCATACGCATCACATCTCTGCTTTACTCGCGAACGGCGAAGTGATTACGGGCCAATCGCAGATCTCGCATCCAGCGAAGCGCAACGGGAACCGAGGGGCCGAGCGAGACGCGAGCAGCAGCCCCCGTAGCGGACAAAATTCGCTGCTGGGACCCGATGCAGTGGTACAACTCAGCGCGAGCGCCTTAGGCGCTGATCACGACACCGAGGACAACGAAGAAGAATTCGCATACCCAGGTTACATCCATCCGGCACTCAAATTATCGCAATTGCATTTCGACAAAGTGGAGCTCGCAGACAACCCATTACTGCCTGCCGCGGTACAGCGCATCTTCTACATTAACCCGTATGGGGAAGAGGTGTTACCACTGGGCAGTAGTCGAGCGATTCCTAAACTCAAGCACTGTGACCTCGTCTTATTCTCGATTGGTTCGCTCATGACCAGCTTATTGCCTATTACGATCCTGGGTAACATTGCCGAATCCATCTTTGAAAACCGTGGTGCTCGGAAAGTCCTGCTCGTGAACAACAAATACGACCGTGAAACTTCCGGGCTAGACGGTGCACATTTCGTGCACATGATCGTCGACTCGATGCACCGCGCGATCTGCAATCACAGCCAGCGAAGACGAGGCTCTCCCGCGAGTCCTTCTTCTCGAGACGGCAGCGAACTCGCTTGGTCCGATTTTGTCACCGATGTGGTTTATCTGAAATACGGTGAAATCCACGTCGACACTAAGCTCCTCAACGCGCGTGGTATTCGTACCCACGCCATTGCATCTGAAAAGTTTGAAAACGACAAGCTTTACGAAATTTTACATCGATTGACATCCGGTGAGGCCTCTGATTGCCTACATACTGACGGTGATAAGTTGTAATAACTGCATTGCACCGTCTTTTGCTAAGTAACAAGTACTCATCTCACTTCAAGCTTCACGAAAGGCCCAATCTGTACTTGCTGGGCACTTTGCTCAAGTCGATTCTTGACTCTAATTCGTCATTTGTTATCACGGTTGCTCTCGAAGCGCCCTTCTGGATCTGCTCCTCATGCTCGATCTCATGCTCATGATGTAAGAGTTCGTGTTCTATGTCTTCCTTGTGAACGGTTTTCACATACGGATCCTTGTCCTTGTGATACTTGTTCCAGTGATGGATTTCGTATTCAAGCTCAAAATCCGAATGGTGGCCGACGCCGACACCCAAGTCTGGGAATTTCTTGCCCCGTTTCGCAAACGCCATGTATTCCTCTTTCTCAATCTTAGTGTCGTCATCAACGTCCAAAAGTGCCATTATAAGCTGTACAACTCGGTCTGCCAAAGTCTCATCGATCATTTCTGAATTGTCGTGCGAACCCATCCCGTCGCCTGCACCTACTACTTCTTCTCTATCCAGCCCATACATCGTGAGAACATCTTTCTTGTCCAGATAGCCCTTCTTGCCGATATCGTGTAGCGCAAAAAACGTTTCTGGATCGTATTTCTCCATTTGATGCTCATGTTGCATATGCCAATCTTCCCATTCTTGTCCTTCTGGTGGCTTGTCCACTTCGACGTTCAGGTAGGGATCAGCCATTTTTGTTGGAGACGTCAAAGCTTTCGAAGCTAGACCTGCCAACAGGACCCATTGAAACTTCATTACAGGGCTTTCAGTCGGGTCCTTTTCTTGAAGTTCAAATAGTAGAAGTTCGCTATAATTGGAATTTTTGAATTCTTCAAGAGACGAAGATGTCACACGACCAAATTGAGAAATTATTAAGTCACGTGATTGGTGTGACATTATCGAAGAAGGAAGTCGATGGGCAAGAATTGGTATATTCACCAGACAAAAAGGTGCTGTACTATCTGTTTAATACTATTTGATCAATTATAACAGTATTTAGCATAACAGGCGCTACAAACTGGTGGAATTTTGTGGATTTGGTTGCCAGTTTGGCTCAAAGAAGCTCGGTCAAAAGACCTTTTGACGATAAAACAGTCAAGACAGGATTTAAATTCAGGATCGTTATTGGAGCCGAAAACGTTGGCACCGTTTTGTAGCATTTTTTGGACTTCAAATGTACTGTATTTCAGTTTGAAAGTTGAGGTGTTGGACGCATAGGTATGATTTGTGTTGGCAAAATAGGCCACCATCGGTGGAAGTTCATTAGCCGATTCTAAATCCCCAAGGTAGCTTTCTAGATAGCAGCCAAAGACCACTGGTTTACGTAAAAATCCTTTGGTTTGAAAAATTTCTGGAGGTGGGATTTCAGGCATCGGGTGTAGCAAATGATTTGTTTCTGCACGCGTATGCAAATACAAATTCCGCAGCATCGATCCGTCTGGTAGATTTAATTTGTCTGAGCTTGAGTCCACTGCGAAAATCAGATCTAGTTGTCTTTGACGTACAAGCAAAGGTCGCAATGGAATGTTTTCACCGTCCTCACCTCCGTCGGCTAGGAACAATTGCGGTTCGTGCGTTAGCGATGAATTATTGGTTGGATGCCGATAAAATGGGTTCGGGTACAATGCATATTCTGGGTGCGGACGTCTTGTCAATTTGTCGAATTGCAGATTGATGCTAAACGCGCCAAAAATTGCGTTCATGACTTGCTTTGTGCTTTGGGTGGAAGCGAATTTTATCCAAAGATACATGAAAGCGTTGTTGAACATAGAAGACGCGGTTGCCGTTATGAACCCAAGCTCGTCAAATCCTCGCGTACATCTCCGTGAGACGCCGTTCAAGAGTTCCGATCCCAGGTAGCGGGTTCTTGCGAACAGCTTAAGCGTGTGCCAAGAACCAAACTCGAACGGTGTTATTTCAAATACGGCGTTTTGCAAATTATCATTTTTGCAATTGGCTACGAATATGGGGATCGGGGCTTCTCCGGATTGGAATTTATTACTAACATCCATAACGTCGGATAAGCTCCGTAGGTCATTCTGATTGCATTTGGTCGGTGCAATCATCTTCAGTAACGCAATTCCCCAGTAATCCGTGAAAGAAATCGTGAATCCACGCAACTTTTTCATTTTGGCCTCAGAGTGAAGTGACGTGTAAAATTCCATCAACTCTCGCACTTCTCGAATTTTGCTTGCATATGAAGCTGTTGAGTTGTTGTTTTTTCTACCGACGTCGAACCACGAAGCAAGAAATTCCTTCATTCTCAAAATTGGAGAAAGTCCTCGCCTTTGAATATCATTCGAGGACTGTAAGCCTGAGCTAATGCAAATTTCCAACTCATCATCAAGTGCAATGCAATCACGCATGCTTTCATCGGATCGCTTGAGTTGTCTCCTTGAATTTTTCAGTTCAAGCTGGAATTTATCATCTAAAAGCAGAGACTCCTCAAAACCTTTCAAATCCAAATGGGACACAACGTCTCTTTCACGAATATCGATGTCGGGTACCCCTTTTAGGAGACTCATCTCAAGATTCCAATTCGTCAAGCAGCTATAATTGAAATCTGTCAAAACCAAATTCGTCATTGCCCAACTCCCACCTGAGGTTCCAGACATATAAGCCAAAAAATCTGACAACATATACTCCTGCATTTTCAACAGAACACCAGAAGTTGTCAACATAGATCGATAACCTCCTCCTGACATGGCAATGCCTATACGCGGTGGTTGCTGTTGCCATTTTGACGTTATATTAGTATTAAGAATTCCTGTTTCTTCAACAAATCCTTCCAAAAACCGAGACCAAAATGGTTGAATGGCTTTCATTCTTTTCTCCATATATGCCATCTCTTCGAAACTCAGTCCTTCCTTGACGAATGTTAGCGACTAATAACTCTCGAAATCTTCTGGTGAACAACATTAAAACATACTTTGGCATCTCTAACCAATTTTTCATTTGGACAAGTTCCTGAAGCAAGGGCAATTGCAGAGCATGGCACAATAATTCCAAGCGAAGAAATAAGTGTCCAAAACAAGAGACAAACATACATTGTTTTCTCTAATTGGGGGCTTTTAGTAAGAAATGGTTTGTGTTGTGTCAAAGATTGACAAAATGACAATGGCTATAAAAATATAATAGGCTTTAAGAGTTAACAATCTCTATAGATGTATACAACCAATAGAATACAAAAGCAGCAAAGAAGCTAGCGAATCAACTTTGCATTAAACATGCTTCATACATTATGAGAAAGGCACATTAAGATAAATTTATCATTTCCTTAAAATTCATCGTCAGAAGACTCGTAAGCGTCACCCAACTCCTTCTTCTTCTTCATTCTTTCCTTCTTCTTCTTTCTCAATTCAGCAGAAGACAACTTCTTCTTCTTCTTACCACCGCTGATCTTGTTACCCATGGCATCGAATTTGTCCTCTTCATCTTCCTTCTTTTCAATTCTAGGACCACTACCTTGACCAGCGACCCAGTTGTGACCAGATGGAGTCATTAGACCGTCCTTGACCGCCCAGACTTCTTCAGTCAAGTCTTTAGTGAATTCAGCAGAGTGAGTAATGATAATGACACCACCTTCGAAAGCCTTCAAAGCCTTAGACAAAGCACCCAAAGAATCTCTGTCCAAATAGTTGGTAGGCTCATCCAAGACGATCAAGTGAGGTCTTTGCCAAGAACAAGCAGCCAAGACCAACTTGACCTTTTGACCACCAGACAAACCTCTGATTCTGGAGTGAGAAACTAGTTCGGCATCTAGACCCAACATAGCACAGTGCTCTTCGATTTCCTTTCTGGTCAATGGACGGAATTGACCGGAAGCTAAAGCCTCCTTCATGTCGACCTCAGCAACCAATTTGGCGTGAGACTCAATGACCTCACCTCTTGGCAACCAAGCGTTGTCAACAGACATCATTGGAACCCATCTCTCGGATTTCATACCGATGTTCTCACCCAACAAGAAAGAACATTCGTACTCATAAGTGTTCTTGAACTTTCTTCTAGCGTGGATACCGGCAATTCTTCTTGGGGTACCTTCGATTTTGTAGATTTTGTTCATGGCTTCAGCATCGTTTTCGTTAATGACTCTGTTGGCTCTGTCCATGGTTTCTCTGTCTTCACCGGTTTGGAATCTCCATTGGATGTACTCAGATGGAGTCTTGTCCAAGTGGGATTCGATGTGTGCGAAAGCGTGTTGCTTAATGTAAGCAATACGACAGTTCTCGTGAGTGTAGACTTCACCAGTGGTTGGCAAAAGTTCACCAGTCAAAACGTTGATCAAGGTGGACTTACCAGCACCGTTAGGACCAATGACGGCAATTCTGGAAGACAACGAACATTGGAAAGTGATGTCGGCAATTTGAGGCTTGGCGGTACCTGGGTATTGGAAAGTCATGTTAGAGACCTTGACAATGGCCTTTTGCTTGGTCTTGACACCTTCTAGGTAACCAGGTTCTGGGAATCTGAATTCCAAGTCGGAGGCTCCCAATTCGTAGTAAGCTTGGGCAGTTGGGCACTTCTTGACAAACTCAGACAAGTTTCCTCTGTACTTTCTTAGTTTCAAACCTTCGTAGTGAATAATGTATTGACACACATTGTCCAAGAAACCGGAGTCGTGAGAAACAATGATGGAAGTGATACCACAAGTGTTCAAGTAGTTAACCAACCAAGCGACGTTGACAGTGTCCAAATGGTTAGTTGGTTCGTCCAACAACAAGATGTCGGCGTTCTTCAACACAGCTCTGGCCAAAGCCAATTTCATCTTCCAACCACCAGACAAAGAAGCGATAGGCATAGCAATCATTTCATCAGAGAAACCGAATTCTCTCAATTTGTCGGTGATAACTTCCTTGGTACCAACGTCACCTTGGAAAACGAAGTCCAAGACAGAAGTCTCGGCGTGAGTACCGTCGATGTCGTGTTCAACGTAAACGGTTCTACATTCCTCTTGAGTTGGGAAACCATCAACTTGACCGTTAGCAATGGCTCTCATCAAAGTGGATTTACCAGCACCGTTTGGACCACACAAACCGTATCTTCTGCTTCTCTTTAGTCTCAATTGAGTCTTGTTCAACAAGATCTTAGCACCGTAGGCCAAAGAGAACTCACAGTTACATAGGTCTTCACCTTCGTCTTCCTCGTCGTCGAAGTTTGGACCGACTGGAATGTTGTCAACGGCTCTCTTTCTGAATTCGTCAACAACGTCCTTGGCCTTTCTTTCATGTAGGAAAATGGTGGCGTAAGGAACCACGTGAGTGAACCAAGCCTGTTGGTCGATGATTCTCTCGTCGATCAAATCAGCAGCAATGGCAGCGATGTACTCTTGAACAACAGCGAATCTCTTTTCGACGGTCTCGCCCTTTAGCAATTCGTCGAAAACAGATCTGGTGGTGGCAATGTCACCAGCGTGAGAAATCTCTGGCAAAGCGTCATTTTCACCAACGTTACCAACTCTTCTCAAGGTCTTCAAACCTCTCAAAGTAACTTCACGAGCTTCTGGGTCGGCAATGGTGGCGAAGTTGTTCTTCAAACCTGGCAACAATTTGCTCAAGAATGGAGCGACAACTTGTGGGTCTTCGACCAATTTACACATGTTGTCGATAATGACGGCGGCCTTACGCTTGATGGAAGTTTCTCTTTCGGCCAAACCTCTGGCCAACAATGGAACCATGATGGACAAAGTAGCAGGAGTCACTTCAGCAACAAAAGTAGTGGCACCCAACAAGTGAACGGTTTCTGGAACCAAGTTAGGGTTACCAATACATCCAATCAGTTCTGGAATGAAACGTTCAATATCCTTGTTTTCAACGGTCTCGGTAGCCTTGGTGATAGTGGCAGTGGCGGCCTCCTTAACGTCCTTCTTGGTGTCCCACATGGCCTCGGACAAAACTGGGATCAACTCAGGCATTCTCAAAGAAACCTGCTCCTTAGCAGCATCGACCAAAGCACTGATGGAAGCCAAGACAGCAACCTTTTCTTGCCATTTGTTGGTGTTGCTCAAAGACTGGGTCAAGTGAGGTAAGTAAGCCTTAACAGCGACAGGGTTGATAGCCTTGGAGATGGCAACCAAAGCCTTAGCGGCCAAAGCTTGGGTGTCTTTGTCCTTGTCACCGGACTTGACAGCGACTTCAGGAACAAGAGCCACGACAAGTGGCTCGACGGAAGGAGACAAGTTAGACTCGCTGGCGATGGAAATGACGGCTTCCAAAGCGTTAGCAGCGCTCTTTTTGCTCTTCAAAGCCTTCTCAAGTTCTTGAAAAAACTGTTCTGGAATGTCATGCTCAATGATAGAACCGTTCAAAAACGATGAGATTTCGCCCGCAGTGGCCTCTCTGTTCTCGGGAGTAGCCACCGTTAGCTTCTCGAAAAGTTCGTTAAGAACCTTTACAGATTGTGCGGAGTCAGACATCTTGCGATTCGAGAAAACGCTTGCTGAGAGGGAAGAATCAAGAAACTGAATTAAAACCAGATCTTCCAATGGTTATATAGTCAAACCGATGAAAAATTTTTCTTTAAGCGATGAGCTGCTGAAAAAAATTTTCACGAAGGAGAAAAATGTGATTGCTTTTTTTGGTTTATTGAGGGTGCACGGGTTGCGGATTTTTTTTTTGTGTTCAACGAAAAAAAAAATAAAAAAAATGATAAAATTCTTTTTTGTGATCGTCGCTTTTTCGTTTTTGTGTCGCTTGATTATGTAATTCAAAAAGAAAAGAGAATTTGTTATTATGTAATCCAACGGTTTTTTGTTCCATGCATGGAAGTGTCTCAAGTGTCTCATCGTCGTTGATAAAATTTATAATATTCTAGATGATTTAATTTAATCCCTGTATAAAGCGAACGAGACGGGATAACGTAGTAAACAGCTGAAAGACCAGGAGAGAAATGTTGAAAAAAAACCAAAAATGACATTTTATCCCATAAAGCAAATACAATAAATTCCCAAAGAATGCCGAGAAGTGTGTCCCTTGAACCCGTATCTCTCTCTCTCTCTCTTTCGCTCTCTCTTTTTGGTAATAGAAGTAGTAGTGGATGGTATGTCAACGGTTATTCGCCCACCGCGGCTTCTACCGCGATCGGCACTTCCCGCTTCTTCCTTCTGTTCAGTATCGTAGACGAGTTTATGCTCAACTGAAACATGTCATTTTCGAGACTGGCCTCCTCGTTTTCTTCCAGCAGTGCGAGCTTCACGCCCGTAGACGTATGTCGCGTGACTTGCTCCTTTCTCTGCACCGCGTTGTTGACTTCGAACGCGTCGCGCATGGCTACGGCCGCGGGAGAGTACAGCAACGACGAATCGCGCTTGAACGCGCGGTGCACGTGTTTCTTCTTTTTGTTCGAAGTGTGCACGTTTTCCATAGAGTAATTCTTGTGTTTTTTCAGTTTGGAATCGACGCCCGCGTCTGCTTGTGCGGCAGCCGCCGCCGCTTCTTGTGTGCGCAAACTGTCGCAATTATTGAGCCATGGATCGGCCAAAAATTCTTCAATGTCGTAACGCTTGCCGGGGTCAACCTCTAGCAAACGCCGCACTGCGTATTTGGCTCCGTCACTGATTTCGTCCCACCACGGGCGCAAAAACGTATATTCACCGCGCGAGATTTTCTCGGTGAGAACGTCGATTTTCTCGTCGTAGAAAGGAGGAAATCCGCACAGCATCGTGTACAACACACACCCGATCCCCCACATATCGACCTGAGTGGAATAGCGTTCGTCCTTCACGACCTCGGGGGCAGTGTAACCGACTGTACCGCAAGGCGTCTTGGTATTCGTAGCGTAAATCTGTTTCGAGAGGCCAAAATCCGCAAGCTTGACGGTTCCGATCACACCACCGCCCACACCGGGGCGGAACACACCCTCGTCTTCTTTGGTCTTGGGGTCGTCAGACTTGCGGAAAACGCGACGAGGCGAGGGGATAAACTCGATCGGGTCGAACAGCAAGTTTTCGGGCTTGATGTCACGGTGGGCAACCCCCAGGGAGTGCATGTGGCGTACTGCGAGTGCCAGTTGCCGGATCACGTGGCGCGACAGATCCTCACTGAAATACGTGAGACGAACAATCTCCCCGAAAATCTCACCGCCCGAGAGCAGCTCTTGGACGATGAAGAAATAGTGTTCGGACTCGAAAAAATCCACAAACGACACCACGTTTTCGCCCGCTGAAACGGTACGATGGATCGCCACTTCTTTGAGGACTTGCTCTTTAGTAGTGGCTTTGCTTTTGTCGTTGTTCTTGTGCGAGTTTAATTGCTTCTTAGAGATCACTTTGACCGCGAGTTGCCTGTAATTCTTGCACAAGAAGGCCCGACTGCTCCCCGCAGCCGGCACCGCGCGGAAAACTTTCGAAAATGCACCTTCGCCAATTTGGTTCAGTAGCGTATACGCCGGAACTTCTACCTGTTCTGGAAACAAGCCTTGGGGCGTGGACGACGACCAGTCGGAGTCCGAGTCGTCCACGTCTTCCTCCGGAGCCTCAAAGGCGGAATCGGTAGATGCTTCTTCCGCGACCGACTGCGCTTCCAGTTCCTGGGGCACTTTAGTGAGACTCTTGTCGTTCAACGGCGCCAGCTCGTAGTTAGTGATCTGTGTGTCCGGTTCCAACTTCTCATCGAGCGCGTTCAGCACGGGTGTGAGACCGCCGTCGACGCATACGGGCATCATGGTCTCGGAGTCCTCGTGGGGCATGCCGAATTTGTCTGCGGGCAAAGTTTGTTTCTTGCGAAAAAGATTTTTGATCTGCAAAAAGTTAGTATTTGTAATTCACTCCGGGTTGCTTTCGGCGCGCGAAGCGCGGCGAAAGTGTATCAAGTCGAGTTTCGCTTCAAAACTCTAGCATTCTGACGCTCAGAAGCCTTCCAGCAGATCCAGTGTCCTCGGTTTCCACCACTTCACCGCTCCACCGGCTCCACAGCGTCCCACGACTCTGTATCGGTGCGTCGGCCATCCGTTTCCCACTTCTCGCTCGTCGTCTGCTGGAAAACCTCCAGATGCCCTCGAGATGACCAATCGATCTGCTAGCAAATTTCACCGCTCAACTCCCAGCACACTCTCTGCCACAACCTCCCACACCGTTTCACACGGTTCCACACTCTCCCACACCTCCTCAACCCCTCATATCTCACATACTTTCAGCATCTTTCCCTGTCCTTGTTCGAATTCTACACGTAGATACAAGCTTCCTTCTAAACTTCTCCGCGACAGAGTTTCTACTTATGAAAGGGGCAGAGATGCTTTTGCTATTCGTGTAACACGCTTTGGTCTCCTCCTGCTTCCGGCGGGCATCCACCAAAACAAGAAAAGGAAAAACGGTAACGGTCACGAGGCAGCAAAGAAGTGAGAACGTTTTTGCGATGGGCGAAAGAAGAGAAGCAAGGAGAGAGTGGGCCACGTGGGGGTGTGGGGTGTGGGGGCGTGGGGGTGCCTTGATATCATAATTCACGAATTCTTCTGGAATGGGTGCATGGGTGCTCCTGAGTCGTGTGGTACGGGTTCAGCACGTGACTCTCGTGTCACTGTGTACGTAGATGTTCCGTCACGTGATGTTTCGTAGTAAGGTACCCCCTCGTCGCAGCTCTCATCCATCTTCGCCCCCCCGCTCATCGCCACTATCACCGCCGCCAAAACCGACGTGGAACTCGCCCCCATCGTCGCCTTGACCGTCTGCAATGCCTGTCGCGAGTTTGGTCTGCGAGAGCTTCGAGTTCCTGTGCGATCCGGTTGCGGTTTCCCTGCGACCCGCCGTCCCCGTAACGGCATTACGAAAGTTGAAATCTGGCCAGGTTTTACTCCCACTCTTGGATTGCCAGCTCCTGGACCCTGATTTCCCAATTGCTGCTTCTCCGAGAAACTTCCAAGTCGCCTTACAGCACCACTGCCTGGAAAACGAGGCAACTTCGTTCCTCGTGGCCAGCGTTAACGAGATCCCCGTTTTGAAATGCAACACCACGGGTGGTACGCGTGCGCTCGAGTTGGCGTTGCACGTCGCTGCGCAGAAAACCCTGGAATCGGAAATCAGACGCAAAAATTCCGACTTGCGCGCCTTGAGTCAGAAATCGACCTTTTCCAACGGTAAAAAACGAAGGAAAACGGCTGCCACGGCTGCCAGCAATCCCGTGAGAATCCAGTATCGATACCGCGAACTTGAATGCTCGCAGCCCACGCTCACTGTGACCCAGGACGGACACTGGCGTATCGATTTCTCCTTATCTTTGGTGTTCATGTCCAACAGCGTCAACCATTTTGCGCCGGAAACAAACCACTTGCTCGATACCCTTTTTTCGCGCCGGGATCGTCACCATTTCATGCAGCATCACATCTCGCACTGGTACTTCCAAAAACAGTTTGTACTGCAAACTACCAAGTACACCCGCGAAAGGCTATCATCTGCGGCTCTTGCCCAAATGGCTGTTACCGGCTTAAAGGTCTCCCTGATGCCGTTCCAGCAGCGCGCCGTACAGTGGATGCACTCGAAAGAGACCGCGTACCCAGATTACTTGGATATCTCCAGCACAGACCCAGCACAATCGCCTGCCCTGCTGTACAATGTGCTCAACAGACACGTCTCCTTTGGCTACGAAGTCATGCCACTCGCAACGGGCAACTTCCTCTGGAATAAATTCACAGGGTTCATCCTAAGCCAGGCGGACGCATTGCAACTGTGCCAAAAAGTTTTCCAAGATGAGGTAAAGGCCAAGGGCGTTCTTTCAGAAGAAATGGGGCTCGGCAAGACTTTAGAAGTATTGGCCCTGATTTTGCTTAATAAACGTCGTATAACTGGCTCGCGCACTTTCGTATCGGACGGCGGCAAAAGCATTCTGAAAACCTGTACAAACCTGATCGTGTGCCCAGACACTATCTTGAAGCAGTGGCTGGACGAGATTCAGAATCATGTCGAAGAGGGCTCCCTTACGGTCTTTCACTATTGCGGGTTTCAGCTCGTCAAAGACCATTTTGGCACGAGCGATGTAGGCACCATTGTTGAGGAGCTTTCCAAATTTGATATTGTCATAACCTCTTACACCGCGGTATCTGCAGAAGTTCACTATGCCGAGTTCAGTTCATCATCTCGCATGCGGCGTGGCCCGGCTCCCAAATACGACTATTCGTCGCCCTTGTCATTGATGCAATTCTTCCGCATCATCCTCGATGAGGTTCACATGTTACGTGGTGAAAGCACTAACGCAGCTAGATGTACGGGATTATTGCATCGGGTTCATACTTGGGGTGTTTCCGGGACGCCAATTGGAACGGTCACAGACTTCAAAACGGTTCTCTCTTATTTGCAACTGCATCCTTTCCATGAATACCCCAAAATCGTCGACGCGGTGAGGAAAAATATAGGACGAGATGCCAAGAATCCAAGCTCCGATTCAACCCGTCTTTCGGGTTCGGTGCATGGTGTGCATTTCGACGTAAATGATTTGATGGACATTTTCCCGCGCTTCGATCTCTGCATTAGACACTCAAAGAAACAAGTGTCGGATCAAATTAAAATACCACCCCAAAATAATTACATTGTTCCAATCGATTTCTTCCCCATAGAGCAAGACAATTACTCGAACTTGATGTCATCCTTTTTGGATGCATCTGGATTTGATAGAAATGGACAAGGCCGAACGTTTTTAGGCGCTAAAGAGCTCAATTACTGGCTAAGCATGTTGCGCAAGACTTGCTGCCATGCACTTATGCCAAAGTCTTCTTCACGACAAGAAAATGAACAGGATATCGGCAATTTGCAAACCATAGACACTATTTTGGATTCCATGAAGGAGGAAATCATGGACAAGATTGATGCACTTCACCGTGAAAATTATACGCTGAAGATTCAGTCCGCTCAAGCTGAAACAGAAATAGAGGCAAGGCCACTCAGAGCTATAGAGATTCTGGAGGACGTGCAATCGAGACTTTTGACTGATTTCAAATTGAAATTTGGGGTCGAAAACCCTTACCATTCGCATTCACTCGAGGCAACTCAACTGAGCGAAGAACGCAACAAGGCCAAAGCCAGATTCTACATGGACCTCTTGCATCAATGTTTTTTCTTCATTGCCACAGCGTACTATTTTCTTGGGTCTAAAAAGCTAGAAGCCGTTGACGATGAAAATGAGAAATTAAAACTAAGCGGCTCGAATAAGAAACTTGTTGAATACTCAGATGTTTTCAATTCGTCAGAACTAGAGAATATAGAAAAACACCAGGCCCTTGAGCAACAAAATTACGGGGTAGCGGAAAAGTTGCGGAGAACTATTTTAGCCGATCGGATTGCTAAAGTCGACGGGGAGATTGCCGAAGTCTCCAAGTTTCTTACTTCGAAAGGTTCGCGCGATCGGGAACATCTGAAATTAATTGATTTTAAAGTAGAAAACTTTTCTGCAAACCTGACTGTCGAATCGTGTTTCAAACAAATGAACAGTATTTTTAAAGCGATAGACACTCAGGCGTCTCAATTTAATGAATATGCCGACGAACTGAAAGCTCTTTCTTTCAAACCTCTAACCAAAGAATATACTGAGGAAGACGAGGATGATAAGGCACTGGAATACGAAACCTCCATCAACGATCAAGACAGAACGTTCGCATTACTAGATTGTATGGGAAGGATTTTGAACAATAGGGATCAAGCTGCTGAATCCGATGAAGAGCTGAAAACATCATCAGAGGTTTTTTCTAATACCGAAACATTTTCTGACGACCATGTGCAGTTAATCACCAATCTTAAATTGATTCAGGGTACGACATTGAAGCAGGTCTTCACCGAGTTAAAGAATGTGAATATAGTGAAAAATTTTGGCAACGCCACGGCGAAGAAAGAGGACAGTTTTGAAGCTTTTTTGATGACTTATGAATCCCAAATTTCTCGAATCAAGAGGGAAAATAAGGCGAAAAGAGAAGTTTTGAAAAAGTTCAACGAAATTTACAATGCCAAAACGGCTTATTTCAGCAATTTGCAAAGAATTTCCGATTCTTTGGTTTCGCTTATTCAATTAGAACCTTCTGCCCAAGCAGCCATTCTGAATACCAGAAATGACTCTCAATTCATCAAAAACACTAACAAAATCAACAATCTGCGCTCGAGAATCAAATATCTTGAAACTCTTTCGGTTTTGAAGAATGATATAAGCCATGATCAGAAATTCAATTGTACGATTTGCTTTAGTGAGATTTACATGGGAACCATTATCAAATGTGGTCATTTTTTCTGCAGGACATGTATTCACAGCTGGTTGAGAAATAAGAGTGCCTGTCCACTGTGTAAAACAGAGGTTCATCTTTCCGACATGTATACCTTCAAGTTTCAAGAGTACAATGAACCCGAGGAAGTTGAAGACAGGCCTATAAAGACAGAAACTGAAGGAGATTCGACAACCGTAGAGAATAATCGCGTCGAGGAATTGCATCTTCGAAAATTTCGGAAATACCCCCACCTCGACAGAGTAGGCGCACTCACAATAAAGGAGAGCTATGGTGCTAAAATTGATACAATTGTGAAATTGATCATGTTCTTAAAGATCAATCATGAGGACGACGAAGAACCAGGAAAACCGTCTCGTGCGCCGCAAATTATAATCTACTCGCAATACACGGATTTTCTAGATATTCTATCCAACGTTATGACCCGTCATGACATCAAACATTACAACGCCGTTTCGGCGACTAAGTTGTCGAAGGCAGTTACAAAATTCAAGAAAGATCCCGAAATCACATGCCTTTTACTGAATGTGCGGCGGCAGGCTAGTGGTCTCACACTTATCAATGCTACTCACGTTTTCATTTTAGAACCCATCATAAACGGTAGCGATGAGGCACAGGCAGTGAATAGAGTGCACAGAATAGGGCAGAAAAATGAGACCTCTGTTTGGCATTTCATGGTGCGCAATACCGTTGAGCAGAATATCATAAATTACAAGTGCGTTTTGGAAGAAAAGAAAGCGGATCACAGAAAGAAGAAATTAGAGTCTGCTTTAAGCCAGAACTCGGATTACGACCCTGACGTGGACAATGAAAGCGAGGACGATTATGAATTTAATAACGCTGGTGATGAAAGTGTATCAGATAAGCATATCTGGAACTGTTTTTTCCAGCGCAGAGTAAGACAGATAAAGCGATGACGATGACGAGCATGTAATGTAATTAATGGAGTTAAATATGGGAATGATTGTTATTAGTAGGGCCATTTTCGTGGAATGCTATATTTATGAATTTGAAGGTACTGAGTTCTGCAGAATCTTTATTGAGACTTTGAATAAGAGGTACGCCCCAAATTGAGTTCAATCCGCCCTGGCCCCCTACTCTTATTCCTAAAGATCTCTTACTCTTTATGTCAAATGGAAGGAAATGAAAAAAATAATGGTTGCTAAGAGATTCGAACTCTTGCATCTTACGATACCTGAGTGTTCCACTGTGTTGACAGCGTTAAGAAGCGAACTTCTTGAATCAGGCGCCTTAGACCGCTCGGCCAAACAACCAATTCATAAATACATCGACGTTTCGGAAAAGCATATCATTTTCCCATATCACGTTTTTGAGTTACAGTAGTTTATAATCTTTTGATCCAAAGATTTCTCTGCATATGGACTTGAGCCATTCATGTCTCGAAACGTTTCGGAAGGATTATTATACTGTTAAAATTGAGGTTTTTAATTTTGGTTCCTGGCTTTTCGTTCGTTTTTGAACATTACAAGAGTTTTAGGAGTAACCTAACATTTCGAAATAATTTGGTAACACGACAAACCGGCAACGATTTCCCAGTGCATTATTTGCGAGCTACTGCTCACGATCAAGACGGTATTCACCCAATGATTCGACTTTTTTGTACACCTATTGCGTTCTGATTCGCCGCGTATTACCTTCACCGTAGCATACGAAGAAAAGTTAGAAAGTCACATCTGCTGAGGATGTACACCATAATACAAGGACTCATCACCTAATTATTCGACTCGAATCCCCCTTGTTTGGCCCCGTAGATTGACGCAATTTCTTCAAGACGGCAAAAAAGTAAGATGCCATTTCCTGGAATCGAACCAGGGTTTCATCGGCCACAACGATGTGTACTAGCCACTATACTAAAATGGCGAACTTAGATTTTTTGAGTGATTAAAAGGTAGCATATACCAGGTACCATATACCAAATGCCTTTGAGATGCAGGCTCTGAGACCAGGCCAACCCTATTGGGTGTCTGACGAGCCCGAGCGTTGGGACGGGTCGATAAGTTGGCATAAGAGTAGATATTCTGCGTTTACTCCTATACTTTTAGGTTTTACCTGCTTATTGTATCACCTCTGGTATTTTGAGTTATTCGGCTTTGACATGACATTTAAACTGACGGACCTTTTGACAATATTTATTGTGCCTTTTCGCTCTCGCATTTTTATTTTCCGAAGTAGGTTGGATTGAGATTTGAGCAAATGCGCAAGAGCTTTTGCGGAAATTAATTGGCCAGAAAGAAAATTCCACTGGCACTTTCTGGCAGTTACTCGTGCATTAAAATGCACACATGTTATAAAAATTATCTATTTATCAAGTATCATTACAACGCAGATCATCATATCTTCAGTGACTCAGTTAAATCACATCGATTAAGGGCTTATATAATTCAATCGATCAATTCTTTTTATTTCGTGACCTTTGGTATGACCGTTCTCATGAAAGTGTTCAATCTTTGATCTATCGAAAATAATCATTGTACTTCCTTGACCTTGCACTTAAATATTTTCAGGTAAAAATTCCTGAATGAGTGGATGGCAATTTCGTGACCGCATTAAACCATCCAAGGAGCAGTCAATACCTTCAGCAAAATATCTTGCAATACAGAGCTTTGCGAAATTCGTAGGATCAGATCCCCAGCCTAAGAAGCCGTCCTGCGCTCTATCATCTTTCAGTTGTTGTGCAACCATGTCAATGTATTTTCTCGAAATTATTTCGGACCCTGCGGTAGATTTTATTAGTCTCACGAGTCTCAGGCCTTCATCAGTGAGATTTCTGAATTGGTTATCGCTTTCTAATTCGAACAAAACGCCTTGCTCGTTAGAATTGAACCTTAGCGAGAACTCCCCGAAAAGATCTTTGATAAATGCGCTTGCCAAATTCTGCACCGTAGACGACGGGAAAGTTAACAAAAATACATCAAGAAAAAGATCTGCTGCCTTGGACGGAACGATAGTCGCTGGACCGCCTCGCAAATCTAAGAAGTTTTCATTTAGGAACTGCGCAGCTATTATCCTCAACTCTTCTTCATCATCTGACAAGTAGCGGTAGATGTGGAACAAGGCTTCAGGACTTCCGTTTTTCTCGGTAAACAATATCAAAGATCTTAACGCCGCTAGTCTTAAATCCAAGGGCGAATCGTCTCGGGCAAATTGACCGATCAAGTCCCAGTAGCAGTTGTCATCCGGAGTGGTGACAGGTCCCAAATTCTCAAGGCAGGCTGCAACTAGCTTATCACCACAACCAGAGTCAATCAGTTTAAACCAAGTCTCGGAGCTGATCTTCTGTGTACGATCACCCAAAGCTTTTACGAAATAGGACTTAACGTATGACCACGTTTTGTCGTCATTGATTAGTTCGATAATAGTGTCTTCAACCACATGTGACGCGGTAAAATTCATAAAGGAACCTGTCGACATAAACTTCGCCGCCGCAATTTGAACTTCAAAATAATCTGAAGAAAGACCCAAGAGTTGTAAAATTTCCTTATGTTTGTCATCTTCGTAGTGCAGAAGAATCCCAAACATCGACGTCAATAAAATCTGTCTCGTACCGTCGACATGATACTCACTATTCAGGTTCAAAAAATGAGTTCCTAACATATGGATAACCTGGGAAAGTTCGTCAGAGTCCACCCCGTCAAAGCTTTTCAGCACAATATCAAGGACCTCAACAAAAGCATTCGCAGTTGTGAAACTTGGATTTTTTATCACAAGAAGGTCAACCCTCCGTATTAATTGTGATGATAGATGGGAGAAAACTCGTTGGAGGGTCTCTTCATCTGACACCAAAGATAAAAGCTCTTTTATAGCCATCAAATTTCCATGTAGTTTGTTTTGATTTGTAAGAGCCAGGCTTTCGTTCGACCATAGCTCTTTTGCCTCACAAAAGTAATCATTTGTCAGTAATGGTAGTGTTTTGGATGCTAGCTCTCTCAACTTCCAAGTTTTTGAACTCAAGCAGCGATTAATTTGAACCCTGAATGGTTGCAAACCTTCATATCCGGGGGTTGACTTCATTCTCGAAAGTACAGTCAAAACCAGAAAAATGGATTCGATTTGCCATCTGGATTTCTGGTTGGTGGCCTGCGACTCATTCAATACCTCCAAAGCTGCATCTACAGAGCTTTCTAGCAACTTTAACAAAGTTTCCCGAACGCCCTTGTGGCGAGCAAAGAAAAGGCGCGCGCTAACGCTTTTACCCACTTTCCCAAACAAGCGGTTTTGTAGGGCTGTGAATAGCATCACAGAGCAGTTTCGCAACGACCACAAATGTGACGTGAAATGGCGTGTGCAGAGTTCAAAACAAAGATTAATATATTCAAGACATTGCTGAGAGAGCGCAGGGTCTATGAAAAAAACCTTGATGCAATTGAATGCATTGACTTGAGGTAGATCAACCTCTTCTTCGTGTTCGACAACTGGCCTCTCTGCAATCGCTACCAATCTTTCGAAAGCAATAGTAAATATTTTAGTATTCCCCTCGTTAACAGCACTGGCCACTATGTTACTCAATACGTAAGGAATACCACCAGATCTCCTCGTAATCAGCTTATTTCTGGAACCCATGATTTCGAGAGATTCTTTTAACCATAAGTCGAGTTGCTCAGGAAGTACCTTAGCACAGCACTCACAGCATACTCCAAACGAAGGGATAATCGATTGAAAGGCTCCGCTGTGTCTGATAGCCAACAACTGTGAAAATAGAATGCTCCCACACTTGGATATTTGATCACGATTTAGAGGAGCCGACGTGACGAGAGCCCCTATTAACGTAGCGGACTCTTTCACAGACCGAAATGCATAATTTATCACAGTGTCTTCATATAATTTGCCCAACTCTGAAGCGTTCTGATCGGCCTGCACTTCAAACACGTCCTCGCATAGAACCTTCTTAACAGTATTCCAGTTATCGCTCACCAGTTCTATCGATTTGTTGATGATTTCCTGAGAAAACTGAGACGACTGTTTAAATTCGAAATCCTTCAGCAGCAATGCAATAGCTGCGAAAAGACCACTCACAGGCGTCCGAATTTCTTCAAAGAAATCCTCTTGAGCGCGCCTTATCTTTTCAGATAGTACGGACATAAGTTTGATAACAACAACAGAGTGTTCAGAGCTGATGCAAAACAAAAGCTCCAAAATCTTGGCACCTGCATCGCAATCTCTGTAAATTTTGAGCATTTCATAAGCTCTGTGGGAAAGTTCGTCCTTTGACAGACCAGAAATTGTTCCCCGTTGACCGTCTTTCCGGCTCGAAGCAATCACTAATAAATCGAAACAGCTCTGCCTCACATCACTATAATTATCGGACAGCCGATCGCACAAGACCCTGCAAAGCACTTCGTCGTGAGAGATCCGAATAGAAAATGGGTAAGTCATTGTTTGCTTGTTGGTGATATGTTTTTCATCAATCGATTTGTCTAATCCTGATGCAAGCAATGTTTTTAAAACTTTACAAGCGAGCGACTTTCTTGGATACTGAGAACCCGGCGCGAGTTGTTTCATTAAAAATTTGAGAAGCCATATCAAAAACTGATGAGCGTCTTTGATAGACTGTCTTTTCTCTGCCTCTTCATCAGGGAACCTGGATTTGATTCTCAATTTTTCGGCGTCCCGATTTAACGAATAAGTAGAGTCTCGTACCCGGTCAATAAACTTTTTGAAAGCGCTGTGGAAATCGTTTCTCATCTTCAAATGAACATCCAGGAAGAACACTTGCAAGTTCCTCCTTACAATGTCAAAAACATAGGTCTTTATTTTTTGGGACCGTTTAGGCGAGTAAGTGAGCAATTCAAATGCAGAAAGTTTGAAAGTGTCATCCTGCAAAAGGCACTCAAGAAACTTCTTGGAAATCAATTTATCGTTTCCAAAGGGTTCTTCTTCGAGTGATAGTTCTTGACCCACTTTCAATATGGGTACCAGAAACGGACTCGTTTCGTCAAAATTACGGCGAACAAACCGCTCAAATACAGTCGCAGGAGTGAATTTGAAAAGCGGGGTCAGTATAAAAATTTGAATTCTTTCCCGCATCACGTCGGAGTGAAAATTTTGCATAATAGGACCCTCCCAAAGCTCAAACCATTGGTCCAGGTCCCCATTTTTGTCGGGTGCAGGATAACAGTTTACGAGTAAAGAAACCAAACATTTACTGACAGGACTGATCAATTGTTCCGTGTGCATAGATTCCAACGATTTTTCCACGAATTTGGGATCTTTCTCAAACACCATCGGCGCACCGATCTCTGGAGCCAACATCTCAAGCACACAGTACAAAGGCTTTAAAGTGTGCGACAGCGACAAGATTTGAGAAACCCATTTATGCAATAATTGGGCCAAATTTTCGCGGTAAACCAGCTTCAAAATTTGTAGCAATCTTTTCAAGACGGTCTCTAACGAGTTTGTCAAAGCTGGACCTCCGTCACTCCAGAAATCAATCAAATACTGGAAAATGAAAGTACAATTATCTTCAGTTAATAACGAATCCTGTAATTTAGCTAACCACAATCCGTAAGAATCGATATCCCCGTTAGTTTTCGCCACCTCTACCACTTGTTTAGCCCTTACGATCCAGATTCCGAGCGTGTCTGTCAATACTAGTCTAACTTTGTCGTTGACCATCTCATCGCTTAGTGAGTCGAAAACTTGATGGAAATTATTGCAAAAACCAGCGAACTGATCCTTATCATGAAGTGCGTCTCGATATTCCCATTTCAAAACCCACTGTTTCAAATCACATGCTCTGGGCTCATCGAGCATCTCTGTTTTAAAGATCGGTTTCCTCTGAGATAATGTTAGCCTTTATATATCAAAATTTTCAAATGTTGAGACCTCTATTACCATCAACATTGTCACCATCGACATACCCATAGAATACCCCACTATGGAGGACAAATATGTTGGGCTATTACTGGCAATCACTTCGTCGCTTGCCATTGGAAGTTCTTTCATCTTGACCAAAATGGGGCTCAATGCTGCGTCGGCTCAGAACAATTTTGAAGGTGCTGGCTACGATTACTTGAGAAATCCGGTTTGGTGGGGAGGTATGATCGCCATGGGTGTAGGTGAGGTGGCGAATTTTGCAGCATACACGTTTGCACCTGCCATTATGGTGACTCCGTTGGGTGCTTTATCCGTGATTATTGGTGCCATTTTAGCAGCGATTTTTTTGAAAGAAGAATTGGGCGTTCTGGGCAAGCTGGGCTGCACAGTGTGCTTGTTGGGATCTGTGATTATCATTTTGCATGCTCCATCGGATAAAGATATCGAAACCGTAGACGAAATTTTGGCATATGCTATGCAACCTGCGTTTTTGTTGTATGTGTCAGTTGTAGCGGTTTTCACCCTATTGATGGTTGCGCGTGTGGTTCCCAAATATGGTACTAAAAATCCAATGGTTTACATTTCGATTTGTTCTTCAGTGGGTTCGATTTCTGTTATGTCGATCAAAGCGTTTGGAATCGCTTTGAAGCTTACGTTCAGTGGGAATAATCAATTCACGCACGTATCGACTTACCTTTTCATCATCGTGGTAGTGGTTTGTATCATGACCCAAATGAATTACTTTAATAAAGCCTTGGATCAATTTGACACTTCCATCGTCAATCCCTTGTACTACGTCACTTTCACTACGGCGACGTTGACCGCATCATTCATTTTATTCCGTAATTTCGATCAAAGTGATACCAAGGACTCAGTCTCACTTGTTTGCGGGTTCCTCATCATTTTCACAGGTGTTTATCTGTTGAATCTCGCTCGCAAGAAGAATCACGACAAACTGTTTAGCAACCAGACTGACGTCGAAAACATTCCTTTGGACAACAATGTCGGTGGATTTACTGTTAGAAAATCTTTCCAGGGCACGCACCATAGAGTCGCATCTCAAAACTATCAGAGTGAAGAAATGGTGCATCTTACTAGAGACGACACGGACGCCGACATTGATCGGTTTAAAATCTGAAATACCCCACCTCCCTGTAGCAGGTACCTGTATCTAAAAGTGCCTTGATGTAATGGTACATAAGCTATATGAAAAAGCATTAAAAGAATAGACAAGCACAAATCCAATTCAAATGTCATCAATGTCGAAGTCATCCTCGCTCTCTTCGTCGCTTTCCTCATCGGCGTGGCCAAATTCAAAGTTGACGTCTTCATCAGACTCGAACCCAAAGTTGTCCGTTTCGTTAATCTTGGCGTTTTCTGGTAGTTCACCTTGGTTTTTCAGCGTTCTAGCTTCGTCCAAATTATACTTATGCACAACATCACACTGATCGTCTTGGAAATCTCTCAAAGAAACCAAAATGATGTCACCTTGACCCATCCACACTCTTTTCCTCAATTTACCTCTGATGTGCGCCATTCTCTTGATCCCATCAAAACAAGACGCTTCAACTCTTCCATTACCAAGCATCTTGGTGATTTGGGCATATTCTTGGCCCTCTTCCTTATAGATCAGTTCACGCTTTGGACCATCGGTATCATTCTTACCTCTTCTACCTTTTTTACCACCTTTGGTGTTCTTCTTACCCATCTTTGATGCAGCTTCTTTACAATCTTGAAGGTCTTGTCAGTAGCTCATCGTCTCTTATTTCGGTCTGTTTCTTATAAAATTTTTCACTTCCGTAACATGTGATAAAACTATAAAGTCTGGTCTGCAAAGCTTATCTGGTGTTGAGTTACGAGGTGTATACACATGGGAAGACCACCTGGGAGGCCGTATGGGTTCAGAAACTCTTCACGCTGATCCTTGTACTCTAAGGCACAGTTTAAAAGTATCTTATGTGAAAAAAAACCGCCTCCTTATCGGGTTTCCCCGGCACGTTATGTTTATTCTTATTTCTTAATCGTATCTTGTTTGATTCTTGGACGACATGCCTCTAATAATGAATTTTTCATTTTCTGTATGCTCTGAGTGAGCTTCTGAGTTCTGAGTTTTCACTTCAATTTTCCGCGTCTTTGGCCTTTACTGCGATTCTTCGGCTGTTATTTGATTCAAACCGTTGAGAATTGTCAGCAAATCGTTAAGACCATCGATATGTTCTTTGGCGTACGTCGAACCTGAAACGCCGTAAACGACACTGTAACAATGGCGCACGGAGCCGTTTTGAGCCAACTCGTTAACATGTTCAAATAACGGTTCAATGACAGGCGACGAGGATCCCGTGATCGCTAAAAAGTCGATATGCGAAATGCTTCTGCCGAGACTGAAATACGAATTGCCTCCCGTAGACACCGGCGTATTGATGTTGCTGATTACTCCTGGAGTAACAATGGAGCTCAGCATAGGAGAGTTTTCCGACGATTGCTGTGGGGTCGAATTTGTCGTCGAGCGCACAGAATTGAAATAAGAAATCACAAACTGCAGCGATTTCAACGCCAATCCGACCTGCTGTACGAAAACGATGTTTTTATGCAAATATGCATGGATACCTCTTTCGCCAAACAACGTGTTGACGTGTGTTATTGCCTCACCAACGACAGATGATACACGATCTTGATCCTCGGCATTCTCCGTGTGGAATCTGATCATCGATTCACCGGTCTTGTAGTATGACCCAGGAAGACGCTCGACTTTATCTTCGATGACTCTGATGATATCCGATTTCCAAGAAACATCTTCCACAATATTGAACCAATGGCCGTTCAGCCTAACGTAAGCACCGTTCTCGGCAATTAAACCTACGTGAGGGCACCGAGTGTAGAGCCGTTCAAGCATATTTCTCGAGAACGAATTGAAAACAAACACGATATTGTGCACACTCAATTCGGTTAGAACAGCTAAGACTCTTGCCGAGGGTGGTTCGGAGATCTTGAGGATAAAAATCCGCTTTTTGGAAGATCTGAAGCTCGACGCGACACTTTTAACCGACAAGTTAAACACCGTAAAGCGTTCCTTATTGAATTCCCAGGAAGTCTGAATTTCTGACAATCTAGACGTCACCCAGTTGTCGGAGTCATTGTTAATAATGCTTTTAAACATTGCCTTCCACCTACGAAGTTTCTCTTCCGGTGACATATCAAGGGCGTACTTTATCGTTTGTGCTACCTTGCGCTTATCCCAAGGATTTATCAAGAATGCCCCGTCATCTAAAACATAAGCGCTTCCTGTAAATTCTGACAAAAGTAGCGGTGCATTTCGCTCTCTAGAACACACAACAAATTCGTGACAGGTTAAATTCATACCTTCTCTCATTGTGGTAACCAAAAACAGGTCGGCTTCACAGTTCAAGGCAAGATATTGGGCAAAATCAAGGTCTTGATGCAAGAACACGACTGGTTGCGAAACACTAATATCGGACGACAAGGAGTTGATTCGATCAACAACAACAAGAATCTCACGTTCCAAGTCCGGATCCGCATCAGATCCCAAACAGATTTGAATCAATACGGTGTTGCCGATATACTCGGGATTAGCTCTCAGGAAAAGTTCATATGCAAGAAGCTTCTTCGTTAGACCACGGATTCTATCGAACTGGTCTCGAGCAACAATGAGTCGCTTGCCCGCCCATCTTTCACGAATGAGAGTTCGCCATGTTTGAACTTGGTCAGACGCCATGTGAGCCTCTAAGTTAAAGGCGTCTATTCCAATTGCAGTGCTGGATACATTAATGACATGCCCCTTGTATTTAAGCGTCTTCGAATCCACATCCGTCATGAGCAACCTATTCGTGGTCTGCAGAAAATGTCTAGCATATTCTTGGGTTTGAAATCCGACCGAATTGGCTCCCAAAATACCTTGCAGGATGCTTTCTCGTTGAGCGAAGCACCTGAAAACTTCACTACTGGGGAAAGATACATGCAGGAAAAACCCAATCTTTGCATCAGGAATTTTGGAACGTACCATAGCGGGGACAAGCATTAAATGGTAATCATGAACCCAAACAATGTCACCGTCTTTGTAAGTGTCCACGATCTTATCTGCAAATTGCTGGTTCAAGTGCTGATAATAATTCCAGGAATGATCTTCAAATGCTTTAGATTTAGGGTTGTCTGGAATTTGATAGTGTAACGTGGGCCACAGAATCTGTTTGCAAAAATTCTTGTAGGCTCCCTTAAAAGTAACATCATCCGATATAACAGCGGCTGAATGATAGTTGGTTTCCATTTCGGTCACTATACTCTTTAAAACGTCTTTTGGAATGCTGTCAGTCGGAATACCTAAACTCCCCACCCAAGTGACAGGTTCTTCAATGGTCTTTTCCAAAACACAGGTACTCACTGCATTTTTCAATCCTCCATTGCCCTTGCCACTAGCCACAACTTTCCACGGAACAGAGGCAAAGATGTTTTTGGATCCCTGCAGTAACGAAGCTCTGATTTTAGCGTTGTTTGAAAACCCACCAAATTGTGGAACATTTCCAGGATGGAATTCCTCGATGTCCGACATCGAGTTGTCGCTTTCAATGACTTCGTTGTCCTCACGCGAGGACACTTCCGATTGCGCAAAATCATCTGCTGTGACAGCATGTTTCAGTTTGGACGAGGTCCCAGTGCCAGAGGCTTCCAGCACGGCGGGGATTGCATTCGATGAGGCTCTTCTGATGCGCCTCATCGAGGGAAGCGACATTTGTTGCTGTTGCTGTTTTTTAGGCAAATCGACCACACTCGCGCTCACGTGGGGTAAATCCCGCGATTTGGGCGTTATTACGGTTCCGCTACTGGGTGCAGCAAACTGAGGGACGCTTTTGCCCTCAGATGCAACGCTCGAGTTACTGCCGTTGAGAACGCTTTGGTACAGGGACCTATTCACATTTTTGAGTAAATTGGCGGTCGAGTCGTGCACGTGGGCGTGTGCGGGGGGCCTTTCACCACCCGGAGTAGACGTTATCGAGAGATTACGGCTCGAAAGCCCGCTCAACAGATCGTGTCCACTTGGACCCGGACCACCGTGTCCGCCTAAGAAAAACTCCTCGACGGATCGGTTCGAGTGCGTATGCACCGGATTGGCAGGCGAGTTGATGACGTTGGTGCTCGATGCATTTGCAGTAAGGTTTTCCATAAAGGTCTCGGACGAAATTCGTTCTTCACCATTGCCTTTCGAGTGTGCCTGCGGGACCTCAGATCCGCGCCGCACTTCTGAGCCGTCTAGATGGTCCACCGAGTTGCCCTGATCAAGGTTCAAAAACGGAGACCCCGAATGAACTGAACTGGTCCTTTGCCGGCTAACTCCGGCACCTGTCTCTGCATTGATCCCCGAAGAACCAGGGATCTTTATGGGTTGCGATTCTACCAACGCAGCTGCTTCGGTTTCTGTCGCATTGATTTCGAATTGAGGTTGAAAGGGCAGAAATAAAGACGCTACTATAACGACCATCTCAAACGCTTCGGAAACGACTTTCCAGGAGTTGCGCTTCCCAGGTTATACTTTGAAGTGGTCGATACAAGGAATCGAAGATGCTAACATAACTCCCCTTTTTTGAACTGGAAAAAGGGAATCACGTGATGACATAGCGTATCAAGTGATCGTCCATCGTATGAGTAACCAGCCAGAAACCGGTAAATAGAATATGAACCAATGGAAACCAGCACTGGAGGTGAATGCGACGAAACCACGAATCCGGAGATTCGCGGGTTCGGTTTTCTTTTTGAGACATCATCACGTCGAACGGGTATGCTTCTCGAGCTTCGGCGAATTTTGTCGCTTAGGCTGTGCCCATTTAACCAATGGCTTAGACATTTGGTGGCTTCATAGTGGACTATCTTCCATTTTAGCTGCCGGTTCATTCCCAATTCGTCGCGAATTGGGAATGAACTCGTTCCGATGTTAGTAGCTTAGTACGGAGAAACTTGCCCAAGTGCTAGTCAAAATCCAGTACGTTGTCGCTATGTACGCAAGTGAGTTTTCAGTGAGTAACGTCAGTATAAAGCTGGTGAGAGTACTTAGCAATAACAAGAAACCTGCATTTGGCTCCGGAAGATCATTCGTTTGTAGCGTTCTGTAGTATGTTGTGGGATTTTAACTCTCGGTTCTCGTCGTTTTCTAATCTATAGGAACAGCTCGCAGATGTATCACCTAAAACGTCCAAGGAGCTCACACAGTTCATCGTTAAGAGACTAAAAGTGCACAAGAGATTGGGAAATTACTCTACTGAAATAGTGTCGGCAGTAGATACCCTCAATTCGTTACTTTGTTGCTGGCTCTCTTGTTTGCATGTAGAGCTTAGTCCCCGAGACTATGACAGTGCGAGAACCCATCAATGAGAAACGTGAACATTTGTCTCTTGTTCCATCACACCACTGACGATTTGGTTTGGCGACATATGGCGACTATATCTATTACTGAGATTGTCTGCCATAACTTCCAATTCGGCCTTGCGTTGCGTATTCTGTCGTCACGGTCACGTGAGTCAATGATAAACCCTCCATTATTTCGAATTCAGGTCTGATAACGGTCTGGTGATCTTAGGCCTGCTGTGTGCAAAAGATAAGATGGTCTATACATGTAGAGGGGATTCTCTTGTCAAGCGACAGTGCTTGCTGGTGTCGTTGACGACCTTGAATATATTTGTCTTGGCAGTTAAGCGACGCAAAAGACCTGCAAAACGAACCCTCTAGAGATTGAAACACAAGCTGCTGCATATTCATTCATAGTTGTTCGATAAATCACGACCCACCATCGACTAACGTTCCATATTCAGCCTAGACCACCCTACACACTTAGGACGTGTCGGAAATTCGGCGTTAAGAATCTAGCTTTTGCATTTGCTCTAAAAGAGAAGACTTCATTTCAAGTATTCTCCATCGAGTCGACACCATTGTCGGGGCCCTGATGATTCCAACGAGCGCTCGTCATCTTCTTGTCCCGTTTGGAAACGTAAAAAGCGATATACTCACTTGAGTATTCGTACAAGGGTATGTGTTCACATGGTTTAGGAGGTACCGGGTAGAAAATGAGTAAGGGGATCAAGTTTAGTACAGAACGATATTCCAATGTCAGCTCATCGGACAAGGTTCAAGAGGCAAGTAAGAACGCTCTGCAACAGGCTGGGGTCTTCATGTCAATCCTAATAGATGCTCATTGCCACATCGCGACCAAGACCGCTGGAACGAGCGATAGGGACCGTGCGTTTATTCCACAGGACGACGACACTCCCGTAGCGCGATGTGTGATGTCCAACAACCAATTTGAATGGACCAGACTGGAGAAAGGCGATCTTCCCAAACACACGCAGCTGGCGTTCGGTGTGCATCCGTGGTACTGCCATCTTTTCACGCTGCAAGAAAATGTGGACCCCAGGGAACACTATGCGACTGTGTTGGAATGCAACGACCAACAAAGTCTCGATGCCATCATACAGAAACTGCCCACACCCGCATTTTTGCCTCAATACATATCGGACAGGTTCGACCGGCGGCGGGTGCGCTGCATCGGCGAAGTTGGACTCGATAAATTGTTCCGACTGCCGGAAAACGGGTTCTACTCCCAAGACTGTCCTGCACGTCTGGGTAACGTTCGAGTCAAGATGACGCATCAGATCGCGGTTTTCCGCGCCATGTGCGACCTGGCGGCCCGCGAACAACTTCCAGTGTCGCTACACGCCGTCAAATGTCACGGAATCATCTTTGAGCAATGCCGGCAACTGCTTTTGCCCGCTTCAAACGTGAACGTCTGTTTGCATTCGTACACTGGGTCCATCGCGACACTACGAGATTTTTGGCTTCCGAAATTCGGCCCCCAACGACTGTTCGTGAGTACCTCGCAATATATCAACTTTAAGGTCGACAAAGACGATCAACTCGGCACAAAACTGCTCGAAACTGTCCCACTGGAGTGTCTCTTAACCGAAACCGATTTCGCCGTCGATACCACGTCTATGGCCTCCCAGGTTGAAAACCTTCGACTTGTCTTAACCAAAATACGCGAGCATTACGAATTCAAGGACGATTACGCTGTTCAAGACGTTATTTGTCGCAATTTCAGTACGTTTCTTGGATTGTCTAATATATAGGATTTTTTCCAAGATGGTGATCTTTAAGATGGAAAATTATACAACAGAACTCCGAACAAATTCAAGCCTTGCCTCACGACCTAACCAGAACCGCATCAAGGACTCCACAACTCGTACACAATGGCGCCACGATCCCACAATTCCAATTCAGAATCGGAGTCTCGCGGTAGAAGCAACAATAATACGGGTCAAAGCCACGGTGCTAGTACAAACAACGCCAGGGCCAGTGGGAAACAAAGATTGACAGTTGCGCAACAACAGTACCTAAAGGAACTTCTACGAAGGCACATTGACAATAATCATCCCGACAACGAAGAACAAACACATCCGGCGGACTTCGAATCCTATTCTGACGAGTTTCTGCGTAAGTACAAAGATCATTACAGTTTGAACGCAGAAGACAATTTATCGCTATCTGGTTACCTGTTGGGCTCAGAATTGGGTGGGAAAACTTACTCGAGTAGAAGGAACCAACATGGCGTTCCAGGAGCAAGGATTACCAAGAAGGAGCTCGCAAGTCAGGTGAAAAGACATTTCACCTCGTCGAGCGTAAAAGAGACGGAGTGCATACCGACGTTCATCTACAAAGTGAAGAATCGCAAGCGCAAGTTTAAAATGGAATTCCAGGATCAGTGAAGACTACGGGAGGGCTTTGGCGATTGTGGGTAAAATGTCACGTGATAATCACATGGAGATATAATCGTCTCATACGAAAATTATATAATAAACTAAGCCAACTAGAACCTCCAGGTAGCACGACAAGAATATTGAAGATAGTACGGAGATATGGACGGATCAACTGCCACGTTTCTGGCGATCCTTGTACTTGCGTTCGTGTTATTGAAATGGTTCATGCAATCGGAACATCATCCGTCAGCGCAGCGGGCCGCGGCGGAGAGTGCGAGCACGACCAGTGCAACGACGCGTAGAAACGCAAACACTGTGCGTAGAAGGCCCAGAAGAGCGGTTAACGACGATATGATCGAAGTAGTGCAGAGTCTTGCACCAGCGTTAGATCGGGAACAAGTGCGGTACAGTTTGGAAAAAACTGGTTCCGTGGAGGAAACCGTTGAACAATTTTTAAGAGGTGATGAGTTCCCGTTCCCACCTGGTTACAGTTCCGAGTCTGCACAAGAAGTCACAGGCAGCTCTGACGCGAGAGACGCACGTGAGACGCTCGAGACGGATCCCAAAAAGAGGAGTAACATAAGGCCCGACAATTTATTGGAAAAATACCAGGTTGACCCTTCTGAGGATCTGAGCGCGCTCAATTCTGCCGACGCGTCCGTCGAGGACCGTAAACGGTATCTAGTGTGGCAGTCGTACCATAACCTGGAAGAAAAGCTCAAAGACGACCAAGATTTGCGGTCTTTGATCAATAAATGAATTAAGAACGCGCGGATTCAACCTTAACACCCTTCCCAATGCATCCCATGGCTTTCGCTCTCGACTTTTGCCAGAAGAAGCGATGGCTTTAAATAACGACTAAAAGGTAATTTTACGTTTTATTTACTACGGCAGTCTGCACTCTGCGTTTCGGCGCGTTTCCATTACTGTCATTTGTCCTCGAATCCGGCTTTTCTGACGCAGGTTTCCGCCTCACTGGCAAAACATTTACAATGCTTGTTTTTGGTTCTTCATGTTTCTTAACTAACGGTTTCACGGGCGTTGGTTTGGGGAATTGACCCCTGTAAACCGAACCAAATAGATCCTTCTCTATTGACACGTAAGAACAAAACCCGTCTGTCGAGGACACCATTAGCATGAGGCCGTCCTCGGACCAGCTCACATCCGTCAGCGGGGCATAGTGTAAATTGCCTATGATCGACACGGGCTGAATAGTTTCTGTATCATAAATGAGCACCTCATTTGAAGTCGCAACGGCGAATACCAATTTATATGGCAGATTAATGTAAGGCTTACTGCCAGCAGTAATTTCGAAACCTAACGGATTGAAAGCACATACCAATGCGGGCCTTTTCAGAAATGGGAGTGTCAGAACGGGCCGGTTACTGTTATGCACGAGAGAAGATCTTGTGAAAATGTGAACCGCATTGATAACCTCTTCTGAATTCGTCTCTGCTTGGGAGGAGCACGATTTGAGAATACCTGCTGGACAGCATAGCAGGGATCCACACGGGGACAATGCGGGTCGTCTGAAAAACGACGGCAGAGTTTCATTGTGGAATAAAAAGATCTGTTTGGTAGAGTCGAGGTGGAGCTGTCTGCAATCAGAATCACTCCTTGTAGGCACATCACCTTTGACAATTTTGTTTCTAAGTTGTAAACCTGTAATTGAACCTTGGTCATCACGCAAAATGTTGTAGACGTTTACGGATCTGTCCGCAGATTGAGAAATGATAAATGCATTCAATGGATCCCAAGCAACCCCCTGTGCGTAGTGATGATGCTCACTACACGAAGCAGTGCAATGACCCGTCTCCACGTTAAAAATCCGTACTGTATTGTCCATGGATGCCGTTACAATGTGAGTATCGTCGGGACTCCAGCATAAATCGTAAATTTCCGATCCACCTGTTGTCGAAGTTGATCTCAAGCGCTTGGAAATGTACCAACATTCCTTGAACTCTGCCAACTCTTCTTCTTCAACGCCAAACTCTTGCACCATCTTGTCGTTTTTCTCCCACAGGAAAAGTTGCCCGTCGTCACTCCCACTGGCCAGTAAAGTCTGACTGGAATTGAATCTCACAACGTTTACCGCTTGTTCATGCTGTGCCATCGATGATAGAAAATCGATGGTTTCGACTTTCCTGTAATTCTCAGCCGAAAAGTTCAATTGCCATACTCGAATCTTGTTGTCTCCGCCAGCAGTTACAAGCCTTCGTTTGAGACTTCCAGTGTCGCTATGGGACTGGAAAGACACGCTGTAGATAGGTTGCGATTCATGCCAATAGATTTGTAGGTTCGAGGCGTCCATGAGAAGCACAAAGGCGTTAAAACTGCGTGCAGGGTTATCAATCTACGAGATCTTCAAGGTCTCGATGCCTTGATATATTTTTCATTTTCCGCAATGAAGTAAACCGCCTAGCGTCCGCCGGAAAATAACCAGACACGTAAGAAAAGGAGTTCTGCTCGAGCGCCCTGCTCTCTAGGTCCACCAGATCTCAGTTCTCCTTTCGATTTTGATGCCTTAACCATGTAAGGTTGAAACTCTACCTCTAAAATCTTCAAGTCTGTGCCTAACCGTCAGAATGTTTTTGAAAGATTCAATATCGTACTCGAATGGGTTCGATTGACAATGTCGATCGCCTGAATCATGGACATGCAGATATATATACGTAGTATTTGCCTTCGCTATGATAACACGGAAGACATCGCCATGACTTGAGCCTGTACTGTAGTGAAAGTGCATAGATCACGTGACTATATTGATCTTTATCTCTCATAAACCAGCAAGCCTCAATATGGAACGGTGGGACCGTCGTTCATGCGTATATCATAGACCAGTTACAGTGCCATAGCGTGTATCTCTCAGTGTCGGCCTTAGAGTCAGCGGCCTAAACTTGTCGAAACTGTAGTAGCGTACATAGTGATTATGACGAGAAGACAAACTGTTGAACCTTCTGGCCACTCAAGCTGGTCTCTCAGAGGGCAACCGTCATTCAGAGGGTGGGGGTTTGTCGTATTTACATTTCGGGCCTGAGTTCTAGTGCTACAAATGACTATCGACATGCTCACTTCTACTGCTTACAACGCTAAAAACAATTTATTTAGGCGCAGCGCATCGCTTCAAGTACCTTTTCCAGTTCTTTCAATGACGGAAAAGGTCCCAGTATTTCATCCCTTGCGTGACGACATTCCAGTTGTCAGCAGGCAAAACTTCATCACTGCAACAAATGATTAAGTTCGCTATCCTATAGCTTATTAGTCTGTCGTTTTGCTTGATACTGACGTTACCTAGTGAAATACTCGTATACGTGCCAGCGACTCCCTCCACTTACCCGGATTTACACATGAGCTCACAAGGTTACCCGACCATTCGTTTCAAGTCACTGTTAACGAGTCTCAGATAAGGAATAATCACTGCTAACGGCAGCTGCAATACCAGGTAGATTACAGCCCTACTTTTACATGTACTAGCTCTAAGATGATAAAACTCATCTGGGGGAGCCAAAGCCGTGTGTATTCAAGATAACGACTTATAGCGGCATTCAGAAGTGGCTTCTTACGATGGGAAGCCAGATTCGCCCAGCCGCTGAATTTCGAAAGCGCAGGGTGTCAGGGTGTTAGAATACACGCTACATTCTCGCGTTGCACGGGTCACTCGTGACGAGTTTTCACGTTGGTTTTGTGGTTCTTACGCAGGTTCATGCGGGCTTATGCATAGAACCGCTGCAGACGCAGCAGCCGTTCAGGCTTTCTGCAGGAAAAGCGGTGAACTCTGATTTAATCCAAGAATGCGGCTGCACTTTTTCTCGAGAAAGCTGCGGGAATGTAACGTCTCACTACGTTTTCTAAGCATGACATAACTTCCACGCATGCATGCAGAGGAATGGAAGCTTTTTTCCATATAATACGATGCCCTCGAAGCCCTTAGGGAGAAAAACAAAATGGATGTCATCAACAAATCATCTTTTTTGACTGACAAACCATTACTCTTGAAGGACCGCAGCCCGTCCCATCAGTGTGTTGACAAACCAATTCAAAATCGACCATTTCGGCACAGCTGTAGGCAAAAAAAACAGTGATTGTTGGCCTATTTTTAGTTTGTGAAAGTGGGTCTCTGATCTTCCCATCGAGGAGAGTTTTACTGGAAAAGCGAGATCTGCAAAGATACTAGGCCCTTGAGGACTCCAAAGACTGTTTGAAGGTAAACAACAGCTACTACGCTCCAGAAAAGAACCGCGTTTGCAGTTTGACTTTTTTTCCCGTTCGCCCCCTCTCCGTGTTTTGAACTCCGCAAAGCAACCCCCTCACAATGGACTTTACTCTGACCCTGCTAAAAAGAGACGACGACTCGCTCGAGGCCGGCAAACCGGCGTCGACGTCCCAAGTTTTGACCGCGTTTGTGACGAATTCCATCTTCTTTAGCGCTTTCATCCTTGTGTTCATTTTGCTAAGAATGAAACTGAAACGTGTGTATGAGCCCAAATCGTCTTTCGATCTGATCAATGACGAGAAAAAACCTGAACCTTTACCGCGCGGCCCCTGGCAATGGCTTTTACCCCTGCTGAAAAAATCCGACAATTTCATCATACAGCAAGCGGGAATCGACGGCTATTTCTTCCTCAGATTTCTCTTGATCATCTCGATGTACTGTTTTGTGTCCCTCGTTTACGTTTTGCCCATACTTTTGCCCGTGAACGCTGCGAATGGTGTCAAACACAGCGGGTTCGACATGTTGGCATACACTAACGTGATCAAAAAGCCCCGTTACTATGCACATGTTTTTGTTGGTTGGGTATTCTACTGGGGATTCTTATTCGTGATATATCGCGAACTGGTCTACTACACTTCAGTACGTCAGGCGGTTCTTTCATCTCCAAGATATGCGCGGAAACTGTCTTCGCGGACCGTGATGTTCCAATCTGTGCCCGAAAAATACTTGCTGGAATCCGAATTTCCCAAGCTATTCGTCGGTGTAAAGAACGTATGGATCGCAAGAGGTGCAGGCCAACTCGAGAAGAAAGTCTCGGAGCGGGACGCTATGGCCATGCAGCTCGAAGCAGCAATGACAAAATATTTGAAAACTGCGGTTAAAAAAATTGCCAAGCTGAAGAAGAAAAATCCAGATTACGTACCTTCCACCGACATTGCACAGTATGTGCCACAAAACAAAAGACCAACCCATCGCCTCAAATTTTTGATCGGAAAGAAAGTCGACACCATCGACTTTCTGAAAGAGGAACTTCCCAAATTGAACGCCGATATTATTGAACTTCAATCCAATCACGATGAGGCCAAGCCTTTCAACTCTGTATTTGTTGAATTTGAGTCTCAATACCATGCTCAGATTGCTGTGCAAAGCACCATTCATCACGAGCCTTTGAAAATGACACCTGCTTATGCAGGTATTCGTCCACAAGACATCGTTTGGTTCAATACAAGAATGCACTGGCTCGAACGCACGATTAGAAAATTTGGGGCCGTGGCAGCCATTATTGCGCTCATCATTCTATGGGCTTTCCCAGTTGCTTTTGTTGGCCTGATTTCTAACATCAACTACTTAACGGATAAACTTCCGTGGTTGAGATTCATATATCATCTTCCAGAACGACTAATGGGCCTTTTGACAGCAATGGCACCTACCATAGCTTTAGCAGTTCTCATGATGCTGCTCCCCATAATCATAAGGAAAATGGCTCTGGTTGCTGGTGCTCCATCCGTTCAACATATAGAGTACTTCACTCAGCAAGCGTTTTTCGGATTCCAATTTGTTCAAGTGTTTTTGGTTACCACAATTGCTTCGTCTGCAACCTCGGTGGTCACGCAAATTGTGAAAGACCCCACTTCATCAATGAGCTTGCTGGCGACAAACTTACCGAAATCTTCCAACTTTTACGTTGCATACATTATGTTACAGGGTCTCACGGTTTCGTCGGGTGCATTACTACAAATTGTTTCATTGATTTTATTTTATGTGCTAGGCTATCTGCTAGATGGTACTGCGAGAAAGAAGTGGTCCCGGTTTACCGGGCTTGGAAGCATGCAATGGGGTACCACATTCCCAGTCTACACCAATTTGGCGGTTATTGTGTTCTCTTACGCTATAATTGCACCCATTATTTTACTGTTTGCCGCTGTTGCTTTCCTTTTGCTTTACGTCGCGTACCTTTACAATTTGACTTATGTGTTTCAAGAATCTGCTCCTATGCGTGGGATCTGCTACCCAAGAGCCTTATTTCAAACATTTGTTGGTTTGTACGTGGGTCAAATCTGCTTGCTGGGTCTTTTTGCAGTAGGCAAAGGTTGGGGTCCCATTGTTCTTCAAGTGGTTTGTATTGCTGTTACCGTATTCATTCACCTCAATTTCAATATCGCATTTGACAATTTGATGCAAGTGGTGCCAATGGACACTATGAAGCCACTTGACGGTAAATCCAATACGCCGTCATTTGTTAATAAACCGGGCAGCCAAGACTCTAAAGAAGGTGTGAAACAACTTCCGCACTTCCCTATCCGGAAGTACCAGCCCCGGTCTTCTTTGCACCTTGACCAGAACACAAAGAGTTTGAGAAGCGAAAACACTTTCGAAGTCAATGCTACGATGGCATCTGACAATGAAAACAATCTTGCCACGGTTCCACTATTGGCAGACGGTGAAGAGACGTCTATACCTGCGGCACCATTTTGGAAAAGATATTTTCAACCTCACATTTACCTCTCTTATAAAGTCGCGCGCAGTATCCTACCTGAAATTTACAATTTGCCCGATCCAGAGGACACTACAGATGCAGACGCCCTCAAGAACGCCTACAACTACCCTGCGGTCGGTGCCAAGTGTCCTATGATGTGGGTTCCTCGCGATCCATACGGATTTTCAGACACTCAATTAACGCTCTTGGGATCAGATATCCCAATGTCTGACGAAGGTGCAGGTTTTGATGAAAAGGGCAATATCATTTGGACTTCAGCACCACCATCTTATGAGGCGGCCATGAAAGAGAAAAATCCTTTTGAGGAAGAAGAAGAGAACGAAGCGTTCTGATCCTTTTGACCTTCGAGGCATTTCCTTGCAAGACACTAATTAAGCATTCGAAGGCTTCCCCATAATCTAATTTTGTCGTCTTTATTGCAGAAAAAGCAGATCAAGATGTTAAAAAAACTAGAATCAAAAAGTCAGAGCCATCTAGCCCTCTAACAGGCTTAGAATAATAAATCTTACTTATATAGACGTTAATCTTGATGTCCATCTTGTCTACTATGTTTATGAAAATCTACTTGTTCGCTACCAACTTGACTAGATACCGTTCGCGTCGACTACAGAGAGCTATAGGGTACAACGTGTAATATGAGTAGTGCATTGCGCAGAGTTGCGCAGACTGCTTCAATTCTTAAGGGAAGAGCGTTGGGGAGCGTCACTAACGGGAGTAAATATACGAAGAACTTTGTTCAATACCTTGAGCTTCCGAACGGTGAGATTGGATCATATTTCCACGATGTTCCACTGGCGCTAGACGCTGAGCACAGAACTATCAATATGGTTGTAGAAGTTCCGAGGTGGTCAAATGGCAAATTTGAAGTGAGTAAAGAAAAGGATTACAACCCGATTGTTCAAGATGTGAAAGACGGTCAAGTGAGATTTGTGCACAATATCTTCCCGTTCCACGGATACATACACAACTATGGTTCAATTCCGCAAACGTGGGAAGATCCACTTGTCAAAAGCACGCATCCAGGGGTCCAGGGTTTGAAAGGTGACAACGATCCATTGGACTGCTGCGAAATCGGTTCTCAAATTTTGGAAATGGGCCAAGTACGGAAAGTCAAAGTTCTGGGCTCATTGGCCATGATCGACGACGGTGAACTTGATTGGAAAGTGATTGTTATCGATGCAGAAGATCCCCTCTCCAAACAAGTGAATTCGCTCAAAGACGTAGAGACGCATTTCCCCAATTTATTGTCTTCTACGCGCGAATGGTTTCGCAATTACAAAATTCCAGCGGGTAAACCACCAAACACATTTGCTTACGGCGGTGCATACAGAGATTTTCCAGAGACCTTATCGATCATTCAAGGATGTCACGATTCGTGGAAAAGACTACTTTTCATGGAAAATCAAAATTCTAAAACGCCAAATGCTAAAAGAGCTGGAAAGGGCTTGGTTATCAAACCGGATCATGCTCCAGATTCAACAATTGATCCAGAGAATGACAAATGGTACTACATTTAAACGGCTCATATCTCAGATTGAGGGATGCTCTCAGGCTGGTGCGAGGTTTACTGATATCACATGTGACGAAAGGTCAAATTTTTTGAAATTGGATCTATTACAATGTAAATAGAGAGACTAGACAGATTGAATACAACAAACTAACTGTAACGGGTAGCTTCACTGTTTCTGACTACAAGTCTACCCGAGTGGGATTACTGAGCTGTCGTTTACCTTGAGAGATGTCGAATCACGATCATTCTTTCCTGGATGTGTGGGACTTTTTAACAAGTTATCGTTCTTCACCACAACGCCTTGAGGCAGCTTTCCCCATAATTTCCCACTTTTTGCTCAATGGCGCGGAAACGCTGCGCAATCCTGCTGCTTTGATTGCGGTGGATAGTCAACCAAGCAACATAGCCACTAGTTTTGCCTTAAGAGGCAAAACTTACGAGGTAACGAGCTCACAAAAGGTGAAAGCTTCGAAATTATCACAAGATTTACATTTTGAATTCCAGGAGTGTTTGAGAATCGTTTCACAGGTGGACTCTAGATTGAGCTGTAATTTCGAACAGGAACATCTGCACACGGAATACGTTTTGAGAGAGCGAAATAGTCTCCTTAACATTCTTCTAATTCTGCTTAACGGACATGCAGAATTACCAGCTGAGGCTGATCAGTTGATTGCCACAATAATCGGTGACAAGGACAAGTTTTGTCTCAATTTGATTGATGCGATTTCCAAACTGCTCGAAGCAACTATCAGGGATCAGAGGGGCGTCGAAGATGACGACAACACGAATTTGCAAACTAAATCGACTTATGCCACGCTGTATATTGCCGTGGGTATCGAGATAATAGCAACGATCATCTTCAATTATAATTGCCCTTTTAATGTTACCACAAGGTGGCTGGAATTGATGAAAACCAGCGATTATCTGTTAATTTTTGCAGACGCCATGAAAATACCAAGTGATTCTCGGGATCGACTAATGGCACTCAGTACCGTGTGCACTTTACTCTTCTTAGGACTAGATGCGTCTAGTCCCGCAATTAACTCACATGCAGACTTTTTCGTTCATCCTTCGCATTTCGTTTCAATTAACCAGTTTTTTTTGGAACAACCGAAAAATCCGATTGTCAACTACTACTGGTCCTATGTTTTGTCATTGCAATCTTACCTGTGTGAAGAATACCCAGACGAAAATCTTGATTTCGTAGGAAAAGTTTTCGGAAGTACTCCAATCACTTCTATCATTGCAACTCTGATTTTAAAAGCTAATGAATTCAGTTTTTTGGATTGCCTGACATCCCAGGTCACTGCAGTGGCTGATGACAAAATATGGTCTGTAGTACTGATGGCGTTCGTGACACTATCCTTAAATTTCCTACCCTTTTCAGATCTTGTTACAAGCGCTATCGAAACCTCATTGAAGTGTGTTCCGCCTAAATTCATTGAAGATTTCTTAATCTATCCCGAATTTGAAAGGAAATTTTCTGTTGTGAGAGCGAAGGTGCCTCTAATCAACGAAGGTCTTTTACCGATGATACATCTAACCTCGTTAAACCCAGATTTCGCAAACATCGAGTGGAAAGAGCTTAACACGTACACGGAAAATTTGACTCTATCCGCTTTAAGTTACGATTTGGCAGACTCTGACGAGGTTACCGACGAGTCGGATTTGATCGTGTTAAAAAAAGAACATTTCGTGAAGCCGCCGCTAGAATTGGATAGTAATACTTTTGTCCTGATACCGGAAAACACAAAAGGTAAAATTGTACCTACTGCAGATGACAATAGCGGGGAAGTTAAAGCAGTAGTATTTCTCTACAGTTACAATGGGTGGTCAATGCTTGGAAGATTATTGAGTAATTTATGCAAGACCTACCACCAATTTAAGGAAACTGACGAAAAAGAAAAGAACTCCGAGCTATTGATAGCCATTATTGGTCTTATTTCAAGCGTTGTGGGAGCTGAAGTTCCTCGCACCCGTTCAGCGGAAATAGTAAGCCATCTTTCTGCAAACATTAGCGAAGATGATATCTTTGCCACAATTTTCGGCTTATTTGAGGTAGCGTTGAATGCTCGCGATATACCTATTTTATGTGCCTGTTTGCGCTTGATGATAAGACTAACATCATCTTTCCCCCAGATGGTATGGGGCCATTTAGTCAGGTCAGACCTCACCGATAAAAATGGAAAGGAAGGATTAGCAGTAATAATTTTGGGTAGCACAGAGTTGCCAGCTGGTAACTTCGAATTCAGCGCATTGCTCATTTCTCTGGTGAATCAACTGGTGACGGACTCCATGTCGGTAGACCAGATGTTTCCGGAAAGAATCAAAAGTGAAATTCTTTTGAAGCTAACTGCACATTTGATCCAAATTTATGAGAGCTATCAATACTGGAGGTTCTTAGATCAAAATCAAATGATAGAGATTGGTATCTCGTTAACCTCCCTCATTTCCAGGGTTTTGTACACCGTTTATGGGATAAACTCTTCCTTTTCATCCGACAAAGGGCCCGGTAAAGTTTTGAAAGGATCCGCAGACTGCATAGTAAGCCACTTTTTTGCATCACAATCGCCCGATGTTAGGGCGGTCAATTCATTGAAGAATATCATAAAAGCCTCGCTGAAGACTGGCTCCATCAACGGAAAGTCGGTTAACCTTAAGAAGCTTACGAGGCTCGTTACGAAAAGTTTTGACTTGGCATCACTGCTGATTTCTTTAAGGCCTTTGTTGAGACTAAAGCTCTCTACGCTAGAATTGGTCCTATTCTCAACTTCGTCGCACATGGTCGATTTATATTGCTCACGTCATGAAGTCAGAAATGATGTGATCAGGCTCTTAACCTATTTGGTCAGTGTTCCATTTGCTGAAGATGTGCCATCACTTTTAGCCCATATGGGACCAGAGAAGGCTGAAACATTATCGAGTAGCTTGGCTTCTGATTTGAGAAATCCTTTAACTGGGGACGCTCTTTTGCAAAACATTTACACTTTCTTTTCGGCAGTTATGGATGGCCGTCAAGATGGTCTAGCTGTCCTCTTTTTGACAGGAAGAGTAGTTTCCGGCTCAAAATCAGATGACAGTAAGCTGCGGAGCGCAAAGTCGTCGAATACCTCTCTTTTGGAAATATTGAAAGAAACTGCTATGAAACTAGACAGTTTGCCAAAGCCGGTGGCTTCGCAACTACTTGATGCCATTGCATTTGCGTTCAATAAATGGAATGCTGCCAGAGACCCTCAAAAGGACAAATCTTTGATAACATTCTTGCTCAAAAAGCTTGAAAGTTTCAAACCTCTATCCGCTCCCATTGGAGCCAAAGACACAGCCGCATTTGCTGATCTGCTGAACGATTTCAAATTGGTTTCACGCTTAGCTGAGATTTTGGCTTTATGTCTCTACACATCTTCACCTGCCGATCCCTCGACATACGCTGTTTTAAAGAGCACTCAACTGGCGACTATCGTAAAACCTTATTTCAATCTTCAAAGTTTAGATGAGGATTCGGTCGAACTGCTTGAGAAAAAATTTGAACAGCAGTGGCCAAATTTGCAATTGGACATGTTCCTCAAGTCTCCTCTTTTGAGCTCTACTAACCAGAGATTTATTTTCAATTTTGACTTGATGGATCACTACTTTAGTTGCGACGAAAAGTGGTCAGGGACAAACGATAGGAATGGTTTCAGAAGTGAACTATTGGAGGTTTCATCTAAACTCCAACTTAAAGCTTATCGTATCGCAGCTGCCAAATCTTGGGGCGCTCTACTTTCAGCTTTCATCAAAAAGACACCAACTCCACTTGAATCGACTTTTATTGACATCGCGGAAAGTTTCTTGGCGCAAAATGCATCTTCAGATAAAGAAAACCTACAAACTGATGAGCTCTATCTTGAATGCTCGGAATTGTCATTTTACATCCTTTACTCTCTTCTCAAGACCTCGGTCAAAGTTCCACAGAAAAGGCTTCAATCTCTACTGCTGAATTTGATGGACACGGTAAAGTCGGAAAGGGTCAACTTCTTACAAAGCATCGTTAGCTACAGCAAATCAACAGCTTACCGTCCTATATTGCGCTGTGTTTTGATTGTTTGCAGCCTATTCAAGTCGCAATGCGAAATTTTTGAGAATATATCAGATGAGATTCTCGAATTTTTGGAAGCGACAGTCGCTAGAGGTGTTAGCTTAATTCTCTCAGAGTTACTTGCTAAGATTAACGCTTCTTTGGCAGAGGGAGTTGAGCCCGTCATTGCCAATATCAGCGAAAAGATTCAAGATCTGTCCTTGTTGTTATCACTTCTCACTCATTTCAAAGCACTTCGACCCCCAGATAGCTTCAATCTAATTCTCGCCTCAATTCTTGACAATGCAGGGACTTTGAAAGCTGTTTTGAATCTCTACTCGTGCTCTCATTTGATGAAAATTAACCGTGAGCCAGTTCTCTCCGATCTTGCACTTTCATTCATTTTGGAGTTTTGCTCTGTTGATTATGTTGCCGAGAAACTGGTATCCAATGGCTTGTTTACTGTTATTTTGGAGAGCCCCGTCTCTTTGGCCATTCAGAAAGGTGGAATAACACCTCAAGGAAATCCTAGATTGCATCACATTTGGAATAAAGGATTAATATGCGCGATTTTGCAGTTATTGAGTTTATTTGGTACTAATTTGTTGCCTGAGTGTTGCCTATTTGTTTCGTTCTTTGGAGAACAAATCAAAACAACGATAACCAGCTGGTCGGGTGATTCCCTGGCAATTTCGAATGCGCTAATACAAGAAACCATCCAAGTGGTCTTGCTGCAGAAGATGTTTCGCGCTCTGGACTATCGAGACTTTTTGGCAGATTCAACTGGCCAGTCAAAGACATCAAGTGAAGTTGAAGCCATCCAACTCTTTTTCGGTCTTGATTCAAAGCAGGAAAGAAAAGAGTTCAATGCGACATTGGATCATTTATTGACGCATCCCAAATTTTTGAGCTCACGAATCATACCGACGACTTTAGAAGAACAACGGCTCTTAGAGCAAGAACCCACTAGAGCTCAATTTTCTAAAAGCATCACAGAGTCAATCCGTCAACTACAGGCGGCTTTGACCTCCGATAATTGGATCGAATAAATGCGTTGGATTTAATAAAAACCACTATGATAGAGCTCCAGGTAAGAACTATTTAGATGGTTTTTGTAGCAGCAATTGTCGGAAGTCTTGGTTTGTCATAATCCCTTGCTTATTAAGAGGCGTCTCTTTCTTTCCAAATGTCTCTGCGGAAGTGTTACTTATGGGAACTGTGCCAACTGAAGCTGCTCTGCGCATTTTCTGTCGCTGGAGTTCATTTACCGTACCACAGTTTATGATCGTCTTGTTCAGTGTTACACCATTCAAAGCCATCGTTGCTCTTCCTGCCGCCTGGGCGTCTTCTAAAATAACGATTGCTCCTTCAAGATCAGAAACTAGGTATAAATTGACAATATCAGAAGGCAATAGTCCTGATCGTTCGGTAATTAAATTTTGAATTTGTTCGACTCGAATTTTATCCGAGACCGGGTATATTGCCACGACATTGTCCTGCGATTTCTTGGATGTCAAAATCCGCTTAACTTGTTGACGTTCAAGGTAAGATTTCCGGTCTGCTAACTGTACTCGCAGTTCGCGACCTTCAAACTCAGTGTGATCAAGACTCAATCCCTGTTTTGCACATTCAACACTTTCAAAAATCACGAATCCATAACCATCATTATTGGTAGATCCAGATTGGGGAAGGGTTATCCTTTCGATGTTACCAAATCTCGAGAACAAGTCACGTAGATCACTTTCACTCATGGTAAAATCCAGATTTTGTACAAGAACTTCGCGACGTTCTAAAGTAGCTGCATCTGTTCTTTTCTTGGCGTCAACAGGACTAGACCTCGCCACAACAAGCTGGAAAGAATCCATTGTGATACCGTTCAGTTGTGAGATCGCAATATTTGCTTCTTGAGGGGACGCCATGTCAATATAGGCAAACCGTCGATGGGAATTGAACCGTAACGACGGAAGACGAACACTCAAGACGGTTCCACCAAACTGAGAGAAAAGTCGCTTAAGTTCAGGTTCACCGTAACCCAGGGGATAATTTGTCGTCCAAATGGTTGAATCTGCCAGCAGATCGACCGATATTTCATTCCCAGCGATTTTCTTGTGATTTTTGGTCAAAGCCGAAAGTGCATTTCCAAAGTGGGAAAACTCAATTCTAGCGATTTTGGACCTTTGATCACTGGATTCCTGAATGTTGACACTCCTAATTCCACCACAGTCTTGGAAAAAGCGTTTAAGTTTGAAGTAATTGAATTTAAGGGGAATATTTCTAACTACTATAGTGGTAACTTCTCTTGAAGTAGTTGTATCAATTTTAGGCTTTTTAGCAGATTCCAACCCCTCAACTGTATCAGCTGGGGTCAAACTCTGATCTTCATTCCCACCTTTAATTGTCGTCTCTTGATGGCACTTGGTACCCGATTCCTCTTTTCTCGATCTTTTCACCATTGCACTTTACTCATTTCAAATAACAAAGCAAAGACTCTAATGGACCCTCTACAGTCAAATTTCGACCTTAATTCAATGTAATTGCTCCCCAGAACGTCAAATGCTAAGCCAAGGCTTGTAACTGATCAAATTATTTCGGCTTTTATTTTCCAGGCCTCCACTAGCTCATCTTTAAAAATTTTTTGTAAAATTACAGGCGATGAGCTCGCGATGAGCTAGAACATCAATAGTGACAAAGCCTGCAAGGATAAGCTGTAATCATGGACAGTAGTGGTTATTTAAGGTCATTTGGATGGCAGGAAGGTGAAGCGTTAAAAAAAGGCGGATTGAAAAGGCCTATTTTGGTGAAGTATAAGAAAGATCGGAAAGGTTTGGGCACGGCACCGGGTCATGATGACAGTGAAATGTGGTGGGAAAGACTTTTCGATGGCCAATTGAAGAATTTGGAGGTGGGGACTAGTGGCAGTTGTGTTACTTTCAAGCAGAATGTCAACGTTACTGCATCTGGGATTTGTAAGAACGAGTCGCCATTGTATAGGTGGTTTGTTCGAGGAGAAGGTTTGAGAGGTACCATCGCGGACAAAGAGACCATTGCAGCGTCAGCCGGAGCTACAGTGGCTGACGGATTCAAGCAACGGGTGGAGCTCGATGAGAAAGTGCGTAGGAAGAGCAAGAAGAGAAGTCGTGGCGATGAGAAGCATGATGATAAGAAGAGAAGGAGGACGCATAAGGAGAAGAAGGATAAGAAGGATAAGAAGGAGGAGCGGAAGAGGCATGAGCGCAAGGACAAGAAACATAAATACGAAGACTCGAAAGTCTCAACAAAGAAACATAGAAAATCCAAATCTCCGAAGATATGAAAAAATCACCGATACCGGAGATCGGTATATATCAACGGAGCATCGTATCTACTGCATCTTGACCTCTAGGGTCCAGTATTTATTATTTTGATAGATATTTGTACGACACGTCGACGAACCTATATGATGGGCTACGTCAGGCATGAAAACTGTGAAAAGCATCAGAAACAACGATCTTGATTCACGTCTCAAATGTCATCTAAGAGATTGGACTCACACCCCCAAGGTTTTGGTGACATTAAATTTCATTGCCCAAAATTTTAAGTCAACAGTTGAACAACTACTTAAATGAACACCACCTAAATGGTAGTGGGTCATGGTATGATTACAAGCCGTAAGGTGGCACTCCTGGTGGTGGTCATTTGTTGCCGATTTTCCGCCACAACGTGTATCGCTTTATTACTATGCGTTGTGTTTACGTTTCTGGTGTCGCACATGTTGAATGCCAATTTACCCTCAAGACCACCACCTGAGCCAATAAGGCTGGGTGAAAACAATCCCATTGGTGTCGAAACTACGCCACTGGACAGTATAAATCTATTTGATGAACATCCTGAACTTCAAAGTGAAATTGATCAACTTCTGAATAACATTTCAAGCAGTTTTATTCAATCTTGGTTTAAATCCATTGATAACAATCCCGAAAGCCCGTTTCTCATTGAAGTGAGAAATCAACTTTTGAATGTGGTCCAACAAGTCTATCAAGCTACCGAGAAAGTCGACGTTTCCGAATTGGTGGTAAGGAAAGCGATTCCATTGATTACAAGTCATTTACGCATGTTTTGTTCATACGATAATGGTCCAAATTCCGATTTCGAAGTCGCTGTGGAATTCGATAGGAATTATAAGCTACACAGCTGTGTTTCTCGTGGCTACGATAATATGAACAAGAGTATTGAAGATCACATTAGAGAAAAAACGGTTTTACTTTTGCCGAAGCTCATTGACAAGCGGGAATTATCGTCGAATTTTGTAAGAATCATACTTCGCGAAGTACTCGTCACCAATCTGTTCATGCCTTTGATCAACAAGTTTATAGATCCAGATTTCTGGAATTTGAACGTTAATTCAATGGCCACTGATGTGCTCAGAGAACGGTTCCAAGTGAAAAAATTCCGAGCAGCACTCTCTAAAGAATGGCAAGATCCGCGCGATCGGTTTTTGCAAGATTTTGAGCGCGAATCTGAAGAAGCTACGGCCAAAATTCTTGTATTTGAATTCGCTCAAACTACAAACGAATTTTCCGATTATTTGAGGAAAATAAGCAGTTTGACCCTCATACCATCTCTGAAAGCGGTTCGAATTAGCATAATGGTTCGACTTTTGAGTTTGGACGATACCACTGCGTCATTCAAGGAAAAGAAACTCATGCGACACAGGCTGCAAATGTCATTAAACCTTGTGGAAAGTAGGATCGGTCATTTGGCTGGCAAAGGCATGGACCATGGTTTACTCGACGCAGATCGAGAGATGGCGAGTTTGAAAGTTTTTTTGACATCGATTTCACTCGAAAGTGTATTGACCCATGAACTGTATCTGAAGTTCTTCAAGGGGTTCCTCGAGAATCACGACAAGCAAGGCCAAATATATTTAAATTTATGGCAGAGAATTGAAGCCATTAAAAATCCTTTAGAGGATCCGCTAAATGGAGTTCTTACTATGAACCACTTGGACGACGCTCATGCGGAGCTTGAAGACATTTTTGATGCATACTTCAAGGACTTGAATTTAGAACAACTGTTACATTTGAGCACCGAGCTGGTTCATAGGTTCATTAGTTGCATCGTGGAGGCAAAATCATCCGGAGATAACAAAGATTTCTTGCAGGCGAGAAAGCATTTACTTGTGATTCAAAACCTTTTGGTGACACATTTGAAGACAAAATCATTCGTAGTGTTCCGCGATTCAGCTCAATTCATTGATATGACTTTATCTCAGGTTTTCCAAGATGGCCAAATGATTCAAGAAATATTAAGTACCGAGAAGAAGGGCTTTCCAGCAGTTTCCAAATCTGACAATGGTGTAAACCTAGAAAAGCTCCTCGATGATATCTTTGAAGGTGATTCTGATGACACAAGTTTGGGGAACAATGTTGTATCCACTGTTGAACAACTCGTTGCAGAGAAAGGTGGCAAATTACCTTTAAATTCAGAACAGGAAGAATCAATTCCACGCGAGGGAGGTCTTCTTGAGCAAGAAAACTACCCATTTGATGAAATTGTTGATGAAAGAGAACTAAAGGACAAAATTGCACAACATACCATCAATATCAACAAATTAAGGAGTCAGCTTTCATTGATTGATCATCTCACTTTGAAAGCAGATCTCACCAATAATAGCTCTCAGAAAAGGTTATTAGAAAAGTCCGCTAGGTCTGTTACTCGTGAACTTAACAATTCTGAGCTTCTCATACAACAGTACACGATTAGAATAAGTTCCAACAGTTTGTTCAGAAAATGCGATACCATCATCAAATCGTATCTCAGTGATATTTCGCCCGAAACCGGTAAAGAGATAATCTACTATGTCATAACCGTGACACAACAGACAGGCGAAAATCAAGTGACATCCTGGGACATCCCAAGACGTTACAGCGAGTTTTACAAGCTGAACGCTTATGTGAAGAGAACCCATGCTCGTCTCGTAAAGCATTTACAAAACAAAGACTGCTTCCCTGAGAAAATCAAAATTTCTTTGGTTTATAACGTGTCCAAGAGTCTTCTTTATGAGGAGAGAATTGTAAAACTTGACAGTTTCCTGAAAGCCCTGCTAAACATTCCAGAAATATGCCGAGACGAGGTATTTCGGCGATTCTTGACTGAACCATTAATTCCTTTTGGAGGTGTAGAGCGAAAAAGGGAGACAAGAAAACGACAATCGCTGATAGCCAGAGTTGAAACAACCCCTGCAAAAATTAATGACGGGCCCAATGCTGCAGAACCAAAGGCTCAAAATTTAGAAATTGCCGCCGAAATTGAGGATGAGGTTATTCCGGATCATGAAGGGGGGTTTTCCGCAAGAGATTCGAGCGCAACGAAAGTGTCATTTATCAAACCACTTTGTGACCTTTTTGTTGTTTTGTTTTCGTTAAATGATTTAAATGGTCGCTCACTGCGTGGAAGAGCCGTAATTCTTGTGTTACAGCAGATCTTGGGCGGAACAGCGGAGAAATATGTCAAGGACTCGCTGCTGAGAGTATTTTCAGCTTCCAAAATAAGTCAAATTTTGAGGTCCGTAAACTCTTCTCTTTGGGTTGATGGCGTTTTTTGCAAAAACTTAAAGAATTCAGAGGCGACGCCCAGGGGGTGGTCTGATAAAACCAAGACTCGGTCCGAAGCGCGTTCAAATTTGGAAAAGCTTTTCGTTGAGACTTCGGGTAAAATTTTGAGCAAAAGTTCATGCCAGAAAGCAGCAGATAAAGTGCATGCTTTAATTCAAAATCAGTATTTGAACGCTAGTCTCGTTCTGGAAGTTTTTGATTTGTTGGTCGATGAGATTTTTTTGAAGGAGTGATACGCTACTTGGGCAACACGACTTTACAGTCGTCCATATTATACTCTTCGTCTTCCTCCAAACCAGATAGGTTTCTCTGGTATTTCACGGTAAGGAACATTTTTTCATCAAGTAAATATTTTGTCTGGATAGTGTGAAATTCTCGTAAAGTTTGCCGCAAGGCAGGGTTTATCCCACTAGCTCTGACCAATTTTTCTACACTCAAAAAGTCTTTGTTTACGCTACGCCTCGACGCATCCTGATTCTTAAACTTGCTCTTCTTCACTGAATATTTGTTAAGCTCAGCCAGAGGCAATTTGAAAGCAGATTTTCTGAATCGGTACGGGATATCGCTGAAGAGCTCAAGTGTTTTCATATAAACGTGAGACATGTCCACCCCCATCTGCGTGCCGCGCTGGATAACATCCCTATAGTCAAGCCTTATCGCTCTGTTCATTTTGACGTTTTTCACCGTGCCGTTTTCTTGATTGATTTTCAATGCCCCAGTGTTCTTTTCCTGCGAAAGCTCTAGTTTCTTCTCTTTAGCCATAGTCCGATGTAACCCGTCGAAAAATGTATCCAGTCTTCCAATCACACCATTGAACACGAACTGAGGCATTTCCATTTTGTTGATATCCACTGTTAACCCTCGAGAGGACGCTGACTTGGCCAGAGATCTCTGCCAAACGGCGTTCATTTCTGCTTTCAGAAGCTCCGACGCGCGATCTAAACCTGCCATAGATACTTCCCCTGCTTTCAATGTTCTGTTCTCGGGGATTGTCACTTCCACGTCTTCATAAATAGAGTCCGTTTGAGGATCGATTACGGTGCCGGGATTCGGCCAGCTAGTCCAATTGTCCTTGATCTGGGTCTTGATAAACAAATCCACCTCCAGAAGTCCCCTTTTTTTGTTCGCACGTCTCAAAAGGCTCTTTAAAAGGTGACTCGAGTACAAATGAAGTGCCAAATCGTTTCGATGACTTTGTTCTAACGAATCAAGTATCTCGTTCGCATCTTTCAGCAACCTGTGGCTGGCTTTTACCGAAGCACTATTGCCAGCGTCCTCATCATTATTACAGTCCTGGCTCATAAGACCAGGCTTCTATTGGGATGATGTCACGGGCGGTATTCAGGGCATCGAACGCTGGTTTCGATTGCTTAAGCTTTATTTGAGAAAGTCGTCAATTTAAAGCACTAACCACGAATACTTCTTTGCTACTCAAATAAGTGAAAGTCATAATTAACGAAACTCATTTAATACTCACTCTTGGAAAATCAAAATTTTAAGATTTGATTTTATCTCGTAGTATCGGCCCGCTTTACATTGGTAAACGATACCAAGATTTAGTCTTCAAACCCCCATAATGCCTCAATTGGAAGAGATAGACGATGTTGAAGACATAGATAATATGGATATGGATCTAGCCGAGCTGGATCCGACTCTCAGAACTCCAGTAGCGCCTAAAATCATTCCAACGGTTGTGAGAAGTCAGGACACCGAGATGGCCATGACAGGCCAGTCCATGGCACCACAAGTCAGTGATTCGGTTTACGAGTCTAAACAACCCAAAGTTGCGCAATTTTCCAAGCAAGAAATGGAAGAATTGAAGACTTTCCAGATTCTCTACCCATGTTATTTCGACAAGAATAGATCCCACAAGCAAGGTCGACGTGTACCAGCAGAGCTTGGAGTCGATAACCCACTTGCGAAAAGAATTGCAGATGCTGTGATTGGGCTCGGGTTGCTGTGCGTGTTCGAAGGTGAAAAGAGTCATCCACAGGATTTTGGGAACCCGGGTAGGGTGCGTGTGTTACTAAAAGAGGACAAAAAAGCAGTACAACATGCTACAATACCGAACAAGCGAGTTCTTATGAAAAAGGTAGCAGAGTACTTGCAAAACCATCCCACGACTTTGGAGGCGCTCAAAGAAATACCTTACGGCCCAGATTTCCAAGGCTGGGAACCCAGACAAATCCCCAAAGTTAAGGGATTTGTTATGAACGATATAGTGCCTTTGCATAGTGCTTTCAGTATGGGCCACCCGATGACAAAATCTGTTTATGATGCACCTACACCAGCACCTGCCATGCCCGAAAAACAAATCAAACCACCCAAGAACAAATACAAAGTTGTGAGAAGGTGATTAGGGCTTGACGTGGCAATGCTTCAGCTGGGGAAATGCCACAAACAACTCACGGTGCAAGCAACTTCGTGTGTCAACTTTCAACGAGGTGAAAGAAAATAACTAAGTAAAGTGACGTTTAATCACGATACATGATTGAGTATTAGAAATTTCAAAGTAATCTCAACTGGAATCGGGCCCGCTGCTCGTTCCAGCTTTGAGAATTTAATTAAAATCGATTGTTCAAAGACTCCAATTTCTGCTATTATATGCTGTTTATTCCATATTATCTTCAAAGAGCTTACATTCACAAAAGCATGTTTATCGGGACTAAAACTCCGATCTCGGAACGTTGAGATTTACACGCCGTAAACCTGCAAATACTCCTCCATTTCCTTTCTCTTTTCGGGTGGAATTCTGCCATCCAAGTATTGGATGATGTTTGCTAGCGTTACAATGCTTAGCACTGGGATATGGTATTTCTGACCGACAGCCTGAGTGGCACTCAACCGTTCTTTATCCTCAACGCGGAGCACTTCCTGTCTATCGAGGGACACGATCGTGCCAACAACGTTGCCACCTTCTTTCGCAATAATGGCAAACGCTTCGTTGATGGCAGTACCGGCCGTCATGACGTCGTCGATAATAAGCACCCTTTTCTCCTTCAAAGAAGCACCCACAATACTACCACCTTCTCCGTGGTCTTTGGCCTCCTTTCTGTTGAACGAATATTGCACATCTTGGAACTTAGTTCCACCAATTTCGGCCAATTTCACGCAAACAATGGCCGCTAGTGGGATACCTTTGTAAGCAGGTCCGAAAATGACATCAAATTTCAAATCGGATTGAATAATGGCAATCGCATACGCGGTGGCAAGGTTGGAGAGTAGTTTCCCGGTGTTAAATTGCCCCAAATTGAAAAAATATGGCGATTGTCTACCAGATTTCAAGGTGAAAGACCCGAATTTCAACGCACCGCTTTCCAGCGCCAAATCCAGAAAGTTTTTCTGGTAATCTTCCAAAACTGACAACATTGCCTTGATTCACTGATCGATCACTTCTTTATTTAAAGGGACGCTATTTTCTCGGGAAGAATTGCCGGATCAAAAAAACCAGCTTGTCAACTAGATCGGATTACGAGCTATCGTCGCTTCGAAGGATTACCTTCACCAATTAAAACCACTCGTGTTTTTTCGGGGACGAGCTGGTTTCCAATGAGACCAGTTAGCTGATTCATTAGAGAATGGTGTCTCTCCTGTAAGAGGAATTGGAAAATTTTCTTTGACGTGTAAAGTGATGTGCACCATCGATGAGAAACTAGTACTGGAGCCAAAGTTTCGATGGGGCACTTGATGGGCGCATTAGCGATTTGTTTTATAGTTATCCGAGGGGGTGGTTCGCAAAAATGTGACGAGAGATGGCGACTGGAATTTTTCCGGTGAAATTTGGATTGTTTTTGGGTGTTCTTGGTTGTTTTGGGCAACCGGCATTATAAGCGGTTTGGATCGTCTGGTATGTCAGTGTTGGCAGGCCAAGGCCCTCAGAAGGACGAGAAATATGAAAACATCATTTAGTCCCGCACATAGTCCGACAATTGACCAGTTCAAGGTCCTTTTGCCGCGCAAATCAACGCTAGATTTCCAATCCGACGATTCCCACCTCAGCTACTGTTTTGACAGCGTGAGAGAGCAACAGGAAGATTATGAAAACGTGGCTTCAAGGTTTCTTATGGAAAATAGCCTACCAAGCGTTAAGAATTCAAATCTGGCCGGGAAACTTGGAAGAATCATTTGAGCAGGGAACGTCAAAAAAGTAGCTCAAGTTTCGTGCAACCTCATTCACAATCAAGCCTGAGGACAATAACGTGAGCTTTTGGGAGTCATTGCTAGTCACTGCGAATCATTGGGTTTGCCTTTACAGGTTTGAATTTTATATTACGTTTTAATTCCAATTCGGAGCGAGAAATAGCCAGATAGCACCGGGAGCTAACACTCACGCATTGGCAGTTGCGTTCAATTTTGGCTAAATGAGCTTCAACAACTGGTAATCAAAGGGCATTGAAGGTTGTGAAGCACTGGTCTTTATGCTTCGGGCACTTTCCATTGATAAAGGCGATCTAAGCAGCTTGGACTGTGAAGCGCCAGGGCAACGTGCCAGGGTTTTGTGACTGGCAGCTGTGTGTGCTTTCCGTCTTGTCTTTGGGAGGCCATATACTGTGAAAGATCGCATGATGTGCAGCAATAAGGTTATGCGGAAACGAGGAAATGAGAAACCAGCCATTGGGCCAATGCATAGCGTTCACTTGTTTACGCATGAGATGTGTAAGGCAACTGGAAAGGGCCTTTGAAGTCTGAATTAGATCTCGCAACCAGCATCCACATCTTCATATTTCAGTTTCTCGAGGATTCCGTACATCAAATCAATCTCAGAGGTGTCGCGAAGAGCATTTTTCGTTGCCGGCAAGCGCCTTAACCGTCTCATGTCGTGTATCTCGTTGTTCATCATTGTCCAATTCCATCAATCACCGGGTTTTGGAGGGTCAAAAGTGGCGGCATGAACTCACTGATTAGTACAATAGTGTGGAAAGCAAAGTATACGCTGCCTTTCCCTAATTTTCGGTCCTTATATAGCTTTTCTGGTAGTTCCTTCAACAGTAGAAGAACTCTTGGTTTTTCAAAGTTTGATTTCCTTCAAATCCTGGTTGAAAACTAGCACCATAAGGGCATAAGAGACCCTTCGAGCCATCGGAGAACTCCCATAGAACCTTTATTGCAGTGTCTGAAACATGGTTAGACCTTTTTTCCGCTCTTGTTTGGCCCATATGGGTCAAATACGACGTTTTGCAAGTGGATCATCAGCAATTAAACAACCGGTTCAGAAATCCAGGTTCGACAAGACCATGTTGAAACCTGCCATTGCTATCTTGCTATTTGGCTCGGTGCTTACCAGTGTAATGGATCAGCAAAAGAAAAATGCAGAACTCGAGAGACGATACAAGCTTAAAATCGGTATTTTAGAGGATTTGATTGAACGAGCACACCAGGATAAGACAATTAGTTTTGACGTTAAGGAGGAATTGCGTTTGGTAAACAAGCTATTTGATCGGTTTGAGCGATTTGGACAAGGTCTTGATCAAGGAAATGACACTGCATTGATTTCTACTGTTACGGAAAGTCAAAACTTCCCCAGAGATGAGGTTATTCAAAATTTGAATAGCGGGCCAAGTAATGCCATCAAGGACGAATCCTTGCAAGATTTGTTTGCCAGTATAATGAAAGACGTCAACATGGAAGACACCACACCAGCGGAAAAGCAGCCCCGTCAGAGTGATATCAAACAAGACATCGTGACGGATCAACAAGCACTGGCATTCGAGGCCGAACAAGAAAAGAAATCAATCAAGTACAAAGCGCCAACGGACGTTCATGTCATTGTCGAACAGCCTGGCGAATATTCAACAGCAGCAGCGGATCATCAAGTGTCTAAATTCTTGTAAAAAATGGTGGAATTTGTATATCAATTAGGTTATAGGTTGTAACACGATGCAAATGACTATAAAGATGTTAAGAAGACAGAAAATGCTATTGGTCCTCGAAATTAGTTGCTTGATCCACTTGGAATTGCTTTGATTCAGAGGTTGTTGACACTGGGCTTGACGTTGACGAACCGGCATCATCGGAGAGTTCGCTGGGTTTCTCGTGAGCGGGTTCCACCGAGGAGCCATTTGATTCTTGTTTGTCCTGAGGGTTTGAATTGTGGGTATCGCCACCCACATCGACATGGTTGTGACCCTTAGCAGCAGCACTGTTTACACTTTGAGGAGTTAATGGTTTTGTTCTATTTTCCAAATTGACAGATTTTCCCTCGGGGCTCTGTTTTTCGTGAGTGGGTTCTAGTCTATATTCGACATGGCCACGCTCCGGCTCGTCCCTGGAACTCATGTCAAAACTGGGGCTAAGCCTATTGCTTCTGGAAGGCGAGATACCGTCTCGCTCTGGAGCACGTTGATTCTCGCTATTGTTTGGATTTGGTGAGAAGCCAATAGGATTGCGCTGTAATTTATCGTCTAGAGAGCGCGATGATCCTGCTCCGTGCAAAGAAGGCATATTGTGTTGGATGTTGACCAATTGCTCTAAGACGTCATGAGGCAAGCTAGCCAAACTACTCAGTGGATTTTGGTTTTTCAGACTTTGTTCTGATGCCGTTGGGGTTCCGTGCTGAGGTATAGCTTGGTTTTGTTGAGGTAGAGGTGATCTAGATGGTGGTGGAATGAACGACGGTTGTGGCTGGTGCGGTATCACGGGCTCATCAGTGAGTAAGCCCGGGATCTGAGTTAACAACATGTGAATCTGCTTCAAGCTGTTGCCAGCTTTTTCAAAACTCTTGGAAGTCATTCTTAAAATCCAAACGTAGTTTCGCAGACAATCCCTGAAGACAAGTGCTTCTTCTTGTGAGGAAGATGTCACGTACAGCAACGCAGCAAATGTACCTATCAGGGTCAAATTGCCAGTAGAACAAGTATACCAAAAGGAATTGACGTGCTCAAATTTCAAGTCGCGAACAAACTCGATGGCGGCGACTAACCTTGTCTTCGCCGCCGCGCGACATACATGAACTAGCTCGGGAGTGGTGCCTGCGTTTAACGTAGTAACGATCTTACGGTGTAACGTAATTTCCACAGCAAAGTAGGCCAAAGTCAATGCAGCGTTGCTGTTGAATTTTTTGGGCTGGAAACTGTTCATCGACAGCTGTTGTGGTAAAGAGTGGTACCACTCGCGCATTTTCAATTGAAGCGGTTTGGCCAGTTTCAAGACATGTTCAATTTTCTTGACAGTGTTGAGAGCGCCCAAGGTATAAAAAGTGTCGAGAACTTCGCCCAGGATGATGCTTAGGGATACCATTTGTTGAAACATGAGTTTACCATTATTGAAATCTTCGTCCGTTGGTGACAAGTCTAGTGTTGCAGTGATTCCTGCCGGGCTACCATTTTTAGAGCCCGAGTCAAAATTCTGTAGAGACTGAGACCCACTGATGATGGGTGATTTGTCTGGGAAATCATCTTCCGTCAAAATCTTAACAAGCCAATTGCGACCCAAGATGAGATGTGAGAACCGGGCCTCCATTAACGAAGTCCATTTGTCTTGAAGCCAAACGGCCCATGCGAGTCTTCTTCTAAGACCTCTTTCCCAGCGGGGCAGTCGCCAGTCTTGGCAGTCAATGCCAAGTCCAAGATCTTCTGCGAGTGCGACGATTTCGGAACAAATAACCCAGTTGTTGCTGCATTCGCTTCGGCATTGCAATATGAGAAGTCCCGTTTGTATAATGCTTAGTTTAGGTCTTTCTACGACATCGAAAAACGTTCGAAGCGCGATTTCGTTGAGTTGATCAACCACGTCTGGTTTAGGGAAACCAACAAGTTGTGGATGAAAATCCCACCATTGCAGTGATAGCGAGTACATGGCCGCAAGTAAAGGAGCAGTCAGCTCGCGGTAGGATCGCGAGTATTTTTCGAGAAAAACCCGTTCGTGCAAGATCGGGAAATGTGGGTGAATGATTTTGAAGAAGAAATCCACGAGAATTTTACCGTGCGGATGCACGAGTTTCTCGACAAAATCGATTTCTTGTTCCTGCTTCAGATACATTTTTTCGTTGAAATCATCTCTTAGAATGAACTGAACGTTGGGCGCGACCCTGCGCAGCGCGAGAGTCTTGGAGAGTTGAACTTGGTCGATTTTGTCCAGCTTGACGTGACTTACAAGGTTGATGTCAAATACTGATGTGGGACCCACGTAGAAGGAAGAGCGAGGGTACTGTATTGGCGGCTGCGCGTAAGTGGTCCTGTGCGGCGTGGGCGCGTAGGGCGCGAGTCCCGGAGTGCTGTTTGAAAACGGAGAGTGGGCTTTAGCGTTATGATGACCTGGCGATTGATTGAGATTTTGGAGCAGTTCGGAGTAGTATTGCGAGACGGATTCGTTGTTGCCCAGACGCGCGCGTTTGAGCAGTTCGTGGACGTTTACATTTTCGTCTACGTTGGCGCGTTTAGTGGTGGTACGCTCTGAGTACGCGCATTTGATACCTTTGGTCTCGCATTGGACGCAGTTGGGCAAATCCGGTACGATGACACATTTGATCTGACGTCGACGACAATGGTCACAAGGTTTGTCTGCAATGACAGACTTGTTTTCCTGGAGTGCGAGGGCCTTGGCATCTGAGCTTCCGGAACCGGAGCCGGAGCCACTGCCACTGCCACTGCCAGTGGCGGTGGCGGTTCCACTGGCAATGCTGCTGCTGGACTTGCCCAGCAAATCATGGTAGTGCTGGAGTAGTAATTCCAGGTTAGGTGGCTGTTTTTCCATCGCATTGCCGCCCGCGGTGGCACCTGAGTCGTCGGGCTCACCTACTGCTCCGCCCGAAGATGCGCCGACACCGCTACTGGCATCACCAGCGGCCTGGGAATGTCCGTTTGCGAGATTGTTGAGGATGTTTGTATAGTCGTCGTTCAAGTCGAGCATAGAGCTGTTAAGGTTGCCGGGACCGGGAGACGCGCGCGGGACCACATGATTCCAATTGTCGGTGTTACCGCGTGGCATCGAATCGCACAATGTCAACTGAAATGGTGCTTGTGATGAGGGGCGATGAGCTTGCGCAACAGGGCCCAAAATTTGTCCATGTAGATGAGTTTATAGATTTGGGAAGAAAGTGCACTTTCTACGAAAAGAAGGGTAACCTCTGTGGTCATGTGATATTATCGTACAAACTGATATAAATAAACCACGTGACGAACCGTTTAAAAGATATAAATCACGTGTTTAGCAATAGCTCTGACGTATACCGTCATGGAACTGATAGGACGCAGAGACTTACATGTTAGGGAAGAAACTCAGGCGTTGGCGTTCACCTTGCGAGCCGTTCCCTGACGCCCTTGAACAACATGGTGCCAGTTTTCCCTGAGAAGACTTTGCGTTGTTCTCAATGTGATGTCACTGTGTACGCCACCTGATGCTTAAAATTATGAACGAGCGTTTTCGCCTGCTATGCGTTTCGAATGTCAACTGTGACTGATTGTGATATGTATTTGGTTCGATCCAATAGTCGATGTGGAGTCCTCATAACGTATGCGCTGGAAGGAGATAGCGAGGAAGTGATATCGTAAAATTTCATTGTCACGTGACCGCGATGACAGAATAATATTTAAAGGATAGACGCTTAGCATTCTGTGGCAGGGCTGGAAGCTCAAATAATCCCATCGACAGTTCTAGAATATTCAGATCCTTGTAGTCAGATCGTCAGTGTTATGTTGGGCGCCGTGAGGTGAGAATTACCTTTTATCTTATCGCAATTAACGGATGGTAAAACTGAAATGGTATTATGACAACTGAATAAAAGAGGATGATATGACCAGTTGTACAGGTGTCATGTCTTTAAGATAACTACGGAGAGATATAAGTATTCAGTTCCTTATCAGCTTTATCATTTAGAGCAACTATGAACGAATTGAATGAGCAGTTCAGAAATCTATCAACCACCGACAACGATAAACCTCAATAACCATTTCATGGTGGATCCATTCTGATTTCTCCGGCGAAAGGCTGGGCGGAAACAGAGGATATCCAAAGATGAGCTCTGCAGTGCTTATATTGGCATGTGGACCCCTTTAAAGCTGGTCATCATCTGCTTTATACGATACTACGTCCATGTACTGCATCTTATTGCCGAAGGAGAAAGTTGTCGTCTCACGTATTTTATCTAACCATTGATGGTATTTTTGAAGTCAGGTGGTGGGAAACTAGTCACCGCTGCAATAATCCGGACTCCTATAGCTTTCTGATGAGTTGGGCTTGAACTGTTATTATAATTCTTCCGTTTTATTCTGTCATCATAGTCACGTGACATATACATTTCTAAATATCAGGCCGGCTCCCGCTCCACATATCAATCCACAAGGCTCTCTAGCCATGAGCAAGAAGCCGCTGACGAGTAGCGAGCTTCCGAGAATGCCATATTGTACATAGTTGCCATCAATGATTCAAGCAAAAAGGCCCTGTGGTGTAATATCATGTCACACGTGTTTTTGTCCCTCGCTCAAGATACACGCTATTGATATGTTTATTATGTCTCTCTCTGCCTATAGAATACCATTTATGCACTTTCTTAGTGGTACTTATCCATTGGAATAATCTGCATTTGTTTTGTTGAGGACAATCAGTGTCAGGGGTAGAGAGCCTCTAAAATTGGTAGCTTGATTCATACATGGTTTTCTTGATTGTAAGACATATCAAATACTGAATATGATCCCTTTTATGCAATTTTGTTATATTGCCTGAACTTTCGTAGTTTCCAGTAGTATCTGCTTGATTTATTTTTGTTCTGTCATGGTGATCATACGCAACTATTGGCTTCGCCTGTAAACGCCCTCCAACATGTTTTGTGTGAATTTTAAATATCCGGTTTGATAATTATTTATCTGGATATGATCGCGGCATTTGCTGAGAACCGGAGCAGAACGTGCTTTGGTCAGAATCATTTGGGAAGGGTACACATCCCCTCGGTGCAATCGCTCTTTGCAGACACAGGCACGAATCGGTTGCGCGAGTGCTTAAGAGCGATAGTAATGAATTCCAAAAAACACTTTCAAACATGACAATTGTGCCAACGGTTAAGCTCTCGTGGTTTACGTAGGAGCCGAACGTGAGTAGTAACCGGGATAAAGATGGGTCGCAAATGAGTATCAAGTGAGTAGCAAGTGAGTAGCGAGATAGTCACTTAGTACGGAAATGAGTACCCGATGGGTAACGTAAACGTCAACCACAGTGACAGACTGGCTGGCTCTTGCATTAATTTCAACATATCTGACAGCATTGAGATTCACAATCATCAGCTTACTATCTGAGTCTTCCAAGGAAGATGCACTGTGCTGGCCTAAACAATGCCAGTGCCGTCACACGGTGATTAACTGCCAAGGGCTGCGAAGACCGGGCGAGACCGGCAAGAGATCGCCTCAGGCACCAATTCGCATTTGAGACTGGCGTGGTCTCTATGTGGTAGGAAAAGCGCCCAGCGCGGCGTCTAATCCCCGTAAGGTGAGGGGTCACGTGACATATCGACTTCTTGCAGTAGCAACGTGTGCGTGAGAGCCAGGAAGGTTGGGTGCGGTTCCAGCACTGCACACTGACCGTCGTCGCCTGGTGCGCGCGCGTTTGAACTGTCGACGTTCGTTTTGGCAGTGTTAAGTAATGGGTTCGCATGTATTATACGTGACCCGAGTGTCAGGCAGAGAGGAATGAGATGACGAGTCCGACCCGTTTAACCGGTTGCATGTGATTGACTATCTGCTTACTTGATATAGATGTGTGTCCGGGTTCTCATTGGAACGAGACGGCTCTGCCGGACGACGACTCTGCCTGGTGACATCGGAGTCGTCGCCAGGCGTTGCGGGGCGTTACCGCGCGTCGCCTAGTAGACAAACTCCCCTAAATATGCCTCTGCGACAAACCTTGCACGCGCGTTCAAAAACAATTTCATCTCGCTGATCTCTTTATCAACCTCCTCCATAAACTCAATAATGAAATCCACCAATTTCGCCCCACTCATAGTCTCGGTGTGTCTATTCGTGATCAAAAACGAAATGCTGAAACCCTGGACGGGCACGCGCCTTAGAACGTAAAACGCCTCAGCACGTTGTTCTAAAAACCTCGTAAACTTGTGAACCAAAATTTGTTCGATCTCGTCGGCCTGCTTGACTTTGATGCTCACGCGAACCGAGTTCACACTCGGTTCGATCAACACTTGTTCGTGTTCGTTACGTGAGATGTGCATCGGAGCAAACAACAATTCTGCACTTGTATGCTCGACTTCGACTTCGGGACGATTATGGCGTTCCACAACCTGCGAAGAGAAATTCGACAATGTAAGAGCCGCTTGTAAAGAAAAGCGCACTGCGGTGAGATACGGGCGAAGTGACTGTGACATCGCAGTTGAGCTGGCTGATGTTAGTTGGTCTAGTTGATGTTGGTCTAGTTGATCTTAATGGTATATCTCCTATAAGGTATAAATCTTAAATTTGAAATTTGAAATTTCAATCACAAGCTCATCGCGGAAGAGTGGAAATTTAAGACTCGTGATAGTAGCTCAGGAGGAGCTCTTACAAGTCAATTGCAGTTGAAATGACATCCTGGAAAGAAGCACAGGATGCCGAAGGTCGTAGCTATTTCTATGACGAGGTAACACGCGAGACTCGATGGGAAAAACCGGAGGAGCTATGGACTAATGAAGAGAGACGAGCACGCCAGTTGGGGTGGCTTCCAGCGCTTTCACAGGATGGGAAAGGGTACTGGTACCACACGGAGACGGGAGAGACTCGCTGGGAGGTCGGGGACGTACTGGAGGACGGGCAGGAGAGTGTACAAGAGGGTGCAGAAGAGCCAGAAATACAAGGAAAGACGACGGAGGGGGAACATCCCGAGCCTAGAGAGAAAGACAAAGTAGATGGGTACGAAAACCGGTCTGAAATGCTGCGTGCCGTTGTGCTCCCGAAAACTGAAGCCGAACCGCTTTTTTTGGCCATGTTAAACGACCATAACGTGGACGCGACGTGGTCTTTTAACAAAATCATTGAACTTGGTTGTTCCGACGCGCGCTACTGGTGTATCGATGACGATCCGCTTTGGAAGCGAGCCATGTTCGACAAGTACTTGTCGACGCGGTCTCAGGAACAGCTACTGCGCGAACATTCCGCGGTAAGCAAATTCCAAGACGCTTTTGTAGCTGCATTGAAACGCAACGGTAACATTCGTTACTATACACGTTGGCCCACGGCTCGGCGTTTACTCGCCAACGAACCCGTGTATACCCATTCAGTGGTTAGCGAGAAACTGAAACGGCGTACATTTCAAGATTACGTCGCCACGTTACGGCGAGATCACGACGAGACGTCTGGGCGTGAACATATGCGTGCCGTGACAGAATTGCGCGAGTACCTGCGTCAAATTGCTCCGGACTCCGACCATGTTGTGTCGTGGCAACAACTGTATGACAATCACTTGTTTGAAAACGCAGATCGGTTTATGTCTAATAAGCGGTTCGCGCTGTTGTCCAAAGAAGACGTACTGCGAGAGTACTTAGAACTCGTTCAGGACCACACAAACACGGCCCGCTCCAAGCTCGCAGATCTACAACGTGCCAACTACACCCACGATCGCGTTTGCAGAGACAATTTTAAAGTTTTGCTTACAGAGATCAGTAGCACAGTGCACAGCACCACCAAGTGGTCTGAGGTTTATCCGAAGATTCACAAAGACCCCAGATTCTTGGCCATCTTGGGAAGAGACGGATCCTCTGCGCTTGACTTATTTCGAGACCTCGTAGACGAGAAAGCGTTGCAATTACAAGCACACAAGAGCGTAGCGCAGCAATTGTTGAACGAATCTCAATTCGTGTGGTCTGGCGACACCGCTGCCGACGAAAAAGCACTTGTGACTGTCTTGCAAGCGGCAGGTCCGCTCAGCGGCCTTGACGCGACGGATCGAGCACTTCTCGCTACGCAACTGGAACGCGATCATCGCGCGCGGGTAGCGCAACAGGCAGAAGCGGCCACACGGTTACGCGAACAACGATTACGTCTATTCACATTGCTGTTACAACGTGTATTCGCAAGCAGAGGCAAACCTGCCACTTGGGAAGAAGCCGCATTGGAACTATCACGGTACCCAGAGGCCGCTGCCATTGAAAACGATCAAGATAAACGCAAAGCGTTCGAAAAATGGCAGCCAGCGGTGCCAACAAGGCCGTCACGACCAGAAACAGACTCTAGCAACCCAGGGCCTGCACTCCCGCGCAAGCGACAACTCACACCTGTCGAACTCGACTACTAAGACATCGTATAACGTACCTACACAGCTACATCACTCATTGCTCAACAGCGCGCTTAATGCGATCGCGCCCATCAATGCGGCTTTGGCGTACCGATTTTCCGAAATCCAAATCGTCACGTATCCAAGTCTCGGCACGTACCCGAGCACCGTCCCGACGATGTCCCGGTCCTTCTGCAGATAGGTACGTTTTTTGGCGTACAATGGAATGTCGTTACCCGCGTTATTGTCACCTTTGGTCAACAATAACTGTCGCCCCGGTGAACTTGTTTTGCCCTGTATCTCCGTATGCGTGCGCAACACTCGGTGTACGATCGGCACCTGTTTCCCGTCCACTTCATACACCACCACATCACCAACCCGATTGTGTTCGTTTCGATTCCATAAAAACAAAATGTCACCACGTTGGAACGCCGGTTCCATCGACCCCGATAGCACAACCACGATCGGCGAATGTGACCCAGTCACAATCGAAAGACCTTTCCAAAACGTAAACGCGCTTGAAAGCGCAAAGCACAAGTTCAAAAACCGTGTCAATTCGAATCTCAAATTCATGGGTTAAAAGTTGCCTCCTTGCCCTTGTCAAAAGCTTGTCAAATACGAGTGGTTCGTGGTTCGAATTAGATAGAAATGGGTTTCTCAATTTCTCGATTTCAAGAAAAGTGTTGATATCATTTTGTACAAAGGGGTTTTGAACCTAGAAGTTTGGGAACTTTTGACCCTAATCCTTATTCTTATCCTTGCCACAAGCCTAAAGAAAAATAATGAACAAAGCAGTGGCTATGACCTTGAAAGTGGCAGTGATAGGAGCGCATGGACGTGTGGGACAGTTGGTGTGCGACAAATTGCGCGATAACGAAGCGTTCACGCCGTTGGCAGTGGTTCGGTCGCAAGAACAAGCCGATTTTTTCGAATCTAAGGGGATTGTAGCGAGTCTCAAGGATATTGAGTCCAGCAGTGTGGCCCAGATTGCTGACCTGGTTCGCGACTGTGACGCAGTTGTTTGGGTCGCAGGTGCCGGTGGGAAAGGCGTTGAGCGGATTTTCACTGTGGACTTGGATGGAGCGATCAAAACTGTTGAAGCATGCGAGCAAGCCTGTGTGCGTCGGTTTGTGATGTTATCTGCGATTAATGCCGAAAGCCGTGAAAACTGGTACGGTACTGCGTTGCGCAACTATTACATTGCAAAACGTACGGCGGATTACGTCGTGCGTCACTCACATTTGGATTATACGATCTGGCAACCAGGTTCATTGATAAATGCGAGTGGGACGGGCCGCGTGTGTGCATTGGACGAGATCGGAGAGAAGCGAAGCGTCCATTATGAGATTACTCGCGAGGATGTCGCTGAAGTCATCGTTCAAGGACTGTTGTACCCACAAACGTGTTTGAAGCAGACCGTGCCACTCGCTAATGGAGCTCTGCCGATCGAGACGTTCTTACGGAGCTTGAAGGAACGTGACGCAGGTGCGGCCATTGCAGGAGGCGATTAGGTGATATGAAGAAGTATTGCGTTTGTAGCTTTAACGTGTTCTACGGTTAGCAATTGGACTCTGCTCTTGAACTGCTGCAACCCAGTCTCGTCGCATGTCGTCTTGGCAAGCAGCTGGCCCAAGCGGTCGAAATTCGTCACCCATGTAAGCCACGAAAGCCCATGCAACAGCGCGTCTGCGAGATCATCTTCTTTGCGACGGCCGGCGTCTGTTGTGAGTTGGAGTGCGTCGAACAGATTGAGTCTTTTGCCCTTGTTGAAGTAGGACACCAGTTGGCTCTTGACTGCTGGAGCCACTGTAGGAACAAACGTGGGTAGGCTGGCCAGGTCTGATGACAGAGCTGCCGCGATGATCGCTTTGGCGATTTTGATCTTGAGAGATTTTGTAGCTGTTTTTGAAGACTTAGCTTGATCATTTGATCCCTCTAGATTCCCTGGACTCGTTACACCGATGAATTTGCACCAAAACTCAGTCATCCGGCGCGGATCCGACGAATAGACCTGATGCTGAAGGCTATCATCACCTAGAAAACGCTGGTTTTGCAGCAACGTAAACAATACATGTTCCAACACATTTGCACGCAAAACATGCTCGAACACGTTCGCAGATCCTGCGGTTCGTGTACGTTGTCGTTCCAGAACAAACACACTCGGACCCAACCGACTCAACCGTTGTGTCAAATTTTTAGCGAGCTGTGCACTGACCGAAGGGCTGAACTTGCTTGTATCATCGCCATTGCTCAATTGCATCTTGGACCACTCGACAAGCTGCGAGCGAGCCTCGTCTGCACGCAGTGCCAATCGACAAAATGCAAAATTCTCGACTCCAATGTCGACCGCTACCAAATTCAACGACCCAGCGACACCTCCTGTATTTCTAAGCTTCGCTAACAGTCCCCCTTGCGCCAATAACTCGTCCCTTAAGGCAGATTTGGTCGTTCCCTCTCGAGATCCGAGCAGAAATGATACTTTCTTTAACGTTTTGATATCGCATTTTCGGCAGAAAAAATCTAGTTTGGAAAGGGTGGCGGCCAGATTCAACGTCGCCAGCCCGCGTGTCACCATCTCGCGGTCCAATTGACCCTACAAAAGAGGCTATTTTGCCCTTTGAAGCCGTTGGTAATCGTGGATTTTTCGCGATGAGATGAGCTCTTTGATATTGGTTTTTATATTGGTGTTATCACTTTATCCCAAACCGTCGTTCCGACTGTGAGTAAACTGTTTCCATCGACTTAGATACCTGTGGCATTGTGGTTACGGTCATTGTGGAGGATACCGTTTGAACAGCAAGGTGTATTTCAAAACCATTATAGTTCTGCTGAGCGCATTCGTGTGATTTTGCCAGTTTTCTGCACATTTTGGACAATTTTTGACTCATTTCTTTGACAAACCAGCATGGCTAATTTACAGGAGTATTCTGGCACCACAATGGGTACTAGTATCGAGACGAGATTTGCCCCAGTGTATTACGGTGGATATAGTGAATCGCGCGAAACACTAATCGAGTGCGCACCGGTTGTAAGGGCAAGAGGAGCAGGGTCGCAAAGTGGAAGTTGTGAGCTCGAATTTGCAGGTTTCTGTAACGCGTTGGACGACAAACCGGAACCGGAAACGTTGCAACTGGAGACGTTGCCAAAGCTGTGCACGCGCTCCATTTGTGCGAAAACTGCCGGAAGGGTTTCAAAGCGTGAAAGGCTGCGAAAATGGTTGCGGTCGAGGTGTGCGAGGCCGCGGGGTTTGGAAATTTTTGGCGAGCACTGCTGTATGCATGAAGCAGAGATCGGGTGTGATCAGCCACGTACTAGTCCCATTTCTGGCGATACTTTGAGAGGAGAGTGTGCGATATCAGAACCGGAGCTCGGTGTCGACACCAGAGTTGACACCTCATTCGATGACGCGGCGAAATCGGTCAAATCCAGAAGACGCGACCGGATTGCGAAATTCTGTTTCGGACAGAGGTGGCCCGTGAGTCGGGGAAGGGCGGAGATCACGCTTACAGAAAAGTACTTGGGATCCGAGGAAAACCTGGCGATGTGCATTGACGATATGGAGAGCATGCCGTTCAGCCTTGAACATTTGGAATTGCAACTGGCACAAAGTGATGCAGAGTCGTTCACAGGCGTCCGAATCTAGCATCTTTCTTTATAGAGGTATCGCTGTTAGGTTTTCTGAGGTTTATCGTTGTCGGTGGTTGATAGATTTCTGAGCTGTTCATTTAATTCGTTCATTATTGATCTAAATAATATGCTGATGAGAAATGAGTACTTATATCTCTCCGTGGTTATCGCGAAGATATGGCTAGTGTATGACTGATCAAAACGTCTTCTTTTGTACAATTTCTGTAACACTGCTCTAACTTTACAGTCCGTTACTTCTCCATACTAGACGGTGAACTCATCATACGTCATACCTCATACCTCGGATATTCTGATCGCAATGTTCTGAAGATCCTAGACCTCTCAAAGAACCCGTTTGAACTTCCAGTTCTTCCACAGAATGCCAACCATCTGTCATTCTCTCCATTTTATTCTGTCACTTCGATCACGTGACACTTCAATTGAACCATATCACCTTCTCCCCAGCTCCTTCCACCAACTAGAACCCGTACGGCTCCAGACGAATAGGAGCAAGCGCCGAATACCGCGCGAACGCCGCTGCAGGCGCAACGGAAGCCCTGAGCATGCTTCGAGCGTCTGCTAAGGGTAAAGTTACAAGCCAGGGTCACGTGCCCGCGGTGACAGAATAACGCAAGTCGTGCGTCAGCGAGCCCTGGGGGCCCCGACACGGGCCCTCCCCCACCGCAAACACACCCAGCGACAGCCGCAGCGCTGCCACACCGCGTCGCGCCCGGGAAAGACGGAGCCAGCAAAGGTCACGTGACCTCCCTCGCCGGCGCCCGTTCCCGTCCGGCCTTCGTCAAACACCCCCTATCCGCGCTCCCGAAGCCCGCTGTTTGTCCAGCTAGGTCGCCCGCCCGCCGTCACACCACTGCGTCGTTCCCGGCCTCGTTTAGCCTGCGGAAACCGTCGCGAAAAATCGACAGTCGTTGTGTACGGCAGCGTCTATACGACTCTGTCGCAGGCCTACAATCCGCTTCGAAATGGACAAAAGCAGGCGATACCGAAACGAAAAACTCCGCAGTGCGCGGCCGAAATCTGTGCCGCGCTCCGCTGGTCTCGTCACGCCATTTCCGGCTCAGCTGCTCCAGTACGCCAGCAGTCACTCCGTACGGCGGGCCCGATGGGCCCGCCGGGCAATCTATAAAAGATTTCACTCGTACGCGACTCCCCGATGAGGTCTTTAGCTGGATAAACAAGAGCTTATTTGGCGGCGATATATAAGTACCACAGCGATACAGCGTGTGGGATTTGGCACCAGACCGTTTGAGAAACAAAAAAGCCGCGCCAGTTCACATGGAGACGAAAACCCTGCCCCTGTACTCGCAGAAAGACCTCAAGTCGCACGCGTCGCGCGACGACTGCTGGGTCGCGTTGTACCAACGCAAGATCTACAACGTGACGCGGTTCCTCGACGAGCATCCAGGTGGATCGCAGCTGTTGCTCGACTACGCGGGCCAAGACGTGACGGAGATCATGAAAGACAGCGCGTCGCACGAGCACTCCAACGCTGCGTACGAGATTCTCGACGACGAGTACCTTGCCGGGTACCTGGCGACGCCCGAAGAAGAAGCCAAGCTGCTCCAGAAGGGCTCTGGCCACGAGATGGAGGTGCGGCTCGACACGGACTACGATTCGACCGTTTTCGTCGCAGAGGTGCCTCCGGAAGAAAAACTGAGCATCGCGACGGACTACTCACGTGACTACAAGCGTCACAAGTTCCTGGACCTGAACCAGCCCTTGCTGTGGCAAGTGCTGTTCGGGAGCTTCAGCAAGGAGTTCTACCTGGACCAGGTGCACCGGCCTCGCCACTACGGCCGCGGGTCGGCGCCTTTGTTCGGAAACTTCCTCGAGCCTCTTTCCAAGACCGCCTGGTACGTGATTCCGATCTGCTGGGTGCCCGTCGTGCTATACCACTTCCGCATCGGGCTCCAGAACTTGCCCGCGCCGTTCGCGGTGTTTCTGTTCGCGCTCGGGATGTTTGTGTGGACGCTGATCGAGTACGGCCTGCACCGGTTTCTGTTCCATCTAGACGCGTATCTGCCCGAGAACCAGGTCGCGTACACGATGCATTTTTTGCTGCACGGTGTCCACCATTACTTGCCCATGGACCGGTACCGCTTGGTGATGCCTCCCACGCTTTTTTTGGTGCTTTGTACGCCATTCTACAAGCTGGTATTTGCGCTTTTGCCTTACAACTGGGCCTGTGCCGGTTTTGCCGGTGGTCTGATGGGCTACGTGTGCTACGATCTGTGCCACTACTTTTTGCACCACGCCAAGTTGCCCTCTTACCTGCGTAAGCTCAAGAAATACCACATGGAACATCACTACAAAAACTACGAGCTTGGGTTCGGGGTCACGTCTTGGTTCTGGGACAAAGTGTTTGGCACTTACCTTGGTGACAACGCGCCTTTGTCAACGATGAAGTTTGAATAGGCTTTTGGCGTTCACCACTGTTTAAAAGAGATATATATAACAAGTTATGGAAGTAAAATGCGACAAGTGTTGCGCAGTCGGTGCATGGGGTTCGCGCCTTGCCCCGCTGTTGAATGGTTCAGGTGTTGGAGGTTTGGTGCGTGCGGTTCGTGGCCGCCTCAAGACTTAAACGCACTAGATATTGCGAATCTGGAGTTTGAGTGATTGCAATCGGGCCTCGAGACTTTGGTGTGTTTTTTCTTCCGGCGAGCAAGCAATCTCTGACAACATCTGCGGTAAAAGCGACGCGTCCTGGTATTTGCACCAACTGTAGTGCACGCATTTCTCGCGCACCGTATCGAGAAAACTGGTACAGTGACAGCCTACGCACTCAACAACCCGGTGGCCGGCTGGCCTGTATCCTCGCAGTAGAAGCTGCAACAAACCACGCTGCTCCATGCGTGCTTCGAACATGGCCTCGATGGACGGCTCCAGAACGCCGGCGTCGAAGTCGACAGCCCCATTTTGGCCAAGTTCGCTCTTGATGCGCTGGATTTCCAAAAAAATGCTTGCACGGCCGATGTAGTAGTTTATTTCCAGGGGGTACTCTGCCCTACGCCAGGAACACCCTCTTTCGTGCTTGTTTGACAACGCCTTGACGTACGCCTGCTCGAGTTCACGACTGTTGAGATCCGCGTCGATCTTGAAGCAAACGTCCGCTCGGCAGCATGGGCATCGAAAACTCACCGTGACACCATCTAGATTTACCCCACGAAAGCACCAGCCCTTCGCAGCGATCTTGACAGGACTAAATCGCTCGTAGTTCCAGGTGAAGCTGGTTTTTTTCGTTGCAGTGACGATGTTCCCTAACCTGTGGTCAAAATCTGCTCTGGAAAACAATTGAAACCCAGCCAGCTCTTTACGGGCACTTTCCACACAGCTCACATGCAATTTGCGAAATTTTTGGAATTTCTCCGGCAAGAACCGGTTTCTCGTCGGTATCGCGGTGTTGGCACAATACTTGTATCTGTTCAAAATCTTGGACGCTCGAGGTTTCCTTGGCACTCGTTTGTTCATTGCACGACTATTTGAAAACGCCTCACAAACATTGCGTAGACGGCATTCTAGACTCTCGTCCATGGGCCTTGTTGCAGTTATCGGTGATCCGGTATCGATGGTGAGTTTCCAAGATCGTCCCCATCGTTTTCAAGAACTCAATATTTTATACTAATCTAACATCAAGACAATACGCTATTAAAAAAAGGGCAGAAAAGGATGCAAGTCTTATTTCACGTAAGACTAGAGCAGAAATCAAGCAGAATCAGAGCCGGTTTGGAGATCTGTAGGCTATTCAGAGTCGCTTTAAAACAATTTCATTGCATTTGACTCTGGCTTAAAAGAATATAAATTGAACCACGGATACGTTAAAAGAGTTGCATATACAAACCGATTTCCTAGAATCATTAACACATTAGTGATATCCTAGTAGGTGATAGCTGTCTATCCGGTATCAGTATTGCACCGGACCGAGATCGTCACGTGATTCATCCATTTGAAGATATCCCCACGTTACCCAGTGATACTCGTTTCGTCACAAGTTACTAATCCCTTTCGTATGCAGTGAGTGATTACGTGGATTTTTCTTACCCAGTTGCTACCTGTTTCGTTAATCATGATCTTTTGGTCAACAATGTTCTCCCTTATTTGAAAATATATCGCCAAGGAGCTTTACATTGCGTAACTCATCACACCAGATAATGGTTCGTACCACTTGGGTTGGCTTTACTATCAGGTTAATGGCTCGTTTATGACAGTTTGGCGATGCTTATAGCTCCTCGGTGCCCCCCAGCCTATGGAGTAACGCTAATAAGCACCCCGTCTCAACAAACTAGTAATACCATGACACCGAGACTCTACTCCTTCAGGAAGGTTTCCTATAACTTCAAAAGGAACTCGAATGTCGTGTAACTGTACCACTTTAAGGAGAATGTTTGTCCCCGAAGCAAGTTCGAGAGAGAGCTCTGCCCTGTGCCCGTTTCTCCTCGTCAATATTAGCCGCCGAGAGATCAGGATCATCGATTCCGTATACAATGAGGAACATACGTCGCATCTCTTCTTACGGAATGGAAAATTTTATGAGATGCCCCAGTAAAGAGATGCTCATCGCAGGCTACTCAACGCTACCGAACTCGATACTCGAACAGTCAGACCGTTTGAAAGTGCGCATGAGGAATCTCGCAGATGGCTCTGGCAATGCGCCGAAAAAGCAGCACAAACAGTCGAAATTCGCTGCCACGTCGTCAATTGACGACGCCGTTTTTGATCAGCTTCAAGGAATAATTCAAAAGATAGACACAGTCAATGAAAATGCGGTAAACGATTTCCAGCCATTAATTGCGTTTTTTGACAGCAATTTCGGGTCCCAGACCTTGCAGGTTTGGTCCTATTACGCGCAAGTGAGCAACCATCAAAAATTTACAAGTTGTACCAACAGACTGGCGCGTGCATTGCATGTTATGGGCATGGACCAGCGCTGTTTCGACTCGGGATCTCACGTCATCACGTCGATCTTGAAAGACTATGTCAAAGTGCTTTACAGAGGCCTGAACAATCTGAGACCTCCAACGACGAATCCAACCCTAAGACTGATGTGCGAGATCGTCAGCTTCAACGGTGGGCGTCACATTGACGAGTTCATGTCTCATTTTGATCTTTCGCTCCCGAGCCTTGTCAAAATTTTGATGCCAACCCGTGCGGAACTCAGCAATACAGACGCCGCGAGTCGCCGACCCGAGCAATCCATGCGTCACAATTTTGTTAAGTTTTGGCTTGCAATTGTTAAAAGTGCTCCGGCGGTCTTGAGAAAAGCTCTTTTGACTGAAAACCCTAAAATCATGAGTGTTTGGTACAAACACATGGGTAAGATGGATAGTGTCGAGTTGGTATTGTCCAGTATCGAGGTATTGCACGCTTGCGTTTTGAGTGAGCCCGCATTCAGAAAGCAAACAAAATGCAAAATCTTAAACGAATCGCTTCTGGCAAGGTTGCAGCCGTTTTATCAGGCCTCGGATTCTAAACTGGTATCGGCGGTTGATAAGTTTTTCCGAGATTTCGCAACAAATTCACAAGTAAATTGTGTTTTCCCAGATGATAAAGTATGGTTCGCGGAGCCCGTTTTTTCATCCAATGCCCAAAGTTCTAACTTAGGTGCCGTAGTGGCTGTAAATGGGAAAAAATTCAGCATTTACAATAAACTGTTGTACACACTCTTGACATTTTTCAAACCTTGGGAAGACGACGCACAACTCAAACTTGTCTTAGAGATCTTAGATTTTGTGCCAGAACTAGTTGCGCCTTATTGCAACCACCTCGCGACCATTGGCAATCACAATCCCAGCATGACATCTTATTGGTTCGGTATGAGTTTACTCTTGGGAAGAATTATCAATTTGCCAATACCACCCAAAGTTGAAATTGTCCAAACCGAGCAGATGCCTTCTATTGACATTCTAATAATGTCCATAATCCCAACAACTTTGACCAGGGCTTCATTCATCAAAATTTTTCAAAGTGACACTTTTCTAATACGGCAAATAGGTTGTCAGCTCTTGGTTTTTGCATTCAAAAAACTACAATCCATTCTCACCTTATTCGACGGTAAGGGCTGGGCGGGTGGAAAAACAACGTTGCTCAATCTTTTCAGAGCCAGAATTCCAGACCCGCAAACCATTTTTGTTGCACTTAATGACTCTTATGAAAAACAACCTTCGAATGAAATTTTGGCTCTTTCTCTCACAGAAGTCTTGAAACATCATAGTATGGTTTTCCCAACAACCTTCGCCATCAATCTTTCCGATTGTAACATCTATTCCAATATAATGGAGCAAGAATCATTTGTGGGTAGCAATCTGCTGATCATTGATAACTTCTTACAATTGCAAAGAATGACAGGTTTCCAATCCAAATGGTATAATGGCTCAAAGAATCGCAATTCGACATTTACAACACTTTTGAAAGTAGCATCGTCACAATCTGCATCAAGCGTCATGGTTCACAAAATAACCAATCTTCTGGAGTCACTCATCAAATTTACTTGCATGTTCAGGTTCGACCGTTTCTTGGCCTCACCGGTATCTGCGATTATCAACAGCTTGATTGTTGTCGTCAGAGCAACATATGAGGAAAATCTGAATGCGGAAATGGCCAAGATATGGAAACTGTTGGACGAGGTCGTGGCAAGATGCATCAAATTTCCCTACAGATATGTCGACATGTCCAAGGACTTCGAATGCGTCTCTCCGTTTATTATGGCTCTCAAAGAGCAATGGGGATTTTTAGAAGTCCAGGATCATGACTCTATTGCATCAAAGTGGCTTCTCATACTTTGCCGCACATTTGCATTGGCAGGAGAGTCTTTAGTTGGTATCAAAATGCTAACCAATGGGTTACCAAACATCTGTCATGAGCTGAAGGAAAACTATTTATCATTTGACAACTACGAAGCCAGACTATCAAAGCTGAACGAAGCAAAGTATCTTTTATCGAGCGCCTCTGATTGTTCTTACTTTCAATACCTGCTTTTACTACCGGCGAAGCAGTTGTGCAACGTAAAGAGGCTTCCGGTACATGGTTTGGATGCTCTAGCCATTTTTTGGCGCATAAGATTTCTTCTCGAATCCTCGGAAGTAAGATTGCAAAGTTGTTACCTAACCACCGCACTCCGCGAGTTAATCTTTCAAGGTTTTCAATTCGCTCTAGGGGACAAATCCATGGCAAGCAAGTTAACGAGATCATCTCTATTGAAATCAATAACAGTGAATCTCAATATCGACTTGAGAGACTTAAACGAATGTGAGAAATATGCATACGTGACAAATTGCATACTCGAGATTTCTTCAGAGAGCACTCTTTCTGTTACAGAATTACAAGATCACTTATTCGAAATTTTCAAGTGCGGATTCAAATTGTGGCAAGGCAATAAGCTTTTGTTCCCGATTTTAAAGAGATCTTTGTATGTCTTTTCCGGAAACCAACTGATCGAAATATTAGAGTCGCACTATTTTACCAAAACGGAGGACGTTGTGGAAATTCTCCACGCTTTGTGGTCACAGAGGCAAACTATAAGCAACGCTAGCTTTCTAGAGCTTTGTCAAATTAGTGACAATAAAGTAGTTGAGGCCCTAGCGGACTTTGTTTCGCAAGGTCTGATTCAAGATATCTCGGTAGGAGATGTTCTCCCCATAACGTCAAGGTCTCCAAATATGCTTAAAGTTTTGGAGCAGCTTATTTTGAGTGACAACTTCGAGGAGAAGTTCGTGCCATCTCTGTTGCAGAATTCGCAGGATTTTTCCACGAGACTGATGATCGCAGCTTGCTTGAGAAAAAAGAATTTTGCCGCTGTCAATGATCTAATACAAGAAATTGTGACGAGCTATTCATTGAGTTTGTGTGAACTTCAGAGCCGCGATTTCAAAAATACTCTCGAACTTCTCACAGGTTCGAAAGACTTGTTGGAAGAAAAGCAATTGGAAAGGCTAATTAAGGAAGCAATTGATCATCCAAAGTTCAAATACACTGCTGAAGTTCTCAAATTTGTCAATTCCGTTGATCTTGCCGACAAAACTTTTCTAAATGTTTGGTTCAAAAAATGTCTTCTGGTCGCCACCAAAACTTTGTCAGAGAAGCCTCTCCTAACTGCTGAATTCTTAAATTTCATGACCGACTTAACAACCGCCATAAAGAAGTACAAATTTCTGAATATGTGCTCTGCCGCAGCTATTAATTCAAATATTGAGGTCATTGTTGGCGGGAAATGGGTTTTCAAAGAGGAGGTCTTGGAATACTTGAATACCCTGCTCATTTCTGGCATTAAGCAAGTCCAGAGCAGTAGACTGCTGCAAATTCTGATCAACAACGACAAAATTGCTACAAAGAATCTCCTCGAAGAGAACGTTCTGACCAGATTTCTTATTTGTTCTGTCATTTCCAGCTTATTTTTCCTTGATGTCAAATCAAACTGCAATCTCTCAATTCAAAAGAGCCTTCTTTCGTTTTACAATGGAAGCTTAGACTTAAGCGATCGACTATTACTGAAGATCTTACAGACTATCGAGTCGAATTCTTCGGCGTCGTGGGTTGATAAAGTCTACGCTTGGGAACTTTTAGAGCTCGCAGACGAAGACTCACAGATCCCATTAATAAGAGATGAGAAGGAAGGTTTGATCGTGTCCTTGAGCAGAAAACGTATACATGCCACCCTCTCAAAGTTTCCTCATGAATTTTCACACGAATCAAATTACAAAGTGAAAACCACTGAGGAAAAATGGACGGACTTTCTTACAGCTGTTGAAAAAGTTAAGCTTCAAAAAGAACATGAGGAGCGCTATGATCCATTGTTCATAATTTTAACGATAGTGAACAATGAAGATTTACTTCACGCAGTCAATGAAAGTGAAAATGAGACACGACAACTGAATGTGAAAAGGTTACTTGACTGCGATTTGTTTGAATTTATCATTATGGCACTTTCTTGTGAAGGTGAGACTTCCAGAGTTGCTCAATTGATGATTAGCAAAATGCTCCAGTCATTGAAAGGTGAGCATCACTTCCGAGGAAGTCACATCTTTGACATTTTACTCACTAAGATTAGCTACACGCTGTACAAGGCAAAGTCAGAGAGCACCGAAGCTATATGTCCTTTATTATGGAGATTCATATCGAAATTGTGTGACATACTCAAAAGCCCCACTTCGACGCTTTATGAACCTGCCTTTAGATGGGTTCTTTCTGGCCCTCGAATAATGCCTCGTAGTATTCCACTTTTGGATAAAATGCTAAACGCTACAACAAATGCGGACATTGATAATTTTGACAGCCATCTACTTTGGGTTGTGGAAACAGTCAAAGAGGGTCTCAAATGCAAAAGAGACATTGATATATTGAGGTCGCATAATATTCTCGAGCAACTGTTGAACTTGCTCAATTCTCCTTACTCTAATTCAAGATTGCAGTCGACGATCGTCGCCGTTATCTATGAAGTGCAAAGAATAGAATCGGGAGCATCAACACTGATAACAAGGTATTCGGGGATTTCATTTTTGGAAGCGAGGCACTTGAACTTGTTGAAAAATCTGGCAGATAGCCAAGGCAAGCTTTTAGACTCCAACGGAAATCTAGGTCTACTTAAGAGTTTTCTGACTCAAAAGGAACTGGATTTAAACAACCAGGAACTAGCGGCAGGATTCGCAGTGGTAACAGCTTCTCGAAAACACCTCCGCGATTGGGTCGGTGCTGACGCTGAAGACTGTGCGAAAAGACTTTGCATTGACCAAATATGAAGTTCTCCATAACATAGAATAAGGAATTTTTTAAATCTTGCCAAGGAGCATAAAAAGAGCACTTAAACACTTACTTATCATTAGTCATTGAGCTTTCCTATCGACATATAACATTTACTGTTGACATGCAAGCTATAGGTACTCATGCGATAGTTCCGTTCCGTAAATCATACGGCCGGATAGGCTGTCATGGCTGTGCTTTGCGCTTTTCATTGCTGAAGTTGATCTCTCCGATGCCATTCTCCTCCCCAACAGCTCCAGCGGGGTCCATGGTATTACCCAACCACATGGCTTGGTCAGATATGTCTTTCCAAAGCTGGCTTTCAGTTCTTCCGAGGTTATCCAGCCCATCTAGAAAAGTTTGAATATCGGATGTTGTTTCTAAAGTCATTGGTTCAAAAGCATTAGAAGTATGTTCAAATGAAGTTGATTTCGAAGAAACTCCATTAGCTTTCGCGGCAGACACGGAAAGGACATGTTCAGGCACACTGCTGGAGGTCGTTGAAGCATAAGATACAATATCGACCTCCTTGTCGTTATGATCATCAAACTCCGCGTCCGGCCTTAAATCATCCGCATGTTTTTCTATCAAGTCTTTCATATCGGATAAATGGTTAAGGTTGCTCATTAAACGAAGTAATTGTGCGCGTCTCAATCCTGCAGGGTTATTCCCAAGATTCCGCATCTTCGTGAAAATGCTCAAGGCATGATCTAGGTGTTGTTTAGTTTGTTCCTGGATTCCAAATGCAGCGTTAAAAAGAACTAAAGTGCAGGCAGACGTAAACAGATACTCCCTGTCCATATAACCGAAAAGCGCCACCATATTCTGCTCTTTCAAATACCAAAATGCTCGAACTGTGTTAATTGAAGCTTGAAGAGAGCAATTCAAAAGCGACGAAATTGTCTTTGAGTAGCGTTCTAGACGCACATAGCTATTCTCGGATTTTTCCCATTTCCTAATTCTGATTGAAGCAAAGTGGAACAACAGCGGTCGAATTGCCAAGTTCATGCCTTGAAAGTACTCAGTAAACATGTTCGTAGTTAGTCTTGAAATCTTCAGTTCTTCTTGAGTAAAATTGACTTGTAAAAAATCTGATAAGGAACCACGCCAGCCGAGAAGTTGCATGACGATGTCTTTTAATACCGGTAGAATATTTGAGGATGGTTGTCGTTGGTATAGTTTGTTCAGAATTTGAGCATTAATTTTCGTGATTCTAACACAGTTGGTGATATATTCAGCTTCCGGGAAAATATAGTATTCACAGCCCAACGGAGGAGAGCTCATATCAAAATCACTTGGCAGTTCCGTTGTGATGGTATCATCTGCAAAACTCAACGGGAGCCCAGCTTTGCTGCTAAGCATTCTTTCGAACATATAAACAGTCCACCACAACCGCCTTCTATGTTCAAGCTCAAATCTGGACAGACTGTCTCGTTCCGCATCAACATGCCAGCCTGAAATTAAACAAGTTCTTAGAGCTTGTCCAAAATAGAAATAAGACGCAACTGTGCAATCCGCGACTTGTAAGTAGAATGCATAAAGTAGCATAACTTCTATTCCACCGTTCTTCGTAACATTCTCAATCCTCCCACTGGAAAACAGACAGCTGAAAATACTGGAGGCTTCTTCGAAAAATCCTGAGCCCGGCAGTTTAGCGCTTTCCCTGGAGGAAAGCTTGTTCCCATTTCTTTTGTTTGCAGTTCCCAGGTACATCTCACCAGTAGCAAAAATGAGAAGCAGTTTGCAGAACCAAATTGTTTGTAAAGTGTGATCGCGAAACTCAGCACCGCCATTGTATATGGTTTTCAACTGTTCTTTGATCAAACCCTCATTAAAGAAATAGAAGCAGCCATCATTGTAAGTGATGAACGTATCAACGAGTAATATGGCATAAGAGTACGATGGAAGTGCCAGATTTACAGTCGCGTTATTATTCGTGTCAGTTTTGGCAAGCACAATTCTGTAGGCATTACCTTCCTCTTGAAGAATTTCGTCGATGGATACTGCTGTAGTCGTATTGTCACTCCCGCTGTGAGTGAGAAATTGATTCTCGTTACCAGCTTGCGAGACTGATTTCGGTATAAGAGACTGAATTTCCATTCCAAACAAAGTCATTGAAGATGATCCGACAAAATATTTTTGGCCCGTTCTTGATTCAACAAGTCGTCCTCTTCGATCTGTAAAATTGGGTACTATTTCTTCGTCATCGGCTTGTGGAAAGTCTGATTTCGCAGAGCGCGTATTGGATACAGCTTGTTCACTTTTTTCGGTATCAGAGTCCATTTTGGTACCCGTTGAATTCGTGGCATCCGATTTCGAACTCAAAGTAGAAACCAAAGATTGTAATTTTACATTCTCCTTCTTCATCTCAGCAAGGTTCGACTGCAATTTCTGCAAATATTTCATCGAAACTATCAGTTTCTTGTTGGGTTCCATATACTCGCATGCAATACCCGCTGCGACGCATTTACTACAAGGATTTCCACCTGGACATTTGACGTGTCGCCTGCGACATCGAACACATGCCAAGGAAGACCTTTTCTTGCGTCTTTTACCAGCTGGACAATCTTCTGAATCTGGTGCAATCTCACCATCTGAAGGATAAGTTGCGATTTGTTGCTCATCAAATATTTCGTATCCTTCTTCCGAGAACTCCGATCCTTTCACAGTCATTGGGATATTTCAAAACATCAAAACATAAACAATGGAGAGGGCTCTTGCCTAGCGCCGTCACAAGGTCAAACTCAGTTGATCGGATCTTATAAACTCATGAGTCATGTTGATGAGCGACATGACTATCTCGAACCATTGGAAAGTGTTGATAGTCGATAAACCCATATAATGTTGTACGACCGATTGATACTACAGGCCTCTATGGAATTTACATGATAAGACGGCATTTCACCAGTGACGATAGCTTGGAAGTGGTTCTGATTCAGTATCTGTCGGTGATTTGGTGCGAGTTGCTGTAAACTTTTTGTGAACTTGTGGGCAAATTCAAGCGAATTCGAGCGAAATTAAGCACCGAATCATTTTGTTTTAGGCACGCAATCTTCTCCTGATAGAGTTATTGCCCGAAGCTTTTGCACTCTACGCATTTTCGTTTCGTGTATTGGGTCTCGATGTGCATGCACACCTAGTATCGCTTCATTCTTCGAATCGGTGGTCTGCGGATCCTTCATGCCTTCTTACCCCCTTCTTCAGTAACTGTTTCTTCCACTCCAGTCGTCTCGCTGTCCGCCTTAGGTTCCTTGGTGTTCTGCAGTTTCTTGTTTTGGATCTTGTTCTCGATCAAGTTGTCAAAAGCAATGATCGCCCGCACGAGGTTGCTGATATAAATGATCATGAGCTCATCGTTGGTCTTCACCGTAAGCGCTTTTTGCAACGTACTCGAAGCATTGATCGCTTCATCGGCCGAACCGGCCCCCATTTCGTCATCGTCAGGACTTCCTAAATTAGGCAGCAAATTGAACACATCTTGTAACTTGCCCAATATAATGTGGTTCACTGGCAATTGTTTTTGGCTGACTTTCTCCAAGTATTGCACTATATCGCGAAGTTTCGTTTGCAGCCCTTTCAAAGACTTCAATTGGTTCGTCAGCTTTATCGACAGCCCACCAGCGGCCTGGTCACGTACATCCCTGAGCAAATGCTCTACACCGATCTCCTCCGCCTCTTCGGCCTCGATGGACGAAGGTAAATGCACAAATGTTTTTTCCGTCGACGTTCCGTCATCTTTTACCTGTTCTACAGCCATGTACGCCGTTGTGGGCAACCCAACGCCCGATTGTTGGACGTCTATAATCAACAAAAGTGGGTTCTTCTGCGTGTACCTCTTGAACAGTTCATTGATCTTTAAGTCTGCAGATCTGAGTTTCGGCCCACTATGGTACCAACCGATCAGCTTTTCCTTTGCATTGATCTTTTTGCACATCTCGTTCATGCTTTCGATGTAGTTATGGTCCAAAAACCACACATCGGGGTTTTTCTCGTCTTCTTCGAACGGTAGCGCAAACGAATTGGTTACCTTCAAAGTCGCTTTAGAATTGTCCCCCAAAATTACACCAACACATCTCTTCCCATTGGGTGTGTTGGTCCGCTTGTAATGATCCAATGCTGAAAGCAGCACTAAGGGCGCCACAGTTACGTGCTCGCTGGTCACTTGCATTGCTTTGGTACCTGTTTATCCTGGGTCAAATCTTGTCCAGGTTTGCCACCGATTCTATTAATCCTTTAAAGTTCCAGTTTCTTGAGAGGGAAATGCCTTCGTATAGAAAGACAATCTGAGTCACGTGCTACTCGCAACCGGATACTAAACTAAAGCCTTTGATTTGGGCGAGTTCAAAAGATTCCGATGGTCATCAACCCACACAGAGTAGTGTATGCTGTATCATATGCGTTTTTTACTATGTCTTTTTTCTTTTATTATGAAATTACCGATGCTTTGATCATTTTTCAGTCTTGAAAAAACCCGATGAGCTATAGAAGAGATTTGTAAATTGAGGCTTCTTTTACTATTTTCTTGTTGTTTTTGCCCCATCTATCGCAATGCCGTTCGGTCAGATTGTTATAGGCCCGCCAGGTTCTGGGAAATCGACGTATTGTAACGGTTGTAGCCAGTTTTTCAATGCCATAGGACGACATGGCCAAGTGGTGAACATGGATCCTGCGAACGATCAACTGCCGTATCCATGTGCTGTTGATATTCGAAATTTCATCACTTTGGAGGAAATCATGGCAGAACAACAATTGGGACCCAACGGTGGGCTCATGTATGCGTTGGAATCGTTGAACAAGTCTATCGACTTGTTCATATTACAAATCAAGTCGTTAGTGGTCGAAGAAAAAGCGTACGTTGTGTTCGATTGCCCGGGCCAAGTAGAGCTTTTCACGCACCACACGGCTTTGTTCAGCATCTTCAAACGGCTCGAAAGAGAGCTTGACATGCGACTGTGCGTCGTGAATCTCGTCGACTGTATTTACATGACGTCGCCGTCGCAATACGTGTCGATCCTGTTGCTGGCGCTCAGATCGATGCTTATGATGGATCTGCCGCACGTCAACGTGTTCTCCAAAATCGACATGCTTAAATCCTACGGAGATTTGCCGTTCCGCTTGGATTACTATACGGAAGTGCAAGAACTCGAATATTTGAGGCCCTACATCGACCATGAGGGGTCGAGTGTCTTGGGCAAGAAGTACAGTCGACTCACAGACACTATCAGCGAACTCGTAAGCGATTTCAATTTGGTTTCGTTCGAAGTTCTGTGCGTTGACGATAAAACCAGCATGATATCTCTACAAAGCGTCATTGACAAAGCCAACGGCTACATTTTCGGAGCCTCGGAGGTTGGTGGTGACACGGTGTGGGCAGAAGCCACCAGACAGGGTACTGCACTTGCCAACGTCGATGTACAAGACAGATGGATCGACAACAAAGAATATTATGACAAACTCGAAGAGGAAAAACAGGCGGAATCCATCAGACAACAAGAAGCAGCAAACAAAGAGGTTAACGTCGACGACGAAGACGAATGGGAATCGGCATTGAAAGAATGGGATCGCACCCAAGGCTCTAAATTCGTCAAATGAGCGAGTCGATGTCATTATCCACGGACTACTCAATCAGTCTGCTGGTAAACCAGCCTTGTCATTTTATTCGACCATCGAACATGAATCATACTTTTATTTGACAGGCATTGATGGTGCGGGGACCAGCTGCTTTGGTTCGCTGGGTCTTTCTTTGTAAGCATATCAATTTCCCCGATTCGCTGCGTTTGGTGGATGTCATTTAGAGGTGATCTTTGTTATAAAAGCGATATTAATGATGGCAACTCATTTGCAAGTGTCACTTAGTGATAGAAATTTTGCCATAAATTTGTGATTGGAGCTTGGTGGGCATGCCGCGAAAATATTTGGGCGAACGAATTGATCGGAGCCACGATTTTCAAAGACCCGCATCGCTAACGCTGACAGACTTGGACCTGCAAAATATACCAGAGTTGCCAACGCATTACATGGAATATGATGACGGCATCAAAAACAGCAATACGGTGGAAATTGTCGGCCAGAAAGGACGTCGGATTTCCAGACAATTTGGCGGTACCATTAAACTTAAACAGCGGCTAAGCTCTGTTCCCGAACTTTTCCTACACAACTTTAACCGTCGGCAAGAAAAAACTGATCCGAAGCCGTCTGTTGCCGAGGGCCCTGCTATGCACGGGGCTAAAAGCCATCGCGATCGCGTACGGCAAAGCTCGTCTCCCTTCTTGACCACCGCGCCACGCCCTTCGCCGCCAGATGTACTCGATTTGACGTTGAAAACGCCGCTCATGGTATATCCAGTGCAGTTTGACACAGCATTGGAGCCTATGCAAGACGCCGAATCGCACTACAGCGGTAAATCTGAGGGCGAGATTATCTACGAAGAGATCATCAAAGCATACTCGTCGAACAGGAGAAACGCTTCTGAGCCAGCAAGCGTAGATTCAGAGTTACCAAGATCCACCGCCAGGCCGAAAATGCTAAAAAAACCCGTAACTCGAACTATGCACCCGTTTATCAACCTGGCGGATCCGCTAGCGGATCCGCCATTCACGCAATTCGTGCCCGTTTTTGACGAGCCCCACGATTTGCAGGAAAACATATCGAGCCCTGAATACAACAGTTCTGGAGTCTCAGACCCGTCTAGCGTTGAAGAAGAATTCTCCGACCTAGGAAGCATTGTCGAAAGTCTAGTCCAGCCAGCGACGCGATCCCAATCGCCTCACCGCAGCGAAAATTCCAATGATGATGAAACATATTTTTCAGCAGAAGACGTTCAACCGTTAAAGTCGTCAGCGCATTGTTCCATGAGAAAGTTGCGGAGACTTATAGTGACGCCAAAAATCGTAGCAATGGAAGATCTCGTTACCGATTCACAAGACGACTCTGATCAGCGAATAGAACAAGAGGTTCAAGATTTGGAGATCAACGATGCTTCTAGTAGTGTATATGACTTATGATAGTTTAAACGGATGGTGATTAGAGGAGGTCACGTGATCTCAATATACTTTTACCAATTTTGACCGTTGACATGAATAGCCTAATCTAACAAACAGGCTAACAGCGACCATCCTATAACCTTGGTATCAACCTCTCTGACATGGCGCCCACACAATTCGAGATCAAGTTTCGTGCACTCCAAAGATTGGTGAAAGAAGAGAGCTATTACCAGCAGGATTTACAAGAACAGGAAGCGCATGTGAAGAGCTTAGAAAACTTGCCGAATGTAGACCCATTTGACTTGAAAAAACAGAAAGAAGTGATGGAAGATACTCAAAGACTCTTGCCGACTTTGCATGTGAAAATTAAGGAGTTTAAAGACGATTTAGAGGCGTTTCTTGAGTCCTATAAGGGCTCTGAAGACGTGTCGAGTGCACATGCAATAATTCGAAGTGCCGATGAGGTGCTTAAAATTAAGGCCTGATGAAGTCAACTGACTAGCTCAAATGAATGATATATTTAACGATACTAGCACAAATGACAAGCCTCAGGCCAAAGTAGACCCAAATCCGTCTTCGTTTGACAAGTAAAACTCATTGACGTTTGCGTTTCCGTTTGCTAAGAAAACAGCTATTGCTGGCTAAACTGAAGCCAAATGGCCCATCTCCTGAATACCATCTGAATATATAGGCTATAACTAAGTGCATTGCTTGAGGTTGAGCTTGAGTTTTGGCGTAGAAAAATACTTCTATAACTCATTCACTAACACGTCAAGACCAATTGGACAGTTGCCAATGGTTCCCTTCACTGTGGTAAGAGCTTATTCTGTTTCGCAGCAAGCAACTCGGCGATTGATCAATTTCGAGACAAGTGACCTTTTTGCCCAATCATGCCGGGATAACGAGTGTTTAAGCCAGTTGGCGAACATCATTAGAAAAACTCAATCCGATAAAATTAGCGATTTGAAGCCATTGAAATCGTCCACGATCAACTCAGATAGGTCTTTACCGATACCCGTGTTCCCAAGGCAAGAAATCTTTGACCAGGTAGACCAAGACGTCGCAGTTCAACAATGGAGAAAGTTTCCCACCAAATGGTTTCGATTCGGTAAATTCGTCATCAAAAACTATACATCGAGCTTACGGAATATGTGGGGATTGTTCAAAGATACGCGAGTGATCCACAAGGAATATCGCGATTTCAACAAACTTGTGATGAGTACTTCTAAGACCATTGAATTCGCAGAAATTGAAGCTAAAGTAACGAAGAGCCCACTGAAATCCTTGCAATTGACTAGAATCCAGTTTCAAGAATATCGCAGAAGAGGTGAGTTTTACAAAGTGCCAAGTTTTCTGCTTATTTTACTTCTTTTCGAAGAGTTTACCCCCGCGTTGTGTTATGTGTTTCCATCACTGGTACCGTGGAATTGTCTCACTCCTAGTGCATATAAGAAATTATCCAGCAAAGGTGCTAATGTGAACTTGCATGGCGATTTAACGAAATCCAATGAATATTTGTCACCTTACAATGTACCAATTGACAAGGCTGTGGAATTTTTGGCGAACAAGAGAGTTCTGTCGCGTTGGCAAACTGTGTTTTACCGAATCGCTGGTAATAATGACAAAATTTATGAAGCCTTGGCTCAATACAATCAATATCTGTTGGTAGATGATTGGTTGTTGCTGACACATATTTTTGAAGCGGGAACCATTGATTTGAGTAATCGTGAACTGATCAATGCCATATTCGAGAGGCAATTGTACAATGCGTCAGAAGATCTTGGCACAATGATTGTTAACGAACAATCCCGAAAGACTTTCCTCTACAGGCTCATGTTCTATTTGGCCTTCAGGTATAATAGTACCTTGAGAGCAGGTGGTGACAAACAATTCACAGAGGCTTGGGGTGTCAATAATATTGCTATCTTGAATATTCCTGGCACTAGCCGGTTTCTGGAGCCAAGGGATTTAGATAAGGTTAAATAACTGGTAAGATCAGAAGGCAGTCATGAAATTGTCATTAAACGATATTTTCGGTTGAAACCTATTGTGTATCATACATACATTGCTTCGACATGCTGTGAACGTTTGCAATATCAAAAGCAGGATAAAAGTGTCGGTCGAAATTATCAAAATTTCTTCAAGTAACCAGCACGAATGCTACATATTGTCGGAATTGATTGAAGAATCGGAAAAGTTCAAGCGCTTTGTTACACTTTATACGTCTCCAAATGAGCTTCGTCTTCTTTGACAATGGTGTGCGAATGTCCGGGAGCCCGAACCACTCGTTTCTTCGAATCCATCGTGCAGAATGGGATATTCGCAAACCAATGATCGCTCAACATGTCCTCCAGAGTGGCTCTTTTTTCCGGATCTATCGTTAGAATTTTAGACATAATTGGTCTAGACGCGTGCGGTAATAGACGCAATAGCCTGTAAGGCCCATGAATGACTTTCCTATGCCTCGACGAATCCCGCGAAAACGTTTTTTGTGGGGTAGGCAATTTTTCGACATGCTGAGGGGCAGCAATGTGACTTTGTGGTGCCACATCTTGTGGTTTCTCATCTGTAAAATGTTTGTCGGTCACTGATCTATCATCTCTCGCGGGTGATTGTGAGCCAACCGGATGTGGACAAGATTCACGTGGCTCTTCCTCTTTTTCGGGGGGGTCTCCTTTTTCAGTGAGTTTGTCGTTAGCCGTATGAGGTTCAGCGGTTGCCAGGGGGCTTGCAACTTCAACGTTGTAATCACTTTCGCCTAAGTGGCCACAGGCCGTTTTCGAATCGGGAGAAGTTTGTTGTTTCGCCGCCTCTGCGTCCAATTGTTGTAGTTTCTTGAGATTCATTTTCTCCCTTCTTTTTTGTTTCATAAGTGCCTCATGTTCACGAGCAGATTTGCCGTAGTCATGTTCAGTATCGTCCGGCAAACAGTACATGCGGAAGTTATCATCTGATTCTCTAGGCGCTTTCCATGGAAATCGTTTCAACATCATGCAACAGTATATTATACCAATAGACCAAACGTCGACAGCTTGGGGATCGTATCTCTTGGTCGATGTTATTACTTCTGGAGCCAGGTATGGATCACTACCAACTATCCCATGTGCCATTGCGACATTCGCCTCGAAAGGATACTTGAAGACCACGGCACTACCAAAGTCAATCAATTTCAATATCCCGTCATGGGTCATAACACAGTTATCCAGTTTCAAGTCACGATGTGCCAATCCCATGGAATGTAAATACTTGACCCCCTCGGTTAACTGGCGCAAACAACAATTAATCTCTCCGCGTGACATTTTGCCAGACATGACCACTGCAAAGAAATCTATCGGACAGTACTCCATCACTTCGAAGTACTTGTTCTGTTTGCTGTCGTTAAAAATATCCAAAGTTTCAACGATATTTGGATGATGCAATGTCGACCCAATGCAGAACTCGGCAGTACATTTCTTAGCATAGTCTTTAACTTGTTCATTCGGTTTACGCGGCCTAAACTCCTTGACCGCAAACGTGACACCATCACTGGGCCTGACAAGGACCCTCACGGAGCCCCCGGCACCGGATCCGAGAATCTTGCCCAATTTCCCGTATTTTTGTGCCAGTAAGGAGTCATCGTGGTAAATGTTTGTTCTGTTGGATAGCGAAAGCGAAGATTCCGACGTGGGTGGAATGGCACTCTGCGTGTGCGAATGGTGATCCGGCGACCTGCGCCGCATTGTCGACGGCGACGGTTTGCGATGTATCATTGCAGGTCTGAAAAATCGTTTCAATTCGTTCATGGATCCTGCGGATCTCTTCAGTTCGTGTGACGGGGAGTCACCGCGTGTGCTTTCGCCACTATGTGTTCTGCTCATGAACCCGAGAAACGACCGGCTCGATTTGCTGTGTTCCGGATGCGGCTCAACCGACGAATGCCTTTGATCATGGCTTCCACGAGTGTGAAACGGGTTTCTGCCCAAAAGTGTTGGCATTGCGAATAAAACCGGAAAGTGTGGTACTACCTTGACAACCTTGCGTACCTATGGGAATCTGTGTCTCAAACTCACCTTAATTTTTGGGAAAGGACAACACTATTGCAACCTTTTTTTACTTGAATTCAAACGTGAAAAAGAAAGTCCCAAAGCTGAACCACTTAAACCAAATCCGTAGTTTTTATTATATTTGGAGATGCCTGGGAATGCTTGCAAATCGCACCGAAATTTTCGAGAAATCTTCAGTCTTGAACTCCTCAATATGTCTCCTGGCTTTCTTCTTGATTTCTGGAATATGGCTTTTGTTTAAGGACCCTGTTTCCGTCTTGCTCTTTTTATATTCCGAGTGGTTTCTGAATATGCCGCTCCCGAGGGAGAAAACGAAAAACCAAGAAAAGTGAAAAAACAGGCGAGGAGAAGTGAAAGTGAAAAATCGAATAAGGTTTGATCTCTGGAGGTTTAAGGAGATTTGACAGAGCCATGTGTCAGTATTCAGGCAGAGTATGACCGGTCATAGATCTTGTTCTGTGCGGATTTGTAGGGAAGAAAAAAAAAATTCGTTCTTGCTCGAGGTGGTGCGATGCTCGTTCAGGTGCCGCTGCAGGCTGCTGCAGATTGCATGATTTTGAACGTTGTGCTTCTTTAAGCATTGTGATTTTATGTCGTGATTCTGTAGACCGTCCTGGTTGTCAGCCATTCTCGGTTAGTTTTGATCGAACCAGGTATTGCTGAAGTTTGTGAGGGCGCTTCCCAAAGTGAAGTTTGAGATGTGGACTGTAGACGATTATGATGGTTATCTTGGTATGAGGCATCGAGGGCAACGTGATGGTAAAGCAGAGGATTAGAAAACCACTTGCTGGTCCACCTGGAACTCTCACTAGAGCCCATCGTGAGCATTTTTCGCACCACGCGGGCCTAGAGCCCGTAAAAAGCGTTCCTGGTAGTAGAGCGTTATCTCCGGTGTCACGTATGTGTTTCTGCTCGGTTGTCTTGTGTCAATCGCCTTTCGTTTTCCTGAACGGAACTGGGGTTGTAGTGACAACTGCGGCCCGTGTAACTCCGTAGTTTCAAGTGGTTACCACGAAACTGCCCCTGTAGCCCTACTCTGATTAATAAGTTTTCGAGCAATTGAGCGTACACAGCGTACACAAATTGGCCTCGCCACTAGGCGGCTAGCGAAGGTGCGAAAAGTTCGGCTACAGAACTTTTCAGAACCCTGCTGCCCAGTAGCCAGTTTCAGCAGTCATAGCTAAAACCACAACTGTCGCATAGTACCACCGTAATGGAAATCTTCACCGGCTCTTCTTGTCCATGGAATGAAAAGTCCAGCAGGGAGAAGCCTTCATTCTTAAATAAACGCCATTAGGTCCGATCATTGTTTACGTAAGAACTGAAATAGCCGCCGAGAGAATATGATCATTTGCTACGACAAGTAAGCCACAGGCGGGCCCGAAGTTCTTGTTGTTTGGTTATCAAATAGTACCGATAGCAAGACTAAAAATGACCCGATGACGCTTCGGGCTTTGTAGAGATAATGCGTGAGTGAGCCCAGGTTTGCACTGCCTAGGAGGTTTAGAACATCTATCATTATGTACGTATTCGTTTTTTCGGCGAGAAAGAAAAGTTTAATGGACCATTTGAGGGCCTTCCTACGGAGTTTCCAGTTTATACCTATATCCTGATTTCCTAATAAGCACCGTCATGCTTTTTGCTCTTTTGTTTAACGATTCTTTATCCTAACCGAGCAATTCAAGACTTACGAGTGTAAGATGACATTGGTATGGTAAATTTGAAAATAGATCAAAAAGCTCTTTGACAATTTATAACGGATTAGTCACACGACACAGAGCGCCAATTCGGACCTTGATAATCGCCTAAACGTCTTGAAAAAGTCTATTTTTTATGATTATTTCACCGGTGGCGCTATGGGGACATGGCGCCGTCTATTTATGTAAAATAATTTTGGCAAGTCAAGAAGGGTTTGCACATATTATGCAGGAACCTCAAAGCCGACACAGTGGAATTTGAATGGCTCGTAAGGAGTTCCCTCACCTTCGAAAAACTTGGACATGGATTCGACCCAGTGTAGACGCAACGAATGCAACATGGCAGAAGTACCTTCCATAACGACCAAAATGACGCAAGTCAGCACGAACCACATTCCAAAGAGCACCACGGTCATCACCACACCGACAAAACCGGTCATACCGAACGCAATTTGAATGGTCATAGTCCAGAGCACAGAAGACAACTGCGCGTGCGCAAGCGACAACGCCCACAAACGTAAGTAAGACGCGGTGTGCGAGACACAGTTCAAGCAGAATTCAATGGTATGGATCACCTGGTGAATAACAACGTCGCCGAATTCCTCGCCGTGGCCTCCCTCGTTTTCGTCGTCATCTTCGTCCTCGAGGAGACCGTTCTCTTGGTCTTGTTGCGCGACGCCTTCTTCAGAGCCCGCAAGTGGCTGATGTTCGTGCCTACCTTGGGTGAACTTGAAATGTAAGGGCTTGATCAGTAGCAAACATGGGACACAAATAAGGGCGACAATCAAAAGGAAAACCTGCAATTGCGCCTGATGAGGATACAGTTCTTCTTCAACGGTTCCAGGTGATAGGAACATGTTAATTAGAGTGTTCAATAGACCTGGTGCTGGCCTGCCATCCTTAACCCAATCGATAGTCCACTTGTATACAATACAAATCGACAAGTAGCCGAAAATGCCCTGCATGAACAATAGACCTGGGACAAAATTGCCCACGATGTTAATCCAATTTTTGAAATAAATGTCATTCGCCAAAGAGAACATGTACGAGTAAGTCATGTGGATGAAACCCAACAACACGGACAGCTTCATCTTGTAAGAGTTGGCAAACAATAAACCGTTCTCAGTACCGTGCCAAGCGTGATCCAACCCAAATGCATAAGTGCCCACTTGTTTGGCAAATATCGTTTCGCCCAATTCCCAGTGTTCAGGCCATTTCCAACCAGATTTGAAAATGGTCAACGATTTCGAAAACATATCATTGTAGAGGAAACCGGTGTAGATCGAAAACAGACCCATGAGCAACACAATGTATCTTCCCGAAAAGGCCATGTCGAAAATTTCGTCCCTTTTCATTCTACCGATTTGTTTCTCGTAAATGACAAGCAGAGAAGCAGCCATTGTCATCAACATACCGTGACCCATATCGCCAAACATAACGGCAAACAAAAAAGGGAAAGTCACAATGGTGGGCAGACCGGGATTGATTTCACGATAAGTGGCAATGCCGTAACAGTCGCAAATGTTTTGAAAGCCTTCCGTGAACTTGTTGGTCCTATGGAACGTCGGAGGAGTTCTGTTGGTTTCCATAACTTGGATTAGCGACGGAACGTCAACACCAAGATTCGCCGTTAGCGTCGAAAGATGCTCTTGTAGGTCTTCAAGCTCGTCCGTGGGCACCCAGCCTTCACCAATAAGCGTTTTACGATTAGAGTCGTAGTTGAAAAGGTTCAAAGTTTCGTAAAGCGCCTTTTCACGCGAAACGGATTTGTTCCACCCATCCAATTCCTTGGCAAGCGCATAAAGCTCGGTCTCGAGGCTTTTTGTAGTCGAATCCAAGACTGTGTTCACGTCTGAAAGGCTCGTGTTCACTTTCGAGAGTTGCTCGGATCTTTCGTCCTGGCTCTCGCTAATGTCGTACAAGTTCGCGTCCAGAGATTCGGCAATCTTACGGATACGTTGCATGATCAACGCACCGTGCGAGAAAACAATGAACGCGTCCTTGTAAACAGGTTCCTTGAGCTTCGCATCGTACACCAATCCTGGGACTTCGATGCGTTTGAACAACAGATTGCCTCTGAGCACTCTCCACAAAATCTGCTCGAGGCTGCTGACCTTAGATCTGGGAATCACACCCGTGACAAACGAAATGGATTGCGGTGGCATGTCTGCTTCGGAGTCTTGTTTACCAACCCCGCCGAAAAACGAGTCTCCGGCTTGCAACACGAATCTGTTCTGCTCGAGGTCCGCTTTTTGCTTTTCGAGCTGCTCGCTAGCCTCCACCAATTGCACCATCCGGTCTTCCAAAAGCGTTCCGCTGTCGACATGGTCATCGATGCTGGACGTACTGGGTGGTAACGAAAACGTTTTTTCGTCCTCGAACTCTTCATACAACTTGATATTGTGCTTGACAAGTAAAGAATGAAAGTACCGGTATTGACGTTGCAAATTGTCCAAACGGCGGATTTCCTTCACAAAGGTCCGTTGGAACGCCTTCACTTTGGTATTCAAGTCTCGAAACTGTACCAGCCCGATTTCTCCAATCCCATAAACAGCGTCCCTGGAAACTTCCTGCGGAATATAAAGCTGGATAAGCGACATTTCCGCAGACCGGAAAATGGCCTCATCCTTCAACACAACGTCTGACATTCCTTGAATCAAGGGTCAAGCTCACTTTAGGACTTCTAGTTGTTGTGATCTTTACTAAAACCCCTGGGTAATAAAAAGTTGATATATCTTTTCTATGAATTGAGAATCCATCACCTGGTCTACTGGCAATTCGCAAAAGGTTACCCTCACTTAAACAAATATAACATTATACGGAAATAGGTAACTCTAGTCACATGATTAGCACATGTTATCGTTTGAAGTTACCCACCTTTTGTGTAATATTGTACGAAACTATCAACCACGTGACTAATTTGTCTATCATCAAGAACGAAGGTTTTCGCTCGAGTTTGATATGGCTATCGTTAATCGTTCCAGAATCGTAGAAACTCGCTATTTCATGAGAAAATATGTAAACGAGTCGACACATCACCACCATAGCCAATTGTGCTCCAATGTCGCTTCCGATTGTCACGTCTGCTCCGGGGAAAGTCATTATCTTTGGCGAGCACTCAGCGGTGTTCAAAGAGCCCGTAATCGCCGCGAGCGTGTCGTCATTGAGATCGTATCTGCTTGTTACCGCTACTGACGATGAAAACGTGATAGAGCTGGATTTCCCAGATATCAAGCTCGATAATAAGTGGAAAAGGCAGGACATAGCCGTGCTGAAGGAGTGCGCCGTTTCAGCTGCGTCTTCGAGCCACAATGAGTTGTCACAAGAGCTTGGAGTGGCCCTGGAACCGCTGCTGGCAAACTTAAACGACCCATTGCATTACCACGCTGCGTACTGCTTTCTGTACCTATACACATGTCTCTGTGGGGCCAAGACGGGACTGAAATTTACAGTGAAATCGACATTGCCCATCGGTGCGGGATTGGGATCCAGTGCGTCGATTTCGGTGTGTCTCGCGCTCGCGATGGGTATCCTTGGCGGTCACATCAGCGACTCGGGTGACAAACTGAGCAACAGTGATCTGAGTTTCGTTAATACGTGGTCTTTTATTGGCGAAAAATGTATCAATGGCACGCCCTCGGGCATTGACAATGCGGTTGCGACCTACGGAAACGCCGTCTCTTTCCAGCGTCAGGACGACAACACTATCAAATTCGAGCGTATATTGGATTTCCCGCAGATTCCTTTAATTTTGACCAACACCAAGATCCCCAGGTCGACCAAGACACTGGTAGGAAATGTTGTGAAATTAGCCGAACGCGAGCCCCTCATAACCAAGCCAATTTTGTCTGCGATGGGCCACATCGCAACAAGAGGTGCCGAAATACTCTCTAGTTTGTCAGATGAGAACTACCCAGTTTTACTCGAATTGGTGCGCCTCAACCATGGGCTCTTAGTGAGCCTTGGCGTGTCTCACCCGGGGCTCGAAGTGATCAGAAGTCTTAGCGACACGATGAAAATTGGCTCGACTAAACTTACCGGCGCTGGAGGAGGTGGATGTGCTTTAACTTTGATAGACAAGAATGCCAGCGACAGTGAGATTGACGAGTTCAAAAGCCAATTACAGAAAGACCACGGGTACGTGAGCTTGAGCACGGGCTTGGGAGGAATGGGGTGCAGTTACGTTTCTTCCGAAAAGCTTAAGGGTCACGTCGCGTCGCTTGCCACTGTTTTCGCCAGAGACACCACAGTGGAAGAAATTGACAGCGTGCTGTTGCCCAACGGGGGTCCTCTCTCGTGGGTCCATTAGCTGTAATCCAATCAACCACTTTTTTGATATTTTGCAGATAGATGTATAGCATTTGAGACCCTCTCAAGAAGCATTAATTTCGAAACAAATGAAATGAGTTGACGTCATTATCTGACTATATCGTGAGATTTACATACCCCTGTTGAAGTAAACTTTGTCTATAATTTTCCCATTTTTGTCCTTTTTGTCCGCTAGCTCTTTTTCCAGCTTGCTGAGGTGTATGCACTGGTACTGGGGGAAAACAGCTAATGCAAAGGGCAAGACTGCGAAAGAAGTACCAATGATTAGTCCTAGGTTGGCAGCAGTTTGCAGCCCAAGATTTTTACCCTTCAGAATACCTCTTTGGAGTCTCACTAGGAGCAAAGGTGGAATGACCATGATGGGAGTGGCATTGATGACTCTACTCAAAGCGGTCTCTCCTACCGCCAAAAACGCTGCCTTCTTAGACTTACCAACCTCGTTGCCCTCTTCATCGAACACTGAAATACCTTTACGGATTTCGTCCCCTCTCATCAAAAAAACGTTGATGATACCGGCGCTGACCACTGCCGCGAAAGGCACTAGGCGGCCAAGCACGAGTTTTGTACCGGCAGAAACGTTTTTCAAGCGTGGAACAAGCTTATTGAGGCCAACAGCAACACCACAGGACGCAGTGACAGCCATACTGTAGTTGGCAATGAGTTGTTGCGTAGACATTGGATGCGATTTATTAGAGTTGGCAGAGTTGATTGCAACATTTAGCGACTGATTTGCCCATTGCCAGAACATGGTTCCCACAGTTCCAAGACCCGGTGTCAACATACCGGCGGTAACAACCAGGTTTGAAAGAACGCAACAGGACATGCGGAATGGTAGAAGCACGGTTTCTCCGGTATCTGGGTGAACCGTCGAATCGAGTTGTTTCTTGGCAAGCCAGAACTCGGGTGTTGTATGTTGTAGTTCACCATGACGGTATGCAGCAATGATATCTTTGGCCTGTTTCAGGTCTTTTTTCGTTGTAAGAAGCATGAATGGGTCTGCGATCTCAGTACAGTGACGAACTCGGCCCCAGTACGTGGAGAGATCGAAACGCGATTCTGGAAGAGGCAGTGGACCAGATACGGAGGACGCCATGATAAATAATTTTACTTCAATGACTTTGGGTTGAAGTTTGATTCGCAATCTGGCTTATTTATTAAGATCGCTCACTTTGCAATTTTTCACTTTCACGATGGATTTGGTTAACTTTCTTTTGCATTATGCGCCGATGGAGAAAATCTAGCGAAAAAAAGAGGAAGCCGGTACCGGCGTGAGTCGAAATGAGTCATTTTCGAGTAGCGAGCGAGCTATCTGGGCTATCGTGTGTGGTGATTAGGGTTCCCAGGAGCAAGAGAAGTTAAAAAGAAGATTGTTAAGAGTGAACACAAGACTAGCATGAGTAGCGACGTGGAGATATCTTTGTAGCGCTGTAGTTGCGGAGAGAAATGGCGCAATCCCAATGTAAAATGATATATTGCGTGCAAAGTGACATTCATGGGACCCTATCAATCACGTGACCATCATGTTAGATAAGTATAAAGTGATAAATAAAAGACGTAGAAAGCGATCATAATAATTACATAATCATTATTTTTCATTTTTTGGAAGATTAAAATTTGAGTAGGCCAAAATGGAAACAGCGGGCGCGGGAAACAAACGGGAAACAAACGGGAAAACGCGACTACGTTGGCGCCGTTGACAGGGAGGACCTTTTGGAGCTCGACTTACCAGCTGACGTACACATTATTGTACGCACAGTGGACAGCGGCGCGATAAATCCGTGCATGACAGGTTTGAACGGTTTCTTTCAGCTAGTCACGTGATTTAGAATTGTCTACAAATCGTATGCAAATCGTCTATGTATGCTCTTTATTTTACCACAACACCGATGACGTCTCTAGCACCCCCAGTGTTTGTAGTATTGATTGTATTCTCTACTATGCCACATCCAGATATATATCTACCTTTAACATCGCTTAACGTCGGTAGAGAGAACACAAGAAAAATTTGAGTGACAGTATCAAGACCAGCCAGAAGCACTAAATTAAGGGAACACCGCCCGTAGACTGCGAAAATAAATGTAAAATTATCAGCAAATAAATTGCAAACCTACTGCCCACCCCAAACCATTAATCAATTTACTATTAACACCCACGCAGCCCTCCTCTAAATCGTCATCACAACTATTACCCGGCTCCCTAAGTAAACAGTGAAAAAGACTCTCGCCCCAGCTATTGAGCTCTTCCTCTTTCCAAATGGCTGATACGAAATTTTACAAGCCTTCTATTCACTGTGCCATCTAGTTATTCCGTAGATGATCAGAGGGGAAAAGAACGGCAAGAGAAACCCCAATCGTGAGCGTCCTCATACTGTCCGAGCCGAATAGCTTTGCTAGGCGCGGTCGGTAACTGCGCAAGCGGTACATGTAGTTTGTAGGAGGAAGTAAGATGTTAGAGTGTGGTGCAAACAATTAAATAGAACATGATCTTGTAAGTGTAGAGCAAGGGAGCTGTATTGAGTCAGTTCGGGCCATTTGATGATGGGAATGTTGCCGAGATGGGCTTCGGGTTGGTACTCATGGTCTATTTTCTACTGTAGACCAGTTTCTGGTGGTGAAAAATGAAAAATTTTGAGCTCATCTCATCTCATCGCATCGATTTCCAAGCATCAAGACAGTCGCATAAAGCCACCATTATGAGCGAAACTGCACAAGTAAAGGTCCGTTTCTTCACGCGAGAACAAGATGACTCGCTTCAGATCGAAGACACGGCTCTTTTCGCGCCCGTAACACTGAAGAGATACGGTTTGTCGGAAATCGTTAACCACCTGTTGAAACTAGAACAAGCCGTTCCGTTCGATTTCCTCATAGACGGTGAATTGCTTCGCACATCCCTAGACGAGTATCTCACGAAGCAGGGTCTTTCCTCGGAATCGCTCTTGAATTTGGAATATACGCGTGCGGTGCTTCCTCCGTCGTATCTAAGCAGTTTCAACAACGAGGACTGGGTCAGTGCTGTTGACGTTGGTGGGTCTCAAATTGTGACTGGTGCGTACGACGGTGTCGTACGCACATACAATCACTCGGGGAAGGTGGAGAAACAGTACGGTGGTCACACTGGCGCCATTCGCGCTGTGAAATATATCTCAGACACCAGGATCGTTTCTGGCGCCAACGACCGGACACTTCGGCTATGGAAAACCAAAAACGAGCAAATCAGCAATGGCGCCCTCAATGACGATGCCGATGATGTTGAAGAAGGTAAAACGCTCGCCATCTTGGAAGGCCACAAGGCACCTGTCGTTTCTGTCGCAGTTTGCCAGGATAGAATCATTTCCGCATCTTACGATCGTTCGCTTGCGTTATGGTCTACCAATTTCAAAGACATGATGGCAATCGATATCAACGACGCCCTCGGAAACGGTGTTTCTTATGCTGCGAAAAAAAGAAGAAGGCTCGCCTTGAAAGAAGGTTCCGTCAGAAGACGTGCGCCGCTTTCGATCATGGATTCACATAACGCACCCGTCGAAGGTGTCATCTTTGATGCTCGTGACAACACAATTGCGTATTCTGCATCCCAGGACCATTCCATTAAGACCTGGGACTTGGTTTCTGCGAGATGTGTCGATACCAAGACTACTTCATATTCGCTTCTCTCCATTGCGCAAATGACAAATTTGAATCTTTTGGCATGTGGCTCGAGCGCAAGGCACATCACGTTGCATGATCCTAGGGTAAATTCCTCTTCAAAGATTACTCAACAACAACTAAATGGTCATAAAAACTTTGTCGTTTCCCTGGATACTTGCCCAGAGAATGATTATTTACTCTGCTCAGGATCTCACGATGGAACTGTAAAAGTATGGGATGTGCGGTCTAATACGGCGATGTACACCATCACTCGAGAAAGTGACGTTGTAAAAGGCGTCAACGACAAGGTATTTTGCGTCAAATGGGCCAAGAACGTTGGCATCCTCAGCGGTGGTCAAGACAAGAAACTACAGATCAACAAGGGTGACAATATTTTTAAGAACTAGCATTAGCAGATTAAAATTAATAAAAAGTTCTAGATAAATGTAAGATATGAGGTATCGGCATCTTAAGACGAGAAAATACTATCGGTACCACTGTGGTGATCAAACGCGAATATGCTTGCTTGTAACTTCAAACTAAATAATTCTAGCTCAACCCTAGTAGCTAATTGACCATAACTGTAATTCTATTTTTCATCACCGCTTGTGTCCGCTGTATTTGGAACCTCATTTTCGGATAGATTGTGGAAGTAACTTAATTCAGCGTCCGTGAGGCTTTTATGATCTTGACCCTCTTTAGTTGAGACTTGCTTCAAATCTGCCGATTTTCCTGGTCTCCCAATGGTGCTAGAACGACGTGACCTATGAGATGCCCTGTCGTCTTCCATTTCCGCAGCCAAGGCATCAAACCCAAAGGTGGACCGCTTACGCATTTGCTCACCGTATCTTTCGAAAATCCATGGAACAGGTACCATGGCAATGCAAACGAAAGCAAAGAAGGAGCTAGCCCAGCTAATATGCATCTTTTCATACATTTGAATCGTGAATAAGGGGAACACACAACTAGTCACATACCGCAGCATGTTATTCGCGGCCAATGCAGATGCCACATATAATGGGGGATAAATTGTGGAAAAATACATTATGACAGTGAAGAAAATCAGAATAAGACCAAACCCAAATGGAACACCGGCTGCTAGAGGAGCCATCCAATGTACATTTTCCCTTGCAGTCCAGCCTTGCCAGAATAGACTTATAGGAAGCGCAATGGATCCAACTTTGCAAATGAGCAAAAGTTTCTCGGGTTTCATGGGCAAAAGTTCATTTGTTTGAGGATCTCTAAATCCACGGTAAGGCCTTGTTCTATTGGAAACTTCCGACTGAAGCGGCTCTGTTCCCTCTGGCGGAGGTGGGAAGAATAACCGACGATCGACTATGATGTAGAAAACAGCACCTATCCAAAGCCCAACACCGATACCCAAAAATGCCAATCCAGCCAATCCGGGACTCATGTGGTAAACACCACGGAAAATGACAGGGTATGCTTCGAAAAATGCGAAAAGAACAGCAAAAATAAATGCGACGTAGATTGAGAACACAAGCACGGTAGGTTCAACAACCAACATCTTTAGAGGTCGAAAAACTGTGATCGTCAAAGTAAGCTTTAAAAATTTTTTTTGGTCTTCTTTAGATGGAGTTATGAGATTCATTTTCCGTTTCTTGGCTCTTTTCGTTAAAATGACGGTCTTATGAGTCTCAGACATGAAAACTATGAATGGCATGATCATTCCACCGGCAAACAACTGAATGTACGTGGCCCATCTCCAGCCTTGCTTTTCGGCAGCAAAGCTTGCAATCACAGGACTAATAATTGGACCCAAAAAGGGAGCTAAGCAAAAGAAAGCCATAGCGATGGATATTTCGTCCATGTCCCAAATGTCGACAATGGTTCCGGATGCAACCGAAAGCGCGGGAGAAGCAAAAACACCAGAGAAAAACCGCATGGGCAAGACGATCCGCATGTGGCCATTGGACAGCGCAACTCCCATCGTGAACAACATTGAAACCGGCAATGAAACGAGATAAATGGGTTTGCGTCCGAAAACTTCGCTGAGAGGTGCGCCTATCACGGTAGAAAGTCCGAGCAAATAGAATGTGAGACCCGCAAGCGCTAGAGTTTGACTGTAGTGATATCTCACGACCATTTCGGGGACACCGTTCACGTAAAGTGAGGATCCCATTGTCACAACGAGACACAGAACAGCAGCGGTCATTGTAGTGAACCATTTTCTCCAAGTGGGCCAATTGTGTGGATTGTCACGATCACTGGGCCCATCCCACTCCAGTGAACGTGGATCAATGGGTTCTTGATTTTCCGAAGAAAACGAACCTCCTCGGCTCGACAGACTGTGGTCCTTCGTCATCCCGCCCGAATGACCAGGAGAGGACTCTTCAGATTCCGACGTCAGTTTGGTGGTTAGTGGTTTAAGAGAGTCGGACACGGAGCTCGAATCACACCTAAGTTTAGGCGCGAGAGGAGCAATTTTGGATTTTGGCAGCTTTTTAGGCAACTAAAATTTCTCCGCTGTGCTGCAGACGAGATAAGCGAGAATAAGTGTGAGGTAACTCCGAAGTCACAAGGCTTTCCTGCAAATCGATGATGAAATCCAAGGTATAAAGAAGATCTTCAAAAACTCTCACGAACCCACGAAAAACCCAGCACCAAATATGTTGGCATGCTCGTCCCTTTTAAAGCTTTCGGTGATTCTGCCTCGGTACTTGCATGTGCGCTGTAAAAGCGTTAACACGGTAAGGTTCGAAACCATTATCGCCATGGAAACGCCGTCTGGGCTTCGAAAGACCCCATGGCTGCCCGGATTTAATCATTCTCGTCCGCGCGGCCACGGAACCGTGGAGAGCCGTGAAGAGCCGTGCCGAGCCGCACCGAGTCGCATTGAGTCGCACGGCTGGTGTAAGTAATCGCGGAACGGACGTGCAGCTGGAAAAAATTAGTCAACCGTTTACTGGCTGTATGACAGTAAATCAAGCCCTAATAAGCCCTACTAAGCCCGGCTAAGCCCTACGGATCCCCCCGGATCCCCCCGGATGCCCCGGAACCCCACGGAACCCCACGGATGCTTACGGAATGTGAATCCGTTCCGAGGTCGTGGCAAGATGAACGGAATCTTGCCGAGAAGTTTATCTTGATGAGGTAATCTGGAGAAAATATTAGGTGATCTTCGATACATGAGCGAGGGCAGCGGTGATGTGAAAATTTCAGGCTAAACTCCGGTGGTTAACTCCGAAGTCGCAGGTGGTGTACTGGTGGATTGTATGCCATCACGTGACAGGAGGTTCAGAGTAAACAAACCCGGAAATGTGACAGTCGTGGAAGTTGTGATAGACCTGGTAATGGATAGGGGGTGAAACTGATATTAGCCCGGTAATGGGACAATTTCGGTGCTTCCTTGTAAATGACGTCTCTGTGCGTCGCATCTTGCCAGTGTATGAGGTCCTCGGACAGTTTCTTGCAGGTAGAAAGCGACGATTTTCTGTCTGGGAATGCAGTATCTGTGTGAGGTGCCAATCTACCCGTTTTGGCGCTTTTGTTGCGTATTCTTGTTACGCACCAGGCGTCCTTTCTTATGGTTCCCATTGTGCGTTTATATACAACCATCACAGTTTCATAGCGTCACCATTGTCACAATTCCGTACCCCATTGTTCGTAACGACACGTTTCCCTGTCAGAACGGTTTGACCTGTTGTAGCACAATTGCCGCTTCTATACTTTGGCTTTAGACTTGAAGCGAGGGTTATTATTGAGTACATTGTCCTTCTGAAACAGATAGTGGCAAGATCTTGTCGGAAGAGCCTTTACAGAGGAATCCCATTCAACCCTTGGGCATCGCTTTAGCGATACTATCTGTCACCTTCTCAGCTCCCTTGGCCCATCTGTCTGTCTTATACGTTTTCATTTCTTTCTCTAGTTTGTCCATTAAGCTCAGAGCTTTTAGAGCTAATAGAGCCTGTAGAGGTTATACCTTCTTAAGCCACAACATACGAAAGTCAGTAGCTCATGAGGGAGATTCTAAACATTGGAGTATCGCATCGTGCATGCCATTTGGCTACGCAGTTTTACAACTGTCGAGAAGAGTTACTACAGTTGAGTCCGGTAGAGAATGATGCTCAGGTTTTCCTGAATCCGACCATTGATAAAATATCCAAGACGGTATCGTACGCACCAAGAGCACTTTTGTGGGACGCGAAGTCTGGAAACGGTGCATTGGGACTTCACCAGTATGAAGCCCAAGGTAATGATCATTTCTACACTGCGACTACCAGCGATGCCCCGAAGCCCACGAACTCAAATGTACAAGTTATCAGGACACATCCGATGATTCCAAAATCTCAATATCAAACGGCTCTTGATACCAATAGTGCACTTCCTGATTTAAATGATTCCAATACTCGGTACTGGTCCGATTACGCCAAGCTCATTTACGGACCGTCGAATTTGAATTTTCTGCGCGATTGGTACCACGATCCCGAAAACGCGTCACTTCCCGATTTCCAAAACCTGGGTCAAATCAAGTTCTCAGATTTCGGTGTAGGCCAAGATGAATTCATTGAGCATTATTCCGCAGACTTCCTCGAGGAAAATTTCCGGTGGCAGCTAGAAAAATGTGAACAATTACAAGGCCTTAATTTGATCTCTGAGATTGAAAACTCTTGGGGTGGGTTTTCTTCTGCTATGGTGTCAGATTTGAGAGACGAATTACCTAAAGCTACGCTTTTCACTTGGGGATTCAACCAGGACGACATGATTACCGTTTCACGTCCAGGTCCCTTCTCCAAAGCCAAATTTAATCTACTTTGCAACAAGATACGTTCTACAGTCTATTTGGTACAGGAATCAGATCTTTTTTTTCCGCTATGGTCAAACACTGAGATTTCATCGTGGAGACAAGCGGGCGAATTATGCAAACTATTTGACGGCGTCAACTCAAGTTTCGATTTGAAAGATCTGAACAAATCCAACTCAATGAATGAACTTAAATGGAGTCTACAATCCGAGGAACTCAGCCGCAACGTGGTCTCCGGTCTCGAAATCTCAGACCACGATTATTCCTTCTTTTCACGAGTTCCACGGCTCAAGAATAGCAAAGATCACGAATTCGCCAGATGTAGCATTTCAAGAGAAAAGATTCCTTCTGAGAAGGACAGAAACTCCAATCAATTTTCAGCTTACGAATGGAAGCCCTCCGATACGATTCCTCAAGAAGTTGCCCAAGAAACAATCTATACAAGTCAACTTTCAATTACTGGCCAGTCTCGCGACGTTTTCAGAAAATGGCTTGAAATCGTCGAACGACATTTCAGATACGATAACGATCGTGAAGAACTCAAGGATAGCCTTGGAACGCTCGCAAGTGCCTATGAAGAAGGGTTCTATGATGATGAGGATTCTGGTGATGATGATCTGTGAGAAAACGTACGAACTGATTACTGTTTTGTTCAAATCCAAGTCTTCGGAAAATATGCCCGTAAATTCAAGAAATGTTAAGTCCATTAAAGCGAGCCTTGCGTTCTTTCAAGATGCCTCATGGCAAAGTTATCGTCATTGCGGGGACCACGGGTGTCGGGAAATCGCTTTTGTCGATCCAACTCGCCTCTCATGTCAATGGTGAAATCATCAATTCCGATTCGATGCAGGTATACAAAGATGCTCCGATTATCACTAATAAACATCCGGTAGAAGAGCGTGAAGGCATTGTGCATCATATTATGAACCATGTTGACTGGGACGAAGACTACTATTTGCATAGATTCGAAAAAGAGTGCTTACAAGCGATTGAAGACATACATGCTCGTGGGAAGACCGCTATTATAGTAGGAGGAACCCATTATTATCTGCAGGTACTCTTCAAAAAACGTGTGGAAGAAAAATTGCGTCCGCTCACTGAAGATGAACGGAAATTTTTGGACAGTGAACAACCCGAATTGATTCACGCCGAGTTAAAGAAACATGATGCCGTGATTGCGCAAAAATTCCATCCCAATGACACGAGACGTGTGCGTCGTATGCTTGAGATATTTTACACCACTGGTCAAAAGCCTAGTAACATTTTTGCGGCCCAAAACAATGCTTTAATATATGACACTTTATTTTTCTGGATTTACAGTAATCCAGATGTCCTAGGCGCTCGTCTGGACGCTAGAGTTGATACCATGCTCAAGTCCGGTGGTTTGGAAGAGATTGAGCATCTTTACAAAATTTATCAAGAAAAATCCTATACACCCGATCAATGCCAATACGGCATATGGCAAGTAATTGGGTTTAAAGAGTTCCTTCCATGGCTTGAAAATCGTGACAAAATTCCTTACGAGCACGGCCTGGAACGCATGAAAATAAGGACACGGCAATACGCCAAGAGGCAAGTAAAATGGATACGAAAAATGCTTCTTCCGGACGTAAGTGAGGATCTATATTTACTTGATGCAACAGATCTTGCAAAATGGGACGAAAATGTTCGAAAAAGAGCTTTTGAAATAACCAACAGTTTTATAACCGGAAAGCGTTCTTTGGAGCCGTATGCCCCGAAAAGGCTTCAGAGTCAACTGAAGCTAAATCCAGAAGAAACAAGTAGCCCCAAGGCTACGGGTTGGGAGCAATTCAGTTGCATGAAATGCCGTGACAAAAATGCTAAACCTCTTATCTTGGTGGGCCAGAAAAACTGGCAAATTCACTTGCAGAGCAGGAGACACAGAACGGCGTTAAAGAACGAAATCAAAAGGAAGAACTTTGAAAAATTCAAAAACTCATTGAATGAATGTTTTTGATTCGATTTTTTGCCAGATTAGCGTGTCAGATTTTCGACCAAAGCTATCAGCCTATCACGCCTCAGGGCCAGTGAAAGATTTTTCACGAATCTCATTTAATATAGCATTAGCAGAACGCATTAGGTCCTGATAGAAATTGACTCCACCCTTCAAATTTTCTTTTACATCTTCGTACAGCCTCATAGAATAGTTAAAGTCTTGGATGTATAAATGTACAGGATCCAGGCGTGCATCTTCCGCATCTTCCTGTTTTACCTTGAGCATACTGATGAGCTTCTTGTTATTTTGCTTCTCGATTTGAACCGTCCTTAAGGCATCATCACAGAACTTCAAATGCTCCTGAAAAGCATTCTCAAAATTAGTAGTACCTTCCTGCTTATAGGCTGAAATAATTAGGGGGAGAAATGGGTGAGACTCAGATGTAGATCTTATTTCATTTATCACCTCGTAACGTCTTTTGATCGTTGCGGCAGCATCTCTTACCAACGGGTCATTGGACGACGGCAATTTTATAGGTTTTGTCAATAAATATTTATCGATGACAGAGAATGATTCTGTTGTTTCTTTATCAATTGCGCGACCCTGACCCAAGTAGAGTTTCAACTTCCTCACTTTTTCTTGGAAGTCAGATTTTGAAAGTTGGCTCTCACCGGAATGGAAATTCTCTTCAAGTTTAATTTTAATTTCCTGTATGATCGCCTCGACCTGATCGCTATTTCGGCTCAGTCCCTGAACAGATTTTTCGCAATCGTTAAACTCTTCAATTGGCACGGGTTTCAAATCGTCAATCGCTTTTGTCATTGGCAAACTTTCTCGTAAAAGCCTAGTTAAGGTTTTCAAAGGCTCAGTGACATGTTGGTCAATATATTGAGATTGGCGACGACTGAAAGCCTGAGCATTTTCCATTATCGATACTGGCAAAAGGTCACGAAAAAGAGTGACACCAGAATTTTCCTCGTTTGGTGATGATCCAAGTTCCGCCGGTATGCAAGCTGTCACCATACGTGCAGGTTTCAAAATGGGTGGATTTGGGACTACAGGCATAAGATATATCAAATCATTGTCTCTTTCGGCTTGCTTCAAAGTCGCATTTATCTTTTCTTGAAATGTCAAAGCCCTATCGTCTCGGTCTATTATTGTATTAATGGTGCTAAAAGCCCTCCGCAGGTAAGAAACTCTCAGTCCATGCTCTTCCTTCTCATCATATGCAATACTTTGCCGGTAATCCGAAACCGCCTCGAAATACAGGGCCTTGTCCTTAAATATCGTTTCCCAATCTCCTCTGATGATTTGACTTCGCTCTGCGTGCTGCTTCGCAGCCCGGTAGTAGAATCCCACTTGAAGTGCAAGTCGTGAAATCAATGACTGTTTATGGTTTTTAGCAGCCGCTTGGATCCAATAGATTTCTTGAGCCTGAGCCAACATCAAATTTTCGAGAGCTAGGATTGTTGCTGTGTCTTGTTCAACATGCCCATCGCATTCGAGTACTCTCTCAAAACAACCGGCACTTTGTTGCAAATACAGGCACATCTTCTTGTATCCCGCCAAAGATGTGTCATTGGCCTCTGCAGCTAACAAAGATAGCATCGAACCAATGTTGAATAAAATGTTAGCCTCCTCGAATCCAAAGCTGCAGGCTTTTTTACCGTACGATTTAAGTCCTAGGGTCTCGAACCATGTAAACTCAATTTGATCAACGGGAAACTTGTTCTTCAATTGCACGAATTGTGTATAGTACTGGATCAATCCATTAAGTCCTTTTTCAGATACTTCTGGTGTTTCAATCGCTTCTCTTAACTGCGTAATGGTTTTAAGGTCTTGTTCGAAACTGGACGATGACTGATAAAAGCCTTGATCGATCAATTCTCCAAGATGCTTGCCCAAATCTAAATGTAAAGTTTTCTTCAACGGCACACATAGGACACTGGCCATGTTCGCGTTAGTTGATGGTTATAGGTAGGGGTTGTTAAAAGAGCAAGAAACTTCAAGATTATCAACGTGGTTATAAACCTGAACAGACAACTAAAAAATTATAAAAATCGCATTCAACAAGACAATTGATCATGTATTAATGCTAAGTGTTCATACTTTTTTCAGATTAATTTTACAAACTTTTATCTAAACTTTGAACAATTTCCCTCTTGTACTAGGAGCTTCTACCTCTTCCTGAGCATCTGTAAATTCGTCAGTTTCTGGAGTCACTTTTATTGGAACAGAAAGTCTTTTAGAACCTTTTCCCTCAATAGTGGAGAGTCTTACGGTTTGAGATCGCGCTATCTCCGATCTCTCCAAAGCGATTTCCTCTTCGTCAGGATCTTGAATTTTGAGTTCGTTTGCGTCGCTGTCAAGTTCTGAGAGAAGGAAAGTTATGTTAGTGATATGAGATTTGACGGACTGCGAGGCCCTGAGCAAATTGTTGACAGATGGATTTCCTGCGCTGTTGCCATTTAGATTTTTCAAATCACGCACTTTAGGGGTTGTGTACCTCAAAGTTTTCAAAGATCTTGCATCGTAAGGTTTTGTAGGTGTAACCTCAGGATATGTGAGCTGGTTGTCGATACCTGGAACATCATTTGGGTTGGCGGCATGCTGTTGCTGCTGCTGCTGCTCCGGAGAAGCATTGGAGATGAGATCCGTAGTGGATAGCATAGGTTCTTTGGACAGCAAAATACGTTTGCCCTTTTCCGAGTACTTGTTGGTCCCCATGTCGCTGTAGAAGTTGAGGAGATCATCTCTTGAGAAAAGCTCAGAGATGGCTTTCTTGTGGGAGGTCTGAGAGTTATAGTCTTCCAAACCCAAGAAGCGAGCTGCTTCCGCGTGGTAGATGTAGTATGCCGAAGATGGGGTGGCAGCCGTGAATAAGTAGTGTCTCAGACCAGAAAGTAACGTTATACTTTTGAATTTTGCGAATGCTTCTGACATTAAATGTTGTTGGGCATTGACCGAGGACATAGAATCGATCAATGAAAAGAGCTTTGAGATGGTGAAAGCGCCCGACACAGAGTTACTGACCAACTGGAATAGTTTCATGTAACTGTCTGTAAACGGTGTCAAATCAAAGAAAAGATCGAGGCTCAGAGTCGCGTTGGTAGTAGATTCAAGTAGCCGTTGTAAGTCTTCTTCAAAAATGGCCCTGTTTTCCTTAGTCTTATCATCTTTCAGTCTCGAAAGCACTTCCAAAAACATGTCCGAGGTCTGGTCCTTGTAGTAAGTCTTCTTGTTAAGATCTGCAATAGTCAATGAACATTGATGGCAAATCTCTCTTGAACTTCCATTGGCAGATTGCATGTTCAGCAATACTCGCATGACGTCCAGCACGCTAAGACCGATGATGCTCACTTCTGATACCAGCAGACTGGACACCAACTTGAGAATAGTGACTGCGTCCCCGTTTTCATCGCTTAAATTACGAATGAAGATCAGGATCACGGTGTATCGCAAATGGACTGGAATTCCGTTGCAAATAAACTCCAAAAGTTCTTTGTTGGGCGTTTTGAGTAAAATCTTCAACAGTACCCTAATGGCCAGCGAGAGTTTATCGGTCTCAGAGGTATTGAAAAACGCCTGAAGCGCCCGCACGGCCCAATCCGTATCTTCCGGCAAATCGTCAAGCCCCAGTGCATGCGTCTGGGTCCTTGTTAGTCGTCTGTTGATAACTTGCTCGGTATTGTCGAGGCTGCGTATTTTGTAAGTCGGGTTCCGGTCTTGGAAACTTTTCAAAGCGAGCTCTGCAGCCTCCGAGAGTAACTCACTCCCTTGTGGATTCATGGCCAAATTACTGACCACTGAGATGTCAGTACAACCTTTCAAGACAAGATTACTGTCGTGGACCCTTTCAGTGACAGTTGGCAGATACGAGTTGAAAAATGTCTTAAAAAGGTCAATAAATTCCGCGTCACCGTTACAAAGCGCACCGTCCAAATTTCGGCATATACTACTCAACGTTTCTTCGATCCTTTCCAAGACTCCGATATCATTGTTCACATTGTTGTTCGAAAGCGTCTTGATCATGATATGTAAGAAATCTTTGACAAAAACGTTCAAATTTTCCCGACAGTGACACACAATTTTGTTCATAAGCTCCATGGTGACCGTAATGTTACCAATTCGTCTGTGATTAAGGTCAGCGGTGCTTTTTTTCACCAAATATGTGCTAACTTTCTCCAGTTTCGTTCTTCGAGAGTTCACGTAATACAACAGGTAGGAAGTCTCTGAAGACTTGGGCTTTTTATCGGGCGTTCTTCCAGTAGGATAGCATTGATTGACGAGTTTCTGATGTTTAGGAGTGAATATAAGGCCCATATCAAGGCTCAATTTGACCTGTTTGTATATCAATTGTTGGTTCAAGATTTTGAAATTTTTTAATATAAGAGGTCGACCTTCACCAAGCAAGCAAGACGAATAAGTCAAACAAGACAATCAACACATCAGCGTATTCATGCCCGTTGTTCCGATATATGTGAAGGGAGGTGCCTGGACAAATTTAGAAGATCAGATTTTGAAAGCGGCGGTCCAAAAATATGGTACGCATCATTGGGGCAAAACGGCATCTTTATTGCACAAGAAAACGGCAAGACAATGCGAATCTCGATGGAACGAATTTTTGAATCCACAGTTGAATTTTGACAAGTTTAGTGCCAAGGAGGATGCTACGTTATTATCGCTTGCCCGAGAATTGCCCAATCAATGGAGAACCATAGCTGACGTTTTGGGTCGAACAGCGCAGATATGTGTGAACAGATATAATGAGTTGTTGGAGCAACAGGATTCAGAGCTGGCAGTAACGAGTTCATTGGATTTCCAAGTTGGAGATGTGAATACAATTGCAGAATCGATGCCCGCAAAACCAGATGCCGCGGAAATGGATTACGACGATAAGGAAATGTTAGCAGAAGCGCAGGCGCGACTCGCGAACACCCAGGGTAAAAAAGCGACGCGGAAAATTCGTGAAAGGATGTTGGAAGAGAGTAAAAGAGTTGCGCAGTTGCAAAAACGACGTGAGTTGAAACAGGCAGGTATAGACTCTAAGATACCTGCACCGAGAAAACGGTACGCGACGGAAATCGACTACAACGCTGATGTTGTGTATGAGCTTCAGCCTGAAGAAGGTCTTTACGATACCACTTTGGAGCAGGAAACAGGACAACGACAGAGGGCTAGGTTGGAAGCTGTGGTCGACCGAAGGGGCTTCTATTCAGGAGGGGAATCGAAGCGTCAAAAAAGACAGAAACGTGATGGTACCGGAAAGGTTTCTGTTAAAGCATCGGATTCTGCTGCAATTGATGATTATAAGAAACCCAAATTGGAGCTTCCGCAACCGCGAATCAGATCTGTGGGTCACGTGGAGAAATCTGTGGAGTCTGCGGAACTTATTGTAAAACCAACTGCCAGTTTGATCCGAAATCACTTGGAACAGCTGTTTCTGCGGCTTCCGGAGCCCAAAAACGATTTTGAAATAGTCCTGGACGAGGAGGATGACGAAAAGGACGCCGAGGAGAGCGAGGCGGCTGGTGAGAACCAAGTACAGCTGGAAGAAGCAGCTGAAAACGATCCTTCGCCTTCCACTTCTCCATACCGGGCATTGCAAGACCTACTTCCACGACCAGAACCCGTGACAAACGCTACGTCGCCCGTCGAACTGGAATATAATCGCATTCTGGACCGGGGCCCCCCCGTAGACACCGACAAGAAACTTTTAAGGCAGCTTCTTCCAACACTGACGCTCGATGTCGAAAATTATCAGCTCTACATGCAAGAAACGCAAGACATCCTTGCCAAAAATCCCATCACCCCACGAGACAAGATCAAACATCAACTGCAACAGTCTCTACAAAACATACAACACACACAACGTGCGTTACGCGATTCGGAAGCGCTGGCTCGCGAAAACGATCGTATTTCAACCAAACTTTGTCAAACCATCATTCCCGAAGCGGATCGTTCTCAAACTAATTACGCTTTATTTTACGCGATGTATCAAAACGAATACCACGCTCTACAGAAAAGAATAGCCAAATGGGAAGCGCTAGCCTCGACCTCATCGTCCATTTGACTGAGCACTGAAGCTTATTCAAGCTTGAGCTCTTCGCTCATATCCCAATGTTACCCGGAAAGTGTTGAAAATTTTCTTGACCTGGAAAATTGAACAGAGGGGAAACTTTGACTCACGGTGACTTTCGTTAAGGTTTTAATAACAAGAATCGTTATAACCTGCGACGAGTTCCACGAAATGATTAGATTCACGGAAGACGAACTTTTGCAATTGAAACCAGAAACAGACGGTCCCGTCAATTTCGATGTGGAAAATTTCGTTGCAATCATTGACAAAGTCAAAGAGATCCAATCTTTGCAAGAAGAAGAATTCCAACAATTCCACAGAAGAAGATCATCGCATCACCATGGCAGACCCAAGATCAAGCATTTGAAACCCAAGATCACTACTGACTCTGAGGGATGGTCCACCTTTGAAGGTGCAGCCGCCAGAAGAAAGTCGACTGCTCAGGGTGCCAATAGCGATGACGAAGCTCCCGCTGCAAAGGAACCCGTCGTGATCGCGCAAGAGACCTTGAAAGTGAAACCTAACAAACACATTTCATCTACAAGACCGGCCGATAGCAGAGATATCGTTGCGGACAAACCCACCATGAATTTCAATGCATTTGCAGCGTTGAACAGCGAAGAAGAAGAAGAGGAGGAGGAGGAGGAGAAGCGCGGGTGAGACGCGAATGAGAGGAGATGTCAACTCAATGGCGCAATTTCCTTGGTACGTAGATCGTTGATATAGCACCCAAATTTTCCTTTTTCGAGGCCCCAAACTCACCGAATTTGCAGTAATTGCAGAGCACGAGAATTGTACGATAATGTGGCCCGGTCACTGGCCAGACTCGAAGCCTTTTGGTGGTCCAGCTGATTATGAATGGCGACGGTTTTGAGATTTTCGTCGCACGTGAGAACACATCCAATAAGAATACGCTGTCATCATTCTCTCTAATTTCATCAAATTCAATGAAGTAACAGTCGACTTTCCCCACAGGCATCTTTCAAACAATGGCATTCAATGTTGTTCGAATCCTGACGTTGGCGGTGATTCTCCTCGTTGGATTTATCAATGCGGAGGATTATTACGCCATTTTAGGCATTTCAAAAGACGCATCTGATAAAGATATCAAATCAGCTTATAGGCAATTGTCCAAGAAATATCATCCAGACAAGAATCCAGGCGACGAGGATGCGCATCAGAAGTTCATCGAAATTGGAGAAGCCTACGAGATCTTAAGCGATGAAGAAAAACGCAAAATTTACGACACTCATGGGGCCGATGCGCTGAAAAACGGTGGTCCTGGCGGACAGAGAGGTCCAGGAGGCGGCTTTGGAGGTGGATTCGGTGGATTTGGAGGCTTTCACGATCCAATGGATATGTTTGAACAGATGTTTGGTCACCAACGCGGTGGGAGAGGTAGACAACGCGGACCTAATCTAGAAGCACGCGAAGAGTTGACTTTGAAAGAATTTTACAGAGGCGCTTCCCTTGACTTCACTTTAAATTTGAATGACTTCTGCGACGACTGTAAGGGGTCCGGATCTCAAGACGGCCAGAGTACGCAATGTCCAGACTGCCAGGGGCACGGTGTGGTGATACAAGTGGTGAGAATGGGGCCCATCACGCAAAAAATTCAGCAAATGTGCGGTAGATGTGGAGGAAAAGGCGCCATTATCAAGAATAGATGCAAAGCGTGCAAAGGTGAAAAAGTCGTACGCAGAGCAAAGCCTTTCCACGTTGACGTACCAGCAGGTGCTCCCCGAGACTACGTGGACGTGAAACCTGGCGCGGCCGACAAGGGCCCTGATTTCGACGCCGGCGACGTGTTTGTAAGATTCGGAGAATCAAGCAAAGGCAACTTGGGTTACAGAAGACGTGGGCCTGACTTGTTCAGAACCGAGGTCTTGACTATGAAAGAAGCACTTTACGGCGGGTGGAGTCGAACAATCGAGTTTTTGGATCCCAACAAAAAGGTTACACTCACGCGTAAAAAGGGCGTTACTGTAGCGCATGGCGAGATCGAACGCTTGAGTAAGTTTGGCATGCCCAAAGAGGGCAACAAACACGGCGATTTGTACATTGATTACGTTGTTTTGATGCCGCAGAAGGTTACCAAGCAAATGTCTCGAGACGAGTTGTAATGTGTATATAAGAAAAATTGCCGATAGACGTTGGTTTGTGAATCGACATAACGACTGAATGTTAATTTACAGCGGATGTTGAAAGAAAAATGACCAACTATATCAGGTTTTGGTAAGAAAAGAGAAAAGCTTTTCTTAATTCAATAGCTGGAGATACATCTTACAAGAAATTTCATCTTCCATACATCTAAATCAGTTTCTTTCGAAACTGCCCATCTAATAGAAAGCATCTAACCAAAGTGATGGAATTACCAGGTGACGCCGATGGAAAGCATGGTTGAGTTTGTTGTTTTTAAGAGAGAGGTGGTATTTGTTCGCCTTTCGTATTTTATATAATTGTTGAAGGTCGTTATGCACGAAACCAACAAGTCATCACCAGTTCTGGCTTTTGAGGGCTTGAAGCCCTCAAAAGTGCTTTACGGTCTAAGTAGTGTAAAGATTCTTGAATAATTCGATAAAGGTTGAAGCTCCTACTATTTATTTGCGAAATAAATATTATCTTTGCAGAATTGCTCACCAGTGCGCGGTAACTGGAAGTTAAGCATGTTGGTATTTCCCAAAAGAAATTGCTCAGAAACTGCTTGTAGCTGGAGTCTCAAGGTCTTCGTATTTTGCTCAAAAATATCCAAATACCGATTTTGATGTCTGAACAAAATTAGGTCTTTTAGCGGTGTCAAAATTTTGGCGAAATTGTCATGTTTAGCATCGAAAAGGTGTAAATTCTCAATCAAATCGATATAGAGCTTTACATGATTTACATGTATTAGAGTACCAGCTAATGTGTGCATACGCTTATATGTATTCATAATGATACCTTTGATGTGTTGGAGTATACACATATGTCAATTATACATGCAGGGCTGCGACATCAGTGCGTCAAGAAGTGACAATGGACAATGATGTGACGACCGCGAAATTCTAAATCTGTCTCATTTGCCCTTGGATTTTAACGCAGCCGCGAAAGATTGCGACTTGGCTCTTTGGAGTCTAAACCAATAACCTAACGCTATATCTGCTGATACATATCCCATTGCTAGCAAGGATAGGTTTTTTGGTGTGGAACATTTTTTGAGTGTGCGAATCATTATGGAAAGAGATGGAGGCTAGTGGCATTCTCGAGAGCAGATAGACTCCGTCGCGCAATTCGCCTCTATTCATATACTAAACTTCTCAGAACGCGTCTGTTTATCATTGGTGCGAGAACGAAAACGCATTCGTCCCAGGATCCGAGTTCCTCGGCAAAAAAATGCATGTGTGGTCTAGCCTCAACAAAAATGATGCAATGTCTGTTAATATTCAGCCAGAATCAGTTGATTCAAGTCGTTTAGTTTATCGGCTGAGAAAACATGCGGCGTTCCACAGCCAAAACGTTTTTCTTAAGGCCGTGTAAGTACTCATCGTTTAGCGTCGGTAAACCTAAAAAAAAAGAGGTCTCCGAAAAGCCACACCGAGGAAAAAAAGGGAAGCTCGAAGATGCATCTTGGAGCTCCGAATCGCCCTGGGTGCCTATCCCATTTAGTGCCTTACGTGCCCAGCAACCTCTTGAAACCATCCCGGAATATCGGCACCGCTACCGTAAAGTTCTCTATCATCTAATTTCACATTCTCCAGCCCCACCGTATCATCCAACCAGGGATGATTTACCATTCCACCAGCATCTGCTCTTTTGCGCGGGTCGAGAGACAACATTGGAAGTAGAAAACTTGAGATGTCTTGCGCGTCGCTACTGGAAAATTTGTATTTCTCGGTCAGAACGTCACGCAAGGGCCAGAATTTTAGCTTTGAAATGTTACGTAACTGACCTTTCGAATTGAAGAAGTTTTTGGAGTACCGACCAGTCGTGAGCAAGTATGGCGGTACTTCTCCTAAAAGCTCGATAATTTGGGCCATGTGATCGTCATCTTTCGTGTAAGAGTGTCCTTCGTCAGGTTCAAAGAGGAAATCGCCAGTAAGAAGCTCAAAAACCAAGCATGCCGTGGACCATATGTCTGCACTGCAACCCCATTGGCAGCCCAAAAGGACTTCTGGAGACCGGTATTCTCGGGTTTGAATAGAATTGGTGTAATGTTCGTCGTACCAGCATGCGTTTCCGAGGTCTGCAATCTTGATCAAAATCGCGTCTGAGGAGTCTTCTTCCGCGGGATTCGTGATTTGATCGTCAGGGGCCGAAGAAGAAATTTCGAAAGAAGATAGAGAATTAGTTATTACTTCGTCTTCCATGTTGCCTGCACTTTGACCAATCTTGGGAGAGAACGACGAAGCCTTGGGCAGAGATTGGCCAAGCGTCTGGGATCTTAACTCGAAAAAGCTCGTCGAGCTGATAGGGGACGGTAATGGTTGCGACCCGGTTATAACCGTGTTTCTTCTGGCTCTGCGTGTGTGCGGACTGTCCATAGATATCGACGTGCTGCTCCTCGATGACTGTCTTTGCAGAGACGTTGAGCTTTTTTCAGGCCTGGAAGCTCTTTTTTTAATTTTCCTCATGTCTCTTCTTTGTTTGTCCATGAGTTCCACCATTTGGACAATAGCCTCAACATCCCCAACCTCCATGAGGACATTCTCCGGCTTTATGTCGGTGTGAATAACACCGCATTTCCGATGCATGTAGTCCAACCCCAATAAAAGCTGCTTTGCAATTTGTTTCACGTACATCACCGGAATACCGCGATGTTCATACTTTTTGATCAATGCTAAAAGGTTTTCGCCCAAAACCTCGAAAACCATCACCACATGCTTACCGTTTGGTCCCACATGCGTAAAATTATCCAATAACGCCAAAATATGTTTGGCACCTAAATGTGCGCCTTCGACATCCTCCGAGCGAGGCTCGCTAACACATTTTAAAAGTTTGATCTCGTCAAGTGCGGCTTCTGTATAAACTTTGTCGCTCCTCACTATCTTCATAGCCACGTGTCTACCGTTACCGGTGTCTTTGGCCAGCCACACGGTCGAAAAATGGCCCCAACCTAACTTTCTAACTAAAACGTAGCGTCCCGCGTTGTACGCTTCTCCCCGGTAAGCAGGGTGGTAACCACCAGGCTTGTAGTCGCCCAAGCTCTCTTCATTCTTCTCATCGCACGAAGAGTCCTCTGAATCTACCTCATCTTCGTCACTCTTCAAATCTTCGCCGTCTTCGCGCTGAATCTGCAATGCAAGCGAAAGCTTTGATTTGGCACCGGTTTGCTTGTTTCCAACATTTTCTCGCGGGAAAAAGGGGTTGCTGGTCGGTCTCTGCTGCGGTTTACTCACAAATCCAGGATAATTAATTGAAGATCCCATCGGTTTCTCTTCGTTTCTAGTTCGTTTCTGGTCTGTTTCTTTGTCGATGTTGGTTTCTTCTAAAGGGGCCCGTTTGAACAGAAAAAAAGACCAAGAAATCACTTGATCACCACTTTTCTAGCCAACAGAACAGGCTGTTGTTCGAATAGCTTGAACCTGGTTTAATCTGACGCAGATCTGTTCAATATTGTCTTGTTTCCCGTGCTTGATTTATATTTCAAACCTTGTTCTCTCGCATATAAACTGGCGTGTTTGAAAAATTTGAAGTGAAATTAATATCTCTGGGGAAAAGTCCCCCAGCACGACTACTTAAATACACCGGTGAGCTTTACAAAATTGGGAAAACAAAGGTAATGGAGAGTTTGGAAAAGTTATGGACATCACTTGAATTATCGTAGATTTTGCTTGAGATTATCAGCACTTTCCGACTTTTTTTGCGGGTATTTCCAGCTTTTTCCGGGCTTTTTTTGCCATGTTTTCTGAGTTTTTTGTAGAAGTTGTAGCTGTTTGACGATTTGCTAGCTTTCGTCATTTGCGTTAGTGTTGGTGTTTAAGTCTAGAGTTTGAGCTGGAGGTACCGCGGGTTCGCTTTGGTGAGTAGGTTCTTGTACTGTGGGTTCTTGTGGTGTGGATTTTTGGGCCTGGGCTTCTTGTACTTCTTGTACCGGAGGTTCAACAGCTTGACCGTGTGAAACAGATATTGTGGAATCTTGTGTCGGGATGTGCTCCTTGGGCTCTGGAGCAGGCTGGGTCTCCTGTGGTTGGAATTCGGTTGTCGTGTCGTCTGTCATGGTGACATCGTGTGAGCTCTTGGTGGTGTCCGCCCCGTCTGCCGCCACTTCATGGCCAACAGGCACCTCATAAGGACGAACATCGTGGTATGGAGCCGGTCCGTCGTCAGCTGCCATTCGGGCAGGAGACAATTCTCTCCTTCTGGGCCCAAAATCGGCTCTACTACGATCTCCGTATGAACGAGCACCGTAGGCGCCTCTTTCGCGAGGCATTCCCTCACGGAACCGTCTACGTGGTGGCATTTCGTCACCGTTATGGTCTGGGCCAAATTCTCGCATGGGCGCTCCATGAAGCGGGTTTGGGGCGCCGGGTGCCCGCGACGGATGTGGTTCTGAACGTGCCAACTGCACTACAAAGGTGAATTGCGTGTCGAGAGCGAACGGTTGTTGGTCTAATTGCTGAATAGCTTGCTCTGCGTCGTGAAAATCTTCGAATTCGACAAACGCGTATGGGCGTGCAAACCGGGACCGTGCCGGCGGAATGTCAATACGAACCACTTTTCCTATTCTGCAAAAAACATCAATTAAGGGTTAGTCTTGGGACTTTTGAATTGTTGCTGAGCCGTATAATACGGAAGTCGCACTTTTAAACAGTAGCGTCTGGTCATGGAAGTCATTCCCATTGCAAAGAAGCAAAAAAAACGTACCTTTCAAAATCATGAGCCAGATCTCTGGCTCTTGTTCCACGTGGGAACCCGCTCACATGAACCGTATTCCTGAGACCCATTGCTGTCTCTTTGTAGGTTCAGGTAGTTGAATCTAGGTGGGAACTTAATTCTACAGCAGTTCGTTATGAGCTTGAACTGCGAAGTCACGTGACACGGGTTTCTCACGTACGAGACGAAAGTCCGGCGGAACAAGCGAATTGACGGCGTTCGGATGTAGTCACAGATGAACTCGATGAATGTTAGCAGCAATGGCAGAAATGTGGCTTTCGGGAGTGTCATTCGTGTAGAAATTGAGAATTTCGACCTACAAGCGTCTTTTGGCGGCGTCAATTTGCAATAGAGTGGCTCATCGGTAATGGGGATGTTGAATATCGAACTAAAGAAGAAGGTGCAATTTATCCTATACATTTTCAATGTATTTTCTTTGAACTGATGATCCTTTTTAAGAGAGGTTCTTTGATTCGAAATGAAAATAGAAGAAAGATAAATAGAGCAACGATATAGTGTATCCATGCCGTTAAGACACGGATCGTCCACAAATACAAGATCAATATTTGGAGAGCGTTCGGAGCTAGGAGGGAACGCATAACCGTGATCCGGCTTAGGTCACGTGATATTACCGACAGATTCCAAGTCAACGAACCGCGAGCATTCTAGAGGAGGCGAAGTTGAAAGGCAAAGCTGCGGGCGTGAAGATGCCAGGTAACTAGAAGGCTTGACTGTGCGACGCACTTGTTGGAAACAATACTACGTACTTCCTAAACTCCGCTTCCCATAATGGGAATATAATTCGTTGAAAACGTCGTACTACCGATGGGTATACTACTGACGGAGATTCTAAGTATCGTCGGAGGGTGTTTACAGCCAAAGATATCTTCAGTTGCAATACCGCTAAGCAGCATCACATGACTTCAATGACAGAATATAATGAGAGAGTGGGACTAATGCGTCAAATCCAGCTTATTCGGAAGCTCTCGGTGTCCAAGTAGTCTTTTACATCGGTGGCATGGTAAGTAGCATGAGGTGCAAAAGTTACCATTCATGTTGTTGCGAGCAGAAAGCTCGATGTGATACTGTCTGCTTGCTTTGTCCCATATCAGCGATCACGCGACCATGACGACAGGATTGAACAAGATTTATAGTTAACTCGAATCTGTATTTAAAAAAGAGTTTCGAAGCAAAGGAGATAACAATGAGGGTCAGCGAGATTGCTGTTGGAAGGAGCTGGCGAGAAGGTGATATCGTTCAATTGCATTGTCACGTGATCGACGTGACAGAATAAAATTAGAGGATTGGACAAACGGTTCATGATCAAGAGGAAGTCATAAGAGCCGAATGATTCTAGTGATGGTCATGATGTCGTCACACTCCATCACCACTGTAAGAGTGACCTGGTAGGTGACGTAATGATGACTTACCGTCAATATTAGAGAAAGTAACGGAATTCGAAATTGGAACAATGGTACAAAAATTGTATGAAAGGAACTGGTATGACCAGGATCGTAGTAGTCGTGATTGTAAGATAGCCACGGAGAGATATAAGTACTCAATTCCTAATTCGCTTTATTATTTAGATCAATTATGAACGAATTAAATGAACAATTCAGAAACCTATCAACCACCGATAATGATAAACCTCAACAGAAATACCCAACCCAAATCAGAACAACGATCTTTAAGTCGTCTTATTGACGACTTCGTTAGGGTGTTGATTTGGTTAAAAAATAGTTCAACAAGCGGAGACTGCTCATCACCTTGAATATCATCCGTCATAATTATATGATTGTCTCTTCGTTTAAATTCTGAACCGTACCACTAAATTGTGACCACTAGACAATGTCGCATTTTAAATGCTTCCCAAACATAGGGAACTCATTTTTATGCATGGATATCCCAACAACGTCGGAACCTGGCCATTATATTGTTATTTGCGAAACTCAAAGCAGGTGCCTCAATGCGTCGAAGGCTTTATCCCTTTTGTGTTATCACAAGTGACAGCGGTACTTGCTGTGCTTGAAATAAACTTAGACTTTAGTAACTTGAACTCTGTTGGCTCTTCTATATTGGAATGATTACTATTGCCAACTGAGTGCTAAAGGAGATAACTTTGACGAGGATTTTTATTTTCAAAGAAGGGTCTGCTAGCCAACAACACTTTGATTATACATCATCACCTGTAACTCATAAATTCGATGATATCAAGCTTTAGGACTTAGAACAGTATTACACGATTTGATGGACGTTGATGTATGTTTAGCAAGCTTGGCTGGCGAAACATTTGCTTCCAACTAAAAAACACATTAGAAACCAGGCGTACTCAGTGCTGTGCTATTCAAATATTTTTGCAGGGATAATGCTAGCTGTTATTGGTATGTTCGATATTTGCAATCTATTTTATGCCAGAAGTTTCACCTTGCCATTGAGCATATTTAAATACGAAAGTCAAGAATTCCCTTATGATCATCATCCGGAGCTTGACAACCAAAAAGTTCCAAACAAAAACATAATGGGTCTTTTAGGTGATGAGATTATAGGACTTGTGATGTCAGCTTTCATCCCATTTATTATACTATCCTATAGCGTGGACTACAGCTTGAGACTTTACCAAGGGTTTGTACATTATCATGGGGATGTGGCATGTTCCGCCATTACATGCCCGGAAAAAAAGGAAGAATATCTCCGCCGCCTACGTCGAAAATATTTCATTTTTACCGCAATGCTGACGGACGTTGGGTTTGTATATTGCCTATCAGATTTGACTGATGAACGCTATAATCCGATTTGCACCGCAATTATCACATTCTCTTTTGCATATTCAATACCAATATCGGCTTGGTATTTATGGAATTGCAAAAAATGGGGTTCAGAGCTTGATTTTGGTGACGCAAATTCAGAAAAAGTCTAGGCTGTGAATAGTCACGAATGAGACTAGCCGATACATATGACGCGATATCAATGACATCCCATGCGCTTAATGTTTTTGTGACAATGTGAACAACACAATTGAGGTTCAAGAGGAAAATGGAGAAGTTACGATCATGGACGAGACAGTTCTTCATTGGAAGGAGTTTACAACCAATGATATTTTCAACTAGTTACAAGAACTGTAGTGTACAGCAAGCGACGACATGATCAGCTTCACAGTGTTTAATGTTAGAAGGAGATCGCGAGGAAGCCCTATCGTTCAATTGCATCTTCACGTGATCAAAGTGACAGAATAAAATTAGAACGATGAGCGGACGGTTCTTGATCAGGATGAAGTCATAGGAACCGAATGATTCTAGTGATAGTCATGATGTCGTCACGCTCCATCACCACTGTAAGAGCAACCTAATAGGAGACGTAATGATGACTCATCGTCAATCTTAGAAAGTAACAGATTCCGAAATTGGAACAATGTTACAGAAATTGTATGAAAGGAGCTGGTATGACCAGGATCGTGGTAGTTATGATCGCAAGATAGCCACGGAGAGATATAAGTACTCAACACCTTATCAGCTTTATTATTTAAATTAACTATGAACGAATTAAATGAGCAGTTCAAAAATCTATCAACTACCGACAATGATAAACCTCAACAACAAAACTTTCGGCCACACCGGTCCACACACCTGTGCGAGAGAAACACACTTAGTCTCCGCAGCTATAAGATTTGTGGAATACTCAAATTTGACCTACCCATTGTAGCAATTATCTTACGCACGCTTACTCAAGGCTCGCGTCGTTGTCATTTGTCATGATACAATAGCTCAAGCACGTGAGATACATTAATCGAAGACATTCCGCAACTCGACCTCTTCACACCAATTTGACAACTTAGAACCTATACTTGGTCTATTGAAGATCTGAATGCGCTTTCTGGTTACTGAGCTTCATCCCAAGCCCTCCATTAACATCGTCTACTGGTATCACTATCCACGGGTGTTTATTTTCGTGACCCGGCCCTAACACGGCTCCAGCCCGGCGGTTGCATTGTTTCCGGCTTAACTCCTAGACTTCCGCTTCCGAGAAATCTTGAACCCTTATGGATTGGCAGTCATAAGGCAAAGAGCACTATGGATTTTGTATAAGAAGCTCGTGCTATTGCAAAGATATGTTACCTTCTGCTCTTCTGCCCTTCTGCTGTATCAACCATCAGCACATTTCTCTAAGATAGCGTGTTCTTCCTGGTACTAAAAAAAAAAGCTGACATTTTGACATGAGTTTACCAGAAATCCAAAAAATCGCCGTGATCGGCGCAACAGGTCGTCTCGGCGCTCCAGTCACCGCTGAATTATCCAAAAATTTTGACGTTCGCGCCCTTGTTCGGTCGCCTGAAAAAGCGAAAAAAATGTTGCCAGACAATGTCGAGATTGTAAAGGCAGATTTGCACAATGTTTCTGAGCTGCACGCGGGTCTCGACGGTGTCGACGCAATCTATCTTAATCTCTCAACTGACACCGCGGACGAGACACTTCCCTTTTACCAAGAAAGAGAAGGTGTTCAAAACGTTATTTCCGCTGCAAAAGGCCTTGGCATTCAATATATCGCGAAAATTGGTTCTTTAGGAGCGTATCCGCCAGCGGTGGAAAAAATCAAGAACAATGTGGTACCAAACCTTATTCGTATGCAAGGTCACAAAATTATTGCCGAATCTGGCATTAAACACACTTTTTTCGCACCTACCCATTTCATGGAACTGCTGCCGGTCATGATTGACAAAGGTGCACTTCAATGGATTGGAAATACTGATGTGAAAATTTACTGGATTAGCGTTGTGGATTACGCGAAACAGGTAGTTAAAGCGTTTCAAAATTATACGATAATGCCAGAGCACTGTGCGATTCAGGGGCCAGAGGGTATACCTGTACGCGAAGCACTGGAAAAATTTGTTGAAAATTACGACCCTTCGCTCAAAATTCGCGTCGCACCTCTTTGGGTCATGAAACTAATGGGTCTCTTCAATTCACAAATGAAGTTCTTTGCCCATCTTTTCGAATATTTTGGAAACCATGAGGATGCGTTTTATGCGGGCGAAACCTGGGAGTTACTAGGGAAACCAACCACGACCCTTGAGACCTTTGCCAAAAATCTCCGTAAGAACAATGCCACGTAGCGCTGCCTCAATTGTATGTATATAAGAATCTTTTATTATTGCTGATTTTCCCTGCGCACCAGCTGGTGCGCTACATGTAATGACGCGTTGGTTAATGTCTTTTAATGCGTAACTAACGGCCTAACCTCTTTTGCTCTTTCTCTCTGCGTAGCTTCATACAACTTCTCAGAAACGGTAAGAAAATTCAGATTGCTTTGTCGTTGTGACAAAGTCACTCTTACAGCTCAATACACCTTCAAGGCATTCTCCTTGATTCCTCAGGTTTGATAGTGGGACGACCGACGGCAGTCGAAAGTCCTCTAAATTAGTCACTTGAATTGTTTTTGGTTGTTCATGATAGTAGACTGTACAAATATGTGGTGTTAAGATCTTACTGATCATCTTGACGCTAAAACCCTTAGATTGATCCCGTCGTTGCCTATGTAGTAGCACATGTGGCAAGATTCTATCAATTTTAGCTCTGTGAGTTTAATGATGGTGCCGTAATGGTGCCGGAAATATCAACAGGACCACCGAGGTTCCATGGCCTCCTCTTAAAGTGGACTCGAATTTTTCATCCTTTTACCTCCTATTTTTGTTCTGTCATCGTAGTCGCGTGATATTTGCTTGTCATAATGCAAATTGACGATATAACATGTCGCGTTCTCCTTCTACCATACCAGGTATTGTGTATTGTTTTTCATGGTGCTCATTTAGGCCCTATGAACCTTCTAATTTTGGTCACATCGTCACCCGAACCTTTCCTGTAATACCTTTCTACTTATCACCTATAAACTTACAGGGAGAATGGTAAAAACTTCATTGCGGGTTACTCACATGGTGGTAGACATTGTTCCAAACTAGTAACTTAATTCTGATGTGGTTTTTCCTTGTCGGAGGTTGATAGGTTTCTAAATTGTTCATTTAATTCGTTCATAATTGATCTAAACAATAAAGCGGATTAGGAATTGAATACTTATATCTCTCCGTAATTATCTTGCGATCACGACTACTACGATCCTGGTCATACCAGCTCCTTTCATACAATTTCTGTAACATTTTTCCAATTCCGGAATCCGTACTTTCTTTAAGATTGCAGGTGAGTCATTATTGCGTCACCTATTAGATTATTCCTGCAGTGATGACGGGGTATGACGACAACATGATTATCACTAGAATTATTTGGTTCCTATGACTTCATCTTGATCATCAACCATCCGTTCAGTTCCGTCTTATTTTATTCTGTCATATCGATCACGTGATGATGCAATTGGACGATATCATCTTCTCGCCAGCTCCTTCCAACAAATTCATCCAAAGTCTTTCGTAATAGTGAAATTATTCAAAAATTGAGAACCTATTACATTTTGTGAATATCTACAATATTATCGCTCTCTGGCCGTATCGTCTCTTTATAGAGGCCTTGTAATAGTATCTCCATGATCCCGTCTTACTTCCAGCAAGAGGGGCGTTGAAGCCCTCGTCTCATGCCCCTATCACTGATGATTTGCTAGTAGCGATTTGAAAATTCCACGGCTGTGGGATCGCTTTTACTGGAGAGTCTCGCTCAAACTGTCACTTTTATCCATAGTATATTCTGTCACACCCATCACGTGATCTCAACCTGAGGCAATGATATCTCATCCCGCTTCCTCATGCATCTGGCCGGAAGTCTCATTTCCTAAACTAGCCTGCAATAAGGCATCCTATCTCCATCGCTTATTCTATTGCAAAGTCTTCCTTTCTTAAACACAATTGTGAATGTCTTAACTACATCGTTTCTTCCTAAAATGACATTCATTTTCTTAACGATGAAAACTACTTGTTTGATAAGATCCGACTTAATAAATATTTTTCAATCCTACAAATTACAACGAAATACTAGAAAAGCCATCTTTACGTACCGAAATGTTGATCTCCCCATTTCACTAACGGCTGACAGCTCTTCCATTGTTTTCTGATTTTTGCTTACTTTTTTTCATAGATCTTTTTTTTTCTCCTGTTATCGCCAGCTCGAAAATAGTTTTTTTTTCATTTTGGGCATCAGTGACTCTTCTTCGCTTCTACCACTCGAGTTCGAAGACTTCATACCTCTCCATTTAGGTCCCCACAGTAGGGTTTTATCACTCAGTTTTCTCTAAAGTACTTCTCAAATGTCCCCAGTTGAACCGGTCTCTAACGTTTTTGACACGATCTTGGTTTTAGACTTTGGTTCCCAGTACTCGCATCTCATTACCAGACGTCTGAGAGAGTACAATGTTTACGCTGAGATGCTTCCATGCACTCAAAAAATTTCGGAATTGGGATGGAAACCAAGCGGTGTCATTCTGTCTGGTGGACCTTACTCCGTCTATGCTGAAGACGCTCCACACGTCGACACTGCGGTGTTCGATTTGAACGTCCCGATTTTGGGTATCTGTTACGGCATGCAAGAACTAGCGTGGTTAAACGGGAAACAGGTTGGACGTGGTGACAAAAGAGAGTATGGGCCTGCGACTCTAAACGTTGTCGACGCTAGTTCTCCTCTTTTCAAGGGCGTTGACCATTCCGTCGTTTGGATGTCGCACGGTGACAAATTGCACGGTCTTCCAGCGGGCTACAAAGTGATTGCCACGTCGCAAAACTCACCTTACTGTGGTATTGTTCACGAGTCCAAGCCTATTTGGGGTATTCAATTCCACCCCGAGGTGACCCACTCGACTCAGGGCAAAACTTTACTCAAGAACTTCGCCGTCGACATCTGTCAAGCCAAGCAAAACTGGACCATGGAAAACTTTATAGACACCGAGATCAAGCGTATTCGTGAACTCGTTGGCCCTACTGCCGAAGTCATCGGTGCCGTCTCGGGTGGTGTCGACTCTACGGTTGCTGCCAAGCTTATGACCGAGGCCATTGGCGACAGATTCCACGCCATTTTGGTCGACAACGGTGTGTTGAGACTTAACGAAGCAGAAATTGTCAAGAAGACTCTTGGTGAAGGTTTGAAGATCAACTTGACCGTCGTTGACGCTGCCGATGAGTTTTTGGACAAACTTAAGGGTGTCACGGACCCGGAAAGGAAGAGAAAAATCATTGGTAACACTTTCATCGAGGTTTTTGAAAAAGAAGCTGCCAAGATTCAACCAAAAGACGGCGAAGAAATCGAATTTTTGCTACAGGGAACTCTTTACCCAGATGTCATTGAGTCGATCTCTTTCAAGGGTCCTTCCCAAACCATTAAAACCCACCACAACGTCGGTGGCTTGCTAGAGGACATGAAACTGAAATTAATTGAGCCCTTGAGAGAGTTGTTCAAAGACGAAGTTAGAGATCTTGGTGAACTGTTGGGAATCTCCCACGAATTGGTCTGGAGACATCCTTTCCCAGGTCCGGGTATTGCCATTAGAGTTTTAGGGGAAGTGACCAGAGAACAAGTTGCCATTGCAAGAAAAGCCGACCACATCTACATCGAGGAAATCAGAAAAGCCGGTTTGTACAACAAGATTTCTCAGGCCTTTGCTTGTCTTTTGCCCGTCAAATCTGTTGGTGTCATGGGTGATCAAAGAACTTACGAACAAGTCATTGCCTTGAGAGCCATTGAGACTACAGACTTCATGACTGCCGATTGGTTCCCATTCGAGCACGCTTTCTTGAAGAACGTCGCCGCTAGAATTGTCAACGAAGTCGACGGTGTTGCCAGAGTTACTTATGACATCACTTCTAAACCACCTGCCACTGTGGAATGGGAGTAAAAAATCTCATTCAGTCGTCCAAGTTTGTATAATAATTAAATTGTCATAATAATATTCTGATGATATTTTCATCGGAAATAGATACTCAAAAAGCTATAGATTAGTTGAACTTGACATCTCAATAGGATTGAAATAAGAATAATGAACAAAGTCATTTTGCTCAAAAACAAAACTATTCCCATTGACCATTATGACACGATTTTCCGGACTGGTGGCTACGAACCTGTTTTTTTACCATTGATCCAACATACTCATGTCTCTGAAGAAATATTGTACCTATTGCAAGATGAAGCTTACTTGAAAAAACTGGATATCATAATCATAACTTCGCAACGTGCCGTTGAGTGCTTGAATGAAAGTGTCATTCCGCAGCTTGACAAGTGCAGTACAGAAACTTTGTTCAACAAAACTTTATACACAGTGGGACCTGCAACACAGAACTTTCTTGTAAGAAGTGGGTTTAAAAGAGTTCACGGTGGTGCAAGCACTGGAAATGGGAGTGCGTTGGCAGACCTGCTGATAAGTGACCTGTACAAATCAAATTTAGATCCCAAATCCTGCAAGGTTTTGTTTCTTGTAGGCGAGACCAGGCGAGACATTATTCCTAAGAAGTTGAACAAAGAAGGGATCGAAGTTGAAGAAATTGTGACTTATAAGACTGAGACACTTTTAGACAATGTAATTCGGTTCAAAAAAGAATTTGAATCAATTGATTGGGTTGCGTTTTTCAGTCCTCAAGGAACAGAGGGAATTGTCGAATATTTACGGTCTAAAGGGAACCCTAGTGTGGCAAGCATAGGTCCCACAACAGAAACATATTTACAGTCTAAAGGATTGAAACCAACGGTAGTAAGCGAAAAACCAGATGCAACTTCTCTTTTGTCTAGTATCAACGAAGCCAGAAAGAAAATGTCCTCATGACTAGATACACACTATTTATCAAATTACAACCAGCGTCTCATGCATATTTACAAAGTAGACGCAATTAAGTTTTTGGTTTTGATCATAGATCTCGATTCGGGGATAGTTCAAACGCCCGCGTTTTAATGGTAAAAGGACAACTTCTGTTTGGGTGTCTTGATTTTCCAGCGAAAACTTTCTACGACCATTGACCAGCCAATCGCTGCTAGTCAGCAATTCAAAAACGTAAGTATGTTTAGAATGGTCACCGTCAATCCACAAATGTGCTAAATTGCGAATAGACAGATAAAAAGTCGTTGGATTTCCGAGCTCCAAGTATTTGTTTTCTGACGGGTTTAGTTCGACCTCAAACGATTGGCTTATTGGGGGTAAATTCACTGTCACATTAAGGCTACATTTATCCAAATCTTTGAGAAAGCCGGCAACCTCGGAGTCGTCAACTTTAACGCCACTAATAAGCTTTTTTAGCCAATCTCGCATCCACTGGCGAATTTCTTGTTGATCAACATGTTCATTTATCTTTTTCAAGAGTGATTGGACGTTCTCAGATTCATCTCTTAGCTTCACGATGCTTTTATCTTGGAAAGCTCTGTAATTAAAATCGATTTTTGGCAAAATATAATAATCCCAAAATGATCTTACCGCTTCCAATTTAGATATTCTATCGATATCACCCTGGAAGAGTAAAGCATTCGTTACCAGGTGTTCGAGTTGTTTTCGCATTGTATTGAATTGCACGTTAAGAGAGAAAACATCTCTTGCATTGAATCTGTGATTGTCTTTCGGCTTCACACGAAAAAAATTGAAACAGGTACTGCTCTCGTCTCCATTTAGCAGAAGAGGTTGCTGGCATTGAAAGCTCTCACAAGTCAGGTAATCGTTTGAAGCTGTCAATTCAGTGGAGTGAACTAAGATGGGCTCTTCGGTAGATGCGGCGTTCAGAAGAAATTTGAAGTAAAAATCCTGGCCCTTTAGAATGTCTTCCACTGATACTGTTATGGGAAGCTTGCAACGTATTTCGGTGGTTTGAGATTGGAAAAATTCAGTGTCAGGATTAGCTTTCAATTTGAACGAAAGTCTCTGCCTGATCAAAATCTTGTCAATGGGTCGAAGGCAATAGAATACCACACGTCTTTGTTTAACATCAGAAATTACCGTTGAAAACTCCTGACCTTCTGTATCAAATGCTGCGCCTGCCTTTCTAAACTTGTTGGGTTCTAGTATTGTAAGTTCTAAACTGAAGTCAGAAACCTTGTGTTCGTTAAGGAAATTGAGGGTCACATAGCTTGTCGAGAGATCGAAATGTTGAGGTGGTGAAAGAATAGCATCAAAACATGAGGACTGTGCCGGTTTCTCCACTAAAATTTCTTCACTCACCTCTGAATCACCAAAATCCTTAGACAAAGATGTATTGCCGATTGTTACTCCTAAGTTCACTAATTCGAAGGTACCAAAAATCACCTTGGTTGATCCTAATAAAACAGAGTTTTCACCATAATTCAAAGCTATGTTCTCTGCTTCGAATCGAAGAAATTCATCACTATGGTTTTTCAACAAAACGCTAATGTTGGAGGATGTTATAGTGCTCGTAACTTTGACATTGGTTAACATAATCTTCAGAACGAAAACGTTTGAATTCGTGACATTAATACGCGAATCAACTTTGACATCAAATAGATTTTCAAGAGGATATACCAAGTTATCCATATCATCATTATTTGTTTTAACAAAGCGATCCCAAAGCTCTGCATTTCCACTTTCCGACGCAGAAATTAAATTTAAAATTGAATTCCGAAGTAATGGGCCTGTGGGTACTTTTTCGTCGTCATCTTCAATGGATATCCCCTTTATATCAGGGCATTTAATCAAACAATCCACAAATCGTTCCAACAAAGCCGTACCTATTACATTCCATTCGCTCTCTTTATAATACTCGAAACAAGACGTCAAGACGCCAATAGCATTTTCATAATCTTCCATTTGGTAGTACATGAGTGCAACATCGACTGACAGAAGATCCGCAGTCCTTTGCCTTTTGGAACTGCATTGGGAAGTCAAAGATATGATTTCTTTGGTCAATTTCAAATAATTCTGTTGAAACGTTTCTTCATCTTGAAAGGTTTTTTTCAAAGGCTCTTGGGAGCATACGCAATTGTTCAATTGATACCTTTTCTCTAGGGCGCGAAATTTAGAGTTGTTGTAAACTAAACTGAGCCAAACGTCTCTTTGAAGCAGTTTAAGATTAACTTCCAGTTCAGAAGCCAATGCTCCTGATTCTTCCGAGGCAAATACTAAGGAAATTAAATTATCCAAGAAGTAATATTCGAATTCATGCAAATTGGCACTATTGAGAAACGTAGCTCTCACATTTGTCAAAAAGCTCAAAATATGCGCGTAGAGCCTGCCAAATCGAGAAGCTTGCGGTTGCTGATTGTAGATCAACTCTAATTGCCTGAGAAAGAAAAATTTTGTCACCTGAAATGTATTGAGTTCGTTTTGGGCCAACAAAGATGCAATGGAAGTGTTTTGGCCTCCAGTCGAATTTTCAAATGAGAATGGGATTTCAAGGCGACCCGTTGGTAATTTGACGTTTGTTGCGGCACGTAGTTCCCTCTCGTATATTTTCAGTTCATTTGAAGCCTCATCTTGCAAGCTAAAGGCCAAATAAAGTCTTAAAACTTGTTCTTGTTGTTTCGCTATTTCAACCAAATCGTTTGAGTTCGAATTCCGAATTTGATCTTCAATTGTTTTGAGCCTTTCTTGAAAAATCTCTATTACGCACGAACCCAATCTACTCATTATACTAGTCCAAAACTCGCGTCGTTCACCTTCAGACTTATAAATTGTTTTCATTTCGATAACCGGCATCTGTGGGAAATCTTTGGCGAATTTCTCTATAAGTGATATAGTCTTGAACAAATTCGAGTCCAAGACTTCCAAATTGCATCTCAAAAGTATTATCCTCTTGGTAGACATTTCTGTAACACGATCTGAACCAGATAACCATTGTCGCACCAGCGGCCTTACTTTGGCCCTATATTCATCAATTGACGAACAACTTACAATAAGAAACATTATGAAAGGTTCCTGTAACTGCGTGGTCTCGCCATTTATACTTGTTTCGGCTATTAATCGCACTGGTAGTTGTCGAATCGTCCTTAAAGTTCCGTCTATCGGTTTCCAATGCAAATTTTGGAATGGTAATCTCAATTCAATTTCTGCTTTCAAAGCATCAAACACTTCAAATGGATCAAAATAACTGAAAGTGACTACACTGAACCCCGGGCTCGTCGCATTGTCTTTCCCCATTGACATTGGCACCGTTTGCTGATGAGAGGTGTGTCTGTTCTTTAAAAGTTCTTACTTCTGGATTGATTTTTCAATATATATGTAAACCAAGGTTGACGGCAGTTAATTCTGACCTTCAAAACTAGGTAAGTAACCCGAATGAATAGCAGGGAGTAGACTGTTGATGAGTGATAAGAAGCAATTGAACTTTACGGCGCCGCGAAGGTATATAAAGAGAACAGAATCTGGGCTGACCAAGCGACCGGGAATAGTTGGTAACAATGGGTTTGAAAATAATTACAGAGGCAAAAAGGGCAGTATAGATAATGCAAAAAATCGTAGAGAAGTGAAGAGTGATTTTTCTGATGCATTGGATTGGATTAATTCCGCGGTGGGCCGTGGTCGAGATTTGCTCAAAAAGTTAGATGCTGATGATATTACGTTCGAGCGCCAACTTGAATCTGCCAAGCGGAAACAGGAACTTTTGAAGGAGTCATTGAGTCTGGACATCTCACTGGATGAAAAGGAAGATTCTCCACGGGACGAGCTCCAAAGCAAAGGATATGGCACCGATACCTCTTTCAAAAATTATGAAGATACGATTAATAACAGTTTTGCACTTGAAGATAGTCAGAGTGAAAGTTCGAGAAATTTGGATGATGAACTTTCACAAGGGGAGGACCGTGATTTTGCTGGCCGCAATTCTGCTGAGTCTGTAATAGTATTGGAAAGTGATGACGAGGACGATGGTGAGGATTCAAGTGAGGACGAAGATTCTCTTGCGTCAGCGTCAGATGAGGACGAAAACGAAGAAAATGGTTTGTTTTCAGCTAGTACCGGAGATGTGGAAGATGAAGGTTCTGAATTGGAGTCTGAAGATGAAATTGAAGTATCTAATGAAGGCGAAAGTGACGTTTACAGTAGTAATGATGCAAGTGACTCAGAAGGACCTCACGGCCAAAATAACCAAGATTCACAAAACGTTAGTATTGGAGAAGATATAAGCGTTGATGAAGGGGACAAAGGAGAGGATATGGATGAGATGAACTCAGAAAACTCTTTAATTTCCGGTCATAGTTCAATTGCAGAACATCACAGCAACTCGGCCTCAGAAGTCGATCAATCGGAAGAGGCTAGTGAAGCTTGCCAGGAAAGTTTCGAGATTACGGAGGCCGATCAATTGGAGAATATTAGCGAAGGTCGGCGGGAAAGCCCTCAAGCGACCGCGAACATCGTGTCTGGTCCCGGTAGTGGGATGGACCTTGAACTTTTTGGAAACGTGGCTCAAAATGATGCACATAAAGTGCTTTTACAAGCTATTAACTTTTCAATGGCCAGAGACGTAACAGATCCAAATAACTCTAGAACTGCCGAGGAACAGCTTGTGGGCACGCCTCACCATAGTACAGACAGTGGCGGCAACCCTATCGAAGTTGTGGACTCATTAGTTACTATTACGCACGACAACGTTGTACCTCTTTTAGCTGACACAAGTACCACGCCACTCGATCAAAATTCCTCAGAAGAGATCTCTGACAGTGGCATGCTTTTGGCAGAAGACTCTTTTGAACTTGAAATCGCAAAACCAGCGGAAGTAGCAAGGCATAATTTACCTGAAGGGGCTTCGAATCAGCCAGAATACAACAAGCAACTTACCGAGAGAGATAACACTTTACCTGAAACCCATATTATTCAAAGCACCACGAAAAGCAATCCTAAGGATGAAGAAGACGCAGCAGAGCTCATAGCACCAGCTGAAAAAGAAGAAGCAAGACGTACTGCTGATAACTCATCTTCTTCGGTAGAAGATGAAACAGTCTTCTACTCTTTTGTTGGTTTAAACAAAAAAGGCCAAAGTCCTGAAATGTTAAAATCATCAGATGAGCCGAATGTGAAATATAAATTGGTATATTCGGGATCTCCATATGGTCCAGATTGTGAACAGGACGAAGGAAGTTCTGTCGACGAAGAAGTCTACCATTCGAAATTTTTGAGTGACCCGTTTCAAGAGAAGCAAGGATCTCAAAGTCCTCAAATAGATCTTCTCAGAAACTTACTGAAAGAAATAAATGGACCTGCCTCTTCAGAAGATTTCGCCGAACAAGCGAGCGAAAATTCGGGGAATTCCACTTCTAATCAGCAACAGGATTTACGAGAATGCTTAGGCGACAAGAATTCCGGCCAGGAAGTTCATGAGGTTTCTGAATACGAAAAAGAAGCTCCTGCAAATACTTACAACTCTATTGATCACGAGTCATCCGCCAGTGTCGCTGAAAGTCTCTCGAGCCGCGTCTCTACTGGCAGCATTGCCGAAGAAGGCGCAAATTTGACTCATGATGAACCACTCAAGGAAGTAGAATTGGAAGCTATGACAAATGAACTAACTACACAATGTCAGACGCAAGACCATGCAAACGGAATAGCGATTACACCTGCTAACTCAGTCACAGAAGAAATTGTGCAGCCTCAACGTGTCCTCGATGACTCACTTCAAACTACATCTCAAAGCTCCACCATTCCTAACCACGACGCTTTTGTTCAAGGCCCAATAATTCACGAGCGTGGGCCTTCTGATAGTAATTCCGTGGTAAAATTGGAGCAAAATACACAGTTGTTGGTTACAAAAAGCGGCGTCATTGAAGAAGATCCTTCAGAGTCAAAAGCGCTTGCTGAGCAGGTGGTGGTAAACCACCAAGAGTCTGAGAACTCTCCAGAAAATGATAAGCAGGAGAAAATTGACGAGGACAGTTTTTGTGAACCTCACGAAAGTGACACTAATGTCAAGCAAGAGTCGATTGAAAAGGAAAACAAGGATGGTTCAAATGGTTCACTACAGAACGCGAAGACAGCTGAATTAAGCCCGGAGGAGCATGACGATGAAATTCCGTCACCTGTTCCCAAAGTCGAACACCAAGAAGGCGTTTCGGAGGAAATTGAAAATTCGCCACTAAACGCTGAAGCTGCTCCTTTTGCAGATATTCATCACAAAAATGACTTACAAGAGAATACTCAAACGTTAGATTCAAATGAAAACCAATATTCCAAGTTTCGTTGGTGGCCGTTAAAAGAAAATGATACTGCTTCAAAGCCTTCTAAACTAAGCGATGTTACAGACAGCATCCGTAAAACATTCAGCAACTCCCTCGAAATTTTGAAACTCGTGCGTGCTAATGAGCCGGAAATTTCACCTCCGAGCGAATTGGACTCCGAAGGTGCCCAAAACCGGGTATCTCAGAATAAACATCCACTTGACAGCGAAATTGATGAGTTGCAAGCCCTTCATAAGAAAACAAAATGTAGTCCTGATTTGAAGGGGGATGTCCTCATCGTTAAGGACACCAGAGATCTGGACAGGGATAGTGCTGTCGAACCAGCAGATGACTTTAAAACTGAAACTGATCCAGAGCTAGAGTTACATCTTAATTCATCTCCAGGCGAAATCGACGACAAATATGGAGAAAAAGACGAGCACACAAGCACTGAGAGTAGTAAGGTCCATAACTTTGCTGTCGAAAAACTCTATCAATCAATTGAAGATTCCGTGCGGAGAGTGAGTAAATACTTGACAGAGAATGGCAATTCAATTTATCATGAAGCAAAACAATCCCACAAGCTTGTTCCTTTGTCAAATTTCGAGACTGCACAGAAGCAGCAGGCCTTTGATATAGATTGTGATGTCGCATTTATGACTGGTAATGCCAGCGGTTTTCGCCATCAAGCTGAGCAATCCTCGCCTACTAGGAGTCGGTCAAGCAGCGATTTGTCTAACGATAGTTCACGTCACTCTTCCAAAAATTTTGGAGGATCACAATCGCTCTACAACCAGGTCGAAAATGATGATCAAACTCTAGAGTTCCCGGCCGGCCTCCCTGGGTCTCGCATCAAAAGCTCGAATATCCCTGAAAGGGAGAAACAATTTGAGTTGTTCCCTTCGGTTCAAATCTCAGAGGACTCGACAAGTGAGTATCGAGATGCGCTCCCAGAGCAAGACGCAAGCTCGCCAACTGGCTCTCCAGACTTGGATTCTCATTCTTCCGAAAGACATCAACCCACTGGAAGTTCGTTGATAATCCTCGAGACCTCAGCTAGCTCTACCACGTCAAGTGGGGTTGCAAAAAGAACCAAAGCAACTGGGCGTCCAAAAAGTCAATTGAAGAAGATGGTCACAGCCCAGCGGAATTTTTTAACGCCCGCACTCAACTACATCCGCTTTATTTGCCTGGGAGTCCTATGCGCAGAAAGCCAACAAGGAAGGGTCGCAGGAATCGGTTACACAAGAGTTCTTTTTAGTCGTTATTTTTTGAGCGCAGCTGTTACGTGGCGGTCTCTGTGAGATATCATTTGAGGTCTTGAATTCAACCACGTTTTTGGTTTGTATTATATATAATCAAAGTATCATTGTTTGGTTTATTGATGGATTGCATCTGTGGATGTCTAGACCAAAAGATCGAGAATCAGCTGTCTTTGAGCTGACGCCGTTTCACGCTTCGTTTGGGGTATCATCTGATGCCAGCTTAATTTTTTGCAATCGACTTGTGACCTCTTCCACGTTGTACTTCTTTGATTTGACAGAGCTAGCATTTTCGTCAGTAAGATACATTGCGAGTCTTTCGTCTCTAATATTCAAAATACTTTCTTGATCGCTGCATTGTAAAGACGCCAGTCTGATCATGTATTCTAGTAGTGATATTGAACGGCTGCGAACCTTTTCCCGTTCAGATTCTTGAGTGATTTCTTCTGAAGCGCTATTATCGGTTTCCGAGTGTTCATCATCTTCGTCAGAATCGTCATTGTCATCTTCACTGACGTCGCACTCACCAAAAGCATACCAGATCAGATCTTCAGTAGAACTTGTTTTCGCTTCAGGGGAACTTGATTTCAGATTTTGGTCTACTTTCAAAACGAGAACCGCTGAATTTCGATCCTCCAGCTTGAGCAGTTTGCCAGAAGCACTGAAGAACAGTTTGAGAACTTTCCAAATATCAAAAATGATCACTTGTTCCTTTTCTTCGTCTGTATCGTGGTATCGTCCGTCTTGAAAGCTTTCTTGAATCTTCACGTAATAATCAAACCTGTCGTTTGCCGTGGGTCGACGCCGTAGTGTAACCAGGGCCTTTTTAAAATCTTCCTTCCACGTAATTCGAGGTTTTATACCATTGATAGCGTTCTCGGCGGATTGGAGATGGTAGAAAATGGAGAACAAGGTTAGTTCGAAGGTGGGGCCAACTTGAACTTCCGTAGCATTATCGAAAGCCCTGTTATTCTCATTAATTAGGTCGGAAGCTTGTAAAAGACGTCCAGGTGACACGTTCTGAGGCAGTGCAGTACTGAGATTCGCTCCGGAGATAGTCAGCGATAAATTGATAAGCGGAATCACTTCATCAATTCTGGAGAGCAAATCGTTTAGGTATTCTTCAACAGCTACAATCGATTGTCGTTGGTTCTTTTTCGAATGGTAGTTTTCGGTAATAGTTGCAATCTTGGAGTCAAATGAATCAATTTCTTCTTTCAATGTTCTTGTAAGTTTCAGCGTTCCTTCTAGATTTGTATTGCCCTTAGCAGCTACTAACCGGACCAAATCAATAGCCGGTGAGACAATGTCAATTCTTGTTTCGAGTTTACTTCTCAACCTGTCCAGTTTCGAGGCATCTTCCTCGGGAATCTTGGTCACGAACGTCGCCACGGTCTTTATGGCATACGACGATGCAATTGATATACCAGATTTGATTGCAAAGGTAGCAGCTTGACTACCAGCTTTTGACAGAAACTCATCCATTTTTGTGATATTCAAACGGGCGTTGTGGTGATGAAACCTAGGGTTGACTTTCACATATACAAGAAAAGAGCCAGGTAATCAGCCACTTTGTTGTTGAGAAATGAATTTTAAGACAGGGATGGTCTAAGGTATTGATAATTTGATACCGATATGCAAACAAAGAATGAAGGAATACATTGATGCCAGTGAATACATTAAATCTATAAGAGAACAATTAGAAGTATGTAGAGTCTCAGAAGATTAGAATTATTCCAGGGTAAAGACGTTTTTCAAACGAGGTTTCTATAAATTGCACTATACTGCGATTTTCCGGATGTTAGGCTTCGATAGACGAATTTCGGTAGAACTCAATGATGGGTAAGGTGGAAGAATAGGTTTTGAACGTTTACTGGGTTCAAATATCGACATAATTAACATAATTATTGAAGTTCACGCTTCCTGGACCTCATGACGGTTAAAAGCTACGAGTCCTTGTTATCCGGTAAGACATTGTTAAAGTCACCACAAATTTGTCCTTCAAGTGACAAAAGATTTTGCTCCGAGCGTTAGAAGAATTTCAGAAATACGCTTAAATCCTCTCCATAATTTAATTTTAATCCAGGCTTTAAAGGTTATCTGTTTTGATTTGAAATTTCAAAGATCTGTCTATGCTGGTTATCCAATCCTTTTCAATGATGCCCGCAAAGCAATATGCTCAGGCTCACCTTGGATCCAACGCTGAGGAACTTACATTACTGTAACGTATTTCCAAAATTGACACTAGAAAAGACGACGAATATTATCTCGATCATTGCGACGTTACACGAGTTTATCTCAGAACCCATATGCGATGAAAAAGCTGTTGAGCGCTTAGCAAGCGATTTGCAGGTGAATTGCAAGCGATTTTCGTGGGTTACCACACAGGCCATTTGGTTCATTAGTCTGAAAGTGATTGACGGTAACAATCACTGACTTTGCTCCGATCAGAAAGTGACCAATTATGAAACAGACATATTATCTGAGTTGCAGTCTCAATCATGGTTCATGATTCTTTGGGTACATTGCTCAATTTGTCCTGGAGCATAATATCGATTCCTGCTCCACTGACAAAGTCGATGCCAAGATTTGAGGATGTAGCCCAGCATAAAAAATTCAGCCCTGAGGGAACACTTGACAATTGCGCTACATATCGATGAATAAATCGATATATATCGTTCGGCAAGAATTGATTTTGAAGTTTTAGTTAGATATTTATTGAACTCGACATTTCTTCTACCAAAACGATTATAATGAATAGGAAAAAGGGCCCTTTGAGCCCTTCATCGATCATTTTTTAATACTACTGATGGCTTGCAATTCCCATCGGTGTAAAAATGGCGGTGAATAAATTTCGGTATTTTCCAATACTTGACCATATAAATTCATAAATCTCGAAAACTCATTACAATTAAACGAGACATACGATAAGGTCAAACAGGACTCATGGTTGAGTCAAGAGCGTTTAGTGCTCCTGGTAAGGCATTGCTAGTAGGTGGGTACCTTGTGCTGGAACCAAAATATGTTTCCTATGTCGTTGCGTTATCATCGCGAATGCATGCCATTGTCACAGTTGATCCAACCTGCAATTCAAATAATGATGGTTTCGAAGTTACGGTACAAAGCTCTCAATTCAACGATGAAAAATGGGTTTACCTTATTGATGGTTCAAACAACTACGCTTCGCAAGAACTTTACGGCTCTCAAAACAAGTTTATTGAAAAGGTTTTGTTCAACGTTCTGAATTTATGTTCTCCTGATATATCCAAAACTCCAGATTTGGCCGTTGAAATCTTTTCAGATGCTGCCTATCATTCTCAGGTTGGAAGCATTGTCAAACAGAACAAATTCAAAGAATTTTGTTTCCACAAGAAAGGTATCGCAGATGTTCCCAAAACGGGATTGGGTTCTTCTGCGGGCCTTGTGACAGTTCTAACAGCATCACTGCTTTCATTTTTCCAGCCATCTTTCAATGCTCAGTCTACCCAGGGTTTGAATCTTGTTCACAAGATTGCCCAAGTTGCACATTGTCAAGCGCAAGGTAAAGTGGGCAGTGGCTTCGATGTCGCAGCTGCGACGTTTGGCTCAGCACTTTATCAGAGGTTTGAGCCAGCATTAATAAATGACCTCCCCGCGGCCGACGACCCAAATTACCAGCTTGCACTGAAAAACCTTGTCAACAAGGTTGAATGGGGTTACAGAGCAGAACCAGTCAGTTTACCCAAGGGTCTGAGAATTGTGATGGGTGACGTCAACAGTGGATCAGAGACTACAAAGCTTGTTGCCAAGGTAAATACTTGGTACAAGGAGAATTTGCCTCGAAGCTTGGATATATACAAAACCATTGATACCTACAATAGGGCCTTTATTGAAGGCATTAGCGACTTGGAATTGTTGTCTCAGAAAAACCTGGAAGAGTACACCACTTTATTGAAGGCTCTAAATTCCAGGAACGCACCTGATAGCTTTCCCGCCATTAATAAGGTAAGAGATGCTGTGGAGGGAATTCGTCGAAACTTTAGGATTATTACAGAGGAATCCGGGGCTGATATTGAGCCATATGTCCAGACAAAGCTTTTAGATAACTCCTTAAAACTGGACGGAGTTCTCACTGGAATGGTTCCTGGAGCTGGTGGTTATGATGCAATCGCGCTTGTAACGACCGAGTCGTCGGAATTGCCGATCCAGACAAAAAACAACCCTAATTTTGCCAGCGTCACCTGGTTGAACCTTCATCAGGAAAGTATGGGTATCTTGGAAGAGAATCCAAGTCATTACATCGACCTGGTATAGCAGCCCGAATTATATAGTAGAGATAGAATTATATAAATGATCAATTCAAGATACCTGTTGCTGCAACGGCTGAGGTTGTTGCTGAGAAGGCCCCCAATCTTTTCTACGAATCCCAGCGAGCCCCCCTTTAAATCTAGTCATTACTTTCCGTATCCTATCGTTGTGGATCAAGTCATTTATTTTCAACTGTTCTGGTGAATGTTTCACCGGGGTGAATTTCTCTGGAATAAACCTGTACTTTGTTTGAAGGACCCAATCAGAACGTCTTGACGGTTCCACAATTTTAGGGATTATGGACTCGCTTAGAGCCATTATCTCAGGCAATTTTTCCTCTGAATCGTCTTCCCCACTGTGTAACTTTAGCAACTCTTCCTCTGCTTTCTGTTCAAGGAGCTCTTTTTCTTTCTGTGACAGCCTTGACGATCTTCTTACATTCCCGTCGAGATTTCCTGATGGTATAATGCTACTAGTTGAGATTTCGCCCAAAATTTTGTTGACCGGAGTCGATTCCCGGTCAATAGTTGTCAGATTTTCTTCACTTGAGCTTGCGCGCGATTTGGCACTAGGCCTGCCCCTCTGCGCTCTTCCTGATCTTCTCAAAGGCTGAAAATCCTTATCATCGCTATCGCTATCAGAATCAGAGACATTATTTTCGGAGCCATTGTTCCGTCTAATTCTCTTGTAATAAACACCGGAACGTCGAGACCTCAACGCATTAACTCCAACTCTGCCACTCGCGGAAATTCCCCGTCTAAATTTTTGCAACAAGTAGAAATCTTCATAACTTTCAAATTCAAGCGGTCTTGCCTGTTTTCTCAATTCCTCTGCTGTCTGACTCAGTTCCAGCCTGCGTTTTTTCGATTCTTTGAAATTGATTTCCAAATTCCCCAAAAATTTGATCCCAAAAGCTTCGAGTGCCTCAAAATCCTTAGATGCATCATTCTGAATCGTTTCGGTGCTATCATTTATTTTTCCAAGCGAATCACTTGTCATTTCAATATCAACTTTTCCTTCCATTTCAAAGCTGCCCTTCTAAAAGTTGCTAGAAATTCACGAAATATTTCTGTAACTCACTGAGTAATTAAATGAAACCCAATTCGACTTCAAATGTCAATACTCTGGTATGCTTATTTCCGTTTCAATGGCTCCTGATTCCGATTAAAGGAATTTTTTTTTCACTGTTGAAATTTCATCAATTATAGATTTGGATGACAGATTTAACTCAATATTACCAGATAACCAATAAACGGCTAAAATACTTGCATATGTATATAAATACGAGAACATCTGATCAGAAATAATCTAATATTTGTCCAGGTCAAAAGAATTTCGACTGAGCCAAATGGTAGGTTTGTCAGGGCATTTTCTGGCTTAAGATATCTTGATATCGAAAAATTTTGGTTCATTTCAGAGACTTCCATAAGTAGCGTTTGGTTGTTGAGGAGTCTCAGTTTCGTCAGTGGTTTCCGCTAAAAGCTTGAGTTGCTTGATCTTTTCTTCTCTATGCTTGCTTTCTCTGGAAACGAAGATCAGAAGAACTGAGCCGGAGACGACAGTTATGGCCACGAGAACTGAGTTGATTGGTGTAGGGTTCATCTTGAATTTAGTGTGTGTAAGTCTGTCCAAAATGTTTTGTCCCATGTTGCAAAGACCGGAAATACACATGAGCAAGCCATAGACGGTACCAAAAGTTTCAAAGCCAAACACTTTGGAGCAGTAATCAGAGACCACAGTGTAATAGTAAGGTCTGTAGGCTACAAGACATAAGATTCCAACCAAATTTGGCGTGAAAGATGGGAAAAGTCCCAGGACACCGATGGTGGTCGAAATCACCACAACGCTGGTAAGAGCGGTCAAAGTAGAACAATGATCGAGAACTAGGCCAATGAATGGGATCGAAACCACACCTCCTAGTGGTAGAGCTATATCGAAAATGGAATTGATGCGTTTTGCAGCCGCAGCATCACCCAAGAGGTATTCTTCTTGGGATCTGATAGTCGCCACGAAATAATTAATTCTCAGCATACAAATGACTGTGAATACCAGCATAATACCAAACCAAGGGCTGTTAACTTGCCTCCGGACAGGATAACCGTGCATGACTCCAAAAACTCCCTTGGTTTTCTTCTCGAGCTTAGACTCAACATAGTTTTCCCACATGGATCTACGACGTGAACTGGAGGACAAAACGGGCCCCACCTGTCTTGAATGACCCGAAACCAGAGATTGTCTTTCTTCTTCGTCAGGGATAATGTGTGACCCATCCTCACCAGAGGGCAAATTCCCATCTTCGTCCAAACCCTCAATTTCCATCTTCTGAACCGCGCCCAAAGTCTTGTGAGACCCGCGTGGCATGATGAACAATTGGCAAACAAAGATGAACAGGGGAACCACCAGATAACAGGTGAAAAACTTGCGTAGTGTCAAATTTGGGATCCAATTCTGATACATCAATCGGTAGAAAAAAAACAGTGCAGAGGATGTATCAAACGCACCAATCAATAGTGCCAAAACGGTACCCGATTTCGCAGGGAAATTGTTGGCCAGGGGGAAAGACGAAATAAAGACGAAGGGACCACCAATGGCCAAAAGGACGTAGCCCAAGATGTAAGGGTCCAAAACCGTAATTGAAGAACCCGAGGCCAAACTAAGAGCACCAGCAGCCAAAAATCCAGACCCTAAAAACCCGCAAGCCCTTATACCGTAGTTATCCAGAACCCAACCGACCAAAAGCGCTACAACGTTAGTAGTACCGGCGCCCACAGTAAACATCATATTCAGTTTTAGATCTTGTGCACTGCAAGGAATTCCATCTCCAGCGTTCCCACCATTATCAACGGGACACAATCCAGAATAAACTCCTTCACTGATCAAAATAGGTTTGAGAGCTGCAAAACCGAAAATGGGACCGGCTGCTAAAAGTGACCAAGTAACGGCACATACAACTTGAATTACCTGGATAGAGACTTTACCCATAGTAAATGGAAGTACGAATACGATGGAACAATTGATTAAAGCCCGGAGATCGACCCAGAACCTGCCCCTTTTCAATCCTTGTCTTTTATAAATATATTATCGAAGATGTTATCTTATCGATAAGAAGTTTGGGTTTTTTTCAACGAGATCTTCCATATCTGCAAGGAAGCCCTTTCGAAGGAAAGCCTTTTCGAAGGAAACCTGTTCTCAAGCCCAGCACGTTAAATAAGCCATTAAGCTTCCTGGCAATTGTTCGCTATTGAAACCCTCACTAACGACTTTAAATGCTGGTCTTTGATAATTCTAATTTTTTTGTCTATCGGTATATTAATTTACTGTAGTCGAATTTGAAAGTTGTTCGAGCTGAACGGGCTTTGAAGAAGCTTTGCAGCGTGAATCTTCAGCGAGGGCAAAGGGGGCCCGTGATGATCAAACCTTGCCAAAGCCATCGATTATGCTCATAAGATCGTCGTCAATTTGGGGTTCCGTAGCTGCGTCCGTGGTGGAACCGTTTTTCGATTTATTCTCGTCAGCATCGGCATTACTGCCTTCGACAGCAATGTCCCCGTACACCACTTGAAGCCAATTGGTCACCTTGGTGACAAACGACTTACTACTAGGCACAAAATGGCCACCGGGATGTTTCAACAGAGTTCTCTTTTCTGGGTCGCACGACTCGTAGAGTCGCATTACCTGAGATTCATCCACGACAGTGTCGAGTTCTCCCAGTACATGCAACGACGGAACTTGTAGCAAACGCTTCTCGTACTGCGCCTGAAACCATTCTGGACGCATCCGAAACCCATTGAAAGTGATGAAAAATTTCGGATCCGGTTGCTGGGACTCGGAGAGACCCAGTAGACCTCTGATATCCGTGCACAAGTAACCCGCGTACCCTGCGCCTTGACTGAACCCTATAATTCCGTCAAATGGCCCATTTTCCACTATATAGTCGTGCAAAAAATCCACCGTCTCCTGTGGAACTTTATACTGATTGTTTGCATCTCGTAACCACCACCCGAAAATATCTATCGCAGTTGCGCTCGTATTGTACGTCGTAGCAAAGTCGTCAGTATCTCTCACATCGGTCATACGAATCTTTGACGGAGCACACGGATAAAACAATTCAAACCCAAGTTTTTTCAAATGCTTGCGGAAAGCTCCAGTTTTCGACTGGAAAATCGTTCCCGATTGAGCATATCCATGCAACATGAGAACCTTCTTGCTCATTTTAATACTGATATGCCTGCTTATTAAGCACTTCTTTCCCTGTCCTAAGCTCTGTTAGCACATCTTATCTGGTCAAGATTGCTTAATTTTTCGCTGTCGTAATAAACCCTGGTAACGTAAAATTAATGAAAACTCAAGCAAATGGCTCAAATGGTGTCAATTAGCGCCGAATGACTCCCACCCATTTGTGTCGAAAACGCCCACAGAACCCCTTATTTGTCTTAAATCAACTCCAATACGCTTAGTTTGCTACGTTTCTCGTAATTGATCATTGTCTTGAATGTGAAGTCAAAAAACGGATTGGCATGGCTTTTGGACGCTGAAAAAAGCGTTTTGGTCCTTTCAATCCGAATTATAGGCGCAGAAAAGCTGTTTACAGGTCAGTGGCTCCTTTACCCATATAAAATCCTACCTTGATTTTATACTAGAGGCGTTAGAGTAGTCATCGGGAATCATCGATGTTGAAAAAAACGACTGTATATAAGAGCCCTTTCGAACGTCAAAGGCCAAGAGGGCAAGACTTCAAGTGGTATCTCTTATTGGCGGTGCAAAGATATCATGGAGTGCCCGCACATAGAGCAAGTTTTCACGAACGAAAAGACCCGAGATGGTGTTCTGAGAACTTACAACTTGATTCTCCAGATCATCGACAAATGTGACATGAAAAATCGAGTTTTACATTCGATGAAATGCTATGAATGTCAGGAGATCAACGCTGGTGCTACGTTTATGTGCTTGCAATGTGGAATTTGTGGATGTTGGAATAAACAGCATTTTTATGCGCATAGTAGAAGCGCAGGACACATTTTTGGTGTGAACTCGAGTAACGGACTCTTGTTCTGCTTCAAATGTGGGGATTATATCGGTGGAAGCGAATTGATTTGGCAATCTAGTTTGATGAATGAATGGCCCAGAGTCGCAGCGCAAACGCGGGACCCACCGTTTTGGAAACGTGATGGACTCTGTGGGCTCGTGAATATGGGATCTACTTGTTTTATGAGTTGCATTTTACAAACACTTGCACATAACCCGTACTTTTCACAACACTGTTTGCAACAGACGCATTTTGCACAGTGCGATTTGCAGGACGGTACCAGGTGTATGTCTTGCGCGTTTGATCAAGTCATGTCGAATTTTTATGGCACCAGCGGTGCCGACGCCGGCGCCACTGCCAGCGGCCGCGATCTCGCATCCCAGCAGCAAGGTTTTATTAATCTCTTAATCTGTTCTTGGAAAATGAACAAAAGTCTGGCCGGTTATTCACAACAAGACGCACACGAATTTTGGCAATTTTTCCTTAATCAGCTTCACAACGACCATACCAGGATACGGGGCAAAAAAACTGCCTCGAAATCGATGGCGAAATCCGGCTCTTGCGATTGCATCGCCCATACGACTTTCGAAGGTCTTTTAAGAAGCTCTATCAGGTGTTCTGAATGTCAAGACGACACGACAACGACTTTCGACCCCATTTTCGATCAATCGCTCGATATCAAAAACAAAACCACGTTGGAAGAATGCTTGGAAAGCTTCCACAAGGGTGAAAAGCTCACAGATTTTAATTATAAGTGCCAAAAATGTGGTTCACAACAGAGTCCACTTAAAGAATTATCCGTTGCACGACTTGCACCAATACATGTACTACAATTGAAAAGATTTGAGCATCTTGTCGGCGGTAATAGCGTAAAGATTGACGCTTTTGTCAGTTTCCCACAGTATTTGAATATGGGCCGCTTCTGTTATCGCGATGGTGTAAAAACCCCCCCTAATATGATTTACGAACTCATCGGCGTCACCACGCATGGTGGATCCGTTAATCAAGGTCACTACACGAGCATGTGTAAAATTCCAGGTGGTCAATGGTTTAAATTTAATGACTCAATGGTCACTAGCATTGCAGAAAGCGCGGTTTTGAAGCAGCAAGCATACCTATTATTTTACGTGCTTCGCCCATCTACATGAATAACAAGCTTTGCATCTAACGTTATTGCATTAAAATTTTTATATCTACACGTATTAGACACTTAATCAAAAAAATCGTCATCATCTTCATCAACATTGCTGTTGTCAGCGGCTCCAACACCTAAATTAAATTTGCCTCGTATCCCGGATCTGATGCCTTTGTTAGCATATGATTCGTATCTATGCTGCCGCGACTCATCACTGTCCTGGTTCATGATCAACCTGTCGTCACTTTCCTTGACGGCATTCACTTTGACTAGCAAATCTTCTAAATCTTTCAAAGATGTGCTGCTACCACCGAGTTCAAGAAGTGTAACGATATTTTTGAGCACTTCTCCTCGATGATAAACGATCAAAGTGGGGCAATTGGTTTCAGGATAGTTTTCAATTGCTCTGTTGGCAGGAATATCGACAAACTTGATTTCTGGGTAAAGTCTTGATGCCTGGATGAATAAATTGGACAATAAACGACTTTGAAGCTTGCTTTGCAACGACAAATGAACCAAAACATATACACCGTCTCCTTCTAGATATCCCTCTGTCTTGGTTCCATAACTACACTCTGTGACTTCTTTATTATATTCTGGCTTGTTGATATGGAAAACCTGGCCGAATTTTGATTTTTGTTGCAATTTTGCCATTTCTGCAATTCTCTTTCGCCTGTAAATCTCAAGAAACTCTTCGTCCTCTTCGTCTTCCAGTTCCTCCAAGTCAGACAGGTCTTTATTCTCGAGCCGTTTCTCGTGTTGCTTGGCTAAAGCTTCTTCAAGAGCTTCTTCGAACTGTGCAGTTGGTGAAGGCGGTCTTTCCGGTATGACACCATGCTGTCTTAGAATATCATTCCATTCAGTATCCTCCGTCTCGTCAACGTCGACCTTGATCAATGGATCGGGCTGCATGACCTTCTTTTTCTGTTGATTTAAAACCAGAGTAGAGTTTCTTGATCTTCAAGATCAAGAACTCGATTTTCGTCAAGGCTTCCATACATACCGAAGGACGACATAACATTGAATTCATGAAAGAGTCGTACATTAAAGGCATCTAGCCTCTTTTTCTTGCCAGCAAGCTGTTCAGAATGTCCGTCTTGGGAGTCTTGGTCGTTGTGGTTTCTCTGGGAGCCTTCGGCTCATTGAATCTTCTCCTGCGGCCCTTTTTCTTCGGGGCTGAATCTTCAAGAGCGATTTGTTTTGGGGAATTTCTTTGGGTCTCAAAGGCATCGTTAAATTTATCGTTATGATCAGAGAGTATATCTTCATCCGATTCGACGATTAGCGGGCTCACTAGCGACTTTTTCTGGCTTGTTGAAGTCTTCCTTTTAGTTGGTGGTTTTGATGAAAATGGAGGAGTTTCCTCTTGGTCAAGGGGTGTGCTTCTCGAAACGGCGTCGGCAGCAGCTTGTTCAGCTGCTTGCATTTCAAGTGGAGGGGTATTTTGTGGATTCGTAGATCGTAACTGTTTTACAAGTTTCTTCAAATCTTGTAAATCTTCTGTATTGGCAATTTGGTCATTTGAGGCAAGAAGTTTGACTTCGTTGTCGACTTCACTGTCGATAAACTCCTTTAGCGCTCCTTTCTCGTCTTTGTCGACGAATCTGCTAACAGCTTCGTTCAGCCCCACTTCAGGCAGAAGCGACAACGACATTGATGTCATGAGATCTGAGATAAGCGTCTGAACCGTTTTGTCGGCATCTCGTTCTTGAACGAGAGACTCGATGTCGTTGCTATCACGCTTACGAGTCGCGGTTTGTTTTCTGCGTTTGTAAAACTGTACCACGTTGTGGGTGTTCGCAACGCGGCCCACAAACCGGTTGCTGAATCGTCTTGGATTTTCAACTTGGTAATCCAAGTCTGTGTCACCTCCTTTAGCACTGTAATCGACGCGCAACCTTACCAGAGGAAGTGTTCTATCCAGTCGACGTTCATCCTGCTGCATTTGAAATTCTGCCTCTGTTTCTGAGATTGATCGGTTAGCCTCTTCGATCATACTTTCCACCTCGCGTATAAGATACTTGGTAATACTCTCCCGGTCGTGCGGTTTAAGCCCGATAATTTCCTTCAGAGATATTTCTTTCATCACAAATGGCCGAACAGTTTTAAGAGGTATGACATGCAATCTGGGTGTCGCGCCCGATTCATATTCCAAGATAAAAGCATTTTTCGGGCGAGACTCCGCATCACACAGAGAGGTAGCAATAGAAGAACCTGGCTGTAAAACGTCGAAATTTTTCAGTGGATTATGCGTGAAATTAGGTATGCATTCATGTTCATGTCCCCAAACTACTAAATCTAAGAAATCGGGCAGAAATTGTTCCGGTAAAAAAGCCGTATTAGTATGACCCGTATGGTTTTGATGCACGCAAATTATATTAAACCATTCGGCCATATCTCCTTCCGGAACATTAAACTTGACATGGCCCTCTTTAAAAGTTCGAAACAAACGTTCGTCACGCACCGATGCCAATCCGTAGAGTGCCAACTTTGTCACACCTTTTTGAAACAATAGTGGCGAAACCTCGATCTTGTCACTTTCCATCACTTTTCCAACATGATTTACAAGACCGCTCACTTGTAAGATATCCATGGGACTCAACAAAGCGTCGCCCGACGCATCATCGTGATTGCCCGAAATACAGAAAACTGGGATGGAAACGTTAAAATTAGGATCCTCGTAGTTAATGTGGTCGAAATCTCCTTGCAATGCAACTCTAGGGTCGCTCAAAAGCTCAAGTTCGCATGGCTTTTCACCCATACAAGCCAATCTCAGACTCTTCATGACCTGATACATGGACTTTTTAGACGGTTTATTGGTATGGAAAAGGTCCCCACCTTGTAAAATCATGTCCACATTGTACGTTTTGGCCATTGTGGCGATTTCCTCGAAAGTTTTCCAAGAGTCATCACCTTGAATCGGATCGGTCTCGTTGTATCCAACATGATTATCAGAAGTAATCAATATTCTTATAGCATTAGGACCAGGATACGGTTCCATTGCCTTCCAGTATCAGGTAGCTTGAATAGAATCTTTTTGGACCTCCAGAATCGTTCAATTAGCAGTCCCTTTATGTCTTTGATGGTTCTCGACGATCTCGAGGATGTTGATAATCTGGTTCTCAATTAATGAGGAAAGCATTGTTGAATTTGATCTTGTACAAGAACCACCACTCACATCTATAAGACAGCCTTTGAACAGTCTCACAATGACCAAAGACATACCAAACTACTGTAACAATGAAGATCCCGGTGTTGTACGCATCTTCATCATAAGACATGGTCAAACGGCCGAAAACGCGGCGAAAATACTGCAAGGACATCTCGATACGGATCTGAACGATGTGGGACGGGATCAAGCGGATAAATTGGGTAAGTACTTGGCGGAAGACCGTCAAATCAAGTTTGACAGGGTTTACACAAGCGACTTGAAACGCTGTCAGCAGACGTTGAAGCAGATTTTGACGCATTACGCTGAAAACCCCGAGATCATAGTGCAACCGGGATTACGCGAAAGAGCCATGGGTGTGATCCAAGGGATGCACATCCGTGCTGCTGAACAATATGCTGCTGACCACGGGAAAACTTCGTTCCGAGAATTCGGTGAGAAACCGGACGCATTTCAAGAACGACTCACGGGTAATGTACTCACACTGGTTAAGGAATCTGAACAAGATGGACTGGAGAATATCGCAATGATAAGTCATGGTGGCTCAATCCGGCAACTTTTGAAATGGCTCAATTATACGGAACACGACATTCACAAGATTATCGTTTACAACACGTCTGTTACTATAATAGACTATATTAAAGATACTGCAACGTTTGAAGTTAAAAGAGTCGGTAATACTCAACATTTGGGGCAAGGTGAGTTCATTGTTTCGGATATGAGGTTGCGCTAGTGTAATTATTTCTGCTGGCCCACACAGTATAGCTACAAGTAAGGTGAAAATTCGACCAGAATTCTGAAAATCTGCTCGACCTAACTACCTGCTTCTTCCCATAAAGGAGGCCTTTTTTTCTCTCACGGACTTACCAATGTTCGATGTCAGGTGTCATAGATCCAGTTTATAGATGTAAGAAAACGAACCTAAAATCATGAAACCTTGCTACTCTACGCTTAAAGCAAGTGACGCTCTCCATATCTGAAGCCCCTCCCCACTCCCCCAATGACTGATACTTTGACCTACGAGCAAGTGAAAGAAATTGTAGAATCCCCAACACCCAACACCGTGTTAATCGATGTCAGAGAACTGGACGATTTTAAATTGGGTTCAATACCCAGTTCAGTGAACATGCCTTATAATTCTTACCCAAATGCACTTGATTTGGACTCAGAAGAATTCAATAAGACCTTCGGATTCGCCAAACCTTCTAAAACAGAGAATTTGGTCATTTACTGTGCTTCTGGATTCCGGGCCAAAAAGGCTCAAGATTCATCTAAAAAGGCCGGATACACCAATGTTTTGGTTTATCCTGGATCTTACAACGAGTGGAGTAGCAAATTGGACGATTCGTCACCACAAGAGAACTCTCTGACCAAATTGGCCGTCTTTCTTGCGGTTTTAACCATTGTTGCGACTTTTTACGTCAAAGGTTGGTAAAGACGGAAGAGACTGGTGATCCAGTCGTTTCATGGTTCGTACAAAATCCGTCTTAGAATGGAAAGAATCCATCACTTCGTTTGTTTTCTAAGCTTTATGTATCTAGCCTCGTTGAAGTTTAACAGATGTGATGAAATTTGAGACTAGAGTCATCGTTATTTGAACGTAAATCACACAAGAAAGAATCCCACTTTTGACCCTTGAAATGCTCAAATCGACAATCTTGGCCCCGTTTGCCCCTAGAATGTCTAATGTCATGAGAACATACTCTACCCATGTGCCAAAGATCTACAACTTTGAAGATGTCAAACAGCTAGTAACGAAGCCGGTTACTGGCAAAAAACTTATCGATGTAAGGGAGCCTAGTGAATTGCAACAGTATGCCATGCCAACTGCTTTGAATTTACCCTTGAAAACTGCCCCGGGTGCTTTGAGTCTCGATCCGGAAGAATTTAAAGAATTGTTCCATTTTGACAAACCTAAGAAGGATCAAGAATTGATCTTTTTCTGCGCAGCTGGTATAAGAGCCAAAGCTGCCGAAGAGATAGCACGTTCTTTTGGGTACGATAAGACTGGGGTTTATCCAGGCTCAATCCAGGATTGGCTCAAGAAGGGTGGAGACAAAATCGCGTAGCGCTGCCTAGCATTCTGTGGTGTCATCCTTTATGTCTGTATTGAAGTGTGTGTCACTCTATATGGTATTTCATTAAAAACGTAGATGTACACGTTCAAACTTAGACGTTTACCGGGCCTAACGCTCATGAAACGCAAATTGCTTGAATTCCTTTCCCAGCCTCTTTTTACGTTTACGCTCCATGACTTTCTCCCTCTGTTTGGCCTTCATGTGCTCGAATTTCCACTTCTGTACGACTTTGCGTTTCTCAGACTGTTTCAAATGATACTTGCTCTTATTGCCCTCGTTAATTTTCTGTTCATAATCCCTCAACACATCGCGTTCCAAGTCGCGATTTTGTAATGTTTGCAACTTCGACTTCATACTTCTTAGCTGTGCTTCCATATCTTCCTTTTCAGTCGGATCGATCCTGTTCATCAGCTTACGGTTCCCCAGCACAGACGAAAGCTCTTCAATTTCACGTTGTCGGTAATCGTCCAAAAACTTGTAGTTTTTACGCACTTGCTCAAAATTCTCGGAACGGCCACGCGACTTGTCGAATCTCACATCTTGATACAGGTTCGTGTTCATGCTCTTGGGGCCTGAAAGGCCAGGTATATCTCTTATGCGGGAAACGGGCTTTTTGGAACTTTTTTCCGCAGGCCTGTGTTTGCTCTTTTTCGCACTTTTCTTAGACCGCCGTTGGTGGTCGAATGTCTTCTCTTCTTCAAAGAAAGCCTCATCGGGCGAAGAATCTTCACTTTCAGACGAGTCGCTTACAACCGCTTCTCGCTTGGGTTTCTCTTGTTTCCGAACCATCGGTGACACGTCCTTTTCACGTACGGATCTTTTCCTGAGTTTCAAACTCCTATTCTCATCTTCCAACTGCGCTTCGGCCTTCTTCAACGCTCCAAACGACAACGAACTCATCTCATCGTCACCGGAATCGTTTCCACGACGTGCACCACCATAACCGCCGCCCACGGCGTTGTCGCTCGCGTAACTTTCGTCAGGCTCGTACACCGGACGCATGGGCTCGTATGGACTAGTCATCAGCCCGTTCAAGTCACAACTATTAGTGGATATGTAAGTGTGGAGCCTATCGAGTTTCCTAGCTCATCGCATCTCATCTCGTTGACAGTTTTTCATTAATTTCGTGTAAAGCGATTTGTCACCATTCTCATCATGTGATTGTCTACATACACGCTTCTCAATTATTGCTCAATTATCGCCCGTCGGCATTTGTGTTATTGACTCGTATTTACATGATTTTTGGTCTTCGTTACCGTTCTTTTCGCTAGCATTCTCTCTATGCTTCGATTGTTTCCTTTAGTCTCAATTTCCGAGAATGCCTGTCGAAAAAATTCCCCACTTCCTGGAACGTTATTCCCGTCGGATTAAGCTCGAGCTCTGTCTTGTCCTTGAAAGTTACCTTCACCAACGGGCTCGCAGTGCTCGCTCCATTGAGAAGCTCGTTTTTCAAAGATAAACCAGAAAGCCGTTGTGTTGGTGGAATCGAACTCAAAAAGAGTCTAGCGGTCTTGGCTGTTCCAATTTGTCAGTAACGTCCATCGATATAAATATCTTCTCCCGAGACATAGCGTGCCCTCCACACATACCTTCTTTCCCCAAAGGGTTGAACCTCACCACGACTTTGGTGAAATATTTCGTGATCATCCTATACTCAAATGAGATGCCAAGAAATGATTTAAAACAGCGAAAAGGGATCCTTTGAATCTTCTGTTGCTCGCCAAATTCGTCCCGGCTCTTTACGGGTTCTCAGAAAAGTACCAATTTTTCAAGATTTTATTCAATTTTGGCCGGGTAACGAGTCACGTTACCAGGACTATGCACATTAAGTCAGAGTAGAACAGAGAAGCCCGTTTACAGCTCGTCGTGGTGGTGGTGTTTTTGGTTCTGCTTGGACTTTTTGAACTTCTTGCCTGCTTTTACAGCGTCGACAAATGCTTGTCTTTGCGTCAGGGGACCCTCGTTGGGGGCGGCAAATTTCGACAAAAACTGCGCAAGCGCGAGCTTGTCAATCGCGCCCCCGTAGACATGGAACTCGTCGTCTTGGGTATCGAACAGCACGAGCTTGCTGGATTCGCTGGTATGCTGGTCGCTGCTGCTTAGATCCTGGAAAAAACCGGCAATGCGAGGTAATTGGGATGAAGTGACTTGCGACGCACTGGCAAGCTTGCCGTTGGGCACGAGGGCAAAGCGCACCGTGCCCAACCAGTCGAGGGCGAGACTCTTGTACAAGGGCGATACTCTGTCGCTCTTAGAAAACAAGAACATGACGTAGCGGGATTCGGAAGTCTCGAGCGCGGCGACCGCGGACATGGGTTTCGTGAACCGACGTACGTAGTTTTTGATACGCGACGCAGCAAAATCTACGAGCGGTCGCAGTTTCCGCTCTCCTCTGTAAACCTCGCTTGCGTGGTTCGTGATGCGCATGCGGTCCGCGAACGGCACGCTCAAATCGATCTTGGGAGGCCGGAAAACGACCAAGGTAGGGAACCCTTCTACGCGATGTCTCGCGCAGAGAGGCTTGTTTTTCGCCACGTCACAGTTCACACTTGCAACCTGGACCAATCCGTCAAGGCTCCGTGCGGCTTTCTGCATCGTGCCCTTCAATTGCTGGCAATACCCACACCAGGGCGCGTAGAACTCGACCAACGTCGTGTAATTCGTCTGGTGCACCACTTGGTCGAAATTCGACGGCGACAATTCCAAAATATGCGGGGAAGAGTCGTAAAAATTCTGAGCGATAGCGCCCCAAGCCATAACGGCAATAAGTACAAGCCTCAATGGCGTCCACATCGGCTCACAAGTGCTTCAAAATTGAGCTGTTCTTGCTTGAGGTGTTGGGTGTAAGTTCAAGATCAAGATGTCTAAGAGTAGTAGGTTTGAAGATCATTTTGGACGTACTCATCGCGAACACCTTTAATATGTAACAAGAACCTGAATCTGAAGCGACTTATCCGTCTTGTAAAGGACTTGTCCCGCAAATACGAAGTGAAATAGCTATAAATGGGTAGTGGTGAAATCCTTAGCTCTCCTTTTGCATTCTACGCTTTTTACCAGCTTTTTTCGCGCTTGGATACGTCAAATAGCAAGAAAGATGCGACGGGGAACGTAACTTTTGATCAGATCGCCTATGAGTTGTTTCCTGGCACTCAAACAGACGCTGCGTCGGAGAAAACTTCTCTATTCATCACCTGGAAGAAGAAAAGCAAAGGGTCCAGCGAATTTCAGCTTCGAGGATGCATTGGGACGTTTGCCAAGTTGCCCTTACTAAGGGGTATCGAAAAGTACGCGTTGATAGCAGCCTTCGAAGATCACAGGTTCCCTCCGATCTCGGCAGCCGAGGTGAAAGACCTCCAGTGCAGTTGCAACGTATTACACGAGTTCCAGTCGATCTACGCGGCAGGTAAGGGGGACATTTACGACTGGGAACTCGGGGTACACGGTATCGAGCTCAAGTTCCGCGATCCGCACAGTTCCCGGCTCTTAAGCGCGACTTTTTTGCCCGAAGTGATGCCCGAGCAAGATTGGGACAAACGCGAGACGTTTGTCAACCTGATCGAGAAAGCAGGCTGCTGGCAGTTCGCAGAGACCGTAATGGACAATTACGAGAAATATTTCGTGGACGTGATCCGGTACAGGGGCGACAAGAGCGAGATTTCCTATCCAGAGTTCCATCGCGGGCTCAAGGCGCTGCTGGCGGACCCGTCTCGATGAGGCCGGTGAACTGCTACGCTCTGATTTTGTTTAGCTCACATACATATGGATATTATACCAGGTGCCACCTGGATGCGGTTCGAACGATAAACAGCCAGCGGGCTTTTTAGTGGTTCGAGGTAGAGGCAGGTAGCATTGGTCTTGCTTCTTGTCAAAGCGACATGTGTCACGTCATATTTCCATCTAAAAGCATCATAGGGCATATGGCGCAGTTGGTAGCGCGCTTCCCTTGCAAGGAAGAGGTCACTGGTTCGAATCCTGTTATGTCCAAAATTTTTTGGAAGAGTTCTATGTCGATACCAACGCAAAATAAGGTGCGTACTTCTTACTTCGTCCCTCATAGCAGTAACTGTTTAAACGCTTCAAAACCATGATCACTTTAGACGACATACGTCTCGCTCATTCGTACCTGAAAGTAACCTGATTCGATCTCTTGGTGGCCGCCAGCGAGCTCTTCCTGTCCGGATACCGCACATTGTACAGGCTGGTGCAGAAAAGTAAGCTACAACCCAAGATCAAACGAAAGAATACACGAGGAAGGCGTACACATTCTTATTCTTGATAAAGTACATAAATATGGATCCCCCGAATAAGCTTTGATAGCTTTTACGAAACAGTTCCAATCCACGACCTCGCCTTATGGCTGGATTCCACTACTCGATCTGTGTGTCGTCTCAGTGCTGCTGGGCGTCGATAGTGATGTTGATTATGTCAGACCCTATGCCGTTCATGACGATAAATTCCTGAGTAACTTGTGAGTATTCGTAGAGAGGCATTAACCCAGACACCTGGCCGTCAATAGTGCTCCTCATCACATCCGTACACAGCGACACAAATCCTCGGATTGGCCTTTTATCAAGATCTCATATTTCGTACAATGTGCTACTCACTCGCATCTTCATACTGATAGGAATTCAGATATTGTTGTTAACGACAACGCTTACAAGCGACAAAATAGGCGTTTGCAAATTGCGCAGCCAATCGTCTGTCGATTCGGGGACCGAAGTCCTGATCGACCATGGCTAGGAATCGTATATATAGCGGACATATAGTGTGCAGATCAAACAGTTGAACGCCTCCGTTTTTATTAGTTTAGTTACTGCAAGAGAACGCTCTCAAGGCATATTAGACCCATATCATACATAGCATGTCTCAAGGCAGAAAGGCCGCAGAAAGATTGGCTGGCAAGACCATTTTCATCACGGGAGCGTCCGCAGGGATCGGTCAGGCCACTGCGTTGGAATACCTAGACGCTTCCGACGGGAAGGTCAATTTAATTCTCGCTGCGAGAAGACTGGAGAAACTGGAGGAATTGAAGCAGAAAATCGGCCGAGAATATCCAGAGGCCAAGGTGTTTGCCGGCAAGCTGGACGTCACGGAATCGGCGTCGATCAAGCCGTTTCTCGAGAATCTACCGCAGGAGTTCAAGGACATCGACATTTTGATCAACAACGCCGGCAAAGCGCTTGGGTCCGAAACTGTTGGAAACATCGATGCTCAGGATATCGCAGGAATGATCGACACCAACGTCTTGGGGCTCATCAACGTGACCCAAGCGGTGCTCCCCATTTTCAAGGCGAAAAACGCAGGCGACATCGTTAATTTGGGTTCTGTGGCCGGTAGAGAAGCGTATCCAACGGGCTCCATCTACTGTGCCACCAAGCATGCCGTCAGAGCGTTCACACAGAGTCTCCGTAAGGAACTCATCAACACCAAGATCAGAGTCATCGAAGTCGCGCCGGGAAACGTCGAAACCGAATTCTCGCTCGTTAGATACAAAGGTAACACGGAAACTGCCAAGAAGGTTTACGAGGGTACAGAACCACTTTACGCTGATGACATCGCCGATTTGATCGTTTATGCCACGTCCAGAAAGCCCAATACTGTTATCGCCGACGTCTTGGTTTTTGCTACCAATCAAGCATCTCCATTCCACATTTACCGGGGTTGAAACACTGGCTTTGAAACCGAGTCGCCAAGAGAATGTGTACATGTGTGTATCTACAAACACGTTACTGCTCACTGAATGGATTCTTACCATGTTACTAGAAAGTAAAACCGTTAACCATGAAATATATTCCTTATCAAGACTATTCATAGCGTTTATCACGATGGATCATCGGGATTCGGAGTATTTGCAGTTGAACTTTCTTCAGCGGCCGGTTCTAATGGCTGCGTTGCGTATTGTTTATCGAATTCCTGGAAATCAATACCCGATTTGTCCTCGGTCATTTCCCTGTACTTCGCAATGATGGCATCTTCCAACTCGATCGAATCATCGTAAATAACTGAACCTTCGGCGTTGTAAACCCTTGCGTTTGAAAACATCAAGTGGAAATCCTCAAGCACCTGTTCGAGTGAGCCGTAGGCCAAACTGTCGATGTGTTTGGTCACATTTTCGAAAGCAGCTGGATACTTGATGAACAGATAGTAATCTGGATAAAGCTTTTTAGAAGGTCTTATTAAGAAAATGTCAGCAAGGCGTCTTCCGTCCTCATTTCGATACGCAACGGCAAATTCGTAGAGCTCTTTTGCGCGCGCTGCAATCCCTTCCTTCTCCGTCTGAGACAACTCAACATCAGATGCATTTCTCAGATACGGACGACCGTTCTTCATTTTGCCACCTCGACGTTCACGAACTTGTTTGACTTTTTCCTTTGGCTTGGTCTTTAAAGATTTCGATGATGTGACAACCGGCTTCTCCGCCTGGACATCGTGTTCAGAATTCACCTCTTCTTCATCATTTTCGGCATCGATGACACGTTCATTCTCAAGTTTGATACGTTTGCCTCTGCATAAAGACTTGGTCGCCTTCCGTTTTCTTGATTTTCCGCCTTCTTCATCTTCATCATCACTTAGATTGTCGTTAATCTTTTCATCACTATTTTTGTCATCGTCATTCTTTTCCTCATCACTGACTTCGAATTGCTTAAGCCATTGCTCTTCTGTAAGATCTTCGCCGTAATTTGCGCTACGGCGTTCTCTGATGCCCCGACCGCCATTCAACAAGACTTCGCTTTCTTCTCTCTCAATTTCAGCCTCAATATTTTGATGATAATAATCTGGTAACTCAGAGTTTTCCATAAGAGTGGTAGTTATACCGCTTTCTAAATGTTTCCTGCTTCGTTCCTCATCCATTTCAGCAAAAATCTTCAACTCATCGTCATTTCTGGCCAATAGTTCATTCAATTCATTGTCATCAAAATGCTCATCTTCTTCTAGTCCGAGCTCCCTCTTTTTCTTCTGCTCTTCCTCTGCCTCCATTAGAGAACGTAGAAGGGCCTCTTGTTCTTCTGCGGTTGATTTGTTGTCGAATTTACCCGCCTGAATGACTTTACCGTCAATATCGAGCTTCTTGTGCGCCCGCTCCAAAATAACCTCTTCAACCGAGTTCTCGGTGATCAATCTCAAAATTCTAACCTCATTTTTCTGACCAATTCTGTGTGCTCTATCTTGAGCCTGCAAATCTTGGTGAGGGTTCCAATCTGTATCGAAAATTATGACAGTATCGGCCGTCTGCAGGTTTAGACCCAGACCACCAGCTCTGGTGGACAGCAGAAAACAAAAATATTCAGAGTTCGGGGCATTAAAGCTATTCAGCAAAAATGTTCGATCATCAGACTTGGTATGACCGTCCAGACGCAAGTATTTGAGTCCCAAAAGCCTTAAGAAATCTTCCATGATGTCCATTATTTGCGTCATCTGAAAGAATATCAAAATTCGATGCCCCGTTGCCTCGAATTTCGGTAAAATCTTCTCTAAAAGTTCAAATTTACCAGCAGCACGCCAAATACTTGCATTTGTCTCTCTAGTAGGATTTATCTGATCTTCAACTTCTTCGAATACGAATGGATGATTGCAGATCTTTTTCAACTGCATAATTTGATTGTTGAAACCGCGCAAACCAACGATCTTGTTAGTATTTTGCTGATCACCGACAAACAAACGACGATGCTTTAGCATCTGCTCATACAACTTTTGTTGCAACCCGCTCATCTTACATTTCAAAACTTTTTCGACTTTATCGGGTAGCTCTTTCTCGACATCCTTTTTCAAACGTCTTAGCAAGAATGGTCTAAGAACTTTGTGCAATCTTCTGATGACCAAAAGAGTTTCTTCTTCGCTGAGAGCTATTTTATCTTGACCACCTGTGTTGGCGAAAGGGGTGTTGAACCATTCATCAAAGGACTTGACAGAGTTGAAAATTTTCGGAAGCACGAAGTTCAATAACGCCCACAATTCAGGTAAATTATTCTGCAGCGGCGTACCAGTCAAGATAAGACGGTAATCAGTGTGGTAGTGTGTATTTAAGGTCAGAGAAAGCTTCGAGCGTGTATTTTTCATTCTGTGACCTTCATCGATTATCATGTGAACCCATTTGATCTTTGATAGCAAAGCCCTTTCTTTGATGATGTACTCGAAGGTCGTTAACACAACATCGAATTCACCTGATCTAATTATGCTTTGCTTGGACTTTCTCTCATTGGGCGATCCTTTATAAGCGACCTTCCGTAATTTGGGAGCCCATTTCTCAAATTCTGAGTCCCAATTGGTTAAAGTGGATAGAGGCACGATAACCAAAAAAGGTCCGTGCACGTTCTTGACTTCGTAAAGATAGGTCAATAAAGATATCGTTTGGATAGTTTTTCCCAGGCCCATTTCATCGGCCAAAATACCATTCAGGTGATTGTTGAAAAGAGAGACCATCCATTGCAAGCCCTTCAATTGATATTCCTTCAATGTTCCTCCTACTAGTATGGAAGGCTGTTGTTTTACAATTTCTTTCACTTTGTGTGCAACATTATAGTAATCAACGTCTTGACGCTCTTCTTCATCTTCGATATCCAAGACTTGATCCTTCGCCTCACCCAGTTCTTCTTCTTCCTCGTCTTTAGTCGTATGAGACTCAACTTTGTCTTTGGTATACTGTTGTTGGTCTCTGACAGCTTTGGTTAAAGAGTCCAAGAACGTATTAGTTTGCTTTAGCAAATGCGTGATTCTTGTGTCTTTAGTCTGGTCCAATAGCTTTATGTATGCTTCCTCATCATTGGCTTTCAAAGCCTGCAAACGCTGCTTTGCATTCCTTTCAATGCGTTTCTGCTCTTCCTTTTCAAGCGCTCCATGCAAGGTCACCAAGCGGTGGCCAAGTTTTACACGTTGAGTCCTTCTGTCAAGCCTTCTGTTGTAGATTTCGATCGCGCCAGTTGTTATGCTTTTCAACTTGGTCGATTGTTCGTACTTTTGACGCTCGTGCTGTAAAATTTCATGCCTTTTATAGAGATGGTTTGTAAGAAGGGCGTCTTGAACATTCACCTTTCGAATTTTCGAAAGAAAATTTGGATGGGTGTTTGTCAAGAGAGACTTCTGGTACCATTCGAACTGCAAAATATGTCCCCTAACCGCTTTCTGTAACGGTAGCAGCTGAAGTGCCAGATAGTCATATTTGGCACGGCGTTTCTCTTTTTCAGTTGTTTTATCATCCAAAACCTTCATCAAGCAGTCATCGACCGCTGTATCTATATCTAAGGCAACCAAAGTTTGATATATCTCCATCGCTGAGTGGACGTCGATACCGGTGGGTAAAATTCCAGACTGCAGCATTATCTTCGGTTGCTCCTTAGAGGGAAATAAATGAGCATAGTCAATAGACTCTTCTGGCAAAGCTGGCATAGTGAAGGAATCAACGACAACGTTGGGCATTGTGATATCGACAAACTTTTGAATCTCGGGATGCTGTACACGATATTCTGATATTGGAATTGGAGGACACGGCTTCGGTTCAGTGACGCCTTCGAATTCAACGGCGTCATCACCGCCCTGTCCGACGGGTGCTTCTTGGCCATTTTGGGTTTCTGTACGTGCAACCATATCGTTTTCTCGGGGTTGTTGAAGTCCAGAACTAGTTGGAGATATTCCTTGTGGTTTTGTGGAAGGCATAGGAGCTGTTGCTACATTGTTAACAGAAGGGCTGGGTCCAAATGGTGTTGATATGCTGGCAACACTGTGTGGACCACTGTGGGATATTTCTTGAGGCGAGCCCGCGGAAGGCTGGCCCATTTGCTGAACGACATGGTCTGGTACTGTTACAGGTGACGGTTGGTTTGATGGAAACTGTTGCAAACTAGCGGGAGAAGGGCGCCGATGTTGTTGTTGTTGCTGTTGCTGCTGTTGTAAAAGCTGCTGCTGTCTCCGCTGTTGTAATTGCTGCTGATGGTGCTGTTGTTGCTGGAGCTGTTGTTGTTGAAGCTGCTGCTGCTGTAGCTGCTGCTGCTGTAGCTGTTGCTGCTGTAATTGTTGTTGCTGTAATTGTTGTTGTTGTATTTGTTGTTGTTGGAGTTGCTGCTGCTGCAGCTGTTGTTGTTGTAGTTGCTGCTGTTGTAGTTGTTGCAGCTTTCGTTGCTGCAACGGCTGATGTTGATAAAGCTGCTCTTGCTGCTGCTGTTGTTGCTGTTGCTGTTGCTGCTGCTGCTGCTGTTGCTGTTGCTGTTGCTGTTGCTGTTGCTGTTGCTGTTGCTGTTGCTGTTGCTGTTGCATCTGCTGCTGTCTGCCTCTGACAGAGTCACTCAGTGCAACAAGCATTTGTTTAAAATCAGGAGGATTGTTGAGTGATCTTTGAATCACAGCTTGCGTTTCAGGAGGAATCGCTTGTCTGCTTAACAAGTATTTGAGAGACGTAATCTGTGCCTTGAGTAACTCGGACTGTTCTATCGTAAAAGTGTTGGAGAGACCTCCATTCTGAGATCCAGGTGAGGGTTTCCCGAGTCCATCTTCCGCTGAATTCTGTCGCTGTGACCAGGCCTGACTCTGTCCATCCTGCGACGTATGAGGTATCTGGTTCTGCTGAATTGGACCACCATGTGGAGGCTGCAAAGGGATCTGGCGCTGCGCTCCATTCATAGAATTCGAGATTGAAGGTGAAGCAGACTGCTGTTGTTGACTTTGATGTTGTTGGAACTGCGGCTGCTGTTGTTGCGGCTGCGGCTGCTGTTGTGGTTGTTGTTGTTGTTGTTGTTGTTGTTGTTGTTGTTGTTGTTGTTGTTGTTGTTGTTGTTGTTGTTGTTGTTGTTGTTGTTGTTGTTGTTGTTCCTGTTGAGGTTGAGCATGTTGCTGCTGTTGCTGCTGTTTCTGTTGCTGTCTAGCCGCAAGACGCAGCACCTTGGTAAAATAAATGAACTCCGGAATATTAGAAGCGTTCTCCCCATGTTCATTTTGCAATTGTTGCCATCTCTAGTCATATATTTGTGTTAGTAAAAAACCGGGCTTGTTATCATTCATATCTCGGCAACCATTGTGTCGATTTGTTCCGTTGCAAAAACATACCAAATAACATCGGTTGATCTCCTCCTTGGTGAGCTGCCGATGGGGGATTTCCATGTTCTCCATGGTTATATGTCGCTTTCACAGGTCTGATATCTGTGTTTCCAAAGATGCGAAGCTCAAAAACAATCTTCAAATTTCGCATCTTACTCCGTATGTATTTATGTACGAGCGAACCTGTTAATTGTCGAAGTTAAAAGCCGTGAGAGTCCCTTAACAAGGTAAACCAAAGAAATCATGTGAAGAGGCTTGAACTAGATGCAATCCTTTGAGTAAAGCATGTCAATAAATGGACTTATCACCCGTGAAAGTCCCACAGCGCCCTTTGTTCCGTTGGAAGGAGAAAAATCGAAGGGGTACTGCCCAACTTCCATCCTGCAACTCTTCCCACTGGGACCTAACGGGAAAGCGGTGCGAAACTATGAACACGCGATGACACTTAAAGGACGTTTGTTTGTGACTTCCTTGCGAGTCGTTTTCGTGAGTGAAAAAACTTCACAGGATGAGAAAGCACCGAAAGGCTCTCCAGGATCGATAGATAATGTGGCAATTCTCTATCGACAAATGACTTTCCAGGGGCGTGACGACGTTCCTCCGCATCTGGTTATGCCTTGGTTGGGTTCAAATTACGTTAGTTTCAAGTTTAACATCTTACCTGAGCAGATCGAAGGGAACAGGAATTGGCTGAATTTCATGTACACCTGGGAAGCGAACGCGTACGTCGAAGGGAATCGATCAGGTTTGAGAGACATATTTGTACTTCACAGTACGTTGAAAGAGGCTATCACTGACCATTTAACATCACAAAATGCCGGCCAGCCCACTGAAGATGTGGAACCATTACCGTTTTACGAACCTTGATCGAGAGCTCAATCGCCTTCGCCTCCAAATAGAACCATCATGTCCATGTCCTCTTGGTCTAAGGCATTTCTATCGGGCTCGGGCCCTCTGTCAGCCTCGGGCTCGGCATCGGCACCTTCGCCCTCATCTTCTGGTTCACCCTCGTCCTCTTCATCGTCATTGTCGTCTTCATTGTCCAAATCTTCTTCTTCTTCTTCCTCGTCTTCCTCTTCGTCCTCTTCTTGGCGAGTCTGCTTCGAATCCGACGGCAGTTGCGATGTACTCATATTCGACTGTTTGAGCTGCTTTCGTTTAATATCGACCTCTTTCTCAAGTTTTTTGATACTCTCGACAAATCTGGACTTTAGCAATGGATTCGTAGCTTTTTGGAGTCGCTGCTTGTTGTGCTGTAATGTAACCTCTAATTCCATCAATTCATCTTTCAAGAGTTCATTGTGTTGCCTGGATTCGTCAACGACTTCTTTAGTGGTCATGATAGGTGCTTCTTCCTCCATATCTTCTTCGTTGTCTTCATCTTCCTCATCATCCTCTTCTTCCTCCCCATTGTCCTGTTCCACGTCGTCGCCTGTTTCTTCAAGACGTGGTGTTTCTCCAGTAGTTTGAGCCGTATCAAAGACAGAAGAGTTAGCACCTTCGTCGACCAACCTAGCCCCAGCTTTATCTTCCTGTAAAGCTTGCTCAAGCTCCAATTCCAGGTCTTCATGATCATCCGGCTCTTCTCCAAACAAATCCAGCGAGCCTCTTTCCGCCGTCTCGCGACGTGCCTCTACATTCGTTGCGGGTCTGTGTGCAATTTCCGATTCTGAAACCAGTTCGTAACTAAAGTCCTCTGCTTCTTCGTCTTGTTTTAAAAGAAGTTCCACCGTTTTTTCAACATGGTTTATCTCCTGTCGACTCAGCTTCCTTCTGAACCTTCGATTCCGCACATTGTGGAGAGGCGGCGTTAGACCGTGCTTGTAATCGTAGGTCTTGGTGACAATTCCCTCACTGTATTTAGCTTCCGCGTCCGTCAAAGGTCCACCACCATAACCTTTCAAAAGCATTTTTTTAAAAGTCAATATCTCATCTGCATACTCAGAGAAATGCTTTCTCACCAAATCTTCAGTGTCAGGCGGAGTTAATTTGAACACGTCTTCTTCTTCTTTGACAGGTTTAACACATATAAGCATTTGCGATACGTCAAACGTCTTGAGCAGGTTTTTACGATCCACACTCTTGTTGACTTCAATGTTTGAAGGCAAGTCAACCAAAACGGCACCGTATTGGTATCCGTTCACTTTCAAGATCGCGTGTCTTTCGCCTTTCCATTTCATGCTTAATCCTGTGAAGTCTCCGCTTTCAATACAACTCTTGATAAAATCCGTCTGTAAATCCGGTAATACTCTCAAGATAATGCCTTCTTCAACTAATGGGTCGTCCTCGACATCTGATGCTTCGGAATCATAACCTTCTCCAGGTATTCTGACCGGTTTAATCCTGAATCTCGGCGCTTTTGGCGTTGAACTAGATTCGATGGTCGACTCCTCTTTCTTAAAATTCAATTTCAATTTCATCTTAGCGCCACCTGGTGAAGCATTCGTTTGTTCATGTTCTCGATTAGGTTTACTAATTTTAACCTTCAAGCTCGATCCTGACGTCGAACTGGGCTCCTCTTTTTTGGCTTTGATGGTGATCCGCTTCGTCTTGGGCTCTGGCACTGAAATTTCAGGACCTTTAGCCCTCTTTATCTTCATTTTGGCCATGTTGAAAGCCTTTAGTTCTTACAAGTTGGAAAAGATTTCGATGGCCTTAACTAATATTTAATCTAAACCAACTATCACCAATTAAATCAGAGAATCAAGATATAAAAGCATATAAAGTTTGTGATCTATGGTGAAACGAATACCGGGCTTGAAAGAACTCAGTCGAATTAAGCATTACTATGGATTTAAATATCTCTTGAACCCGGATATTCATCGAGAAATCTATAATAAGTGTGAACTTCGAAAAACGTATTCAAGACCAGAAAGTTTGAAAGTTCTAGACCTTTATTCGGGTCCATCACAGCACTCGTTAATCTTGAACGAGTACTTGAAACCGAGGCAACATGTTTTGATGGATTCGCGACCAGATTTTGCTAAACACATCACCAATCTGATAGACACTACTAGTATGGAACTTTATAAACGAGATCCATACGATTGGGAATCCTACACTGATATGGTCAAACGGGACAAATTATTAGTTCCTGCAACGAAAAACCGCGACCAGATTCATAGCGAATTTTTGGTCTTGGCCAATCTTACTGGGCTTGCAGGTGAAGGTTTGTTCATGCAATGGCTAGCTTGTATTGGCAATAGAAACTGGCTTCAACAATTTGGACTTGTTAAGATGCTTGTTTGGGTGCCAGAAATTACAGCGATCAAGATTTTGGCTAAAAGTGGTGACCAAATACGATCCAAATGCTCTGTTGTGGCAGAGGCATTCACAAATACGAGATTAGTGGCTACTACCAATAGTGATTCACTCAAAAAATTCAGCTCTGGTGTTCTGGAGGGACAGTCTCCCTTGCTTATATCTGCAAGCGATGTATGGCCTCCGAGTGGTAAACCTATCAGTTTGCTAGAGGTAAATCCGAAAAACCATAATATTGACTTGGATAATTGGGACTACGTTACGAAGCATTTACTCATTCTCAAAGGAACTCCCCTACGTGACGCCTTCGAATCTCTGGGCCACGGTGGAAAGGAATACTTTTCCGAAAAGCTTTGGGATGAACCGTTGCTTGACAAATGTCCCAGAGAATTGACCAGTGGCGAATTCGTTCGCATAGCGGCACTTTTCGATATATGGCCCTTCAAACCCGATATTTACATGGATTTTATTGACGTTTTCCAAGAAAGTGAATAGAAAAAAATTCGATTTACTACACAGGTCCCTTTTGGACGTCAGTTCAAGGACTTTCCATGTTTCTTTGATTCAAGAATTTTTGCCTTGAAGTCCATCCTTGTCCTGGAACATAAACTCGTCTAAAAGGTTTGCCCTCTTTGTCAAAAAGCGGTCGAGGAGTATCCGCCTCGAGCTTTGACCCATTAAAGGGCTCTTCTAGCAAACAATTTGAGCCGTACCAGAGACAATCTTTTTGAAGGTTTTGAATACGGTTTCTACCTACGTATGCTTTCCAGTTCCGTCTTCCATCTTTGGTTGTCAGATCGAATATTAGATTGTAAGCATCGGGAATACCCATTCGACGCGATGCGTTTCTGGATGAGGTTCCTTGCGACCCCGGTACATGATTTTCAATTTCAAAGTCCTTCTCAAATTCCAAGTTATTCGACTTGCCCATTCCCGAGAGTATTTTTCGGCATTGCTGCGTTATCATTCTCCATTTTGACCACAGATGCGATTTAATTTGCGTAGTGATCACTTTAAGCTGGTCAATGTCTTTCAAGGCCGAAATATCAGGTCCCTTGAATTTAATCACCAAATTCGCGATTTGGTTTAATTTGATCAAAATCAAGTTGAGGACCAAGATCGCCACAATTAAAGAATAATAAGTCCGTGACATTTTGGTAGTGTACCCCAGAGATGTTTTGACTCGCTGATGTGACAAGAAACTGATTTCGACGTCGGCAAGACATTCATAAAAGTCTCGAATCGCTGTTTTTTCCATTGGCATTGAACGCCGGTCTTGAATCTCCTCCAATAAGAATGTACATCTTGAAATTTGCTGAATTATCGACGTCGGTAAATCTTCTCTACCAACTTTATTTCTAAATACCAGGTAAATTCCTGGTCTATCGACAGAATGATTAAGGTTTGTGGTTGATTGATTATCGTTTTTTAATGGCAAATTAAAATTTGTTTTCAATTCGTTCTCGTTGAGAGGAAACTGTCGCTGATAATTAATATCCTTCTTGTAAATAATACTCAACCACAGCAAGAGTTGAACAATCGGTAAGATATTTTCCAAAATATGCATTGTATGTAATCAATAGTAAACGCGGTGAATCAAGTTAAACTAATAGCTGGTCTTCTGCCACAATTTTAATATTTGTTGTTTAAACGTCACATCATGAAGTGTCGAAATAATTAAAACGACTTTAAACTTGAACACCGAAGTGGACACAATCACCACCAGAGCTTTAAATTTTGGGATATGCATTTTTTCAGCTAATATACATGTGCTAAATCAATATAAGCCAGTTTAAGCGGCATCAGAGGATTTTTGAGTTCCTTCGACATATTCGGTAGCCTTAGACTTGACATAATCAGCAGTCTTGAAATCATCTGAAGATTCCTCATATTGAAGCCATTTTTGAAAAAAGAACTTGGCCTGTTTACGAGTCAGTTTTTTAGTAATGACACGCTCGAACAAGTCTTCCACCTTTTTCTTATCACCGAATTTGACTTCCTGGTCAATGTAAACGTTCCAAAGATCAATGCGCTTAGGAGCGTCTGCCAAAAGTCCTTCGAACAAAGAACGGCCCTGTTCAGGATCACCTTCAGAGAACTCGAGCTGAGCAAATTTGCGAACAACCTCAATGTGTTCCCTCTTGTGCAAAGTTCTCATGGCATTGGCTAAAACTTCGTGTGCATCATCCTGTCTGTTTTGTGATAACAAAAGCGAAGCCCATGCAACCCATAAAGACACTTTCTCAGAACCAAATTTCTTGGAGGTAGTGCGGAATAGATCCAACGCACTTTCAATTTTATCGCTGGCCTGATAGATGCCGATTAGTTTCATGTGCATGGTGAAGGAATCCATGAATTGACAGGATTTTCTGAAGACTTCCTCGAGAGTGCCATCGGTACCAAAGGTATTTTCCAAGTTCAGCATAGCAATCCAAATGTTCAGTTTTTCCGCTTCTTCACGATAGTTGATTGTCTTCAAAGCGCGGTCAGCGATTTCACGAGCCTTATCGATCTCTCCCAATTGCAGTTGGAATGCGATATAGTTCATCCATGCAACAGATGAGTTGGGGGTCCCCATCAAAAGGCGTTCAAAGTCTGCGACAGATTCTGGTGTTTTTGTGTTAATGTCTATGGTTCTGTCTTCGACTTGAACCTTTTTCTGTTGTTTTCTATTTCTTGTTCTCTTATTAGACAAGAAGTCTTCTTCTTCGGAAGATTCTGAAGACCCTTGAGCTTGATCCAAAATGCTTGCTGTCCAATCAAATCCTGCGCTTAAACTGAGACCATCGGAGCTCACTGGCGCCTTTTTCTCTAATTTTGTAGAGACCTCGTCATCTTCGGCATCGCTTTGTTCATCTTCTTGTGGACCATCAACGTCCATCACATCTTCATCCTCATGAGCATTCTCCGCAACCGCTTTAGGATCTTCAGAAAGCTGATCAACGTGTTCTTCTGGTTCTTCATCCCTGTCCTGTACCTTGAAATAAGAAGCTTTCAAACCAAGCGAGAGTTGCTTCTTCTCAGGGTTCACTTTAAGAACGATAGCTTTTACTCTGTCACCGTCTCCGAAAAGTGACGTTAAATCGGCTGGTTGTGAATCAGCAATCTGAGAACGGTGAGCCAAACCAGTTAGATTGGAAGTGTTGTCCAGCTTGATAAAGACTCCGAAGTCAGTAACATTTTTCACAGAACCTTCGAAGATGTCTCCCACACTGACGTCTCCATATCCCTTGAGGATCTTGAGATCACCATTCACCTCAGACTCTCTTAAGGTCATAAGGACTTTGGAATCGCTGTCGCAACTGACTATCTTACCAATGACGGGTTGAGCGCTTTTGAAGAACTTCTTCCAGTTTTTTAGATACGAATCAGACAATTTACTGACTGGAACAAATGCCTGAACAGTGCTGCTTAGATAGACGAATACACCTTTCTCGGTGACCTTTTTAACGAAACCGCGAACGACATCTCCTTGTTGCAAATCGTTACTCGACTGAACGTTTCCGTCCTGGGCGGATTCAGATCTCAAGCTCACATTGATTTTTGATTCTTCATTATTAATGGAGGTGACGAGAGCATTGATAATATATCCACGCTTATTGCCATAGACGTCTGAAAGGCTTTTCGAGTAGTCGTCAAGAGCATCTGTGATAAAAGAGACAGCCTTGACATCATTTCCTAGGTCCACAAGAACGTAATTGTCCGCCACCTTCAAAACCTTGGCAGGAATTTTTTTATTGAGCTCGACATCTTCGATGCCTTCGATCAAATGAGACCTTCCAGTAACCGCCAAAGTATTACGGTCGCTGTCAATGCTTGTCACTCTCACCAGAAGCGCAGTGCCCACGGGATAGTTTTCCCCCAAGGATGCGTTTTGCAGCACGCCTTCGTCGCCCAAATCGAAAAGGGACATGCTTGCCTTGATTGTTGGTGAGATCGTTAACCACAAACGCTCTTTGGAAAAATTGTTTACAAACGCCACGAGAGTATCGCCAATCTTAATTTGTCCAACTGTAAGCGAGTCGGCACCTTCCATACGGGACTTCCGCGCTGTGAGTTCGACTAATGTACTCTTGGAAGATTTATGAGAAACAGGTAAGAAAGTGTGATTCTTGATATCGTGGTATCCGATAATTCTAACATCTATCACATCATCCTTCTTAAAAGTGGCCAGAGGGTTTTTGCGGTCTTTTATTTCATCAAAACTGTCATAAACCTCGGACACGTCGAGACGGCCATGCATATTGTCAGAAAGGATGACATTAAGTTGACTGCGTTTAACAGCCTTGATCTTAGCTCTGGTAATTTTACCGACTGTGAAGTCATCTAAGCTCTTGATCGAAGCATCAATAGGGTTTACAGCCTGCTCGCGGTTTTGAAAAGAAAGTTTCTCTGAGTCATCCTTGGGTTTCTTCATAGATAGCAAAAATCTCTCATGTTCATCGTCAGTTCTTAGCAAGTAGACGTCGACCGACTGATTGACGTAGAATTTCCTTTGAATATCCACATCTCTACTATCGACCGCATAGCTTGGTAAAACGAGGCCAACAAAGTTTCCGTTGAAGGCAACGAAAACTCCTTTATCGGAGATAGACTTGACATAACCGTGCATCACTGTACGAGGATCTTTTGCTTTGATGTCTTCATATGACGATGGTAAAATCCCCTTTAGAGCATCTTTTATTAAACTCTTCTTGCAGGATAAATTGAAAACCCGAGTTCGGGCGTCTTTGTCTATGACAACACCTTGTAATTCGGAGCCAATTTTAAGTTTCTTCAACTGGGCTCTGTTTTGTTCAATTCGGGAGTCCGAAAGATGACCAACATATATGACACCACGGGGACCGACGTCCTTCAATTCCACAACGACGGAGTCCTTAGTTTTCTCGACAGCAATGACGCTCACGACAGATTTTCCGGGAACCATTTTATCGATAGCCTCTTTTTCCTGAGCAGCGGCTTCACTTGAGACTTTACACGTCACTATTATTCTATTCGATTCCTTTTTATGTTCCAACACCTTAAGCATGACAGTCTGTCCGAGCCTCAAATGATCCTGAGGCCTTTTGACAAACGACTCAGAAATCTCCCCGTTAGGCAAAAAGCCTCTTAGACCTCCCAAGAAAGACACAAGACAACCATTGGTTTTAAAGGACTCAACGGTTCCTGCCAGCTTCCCATCAACGGTCGCTATTTCCGAGATTTCTTTGAAGTCCGAAGCTAGATGAACCTCTTCTCTGTCAAGGTTCACAAGCGACTTCTTCAACGACATAGTTATACGTCCGCGATTGTCTGTGTTCAGCACGATACCCTTGACCTTGGAACCTATTTTAAATTTCCTCTCTGGATATACGAGTCTCACGTCCGAAATGTGGAGTGGAGCAACGACCGCCTTGAAATTTCCGTCGGTCACGTTGAGATCAATTCCCTTTTCGGAGACGGCTGTAATCTCGCAACCTGTAAGAACTTCTCCTACCGGGATGTCGCAAGCATGAAGATATTTCATTTTCAGCGTCTTGGGGTCTGTAGAAAGTTGGTAAAAACCATCCACCTCATTAAAACCCAATACTCTTGCCTCCACCGAACCTGATGGTTCTTCGGAGCCTATGCGAGATATGTGAACTTGACCCATATGATCGTCATCGATAGCAAGGTAGAAAAATTGTGAATCGCGACCTTTGAATTCACAGGCATCAATCTTGAAACCTCTGGGAAATGCTTCTAAACCATTCACTTGCTTTTCTAGTCCCATGATGTGATCCAATTGCGATACGATTACTGCCGTATTGCCCTTCGATGTTTTGACCGTGGCCAAGATACGTACTTTCAGGCAAGTACCGATGGCATGGCTCTTACCACTAAAGGCATCATGCTGGTGCGAAGTGTTCAAAAAAGCAGTTACCAGACCAAACACTTTACCGTATACTCCATGAGTGATTTCTTTCTGGCACAAGAAATCGACACATTGCCCCGGAACAATAGCGTCAATCGACGAAATTTGAGATATAGCATGCTTTCTGGTATTACTGAAATTCAAGTTCACGTTCACGGTGCGACCAGTCTCCTTTGAAACATTCCCGAGAAAGACGGCACCTGGAATTAACTCACCTAAGCTTTCGGCATCCTTTTTAGAAATAAACCCGGTAACTCCCTCCACACCAACGTCTAAAATCGCACCATGATCTTCCAATGATTTCACCGCGCACTGGATGCTACAGCCTTTCTTCATGTCTTCCTCTGTGAAACGGTTTACGAGTCCCGGTTCGATGGAAAGTTCAATTCTCTTGCCCTTTTGCTTTCGATCTAGAGCCGAGTTGTGTTGTACCACGCATCTCAACCATTGTCCTTCTTTGAAATAGCTGTGAAGATCTGGGAGATCCTTTGAACTCTTGTAAGCATGATTCTTGGCTTTGTCCTCATCGGAATCGTAGTCCGCATCGGAACTTTCACCATCTTCGCTTTCGTCGCTCATACTGCTGTCCAGACTTTCCAGATGACCGGTCATGGGCTCGGAAATGTGGGTCAAAGATACGTATCCGGAGAGGTTGTCCGTGAACGTAACGCATAGCTCATGCTTGTTAATATGCGTAATTTGACCCAACAACAGTGTGCCCACGAGGATGTTCTTGAAGGACAGATGTTCTACAAAGGGTTCCAACTCGATTTCGTCATCATCGTCTTGTGTCTTCGAAGACGCCGCTTTCTCCGTTTTGTTCGTTTTCTTTCTTTTGACGGAACCTTGTTTTCCGGTTTTGGGCGTCCCATTGTCGTTCCTAAATAGAACGTCGCTTGCCGCTTCGTTTGCAACTTGTTTCAGTTCCAAAGGCGTCAAAGCCGAGGCTCCACCTCTTGGAAAAGCCATTTCTTCACCACTCTGCAGCAGCGACAAGCTACTGCCAGAGCTCGTTTCTTCGGCTCTTTTCCTCTTGTGATTCAAAGCCGACATCCTCTAATCAGGCTTTGGGCACCAGAATAAACCTCAAACGCGGACTTCAGTGCTTGAAGAGAGATCTACTCCGAAGGCTCTTCTTGTGAAGCTCATCGCATCTTAATTTCTGAAAAATTTTCAGTTGGAAAAAGAAAAAATTCGCGATGAGCTCTCCGTAATAGGTGAAAAAGGCGCCAACAACGACATTAGAAACCAAAACAAACAAACTAACAGACCGCAATCGCTAAGATATGAATTGATTTGTTCCATTTTCTTGAACAGTATTTGCGTAGATTTTTCCCGAAGAAAACGTATTCCGCACGTCGTTGCCTTTTTTCCTTCACGGTTCTCGTTATCCCAGTGCTTGTAGAGACCCTGTGGTGCTTCTTTTTCTGCATCGAAAACTATCCTCTACTCGTTGTTTTCTCCCGTATGGTTACCCTAAACTAGGTCACTGCGTCGTCGCTTGGATTCATACATCTGTCACCACTGCGAGAAGGCTGTTGCAAATCATTGTGGTTGAACATCTGCGGTCGCTAGCTTTCCGAACCGATTTATTCATTTATGCTCTCCTGGCTGTGAGACTTGTCCGGCATCGATCCCTCGGTGACTAATTAGACGATGTAATCCTCCCGCTGTAGTCATGCCGTCTTTTGTACAATTCCATTTCCACTCACAACGTGCTACTTTTTACGATAACTGGTAGATGTGTTGTCATCTTATGTCCCCACCCTAGTGCCGAGTTTCGTGCGCATCGTTGGGGCGCTTAGACTACCATCCTCTGTCTGATCGTGTCTCATTCTATTCTGTCCTCGTGATCACGTGAGATTACTCAGCATGTACTCAACGATGTCACGCATCTTGAGCTCTTTCCAGCAATTTTTCATAGCTGCGAGAGTATTCCGAACCACTGGGACTAGTTACGAATGACGAGGGACAATTTCTCTCACGGAGTGTACGCCGGCGCTCCCCGCCTCCACGACTTGAACAAAAACACAGACTTCAAGGCTTTCTGTCGTGGTGGTCACGTGATAATAGTTTTAACACACTACTCCGTTATCGCCCATGCGTGCAGAAAGGTGCGTTACACCATCAAAAAATGCACTTCTACCCTTTTTACAGATCGATCACTCAAAAATCCCCTAGTCAGCTTTCTCCCCCAGAGCTCCAACGATGTTTCTAGTTTGTTTCGTTTTTGTTTCCGATAGCCATTGTTTCCATTTCCAATGTCGCAAAAACCTGATGGAGTTTAATAAGCCTGGTAATGTAACTTTTTTCACCGTACTTAGTGCTCGTCTCAGCCGCCGGCAAGCGGTTCTGCGCAGTTGAAATAAACCAGGACACTAGGGAATTAGCTGTGGACTTGTGCTGCAATGTATGTGGCCTCTACAGTACGCTTAGATTGTGGACTAGCTTACCGCGAATTTTTTGTTCGAGTAGCATTTTTCGCGGACCCTTCAATTTATACCTCTAAGCTTTGGTGCCAGATTAAATGTCTCAATTTGAGCAAAAACATTAAAAAACGAAAAACTAGATATTACCGTGGAATCTTTCGCCGACGGAATCCTAGCTTAAATTTCGGCATTCGGAAAGATACAAGTACTCAAAATCTCATTTGCTTTATTTAGATCAACTATGGCCGAATTAAATGAACTGTTCAAGAGCCTATCGCCTACCGACGACGGTAAACCTTAATAACATTTACGCACCAATTCCACACATAAAGAGATCAGAAACCGAATTCCATAATGTAGTCAGGCCCTGGCTAGCCGTAAGGGCCAGGGTTTAATCACAAGGTCAGGTTTGGGAACCCATCATAGGTGCCTTTATACGAACGCTTCTAAACATTTTATTGACGACCTACGGACTGCTAGAATCCGTAGCTGTAAATGCTATTTAGTCACTGATCAACGAACAAATTCGACCTAAACGGCCTGTTAATCAAGAAATGAGCCAACGCTGAACCAGATATGGCTCTCTACCCTCAATTGGGGGAGCTCGACTATTTATCTGCTCTCGCAGACGCAAAACCAAACCCAAAAAACCAACTCCGTGACACCCGCAAAGTCTTGACAGACAAGCATTGTTTGTCTTGCCAGTATACACGATTTCTTCTAGCCGAATTCGAAGCGTGCCGTCTTCGGTATTCGGACCTGCAGAAACACGGTGCCTGCCTCACGGAGGCTAATGATGGCAACCACAGTCCGCGCTGGCTCAATTGAGTACCATGTCCCTGAGGGTAAACGCCAGACACATATCGGAACACTGCTATACCGATTACTCTTACAGTAGCCAGCTGGTTGCAAGTTCTGTAAGCACTGTTTACATCTGCGATGAGCAAGTTTCCAGACCTCTAACAGTTGTCTTAGCGCTGCTTCGAAACAGATGGCGCAAATCCGCAGAAACAAGATACAGAAAGGCTACAGAAGCTTCTGCATATTACCAAAAGTAGCCACCGCCGACGTCGCTTTCCGCATGGAAATCGCGACTTCCGACTCAAACGCACATACTGCATGCGTCGCTGATAACGTCCGAGTGTCTGATTACCTAACGATTTTTTTGCTCGGTGGCGAGCATCCCGCAGCGCCGCACTGAGTCGTGCTACACCAAGCAGTTCTCCTGACGCATCCTCTTTCGAGCCTTCTGGCATTGGTGCTTTTTCGCTCTTTTCCTAGTTCGGCAATGCCTACGTGAGTCAGACATTAAGGGTACGTGATTCACCGCCGTATGAAGAGAGTACCAGACCGTCCGGCAGACCAATAGCTTGGGCGATGACTGGCGAGATGATAGACGAGAGCAGACGAGCGGACAAGCTGCTAGCATCATTGGGAGATCGGTTTCTCTAAGGCATCGTGTCAGAGCGTTTGTCCTAGAAAGATCTCTTGGACGGAAAGCTTATTTCACCATCCACTCGAGCCATTTTGGATGTGTACGGCGGCACCTTACTTCCTAGAGCATGCGCAGAAGTGACTGGATGCAGCTGCCTCTCGCGAAGGCGATGCTGCAAGATGTGAGACAGCTGTGTGCTGACAGCCATACAGACGGCTTTTCTAAGCACAGAGAAAGAGAGAGACACTCGGGAAGACCGAGTGCAGGGGAGTCACAAGTCAGAAACACAGCTAGCTCCTGACAAGATGCCGTCTCCACTATCCCAGTTTCTCAAATCATGCGGAGATCACGTGACCGCTACAAAAAGAAGACACTCCGAGCCCACTTCCATGCTGCTTTCTGTAGGCACTAGAAGGCACCATGCAGGCACACAGGCAAGAAACGCCTGTTGCAGGCAGCGTCGCGCCAATCCTGTCAGCCGCTTCATTTAAACTTCTTTTCGCCCCCCTCGCACCCCTCCCCTCGCTAGAAAAGGTGCAGGGGAGCTCAATGCGCGTGCTTACGAAAATGTTACCAGCCTGCTGTTTTGCAGATCTTCGTTTTTTCTACATCGATGAGCTTCACCTCCGAGGGTCAAAATTAATTTTCTCGAGCCATCAAATCCCCAGTCCTCGAAAGTCCTGAATATAAAGCTGTCGACATTCCCGTATCTCAATGAGAATCAACTCTTTTCCTCAAGAAATCCCACAAACAATAAAGCAAGCATGAGGGCCCTGCTGTCACTTGCCAGTTTTACATTTTTATTTCTCTGGACATGTCTGTCCTTGGTAAAGGCCAAAGACCTGGGTAATGTTTTCACCAGTCTAAGCATCACTTCTACTTCAGGAGGTATCCCTCAGAGACTGTGGCGAGCCACTTTAGGCTATAAGATTACGCCCGAGATGGATGCCCAGTCAGGTGACACCTTCAGGCTTGTCATGCCCGACGTGTCGAGAGTCTACGGCGCCCAAACCGTTGGGGGTGTCAGCTATATTCCAATCAAGGACTCATCAGGCACCACAATTGCAAACTGTTTTGTGAACAGTGGATTCAACTGGAATTCGTTATCGACCCTAGCGTGTTCCGTTAGTCACGTCGATGTTGATAATGCGAGTGGCAGTCTCTCAACGCAATTCGTCTTCGCTGCCGGTTCCATCGGTAACGATGCTTCGGAGGGAGCTGCACAACGTGCAGTTCTCGGTTCTCACGCCGTGACTTGGAATGGTCTTTCCACGACAGTCAAGTTTGCCAGCGCTGGTGCCACCAGCCAGAGCTCGTCCAGTTTCCAATACATGGCCAACAGTTTCCCTGCGCCAGCCAATCTACAACAGATTTACTATTTGGGCCCTACCTGTTCCCAAGCTTTCTCTGAATCGTTGCAGATTATCTTCGGTGGCGGCCCAAATGCCAATGGTAACTTGGCTTCGTGTGGTTCAGTTAACATCAGTATGGCCAATTCCTTCAACGATTTCAACTACCCAAAAACCGCAGTTGCGCTTCCAGCTAGCTCTTATTCGACCTACTGTTCCGGTAACACTTTGTCGATAACCGCCAGTGGAATTCCTTCCGGTTACCACATTTTTGTCAACGCCTTTCAATCTTTGAATCGTCAAACTTCTGCTACGATTACTTTCTCAAACACTTACAGTGAAATTAGAACCTGCGCCGGATCTAAGTCTACCATGTCGACCGCTTGAAAACCGATTTCATCGCAGGTGCTGGATCTGCGGGCAGGCCCCAGAATCCCAAAACTTTCCCCACCACTACTATCGGGTGGACAAACAGCTACACAACAACCATCACTTCAACCGCCGTCACGACAGGATCAGATGGGAATCTTTCTCCTAAACCTATCGTAGTCATCGAAACGCCCGGTAAGCAGACTACCTCTTTGTCTTACACACCACGGTTGGGTCAAGTAACTTCGACTTATAGCACTTCAGTAACGACAATAGCGGGCGCAGACGGCTATGTTACCACCCAAACCATCTACTACGTCGAAACTCCAATTGCGCGCTCGACCAGCGCAACTGCTCGCGCGTACGACGGACCATCTACCTCAACATACTCTACCGCGTCCACCACTTACACCGGGTGGACTGGATCGTTCAGCTCAACCTACTCGACTGGCGAGACCACGTTCACCGGAAGCGATGGTAAGCCAACCTCCCAGACCGTGTACTACGTCGAGACTCCAACAAGTGCATCCACCGCTTACACTGGGTGGACTGGATCGTTCAGCTCAACCTACTCGACTGGCGAGACCACGTTCACCGGAAGCGATGGCAAGTCAACCACTCAGACCGTGTACTACGTCGAGACTCCAACCAATGCCGCTACTGAGTTTACCGGATGGACTGGGTCGTTTGCTTCCACGTACTCCACTGGAGCAACCACGTTCACTGGGAGCGATGGTAAGCCAACCACTGAGACCGTGTACTACGTTGAGACTCCAACAAGTGCCTCCACCGCTTACACCGGATGGACGGGGTCGTTCAGCTCAGCCTACTCGACTGGCGAGACCACGTTCACTGGGAGCGATGGTAAGTCAACCACTCAAACCGTGTACTACGTTGAGACTCCAACCAATGCCGCTACTGAGTTTACCGGATGGACTGGGTCGTTTGCTTCCACGTACTCCACTGGAGCAACCACGTTCACTGGGAGCGATGGCAAGCCAACCTCCCAGACCGTGTACTACGTTGAGACTCCAACCAATGCCGCTACTGAGTTTACTGGCTGGACTGGGTCGTTCACCTCAACCTACTCGACTGGAGCCACCACGTTCACTGGAAGCGATGGCATTCCTACTACCCAAACCGTATACTATGTGGAGACCCCAGCTCTAGCCACTACTTCATACACTGGCTGGACTGGAGCGTTTACTTCGACATACTCTACTGGAGTAACTACACTCACCGGCAGTGATGGAAAGCAGACGGTAAAGTACGTTTACTTTGTCGAAACCCCATCGGGTGGATATTACCAGAATGCCACCTCCAATGTTATTCCTGGTAGCTCCGTCATACCCGCTGAGACTACTCAAAACCTCAATCCAGTCCCTCCTACGGCAACAAGGGGCGCTGAGACGACCGCTGTACAACCAGGCGGAGCTGAAAGTCCTACTGTAACGCGGGTTACGATAACAGATGGTCAAGTGGTTACTAGCACCGTCATTGTTACTGGCCAACCAGGCCGACCAGTTCCATCGCCTGCCGCTTCCCGTCCCGGTCAACCAGGTCCATCGCCTGCCACTTTCAGTTCCGGTCAGCCAGGTCCACTGCCTTCCGGTTCCAGTCCCGGCCATCCTGCCCCATCACCCGCTGGTCAGCCCACAGGCTCCGTTTCCACATCTGATCGGCAAGGTGCACCTTTAGTTGGGAGCGATGTTCAAACGGCCAACGGCCCAGACAACGAAAACACGCTCTCCAGAACGACTATAATTCCAACATCGTCTAGTTCAACAGCGAATCAAGAGAACGGTAGCTCTTCTGTGAATGCTTCTCAAGGAAACCGGCCTGCTCCTGCCGAACAGGGAAGCTCGTCGACAAATGCCGGACAAGCGTCTCCTAATGCCAGTGCTTCAGGCCCGGCTGGGTCTGCGAACACTCCAAACGCAGGTGCTCCAGGTGTTTCTGGTGTATCTCAGAGCGCTTTTGCCTCTTCCACTGCTGAAATATCCACATACCAAGGTCTAGCAAGCAAGTTCAAGGTCGGGGCTTTGTTAGCTCTGCCGTTCGCACTCTTGTTATAGAATCTCCGTTTGATCTTATAACAGTTATTCAATACATAAACTACCAAACCGAATTATGCCGAATTTTACTTATAGAAGAAGTAATTTCATGCACTTCCATGTTCATTGTGTAAATCATTGACATCGTCGCTTTAATTTCTAATTACGAAAACAACATTATTTGAAAAATCAACTTCTCCACCCCTCTCATTTGAAAGCCATAACGAATAGAATACTACATGACTAAGTGAGAGCCCTCGCCCATCAGTTGACAGTATTACCATAATCTTAGATTCTGTTAACGGTACTAACGTCGAATTTAAGATCAAATGATGCTACTTTGTACGAAAATTTCTGGATGTCAATTGTCGTACGAAAAGACAATATTCATCACGAAAATCTGTTGATGTCAAATGACATATAAAGTGACATTACTTTATACGAGAGAGTTTATTTGAAAATTAACACACAACCGATAATAGAACTAAACAACGAGATAAACAAGACAACAATCTCAGGATTAAAAATCAAGTTATGCTTCTAGTTTTGCAGATGTTAAAAATATCCTTTGATTGCACCACACAATTCCCAAAAATGGCGAAATTTATAGCTGTCCAAGGATGCGAGATATATCACAGTTGACGAAATGGCTTAACATTGCAAGCGAATACTTTCTGCTACAGCTATCTTGTAAATCCGTCGGACCTTTTGATTGAATAAGCTTAACTAAACCAAGGCGTGTGCGTTAACAAGAGAATCGGGTCCCATTTTTGCCTTAAACTCGAATGCCACAAAACCCTTCTCGACCCATGGAGGTTTCTCCTGGGTCTCATATGAGAGGGAGACCGTCGTTTTCCTCTGCGAGGACGGCATCTAGCTCAAACACTTTGACCTCTACCACGGTGTTAGAGTCCAATAATGCAGAGTCGTATTCTGGGGCGACTTTCGAGACGGTACCAAGTTCGATTGTTTCTTTTCACCATCCACATTCATTCCATTCAAACCTGAGTACCAACGCTTTAAGCAGTTCGATGGCCTCACACGAGAGGCGAGACCGAAGACCTGTGGAAGAGGAGTCCTTAGTCACTCGACGCACTTCTAGGTCCAGAAGCGGGTCCAGGACGCCGCATTTTCGATTTTTTTCCGAAGAAGAAATTGAACTCGCAGAGGGTGTGGCGTCGACCATGGAAATAGCCGATTACGATATCGACTGGGACGCTACGCCCTCTTACGAGCAACGAAGACTTCAATACCAGCACAGGTCTAGCAGATCCTCGCTCAGAAGCGGAACAGGACGCTCTTTGGTATCTAATCGATCCAAGTCATCTACACATAGGTCCGAATCTCTGGGCTCCTACGGCAGTAATGGGAGGTCTCGTGGTGCTGGTGGACTTTCACAAACGGATCGGATTGTCTCTTCCTCCCCCCAATCGTCCTTGGCGTCCTCTCGCTACAGTTTCAGAGACAGAATTCCAGCAGAAATCGAAAATGGAGATGGTCCTCTTTCCATACGCAGCTCGCGATCCTCTCATAGCGAAACCAACGAAACTGGTCTTCTAGACAACGAGGACAGAGATTCGGAGCATGACCAAGGCTCAGAACATCGGAAAAAGACCGCTTACCGTGCAGAATACTTGTCTCCTCAGTACCATGATATGTTTTTCCCCCAGTTTGTGCCGCATTTGCACTTTCAGCGTTTTTATATAGCTGAGGAGGATTTGTTGGTTGGTATTGCGGGCTATCGGACATCCTACTTGAGACTCTACTTATACTATGCTTTATCAGTTTTCACATGTGGACTTTTTTACTTATCGCTCAGATGGATTCCGCGTTACAAAGTTCAATTTATTGGTGTTAAAACGGCGTTAGCGAAGGCTGAATGGGTCGCTGTTGAAAACGAATTCGGGGAACTGTCTTTGATAAAAGTAAACCGTCAATGGTACAATCGACCTCTCAGTACATTGATTTTGCCAGAACCAGGCGACGTTGGTGATGTACTTCCACCTCGTCGTCATCATAATCATCGTGAAAGTGACAAAAATCCAAATGTTCCAATAATGATCAGTTTTTCTTACAGATACATCAATCTCATTTACACGCCTTTGGGTGATCTTTTCAGAACTAACAGCTCATGGACAGATGCAGATTGGCTTGAAACCTCGTCGCTGAGCAAAGGACTGTCGTCATCTATAGTGGAGGACAGATTATTGGCATTCGGCAAAAATAGCGTGAACTTGAAGCAAAAAAGCGTTGCACAAATTCTTTTCGACGAGGCTCTCCATCCTTTTTACGTTTTCCAAATCTTTTCAATAATTTTGTGGCTGGCAGATGACTACTATTATTATGCTGCATGCATTCTTATCATCTCCGTCTTTTCTGTTACAGAAACACTAATAGAAACGAGAAAAACTTCTCAAAGATTGTCAGAAATCTCGCATACCAATCACGAAGTTCGCGTTCTGAGAGATGGATTTTGGGCTCAAATTAATTCAAGCGAACTTGTGCCCGGTGACGTTTTCGAAGTTTCCGATCCGTCCCTTGAGAGCTTCCCATGCGATTCCCTATTATTGAACGGCGACTGCATTGTCAATGAGTCGATGTTAACTGGCGAATCCGTACCGGTATCTAAAATTGCCGCCAGTACAGACACCGTTCTCGCATTATTAGAAGATTTTCAAAATTCACAAATATCTAATCAAGTTGCCAAATCATTCCTATTCAATGGAACAAAACTTATTAGAGCTCGTATCACGAAGGGTCAAAATGTTGCATTAGCTATGGCTGTGCGCACGGGCTTTTCGACAACTAAAGGATCTCTCATTCGTTCGATGGTTTTCCCCAAGCCAACTGGCTTCAAATTTTACAGCGATTCTTTCAAATACATCGGATTCATGGCTTTGATTGCCATAATTGGCTTTATGATCAGTTGCGTGAATTTTGTCAGGTTAGGTCTTGATTACAAAGTCATGATTTTGCGGGCATTAGATATCATTACCATTGTCGTACCGCCTGCCCTTCCTGCTACTCTTTCTTATGGAACGAGCTTCGCACTGACGAGACTCAAAACCAAGGGTATATTTTGCATAGCACCAACTCGGGTGAATGTTGGAGGTAAAATTGACGTCATGTGTTTCGATAAAACTGGTACATTGACCGAAGATGGTTTGGATGTTTTGGGAGTCCACGTTGCGCAGCCTCGTGGTCTCCAGAAACTTGGTTTCAGCGAACTGATCACCGACGTGCATGATCTATTCAACAAGTTCTCGCTAAAGGATTGTAGCTCTCCACATGACTTCAAAGCTAGAAACTTTATGACTTCGTTATTAACTTGTCACTCATTGAGAGCGATTGATGGTGAGCTTATAGGAGATCCGCTGGACTATAAAATGTTTCAATTTACTGGTTGGGCGTTCGATGAAGATTTTCAAAATTCCAAATTTCATTCCTTGAATGAGGAGAGGTACGATCATAACAATTTACCTGAAAATGCTGGAATTTCGCCCGCGGTGGTACACCCAAATGCCTCCAACCCTAACAACAAGTTCACCGAGAATGACCCTCAAAATCTCTTGGGCATAGTGCGGAGCTTTGAATTTCTGGCACACTTGAGACGTATGAGCGTGATAGTCAAACCTTTTGGAGAAAACGTTTTCTGGGGGTTCACAAAAGGTGCTCCAGAGGTGATATCTGAAATTTGCAACAAAAATACCATGCCGCGCAATTACGAAGAGCTTTTGGAAGAATATACGCATAATGGTTTCCGTGTTATTGCATGCGCGGGCAAGACCTTACCAAAACACACCTGGAGATATGCACAGAAGATTAGCAGAGAAGAACTCGAGTCTAATCTTGAGTTTTTGGGATTTATTGTTTTTGAAAACAAGCTAAAAGGCTCAACCTCAGAGACTTTAAAAACTCTGAACGACGCAAAGATCAGAACCATTATGTGTACTGGTGATAACGTTTTAACAGCTATATCTGTTGGAAAAGAATCGGGATTAATTAAGGAGCCGGAAGTCTATGTCCCATCTATCAACGAAAGTATGGATCCTGCCGAAAACTTGATCGTTTGGCAGGAAATTCATGATCCCGAAAAGGCGTTTGATGACATTACCTTGAAGCCAGCAAATTCAAACGCGGATTATACGCTAGCTATGACAGGTGAGGTTTTCAGATTGGTTTTCAAAAACAATGAAGTGTTACCGGAGTCATATGTGAATGAGGTTCTCTTGCGTACTTCCATTTACGCACGAATGTCACCCGACGAAAAACATGAATTGGTGGAACAACTTCAAAAGCTCGATTACATTGTGGGGTTTTGTGGGGATGGTGCAAATGACTGTGGTGCTCTCAAGGCCGCTGATGTCGGTATATCCCTATCTGAGGCAGAAGCATCAGTGGCCGCACCTTTTACGTCTGGAATTTTTGAGATTAGTTGCGTTTTGGATGTAATCAAAGAGGGTAGAGCCGCCTTAACTACGTCCTTCTCATGTTTTCAGTACATGAGTCTTTATTCAGCGATCCAATTCATTTCAATCACCATGTTATACAGTAGGGGTACCAATTTGGGCGACTTCCAGTTTTTGTATATCGACCTGTTGCTGATTGTACCGATAGCAATCTCGATGTCGTGGTCCAAACCGTACGATCGAATTGTCGCTAAAAGACCATCAGCCAATTTGGTGTCACCAAAAATTTTGGTCCCCATGGTTGTCAACATCCTTATCATTTTCCTATTCCAGTTTACTCCGTGGATAATCGTTCAACGCATGCCATGGTACGTGAAACCAATTGTTGGTGGAGATGACGCTGTGCAATCATCTGATAACACAATACTATTCTTCGTTTCCAACTTTCAGTACGTCATGACCGCGGTCGTGTTATCAGTGGGACCACCATACCGTGAACCTGCGTCTAAAAATCCAGCATTTTTATTGGATATTGCATGTTCTACTTTACTGAGCATTGTGCTGATGCTACAAAAGCCCGATGGATACCTTGGTCGTCTGTTTGAGCTGACCGGAATGCCAATGAGTTGGTTAATCTTTATTTTATTATGGGCCATAGTGAACTTGTATGTTCTACTTTATTTGCCTAAACAAGCAAAGCAAACCTTCAAGAAACGTCAGAGCAGCAAAAAATACAAGCGAATCTTAAGCGCTGCAACTAGAGGATTTGATGCATGAGGTTGTGGTATGCGATCTTGATAATGACGACCTTGCAGTTATCACACGGAGTGATACGAATTTCTCATCGATAAAAAACAGTTCCACAAGACACCGACTGAGGAACTAAACGGTACCTGATAATGGCGTGGGACCACCGAGAAATTGATGAATTGGACCGGAAACCATACCAAGAAATTGCAACCCAAAGTGCTTAGATAAAGATTTGCAATTTTGCGGTGAAATGCGTTCAAATCACCTTTTTCCATAATGTAGCTTGAATACATAAGGAAGCAATACAGCGAAATGGGAGAATATACGAGCTGATCTGATAGAACACGTTCCAAGACTTGAACAACTGTGGGATCCTCCGTGTAAAAAAAATTCAAGAACTTGTACCAGGGCAGCTGGAATAACGCTAGAAATGAGCCCCAGCTCATAAAGCAGAGCCAACGGTAGAAATCAAACTTGCCCTCGAGAGCAGACGCCTCATCTTCTTCGGCCGCTTCGACAAGAGTTGCCGGGCTGTTGAACCTCGTAAAAAGACGCGGTGTGTGAAGGGGACCATAATCATCGAATATGGACATATTCTCGTCGTCACCTTCAATATCCAAGTGGTCGTCATTGCGCAGCGCAGAAAATCGAGCTGTAATGTCTCGACTCGTAGCATCAATAACCTCGGGGATCGGATCCACTTTACCCGACATACAGCACGCAATGGATTGAGCCAATATATCAGAAGTTCCAAACAAAAGAGCATTTGTCATTATAGTAGTCAAAAGCGCAGATTTGGCATAAGCCCAGCTATAAATGCCCATGAATCGTACCAGCAAAGCAGACCATACAAAAAGCATGAGCCAATGCACTATACCTATCCCACAAAACTTGCGATCTGTCAATCCTTGCATTCGAGAAGAAATCCAGTTTCGTACCCTACCAACAATTCCATGTCTGCTCTCGCTCCATCTGTGCGGTGTATTCCCTCGATTTTCGTCCTCATATGAAACAATAATATCATCTCTGCCAAACAATTGAAGCGGCATTTCTTGCTAATCAACAATACTGCCCGTGAAGGCGTTTTCTAAGTTCAAACCGAGGCTCTTGTTAACGGTGCAATTCCGTAGGTTTGAACTATTCAAGGAATCATTAGTCCGATGCTTAGATCATCAACAATAACTGTCATCTTATACGTACGTAAATCAGGGCTTCACCAGAGCCCTGAATGTAATTACTACTGTCACACCCAAACATTCTAAGATAGATCCCAAATTTCATTAACACCCAGTCACCAAATAAAGCGAAGTTCAAAAAAAGCTCGAAGATTTTCTGGTGTTTGGGTTTGTGGAGAAAAGTGACCGTTTAAGGTATATGCTTTTTTGCTTGTTTGTACCCTCGGATCTTTCCCTCTCGCACCATTCCGAGGGCACGCGGTGCAACTTTCTACCGACGCAGACCCAGGTATCGCGAAGGCCTCTCGCACTGCAACGAGCCGGGAACCAGCTGAAAGCTATCGAATTTTCCCAGCTTTAACGATAGTTAGACGTTTTGGTAATACAGAGGTACTCCCAGACAAGGTATAGAAAGTCGCCAAGATGCTGATTCCAAAGGAAGAAAGAACCAAGATCCACAGACACTTGTTTCAAGGTACGTTTTTGATTTGATTTGGGGCTGGACTGGCTCTCGTTGGTGAACAGAGTGTCAGAGGGTAAATGTGCAAAATGAGAACTGCGGTACACTGATTAGCGAAGTGATTGCCCGAAGCGTTTTATATTCCTGTGTTCGATAACAATGTGTGAAATCCACATGACGAACGTTGTAGAATGCGCCTCGTGGGTCCCTGTGTCGTGTTTTCCAGCAGCGTAAAAGTTATTTGGGACAACGATTGTACACAGGCAAGATTGATTCCTGCTTTCCATCACACCCCTGCCCTCCGACTCCTCAGATTGTCACCATACAATCTTCCCATATACTAACTTTCTCGCAGAGGGTGTTGTTGTTGCCAAGAAGGACTTCAACCAGCCAAAGCACGATGAAATCGACACCAAGAACTTGTACGTCATTAAGGCCTTGCAATCTTTGACCTCCAAAGGTTACGTCAAGACTCAGTTCTCATGGCAATACTACTACTACACCTTGACTGAGGAGGGTGTTGACTACTTGAGAGACTACTTGCACTTGCCAGAGAACATTGTTCCTGCCACTTACTTGCAAGACAGATCTCAAGACCAAAGACCTCAAAGAAGATACTAAGCGTGGCTTGTATGATGTCGGCTCATTTTCTTTTCATACTGGATTGCTCCTAGCGTATCGCGCAAAGTGTATATTGTTTTAATATAAAGCAAATCCCTAAAATACAGATTAACATTTTGGTTTCAACGAGCTTGATCCTGAGTTGCTCAAGGGACCACCCTTGGTTTCGATGAGCTATCTGAAGGCTCTAATAGTTAAGTTAGTGGTCTAAGAAACAAATTATCACGTGACTGTGAGTTTCAGGCACGTGATTTATTGATTTCTATTTATGTTCACAGGTCGAACTGTAATCTAAACTTCTTGAAGTTTAAAGGCTTTCCCCATCGAGTCGACAAAAAACAAGTATGAGCCCTAAAAAGCTCAATTATACAGGGGGTGACAATCTGCCGGTATGTGTGGAATTATAGGTATTACAAGAACTTTTCCTCAGGTTTTTTTGGCATGAAATTAGCGGAATTACTGACTATTAATGGTTTTCATTAGTTGTATGCAACTCCCGAACAGGCTATGAGAGAGGGTCAAAGACGAGAAGAGCTTGAGAGAAGAAGGCGACAGAAAAAGCATGAACAAACTCAGGGAAGGTCGTCAAGTCAGCCGCAGTTGGTGTCGCATTATCCACAACCAGCCATGATACCGATGCAAAACGCACAGATACAATATGTGCCAGTACACGCGCAACCGCCACAACGACAACCGCTACCAATGCAGGCAATGCCGCCGCAGCAGTACGTTCCCATGAACATGGTACCGCCGCAGGTACGATCTGATTCTTACTTAGCCCACGACAAGCAATCCACCCCGCCGCTTTCATATTCGCCAAACATGAACTCCACTGCGCCTGCCAGGAGATCGCCACCCCAGCGGAAACCGCCCGTTATGCTTGCATCGGTACCACCCGTCAGCAGCAGTCCCGCGACGCCTGGAAATCGGGATTTTTCTCGAAGCTCCGTCAACAGCGTCGATGCGGGACAACAGAACACTCAGGACATTCAAATCGCAGCGCAGTTATTCAGCAATCATGATATCAAGAACATGGGGCGTTTGACGGCGGGTGAATTACAAAATTTATTGCAAAACGACGACAATACTCATTTCTGCGTCTCTGCCGTGGAAGCGCTGATCAATCTATTTGGTGCCTCGAGGTTTGGAACTGTCAATCTCAACGAGTTTACCTCTCTGTACAAGCGTGTGAAAAAGTGGAGAAAAGTGTATGTGGATAACGACATTAACGGAAGTTTTACCATCTCTGCCAGCGAATATCATAACTGTTTGCAAGAACTGGGTTACTTGGTACCTTACGAGGTCAGCGAGAGCTTGTTTGACCAATACGGCGAATTTATTGAGCCTGAAAATCACGTACGAGAGCTCAAATTTGATAAGTTTGTCGAATCTCTCGTGTGGTTGATGAGACTAACAAAAGTGTTCAGAAAACATGATGAAAAACAAGAGGGAGTTGCCACAATACAATACAAAGATTTCATAGACGTTGTGCTCTACCTGGGACGTTTCCTTCCTCGTTGAAACTATCGATTCAAGCACAGTATAGCCGTAAAACCCGCGGCAGGAAGCACATTTGAGCCTCGATGCACCACAACCAGCATACAATTCATCGCATTATAAACCTGTGTTTTCTGCGCTGTGCTTAGTATTGGCAAAAGCCAGGCAAAAGCCATACAAAGGCCACTTCAAACCCTAGAAAGCCCTATGGCGAAGCGAAAACCCGGGTTACGTAATCTCAGATCTGCATTTTTTTCCAATTTTTTCATCACATAAGAGAAGAGTATATAAAGAAGCGATGAAATTTGAACGATCTAGCTTCCTGGGTGCACCACTAAAAGATCTAGCCAAGACGCCCGGTGATATATGCTGGTGGAATGAAAGTCTACGTTTACGAGTATATATCAACGATTTCCAGGGCTTTCAAGGTTTCTTAATTCGTTGCATTAAATGATGAATTTAGTTTTTGCATTTTTTTCTGGCATCTCTAATGTTAGGGCGGGTGTTTAAGTACTCTCCGTTCGATGAATACAACTTTTGACTATAAACCTGAATATGCAACGAAACGTAGTGGTAAATCGCAACAGTAAGCATGTAGCATGCGCCCGGAAGCGAGTTCGAACGAAGACCTCGGATCCGGCTTGCGCACCTGACCTCTGTCGAAAATCTGAGAGAGCTGAGCCTCTGTGAGCCATTGCATTGTTGTTGGTGGTCCCAGCGCAACGCTTGACTTGGTTAGAAAGCCCCATGTTGACGTTTTTCGACAAGAACCCGGTGTGGTGCACGAACTGGAGCTGGGCGTGTGGTGAGTTCGATCATGGCGACCACAGTTCGCCGCCACCGCGAGGGGCGTACATCATGTCGCTGAAATTCGTCTTGTAAACTTCTTTGCCGTTAGTCACCTCCTTAGTGCTTTTTTTCTTGAGATATTTGTTAAATTTGACGTTGCGTCGATGTGACCGTTTGTCGACCTGGCGAGAAATGTCGCCGTCCGCAGCCACGACAGAGCAATACGGTATCTGGAATGCATTCGCGAGACGGCGCACGGTGGAGTCTTCGGTCACGAGAATCCAAGTCTTGTCGTTTCGGCCTTCGAGATGACACTTGTAGACGCAACTTTTGAGCAGCATCTTGTAACGCCGCAGTAAGCTGCGCTGTGTGGCCCCCGTGAGGTCATATTCCGGTAATTCTTGGGTTTGGAACGCCAGCACCTCGGACCAAACGATTGTGTCTAGTAAGTCTGGAAACTCAATGATGATCTCTGGACCGTCCTGGCACGTTGTCGTGTGATCGATGAAATGCAGCGCTTCGCGTGCGGTAGGACTGTTTCTGCGGAATTTTAGAAAATCAAGCTCTTGCAGAGTGTACGATGGGATGTACAAGCTGAGCGCAACGTCACTACGCTTATTCTCTTGATCGCACCACTTTTTGATGTGACCAACACCCTTTTCTAGGGCAGAGGCATCCAGAATGTAGCAGAATTCTGCCATTTGCGTGTGAATCTGGCCACTTGTAGGGTGCGCTCGCTGCGTTCACTGTAATTCAATTCAACCAGTGCTCTTGATTCATCCCAGCAGTAGCTACGTAGTGTCAAATATCACAACTGCCGTATGCAATGACATACAAAAACCTTAACACCCATACATCTTTTGAAACATTTCAAATCTCTTTGTACGACAGGAACGTCTTCAGGTCTAAATGTCATTTTACATTTCCATAACATTAAACGAATACTGAAAAAGGCTACAGGCCAATTTCCGAAAATTCGAAAGCCATATTCGACGAAACTGCACCACACTACAACACATAGATTTGAAAAACTATCCTAATGCCGCAGTCCATCAGCAATTTGAACTCTAGTGCATTATGTGCGACGTCCAATTGGTTAACTCGTACAAAGCGACAAAAGTTCAAGTTACCCGGCCACGACGTGATCTGATACGTTTACCCCACCTTGAAGTCTCCCCTAAAACTGATCCGCTCACAGATCTATATACATATCGATATGTATATATATATGAGCGGGATCTAATCCCAGGGGTGTCCTTTACTTGCCACTTGATCCTTACAGGTTATGACAAGGATTTCCTTCCGATAGACTGAAACGACATGGTAATAAATCAGGCATGATATATTTGACCAGTTACTGGGTTATGGCACATTTGGTTTTTTACCCCTGGAGTCTTGGTGGCAGAACTAACGATGGCCCTAGGAGCTTTTGCGCTCTAGGAGATCCACAACTCGCCAGCCGCCGACGTTAAAATTGACGTACAAAGTGACCTCAATACAGAAAAAGAAAAGAAAAGAAACCCACACACCTCTGAATCACGTGATGAGAAAATATTTCAATATCATTGGATACGACAACCAACGGCCTTCCCCCTCCCCCAGCCGATACGGCGTCGTGGTGCTGTACGAGCTGCAGGTGCGATGCGATGCAACACGATTCCGGGGCGTGCACCCGACTGTAAGCGTGCTAGTTGTAGTGGGGACCAAAATGTGGAGCAATGGGAGGTGACAAGAGATTGCGCTAAGGGCGCAGATTTTTTGGATTTTTGCGACTCCGTCTGCGGTAGGCTGAGCGCGCGATAAGCTACGCTTACCGCGCTTACCGCGCTCACCGCGCTCACCGCTGGTACGTCGCTCCGCGAACGCCGCCGATATCTGCGAAACCCCGGGACACATATGGGGCGGAAAATTAAACGGGAAGAACAATACACGTGTGAAATGACTACAATCTTCTTGTCGTTTAAATGTCTCGCCGTAACATCGTTTATCTCTGCGGCTCGTTGATGGCGGGTCGCGAGCAGTCTCGTTTAAGAAGTTTTTTTCAAACTCTTAACGCGATATAAAAGATAGAAAAGGAAGCACATCGTGGGTCTCGAAAAAAGAAGATACTGAAGATTGTGGCCGCAGCAGGGAGTTGAAACAATAGCACCCGAATCATTTAACGGAGCTAGATATTGTGGCATTCTATTCCTAAATACACAAGAAATGTCTGCCGTTTTCGGCAATTCTACGTTGTCCGCTGCCATCGAGCAAGGCGGATCCTACTCAGAGACACTAAAGCGTGTCATCACGTACCAGCCCCAGCTGAACGTTGTTGAACAATACTGGGCTGCTTGGTACAGCTACATGGGCAACGACGTGCTTGCCACGGGTCTTATGTTCTTCGTGCTGCACGAATTCATGTATTTTTTCAGATGTTTGCCATGGGCCATCATTGACCAAATCCCCTTTTTCCGCAGATACAAACTTCAACCCACCAAGATCCCTAGCGTAAAGGAACAATGGTACTGCTTCAAGTCAGTGCTTTTATCCCACTTCTTGGTCGAAGCTATTCCAATCTGGACTTTCCATCCAATGTGCCAAAAGCTCGGCATTTCTGTCACCGTGCCATTCCCAACCATCAAGACCATGGCTTTCCAAATTGGATTGTTTTTCATTTTGGAAGACACATGGCACTACTGGGCTCACCGTCTGTTCCATTACGGTGTCTTTTACAAGTACATTCACAAGCAACACCATCGTTACGCCGCACCTTTCGGTTTGGCCGCTGAGTATGCTCATCCAGTCGAAACTTTGTCTCTAGGTTTCGGTACCGTTGGTATGCCTATACTTTATGTCTTGTACACGGGTAACCTGCACCTTTTCACCCTTTGTGTGTGGATTACTTTGAGATTATTTCAAGCGGTCGACTCCCACTCCGGTTACGACTTCCCATGGTCTCTTAACAAGTTTTTGCCCTTCTGGGCTGGTGCAGAGCATCACGACTTGCACCATCACTATTTCATTGGTAACTACGCCTCTTCTTTCAGATTCTGGGACTACGGTCTTGACACCGAGGCTGGTCCAGAAGCAAAAGCCGAAAGAGAAGAGAGAATGAAGAGAAGAGCGGAACAGAAGGCTAAGAAGGCAAATTGATTTAAGAAGCCCACTGGTGTGCAGTTTGTCAATTTTTTCTTCCGTATATTCTTTATAGAAATCCCGCTTTTGATTCGAAGCGGCACTGCTTTTTCTAACTTATTGCATAGCTTACCTTTGATTTCATAAATCTTAAGGTCCTGAAACACAGCATCTTTATGTCTTTCAAGCCAACCGTTTCACCCTTAGAGACACTTGTACCAGTCACAACCTACATAATAGTCAAACCGCTAGGCGTCATATACTGGACCAGGATAACGTACCACCTTGTATGGTGACATTCAATTTTTTGAATTACTCTTGAAATAGGCTAAAATACATCTTACATTTATCTAGTATGCGGAATTGACTAACCGACCCAGCTTCTAACGGATTTGAACATTCTGATCCAAGGGCCGTAACCTTGCCATTCGTCGTATTTCTCGGCTGGATACCACGAGTTGGCCTCTAGTCGACATACTCTTTCAGGATGAGGCATCATCGCTAGAACCCTTCCGTTAGGAGATATGACACCTGCGATAGCATTGGTGGCTCCATTAGGGTTGAAAGGGTATTTCTGGGTGGCATTGCCATAATTATCCACATATCTCACGCCGGTAAGCCCTTGCTTCTCGAAAGCAGTCATTTGTTCGGAAGAGGAGAAGCTGGCCCTTCCCTCACCGTGCGCAACAGCGATTGGTAATTGAGATCCCACCATGTTGTTGAAAAACACACTATCACTTTCGGCGTCTTTCACAATCTCAACCATACAGACACGGGCCTCGTACTGTTCACTTGCATTTCTTTCAAAACTTGGCCAGTTTTCGCACCCAGGAATGATTTCTTTGAGTCTACTCAAAAACTGACATCCGTTACAAGCTCCGAACGCAAATGTATCCTCTCTTTCTTGAAAGAATCTGACAAATTGCTGGCGCACACCTTCATGGTACAAGACAGATTTAGCCCACCCGGCACCAGCTCCTAGGACGTCACCGTAAGAGAATCCACCACAGGCGGCTAATCCTACGAACTCATCCAAAGAAAAGCGTCCGGTGAGGAGGTCTGTCATTGTGACATCCACTGCAGTAAACCCAGCCTGTTGGAAACACCAGGCCATTTCCATCTGCCCATTAACACCTTGTTCTCTCAAAATCGCCACTTTAGGCCTTGATCCAGAGAGCTTGGCTAAGTTAAGATTGTCGACGGGGTCGAAAGTTAGCGAATAGTAGAGACCAGGATCCTTATCATCGGTGATAGAGGCGAATTCCTCTTCAGCGGCCTTGGGGTTATCTCTTAGTTTTTGTAGTTGATATGATGTAGTAGCCCAAGTCTTTTCAAGAGCACCTCTGGTGCTTTCAAAGATGGTACTTGCGGAGGTTGTCTTTACGGTAATCTTCTGAGAATCAAATACTGGCTTACCAACGATCGACACAAACTCGGATGGGATACCGTTCTGGGTTAAGACCTTTTTGAACTCATCGAACGTCGACTCGAAGACTTGGAAAACACATCCAAGTTCTTCATTGAAAAGAGAGACCAAATCACTACCTTCAGAGTTTGCGCCAACTGTGATGTTTAGACCACATCTGGAAGCAAATGCCATTTCAAGTAATGTTACGATCAATCCACCGTCAGACCGATCATGGTAGGCCTGGACCAAGTCTGTTTTATGCAGTTCCAAAATGGAGTTTAGTAGTGCTTTCAATAGAGCATTGTCGTGCACCGTTGGAGAGGTGTTACCCACTTGCTTGTATACCTGCAACAAAGCAGATCCCCCCAAAGATTTAGTGTGATTGGCAGCAAGGTCGACAAGAACGAGAACAGAGGCCTCTTTTTTGCTCAAAACGGGGGTCCACGTCTTCGCAGTGTCAGAAACAGGCCCAAAGGCAGTTATGTTCAAAGTCAATGGAGCAGTGACCTCTTTGTCATCCCATTTCATCTTCATTGACATAGAATCTTTCCCCACAGGAATGGCGATATCGAGGGCGGGGCATAGGTCCATACCGATTGCCTGAACAGCCTCATATAGTTTAGAACCTTCACCTTGGTGAGATGCTGGTGACATCCAATTGGCAGAGAGCTTGACGTGCTTCAAAGACTTGACGTCTGCAGCTACCAAGTTGAGCAAAGATTCTGCAACACAGAGCTTTGCAGATGCAGCAGCAGAAATAAGAGCGTTAACCGGTCTTTCGCCCATAGCTAAAGCCTCACCGGTCTGGCAAATCCCTTCACCAAGAGCGGTGCCTGTAACGCCGACATCGGCGACAGGAACTTGCCAAGGTCCCACGAACTGGTCTCTGTCAATAAGACCTGTAACTGTTCTGTCACCAATTGTGATCAAGAAAGACTTTGAGCCAACCGATGGCAAGCGTAAAACTCTATCGACGGCCTCTCCAACAGATGGAACAACCGCCAAGTCCGGGGCCGCTAAACTTAGTGGTCGTGTTAAAGCGGTTTTGGACATCTTAGGAGGTTTTCCAAATAGAATAGACATTTCGAGATCGATAGGTGTAGTGCCTAGCAAAGAGTCTTGTACAACAAGTCTTTGCTCGGCCGTTGCGTGACCAACGATAGCATAAGGTGCCCTTTCTCTTTGACAAATCTGTTCGAAAAGAGCAACATCTTGTTGCGAGACGCCCAAGACATACCGCTCTTGGGACTCATTGCACCAAATTTCCATTGGAGACATTCCTGGCTCAAGAGAAAGGACTTTTCTTATGTCGAACTTGGCACCCAAGTTGCTATCGTGTACAAGCTCTGGTAAAGCATTGGATAGACCTCCAGCACCCACGTCATGAATGGATAGAATTGGGTTCGAAGATCCCAGCGAGATGCAAGCATCGATAACCTGTTGACAACGACGCTCCATCTCAGGATTACCTCTCTGTACTGAAGCAAAATCCAAGTCTGCCGAACCTTCTCCAGAATTAACCGATGAAGCTGCACCACCTCCGAGGCCGATCAACATTGATTCTCCGCCCAGAACAATCAAACAAGACCCAGGGGTAATTGGAGTATCTTTGAGAGCAAATCGAGGTCTAACAGCGCCAAAACCACCAGCAATCATGACGGGCTTGTGAAAACCTCTTAGTTCCTTTTGGTTTTCGGAGGTGTTCACTTCCGTTGTCAAAGTTCTGAAGTATCCGTTGATACAAGGTCTCCCGAATTCATTGTTGAACGCAGCAGACCCAAGAGGGGCTTCAATCATGATATCCAAAGCGGAAGCGATATGATTAGGCTTACCAACGTCGAGTTCCCATGGTTGCTTGTAGCCTGGAATCAATAAATCACTGACAGAGAATCCACTGAGACCACACTTGGATTTGGAACCTCTACCAGTGGCGCCTTCATCTCTAATTTCACCACCAGAGCCGGTTGCGGCACCTGGAAATGGAGACACCGCGGTTGGGTGGTTGTGAGTTTCGACTTTGATCAACATGGCCACATTTTCTTTGGTTGCAGTCCATTGCTTGGTTTTGAAATCTGGTGCAAAGAAGAAAGCTTCGTTCTCGGTGTCAAGAACTGCAGAATTATCGGAATAAGCACTGATGGTGAACTCAGGACAATGTTGATGCGTGTTTTTGATCATTTTGAAAAGGGAAAGTTTTTTTTGCAGACCGTCGATGGTCCAATCGGCGTTGAAGATTTTATGACGACAATGTTCCGAGTTGACTTGTGCGAACATAAATAGTTCGACGTCAGTTGGGTCGCGGTGTAAGATCTCCACAAACGCATCGATTAAGTAGTCAATTTCGCCCTTGTCAAGCGCCAAGCCCAGGTCAACATTAGCTTTGTTCAAAATGTCCTTAGGAGAACCGGACTGATCAGAGACAAGCGGGACATAAACTAAAGGCTTAGGCGCTTCGTGTCTGAAGAGAGTCTCAGTTAAAGGTGGTTCGTCCAAGAATAATTCATGGGTCATGCGGTCGTAACACGACTTGAGAGAAACGTCGTTGAGATTGTCCAAAAGCGGGAAACCTGGCACGGTCTTGATAAGTAAGGCCAAACCCCTCTCAATACGGTTGATTTTGTCGTTCAACCCGCAAACATTCGAAATGTTAGTCGCTTTGGAAGACCAAGGCGAGATAGTACCAGCTCTAGGCAAGATTCTGACCAGATAAGTGTCATTAGCGATTTGACAACTGGCATTATTGATCAATTTGTCCTTCAAAAGCTGCGAAAGTGGATCCTCAGAGTCCAAACTTTGGTCATAAGTCAACAAAACTTGCAGAAGCTGGTGATCCTTCTCTGATATCGTTTCGACGCTAGCATCAACAAAATGAATGTAACAAGAGCGGACTTCTAAAATCAAAGACGAACTGTTACAATAGGCCTCGATGCCCTTCACCAAGTTATCCACTCTGAAAGGTGACAAAGCCTGTGGACCGGGCAAAACGTGAACCGACATGATTCCGAGCTGCTTCCAGATTCAAGTCTTGCTCAGATTGAGTACTGATCAACCTAGGTATTATATAAACTGATTTTGTTAGAATCATTCTTTGACATCAATAATCTGTTTTTTAACGTGCAGAGAAAATTAGAAAATCTGGAAATTATGTGAAAATTCGACAAAAAATGAAGAAATTGCAGAGAAATTGGAAGAATAGGCAAGAAGAGACTGGAAAAAGGTAGTGATTGCGGTATCAAACCAAACATTATCGTTAAATATCATTAATCTAATTTCTCTTGTCTTTTTCTTACAAGTTTTGTCTTTATAACGTTTATGGATTTTCCTACTTAATAGCGATTTGACTCTGTTAAATGTCAGTTACGTGTAGAGTGATCCAAAGAATTGTATCTGATAAACTGGGCAACAACTTGCTCCGGCTTGCGAATTACATTTGACACAAAACAAATATCAAGTATCATGCGCCTGAGCTTGAAATATCAGGCTCTTAATGGTGCATATCCACATTTGCATTGTCATATCTTTTTCATTTTTTTTCAATTTCTTTCACTCCATGTAAGATTTTGAGATTCTTGAATTAAATTAGACGTCAAAAAAATGAGATTCTTAGGAGAAAGCAAAAATTGCAGGGAGAAGAGTGCATAAGAGTGCGTTACAGTTGCAGTGAGCAAACAGGTCATACTTAGGCCTCGAAAAAGGTCTCGGCGGTGTCTTTATTCAATTGTATGTACATGTCTTCATTCTGTTTAGCCCACTATGTACGAAAGGACTTACAACGTTGAAAAATTTGGTCAAGCTCATCGCGAGGTAGAGACAGATGGGCCTTACCATTTGATTGAAAGCTTTCACTGTGTAAAATGCCTCAGAAAGCTCTTAAAGTGACCAAAGCGCCCAAGGATCCTCGGAGGATTACTAAGAAGCAAAAAAATCTGCGAAAAGCCGCACCTTTGCAATTAAAATCCAAGAAGAAGTCCCTTGCACACATGAAAAAGCTGAACAAAGCATCTTCGCTGACCGAACAGACCGAGAAGCTGATTGCAAGCAAAGTGGGCCATTTGGAATTGGTCAGAGGTACTCGGAGAGAAATAGAGCAGAAGAAAAAAGAGGGCAAAAAATGATAGGGCCCCGGCAAGACGACTTGTCTGCAGTGTACAATAAAGTGTAGTGTATAATAACGCATGGTTTATGGAAATGAGGTTGTACAAAAAGGTCAACGATAATAGGGCCAGAGCCAGTCTAGAAGCATGTTCTGCAGCAAAGAATACAACTGGGAACTTATCCAGTAAGTTGTCAGCAGAAACGAAGCCTGTGACGATATGCCCATGAGAAAGATGCTGCTGAGTCTAGACACATTGAGCACGCTCTTCAAGCCCTGTGAGATCCGGGACGTCGAGTTAGCCGCCGTCTCTATCCCTACGACTGAGAGCGCAGTGGTGTGCATCATCCTCCCGCTATGCTCGACATTAAGCATTGCGAAAGTGCCCAGAACCAAAGGCGCCAGCATAGGTAGATCTTCAAGCGGCATGCTGAGATCTAGGTTTCCCAGGCGAGCTTCGAATCCAAGAGAATTAGCTGGTTGAAGCGGAGAACTTTGGGTCAAATTCGAGTCTATGAGCTGTTTTTGCGTCAAATTCCGAATTCCCATTGATACACAGACCCAAAGCGGTATTTGCACGAGTGGGAGAATGGCGTTTTTCCACATTGGCACGTTATGCGACTTATACAACGATTTTTGACGTTTGCGTGTTTCTTTTAATGCAAGCAAGGTAATTTGATCTGGCGTTAAAGCCGTTTGCGGGGAGTCTCCACCATTCACCCTACCGTTTCTCGTGCTAGCCTGCGCTAATCGCAGCTTTACTACCGGCGTGACAGCCTGTACAATTTTCCGCAGGTCCCGCTGCTGAAGGAGTCTCTTTCTTTGCCATATGCTCAGCGGAAGCGTCAGACAAGTCCTCAGAGCAAATGTGGTAGCGGGCACGACCAGAAGCCACGGAAGTCCGCTGAAATCATGAATCGCGGTAAAGGCGTCGGTAACGGTCTGAAAGGAACCAAACCCGCGTAAACCAGAGCGGGACGCTCTACAAGGAGCGCCCACGCGCATGACCAATGCCAAGCCCATGTCTAAATAACCCGACAATGCCTTGGCCGGGGATCGCGATATTACGAGAGCGATGGGTTCTTCAAAGCTTATTGAAATATACAGAAGTTGATTATATAACACATGTTCGTGAGAAATGATATTTACCACACGTCTCCGCGGTTCGAATGTTACCGGCGGCGTATTTATGATATCGCTCTTTTTTTTGGCCGTTTTTGGCAGGTCTAACGGTTCGCACATCTTGCGAGAGATGTCATATATGTATCCCCCATCAATCGACCTGTGTACCGTCTCTGGGCTTGTAGTGCGGAAGAAGTTCTACGACTTCGACAGGAAGTCGACCGTCTACTTTGATGGCATACATTCCAGGAATATAGGGGTCTACGCTTATCCATTTGGCGACCCATGACCTCGACGGTTTGCACATACCCACCAGGCCCTCGAAAGAAGGAGACGTACACTCCATAGTACTTACACCGGCCTCTTCAAAAATTCCCTGACAGTTCGGACATCCGTCTCTTGTGAACTCAGCGGTCGTCTGTACGATCCCACACAGCATGCAAGCCCTTTCGGACATAATAGAAAATGCCAGTAATATCCAACAACAGTCAGAACCGGATCGTCTGTCAAGGTTGAATCTAACACGGAATTGACGAAGAACGATTCCAATCTATATATTACATAGAGAAGAGTTTACTGGCGTGATCACTGTTTACGAAAAACACATTCAAGCCGCGACACCGTCGATTCTATAGACTCAAATAGGTTTTAGTTGCCTCTATATACGCCGTGAACCAATACCGAATCCTGTTGCGGTTTCTGGACACTTATGCCCTTCTGTCTCCTGAAAAGACTATACTTTGAACAGCAAATAATCATTGTCTTCGAAAGTCTTACTCAGTGGTCTCTACCTAGTGCTATTCTTCTGCCCCATCTTTAGTGAATATCTCAGAACTAGAGTTGTGGTGTAAAGCTTTAGTGTCGTACATTTTGGACAAGGATGATATTATGGATAATCAATCGTAAGTCGTTAGCCAAGGAGAACAATCCAAATTGCAGAGGGAATCGAATTAAACTGCGCAATAGCTTGTGGTTTCGGCGCATATCGTTTTGAAAAACAATTATCCACATTTGAAGCTACGTATGGAAGCGTACTTACTAACAGAACTGACGTTACCCATTGAGTACTCATACACGTATAAAGCGATGATTTCTGCTTATTCAACCTAGTATTCTAGGCACGTGACCAATGAACTAAAGTTTCCTATTAATATCTAAATGTGGATCTTGTATCTCGCTCTTATCCTCTTGAATTGGAAAACTCAGGTTTGCAGTATTAGTCATGACCTACTCCCGCAATCTGACAGCTCGACCCCCGCTCCGTATCCAATTGTGTGGAAAAGGTGGTTGGTGTCTTTTTTAACGGGGTAACTTTGAGTCCTAGAATTAGCCCCGTTAGCAGGCCATTTGGCAAATCGTTTGCTCAAATTTGATCCTAGTTGGGTGATACTTGGCCTACTGGATCTTCGTCCAATAGAGCCAGCGTATTCGTCGCAGCTCAAATTTCATACGACCCAGCCCACTGGCTCTACTCGCACTACTGACGGCGCCGAATTCGTCACCCCAGTGACTGACTTGAAAATCGATTTTACCATATTCATAGTCCCACTGGGAAACCCTGACCTTGCAGCCACAGTTGAACCTGGGTCTAGTAACTGCTTTTCCGCTGCCAGATAAGGACACACTCGTAGCTCTACAAATTTTAAGTCCGAATTCTGTATTTAAGAGCGACGCCATCTGTACCATCGAGATCAAGATAATCGTTAGCTTTGTCCGTCACATCATGTCTAAGTATCTCACGGAAGTGAAAAATGTTCTAAGCAGCAATAAGTTTGTTCAGGTGAATGGCAATTTCTGTCCCGACTGTGTCTATGTCAATGGTGTTTGGAAGAAGTTAGGTGTTTTCGACAAAATCCGTCTCTTCGAAGTCGGCAATATGAACCGAGAGGACCAAACCCGCTACAGAGACGCTTTCGCCGAGGTAGCCGGTTACCGGAATTTGCCAACTCTGTTCGTGAATGGCCAGGCTTGGGGCACTGAGCGGGAAGTCCATCAGCTGGAGCGCCAGGGTAAGCTCCAGGCGGAACTCGAAAGAATCGGGTTGTTGTAATAGGGCTGTGCAGGAAAGACGTTGTAATTAGCGGTGAGATTTTGGTATTTGTATAAGATTTTTATCTTGTTTAAATCTAAGAATATCGCTCATATTAGTTGAAATTAGGTAAGATAATTGTCGATGTGGTCTTTTAGATAATAGTATTCACCGCGCTTTTCCATTGCAGTGTCCACGTATTTGGGCACAGGTTTGCCTTCTTCGCTGTTGTAGAGAATAATCCCGTTGCCTAGAGCATGTTTCTTCTCGTTTCTCTTATAGAAGAACAGAACGACGAACGTCCAAAGACCGTAGATGGCGCCGAAAGTCAAACTGACGACGTAACCTGTGTGAAATCTAGGCGATTCGACCGTCTGCCACGCGAGTGCCGGGATCCACGCGTAGGTGGACTGCGAAATAGAATATATTGCAATCCAAGTAACTGCTTTGACCTGTGGATCGAACCTTAAGAAATCGTTGATAAACGACCATAGACAAGGTGACGGCGCAACCGAGAAATATGTTGTCAAAAACGCAAACCATTTGGCGCCAGACGACACGTCCCATTTAATCAAAATAGCGCAAGAAACACAATTGATGATCGCGGCAAAAACCATAAAAGCCCACTTACACCTTGTCAAATCCGCACCCCATGAACACAGGAAAACGTATGCAAACCCAAGACACGCAGGTAGCACTGACATGTTGTTGACTTGCACAATAGAATAGTTAGGGTTTGATTTCAACCACAATGAGTAACCGCCACTGAACGCAGTCATGTTGTTCCAAGAACAAGTATCGAAAACAACTAGCACCCAAAACGCAGGCGTGAACAAAACTTTTTTCCAGATTTTCCAGGACCACAGCGGCGCCAACATAGATTTGTCAACACCGTCTCTGATTTGATTCCTCTTATTCCTTGCACGGGCGACTCTAATTTCCTCGTCAGTTAAAAATAGCGAGTAGCACTTGGATGGGATGCCAGGTATCACGAAAAACCCGATAATCGCCGTGGGAATCGAAATGGCTACTGCGTCGATCAAGAACATCCATCTCCAACCTGCCATTCCCGCGACACCATCAAGACTCTTGTAAATACGCGCCTGTAACAAGCCTGAAGTCACGCCGCCCAAAAGCTGGCCGCAGAAGAAGAGACATACTCTAGAACTGATTTCATCAGGTGCATACCAACTGCCCAGGACATACTGGGACACAGGGTAATAAGCGGCTCCGAAAGCGCTCAGTATGAATCGGTAACCTCTTAACTCGGCCAGAGACTTGGCACGATAGCACGCAAACGTGAACCACGACCAGCCCATGTCCATGAACGGCAAGATAATGTGCGCTGGGAACCGTGGGAGCAAGTACATGAAGGGCAGCTGGAACACGATGGCACCCACATTAGATATCGTCGACGTGTAAATGTAATCGTTACCCTTCATATTGAGATCTTCTTTCATACCGGAGACGTACGCACTGGTATAATTATTAGTGTCGAGCGATTTGGACCAACACAGCATCAAAAAATAAACACCGACCAGTAAGTCCAGCTTATACAACAAAGTGCGCTCGGCTTTGGTGTGGGTCGTGTGATTTGGGTACAGAAATGAATACCAGCTGCGTGATTTCTTGTATTCCGAGTTAGCTCTGTACTCGAACTCATCGAAAAATTTCCACCAACGTCTTCCAGCTTCGTCCCTCAACTCGTAAGGAAATCCATGCTGCAATTGACCCTCCTCTGACTCGACTGTCTTCGTAGTTTCGAGATCACTACCTTTTGTCTTCGTTTCGTCGCCAACAACATCGTGGGTGTTCGGTTCGGTGTAAACCTCGTGAACGCTCTGTTCTTCGGGCAAAACTCTCAATCGTGGCCAAAACTTGCAAGAAGGCATTTGATTAGTGATTGATTCATATGAAATGGGACGGAGGTACTAAAACTGGCCAAAAACTGGCTCCTTTAATAGGATTTCCTGATCTCACTGGAGCTCATCGAGCATGACTGCCTAATGGAAATTTTTCACCAATTCCTGGAATGCTAGCGCCGCATATGAGATAGTCATTTTAACATGACTCAAGGATGACTATCCACAGAACGGCCCATACAAAACGTCACTTAAGCAACTGAATTTAGGCAAATAAAGATTCTAAGAAGGGTCGCGCTGATCGCTGATAATACCAGCATGACTACTTCATAATTGTTGAGTTCAGTCAGAGATGAATCCGTTGAATCATCAACTTGATTTGATAGGCCCCGGATTCGTCTAATGTTTAACGCGACAACATTTCAGCTTTCGTCGCAGTGTGCACCAGATTAAGAATGATGAGCTACCATCCCACCTATTGTGAAAACAAACTCTTCGTCGAACAGTTCAAGATTTGTTGGATTTGAGTCATTGGAACATGTTACAACGAGTGAAGAAGTGTGGAAATGGTGATACTGCACTGGTTGAACATTCCAAGCCTATTTGCTACGATTATATATCCAATGCTCTATCCGCGACTTACACAGTTTTTCCACAGGGCTTACCAAATGATAGCTGTTTGGCTAACTTTGCTTTCTGAGAATTTAAGCTTCTATTGGAATTCGAACAGAGAATGAAAATTGATCAAACGGAGTCACGTGATTCTGCCAATGCGTATCACATTTGACGTAAGTCACGTTACAATCTCATCCTAACACCCATTCACCCTCGGTCTGTAGTTGAAAAATTTTCAATATATAAGGCGATGATTCAATTTCCACCTATTTCAGGCGATATTTAACGCTCCATTACAGCTCAACGCGGCTCCAAAGTATCTCCCATCAATAATACGTATGTTGTCTGACAAATAAGAAGTTTTTGTGGTTGGAATTAGGGCAGATTACCGTCTCTTTACCGCTTAAAGATGATGATTTTGACCTGGTTCCAACACCAAGAGAAAAAGCTACCAGAATGGACTCTTTCGCGATCAATGGACATGGTGAGAGAGCCTTGACACTCTTTCCTTGCCATGTATGTGTTCGACGAGTCTCTTTAATTTCTGTCTTTAAATTTTGAAGGTTGCCAGAATCAAGTGTAATCATACTCTCTGTTTTGCTTATGGGCCCAACGGCTATTTTACTAAGCGATGTGATAGCGGGTTGACGCTCTGAAGAGCACCAGCCGCTAGGAAAGTATGATCCTTGATACCATTGTGCAATCTGAGACGAGCGGGCCCGTAAGAGGGATCCGCTCTGTCACGTGTATCATGACTCCGTTAGAGGACACTCATGGTGCTTTCTCAAAAGCTAAAGAAGCAGAAGTCAAGTACTGACCGGAATTGCCCTATTTTTGTTTAGTCTCATCGCTATGGCTCGTATTTCCGTTTTGGCTGACGCTTTGAACAACATCAACAACGCCGAAAAATCTGGCAAACGCCAGGTTTTGTTGAGACCTTCTTCTAAAGTGATTATCAAATTTTTGCAGGTTATGCAGAAGCACGGTATGTTTTAATTACGGGCTAAACTTCGGATGTCGTTTTGCGCCTTTCGGATTTTCCAATATTGTCCTTGTTTCGACTTCTCGCTTCTTTTTGCAACCGGACATATAACTGGATGGCATGTTCGGGCAGCTATGCTGTGATTTTTCAGTCCCATACTGTCTTTTAAGTGTCCGGGAAATTAAAGTTTTGAAAATGCTTCTTACACGGTCCTGAATCTTTTCCATGCTCTTGACCGTTTACTTTTTCTCGACATTCGAGTCGAAACTGGGCAATTTGGTTACTGTGATGCTGCCATTCTTCATAGTTGGACACCAAGTTTTGAAAAAAATAATAGTCAGCAGTTAATACTAACAGCGTTTGTCAGGTTATATTGGTGAATTTGAGTACATCGACGACCACAGATCTGGAAAGATCGTAGTTCAACTTAACGGTAGACTCAACAAATGTGGTGTCATTTCCCCAAGATTCAACGTCAAGATGCCGGACATTGAGAAGTGGACAGAAAACTTGCTTCCAGCTAGACAATTTGGTTACGTTATTTTGACGACTTCGGCTGGTATTATGGACCACGAAGAGGCTAGAAGAAAACACGTTGCAGGTAAAATTTTGGGTTTTGTCTATTAAATAAATATAATGTAGTGTGCTATGCCCAGCATAGTCAAGCTAATTGAAGTCAAAAAAATGGAATGGCATTGCGACCGCAGTTGACCGGATGTCGCTCATCGTAGCTTTAATAGGGGTCTTTCTCAAGAGATTGGGATAAATGGCAAATGGCCAAAACAGTATTTCACCGTCATTTGCTACCTGTTATATCTTCACTCACGTAACTCAAAGTTCCCGCAAACTTTTTAGACTCGCGGTGCTATTTGGGTGACCGTACAAGTCCGAAATATACTGGTTTCGCATGCTAGAAAGATTTTGCCTTGTTTTTAAATCAAAATTTAAAATTGGCATTGAAGGACGCGAATGTGATCCACGCAATTGAATCTTATGATCCCTTTGAATGAGAGTTTTGAGCAAATTCTCTTTCCTCTCAAGTTCATTGATGAGCGTTTCGAGAGTTGCATCTGTCGTGATACCTTGGAAGTTGCATTTCGAAGTCAAAGAAACGAGAAACTTACGACACATCGAAGTGATATTATGTTGTAAAACGTAAAAGCCAACGGGAACTGTTCTATGACTCTTTCCACTTTGCATACGGGCCTCTTTATTGGAAAGTTGTTGACTATAGCAGCTTTTTGGTTTAAGCGCATATGTCTCGACAAACTCTTTGACCAGCAGCATATCTTCCTCAGCGCTTGCTGATACCTTCGTGCCTCTGAAAGAAATAGTTTCACTCCAAACGACCATTAAAACCTGGATTATGGGGTTTTCGAAAAGGTATTCCCCAATAGCATTCTTTGCAGCTCCACCTGCCATATTAGGATCGGAGGGTATCATGAGATCGAAAAGTGTCAACTGAAATGTGATGGTGTCAACGATTAACATGAGATTTTTGGCAGAAAAGCCTTCCCACGAGATATTCTCTTGCACTGCTAACATGCCAATCACAGGAAAAACACATATTGCCAAACTGTTGTTGATACAATTGGACGTGGGCCAAGCAGATTTCATATTTTCCAGTGAAAGTTCACCACCTTCATCTCTCAAATAATGGTAAATGAACCAAGTGCAATGCTTCGACTCTCCCGTGTAGCAACCGTCACAGCAACTCCAGATTAGTTCGAACCAAGTAACTGTTAAAAGTTCCCAATGAGTCTCGTTACTCGGGATACTCAAATGTTGCGTGAGCATATTGGAGATCTTAGAACGAGCTGCCGTAACAGTAACGTGAAGAGACCACATTTCGAAGGAACTCTTAAGCATATCTCTATCGGGTGTTGTCGAATCGCATGAAACATGACTCATGGCGCCATTTAAGACGACCAATGCGGTGTGTATAGTTTCGTGGGTGTGATTCTGAAAGTGGGTTGGGCTGGGACAGGAAACGTTATAGAGTAGCGCTTTAACTATAGCGTCGAGTGCATGTTGAGGGAGGGCCAAATCAGTGATTTTCCCTATGCCCTCAATGCATTCGTAAAGGCTTTTATCATTATAGCACTTTTGGCTTGCGAACCACTGATAAAGAGTCTGGCAAGATGGACTATAACGCTGCGATATGAAAGCCATACTGACGAACTGGCTGAAAACAGTCCACAGCTCTTCTTGTGTTTCAAAGACTTTCTGCGAAGACGCAAGATCGACAATAGTTTGCAAAGCTTGCTGATACGTTTGACCAATCTCGAGGATGCCCACTGGTGTTTCGTTCTCCTTTAAATGAGCATAAAGGTGAATGAGTAGGTTGAAAGCGGCTAGACTTTGCCGAACAGGCACGCTGGTGCCAAACTGCCAGGTAACATGCCACAGCCGCTTAAAACATTGCGCGGGCCCGCCCTTCGCAAAGCATCCCACGGTCACAAGCGCTGCAATCGCAGGAGAATTTTTACAGAGTAAAGCAAACGACTGCGTAGATTTCATGCCAAACCTCAATTTGAGCGCTACACCAGCAGCAAACACATTGTGCGAAACGACGTAGCGCATGCCACTGTCAAACCAGTAAACAGCATCTTTTTCAATTTGATCTTTCAGCGCCTGGCTCAAACTTTCGTCATACAACAAATCCTTGATATGCGCAACAAGCACTTCGCTAAGTTCACCTGACATTACGGGAGTCGAGAAAATCAGTGATTCGCACTTTTGAGCCTTGCCAATTTGCGGAATTGGATTGTCGCTATCCTTCTGAGTTCCAATGAATGAGTTTACTACGGAATCTTGAACATCTTTGCTAAATTCGCGAGAACATAAAATCGACAACTTGCGCTGTACAATGTCCCGATGAACCGTTCTTATATGCCGCTGTAGAAGATCTCGCCGAACAAAATTTTGCGAACACACCAGACATGAAAATGGCTTTGATCCACGATGAACCCGTTCGTGTCTTCGTTTGTGCTCTGACCTTGTAAAAGTTTTAGCGCAAAATGAACAAATATAGTTTTTAGGAGCCATACCACAGTGCTATATCGGACAGAATCACTCACTAGAACGATTTGCAAAACTTAATCTTTCTTCATTACCACATTTTTCCTCCATGATCATCGCCAGCTGACATATATTATGTATGCCCCTCCTTCGAAGACATGACTGACATTGACTGATTCACCTTTTGGGTTATCGCGAAAAAATCGTAAGAGTTCGTCGCATTCGCTTTCTGTCGACAGCCGTTTGGCAACTACCTTAGAGGTTCCGAGTCTTGAATAAAAAAAAGTGAAAAACTCCGAAGTTAAGGGATTCGATGCCGGCATACGTCTTGCGATCGTGAAAATTAGTCTGATCATGCTTTTGCCGCTAGAAGTCTTGTATTTCTATTTTTCACCTAATCCTCATCTTCCTGATTTAATTCGTTCTGAGTTGTCGAAGTTTGCATAGTATCATCTATGGGTACTCCATGTAGTTGCGAGAAACTACCATGAGCTAGCGGACTTGATGTAGAATATTGCCGTATTTCAGGGCTTCGTGCCCTGACAAAGTTCTTGAGTCCTCCGCGAAAGCTGCGAGCATTTATGTGACTAGGCTTGGGCCCAACTAAAGCAGGTATCGGGGAACCGACCCTTGAAGGTGGATTGGAAGATTCGTAGCTCGGAGCAAGATCGTCCACCGAAGGGCCTGTCTCGTTATCAGTTTCGTGAACAGTTTGTTCATAGGATGGAACCTCGTTCAGGTTGTTCAGCGACAAAGTTTTAGGTATCATGGAATTGAGAACGTTAGATGACTGGGGTCTTTTTATCTCGCCGCCGCGCGTTCCAATTGGTTCGGCTTCAGGGGCCGGGAAATGGCTGTCCAGGGACGCAGTACGCGCCAAAGACGCAAGCCCCGGCTCGCTTGGCGGACGCGCTGCGTCGTAAAGTCTGTCGTAGACATGCTTTGAGTAGGTTGGGGGAGCTTCCATGTCCTGTTTCGGGAAATAGCTGATAGACAAGGTTCCATCCGTCATGCGTTCTAGGTTGTTCAGCGAATCAGTTCTCGAAAACGGTTCTTGAACGTCATCGTCATTGCTACCGACGTTTATAGGGCGCTGACTGTCCTCGAACAAGGGCGTGATTCCGCCCGATCTGAAATGCAATTTTCCCGCGTTATCCACGAGAACAAGCCGTCCGTTAACTAGAACATGCGGCGAAACATAGAGTAACACTGGTAAGTTGGCCTTTATATCCGTGTTTTGTTCCGGCCTGCTGCCAGCGATTGCGCTTGCGTTGGCGCCTTCCGCTACGTCTCGAGCTCTTTTCATTGATATCTTGATAGAAAGCTTGTGTCTGACTCGAATCAAGTCATTACCAATGTCGCAATCTTGCGTTACCTTCTTCAAATTGTCCGGTAGCTTTATAGACGAGATAATTTCCGTTTTGTCTATGAGAACGTTCCCATTTCTTGTGTCGCAGCCGGTTATACCTTCGAAATTAAACATCTCTTGCTGGAAAACCACGGTTTCGTCGTCGTATAACTGACCATCTTGGTCCTGGAAAGCATAGTATTGCACAAGCTCCGCCTTTATCTTGTGCAACCTGTAACCTTTCTTGAAAGGATAAAGTCTGATCGTAATTGGCGTTATACCACCGATTGGAATGGCTCTACTGGGAATTGAAACCTCGTATTGTAATTTTCCCGGCCAACTTTTTCCCACATACATTTCCTCTTGAACTGCCAGATTGTTAACAGACAAGGTACGGAAAATGCGAAGATATTTGAACCTGGAAAACGCATTTTTGAATCCACCTCTCTCTAGTTGAGATTCAAACTTGTATAAGACGGAACCCGCTTGTAAACCTTCGACGGTTTCTGCAATGTCGGGTGGTAACGAAACTTCGAATGGTAGCTCGTAATTTCCGGCCCGTAGACCAAAAGAGGTTCCTGCTGGAGCAATTTGGCCCTTGTAAGGCGTTCCAGAAACCCCATTTTGTGGAAGTTCCAAGACCAACGAAGAATGCGATTTTTTCGATTTGCGGATCGAACCAATAGAGCTGGCGGAAAGCGACGAAATCATGTGCGGCTTCAATCCATGATGATGCTGGTCAGCAAGCTGACCAGCAGACCCAGGTCCACTACAACCACCGCCTCCAATGGTAATAATTCCCTCAGATGAAACTAACAAGTTTTCCCACACACATTCAAAAATAGGTTTCTGCTCTTTCACAATACTAGCCAAACTCGTATTCTTGTGTTGTCCGACCTGCAGAAACTCCAACTTGAACGTTCCAGATAATTTTAATGATATCTTCTTGGCATTTAAATGTTCCGGTATCGAAAATACCAAATGACCTGATAACGGAATCGGAGCTGCTTCTAAAGGGGTCCCCTGGATGAGTATCATGTTTTTATAGGGAGACTTCAACCTTATATCAAAGTATACCGGTTGCGAAGAAGACGACGAAAGATTGCCAATAGAAAACATCTCCGTGTCTTGTTATCTGTGCTTTCTTTATATAAGTGTTCGATGACCTTACATTGAGGTTTTCACCAACTTCACCAATTTTGATCTTTAAGAAAAATCAACTTGTATCTGGTCAAGATCATCAACGATCTGTCGCAAAAATTCCTACTTTTCGTATCAAACTCCAGGGGCTAAAATGCCACTTGATGGCCAAGTGCTATCACGCGACATCTGGATCGAAATAGCGACGTTTCTAACTTACGGAGACCTCTTGAGTGTGAGATCTTGTTCCACATGGCTTAACAAGGTGATTACCAGTGATGAGGTATGGAGACCTATTTGCGAACAACGATGGCTGAAGAATGATTACAAAGTTTTTGCCAACTACAGGAAGCGCGCCGAGACGAATGGCTTTAAGTGTTTGTTTGATTTCTTTAAGTATAGAAATCACATAGACGAGACCATTGTTAAGACGCTGCGGAAGCTTGGTCAGGGTGACGATGATATTCGACATTACTGGGATTCTTTCAGGTCTCTCATGGATTATGGGGATCTGATTATGCCATTGTTGACGGAAAACAGTCGGAATGGATATACTGGGACCCATGGGGCCCATGGACCTCACAATGAATCTTTCGAGTTCACGTTTCTCGCCAACCAATTGCTTACAGCGATGCAGCATGGTCTCGTGTTTGATCTGATCAATTGTTGTAGCGGAGACGCAACGACGTTGGAGTGGGTCCATTACGCGGAAGAAACGGTTTTCCTCCCATTTTCTGCTTTGGATTTGAGTTTTAACTTGCTTCTACCGCATAGATCTTCGTGTTTTAATGAAGTCAACGACGCATTACACCAGAGCTTCAAAAATTGGTCAGAGTTTAAAAGTTTGCCCAGCACGCTGAAAGTAGATAGAGTTATGAAGCATCTTTTTCAAGTTTTGACAAACAGGAGAAACCCACAGTGGGATTCGCTCTCGCGGTTTTACTTAGACGATTTTTTCTTGCTTCGGGTGTACGCTGGTGAGGCCAGGGGCCATCCGTTGGTGCTGTTGGCAATTATACAGGCGTTCGCGTCCTTTTACGGCATAGAAGCTATTCTGTGCGAAGAATTCTTGATTGTGCGAGACGAAAAAGTACGTTCGGGCCAGACTTATATTACGGTTTCACAAGCGGGCAGGCCCCGCATATTTACTCAAAAGGGGCTCATCGAATCCATGTGCCGTATTTTCCCCAGCCGACAAGCGGTACTGAACACTGTGATTCCGCGACTGTGTCAACCACTCAAAACCAAGAGTTTACTCACCAAATTGTTCGACGAATGGTACCCTTATTGCAAGAAATCGTATTGGAAGGCATTGCCCGGGAGAAGATGCGATTTGCTTTCAAAAGCTATGCCCCATAGTTTGACGCCTGCCTCTCCAGCTGTGTATGAGTACGCACAGGCATACTGGAAAATTAATCAACTACCGCCACACCCGTCGTTCCGAGCCGTGGGGAAAGCCCGATTCGCAAGCTACATCCTAGAACAATTCCCTCACGACTATCCATTACTTCAAAGCCTAAAATTTATAAGTGACAGCCAACTACCCAAGGTTCCAAAGGACATCAAGGTTAAACTGTTCTCCACCAAATACCTGATCACAGAGGGCTCCATTGAAGACACAGGCAAATTTGCAATCGATAGCCGAAATGAACAACAGAGTTATATTGTCATTGCGACGAAAAACAGCGAAAATGGGAACACATATTACATGTTACTCGATTTTTTGGGAGAAATCATCGTTTCACTAAAGGAAGACTTTCGACTGGCAGATAAGACTACGAGCGATGCGATTTGGCATAAAATGCGCCAATATTTGAATTTCTCAGATCTTGGACTCTTTTTCACTCGCTACGATCAAACCAAGTGCAGATTGGTTCCATCAAATTCTTACGCAGAGTACCTGAAAGCTTGAACGTGGATGAGAAATGCCTGATGCAAATTAATGGTCACTTGAACCCAACCGCTGAGGTGATTCTGATGTCACGTGATGTACAACTTTATATCACAAGGCACGATTCTGCTTCTAAGACCTCATTTAAATGACCTACTACCCTGGTATCGAATATTCTGGGACTTAACCACTATTACAAGAGACTATTAGTAGCTTTCTCAAGGGCTTGAAGGACTTTTTTGAGATTTGCTTTTTGAAGCATGCTTTCTCCTTTTACAAAACAATTGAGGAGGTCGTCCTTCGGCTTTCGTGGGCTAAGAAATGCAAGTTCAAAAGTCATCGGAATTGATTTGGGCACGACAAACAGCGCTGTGGCATATGTGAAGGATCCTTTTGACCTCAGTTCCGTCACAATAATTGAGAATGATGAGGGGAAGCGCACAACGCCGTCAGTGGTGGGGTATGATAAGTCTGGTCGCACGTTGGTGGGTGATGTGGCGCAACGACAAGCGCTTGTGAACCAAGGTAGTACGTTTTATGCAACGAAAAGGCTCATTGGACGTCAGTTCGATGATCCAGATACTCAAAGGGATTTGAAAAGACTTCCTTACAAGGTTGTCAAAAATGAGAAAAATGGGCAAGCGTACTTGCAGGCAAGTAGCGGAGACACCAAGTCTCCCAGCGAGATCGGATCTGAAATATTGACATATTTGAGAAAAAATGCAGAAAATTATCTTGAGGAAAGCATCAACAAGGCTGTTATCACGGTGCCAGCTTATTTTAACGATTCTCAGCGCCAAGCTACAAAAGACGCTGGAATTTTAGCAGGGTTGAAAGTCCTGCGCGTGGTGAATGAACCAACTGCAGCGGCACTCAGTTTTGGACTTAACTCTGATAACTACTCAGGAGTCATAGCGGTGTATGACTTGGGAGGTGGCACATTTGATATATCGATTCTAGATATCGAGGATGGGGTTTTCGAGGTCAGGGCAACAAATGGTGATACCCACTTAGGTGGTGAAGATTTTGACCATTTAGTTTCATCTCACATTTTAGAATCTTTTTTCAAACAAAATCCCGATGTCGTTAAGGAGGATGTTTTACAGGACCACGAATGCATGCAGAGAATTAGAAGCGCTTCGGAAAAGGCCAAAATAGAGCTATCTCATGTCAAGCAAGCTACCATCAGCATTCCATTCTTGTTCGACAATAAACATGTGAGTGTCAACATGTCAGAAGAAGAATTGGATAATTTAACCATGCCTTTAATAGAAAAAACGATCCCCCCGGTCAAAAAAGCCTTAAGAGACTCCGATATCGAGCCACATGATGTCGACGAAGTTATCATGGTAGGGGGTATGACAAGGATGCCAAAAATTCGTTCCGTGGTTGGAGAACTTTTCGGTAAAAAGCCCAACACAAACGTAAACCCCGATGAGACAGTAGCCTTGGGAGCTGCAATTCAAGGTGGTATCCTCTCTGGCGAGATTAAAAATGTACTTTTACTCGATGTGACTCCGCTCACGCTTGGCATCGAAACTTACGGGGGCGTCTTTTCCCCGTTGATCCCCAGAAACACAACAGTGCCAATAAAGAAAACCGAAATTTTCAGTACCGGAGTTGATGGACAGAACGGGGTAGATATACGTATTTTCCAGGGAGAAAGGGGATTGGTGAAAGACAATAAACTGATTGGTGATTTCAAATTGGCTGGCATCCCACCTATGCCCAAAGGCGTCCCACAAATTGCAGTCACTTTCGATATCGATGCTGACGGCATCATAAATGTGACTGCAGCTGAAACCAGTACAGGACAAGAGAACTCAATGACGGTTATAGCGAATTCAGGACTGACGGAGGAAGAGATAGCTCAAAAAATTCAGGAGGCAAATGCTAACAAAGAACGTGACAACATCATCAGGCAGAGAGTTGATCTCATTACGAAAGCCGATATTATGCTATCGGACACCGAAAATGCTTATAAAACGTTTGAAGAAGTTATTTCAGGGGACGAAAAGTACCCAACATTATTAGAAAAGCTACGGAGCATCAAGTCATTGATAAAAAAAGCTCAAGAAGATGATACCGACTTTAGCATCGACGTGAATGAGATCAAACGTGCAACCGACGATATCCAGAAGGCATCCCTCGCTCTGTTCCAGAGATCTTCACAAAGACATCGAACGTAAGGAACACCACACCGCCTTGTCCCACCCTTTCAAAATCATAAAATTAATATTTCAATTCGCTCCTGTTCATCTTTCATTTTACAACGTATATAATTTTGCCTAAAGCGATTTGTTCATGAATCTCCTTCTTGTAAATGCAAGCCAAAACTTGGAAGGTGCTTCTTTTGAGTCCCTGTATATGCGCTCTAACAATCTCATGGCAAGTTCCTGGCGAAACTGCTGTATGTAAGACTTCAAGAGTTCAACGTCTGCGTGATTTTGAAGGGGCACCTGATAGACGTTATTTAGAGGAAATCCAGGAGTACCTGGTATCGCGAAGTCATCAAGTGCCAAATTTGTTAGAGCTTTCAATGCTTCGTTATAAGACGTCGTGGATCTCAAATGAGCCAAACAGTCGTTGACAAACAGAATGCCGTAAATAAGAATTCGGTCCGCTGGTGACTTAATTTCAAAATTTCTGAAGAACGAATTGGCCCGGAAAAGATCAAGGCTTTCATCTATAATGTCATAATCTGTGTTTGCCTGGTAAGCGGGGCCTCTATACCTCGTATTCAAAGGCAAAAGTGCCACATTTCCAACAAATCTATCATGTTGAGGATCGGCTGCAAAAGTAGAATGGTAAGCCTGAGTGACAATCGAGTTAGTATTGTATTCTTGCGATGTTCTCGAGAAAATGCTTTATCGACCACATCATGACCAAATTTCCTTCTGCGAACGTCAGTATGGCCACAATTTTACGCTTGAAAAACATACAGGCATTTCAACTGGTAAGCCACTACTTTGAATCTACTAACCACTAGTAAACAAAGCAATTTACCAGCCCTTAGTATTGTCTTGGTTCTAGGAACGGGTCGTTACCGGTTTTCTTATACATCAGACCCCTTTTAAGAATTGAAAAAATTCTGATCGTCTCGCATGATACTAATCAAAGGAAATTGAGATTTGGGAACTAAACAATTGAAGCTTACAGCTTGAGCAGAGGAAACGAGTCCCTTCAAAGAAAAAGCACAAAGGTCAAGAACAGGTTGTTGGTTCCTGAAATTGGTGTTTGGAGTTGAGTGAGCAGGATTCAGGACACTCTTTTATCGTTTTTTCGCGGTGGAAGAAAGAGCTTTTTTGACCGAATTAGCCATTCCGAACGTTTGAACCTGCGAGATTGCCACTTGGAGTGTGTTAAAGAAGCAGGAAACCTTTAAAGTGTACAAAAGATGGCAAACGAAATAGGTGGGATCGAATTTAGGAGGCGTGTTTTCTCCGATATATTTGGGGTGGAAAGACCGTCTGAAGAATTCAGAAACAAGACCACTGCTAGGGATGTTCCGAATCGAATCGAACATATAGATGCTTTGGATGATGCTCTTTTATCGGACATTGAGCGGGATATAATACCGCTAGAAGCACAAAACTATATCTTGATGCAAGAAACTCAAATTAATAATATTTCCGACACTCAGAGCCTTTCTAGTACAGATGATTTGTCCTCAGTGGACAGTCCACGGAAACAGCTGCAATCTGAGGACCATACGTCTTTAGTGCTTCAAAACCAACACATTGTGTCGCCAGATGTTAAACAAGCCAGACGACAGCCGCACGTGAGACCTGTGCCTCCACCTATCAATACTGCTTTGCCAGCTGCAACAGAACAACCGTCTCCTCAAAGATCTAAAAGCGAAAGTCTCGGGTTTCAAACCAACAGCACGCGCAGGATTCCCTCTTTGACACAACTGCATAGAAATACACAGCTCAAGAAACAGCCCACCCACTCTTCAATCTTCCCTACGTCGAAGAAATCTCCTCTTCAGGGCTTTGGCTTATTTTCGAGGCCGGCCTCGAAAGAAGTTATGAATGTGCACCAAATGCACCACAACACACAGGCCATGCCGAATCAAAATTCTCTAGGCGCTAGGTCTCTCTCTTTGAGCTCAACATCGTTCAAAAGCTTCGCTTCTCCATTTCAACAGAAAACGGCTGGTGGACGTACTATCCCGCAAAAATGCGAAAATTCTACAAACCCCTTTCTGGAGCATGGCCGGCAGCAGAGTCAGAGCTCAATGGGTCTTGGCATTAAGAGTCGAAGCTCGTCGGCTTCGCTTCAAACAGGGACCACTAAAGTTGCCTCGAGTCCATCTCTCAATTTCCATAGAAGAAGCAGTGCGTCCATCCATTCGAAACCTATCGTAAGCACCACATCCATGACACGCCCTCAAGTCTATCCGGCAATGTTGTCTCGAGTTGCTACTAAGTTCAGGAAGTCCGTTCATGTGGGTGAGCATAAAAAAGATGGCCTTCTTTACAGAGACGCGTTTACCGGGAGACAAGCGGTGGATGCGATTTGCTCTATCATCAGGACTTCGGATAGAAACCTAGCGTTATTGCTGGGTCGGGCCCTTGATGCACAGAAGCTATTCCATGACGTTGTTTACGAACATCGCTTAAGAGACTCTCCAAATGAGGTTTACGAGTTCACGGGAAATTCTAGAATCATAGGAACTGGTACAACTGGTTTAGCCCCCGTTTCGGCACATGCTGGACCGCTGTTGATGGATATGAGCTCGGGTCCCACCCACACTCATCCATCTACTTCAACTTTGAATACATCGCAGTCCTCCATTTCAGTTTCTAGTGCCGAAAAGCAAGTTGATCCCGCAAAAATGCATAACGTCAATGGTGTATTCACGTTATTGGCAGAGTGCTATTCGCCCACATGTACTCGAACAAGACTCTGTTATTCCATCTCCTGTCCTCGCAGACTTGAGCAGCAGGCCAGACTCAATTTAAAACCAAATGGTGGCTTAAAGAGAAACTTCTCTGTTGCTGTTGATGACGAAGAAGATGAAAAACCTTCTTGGACAAGCTCCGTTCCAGAGTCAATATGGTCTGAGCTTTCTAAAAAGGAAATTAAGCGGCAGGAAGCCATATACGAAGTTTACACCACCGAAAGAAATTTTGTGAAGTCGCTTGAGATTATCAGGGATACTTTCATGAAAACTCTTGCCGAGACAAACATCATTCCCGCTGACATCAGGAAAAACTTTATCAAGCACGTTTTTGCGCATGTTAACGACATGTATTCCGTCAATAGACGGTTTTTGGATTCGCTGTCCGATCGCCAAAAATCTTCACCTATAGTTAATGGGCTCGGTGATATTTTCCTTAGATTCATTCCATTTTTTGAGCCTTTCGTCATGTACGTTGCATCGCGGCCCTATGCGAAATATCTCATTGAAACTCAACGCTCAGTGAACCCTTACTTTAGTCGGTTCGATGAAGATTTAATGAGCTCTCCCCTGCGGCACGGTATCGATTCCTTTCTTTCTCAAGGTGTATCCAGACCGGGAAGATACATCTTATTGGCCAAGGAAATTATCAAATCATCGGATCCAGGAAAGAACAAACGAGACTTAGAGAACATGAATAGAGCGTTAGATGCTTTGCGAGCGTTTATGCAACGCATCGACAAGGCTAGTGGAGCCGCTCAAGATAGGCATGACATTGAGTTGTTGAAGCAAAAAATACTGTTCAAGAATGAGTACGTTAATTTGGGCTTAAACGATGGGAAGCGTAAAATTAAACATGAAGGTGTCCTTTGCAGAAAGGAGTCAAGTAAAACTGACACAGTGCTAGGCGGAGATGTTCAATTTTATCTTTTGGATAATATGCTTTTATTTTTGAAGGCCAAAGCTGTCAATAAGTGGCAGCAGCACAAAGTATTTCAGCGTCCAATCCCGCTACCTCTCCTGTTTGCATGTGCTGGTGAAGATATGCCTCCTTTGAAAAAGTTGATCAACTCCAAGCCTGGAAGCTGTGGTACGGTTGTTACTCCTGAAGTTAATTATGGGAATCCACGAAACGCAATATGTTTCCTGTATTATGGAGCCAAACATCATTACCAAGTAACGCTTTATGCGGCGCAATATGCTGCACTTCAAACTTTGCTCGAAAAGATCAAGCTGGAACAGCAAACACTATTGGCCGCCCACGACATCTTCAACATTGAGAAGTTGAGCGGACGGTTTTTCGACTACACAAATAAAATCAATAGCGTCGCGTCTTGCGATGGAGGTCGGAAACTAGTTATAGCCACTAATTCGGGACTTTATGTGAGTGCCACTAAGAGGGAACAAGTGGCCGGCACGGAAAAGATGAGAACTTATTTTGGAACTCCACAAAAAATCATTCAAAGGAATAATATTACACAGTTGGCCGTTTTGGAGGAATTCCAATCGATTTTGTTGCTAGTTGACAAGAAACTTTACAGTTGTCCGTTAGTATTGCTGGACGAGCAGAAAGACGGCACTCAATATTTCCGGAAGCATGGTAAAGAGCTTGTTAACCATGTCAATTTCTTCTCGGAGGGGGACTGCAATGGCAAACGACTCATTGTGACAGCGCACACGTCGTCGCATTCTATCAAGTTATTTGAACACGAGCATCCTATGTTGATGGAAGGCAGGAAGAATTTGAAGCGGAAAATCACAGAGGTTGTCTTCGATTCTGAACCCGTGTCGATATCCTTTTTACGTGCCAACTTATGCATAGGCTGTAAAAAAGGATTCCAAGTTGTCTCCATACCACAAACGGTACACGAGCCGCTACTGGACCCTGCTGACACATCTTTAGAGTTCGCACTTAAAGATATCCTGAAGCCCGTTTCCATATATCGAGTGGCCAGCATGTACTTGCTGTGCTATTCGGAATTTGCATTTTTCGTGAACAGTCAAGGCTGGCGGAAGAAGGAATCCTTCATAATTTACTGGGAAGGTGAACCTCAGAAATTTGCAATCTGGTATCCATATATTCTCGCTTTTGACACAAACTTTATCGAGGTCCGTAAAATCGAGACAGGTGAGCTTGTACGTTGTGTTTTGGGTGAGAAGATCAGACTTTTGCAAGCGACGTCTCAACAAATACTCTATGCCTATGAGGATGAGGCTGGGTATGATACAATCGCATCTATAGATTTTTGGGGTAAATAAGCATTTTAACCTAAACGTAATGATAATGAATTATGGACAATATGAAGGTAAACTTTTAAGTGTCATAAAAGGTACACAAGTCTTGATCCAATGGAGTTGACTGAGAGAGTGGGTGAACTTCAGCGCAGCGGACCATTACGTTGTACACGTTTACCAGGATTCACTGAAGAAAAGCAGCAGGTGACCTTCAAAAAGCACGTTTCACGAGCATTGATCACATGACTTCCATAACTATCACGTGGTGTTTTGCCCTACACGTCACGTGATGCGTGAAAAGTGATTCACGATATTTGGCGTTTTCGTACGACCGGATTTGAAAACAATCGAAAATTTTGTCAAAGCTTTTCTCGAAGAAAACTGTCGACGCGTCTAGTTTCACCACGTCCATAAAAGCTTCCCGCTAGGTTGTTTATTGTATTGTCGTTGTTCCAAAACCTGTAGTGGGAATCGTGACACGCTCATAGGACAGTAGTTATGGAAGAGATTCAGTCGCAAGCCAAGGTTTTGGTGTCACAATTGGTGACGAAAGCGGAGTCGTTTCCATGCGTTAACATCCACACGCCATCGATCGAACATCCGTTCGGGCTTGAACTATGGCCGATTTTCAGCAAAGCGTTCGAGGCCGTTGCTGGGTACCCTGCCGAGCAGTTTGAGTTCGTCCACAACAAGACTTTCTTGGCTAACGGGTACCAAGCCATCGGCGTGATCGTTGCGTACTATATTGTCATTTTTGGCGGCCAAGCCATCCTCCGCGGCGTAAATGCGTCGCCAGTGAGGTTGAGTCTATTGTTCCAACTGCACAATTTGGTCCTGACGTCCGTGTCGCTGGTTTTGCTGTTGCTTTTGGTCGAACAGCTGGTGCCCATGGTTGTCAAGCATGGTCTCTTGTGGGCCATCTGCGACAAACAGGCGTTTGCGCCCAAGCTCGTGACCTTGTACTACCTAAACTATTTGACCAAATACCTGGAGCTCATCGACACCGTGTTTTTGATTTTGAAGAGAAAGAAGCTGTTGTTTTTGCACACCTATCACCATGGTGCCACTGCTTTGTTGTGCTACACGCAATTAACGGGTAGGACTTCCGTGGAGTGGGTCCCCATTGTGTTGAACTTGGGCGTGCACGTGGTCATGTACTGGTACTATTTTTTGAGTGCACGTGGCATCCGCGTGTGGTGGAAAGAGTGGGTCACGCGGTTCCAAATCATCCAGTTTTTGATCGACTTGGTGTTTGTGTATTTCGCGACTTACACTTTCTACGCCAACAAGTACTTTGACGGGATTTTGCCCAACAAGGGCACTTGCTACGGCACCCAGGACGCTGCCGCTTACGGATATTTGATTTTGACCTCGTACTTGGTCTTGTTCATCTCGTTCTACATCCAGAGCTACAGAAGAGGCGCGTCCAAGAAGAAGGCCGCGGCGCAAGCCGCGGCCGAAGTCGCCGTCTCGTCCACTTCCAGCGCAGTGGACAAGAGAAAGCACGCTACCAAGGCGACTTCCAGAAAGGCGTAGCGCGGAGCCGCGTCCAACCGCGCGTCTGGACTCCGTCTGGACTCCCCGTCATCTCCACCCGCTGGGATGTAGATTATATAAACAAATACCAAGATTAGGTCTGACCATGCGCGACGAGCCGCTTCGCCTTGCGACCCGAGGCCACGACAATCGACCGCGACAACGACGCGCGCTGGAGAGGCCCGCCTAGACCGTTTTTCCCACCAGATGACGCAAAAACCAAGCAAACCGGACCCAAGGCGGAAAAACAGCCGTGCCTGCGTGCCTGCGCCCGTTCCGGATAATAGTCGTGCATACGTAACGCGTGGCGACACGAGCGTTTTCCCGCCTTGCAGCGCAGCTCGATTAATAACCCGCCGCACTGCACACAAGCGATACCGGCTAAATCGCGATGCGCATTGCCCAGCGCGACAGTGACGACAGCGCTTACGGCAGCGCTTACGGCAGCGCTTACGGCAGCGCTGTTCCGGTGGAAATCCTGCTGCCTTCCTTTGTTGCGCTCGCCGCCCTGAGCGCGGCGCTCGAACGGGTCCGAACCCGGCCCACGCAGCTGTACCCCGGGGTTGTACGTGCCAGGCCGATCGTTGCTGGTCTCCCTGTCGAGTTCTGGAGCGGTGGAACAACGGAAAAAGAAATGGCGCACTGGTGGTGCGGCTGCCGGCGCGCTTAAATTTTTCCGCGATCGCCGCCCTTGCAGGCGCCGGTCAGGACGGGCCAAATGCTATTTAAAAAACGAGACGCCATGCGGCGGTGTTCGCTTGCGCGAGCAGCTTTCATTTGCCATTGTTCTGCTCGGTACCCTGCTGGAATGATGACCATTATGGCTCCCGCGAATCGCCTGGCGTTTGACCACGGGCACGTGCCGCAACGGTCATCCGCAGATCCGTCATCCGCAGATCCGTCGCCCACGGACCCGTCCACGGTCTCGCTGCCGCCCATTTCGTCCTTCGATAGTCTCATTCGGGCCGCGGAGAAACAAGGGCCTCGGCCGTTACCGGCCGAGACCGCGTGCGCGTACCTACCGCCCTGCCCGGGTTCCGCGGAACTCGCTCTCGACTTCCCGACGCGGTCGTTACCGGCAGCGGCGCTGCCGGGGTTAGTGCCTGGGGCCCCGATGGGCCCGATGGGCGCCATTGGGCCGACGGGCCCGACGGGTCCCGCAAGCGCAGCTAGCGCAGCTAGCGCATTTACCGTGGCGGGGCGCCCAGAAACGCCGCAGGGCCACAGATCGCGCCGCAAGAAGCAGTGCCACATCTGCGGCAACTTCTACGCCAACCTCTCGACGCACCGGTCGACGCACCTCACGCCCGAGAACAGGCCGCACAAATGTTCGATCTGCATGCGCGGGTTCGCACGCAACAACGATCTTTTGCGCCACCGCAAACGCCACTGGAAGGACGAGCTGCAAGACGCCTCGGGCACGCTTTCCGCGGAGAAGGCCTGTTCCGCGGAGTTGCAGGTCGCTGGCGACGGGGACGACGCGCCCGCGGGCGCGTCTGCGGGCGCGTCTGCGCGCCTGCTGCGGTCTCTGCGGTCTCTGCACCTGGCGAAGGGCACCTACAAGTGCCCGTACAACTCCACGCTCATAAACCTCGACCGCGACATGTACCCGCACAAGCAGCGGCAGCCGCTGACGTTCGAGGCCTCGCACTGCCACCAGACGGGCGTGTTCTCGCGGTGCGACACCTTCAAGAACCATCTCAAGGCGCTGCACTTTGAGTACCCGCCGGGCACGCGCAAGAAGGACCGCGCGCGCGTGCCGGGCACCTGCCGGCACTGCCAGCGGCGGTTTGCCAACGTCGACGAGTGGCTCGCCACGCACGCGGGCTGCGGGAGCGGCTGCGGCTACGAGTACCACTAGGTTACGTAATCCGGGGTCCCGTGCCTGCGCGTGCCTGCCCCCATATAAACACTCTATGCATGCATTACTCTATTGTCGTGTGTTATACAAATCTACGCGAGCTTCTGGCCCGTCCCGACGCCCTGCCCGTTCACGTTCCGGAACATCAGCACCCCGTCGTCGCCCTCCACGTACTGGCACCCGCGCGCCACCGTCCACAGCGACTTCCACATGTTGTCGTCGCAGCGCCGGTAGTGCGCGCCCATCACGCGCTGGATCGCCGCAGACGCGCGCCGCGCGTGGTAGAACGGCACCCGGCTGCAGTAGTGGTGCAGCACGTGCGTCTCGATGATGTCGTGGAAGATGTGCGGGCCCACGAACCACAGCTTGCGGTCGATCGTCGACGCCGCGCCCTTCGCAAACGTCCACTCGCTGCTGTCGTAGTGCGGAAGCGTGTGGTCCGTGTGCTGCAGATACGTGATGAACACCAGCCAGTGGTTGACCCACAGGTACGGCAAAAACCAGTCCACCGCCAGACTGAACCCGCCCAGCTTCCGGTACCACAGCCGCAGCACCAGGCACTGCGCGATAACTCCGAGGTCACTCAGTACGACGTACGCGAAATCCCGCTTCTCGAACAGCGGCCCCGACGGCCAGAAGTGGTTGACTTTCCAGCGCGGCGCGCCCTCGTAGCGCTGGCCCGTCACGTTGGTGAACAAATGCGCGATCCAGCCGCCCAGCTGCTGGAACACGAGCTCCGCGAGCGTGCGAACGGGCGAGTCCGCCGTGATCTCGTCCAGGTCTGCACGCCAGCCGCGTTGCGCCCAGAACTCTTCCTTGGTGGGCGGCAAAAACACCATGTCCCGGCCGATGTGGCCGGTGCTTTTGTGGTGCTTGGAATGCGAGTACTTCCACGAGAAATAAGGAACGAGCAGGTACGAGTGCAGCAGCCAGCCGAGGAAGTCGTTGACGCCGCCGTGGTCCGAAAACGCCTGGTGGCCGCACTCGTGCGCGAGCACCCAGAGCCCCGTCGAGAACAGCCCGATGACGTAGCTGTGCACCGCCCACATGGCGAACCGCGCTGCGCGCCAGTCTGGGGGCAGCGCCGGCGAGACCCAGTGGCGCGTCACGTACATGGTGACGAGGATCCCGGCGACGTCGCGCACAACGTACGACACGGACCGCGCCAAACTGCGCTTGTAGCAGTCCTTTGGGATCGCGCTAAGGATGTCTTTGATGGTGTAGTCTGGCACGCGGAACACGTTTCCGCGCGCGTCGACCGCGACTTTTTGGGTCGCGGTGGTTTCAGTGGTGGCAGACGAAGCCGGACCGCCAGACATTTGTAGGTGGAAGTTATTGCTGTGGGAGGGGGCTTCGGGATCGATGAGGGCCTGGTGGTGTCTGCTTTTAATATACGGGGCCCAGGGCAGGATCGCGAAAAAAAAAGAAAACGGGCGATGGCTCGAGCTCTCGCCGCGCTCGCGGACGCGACGCGGCCGCGACGCGGGCGCGAAGCGTGGCCGGAAAACTTTTCCGAGTCGAGGGCGCGCCGCCAAGCTGCGGTGTACGGGCGTACACCGCAGCACCAGCAGCAGGGTTACTTTTTTCGTGGCCCGGTGTGCGACGACGATAAGCGCGATAGGAGGAGGCGTCCCCGTGTGTTACGTAAGCGCGCGAAGTTGCGGCGGTGCCTGCTGCGTGCGTGCTTGAAACTGCCACGGCAAGGGCACCCAGACCCCGCGGTTACGTCAGCGGGCGTTCCTTTTTGGGGTGCGGGGAGTTACCCGGCGTGGGACGTCGGAGGTGATCTTGCTTACGTCAGGGCGGGCGATGTCACTGTGCACGGGGGGGTTTCGGCGCCACGTGACGTGCGGACCCTGCCGCCCAGGGTTTCACCAGTGCCGGAAATAGCTCTCCCCTGCGGACGCCGTGTGTACATGTAGTATATATGTAGCCAGGAGAGAAGCCCCCCGGACCGGCTCCCGACGAGCGCCCATGCACATCACCCATGAACAGCGCGTGTCGGGCACTCGTGGTCCTGCTATGCGCCTTGTTTTACGTCTCCCCAGTTCTCGCAGACCTGCGAATCACCGAGCCGCAGGCCGGTGCAGCGTTCACCGCCACGCCATCGGGTCTGGAGCTCAGAGTGGCTTGGGTCGACGCAGGCGGGTCCCCAGAGCTGGCCAAGGTGCGCGAGTACACTATCGTGCTGTGCACGGGGCCAAACTCGAAAATCAAGGCCGTTTCCAAGCTGGGAACCGTTCCGGCGTCGCAGGTACGGGACGGCAGTCTGACGCTGAACGTCGCAACCAGCGCGGGCACTGACGGGTCCTATTTTTTGCAAATCGTCGCTGCCGCGCCCGACGGGTACTCGATCCACTATTCAGACCGTTTCACGCTAAGAGGCATGACCGGGACCGAAGACGCTCGCCAGGCGGCCGACGTGGACTCGCCCAGCCCGGAGACCATGATGTTCGACAATGGATACCCGCCCGAGATCAATTCTGCTTCTTTCCAAGTAACGTACACGGCACAGACCGGGAGCTGGCGGTTTGCGCCCATGCAAACCCAGCCGGGTTCCCGCGTCACGGCAACCACGTGGCAGCGGCAACACGCGACCAGTGCAGTTTCGCCTTTCACCACCATCATGGGCAAACCCAACCGTGTGAAGACTGTCACGGCCGGGTGGGACTACACGATTGTGAGTCTTCACAACCACGCCAAACCCGCACCGTTTCCGGCGGAAAACGGAGGCTGGTATAACGCCAAAGGCCGCCAAACTTTGACGACGAAAAAAGTGAACGCGAACTGAGTGAACTCACCACCCACAACTTGACTTAATAACTTTAGGATACCTGTATACAAAAAAATTCGCACTGAACTCTCTCTCTTTTGCTTTCGGGGCCTGAAAAAATACGTTGCAGTTGTTGCTCCATGCAATATGCTGCTGGGCGTTACACGACAGCGTTTTCGGACGCGTCTTTCTCCTTGGTCGAGTCCAAAGGCATGTTTTTCCTGTGACCCGTGAACGAACGAGATCTTTGGCCCGAACCACTGAAATTCTTGCTTCTGGTCGCTTCTCGCTGCACGTCGTACTGCTTTTTCGTGAACACGTCCAGCTTGCGGCCCTCAAACGAAAGCACCTCCTTTTCAGGACTGTATTCTTCGAAAAACTTGGTAGCGTCCTGCTCCGTCGCAAATTCGATGATCACAGTACCGTTGAACCGTTTGCGATGGTCTTTCTTCATACGCACTTGACGCACGTCGCCCAATTTCTGGAAAAAAGTCTCCAATTTCTCTTGCAGCTCACCCTTGTCCTGCTCTTTGTCATGCTCGAAATTAGTTACTGCCAGAGTCCGCTTCCCTCTCTCACGCCTCGCATCGCTCTGGTCGTCCAGAGGAAGCTTCCGCTTAACGTTCTCGCCGTCCTCGCTCACAACCAAGATCTCAGACCTACGTAGAACCTCAATGACTTTGTCCACAGGGCGAAACTTTTTCATTCTGTTGAAAGTCGCAATGGTCGAGATGGGCACCCATCCGTCGTTTTTCTCAGCGGTACTGCGCAAAAACTTATCGTAGGGTAAATTGAACTCCGAGAAATAGAATTCCACCTGTTTCAGACACTGTTGCTCGATTTCAGGCGTGAACTCAACGGCCACGTACGACCCACGTCTTGGAGCTTTCTCTTCAGGTTTTTTCTCAATCTCGCTCATTTTGACGCTCGAAAGCACTTAACCGTTCACGCAACTCTAGATAGACCACTCTTGCAAATCAAAAAGCGAGAAATCTTTGCCTTTTAACTCTTGAACCATGCGAAAACTTTTCGCCGTACAAGAAGTTCACCAAGTTGAACCCATTATGCGTTGGTGACATTTTTGAAGATCCCGTGTGGCGTGATATCGAATAAGCACTAGGGCATCGCGCTAGCGTTCGGTATGTGAGAACACGACTCTAGCAGTGGTGGCAGTGTCACGAACCAGCACACAGTCCATGTTCTTCACGTACGACATTGGTAGACGCGTGGCTATGTCCAGGGTCTGATTGGGCTGGCGTTGCGAGTTTTCGACGCCGTCGTAAAACTCGAGCCCGTAGCCCGTTGTGAGCACGATACATCCGTAATTCTGGCGCAACCGACGTAAAGTTTTCAGCAGTATTTCGTAGGTTGCGCTATCGTGTACATAGTACGAGATGTTGTCGATGATAATGGCGCCCAGTTGCATATCCAGCGGTTGCTGGACCGTGCAACGACGCAGTGCGTCAGCTGGAGTTTCGTTCAATTGGTTCAGAAATGCAATAAGCGTTTCGAACCGCGCGAGCGACGGCGAAGTCAAATAGTGCGCACGCGCACGTACGTGCGCGTGCGCGTCGAGCCATTTACGCCAGCTCGCGACGACATCGACAATTAGAATGGATGCTTGCGAGGGAAGCTGCTCGACCAGTCTCAGAGCCATTCGGCCTTTGAACTCGGAAATCTTGAAGTCATGTTCGATGAGATGTACAAATCCCACGTCACCCACGCCTACGTTTCCGTCCCCACTTTCGCCACCTTCAACCACATTTCCAAAGTTATCCCTGGCAATCCAGTTGATGCTAACCTGCGCGGGCCTGTAGAACTGAAGACGCAGTATACCCGTTAGTGCTCCGTTTTCACATCTGAAACACGCCCACGAAAGCTCCAAAACATACCGTTGAAAGCGGATAAACTTTGCAATGCGCAATCACTTCCATCCGCAATGCCTCTAAACCACCATTTACGCGTAAAACGCCCGGGTTTCTTCAGCCAAACCTACTTTATTCTCTGTTCCCATTCAATTCTCGAAACGCCGTCTACGAATGCTATTGTCAAAATCAACGACTCTATAAATCACGTGAAAGTCAAGTGATACTTATCATCGTTTACGATTACAGTTTCGCCAAAATTCCAATTTCTCAACATAAAAGCCAGAACTCTGAATAGAGTTAAGTGATGTCTTTGAAGCATGGATCTGTAACGTTTTCCAGGCTTATAGCGACCATACTATTACTGCAATTCTAGTGAGAGACTAGCAGAAGATTGGTTATCATATTTCGATCAAGTCCAACCAGGTTCCTTTTTCAAGAATCGTTTTCCGACCAGAACTGATGGGGGTTTGGCAAAAAATCTTGTTCTACTTCAAAGCGACACTAGCGGTCACGGTTCTGAGTGCCTGCGCCCTGTACGGCGTGATCGCGTCAGTGATATTGACATGTATCGGACAGCAGCGCCTGGCACAATGGACGACCGCCAGGTCATTTTACCACGTCGTTGGAGCCGTCTTGGGCATCGACGTTCGGGTCATCAACGCTGAAAACCTCGAGAAATTACCAGCGATCTTTGTCTCGAACCACCAGTCGGCGCTGGACATCCTGATGCTTGGCCGGACTTTCCCACAGGGCTGCACCGTGACGGCCAAGAAGTCTTTGAAATGGGTGCCATTTCTAGGATGGTTCATGGCGTTGAGTGGAACCCTGTTTTTGGACCGAGGCAACCGCGAAAAAAGTGTCAGAACTTTGAATAAGGCGCTCAGACAATTGCATTCTGAAAAGCGCGGGCTTTGGATTTTCCCCGAGGGCACCAGGTCGCATTCATCCAAGATTTGCCTGCTACCCTTCAAGAAAGGCGCGTTCCATCTGGCGCAGCAGGGCAAGATCCCAATCATCCCCGTGGCCGTGTCGAACACCAGCACTTTGCTCAGCAGCAAATACAAGGTTTTTAATAGAGGTGTCATCACTGTTAAAGTGTTGGACCCGATCCCAACTGCGGACCTTAAGCCAGAGGACGTTGGTGCTTTGACAAACAAAGTGCGGGATTTGCTCCAAAAGGAAATCGAGCAACTTGGATACTCGGAAGCTATCGTCGACACAGACTTACCTCCTGAGGCCAAATCGGTGTTGACGAGTTCGTCAGAGGTGTCTGACGTCTCTGACGCAGAACAAGACGACTCTACATCTTCAAAGGACACTGTTGAAGAAGTGGTAGAGACGTTGGAACACGAGGAAGAAGATGGAGAGCAAGCAGAAGATAGAGACGTTGCAGAGGCAGAGTAGCAAGAGCCGGGGTGTAGTGTTGCACACTAAGATTGACGTGTTTGGTTTCAGTTAAGAATATATACTTATATGTCTGTGTGTGTCTTTTGAAATAAAGATTTGAAATGCAAGTGGGGCGCTATGCTTGCTGCTTGCCGATGTGCTGCAGGTACCTGTCGATTTCGTAGGCGCTTCCGAGCCAGATGCTAGATTTGTCGTGAATATGTTCTGGGGTAAGATCAAGAATCCGTTCGCCCTTGTCGTTGACGGCTTTGCCGCCCGCCTGTTCGACCAGGAACGCCATGGGGAAAGCCTCGTAAAGGAGTCTCAGTTTGCCGTGCTTGTTCTTGCGGTCACAAGGGTATGAGAACAAACCGCCGTATAGCAAAGTACGGTGAACGTCTGCGACCATGGACCCGATGTAACGAGACGAGTAAGGCTTGCCGTTGAGAAACTGCTGGGGCTCTTTCAATCCATTGACGAAATCCTGGATGTGTTGTTCCCAGTAAAGAGTGTTACCCTCGTTGATGGAGTAAATGGGGCACTCAAGCGGCATGTGCAAGTTGGGGTATGTGAGAATGAACTCGCCGAGATTGGTATCGAGGGTGAATCCGTCGACGCCGTCGCCGGTGGTGAGCATCACGTGGGTCGACGCGCCGTACATGGCGTAACACGCGGCCACCATTTCGCGCCCACTCCGCAACACGTCCTTGATGCTACCGGAAGAGTCCGGTAAAAGACGGAACAAGGAGACGATGGTGCCCACGGAGACACCCGCGTCAAGGTTGGAGGAGCCGTCAATCGGGTCGCAGCAGATCGCGTACGAACCGGAGTTGTTGCGGAAGACAAGCAAGTCCTCCTGTTCTTCGGACACAAGCACCTTGACGTTGCCGCTGGTCTTCATGGCGTTGATGAAGATCTCGTCGCCCAGGACGTCGAGCTTTTTCTGTTGGTCGCCGGTCGCGTTGGACGCGCCCGAGAGACCCATGAGATTGACCAGTTCTGCGCGCCGGATCGTCTGCGAGATGAACTTGAAAGCAAACTGAAGAGAATTGAGCAGCAGCGAAAACTCGCCCGTGGCATGTTTCGCGCTGTACCGCTGTTTTTCCAGAATGTAACGCGACAACGTTACGATATCGGTATTGATCGACTCTGCAGAGTCCCTTCTGGCGTGCACGGTAGCAGGCATGGCGACTGGCGGCTAGGGGATATAGTTGGACTGTGGGACAGTAACAATGTGAAGGTCCAAGGGCTCGAAAATCAGGTCCTTGGATTCTAGCACACGGGTGTAAACGGAAGAATAGCCGCCAGGACCTTGCCGCCGGCCCCTAAGCCCTCCTTATATAGTTGATTTTTAGGGGGCGCCCCGGAGATCCGGGGGCCCGGGGCCCCGGGGCCCCGGGTCTCCAACCCGGAGCTTTCGACAAAGTGGCTCTGCCCGTGAAAACGCAAGTGGCCCTTTGGCCAGATCTGCTCTGGGCCTGACGTAGCCCGGGCGAGGCGGGTTCTTCTCCGAACGCCCGCCTACAACCCGCCGATCATTGCTCCGGGGCCGGCGCCGACTTCGGCGCCATCTCTCCACCGAGTTCTTGCTTTGTGCGTTGTAGCAAAAAGTCGCCGGGCCATTTCTGGACTCCGGGTAGATCACTTCAAGCGACGCGGTGTACTGTTGGGGTGCTGCAAAGCGCTGCGGGGTGTTCTGTGGTTGCTCCGGGACACCCGCCTAGCGAGACTAAAATGTGGGGAAAAAGCAGATAGCTTTGCGGACCAAAGGAGTCAAGGGGTGTGGGTGTGGTATATGGTATCCCGTTATACGGTGTATGTACAGGGAGTGCTAAGCGAGGGAACGTATGGGGCGTTTTAATGGTGCACCGATGTAGATTTCGTACATGATGTTCTTAAGAGGTGTGTGTCACGCGACCTTCTTTCGATCTGGGTTCAAACCGTTCGGGTGTCATTTAGATTTTCTACACTCTAACGTCAGGTACAAGGAGTTTCGAAAGGCAATGGCACCACAAGCGGTGTTGACACTTGCTTTCAGTTGATACGGGATGTGTGGTTTGCTGAGGTCTATCGTTGTCGGCAGTCGATGGATTTCTGAGGTGGCCATTTAATTCGTTCATAGTTGATCTGAATAATAAAGCTGATAAGGGGTTGAGTACTTATATCTCTCCGTGGTTATCTTACAATCACGACTACTACGATCCTGGTCATACCAGCTCCTTTCATACAATTTCTGTAACATTGTTCCAATTTCGGAATCTGTTACTTTCCCTAATATTGACGGTGAGTCATCATTACGTCTCCTATTAGGTTGCTCTTACAGTGGTGACGGAGTGTGACGACATCATGACCATCACTAGAATCATTCGGTTCCTATGACTTCATCTTGATCAAGAACTGTCCGCTCATCGTTCTAATTTTATTCTGTCACTTTGATCACGTGAAGATGCAATTGAACGATAGGGCTTCCTCGCGATCTCCTTCTAACATTAAACACTGTAAAGCTGATCATGTCGTCGCTTGCTGTACACTACAGTTCTTGTAATTAGTTGAAAATATCATTGGTTGTAAACTCCTTCCAATGAAGAACTGTCTCGTCCATGATCGTAACTTCTCCATTTTCCTCCTGAACCTCAATTGTGTTGTTCACATTGTCACAAAAACATTAAGCGCATGGGATGTCATTGATATCGCGTCATATGTATCGGCTAGTGTCATTCGTGACTATTCACAGCCTAGACTTTTTCTGAATTTGTGTCACCAAAATCAAGCTCTGAACCCCATTTTTTGCAATTCCATAAATACCAAGCCGATATTGGTATTGAATATGCAAAAGAGAGTGTGATAATTGCGGTGCAAATCGGATTATAGCGCTCATCAGTCAAATCTGATAGGCAATATACAAACCCATCAACCGTCAGCATCACGGTAAAAATGAAATATTTTCGACGTAGGCGACGGAGATATTCGTCCTTTTTTTCCGGGCATGTAATGGCGGAACATGCCACATCCCCATGATAATGTACAAACCCTTGGTAAAGTCTCAAGCTGTAGTCCACACTATAGGATAGTGTAATAAATGGGATGAAAGCTGACATCACAAGTCCTATAATCTCATCACCTAAAAGACCCATTATGTTTTTGTTTGGAACTTTTTGGTTGTCAAGCTCTGGATGATGATCATAAGGGAATTCTTGACTTTCGTATTTAAATATGCTCAATGGCAAGGTGAAACTTCTGGCATAAAATAGGTTACAAATATCAAATATACCAGCAACAGCTAGCATTAACTCTGCAAAAATGTTTGGATAGCACAGCAATGAGTACGCCTGATTTCTAATGTGTTTTTTGTCGAGGTTTTTCCTTGTCGGAGGTTGATAGGTTTCTAAATTGTTCATTCAATTCGTTCATAATTGATGTAAATAATAAAGCGGATTAGGAATTGAGTACTTATATCTCTCCGTGCCTATCTTACAACCACGACCACTTACAATCCTGTTCATATCAGCTCCTTTTATACAATTTCTGTAACATTGATCCAAATTTGGAATCCGTTACTTTCTTCAATCTAGACGGTGAATTTTCATCATACGTCATTCATCATACCACATATGATCTGATTACAATGTTCTGATGATTCTAGAACTTTCAATGGACCTGTTTTAGCTTCCAGCTCTTTCGCGGAATGCCAATCCTTTGTCCAATCCTCTAATTTTATTCTGTCATATCGATCACGTGATGATGCAATTGGACGATATCATCTCCTCGCCTGCTCCTTCCAACAGATACGACTCCTACTTTCCCATCCATTACCTTCAACATGATCAAAAGTAACATTCTGACCGCATGTCATCCGGTATTGATGGCCTGACTCCGGTTGTGTGATGATTCTAAGACCATCATTGGGATCGTTTACGCTTCCAATGCTCCTACAGAATGCGCATGATCGATAATCTTCCACTATTCTGGCATCATAGTCACGTGATAATTTTCTCCGATAATATCAATTTAGAAATCACTTCTCCCTATCCTTCCAGCAGGTTTCATGAGTTCCTTCCGGTGAAAATCATGCAATTTATCTGATTGGTTGCGTGTATGCCTCGCACAACGCCATAGAGCGGTTCACTTGGGTGCCGGAGAAGCTCAGATTCTCGATTCGCATTTTCCAGATTATTCGTGCAAAACGATGCACAAAATTGATGGACTGATGTTCGTGATGGTGGTTATGCGGAAATATTTGACTCTACGGCCTCAGAACACAGCCAAATCCTGCTATGATCTCGTGGCTTACACAACTCCGGTAGTGCATCGTTTGAACACCCGTTCAACGCTTTCTCTGCGTTTCTGTCATTGCGGTCATGTGATATTACTCAGAGTAAACACCTTCTAATAAGCTGATAATTGTCTGCAACTTGTCAGCTAAACATACAGGTCTCTTTAAGACACTCCTAAGTTGTATAACGACAATCCTCTGATATTCGGAAAGGGAATGCCAAGACCCGTAGAAACCCGTACAAAGAGACAATTAGTTCAAACACGTGATGAAGGCCTAAACTCACTTTCATCGCGTTATGATGGGTGGATGACTTACCCATCTTCTCACGATCTCGCTCTCTCTTGTCGCCTTATAAGGACATACCTCGCACGCGCATGTCTGCAACGGCGCACCAGAAACCTGCGAAACTGACAGGCTGGGCCGCGGCTGCGGCCCGAGCTGCTCCGCCAAAAGTAAGGGAACAAAAGGAGTCCAGAGACAAAATTACAAGTCCAAAGCATAAATCGTCGTCACCACAGGCGCCTACGCAGCGACGCATCGCGACCGCTGGGGCTACTGCGCTTAATAGCACTGCTGCAGCTGCAACCAATCACGGACAGCCCAAAAAAACAAAACCTCCTGCGAAATCCAATTTTAACACCTCGCAAGTGTTACGCTACCTTCAAGACACCTACGCCTCCCAAACTGCTAGCCCTTCTACTACCATCTATGCCAGGCCCAAAGTTGCGTCTAAAGACCCTCACTGGGGCACCGCAGGCTCCTCAAGACACAGATCCAAGAAATACGCATATCTCAACGAAGTCGCCAGAGCGATCCGTCAATGACCATTTCAACTCAAAAGCGACTCAATCGAACTTTACTGAACCATATTGTCAGCATGGCAAGTAACTGCAAATCCTCCAGTGCTTCCCTACGGTTCACGCTGCGTAGTAGGTCCCTTCTCCACTCGGTATATCTCGTAGCATGTAGCTCTTTAGACAAATTGAAAAATCAAGAGTCATATCCCCGAAAGAACACACCGACAAGACAGACAAAACGCAAATGCCAAGCCTTTCAGCGCTCGAGCATTCGCTCACGGTGCAGGTACGAGCCATCCTCCACAAACGTTACTCCCTAAGAACGCTCAGACATCTCGCGTTTGCAATAGCGCTCGTGTCTTGCATAGCAGCAGGACTAATCACAGTGATATCGCTTTTCACACGGCCATGGAAAACCCACATGCACTACACCGCCCTCGAAATCAATCTGCTTGCAAGCGCAGTGAACCTGGGTGGGTACTTGACTCCTCCATTTTTAGGCGTGCTTTCAGACTCCCATGGTCCCGTCGTACTCAGCTGGCTTGCAGTGATCGCGTTCGTGCCAAGTTACGCCTACAGTGCACACACATTTCAGCAAGGCGAAGGTAGTTTTGCCCTGTCTGTTGTTGCATTTTGCGCCATTGGCGTTGCTACAAGTGCCCTTTATTTTAGTGCGCTGTTGACGTGCGCCAAGCTTCACCCAGAATCCAAACTACTCTCGATTAGTCTTCCAACCACTTTCTACGGTCTTTCGTCGCTCGTTGCGTCTGCAGTGTTGAAACATCCATGGTTCTGGAACGGACGCAAATATCTGGACCTTGCGCGCGTTTTCAAGGCGTTTGCCTGGTTTTACGTCGTAGTGGGCCTTGCGACGTGGGTATCTACAAGTATCGTCGCGATTCTTAAGACCACGGCTGAAGACGAAGAGCACGAACCTTTGATCCCCGGTGACGATGCGGCAGACTTGGCCTCGCTGGAGCTAGCGGATTTAGATTACTCGAAGCGATTTTCGGCGTTTGCACGCGATCCAAGCGCGTACCTCCTGCTGTTGATCACGTTCTTGACCATTGGCTCTCTCGAGATGTTCCTGGCCAACATGGGATCCGTCGCGTCGTTACTGTATCCGGGCGAAAAACTGATCCAAGCCAAAGTTTTGTCGTTCTACGCGTTTTCGTCGACTTCTGCGCGGATATTGGTCGGTCTGGCGTCAGACTTATTGCACTCCGGAGGAATTTCACGCATTTGGGTCTTATACTTCATGATTGTTGTGGGGTTGTGCAGCCAAATTCTACCCACAATCCGTTCTCCGCCTTTAACGCTCATTGGGATACTGAGCGGGGCATCTTATGGTGGTCTATTCACTGCGATCCCAACGATGACGCTTTCTATTTGGGGGGACCGCATTTTCGGAACTGCGTACGGCTGTTTTATGGTCGCGCCAGCGTTGGGATCAACTTTGTTCGGACTTTACTACGCCCATGTTTACGATCACAATTGTGACTCCAATACCGCGGGCTCCAGCTGCATTGCGCCTGCATTTTCTGTCACTAGCTTTTCGTTTTTGGCCGCTCTTGTTGCTTCGATTTGCGTTTCATATACCATGAAAAGACACCAAATAAAAATGCCAACACGCGGTCCTGAATAATGTTCTCTGGGGAGTCTATACAATTTGCATGAACCTATAATAGGTGTCGCTCAATAAATCCCAAACCGGGGGTTCCTTATATTATAAACTGTATTTCTAGAAGACCAAAAATCATAGAAGACACGCAAAAAAAGCCTGGGAAATATCAGAAAAAGCCGCATAGTACCGGTAACTTTGACAAAGCACATCCAGATTTAGTAGATCATCAATACTTATTCAACACGATCTTTGACATACTTGAACCTGACAATGTCACATGCAAGAATCTCATATGTTGATCGTAAATAATTATATTAACTTTGGCGTTTCCGGTAGGTTTTTTTTCAGTAATGAACCGTGTTCTTTCATGACAAACTTGCAAGTTAAATAACAATACCAAAGTCAACCATTGCAAATGAGCGGGCGCCTGTTGGACGTTTTTAAGCCCTTTGAGGGATTCCTCCCTGAGGTTAGTGCTCCTGAAAGAAAGGTTCCTTACAACCAGAAGCTGATCTGGACGGGTGTTTCATTGTTGATCTTTTTGGTTCTCGGTCAAATTCCGCTGTATGGAATTGTGTCAAGTGAGACGTCTGATCCGTTGTACTGGCTACGTGCCATGTTGGCGTCAAACAGAGGTACGCTTATGGAGCTTGGTGTCACTCCGATTATCACTTCCTCCATGATCTTGCAGTTTCTGCAGGGAACCCAACTTCTGCAAGTGAACATGGAGAGCAAACAGGACCGGGATTTGTTCCAAATCGCACAAAAAGTGTGTGCCATCATTCTTACGTTTGGTCAGGCAGTTGTGGTCGTTTTGAGCGGTAATTACGGTAGACCCTCCGAGATCGGAGTCGCCATTTCGTTGCTACTGATTTTCCAGCTTATTTTCGCATCTTTCATTGTCTTGTTGCTCGACGAGCTTTTGGCCAAGGGTTACGGCTTGGGTTCCGGTATCTCGCTTTTCACCGCCACTAATATTGCCGAACAAATTTTCTGGAAGGCGTTCGCGCCCACCACGGTCAACTCCGGCCGTGGTGACGAGTTTGAAGGTGCCGTCATTGCCTTGTTCCACCTTTTGGCTACCCGTAAAGACAAGAAAAGAGCCCTTGTTGAGGCGTTTTACAGAAACAACTTGCCCAACATGTTCCAGGTTCTGGCCACAATTGCCGTTTTCCTGTTCGTGCTGTACCTCCAAGGCTTCCGTTACGAGCTTCCAATTAAGTCTACTAGAACTAGAGGCCAAGTCGGATCGTACCCTATCAAGCTATTCTACACTTCCAATACTCCTATCATGCTTCAAAGTGCGCTGACTTCCAACGTATTCCTGATCTCTCAAATTCTGTACCAGAAGTATCCCTCAAATCCAGTGGTGCGTGCGATTGGTGTCTGGGGAGCCAAACCAGGCTCGCCTTTCGGGCAGCAGTCTGCTTTGAGCGGACTTTCTTACTATTTGCAGCCACCATTTTCTGTTACGGAGGCGTTGTTGGACCCTATTAAGACCGTCGCTTACGTGGCGTTCGTTTTAGGTGCATGTGCCATGTTTTCCAGAACATGGACCGAGATCTCAGGCACTTCCCCACGCGATATTGCCAAGCAGTTCAAAGACCAAGGCCTAGTCATCAACGGTAAGAGAGAGACTTCTGTTTACAGAGAATTGAAGAAAATCATTCCAACGGCTGCTGCATTTGGTGGTGCCACGATCGGCGCTCTGTCGGTTGGATCTGATCTCTTGGGTACACTGGGCTCTGGTACGTCGATCTTGATGGCTACTACAACCATTTACGGGTACTACGAAACTGCCGCTAAAGAAGGCGGTTTCACGAAAAACCTGGTCTCGGGCTTCTCGGAGCTCATGTGAGCAACTGGCCCGGTGTCCATCCCTCAAGACTCTGTGTCGTTCCGATACTCGCTTAGACAATGGATTGTTTATAGGAATACTCAACGTACTTGAAGTATAAGCTCCCAGATATTCAAAGTTGATCAAGCTGTATAGAGGCTCCAAGGAGCTTTCACCAAGCGAAAGTATTCGTGCAACTGCACACCTCGAGCAAAAAATAAGAACTCCTCATAGGGGGCTCGAACCCCTGACATTTCGGTTCCTTGCAAGCGTGCTTAAAAGCCGAACGCTCTACCAACTGAGCTAACAAGGACGAGTTCTTGCCAGTCGGGATATTTCCTCCATTTTGTATCCGGGTATATTGCCATTCATGCGAACGGCGGTGTTCATCAGATTGCATTACTATGTATATCACTGTACCGACCATCTTTGAAGTTACATGAAAGTTCCGTAAAATTCTCCTTTCCGTATCTCCATACTTTTCATTCGAGTATATCCACTCTATCCGCGTCTTTGGGTCTACCGTAACACACGCCGTTCGCTCCACGGTTTCCTTACTTCTTGGCAAAAGAGCCCCACCTTAAGTGGCAAGCCTATCTTATTCCCGTATCGGCCTTCCTCGTACAGCAATTCGATCCGCCATACCCAAATAGCTCTTATCACTGTCAATTTTTTTTGCAGCTCTGACAGCAAAGGGAAGGCACCGGTCTTATTTTTGGCGGTGACGCATTTCACGAGAAAACCTAAAGGTCGAGACAAAAAAAAAGCCTTGGCATTGCGCTATGCCCAGAAACTGATATTCATCGCGGTATACACCCGCTTGCACTGATGTACACTTGTCTATCTTGGTCTACAGTCCTCTCTGGTCTCTCACCTCCTACATCTCATTGGTAAGCCCTAAAGCGATGATCTTGGTTTGGAAACGTAAGGCGCTACTGGTCAAGTTCCTTTTTCATTTCTTTTGAATTAGCTTCGTAGGCGGTTGTCTTATCAGCACACAAAAGAAACGCGTCACACCCTGGAGAAAAATTTTAATCCGATGGAGATATAAAAATGAAATTTGCAAGACCCTCCATCTCGTCCCAATCTTTACGTAGAAAACCCTCCGTTATCTTTATCATTATTGTATTCTTGATTTCATTATGTAATTGGAGTTTTAGTGGTGCGGTCGAAGCTTCTAATCATTTGTCCCTAGTTAGCATTTTTCTCCGACGGAGAAGACTTGATTTTCCTGTAAAGCGTCTGGAACTGGCAGATAAGCGAATCGACTATTGGTAACAATTGTCCTATAATAAGCCCAGCATAAGCGACAATCAACAATTGGGAGTGCTTTCTGTTGAAATGTCTAACCAAGAAAACATGAACGACATTGCGTCGGCGTTCGAAATTTTGAGCGACTCTAACAGTCGCAGAGACTTGGCGGGGAACTCTGCCGGGTTATCCAAAAGGATGTCCCAGAGAACCCAGATTTTCGACCCCACGCTCGAGAAAATGGGCGAAGAAGAAGATGAAGAGCCAGCCAAAAATTGGTGGACTAGATTCCTGCGATTTGTAGAAGTCAAACAGCATCATAGTGCGTCAAACCGTCGTTCCGAGGGGATCGTAGAATCGTTCTTGTATAACGACGACTTGGCTCCTGTCGATGCGGCCAGAAGAGTCTGGGGTTGGAAGCAATATGTGTTCTTCTGGATTTCAGGCTCTTTCAACGTCAATACATGGCAGATTTCAGCGACAGGTTTGCAATTGGGTTTGAGTTGGTGGCAGACTTGGATTTGTATTTGGATCGGGTACGTTTCTGTCGCATTATTCGTCGTTGTTGGATCCAGGATCGGTAATTTCTACCATATTTCGTTTCCAATCTCTTCTAGAATTTCGTTTGGTGTCTACTTTTCGCTGTGGGTTGTGCTGAACAGAGTGGTGATGGCGTGCGTTTGGTATAGTGTTCAGACGTATATCGGTTCGCAAACGGTGCAACTGATGCTGATGTCGATTTTCGGAACGGATCTCACGACACGGATCAAAAACACCATGAATACTCCTAACATCAATACTTTCCAGTTCATGTGTTTCATGCTTTTCTGGGGCGCGCAATTACCTGCGCTGTGGTTCCCACCTCAAACGCTTCGGTACTTGTTTACTTTCAAGAGTATCGTAACTCCGTTTGCGGCATTCGGATTCTTGATCTGGACGCTGAAAAAGGCACATGGTAACTTGGCATTGGGATCTCTCAACGAATTAAAACCAACAGGTGCCGTTCTTGGTTGGAATTTTGTGATAAGTATTATGAGTGCTTTGGACAATTTCTCGACTTTGATTTTGAACGCACCCGATTTCTCTCGTTTTGCCAAGACGGAAAAATCTTCCATTTATTCTCAGTTGTTCATTCTTCCCATAATGTACGCCATTATCTCTATCATTGGAATTCTGGTGACCTCTGCTGCTTATACCATGTACGGTGTCAATTACTGGTCTCCGCTAGACGTTTTGGCCCAGTTTTTAAACCATTTCACATCTGGTAACAGGGCAGGCGTGTTTTTAATTTCGTTTGCTTTTGGTATCGCGCAATTGGGTACTAACATTGCATCTAACTCGATTTCTGCCGGTACTGACATGACCGCGCTTTTGCCTAAGTTCATTAACATCAGAAGAGGGTCCTACATTTGTGCCGCTATTTCGCTGGCCATCTGCCCTTGGAACCTGATGTCGTCTTCGTCTAAATTCACAACGGCACTTGCGGCCTACGCCGTGTTCTTGTCCTCGATCGCCGGTGTCGTCGCGTCGGACTACTACGTTGTCAGAAAGGGCCTCATCAGACTACAGCACTGCTTCACAAACAAACCAAACACACTATACATGTACGGATCTCGGTTTGGTACGAACTGGAGGGCCGTTGCCGCATACGTTATCGGTATCGTGCCTAACTTCCCCGGTTTCATCGGATCCGTGGGCCCCAAAGTTCCTGAGAATGCCATGCGTGTATACTACCTCAATTACTTTGTTGGGTTCCTGGTGTCGTTTCTGGTTTACGCTGTGCTTTGCTATTTCTGGAGAGTGCCTGGCATGCCCGAGGGCGTCGGCTTCTTCGATTTTTCAACGTGGTTCGAAAAGTGGACCGAGGTCGAGGACTTTGCCGAGCAAAGAAGGAAGTTCGAGCTACACGGCGCAGAGGTCGATTTCGACGAGGAGTCTTCTACCTCTTACGTGAGCATCACCGAACCAGGCAAGGTATGAGTCTCAGGGAACACAGATGTATATACACGCTCGTTAATGTAATATTTTTAAATTTGATATTAGGGAAGCACTCGGCGGCTAAATTCTATCGACAGTATCTGCTTATGTAACACTCCAGCGGAATATCTTCACTTGATTTCTTTTTTAACTCTCCTGAAACACCCGTGCACATTGCTTTGCTTTTTTGGCTTCCCGTACTTCCCGTTTTGGTACTTGTGGGCTTCCTCACTCTTTTACGGCCCTGACTTCCGCTTCTGGCCTTATGTTTACATTGTTTCTTACAACAGCCTCCTGGTATATTTTTAACCTGGCCTGCACGCTCGTCTGAGTGAGGGCCGAGATCCAGGCCGAGGCCCATGGCGCCTTCGCGGGTTTTGCTGGGCACTGAGGTGTTGTTTGTCACTGGTCACGAAAAACCTCAATACATTAAACTCGAGCCCGCCCAGACACCGCACCGTCTCCGCCTGTAGCCACTCTGTCGCGATCCTGATGTTTTGCTCCCTCGTGCACAATTCACGACGCGAATTTGATCAGAGCCCCAGACACGGCCGCACGACGCGTAAAGTTGCGAAATTTCGACGCGTAAACTTCAAAGACCCGTTTCGCTTTCACCTACTAACAAATTTTTCAGGCCGGCGCGTGCACAAGGCGCGAATTTGCAGTGCTGTTACGTGGCCTTCTGGGAACGCGCTGTGTGCGAAACAGAATAGGAAAATACCGAGATGTATAAGATTTCATATATATAGAAGGCGTTGCACAGACAGGAAATTAGTAAACTACTTATTTCCCGTTGAGTGAGACGAAAGTCGAAACTTGCAAGACACGTCCAACTAAAAGCTCATAAGTTAAAGCTCGATAGCATGAAAGGTCTAATTCTTGTTGGTGGTTACGGTACCAGACTAAGACCCCTTACCCTCACTGTCCCAAAGCCTTTGGTCGAATTTGGTAACAGACCTATGATTCTGCACCAAATCGAGGCACTAGCTGCGGCTGGTGTCACCGACATTGTGCTTGCGGTCAACTACCGTCCTGAGGTTATGGTCGAGACCCTCAAAAAATACGAGAAAGAGTACGGCGTTAATATCACCTTCTCCGTCGAGACAGAGCCCTTGGGCACGGCTGGTCCGTTGAAACTTGCTGAAAAGGTCTTGAAAAAGGACAATTCACCATTTTTCGTTCTGAACTCGGACGTGATCTGTGACTACCCATTCCAGGAACTTGCTGACTTCCACAGGGCCCACGGTGGGAAAGGTACTATTGTCGCTACCAAAGTTGATGAACCCTCGAAGTACGGTGTCATTGTGCACGATATTGCTACTCCAAACCTGATTGACCGCTTCGTTGAAAAGCCAGTTGAGTTCGTTGGTAACAGAATCAACGCCGGTTTGTACATCTTGAACCCCGAGGTTATCGATCTCATTGACCTCAAGCCAACTTCGATCGAAAAGGAGACTTTCCCAATCCTTGTCGAGCAGAAATCGCTTTACTCGTTCGACTTGGAAGGTTACTGGATGGACGTTGGTCAACCAAAAGATTTCTTGTCCGGTTCCGTTCTTTACTTGAACTCTCTTTCCAAGAGAAGCCCAGGCTCTATGGCCAAGGGAGAAAACATCGTGGGCAATGTCATCGTCGACCCATCTGCCAAGATCGCCGCTTCTGCCAAGATTGGTCCAGACGTCGTCATTGGACCAAACGTCACTATCGGTGACGGTGTAAGAATCACCAGATCCGTTGTTCTCTGCAACTCCAACATCAAGGACCACGCCCTTGTCAAGTCCACCATCGTTGGCTGGAACTCTACAGTCGGTAAGTGGGCCAGGTTGGAAGGTGTCACCGTCTTGGGTGACGATGTGGAAGTCAAGGACGAAGTCTACGTTAACGGTGGTAAAGTCTTACCTCACAAGTCCATCTCCGCCAACGTTCCAAAGGAGGCTATTATCATGTGAAGTAGCTCTTAGCACATAATTGATTTATGCCATCGACGCTTTTAATTTTCTTTCCTGTTTTGTCATTTCAAAAAGTCCCGACAGGTCTCGACGTATACCTGTTAATGTCCCTAATACCACGATGTATAGCCCTATGTAAATATATTTTGTGTGTGTATATGTGAGCATGTATATCACTGTAATATTGGTTGGTGAACTTTTGACTGTTGGTTTTCCTGCCAGTAGGATCAAAACGCATATCGAATCTTCAACTTCTCTTAATTATCTAAAGCTGTTAATATTACATCGAGGCAGTTGTCCACTTCGTCGATGTCAATCTCCGTACCTTGGGATATCATCTTTCTGAACTTGTGGATTTTGGAATTATCGCTAATGACATGTAAAATTTGCAGTAACTTATTCTTTCGTTTCCATTGCAAGAGAGCCAGCTCTATTGCCAAATTCATGCCTTCAATTTCATTGCCAATTTCTGAATTTATCTTTTGAGGCGGAGACAGTTGCTTCTCTTCCTCCTGTACGAATTGTGCCAGTTGTTTAGCTTGTCCCCTTTCGAGCCGATTGAGCATGTCCTTTTTCGAATGTTCAAAATTAAACTTTTCTGACTCTACTTCCGCGCTCTTGTATTGCATATAGCTTTCCGCTTCTTCATAGCTTTCCAGATTGAAAACCTCGGTCGTTTTCTTGTTGACAGCATTTATTGTTTCTGTCATGCTGGCCAAAGTCCTGGACAGACTTTCTACCTCACTATCTCTAGACTGATGAAGCATATTGTAATTCTCCGCAATATCCCTCATCGTGTTAACAACTTCTGGTATGCTTCGACTGATCCTCGTGGCCGCCTGAGAGGGATACATGACGTATTCTGAAGGAGACGCGGGCGTCGAGTTATGCTTGCCTTTGCCGTTAGCCGTTATGGTTTGATGAGACGGTAAGTAATTCACGTTGAGGAGCTCCGTGGCAGATGTGCCCTCGTTGTTCTTGACAGTGGACAAAGCGCCATGTTCGATAAGGGTTTGGAAAAATACTTTGTCCCCATTCTTTGCTGCAACATGCAGAGCCGTGTTTCCATCGTTATCCTGTGCATTGATCAAAGATTCTATTCGATATTGAGGTGAGAAATCCCGGAGCTTCGAAAGCACAATGTCAAGGTAATAAACCGCTGAAGGAGTGGATGATTTTCGCTGCACAATGTGATGTATCAGTGTTCTAGATAAGGAATCAACGTCGAATGCAGTGTCACGTAGAAGCTGAAAGATTCGGGGATAGCTTCTTCTCGTGAAGGAATTGTGGAAAATGGAACATCTGACTAGAGGAGTTTCACCGCGCATGTTAACTGGGCGTATACTGGCCCCGGCGTGGCATAGGGCCTCTACAATCGCCAAATTGCCCATTGCGCAGGCCCAATGGAATGCTGTATGGTGTTCATGATCAATCCAAGCATCGATGTAAGGAGCGCTATGACTTGGTGGATAAAGAAGTTCCGGCGGTACTTCATCTTCGGAGCGTGTATCATTGGATATAAAGAAATCAACCAATTTGGACAGATAGTCGTTTACTTTCAAATTAACGTCCGAGCTTTGAGAAGTGGGTTGGCTCGGGAAACGAGGGATCATGGCGGATAACGGCGACGTAGCGCTTCCCAGTTCGTCCTGGTCACCAGCAGTCCCGATGGTTCGCTGGTCGAAGGTATTATCCACGGATATATCCTCGGGCGAGGTCGGGCGAGAAGATGCGCGGGATTGTTCTGTACCCATCTTAGTGGTAAAGCTGGGTTCAATATCGCTCGATAGACCATCTTCGATGTCGAGCTCTTTGAACTGCTGCGAATCAATGCTTTCTCTGATAATAGCTGGGTCGAGACTTATTGTACGCTGCAGAGGGCTCTGAATAGATGGCAGTTTGGTGGAATTTATAGAAGAAGCCGGGATCGACGGTTTGGGGAAAGTAACGTCACTTTTGGATCTTTGCAAGTCAACTGCAGGCTTTTTGTTCTTAGATGGTGGCCTTCCTCTTTTTCTCGGTACTGGAGGAGTGTCACCGGGACTTGAAGACTCAGAAGTCCGTGATTTCAGCGCTGAAGCTGCTCTCGTGCCCTTTTTTCTTAGAGAGTCGTTTTTGGAAGCATGATGGTGTCTGGGAGCAGGCGGTGGTGACGGTGATCCTTCGACATGCGTGAAATCGAAAAGTGGCTTAAGTTCATGCAACACACCAAACTTGTCGGCAAGTGTTCGTGCAATGTCCAATGGCACCCACGTTCCTTGGTACTTACCAAACCCGCCTTGCACTTTCTCATGGATGTCTTTAATAACCTCCTTCTCTAAAATCCGCGTTCTTTTCGCCTTGGCAAATTTCGCTGCTTTTAGTATATGCGTCGCATTTACCCAATCGTCTAGTTTCCGCTTCATAATAGACCCCGTCGGGTGAATAAACTCGTAAACACCTACCCCAGAATACTTGGCCGAGTATATTTGATCGCTTGACATCTCCGTATCCTTCGAAGAACTCTGTCAGCTTTTGCCCTAACCAACTGAAAGATTCTTGAACTTTTCCCACCTTTCGAATTCTAATAGCTATCGTCTTCAACAAATATAACGTCCACCACAATTTCACTCCAATTGCAAAACGTAACAGTTCAAACCAACCTCGGAAAGCCTTGACCGTTGTAGCCCATTCAATGCCTTTGATCTTTTGACGTTTCGTTTCTCAACTGCGAAACATTTTCAAACGCTGGCTCTAAGGGAAGATACCCACCCTTACTGAAAAAATTAATTATTTACCCGGACATACCAATGACTATATAAGAGAAATAGCTACTTTCTCTCATGATTCCCAGCCAAATCACCCAAAACCAACCAAAATCACTTCTTAACGCTTAATATCATGGATTTTTTCATTGTTCTTATTGTCTCACTCGAGTAGTGCTTGTTTTATTTGTAGAATGTCTGTTCCTGTGATTTGCAGAGAATTGATGAAATACTGCTCAAATGAGCCATGCAGCTTTCTGAATTGGTCCAAAAAGAGTCTCATTGCTTCGTATTTCGACGATAACAAGTTCTGACACATCTTGACCGGGTCGACGTTGTATTCTTGAGCTAGACCTTTGGAACCAACCATTTCGTAATAAAGATCACCGCGTTTTTGCAATCTGTCTATGAGACGTTGTTCCGTGGTGAGACCAATGGTGGTCAGCTCATATTCGCGTGCAATGGTGTCGTCATCGACACCTAACAGTCCAAGGATTAGCATGGCAAGTACACCAGTTCTATCTTTGCCCGCGGCGCAATTAAACGCGAGTGCGTGTTGTTCGTCGCAATGACCGTCTCTAACGTACTCGAAAAACTGTTTGATTTGTGAAGCGCTATTCCGGCTGATTACGAGATATGCTTGCGGGAACATGTACGGCGACAACAGTAGTCCCTGATAATGCAGCGCGGAATCCTCAGGCGCAAAACTCTGTTTGTTGTTGAAAGGCAAATTCTCGATGGGGACCGCTTTTATGAATCCGTTCTCTTTTATTTCCGATGGAGCCCTTAAATCAAAAAACCGCGTGACGTGAAGTTCGTTTTTCAAATAGTCGATACCTTCATGTGTCGCGTTCGAGGGGTTAGCGCACCGATACATGATCCCCGGCTTGACGCGATGGCCACTGCGCGTTCTGTAACCACCGATATCGCGAAAATTAGAAATTCCAGAAAATTCGAACGGCAACGGCCAGCGTGATAACACGCGAGCTGGATTGCTGGAATCGATAATTTGGTTGGTCACTTTGTAAAACCTTTGTAATTGACTTTCGGGCTCTAAAAACCCAGCGACTCTTTCCGCCACAACTCCATTGTAATTTACAACTCCCTTACGCAGAGGCAGATTATCCAAGTTGGGATCACCTGGCAGCCCGTAAAAATTGTGGTCTGCAAACATGATAAATCCGGCCGTGTGACGTCCCTCAAACAAATTAGCCCATTGCGCGAGCGCACTTATGGGGATGACGTTATCACACGACCCGTAAATCGAGAGTACCCAAGTACGAGAATCTATTTCAGCAAATTTGCGCGTATCTATCATCGCAGCGCTCATAGTCTCGGCTTTTGGGATCCAAATGTTCGCGGGCTTACCATTGCGGAAAACAGAGCAGTTAAATCCGCCATCTTCGTCCCAATTAGGGTTCCGCTTGTAAGACTTATCTAAAAGTCCCGAAGAAACGAACCGGCCACTTGCGTTGATCAGGTTCGGCACAAACCGGCTGCGTGCAAATTCGAACATTGACATCACGCCACGTGAGTGGGCCATGATCGTGTCCAGAGTCAGTTTATGCCCAATTATTCGCTCGATAGCTTCACTGGCCGCGAACTGGTAAACCGTTTCAATGTCCTCTACATCTTGACTGATCACACGCCCAACTCTGGGGTCTCTGCAGTTTTCAGAGTCCCCTAAGCCACGAAAATCAATTCGGAGCACATAGTACCCTTTGCGGGCCAGAGTTTTCGCGACTGCCGGTAGGAAAACCGTATTTTTGTGTGCGGAATGACCATGCACCAACAGCACTAATTTGTGCAGAGGAAATCCCTGTTGTGGCTCTTCTAAGATTTTTGCCTTCAAACTCTGAAGTTTGGAAGAACTGGGTACTGTCAGGATACCCGCAATGCCCTTCGCTGTGTGATATTCAGCGTGTCTTAAAAACAGAAACTGCTCATCTGCTTGTGTTTCTGCACTTTTTATTATTGTCGCAGTAACGACATCTTGTTGTACCATACTTAAATAGCGATCGTTTAGTGCTTTTTGCTTTGTGTTATGATTTAGAAATTTAGGTAAACGTCGGCTCTAGCACCCCTCCTCGCACTGCACAGACGCTAAGACTCTCTCTCTCTTTCTTTCAAATCCAGACTTATATATATGTATAGTTAGTTGTTCGCATCAGGCAGTCATACACTCTCATGTAAAGAAACGTTGAGGCATTTTCCCTCGATGGATGACTATTATCGGAGTTGACGTAGAAACTTATGTCGTTTTGTACGTGATACAGTTTGTTACTACCGATCCTGGCGGGTACGTGATCTTATCTCTTCGTACGGATTCTGAATATGGCGCAACGAGTAGCAGAATCACATTTTCCTGCGTTCGACTCCCCGAGGCAATGTTTCTAAAGCATGTTTCCAGTTATTAATACTTTCTCACGAAATGATATTTTTGGCCCGACGAGTATGAGTAGAAATGAGTGCCCAAGGTGTTCTAGCGTTCAATCACTGCTGGACGCAAGTTTTTCCCAGGGCGATATCACGTGTTTTCTTCGTTTTTTTGTTGGTGCACAGAGATCTGCCTACGTTATACACAACAGTTTCGCGACAAAAGAGTTCTGTTGGCTAGATTTTTAGAGATCCAGGTTGGCTACAGCTTAGCAGTACATTGGTGCTAGTGTGATTCAGCTATCCTAAGTATTAAGCTTCGACTAGCCCAATAATGACCACCGACATCGCCACCGGCCGGATTGGAAACCTGTCGAAAGAGCAGGAATTGAAGATCAAGCAAGTATGGGCCCATATGTTGACGCATTGGGGGGTTCCAGTTGACACTAAAAACGTGTTTCAATCGAGAAGTAATAGAGGAGGGGAGTCAAAGTCCGATGCGGATTCGAATAAGAACTCAAAGAAAGGCGGTAAACTTTTCGGGAAATTTCTCAAAGGTAGTGGAGGGTCTTCGAAATCTGGCACAAGCGATCAACGAGACAGAAGCGGGTCTCTAGGCGCGAAACAAACAACAGAAGAGCTGGAAACCTTGTTCTCAGGGCTGGAACCAAGCGAAGTGCGTGAAAATTTCTGGGATATGCTCAGAACCGATTATCCAGACAACCTGTTGTTGCGGTTTTTAAGAGCCAGAAAATGGGACACTCACAAAGCTATGTCGATGATAGCTCACACACTGCGTTGGAGACTGAAGGAGGCTAAGCCAGATGAAGTTATTATGGGCGGTGAACTCGCCGCTTACAAGAAAAACGAGAAAGGTTATATCAAGAATATCGAACTTTCTAAAGCCACTATCCGAGGTTTCGACAATAAGGGTCGCCCCATTGTGTACGTTCGGCCTCGACTACACCATTCGAGCGACCAGACGGAAGACGAAATGAAAGAATACTGTCTTTTGATCATCGAGCAAACGCGATTGTTTTTGAAAGAACCTGTGGATTGTGCTACGATTCTTTTCGACTTAACCGACTTTTCAATGGCTAACATGGACTATTCGCCCGTGCAGTATCTAATTTCCTGTTTTGAGGCCCATTATCCCGAATGTCTGGGCCATTTGTTTATCCACAAGGCACCTTGGATTTTCCCACCGATTTGGAACATTATCAAAAACTGGCTTGACCCCGTTGTCGCATCAAAAATTGTCTTCACAAAGAACACTAGCGATCTAGTTAAATACATCCCCGAGAAGCATATCCCAGCTTCTCTTGGAGGTGATGACAAGTACGATTTTGACTCATTTAAAAAGCCTGACGAATCTGTTGATGCCAAACTTCAAGATCATGAGACGCGCAACGCAATCCAAGAGAAGCGTTCTGCTATCATTAAAAGCTATATTGATACAACAGTTGCCTGGATCGAATCTACCGCGGAGAAAGAATCGTCCGAACTTCTACAACGCAAAATTGAATTGAGCAAACAATTGAGTGACAACTTTAGAAAACTAGATCCTTACATTAGGTCGCGCTCAGTTTACGATATCAACGGTACGCTCGAATTATAGAAATTAGTTTACGATTTACCTTCTTATAGATTTGGTTATCTTTTTTGATATAGGAAGAGATGTTTGACAAAGATTGAAAAACTGTTGATGATCTGAGAAACTCAACGTCGATTTATGCCAATTGATGGGATATGTTGATAAAGGGTTTGTCGAATTAACAAGCAATGATCAATTAGACGACATTGCAGTTAGGGCCGTGCTCAACGGTATCGAAAAGAATGTAACACAGGAGGGTATATCAGTCAATATTTTGAGCGCTGTAATCGATTTTCTTTGCGAATCCACAGTTTTGAGCGACAACACCAAGTTGTATGTTATCGAGAATTGGCTTCTCCCCAATAATTATTATGGTAACGACGTTGTTCGCTCGATTTTGAAACATTTGGGTGGTGAGGCTTTACCGACTCTTTTCAAGTTACGTCCACCAAAGACGGTGCAAGTCGCATTGGTCAAATGGCTGGTTCACGTATATCCGTTAGCGGCCCGGGATGAGATTTTCCGCGAGACTTACGAAGTTTGGTTCCAACTGTGGCAGTACGATTTCTTGCAGAAATGGATTTCATACATACTTGTGTGGTCTACAATTCCTGACTTCGTGAAACCCTGGAGGGTGCGTGTGGTTTTAGATATAGCAACGAAATCGGGATACACAAACGCAAGAGCTTTGGGTACACTTTTATTGCGAAGATATGACGCGTTGAAATCTCATAAGCTTATTCAAGAGGCCATCGAGACCATCAATTGCAACAAAAGGCGTTTACGGACAAGTTCTAACGAGTTCATTAACCAGGACTTTTGTGGCTCAGTAGGTTCAGTGCTCGATCTAAATGGTCGTTTTAATGGTAGCGCTTACAATAGTACCATGCAGGACTTGCTGAGCCTTTTGAGTTCCACTACAAAAATCGATACCCCAGACGTTGATGTCAATGACTTGAGTGAGATTGACACGGTTTACAAATTGAGCAAACTTATCGAGAAAGATAGATCTGTGACGGATTTAGAAGCATTGATACAAAACTCGAATATGCCAAATATGCTTTTCATGACGCTGTTAGAAGAAGAACATCACTTGTGGAAGCAAATTAACGCTTTATTCAGTCTAAAAATGAGATTTCTTTCCCCGCAGGAGGACCACAACGATAAAAGAGTCAAAATTCTCAAATCTCTTAGAGATTTTTGTCAGATTCGCACATCTGCGCTTCAAGTTGCTGAAGAGGCTGTCTTCGGGCATTTGGGGTCTATTCCAGCGAGCATTTCCTCTCGTAATTCTACGAGTTTGGAGCTTTTAACGAAGCCCACCCGATTCAAACTATATCGTCGATGGTTTATGAATGGAATTATATGTGCACGGAAGGCTCGACAACCATTGAAAGTTTTCAATAGCGGTTTGCAAAAGCTTCTCTTCGCTATCAATTTTTGGTCGGCCAGTGAATCAGGCAAATTTGCTATTCATGAGTCTACACTCGAAGTTTTGGTAAACCTACAAATCTCGGAACTCAGGCTAAACGGCCACCTGTTCTGTGATGATAATACCTTGCGCTTAATTTTGAGAACAATGAATTTAACATTAGTTCGCGTCTTAGAGCCGAATTGGGAACATGTTATGCACTTTACCAAAGTTTTCATTCCTCGCTGTTTTTTAAGTGGAGACCCTGTTGCAACCGGTTTTTCTTTATTGTTTCTGCTAAAGTGTCAGCAGGCTTGTCAAAATTGGACAGTGCCTTCCTTTTTTAATGCCATGCTCCGTCAACATACCGAAGATTGTGCAAATTATCTTTGGAATACAGGCAAAACTCGTAAGCGTTCTCTCTTCGCTATTCCTGTGAGTTTCATTCGGAATTTCGATGCCCGATTTGAAAGACTTCAAGAAACAGCTTCACGTCATATATGGTTGGGAATTACTAATGTTCCCTCGACGTCCTTTAGTTCTTTTCTGGTTCTGAGAAGAGCTGAACAGGCTACCCACTGTAAGAAATGCTTTACAGGCCCTTTCACCTCACAAGCTTTCAAACGGTTTCGCAGGAAAACAGATGGGCACTTGTGGATGAAAAATATTGACACTTTCTTGAAACTGCAAATTTTCCTTCTAAGCCTAATGCAAAATGATCCGATCCTATATCCTTTTTACTTATTTCTGGTTGACAATGAAAGGGGTCTATCGCTTGACGTTTTGAAAATTTCAGCCAATTGACGCCAAAGGAGCTTTACTTCGGAATGCGGATCAATGCACGAACTATTTTCATCATTGTCTTCTATTTACAGGTTTACACGAGAACAAAGCTTATCACACCCATCTTGTAGATAACTTTCTTTATATCTTTTTCCTTTAGGTATTTTTTACCGCCCTCCGAGTCTTGTAACAACCGCAGGGCCAAGTCTTTATCGTCCAAAAATCTGGAATCGGCCTCATACATGAACCGCATCTTTCCATTCACAACTATTTTGTAGTTGATCACGTCTTTCAACGGCGCAAGCTCGATCTCTGGCCAACGGTAGAGATCAAAAGTGTTACCCGATTCATGAGTTGTTATTATGGCAGCAATTTCTTCAGCGACACATGGAGCAACCGGGTATATGGATTTGGCTAAGCTTTGCATGGCCAAAGATATCAAGTTGGGGTTGATTGTGGAGGAATTAAGGGCTTCGTCGATTTTGTTGGTTATCTTCATATAGTCTGAGATGACTGTGTTCAATGAAAGAGTTTTCTCGAACGAATCTGTTATACTGCGCAAAAGATGCTGCACTTCGTTGTGGAAGGATATTTCCATATTAGTGAGATCTTTAGAGACCTTGAAGCCTCTGAAAAATTTTAAGTCGGAGGTAAACAGTTTATTCGTCAGGGATATCATCTTCGTTAACCACCTTTTAACGCCAACTATCTTTTCATCATCCCATTTCAGCACATCGAATACCGGAGCTTGAAAAAGAATGTGAGCTCTGGTAACATCAGCACCATGAGTCGATATGCATTCCAATGGATCTACACCATTGTATTTTGATTTCGACATCTTTTCGTAAGAGATCTCAGGCACTTCACCGGTCGATTTGATCACAGTGACACCTTCTTCATTGATAGTCACTTCATCAGGCTTCAAAAACCTTCCATCCTTTGGGTTGCACAGTGTCTTGCCGTGAACCATTCCTTGTGTTACTAGTTTCTTGAAAGGTTCACCGTCGACTCTGGAACCGTCCCACCAACCGGCGTCAGAGAGAAACTTAGAGACAAATCTTGCATATAGGAGATGCAAAATAGCATGTTCTATTCCTCCAATGTAAAGATCGACAGGCATATGTTTGGCAGCAAGTTCAGGGGAGAACGGGCTCTTGTTGTTTTTCGGATCAATGAAACGGAAGAAATACCATGAGCTATCGATAAAGGTGTCCATGGTATCTGTTTCTCTCTTAGCCTCACCTCCACAGGATGGGCACTTTGTGTTCACGAAATCGCTCAAATTTTGTAAAGGATTGCCTTTTGGAGCAAGCTTTGTTACCCGAGGCAAAACAACCGGGAGATCGTTCTCTGGAACCGGTACTGGACCGCAATTGTCACAATGAATGATTGGAATAGGAGTTCCCCAATATCTCTGCCGACTTATCAACCAGTCGCGTAATTTAAACTGTACCGTCGGCTTTCCCCTTCCAATCTTTGAAAGATCCTTTGCTATCTGTTCGGCGGCATCGTGGAGTGTCATCCCTGCGTACTGCTCGGCATTGGAGTTTAAAATTCCGGTCTTTCCAGCATAGAAGTGACCTTCAAAAGTTGTTTCTAGAGGCTCTACTGTAGGCAGAACTGGGCTCGAAGGCATGTTCTCGGCCCAAAAGGCAAAATCACGCTCATCATGGGCTGGGCATCCCATGACGGCACCATGACCATAGGAATCCAAAACGTATGGTGCAACGAAAACAGGTATATCAAAGTCAGAAGATTTTGAAAGAGGGTTAATCGCTTTAACTCCGGGCAAAATCATTCCTTTCTTGGAGTCCTCGCTTATGCCCTTGACCTCGCGTACAAATCGATCGACAGTAGGGTTTATTTCTGCTAACTGTTTAACCACCGGATGAGTCAAAGACAATGCAACATACTGAACACTGAATAGAGTATCAACTCTAGTGGTAAACACTTTAATAGTATCACCGGTCTGCGTCTCGAAATCGACCTCTGTGCCCTTTGATCTTCCGATCCAATGTCTTTGCATTCTCTTAACTTTTTCGGGCCAATCCGTTAGCATATCCAGCTCACTGTTCAGCTTGTCTGCATATCGCGTAATACCAAGGAACCACTGTTTGAGAAACCTTTTTTCAACTATTGCTCCTGATCTCCATGACCTCCCCTCGGAATCGACTTGCTCATTGGCAAGAACAGTGTCGTAAACGGGGTCCCAATTAATTTCTGCCTCTTTTTGGTACGCGAGACCTCTCTTGAACATTTCAAGAAAGATCTGTTGCGTAAACCTGTAATAATCTGGATCGCAGGTAACTACTTCGCGATCCCAATCGAAATTGGCCAACATGGCAGAACATTGATCTCGCATGATATTAATGTTTTGTCTGGTCCAATCTGCTGGGTCAATGCCTCTTTCTACCGCGGCAGTTTCAGCGGGCAGTCCAAAGGCGTCGAAACCCATCGGATGAATAACGTCGTAGCCTTTCATCTGATAAAACCTATTCAGCGTATCTGAAATTGTATACACTCTCAGATGACCAATATGCAAGAGACCGGATGGATACGGGAATTGGGCTAACACATAGATGTTTTTCCCATTCCTAGGTGCCAAATTTTTGGGCACCGATTTCAGTACTTTCTCTTGCCATTTAGCTCCAATTTTGAGCAAATCAATTGGCGAGCCACTCCCAAAATGACGGCATGCCCTTATTTGGGGTATAAACGCCATTCAAAAGATCGTCGAGTGCGTCCTCAGAGGTATGACCTTCTGTGATCCGAAGTCACTCAGTGACCCTACTCTAACAGACGCATTTTTTTTCACCATTTGAAAATGTCCAAATATCGACTTATATAAATTAAAGAGTCGTAGACCAGGGGAACCTTTTATCATATTAGCGAGTACATTGACATTACGTAGATTATTTTTAATAAGTTGTTTCCATCTTGAAACCTTATATGTAGGATCTTCCAAGAATTCGTCTTGACACGCTATTTTGAGAATAGACCAAAAACCCGGTGAAAATAAGATGTGGACGAGTAAACCCTAAATCCGGCTTGTGACCAGAATTGGGGAAGGTGGGCATTTGTTCAAAAAGGCTATCCCGTCGAGGCTAATATTTAATGAGCTTAGCTAGCACTGGGACGAGTATGGCAGTCATGTCTCTCTTTACGAAGCTTTCTTAATTCTGACACGCGAATGGTTTGATAAAACATATTGGAGTTGTGCAGCAGTCAATATGTATGAATAGATAATAGCCTTTGGCGATCACGAAATATTGAAACAGTGTAGCTTGTCGTAGTTTCATTGAGATTCGATCTATACTTTCAGAAAGTTACTAGTCATTCTAAACGAACATCTTCCTCAGGACTAACATGACAGCGTCGCTGTAAGTGAATATTCCCAAGAGAAACACCCGTAGAAAACATTTTCAGGTTTTTTCACCTGGCCTTCGTTAATTTTTTGGAATTTAAACAATTTGAGGGTGCTGTATGCTTACCTTTTTCAATACATTTAGAAAAACCACTCAGACATGACAAAAAAAGCCACCAGCTTCAGCTTTGCTGTACTTATCAATTTGATTTCTCAGCTATTTCTGTTCCCGTTGTCTCGGAAAACAATTGAAATACAAAACTGTACTGCTAACTGGCATCGTCGTATGCTAGTCCACCTCGCTACTCATAAGGTACTCACATACGTATAAAGCTATTATTTGTTTAATTTCGACGCATCACTCACGTGACTAATTGCCCAGACTTCTCACAACGAGCGTTTTGGTTTGTTATAATTGTCGTACATAATGATTTCAAAAGTTGATGCCGCTTTCAACGGAAAACGCGAATGTTGATCATAATACAGGATAGGACCATCGCTTTTCACATCAACATACCTTCTTCAACAGAGTATGGTTTAGTTGGCAGTTCGAAGGTCATTAGCAGACTTGTAGTAAAAATCTTACGGTTTGCATACACAGTACAGAGTCAAGTGAGAAACCGCGCTCCAAAATGGATGGCAGAGCGCCAAAAAGAAGGCGAACTTTGGCGCCAATGACACAATTTGAAGGAGACTCGCAAAGTGCGGCCAAAGATATAGACGAGCTACCGCTTCATGCTCCAGGTTATATCAAGACCGTTCAGCTGCAGAATTTCATGTGCCATGAAAACTTTGAGATCAATTTAGGCCCGCAACTGAATTTTATAGTGGGTCGTAATGGCAGTGGGAAAAGCGCTATTTTGACAGCCATCACGGTGGGTCTTGGTGCCAAAGCAGCGGAAACAAATCGAGGAGCAAGTTTGAAGGATCTTATACGCGAAGGTTGTAATATGGCCAAAATACAGATCATATTGGACAATCAAGGACCTAGCGGTTTTGAACAGGATTCATATGGGAGTCAGATAATCGTTGAACGAACATTAAAGAAAACCGGAGATACAGCCTTTAGTCTCAAATCAGAGACCGGCAGGAAAATTTCTTCGAAAAAAGCAGATCTACAAACCATTCTAGACTATTTTGGCGTGCCCATTTCGAATCCGATGTGCTTTCTTTCCCAGGATGCCGCAAGATCGTTTTTAACCGCAAGCACTGCAGCGGATAAGTACATGCATTTCATGAAGGGAACTCAATTGAAAGAAACGGAGGATAACCTGAATCAGGCCTATGAAGTGACTTTAGAAGCCCGAGATCAACTCCATTTCCACGAGCGAGGCTTAAAGGCTCTTCGTGCAGAGTACGAGAGTGCTCAACGTATCTTCAGAGAACTCAATGAGCACCAAGATTTGAATAAGCGAAAGAGAGTTTTGCAGGGCAAACTTCTTTGGTTAACGGTACAAGAGAACGAAGGACTTTCCAAAAAGCTTGAAAGCAAACTCAAAGAATATGAAGACAGACGGGCAATTATTGATTCCAAAATAGCGGCAAGAAAGGCTAAGACTGAACAATTTACTCGAGATCAGCAAGAAATCGAGGAGCAAATAGAAACGGTCGCCGAACGATGGCAAGAACGGAAAACTGACCTCGATATTGCCAGAGGAAATCTCATGCAATTAGAGACAGAATGCAACACAAAGGGGGCTCAGCGGAAAGAAACGGAAGAGGAATTGCGTAAAACCATCAAAACTGTCGAGGAGCTGGAAAGAAAAGTTCAGTCTCTCGAAGAGGAGCTCAAAAGACAAAGAGACGGTGAGGGTGAAAAAATGGAACAGGAACTTTCTGGTATTCAAATAGAGAATAAGCAACTGAATTCAGACTTGATAAACCATCAAAACGATCTAGAAAATCTAAAAGACAAGTTGAAGACCTTGCTTCATAAGAAAAACGAGGAGCTTAGGGAACTGCATTTCGAAGTTGACAAGAAACAACAAGAGCTACGAACAATGAATAATGTTACACCTGAAGAACAACTTCTGATGAATTTCCATCCAAAGATCAAAGATGTTCTCAAAGCTGTCAGAGACGCTCGACGAAAATTTGTTGAGGCCCCAATTGGTCCCCTTGGCTTGTCTCTGACCATCAAAAAAGAATTTGAGGAGTGGACACGGCCTATTCAAGCATATTTGGGTGGAGAACTGAAATGCTTCGTGGTATCCAATAGTAGGGATCGTCAAGAACTCAGCAGCATTTTGCGACAGTATAACGTTAACCACCTTTTCACTGTAGTGGTATACAAATTCTCAAAGTTTGAATTTATGCAGGGAAAAGCGCGCACATCATATTCAACTGTTCTTGATGCTCTGGAATTCGATATTCCTAGCTTGAAATATCTTTTGATTGATTTGAAACAGATTGAGGGTGTCATATTGGTCAAAGACAAACGAGAAGCAAGGAAAGTTTTTGATGATGATAAGTTCAATGTTCAGCGGGTGCTATCCCCTTTAAATGCACGGCAGGGTATCCAAGCATTCAAACGAAGGGGCGCTGGATTTTCCTCAAATATTGTGAGTTATCAAGAAAGGCTTTCATTAAAGCAAGCCTCATCGTCTAATGACGACATCGGATATTTGAAAGCGGTAATTGAAGAAGAGAAGCATCGGATTTGGCAACGCGAGTCCGACTTCAACGTAAATTTACAGCAGTTGGAAAGAGATATTCAGGAAAAGAAGAAAACAATTGACCAAATGCAAAAGAGAATTGCAAAATTGAATGAGAGAGATGTAGATCTTAGAGTCCGCCTAGAAAGAAGTAAAAATGTGGGCGATGAGTCTTTAGAACGGGCGAAGATACAAGCTAACTCTTACAAATCTGTGATTGGTGGCTATAAGAATACCCTAAATGAAATTGATGATAGCTTAAATACCGTGTCGGAATCAAAGCAATCTCTAAAGGCGCGCTATGAAGAATGCGTATTGGAGTTACGAGAGGTTGAACATCATCAACAAGAGCTAAAGAATTCTATTTCTCACATATCGGCCAATCTAGAGAAATACAAAGAAGATCAAGAACGCTACGTGAAAAAGCAAGCCGATATTGTTGCTAGACAAGCCAAAACTACCGAAGAAATGAAGCGTTTTGAAGATGGTATCAAGAAACAAGAAGAGCAAGCCAACATATATTGCCCTAGGGATGTGGCATTTCAACCAGATGTTCCTCCAAGGAGGGAGGATGTCAAGACGGAAATAGAAGAAATTTCCTTTCGGATTCAGTCAGCAGAGAGAAACTTGGGAATGTCTCAAAACGAAGTATTGAGCCTGCTGGAGAATACTAAGACTAAATACACCGATGCCCATGAGAAATATTCTAAAATCGATCAAGTCATTGCACTCTTAGAGGGTCTGCTCAGAAAGCGACAGCAGTCTTTCTTTTATGCAAGGCGGGATACCTGTTTTACCGCTGACGCTGACTTCAAGCAATCTCTTAGATTTCGCAATTTTTCGGGGGGCCTGCATTTTGACCTTGAAAGGAAAACACTCGATATGCTTGTTAAAACTGCTAACGATGAGCGTCCTAGAAATGTTAACACCCTATCAGGAGGCGAAAAATCATTTTGCCAACTTTCTCTGCTTATGGCCACATGGAGGCCGATAAGATCCAGGTTGATAGCACTTGACGAATTTGACGTTTTCATGGATCAAGTAAATCGGCAAATTGGCACAAGGTTTATAATACGGGAATTCTCCAAACGGTCAAGGGCTCAAACGATAATCATAACTCCACAAGATATAAGCAAAATTGCAGATGTTAATCAGCCGGGATTGCAAATTTATAAAATGGATGATCCTCAGAGACATAACATATCTGAGCCTATGTAGACCTTGAAGACCTTTTGGTCATCATCCCAGTTGATGTTTTTTTATTAGAGGAGACTTTCGGTATGCTAAATAATAAAAGAAAAAGACAATTAACAAAAGGGCCATCTAATCGTCGTCTTCATCATCTTCCTCTTCCGCAGAACCTTCGGATGAGAGCTCCACATCAAGATCTAGAAGTTTCTGTCTATATCGACTGTTTTTGGAATCCAGTTCGCTCACTAATAACAAAAGATCATCAAGCTCACCCTTTCCCTGGGCTTGTTGTTTCCAGTAGTCAATCTCTTCAGATAGCTTCTGAACTTTGTTTTTTAGGGCAAGACAGTCTTCGTTGCTACTCTCTAGGCTATCTGGTTCAATTTTGCCGTTGTGTGAAAAAAACTTTGGTTGAATGCTTTCATTATCAAATAATGTATGCTCGATTGAGGTATCAGAACCTTTGGCACTCCGACCTAAAGTTTCTTCGTTGAGATTTGCTGAATGTTTAGTAGCGGCGGCACTTCTTCGTAAATTTTGTAGTTGTGCCTCCAAGTCTCGCAGCTTCTCGTCTCTATCATTCAACTCTCCACTTAGATGGTTAACGTGATTTTCTCGAGCAGCTTTTTCTTGATCATTTTCTCGAAGTTGGTTTTCTAACCTTTGTACAGTTACATCATTCTTTTCTGACTGTTCTTTTGATTGAGTGGAAATACTTTCCAATTCTCTCCTCAAAGATTCAATCTCCCTGTCCTTAGTGACCAATGCCCCATTGAGGTCTTGAGAACTTTTCTTTTCATTTACAATCACGTCTTTCAGCCTTTGAACTTCTTTAGAAAGCCTTTCGGATTCTTTCTGTTTTTGTTCCAGCGCTTTGATGCGGACTTCTTGGATTTCTTGATGTTCTTTCTTCAAAGCTTGTAATTGACCCTCAACCTCTTCGAGTTTTTTTTGATTGATGGTGAGCTTCTTGTTAATATCTGCTACCTTGCTTTCAGATTGTATTAGTTTCTCGTTGAGACTTTCTCTCTCTGCTGATGTCTTTTGGCAGCGCTTCTCTAGGTCTACAATTCGTCCTTTCGATTCTTTGGCAGCACTGTCAGAGATGTCTTGGTGCGATTTTAGTGTTCCTTCCAATAGTGAGACCTTTGTTGAATATTCCTGAGCCAAGTCCGATGAATTTTCGGTAATGAATTTTCTCTCCATTTCCAATTCTTTAGTCTTCTCTCGAAGCTTTTCCTGAGAAGCACTCAGATCTTGCTCTAAGGACAAGCGAGCTTCCAAAGTTTCGGCTTTCAGGGCTTCATAAACCTTCTTTTGATTTTCGGCTTTCGTTTTTGCATCTTCCACCCGCCGTTCGAGTTCATTTCTCTTACTTTCTTCCTTCGCGATCTCGGAATTCGCATCTCTTAGCGTGTTCTGCGCTGCATCCAGTTTAGCTGTCAAATCAGTGATGGTGTCGTTGGCGGAAACAAGTTCATCCCTTGTCGACTCAATTTCAGAATTTAAACTAGACAGCTGTCCCTTCACACCTGAGGACTCATTTGCAATAGTGTCCCTCTCTAGAGTAAGGGTTTGCAGCTGGCTTTCCAAATTTTTATGAAGGTTTGTGGCATCATCAAGTTCTTTCGCCAATTTCTTTCGAAGATCATCCTGATCAGCTTTTTCTGAGTTTAGTTTTTGCAAAGTAGCTTTGAGGTCGGATAGCTCGGTAGTCTTTAAGTGATTTTCTTGACCTTGTAGTGAGATCTTTGACTCTAGATCTGAAATTCGAGATTTCGATTTGTCGATATCATTATGAAGATCAATGATTTTATTCTTGAGCCCCTCATTCTCGGAAGCGAGCGAAGAGGCCTTGTCGTCAAGGACTTTTTTAACTTTTTCGAAGTCATTAGATTTAGATGAAAGCGCGGAAACTTCTTGATGCAATATGCTCAGTTGGTCGGAATCGTCTTGGCGCTTTTCAAGGCTCTCATCAAGTTGAGCTTGCAGAGAGGATTTTGTGCCTTCTAATGCGTGAATTTCAGCTGCTTGCGCTTTACAGCGTGCTTCTAAGCTTTGTAGTTCAGAATTGAGTGAATCAAATTTTTTCTCGTTCTCGGCTTTCAGAACGGCCAACTCTTCCAGCAGATTGGAGTGGTCTTTCTCCAATTCTGCCCTAACACCTGCTATCCATTTTAGTTTATCAGTAAGTTTTGAAATTAAAACGCTCTGCCCTTCTGATTTGGAATGCGATTCGTCAAGATTCTTCTCAAGAGTCAGCTTTTCCTGAGCTAGCTGTTCACTTTTCTTGATTGCTGTAGACTTGAGTTCTTCTAACTCCTTGAGCTTCTTCTGATTTTTTGACAGCTCTGCCCTTAGTGATTTAATCTCTTCACTTTGTTTTCCTGAAGCATCTCTGAGCTCTTTTTCGGTCTTACGTGATTCAGAAGTAAAACGCTGTTGCTCCTTGGACAAGTTCATGAGTTCTCTTGTAAGTTTGTTCACACCGCTTTCGGCTTGAGTTTTGTCCTTCTCCAGAAGCTCAAGGTTCTTTTCAGTGGTACGAAGAGAATCTATGGCCTCATTTAATTGACATTGAAGATCTTTTAGGCTGTCATTCTTTCTATCTAATTCTGCGTTAACTCGCCTCATTTCCTCTGTAAGACCTTCGTGCTTTTTGGTGATCTGCGCGAGCTTTTCTTCTGAGTTATGCTTTTCTCTTTCTAGGGATAAGAATTGCTCTCTATTCTTTTCCACTTGGCGCGCACTTGATTCAAATTGTTCAGCGAGTTCCTTCAAGTTTTGTTGCAAAATGGCGATCGTATCAGTGAGTTCAGCTTCTTTTTTATGAAGGGCGGAGTTTTTCGTTTGAAGGTCGTCCAACTCCTCAAATGTGAGTTTTACGGCAGCGCATATGTCGGGACTTCTCTTCATTGCCGTCAGGATCCGATAGAAGTTGTCAATGACCAGCTGCTGGAAATAAATGCTGAAATAGACTTTGGGAAGCCCAGTTTCATCGATTTCCGTTGACTCATCTTTATGATTATAGGATGATGCAAAAAGTAGGGGATCGTCTTTCAACCTTTTGATTTTAAAATAATAGTTGTCCCTCCCGATGCTTTTTGTCATAAGGTTGTATAGCTTTTCTCGCGGCATAGACGACTCTGCTAACGAAAATTCATACGCAACACCCAATAACATCGTAGCCAAACACTTGAGCGTTATATTTCCTTCTTCTAAATGAGAAGAATAAGTGATCAATGTGTTAAGAACCGATTTCGAGAGCAGAAAGTCGTTGACAGCCCCTGTGTCGCCAAATAGCCAGAAAATCAGAAGAGACAAGTATGAGAAGGATATGCGAGGATCGCTCATGGACAGGCTTGTCACCAGAAGCTCGCATATTGTTTGAATTGAACATAAAACTTCTTCCCCAGCTTCTTGGTCTCCACTTTGAATATTTTGAACTAGTTTCCTAAGGCCAAAATCTCGGTCATCACTAAACATGAAAAGCAAAAGGTCTACCACGAAAAAAAGCTTGTAAGGATTGAGTTTTATGTCCGGATCGTACTCGAGAAGCGTCTGAAATACGTTAGTGTTTTTCTGGTGTGTTGCGTCGAGATCCTGGTCTAGATCCGCTCCAACATTGTCATCGGCAAGCACGTTCAAGCGCTTATAGTTCTGAATTTGGGCCTTCAGCAACCCCTCCTTTAAGTCATGATTGTTGTACAAATATGCTTTCAGAAGCTCTAACGATGCCTTTCTCAATTCAAAAGTATGCACCGAGTTGGCGAGTAGAGCCCAACCGAGAAGAAGATCGGGTAGAGGTTGAACGAATTCGGAAGTTGACGTACCGGATACACCACTGCTTAAGGTAGGATCAAAGTAGGGAACATCCAGAGTCCGAAGACTTTCTTGCATCACTTTGTCGTCTCGAACAATGTCTGCCGCGGTAAGAAGAGTCATCGGCCTAACGGAATTTGGTGTGCTTTCAAAGAAAGCGAGTCTTAATATTATCATCAAAATATGCGAATTAAACAAAATTTGCTGATGTTGAGGCGTCTTGGTGCTTTCTGGGTCTACCGTCAATTTAATGATGGCGAGCACGTTTTGAATATTAAAAACCCTTTGATCGTTCCAGTAGAACTCGTCGTCTCCTAGCGGTTCGTTAAGGATTCGGGCCAGTTGGGACAGATTTTGACCCTCGAGGAAAAGATCCTGATTGGACGAGTTGTACTTAAGGATATTGATGATGAGCGAAAGGCAATCGCTCACCACCAAAGAGCCACGCAACCCACCTTCTTCTTCAACTATGGCAAATAGCCTCTCGAAGATGTTCTGGAATGCAAGTAACTTCTGTATATGATTGTTGTCGTTCACAACAGCCATCAGTAGCAAAATCGCCTCGTCGCGCACTGGTTCGTGTGCATTGTCAAGCATTGACACCAGTGTCGAAATCCCAACTGGTTGTGATATTATAGCTTCGCGAGCCCTAATCGGTCTCGTTGCCACGACTGCTTCCAAAATTTGAATTGCGTACAGCTGAATGTGGAAACTGTCGATTTCTAAGAATTTGAGAAATAAATGTATTATTTCTTCTGATTGCGTTAAAAAGTCAGCAATCCACAGGGACAGATGATCCACGCGTTCATGTTCTTGCTTCATGAGAAGCGGCGATGGATACTTACCGTTCTGCACTCTTGATTGCAACGCGATCCAATTGCGTGTTAGATCCGCCTGGCCCTCGCCTCGTATGAACAAAATAAGCAGCGTTTCCATAATCGCTTTAACCATATCGTCATCCATATAATCCATCTTAAGAACGTTTATAAGCGGTTTAAGCCCTAGAGCAATTACAGTTTCACGGTAGTCCCGACTGAATGCCTTTAAACCCAGAACGGCAGAGCGCCGATCACTTATCAATGTCGCATTTTCCACTCTGTCGCAAAGGGTTGGAATAGTTTCATCGACTGATTGAGCTTTCGGCGGCTGAATGAAGCCTTGTATGAGCTCCATAGCTCAACTAAGCGCTTATCTAGGCGTTTTGTGAGATTATCTTCTTCTCCGGTTTCTCAATGTCTCAAGCCAGTAATTTCCAATACCAACATCTTTTTGGCCGTGTTGAATAAAAGTCACGTGATATTACAAAATCAAGATATAGGACCGACCGATGCCATAAATAAATATGAATAGCCGGTATAAACCTTACAAGAGCTTGAAGGAGGTTTGTAAAGTTTTATAGGAGCTTATAAGATCTCACCAAGATCTGAAGGAACTACTTGGGGAGAGGGACGAAGTGTCAAATTTTCCGCAAGCTTAAAGTTCTTTATGAGCGCCTTTTTGACAAATGTGTCATACGATGACGTTGTCTATGAAGGAGGTGACGGTGTAGATTTGAATGAACTAAATATAGTGGAAAAATGGCTTAACAGGCCGGCAAGTCAGTGGTCGATTCAACGGCTGGGTTTATTTCAGTCGAAAATTGAACAATATGTTTACAGAATTTATCACCAGGGTCGATACGGGAAACATTCGCTGAACAAAGTGATACCGTCGCACGTTTTGATGCAATTCGCCAACGAGAGTTTCGGATATAGTGGGTGGTCTGCCGAGGTTCTCGACATCAAGGTGATGAATGTCCACGAGGAACCTGGAGGAGAGGAGGCTGAACAAGGTTTTACGACAACGTCACAAGCACGTATAAAACTGACGCTGAAAGATGGAACGAACACAGAGGCAGTGGGATTTGCTAGGGTGAAGAGCAAGAGCAAAGGAGATACGTTTGCAAGAAGCAAAAAGGGAGCCACAACAGATGCTTTGAAGAAATGTTTTTTGAAATTTGAAGAGATTGTTATAGACCACCAAGAAAAAGTGTCTTCTAAGTATTATGTAGATGGTCTTTACGGCTCGAAAACCGAGAAGAAAGGTAAATGAGATGGGAATGGAAATGCAATCACTAAATCTGGGACCGCGGGCCTGATCTAAAAATCTAGATATTCTTTCTTGGGAAATTCTAAGATTTTAGGAGCATCTATTGCAGGAATATAGTACACTTGACCGTCTTCGTCGATTCTTTCTCGATCTTTTTCACTCATGGTGAAAACCTCGTTGGCGTTTTCTTTGAGAAGTGAAACCAGTTCAAGGAAATTCTTTTGGATGTGGTATGCTTGCTCGCGCATATCGCGTCTTGTGAGGCCCTCCACAAGCCTTACCGCTTCGGGAACCGTTTGGTTGACTCTTTCCACCAACCGGCTGATAGACTGAATCAAATATTCTTCCTCGTAGATAGTTCCCTTTTTACCTCTCGCACGTTTCCTTTCCTCACGACGTTTATTCTTTGCTGTACGTCTGGACGCCCCCGTTTTCGCAGTGCCCCCTGTTTTCCCCGTATATCTGGTGAAAAACGACTCCTTTGTAGACGTTTCTGAAGCAGCCATAGATACATCATCATCATGACCAGTTTCTTCTCCATAAAATGCGTAGGGATCTTCTTGCTTTTTGGTTCTAAGCTCGCGCAGTCTTCTCAACTGTGAATTCATTTGGCCCTTGCAATCTGCTAGTAGCTCAGTCACGGTACCAAAGCCCTCCCCAAGGGCCGGATCAACCAGCTTGGCAATGTACTCCTCGTGTTTGGAATTGATGGCGGTCAAAATGGCTTCGTCATAGAAGAAGGACTTGCAAAAGAGAGTGATTGCTTCTGTGACTCTACACAGATAATGAAGCTCGATTTGAGCTGCTTCTGCGTATCTGTGATCGAAGCACAGAGACGCAACCAATTCTTGCGCAACGCGTTCGATATCTCCCGGAAATTTGAGTTTGGCCAATGCTAAGGATTCCTTCCATTTTTTACCGAGAGCGTAAGCTTTCATAGCATCTTTTGATTCGTTGAGCATGTCGAAAATTGCTCCTGCTTCTTCGTAATTCTGCTTGGACAAAAGATGCATTGCGTAAGATTGAAAAATGGTATTCTGCTTCGCCTTCTCATCCTTGAAAACGTTCAGGGCATATTTGTAGAGTTCGTGGCTCTCGACATAATCTACCAGGACGTCTGTGACTTCGTCCTCGTGTGATTCAATCCCAATCAAATGATCCAAGGCTTTCTCATGATTTTTCAAGTAATCGTCAATGGTGAATTTTCTATTCAAAGTGTCACATTCATGAAGTCTCTGTAGGAAGGGTAGGTACTCTTTAGGATCCATCTGAGACTTCTGGGCCACTTCCAAAGTGAGCTTGATATCATAAAGGGACAGAGCGACTCGGTAAAGTTTGTTAACATCCTGCAAAAAGCAGAGATAAGTTAGTAGTGAATCCCGATTTTTTTCTTCCTCAATCGAAGCTATTAGTGATAAAGCACTTGCTAGGTTTGGAGGATTCTGGCAAGCATAAGCAGTTATGATAGACTGTAGGAACTGCTTCTTCAACTCCGGGTGTTCAAGAAGAATACTCAAGATTGCATTACAAATTCGATTAACCTTGGATTTCTTGGGATCGAACATTTTCTTTTTCATGTAAGCTTCCATTTCAGTGGGTGGCTCCTGGTCCTTTTCGAAAGTAAAGTCAATAGCATCATTCAGAGTCTCTCTGTACTTTGTGACGGTAACATCTTCTTCCGTCAGACATGAAATGAACAAGTCCAAATAGTCGCCTCGGCCAATATCAGTTATGAAGTGCGGTAAGTTATCATAGAACAGCTGAGGCGCATAATCATGAAGAATATCCAAATGAATTCTATGTGTACGACAAATTTGGAAAGCTTCGCCATATTTGCAAGCCAGAACGTCTTTTCTAACAGCAGCAAGCACCATAATTCGTGGATGAATTGTTTCTAGATTACCACGGGGTGCTTGCAGTACCACCGAAAATCTGGACGACATTGCTGTGACTAAGAGAGACCCCCTCTCAATGGTCCTGATCCTCTCGTCATTTACATTTTCTTCAATAGGTGGCAAATGCTTGAATTCGGTAGAGTTCAAATGAGCGAATTGCAAATAATGTTGTGCGGTTGTGAACAAAAGAATATTACCAGCTATCTCGAACGACGTGACCGATGAAGTCAAGAGTGTTTCGTTCGCGTACAATCTTCCATTCTCACTCAGTCCAAATGCAACAGTCTTAGAGTTGTTCGTATCCCAGGATCCACTGTTACTTCCTGTCTTGTTTTCAACTCGACGAACTCTAAAATCTTTAACTACCTGAGGGAAGGTGGCGATGGGCAAAACTTGGCCCTCCTGATCGACTTGAAAGACTTGGCCATCCCTTGTTTCGTAAACCAAGTGATTATAGTCGAAGGAAGATTTGAGCAAAACAACTTTCGTAAACGTTTCTACCATTTGCAGAAACGTTGGTTGATTTGTATCAGAGACGTCGATCAATGCAATGTGCGATAACTTTTCGGAATCCATCAAAACTCCCACAAGGCTGTCATTCACGAAGGCCACCTGCCTCAGAGTGTCATATTCTGTAGCGAACTCTGTCTTTGAGATTTTCGATACCAGCAAGGGATGTGAACCACTTCGCATGTCTTCCAAACTTGGGACACTGGCGAGAGCAACCTCGTCCCTTGTCAATACAGAGAAGTTTTCATTAGATAAACTGACAGCAGTGTCAACAACATTATCGGGAAGGGAAAAGTCTCTGTAATATTCAGGGGGCGGCACGTTCGCCATTCCCAACGGGGTGATATTCACCACGTTCCCGTCAGTAACAAGAACGGTCCCGTTGTCGAAAGGCTCTAACAATGGCCCTAAAGAAAGTTTGTAAGAAAAGTTCGATATGTTGACGTAACTCTCATTACCGAATAGTAAAGTGAGGTCTTTCTCAGGGTGCCATTTCGCAAAAGCGACTCCACTTGAGTGAACTTCCTGCTTCAAGTACCAATGATAGTTTTTCGAAGTCCAAAGTTGGATTCTGTCCTTAAGAATAACGGCCAACACTTCACTTGTACAATTCCAGCATAAATCTGCCACTTCCTCATCGATTGGTAGTCTAGTATCGAACTCGCCGTGTCTCAAACCGTTGCGCTCAAAGAATATAACATTCAGAGAGCTTTCATCAGCACTGCAGATGTTGCGTTGTATGCTAGCTATTAAAGCACCTTGAGGCTTCCAACTTAAAGGAAACTCTTGTCCAGTCACGGGCTCCGAGGCGCTGTCGAGGCTACCATCTCTTGTGAATACACGTAGAGCTCTCCTGAAAATTTCCCTGCCCTCTTGATTGGTTATAACATCTACAGTAGAGATTACGAAAAACTCACAGTCGCCTCGCCATGATATCGTAACTTTTCCTCTGTCTGCTTCACTTATTTCGCCACTGTCGACCGCATATGGCATCGTGGGGTCTCGAAGTTCATTTCCAACTAGTCCAGACGCCCTCAGACTCAGCAAAGCGTCCTTCTCCATGGCACGGGCACCTTTACCACGAAATTGTGTCTCCTTTTTGCCCCATCCAACGTCGACGTGTTTCGACATTTTCAAATCCTCTGAGTCGATTCTGTATTCTGCAATGGGTTCAAACTGTCGACTTAACAAAACCACGTTGCGTTGACCAGTGACGAGCGCAAGCGTTTCCTCATCGTACGACCACTTAGCACCCAAGATCCCATCGTCAATGCTACCGACAATTTCTACAATAGCAGATTCAGCATCTATCACACCGTCAGTACCACCATACGTCACGGTTATGATATCCCCTTGTTGCATCACCAGCACGAGTTGGCCCAGATCTGCGAAATGCACGAAGCTCAAAATCTTGTCATTGAGCGTCGCTAAATTAAAACTCGCCAAGACGTTAACTGCACCGTCCTTCATGCATTGCTGAATTTCAATAACGCCCAAATCGTAAGATCCCAGCACACATGTGATGCTTTCGGTCAAATTATCGAATTCACTTGTTATGAGGTCTAAATCATCGTGGAAAACCGGTTTTGGCTGGAATCTGCCCGTATTTAAGGTAACCAAATTCCGCATATTGCCAGAAGAGAGTAACCTCACTCAAAAACTTGTGCTTAATGCCTTTGTTTCACGAGTAATTGCCCTGCGATGACCCGCTTACAATCTGGTAAACCATTTATTCCCATATGGTTGATGCATCGAAAATTTTGAGGTCGTTTCGTACGTTAAAACTCCACGCTCACCGTGTCTCACCTAATTCATTTGTCCAAATCAACCTCGTTCATGTTTAATGCTACTGCTCGTCGCATTTGCATTTGCAATTGCGGCAGTTCTTTTTCTTCCAGTTCTTTAATTCGCTGTGCGTAGTAATGATTCGCCAGCGAAATCACCGTGACATCCGCTGACTCCTCAGGTAAACCTAGCTCGAAAATATCTCGAACAATACCCTTAAGTGTTCTCAACTGAACGCCGCATTGGTCCGGATTGTACAATCTTATCAACTTGTGGTTTCGAAACCGTGTCAACACGGACTCGTCGACCACGGGCTCTAACATCAACTCGTCTAATTTGACCGAATTGTCCCCGTGTGCCAGCTCCTGTTGACGATAAAACACGATCTGTAAAATCAGAAGAATTACATTAGACGCCAGGTCCATCGAGAACGTCCTTTGAGGTTGCTCAGTGGGGTCGCCTTTTTCGTAGTGATTTGTTGATGTCTGAAGTTAGCACATGGTAATCAAAACTGGAAAAAGATGAGATCTTGGCCAATATATAAGCTGGTGATTTATAAATTAAAAAAGGACACAAGCGACCAAGAATTGGGAGGATGGGTATGTCTCATTAAGCTATTTGAGTAGAATTAGGTTCAAGGAATTCAGTTTTGTGATTTTATGAACGTGTTGACTGACAGGAGTTAATTAAGATAAATCGTTGATCAAAGGGTTGAGTGATAAGCTATATGAGAAGCGAAAAGCAACGGCTCTAGAGCTGGAAAAGCTGGTAAAGCAATGCCTTGCAGAAGGAGATTTTGCGCGAATAGACAATATTATTGATGAATTGTGTCGGGATTACGCTTACGCTTTACATCAGCCCATGGCTAGAATTGCAGGGCTGATGGGGCTTGCAGCGGCCGCGATCGCACTTGGATCGACTGAGGTCGCCAAATACTTAAATCTCATATTACCACCGGTTTTGGCGTGTTTTGGCGATCAGAATGACCAAGTGCGATTCTACGCATGTGAGAGTCTGTACAATATTGCCAAAATCGCCAAGGGAGAAGTACTGATTTATTTCAACGAGATCTTCGACGTGCTGTGCAAAATTAGTGCCGATACAGAGACGTCGGTTCGCGGGGCAGCTGAGTTGCTCGACCGCCTTATCAAAGATATAGTCGCAGAAAGGGCATCAACGTATGTTAGTGTGGTCAATAATGACCCAGATGAACTCTTGCCGGCTACGAAAGTTGACCCAATTTCTGGTGATGTTCACCAGGAATTGGAGCCCCAGGACCCCAAATTAGCGTTTTCGTTACCTAAATTTATTCCGCTTTTGACCGAGCGAGTTTACGCTATCAACCCAGATACCAGAATGTTTCTCGTATCATGGCTCCAAGTCTTGGAGAATATCCCAGATCTGGAACTCATCTCTTACTTGCCTTTTTTCCTTGGAGGCCTCTTCACATTTTTGGGAGACTCCCATAAGGATGTCAGAGTCGTAACTCACTCGCTGCTTGACTTTCTACTTCACGAGGTGCAGCGTATATCCGAGGTTAAAGCTATAGCGCAGAAGAGAGAGGAAGAAAAGTGCAAGAAATCACAGACTTCAGAGGATATCCCAGTGAAAAAGATCGATGGCACGCTAATTAGTGAGCGGAAAAAGACGCTATTGAATGCCTTTGAGCAACTTTCAACGGCCGATCAGGCTGCTGTTGCGAAGTCGCAAGACTTGTCAAAGGACTCAAAAGATATTGATGTCTTGCCCACTGATGCATCGCTCCAAATGCAAGCGAGTGTCTCGAACGATAAGAAAGATGTCGGTTCCAGAAACGGTGAGCTATACTTTGTGGGACAAGATGTGCACTTGAATTTCCCCAAAATTATTGACATTTTGTTGAATACTTTGAGTTCGTCGGACAGTGAGATACAATTGGTTGTCTTAACGTGGGTTGATACCATTTTAGTCATTGCCCCTGATGCATTTCTAAGTCCTCTGTCGAGATTGTTGGCGCTTTTGCTGAAAATTCTCAACGATACGGACCCACGCGTCAAAAAACAGGCCCAGGCTGTCAATCAGAAACTTATCCAACTCACAGAGAGCTATGAATTTGATGCAACCACGGAGGACATCAACTACGGTCCGATTGTCAACACATTGACTTTACATTTCTTAGACAGTGATGTTGTTGCAAAGCTCGCATGCTTGGAATGGTTAATTTTGATATATCACAAGGCCCCTAAAGAACTGTTGGAGCATACTGACACCACATTTTTGACGCTTCTCAAGTCACTTTCGGACAAAGACGGTCAACTGATATCAAAAGCTCTAGATCTTCTCAGCGATCTCTGCAGCAATTCAAACGAGCTTTATTTTAAGAAGTTTATGGAAGAGCTTCTGATGCTTTTCAAAACGAATAGCGAATTGCTTAAAAATAGATCCAATAATATACTGAGACAACTCTGTCTCAAGCTCTCTCCTGAAAGAGTATACCGCGACTTGTCACTCATACTCGAGGAGGAAGAAAACGCAACTTTTGTTCGCATGATTATTCAAATCTTGAGTACAACTTTGATAACTTCACCGGAATTGATTCAACTTCGCAAAAAGCTGTGTTTGAGAAGTGACTGGTCTCTTTTTGCCGTTCTTTTTCGCACATGGTGCCCCAATCCTGTCTCTGTGATGGCGCTTTGCTTGCTTTCGGAAAAATACGAACTTGCGTACTCAGTCCTACAAACTTTTGTGGATTTTGGACTTTCAATCAATGATCTCCTACAAATTGATATTCTTGTGCAATTTCTTGAGTCGCCGGTTTTCACGCGTTTGAGACTCCAACTATTGGAGCAAGAGCGATTTCCATACTTATACAAGTGTCTCTATGGGATATTGATGGTACTGCCCCAATCAAAGGCATTCAAAATTCTGAACACCAGATTGAACAGCGTGAGTGCCCTTGCATCTCAAAAGGTAAAAGGCGGGGCCTTCTACAAATTGGGGAGTCAATCAAGTTCAAGCACAGAATCCTCAGAGTCGATATCTTCGAATGCCAAACAGAAAAGTGAAAATCAAAGTTTATTGGAGCACTTCAAGAATGTTTGCAATGCAGAGCTTAACAACGTGAAGCCGTTCGACTCATATGACGCCCAACTTCCTTTACTGAATGGCGTCGTAGCCCCTGACAGCGCTCGTAGTGACCAATCAACTCCTGTGCAGGATAACGATGATGAAACACCTGATGTCAATGAAGATTCGGCTGATATGTCCTCCGTTATCTATCATGGCGATTCAAATACCAACTCCAAAAGACAAGTATCAAATAAACTAGGCCTTAGCGGGATTTAAAATGCTTTGAATTTATTACTGTAATAATTCGTCTCTGTAATGTTCTTTGAAGTTACCTCTCTTGGCCTGATTTTTTATCTCGTTATTCATTGCCCGACGCTCTAGCTGTTGTGCCTTTTTCTCGCCGAAGCGGATTTGCCTTTCTTGAACCCCACCCCAGAATCGCCTGTCGGCAGCAGCCAAAGTTCTGTTACCATCTCGATCGTCAGCTGGCAGCGGATAGTTCTGCCTATAGTAGCGTCGCATGCTACGGTGGCCAACTCTGGAGCCCGTTGGCAGAGTCAATTCTACGCCAGCGTCGTTGACTTGAGCTGAAGAATAATTTGAAACCGCTTCCGCTTCGGGACTTTCGAAGTCACCCACTTGATTTTCACTGCTCAGAGTACTGTCTCCCTCTGAATAGCTCTGGGCAGCGTCATCATCGGGGGCAAATTTCACTTCCTTACAAATTTGGTTCTTGCTTGGTGCTGAGGAGTTGTCCTTGAGTGAGCTGAAGTCGTAGAATTCCGCAAATCTCAATCTTTCTTCTTTCGTCTCGTAAGGGATTCGAGCGTGTCGCTTAGATATGATGTGTGCTCGTATACTCTCGACGCTGGATCCAGTGAACGAACAGCAGAGGCAGTTCTTATCCGTCAATATGAGATCACCCAAAAACGTCAAGAATTTTTCAATGTCCTTCAAGTAAGATCTCTCAGGTATATAGAGTCCGTGAGACCCAAACATGTGTCGCACATTTGCCTCAACGCCTCCATTTGACCTTCCGCAGAAAATGCAGTCACAAACAGTCCATTCTGTACTCTCGTCCACCGTATACTCGGATTCGCTATTACTGTAGTCGCTGGTGTTGTAATCCAAATGAGAGTCCGACGTAAAGCCAAATTCGCTGGCTCTATCGGCGTCGAAGTCCGTATGAATCTCGTTGCTGCTGGCAAAGGATAGCTTCGAAACGCTGGACGCAATAGAGCTCGCTGGCGAACCAGATCTTGCGACTAGATCATCGGTTGCGTTGAAGGGCCGGCCCCTCGCTTTTCGTTTTTTTGACGCCAGCATCCTTTTTTTGCTGTGGTTGTGAGGTTCTCTTGGTTTCAACACCGGAAATCCAAACTCATCAACTTGATTCAACATGCTCTCTCTCTCAGAAACCTGAACCTTTTCTGCAAACACATCTGCACTGATTGGTGGCAATTGTGCTACCCTTCTTTTCAAGTTATACCGGTGCCACTCTGTCTTCATATGGTATCTCTGTAAATCGCTCGTTCGGCATTGTATCATACATGAGTTACAAGTGTAGACAGCGACCTCCATTTCAAACGGCCTTGCTGAATATACAGGAGTCCTTGTAGGCTTAGCTCTCGTAAGATGAGTTCTTGTACGTTCAAAAGTGTCGGGCCTGCAAAGATACATTATCCAAAATCACGTGATCTAAATATACGTCACGAGTGATCGTGGATTTGTCCCGGACTCGTAAGAAACGAGGAGATGAGCAACAATTCTGCGAGTCAAATGCGACTAGTTCTGTAACTAAAGAAAATGGTTTAGCCCACATGTAGATCATTCAAGGCCATTAGCAAGTTTGGTTACCTCTCAGCTAGGTTAAGTTTGAACGACACTTCGCAAACTGCGTAAAAAGTGACTTGTTTCGTGAAACGAGTCACTAGTTTCGTCCCCAGTATATATGATTCGCAAGGCCCAATTTCTCTATTTGGAACTTCGCAGGATCCTCATGGGCCCTTGTCCTAATGCAAAGGGCCTAGAAAAACAATAGAGCAAAGGTTCCTGACAATCTTCCTAGGCAGGTTTCCCGTTTGTTTCTATTATGTTTCGCATATCCAGTGTTTCTACAATGCCTTGACCCCACAATCCACATCAATCCTCTCCATTTTTCTCACTTTAGACGTTATGTGGTCTAGCCGGAAACAACATTTTATCGTTAAAAGTGACCGTTATTCATCGGATGGAGGTGCCTATTGATTATGTAATCCCGGGATTGTAGTAAGATGAGTTTCCTACTCGACAGACAGGTTTTAAGCGAACTCTCTCGAAAACTTTTAAAAACAAAAACCAGCGCTCAGCTGGAAGCTTGGCATCATTTTTTTTCTCGTGAGAATAGCCAATGAATTTGATACAAATCTGATATAAATTTGATATGTCTCTGTAATTCTCGAACTATTTCATGGCTCTTAAAGCTTTGGAGAAGAAATATCGCAATGGGATTGAAATTCTGTTGAGATCGGACATGCTTGATTTCCAGCGTTCTCCGATTTCCCTGTCACATCTTCTGTTAAAATGACTATTGTTACTATTATACATCGCGACCTTCGGTATCCCGCTGGGTATGCTTGTGTGTGCATGGTCTTTGACCCGAACTCTCCAGATTTGATGGTGACGGATACTCTTTCGTTAAAAAATGTAAGCGTGGATCTTGCCCTTTTGCAAACCTACCTGTAAAATTCAAGCAATTTCGTCTGTCACCGGAACAGCACTTGATGGCCAAACTCTTTTGTAAAGCGACATGGCCACGACATCTTGTGCCGAAATTTTACCGTCGAAAGTAGCTTTGAAATAACCATGAGTACCAAGTTTTTCCTTGATGAAACCGGTTCTGCCACTCTTGGTGAAAAGTGGAATGGACTTGAACCATTCGACGTCTTCTGGGCGGAAGAACATGTAACGAACTGTAAGAACCTTCTTGTGAAACCTAAAGGGATGTCCAGTGAGGACGGCCCTCTCAGAGATAATTCTGGTGTGATCGGCATTCAAGAAAGATCCATGAGCAACAAAGACTATCTGTTTCGGGTCTTCTGGTGCTGGCTTGAAAAACAAAGCGGGCGACTGTGTAAAATCTATCGGAGCAATGCAAGTCGCAACGGAATCCATGTCTGGATGCAAAAATCTGTCAAACTTGTGCACATTATTAGGCGTGTTCGACGTTGAAGAGAAAATTGGTTTGATCCAATAGCGCCTGATACCGTACTGTACCATAATCGGCTCCTCAGATGGCACCGGATCTTCGTACTCCTCCCACCTGTGAATCGAGAAATTGGTAACAGCATGCTTATGTTCATGCTGAAGCAGTCCGTAAACCGTAAAGGCTAAGACGGAAGGGTTTGACAATTTCTGAACCAATTTGGTTTGGAACTCAACTACCATTTTGATCCGATCTCCGGCCAAAACCTGAGTTTGCGAAATTGACTCCTTTAATATCCTGTTCTTGGTGTTCTTGTAGCTGCCGATGCGCAAGACGCGCTTGAACTCTGGCGGCTGCTCCGGATCATATTCATCAACATCCCAAAGGCAGTTGTGAAGATTCTTCAATCCGCGGTATCTCTTGAGGGTCTCAATTGCGGACGCCGATGGGTCTAGTTCAATTTCGTCTGGAAACTCACGATCTTCCTTCTCCAGGGCCCTAAATTCTCTGAGCTGCCTCTCCTCCTCGGCAGGGTCCAGATCAACAAACATTCCATCCTCGGTTTGAGACTCAGCATCTCCATCAATATCAAGATCGTCATCCGCCTGGGGAATCTGTACGAATTCTTCATCGCCCATATCCATGTCTTGAGCCTCAAGCTCATCGCTTTCGTCGCCGCTATCTACTGTGTCGTTGAGATACCATCTAGCTTGATAATCGGACGTCCCCGTCGGCACTTTGACCTTCTTCGAGGCTTCTTCTCTACCGGGCAAGAAGCCGTGATTGTCGTAACGGGCAGAAGTCAAATCATCGTAACCAAACTCTCCTCCTTCTTCATTTTCCTCCATTTCAAGGTCTAGTGCTGCAAATTCTTCAAGAGTGTCTCGTCCTTCGTTGGAGTCAAAGAGAGAGTCAAAGTTCAAATCATCGTTTTCACTTTTCGACTGTCTCTTTCTGTTAGAGGACGCTAGCTTCTCAATACAAGACACCTGGAAATCTCCAAGTCCAGGTAAATGTACAAGTCGATTGGCATTGAACCCACTACCACGAACTGTTCCCTCAATAGTCAAGGACCCAATCTCAGAGCCGGATTCTGTGAAGTTAAGTTTATCGGCAACAAGATATCCACGGTTGTCCCTCCAAGTGATACTGCGAGGGTACTTCTGACATAGCGTTCTCAATGCATTCAGTGCCTCAGATGGCTTCTCAAGGTTGAAGATGCGTTCTTCGCTGGGGAAAAAGTGTTTAAAATAGCTCTCCAACGATTGTTTGAGATCGAGCTGAAACTTTTCTTTCTCTTGCGCGGCAGACAGGTTCGTCACGACGCCCATGTAGGACGCTATACCTTGAAGCTCGCATGCTCTGATGATCTGCTCTCCAAACTCGGCGTCAACTTCCGATAATCCGCTGAGACCAAACACAACAAAATCGGCCACTTTTGCGCTATCCAAAATGTTCATGAAATCTGACATATCTGGAATAATGATCTTGAGCTTGCTCTTGAATTTCTTGACCGTGAAATTTGCAACGCAAGGCGAGTGATCCAACACCTCCATGTTCTGGTCATTGCCTGCCTGGTCTGATTCGGAGCGTATAAGCTTTTTCACGATGTCGCGCGCATCTATATCGGGAGTCAGAGATATAACGGTCACAATTTTTTCGGCCCCCGCAGACCCTTCGAATAGCTTTCTTGTTTCGAGACTATCAGAGATTTTCTGTTGTCTGACCTGACGTGCGAGATTCTTCCGCTGAAGTTTTGACACCACACCAACCTTCTTACCGTGCGCTTCGCTTTTCTCTACTTTTCCTTTGAACACCTTCTTCAAAGCACCTTTCGATGAGTGCTTGGATTTGAAAGGTTTGTGGCCATTCTTCACGGACGACCGATGAGAGTGCCCAGCCATATCAATGAACTATAACCCCGCAGGTAATCACTAACTTAGTGGTCTAAAAGGGACTTTAACCACTTTCTTTTCGTGCTCGCTCTTCCCCATTTGCGATGCGATGAGCTTGTACTAAGGTCGGTCTTTCGAAAATTTTTCAAATGTTAGGGCTTTTATTAGGGCTTATATTGTTGTTTGACTATTATTTTTCGTAAAATCCTTGCATTTAATTGTTTTTCAAAACCCATAACTTTCTGAAGACTGGCATTTGAAAATATATGATTTGACATCAAACTCGTTCTACGAAATTTTCGCCCAGATACTATCATGATGTACGCAAGCCGCATCGTCAGGCTTCACGCACTCCGGAAACTAGATTGACAATTGACAAAGTATTAGGCGATCGTTCTGAAGTGGGGGCTAAAGAACCTAAGCTTGAAGAGACTATAGAACAAAGTATGTGAATACCGGGGTAGTGAATGTGGGCTAGATATTGGGAACAAACAAGACTGTTTGGGAGGCGGAAGTTTCTGGTAGCGCGCATTGTCGGGAATTGAAGCGTTAATGAGACGTGAAACATAAGCACGTCTCAAAACTTGAAGCATGTGGGATCCACAATGCCTAGTTGATCTTAGCGGAACATGCTTCAAAGAAGAACTTCGGTCAGTAGGGCTCGATATGGCTGCTGTGGAATGTCGATGGGTGGTTCTGGCAAAAATGCTTTTACTACTCTTCTACGTTAGTCTTTGGGCTCAGACGCTACTCTTCATGAAGAAGCACTTTTCATTTCATATCACGGAATTGTGTGATCTCCATTTGTCTCCCAATTTTAGCATTGCAAATTTATAAACACAACGAGACTCGTTTACTAACTTTTGAACAGCAAAATGGCTCACGAAAACGTCTGGTACTCTCACCCAAGAAACTTCGGCAAGGGCTCTCGTCAATGTCGTGTCTGCGGTTCTCACTCTGGTCTAATCAGAAAGTACGGTTTGAACATCTGCCGTCAATGCTTCAGAGAAAAGGCTAACGACATTGGCTTCTACAAGTACAGATAAGCGACTCGGACTAGTTCCTATCACTTTGTATTTTTGTCTCTGGTCGTGGCATAATGACTATGTGCCAAATTCCGGCAAGCATAGAAAATAAACGTGCTTTACTTGAAATAGTATTATAGTTATGTTGAATTCTAAAACAACGTTTACCTCTTCAATTTTTACATCGATCTTGGCTCTGGAGATCATGCCAGTTGGCAAGTGGTATAACTGGCTCGGAGATGTCTATCACCAGTTGAGGGTTTGAAAGAGCCCTGATGGTTACCCGCAGAAATTACATAGGTCACGATGCTATAAAAACTTGTATCTACAGAAGAGTAACTCTACTATGATGTGTTACTTTTAAAAAATTGAATCAAAAATGCACGGAAACAATGCCACAGTTGGCTTTACTGTCATCTAACAGTTGCTAATTGCCAGTATTTCATTTTAATGAAATACCAGTTTCCCAGAATAAAATAACGTGACTGGATTTAGGAAGTTTGCTATCTGGGCTGCCCTTTCAGGGCTTTGATAGATTGTGAATGTCGAAGAAAGGCTACATCTATTTTCTTTATTACTTGATTATTTTAATTTCAACTCTTGGTAAATAAGTGCAAATGTGTGCATATTTGTACGGTTCTTACAGTTTTGCAAGGGCCTCTGGCCGGGGCACGGGTTGTCTCACTGGACCCAGGTACAGTTGGCTCTTGAAGTCACCGATGTCAGTGATAAGTTGACCCGACGGATAACCCTCAGGGGACTCTTTGTCTTGTTCTTTGCTGGGTTGTATTTGGGATTTCAAGTGGACTACCAGTCTTGGCAGTACCTTGCGATCCACGAGTTTGTGATAGACCTCGAGTATATCCGACTTCGATAGCTTTTCAACGAGCGCCGCCCTGCGTTCTTTATTCTGGAAATTGTAGTCGCCCATGTAGATCGAAGTCGCAAATCTGGAATGCTCCTCGTCGAGGTTCTTGAATCGCTGTACCATTGTTTTGCACAACGCTGTCTTGTGTCTGTTCAACTCTTCTTCGGACATATTTGCAAGCTTTTCGCCAAACGATTTCAAAAAGGCGTCGATTCTTGACTCCAAGTAGTATGTGCTCCTCTCAGACTGGATTAGAATTCTCATGTTGACGGAACCGTGGGTGCTGAGCGCTGAACTGAACACCACATATCCCAGCTGCTCTTTCGTTCTCAGAGTATTGAAAGCTGGCTCGTCAATGAGTTGCGCTAGAAATGCGGCTTTCGCAGACAACTCCTCAGAGTAAACACCCAGCTGAATAACATGCTGAATACAGGAGTTGACATTGTTGGAATCTGCCAAGGAGACTTCGTAACGGAACTCTTTTCCCTCAGGTAACACGTGAGAACGCAGTCTGGCGTTTCTGACCTGCAGATTCTTGATTGAATTGGACGTGAGGATTTTGACAAGATCATTAATTTCAAATGCAACATCGCGATTAAAGTTGCCGTGCACCAAGGTTTCATAGAAGAGCTGTTCATAGATCGTTGGTATAAAGTTTTGCAAGTGTTGGAAAGTCAGCTGCTGCAAAACGGCCACCTTTTCTCTTACCGGCCAGGACCTGTCATTGATGAGAGAGTTATAAACATCGGAAACCTGCGCATAGGGAACTTCGTATAGATGATTCTCCAACTTCTGAGTTAGCTTATCCTTGAAGATTTTGAAGCGCGACTCAGTGGGTCTAAAAGCGCTTATACCCTCCAAAAATCTCGTCAACAATATGGCCAGTTTTTCATTGAAGCCGCTCAAGGACAAATCAAGGCCCTGATTAGTTTTGCGGAAGGACACATGTAGACTCGCCACTTGTGCGTCGTATTCAAGGTCTTTCAAATAATCGTTAACAAGCTCGACGTAAAGGGATGTGAGCATGCTGTTTACCGCACTTGAATGAGTGTGGGCCAACTTTATCGAAATATAGATGTGACCTTTAGGTACCCAAAATCTATCGTCTTTCTTGTACCACAGTTTACACTGGTCGTCACTTTTGAGCAGCTTTGGCTCTGGCTGTGGCTCGACAGTATTCAATTTCTCAACATCAAAATGTGTGCAGATGAATTCATTGTGGCGAGGCAGATGCATGTGAGAGTTCAACCCCGGATCACTCAACAACTTTTTCAGATCTTCAGGGTATTCTTCGATCTTATACTCGGTTCCATACCATTTTTCTTTCTGGTCGGTTTCAACACCCTTGTGAACCAAACACACCCTCGAATTTTCGGGAGTGAGATGTTTAACGTAGTCAACCACTAGACTTGGATCATGCTTCCTCATCAAGCTTGTGCTCAAGATATTTTCTACAGGAATAAACTCTTTTTCCATCAGTTTAGCCATAGCCGACACCGTGGAAGCAGGATTTTCCTTCTGTTTGTATCTGAAGTTAGCTTCCGCGATATCTCTTAACTCTGTGTGGATCCATTCCTGAGGCAACTCGTTCTTCAGCAACTGAATGTATTGAAAGATCAGATGCACTACTCGTTTATAATTTTTTATTCCTTCATCAGTTAGATCCACGTCAACAGAAAAGCAAGCATTATCCTTGGACACAGTGTGTCCACCAGCTGATAGCTCGTTAGCCCATCCTTTGGTCTTGAGGTAGGCTAGGAGTGAGCCTGAACCTTCATGCCCGATAAGATGACTCAAAACATGTTGAGGTTGAGAATCCCAGTGCAGATCCATGTCAGGCACTGTAAAAGTAACCTCGAGCTTTCTCAGGTTTTTCACGGGTTTTGCATAAACAATTTTTGTTAAATTTTCGGGTTTGAGCATTTGAGCTGGATAATGGGGTGCAGGCCGGTCCTTGTTCGCAACATCTTTGAACAATTCAAACACCCATTGAGACAACGTATCCAGATCTTCACGTCCCAGAATACAGAGTTTCATGATGTTAGCGGAATAAGAGGAATCGTAAAATTTCAGCAATTCATCCCGAATGTCGATGTTTTCAGATTTGGGTATCTCTCCCAGGGTCTTGATGTTCCCCGTAGAAAATTTGTGGAAAGGATGCTCAGGATTCGTGAGCGATTTGTCCAGCTGATACAACCGCCATAGATCGCTTTGCAAATTCTTCTTGTTTTCGCTGTCAACTGCATTGATTTCTTTGTCTGTGGAGTCCTTATTGAAAAGAGGACAAGTGAAAAACCCGGAAAACCTGTCGAGCGCACCTTTCAAATTCTCATGATTGACCTGGAAAAAGTAATTGGTGTTTTGGGAACCGGTGTACGCATTCGAAGACCCACCGTGTTTGCTGAGGAAACTCGAGTACTCGTTTTCGTTTGGAAATTTAGAGCTCCCCATAAACAGTAAGTGCTCGCAAAAGTGAGCTAAACCGGGCAAATTTTCAGGGTCTTCAAATGCACCAACGTTTACGTCAAGCGCAGCGGCCGCTTTGTCTGCGTCTTTGTCCTGGATTACTAGCGCTTTCAGCTTGTTAGGCAATTGGATGTACCGGTAGTTTCTGTCATCTAAGACAGGCTTGACAAAACTGGTGTTCAATGTTTCGTAAGAACTCATTTTGCGATTAAAGCTAAGTGCGGGTGTGATGTTCAATCGTAGCCCAAATTTCCTCCAGGTAACTGCACTGTAACGGAAACTCAAATTCATAAATCTGTTTCCAGCCCTTCCTTTAATTTCAAAAACTGAAGGTGAGGCAAGCTTCTGCGATCTATGCAACTATAATTAATTGACAGTGGTGATGATGGTCCGTGACAATGACCTCGAAACGCTTTTTAAAAATACGCGCTTTCGAGCCTGATTTGTCGCTACTTTTATGTAAAATTCGACTTTCTGCTGGTATTTCACCTTTCTTCTTCGGCAGATTTCGCCTGTTTTTCCATAATCAAAAACCCACATCAGCTGATATAGCCAAACACAAGCAGGCATCGTATTGTCGTATTAATGGCTAGACTAAAGACGTTTGATCTCATGGCCTTAGCGCTGGTGGGCTTTGTCGGTATCTACACGGGCACGCAGTTCTTCGAGCCGATCGTTATTGAGCGATTGAAGAGAGACGGTAATCTTCGCCAAGATATTGAAATTCCGGTATACGACGAAGAAGGGAACCCAATTGACCCTAAATCGATATTGCAATTGAAAACTGAATTAAACAGAATACAAGAAACCCAGAAGTCTGAAGCGAGAGACGAGACCTTTACTAGGGCAGAATGAATTGAGTTTCTAAGCGTTGACCGATCTTCAAAGTGTTGATGATTGACTATATGAGAAAATAGATTTCGTCGATCGTGACTGAAAAATTTTAGAGATGTGATAGTACTAGGAATCAAGCTCATCGTGTTGAGAGATGGCCAGAGGCAGGCGACAAAGAAGGCGAGCAAGATCTGACTTAGAGCGAAGTGTTTAGGTGTAATGGGCAAATCAAAACGGAAATCTAAGGCGTCCAGTAAGCGCCTTCAAACGGCTGGTAAAGCTGGAGGACTGGGGCCAAATCGAGAATCTGGAAATCTCAGAAAGATCCAGCCGCTTTTGAAACAATTGGAAAGTGCAGTGGCCAATGAAAGAGCTATGGCTTTGGGCACGATATCTGTACTGTGTGATGATCAGCATATGCGGCAGATGTTTCTTCGGGAGCGACTAATTCAAACGGTTCTCAGCAGGCTTCTTACGGACGAAAACACAGAAATTGTCGTGGAGTCGTACGGACTTTTGCGGAACTTGGCCATTGAAGAGGGTTACGACGTTTGTATCCACTTGTGGAGATCTGATGTCTGGACAAGTTTGAGCGCGGGGCTCGACAAATTCATGTCGTCACTGGCGTCGCTCGAGACCGGTCAAACACAGAACCAGGACCCAAAAAGCGTTCATGCACAGACCCAATCCGCTCGTCTCTTATTCGATTTCGGCGAAAATCTGTTCTCTTTAACCGTGGCACTCGCCAATGGGTCAGAAGACATACGAGCCGCACTTATGGAGGAAAAGATCAAGAAAGTTTTGCAATGTGTCACAGTGACTCTGACATACGGTATGGTACCTCAAGAGGAGCTTCGTGTTGGTCTGCGGATCACGTTATCTCTATTTAATGCGATTTTGGACCTGATCTACGACTTAAGCTCTCAGTCAGGTGATTTTATCGAGATGATACTTGGCGACTCTTATTTGTCCGAGTTTATCAAATCTTTGCCCAGCTTGCTCTTTACAAACGCGAACGAGCTTACAAATGTGCTCATCCAGGGAATACATCTCCAGCTTTTGGAAGAAAATGCTACGGATGAGCAGGCAAATATGATTATCTCCAAAGTCTGCGCGTCTATCGAACATATTGACTTGCCAAACATGGTGAGTGATATGTCTAGCGTAGATCAAGACAAAGATCTAGCCAACGCAGGTAACGAATCCGTGGCAACAAAGATAAAAGCGCAAACAAACGTGCGTGCGGCGGCCGCGGTAAGGTTCCAAAGCATTGAATATTCTCTAGATATCATAACCGCCGCTATGGAGATAGTCGCGGCTCAATTTGAAGCCTCTGATTTACCCGTATGCAATTCGCTTCAAACCACTCTCACTACTCTGCTACCTAAATTATTTCAGACTCTGTATGCGCAGTTTACGTCGCGTGTTTTGATCGGATGGAACAACTTATTGTGGCTATTCCTAACATTGCATATCAATGTTTTTGACTTGCAGAATGAGCCCTGGAGAGGCTTATGGGCCGCACTTCCTACCACCAGTACCTCATCTGACGATGATCTTTTTAGCATACGAGTAGGCAGGATTGGGGTCACATGGGCGTTACTCAAGACAGCACACAGTCAGCAAGATGCATCCGCCTGCTTGGCCATCTTAGGCTGCGCCACGAGTGAGTTCGTGGCCGGTGTCATATCCGAATACAACAACACTGAGAGCTTAGACATATCTGACGTTGAGCACTTGAGACAAAAATGCGTTGGTTTGTTAGGAGTACTGTCGCTTTTCCAAGGGCAAGTGGAGCTGAATCGCCAAATCGGTCACTTTTTCATGGAGCAGTTGGTGTCCAATGATAATGGTGCGCCTGTTCTTTTGGATTTAATGGATGCTTTCATAGACACTTACTCCGATGCGAATTTCGATTATAATGAGCCTGTCTTTGTGCAAGATAGGTTCCTTTGTCACCTGAAAGAGAAAGTTATGCCAAACTTAAGGAATTGCTTCAAGTTTGTTGACAAGAACAAAAATCCTGAATTGAAGGCCCGAGTTCAGGACGCCTACAATGTGATGGAAAGTTTCGTCCGTTACAAAGAAATAGAAAGTAGTTAGTATCTGCTTCATAGCATACGGGGCCAGCCCAAACTCGTGTATCACCAGAAAATACATTACAGATTTAGCATCACATTAAAAGTACATATACATATAAAATAGTACTTCTGTGTGTATCATTTAGTATATTTCCGGGCCTGCTCTATTACCTTTCTCTCATATTCCTTGATGTTTTTGGAAAAAGCTCTCCAAGCAGGTTCTTGTGCTGGAGAGTTCGGGTTAGGGCTATCTAGTAAGTCTTGAACCCCGAGAACTATTTGTTTTAACGTAATTGCTGGTCTCCAGTCCTGATCTTCGTTGAGAATACTCAAACACACGGTCCCACTGGGATAGATATTAGGATGATAGAACCCCGCAGGAAATTTGACCTTTGGTGGTTTTGACGGATAATCGTCAGGATACTCAATGACAATTGGATAAACGCCTTCTTTCCACAGTGTACCGTCCTTCCCTGGTATACCAGCCTCCCATTTCTGTAGATTCATCGACCCATCCGTTTTTTTCGTTGGTTTAGCGAAAAACCCGAAGGGATGATCTTTCCTCCACTTCTTCCTTCAAGTGATGGTCAGTATTCACTTAATATATCAGTTTGATCACCTATAATTCGACATACCGTTCTTCTTGAAGCCTTTGAAGGCATAAGCTGCTCATCCTGTAGTTAAAGCACCTCGGTGGCCGACTTTAACCGAATCCTCTTTGCTTCTTGATTTCCGGTTTCTATCTATTTGGTAAGTCTGTTGATATTCCAAAATTTTTCATTCATCTCATCGAATAGTCCCTTAAGGAACGATGTGAACTAGCTAAAAGGACTATTAAAGACGGGATCATGGGCTCCAATGTTGATGACTTTGAGGACCTGGATGACTTGTTAGAAGATCCATCGAAACTTGACGAAGAAACCCCGGAAGAACCAGCAAAAAAGAGCCTTCATGATAAAGGTAATAAAGATCATCAAGATGCCGAGGCGAATCAAATGATGCAAGAACTGGAGCAAGAATTTTCCAAATTGATGAAGGCAACGCCGGAGGGAGAGGACAATGAAGCCGTGGAAAGCTTCAAAGAGCTTCTTTCTGCGTTGGGTAAAACTGGCATTGTTGGTGCAGGGGAGATTCGAGACGATGCTCTCACAGAGATGCAAAATGCTAGGAGTAAAAACAGAGATAGTGGCGACACTCCAGCAGGGTTCAAGGATATTGTCTCGAACACTTTGGATAGATTGAAAGAGAACAGCACCAAAGTGGATAGTAACTTGGAAGAGGAGAAGAGGAAAAGAGACACAGGCGACATTTTGTCGCAACTTATGGATCAGTTTGTAGATGGTGCCGGACCAGAGGGAGAAGAAGGTATGGAAAATGCTATCTTGGAGATGTTGAATCAAATGTCGTCGAAAGAAGTGCTTTACGAGCCAATGCGGGAAATGCGTATCGAATTTGCCGCCTGGATGGCAAGAGAGAAGGATAAAGAGGAGCACAGACCTAAGATAGGTACCTACGAGAAGCAATACGCGCTCGTGTGTCGAATCGTCGACACTTACGAGCGTCCGGATTACACAAACGAGGCCTTCCGCGAAGAACTGGCCCTGTTGCTAGACGAGCTTGAGAAGCTTGGAGACTCCCCTATCAAAAAGGGCTTCAACAACACGGAAGGCGAGGACGCTCCAGATCTAAGTGGATTGCTAAATATGGATACAGAGGGTGGAATGGCCACTATGGATAAAGAAATGCAAGAGGCCTGTCAGCAGCAGTAAATGGTAGCGCTTTGGACAGGCAATGCGCATAAAGGCTACAAGATGCTTGACGAGTTACAGAGGACGCGACGGGTCATCAGATACCGATGTGCGACGATTCGTCTGGAATGGCTTGTTCACGACTGCTTATGTCATTATATACGCTAGATGGTGTTGACACGTTTTTGCCGCCGAAAGATACGGCTGCATAAGGGAAGTATGCCGAGATTTTCCTCTCTAGGTACTCATACCGGCAAATGCAAGAAGCGTAGCCATAGGTGGCGCTCGATATTTGCACAGCGAACCTCTTGTCTCCCGAAAGTGCTCCTTGTGGAACGTTAGAATCAGCAACTATTAATGGAAGGGGCTACGGGGCAAGCTACGGGACAAGCTTCCATGACAAGTTGCTCTTATTTTCCATCTTTCAACGCAGCCTTGTGTAGACTTTTATGCTCCTAGTCAATCCTCGAGTGAATTCTTTACCTGTACGCCTACGCTGACCCTGACCTTTACCCTTACCCTTACGCATACCCTTACGCATACTCGGACCCAGACTCACATCAAATTTTGTCTCGAGGATTATTTTTAGTATTTTCGACAGAGGAAACATACAGGCAAACAGAAAAAAAATGAAAACAACCCACATACTTAAAATTTTCTTAGTGGTTTTACTCGACTTTTCCGATATTGAACTTTCCAGAGACAAGGATCGATCAAGCCAAACATTCGCTTTAGATCTCAACAGAAGTGTTAGTACTATCACTTGAGAGATTATTTTTGAACCAGCTTCGATTTGCTAGAAGTACAGTTTTTGAACGGAAACAGATCGTACCTTTGACATCACTCCACACAACCAAATTAAAAAAATGCACGCTTCTCTAACGTTGTCTGCGCTCGTTTCCGCTGCCGTTTTCATTTCAGGTGTTTCTGCAGCTCCACCAGCTTGTCTTTTGGCCTGCGTTGCTCAGGTTACGAAGGGCTCTTCTCAGTGCAGCTCCATGAACCAGATCGGTTGCATCTGTCAGTCCGAAAGCAGTGATTTAGAACAATGTCTGCAATCGACCTGCCCCAACGGTGATGCTGACAGTGCTTACGAGTCGTTCACTTCTTCTTGCAAGGAGCAGAACGCCTCTGTGAGCTCATTGTCATCGTCTGCTTCCTCGAGCTCTTCCTCTGCTTCCTCAAGCTCTTCCTCTGCTTCTTCTAGCTCTTCTTCCTTCTCTTCGTCCTCCTCCTCCTCGAGTTCGGCATCCCCATCTTCCTCCTCTTCTTCGGAATCTTCCATCGACCCACCTTCTTCTTCAACTTCGTCTTCTACGTCCTTCTCCTCCTCTTCTCCTACTTATTTCACATCCTCTTCTTCTTCTCAAACAACTTTGAAAACTTCTTCCTCCATTGCTCAATCCTCCTCCTCTTCTTCCTTTTCGCAAATTTCGATTATTTCTCAAAGCGAGGGTGGAGCCAACGCTTTGGACGTTGGCACTGGTATTGTCGGTGGTCTAGTCGCAGCGGTTGGTTTGCTACTCTAAGCACTGTGACCAGTGGACTTAAGCCAAGATACCCTATGCAAATTTAAAATATATACAATATAGTCGTTGCTGACCCTAGCTGGGCAATTCTATTCGGAGCCCACTAGCAGCAATTTTGGCACCTCTCATTCGCCAAAAATTTAGAGTTCTAAGGAAATTTCAATTGAACCACAATTGCATTGTTTAGTCGAACCCTCGAACGGTGCTGCTTGAAGCATGTCATACTCTTTCGTTAGGTGATAATTCATTAGATGGTCATTCATTCGTCGATCTTAGATAACAAATTACATCATAGTCAAGTTACGGCATCAAGACATCACATCTTGATAATAAAGGCATTCAGCAAAACCATCCTTCATGAATGTTCGGCTGCGTATTCAGGGGGTTTGCTAGAGGATTCATATGTTGGCAGTTGGCCGGTCTTGTTGGCGGCTTGGCAATGAACATCTGTGTGGAAGGTCTTTATTTTAGTTTCCCAAGGCTGACCATTGATCTCCAGCGCTAAAGTCATTTCGAACTGGAATTTCCGGTCGACTCCGCAGCTCTCAAAACTGTAGATACGATTACCTCTTATTTGAATGTCGTCGTGATTGAACCTGAAATCGCTCAACTTCGGGACATCGGACAAGTCTAGCACCGCTTCTTGAGAGCCAGCTGAAATTTTTTTGGCTAGCTTTGCTAAATTTAAGTCCTCTTGCAACAGCAGTGCTCTCTTCAATGAAGACGTTGTGAGACCCTTCAGCGCATATGACGTAACTTCAATCAAGACTAGCCTTATGTGCTTCAACTTGACTTGTAAAGACTCTTTCAAATTCCCAGAAACTCTCAAGTACAATTTGTCAAATTTCCCAGATTCACTGGTAAATAATCTGTCTTCACGACACAGAAGGCCCCACGAAGTGGGCCTCAATTCCATACTCAGAGTGGCATTGCCCTTCAACTTGAATTTGCGGTCGCTTTCGACCACGCAACCCCCACTAAATATCTCATTTAGCTTGGAGTCGACGTCTGGAATGTATCCAAATGGTTCGTATATTTCAAGTCTCGAAGGTGAGGGCGTAAAAGTTCGCAACAAAGTTTTGCCTAAAATTAATTCCGCCTTCAGATAGTAGCTTATTTCTGAGTTTTTGTTATAATCTGGTAAGGAACCTTTTGGGTCCTTTGCATCTTTACCGTAATAGCTATTGAAACTGGGTGGTGTCATGTCTTCATCTTTATCGCTCGGCCTATCGTCATTCAGTCCTTTCTGGAAAGGGCGTGCTTGAGCAGGAATAAGAAATGCAAAGTCAAAACTGTGTTCACCTCCGGCAAGCGTGTACCCCTTCTTAGGCGCAGCACTTATTGCGTCAGTGACATTTTGAGGTGGGAAAAGTGTCTTGGACTCCAAAATAGGGAAATGACAGGTAAAGGTATTGACGTATTGAATGTTGATATTGGTAGCGTCCATTCCACTCATGTGTTTTTCTCTGCCGGGGTTCAGGGTCCGGCACAGACCTCGCAAAGTGACAGTGACACTTTGGACAGCTGTTGATCTTGGTAGCGACACAACTACCCTTCCGGTAATGAGTTCATTGGATGTAAAAAAATCTCCGTTAGCCGGCGGTTTGAATTCTATCTTGATATCCAATTGAGATATTTTAAGGGCTTTCGAAATCAACTCTGGCATAGTTCTTCATTGGGAGATAAAATTCGGCTTAAAATCATGAGATTTTGGTCGTTTTTTGTGCTTGAAAAGCGCAAAATCATGCAATGGACCGAAATGAATGAAAATCAGGGATTATTTCGTATTCAAAATCAAGTTCAAACTTCAATCGTAGTGACTTCTTGTACACTCGAGTTTTGTGAATTACGCGTGACAAGATAATCATCATCTTAAAACGTCCCTTATTTGTTGAAAAATACCTTACCAAAATTCTGAAATTAATGATGATACTTTAGTACGAAACTGGGACCTTAGAGATGAATCGGACTTGAATCAACCATCCATCAACCCGACCATCTCTCTGGACAAATAACGAATCAGGACCAATTGAGGTGTCAAAACAATGATCAAAATCTGTCAAAGATCGTTCAGCGGTTCTTCGCGGCATTTGTTTTTGAAAAAGCTGCAACAACATGTCAATAACACTGCACCGAAGGAGCACGTTGTGAAAGAGCTCTTGAAGCCTGTTGGGCTTGATGTGGCACCGAGGGCTTCAACCAGATACCGTGAGGGTAACAGTTTCAAGGATATGTTCAATGATGCTAAGACGAGCGAAAGAGCCAGAGAATTGGAGGTGGAATTTAGCCGGGGTGGATTTTACGATGTCTACACCTTTAGAAAGACGAAAGGCAAGCTTTTCTTGTCACCTGCGTCGTATTGGCGTCAAGACAAGGCGCTTTACTTCCCGCACATCCAAGGCCGTTCTCTGGCTGACAGCAAAACCCAGAACGTGGAGGACAGTTTACGTGGGAAAGTTTCGGTTGTGCGTGCTTTCACAAGTGAGGTCGGAGAAACGTTAGGCAGGTCATATTTTGAGCATGATGGGAAAAACTATTTGCAATGTGAGGACGGATTCCGGGGCGCACAAATCGTCGAGGTCAATTTAACTGAAAATTTCTTGAAATCGCTGATCGTAAAGTTGTCGTTGGCATCGCTTCGACAGTACGTTCCTGGTGAGCGACACGATCGTTATTTCATATGTCGTCGCGACCAACTGCCGTTTGAGACGCGCGACAAGCTTCAAATGAACAATTTATTCACGAGTTACATTTTTGTTGTGGATCCAGATCTGAAGATCAGATGGATGGCATGCGGTGGGGCGGACGACAAAGACCGGGAGTTATTCTCGAATTGTGTCAAGGGCGTTGTCAAAGAATGTTCGAAGCCATGATGTGGCTATGAGATGGTTTGGGATGGCGGTTGTCATGTGTTGTGTCGTGAAAGCGCCACAATCCCGATTATTGCTCGAAACCATGGTAAAGACTTGGGAGCATGTTTGAAAGAGCGAACAGAAACGTATGGAGACGCACCGTGCCATTGTGCCATCAAACCTGTAAATTAGATGATGACGGGATCAATTTCTACGAATCGCTTTTCCTATTTGAATTTCGGGGAAGCTCATGCGGATTTTATCGGTCAGGACTCACTGCCCATCATCAACCTAGCAATATCCCAATGAGGTTGTCTTTGCGGGCATTGCAAACAGGAGCTAAAAATGCAGGTAATACAGCGCCCGTCTCGCCTCATGCGCTTTTGTACAGGCGGTGGGGCAAATTGACAATGAAATCCGTAGCTCTGTGTGTGGGCACGTACTATAGCTTATATTGGTTATGGGAGCTGTTAGAGAGGGGTGAAAGGAAGAGAGAGAAAACATTCACAGGGCATAGGTCATGAATGAGTGAGGCAAGACGTGCCAGGGTACTTGTATATAGTGTTGCAGCCTTGTTCATAGACGAATTGAAGATGATTTTTAGTCAACTGTCTGCAGTTGCTGCTTAAGCCGTCTTTCAACTGCTTCCAAGAATTCGTTCGTAGTAACGTAGGCAGAGCGGTCCTGTTTCCCGCAAGCAAGTGCAAGATCTTTAGTCATAATTCCATCCTCTTGGACGGTCCCAATCGTGGCGGATTCAAGCATTTGGGAGAACTTCACAACGTCTGGAGTAGAATCCAACTCACCACGTTTGGAAAGACCCCTGGTCCATGCGAATATAGACGCGATTGAATTGGTCGAAGTTTCTTTTCCTTGTTGATGCTGTCTGAAGTGTCTTGTCACGGTTCCGTGGGCGGCCTCGCTTTCAAAGGTCTTCCCATCAGGAGTGACCAACACTGAAGTCATAAGCCCCAGAGAGCCAAAGCCCTGAGCTACAATGTCAGATTGGACATCTCCATCGTAATTCTTGAGAGCCATAATGAACCCACCCTTTGATTTGACCATCTGTGCAACCATATCATCGATGAGTCTGTGCTCGTAGTAGATACCGCTTTCTTCAAACTGTTGGCGATATTTCTTTTCGTACACCTCTTGGAAAATGTCTTTGAAGCGGCCATCGTATTTCTTTAAAATGGTGTTCTTGGTAGACAGAAAGAGGTTCAATTTCTTCGAAATGGCAAGCTTGAAAGAAGCATGCGCAAATCCGCGAATGGAGTCATCTGTGTTGTACATGGCAAGTGCTACACCGGGACCCTTGAAATCGTACACCTCCATTGTCTTCGGCCTCGAACCATCTGCCGGACGATATACAAGTTCCAACTTACCCGCTTCAGGTACGACATAATCAGTGGCTTTGTATTGATCCCCATGAGCGTGTCTGCCAATTATAATAGGTTTCTCCCACCCGGGCACCAAACGCGGAATTCTGGGAATCACAATGGGTTCGCGAAACACTGTTCCTCCGAGAATATTGCGGATTGTTCCATTAGGCGATTTCCACATCTTTTTAAGACCAAACTCTTCGACTCGCGCCTCATCAGGAGTTATTGTCGCACATTTGATCCCCACGCCATACTGTTTGATGGCATTTGCAGCATCGTGGGTCACTCTATCATCTGTCTTATCACGAGACGTTATGCTTAGGTCGAAGTACTTCAAGTCTACATCGACGTATGGTAAGATCAAACGCGACTTGATACGATCCCAGATTATGCGGGTCATTTCATCTCCATCCAGTTCTACAATAGGAGTTTTGACCTTCACTTTGGTGAGCGTACTTAGGGCTCTCTTCAAATTCATTGTTTTTGCTTTGATTTCTTTGACTTTAAATGCAAAGTTGGCTTTGAAGATAACACTCGAATCAGATTATAAGTCGTTTTCTTGCGGAGAAATTGAATGTTTGCATCGAAGGTTTATTTTTCTCTTCCGATTGTTGATCACGCTGCCGATATTGAAAAAGCGGCGGAACTTCAAGTAAAAAAGCACTGGGTAACGTTTAAAGGACTTCGAGACAAAGGTCTTCATTAGAGAAAGGTAACCGGGGAGTCATGATTCTGTGAGAATGGTGTCTAAGATTTCTACAGATTTGGCGAAAAAAAGGGTAGCCCGCCGAACACTCTCCTTTAGCCTTCTTGGTGGAAGAGAAAATGCGGACTATGAGTCAGACACGCATGAGCTTGATTCAAAACAGCTGATCAAGGGTGCTCCGTGACAACCGTCTACTTGCACTTTTTTCAATCTTGCTGGTGCAAAATTTTTATTTCGAAGTCTCAGTCGCAAGTCCCACCAACTCGTTGCAAAAGGGGAAAAACAAGTGGTTCCAGAGAGAAGCCCAACGGCTTCTCATCTGCACCTTTGAAGATCATTTTTCGTGCAAACGTTCCACGCACACTGAGACCCCACCATACGTCAAAACTCAGGGTTCTGATTAATATTGGCAAGTTCCTGAAAAAAAGGCAATCATAACCTCACTAATCATCACAGGGCGATGGGGAGCAGGTGACCGTTCAACTCTTGTTCGTGCACAGCATAATGGTGGAAAATCAGAACAAAACCGATCAATACCCTTCTTGGCCTATTTACTCCGAGATCTGGAAATGCGAAGGAAGATGTCTTGTTCTTGTGATGAATATATCGACGTTGCCAATAACAGATCAAGTAAAAGCAACTCGATTAGGGATGCAAAGTAGGTCAGTTCCTGCAGATGTAATTACTTCATGGACGTAAATTTCTGTTAATTCCTGCAGGTGGAATTTTTTCTTGCCTAATTTTGACGATGCATATAAATTCATGCATGAATTAAAATGACAACCGTCGTTTTTCTTACATTGTATGGTTGTTTGCCTGGTTCGTGCCTGTTGTGACGAAAGTCATCTGAACCAACCATATTTCAAGACGCTAAGCGCAGGACCCACTTGTAATAGAAACGCCAGTGATCAGTACCCGTGGCGTGTAGAATTGATAGCGCTACCAAGTTTTGCGCACTCTAAGCGACTGTTCGATGTAAATTTCTGCGAACCGTAGCAAACCCCAAGTCTGGAACTGCGAATGGAATATCGCAATCTCTCAATTTCATGCAAGATCATTCCTAGTGACGACACCACCATAGCCGCGACGAGATGCAAGCAATCTAGTCAATAATGCATGTATCTTTTCGGAGTCTAGAAGACGTAATCGATCAAAAAAAGCATAGGCTCTGTATCTGAGGACCCTCTATCATATGCATTGACCTCATTTGGCATGGGCGAGGCCTTAGCCCTGTATGTTCTTCCTCGCGTACAATTTAGGAAGCAATTTCTCTCGGAAAGCACTTATGAGGTTTTGCCTGCGTTGATTTGGAAATCTGGTGGACGATCAAATCACTAAAGTCTACCTTCGTAAGTGAAGGCACATGCAACGTTCTAGGCCCGCTCAAGTTTTCGGGGGCTGTCAAGGTGAGAGCAAGGTATGAAGCCAATCCTTATGGTCAACCCGCTATAAATTCAGGATAGTAATTGTTGCTGATTATCCTAACTGACACTTTAGTAACCGCGAGCAACTAATTGCTTCGGACTTGGCTTCTATGCTCTACATTCGCTTGCTAATTTTGGCGCTCACGCTCAATAAGGCGGCTTTTGCGATCCGACCTCCAACCACTACTTTATGCGACACTTCCACCACTTCAACCACCACGCCTACAACTAGTCCATGCGACACTTCCACCACCTCAACCACCACGCCTACTACTAGTCCATGCGACACTTCCACCACCTCAACCACCACGCCTACTACTAGTCCATGCGACACTTCCACCACCTCAACAACCACGCCTACTACTAGTCCATGCGACACTTCCACCACCTCAACAACCACGCCTACTACTAGTCCATGCGACACTTCCACCACCTCAACCACCACGCCTACTACTAGTCCATGCGACACTTCCACCACCTCAACCACCACGCCTACTACTAGTCCATGCGACACTTCCACCACCTCAACAACCACGCCTACTACTAGTCCATGCGACACTTCCACTACTTCAACCACAACTTCATGCGAAACCAGCACTACTTCTAGCACTGGCTCCACTTCTAGCACTGGCTCCACTTCTAGCACTGGCTCCACTTCTAGCACTGGTTCCACTTCTAGCACCGGCTCCACTTCTAGCACTGGCTCCACTTCTAGCACTGGCTCCACTTCTAGCACTGGCTCCACTTCTAGCACTGGCTCCACTTCTAGCACTGGCTCCACTTCTAGCACTGGCTCCACTTCTAGCACTGGCTCCACTTCTAGCACCGGTTCCACTTCTAGCACCGGTTCCACTTCTAGCACCGGTTCCACTTCTAGCACCGGTTCCACTTCTAGCACCGGTTCCACTTCTAGCACTGGTTCCACTTCTAGCACTGGTTCCACTTCCAGTACTGGCACAATTTCTAGCCCCGGCTCAATCTTTTCGTCTAGTTCCTCGTCAACATACCCATCGAGCTCGGCATCAAGCACAGCATTCACGAACACAAGTTCCTCACCTTCAGCAATTACAAGTTCGGCATCTGGCTCTACGCAATTGAGTTCAACACCAGTCACATCAACTGTATCGACTACGACCTTGGCACCCGCTTCCACTATTTCAACCTTGGCGACATTTTTGAGCTCTAGCGCGGTAACTCCACAAGTAAAGACCGTTTCCGTTGTCACAACTACAATCAGCGGCGTAGTGACCATCTACACAACCACTTGTCCTATTGCTGAAGTGTCTACAACAAAGTCGACTGGCTCGACATTTGTAAGCTCAAAGAGTGCGGTTCCTTCTACCGGTGCTACACCAGAGGTTTCAACCGTGACTGACACCATCAGTGGAAAAGTCACGATTTACACTACGACATGTCCCGAGTCTCAATCTTCTGTTTTGACGATTTCTGTAGCATCGAAAGTTTCTACTGTGACCACCACCATTAGCGGAAAAGCCACAATTTACACCACGACATGCCCTGAATTCGTGTCCTCAAGCCCAGCGACAAACGCTGGCATTAAGCCAAGCTCCGCCATACTAAGTACAGGTGCCTCTATTGTGCCAGCAACTCAAACTGTTAAGGCACCAGGACCTGCAAGCACAGATTTGGGACCGGTTGCGAGTGTAACTACCGGCGCGGTCACTGGCTCGACCAACCCTCTGGAAACAAGTACGCTGGGAGCTCAATCAAAGAGTGCCCAAGGTACTGCGTCCGCTGCGGGCAGCGGTTCCAGTACTACTTATGCCATCTCTAGTTTTACGGCAATGGCAGTAGCTCTAAAGACCAATTTCTTGCTCTTGTTGGTCCCAATGCTGATTGTGTGAGTCCTATGTCGCTTTCCCGGGGACAAGATTCCCAGTTTCCTTGATTGTTTCTTATTCTTCCTGATCGTATACTTTTGTTCGTTAACTTGATACCCAACGTTAAACCAGCATTTTGCTCTGGATTCTGGTCTTCGCACCTTGCTGCCACGACAAGTTAAACTAGCATTTTGCTTTGGATTCTGGTCTTGGCACCTTGATGCCACGACAAGTTGTTAGTCGTCTGTGATAATCTTTTTCATGCCCAAAGTTTTCAATGTACCTTTCAAAATATGATGATGTAACTCTTTTAAAAACACACCGAAGTCTTTGATTATTGTTAATCTTGCATTAATGACGTGAATTATCTCGATAGTTTTTAGGGAAGACCTCAGTGGTGACGTTGGGAAACAAACGCGATCATAACATGACTTCAAATACCAAAACCGTATTCAAACCCATATGTACACTACAATATCATGCGTTCACAAACGTCACGGTCTTTTTCTCGATTCGACATAGCCACCGTTGGCGCGCGTCGAAAAATTCCCAGAGGAAAAAGCCGACAATACTTCCGCAGCACAACCACCTCAACCATTCAACATTTTACTCTCTCAGAAATTGGTCTGTTGTTGTGTTTCTTGTCTCGTTGTACTGTAACTTGTGAAGATAAAGTATCAAACACCCCCCCCCCCCGTTAACTTGCCGCCCACCTTTATATACTCGAGATTTTGATATGTCGTTCCAAACGATACCAACAGATAGACCTCACCCAGGCTTTTATATGTCCAATTAAAGATATGTCTACAAACAAAATGGCCTTATAGTATTGAAGTATGAATGAGCTGTATTTGGTTGAAACCCGGTTGAGGCCCACCAGCAAAATGTTGAAAGTACAAACTTGGCCGCAATCCCCAGTGGATTCCCCGGCAGTTGCACTCTTGTGATACGAATTGTTCAGTATGTGTCTGTTCAGGCTACAACACACCGGATTTTTTCAATTGGACGTAGGACGAGATGAAAGGTACCAAAAATCCCAAAGTAAACCATCCGAAATGAATAATCGCAAATGGGATCTTTCTGTTCTTGACCTTGACTGGAATGTTCGTGTAAAGACCTTCTTTGAAATGAGCACCGGATTGTCTCATTATCGTAGAGGAAAAGGCTCTCTTGGTAGCCAAGTTGGTGAGCTGTCTGAACATCATTGTATATGGATTATGAATAGAGGATAGTAGTATTTTTGGCAAAATTCACCGGTAAACGCCTTTTAACTCTATGATATCTTCCAATTTCCAGCAGATGGTTTGGTTTTTTCACTGCTAATATTGAGAAATCACTATGGCCGATAAAAATGAAAGCCTGTGATTGGCCAAGAACTATAGTAAATGGGTCTAAAATTTTCGAGAAACTAGAAAAACACTCCCGGATGCATTTTATACTCGATTTCAAAAGACGGCAAATCAAGGGATTTGATTGATTTTGAGTCAAAATGTCTGCTATTGTACCTATTACCGGAACACTCAGAAAGAGAATTATTGCCGACATCGCGATCGGATTTGCGATTGGTGGTGCCATGGGCTCTTACTGGTGGTGGGGGTTCCACAAGGGCAAAATCAACAAAAGGGAGGACTTTTACTCTAAACTTGCTGCTGAAAAAGCTGCTGAAAACTGAGACTGGAACTAACATTATCGTGCATCTTTGATTTGACTGGAACGGCAGTATTTAACGAATGTGTCTGTTAGTAAGACACTCCGTAACGCTATATCATAATATTTAAACACAGTTGAAAAATATATCGAAATTTTGAAGACGCCGTCATACGGCGACGCTGTCGTTAAACGTCAGGGATGCGTATGCCGCCCGTGAGTCCATCGCAGAGCACGATGAACCGTTTTCGAATACCCTTTGCACGCAACTGGTCGGACAAGAATTGCAAACATGCGACTTCGCCCAGCGTCACACCACCCAGAAACACCACGAGAACGGGATCTGAAACTTTCGATCCTACTTCTCCTACATGTTTCGTGGTTGGCGCGTCAGAGCGGTCCCAAACTTGTTCTCGTGCCATATTAGGACCGTACTCCTGCGAGAAGAAGTCCTCCAGTCCGCGCCATGAGGGTGTTCTCGAGATCATGAAAGGCTGTTGCGCAGAATATGTTTTGGCAATAAAAGAACGATCGTAGAGCAGCTGGACCAATCGTGTCGTGACAGGAACTATACCGCAATAAGCAAACGAAGCGTCTTTTGGATTAGCAGGATCTCCATCCGTTTCGCTCTGTGGTAATAATTCGATGGCCGAAGACAACGCATGGAAATCACGCCAGGGTCCATACCGCCCGTGAGAACTTTTGCTCAAGAACAACCCAGCCCTCGTCAATCGCTCCAATCTCAAGAGAATATTAATACCAAAAGAATCCACAAGTTCAGTTTTCAGTAGGTTGTGTTCCCGCTCGCGTATCCCGTTACTTACCAGCGAAAAAAGCGAGCACAGACGCAGGATTCGTGATTCAGAAAGATCATCCTCGTACATGAATTCCAAAAGTTTGTCACAGCCGCCCCGTTGGCTCATGTTCCCCGCTACCAGGTCTTGCTCGAACTCAACAACTCGATTGAAAATTGATTCGCCTCTAATCTCTTCATCTTTGCTTACCTCGGCGACGATATTGGACGATAAAGCCGTATGCATTTTAAGAGTTTTTTGTAAATCTTGTAAGCCACTCAAGTTTTCTACAAATTCCTTGATCTCGCCCACACTTTCGGCCTTATGCCTCTCGTCGTACTTTTTCTGCAAATCTTTGGCCATCTCGTTGAGACGAGGTCCCACCACTCCGAAATTCTTGAATTTGAGCTCCCTCCAGACTTCATCTTCTAAATAGTCCAAGGGTCGTAGCTCAACGTCATCTAGCTTCGGGGGGTTTTCGAGTTTCTTATCCTTCATTGTGTACAGATCATCAACAATGCCAGCATATGTCAGTTGCGATAAAAGTGGCGTAAGAAAATCTGCTTGGCGTTCTAACACGATTAAATTACACTGCAATCCCGAGTGCTGGTTGCCATACAGAGCGTCTTCAATGAAAGCTTCTTCATGAGTTTTGCGTTCCTCTAAGCGCTTCTTAAGAAGATCCACCACCGCATGCGAGTTGGGGCCAAACGAAGCCGCCTGCGTGATGAAAAGTCCCGTTTGCTGAAGTATGGATTGAACAGCGTTTACTAAATTCTCCGTGAGAAGATGTCGCGTAACTTTGCTCATAGAAAACGTTTTCGGCACGTAAAGACTTTCGCTATCCACATTGTACAGGACGTTGCACGTTAAAAGGTTGTCGTCCAAAAAACAGCGTGGTAGTACATTCCAGCGTCTGAGCTTAGTTTTTGATCCCAATTCGAGATTCAGATAGTGCAAAAGCTTTCCTTGTCTATCCGATGGTTCTTGGTCCCAGCTTAGGTAAATAACTTCACCTCTCGTTGCTTGGATGGCCTGTTTAATTTCGTTTTTAACTGCTAAATCCGATCGTACGTCGATCACAAATAACAATTGCGAGCTACTTATGCCTGCATCTGAATTGAGATTCTGTAACGATTCATTGTCTTCTATCATAACCTTGTTAACATTAGTCTCTCTTTGCAGCTGGCTGAATGTACAGATGTCATTGATTAAGGGCAAAACCTCCCGTTGCAGAATGAGGGTTTGATTGGTTGATCCATCGTATGCCTCTCTTATGACCTTGAAAAGATTATTTTGAGTGATACGGGAGAATTTCCTTGTATTTATGGTGGCCATTGCAACTGTTCATCGCGTTACTATGATGCCTGTTTGGTTTTCACCTTAATGAAGATTGTCGATTGTCAATAGAAGCGTATAAGATGACGGATCGCCGGTTAGCACGACCGAAGTTCACTGCCCTCTCTTCATCAACATCAAGCAGAGACCCCATTCTTGGCTTTGAAATCATCGTAGTACGCCAGCATTTCTGGAGTTATTCCTCTTGAAATTTCCTTAATTGCTTTGTTGAAATGGCGACAATCCACTTTAGTAGCCTCCGTATCCTCCATAATTGCGGCGAGACCTGCTTCCTGGCAGAGTAAAACAACCTCTGCACCGGAACAGCCCGCCGTTTTTGTGGCTAGCTCGGTTATTAGTTCTTCGTGGTTTTCGAGTGAAAATTTGCTGGTGTTCTTGCGAATTATTTGAAGCCTTGCATCATAATCTGGAGGACCGACGTAAACGTGACGGTCTAGTCTGCCCGGTCTTAGTAGAGCAGGATCAATTTCATCCGGTCTATTAGTAGCTGCAACAATAACGACGCCTTGCAATTCTTCGACACCATCTATCTCATTGAGCAGCGACGTGAGAACATGACTTGCTGCGGACGTTGATCCACCACCGTCTCTATCAGGCGAAAGAGCGTCGATTTCATCAAAAAAAATTATGCTAGGAGCAGCAGCACGCGCTTTACGAAAGACTTCACGGACTGCTCTTTCAGATTCGCCCACGTACTTGTTAAAAATTTCCGGACCTTTGACGGCAAGAAAATTCACCGTCGATTCTGTTGCCAGTGCTTTTGCGATGAGCGTCTTGGAACAACCCGGCGGTCCAAACAGTAAGACACCCTTTGGAGCGCGAACTCCTAGTCTTTCAAAAGATTTAGCTGCTTCAAGTGGTAACTGGATCATTTCTTTCATCTTCAATTTCAAGTCTTCTTGGCCCCCAATGTCAGACCAGTGGACCTTGGGCATCTCCAAGAAAATCTCACGCATTGCACTAGGTCTAATCTCAGCCATAGCATCCTCGACATCTTTGGAAATCACCCTCAAGTCGTCTCTCTCGATTTCGTTAGCCATTCCTCTTTGTATCGTTTTCATGACAGCCTCGCGACACAGGGCGATCAGATCGGCACCGACATAACCATGAGTCTTAGACGCGAAAGCGCGAATCATTACATCATCGAGTTCGTGGCGGTCTATGGACATTTTGGCAAACTGTTTCAAAAGAATGTCTGCTCTTGCCTCGACGTCTGGAATGCCTATTTCGACTTCCTGATCAAATCGGCCGGGTCTTCTCAAGGCTGCATCGACTGAGTTTGGACGATTGGTAGCCGCTACAACTACTACTTTGCCAGTTCCGCCCATGCCATCCATCAGCGTTAGTAAAGTAGCAACTATTCTACTCTCCACCTCACCAGAATCGTCGCTTGCGCGGCTGGGAGCCAGCGAATCAATTTCATCAATGAAAACTATCGATGGTTGATAATCGCGAGCTTCGTTAAATATCTCCCGTAGGGCTGCTTCCGTTTCACCCAGATATTTGGATACAATGGAAGGCCCATTTATAGCCAAGACATGCGAATTCGCCTCGTTGGCTATGCATCTCAAAAGCATCGTTTTTCCTGTCCCTGGAGGTCCATGCAAAAGAATTCCTCGTGGAGGAGAAACGCCAAAGTGGGCGAAAACTTCGGGTTGATGTAACGGAAGCTCGATAGCCCTTCTGAGAATTTCTATCTCTCTCTGCAAACCACCAACAAAATGATAATTCATAGGTTTTGGTAAGTTGTAGACCGGATTTACTTGCGCTTTGACCGATTTGATCACTTTTGTGAGACCTTTGCGGAAAAGGCCTGGCGGCGAGAGATAGTTTGAGCTGAAATTTACAGACTTATCTGATAAGCTGAGTTTTGAAATCTCAGGCATACTCCCGTCCCCTGAGGCATTTATATCGACAATTAACACATCGACGGTTTCTTCGTCAATTTTTTGATCCGAAAACACCATCCCAGGCATCACAATACCACTGTCTGTTAAAAGCTTTTCGATTTTTTTACACGCTGACTCGGAAAGATCGATTCTCTGAAGAGATCCTACCACGACATTGGAAGCATACTCGGGCTGAGACTCCACTTTCCTAATCTCGACTCGTTCACCAAGTAGTACATTCCCCACCATTCGAAGCGATTTCGACATGAGAACAACGTTTGTGGGCATAGATTCGTCACCAGCCTCTACACTAGCCACAACACCATTTGCACCCTCCTTGGAGATCAGACACATTCCAGAACCACCAATTTCGAGCGATTTCACAGTTTCGGGATTCAATTTGATAACAGACGCTAGACGAGCATCGCTTTCTTCGGTAATGGGACGGACAACGAAAGTTGCAGGAATTTTGAAAAGTGGCGTCTTCTTGACACCACTACTAGAACCATCGGCATTAGCCTTCTTCTTGCTGGAGTTACTCGAGCTTTTGGTAGCCATCACTCTCGTTAATGCTTCTTTGAATTTTGATCCAAAAGGCGATGAGCTTCGCTTTCAATAAATTTTTCGAAGTAAATTGATCCAGTACCACTTCAAGATCTGTGGAACGAAACACCTAGGAACCTGGGACAATTGAAACTTGGATTGGTCTTGATCTCGATCAGAATTGGGTTTCGTTCGGTATAAGAAGGTATCGGTCTGTTTAGTTCTTTACGTCAATGTTTTCGCGCCGAGTTCTGGTGAACCTAACGAGATGCACCAGTCTTGATAATCCTAGAAATTATTATATGGCCAATTGGAAAAGAGGCTACTTCAAGCCAGCAATTAAGCGCATACCGAAACGTAACAGCGTGCAAGACTTGGCCAGACTTGATAGGTTTGAGCAAATGATGGAAATTGACAATTACGGCGTAACGTTGAGAGAGAAAAGTGAATGTGTGAAATGCTTTTACCCTCTGAAATGCGACGACATCAAATTACCCAGTGGCATAGCCTACAAGTTTAGCCAGCTTGAAGTTCTAGGTAAAGGTTTTCTCCAATTTTGTCTCGTAGAGTCATTTTTGCATGTTTTCAAAAGGTCCTCGACGGACATCGAGCAACATGATTTCAATTTCGACGTTAAAATGCGACATCTCGGCGCATCGCGCAGGATTCCAAGGAAACTTCTTCAAAGGTATGTGAAGGGTAATTTCAGCAGGCTGGCAAGGCTCTCACAACCTCAGGCAAGCATCCCTCTAAGGATTCATCGGGTCTATGATAGAAAATGTTTTAACGCACTTTTCGGGTATTTGACTTTGACTAACGAATCTCAAACGGTGTGGAATTTGGTGAAAGGTAAAATATCGAGGTCTATTTTAAAAAACACATTCAATATATGACAAGAGTGCGAATTTTTATATCCTACTTCACAAGTATAGGGATGCGGCAAACACGATGTCCCTTTTGATGAGCTCCTGGGCCTGAGACATTTTCATGTGAAGACTCGAGTCTCCGATAATAATGGAAGCCGTTTTAACTTCACGACAAACTTCGTCTAGTCGCGTGATCACTCTCACAATTGTACCCTCGGATTCGACGCTCATTTCCATGATTTCTTTGAAGGAGAGACCGCGCGCCCATTCATATACAACGTTCATTAGGGCAAATCTTTTTTTCTCCAAGAATTCGGCCTCTTCTTTCGTAAGTGGGACCTGGAATTTTTCGTATTCATCCAACATTCTTTGATAAATTTCCTGTATTCTCTTCTTACCTCGCGTCAGTCTAGGCGTGGTGATCAAAGGTTCTTCTTCGCGCGTTCTTCCCTCATAGACAAACACGGACAACAGAGCAACTATTTCTTCTGGCTCAAATTCTCCCAAGAAATTATCCAAGATCAATTCCGTCAAAACCAACTCATATCCTGAGTTTATCTCGCAGGCAACACGACCTTTGAGTAAAACGTTGTGATTCTGGTCGATAAACCCAGTGTCCTTGAGCACCGACAAGCGTTGCTCATAATCGGGAAGAAGATTGAGATTTTGATCAGACATGAGATGATACAAGTTTTTGATCTCCCTTTGAATTTGGAATTCGCGGAACTTTGGAACGAAATGTTCAGCGAATTTGTCGCTCGTCAAACAAGTGAAAGTTTTAAATTCATCCCGAATTTTGTTCCTGTCCTGGACGAGTTGATACATTTTGAGACTTCCCTTCTTTTCGTAAGTGACCTCCCGAAGCTTTGCCGCGATCTTTAAGATTAGACTCACTTCCGCGTTGAATTTCTTGAGAGCGTCTTCATCTTGCTTCATAACGTCAGTCATGGAAACATTCAAAGTAAAAGCACTGATAATTTCGATGTCAGAAAATGGAACGTTTTCCATAATATAGTCAATCCTTTTGAAAGTTTGGAAATTACGCTTAACAAAGTTTGGAAAACCAGATAAGTATGGTAGGTGGTTGGGTGACCCGTCTTTGAGACAGTTCGGCGCTGTTATCGTCATAACCACGGTATTATTGTCCCTTTGAATGTTTTTGAAAACGAATCCTAATTTTGCGTTGTCGTCTAAATCGCGGAACAAGATTAGTCGACCCACATTCAACAATCTGAAAACAGTCGCACCATCCGAAAGCTCTTTCATGATTTGCTCAGTGCATTTTCTGTATCTAATTGTAGCATCCAAAGCCTTGTCAATATCAACTTCGCAGTTCTCGCAGTCAGCAAACTGTATAGAGTCCAGCTCTGACTGTAAAACCTTGATTTTCTTTTCTTGCTCCGGCAATAGAGTTTGTTTTGTATTTTCACTGAAGGAGTACTTTATCATTTCCTCTACTCTCAGAGCCTCGATTCGGAGAAGGTTTAGGATCATGTTATAAGTGAGTCTGAACTGCGATTGTAATTTTGTAGGTACACCTAGTGCAACTTCTTTGAATGTGCCTTGCTCTAGAGGAGATGTGTAAGCCATCACAATTACTGTGCCTGTGTCATCAAGGCCCCTCCGGCCAGCTCTCCCAGCCATTTGTGTAAACTCTCCAGGATTCAAATTTCTCAGACCGTTACCATCATGCTTTTGAATTTCGCTGAAAACCACAGTTCTGGTTGGCAAGTTCAATCCCATAGCGAACGTCTCGGTCGCAAATAGCACACTGATGAGACCTTTTGCAAAAAGCATTTCTATAAGCTCTTTAACAATCGGCAGAAGACCTCCATGATGAACGGCTATCCCTCTTTCCACAAGAGAACGCATTTTAACAATTTGAGGTAGCTCTCGGTCCTCTTTTTTGAGACGGGTTATTGACCTTTCCACAAACATATGTATCTGAGATTTCTCCTTGCCAGAACAGAAATTAACTCCTTCCATCCAGTCAGCGTATTCCTCGCATCGGTTTTTACTGAAGACGAAAATGACAGCTGGTAGGAGCTGTTTGGATCTCAGGTAGTTAACGAGATTAGGCCACGTCTTCTTGTTAGGAACACTTCTTTTGAAAAATCCACTTTTATTCGAACCTACAGCACCTGCGCCACGTGAACCACCACGTACTTTAGAGCCTCCTCTGATCATGTTGCCTCTTCCGCTTGGCCTGGAGTTACGATCATCTCTCCCGTTGCTAGCTGCAGAAGCTGACTTTCCCGCAAGAAGCTCCTTATGCTTCTTGAAATTGGTTAACAAAAACTCTCTTTTCTCGCTTATTACTGGAATGAGCTCTCCCTTGGCCCAGACGTTGATTTGCAGAGGAACCGGTCTTTTTGGAGTTGATATAACATAAATATCTTTCTGCTTAGTTCTTCCAATCCAGTTGGCAAACTCGTAAGTGTTGGGAACAGTTGCAGATAAAAGAATAAATTTGACATGTTGAGGAAGCATAATGATAACTTCTTCCCATACGACACCACGATCTTGATCATTGACATAATGGACCTCATCAAATATAACAAACTCAACGTCGCGAATCAAGTCAGCACCCCGATAAAGCATAGAACGCAAAATTTCCGTCGTCATAATTAAGCAGTTCGCCTCAGGGTTAATCTGGACATCACCTGTGATTAGCCCAATGTCTACATCATCAAAAGTCTCTTGAAAATCACGGAACTTCTGATTCGACAAGGCCTTTATCGGAGACGTGTAAATTGTTTTTGTCATGTTTCTCTTAGACATAGCTATCGCGTATTCAGCTACCACCGTTTTGCCGGCTGAGGTGTGCGCAGCTACAAACACCGAGTCACCTTGCTCAAGATGGTAAACAGCTTCCTTTTGAAAAACATCGAGCTCGAAGGGCCATTTTCGGGCTGGATTGGGTATCAGTTCATCAAAATTCTCAATTTTATGGTTCAAATCAATGACATGTGCCCATTCTTTTCTAGCCAACATGTCGTCAGGACGGCGAATCGTTCTGCCAAAATCGATTCCTACAGGAAGCAAGTCATCGATGTCTGCCTCTGGTGCTGCGACTTTGGACTCAGATGCCGAGAGGAGCTTAGACGCTTCTTCCTCGACCACCTGCTCATCTTCAACGCGTCTATCAGCCAGTTCCTGAGCATTTTTACCTCCATCGTCAATTACGTCAAGACGCCTAACCTCATTGATCTCACTGCTCTTTAAATGTTCAGCCATAGAAGGTGTGATGCCGCGTTCTAAACCCGGTGGAACGTCAAATAAGCCCTCGTCGTCTCTGTGAAGAAGCTTAGTGGCTGCAGAGATGCTTGAGGGCTCCGCTGTGTGATTGATGGCGGACATTGTGAGACCGCCGGGTGCGAAAGGCAGTTGGCCTGTGGTTCCCCTCACTGAATTCGTATCCTGATTCACCCTTCTTGAGAGCGAGAGCGAATTCGAAGCATTGGCGTTCGCGACGTCGGTCAAGTTGACAGTCTCTTTATAATCGTAAATCTTACCCTCTAGGCCTACTCTTCTAAACTGCAAGCACGTTCTGTCTATGTATTCGGGAATTTCGAGAAGGCTTCTGTAGTCGAAACCATCATCATCAACATGCTCATTGTCAGTGTGAAAGGTATTCGCAGGTACCACTTGCAAAATATTGAGCAGCTGCCATGGAAGAACGTTGGAAGGTGTGAGAAATTTCCTGGCAATTTCTTCTCGGGTTGAAGTTGAATCTTCATTCACATCAGCCTTGCTTTTCAAATTGACAAATTTGGGAGGTTCTTCGTTTGGAATATCTCTGAGACTTCGATATATGCTTTCTAAGGCTTCTAAATCATAGGATATCGACATCTGGTAATTAGGCCCGTAGAGCTGATTTACTTGCTTTCAATAATCAGCTAGTATCGAGCTTAACACTCGAACACATAGATGGATGTTGGGTATCCATGACCTTCGTCATAGGCGATGTCATACTGAACTGGCGGTGACAGTTTAAGCCATAAGTGAAGATTGAACCTCGATTCTGGCGTTACTCGAAATGAAATGACTACTAGAGTTTGATGGTTAGCGAGGAGGTTTATATTATTCTAAAGAATCTTTCACAATTTCCCTCTGTGTTCCTCAGGTTGCAGATCTGCAATCGAGACAATTTAAATCAAAAGTGGGCTTCCCAAATCGGGCTCTTAAATATACTAGATTTCATTCCATCCGCAGCAGATAATCTTATGCCTATGTGTTATCTCTTTTAACATTCTGACACAGTTCTTTAAGATTGGAGTTTGTAACTGATAGGTAATTATCAGTGATTTCTTTCCGGCGAGCTAACCTCATACAATCAGTAAAGAGAGATAAACCTTTAAAATCTAAGAACAAGGAAAGTGTTTTCATAAGAGATTTAATGAATAATAAATAACTAGTTAAGTTTTTGGTAAAATTGTTCAAAATCAGGATTTCAGCTGCTGCTTTCAAGTTGACAACGTCACCATAAAGTATCTCGCGAAGAAAGCCCAATGACGCTTTCGCGACTGGATTTATGCTGAGATGTAGCGTTTAAGAGGCTGAATTTTCTTCTAATCTATCAATCTGCCCAAAGAAAATAAGTTTATTTATTTCATGTTTTTCTCTTTGAGGATATCATTCCATATTCTTTCGCACCTAATTTGACCCTTGCAAGGTTATAAATCAACAAATATATGTTAGCTCATTTTTGTTGTGGTCAAAGGCAACACCAATCTAAACGGAATAACTTCATCACCATTGATATCCACAAGCATCTGCTCGCAATTAAATATTTAACGCTTGGCTATATATCCCTTGTGATACAATAAAAGATCAGGTAACTCAGTAACGCTTAAAGAGAAAAACATCATCGATTTGGATGACCCCAAGCCAGATTAGGTGGGTTGCAGAAGGTGATTAAGAGTCGCATACCGTGACGACTCATCGGATAAACCCGTTGGTTTGTTTGAAATTATCTCGGGGACGAAAACGACGAATGCCGCCGCCTTCAAGTTCTTTATTTACTGTTACAATTTTCACAAGGAAAATGATGCTAAAGCTCACCCCACTATGGGATAAGCATACATGCTATGCTTGGAGGATCTTGTTTTGTCATTTTCCCAAGTCTCGCTCTTCTATTCTTTTTTTAGGTTTGAATTCGATTTCAAGCTTAATTTTGAAGCTAGTAAAAGCTGGCAGGAAACACTGCACCGACTTCAAGCACTATAAAATGCTTCACTCTTCTTCACTCTCGCTGCTCTCGTCATCATCATCATCTTCGGAGGAACTATTATCAGCAATCCCGCTAAAGGTTCCAGGACTTGCAGGAGAGGCGCCGTCCAAGATAGCAAGCTTGTTCTTGATCTTCTCAATTTGCCTATTCTGCTCCTCCTCACTCAAGGCTTTGCTTCTCCGTCTGTTGCCCTTCTTTGACCCAGATCCCGACCCCGGTGACAACGAGCTAACCCTTGCCGTATCCTCGTCCAGCGGAAGCCCATTTTCACCGCTAGGACCAAACTCACGGAAAAAGGTATTGTATAGAGTTAAAATGGTCATGTTGTCCAACATGTCGATATCGAGTTCGACTTCGTCGTCTTTACCAATGTCCGGCATGGATTTGCGGATGATTTCGACCGCTTTTTCCAGCTTAGACTGCGGTAAATCGTTGATCTTTTCGGAGATGATCTTTTTCATGTCGTAAGTGACGACGGTCTTGAATTTACCCTTCTTCTTACTCCCGTTGGTAGCGTCACTGGAAGACCTCTTCTTACCCGTGCGTCTCCGCTTGGTTCCCTTAGCAATTCGTCTTTCCTTCCGTATTCTTTCGATCTCTTGCTTCTTCAACTGAAGCAATTCGACCTTCATACGCGCGAGCTGCTGTTCCAAGTATTGGATGGCTGGATTGTTCATCAGACTTTCGTAAATTTCTTCCGGCTCACGACCATCTTCGCTGGCATAACCAGATTCCGCATTATCCTCATCCTCCGATTCTTCGTCCGCCGCTATTGGTCTGTCGACCCACCTAGAATTGAAAACGTCTTCCAGGCGGTGGCCCATCATGTTCACAATGGTACCGTCAGGATTGAAAGCGTAGCAGTTTTTGAAAACCAGTCGCACGTCATGTTCAACTTCTTCCGCGGTTCCGTATTCCCAGTTGTTCAATTTGCGACTGACAGTGCCCAGATCCATGGGCTCCTTAACAAAGTCAAAATATGTGGGACAGTTCAAAGCCACTGGGTCAACGGGCTCCAAAAAGGGGTAGTTGAAAGACGCGTACTTCTTGGACATGAGTTCCTTGACCAACTGCTGGCAAAACTTGAGCTCCGTCTGGTGCTTCTTGGATCGCGGCTTCGAGTTTTCGTACGGGTAAATGTCTTTGGACCTGGGAGGGTGTATTTCACGCTTGGGTCTGCCGTTGTGAGACTCGGCGCGGCGAATGACCACGGGTGCGTCCACTTCTGGTTTCCGCCGCTTCACACGCGGCCTGGGTGGCTCGTCGCGTGCAGGCATGTGAAACATGTGCTTCTCGAAGCTCGCCTCGATGTTGCGCGCCATTTGCGTGATCGCCGCGGCCGGACCGTTGAACTTGGCACAGTTCTCAACCATGAGCTTGAAGTCTGCAGAAACCTGCTCAGGCGTCTCGTACGCATTGACCGCAAGCTTGCGCTCGATCGTCGAGAGGTCCATGGGCCGCTGGATGTGGTTGTAGTAGAAGGGCACGTTCAACGCGACCGGATCCACGGGCTTCAGAAACGGACGCGCGTCCTTCAGCCGCTTCACGGCGCGTATGCTCGTGGTCGCATGCTTGTTCTGGTGCTTTGGCATCGGGTTGGCCGGAAGGTTGTCCATGTCCGGTTCCGGCGGCGGAGCCGGTGCCGGAACCTTGGATTTCTGGTCTGCTTCCTCGCTCTTCAGGTCGGCAGCGCCATTGCCGTTGACGTATTCTGGCTGCGGTTGCGGCTGCACCGGCAACTGCTTGCCGGCCTCCGTCTCCGGGCCGTGCCCTTTCGCCTGCGATGCCTCGGGCTGGTACTGCGCCTGCTCTGCCACCTGAGTCGACTCTGGCTCTGTCATGTTTGCTCCTCTTGTCACTACTGGATACAGGAAAACTGGAATCTCGAATCACCCAGAACGAATCAGGTACTTAAAATCACGTGACAATCTCGAACTGCCTTGCTCGCCTGCTGTTGCCGTCTGAATTCTTGAAACGCCTGGTTGCCCGAAATGGAAATGAAAACGTACAAAAAGAAAGAAAACTTCTTTTCTTCCTGCCAGGTGTTCTTTGCTGCTGCTCGCCTTTCCTAAAGCGGACTCGTGCTTCCGCGTCTGTGCTTTCAAAAGTCGCCACCCGACTGGTACCACTTTCCGGGTCTCGCCGTTTTTCTTCGTGCTTAAATACCCAGCCCCGCCACGACGACGGCCACGCGACGCGGCAGCGTGGAAAACTACGCGGTGTGTGGGTTGGCTGCCTGGACGGAAGAATTTTTTTTCCTCCCCCTATTTGCCACCCAGCGGTGACGGGCGCCTTCTATCACGACCTTCTAAGTAGGCGACTCCAGGGAGAAGGCTGGTAAATGTAACTGGAACAAGAAGCTGACTATATGCTTGCAAAGCCGTTGGTGCTGCACACAGAGCACGGTGGCTCGCGGAGTTTGACGAGAAACATAAACAAAGATAATCTTGCTCTGTAGCTCGCTTTTGTCCGTCCAAGTGTGTGTAAATGTGAGTTGTTGAAAGAAGGGTGGCAAATGTGACAGGGGGAAAAGAAGTGTAACTTGTTTGCGCTTAGCGGTCAAAGGCTGACAGGATGAAGGGTGTGTGGGTGCAGAAATACGTACAAAGAGACACATATACAGGTGTATGGGTGTGTTCCCAGATGCATGGGTGTATAAACCCATGCACCAAACCCGGGTAATAAATACAGATCACGTGTTATATTTAAGCTCGATCACTGTTCACGTGTTGAGTAGAAAGTGCTCGGAAATCACGTGGAGCTGTTTTTTTTTTATTTGCTGGAGGAGATAATATACCCTTGTACGGAAACCCCAGCACCTCCATTTGCAGTTTTGTCACTAACTCTAAGGGATCCAGAAAGAGAGACCCAGGGCCCAAGCAAGGAATTTCAAAACTCCATCCTGCTAAACAGCCTTTGATACTGTAACAAGTGTACAGGTGCCGCTAAAGCCCCAACAATTGGAACAACTGACAGCCCTTGCTCCAATTCTTTGGACACAATTTAGACGGAAATAGCATACGGAAAGAGCCAGGTCTTAAGGGCGGCGACAGCGGTTTTCCAGGAAGAATCCAAATCAGAATCCAGATGACACTTTACTACACGCTGATTTTCGGCGTGTTGGTCGCAGAAATGACTATGTTCATTCTGCTAATGCTCCCCGTGCCCTCCAAATACAGACGGCCCGTGACGCTCGCGCTTGTCAAGCCGTTCGAACAGCCCCAGATCCAGGTTGCGGTCAAATGCGTGCTCGTCTTCATCCTTTTACTCTTCGTTGACACCATCAATCGCGTCTACAAGATAGAGTCTGAGCTCAACGTAAACCCGGTAGCGGCGTCGGGCTCCGACCGCGCTGAAGTGCTGAGCCGCAAATTCTACGCCCAGCGCAACATGTACCTGACCGGAATAACGCTGTTCTTGACATTCACAGTTTTCCGCACTTTCCATCTCGTGTCGGAGCTTTTGACCTCCAAAGAAGTGTACCGCGCAGATCCCGCCGACAAAAACCAAATCAAAAAGGAGATTGCTGGCATCGACGCCGAGATTGCTTCTTTGAAAGAGCGTGCCGAAAGCTTACAGGCCGACATGTAGCGTGAATCGCATTTTTGGCTAACTGAAGGTACATACATACAGAAACTTTTTTATTTTGCAAACGAGTTACTCTTGTGCTTTGGCGTGAAGACGAAAGTCTCGTCGCTTGGCCCAAAGAATAACTCGCTCAGCTTTATCCAGTCCTTCACGTCGGTGCTACCCAGCCTTGTTTCTAGCTCATCTCTTCCGCGCCAGTTGGGTGGCCTTTCGTTCAAGAGGACTGGGTATCGTGCGCAGATGCCCATGGGCACATACCGATGGAAGAAAGACATGAATTCGCAGAAAAACCTCCGGCACTGTGATATTCCGTATTCATCGGTGCCCCAGTGATCCATCGCGAATTGTGCGTAGTCCTTGAGAATGTCAAGTCTTTCGCTGCTGGACTTGTCCAGATGCTGCTGCGCTGCTACTTCTTCGAAAATCCAAGGCTTTACTAGAGCCCCTCGCGCGACCATTACGCTATCAATGTTATCGTCGTGTAAATGTTTGTACCAGTCCTCGAAGTTGTTCACGTCACCGTTGCCGACAAACTGGATCCGATGTGAATTTTCCCGACTATCCTTGTTCTTTTCGTTGAACTCAGCCTCAGACTCCCGTAACGAACGCGCCACGTCGCTGACGTACTGCCAATCTGCTGATCTCGTGTACCTCTGCTGCCTCGAACGGCCATGCAGAGTTATAGCGGCGACATCGGTTTCATTAACCAATCTGTTGACCAAACTGTGCGCCACTGGATGTCCGTCCTTAGTACCTGTGCGGATCTTAACACTAACAGGAACATCTTGCGAAACGTAGTTCATGCTGTTGAGACAGCGTATCATGCGGGCCGGATTGTCAAGCAGCGCGCTCCCAGAGCCTTGTCTGTATAAAAGGTCAATCGGACACCCGGAGTTCAAATTGATCTCGCTCACGTCGTCTACATGGTCAGCAATGGCCTCTGCGGCCTTAGCGGCCTGCCACGCCTTAGCACATGCGATTTGGACACCAAAGCCGGGTGTTTCCGAAACGTGTGCTTTGGGAAGCGCCCATTCGGAGTTGGTTCCTTGGATCAACGGCACACCTAGTGCCATTTCGGAGTATGTAACATCGGCACCGAGACTCCGCATGAGACGTCGGTAGGGGAGATTGCCAACCGTGGTGAGCGGAGAGACGATCTTCTTGCCCTTCAAGTCCAGTCTTTTTTTCTCCTGCGCAAAATACCGCGTGTCTTTGTACTGAAGATACAAGTCGCGTTGCCGTTGTCTGCGATTGGCCAGTTCTTCCTCTCTCCGTGCAATCTGAGGTGCTGTCTCGGCGGCTTTCTTGCCGTTCTTGTCGCTCTTCTCGGACGGGTGGCCCACTTCTTTCATGACGTCTCTGTTCTCTTGCTGTATGGCATCAATGATTTCCAGGATAAATTCGCTCTTCTCGAATGGGTACCGGCGCTTGATCAAATCGAGTTTTTTGTCGGAGGCAATGTGATTCACTTCGTGGTTTACTTGGTAAAGCTTCTGCGTTTCGCCCTGGGGCTTTTCAACGATCGAATTTGACTCCGTGTCCAAGTGTGATGACAAAAAGCGGCATTTGAATCCCATCGGACAGCGACCCATGCTCTCGAACACCGGACACATGGGAAAGTAGTCGCTTGAGATTTCTGGTCTCTTCAGAGCGAGATACTCATTAACGTTATGCAAATAGCGGCACTGGGATCCAAAGGGACATGTGCCATGGCCTGGTCCCAATAAAAGTTTCGAGCACAATTGATGCTTTTCCTTCGCCTGGATATTGTTACGATTTTTATTCTGGCCCCGCTGCTTTTTCTTACTATTTTTGCCCACAGCACCCCCAGCCATGCGGTCTGACACCGGCTCTTCTTCTTCAACTTGAGCCGAAGCCACAACTGCAGGTCCTGCGACTGATTGCGGATCGGTCAGTATGACATATTCGGGCTTTAATTGTGCGATGCCGCGGGTGTCTTGTCTCTTTGATGGCTGATCTGAAGCGCCCCCCTCTTTAAATGTAGCAGAGGCCGCCTTAGCTAGTCCATCTTCAAGATCCAAAGTACGTTTAACACTGGCCTCTTCAGACATGGTTTAGTTCTTAAATTTCCAATTAATTAAAGCTCATCGCGGGCATATTCTACTAAGCGTTTAGGCCTAAAATTTTCCAGGTGGTAAAGATGGCATATGCAAAAGAAAATCGGAATCAATCATGTGATGATCATGTGATATACACTCCTATGTCGAATCACTAAAAACGAAAAGTAAGAAAGTGAACGATGCCGTTCACGTGATTTTAGTCAAGAAAGTAAAACCTCCTCATACCATGCAATCTCTCAATTATAGCCAACTTTTGGAATTGCTTGTAGCTTCTTTCTCCTTTCTGCAATACTCCCGAGTACTTCAGAAAGTAGGAATCACGTGACTATGCCATTTTTCTTCCAATTTTAGATAGCCGCCCACTTCTACGTAACTTTCTGGGCCTTGCTCGGTCGACCGACCACAAAGACACAAATGCTAGAAAAGGAAAACAAACCCCTTAAAAAAACCAGTATATAAGAAGGAGCGCGGGAAGAAACCTCCCTAAATAACTCCCAGCTACTAATGCATACTTCAGTCAAGTACGAGGCCCGTCTAAAAAGCAGCGAACACCAGCACAGTGCGCGTGTAACAATCCAGCGACTCGTTCAAATCTAATTGTTCTCCACGGCCCGCTGCCGACGTTCGCTGCTCAAAATATGGGCCGTTTACTTACGAATAGTGTGGATTCCGGGAGACAGTTTAAGGCAAGGGTAAGACTTGAGCCGCCGAAGTCGATCAGATCAAATCACTATCACCGACTTTACTCACAAACGACGGACAAACCACTTTCGTCCGGCCGTGCCCCGCCCGGCGGAAAGGCGAAAAAAAGAAACAAAGATTTATCTCGTTAATAGTGCTTTCTATAAGGAAGCCGAGCCGAATATCACACAGAACGAAAATGATCAAATCAGCTTGATAAACTGGATGTCGTGCGAAGCGCGGAGAGTAAGGAAGAAGAAGAAGCTCAGAGAGATTCTACAGGTACAAAGCCTTAGATAAGCGCTTTAGGTAAGCGCTATTGAATGGGTTGTGCACGCTGTGCGAACGCACTGCGCACGGAACCAAACTGAGCGACGTCATTGGATAAGTCTAAAGAACGGAAGGCGCACACACCCAGACACACTCGAACGTCGTATTTCCGAAGCGATGCCGAGGAGGTACGGGTAACAAAAAGGGCCCGAGAAATGCCCACGTAACGTTCTGGGGTCAGGAATGAGATGCAAGGTAGTGGCCAGTGGCCGGCAAGGGCCGCGAATACAGGAGAGGAGAACTCGCATAGCGGCTTCGGGAGAAGCGCGGAATGTTTGGGTTGAATAGTGTCGTTATAGGACCGGGTTAAGCTGCCAGGCACGGGCCTGGCAACTTCCACGACGGCCGGCGGAGGGCCCGACCTGGTGGTTGTCAATTTCATCATTTATGTCAGTGATTTAGTTGATAGTCTGGAATTCTCTCTGCCCAAGGAGAAAGCGAGCATCATCCAAATTTACGAGCGCGAGCCCGCACATAGACAGGGATCAGCTGGCGCCGAAAGGAGAGTTTGATCAGAGTAGAAGACCAGTGACATTAACTGAGGAACCACGGGCGTCATCTCCTCTTCATTATTTTTGTATTTTGTTATAATCCCTCTGTGCGATATTCGGGTGGCATCTAACACTACAGATTGTCCCAGGTAGTCCGAGAGATACACGAAGCATGGACATGACAACGACTACTAACGGCTCCACGCCAGGTATGTTCATAAATAGCCAAGCGTCCGCAACGCAGGCAGGTTCCGCGTCTAACGCATCTAATATGGCTAGGTTCAGAAGAGAGTCGATAGCCCACTCACAGGGTATGGGGGGAGTATCGTGGGGGTCACTGACGATCGGGTCGTGGTTGCGCGACGAAGTCATGATTCAGGCTCAAATGGGCAACAGCACTACTTCGGGTTCTGGTGCTGGCTCTCAGGGAGTTGCTGGTGGCGCCGGCGGCACTGGTAATGTGATAAACGTCTCCAGCACGGCATCCTTTTCCCCACCTGGTGCGTCGTCAGCTTACCTACCGAACCTTGAAAAACAGTACTGTAAGGACTACTCTTGTTGTGGACTACTGCTGCCTGGTTTACACGACTTACTAAGGCACTACGAGGAAGCACATATATCTACATCTCCTGGAACCATCAATATACATGGCACATCTATGGCTGCTGTTGCCGCTGGCGGATCAGGTAACAGCGGGTCTTCGGGACTCAACGGATTTAACGCCACTTCCAATAGCGCTGCTCAGAGTCAAAAGAGGAGAATGGCAGCTGTTTACCAGCAACAGATGCAGCAGCATCAACTGCAGCAACCATCTGCCCAGGTGGCACCGACCTCCATGGGTCCCACGCGAGCTCACCTGTCCCCTCAACATTCGGCTCGGGCTGTCCAGCAACAACAACAACAACAACAGCAACAACAACAACAACAGCACCTTCAACAGGATCCACATACACAGTCACAGCAATCGCAGCAGCCGTTCCAGGAACATTCATCTCAACAACAACAGCAACTTCAACAGCGACAGCTGTCACAGCATCAACACCAAGTACCTGCGAGAAACCAACAGGGCCACCTTCAAACTCACGTACAACACCCTGCACATCAAGATCAGCATAGTCGTCAGCAGCAGCAACAGCATCAGCAGCAACACAAAAATGACCAAGCAAGCCACCTACAGCATCAGCTTCAGCAACAAATGCTCAATCAAGCCATGCAGCAGCAACTGCATGGTGCCCAGCATCCAAGTTCTGCTGGCACCACGTCAAACGTACAACAGCTACATCTCAACGGTAATTTGGTAGACGCCGTCTCCACAGATGAAGTGTTTTTGCAAGGGTCAGGCCCACAACACCCCAGACGTAGCCCGCAACCGATGGGCGGGACAGTCGCGTCAGGTATGATAAACCATACTGGACACGATAATCAAAAGCTACACGCGAATTTCAATAATTATTCATTGAACATGCATCCTATGTCAAAGGTTAGACTAGGAGGAGGAACGTTGCAACAGCAACAAGCCCAACAGCAGCATCGCATGATGGTCTCGGCCCCTGACCTCATGCAAGAGAAAAGACGCACATCCTCACATGCACACACGGCTGCCGCTGGCATTGATCTCGATTTCATGGACACTGACATCGTGGATGATTTACACGACCCTACGACAATTATGGGAACCACCGCCATTTCTTCTGATCCAACGAGGAATTGGAAAGCCGACACAGGTCTTAAGCATCGAATTGGCAAAATGGGTGGTTCCCACGAATCCGAAGATAGCAGTATGAGTGATGAAGAAGATGACGACGATGAGCAAAATTCTGCCGTTAGTGCATCAGCTGCAAGTAAGCGAAAACAACAAACAGGTTTCATTGACGATCCGGCAAGACGGCTCTACGTCATGGATCATGAAGAACATAAGCCATTCAAATGCCCAGTAATTGGTTGTGACAAGACCTACAAAAACCAAAATGGCCTCAAGTATCACAAACTTCACGGTCACCAAAACCAAAAATTGCACGAAAACCCAGATGGTACATTCAGTATCATCGATCCAGAGAGTAATGAGCCGTACCCAGATGGTATGGGATTGGAGAAAGACAAGCCTTATCGGTGTGAGGTTTGCGGTAAAAGATACAAGAATTTAAATGGGTTGAAGTATCACAGGGGACACTCGACCCACTAGGCGGCGCTAAAGCAATTGTTTGTTTTCTTTGTTTTTCGTTTTCGATGTGTATGAGTAGAATCTTTTCTGTTGAGTTTTCAAACTCATCACTTTCACTGTGCGATAGTATAATTTGATTGTAATGCTCTTTTTTATAAGAGCTATCGATTGGTCTACACTAGTTTTATTAGTTAATTTTTTGAACTTTTATGAAAATCTGTTGATGCAATCAAGTAACTCGAAGAAACACAGGGAAAGCTCTCTCATTGGCGCTTGAATGGATCAACACGGGTGTGACTGAAAATCTAATTGATTGTGAAAGGATAAAGGGTGATCTTCTCGCTTGACAGCGCTTGGTATCTTTGATAAAAACCCCGAAATTTTAGAGTGAACCCTTTATTATCTATCGCTGGTCAATATGCGATTGAATATCACTTTACCGCTTAAATGGGCCCAATGGTGGATTTATTGTATTTTGATTATTCTTGTGAATTTTGTGGTTATTTTGCCCCTAGCATCATTCCTCTTCCATGACTTTTACTCGCGTTTAATCCCCACCGATACGATACAAACAATTCCGTTTTCATCCAGCAAACTAGATGAACATGCCAAAGAAAACGGATACTCATTTCTTTTCGATATTCAACGTCATGATACCGATGTGGTAACGTTACCGCGACTGTTGGAAAACGGACTTGAACAGAATATTCCTCTTAGATCTGATATTCCTTACGACGTGGATATCAAGCTGAAAGCATTTTGTCTGAACAACTCGCCTGGCAACAATATTAAGACAGCAATGTTGACATTGAGAGTGATTTCGCCCAAAACTTTTACCAAGAGAATACTTTTTCAGCGTCCTCTATTGTTGACATGTGTTAATTCCAAGGATGTCTATGCCCTTGCAGAAGCGGGCGCTCTTACTCCCAATTTTGCTTACCGTCTTCAAAAGGATCTTGTAAACCGGTTTGAAAAAGATCATTGCGCGATGATAGCTCACGATGTCAAGAAAATTGAAGTTTCGATATTGATGAGAGATCCCGCTACTTTACTAGTCGACAGTGCTGCTTCGGAACTGAGATTGGCCATGGATCTCAAATACAGCCCCCGCAATATAATGCTCAGATGGAAAAAACTTTCCTATATTGTTGGGATTTTAACATTCCATGGCGTCATTCTCTTCTTCTTTTCAATAGCATTTATCATCAGTTTTTGGCGGATCAAGTCTACAGAGGTTACTATTGATAAATACAAGTTGAATTGATGTTGATAGTTGATGCTTTATATTAATTGAGTTAAATTACAATAGACTATTTCGTTCAATGTTTGTCATAAAGATGCTTCGTGCATTATTGAAAGTCAAGGACTTTATGTTGTTTCTTACAAATACTCTGTTTCTGCGTCAGCAGAAAACTTGGCATCGACCTGGGAACTCTTCGGTATATTGAGCTCGAAATTCATAAAAATATTCGTTACGTCGTCTTGAAGCTGAAGGTCCATAAAACTCTGAAATTCTAACACTGTAGCGTTAAAAACTTCGATAACACGAGTTAGCTTGTTTAGTCTCGTTTGTAGCAGCATTTTTTTGGAGTGGTTCGCTTTAGGTATCGAGCCCACCAGGCACTTATCGTCGAGATCTGTTTCCTTTTCTATCGATGGTGGTTTACCCTTTGTTAATGTGGCATCATCAGAGACATTGCTGACCGAGTTCATTGAGCTGATATTCTCCACCAGAGGCTCTGGAACCGCATGATGGTGTTCAAATAAGTCTGGCTGACCCCCGACTAAATTCTTATCATCTACAACCGTATCATTCAGTAACATTTGCAGACTTTGGAGATCAATTTCAGTCTCAGGCGTTGAAGCGCTACTGCCCTGCCCCCGTGTAGGAGGAAGGGGCTTGTCATAATTGCGAGCCGTGACAACGCCCCATTTTGCGTTAGCACTTTGGATCCTTGCTAGCGCGGAGGCATTGTCACTATGCGGAGGGGCGGTCATAAGACAGAATGTCCAGACTGGAAGCGATACGTGATTTAAGTTTCCTGAAAATTTGAGCTCTGGTGGAGCCAATAACTTGTGTCTCTGCTTCGCGGCTTTATTGCCCGAATCCTTTGCTGATGCTTGTCTGGACTTGGATACAGACTGCTCTGAAGTGTTAGGCGAGTTCGAAGGTTGCTTGTGAAGGTCCAATGATGAGGTGCTCTTGTCGACAGAAAGAGAGGACACTCTAGATAAATTCGAATGCATTGAGAATATTTCTGAAGGCTCCGCATCCATTCTGGTTTCACTACTATAGAGTGAGGACGAGCTAGGTTTCCGTAAACCCGAGGATCTGACGTCTTTACCAGATGCCGAGGTAGGTTTAGTTTGCGACTGGATTTGACTGAATTTGGACATTAGGGAGCTGAAAGCGGTGGAAAGTGAATTACCGCGGTCCTCGATATTCCTACCTTCAACGCCATCATCAACGCTAAAGCTTGAACTTCTGGAAACTTTATTTGATTGAAGACGCGCTTTCTTTTTAACCGCCGCGGCCTTTGCAGCTCGAAGTACCATTTGATCCAAAACGTCAAACGCATACGACCCGCGATTTAAAACCACCAAAGGGCGAACTCCAGCCACAGATAGGACTTGTGGGAATAGAACCTTTTTCCTGTCATTCTTGGTATGATCATTGCCAAAGATGAGAGAGTCCTCATCTGTGCAAACCGCCCTCATCAGTACCAGCTTTTTATTCCCATGGAATATGAGGCTGTCTTGCGCGGAGTTTCGAAGATCCACAGTTATTCCTAAGTTTGCCAAATGTACAGCCTCGTTGTAAACGTCTGTTATCCTAGAAGCTAGAAGGGACATCACCGGACTTGATCGATCTTGCATTATTTGAAAGACGGCCAGTTTCATAAACAAAATTCTTACTGAATCGAAATCGCAGTCAATGGTAAAAGGCTCCCAAAGTTCACTGATTATAGTGTGTGCCAATTCCTGCTTCAAATAAGTCTCGTTGGGGATAAATTTCCAAATGTTAAAGAGAAATGTAAGGCCCACTGTTTGACAGTTCACGTTCAAAGTTTTCAGCATCCCGATGACACCCGCGACCCACTTCGCCCAATGGATATCCGACAAATACTTTGGAAGGGTAGATTCGAATTGGAACACGATAAATTGTATGATTTTGTTGAAGGCGAGGTTCGCAGTCATGTGGTCGTACGCGGGAACGGCACCGAGACTTTCGAGCTGTTGCAAGTCATGCAGCTGTATAAGCTGGTGCGTCAAAGCGGGGAATTGAGAATCCGTACAACCAACCAGAGTTCTGAGACATTCCCATAGCTTGATGGTCTTGAAATTGACAAAAATAAAGTTGTTTCTGAGTGCTTCGGAACTGGAGTTGACATTGCTGGTCTGGGGCTTGGTCCATTGGAACATGTCGGGCTCTTGGGCCTTGACGAACCGAGCGTACGCCTGAAGGTCGGCTTCGAGAAACAGTCGTACATGTTTGAGCAGGACGTCTCCGCCTGGAACGTCGGAAACCACGAGTTGCTGCTGTGCGTTCTTGTTTAGCAATGTCAAAGCGATGTACCAGTAATGCCAGTAAAATGCCAAAAAAACGTTGTCGTTCCTCAAGTACGAGACCATAACCTGATAAATTTTTGGGTTCGGGCTTGCCGGTAGAAAGGGTTTTGTCTCGGTCTCGGTCTCGGGCTCGGTCTCAAGCTCCGACAAGCTGAATTGGAGATCCTTCCAGGGCGCGATCGGGTACCGACCGGCCGTACACGCGACGCGGGGTTCGAGGGCTCTGAGGATTAGGAAATCGTAGCGTAAGCTTGGATCCAAATAGAAAAATGCATATGCCATGAGCTTCCCCATGAAAAGGTTGAGCAGAGAGTTGTAGGCGCTGATGTAGTTGAGAGCAGCAGGCGCGGCAGTGTCCTGCTGCATCCGTTTTTGCAGAAACTTGCGTTTCTTGGTGTTTGCGATGAGTTTGTTGGTCACGAAATGCACTGTGAGATGCAAATGGTAGGCGTAGACGTCGAGGTCGCGCAGGTGGGTGTTGTCGGGCTGCGGAACGACCGCCGCAGCGGCGACAATGCGACTTATGCATTCCAGAGCGACCGAGACGACTTCTATCGCGAGCGGTTCGCCGTAAGGCGAACCGCCTTCGCACGAGTCCGCGTCGTCGTCCGCGCCGGAATCGCTGGCCAAGAAATTGAGCAGCGTCACCCACCACTGAGTCAGCACGTCGCGTTCACCGCCTGCGACACTTGCCGACTGCAACTGTCGCAAATGCGACAGGATATGCAGACGTAGGAAATTGGCCACGACTTTCCAGCGGGCGCTGCAAGCACCACCGCCACCGCTTCCGCTGTCTCCCGCACCCACGAGCGCGATGAACTTGTTCAACGCGTGCAACAATCGTGTCTCGAGTCGCGCATTGGCTTCCATGGCTCGACGAGATCCGAGAACCGGGAACCGGGAGCCGGAAATTGAGTGTAGCTAGCTGTAGCTAGTGTGTGCGGCTGTGTACGACCTGTACGACGTATGGCTATGTGTCGTTGCTGTGTCGTGCCGTGCCCTTCGTTGTGTCCATCGAATCTTTAATATTTTACCGTTCTATATATAAAACAGAAGAGGCATGGAATGAAGACAGACACGATACGCCATCGCCACGACTAGCACTGCTCTCGGCGACCCCTTCTTGGCACCTTGGCACCTTGGCACAGTGATTCCGTCCTTGATTGTCTCCTCCAGTAGACGAAGACACAAAACGCTTAGCGACGGAACGTCAAGAATCTCCAGTTCCCTCAGCAGTGAGTTTACCGGTATTCCTCTGCCCAATCCACCGCTGGTCACCGACCGCACGACGCTACGCAAGCCCTAATAAGCTGTCAACCTTGAATGGTGTCACTGTATGGTATCGCTGTAGAGTGTCACTGTTTGTTTAAGTAGTTCTACGTGTCAAGAGTCCCGTAGCGAGAGCAATGTGGAGGCCTTGTGGAGGCCTTGTGGAGGCCTTGCGGAAGGCTTGCGAAGGACATGGGCTATGTCTTCCATAGCTTGTGAGGTGTATACAGAAAACAGAGGGAGAGAGGGCGACGCGGGACGTAAAAACGTCGAAAAAAAAGGTTTATGCAAGCAGACCTCGACGGGCCACTAGCATGCTTGCAGAGGCTGTCTGCGAAAGCCAAGAGGAGAGGCTCCAGCAGTGGTTAACAGGGGACAAGCTTTAGCGGCGAGAATAGTGGCAGATGAGGTGTCGAAAGGGAAGGTCACGTGACCGGATCGTGTTATCACTGTATACGGTTGGAACGATATTACGTAAGCTAGAAGTCTATCTCCTCGTACGAATGAGAGCCTTGTCACTTCTCACGTGCTCGCCGTCCTCCAACTTTCAAATTGTTCCACCCATCTACTGGAACAACATCACTACAGTGCCAAACGTGAATCGGATCACTACAGAGCCGAAGGTTACCGCATTCTTCCCCGTGTTCTTGCGATGCACGACGAACCGCGTTCAAAAAAGCCGAAACTCGAGCTTTCCGACGCTTCCGAGCCCCTCACGCGGTCCGACGTTATCGCTTTCCAGAAAGAAGCGCTTTTCCGGAGTTTGAACCAACACCGGACGCGCGAGGCCTGTCTGGTACAGCAGCAGTACGTATGGCGTGCCCAAGAGGAGAGTCTACGTGCACGGGTGGCCAGCGCGTGTGCCGTGCTGGTGTCGCTCGCAGAGGCTGCGAGACGCGTGTGCGCGGACGATCGCGACGCAGGCGAGCTGTGTGCGCGTGTTGCCCAGTGGGGCGCCGACGCCGATGACGCACACGCTCCCGCTACGCAAGAACAGGCGCGTGCGTTTGCGGCGCTCGTAGAACGCCATCTGGCTGCGCAGGCCGCGGCTTCTGCCGCGGCAGAAGCCGGCGACGACCACTGCGGCAAATTGCACGAGCTCGAAGCCCTCAAGATCCGGCTCCAGACGCAAAATCGCGATCTGCGTCAGGAACTCGACACCGTGCAGTCTTTCTACCAGGAGCGGCTGCGAAAATACGACCGTTTCGAGAGCGAGACCGTGAAACGCGTATTCAAGAACGCAGAGCAGCAAGGACCCGAAAACGAAGCAGATGCGACAAAGAGCGCGGCGCCCAGCGCGACCCAAGAGGCTAGCAACGGTAGCGGCGACTCCAGCGGCGAACAGCCCAAGAGCGAGACGAACGGAGACACAGTGCCCAAGTTGGAGCACGAGCTGCATCTTCAGGAGCTGAACTCCCAGATTGAAATCCTGAGAAACACCATTGCCAGCCTGGAGGCGTGGAAGAAAAACAGCGAACAACAATTGAAAGAGACTCGTGCAGAACTGGCGTTGCAACCGACTGCCGACGCCCTGCAGCATGGATCAGACGCGCAAACTGGTCACCTGCTACAAAAACTGGAGCATCTCACAGCCGAAAACCGGCAGCTGTCAGACCTGAATGACTCGTATCTTGCGAAGTTCCAACAACTGGTCAAGGAAAAAGAGATTTTTACAAACAAGCTTTCGACCGAGTTCCAGACCGCACAGGATGCGTTAAAGAAACACAATGCCACTTTGGAGAAAGATCTGGTCAGGATACGCGCAGCAAGAGACGAGCTTGTAGGTAAATTGGCCATCATGGAACGCGAGAAATCCAAATGTGAGCTTCTGGACAACCTGAAACGGCTCCTAGATTTACAAAGCGAACAGATCGACAAAATGGGGCATGGAGGTGAAGAACGACCTCAAGATGCGCTTAGAAAAGAATTGCAGGATCTCGAAAAAGCGTTCCGCGAACAAACTACACTTGTCAATAAGAAATTCTCAGAGTATGCCAATTACGAATCGGCCCTTTCGAAATTGAATGTAGAAAAGACCAAAGCAGACCAAAAATATTTTGCCGCGATGAGGTCTAAGGACTCTATCCTAATAGAAAACAAGAATTTGTCCAAGAACCTCAGCAAATCGACCGAACTGATAATACAGCTAAAAGACGTGGAGAGAACGTTGCAGATGAAAATCGAAAACCTCAACAAACAGCTCGAGGTTTTGCAAAGCAACGAAAAACGACTTGTGGACGCAAGCAAAGTCGCATCTGTAAAAATAATGGATTTGACGTCGGAGATCAGCAAGGCAAGGCGCGTCACTGAATCGCTGCGCCAAGACAAGACCCAACTCGTCCAGAATATAACGCATCTCGAGTCGGAAGTTCATTCTCTCCAGACCGACCGAGACACGCTGCAGATGAGTCTGTCGAACTCTGAGAGAAGAGCCAAGAAATTGCATCAGTCCCTCTTCAACAGCGGCGGCGACACAAGCCTGATAGCAGAAGAACTGGAAAACTTCAGAACAATTGTTTACTGCTCGCTCTGCTCAAAAAACTGGAAGGACACCGCTATCAAGACATGCGGACACGTTTTCTGTGCCGAGTGTTGCAAAGAAAGACTGGCAGCCCGAATGCGCAAATGCCCTACTTGCAATAAAGGCTTCAGTGCGAACGATTTATTGGTGGTACATTTGTAAATATGTAAGTTGAAATCTCATCACGTGTAACATTAAATGGAGATTTGAGTGTAAACCCAGCAATTTTATGTGGTATCACCACTTAATTGTTGATAATCTCGGTTCCCATCATCGTCTAATTAGTATCTTAACTCTCTAGTGGTGAAAATTTCAGCTCATCGCTAAATACCGTCATCACCAAGAAAGTAAAAAATCAAGCAGCCCACCAAATATTGACTCGGCCTGACCACTTTGCGAAGCATGTCGTCTTTAAAATTGCGACCTAAACCTTTGACCCACAAAAACGACCCTCTCGCGATCATTCGCACCAGACAAGACACACATGGCAGACCTGTCACGATAGCAGGACCCATGGTGCGATACTCGAAATTGCCGTTTCGCCAAGTATGCAGAAAATACAATGCAGATATTGTTTACACGCCTATGATCCTCGCACGCGAATTTGTGCGAAACTCACATGCCAGAACTGCAGATTTGAGCACCAACGAGAGTGACACCCCGCTCATTGTCCAGGTAGGCGTGAACAATACAACAGATCTGCTCAGATTCGTAGAAATGGTAAGTCCGTTTTGTGACGGAATAGGCATCAACTGTGGGTGTCCGATAAAGGAACAAGTCCGCGAGGGCATCGGTTCTGCGCTCATCTATAACCCAGATCTCCTCTGCGAAATGGTATCTGCAGTGAAAGATAAATACGGCAATTTGGTTCGTCTAGAGACGAAGATTCGTATTCACGACAATTGGGACGACACTGTTGCACTTTGTCGTCGCTTGTGCGACGCTAAAGTCGACTGGATTACCATTCATGGTCGGACCCGGACCACCAGATCGTCTGTCCCAGTGAACCTCGAAGCGATCCGCTACATCCGCGAACGTATAAGCGACAAGCGCGTCCCTGTGATCGCTAATGGTGACTGTTTTAGCATGGCAGATTTCAACAGAATTGTCGAACACACGGGCGTTGATGGCGTCATGGCCGTGCGAGGACTGTTAGAAAACCCTGCCGTATTTGCAGGCCATACAAAATGTCCTTGGGGGGCACTAGAGCTGTTCTGGCACTACACAGTACAGTTTGGGGGGCTGCCGTTCCGGCTCATACAGCACCATCTGCATTGCATGCTAGAGAATATGGGTCTCGAGAAACACCTACACAGAGAGCTAATGAAGATCAAGACTACTGCCGAGCTACTGGATTGGTTCGATGCTAATTTTGAACTGAAGAGAAAATCAGATGCGGGCTTTGGTATTGCCGTTGACATCCCATACAGCACCAAGTCGAACTGTTCTGAATATGGGATGCCCTAGCGATGAGCTGATCAAGAAGGGTAACTCGAGTTTTACAAACTTTCATCGGTGAAAAATAAGAAAATTCCAAACTTCCCCATCTTCATATAGAATAGACTTTAACCATTTCTGACGAGAAAGACCCTTCACAGGACCTGTGAAGAATTTTTTCTTTTCAGTAAGCAAACTGTAGCGTTAATCATGTAGTCGCTATTGTTTCAGAGGAAATTTGTGGCTTAATGACAGACGATGCTCGAGGGTCAATTGAATGATGATAAGATTTTTTATTTTCAGCCTACGGAGAACAGAGCGTTTCTCAGCAAGGAAGCGCTTTAAAACCATCCCGTGTTGTCGACTTATTGTTGGCGACACGTTCTGGCGATTTGATTTCCGGGTTTGGGTCGTTTTGATGCGAGCTCGTGATACTCGTCACCAGAAATTGGGCGTTTTTTAATGTGATGAGTGGTTGATATTTATTTGTCATAGTTACACTGACCATGAGGCCTTTCGAACATGCTGTCGCAATGTAGGAAATTGCTCACTGTAGGGTTCAAACCGTGTCTTGTGAATAGTCTAAAAACTCCGATTCCTTGGCGACTTGTGATCTTCTCGGTAATTTATTACTGAAAACGTTGTTACATAAACTTTAAAACTACAAGATACTTTGTGGAGCTTGTTATTTCACTCAATGCCAGGAGTAGTAGTAGTAGCAGTTTTCAAGCTTTAAGCTTCATCTTCTTCAACAACAACAGTTTGCAAGCCCTTGGCGGAAGCAACGACGACTGGCTCAACGAAGGAGAACAATGGGTACTTGGCGTTTTCCTCTTCGTTTCTCTTTCTGGAGATTCTGAGTCTCAATCTGAATGGGACACCCTTGACACCTCTTTTCCAGATTTCCTGGTTTAGTCTTGGGTCCAAACGCACTTCCTCAGTACCCATGTGCAGCTTGGCGAATTTCTTGATCTCCTTCACGGCCCTTGGGGCTCTCTTTTTGAAGGTGACACCGTGCAACTGTAAAAACGACTATTGTTAGTATTCTGCTTCACATTCCAAATCCGGCAGCTTTTTCATCTTCGGAACACACTTGTCGCCAGGAATAGAATAATCGCACGTAGGTGCATCCCAACTGGTAAGCGATATTAAAATCGCAGAATTCGAAAGCTTAGCGCCCAAGTATGACTGTCATTCACAAAATCTCTGGAGGCCTCGTCTTCTAACCCGTCTAAATCCACCTGGAAAAGCCATTTAACAGCAACCTGCCCAAATAATTCTGCATGACCCGACTATTCGTTTTCCCCGACTCCTGGCTCCAACTGTCGTATTCTGCTTTCAACATACCCTCTTGTGCAAGTTAATGGTGTATTCACGAGTAACAACGTCTTTCAAACCGGCCATTGCGTACACTTGTTCTGTAGATTCTATCTGTTCGCGATGTTGGTCAACCTTGAATTTTGTCAAATTCAAGAAATTTTTCCCTCCACCGGATCCGCCAACCTGGTCCCCGCCGGCCAGACGTCGGACCAGGTGACGCTCTGGTGCTGAGTCCTCTGCCTGGCCTAGCGGCCTGAGGCCTTCGCCATCCTGCGCAGCCTGCGGCGGAGCACCTGGGCAGGGGGCAACCCTGGCTACGGCCCCCTGCGCGGGCTAGTGCATACTGGAAGCACCACCGGTAGCATGAGGAAAGCCAGCCAGGCTTTCCTGACTGCTTGCGACAAGCATGCAACAGGGTCGTGCGCGAGTATTCATTGGCCACGCAAGCGTCAATGAAAATTATCAACTCTGTTGCACAAATATGTATGGGTGTCAAATGATATATCTGTCAAATAAATGTACGGATGTTCAACGAGAAAAGTCACTGAGTTATGTTTTTCGGGTGAATGAGTATTCAAATGAGTGACGTATCAAGCGATCTTCAATCCAGCCGCCTGGAGCTAAAGGAATACATAAGAACGATCCCTTTCTAATGAGCAAAGCCGGGCAAGTAAAAGAGTACTATAGCTGGTAGAAGCATTGGTCAGACTCCAAAACGGTAGAATCAGTGAACCAAGCGTCAATTGAACCTGCAGTGACCGAAAATTGGTTCTCAAAGCCATAATTTCAAGCCCAGAAAAGTGCAATGGCTACTACGGAAGCATCGCATACACACCCTGCGAGGGACGCGTATCGGCAGACACAGGGCCATATCTACGACCTGCAGGAGACCCTTTTGAAGTCTGCGCGAAGCCAAGAAGCTGAAAAATCGCCCGAGACCGCTCCAGTTGCGACGGCAGCTGCCGCTCCCACTGTCAACTCTGAGCAATTGCTCGCACACACCGACGAAAATTTTGGATCTCAGCATCCTGTGCTGGGCGAATTACAGTATTCTGCCGGACCTGCGCGTCCACAGACGCCTGCTGATAAGCTGTTTCCGTACGATTACCTGCGGCATGCGATGCCTGCGCCCCTTATCCCCGCGTGCGACGACTCGGCGATCAACGGCATCTGGCGCATCTTCATACCACACGAGGAGCTACGAGACGCCTTGTCTGCGACGCCGGCAAACCGCAGAATCTGCAACAACGAGATCTGGGGCTCGGACATATACACGGACGACTCGGACGTGATTCTCGTGCTCCAACACTGCGGTGCTTTTGCGACAGCGAAGAATTCGGCAGCAAAACGCACACCTGCCAACAGGACCAACTGCAATGCGGTATCGGGGCTCACAGGTCCTCTACAAAATGCCGAGTGCGATTTGGTCGTCGACATTCTGATGTTGCCCCCGCTCCAAAATTACGCCTCGAGCAACAGAAACGACGTAGAGTCTCGTGCCTGGTCGACCACGCACGATGGGCTGAGCTACGGTATCTATGCACTCGAGTTCCGGCCCAGAAGCTCGCCCGACGCTACATCCACGTGACTTTTTAAGAAAAGCGTCATCCTCACGTGAATTCTCGACAAGATAGTTTCACGTGGAAACCACATGGCCTCTTTCAAAGAGCTTGGCCCGCGTTTCCCGTCTTTACAATGCGGTTCTTTTTCCTCATTCTCCCTTCTCATTAATACAATAGTAAGCGGAGCGTTTTGAAAGCCTCTCGAGATTTATAAAAGCCAGGACGGAGGTTCTTGGCACCGAGTTTCGAGCTGGTAGAACGTCAACGGAAGACGGTAACAGAACCAACTCGAGAGGATGACTCAGAGCACACCAGGAAGCTTTGGGGCCAAGTTCAAGTTCAGGAACACCATGAAACAGACGTTATTAAAATGGCGAGCACATCTGCATCGAGCGTCGCAGGAAGTCTTGAACGATGCATACGGCGAAACCTCAACGATAGATCTTATGTTCGAATCGGGGGCTGCAGAAGAAGGCATAGCCTTGAGCACGAGCGAAGATCGGAACAGTGCCACGTCTTTGGCGTTGACGAAAGAAATGCGACTCACGGACGAAGAGGAGTCTACAGAGGACGGATCTGTGCTGTCACCAGATTCAAAGCAGCGGCGAGCTCCCGCGATGCAGCCGGTAGCGTTTGCAAACTACGATGCCGTTGCAGAGTGTCAAAAACTACGGTCTTCGCTTAGCGGCCCGTTCACAGCTGGTGACCAGATATGGAAGCGCAGGCGCGAACTCTGGACGCAGCAGACCCCTGCGGCGACGAGCGTTGCCGCTGCTCAGCATCGCGAACAATTCGCAGATATTTCTTCGCATCACTATACGCGGATCTACAAGAAACTAGTCGTAGAAGACACACCGTTGCGGCAGCCGTTGAACTTACAAGACGCGATTACTGTCATAAACGCCGGATGGGTTGAGACTCAGAAATGGGAGAGAGCAGCCAAAGGATTGGCGTAGATTTCTTATAGAGGGTTTCGCAATAGCCTTGCCATCATTGGTTTGCTTGATTGTCCTTGGCAAGCCGCATTGTCGTCTCCAATACCCGTATGTCTCTATCGATGAGTTCAGCCCAGTTTTGCAAGTCTCCGTCCCGCAAAAAATCGTCGCTGTATTTTTCGTAAAGCTTCTTTAGTGGTGTATAACTCTCTCGAAACTTATTATCATGTAATTCGACCAAAGCCTTCAATTGGACATTGCTGATGTATTTATGATTCTGTTCGACTTGTTCCTGTGCTTCCGACGCCGCAGTGGTAGAGTTCAGTTTCAAGAGCTTGTTGAATTCAGACTCTAAAGCCGCTTGTCGACCATTTGATGCCATTAACTCCTTCTTTTGAAGGTTTTAAGTTTGTCGAAGCTTCGGTTACTGTTACTGGTCATTTTTACTATTAATGATGTATATACCCTAGCACAACTATAACAGATCGAAAACAAAAGAGTTAGAATCCCGAGTTGGAGGGGATATGCTAAAGGCCACGCTTTATACGTCGATTACAAATGAAGAATTGACGGCGGTTTTGCCCATTTATGGCGCTGGTAAGCTTCTTATGGCATGTAAATCCGGAGATGTGGTGATATATTCGCATCAGGATACGGAAATCAAATTGGTACAAAGGATTCACAGATTATTGAATAGAACGAATCAAGAAAGTGTTATCCACCGCATGGTTTACTCACTGGAACTGAATACTGTGTTTGCACAATGTGATCATAGCATTGTTCTTCTAAACAGCACCAATTTGAGCCAGTACGACAAAATCGTGGATAAACGGGGAATTGGGAAATGTTGGTTGATGGAGGGCATTGGGGCATTGGGAAAAACTTTGACGGTACTGGTATACACAGTGGCACACTGCAGCAGGGTTAAATTACTTATATGGCGAGATCGTGCGTTCAAGGAAATCGAAGAAATTAATTTTAACAATAGAAGCGAAGTTATGGTATCAGCGGTCTTGCACCGTGAAAAGTTGTTGCTTGCCACCAATTATGGTGTTTACTATTGGGGGCTCAGAACTAAGACCCTTTTCCAGCTAAATCGCGTATTAAGTCCCAAATGGCCCAGCGATTTGCATGCCGCGATGGAGGAGTTTATGCTTCTAGAAAATATTGCACCAGGAATCATAGACGACAGAATTTCACTCAATCCGTCCGTTTTGTCCAAGAAAAGCAGCTTTTCGACGTTTTTTCGAGGAAATCGCCAAGCAGTTAACGAGTTCAAACAGGTGAGATTTGTATTCAAACCGCATAGTTGCGAGAAACCCATTTATGTCAATGGAAATGCTGAACTTAGTATGGAAGTCTCCTTTAAAGATCTCAGCCTCACAACACTTCATTGTGCCGCGAGTCGAAAATTTCTTGAAAATCATCGCCAGTTTGGCCACATGCAAGCGCTATGCGGCGATCTTTTGTTGATATACAACTCTGATGCGTTTCGGATTATAGATTTCCGCTATGGGTACAATTATTTGGAACAAGCGGTCGATGTGGGCATTAAAGAAATCTTAAAAATCTCAGAGAATTCAATAGCCGTGTGGACAGCAGACAACAGCGTCAGAATATACAAACTTACAGTTGAGGATCAATCTGATGCCTCCTTCGGTCAAGATTTTATGCAAAGCGTCGAGGAATATGAGCCGAGTCAGCCATTCAAGAAAATTGTATTATGCAAAACGCTTTTAAGCCTAGATGGGACATCATTACTATGCGATGTTCCTGATTCGGATGATTCCAGTTATCTGCTCGATCTGTACGCCTTGAAGTTGAGAGATCTAACGGTCCTATGGAGCCTAAGATGTCTAGAGAACTGCCTGGATCACCACGACACCAAAAACTCAGAATCAAAGGAAACACAGCGTTCTCGCTTACTGGAAGAACTCGTCGTAAAAAAAGTGTTTGAAAATTTCGTCGAGTTTCTAGCCCCACCTGAACTTGTCATTTCATGTTGCTTGCCATTGGAGTTGACTAGCGGTTTTGCAAGCGCTTTTCATTTCCGGCATGACTTTGGGAGTGATCCTCAAAGAAGACATATACCTGGTTCTCAAATAAATCGATATTGCATACCTTTCCTAATAGAGGCCAGGAGAAACCTGTTGAATGTGCACCGAGAGGGAAAAACCACTTGGGCTAACAGTGGCCGTAAAATTGAGATTGATTGCCAATTTTTCCAAATTGATCAACAGGAGGAGGCATCTGCAGATGATCTACTAACACTTGTTGATACAACCATTTTTAAGTTATACGTGGAATACAGTAGGTCCCTTGTTGGCCCTTTCACGAGGGTGTCAAATTACTGCGAACACAATTTTGTTGTCAAGGAGCTCACAAAACATCAAATGTATCAAGAATTGGTAGACTTTTATTTTTATCGGGGATGTCACAGTGATGCATTGGCTTTATTGCGAAGCTTATACGATCGGCTCAACGATAAGGATGATTTGCAGGAGCTTCAAACTAGCATAATGACCCTTATAATTCATTACCTCCGAAAATTACCATCAGAATATTTAGAGACAATTCTCCAAAATGCAGCTTGGTTGTTAAAGGAATTTCCCAGCCAGAAAGAAGAGATAATTACTGATATCTTTTTGAACTACGATTTCGACCGTGCTAATGTTGATCAGGAAAAAACTTACGATTTCATCAACGGAGAGTGTTCAAAAATGGGTCTGAGGTACCTGGAGTACGTTGTTGATATACACCAGTGCAAAAATAGCGTCATTTATGACACCTTGATAATGAGGTACTTGGATGATTTACATGCGCCGGCAACGATGAAAAAGCTGCTTGCCATCTTGAAAACTACTGTTGCCTATAATGCTCACAACGTTTTGGAGATGCTTCGAGACAAGCTGACGAATGACTCTCTCTCTGCTGATGAAATAAGACAAATAAAATTGATGGAGACTTTCCCAATGAAGCTGATAGGTGATCACGAAAATGCATTATGCATCTTTCTAGAGGATCTTTCAAGCTATTCTTTAGCGTCCTCGTATTGCTCGGATATCTATAAATCTAGTCCCGAGGCTGGAAAGGTACTTTTATGGCGATTCTTGGACATGATTCTCGAAAGCACGACTTCAAAACCCCCTCACAACCTCAGGCAGTTCTTCCAAGAGTACGGTTCTGTGTTAGACTTTGTTGAGTTCCTACGACGGATTCCAACCTCGCTTTGCTTGGAGGGTTTTGAAAGGGTGCTATCTCACCGACTAAAATTCAACGCCATTCAAAAGAATAACTCGCGGTTGCAGAAGAACCTGCTTCAAGTTGATCTCATTAATAAAGCTTACGAAATTAATGAGAAACAAGCTGCATATGTCATCCTTTCTGAAGAGACGAAATGCCCTGTGTGCAACAAAAGTCTGAAAAATAATGTGGAAGAGACATATACCATCTCTCATAAGCACGGCCGGGATGTAGTTCTGCACTACGGCTGCGGGCAATCTCAGCAGCACAGGCATGCGAAAAACGTCCAGCATCCACCCAAGGTACATGACTTTTTTGATAAATAGATCGTGTATACAAAATGGTAATCGCACTTGCATCTTCCTTTCAAACATATTCTGTATTTTCTCTTACGCACTGCTATTGATCATTAAGCAGTCGCTAAAAAGCCCAAAACTCCGGCGCAGTACTTTGTAAGGTTGTCTAGGCGCTCTTTCTGGGAGTGAGCATTATTCCACTTTTCTAAAGCTGCCTTTAAATTCTGGTGAGAGCTGTTAGCATGAATGACGTCTCCATGTACTCTGAAGAGAATGTTTAGAAAGGCTTCGTAGAGTTCGAAATCTCTGTTCGTAGACAAGCCCTGTGCCAGAGCCTCAAGAAACCACGCAACCTCTTCGAAAGGCTCAAAAGAGTTCAAAGATCTGATCTCTAGCTCCAATTTGGCAGGAGACAGACCAACGACATATGACAAAAATTTACAATAGTCAGTGTCCTCGGACCCCAATCTTAAGAAGCGAGTAAACTCCGACTCGAAAGCTGTATCTTTCGGTTTGAGCTTTTGCATTTCAAATACAGCAGCATCAGATTCGTCTACTCGCATCTGATCAGTCCCATTGAGTAAAGAAGCCGAATCATCACGCTCTCTTCCCACTGCGTCATCTCCAACTGCTCCACCTGATAAGCTTAAGAAAAACGGAGCCTTTTCAGGTTTTTTTGGTGGCTCAACGGGCTTCGAGCGTTGCTTGATGATGTCAAGATTTATTAGTGTATTGAGCTTGCTTCTAGGCCCAAGCGAAAGTGTGACTAAATCCTCATTCACTTGTGCAACTGACTCGTACTTCTCGAAAAGTTCCGGAGCTTCATTATCATCATTTTCAAGGGCACCTTCTAGGGCGGAAACGCCTCCTTGGGTAGAGGCATTTGGTAGGTCAATTGCTACAAACTCCGACTCTTCAACATGCCTCACCCCAACAGGTCTGAACTGCGCCCGATTAGTCCAAATAGAGATGCCACTGCCACTTACGTGTGTAGTAGCTAAGAGGTCCCCATTTGGTGAAAATTTGACATTTGTGGCGACGGCGGGAACTTTTATGCCGTCGATGCATCCACCCGAAGGCAGATCCCAAGTACGCATTGTGGCATCCAAAGACGCAGTGACTATCCAACGCCCATCAGGGGAGAAATCGAAGGAGGTTATACGATTGGTGTGACCCCATAGTTGACGTACGACACGCTGAGTAACAGCGTCAACGACAACAACGGAAAAATCATCCAGGGCCATTGCAAACAGGTCCGAGGCTCTGTGATATACCATAGAGGTGATCGGCGCGCTAAGTATCAGCTTGCCTAGAAAACTGCTTTGGCTGAAGTCATAGAATCCAACAATACAGTCCAACCCACAGGATACCATTTTCCGATTCATACCATCCAAAGCTATCCCGGTCACCGCCTTAGTGTGTAGACGATATTTCTTGCGTGGAATACCACTCTGGAGATTATAAACACCAATACCACCATTTGAAGACCCCACCAGCGCAAAATTTCCACACGCAGACATGGCTACACTTTTTGAAAATCCACCGTCAGAAGTAGGCAGGGTCCATCGTCCCACTCTTTTCGTCGCAGAGTTCCAAGTTCTTGCGAATGCTTCACCGTTATGAGCTGTGACAACATTTTCCCAATCACCTTGGCGAGCATTTTCTATCGCCATTGCAACAACTTCTGGGAACTTCTCTTTAAGCGTACTGCCACCAATTCTGCCACCACCCTGCTTCTTATGCAATCTTTGAGATAGTTCCTGCGATTGAGCGTCCTTTCTGAGCGAGAATGTCCAGACCGAGCGGTCTTTAGAAGCGGAAAGAAGGAAATGAGACTGGTCGTCTGCGAAACTAATATAAGATGGTGGCTGGGAATGACCACCTCTAGAACGTAAAAACCTAGGTGGTTGCACAACGACCTCCGAATCCGCTTGGGAGAGAGAAGGATCAAAAACGTATTCCTTCAACTGATTGTCGTTACCCGAGGTAACAATAATAGGTTGCCCATTGAGAAATGTCGCCTTGACCACTCCGCCAAAGTTTTCTCTGTGAATATTTTTCAAGACATGTATGCGAGACTTGCGATCCAGATCGTAAAATATCAAGTCCCCGTTAGTCGAACCAACGGCAATATGAGGCGATCCATCCGTTCTAAAAGACAAACACGATATCCTTGAGGGAGTTTTGATTGTGCGCGTTATGCGACCTTTGCGAACATTGAAAAGATGAAAATTCCCACTTGTCGTCCCTAAAGCGATTACATCCAATACGGGAGCTGGTTCTGCAGTGGTGATTTGATCCGCAAACTCGTTGGAACTGAAAAGAAGCTTTCCTGCGCGAACATTGTACAGAAGTAAGTTGGATTTGGTTACGACAATAAGTTTGTTCAGGTACGTTGGCAAATGGTGCAGCCCGACAATTTCACCGCCTTGCAACGATGAAATAGAAAAACGTGTGTGAAGCACAGTTGCAAACTTATCCGAAATTTCCTTCTTTCCGTAGACATGAACCTGATTGCTCGCAGTCGATATGCAAAGGAAGTGGCCAAAAGCACAAATGTTGGTAACTGTCGCATCATCGTCTACCAATTTAATCAAATGCTCGAGTCTTCCCCGGCGATAGATTCCGACTTTGTTACTAAAGCCGGCGTAGACATAATGGAAATGCGACGCAAGCACTGTAATGGTGGATTCAGTCTCCTCTTCCGAAATAAAAAGCAAATGCAAATTGCCTGCATCATACATCTGGAAAGTTTTTCCAACGCTAGTCACGATATAAAATGTCGAACCCAATGTGCCAACTGCAAACGGAACCGCATTAGACACTTTTCCGATGACACGGAAAGGCGCAAAAATCTTCGAGACCGGCTTCCTCTTGACTTTTAAGCCCCCGTCATTGATTAGACGTCTTTTCTTGACATCTTCAAACATTGTTAAGCGGGTTTTCTAGTTTTCAAGGCTCATCTCATCTCGTTGTCAAAGAAGGTCAAATAAATTTTTCATCATACATTAATAGTGAGAAAACAGATAAATTGATAATCTCGAGGAGAAAGCTTTGGTAGAGCATTAACCACAGCTTTGAGTGCCTTTTCATACACTTTAGGGTCTCTTGTCATGTTTGAAAGGTTCAACAACCTTGGAACAGTTTGTTGTCGTGGTTTTCTCATATCTCACTACTCCGCACTGCTCTTCGCATGGTTTTTCATGGTAGTTCTGCCACTGATCAAGTAGCGGGGAGGGTCTCTCTGAACGCATTTTGGCGTGTATTCCCCACAGCAACGTAGTAATACCTCAAAGGGGCTCCGTTTTGATTAAAATTGGATCTCGGCTGTGAACCCGGCATCGAATTTCGTAATCATTGCGGGCGCCGGAAATGCCGAACCTTTGATTTGAAAAGGCGTTCCCAGCTGTTTATCTCCCCCACCACGTAACTTTCCGCTGTCAATTTACGAGCCTTCTAATCCCTCGACGACTCTCAGACAAGCCCCCACAAGTGCCTCAATTATCCCCACAACCAGTCAACCCCCCGCCAGACGTTGTTACTAACGATACACTGGACACCCGTGCTTCCCCGCGGCACAAGCAGCCATCTGCTAATAAGAGCCCAACGCTAACTTCTTGAAGCCTTCCGGTAACTAGCATGTGGGGAATCTTGCGGGACCCATTATCGTTTTCTAAAATCTCTCAAAAAACTAACTAACAATTAAACAACAACTATTGTCTCATCTTTTTGCCGATTAAAGGTATAGATCAAAAGCATGTGGAATACAATTACGGGCGACAATCCTGCTGAATCGCCTTACATGAATGTACTCTGTTCTCGCTCGTTTGTGTTTTGTTGTTTAAATGGATACCCTAAATATCAGACATCCAATAAATCTCGAACCTCGAAACTCAATTAATTAACAACCCAGAAAAAAAGGACACTGACATTTCCTTCGTGTATATGTGGCGTATAGATGTATAGCTACATAGCGGCTGCCAAGACCTGGCCGTTTTGGATTGCCATGGTGAGGCGTTCCTTCGCCAAACTGTAATCTCGATACCATCTACTGGAAGGCATTGGTTACCGGTTCTTATATGGCAGAGCTTAAGGTCGCCAGATGCAGCCACTTGGAACCAAGTGGCGTCTCCATTACGCATCCCGACGGAGAGATCGAATTCCGGAAGTATTATTAATCGTCTTCTACAGCACTTTCTGCAAGCAATAATCATGGCACTACCCGTCAACTTACTAATAGGTAATACGTGGTATCATCATTAAGAGACCAATATATATAAGGAGTGATTAAGACCGGGAGCCATCCCGTTGCTTTAGATATTGAGTATATAGGATAACTGCCCTCACTCCTAGACACTTACGCACAAAGTTTATTATGGTACAGCCCTATTTCACACTCAACACCGGCGCCAAAATCCCAGCTGTGGGTCTGGGTACTTTTGAGGCGGGAGACGGCGACGTATACCCTGCTGTTATGGAGGCTCTCAAGGTCGGCTACAGACACATTGATGCGGCCGCTATATACAGGAACGAGAAGTCAGTTGGCAAAGCTATCCGAGACTCCGGAGTTCCACGCGAAGAGCTTTTCGTGACTACAAAATTGTGGTGCACGCAACATAAAGAACCCGAAAAAGCGCTTGATCAATCTCTGGAAAGATTGGGCCTCGACTATGTCGATTTGTACCTAATCCATTGGCCTGTTGCGCTCAAAACCACTTCGATAAAGGACGGGAACATGTTGACAGTGCCGCTTCGTGATGGAGCCCGCGACGTCGACGTCGACTGGAATTTCGTACGCACCTGGGAACTCGTTCAGGAACTTCCTGCGACGGGCAAAACCAAGGCTGTCGGAGTGTCCAACTTTTCCATCAACCACCTCAAGGAGTTGCTAGCTTCTCCTGGAAACAAGTTAACTCCAGCAGCAAATCAAGTGGAAATTCATCCACTGTTACCTCAACAAGAATTGATCGATTTTGGCAAGAAACACGGTATTGTTACCGAAGCTTACTCGCCTCTGGGCCACAACGGCGCCCCACTTCTCAAGAATGCAACCGTCCAGGAAGTCGCCGCCAAGTACAACACTGGTCCTGCCCAAATTTTAATCTCGTGGGCCGTGAAAAGAGGTTACGTCGTTTTACCTAAATCGATCACTCCGGCTAGAGTTAAGTCCAATTTCGAATTAGTAGATCTTTCAGCAGAAGACGTTCAGAAGCTATTAGATATTGCCAAAAACGAAGGCGAAAAGAGATTCATTAACCCAGACTGGAGTGGTTTCAAGGTATTTGATTGAGTATTTTTGTCACACACGTTCCACAGTGGTCGTTAAGGGACCAAATCCTTCTCGCTTATGGCGATTTTAATCAAGATTTTGTATTTATACATATATTGATAGCTATTCAAGACTTCTAGCAGAAAAGATCAATAGTTGCCTTTGTATTCTAATCTTATTACTTGGCGATCAAGGTTTATTATACCACGATGTCACTTTCCCAATATGAAAAACTATAAGACAGGGTAGAACTCGATGCTTCACAGAGGGGAATCCAGTCAAACAAGGATGTCTCAGGATAAAACGAAGGGTACAATGAGTTCAACGAACTCTCCGCAAATGATTAATCACAAAACCAAAAAAGCTATGGAATCTATAGCCCCGATTTTGGAAGGTTTTAGTCCCAAAACTTCAGCCAGTGAAAATACTTCCTTGAAATTGCCACCACCTGGATTGCCCGTCGAGACACATAGCGAAGAAGAGCATGGAGAATTGGCCTTGGATCGCACTTTAAGTCGAAGCTCTCAGTTGTCGTCTGTGTCGTCCAGACCTGGATTATCACCCACCAACTCTTGCGAAAACGTCGCAGGTCCAGCAAAACTGCAGAGGCTGAAAAGTAACTCTGGATTAGGTACAAATGTCTCCAATGCTTCTCAGTATCAAGAACAGAACTGTGCATTGGATTCTGCGATTGATACGACGGCTGATGTGAACAACAGCTCGACTGCGAGTTCTGCGGGCTCTTCTCGAAAAGCGTCTTCGAGCTCGCACAAACCGCAACTCCCCAAGATCGGGAAAATCGGTGTATGTGCAATGGACGCCAAAGTGCTGTCCAAGCCCTGTAGACACATTTTGAACCGATTAATCGAGCAAGGAGAATTTGAAACCATAATTTTCGGCGATAAGGTAATTTTGGATGAAAATAATGAGAATTGGCCCACTTGCGACTTTCTCATTAGTTTCTTCTCTTCTGGGTTCCCACTAAACAAAGCTATCGACTATGTGAATTTGCGCAAACCGTTTATTATCAACGATCTGGTTATGCAAAAAGTGTTATGGGACCGTAGGCTTTGTCTTCAGTTACTCGATGTCGCTGGCGTTCCTACACCGTCTCGGTTGGAGATTAGCAGGGATGGAGGTCCTAGAGTTGACGCGGCTTTGAAGCAAAAGCTCCTCGAACGTGGCGTCGACGTTAAGCCAATTAAGGAGCCTAAATGGCGCATGATCGATGACGACACTCTTGAAGTCCAGGGCAAGATCATGAAAAAGCCATACGTCGAAAAGCCCGTAGATGGCGAAGATCATAACGTTTACATTTACTATCACTCCAAAAATGGTGGTGGTGGTCGCAGACTTTTCAGAAAAGTCGGTAACAAGTCCTCTGAATTTGATCCTACTTTAAATGGCCCCAGAACCGAAGGTTCTTATATCTACGAGGAGTTCATGGACACGGATAATTTCGAGGATGTCAAGGCGTACACTGTCGGCGAAGGCTTTTGCCATGCTGAAACTCGCAAATCACCTGTGGTGGACGGTATTGTGCGTAGGAACACTCATGGTAAAGAGATTAGATATATTACTGAACTATCCACAGAGGAGAAAGAAATCGCACGCAAAGTTTTCCAAGCGTTTTCGCAGATGATTTGTGGTTTCGACTTATTGAGAGTGAACGGGAAAAGCTATGTTATAGACGTTAATGGCTTCTCTTTTGTCAAGGACAACTCTTCATATTACGATGCATGTGCAAAGATATTGAGGGACACGTTCGCGCTGGCTAAAAAGAAAATGGATCTTGAGAAACGTAATCTGCCTGTCATTACCGAGGAGAAGAGACAGAAATGGGTTTTCAAGGGTTTAGTAACAGTGATTCGTCATGCCGACAGGACGCCTAAGCAAAAATTCAAACATTCTTTCAGGTCGCCAATTTTCATTTCTTTGCTAAAGGGACACAAGGAAGAGGTGGTCATTAGAAACAGCTCAGATTTGCAAATTGTTTTACAGGCTTTGAGGATTGCCCAAGAAGAGAGTGAAGAGGATCCCTTCAAATTGGATGTTTTGGCAAACGCACTCGAGAAAAAACTTAATCTACCTGGTACAAAGATTCAATTGAAGCCCGTTCTCAACGCTGAGAAAGAGGTCGAAAAAGTGCAATTTATCCTTAAGTGGGGCGGTGAACCAACTCATTCGGCTCGCTATCAGGCAACAGAATTGGGTGAGCAAATGAGACAAGATTTTGACCTCTTGAACAAGGGCATTTTACAAAATATTCGCATATTCTCTTCCTCAGAGCGCAGAGTCTTGGCCTCTGCTCAGATTTGGGCGATGGCGTTGTTTGGCGCGGACGAAATAGGAAGCGACGAAATTCGCATCAGGAAAGATTTGCTGGACGATAGCAACGCGGCCAAGGATTTGATGGACAAAATCAAAAAAGAACTTAAGCCGCTTCTCAGAGAGGGCAAAGAGGCACCTCCACAATTTGCTTGGCCACCCAAAATGCCCGAACCGTATTTTGTCATCAAGCGTGTGGTTGAGCTTATGAAATATCACAAAAAACTGATGGATTTCAACTTTAAAACTAAAAATGTCGAGGAGTTGCAGCGTCGTTGGTGTTGCTCTGAAGATCCTATGCTTTTTAAAGAAAGATGGGAAAAGCTCTTTAAAGAATTTGTGAGCGTAGAGAAAGTCGATCCATCAAAGATTTCAGAACTATATGACACAATGAAATACGATGCCCTTCACAATCGGCAATTCTTGGAGAACATCTTTTCGCCTAGTGTCGATACTCAGAGCGAAAATGTCAATCTTTGCAAGAACTCGCTGGTCGATCGCTACCCAATTAACATTTTGGCCATGAACAACTTCAAGATTCCAGATTCAAGCTCAGGGACCAGTACGACGGGTTCGTCAAGTAAGGCAAGCAGCGTAGGATCTTTGGGTTGGGTCTTAGAGGGCAGCTCTCAAACGAAAAACAGCACCTCCAAGTTTGGTGATCCCAAATTTATGCAGCTTAGAGAGCTCTACAAGCTCTCTAAGGTGCTGTTTGATTTCATCTGCCCGCAGGAGTATGGTATCGAGGACGGCGAAAAATTGGACATCGGCCTACTGACATCTCTTCCTCTGGCGAAACAAATTCTCAATGACATCGATGACATGAAAACCAAGGACACGCCTGGATGTGTGGCGTATTTCACCAAGGAATCACATATTTACACTCTGTTGAATATCATCTACGAAAGTGGACTGCCAATGAGAATCGCAAGAAATGCGTTGCCCGAGCTAGATTACCTCTCGCAGATTAATTTCGAATTCTACGAAAGCACCGACAATACCGGCCAGAAATCACACGCTATCAGATTGAAGATGTCTCCCGGATGCCATACCCAGGATCCTCTGGACGTGCAGCTTGACGAGAAACATTACATCAGCTGCATCCCGAAGATCTCCCTGACAAAACATTTAGATCTGGATTATGTGACCCAAAAATTGCGGAACAAGTTTAGTAGAGTAGTGTTACCTCGCAAGTTCACTCCCGTGAACATTACAAGCCCAAACTTGTCCTACAGCAAGCCCGCTGAATGTCCACCGCCATCCCCAACGGAGAAGTTTTAGATTTTACACCGTTAACTAAATAACCAAGAAGGGTTCTATCAAGGTGTGCACCCAATAACTAGCACTTAAGCATATTTGCTCGCTGGAAGCGGTACACACCAGGTACAAAGGAAGCCGAATGATATTAGGGGTTTTTTCATTGCCTAATATCTCGACAATTTGCGCATTTTTGAGCAGATAAGAACAGTAGGAGGACGAACGGGTTGTATTGAATATCGCTTTTCCAATTTCTATGCAGCAAACCATGGATACTGGAGAGTCCTATTGGAGGACCCCGTTGAGCAGATTTAACTTAAAAGGGCTACATTTTCAGAGAAATAAATTATTTTACTCTTTGCATGAGCACATAGACACAAGATATTGATCTGTACAATTTATCTTGGATCAATTGATGCCAATATAAAAGGGAAAGATAAATCAAATTTTTGGTGGTTCTGCTAAATGAAGGAACCGTAACAGTAATTAAAGAAATTAAAATGACGGAAAGATTCGATAACGCTGATGAGCTGATCAAAATGTCCATGGGAGGGTCTTCGTCCTCAAAACAACAATGTAAAATTTCGATGTTGTGGAATTGGTACACCATCGATACTTGTTTTATTTCGCGGTCGTGGCGTAACGATACTAGGGGTAAATTTGCTGGGTCCTGTATCGGTTGTTTCCTCCTAGTTTTCGTCGCTCAATGGCTGAACAGAGTTTCCAGACAATTTGACATCGAATTGGCCGAGAGAAGAAAAATTAAGACTCTGGCACAGATGTCTTCTAAGTACTCTGGGGACATGGGTGGTTCGAGCTCGTCACTCTCTAAGGAAGAAACGGCTGAGTTGTCGAACTTATTGCAAGAATCTGACATCAAGACCTCGTTCAAGGCCCTACTTGCAACGATGTCTCACACATGGTACGTTCGTCGCACCAGAGCCGCTTCTTCTGCTCTTCCGAATTGTTGTGTTGCGGAACCCTTCGACGTCTATCCAACCATTCTGGACCACATTTTGAGAGCATTGATTTTCACTTTACAATGGGGTCTTTCCTACATTATCATGCTTCTTTTCATGTACTACAATGGCTACATTATTATCAGCTGCCTTTTGGGAGCTCTATTCGGAAGATTGTTTTTCAACTTTGAGCCTTTGGTATCCTACGGTGGAGCCAACTCCGGTGTCAGTCTAAATCACGATAAAGAAGAGAATGACAGGAAATGCTGTATGTAAGAATTTTATAATTTGCTCACTAATTAATTTTTAGCAGATCTTTGAGCTTCTGTAGAAAACACCCTACCATTGATAGGCCATGATACCGACGCCGAATGATGCCCTAATAGATGATGAGGCTGCCAATTCCCTGCGTAAACCTCACTACCAACTGATTGGAAGTTGGTCGTTACTCACATCTCATACGAGGATTTTAGCGTAAGCCCTCTTCTGGCTGTACACGCTCGCAGTTCCTCTTGTTTAGTGCTTAAACTCGTTGTATTCATCAAAGCGAAGCTAAAGAATCGAAAAGAACAGAAATGCTCTCACCGTAGTGATCACGACGGATACATTCGGCAAAAATGGACGATACATCAATTGTGACCAGTTTCTTGGATCTGTCAAGACGATTGCTAGAGATCGGATATGTGTTAGTGACGACAATCTGATGGATAGCATCGGATTGCTCGAGTCTTTCTAGGCAATCTCCCGTAAACAAGCCGTGCGTAGCAACAACGTAAACTTTTTTGGCTCCGCAGTTTTTAATTAAATGTTCAGCAGCACTGATGAAAGAGCCCGGCCTGTCGACCATGTCATCTAGAATGATCGCAGATCTGCCATTAACATTTCCAACAAGGGTAATCAACTTTTCTTGTTGTCCATTCTCCGCTTCGTCTTCTTCATCAGAATCGACCGCATCGTATGTGCCACCAAGGGCGTAAGAATCACTCACGGAGTCGTGCGACTCAGAATCTGTCTCCATTACGCATTCTTCCTCGGAGTAATCGTCGTCATCGACAACGTGCCCTTTCACTATTCTCGCGGTTTGTATTCCGTTCGTCAGAATGATATTCTCTTCCTCGTCTGGGCCCTCTCCGGGTCTGATAATGGGCTTATTTTTCCGAAGCATCGACTGTTTTCTTAGCATCAATTGCTGTCTGTCGCGGTTCTGAGCATAGAGATCCTTGGAGCGCCGGCGATCTGTGTGAATCATGGCAAAATTTATCTTGAGAGAGTCTGCTAAAGCCGTCACTCTTTTAGTGCCACCAGGATTCTTAGATACAACTACCGCATCTTGGTAGTGCTCCACATTTTCACGGATCCATCTCGCAAGACTGGGGCCACCGTAAAGGTTGTCGACCGGCTTGCTGAAAAAGCCCTGCATTTGCGAAGCGTGCAAATCCATCGACACCACGTGATCGGCACCGGCCATGATGAGCAGATTGGCTAACATGCGTGCAGTGATGGCACCTCTGTGTTTTTTCATCTTACACTGCTTAGAGTAAGGAAACTGGGGAATCACGGCCGTGATTTTTTTAGCTGACCCGCCTCTGCAGGCCGAAACCAAAATCAGCAGTTCCATGATATCATCGTTGATTGAAGGAGATCCAGACTGGATAACATACACATCTTCATCACGTACCGAGGCGCCGATCTGAACCGAAGTTTCACCGTTCGCGAACTTTTTCAACGTGCATGGTGCCGGTTCGATACCCAAACGCTCGCAAACGAGCTTCCCCAAATCTGGATGGGAATTTCCCACGAAAACTTTGCACTTGCGCATATCGGATACAGAATCTTGGATACTAATTCCGGGCTGAATTCTGCTCTCACTGAACAATGAACAAACCAACTTGGAAATACCTCGAGGATGATGATTCAACCTATTTTCCCTCAGCGAAGGATAACAGGAACACGGGACAAAGAGCTGCAGAGTGAGGTTCTTGTTTGCGAACTCGTCACTCACTCGACAGTGCGATGCAATGAATAAATCTTAGGGTCTGGTTGCCTAATTCTAAGGACTCATCTAATAACTTGCAAATTAGAACTTTCTAAATATGAGGAAGTCATTCAAGATGATGTGCTTGATAAAATTTTTCCCAGTATTCGTGATATGAGATGTCGGATTTTTTTTCCGTCGGATAAATTTGTTTCTCCGGAATGATATGAAATTTGGCGATGAGATGTCAACGATCTTACACTATGTCAGATTGTAAAACTGCGGAGAGAGATTGATGGATGGAGCTCCATTGAAAGATGGGTTTGAGGTGACTAAACGCACCGTTAGAACATGTGATGGTCAGCAATTTGCGAAACAAATCGCCACCAAAAAAGAGCGCATACGAAAGTCTGAAATGTTTCAGGAGCTGAAGGCTAGTCTTGAGCCGTGGAGAGCTAAAATTGACAAGATCAGATGTTTGGCACTTGGTAGTTTCCACGATGAATTTGCCGCCGGTTACCAATTTGCTTTGTTAGACGAAATCCGGGAGTTTTTAGAAAATTCTCAACAGGAACAAGGGACGATAAAGGTCAAGGTATCGATCTTTGATCCTGCATTCACGTCTGAAGATGAAAAGTATATCTCAGAATTGGGTCCAGAATGGTCAATTGATGGAGAAACGCCTTGGGAAGTCGGGAGTGAGCAAAAAAATGATGATACGGGAAATATTTTGTTTTTCTTGCCCCATGCGCCTTTAGACCTCACCGAGGCCGTCATCATCTCAGACCAACCTCGATTTTGGCTGGCGAACAACATTGTTCAGCATACAGATCGATATACCAAGCAACGATTATTTGAAAAATATCCTGTTCTCTCGAAACTGCTAAATTACGTCTCATCTGCTAAAGATGAACAGGTAAACAACGATAATTTCACGGCTAAAGACGGTGAGTTCGTACAGTTTGTCTCTAGAAGGAATCGCCGCAAGGCGAAACAGAAAAGGTTTCAGGAACCACAAATAGACTACGACGCAATTCCAGCTTATTTTAAAGACTTTAAGATCGTGTGCGATTTCATGAACGGCAAGCAATTACAAGGTCGAGAATGGCTCAACTCTTTCTCAGATCTAGCTTTTCAACTAATTGAATGAGGCAGAACTTACATAAATGTTATGTTGTCACCAGTTTTAAACGGAAATGTAACAGCCAGTAATACTAATAATAATAATGATATATTTTGAACAAGAGTCACTAACTATATACCATTGAATGTCTTGGAGGTCCTCTATAAAGAAAAACAAGTAAAGTAGATGGTATTCTGCCGACAACTCATATGGTAAAGTCGCATCTGTATTCCCAGTACAAACGCGACCACTTTCTTAATGTAACCTTTTCCCTTAGCTCACTAAGAAAGCCCTTTTGGTCGAGCGGCGGCTTGAACGCTTGATCACTCAAACACAAAAATGGGGATGGCTCGAAGATTCCCAGTATCAAGCCATAAGCCCGAATATGTGACTTGTCTCTAGAGGCTGTTTATCAAAGATTGGCGACAAAAAATTGGTCATTAGTTCAGAGATTAATCGAAATATCAAAAAGACACCCCAGATGAACTTCCTTAAAGTTTGGCCGAAATAGAGTCGGCAGATAAATAAGATTCAATGCTCGAGTGTTTCGAAAGATCCACATGCTTTGCTTTAGTTTTGGTAAGAATCCCAGTTGTCCAACACTTCCTTAATCTTTTCCGAGCCAGTCAGATTGTAAACATCTTGGAAATACTCTTTGGTGATTTCGAATGGTTTGGCGGTCAAGTTAGGGATGTACTTCCCGATCAATCTGTCTGCCTTGACATTCTCTTTGACAATGTTCTTCTTCAAGAAGTTCTTGAAAGGCTTAACACCGTTTCTCAAGTAAGAGGAGTGGAAAGGCACCGAGATACCACGCAATGGAATACAAGCGAATCCTCTCTCTAGGTCAATAGGTTGTGGTTTCGCGATAGACTTTTGAGCAACTTCGGCGATAATCTCGTTGAGATGGGCCTCCACTTCTTCCAAAGACATAGATTGCTGCAATTTGATGATATCGATCTTCTGCACTTTGATGAAATTGAGAACATTAGTCAAGGTGTCCAAAGCTCTTAAGTCACCAGCAGCAACGTACTGTTGGTTTTCAACGTTGTAGTTCACGATTTCAACCAACCATTCAGTCTTTTTACCTACAACAGCAACAACGAATTGCAGTGCCTCCTGGTTGAAAGTCGGGGAGACTCTTCCAGGGTTTACGGCAACCATACCGTAGTTGGATCTTCCTAGCTCGTCTCTAGGCACCGCGACCTGCATCGTCATACCTCTGTAGAAAACAACTTCAACCAGAGACTCAATAGACATGACATCGGCTAGAGAGGCGAGGGCAGCGTACTCACCCAAGGAGTGGCCAGCAAAGGCAGCGTCGGCAGGGATCAAGCCCTTGGCCTTCAAGTCTTCAAAGGAAGCCTTCTCCATCAAGGTCAAGGCTGGTTGCGTGAACTGGGTAGCCGAAAGCAAGCCATTTGGAGAACGGAAAGTGTAAGACGTAGTCTCTTCGGTAATGTCTTTGAAGATACGCTCCGTCTTCAATTCACCATCCACAATGGTTTCAAAAATCATTTGAGTGTAGTTGGCCTTAATCTTTCTACCCTTTTCACCGCCAAAGTATATCACCATCTCAGTTGGGTTCTTTTTGACAATGTCAAGAATGGAGAAACCATAAGTCTCTCTGAAATGCGAGTCAGCTCTATCCCAGACTTGTCTAGCAACATCAGACTTTTCGTAGAGATCCATGCCCATACCTTGCTCTTGAGAGCCTTGGCCGGTGAACACAAAGGTGGAGACGGGTTGTTCTACTTCCGCTTCTCCTGTCATGACAATTTCTTCGCGATCGTTCTTAGTTTCGAACTTAATCAACTTACGACCGTTGATCATACCGACATGCTGTATAGTGGTCTTCAAAGGTGTGTTAGGCAAAACCATGCCAACAAATTGGCAGCTATAACCACGAACTCTCGAAGAAACGTTATCGGCAGCCCACGTCTCGACGAGGGCGCGGACCGCGGCAGAGGAGTACATGCCATGGGTAATAGTACCTGGCAAATTAGCGTAATTCGCAAAATGACGAGAGACATGGATTGGATTCAAGTCTCCTGACACTCTGGCGTAAGGTTCGTTGGTACCTGGCGCTTGAGATTCTTGGACAGTGATTGGAATGGCGTTTTCTAGATTAACCTTTTGTTCCAAAGTTGAACCGTGTCTCTTCAAGTAATCAACCACAGGATTGCCATGAGATTCGCCCGCCTCGTAGTCCACAACACCAATCTCGACCTTTTCCTTAGTTGGTAGTTCCATCTTAATCTTACCTTCGCATCTGACAGAATTGAAGATACTTTGGTCTTTAAACGTAACTTCTGTTTCGGTCTCGAAGGTCAACGTTTGACCCAACAAATCGATCTCGTCATTGTCAAGCTGGAACCATTCCTTCGATCTGAGGACGGCAATATCCTTTGCGGATTCGATCTTGACCTGATATGCTGGTTCACTAATCCTTTGGAAACTGTTCTCGAAATCACCGTACTTCCCTCTATAGAAAAAAGTGGACGTGATTTCCATGACAGGTTCGCCATCTCTAGTCAAAGTTCCGACAACCTCGACAAGCTTGCCGTTAGCCTGGTTAACAACGCTCTTAATGATAGCAGTGGGGGTGATCATGTCACCTTCTTGCATTGGCTTGGCACCTGGGACCATACGGTAGGCATTGGCCATGTGAACCAACTTGAGTAAGTCACCGTCAACGCTTTGAGGGAAGATCGCTTTAATGATCACTCTCCATCCAACAACAATTGCAAAGTCCATAGGAGCCAAAAGCTTGCGACCTGGTCTAGCAACAAAGTCTTCACATTTGTTGCCAATGGCATGTGTGAATTCGATAATGTCCTTAGCGGTAACCTTAACTTGTTCGCCCTTGATTAGCTTTCTTGGGTCGTATTCAAGATTAATAGGCTCTTCAAGCCACAACTTCCAATATAGGTCCTTGATACGATTGTTGCGCCCTTCCATTACTTCTGAAACAGGAGCAAAGCCATCTTCAGGTTGATACTTGTAGAGTAGAGATAGGGCCACAGGTTTACCATCAATGGTTCTGTTTTCAATCAATTGCAACTCCATGGTGTCCTCCTTTACGAGACGAAGAACGACAATCGGTTTCAATTCTCCCTGAACAGGTTCTAGCAAAGTCACAACGGTTTTGGAGCTCTCCTTAGGATGAGTAATTTGCACTACAGAGTGAGCGGTAGGCTTGAAAACCTTTTGAGCAGGGTTCTCGGTGTACAAAGATCCTTGAACCACTCTAGCAGTGGAGAAGAACGCATGTTTCCAGTTTCTAGTGGTGCCGGCCAAAAGTTTGAACCATGTGGCATCATCAGTAGAGCTCGACGCACGGTAAATGATCTTGTCATCCGTCTCGACGGAGTCGAAGTCAACCGCTTCAGGGTCTTCGCCGCCAAAGTATTCAACAGTTGGAATAGTCGATTCATCATCGTTGTAGTAATCCTTCAGCAACCTGGCGATATGGCCTTCGTGAATGTCATCCATGATGCTCTTGATTGGCTGGTCAACATCGTTGGTGAATTGAGCCGCAACGGGACCTTGCAAAATACATGTTCTTTGCACGTCTTGATCAACGACCGATTCCAAAAATTCGGATTGCCATAAGGAATCTTTCTTGAAATAGAATTCAAATCTGTGATCCAAGACGGGGACGAAAGGCACAGGTTTCTGGGTTGGTCTTTGGGTAAGACTCAAAAAGTAGTCAACGTCTTGGGCATTCAAGTACTGAGACTTGGACGCAGGGTAAGCATCGAAAACTAATTTTAACGCACGCTTTGGCTCATCCAAAATGGAGTAGTATTGTAGAACTGAAGCAGTCTTCTTCTTAGTGAAACGTTCTTCCACACGTCTCAGGAAGTCACCTGTGAAATCTCTCAAGGTAATGTCAATCCATTTGCCAGTGGACTTGACAAACATGAGTTCTACCAATCTCTCGGCAACTTGTTCGTAAGTCATATCGGCAAGCTCGCGTGGCTTACCATCAACGGTGGCAAACCATGGCTTCTGGAAATCAGCATTCAATTTCGCGATAATGTAATCTTTCTTTGCATCCAAGGCGGGTTGCAACTTGTTCTTAGGTAGTGAGAAAATGGTGTCATCAAGCTCTTTCCACAACATGACACCTCTGGTGGCCAATTTGTGGATTGGCTCACCCATTTCAGAGCGAACTGTGATGATACCACCGGCAGGTTTCTTGTAGGTTTGTTCCCATTGCGATTCGGGAACACCTTTACAAGCAGCAATGGCCAATTTGGCATCTGGGGAAGTCTTGGCCTCCTTGGCAATCATAACTCTGGATCCGAACAAGAAACCATCGAATGGCATTGGTGGATAGTTGAACTTAGCGGACCAAGCACCGGTCAAGTATGGGTATGTGTCTTCAGCAGATCCGAAACCAGAACCAGCAATCAAGATGATGTTAGAGTGTCTTCTAATCTTGGAGTACATTTGAAGTAACGGAGAGTGAAAATCTTCAAAGGAATGGTGACCACCACCTCTACCACCAGTCCATTGAAGAACAATTGGGAAATTGGGATGAGCTTTGGCAATGGTAATGACTTGAGAAATGGCATCGATAGAACCGGGCTTTAAGCCAAGGTGCGTCAATCCCAAAGTCTCAATGTATTCGGAAGCGACTTCTAAAGAAGGAACACCTGCACCAATGGTCAAAGACTGGATTGGGTAACCTTTCTCTCTCAATTCTTTGATCATGGGAATACCCCATTGCAACATTCTGGGGCTGACGTAGATCAGGTTGATACCTAAACCGTAACCTTTCTTGATTTGCTTGACAACATCATTAATTGCGCTTGTCATACCCTCGGGCGAGAAATAACCACCACCTGCCAATTCGATTTGATAACCAGCGTTGATAGTGGCGGCAACAAAATCGGGAGACACTGTGCAAGGGGTCATACCAGGAACCAGCAAAGGAGCTCTGCCAACGAGTTTGGAATATTTGGTATCGACGTAGACTTTACCGTTTTTGGTCTTTATCAATTTGGGGTGGTACTCCTTCAGCCAGTTGGGCGAAAACTTCAACCCATTGCTGCTAACGTCAAAAATCTCTTGCTTGAACCCGTACTCGTCCTCTGGGTTGATGTCGAGCGCACCGGCAACAATAACTCTAACACCGGTACCATCTTTGTTACGGTGTGTCAGAACACCGAGACCAGAAGAGCCACCGGGTCCAAAGTCAAGAATATGGGATGCGGCGAATTGAGTGGTAGTTTCCCAGTTGACTGGCAACTTAGTGATGCAATCGGCCACTCTGGCAACGATCGAGCCCTTGAAATCTCTGAGATCTTTACCGTCAAAAGTGTCGTAAACGGGTAATTTGAGGTCACTTTGCTTGAACTCAACGTTGGCGTCTTCCAAGTCTTGCAAAATAAACTTGGTAGCAGGTTCCAACAAATGAGAGTGGAATGGAGACGCAATGGGCAAGAAACGGTTAAAGAACTTTAGTTTTCTTTCGCTGTAAGGAATTCTAGCTTGATCCAAACCGGCTGGAGCTTTTGCCTTCCGCAGGGTTAAATTCAAACCGTATAGGGACTTGGGTGGGCCCGTAACGACCAAGTTTCTGGCACCATTAATCAAAGAAATGACAATGTGTTTTTCGGCAGGCAAATGCGCGTTGGTCTGATCTACGAATGATTGCACTTGTTCTTTGGTTAAGTTGGAAATGGACAACATTGGAGATGGCGTGCCTTCGCCGTTTTCTGCAGAGTCCTCGAGCATGGAAGGTGGCAAAGAGGTGTTTGGGTACACTTGGTAGCAACGGACACCAATGAAGAACAACAAGGCCACGGTCTTGTTTAGGGATTCGAAAAAGCTGTCCCAGGAGTCGGCCTCGGCAATAGCCACGGCGGTGGCCAAACCTTGGGAATGGCCAGTGGCACCGACCAAATTGCTTCTCAATTCACCGGGAGTGAGTCCAAGGATTCTCGCGGTCAATGCATAGTGCACCAGTTGGATGACACCGATCAGCGGACACGAGATTGGGATCGATAGTAAATATGTCGTGTCTGGAGTCTTTTCTGGGTGTTCCAACCACTCGATCACGTCAAATCCCTGAGTGTACACTTTTTCGGTGTCATCGGTCGACTTGACGAGCTCGGCCAACTTGTCGGCAGCGACCTTGATCACGTCATAGACGATACTGTGATAGGTTTGGTAGAGTTCACGTAGCTCTTCGAAGTAGTCGTCCGTGTTACCTTGGCCACCAAAGATGGCCACCAATTCGGACTCCTTGGCCGAGGCGCTTTTGATCAGCGCCGAGTCAGACTTGCCGAAGGGCTTGTGGGCAGCGACGCGGGCCACGTAGTAGTTTTTGATCAGTGTTTTCACCTTTGGCAAAGTCGTGGCGTACACTTCGTCGTCGGCCAGCAGCTTGGCGGCCAGTGTATGCACGTCGTTGCCCTGCAAGTACGTGTTTTCGAACTCCGCGATCGACAACTGCAAAACGTCGTCGAATTGGCCCTTGACGTTGGGCACCACGAGCGACGCGACGTAGCCCAAGAATTGGGCTAGAAGCTCGGCGGGAGACGAGGGCTCGTCGTCCGACGCAAATCCGTCGGTGACGGCGGGCATCTCTTTAGAAAACTGGTCCAAGAGCTGCGAAGCAGTGAAAAACGAACCGGTGGGCACTGGGAGCACATGCTCGATGGACCCGTGCGCCAAAGTGACGGGTCTGCTGGAGGCGCTCATCGTGTGTGTTTACTGGGAAAATTAAACGGACACAATTGCAATTCAACTGGGGAACTGCGAGCTGCGCTATTGGGGAAATTGCGTAGAAAACTGGGTCGAAAACTGGGTGGAAACCTGCGTTTTCTGGTGTATAAAGGCTCGATTTCTGCCGGAATCTGTTAGTAATTGGGTTCCAAAACCGCTTTTATTGTGTGGTTCGTCTCAATTGGCCCCGCACCTGCTTCTAAACCAGAAAAAGCCTACTAAAGGACCACTTCTAATGGGCTTCGAGTTGCACTTCCAGAGAGCTCCCTTGGTATTATAGCAGGAACGAGTGCCAGTGAAAAAAAAATAAACTAAAAAAGAATAGTTGTGTGAAAAACCTGTTGGAACGTTGTCCACCTGCCATACTCGCATTTCCGAGCTCCTAGGCGCCGCCCTAAACGTGCTCGCTCCTTGGGCTTCGCTGGGGCCCTGGGCTTCGCGGTCGCGGTCGGGCACTTTGCACGGATCTCGAATTTTTTGTTGGATTTGGGTACAGGCGCCTAGAACCCCGCGCAGGTGGCTCACAAGCACATGCAGCTAGGCGGGTCTCAGAAGACGCGTGGACACCACCCGGACACCAGCTGGAGGCCCCAAAAGGAGAGAGGGCTGTCTGCACCGTTTGGCGCGAACACGCCCCTTGGCGGCTAATCAGAACCCCCAAGAAACAGGGAGAAGCACGGGGAAGCACGGGGAAACAGAGGCACGGGCACAGTGGCCAGGCATATCACATCAATCTCGACAATCAAACATACAATAAACGGGAATATAGTTTTTCGCCACCTCAAGTGTGCGGATGTGTGTCAGTCAGTACGTAAAGCTCTCTTGGCGTGGCACGTGAGTTACCGGAAGTCACTATGCTGGGGTGGAAAAGAGTTTACCAATGTACAATCGAACTGAGCAAGAACGGGAATCTTGCACAAGACAAACGGAATCCTGGCCTTCTCCAATGTGACGGAGTGTCGCTGTACTTATATATATATACTGGGCCGCTGTATGTTTGCCTGCGTAAAGCCCGTTATGCCCCAGCCAAGGCTGCCAGCCAAGCTGGGCGCGTCTGGATTCTTGTTGAGGAAAAGGGGCGCTCTGCTCAAAGCACAGGCGACAACCGCCGAGGGCGCTTTTTTCGGTTGGTTGTTGGAAATGTTGGATTTCGTAGAAAGGGAACCAGGAGCCACGGGTGGTACAGGGGGCACGAGACCACAAAAACGGCGCGTAGAGGGCGCGTAGAGGGCGCCGCAGCAGCTGCGGTTGTGTGAGGCCAGTGCGCGGTGTGTGGGTGGCGAAGAGCGTTTGAGGCGACCCGGCGTGAGGTGGGGGTGTCGTGCTACACGGCTGGATGGTCGTTGTTGGTGTGTTGAGGCCGGGTGAGGACTGTGCACGGTGAACCGTGCACAGTGATGTATAAAGTGGTTCGATTATGTAAGGTCATTCCGCGTCATTCCGCTTCCCACTGCTATGAAGTACAGCGGCTCGCTGTTGAAGAAGCAGAACGACGCTACCGCCTAGTTTTCCGGGATGCCTCGGAATTCAATTCAGACGAAAACGGCTGTTTGCGGCCAATGACCTGTTCGTTACCGTAGAACTCCATCGCCATGCCTGCGTCCCACCCGTTTTCGTGCACCAACTCACCCAGACCCGTAAACTCCTGTTCGCTTTGTGTTTGTTCGTCGTCGCTGTCGTCTTCCATGCTGTAGAACTCCATGCAGGTCGCAATCGCGCTGTTGCAGTTCCGAACCAGCGTGTCGCCCCGGTTCAGGCCGAAATCCTTAAAATTGAAAAGGCTTTCCACCTCTTCGTTGTAGTGTCTTTCGAAATCCGCGTACCGCGGCCGCAAAACCAGCTCCACGGTCGACATCGTGTATTCGAGCGCCGTGAGCGGATCATTTCCTGCGGCCGCGTGGTCTGGGCCTGGGAACAACTGCGCTAAAGTGTCGTCCTTCTCGACGTTCAGCAGGATTTCGAGCGCATGGCCTGCATTCTGCTGCTCGGGATCCGGAATATTCCGCACACCGTGGTATACTATGCGTTGGTACGGAATCTGGAGGCCTCTGTCCAGCGCGCGAATCCATATGACCATGTGAGCGCCCAACACGAAAAGATCCACCAATTCCATGTTTGACACGCTGGAAACTTCACCCAGATCAGCCAGTCTCCCGAGCAGAAACTGGCGTCCACCGCCGTAAAGCACGGGAAGCTCGCTTTGCTCAAAGGTGTAGTAGCCCTTCAGCCGCGGTTGCGTTTGCTGATATTGTGTGTATGGTATCACGTTCTCGATAGTCGGCTGCACGGCCGTGAACTGACAAACTGGTACATCTTTGTGTTTCCCCAGCATTGCGGACTTAGCGCTTGTGAGATGGTTTGGCCCAATACATTTTTTCTCTTTTGTAGAGAGAGAAAAAAAGCCGGTAGAAAAATCTAATGAATGCATATGGGTGTATGTACAAAGCTCGCATTAACAAGCCTGTTATAAGGAGCTAGAGAGAATATTATGGCAATGTAGTGCGGATTTCAGCTCACGCGTGACTGGACTCGATGTAAATCACATCAACGATTTGCTCGAAACCGTTGAATTGCGTCGCAGCCGATGATGTGTAGGCTCCCAAGTTTGGGAAATACAGCCAGTCACCAATTTCCAGGTCAAACTTCATATAATGCTCTTTGGTGATACAGTCTAGACCATCGCAAGTTGGACCCCATATGGACACTTTGTACGGGCATTCAGGTACAGCTACTCGAGAACTGGAGCCAAAGTCTCTGTAGTGGAATTGGTTTTCATGATATAGGACCCTGGGGTTCGGGTCTTGGTGGTCGAACAAAATGCAGTTCATGTTCCCGTAGACACCATCGTTGATGTAAAGCATGGACTCTTTGTTCTCGACGGCTCTCTTAGCAATCACGTGGCATGCCAATGTGAACGAACTAGCACAGAAATATCTGCCTGGTTCTGCTATTATATCGACGCCGCAGGTAGGTGGGAAGAATTCATCGAGTCCCATGTTCAAGATTTCGGTAGATTCTGCGAAGCAATCCAGCTGAAACCCTCCTCCGACATCGAGCAGACGAAGCTCTGGAAGCCCGAACTTGGTTGTAGCCCGATCAAAGACATAGCGCGCATCTTTGACGGCATTGTAGAACGTTGACAGATCAGACGCACCCGAGCCCACGTGGAACGAAACGCCGACCAGATTGAGCCCCAGTTCTTTGACTTTCGCGAGCAAGACGTCGACGCGCTCCAACTCGCATCCGTACTTTGTGGAAAGACGGCACTGCGCGCTTGAGTCGTCGGTAGCGATTCTGAGCAAAAGCTCCGACTCCGGGTGGAACTTTTTGATCTTGGCGAGCTCTTCGACGTTGTCAAACGTAGATTTTTTCACTCCGCATTTTTGAGCGAATCGTATGAAGGACGAGGCCTTGCACGGGTTTGCGTAGATAATTCTGGAGGGATCGACGCCTTGTCTGAGCACAGTTTCGATCTCTGACTTGGACGCACAGTCAAAGTTGGCCCCCAACTCTGCCAGTGTTGTCAAAATGCGGTTGTTTGGGTTGGACTTGACTGCGTAAAACGGCTGCACCCTGGGCAGTCTCTGTTTCCATTGTGCCCACAATCTGTGGACCTCACCGATATCGCACAGGAAAAACGAGTTTTCATCACCAGCCTCGCAAGTCTCCTGATTGATTGCCTGGACCCTTTGCTTCAAACCCAAAAAAATCTGCTCCTGTGCATCGTCCATCGAATTTTGAATAGTTTCATCGGCGTCTTTCTTCTTCCAGTAGGTTTCTCGAAAATCTAACAATTCCGTTGAAACCTTTGGGCACTGCACAAAATTTGCAGGTTTGTGTTGGTCTACTCGGCTAAGTGGGACCGTTGCCATTGATCAAGATTGTACCTGTTTTGCTGACGTTTGCGATGCGGAGAACTGAGATCCATTATTTTTTTTTCAGCAACGGTCCTCATCACAGCACCACCAATAAACGTCTGAAGGTATATCAGCAACACGCAAGACCAAAGGTCAGAGTTTAAGAGCGCGCGAGACTTAAGCAAGTAGAACATCTACAGTGTCAATCAGGACAACGGCAGACTAAATTGCATTTTCAAAAAATGGGTTCTGGAGTTTTTTCGAAAAAGTAATATTTCCGTTTTTTATACTTATGGAAGTGCCAAAAAACACTCGCTATTTTGGATGGATCTGTAATGATAATTGGGGTTGAATTCTGGCGAAGTGGTCTCGCCTGGCATTCCGGTTAAGCATAGAATTTTGGAAATTTAATGTTTTAGAACGAACTCATAACTTAACGCAACGCGAAATGTAGTTTTTGAAATAAATATTTTCGATTACTATTTACTCCTGTCCATTGAGCTAAGAGATTTAATCAGCTTATTCGATGACAATTTAAGGTTTGAAGCAAGCGTTCTTGCCTAAGCAACGAAGTTAGGCCTTCTCGACAGAGGAATAATCCATAGATTTATAGATATTCAAGAATGTATAGAATGTACAGGAGAACGCAAATGAGCTTTCTGGCAGCGTCTAGTTATGCTTACTGGCCCGTTAATGTTTTAATGTTACATAAAATTTATATCGTTTTTTATGAGTCTAAATGCTGTAGTTGGTGTTTTCAACACTAAATGCCTATTGTAAATGCAATGCCAGATGTGTAAAAGAATTCGGCTTGCTTGCCTACAGGAACAGAGGTCTATTCAAATTGCCAATTGTGTGATGGCAAGCGCCTTTCGTAAGGAACATGAGTAAAAATAACAATTGTCGTTCATTGATTGCATGAGATTTTGTTATTTTATTTCTACAATGTTATTGCAGAATAAACACGACAGACCTTCGACAATGGTGCCGTCATTCTGCGTATGTCTGACAAGTCCATTGGCCTTCATAATGGCCATTTCACCCTTTGAAGGAATCTTTCGACAGTTTGCGTTGAGACAACGTGCATGTGTCTTTTTGTAGCGAAGGCCACAGGAGTTGCAAAGTTGATCTTGTTTTCTATCGGTCCATGAAGGTCGCCAACAAGGCGAATCGCTGGAGTGACAAGATATGCAAGTTCTGTGGGAAATTCTTTTGGGGGAAACAATTTTTTTGGCGAAGCTAAATTCTAATTTCTGCGGGGGGGAGTTGCTCGAGGTATTTTTGAAGCTTTCAACATTAGTGACAGGTGTGCTCGGCTCATGAAAAACATGATTCTGTCCTGCATTGGCACATGGAGAAAGCCGTACAGGGGATGGGGATCTTGTTCGAGGTCTGGGAGAGCACAGTTCGTGAACTTTAATGACATACTGCTTTGGTGAAGAAGGCGCGCTGTGTCTCTTAAGCGGTTTGGTTACTTTTTTTTCAGAATTGATCGAGAGTACATCTCTATTAGCGAATAGCCTCTTCAGTTCGCGAGCTTTGAAGCTGTTGGTTTTCTTGTGATTTCCGACCCTTTTACGTTTGATGGCTTGCACCAGTTTTTCGCTCATAAAGGGTGTATAGCTCAAAGGGGAGAGGCCATTTTGGGTGTTATTTGGAGGACTTATTGGTGGAGTTATAACGCCTTGCGACAAGGATGTGTTGGACAGCTCGTAGAATTGATCTTGATGGTTCAAGACAGAGGGTATGAGGGGAGCAGTTGAGGCGACGTTAGCAAGCACGTTCAAGTTACCGAAACCGGGACGTGGCAAATGGGGTGCTTCTCCGACTTCACGCTCAATATGCAAAAAGTCGTTATAATTTTCTGTTTTGCACCATTGTAACAGGTTTTGCCTCCACAACCTTGTTCGTTCCGAAGTGTCGGGATAGTGTGGGGCATATTGCTGAAGGCATGGATTTGGCAATAATCTCAAGTGACGCAGGGAAGGTAAAGGTCCGCCGTCCTCTTGATCAGAAAAATATCTGGAAGATCCCTCACTACTGCTTGAGTCAAAGCCGTTGCGGTTTGAGGGCTGATTTAAACCCGCCCAAGAACTCGAAATGAAGTGCGATGACGACAAAGAATCGCTAGCGCTGGAGGTATAGCCGGCGACAGCGTCGACCGTGCGGTCACGTGGTACTGACGCTGCTCCCGAATGTGCCAATACCTGGGACGACAGCGACGGTAACATCGTTTTCATGCACATGTTAGATTGCGACAGGAAAGGAGATGAAGTGGGCGTGTGGGGCACCCCATTGAGGACTTGTGAGGCCGGAGGAGCCGTCTTGGCTCTTTTTTGTAATTTTGATAGGTGCATGGCGTTGAAATTGGCCGGAGTATTGTGTTTAAAGCGAAACATCGCCGAGTCCATGTTAAGCGAGGGAAGAAGCAAGTCGTCCATCGCTTTTCTCGGCTTGAGTGGCTCTGCTGGACCGGGGCCGCTCGAAAGGGGCGAGGGCACACAGAAGGTTTTGGAAAACATTGACATGGTCAAGTAAAAATGAATGAATTATAATCCGTATATGGTCTAGGACCTGGGGCTCAAACACAGCGCAAAAACAGCGGTAGGCCAATTTTCAGCGCCAGAAGGTCGCTCGAGTTCAAAGATCGAAGAAAAATATGCTTGCACGATTCTACGCTTCGGTATTTAGGTCTCAACGGATCAGGCTCCCTTGATTTATATACAACAAAGCTAAGCTTAAACCGACTACCCCTCTCGCCCATGCAAGGGCTTTATCGATCAAATCGATCAAATCTATCAAGCCATTCTGTTTAAAGTAAGGGCGTGATTTGTTTTGGAAACAAAGTCAACTAAACATTCCCTGGCGTTACTAAGAGTTATAGACCAGATCCAGCAATCAGTTCCAATTACAGTAAAAAATGAAGTACCTATCTCTTACTGATTCTACCGGAGAAGTATGTTAATAGGGCGGGCTAGCTTGGAATTAATGAGATGGCTGGTGTACACCACACTTGCCATTATTTATGATCATATTAAACGAAATAATAGATCATTGCAATCTAGATCAGATATTCCGCTTGGCGATAGCAAGGTTTGAGACTTTCTCCCAATCCGTATCTGATTTGAGGTATACTGATACCCATCTTGGGGTCAAATTTACATTTCTTTAAGAACTTTCTGTTTTTCTCCCCAGCCTTGGCCCGGATCGACGCGCCAGACGGAGCTGAACATCAGAGCTTTTACATATGTTACCCGGCGCAGAATTTCCAAGATTCTACAAGGCTTTCCAGCTGAAAGATCATCAAGATGAGATGATGAGTTGGATATGGGCAGAACCCTCTGCTGGTAGCGATTACGCCAAGTCAACGAGCCGAGAAACCGTTGATCTAAGTGTACAGTTGTCTTTCAGGACCAGCAATTGACACAGATATGAGCAGTCAGTCGCAGGTTTTGGAGAATTTCGTTAAAAGGCTTCTGGCGTCGCTGGACGAAACTAATCCACAAGAGCTGGCCAAAGTGCTGCAGCTGGTAAACCCGACGAGCTGCAAGATCATTGTCAACTCGACGCCGTTTGCACAACCAGGAGCGTTCTTGGAACTGTGGCAGAGTTCGGTGGTGCAGACCCAGCACGTGATCACGGGCATGGACTATCACGTGATCCCAGGCACCGGGACACTGATATGCAGTATGAGCGGGAAAGTAAGATTCGACGAAAGCGGGAGGGACAAAACGGGCATGGATGCAGTGGTTCCGGGTGCCGCGGGCAATACGGGCACCACGGGTGCGGGCCCCAGCGCGAAGCCCAGACCTCTTTGGGGACCGTATTTCGGTGTATCGCTGCAGCTCGTACTAGATGACCGCGTTCTGGCCAACGATTTCAACGCCGTGATGTCCAGTCTCAACTACACGATGGTCTACGCGCCGGACGACTCGCTGATGGACCTGTGACTCTACGGTAGCGTATGGAGACCTGTATAAGCGAAAAGAAGCCAAAAAATACGAAATAGCCCAAAAAAGTACGGAAAATAAAGCAAGAGATCAGATGATTCTGTCAAACCGCATATGCGCGCTCGCCTGTGCGTTGCTCGTTCAAGCTTGCTCGAGCAAGCTCGAACCCTCTCAAGCACACTTCCAACAATTGCAGTTACCCAAGCTTTGTCGAAATCTGCATACAGTTGTATACGAGCCTGTGCGGAACAACCTAACAGATTATGTAAGCAAAACTATCTCATCTAGCGTTTCCCAGACGACACACTCCAACAAAAAAATGAAAATTTACCGACCGTGTTCTTGTGATTCTCGAAGGGTCAATGAATTGACGTAGCCTGAAGAAACTACAAACTAACCCCTATGCCAATATCGCTCGACATACAATCACGCAAGTAGGCTTTTGTTCTCTTAGACACAGATCGCCGTCAAACCTGCTGGGTGCTTAAGTCCGGAAAAAAACAAAGCTTTAAAGGGTCCTCTTTCATGCGTTTCGACTCGGGATGTCGTAAAAAGATCCAAATCTCACTTACGGCATCATGCATAGGCACCTATGTGTGTTGGGGCGGCGGCCAAAGAAAAGCAGAAAAACGTTGGAGTGTGACGGTTCAAGTTGGGGGAAAATGGTTTTGTGTCATTTGTCATAAAAGGGCAATGGAGTAAGCCGGGCATTGAACGGAGTATGAGGGAGATCTTCGAAGTTTAGTGACCAACATTTGGTGACATATTTAATAGAGGGGTAATAGCGGGTTTCGGAAGAGCCTTTGTGAGTTGAAACTTTGAAATTCAAAAGAAATCTCCAGGTGAAATCTCCAGGTGAAATCCTCAAGTGAAATCTTCGACGTTTTTCCGACAGAATCTATACTTATTTGTCCCAGTTCCTCCATTTTAGACACCAAGGCAGGGCGCTTTCTTTAGTTTGACACTCTCGAGAATACTATTTTTTGTGGCCCCCGAAATAATTCGTGGCACGGCTTTTTGGGAAGGTACCATATAAAAGATAGTACCTGTTAACTTTTCGCGGTTGTGTTTCTCTGTGCTGTACCGCAGCAACGACTTTCTCTCTGTTTCCCGGTTTCTCTAGCGACAGAGTTATTATAAGGACATTATGATGGGAATTCCGAAAAGTATCACCCTGCTTGTGTGTGTGATATTTGTGTTCACCGGGTTTATCCTCACCATTGTGGCCACGGCAGGGTCTACGTCGAATTACTCACCCATCAACAACGTGTATCTGGGCGAGGCTGACATCTCGCGTATCAACGTGACCAAAGTCATCCCCGAAACGGCGCCTATTCTGGACGTTTTAGCCGCAGCCATGCAAACCAGCAACGGCTCGAACGATTATCTGTTTTCTGCGCTCAGAACCATCGCCGGCACGGCCGCGCTGGGCCCACTTCTCTCGCTTTTAGGAAACTCAAACAATTTGACCACCACGGTCGAATCCCTGGCTGCTATTGCACCGCTGATCGTGCAGTCCAATGCGTCCTCGTCCTCATCTCAAGCCCTTGGACAGGTTAACTCGCTAATGGCAAACTCGAACAACGTATCCGCAACACTTGGTGGCCTCCAGACGATTCTTGCGGGTTCCTCCTCGTCGGTGCAGGATGCGAACTCGACTCAGGCCGTTTTCGAAATTTTGAGCGACTCTCACAACGCAACGGCTTCCGCCAACGCTCTTGCAGGTATGAACAACCTCAGCGCTTCGGACAAGCAGCAATTAGCACCCGTGTTTGTCATATTCCAGGAGTCTTCCAATGCTACAGCAACTCTGCAATCTCTCGGGACTTTGATTACCGCCAATATCTCTGCTGAAACTGGTGCTCAACTAATAAGCGCGCTTCAAACAGGTGGCTCGGATTTGCAAGCAACGATTTCACGGCTAAGCAGCTCTGTACCTTCCTCGATGAATACTTCCATTATGGCTCTGGGTTCGCTTTTGACGTCCTCACGTAACGCGAACACCACGCTACAAATGCTAGGTTCGTTGTTACAACAGAATGTGAGTTCTTCTGCTCCTGCTCTTGCTGCGTTCCAGGATCTAAGCGTATTGTTGCGCGAATCCGACAACGCTACTGCTACTCTAACCTCCGTGGCTGTATTGAGCAATTCAACGAGCCAAGATACGGCACAGCAATTAAGCGCTTTACAAGAGATTTTAAACTCTTCCAAGAATTCCACGGAGACAGTTGAGATCTTGCAATCCGAAGCGCAAGTACAGGCTCAAGGAAATTCAAACTCGTCATCTGAAGCTAATGAAATGGCCGTGGGCAATTTGACTAATCTTTTGCATTACTCCACAAACGAAACTGAGACCTTTATTTCGTTAATGCAATTGAGCCAATACGTCCAAGCAAACAGCACCGCTTTTACACCATTGCTGGGAGTTTTGAGCCAAGTGAATGCCCCAATTATGCCGGTCAATCGCGATGTGCTGGAAAACATTATGCCTGAGATCTTAAACAATTTGAGAGTCGATTCTCGATACAGATTGAGCATTTTCACGCTTTGCCGTGGACTCAGCACAGGCAAAATCCAAAGTTGTTCGTCTCCTCATGCGGTGCAATCATTTGTAATGAGAGACATTTTGTATGACGAGTTGGAAACCTCGGACTTCAAGCCATACATGGACGCATTGAACGTTCAAAAGCAAGATCTATACCTGGAAGGTAAGCTGCAAAAGAAGGAGCACTCGTATGTCCCAGCGGTAAGATCTGCCTTGGCATTTAACCTTTTGGTCATAATTCTTTCGTTTTTCTGTCTGATCACCTTAATTGTGAGCTTCGTGACTACCGCTTCGAAACCAAAGACTCAAAAGCTCAGCTTGTTAGCGTCGAAAATATTATTGTCGTTGGTAGCCATTTTTGCGCTACTCTCAGGTGCAATTATAACAGCGATGATTAACATCATTAAATCTGACACCAAAACCGACGATTACAACGTGAGATTTTATTCCGGATCTGCCTATTTGGGTCTAATATGGACGACATTTACGTTGTCATTCATTGCGCTCGTGATTTTGTTGTTGATCAGACCATCTGGTTTAAAGGGTGATGCTGCCGGTGCTGGTGTTCTTTCCGATGATTTGAATCCCAACACCTCTTCAGAAGCGGATTCAAACGAAAAACTGACGAGGTCAGATGTCGCCAATGCCTGAATTCCATTCGAGTTTCAGTCAGATTTCAAGCGCATTGGCGACGGTCGCTATGCTATTCAGCTAACATGCATTATCTCATCCAGGAAAATGACAATGGAGACATTGCAATATCATAACAAAAGAGATGATGAGGGTTGATAATAATTAAATCGAAAACAGAGTTCTAGTTGGAACTCCAATAATGTATTGTATACTTAAAGAAATAAAAAACCCGTACGGATGCGTACTTTGAGATCTTTAATGTTTTGTAAATGCCGGACTTAAGCCACTATGGGCTGAACGTAAGAGCGTCAGACCGCTTTGACAATGGCAAAGTCAGCTGCGCGTGCAAAAGTGGATGAATAAGAATTTTGAGAGGGGCTTTGCAAATGTCCCTTGCCGCTAGTTCTTTGTTTATACGAGAGGCTTCTCGTCGACAGGTGTGACGTATGCGTACCGCCTCGAAGTAACCGTCATCCATGCGATGAGGTTCAAAAGCGCTGCCACGACGCTTGCCCACAAGAGAGCGTAAAAGTTTCTTCCGAGCGAAAGAGAAATTCCGTAATCTGCATAGTTCTGCGAGAGAATGTGTTTGATGTAGACGTAGGTGCCCGTGCTGGTACCAGCAGATATCAGCAAGCTCAAAAAGGACACGAGCGAGAAAAAGCGTGCAAACCAAGTAAGCACGAAAGTGTGCAGGATCCAGCGCACGAGATTTAGCACGAGGTTGATGAACGCGGTGACGATACCGATGTGGAGCGTGATAAACATGCATTTGACAAGGTCGTTGTAGTACTTCATGTTTTTCTGCATTTGCTCTGGCAAAACGATGTTTGCGATGCTGTTGACAAGGCCCGCGACCTGGTTGTCGTCGATGTTGTCGTAGATGATTTTCTTGAGGTTGAATTCTTGAATTCCGCTCGGCGATGTGCACGATGTTACGTCTGTAGACGAAGTTCCGACGCAATAGCTGTAGACACCTAGATTGACGAACGAGGGCAAACCGAGCGACGACAGCGACACGGAACCGGCGCCCGGAAGCACAGTCGAGACCTGGATACCCGACAGATCAAGTTGAGCCTCATATATCTTGTTGATTGGGTCGTAGTTTTTAGTAGACCCTGCGCATGCGACTATGGCAAGAATGCATGCTGCGAACGAAAGGAACGCTGTAAGGAAAAGTCGAAAACAGTTACCCATATGTGCTAGATCAAAAAGTGTCTCTGCTGTAGTGAGAGCCTCAAACGGATTCCCTTCAGAATTGTTTCAAATTGCAGTTTCCAGGACTTTTTTTATCCGAGCCACTTGCTAAATTCTTGCACTACTACGCTTTTCGTGGTTCCAGTCTGCGCTTCACCTCTACGTTTATATCTATCACTAAACACAGATCACTATACATGAAACGAAAATGATCCGTCACCGCCGACTTTACCGGCGAAGCCGGCTTCGTCAGCTTCAAAGGATCAATAGCCCATTTTTGACATCATAACTGCTCCTTGCCGAGGGTTACCGTCTGATTTCCTAATTTTAAATTAGTGGCTTGGCGGTTTTTTGGTCTTTGTGCTGCTGTACGTGGTGGACGCACTGGGTTTACTAAGGGTTTATTCGGGTTAATTTTTCGAAAACCAGCCTTGCTGTAGGCAAAAATAGAAATACTGACGCAGACCATCATAAAGAATGTGACAGAAATGGCTGAAGGGGAGAAAAGACTGAACACTGCCTGAGTCTCATCTACTGTAAGTTTCTTTCAACATTTTGTAGCTAAATTAACGTTGTAAAGGCGACTATCAGTGAATTACTATTGCTCTATTTCCTGCGAGATTCGTGACCCAGATATCGCTATGCGGTGAATACTTTTTTTCGTGATGGACGCCTCCATGTCTCTAAAGCCTCTACCTCTAAAGCCTCCTATATATGTCTTGCGTGTACTCTCATTCTGCTTCCGGACGCTGGCTGGGTGTGGCTTCGGCATCGGGACCTGTGCCACCGTCAAAGGCGATGTGAAGGAGGAGAGGAGGAATGGGATTTATAACATATCGTATAAAAGGATAGAGCTACTTAAGTGAGAAAAGTTGTCACGTGATATTAGTCGACCACGTGACTGTTTGAGATATATACCGTTTTACGAAATACCCATTTGGATACTCAATATCATATCACGTGAGAAGCAAAAGTAAGTAATCGTTTTGAACGACAATACCCGTTTGCTACTCATTTCACTGCTTTATTCGTTTCCCCACACGAGCAACAACTGACCAAAGTCCATCTCAAACCCCTACGCTTAATGTATATAAATATTTAAAACAACTACAGAAGACGGTTTGCCGATTAGAACCCCGCGACATAGGGATCCCTAAGATATATCTGCAAAATCCCGTTTTTGCATCTGTTGGTAGACACCGTTTGTTTGTCCCAATTCACTAGTTTTATTGGCCCGAGTTTTATTCAGATCTCATCGAAACACCTCAAGAGCACCAGAAACGTTCCACTTGCCTACTTTTTGTCCTGAAAAAAAAATGCTGGCGTTCTACCAAAAGCATCGTCTTCGTATACTAAAAAGCACGTACGTGTTGCTTCTTCTCGCCATGCTCCAGAACTTGAAGTCGTCCCGGCCCAAACGAACGCGCGAAACGAGATCGTCCAGCACATCTCAAGCTGACCGACAGACGTCACTGGTGCGAAGAGATCGATCAGACAGCGAATATGGGTCACAGGACGACGATGCGAGCAGTTCTCGTGTCGTAGACTCGACGAAAAACGCCGCTGAAACCACCGCTGAAACCGCCGCATCCTCGTCCCCCAATTTTCTTTTCAAGCTCATCATGCGCGACTACAGATGTCTTGCGCTGTTCGCGTTTCAAGCGACTCTTCTTGTGTTCCGCACCGTGCTTTCCATTCAAGTTGCAACCCTCGACGGTATGCTCGTGTCGAGGCTAGTAAAGGCGAAATACGCGAGCTTTCTACGCATTTTGCTCGGGAAATGGATGGTTTTGGGCGTTCCTGCTAGCATTATCAATTCCCTGATTCACTACACAACCAGACTTTGCGCCGTTTCTGTCAATCGACTGTTGTCCGATCATCTGCTCGACAAATATATGTCTTCTCACCACACATTTTACACCGCCAATAACAACTCTCACGGCGCCCGCCTCGTGGTCACCGACGCCTCTAAAGTTGGTGTCACTACGGAAGACGAGGAACTCGCTAAATCGGACCTGTCCGTACAGTATCTCACTCGCGACGTGGGCGCGTTCTCGTACAATCTGTCCGTTTTATTGAGTCAGCTGTTGAAGCCCACCCTAGATCTCCTTTTATGCTCTTTCAAGCTTGTGTCTGCAGCCGACAGTGGGATGATGGGCGAGGGTACACTCGTACTGGGTATCATTGTTCACATAAGTAACCTGTTACTGAAAATGATCCAGCCCAACTTCACCAAATTGTCTATTCAAAGAACACATCTCGAGGGCCTATTCAGAAGTCTTCACTCTAAAATTCATACTAGCTCAGAGGAAATTGCTTTGCTCAAGGGCCAGGTAACAGAGCTATGGAATTTGGATTCCAGATTTTACCAATTAGCCCTTTTCTTAAACAGGGAACTAAAACTGCATGCAGTGTATGATTTTGCCACCACATTTGTTATCAAATATACTTGGGGTGCAGCCGGACTGGCTTTATGCTCGATCCCAATCTTTTTCCAAAAAGAGCGGCATAACGACATGACAGCGGAATTCATCACTAACCGCAGACTTCTGTTGACGGCTTCCTCATCCGTAGGCCGTTTTGTTCAGCTCAAGAAAAGCGTCCAGCAACTGCGAGGAGTTACTGTTAGGTTAAGCCAATTTAACCACAAGCTAGATCGTGGAAATCCTGCCACTATTCTGGAAGATAGCGACTCCTTGGTCGAATATGATGATTCCAGAATTCAGTTCATAAACGTTCCTCTAGTTACACCAAGCCTCCAATTACTTGCCCCTGAGCTGAACTTCGAGGTAAAACAGGGAGATCATTTACTTATCATTGGCCCTAACGGATGCGGAAAATCATCTTTATTCAGAGTGTTGGGTGGGCTTTGGCCAATAATGAGCTCGTTCACCAATCCTGAAAGAGAAACCAAGTTAATAATGCCCAGAAGAATAGGTCCTAATGGTGAAAAGCCCATTTTCTATTTGCCACAGAAGCCCTTTATGGGTAATAAGTTCAGCTTTAGGGAACAATTGATATACCCTGATACCATCAAAGATTTCGAAAAGAGATTTGAAGGAGACTATGAGAAAGGAGATGAAAAGCTGATCAGCATTTTGCACACGTTAGAATTGGACGACCTCATAACAGAAAACATGTCCATCATTATGGCCACTTCAGCCAACAGTGACACACAGTCTGAAGTGTCAATAAGGCAGTCCTTCGATTGTGTTCGAAAATGGTCCGAAGAGCTGTCGACGGGTGTACAACAGAGATTGGCAATGGCGCGCATGTACTATCATCAGCCCAAGTTCGCCGTCTTGGACGAATGCACTTCAGCTGTGTCACCAGAAATGGAACAGAAAATGTATGCACACGCACAAGAATTGGGCATATCCCTAATCTCAGTGTGTCACAGAACAACGCTCTGGCATTTTCACAATTTACTTTTAAAATTCGATGGTGAAGGGTCTTATGAATTTGGCCCATTTGATCCGGAACAACGGCTCCATGATGAAGAGCAGCTCATGAAACTGAATGCCCTTTTGGAAAAAGATGTCCCAGTATGGAGAAAACGGTTGAATGAGCTTATTATAGCTAAGAATTCAAACTTTCTTCGTAAATCTCAGACTGACTTGAAGACGCTTCCTTCCAAGAACAGCTTATTATTGACTGGACCAACGCCGCCTCGTTAAGGTGAGCAGTCTGCTTGATTTTAGAGACTCTTCTGAAGGTCTTCTGGCTATTCTGGTCAGGTGTACATAGAGTTGCTATGTCTTATTTATATATTTGCTGGTCGTTAAGTTTTTCGGCTTACAGTTCGACTGTCGAAAACCCATCCTGTAATGAGCAGACCTTGGATAAAGAGACCTGTGATCTATGCATTTAAGCCAATGGAAATATGTCGAGACCACGAGTTCTGGGCAACCAGTTCTGAGAGATAATGAACAGGACATTTACGTGGAACAAGTTGTCGGGTTATACCAGGGTAAAGCGAAAATGATAGGGAAACAAAAAGGACGGATTTATCTCACGACGCAACGATTAATATATATGGACGATGCCAAACCAAAAGAAGAAAGTATAGCACTTGAGCTAGACGATATTACCTCTGTGGAATACTCGTCTAAATTCCTTAAGAAATCTGCAAAGTTGATCCTGTTTTTGTTGAAGCCGAATGGATCGTCATTGCGAGAAGACAAGGAGAGGGGATTTACCGTAAATTGGGTGTGTCCCATCTGCATGATGACGAATGAGTCTAGTAGTGATTTGAATGAATCTTTACAAGAGATGCCACCTTGCATTAATTGCGGCATTCGAGCTGATTACGAAATGCTTAAGGACTCTATAAGCAGAAATCTGAGCGATTCACATGGGGAAGCTCCAAACCAGGATTTAGGGAGCATTGAATGTCCTGCATGCACTTTTCTCAATAACTTATACATGAGTAATTGCGAAATCTGTGGATGTCGATTGCCTACAGAAAACAAGGCAGTGAGGACCGTAGGCTTCAAAGACTCCAGAATAAAAGTCAAATTGGAATCTAGCGATGGAATTTACGAAAATTCCAAGAGTTACGTGCAGCTAAGCTTCCGAAAATCGGACGGTACAATGTTATGGCAAGCTACACAAAAGGTGTTAGAGGATAGAGAGAGAAAAAGGAACAGTCCTATTTTAAATCAGGGAGTTACAACCGTTAATGGTGTTAGTATCAACGAGGAAATAACTTTGACCGAAGATAAATTGAGCAAAGTTGGCATCGCAGGATTGGAGAAAGCACAGGAAAATCAAATTATCAAAAACGATATTTTGCTGAACAAAGCATTAACAGATCTAAACAGCCTCATGAATTTAGCTTCTGAAATCGAATTGCTCTATGATAAGGACAGCTCAGCGAAAACTGCCACCAAATCGCCGTTTCTAGTTGTTGATCGAGAAAAATTTCTGAACAAGTCATTGTTCATAGACGAAATAGCCAGAGAGGTATACGATTTCATTATGTCAGAGTTCAAGGAGCAGAAGGAAAGGGAAGGAGTAATTCTGATAACATTAGTGGATGTTTATGCGCTTTACAATAAGTCTATGCGAATCGGGACGGGCTTAGTATCACCCCAAGAGCTTCGAGAGGCATGCGAGAAATTCGAAAAGCTGGGTCTTCGAGATTTGACATTGAAAAAGCTCAATAATAGAGTTCTGTGCGTTTCTTCAGGCGATTCGTTCGATTTTATCAAGGGCAAAATTTTGAAAATCGTCAGTGCGGTGCCGGGCGCCGACCTTTTACAATTAACACAGAAACTCAACTCAAGCAGTTCTAATGCATGGACCGTTGGAATCATCATGGAAGTGCTACAAAATTGTGTTAACGAGGGTAATTTATTGATAGATGAGCAAATATCCGGTATTCACTATTATGTAAACTGTGATTGGAAAATCAATTAAGAATTTTCCTTCAGTTAACCAGGTTCTTTTGAGGGGACGAGCCCAGGTAAGGTTCACTACCAGAGGAAACAAGCCGGGGCAATGCCTCAATTTCTTGAGAAACGTAATCCTTTTCATCCAGAAACGTCGAGTCTTTACTGTCAGTGTTGAAATTCTCGAAATACTGAAGCAGCTTTTCTCTATTTTTGATCAAAATATCAAGAACCTGTTTGGATTTTCGAGGATTAGCGATGAACACTTTGAAGACGTTGAATGAGCCTATTTGTAAATTCTTGGAGCGATCGCTCAAAAGTATCATGATAAGCTTCAAATTTTCAGGTGAATTAATGTAGGACGTGAGAAGTTGATTGTAAGCTCTTACCATGATCAAGTTGTAAAGTAGCTTAATGCTTTGCCTTTTGGTCACGTAATTCCCGTGTGCTATGAGTTTGTTGAGTCTACTGATGAAACGCGACAGAAGCACGGGTTGACTGAAAAACTCGGTTGAAACCAGTTTGTGATGCGAGGTAAAGGTGTTGGTTAGAATTTGCAAGCTTTCCGTGCTTACTTCAAAAGAGCCCTGTCTTGCGTAGTCGAAGAATTTCCACATCTGTTGATCCTTGAGGATCAAGCGACACAATTGCTCATACTTAACGCATTCAAGTACTACCGATCCCACTGTAAGGAAAAGATCGTTGGAATTAGATTTGGCCAACGCGAGTTCTGTGGTCCGTAACATGAGTGCTATGAATCGGGGTCTGGCCACGAGAAAGTCGACTGTGACAAGCTTGTTGTCCTTGGATCGCCTCAAACAAGTTGAAAAGATCAGCGCCACATCTTTACAAGCTTCAAAATCAAGGTCCGTGAGATGCGCCAGCAGGTCATACAGCAAGTCTGTGTGATAGATGGCACCGAACAACTCGTCGAGGGACTCTGTGCTCGGAGCAGGATCCACTTCGCCCAACATGAAATGCTTCGTCCCAGTCAAATACTTGCTACATTCGTCTTGCGTCTTGCGTCTGCTGTCGGCTGTAGAGGCGGTTTCGAATTTGTTCAACTGCTCGGAAAGAAGCTTTGCATAATCCGAAGGAGACTTAGGACTTTTCTTCCACCAAAACGCCATATTTGACACTGAATAACTCGATCTATCGAGCACTGTTGGGTCTTATGAGGTTGGATCATGATACAGGTTTTTAAAGCGCCACACGCGGTAGATCCACACAAAGTAATCAAATCATACCGTACGAAACCCATCGCTATGTTTTAACCATCTCTCTTAAACACCCTTGCAATCAGACCAAAGCTTTCCTCATGGGAGTCTCATGCAATTTAAAGGACAGATATATTCCATTGCAGCTATCAGTGGAAACACACTAATATGTCTCTGTTGCAAAATCTATCACTGTCGCAATTTTTTCAAAACTGAGCATCGGCACTAAGTAACATTGATATCCTGCGGCTTAAAAGAGTCGAAAGTGTGCACCGTAGTAAATCTGCAACCCCATTCCTCTTTTTCTTGTCTCCTTTCAGATCGCGCGACCGCTATGACAGTTTTTAGTATGTCTCGATCTGCATTACGATCTGGCAAAATCGAGTTTCCATCGTCCAGTGACACCATTCACAGTAGTTCTGAACACACGGTTTTATAGAGGTTCGCTGAAGGTAGCGGAAAGTTTCCAAATTGTTGGGCTGAAGGAAGGCGAACCGAATACTCTTATTTCTCCGTAATTAACTTGACTTCTCTAATACTAATGGCATCGTTTCTTTATGTAGATATTGTAGTACCGCATTCATTAATCACTCTGTGCCAAAAGGCTGGAAACATGCTGGAAAGAGTTCCCCACGGATGGTGCTGTCAAATTGTATTATTGATTGTAAGTCTCACGTGACAATCATGACAGAATAAAATGAAGAGATTAAACGGATGGTTTGCATTCGTTAGGAAGTGATGGTAATTTCCCAGCGATGGTCCTAGAATCATCAGAACACCTGCAAAAAGCAATAGTCGCATGGTGAATATCGAGAGGTGGAAAGTTTACCATTTATCTTGTCGGACGTATACGTTATGAGCCAGAATGTATAATTGGGATTGTATAAAAAGAGACGATACGACCAGCTTTGTAAGGTATTGTTGTCACGACAACCTCGCAGAGATGTAAGTGCTCAATACTTAATATATAACATTAAGAAAACCATGAACGAATTAGGAGAATCGTACAAGAACTTGTTGACCACCGAGGCAGATCAAACGCAACAGTTTACGTATCACGGAAAAGTTCATGCAGACAAGAAACCCGCCAGGTTCATGGCCTGTGTTGCAGCAAAGAGCGCTTCGAATGGCGCAAAAAAGTAGATGACTACCACTGGTAATGGTGCGTACGAGGTTCGAACTCGTGCGGACAACCGTCCAACAGATCTTAAGTCTGCCGCCTTAACCACTCGGCCAACACACCTATCAGTACAAAGTGATATCCATCTTTCAACACCGCCGACTAGGAGACTTGAACACAAGCCGCTTATCAGAAACGAAGGTGTTTCACCGTCGTGCCAGACGGTGAACAGTCGAGGATTATGAAAACTTATAGGTATATAACCCTAAGAGGCATTACGGGATGTGGCCAGAGAATTCCAACAACGTTGCATTCTCTTCAAGGGCACCATAACTCAAGCATTGTCTTTGAGCAGGGCCTGCCACCAATTGACCGGATCTTTTCTTTGTTCAAGCCGTGTGATATATCATTTAGACGCTTCACAATTCGCTCCAAGATATGTTTCGCGTTATGACAGGGATAACGATGCAAGGATCATATATTGGCACTTGTGCAGCTTGATTCACACGAGAGCTTTCAGGTTCTCAAAAAGCAGAACTTTAGAAATCCTATCTGCGATTCTTCAAAAGTCCTTCGGCGGCTAGAATCTGATGCCATATTACAAACGTCCTTGCGAGAAAGGAATAACCGCAGAGGAAGTGAAATGAACTATTCTTTTATAAACAGATGAGGTTTCTGCACCAAGGGGGGATGGGACTTTCTTCCTCAATCAGCATCCTTCTGAGAGAAATACGACGCTTCAAATATTGCTTCCCACCCCCCACAGAGTGTGAAATCAACAGCAAAGATTTCATAGTGGATTTGACGCCGGAGCCACCTTGCAAGACAACTGATCTGGAATCTCTTGAGAAGCGGGAAAGCTCTCCAAAGACGCAAATGATACGTCGGTGCCCTTTTTCCTTCGCGTGAAAAGTGCGGAAACTTAATTTGACGCAAGTCAACTTGCTCAAAGATCGTATGGTCCTAACAAGCCATGACGGCAAGGTTTTAGCGAGAAAGCAGTATACATTGTGGACTTAGATATTCATCTGTAATGGCAGGCATTTATTCGCAGGTGAATTGTGGGATGCTGACGATCACGGGCTGTTATCAGGTCGACGAGATTTAATGTGTAGTCACGTCAGTTCGGTTGAGTCACGAAACTAGCAGGTTATATTACGCAGAAAGCTTCATTTATTAAAATAACGAATAGAAATTTCTCGGATGTCTTAAGATCTGGGCTTGGTAGATGTTCCGCTGTCAGGAAAAGGAAACCAAGGATACCAAATTATGAGCGGTGAAAAATTACTCACCTATAAACATGGAAAGCAGGAGGAGGTCGATTATGATGGGCGCAGTCCTTTTTGAGATTGAAATGGTCCAGGAGGGACACAGAGGTGGTGACTTGGATGAGAAAGCTAATTCCAAAATAGCCGTTGAGGACACCATTGCGTATCGCAAAAGGAAAATCCTTTCGTAATTTAGACCTGGGCAATAAAGAATCGCAGTGTACCTTGGTTCTGGATCATGGGGCAAAAGCTAGGATGTCTCAGAGTCTCAGACTAACAACCACCAGATATCGGTTAGGCTCGAAAAAAGCCTGTCTGCTACCACTATACGCGTCATATAGTGTCCCTTTGCTGACAAGGTAAAAGTTCATCAGATTTTAACACTTCTGAGCAAATACTCATTCCGCATCATCAAATAATAACCAGAGGCTCCTTAATAGAATGGGGGTTTTCAAATGATCGACATTTTCAATAACAAAACGCTGTCCTTGTCGCAAAGGGCGGCAAGAATGACGAGAGACCTGAACTGTTGCGTATTGTGTCGACCATGTTACGATTACGATTACTACATGCAAGCTCGCATGCCGTGTTTCAATTGCAACAAAGGTATCGGCTATCTGTAGTTATGGGAGACCGTCCTCAATAACGAGCCAGAGTAGTCAAATTGACAGTCAATGGACAAAAGGCAGTGGGCCTCAAAGGCGACCAGTTGGAAGTAGCTTGTAAAAGCGACGTCACACCAGCTCCCTAAATTAGACCTAAACTTTGAACGTGAAGTAAGGGATTGCAAGTATTGCTGATACAATTCCAAAATCAAATGAAATACGCGCCCGTGAAAGAGACTTAAATTTTGGTATCACAAGTGTGAACAAATATATTAATTAACGAGGAGCTTCCCCGTTACAGAGCGAGGTTCCCAAATTATGGAAGACTTCCGAAGCAGGTTGATTAAATTGTCCAAAAGTTCATCAACTTGGCAGATCAAACCATACTATTTTGTCCGATTCGAAATCGACGAATACGGCGTTTCAGATAGAAGCCACAAGGTAAGTGCACACAGGGGCCGTTGTACGTCATCATTCGAACAATTGGCCTACCGATACAGATAAAATATTTTCGCAAAGGAAGCTTTGTCTTCCAATCAATCATCAAACTTGACTCAAGCTGATTGTATATTCCATGTTCAGCCTGCATTTTCACGAAGCCTCCACTTTCACTAGTGTTTCAACTAACTTGAGAACATCGTCTCCTTCGTGAGATGTACTTCCAGACGCATATTCTGGATTTTCCAACTTGGACTTGACAACTTGATCCAGTAAAAATCTCAACTCTTTGATTAAAACACCATTCTTACACCATGTTCGAATTGGTAGCCAATGGTCAATGACCATCCCTGGAGAGTGAGAGGAACCAATCAGATCATAGTGGATTGGTCCACCGAAAAGTAGAAGCGCTATAGTAGAAGTGGGCGTGATGTCTCGCAAAAACAATTTCGAGGTCAATTGAGAACCGTTGAAAATCGCAAAGGGCGCCTTAAGTCTAACGCGATCAGAAGTAACGCTTTTGACTTCTATTTCAGAGGTAAATTCTGCGAGAGGAAGGCCGTTCTCTGAGTTATTTGCGAAAAAGACAGAAGAGGGGTGAAGAAAGGCTCTTGTAGCAGGGAACCTGTCATTTACAACCTCTGGAGCTTCTTCGGATGCACACAGACCGTCAATGTATGCCTCGTTTCTGATCCAGTATTTTGTCAATTTAGCATCGGGATCCTTTTCGATGGCACCGGAGCTTGTGCTGAGAAATTTTGGATCCGGTAATTGTACGCGCGCAACCTTTGGATAAAAGGCTCCCGTCATGACGCATTTGATCACATCGCGATTGTCATCGTTTCTGTTGAGATATCCGCTATAATTTGCTTTATAAGCCATGGGTAAAAAGCCGACGTCTTTCAAAATCGAATACAGCTGAGTTCGAGACGAAAGGATTTCTTGAACACCATTGAAAGACATGCAATGTTTGGAGGCAAACACGCGTTTGTCTTTCGATGGTCCTATGTTCACGTATTCACCCATAATGTCCACCATGCAAAGTAAGTCGCCGTCGCTACCACGCAGGGAACATATTTCCTTTATTTTATTTCTGTTCTGCTGCGTGTAAGTAAAAAGCGACCCAGCGGCACCTAAAATTGCTGCGAGCATTACCCCCTTGTCTAAACACCCAAATATTAACGACAATATCAAGAGCTTGCCATGCTTGTGATCCATTACAGGCATCATTGAAATAAAGCGTCCCAGTTCGGTCAATTCATTGGAATCTTCTGTCAAGAGTCCTGCTGCGGACAAAACTTGCTGCGATTTTTGCAGCGATTTCAAAGGCGGAGGATCTAAGCCTTTGCTTAAAAACTTGACCACATCTTGAATCCCCATAGACTTAACTGATAGGTAGAGGGACTCCAGGGCTACTCTTTTAATTTCTGGCAAGGGTAAGCTTTGCATTCCATCGTAGACGGTTTTAGAGAAAAGCTTGTACGAGTAGCCGGCACGAACTCTTCCAGCACGTCCCCTCCTTTGCTTTGCCTCTGCCTTTGAAACAAAACTTTCAACGAGTCTAGTTGTATTATCATCAGGATTATAAACCATGGTTTTTACCCGTCCAGAATCTATTGTGGCAACACAATCGTCAATTGTAATAGAAGTTTCAGCAATGTTTGTGGACACGACAATTTTCCTTTTACCTCTGAAATGTTTAAAGACAGATTTCTGCTCTTCCGGTGTCAATGCAGAGTGAAGAGGTAAAACAACCAGAGAACCTGCAATAAGCGATGATTGTAGCGTTTTGCAACAGGTGTTAATTTCACCCGTCCCAGGCAAGAAAATCAGTATTGAGCCCTGATTGTTTTCCGCCTTTAATTTGTCATGCACATGCTGAGTTAACTGACTTATTAACTCGTAATTTATCTGCCCGCTTGTGAAAAATTTGGAATCAGCGCTGGGCTTGAGATATTCATCAAAATTGTCCTCGTCAAACTGGTTGGTCAGTTTCTTTCGCCTTATCTTGAAGTCTAGCTGCTCCAGTATCTCTTCCAGATAAAAGTCTTGTATGGGAAATGTGCGGCCTTCAATGTGACAACTTTTTAAACCTTTGAAAAATGACGTGAAAATATCCACGCTCACCGTCGCACTCATTAAAATAATCTTCAAGCCACGAATCTTTTTGATCAAGTTACCTAATAAGATCACAATCAAGTCGGTGTCGACAGAACGTTCATGCACCTCGTCAATGACCACGATCGAATCTTCAAGAAAAGCCCTCGAGCCTTGTAAAATTCGCACCAAGACACCAGTAGTCATAAACCTTATCTTAGTCAGGGGTTTGGTCTTATTGACACCTCTTATAACGTAACCAACTTCTTCGCCGACATCGTCGCATCGTTCTTGAGCCACACGCTCGGCAAGACCGATGGCGGAAATTCGTCTCGGTTGCGTACAAATGATCTTGGTTCTGTGAGATGGACCTTTCTCTTGATAAAGATAATCTAAAACGAATTGAACTACTTGTGTAGACTTACCCGAACCTGTCTCACCAGTGATCAAAACAACGTCATTATTTTCTATCAGGTCGACAATTGTGCTCTTAAGCTTCCATGCAGGAAGCCTCTGTCGATTTTCAAGCATCTTGCCATATTCACTGGAATTCGATCTATCGTTGATCATAGCCTTAATGCGTTCAATTTCACCTTCAGACAGGTCACTGTCTCTGATGTGTCGTTTTCTGGCAGTTCCCCGAATTTTATCATCCCCCTTCTTACCTGGGTCCTTATATGAGCCACGTCTCTCTTCTTCAGTTAAAAGAGAACCAGGATTCTCAATTATGGTTGCCAAATTATCTTGGAGCCATTCAAACATATGGAATACTAGTATATCGCCGAGTAGCCCTGATTTCGTGATATGGTGGATCATTTTAGATAATATCGTTTGTTTGATGTAATTCGGAATCTTAATGTTTTTATCAAATGTTGACACAATGACTCCCGGAAGGGTTCTGGGATAATGCTTTGTTTTATAGATTCTAAGTTTGATACCAAATTCCTGAGAGAGATTTACGTTGTAAACATCTCGATCCTTGGTAAAAGTCTCCACCGTATCAGAGCCGTAAATGCTTTCGAAGCTTTCAAGTTCTTGTAACCAAATTTCGTTTGATTCTTCATCATCGTCATTAAATTCTTCTGCATTGAGACCAGGAGCATATTTCATGGTCAAAAAGCCCACCGCTTCGTTTTCGTTGAAATTGCAAGTCTCAAGAGCATATAAGCATTCGTCGTATGAATAACCACCTTCCAAGAGTCGATCAATCATATTACTCTGCTTTAGAGGAAGAGACGCGACCTCTACGCGTGTCTTAGAGTCTTCGCGTCTTTTTCGGAAGAAAGGTGGAAGATCATCTTCTGGCAAATTCAATAGTAAAAATGAAAGAGGATCTTCATAATGCATTGCCTCGTCAACATGGGCTTTTCTGAAGCCGAATGACAAGATCTCGTTTCGCAGACTTTCTCTGACCTTAGTGGCCGGATTTTTCGACTCTTTCGCATCCCAGTCTATGCGGGATCGCAGAAAATCTTCAATCAGATTTCGAGAACTCTCGTTCAAGTCGATAAATGCGGCCCTTTCCCAAACTTTTGCAGGAAACCGGACGGCGCGGTTCTCCCGAATTATCTTTGAAGCCAAAACTGGCTTCCGGTTTCCCTTGGGTTCTGACTTGGTTCTCAGGGAAGTTAACGTAAGCGGTGTCTTGCTTTTCTTATCCTCATGTTGGACCTTGGCTAGTCGCTCTTTCTCTTTCAACTGATTAACCTTCCTCTCTTCCAAACAAGTCTTGAAAGGATCCACGTCAAACAACGTTGCAGCTAGTCTTTTATTCCTATTCTCGAGTTCTTTCCTGTAATCATCCAGTTTATACCAAATTGCTTTGTGGTTTGGAGGCAGCATCATATGCAGGTTAGTGTTGAATGCAATTCGACATAATGCAACAGTTGCAGCATAATGTCGTGCCTCTATCGCCGTTTCTTGGCACTCCACAGCGCCCTTTCCGGTGGATTTGTCGTAAGTTGGATCTCCCATTCGAATTTTGATCTCTTCGGTACTTTTTGGATCCGTCCATGACAGAACTGCAGTACCTACGAAACCCTTCTCTCCAATTTTTTTCATGTCGTATTCGACCTTGTTCCATTTGCGCTTTTGACAGTTTTCATGAAGTAAGGTGTGTGGCAGTTTACCCGTCCAGCTCGAGGTTGATGCCACTTTAGCTCGATGCAATTGTCGTGCAGCTTTTCGATCTTCATCTTGCGCATTCTTGGCCGTTTTTTCGCCCCTGTTTTTAGATTCCGATTCTGCTGAAAGAGGCTTCTTAGATTTCTTGGCCATTGACTCTCTTAAGTGTCAGTAGTGCCTATGTGTGAGGCCTTTTACTATCAAATAAGTCATCTTCTTGCTAAGCTCGACTTTAATTTTTGAAAAATATTCAATCTTTTGAGAACCAGACTCAGGTGTCAATACTGCAAAAACAAAGCGAGTCAATGACCACGATAGCCAAAGTAAGAGCTTGGCTCGTGCAAGGAAAGGATTTGTCGCTTTTCGATGGTTCTGGTGAGCCCACGGATGATATCGTTCAAGCTAAGCAAGTTGTGTTGGGTCCTGATGAAAAACTCGATTTAGACAATGCTTCTGGTTATGTTATTGATGGCGAAGACATTCCACTGAGGATAGTACTACATTGTTGGCAAAATAGAGGCTCAAGTGCAGCTGATTATGTGTCTGACTGTGAGAGAAAACAACTAAGGAATGTTTCTTTTCTTCAAAGAACAGATCTAATACGGTGGCTTTCGGGTGAAAGCGAAAGTAGCTCGTACATTGAAGAAGAAGCATCAAACAGGAAGAATGCAACTGCCGAGTTGAACGATGAGCCTGCATCCGTGGAAAGTGGAGTAGTCACCGATCCTCTGCTTACAGTTGCATTGGCCAATGAACAAACCGTTTTGGATCACAATTGTTCGCTTCGTGGTTCGAAATCTACGAACTTCAATTATCTAATAAGAGAAGCAGAATTGAAGCTGGTGCATTCTTTGAAAAGCTCGCGTCGTAGTGGCAAAGGCGGAGAGAGTAAAGGCATCTCGAAAGAGCCAGGTTTGCGAAAGTTACCCAAAAAAGATCCAATTATCTTGATACCCTCTGCTGCCTCGTCTATCTTTACCGTTGACAACATCAAACAGTTTTTGGAGGATTCCGTGTTCATACCGTCACGAGCTGCGGCTCCTACCAATAAAGATGTAACTACGGTAACGAAACAACTGGACAGATTTGCTAAGCCGATAAAGTTTTTAATCGTGAACAATACGCGACTGTTTACAAAACCAGAATACTGGGATCGTGTGATTGCCGTGTTTACAACGGGTCACGCGTGGCAGTTTAACAGCTACCAATGGTCTGAACCCAGTGAACTCTTCCAGCGTTGCAAAGGATATTATTTCTATTTTAGCGGTGACGTTGTGCCGAAACATGTTGAACAATGGAACGTTCAAAAGATTGAACTAGACAAAAACAAACGGTTTAGGGACGTTGAAGTTCTTCGTCTATTTTGGAATAGCATTGAAAAAGAGCTTGTTGCGCGTGGGTATCATTAGAGATATCTGAGATATGTCCAAGTGAAATTCAGACAATCAAAGAGGATTGAATGACAATTTTATCATCGAGAACTCATATTGAATAAAAAGAGCAAACTACAAAGGCAGAAACTGTACAAAGAAAGTCTTTAAAACACCTTGACCCCATCAGGAAGCTCGTTTTAAGTATCCCGCCTGATCTACTACATTATCCTCAGAAGCACCCAGGAATCTTCGAATTTATCGTTTTTGGTCTCGCCTTTAAACTGGCGTTAACCGTTATCTGCAGAATTTTGCAACGATAGTAAGACTCTAATAATAGAAATAATAAAGTGCTTAAAGGTTTGAGTTTGACCCGTCTATGGCTTGGGTTCGCTTGACTGACTTGAACTTGGTTTTGGTCGATTCGTCCGTAATGCGCGATGAGCAACTGATTTGATTAGATGATTAGAGAGGGAACTGGATCAGAAATTTGATGAATTTAAAGAGAACCATAGCTACAATATCTAGCTAAGTCAAGTGGGAGATTCTCCAATGTATAGTAGTCAAAACAGAGCTTCGAATTTGTATCCTATACCGCATCAAAATGGATATTCTATTCAAGGTCAACAGCAGAGCCTCGAGGCGAGTTCTTGGCAGCGACCACATGAAATGGTAGAAGCTAAGAGCACGAGCCCAGTCGGAGGAAAGCCAATGCTTATGGCAAATAACAATGTGTTTTCAATTGGGCCTTACAAGAAACGGAAAGATGCCAGTCGAATTTCCGTAGTAGAAAAATATGAGATCATTGGATACATTGCAGCGGGCACATACGGTAAAGTCTACAAAGCACGACGAATTGAAAACGGTGAGGAAAGAGTTTCGGGGTTAGATACTGGAGGAGCCAGTTTAACATCGTCAGTGGAATCGACGAAAGATTTGGGGCTTGCCATGGATGCTAAATTTATAAATCAGTCAACCAGAGTACATGAAGCTGGTACCGGCGATTTTCAACAACTTGGGTCAAAACAGGATGCTAGTGATCTTTTGAATAACGCAACGAAAGAGTCTAATCGAAATGGCACTTCAAACAGCGCTGATTCCAGCAAGGCTTCCCCTTTCTACGCCATTAAGAAATTTAAGACTGAAAGAGAAGGAACAGAACAATTACATTACACAGGTATTTCGCAAAGTGCATGCAGAGAAATGTCGCTTTGTCGCGAGCTCAAAAATAAACACTTAACTCATTTGGTGGAGATTTTTCTCGAGCGGAAAAGCATCTATATGGTGTCAGAATTTGCCGAACATGATTTACTCCAAATAATTCATTTCCACTCGCATCCAGAAAAAAGACTGATACCTCCCAAAATGCTGAAATCAATCATTTGGCAAATCTTGGATGGGGTCTCATATCTACATCAAAATTGGATTCTGCACAGGGATTTGAAACCTGCCAATATAATGGTGACCGTTGATGGGTGTGTAAAGATAGGAGACTTGGGATTGGCAAGAAAGTTCAACAATATCGTTCAAACACTCTATACTGGTGATAAAGTGGTAGTGACAATATGGTATAGGGCGCCTGAGCTTTTACTCGGAGCTCGACATTATACTCCTGCCATCGATCTTTGGGCCGTGGGATGCATTTTTGCGGAGCTGATAGGACTGAGGCCCATCTTCAAGGGAGAGGAGGCTAAGATGGATTCCAAGAAAAGTGTGCCTTTCCAGGCTAATCAATTGCAAAGAATTCTTGAAATCCTTGGAACGCCGACTGAGAAAACATGGTCACATATCCACAAATATCCTGAATTTGAGCAATTGGCCAGGTTTCCGAAATACCGCGACAACCTGCCAGTCTGGTATCATTCCGCTGGCGGACGGGACAAAAACGCCCTTCATCTTTTATATCAGCTGCTCTGTTATGACCCCATATCGAGACTGGATGCAATCAACGCCCTTGACCATCCATATTTTGCTTCCGAAGAGACGTCTTTGTGTGAGAATGTGTTCGAAGGATTAAATTATAAGTATCCTCCTCGTAGGATACACACGGGCGATAATGATATTGTGAATGTGGCAGGTCCAAAAACGAAAAATGCATCCACCCATCAACAGCAACCTACTGCTCCAAACAATGCTAGTGCAGCTGCTCTAGGAGGCCTTGGCGTAAATAGACGGATTTTGGCCGCAGCAGCAGCAGCCGCGGCTGCAGTTTCAGGAAATAACAATGTATCGCAGCCAGGTGTCTCAGCATCCTTAAGTGGCCCTGCTAAAAAGAAGCGGAAGTGAGTTCACAAGGATGTTTGAATCATATAAAAACATTCTATATTTGAAGCAGAATAAACTAACGGCTCGAAGACTTTAAGATCGACCTTAAAATAGAAGTTTTGTCTCCGCACCAAGACCGCTTGCAATCTGAATGAGACCAAATTTAAGTACAAACTTCGAAACTTTATAATGCAATTAACTCTTACACAAGTGAATGCCAAATTCTGATATCATCGCATATTCGAAATCTTCATGACAAACTCCGGCTGCAAACCAATACACCATAGAAGATGACTTAAATCAAAATCAAGTCTAGCTACTGAACAGAAACACAAGGGCCCTAACCACCAGCGATACTGATGCCAAATAATAGAAAAAAAATCAGATGAGTTATATGCGAACAATGATCATTTGCCAGCGTTCTTTCTCTTCCTTTTGAAACCAATGATCCTCTTTATGTCATCATTTAAAATCGATTTATCCGATTTTTCGGTCTTCTGCTTCTTCGAAGAAGTGTCATTTCCCTCGTCATTTACGGTGACTCCTTCATCTCTCTTCCGTTTCGTACCATCTCTGGCATTTTTGATTTTGTCTCTTCTCCTTTTCACCACATTTGCATTCTCAATAGCAAATTCCACACAAAGCCTTCTCTTATTCAATCCTTCAGTGGTGACCAATTCCTGATCTTTTTCGTCGAGACCCTCAAGAACTTCCTCGAGTGTAACCTCATGAGCGTTTAGCCATCTGAGACCCATCAACGCCGCCTTGTGATCCCTAAATTCGACGAAACCATAACCTCGACTTCTTCCAACAGAAGAACCCTTAACTTCCATGATTATTTTTGATTGCCTAATAACACCATGTTTTTTGTCCTTCTTTTTCAGTGCCTCTATTTCGGCTTCATCCATAAACTTGTATTTCTCTTTGGTCGAGCGAATAATCTCTTCCTTACTCAAAGGATGCCTTTTGCCGTCTTTTACTTCCTTGGCAAATTCGACGACAGCTTTCCTTGCTAACGCTTTCAAAGACTTATCAGTCATTGCACGCGGTACGTTTCTTATCGCGAGTCGAGTCAATGAAAGATGAAGTGAGGGGTTTTCTTTGAGTTGTTGAACTCTTAGCTTGTACGACTTTTCTCTTATCTCCAAATCCTTAGCAGAAAGAAGTTGTGCGAACTTAGACCCCTCCACTATTCTTCCCTCGTTGAGCAAGAACATATTTCTTCTATCCTTTTCACTCGGACTTTGGCCAAACAGCTCCTTTCTCTTTGTTGCATTCCTTTCGGACATTCTTTCGGCGGACTGACGATCTAATGTGGGAGAAATGGCTAGAATACGACCCTCATAAACATATTTAGGCGAAATGTCATCGCTGATTAAAAGTGAGGTATTGGCAGATTCTGGCGCATTGTCCACACAGTCACGAAAGCTTTGCTCGTTTTTGAAAGCAACAAACGCAGTACCCTTTGCTAGCCCAGTCTCCTTGTCCAAAACCGGTAAAGCGTATTTCACTGACCCAAAATTTTCGAAATGCTGAGCCAAGTCTTCACTAGTAGCATCGTAAGGGACGTTCCGCACAAAAATGGAAAAGTTCTCTTTTCTGTTAGGCTTTGAGTCACCCCCATCAGACTTTTTGTTAGCAGTCGTTGTTTCCTCCTCCTCGTCCTGTGAAGTTTCCAACAAATCAACGTCAGAGTTACCGTCCTTCCCGTCTATCTCGTCTTCATCTTCAGGACCTTCCGCTTCTTCGTCCCCAGCCTCTTCCTCTACATCAGCCTCGCCAGAGGACGTGTCCGATTCATCTTCGTCAACAGGTGTATCCTTCTTGTAATTCTCCCATCTGCTCTTCTGTACAGCGAAATCCACGGCAACTGGTCTACCATCGATTTTAAGATTCTTGGATCCTTCGAGTGCAAGTTTGCAGGCACTTACCTTTTTCATAGTCACAAATGCAAACCCACATAGTTTCCCATCAGGTTTACGAGGGATCTTGGCCTCCATGACCGTTCCGAACCTTCCGAAAATTTTTTTCAGCTTTTCTGGATCACGCACACTCCAAGGCATGTTTCTGATAATAAGTTTCGCCTGGCCTCCAAAATTATCTGCCTCTTCCACATCATCTCTCTTCTTAGTTATATCGTTTTCCGCACGCTTTTTAGTACGATCTCTTCTTCTCGCAATATCAACTCTCAAAAGTTTACCTTTGAATTGGGTTTTTCTAGCTTTAGATAACGCCTCTTCCGTATCTTCTTTCACTGCAAAACTCACAAAACCGAAACCTCGCGACTCTTTCTCGTTATTCTTCACTATGACGGCATGCTTGATCGGAGCCAAACCCGAGAAGAAATCAGCGAGCTCTTCATCGGTGGCATCCAACGGAATCGATCTTACAAAAAGCGTTTTCAAGTCCAAAAATTCGTCAGCTTTAGATATACCATCTGGTCCCACATTTCCGGGTTTTCTGACACCTCGATCAACACTCATAATGACTAGAAGAATGAGTTAGTTGTGTCCGGAAATTGCGCGATGAGCTCAACATTTGATGATGAGATGACTTGAAAATTTTTGAACCCTTCAAAGATATACACGTGACCAAAAATAGAGTTATGATCGTTAACAGTTCAAAAGCTTCAGGACAGCGAGACCATGGCTCTAACGTTGATATGATCCGTAACTGAGAGAATCTTGAATAAGTAAAGGGATGGCGCCTCAATGGATCTTTCTGATGACTTTATTTTGGTGACTAAGGGTAATGTAACGATCAAAAAATTGGCAAAGCTGCCTGTGTCGACCCAGTGCGGGTTGACACTGAAATGGATGGAACAACAAAACAGGAGAAAAAAGGATCTTGCTGATGTTATCAGGTATTTGAAGAGAATTCAGTCTAAGAGGAGAAAAAAGCGTAGCGTAGCTCCTGAACTTGTTCGCAAGTTCTTTGGAACCAGATTCACGATGCTACAGCTTGCGCAGCTTGATTGCGAAATCCTTTACCAGAAGCCTAATTCCCACAGCTGGTCGTCCTTTCTAGCCTTGAACTCTCGGGGAGAAAGAATAGTTCTGGATTTTGAGCCGCAGTCACTTGTCAGAGACTTACAGCGCGACCTGGGACGAATATTCATGTGCCATTTCTATTTCGGCAAATATCCAAATTTGCCTGCTGTCATAGGACGTTTCCAGCTTTTTGATCGCGACAGTAGCTCTTTAAAATCTAATTCGAAAGACAAGGAGCAAATAGGGAAAAATCTTATCACGCGTGCCCCTTTCTTTGTTGCCTTCCCAATGAATTCCTCGTTCTTCCTTACCTCGTCGCAAACTGACATGTATGCGCAGCTTATAGTGGAGAGTCTGCGGCGAGCACTAAGCAAATACCAGAGCATTCGAATAATTTCGGAACAAATAGAGGCTTCGAAAGATATCCGCAGTCTTCTCGAGCTGCACGGAGTCTCAAGAGCCGCTTGCTCTTTGGGACCTTGGTCATCCTATGCAGACGCAACTTTCGAAACTTCTCCGCTAGCGGATGCAGCAGTTAGCGAGGTACTTGTGGGAAAACATGTTTCACCAAAAGAATTTACTAACGTTGCCTCCTGCCAGGCTTCCAAAGCCGAAATAAGATTTAAAGGATCTTCCGAAAACAGTGCGATAGGTTCGGGAAATGGCCAAAGTTATCACTCTCGCTTCGCTTCAAAATATCCCGCCACGAATCTCACTTTTACATCTGTGAACAGGCTTCAAAATAAAGTCAATGTTGGCTTCGGTCTAAAACTGCGGGGCAGAGACGTCTTTGGAGGTCTGCACGAGCTTTGCGAGAGAGGCCATATCGACGTCGAAAAACTACCAGGATGGCTGGCGGGAGAAAATGGTATCAAATCTGGCAAAATAGAGGATGGCCAGTTCAGAGCCTTTGAGAAAGATTCGAACTCCGGTCAAATCTCATCAAAGTTATCTGACTAAAGCTTACCTAGTGCCTCAGTGACTAGTGCTTTCAAATGGGGCTCGTTGGATGGAACAGATTGGTAAATGCTTTTTAGTTGCTGTACGTCTTTTTCCTTGAAAGCCAATTGAATCGCATCGCTAAAAGAGCCACAGTACAGATAAAGCTGTATTGCTCTTTCATACTTTATGCCAGAAATCATCGAGACGTAAACAGATGCTTCTTTTTTACGCTTTTGTTCAATAGTATAGCGAAAGAAAGGCTCATAACCAATGGGAGACTTCCTTTCCATTGCGAATTTGTGAAGTTCTTCGAATCTTCCCGCCTGTGCAAGAGCTCTGCACTTCAGGTGATAAAACTTCTTTTGGCTGATTCTAAACTTCCCAACATAAGAATCAACTTCTTTATTCCGATTTTGCACTAATAGTTCCTTCAAAGTTTCATTTAAACTTCGATCGACGATATCTGGGTTATTTGAAGGATCCAACGAAGTTTGTGTTTTGATAATTTTCAGCTGTCGCACAATCAAATTATGATCTTCTTTCATGACTGGATCATTTTGCCCTCTACTATAGAATTCTTCGATCTGAGGTAAAAATTGAGCCAAGTTGCGCGTAGTGATGCCTTGCTGCCAAACAAGCTGACCTAAGGATGCATAGTTGTCGATGTGTCGGTAAAAATCGAAAAGGAAATTGTCGTCCTTTCTTGAGTAATAATTGTAAAGTTCATTGTCACGCATGACAAGTGTCAATAATTTGGTAAATTGCACCTTTGTCAGCTTTTTTTTGAGAAGTAGGAGAACGGAGAGAAGAAAGCCAGAGTTGCCTTGTTTCTTGCCCTCGCTCAAGGCCAGTTCATTGTCATCAAGCTCAAGAAGTAGTGGCAATTTAACCTCAGGCAAAGGCTCAAGAAGAATCAAATTTCTGGCAAGCTCGTAACGTCCCTCACAGAAAGCAGTGTAACCAACATCTGCCATGGGTAATTGAACTTTCAGTTTATTGGCAAGGTTTTTAATCGCTCCTAAAAGAGCTTCGTCAGAGTCATCCGGCGACGTTAAAATCTTGAGTTTGGCCCAGTCTTCGAAAATTTTAGGTAATCTGTCGTTCTTTCTTAAAAATTCACAAATTTGAGCGCTCTCATGAAATAGCTGCAGTCTCGAAAGTCTCATTAAGACACCATCTAAAGTTAGCTTCTCAAATTCTCTGAAGGTTAGGGGCATGCCCATATCGCACAAAGCGTTAAGAACTCGAAGTTTATCACATGTTTCAACGACCGACCGCGGATTAAAAATTTCCGTTGACAAAGAACCTTTGCCAAATGCCACTGCTGAAAGAAGCTTCTTCTGCCAGTATGGCTCAAGCTCCTCGGTTGCGGCTTCCAAACACTCTACTACCGCTGTTTCCAAATTTATGATCTTCAAATTTTCCACGGCGCGGGGAGCATGCGCAGAGAGAAGATTCAGAGAATCCAGCAAGATTGCGCTGTGTTCAATAGAACCTATCAAAAAAACGTTCGCAGTACTTTGTTGAACTTTTGAGATCAAATAGCATTTTTCAAGCACCATGACCTTTAATCCGTCAGCTTCTGTTCTGTAAGCACGTATACTTCCAGGCATCCAGAATGAAATGTGAACGGAGGTTGGACTGTAAAGGCGTACTTCGCCATCATTCAAAATGCATGCTATCGTATCATCAGCACACCAACAGGTGTCCAATGGATAAGTTTCCAGCACTGTTTCCATAAGACTAAAATTTAAATCTTTGTAAATCCTGACATCATTCGTTTTAGCGTTTGTTATGCAAACAAATCCTTGAGGCGAAATGACGACTTTATGCCAGGATTCGTTAGAAAAAGCCTTCGTAATTTGTTTATCATTTATGTTGACCTCAAACACGTCGTTGACATCTAAAAGTATGACTTTTTCGCCATTACTGTCCCATTGGTCCTTCTTCAGCAGCGTAAAGTCGTCTTTATTTTGAAAGATTCTTTCAATGCCATTTCCATCGTAAAAATACACGTCCTGAGAAGATCTTGTGATCAAAGTTCTATCTTTATAGTCCCAGATGGTATCTTGCGACTCCTCAGGTAATGACATATCCACATATTGAACAGGGTTCCAAGATTTGTATTTCCTTATTCTATCAGGCATAATAATCAAAAGCGCTTCATGATCGTGTTGGTCGAAAGCATATTTCAGTGGCTCCAACGGCAACTGATCCAATTTCACACTTAAAACATGATTACCATTGTACTGATATATGTCCAAAGTATCAGAGCGCTCAATGGTAAGCAGCGTTGTTGAAAGTGTCCAACTAAAGTCACCCTTTATATGGCCCTTGAATTCGCACAACTCTCTATTTCGATAGAACGTTTCCTGAAGTTTCTCCCATCCAAAAGATGGGTTGTTCAAGGCCATTATCAAAGACTTGAATCAGCTGTTGGACAAAGAGATGTCGAAATTTCTACTTTTGTTGACTCTCAAGCTGTGTAGGTATTTCAACTTTTATTGTCTAGATCAAAGATCCTGAATTCAGCGAAAATCATCACCATCATCATAGACAAAAGAGCGTGATAACGTCAAAGAAAATGAGTGAGGTTAAACTCATATCGAGAGATCAACAAGAGTTTACACTATCAAACGAGGCTGCTGTGCTTTCCCCCATGTTAAAGGGCATGATATCGCGGAAGTTTGCCGAGGGCCAGGAACACGAGATTAGACTGACAGAGATAAGCTCTGAAGCTTTGAGACTAGTTGTTAATTATTTGGAATATCTTCAGAAGTATCAAGATTGCGCAGAAGACGAGGATATACCTGAATTTGAAGTTCCAACCGAAATGTCTCTGGAACTGCTGCTAGCAGCAGATTATTTGAATATCTAATGAAAATTGTTCGTTAAAGAAAAACAAAGCTGACTTTCTCAGCTCTCGAGCGGGCAGCCATGATGGGACAGTAAGGACACTTGAAATTGCAAGTCCCATTTTTACTCAACTTGTCAAGACTGACTTTGGAAATGATGTGGTGACATGGCAAAGCGTATGGAGGGTTTTCGGTAGTGGTCTCTTCCTTTAAAACGGGGCATATGAAAATTGGGTGAAATTTGGTCAAAAAGTCCGGCAGTTTGACGTTAAACGGAAGTTCATTCTCCGTACTCCAGTCGACATGACTTGCGGCTCTAATAGTACGGTACTTGATGAAGAACTGGAAAGATATTATGCCACTCATCACAATGAGGAACAGCGAAGAATTAAAGGACAGCTTGTTTCTAGCACAGTAGTCCTGCGTGAAAAGGTTGATGCATTTTTCACGTTGATTGCTGATGTCAAAGGTGGTTTGACTGCACACAACAAGCTGGGCGAGAAGAGGTGCTACTTTGTGTCTCAAGTGATGCTTTTTAGTTTTCTTGAGAAATCCAGGAATTGAATTCAGCACGTAATTAAATGCCTTGATCTTGTCTCCGCTCTGCAAGAAATACATCGCCTTTAGCATGTGAAGCTCAAACTCCAGTAGTGAGCCCTCCGTGCACCAAGCCATGCAGCTTTCCAAGTTTCCAGCTCGAAGCTCTCTTATTATCTGCGCCATATCCACGAATTTCTTCGATATCAACGGATCAACTTTATAAACGTTTTCCAGATAGTCGACCATGTCACTGCCGTCTTCTACGGGCACTGAGCTCATGTTATACCGGGATATATGCAACCCCACTGCCTGTTCCACGTATTCCCGAGCATTGGGAGGGAGGGGGTTAACATAGACGTCGTCTAGATCGAAATCGTATATCTTATTCAGTATCACCTTGTTGAACTTGTTGTGCTGCTGAAAGGCTACTTTTCCCTGTTTTCTAACGCCATGCTCCCATTGCCTGTAATTCTTGTGTAGTTTCTCTATTATCAACTGTCGTTTCCTAGCCAACTTATCTGCGTTTTCACTATCGGCTTCCTCTTGTATTTGTTTTGTCAAATGTGCTCTCAGCTTCTTGAGGTTCATCTTGAATTCAGACGTTTCGGTTAAACACTTCTTCAAAGGTGAGTCAGACATAGACTCCGCATCCTTGATCTTAGAAAACTCGGCTTCTAGAGTCTTTAGAAGCTCTGACATGTTCAATGAAGAAAAACAAGTTCGTAATTCCCTTAATTCGGGTTCTAAGTGCAACTTTTTTAGAATTAACAGAAGAGAACCCTTGATTTTCAGATACTCTCTACATCAATATCACTCATATTTACATTATGAAGATCATCAACTCTATAATAAAGAGAACCATCAGAAGTGTATTCCTAGCTTTTCATTAAATAAAATCAACTACAAAAGCATTAGCAGGTAAATTGATTTTCGCGAATATAAAGAATCGACTGGTGGCCCCTCTCAGCCCAGTCCAAAATCACATCTTGAGAGTTTCGACGATCCGAGCAAGCGAGGAAGTTTCTTCACTTCTAAGAGCTTTTTACGTGAACTGCTGGCTTTCGAATCCCCATTCTGTTTAAAAAAAAGTCTGCAAGGGCCTAGATCACAAAAGTTTACTTGGATTGTTGCCAGTTCGTGGTCCCTATGGGTGTGTTTTTATGTGGTAAAGTGAAAGCCGTCTCTGACAAGCATTGACTCTTGAACGGCATGGACAATCTTGGTAAGCAGGAGTGTCCACTCATCTGCGCCTGCCTCTCGACAAACACCTTTCAATGTGCGCGGCGAACCGATTGGCTGAAACATCTCGGTTGCAGTTTTCGCAGTGGAAATAGATAGAACTGTCTTGCTGTTTGGGACGACCGAGAATATCTGTCTTGCCAAGATCATCGTGATAATAAGGTTTCACTTCATCTCCATAACAAGAACGAATTCTTTGAGCGTTGACAGCCGTTCGCGCGACAATGTCTTGAATTAATGTCGTCAAAAGGTTTTCATAGATCGATGTGGAAACAGAATCTACTGTCAGGAGTACCATTAAAAAGCAAACCAAATCGTCTTAGTGAGACGCGGAAAAAGATACCTTTGTGAAATGCTTGAGGCAACTTGGTAAGATCCGAGTTTTCTCTCTACAAGAGCTAATTGGATGAATCCAGCTTCATAGCTTTTCATCCATTCAAATATTGTCAGAAAATCATTTCAACCCAAAATTGTCCCAGAACACACATACAATATATAGGAATACCTAATAGTATACATCCAAATGGCCTATACAATAAATACAATTAGCGAGGATCCACTTTAAAAGTAGATCCGATAAATGATAAAGAGAGATCCTTTGTGTTTAATTTCCTGTTTTGACTGATTAGAGCTTTGCCTGCAGTTTCTCATCTCTAGGCGAAATCGACAAAGCTTCACTTTTAATGTTTTTGGCCAAATCCTTGTCTACACGAGCGAACATAGCAAAAACGCGATCCTGAATATCTGGACGAGCCCGTGCAACATGGACGGCAACGTTATGGGCCAAAGCGCGCTGCTGACCCGGTTGCTGACCAAGAACACGGTAAAGTCCTCTTGCCTGAACAAAGTCAACGTCTCCAGGGGACGTGGCCCAGTGAAATGGCATAGCGGGACCGTGCCACACTTCCTGATGCTGTTGAATGGGCTTTTGACTTTGAATGTAATTGTAAGAGTTGGTTGAAGCCAAGTAGTTTGGTTCAGAGCCCAAGTTACCGTTGACGTTCATAGGACCGTCTCTGATAGAGGGGTTGAACACTTTCGAAGCGTATGGGCAATTAACAGGAATTTGATGGTAGTTTGCACCCAATCTGTGGCGATGCGCATCAGGATATGCAAACAGACGGGATTGCAGCACCGGATCGGCACTTGCTTCTTGATATGGTACAGTGTGACTAGGAGAGAAGGCAACTTGCTCCACCTGTGCGAAAAAGTTTTGAGGATTTTCATTCAAAACCATCTTACCAATCCGACGCAAAGGAAACTGTTTGTGTGGCCAAACCTTGGTCAAATCGAAAACGGAGAAGGGTAGATTCTGGGCTTCCTTTTCGGTCATGGTCTGTATGTATACTGTCCAAGTTGGGAAGTCGCCCCCTTGGATACTCTTGAAAAGCTCTTCTCCGCAGTAGTCTGGATTCTCACCTGCGAGTTTCACTGCCTGCTCGTTGTTGAGGTTCTCGATACCCTGGTCGGTTTTAATATGCACTTGCACGTAAAACCACTCGCCCTTCTTGTTAGACCACTTGTACGTATGTCCTGAGTAACCGTTCATTTTACGATAAGAAGCGGGTGTACCACGATCGCTGAAAAGGATCATTACTTGATGAATTGCCACTTGGTTTTCGGGAGTAGTCAAAAAATCCCAAAACATGTTTGCATCCTTCAAATTGGTCTGTGGGTTGCGCTTTTGGGTATGAATGAAATGTGGAAACTTCGAAGGGTCACGAATGAAGAAAACTGGTGTATTGTTGTACACCCAGTCCAAGTTACCTTCTTCGGTGTAGAATTTCGTGGCGAAACCGCGTGGGTCTCTGGCGGTGTCAGCAGAGCCCTTTTCGCCACCCACAGTCGAGAAGCGGACCATGCATCTCGTGCGCTTGCCAATCTCGTTAAACATAGCAGATCCGCATACATCTGTGATGTCGTCGGTAACTTCAAAGTACCCAAAAGCACCAGACCCGTGAGCGTGTGGATTTCTCTCCGGGATACGTTCCCGGTTGAAATGCGCCAACGAGTCTATCAAATTGAAGTCCTGCAACAAAAGTGGACCATACTTGCCCACACGCTGCGTGGCAAAGGGTTCATTGATAGGATTACCTTGTGAGTTTGTCACGATCCTGTCTGAACGAACGTCAGAGGTGTTTGTAGTGTCGTTTCCCTTGTTGACTTGGCTCATGGTATGCAATTGGCCAACTAACCTTATGCCTTTAAAATGTATGATAAAGATCTGTGGTCCAGGTAAGTTGGTAAATTGAGGATTAGTTTTAACTTATATACTCATCTAGCCGCCCCTTTGATTTTCTCCGTATCATGCGCTTCTCCATTTGATCTCCAATTTTCCGTACAAACGGCCCTATCGCATGAATGGATGCAGTTTCCTAAATAGGCAAGTTTTGCGAGACTTCAATAGGCGATACGCACGTATCGGAGATAGCCGACCGGAAAAACCCGCTCAGCTACAAATATCGAGTTTAGTCAAAGTATCGGTAGTTTTATGGAATTTCAGCCGTAAGGAATAAATAGTAAACGGAGTGGTGGCGGAGGCCCAATGGCGCTTGCCACTGTTGAGAGTCCCTCCAATGACGGGAAAATAACGTGATCACAAGCACCAGAACTACTCCATCGTTAAAAGTGACCCAAATGCACCCGCGCCGGACTTTATTGTCATCTCTATTTCTCATGGGTATGCATTTAATAGCCGCCCAGGTTCATTTGATCAGAGACGGCAGAGGATAGTAATTTCAATCAGTCTGAAAAGGGCTCAAAACGTAGCCAACATTCGTCGAACATTGGCCTCGTTACGTAGCTATCGGCCATCGCCATTTTGTCGATATCGGGCATCTTGTGGTAGTCAGTAGAGCGGGTCCGAGTGGATAACGCACCATAGCCAAGCTTAACGGGAGTGTCATCCGAATCAATGATGGGGCACCAGTCCGGGCTAACGGTTGTCTCGAAACGAGAATAGATCGCAGCAGTAACCATTCTGATCTCGGCTAGCGCCAAATGCATACCAAGGCACATTCTGTTGCCCTCCCCAAACACGAACATATTGCTATGCATCGCTTTGAGTCGCTGCTTGAACTCTTGCTCAGGCTCCTCGGGTTGCTGGAGCCACCGAGCGGGCTTGAACCTTTCGGGGTTTGCGCCAAATACGGCCTGACGATGTAGCGTCCAGGGTTGGCACGCTACAATGGTACCTTCCGGTATTTCTACCTGACAGCCTGCGACCGTGGTTTTTAGTGCCTGGCCCCGGGGCACAAATCTGGGTTCACTACCGGGAATGGCCGCGTGGAGACGAAGAGACTCCGAAATGATAGCACCGAGAACCGGCAGATTTTCAAGCTCTTCACAAATGAGACTCCTGGTCCCCCGAAGTTCTTGCCTGAGCTTTTCTCTCCAAATGAAATTAACGGGTCGCGACAGCTCCCAGGCTATATACGTTAGCGTCACTCCGGTGGTTTCGTGACCAGCTACAATGTGGTCCGCAATCTCGCTTGCAATCTTGTTAGTGTCTCTGGTAGTCATGCCGCTGACTTTATAATTAAAAGGTGGAACCCCAGACGTCAAATCAATCTTCTCAGGCCCATTATGGTACCTTTTCTCCGAGGCTGTTTCCCACATTTTAGCAATAACAGAATTTAAAGGGAACTGCGCAACATCAACACTTTCTTCAGCGACTAGCAGATCCATTCCCTTGGCAAAATTGTCGTATATCCACTGAGCTCCCAATTCCGCACGTTTGTCGATCCCATATAGCCGAGCTACCGGTGCCCAAAGTGACGGCATCAACGTGGTGTAAAACCACATAGAGGTAGTTGCTCTGAAAGAGCTGAAGAGGTTTTCTGATAAATTAAGATCCACGGCGGTGTGAGCAAGGTCGTTCACAAATGTAGACGACAATTTAGAGCCATAATTGAACCCCGAAACAACATCCATGGCTAAAGACGTGAACAAAGAACCAACTTCGACGTTCTTTCCATACCCAATAATTTCAATTTTTTTGACAACTTCCAGGACTTTTGCTCGGATAAAGGCTTGAGAGCACTTAATACTACTGTTGGAATACAATTTTTGCAATTGTCTCTTCTGCTGCAAATGCTCACGGTTTTCGCCGATCGTGAACATGTTGGTTTCTCCGTAATTCCCGAACTGAGAGTAAAAACCCTTTACAGTACCATCGCTGTTTTTAAATTCCTTAGGATAATTTCCAAGATACACCTTTTTAACGAGATCCAAAGAGTTAAGTGAAACCTCATTTGGCCCGACCATAACGACGGGCCCATACTTCTCATGTAGCTTTTGTAAGGTTTCTAATCGCTTTTCCCGCCTAGTGATATTCAAAATGAAGAACCTGGTCAATTTGTAGTGCCAAGGCCCAGGAATACCTTGCTTAATGAGTGGATTCAAGAAGATAGGAAAAACTACATAGTAGTTGATCAGCGCGGTGAGTCCTAAAACGAATGCGATTAACATCAGGGGCCAGCACGAAAAATCTGAGGATCATATTATTGCGATAAGTTGCAACTGGGGCTCTCTCTTTGTTATCTTTTTTTAAATCAGCACCATTCTAATCGGGGTACCATCGGCATCTTGAGAAGTCATTTTCGGAAGTTTACGTATTCTTAAGGTTGCCCGTTGCTACGGTCTCCGTACCTACAAAAAATCATATGATATTGGCCGATATGCTTGTATGTAGTCATTCTGTCAATGTTTTTTGAAAAAGATGCACAGCCTAGGAAAATCAATTACTGATGATTTGAAAAGCTGGATTTATTTGATAATCGGAACACATTTAAGTAGAGAATAGTCATTTGTTGGTGAAAATCCTGTACTTTATTTCAAAACTTTACCATCTGCGATTTCTCTTGGTTTGCCGTCGATTTCGACTGGTTTGTCCCAAGCCCACATGTCGTTGACGAACTCCTTGTCCTTCTCGTTAGATGGGTCTAGCTTAGAGTACTCGTAAGACTCCCAGTCTGGAGCAACGTCAAAAGCGGCCACGTGGTCTTGGCCTCTGACCATGATAGCACCAGCGATACCGTTGTCGTTATTTTCACCGTAGACGACGAGGCATCCGAACATGTACTTTGTAGAGGCACTCAGTCTGTTGAAGAAACCGCCAACCAAGTTGTTAGACATGAAGGTCAAGGTCAATTCGTCATTGTACTTGTAGCAAACTTTCCACAGAGAGTACTCCTCCGGGTTGTAATGCTCCCAGAACCAAGGCAGAGCGACGGGTCTGGTGTCCTCGTTAGAGTATTTCCTCTTCCACTCATCTAGAACAAAGGTGGGCTTGCTAAGCAACTGCAGTGGGTGCTTTGGGGCAGCGGGAGCCTCAGCAGCAGGCTTCTTAGAAGCAGCAACGGGTTCCTTTTTGGACTCCTTCTTAGCCTCTCTCTTAGCTTCTTTCTTCTTGTTTTGGGGAGGTTCCAAAGCCTTTTCAGCATACTTGAAGTCTGCATAAAAGGACTTCAAGTATGGCGAAGCGATGACGGTCCTAAACCATCTCATGATCGCAGAGTGCTGAGATCTCCATTCAGGGGTGAAGATGTGCTCAAAACCTCTGGAGAACGCGGCAGCAGAAAACAGGTCCGCGAGCGAAAGCTCTTCGGTTGCCAAATACGTGTATTCCGAGAGTCTCTTTTCGTACTCATTGGTGATGACGTTAACTCTTTGCCAGGCCTCGTCAACGGACTTCTTGTTATAAGGTGAAAGACCTAGCAAGGGTCTGAACACATTGACCGTTTGAGGCAATAGTTCCGAGTTGGAGAACGATAACCAGCGCAAAATCTGGCTTCTGTCCTGAAGGGTCTCACCCAAAAGCTTGGAAATGACTTTCCCTTTACCACTGGATTCCACCAAATAGTACATGATGGCAATGCACTCAGTGAGCTTGAAACCATCGGCACCCACGAAATCGGGAACCCTGTCCAAAGGGAACTTTTTCTCGAAAGTTACTTTGTCGTCTTCTGGAGCAACGATCTTCACGTCAAGCTTCAGATGCTGAACGAGTCCCTTGGGGACACGGCATCTGATTCTAGAGTTTGCATACAAGGTACCCAACGACATATCTGACTTACGTTCTGTAGGACTGGTAAGCTCATGGCAACCTTGCTCAATATCAAAACTTTTTTATATCCCTATCTGTAGGTGAGTGTATCATGGGGTAACATGACTCGCTCGGCCGACCTAATAAGCTCTAATAGCCATTATAAGAGCACACACAAGCCACGCGGCTGTTAATTCAAAAGAGTATGCACTAATTTAGCAATTGCCGGGCTTATTTTAGATATTGGCACATGAATCTTTTCTGTAGCTCGCAATTTTTGTCTATTAGATTATTACATGACTACGACTTCGATGATTTGTAAATTTGAGATTTTCAGTGAAGACTTCATTCTCTTCTTCTGAAGTTTACTAAGCCCCAGATCGTGTGCGTTACTTACCTCTGGTGTTTGTGTGTGGAGCACGAATCGCTCTCTATCACGATTGCTGAGTTAGCAGTATTGCGATTCTGATGAAAGGCGCTACCTATGACCACCGAAAGGACGGCCATTAAAACTAAGGTAGGTTATGACATACGATGAGAAAAATCCGGTGCATATCTCAGATGTTAAGATATGGTGGTGCTAAGAGGAACGCATAGATTTATGGAGAATATTATAGCTTTAATTTTGGAGTAGAGCGGTCCCTGTTAGGGCAGCTTTAACACTTGAAAAACAAAGTAATATTATACATTATGTCGCCAGAGTTAGAAAGTAATAGGCTAAAGATGTTCGCGACTTTTAGCTGCGGCTATGAGTCGTAATTTGGTCAAATTGAATTGTATATTAAGAGTTTCACGCGATCCTGATGACAGAATACGCAGAGATGATCACATAACCGGCCGAATCGTGTTCAACAAGGAACCTCATTAGCCGATGATCTCAATAATGACCATTGAATTGCCGAACCGCCACAGCCAGACCATCTTTGGTGTGATGAGTGGCGTGAAGTAATGAAGTGAAGATTTTATTACAACTTACAACGGGAGTCACAGATAATATTGTTCCCATGTGATGAAGTATTTGATCTGGCAACTCAATGCATCCAACGCTTCTGGAATAACAAGCACAAGAAGCTCACATGTTTTGCATCAAAGACAAATAAAGACATTAGTTAGTATCGACGTGATAACAGATGCTTCTCACGCAAATCAAAGCCAATACAAATCGCAACTCGGTCACTTTTATCAATTAAATGGTGTTGGAAGGAACTGGCGAGCAGGCGATATCGTGCAATTGCATCATCACGTGATCGATATGACAGAATAAAATTGAAGAAATGAACGGAGTTCTTGATCAAGATAAAGTAATAGGAGCCGAATGATTCTAGTGATGGTCATGATGGCGTCACACTCCGTCAACACCTGTAAGAGTGACCTAATAGGTGACGTAATGATGACTCACCGTGAATATTAGAGAAAGTGACGGATTCCGAAATTGGAACAATGTTACGGAAATTGTATAAATGGAGCTGATATGACCAAGATCGGAGTGCTCATGGTCGTAAGATAGCCACGAAGAGATATAAGTGCTCAACTCCTCGTCAACTTTATCTTTTAGGGTCAAGTATGAACGAATTAAATGAGTAGTTCAGAAATCTATCGACTATCGACAGCGATAAACCTCAATAGCAAGGCCGTCATTTACAATATGGAATTGCGACTTTATTTAATTATAATGTAAGGGAAACAAAAAGCCCAATGGGACATCTCAGGCAGAGGTTTTTACGCCTAAGTCAAATCTGACACGAGAGGCATGTGATCGGTTTGGATCGATCTTAACCGGGTGGGTGAGCTTGGCTGTCGTACGTTGCGATGACTAACAACAACATGAGGCATATCTCATAGGAGGAGATAGCGTCACAACTGGTAATCTTTTCAGAGACTGAATCTTCTAGTCAATCTTATCAAAGCCTGGAGTGCGGGTATGACTGACAAACAAAATGCTGACAAGGAAAGACTGCGCAAACTGGGTCTTCAATGTGTGTCCCCGGGATTTTCAGGTCGTAAAATGGATCAAGCGATGCTTTCGGCGATAGAGGCATCCAAGGATATTGAAAGAGAGCAAAAAGAAGCCATCTCTAAAATGGGCCAAGACCAAAATGGCTTCGAAGAAGAACACGTTGTAGTGCAGACAGGATCAGACGCGTCAAGCGCTGCCAATTCGATGGTCGAGGCGGCTAAAGATGTGTCCAAATCTCTAAAAAGATCGCGCATTCCAGCACCTCTTGATCTAAACTCGAGTGGAACTACGCCCAAAAGAAGCAGCTTTGCTTTTGGCGGCGGTGCGCGCAGCGCACCAGCGCATGTGACGCGATATCCACGCGGCAAATGTCGTGTACAATACCTGGGGAACGTCAACGAATCCAGAAAACGGCAACGTGTGGCGCATAATCCTTACCCACTACTTGGAACTAGGCCCTACAGCCCGTATCCGGTCTGTATACAGTCGGCCGCAGGGCCCATGCCATATCAAAGTCCATACGGAGATCCTATGATCGCCCCTAACGTTTTGCCGCTGCAATACGCGCTCGTACCGGCAGCTTATCCTCCATATCCCGTTGAGCAAGATCGGCGATATCCGCTACCACGTAGGGACTATACAGGCCAGCCTAGAACCGCCAATGCTGGCGTCAGATTCTTCTCTGGGCCAAGCGCGGTACATGGCGAAGACGTGGATGATCAAGGTCAGGATTTAAAAGAGAGTGAGGAGCAAGAAGACGTTGAGATTGCTATAGAAGAGGGCGCGCAACCTACCTCAAGAGATTTTTCACTCAAAAATGAGGAACCGAAGATGATGCGCGGAGAAATAACACTCTCTAATGACAGTTTTTCATTTGAATTTTCGCTACTGGAAGAGGCAACAAACAAGAAAATGTTTATGAGTATTTGCGATAAAATATGGGATGACGCGGCCGCAATGAAACAGAAGGGTTAGTCAATTATGGGCCAGAAGCTGCCAATTCTTCTTTGTTTTCTTTGGTTGGGTTGATTGGACGTGAGGTGATATCGGTCTTGCTCTGAAGACCCAGTATTGATCCAGTCGTTTGTGCGAATCCTTTTAATATTAATGCCAGCGATTGGCTTTGCTCTATGGTCATCACTTTGTAAACCAAAACTCTCAATTTTGTCTATAAATGCGTTTCTGACCGTGGCGGAATCATCATTTCGAATCTCTATGAAGATGGTTCTTTCATTATGAGTAAAACTTAGAAGTTTTTCCGATATCACGGATTTTTTTGCAAGATCAAAAGACTACTTGGTACTTTGAAAAACAAATATATGCCGTTTCCGACCTCTTTTTATACTGTGCCGTAGATACCTCTTCGTCTTTTTGCCCAGCAGCACTCAGGAACGGGGACAACATGCTTTTAGAACTTCTCAATTGATGAGGTAATTGATGAAACAAGTCGGACATCTATTTTACATAGTTGTTTGATTCCTTACATCCTGATCTGTTGAAGGAACCCAGTTACACTTTCTGGTGACATAAACCCACTTACGCTAAATGAGGCGGCAGTAGCAAGTTGGGAATGCTATTTTTGATGTAGTATATATGACCGCAGTTGCGGCAAGTCATTTCACCTTCGACAATATTGGTTTGGATTAAAAGGACATGCAGATCACGCAGCACAATCATATCTTCTTCAGACAATTCTTCGTTCTCGAAAACAGGTTTCTGTTGAGGCAAGGTCGAATTTCCCAAGTCTTTGGCAACACTCACAACTGCATCCCATTCAACTCTGTCAATGACTCGAAGGAGAAACTCTGGATTGAATTCGATGCCTTCGTCTTGTTCAAGCTGACAGGCCTCACCTTTATAATGTAATGGGAAGCTATTATTACTTCTATCGCATTCTTTGACAGAGCAGGTCAAAAAGTTGGTTGTGAGGAACTTCATCTATGGTAATGAGATCTTAAATGCCTGCCTTTTGGACTATGCTTTTGTAGGATCTAAGTCTTTCTTAAAGCAGCTCATCTCATCTCATCTCTGATCAAAATTTTTCAAAATTTCCAATACCACGACTAGGGATATCAACTAACAAAACGTCGAAATTAAGCCCAACAGCGAGGCTCTTCTGTAGAGACTTCATTTATGAATGAGAAATGCTTGATATGTGACTTGTATATACATGATTATATTATTCGTTTTTCAGTTCAGAGAGGGAGTTCAAAACCCTCATGACTCGGGCGTCTTCGCTGACTAGTCTGTAGCACGCTTTTCGTTCATCAGAAGAGGCTCTTTTTTGTTGGATTTCGTCCACGCTTCCCTGGAAAAGAAGAATCCTCACTTCGTTTCTGCCACGCTTGTTTCTCGCCATAATACAGTCAGCACGGATCATGGATATCAGACGAATTACGGCGTCATTGCGTGCCGTAGTGCAAAATGCGTCCTGCGCATTCCCCTTCAAGCCATTGAGCACTTCAACGATGGTTCCGAGCGCCGCAGTGGGCGTACCTTCTCGTAGACGATTGTTGAAAAAAACCCTGCGGCGTGGATTACTTGGATCGAGAATGATGGATGCATATTTGCTGAATAGCGGGGAGTCTGGCACACTGGCACGTAGTAGGCGTGAATAAAACTGTTCGTTATCGATGTCGTTTGTCACTTTGAATAGATGCGAGTTGTCGTAAAGCCACGCGCGAAGAAGCGTACGCAACGACCGGTACGGAACGTCATTGTAAACTTTGATGAAATCGCCCAGAGTGCGCAAGTCACTGTGGTATATCAAAAAGCAGACTGCCTGTAAATCTTTTGGGTATTGCCGCCAGTCGGGCATGTGAAATTGCTGTGACCGATTTAAATTTCCAAGAAGCGCTACGAATTCTTGTTTCCACACATGATAAAATGTCGCTGGTGGTACGTTCATCTTGTCAGATATCGTAGGGATTTCATTTTGAATGGCTCGAACCTCTTTCATCCACTCAGAGACGTCTTCAACATCGTCACCGTGACGCCCATTGGCCACGTCTCGACACATATAGTACGAGTAAAAGAGATGGCATAGAGACATTTTAACATGCTGCGCTATACTTGAAGCTGGAGATTTGTTGTCGCCGAGTCTAATTTCGCCCTCGCTGTATCTCTTCAATGGACTTTCAGCCACCAATCCATCTTGAGGCTCTAAGTCGCACATATTCATGGAATTTTCACGACCGATGCTAGTCAGCGTCGAGTAGCAAATAATACCCGCGAGCGTTACAATGTTCGTCGTGACAAACATTACATTACCGGGAGCATTGAAATATCTCCACAACGTTTTGCCCATACCCAGTGCGTGTGGACTCAGGGAAGAGTTTCGGCCAGCGTATATGTGGGAACGAGCATAACCACACTGAAGTTCTCGGAGATTTCCTCGAATCCACTTGCAATTCCACCGTCGACAAGGTGCCACCGGCTTCCACTGTAGCCACCAACGCTCAGAGCGCATTTGCTTTTGTTCACCAGATGCTTGTTCTCTTGAAATGATGAGGAGTTGATTTTTTCTTCAACATGGTTTAAGATGAGATCAAAATCTTGAAAGCTTTGAGAGCATCACCAGTGCAAGGCGGTTTCATAAAGCTATTGACCTCTGTCGAATCCGCAGATCAATTGACTTTGGTATGCTTTTCCTCTCTGCAACGGCAAATCTTAGTGACAATATAAGGAGCTTTCGGCCACTTGACACTGTCGAAAGTCCTAGTGAGTATACTTTCAATTTGATGTGCACTCATTGCAGAGAGATGCACGATTCAAAAGTAACCATAAACCAATTTGAGAAGCATTCAATGAGTGGGAGCAGGGGAGAAGCGTCATTCGTTGTGAAATGTAAATTCTGTGGGAATGAGAGTAGTATCAATTTGCAACGAACCGAAGAAGACCTTTATAATTTTAATCATGAAAGCACTGGAGACTTGGTCCAAAAAACTAAGGAACTGAGGAAGAAACAGGGAATTAAGGGAATAAAGGAAGATCAAGCATTGCTGTTGGCTCTCGATTGTAGGGGCTGCGAACCTACTGCCCTGGATGTGTCAAATTTGACTTTTGTGATAGAATTGACATCTGGGAAAACCATGGAGTGTACACTTGACGATGAGGACTTGGAATGGTACGATTATGACGAAGATGCTGGGGAAGAAGTTTCAGTGACTGAAGCCAAATTTGGGTTTATCAAGGCCAAATAAGGGCTAAGCGAGTGATCTAGATAAGTTTATAATTGATGCTCTAATAACTGTGCGATGATGACAAGCCTATAAGACTAACACTACACCATTAAAAGCATTGCCACAACGTTCATGAAAAATAACACTTGGTTTTGACGAAGTGCTACAGCGGCACCCTCGTATGTGGAGGCAACCGCGGGCAGTGTGGGGGCCGGAATAGTAATCGCAGCTGTCATCCCCGTTGCGGGTAAACCAGATTGGCTCGTCACTGCCGTTGGGGCCACCATTGACGTTTGCTGCGGAGATTTTCCAGTTGCGGTCGTAATTTTGGCTGAAACAGGTATCTCTGTGGTGACTTCTAGCGTCGTGGTTCTCGGCACAAGACTTGAAGCAGAACTCACTACTGTAATCAGATCCCCAGTGCTACCAGTAGAGACCAAAGTTGTCGGGAACACGCTTGTCATGGTCGCAATCGATACAGTTTGATAAGTTGTCTTTGAGGATACCGGAATTACCTCGGTTGTGGGGCCTGAGGTCAATTCAGATGAGTGTTCCGTTGGAGAAGCATTGGAAGAAGTTGTCGAGGTTGCGGATACGACTGTCGATGTAGTGCTCAAAAGCGTGGTGGGAACTTGGAAACAACTTTCTGTGCAGGTCTTGGTGATTTGATCGGTCAGTGGACACCAAGTTGTGTATTGTGTGACAACGCCGCTGACTGTTGTTTCAACCACCGACTGAGCTGACGAAACAATGGATTCAGAGGAGCTTTGCTGCGTCTCTCTTTGTGATGAAAGTGTCTGCGTTTGGTATTGATTTGTTTCTTCTGATGTTACGGATACTAAATTAGCACTTTTAGGAGCGACGGTGGTGGCTCCACTAACCGTAGACATTGTTGCGATTGACCTGATCGTTGATGAGGTCGAAACGAAGCCTGATTCATATGTGGACGTCGACACTAGCTTCGAAATTTCAGACAATTCATGACCTATGCCACTTGAGGTCAAAGGACACCACGTGGTGTAGCTTGTAACTACTCCATTCGATGTTTCCGTGACAATTGAGGCAGTTAATTGTGGGGGTGATTGAGTAGCTGTTGTTGAACTTTCTGCAGTGCTAGAAACTGGAGAGAATGAAGGCGTCCCAGCAGATGAAGTTGACGCGCTAGCAAGGACTGAGGAGCTCACTTGTGCAGAAGATGAAGGAGCAGTGAATAAGGATGTGCTTAGCGAGACCGACGAACTAACACTAGTTTCCGAACTGCTATGAGTTGTTGCAATTACTGACTCAGAAAAGATACTCTGCTTTTGAGAAGACGACTGCCCGGCAGTCGAAAATGTTGTATCAAAACTGGATGCAGAATGTGAGAGCTGAGAGCTAGTCTCTGAGCTGACTGATGTACTTGCAGCGGACAAACTGGTCATGCCACTCGCACTCGAAAATGAAAGCGTTTCAGCTGTTGTCGAGAAAGTGCTCTTTCCAGTCGACGTGCTACCTGCGGGACTAGTAACTGACGTTGACGTTACTGGACACCAGGTCGTGTAGATAGTTACCCCACCGTTGGACGTAGTCGATACAACAATCAGACTCACAGTAGTTTCCGCATCTGTCGTCTGTGGTTTAGTTACCCACTCCTCACTAGACTGGGCAGTGGTTGAGTCCGTAAGTGGGCACCACGTAGTATAAACTGTGACAATTCCGTTCGTTGTACTAGAAGCTGTGATGAGTTTGTAGAGTTCTGAAGAGCTTGCTGATGGCTGGATTTTTGAAGTCGTGGGGGGAGAGTTTGACGAAGCTTGTAGCGTTGTCGGAGTACTCGATGTCTTAAGATCCGGCACGGTGGAAGATACTACGACTGTGCTTTTCCGCCAATGACAGCTATCGGAAGAGCAAACCTCGGTTGATATGATCAACGTATGTTCTTGCAACGAGCTGGATTCCACGGAAGAAACAGAGGCAGATTGTGTGCTGGTAGTGCTGAACGAATTCGACGTAGTTATAACTTCGGAGCTAAGCGTGCTCGCAGTAGAGAATCCAGATGAAGCCAAAGTCTCCGAGGGAGTGCTTGACACTAGTGATCCACAAGACTCTTCCGTGCACTGGCTCGGAGCCAGCGTAGTTGCAGAAGAAGGCGGTGGCAAAAAACTTGAAGTTGAGTGTGTGGCATGACACCCATGAGAGGAGCAAACTTCAGTTGAATAAGTAATGGTACTGTACGGCAAACTTCCAATATCAGAGCTGGACTCGGATTGGGTAGATGGAATGCTGGAAAACGTACTCGATCCCGAATCCCCTGGATTAGACGTGCTGCTGCCCATTGTAAGGGGACACCAAGTCGTGTAAACAGTCACGATACCATTTGTCGTTTTTGTTACTAGCGATACAAGTGCGGGAGATGAAGAGGACACAACTGAGCCTATGCTGTTGGTAGAAGTAGTTGGTATAAAGGTCAACGCGTCGTCAGCCGATTGCGAATCTTTCCCACTCGAGCTCACTGGAGAAGTAGCGGATGACGCTGATGAGCCCACACTGCTAGAATCTACTGATTGACTTGTAGCATATGATTGACCAATCTGACTAGTTGACTCAAGGCTTGCTGGGGCCCCAATGTCGGTTGAATCGGAACTGGATGTCGAAGAGGCACCCGACGCGCTTCCGCTGCTGGACCCAGTGAAAGTAAACGTTGGTGAAACACTCGACGAAGTTTCGCTACTGGAACCTATTGAAGACTCGGCCTTAGCAATTGACGTAGCCCCGCTAATATTGGATTTTTCACTCACAGCAGTTTCGCTAGAACTGAATGTTGACTCAACGCTCGACGCAGTTCCGCTAACACCGGAAGTTGAGTCCACAATTGACGCAATAGCACTAGAATTGGACTCGCTGGTACTGGACGTCGATTCACTGGCATCAGACGTCGACCCGACACTTGAAGCTGTCCCGATGGCACTAGATTTTCGGATGCCAGACATTGATGTGATCACGCTTTCACTGGATGTTGAATCAACATTCGACACTGCCCCGCTTACAGTAGACGTTGAATCAATAATCGACGGGGCTTCACTTGTAGCTAATGCCGAGGTAAAGCTTGAAGAACCTTCGTCCTCAGTAAAACCTCCCATAGACGATGAACTATAGAAAGACGAATCGGTTTTGTCCAAGGGACACCAAGTGGTGAACACTGTGGTTGTACCTTCAACAGTTTTGGTAGCGGTGGACAACAAAGCTGTAGATGTAATGGATGCTCTAGAGCACCCTAATCTTGTACAAGGAATTGTAACAACGATTGTGGAAAGGGAGCTGAGAGAAACTGACCCAGTTTCGGCCGATGGGGCACTTGATGCACTTAATGACGTCGCAGTTGAAGCTGATGATGGAAGAGAATTACTTCCACTGACGATCGACGTCAGACTTGATGAGCTTTCACTAGTACTTGACGATTCGTAATTTGATGAGATGCCACTTGTACTTGACAATGGCAAACTTGAAGTAGTCACGCCAGCGGTTGACGCGAGAATTGACGAGGTGTCACCAGTAATTGACAATTCGGAAGATTCTAAACTCGACGAACTTTCACCTGCACTTTCAAAACTCGATGAGTCTTCAACAGTAGCCAAGGGACACCATGTGGTGTAAATCGTAGTGGCACCTTCAATAGTTTCGGTAGCAGTGGACAACAAAGCTTTCGAAGTAACCGAAGCACCAGTGCATCTCTCTTTCGTACAGGGTACCGTTACAACAATCGTTGAAATAGAACTCACGTAGTCAATTGTAGTGTTACCGTAGTACACTCGGTTAGAGTAAGATGACAATGCGCTGGCTCCACTAAGAAACAAGAGTAACCATTTCATTGTCGCTTACTAGTTTAACCAATTGAAAAAGGGTCTTCGGAAGTGGGCTGGAACCCTGGCTTATCATCCTTGAGAGCTAGTAGCATTTATAGTTTGCAGCTGAAGTATCGTCTATCCAATTGATAACGGAACTCAAACGCTTTAACAACGACTCTGAGACGTCTTGAGCACATTTTGAAGGGCTTTAAAGCAGCTAAAGGTCCAATAGCTCAACTACATAGCTCTAGAACAAGTCTCAATAGTTTATGAATAAACCGTGTAGCTTTTTTTATCTCTGAAACATGTTGATTTCCAATACTTTAAATGATCCTTTATAAATATTGTTTCGAGCTGGGACAAACCTTTGATACAGACATGAAGCTTCTTTGAAGCTACGCGAACGATTTGAAAAAATGAGAGTTTTATGTGGTCTTTTGGTTATAAAGTACTGATTCAGTTCACCGTAGTTCACTGATCTAGTTCGACGTAGTTGCTAGGGAACAAACCCTTTTCGCCAGACTTTACGAGCTCGCCTAGCCACCAGTCCTCATCGACAAATTCTATGTTTATAATTTTATCACCTTCGGCAAACGTCAACTCGTTGTTCTCTGCAGCATCGTAATCGTATTCGGCAGTAGCGGAAGGCGTTTTAGGCTTTTCAGAAGCGGGAGCAGGAGCGGGTGATACTCTTCTTGGTGGTGGTGGTGGAGCTGGTGATGATTCTTGAGTTCGCGTAGGCAATGGAGCGGGTGGCTCGTTGGCCGTTTGTGTAGAGCGTGGTGGTGGTTGAGGAACATCTTCTTCTTCGTCTTCTTCTTCTTCTTCAGGCTCTGTAGTCTGCGGTTCGAGAACTTCTGATTTTCTCGAGGGTAACGGTGGTTGAGGCTCTTGTTCTTCTTCGTCCGCGGCAGGGGCTTCAAACTTCGTTACGTGCTCGCTGGTAGCAGGGGCCCTCATTGGAGCAGAAGGAGCAGCAGTTCTGGCCGGAGGCTTGGGGATTGAGCCCGGCCCAGCAGCGTCGTCGTCTTCGTCGTCCCAGCTTTCGTCATCGTCAGCAGGTTCATCAGTAGGAGCCTCGGTATGCATACCAGGCAGAGGAATGCCAGCTTTCGTTCTTGTAGGTGGCGGAGGCATTGATGCGACCGGCTTGGCCGCGGGTGCTTTCTCGACAGGTCTTGGCTGAATGATTGGCGTGTCATCGGCGGTAGCCATGTTTTCAAATCTTTTCTTGATATCCGCGACTTGGTCGTGATCGTTTTTCTTGTCGCTCTCGACTTCGGCTGCCAAGGTATTGGGGTCAGCAGGAGCGGTCGTCTTTGATTCCGGCTCAGTCTTGGCCGCATTTTGCTTTCTCTCAGCCCACAGCTGCGCAGGAGACTTTTCGGTCTTGAAGCCTTTAATGACTTTGTCGTCGTTGCCGCTGCGGGTTGCGTCGAGGTTTGGCGGTCTCGTGCCCATCAGTTTTGAATACTCATAGTCTCGCTTGGCCTTAGATTCCTGCTTCAAACGGTCGATGTCTTCTTGTGGAGTGCTCTTGGTGATCGTCTCAGACTGGGCAGCGCTGAACAGTCTGGGGTCTGGTTTCGCGGTTTCCTCGGCTATGACTTTTTGAAGATCAATCTTGCCCATAGGGGTGTAAGAAGACTTGTTGGGCTTCAAGGGCTTGGAACGGAAATCGCGTTCTTCGAGCTCAGGCTCGCCCCAGTCTTCGTCGTCGTCGTTGTCGTCGTGGCGCTTGGCAGGCGCTGCGGGCGTCGACGCGGCAGGCGTTGGCGCAGGTACGTCCTTCTGGGCGGCTGCACGCGCCTGAGGCGCCGCAGCGGCCTTTGGACGAGCCGCAGAGGCTGTCTTAGTGGGTTGCGTTGGTTGCTGGATCGAGTAGCGGGCGCCGGTCGCGTTGCTGATCTTGCCGAGGAGCTCTTTTTCGTCCAAGTCGTCCTCGTCGCGCGCAGTAACTTGCACGTGGTAGCCCTTGAGCACCTGGTTCGCGACTGTACCGAAATTGGCCGCGAACGACGCCCTGGTCTTCATGGGCGCGGAGTCCGGACACCATCCGATAAGTAGCAGTTTTTTAACGTCAGAACCGGGTGGCGAGACGCGAGCAAGACCGAACTGGACCTTGGAGTCCGCAAAGGTCTCGAGGAACTGCGTAAAGTCGCTACCGGTGAACTCGGGCGCATACTGCTTCTGCGCGTTGGGGGAAAGCACGAGCCAGGTTGTATCCGGATCGGAGCCTCTGACCACGTCGAGATACGCGTCTTGGATCTCGCGCGAGTGGGTGGTGCAGTCAATTGGTTCTAGAGCCATAAATGGAAGCTTAGTAGACGCGGTGTTGGCTATGGGAAGTGTCCTCTGATGGGGGCAGTCTGGGATCTGGTCACTGGATCTTGAACTTGAACTTAGGCCCCTATGTGTGGAAAGCCCATATAGCCGTTCCTAGTGACTGCCGTACACAGTTACACACACCGACCACGTGACTCGTGTGTAGTGATGCCTGGAACGGCACCACGTGATCTCGAGCCCGCGAAAAGAAAAAGCCTGCTCCAGAATTTAATGAGCACCGCATCGCATCGCATCGCCGCCGTCGTATCGATCTGTATCAAACCACCCTTCCCCATCAACATGGTTACGTTCAATTGCGAGGTCTGTAACGACACAGTGCCCAAGAAAAACACGGAAAAACACTACTACCGCTGCCCCAACGCATACTATACTTGCATCGACTGTAACACGACGTTTGACGACGGCGTTGGCTACAAGAAACACACCCAGTGCATCAGCGAGGATGAAAAGTACCAAAAGGCGCTATACAAGGGCAAGAAGGCGCCGGGGAAAAAGGCTCCTGCAAAGCAGGGGCCTGTAAAGCAAGCGCCCGCGAAAGAAACGCCCGCAAAGCAGCCCACGTCGCTCTACAAAGTGCTCAAGAAATGCAAGTCCAAGGACGACAAGAAAAAACTGCTGAAACAGATTCTCGTGACGGCGGACGGCCGTCTCGAGCTGCCTGCGCAAGTGTCGCTGCTGTAGCGTCGTGGAAAGACGTAAGGTATGTACGTAGACGGTAGTAGGAGAGTCGTATACAACGTTTTCATATGTCGGCGCCGTCGCGGTTCTCGTCGGAGCGGCCCGTGGGGTTCGCGCGTCGACTGAGGCCGCGCGCCAGCTTGCTGTAGAACTGGCTCAGGGACGCCAGCGGGAAGCTCAAGGTGTCGAACATGTAGCCCGGCAGCTGCCGCTGCAGGCGCTGCAGCTCGTCTGCGGACCGCTGCTTCAGCAGCGGGACGTAGATGACTTCAGTCTTGTCCGCGTCGCCGCGCACGAAGCCCAGCTTGTAGTCCATCACGCCGCATTTGCCGCCCTGAGAGGTGTCGAACCACAGGCCGGAGTCGTCCTCGTAGGACTTGTGTACACGCACGCCGCACAGGTGCTCGAAAAGGTCTCGCGCGATGTCGAGCTCCTCGACAGCGGCGGCACGCGCCTTGTCGGCTTGTCGCAGACGGTCGTCGCGCTCGTCGAGACGGGACCGCAGGAGCTCGAGCTCCTGCTGCTTGTTTTCGAGTTCCTGCGCAGCGAGCCCGTTTTCGTGGACGAGCTTTGCGACAAGCACGTCTGCGTTGTTCAGGCGCTCCTGCACGGCCTTTCGGTACTCGACGAGGGGCTCCATGGGGTGGTGGGCGCTGCGTGGCGGTGAGGGCCGGAGTCGTGCTCGAGAGGTGGCCGAGATACGTGAAAGAGAGGCGAGTTACGTGCTGGACCTCGTGCGACGTGATCTGCGTGTGCGAGGGCACCCACATAGTTGTGGAAACGGACTACGGGCCCGATCCCTTCTTCCAGACTTGGCCACCGAGCGGCTCGGGCAGCAGGCTCTACTACGGGGCACTGGCGGTGCTTGAGTGCGCTGAAGCACGGACGAGTAGGAGCGGGTATGTTCGTTGGTAGTGATGGTCGCCGGGGAACGTCTTCGACCGCTCTTCAACACCGTCTCAGCCACCGTCTCTGCCACTGTCTTCAACACCGCCTCTACCACTGTCTTTGCCACTGTCTTTGCCATCCTCTGACACAGTCTCCGGAGATGGGCTTTGCCCTGAAAGACGCTTGCGTCGCTTGCGACGCAAGCGACGCAAGCGACGTACGAAATGCCCGCCCAACGCCCGCGACAAAAGGCGCTCTTATTCCTAATTGCCATACCTTCTACATGGGGCTATAGGAGCCTCTAAACAGGCTACTTCGCCCGTGGCAATTCTTGGCCGCGTACATACCTGTACTGGGCATACCCAGCGCTAACAGTTCCCATCTCTTTGTGATTATCGGCAACTTGACCGTTCCAAAACCCTGGTATCGTTTCCTTGTGTGCTTCTCGCCCTTGTATGAACACGCTGGAATCACACATGCGATTAACATTTGATTCTGCCTCGCTCTCTCCTTCCGTTTATGTGCGCCAAGCGGGGGCTCGGATTTAGCCGCCGAGGGCTGCGGGTGTCTGGGCGGAGGGTTCGTGGAGAGTGACTAGGGTGGTCACGTGGGTTGGCTACTCGTTTAGTACTCACCCGTCCGCCGTGATCTGTCCCCCCTTTTGCTTTTTCCCAAAGGGCGCATGAAAAAAATACGAAAAAACAATAAGCTAACTAGTAGGAAAATTCCAAGAGGAAAACACAACTAGAAAAGTCCACCAAACAAACACACTGCGTAAAACGTGAGCGTGAAGCGTACAAGCGTAAGGCCAGAAAACGTGGTGTTCAACTGGATTTTGCCCCGTGCCCACTCCCCCCGTTAAGAGTCACCCCCGTCCCTTTAAGCAGGAAGTTGTAAATGGCGTCCAGTGCGGTTGGAGCCTCGCAGACCAAGCTGAACGAGCTGCTCGAGGCGGTTCGCCAGGAATTCGCGCAAATCTCTCAGGATGCGAAAACGTACCGATTGCAGAACCAGAAGGACTACGATTTCAAGATCAACCAGCAGCTGGCTGAGATGCAGCAGATACGCAACACTGTGTACGAGCTGGAGCTGACGCACCGCAAGATGAAGGACGCGTATGAGGAAGAGATTGGACGGTTGAAGCTGGAAGTCGAGAAACGCGACCGCCAGCTCGCCGGGTTCGCTGCGACCCAGCAGCAGCAGCAGCAGCAGCAGCAGCAGCAGCAGCCACAGCCGCCTCCGGCACCTGTGGCTGGCCAGATCAAGGCAGGCGACACGCTGGCCGCGCTGCAGGCGGGCGCACCGGCGGGCACGCCCGCCGGTGCTGTTGTGCCCGCGGCATTGCCCGCGGCAGGGCCTGGTGCGCATGCCGCAGGCCTCGGTGCTGGCGGCCCTGCCGCGTCGGGAGTCGCCCAGCCGACAATTGTGCCTCCCAAGCCTGCGAAACCCGCAGTTGGCGTGCCACCAAAAGGTGTACAGTCCGCGGAACAGCAACAACAGCCCGCCACTGGCGCTGGTGCCACGGCTGTGTCCGAAACGACAGGAGCCGCTCCTGCGTCGGCAGCTAATGTCGCGACCCACGACCAGTCCGTCGCCCGCAGTCCCGCTCAACCGCCGGTCCTAGCGACACCTACAGCTGCGTCGGCCTCTCCGGCGAACGAAACAAAGTCCCAGGAGTATTACCTGGTACCCCCACACCAGCGTGCAAGCCATGCCAAGCCCATCCCGCCCTTTTTGCTGGATCTGGACTCGCAGCTTGTGCCCGCGCATTTGAAAAAACAAACCAACGACTACTACATTCTTTACAACCCAGCTCTGCCTCGCGAACTCGACGTCGACCTGCACGCGTCGCTCGACCATTCCTCGGTTGTGTGCTGCGTGCGTTTCAGTAGCGACGGCGAGTATCTCGCCACGGGTTGCAACAAGACCACTCAGGTGTACAAAGTGTCTACGGGTGAACTCATTGCGAGACTTTCGGAAGAAACCGCCGCTGCGGCGGCCAATGCGAACAACGGCGACGGCGCCAGGAACGACGAGTCCACTGCCAACGCCGCCGCTGCATCTGCTGCGTCCTCGTCTTCTGACCTTTATATCAGATCCGTGTGTTTTTCCCCGGATGGAAAGTTTTTGGCCACGGGTGCTGAGGACAAACTTATCAGAATCTGGGATCTGTCCACCAAGCAAATTGTGACCACCCTTGAGGGCCACGAGCAAGACATTTACTCCTTGGATTATTTCCCTTCGGGCGACAAATTGGTCTCGGGCTCCGGAGACAGAAGCGTTCGGATCTGGGATTTACGTACCGGACAATGCTCGCTGACTTTATCTATAGAAGATGGCGTTACTACCGTTGCCGTTTCTCCAGGAGACGGCAAGTTTATCGCTGCGGGTTCTCTCGACCGGACCGTACGCGTTTGGGATTCTGAGACTGGATTTCTGGTGGAAAGACTAGACTCCGAAAACGAGCGTGGCACAGGCCACAAGGATTCCGTTTACAGCGTTGTTTTCACTCGCGACGGCCATGGAGTTGTGTCGGGTTCCTTGGACAGATCGGTTAAACTTTGGAGCTTACGCAGCGTCAATGGCGCATCTGCGGACGGGAAACCAAACAAAGCGGCCAGTGAAGTTACCTACACGGGTCATAAAGATTTCGTATTATCTGTTGCCACTACTCAGAACGACGAATACATACTGTCCGGCTCCAAAGACCGAGGTGTTTTGTTTTGGGATACGCCATCTGGTAACCCTCTGCTAATGCTTCAAGGTCATCGAAATTCCGTCATATCCGTAGCCGTCGCCAATGGGCACCCATTGGGTCCCGACTATGGAGTGTTCGCTACCGGAAGTGGCGACTGCAAAGCTCGCATTTGGAAATACACCAGGACAGGATCTCATTCGGAGCCTAAAATCAAAGAAGTAACGGACTAGTTTTTGCACACCATCCAGCAACCCAAGAGCAACGTGCCCACGTTACAGTGGGAGGACGCGGAGTTTAAGTTTTTTTGTTGGGCTGAAAAAAAATCACACTAGTGGTGTTGAATTGGAAGGTGTTCCAAGACACTTACCACAACGCTACGACTGTATTACGACTAAAATGATACAAAATGAGAAGATTGCAATAAACGTATGATCGACTGGTGAAATTTGCTAGGTTCGACTGTGTATATATTAAGGGAAAGAATTTCGTGAATTATTTAGGTAGTGGCTTCAAGTCGAAGGGGACTTGAAAAGACCCTTCTTATATGTACATGACTGCGTTCTGGAGACTTGCTCCGGTAGTATATTTACAGCACTTGTCGGCATCGGATACAGGACTGCCGAAATGCGACAAGTTCTAATTTGATTAACATTTAGGCCTCCTCCTGAGGTTCATCGAACATGAAAAACTCGGACAACAAATCGACACCATCGCCCTGACTTAAAACCGACAGTGACAAATCGTAATTATTCCAAAATTCGTCGGCCATGAACTTTAAATCATCATCCGAAAAGGCCATCTCCGAAGTTAAAGTATTTGGAGAATTAACGACAGATTCAGAGACTTCCAACGGAGGAATTATAGGTTTGTTAGCTTTCAGAAAAGCTCTTGTGTCAAACGCATTTTTCAACAATCCTCGGAAGATCTTTTCAATGGAGAAAGTGATCAAAAAACCGTACGAGGTTTTCTTGAGACCTTTTATCAATTCGCTATTTTTCTCAGATTCCAACCGGTCGAAGAATCCTTGCAACCTTTGGACTGCAGATGCCATTGGCACGAAATGATCATCTACTGTTTCTAGCGAGTCCAGTGGTAGATCAAATGTGGGCGACAAGCGATACTTGAATCTGTAATCCACGTCCGTGGTCGACATTAAATCTCCGAAAAGAACAAAAGGCTCAGCGATCAACCTGATCAAATTTTTATGCCAGACAAAAATTGCAAGCCCCATCTGTAAGGGTAACGCAGATTGTCTTTCCAAATCCTCGTCGCTGCGTATTGTTTCCATGGCAAAATATGTCTCCATCATTTTCATACAGATGGTCATACAAATGATACTGTACTGAATCGATGTATTGATCGTTTTTGGGTCGTATTTGCTGAAACATCTTCTCTGTAAGTTTGACAGATTGATTATCAGACTGAGACAGAAAATAAAACAGTCGATTTCTGTAATGGGCATCTCAAGCAAGTTTTTCGGATCCAAGTAATAAGTTACAGGCTTGAAAGTTGTTTTTACCATTTCTGTCACCTGCGTTACCATCATTTCCAAATCTGGAATTTGGTTTCGACAATAAATCATTTTGAGACATCTCCTCAATGGTAAAATGATAGCCTTGAGAAGCGGCACACTTCCGAAATTGGGGTCCTCAAAAATCATTGGGTTGACAAACTCATCGTCGAGCGAGAGTGGTACGCCCATCGAAAAAGAGATTTCAATGTCCGCGTACACCAACCATAACCATAAGTTTTGCGCATAAACAACTTCACCTCTGTAGCAGTTGGTGTCTTTAAAGATCTTATCCAGCGCGTTATGGAAACCAATGTGCACTGCTGTTGTAATTGCGGGCTTGATCAGCTGAATGATATGACTGTTATCTCCGCCTCCTAGGCCCTTCACACACCTATAAAGATACCCAAGCATCAGGAACTGAACCCTTTCGACCAAAAACGTTTTCGCTGTCACGTAAGACAGCAGAAACTTATTGAAAGTGTCGAAAGCCTGCGATACCTTGAGATTTGGCGAAAGGATGCTCAGAATCTGAGTTATAATGCCGATACAGTAGTAGTTTTTCTTGTTGGGCGGAACAAGCTTTACCACTGGATGCTGCCCTGTGAGTAGATTCGTAGGACCCTTAATGAAACATCTCGAGAAGTCGAGCATGACCTTTTGCGGATCGACAAACTGATAGCATTGGAACAGGTAACCTGCAAAAAACATGTCAAGGGTCGCTTTAACTTTTTCGTAGGTGGGCAATGCCTTGCACATCGCGGTCAGAACCGATTCGTCGTGTAAACCATCCTGCGAAGACTCGATAGCCGTGAGTTCTTGCAACGTCGAATAGCCCATTGTGTCCTTCCATTTTCTTCTTTTCGCTTTCAACTGGTGCCACGCTTTCTTGTAATATTCCTCAAATCGTAGCCGGCTTTCGTGAACAAGAGTTCTCACGCTCGTGGCACCGTAATATATGCAGCGATCTGCCTTTTCGTCGATGTAGAATATTTCAGCAAGCGGGTTTATCTCCAGAGTTTCTCGGTGACTGCCCAAAATCGATTTTTCCGACTTGGCTTCTTTGAGCTGCCTTTCTAAGTCTTGAATTTTCTCTAGAAGCTCGACGTTGGGAGTCGAGTTCAAGAGCTCTCGCGAGTCCACCTCGTGGCTATACTGCTCAACGTACACACATTCTGGCAAGTTTCGAGACACGCAAGTTGAACACATGGGCTTGTTCTTGTCACATTTCAGCTTTCTTTTCCTGCAGAAGAGACACTGTTTGATGGTTTTTCGCCTTTTCGTCGCTGGCTCCCCGCTGTTATTGTCAGTCACACCCTTGGCTCGGGACAACAGATCTGTAGTATCATTGATTTCGAACTCCTTTGATTTCATATCTCTGCATCGATCCCAACTATATCTTAACCTCTTAGAAATTTCTTCACTTTATTTAAACAAATGGAGTACCCAAACCTGGTAATGTGACATGTGCAAAACTAAGCCTTTCTTCAATACTTTGGGCCGATCTTGTAAGGGAGGTCAATCTAAATTTGTTGCCGCTCTCTCCCCCCCCATACTGTCATCGCCGCACCCTGCTTTGTATCAGCTTTATGCATACTTAGTCACGATTGACCGCGTAGGTGTTTTACGTCGCCTAATTAGGAGACAGCAGCTACAGACAATTAACGTAGCATAGGCAGCACCAACCACCCAAACGCCAGCACTGAAGGGGGCAGTCCTTCAGGAAGCTGGCCTTGGCAGAGCATCCAAAAAAAGGCAGGCTTGGCTGCATCGAAGCTGACCATGGAAGCCAAGCAGCTAAAGAGTTAAACAATTGGAAAAGAAATACGAAAACGGGAATTAAACGGCGACAAGTCCACAGACAAGGCGATAAAGGCGACATACTCTTACTTCAGACGGGGACCCCTGTAGTGGCGTCGATAAGCGATTCGGTTGTGTCTTGGGGGCCTGGACCCACTTTAGTAAAAATTAAGCGACTAACTCCACGGTGCAAGTTGGCATCCAAAACGGCGGTGAATTTATTTTGGATGTGCTCCGTGAACTGCTGGTCAAATTCTGCGCGAGCACCTTTGGAGAAGCGTCCCTCCCAACCTTCGGTTTGGTCGAAAAGGTGATTGATGAATGGTAGCAGCTTAGACTCGTTTTCTTGCAGATAGTAGAGTACGGCGTTAGGACCAGCGTCGAAAGTGTAGGCAACGACAGTATCGTTGTAGAAGTCGTTGATCGCGTGACACAGACGGACAACCTTGCGAGAAGTGTCGTTCATGTAGAAGATAGGTGGGTAGGAGTCCAAGCAAGTGGCGTGGAAAGAATTGGAGTCTTGCATGGTGAGTTTCGCGAAAAGCGGGAAATCGCGGTTGGCGATGGCGGTTTTCATTTCTTCAAAACGGGCTGGCACGACGGAGCGGACACGTTCCTGGAACAGATCTGACGTAGCGACGGTTTGTTGCATCCCGGACGTGGAAGGGGTGTCCTTTTTCTCAGCACTCACAACCAAAATCGCGGCACGCATTTGGGGCCAATGTTCGAGCGGTGCAACTTCTACGGCTTCGGAATCGCTACCGTCCGCCTCAGAGCCCATTTCCCACGCGACGTAGCCCCCAAACAGCGACCTGCATGCGGATCCAGAACCCTTTCTCGCGATTTTGGATAGTTGTGAAGGAGACTGAGGCAGCTGGTACAGCTTGGCAATGGCCATGACAAGCGCAGCGAAGCCCGCGGCTGACGACGCGAGTCCTGCAGCCGTGGGAAAATTGTTCTCCGAGGCGATGTGCAGGCGCCACTGTGACATCGGAGGCAGCGACGCGTCATGAGCCTCGAGCTGCGCGCGCAACGCGCGCAGATCCTGTAAGCATTGCTGTGTGCGAGCCGATTCCAGGGACTCGGGCTGTCCGTTAAGCCACAATTGGTCCTTCTCGAACGTTCGGCTCGTCGCCGCGGTGGTCAACGTGCGCAGGTCTTCCTGAGCCAACGTCACGGAAATCGACGAGTTCGTAGGCAAATTGAGCTTGGTGTCACGTTTACCCCAGTACTTGAGGGTCTGTTGGAGCTGTTAGTAAAGCTGGCTCGCTGGATATGCACGCGAACCGAGATCGCGTTCGTGCAAATTGAACCTTTCACGCCAATTGAACGCTACATACAGCAATGTTGACGGGCGCGGTAGTCGAAGCTGTGTAGACCGTCATTGCAGCGTAATTCGAACAGTAGCAGCGACCAATTCCCTTGATCTTCAGTCTTTGAATGGAATCGAAAGCTCGAGACTTCACCGTGTGTCACTTTTCATATTGTTGTGGGTGTGCGACTATACGAGCGGCTCTGAAAGAGTCATGTTGTACGGTTATACGGTAGTCACGTGGCACCGGCGACAGCTTTGACGGACGTCTCCCTGCGTTGTGTCGTAGACGTCAGTATTTACTCAGACAACCCTCTCCTGGCTACATATCTCTCATTTTTTCGCGTTCAACGATATAGCCAACCTCAAGCAGGTCGCACAGAGGTTTTTACAGACGAATTCATTACAAACATGTCTACGGGTCGAACACCAGAGAATTCTGCTGAAGATTTGCCAAAGCTATGCATAGCCTTATCTTCGCAAAAACGTCTTACATGTTTGTTGTGATGCGTCTTCTATCCCACGCATCCCACGCATCCCACGGCCTGGCGACGATTTCAGAGATGTATCTTTGCACGAGTTGGCAAACGAATTTCATTCTATTAGTGGAATCCTCGACCTTTTTCCGCCGTATTTACCTCTCCTATTTCGAATGCTCTTGGACGCTACAAGCAAGTATTTCCTTCAGTAGTACTCAACAGCGGTCTCTACGATCCCTACCTAATACTGTCTTTGAGCCTGTGTAAGCTTTTCAAAAATGACGTTACCCATTAAGTACTCGTACGTATAAAGCGACACTCTACTCCCATGATTGATGGCTGGATATCCCACATCTTGTTATCCCACGTTTCGGCATCCCACTCAAGTGGGCAAAGATTGTGATTGCGTAAGAGACTTGGCAAGTTTGCTCCAGGCATGTAGTTCGTGTGTTCTTCGCGCAGTTCTAGGATCTTGAGCCTACCGTTGTTAGCATCGCCTAATACGATTGCCCACGTCTACCTACAACATAGTAGAAAAAGACGTCAGAAAGGTGTAAAGTGAGCAGAGCGAGAAGCAAGCAAAGTGAATGGCCCTGTGGGTGTGGAGCTCGATTCCCAATTGTATATAAGGAGCAATTGTAGACAACTCTGGGAATCTGGATTGAGTCAATATATCTGTATAGAGAGTACAATTACGCTATGGAGTATCTGAAAATCACTGCTGGAGATTCGCTGCAATATATGGCCGACGTCTACGGCCACGGCTTGAAATATGAGCGTCCTCCGTTCACTTTCCACTCTCAAGAGTGGGAAAGTCTGGCCAGAAAGCGCATGTCCATCGAGTCCATGGGATACGTGTGTGGGAACGCCAGCACTGGCGAGACTTGTGATAAAAACGTCCAGGCGTTCAGAAAATGGTCAATTGTGCCTCGACGGCTTGTGAAAACCAGCGGATATCCATCTGTCGAGGCCAAAGTGCTCGGGAAAACGCTGAGAACGCCCATTGCCATTGCACCAGTAGGCGTGCAGACTATATTCAACCCTGACGGCGAGCTGGCAGCGGCTAAAGCCGCCGCCCGCGAACACGTGCCGTACATCTACAGCACTGCAGCAGCAACACCCATCGAAGAGGTTGCGAGGGCCAACGGCGACGGAGAGCGCTGGTTCCAGCTGTATTGGCCCGCGAATGAACACAACGACATCACCGTGAGTCTGTTGAAGCGCGCAAAAAAACACGGATTTTCCGCGTTATTCGTAACACTCGACACCTACAAGCTGGGATGGCGTCCCAGTGACCTGGACAACGGTTACAACCCGTTTCTGCGCTCGGACACCGTGGGTACCGCGCTAGGGTTCACGGATCCTGTGTTCCGTCGCTCTTTCAAGGCCAAGCACGGTAAAGAAATAGAGCAGGACCTGGAAACGGCCGCATCAGAGTGGACCGGGACTGTGTTCCCAGGGTTCAGCCATGGTTGGGATGGCTTAGAATTTCTGCGCGAGCACTGGGACGGTCCTATAATCTTGAAGGGAATTCAGAGCGTTTCTGACGCACGTCAATGCGTCGAGCTTGGAATCGACGGGATCGTTGTCTCCAACCACGGCGGGCGCCAGCAAGACGGCGGTCCGGCTTCCCTAGACTGCCTAGTCAAGATCGTTGACGCCGTTGGCGACAAACTCGAGATTTTCTTCGATTCCGGTGTCCGCTGTGGCGCCGATATCGCGAAGGCGTTGGCGTTGGGTGCCCAAATGGTGCTTATCGGTAGACCTTACGTTTACGGCCTTGTCCTCGGGGGCGAAGAAGGCGTGGGCCACGTCCTACGCTCTTTGCTCGGAGATTTGACCATGACCTTGCACCTCGGAGGCTTGCCCTCTGCATCCAAAGAACATCTGAACAGGAGCTGCCTAGAACACGAGGACTAGTCTGCGAAGTTATACAAGTTGTAGAATGATTTTTATGCATTTTGATGAGAGACCACTAACAGAAGAGAACACACTAGACTATCCAAGCGATAGTGAACGAACGATTGCCGCCTGAATAGCTAATACACCCTGCGTACTTGGTATATTTTAATACAGCGATAAAGCCCTGGACCCTGTCTCCTCTTCTCAAGTTAATTTTCAAATCGCACCTATCATGAGACTCGAACCAGGGACTATCTCCTCTTCGATCCCTGCGAGCCGCGATTTGCTCGTCTTTTCTAAAAAATTTTCATTAGTTTTTGAATTTTACTTAATAAACCGGAGATTGCCTTCATGAAACTACAACGCCTTGCCACCTTGATACAGATGCTAAAGAACGCGTCTAAACTCTAAACACATGCATCCGGATCAAGAGGAACCGGGACACGATCTGCACGGATTCGTGAAGAGGTTCCAAGCTGCCGACCTTACTGATAATTCGGACTTCTCGCTGCTAGCGCACGCCAGCACGCATTTGCATGGCAAGCTGCGGCAACAAACGGGTTTTGTAAAGCAGCTGCAGCTGCTGTATGCAGAACTCGACAAGACACATAGCTACCAGGAACTGGTCGAGGCCCTGGCAGCAAATCGTAGCCTTCTGCGCGAGGTTTTCACCCTGGAAGCGGGCGGCCGCGCGCGTAGCGCCGCCGCAGCCCACGCTCCCACGGTTGACTGGACACGCTACGGGATCGACGCGGGCGACTACGCTACCCGATACGCGCCTGCACCATTGGCCAATGAGTGCAGTAGCATTGGGCTCGATATGGGCGAGTGATCAAGCGTCTTAAGGCCAGAAACTTGAGGCCCCCAGGAACGATCGGGGGTGGGGACACGACTCCCCTGGGATCTCATGAAAACCAGGAATTGAATCCGTACGTGATGATATAAAGTGTGCCTGGGAAATGGGTACAAAGAGGGTATCCGTGAAACGTGATTTGAGATTGAATCAATCACGTTAGACGAACAATTAGGAAAACGGCTAGACCAAGGAAGAGCTTACCGATCAATTCCTATCTCTCGAAGAGCTTGGCTCTAAGGCCCACAGAATTTTGCATTCCAATAATCGACAAGTTGAAAATATGTACAGTGTCGGGTTGAAACACTCTGGCGGTATATTCCGTGGCGTCGTGGCCGCGCGCCAACACATACGCTCGATTTCTCAGCTGCGGTCTCTGGCCGAGTTCCAGAAGGCTATTGCCGGAGATCGGCTGAGTGTAATTGACTTTTACGCAACGTGGTGCGGGCCCTGCAAGGCCGTGGCACCTCACATTGAGAAACTCTGCAAGGAAAAGCCATCGGTTGCTTTTTACAAGGTGGACGTTGACGAATCGCCCGAAATTGCAGCAGAGTGCCAAATCACAGCGATGCCTACTTTCGTTTTCGCCAAAAAAGGACAACCCATCGGAAAGGTCGTTGGTGCGGACGTGCGAGGCGTAGTCCAGGGCATCAAAGACCTTGAGTGAAGCACCTGTGAAGCGTCGCTGAAAAAATTATTATAAGTATGATTTAGAACAAAGTGTAGACTGTCAAACATGTCCGGCGTTTTTATCCGTTGAAGAAACAAGCATTTGACTCCTTTAAAGCCATGGCGTGTCTTTTAAGCTCTAAGTGCCCGTCGGGACATGGTTCATTCGGCGGCATGATGCGGAGATTAGTGTTCCGTCAAGGACGTGGTATGAGAAGCGGTGAAGTTCCATTTGGTTCCAAATTGTCAGGTCTGATCAGAAACGCTAATCCAGAAAAGATTTACAGTTACACCCCCCCTAGACTCGTGCGGTTCGGCCCTCTGCTTCTTTCTGGTGTATTTCTTGCCTATGGTCTGTCCTTTGCCGATTGGTCACTGTCCAGCACGATGGAACTATACAGTGAGGACGAAGGGAAAGCTCTCGAGCCCGACGCAAGGTGGTGGGATAACCCGCGCGTGCGATTCTACGGACGTTTTGCTGGCTCTGCTGCCCTTTCGGTCATACCGCTGGCACTTTCAGCCGCAGCCCTGTATCTGCCGTCGCGAATCGTCACCAGCATAACCTATCTTCCTAACGGAGCCTGTACCGTTGCGCGTCGCGCTGTCGTCACCGGAAAACCCGTGGTCAAGCATGTTGGCTTGGATAGAATCACATTGAGCAAGCGGACTCGCGTTTTCACCGGAGTGGGGCATCAGGGCGTTGACGACAAGGCTTCATTCGCATTCTTCCTTACGGACTCGTCAAGTGGCTTTTGGAACAGGTTTTACATAGTCAATCGATCTGGTCACATTTGGAATCGGGATGGGAGAGTATTTGATGCGCTATTTGGTAACGTACCCGTCAAGACGCTTGAAAGATGGAATTTCGCTGCCCCGGAAACTGCCAAAGAGGAATTTAACACTCAAACAAGAAAACAAGACAACGCACTTGACCTGGTAGCGCGTGAAAGTCAGCGGTCCAGGCTGAAGGGCGAAGCGAGAAGTATTGTGCTTAATAAATCCCCAAAATGAACACACATTTTGATCTCTATAAATTTACAAAAACCCCAGAAGCTTCAGAATGTAATCGAAAAATAGGGCAGCACTGAAAATCAAACCGCTTTGGATGTTACTTTTGAAATATTTCCAGCAATTGGCAGGGTTGTCAAGGTCCACCTTGCGAACCATTTTAAAAAGCCTGTATCCAAAAATTGCGAGACCACCTAAGAAACCAGGTCCTAGTAGCATTCCACTGTTCAGACCCACGAGCGTCATAGAACCCATTTGTGCCACAGACATTGCTGTGCAGATACTTCTAGACTTGTCGCCCCACGCTAACGCGGTAGACTTGATCCCGGCTCCAACGTCAAATTTTTTGTCCTGGTGCGCATAAATAGTGTCATAAGTCATACACCACAGGAAGGTACTCACGTACAAAGGCGCCATTGTTGGCCAATCGAAAATGCCCATTGCGGGAAACCCAAGAAGAGATCCCCAATTGAAACATGCGCTGAGAACGAGTTGCGGGTAGTATGTAAATCGCTTGAATAGTGGATACGTGAAAACCAAGGGCAGCGATGATAATCCCAGCCAAAAGCACTCGGCGGGCAATTGGGTCAAGATTCCGACACCGACGGCAGTTTGGACTCCGAGAAACGTGATTGCTTTGGCAGGTGTTACACGGCCCGACGCTATGGGTCGTTCAACGGTCCTAACCACCTTATTGTCCAGATTGCGATCCAAAAGATCGTTTATGGTGCAACCTGCACCTCTCATAATAAGCGATCCAACACCAAACAGCGTCAAAGTCCACAAAGTAGACGAAAGAGGAGCCATAGTCTCAGTAGCTGCTATGGTAATAGCCCAAGTGCATGGTATGTAAAGTAGCCAAGTCCCAACTGGCTTCTCAAGTCTCATCAATTCAGCATACGGAATAACTTTTGCTGGGAGTTTCGAGACGTAAGGTCCCAGTCCTTTGAGTCGAGCTTCTCGCGCGGTGCGAAGCTCCTCGAGAGAAAACGCTTCCTCAGGTTTCTTGTTCTGAACACTCGAAATACACCTAAAATAGGTCTTTGCGCACAAAAAATTGTGCCTATACAAACCCAAAGTGCCTAGCCTCAACCTAGGCATAACGTGAAGCCTCAATGGTCCGTAAATTTTCGGCATGAAGTCTTTAAAATTTTGCAAGTTACCACCTTCTAATTATTTCTGACACTTCATAATGATATCTAATCTAAAACACGCTTTATAAGACAACGACGAGGCAACAACAACAAGCTAGCGAGGAAATGAACAGCAAATTCAGCTATATGCTGGCGAGCTCAACGTGAAAATATTAGTAACGCTGAAATACGCGATTCTAAATTAAGCTAGGAACACTTCCTCAAAAGAGTATTTCGTCGCTAAAACAACAGCTGGAGCTGATTTCAAGATTTGTATAAACGTCTTTGAGAACCTGCACAAGGCGCGGCGCGCGATATGCTTAATTAAAGCAAGCACCTCAAGGACAAATTATCCTTTTTCACTCCCTCAATTAAAATTGAGATTTTCCTGCAATAGATTTTGTGCTTGGCTTAATTAACATGTTGCAAAAGAATAGTTTTTTCATCCTTCTCTATGCTGCGACAATGACGTCGTGGCCAAATGCTTTCTGGACTGCTTCCCAAACCATGATGAGGAAGATATCTTGAGGAGCGTCGGAGTTCCGTTTGCAAAAAAGCCTTAAAAAAACCTCCAAACACTAGACAGATGTCGCACACGTACCACTAAGCGCCTTTGAAAGTATTCCAAATGCCATGGGAGCTCAAATTGATCTAACTAAATGGTCGTCAATGGGCAAGGACTAAAATAATTCACGTGATGTTGATTTAGCGTATAGTCACGTGATTTCTGCTAAAGGGTCTAAACCTCTGAAAATTGTCATTCTTCCCGATTTCGAACCTTAACCAGTACGGTGGAGACCATAGGAGAAACAACAGAGTCTTTTCTGGAGAGCTTCCAACGATACCACTGATACTCTGGTTTGTTGACTCTGTTGACGCAAGAATTAATTCAAAATCCTAGGGTTTCGTACATCTCAAGAATGGATTCTCCGCGGCCTGCGAAGCAAGAAGAACTGAGCGTACATGTGCCTTTAGGGAACCTTAATTCCACCCCACAGAGGATGAACTGCATTGAGGAAGAAGAATTGCATGGCACAGACATACCACCTCCAGACCTTGGAGGAATCAATACGCCGCAACGTCCCGCATCTCTGTACTCCAATCAAGAGGCTAATAACTCGAGTAGCAGCTTCATCTACAACCAGGGATTCAGTTTTGGTGAGGACTCTGGGTCGCTGGGGCCTGGTAATGCAAATTTTGAAAACAAACGTCACTCAAGGTATCTTCCGGGTCCGAAACTGCCGCCCCTGTCATCTACTCGAAACCGCTCTCCTGTAAGGGTAGAAAAATCTTCGTCGCCAGACAGATCGAAAAGGAGACCCTCAATTATCCTGGATGCACCATTTAACTTCTCTTCGGCGTCCTTGCAGCCACCTTCGTCGGCAGGATCCGCCACATCCAGAACTCAATTTAGAAGAGGCCATCGATACAAACATTCATCTGTATCAATGAATTTTTTCCAAGAACCAGAAGTAAAAATACCCCTCAACATTGTCAAATCATTACCATTGCCTGATCTGGCTGACCTTAGGTCGAACATCCCTTGGCCTCGTGGTTACATACAGTTGACCACAGCAGTCGCGCAACTCATATCCTGCGTTGTTACATTTCGCGTTGGACATTCAAAATCATGGAGTAATTTCGTCACCCTCTCGCATTTCATTCTTTATGACGTTTTAGGCTCTGGAGCCATCATTTTAGTGGAGAATTTATCTCAATTTCAAGTCTGGAAGACGGGAACGATCACGTTTCCTTTTGGACTTAATCGTATCGATGTTCTCCTCAGTTTTGCCCTGGCGGTGTCTCTATGTTTCATGGGATTAGATCTCTTTTTCCACGTGCTAGAAGAAAGCATTGTTGCCTTTGTTGAGTCGTCTGGACATGAGGGTCACGACGATATTGCTCCAAAAATTTTACACTCACATGGATCCCATGCAAGCTTCCAAACACCAAGCGACGAACACTTATGGTTTGCACTGCTAGCTCTAAATTTTTTGTTGTCCATATTTTGCTTGACCTGGACTTTCCAATCAAATGCGCACACAAAGTATAAAACGAAAAATCCTATCGTTACCTGCACCTATATTGCGTATTTGACCGTCTTTCCGTTGATTTCAGGTTACTCGCGTATTGACCAATTTGCCACCGTCCTTCTTTCAATCTTTATCATTTCATATGGATGGACGATTGCCAAGTGGACTTCAAGTATTTTGCTGATGGGATTCTCTCCCATGTCACTAAAGGGCTTGATCCTGAACGATGAAGATGAAGATGAAGATGAAGATGGGGCGCGGTCAGGATTGAGGCATAAGTCAGCGGGCAACAAGTCTCACATAAGCTCGCGTGTTTCCAATGGGTCACTGGACGGAAAGGACAGTAATGCGTCGCGTGTGAAAGTAAGCATCGTAAAAAGCGTTGAAGAGGAACCTGTTTTCAGGGAGAAATGTTTGCTCAACTATGACGATTTGAAAATTGCTAAAGTAAGTTTTGATCAATATATTGTTCTGTTGAAATTAACAATAAAAGGTGGATCAAACGAAGACGAGCTGAGACTGCGTCTGGCTATAGATAAACGCATCAAAAGAATTTTGAAGGGAGCTGAAACGACTATTGAAATTGAAAGACTGTAGCTTTTGTTGCGAAGATTCTGTGTCCTGATCCATCGAACAAGTCTCTCAAGATCTTTTTGACGTGAGATGATTCAAGCCCTTGTAGAAATTCGTAGATTCGAATACATTTAATTTAAATCCAGCTCATTACTGTAGCATGCTCAGTCGCGCCATAATATCGTTAGATGAATTGATTTACAACGAACGTATGTCAAGGAACCACGTTAGGTGGGATTCTTCTTATCAAATCTTGCACCAAACAAGCTCATACTTAGCGGAGTATTATTAAAATCCGCACTTCTGTCTTCTTGATAATTAACCAGGCAATGAAATGGGCTAAGCGTCAAAGGGCAATCAAACTCTTCGGTTTCGTTGTTAAACATGAAGTACTCGTGATCAGAAACCATCTTTACCGAGGTGCTAAATGTCTGCAAACCTAACAGGTCTTGACTGTCGCTTAACTCTGAGCTTCTTTTCATGAATAAAGAAATTTTAAATGGTGGGAGGTTCAGCAAACAATCAGGTATCTTTGATTTGAGAAGATTCTCTTTTGTATCTTGCGGTCCCCTTGACGTTGACGCATATATCATAAATGATCTCATTGAGCTTAAAATATCATAGAGTAACAGTTTGATTTTGAGATTGAAATCTATTTTCTCAAAAAGTGCGCACAATCTTTCAATAAGCTCGGATTCACTTCTATTGAGCTCCTCAACGAGCTCTTTGAAGACATTTTGCTGCTGTACGATTATCAGTTTTAGATAAACATCCAATTTAATCTCATTCTCTTTCAACTCCGCAGAGGACATGTTAATGAAGTATCGAGCACATTGCGTGAAAAGTTCTAAGTTCTCATAGTTGAAGTAACTCGAATCGAAATGCAATCTAGCAAACGTCTTGGAAAAAGAAGTAACAATCTCAAGGACGATGAAGTAATAGTTCATGGAGATTTTATCTGATTTCATGCATTTTTGGAGGAAATCGCCTTCAATTGCGGATAAAAGGAGTCGGACTAGTTCGGCGTCAGTTAAATCGTCAAACAATTTCGCGCACAAATTATTGTAGTCACTTATCCGAAGAATTTCTAAAATCAAAGTTCTTATCTTGGCTTCCCTTTCGTCTTCAACCAACAACTTCTGGAAGAGGTACTTTGACAAGATTTGGAATATCCATTTATTGGTGAAATCCAAGAGAGAATATAACCAAAGTATATTTTCTTTGTCATCATGCACTCTATCATCTGCCCCACTTTGAGCCAGCGAGAGAGACTTGGGGCGTTCTTGGTTGCTATGGTGGACGAACCCCGTCATGGATTTTTCCAGGTATGCTTCTCTTTCGGGTTCCATTAAATTGGACATTAATTGATAAAAGGTGTAAGATATCTGTCGACGCTTTGATATAGAGCAGTTGTGTTTGAGAACCAGATAATCAAATAACTCAAAATCAAAGGTTGAAGGTCCAGAACACAGCTTAAGGACAAATTTGAAATTATGGTTAATGAATTTCGTTTTCAGTAACTGGTATGAGACGCTGATGGCCCCATCTCCATCTTTAAGTAGTTTTGTTAGGTACTGTTCGCCGAGAACGTTATTGATAAGTTCGAATGACATGAGCTTTGCTGATATGAGGAATATTAAATCACTAAGCTTGAAATTTCTCCTTTTGAGATAGACCGACATGAATTTTTTATAGTCGTTTGGATTAGCCAGAAACAGCAATCTTAGTGAACGCTTGGCTAAAACCAAGGAAGACCTATCTTTCGTGTTGAAAATGCTCTTTAAATTTTGTTGAAATATGCTGGCAAAACTGAAATGGGTGTTATCAGAATTGAGCAAACAAGAGTCTTGGCGCAACGATGCGTAAAGTTTTATTGTTAAATCTTGTGATTTCTTGAGCTGTTCTATTGCTGCCTTTTCTCCCTCACAAACCTCAGTTAAGCAAATATGCAAATCAGGATCCATGTCTAAAGCGTATTGAAACTTCTTCGTAAAGAACTTCCACAATGGTGAGAACTCGTAAAGTTGAGGAAAGTTTGACTCTTGGGTTGCCATGCTTTTGGTATACAAATGAATCAGTGTTTTCATCATCAAAATCTGGTCATTGATGAGAAGAGAAAACAAACGTTCATGATTCATTAGGATATCAGCCAAGCATTCTAGGGACTCAAGGTCCGTTAAAAGCTGATGATAAGTGATAAACTCAACCCATTTATAGAAATGATTGAATTCCTTCAGCTTATCGCAAAATATGTTGTACTTTTCCAAAATGTCTTCTTTCTCAATTTGTGGAAGCATGTCGTCGCCAGGAGAACATATTAGATTGAGATACCATTCAGAGCACATAAATTTTACGCTAAATGGCACTATTTTCACGAAATCGTATTCATTACTCAGTAGGGAGTCTTTGGCGCTTTCTAACATAATAAGAAGCTCTTCATAGTTATTCTGCTCGAAATAAGTGGAATCATATTCCATGACATTTTTGAGCACCATATTGTATTGGCTTCTCATTAGAGGAGAAATCTTGAGGTTAATGAGAAGCCTGCAATGAAAAAACTTGTCCTCAGAAGAAGCCAAGTATAATATCCCAGAGCTTATAATTTTTCGAATGTAGGTTGGTACTTTTATTAATCCATAGCCGATCAGAATGTTTAATATCTGGTGCAATTTATTGATGTTGACGTGCGTCTGAAATTCATCTTGAGGTATTCTTGCAAACCTGAAGATTAAAGCCCATACTATATCCTCGATATTATGCTCTTGAAAGCTATCTTGTGAATTCATCTTCAATAACATTATTTTTGCCACAAGGTAGCTAGCCTCATAATGCGATCTTCGAGATGGATGAACAGCCCATAGTATCATCTGTACGATTTGACCAATTCTATTGAGCTTGTTCTCGGCATAAAACAGCCAGTCATCACAGGGCGAATTGAAATCTAGTAAATCAGTGAGCTCGCAATCCACTTTTTTAAGTTTCAAATGAAAATTGGTCACAAATAGGCCATTAATGCCTTCAAAGCTATTTCTTACCGGCTCTGGAGTGCCGAAGCTGTTATCAGGGATCCCATCAAATTTCAAAGAGTCGTTTCGGAAAACGATCAACTCTAGCTTCTTGTGTTCGTTGCCCCAATCTCCCTCCAGGTTCCTCACTTTGTCAATATTTAAGATCTCATAAAGACAAGGTTTGTAAAGATCCCAATTGCTATTTGGCATGATAAATGCTTCCATAGACTGTTCGTGAAAGATTTGCAAGATCATGCTCTTCATTTTTTTCAGAAGGGCTGACTCAATCTTGGCATTCTTCTTAACATCGTTTATGAGATATTGTTCATCGTTAAGCATGGATCTGCTGCGAGAGATGAGGTAGTACTTGTGCAAGAGAGCCTTTGTCACTTTACTCACCAGAAAGAGACCCTCGGAAGTAGAATTTGATTCGGTAGTTTGGCAAATGCCATCCCAGAAGATAGAGGCAATATGTAGCGTGAGTGGCAAGCATTCGAAGTTTTCCACTTTTCCTAACAATTCTGCTAGCCAGTGATGGAAAATATTGCGATCCAATAGTTGCAGAGTGTAACAATTGCCCAGTAATTTTAAAAAGTACGAACTTCGCTTTTTCCATGCCTTGAGTTGAGATGCGTCTCCAGAGTACTGTGTCATTTCAAAAACAAGTCTCTCTAAAATGTGAACAATACTTCCGGTCCACTCTTTGTAAAGCTTTGCACATACTTGATCGGATGATTGAGCTTTGTGCTTGGTCATCATTATTTTCCATTCCATGGAGAAGCTGCATCTTATGAGCCATACAGCTTTAAATATTGGAATCTGCTTTGTACAACACTGCTCCAGAACATATCTGCGCTTCAGTATTTGAGGCACAGTACGCGAAACTGCTAACAGTGATGAATGTGGATTGCTTACTTCTTGAAGCCAAAGCTCTCTGCGATGATCAGTTAACGTAACGCGTGTCGGCAGCGAAAATCCCGGCCCACAGAGTATATCAAACCGCACTTTACCATCTCTCTTTGATATTCCAGAAATTTTATTTATCTCCTCTTCCCTAATGTGTACAATTTCTGTAAATCGATCTGCCAAGCCTTCAGAAATCGCCGAAAGTGACTCCTGTAAGGATGACCTTGCAGATATACTCTCGAAATTGACCTTAGCACTATTATAATAGCCTCTGGAAACTGAACTGATCAGGATTTTATCTTCTAATTGAGTGTGAGTCCAAGGACTAAAATCGGGATAAATCTGAGTGGAGTTTGGCCTCGTCAGCGAGTGAAGGTCTTCGGGCGGACTCAAAAGACATTTATTTGGTATCATTGAGATGAGATCTCGAAAGATGACATACAATTTACAGCTAATCTGCCCTCACTTTTCCCATAAGATAAGCGTTTTCAAAGTCAGCTGGATGTTTTTCAAACTAGTTGAAGCTCCAACTGTTTCACCTCTTACGCTATAGAAAATCAAAGATAAAATGACCAGCTAATAATGTATATATATATATATATATATATATATATGATATGCTTACGTTTTGGCTGAATTATGCTCGGACGTGAATGCTACACTTTTCAGGCTTCCGAGACAATTTCTATAAACTTGTTCATCCTCCTTGCTGAGGCTCAAAATCTCATTATCGTTATCTCTCTCGTTGGTTGATCTTACCTGGCAACCGTCAACATCTCTGCTCAAATCCACATTTATTTGATCTTCCCAAAATTTTCTTTCTCCTTTGCCAACAAGTAGATTTATGGCAATGCCGCTTTCGTGGGCTCTCGCAGTTCTTCCACAGCGGTGTACATACTGCTGTGACGAAATTGGCAAATCGTAATTGACAACATGGGAGACCTTGCTTATGTCTACACCACGGGACATCAGATCTGTACAAATCATAACTTGTGCACCTTGAGCGCTCTCGTTCGCGTTTGCCGAGGCAAATGCTTGAATAAGCTTTCTATTGTGTCCTTTGGAATTGTTAGAGTTGATAGACGAAATCTTGATCTTACGCGCACTTCCCAAAGGCGTTTGCATCATAATTTCAAAAAGAGCAGCTAATCTCATCGAGGCTTGATTGCTTCTTACGAACATGAGAACGCGGAAGGGCTCTTTGCTCATAGAGATGATCAGGCGTAGGGCATATAAAGGCTTCGCGAAGTTTTTAGCAGACGGAATACTAAAATTGTATTCTTGTAGTAGCCGCGGTAGATGATAAAGTTTGACGGTGTCCATTAAGAACAAGCGTGGTTTGTTAAGGTTGAGGTTGTGAAGCTTTTCGGTATTGGAAGTCAGTGTGGCACTAAATACCATTTTGACAACGTTTTTCGCCGCGCCATTTGGTTTCTCTCTTTTCAAGTGAGTTATCAAAACGGAACACCAATTTTGAAATGATTGATTCAGGAGCCTATCCGCCTCATCTAGAACAAGAAACTTCAGGTTTTTCACATTAAAGCTTCGAAGTTCGAGATGATCGACCAGACGTCCTGGAGTAATAATGAGGATATCAGGTTCCTGGGACTCAAATTTTTTATGTTCTTCTTTGAGAGAGTTTTCTAGCTTAGACATGGCAACAATGAGGCTGGTCCCTCTTGTAAGTTTGATCATCGTTTGATACACTTGACTAATCAAGATTTTCGTCGGTACAAGTATCAGACACCTTAAACGGTTCACGGTGCGTCTGAACAAACTCTGGACCACAGGCAGGCAATACGCCAGCGTTTTTCCTGAACCTGTAGATGCATTTACCAATACATCTCCAACTTTCTTCGGAAAGCACGATTTGGAATTCGCCTGTTGAAAGAAAAGCGACGGCAGAAGGGCATCCAGAATTGCTGTCTGTACGGGAAAAGTGCTTTGGAGCAACTGCGCTTCCAAATTCGCTAAAATTGCTGAGTCCAAAAAGTGGCCGTACGACTTGAATGCTTTGACCATAGATGGATCATAAACGACCTTGACGAAGTCGTGCCAAGCTACAGCCATCTCCTGTGTTCTCGCTTCCTGGGAGTTCAGTGTAAGATTTCTGACCTTTTTGGGTTGTGGTATTGGAACTAAATGATGACTTGAATCATGACGGCTGTTTTCCTCACCATCACTTTCCTCATGATCGTAATCTTCATTTAATTGTGTGTCCTGCATTTTCAGCGTATTGTGAAATCTGTTTAACACAGATGCATGCTTGTCGGATTCATCGTCATCCCCGGACATATCATCTTCTCCCATGTTTTCCAAATGTATCTCACCGCTTTCATTTGTCGAACTCTCTCCCTCGGTTTCTTCCCCGGTATTTTCTTCCTTCTCGCTTGCCCCATCTTGTTCGTCATCGGTAGGTGAAGAATCAAGAACCTCGTTCGTTCGCTTGGCAGGTAAAACCGAGTCTAAAATAACTTTTTTCTCTTCGGTTCTCACCAAAGGTTTCGTTGGGTCAAACCGAGCTGCAAACATTGATCGAGACGCTATAGATTCGGACCTTGTCTAAATTGGTAATTTTGAGATGCTCATCGCTCGAAATCAGAAGAATATTTTCTGAAAAATTTTTGGAAAATTGAATAACATAAAGAGAGCTAGTACATGAAAGGCTGGTCTTAGTATCAAATTATAACACAAAATGCGCTCAACACTTGTGAAGTTTGGCCGTTCGGTGTGGAAAGGCCCAAATATAGTCCCATTACCCATACGTGAAGCTCTAGCGAAGGGCACGCCAATAAGAACCAATGCAAGAGCAGCGACGATACTACCACAGTTTGTAGGGCTGAAATTTCAAGTTCATAATGGAAAGGAATACGTGGCTTTTGAAGTTTCTGAGGATATGGTAGGCAGCAAACTCGGAGAGTTTGCGCCAACGCGGAAAAGATTTAGTTACACGCAAACCAAAAATAAATGATGGGAGACACATCCGCAACTGCCTTCTTGTACATAGTTTCAATTGAATGATGCATTTACCAAAAACGCTAAACGTTCAACCTTTCACTTCCTCCCTGAGAGCTCATCATTAGCTTTTCCTCCCTTGACCGTCCAGTTCTGTCTATCACGGGCCAGTTGCCCCAATTTGGAAGCCGAAGCACCAGGCATGTAGAATTATCAGCATCTCGGTTGGCTATTGCGGCAATGTACTTGATTACTTCATCTGCCACATACTGCGGTGATGCCGTTTTCAGGCCCCTGTTGTTCACCGTTGAAGTGATGAGATCAACAATTTCCTGATCCGTTAATAAATCTGACACTCCATCGGTTACAAGACAAATAAAACATTCGTCACCGCCAAACTGCAGCTTGGTGATCTCTGAGTGTGGCAGCGACATAGAGCTACCGATCAAATAGGAATAAATATCTGGCTCGGCTGACAGTCCGTCTTTCTTGCCGACTCTGTCGCCAAAGGACCTTGTGTTGGAGAAATTGTTCAAAAAACGCGTGTCACCAAAGGAATCAGTCTGAAAATTTCCACCAAGGCGACGCGATTCCCGCAATGATGTCGGATGGTGCACTTTTGTAAGGCTATGCGCGATACCGTTTTTGTCGCACAATATAATTTTTGCGTCTCCCACTTGGGTAACAACGAGCTTCAAAAGCCCTTGCGGATTTACAAAAAAAGACTCATCAAAGGAATCCGCTTCGTCATAAGACGTGATGAAGACACTTGAGGCAGTGGATCCACTGGAAAATTTGGCTTCGGTTCTCTCGCTCATTGATGGTTCTTGCTCATATCCGCAGCATTCTGTGAAATCCAGTTTGAGAAAAGACATGAAGAGTCTCAGTCTCTCATTCTCGTTAAGCAAACTAGTTTTATCGATAATATTGCCCCATTTATCAAAAATCATTCTAGGTCCCGATTCTGATGCTTTGCCTGACTTGAACAAAACCTGTTCTTCCTTAGTGTTACAACTAGCAATGAATTTCTTGTAATAAGTATCGCGCTTCTCGTATATGCGATCCCAATATTCGCCGCCTACGTTGTCCTTATATTGCTTTAATAATGCGAAGAAAGCAGCTTTAGATGGGTACGTATCGATAATCCGATTGTGAAGTTCGCTGGCCAGCAGCTTGGATACACGATCACCACCATGTCCATCAAATACCGATAAGTTCAAAATGTTCTTTTTCAATGGCAATTCGTTGTGCCAAACCTCTTCTTTGTTATCAATATTCTTATTCTTTAAACAGTTCATCTCCGCACCCGTTGCCGGCAACTTTAGTAAATTGATCGAATAAGTGTCCTCATTATATCTACGACTGATCCTGCTTCCTGCATGTCCTATAAAAGACGGAAACTTGTTCAGGAGAACCCGCAGCATGGGCTGTGCACCTTGAATAGAATGCTTGGGCGAAGTAGTTGTAATGGCATTGTTTACTCTCAGCGCTTTGTGGAGTACCTCATTTGCTGGCTTGAGATAGATGTGAGCTTGAGCTTTTCCCATACGGACAACACCTCCGCCAGGATTCAGAATTCTTACCGAGGTAAATTGGTGCGGATCTTAGTCACCTTAAATAAGTTGGGAGCTATATTAGGCTATCAATTTCACATAAAAGAAAACACCAATTTCTCACATAGTTAAATCTAAGAGATCTCATAAAGATTTGGACAAGTTGCAAGAATATTTATTAGTAGTAGTATGATTACGCGATACAAATCCAAAAGGACTATCATGTTCTCTCTATCAATTCCAATTGTGTTGGGCACTTGAAGGTGAAAACGACAGAAGGCGCTTAAATGTGAGTGGGAATATAGATTTTTAATGTACAGAGAAAAAGAGCAGAGGGGTATGGGGATTCGCACAAGTTCCGTCAAGTATGGTCATTGTCGTCGTGGGGATCAATTTTGAATATTTTATCAGGGTTCAGAATTCTTTTTGGATCCACTGCGAGCTTTATGCGACGCATGAAGTCCACGGGCGCATCCCCCAGTTCCTCCAAAAGAAACATTCTTTTTCCTATCCCAACTCCATGCTCGCCGGTACATGTTCCATCGGCGTCAATGGCTCTCTTTACCATGTTTTCGACAATTTTCTCAGCCTTGGCCCTTTCGTTGTCATTGTAAACAATAAAAGCATGAAAATTGCCGTCGCCAGTGTGGCCAACAATAGCATTGATTAATCCGCTCTTGTTCATTTCCTCCTTTGTTGTTTCTATAACCTTGGAAAAGTTGGAAAGAGGTACGGCAACATCTGTAGTCCAGACGTTAGCGTTCGGATCCTTTTCCTTTCCTGCGTTGATGACGGACCAAAGAGCGACTTTTCTTGCTTCCCAGAGCTCCATTTTCTCATCATCGTTCTTGGCATACTCGAATTCGTGGCACCCGTATTTCTCAGCGGTGCTTTGAACTTGATTTATGACTTCATTGATGATATTCTCGTTTCGACCACCAATCTTGAAAAAGACAGTCGGAGCAACTTTCCAATCGGTTCTATACGTAGCGCCACCCTTATTGATGATATCCATCATGTTATCGTCTAAAAGTTCCATCGCGTTGGGGGCGATGCCCTCCTGAATCAGATGAGAAGTACACGCAGCGGCATTTCCAACCTTTGGAAATGAGGCAACAACTATCGTTTCTTCAACAGGTTTGACATGACATTTAACTGTGGCTTCGGTGACAATCGCGAGGGTTCCCTCGGAACCGATTAACAACCCATTCAAATTGTAGCCTGCAGAAGATTTTCTGGGCCTTTTCTTCGTCTTGATAATGGTTCCATCGGCAAGCACAGCGGTGATGTTAACCACGTTCTCCTTCATCGTTCCATATTTGAAGGCTTTTGTCCCCGAGCAAGAATTGGCGATGCATCCGCCGATTTGCGCACCAGGACCTGGATCACATCCGAACAATAGCCCATTGTCTCGGAGATAATCATTCAAATCCTCCCATGGAACACCAGCTTGGACTTCAACATCAAGATCTTCCTTGTTTAATTTGATAATCTGGTTCATATATTTAGACATATCGATCATGACAGTACAGCCAACACGAGTCGAAATGAAATGTCCCTCAAGAGATGTACCACCACAAAAAGGAATGACGGGGAGTGTATGCTCATTACAGACCTTAACAATTTCGGAAACTTCTTCTGTATTTTTGGGGAAAACCACAATGTGGGGTCTCTGTGACGGTTTTGCATGGTGTGTGTTGAAATAAGTGTCCGAATGGTCCTTGAGCTCACTCTCTGAGGCGGTGAATGAGTCAGGATTATTGCCCAAAATCTTTTTGATTTTAATTATTGCATCCCCGACTTCGCGCGGATCTTTACAGTACTGGGGCGGAGACAGATCCTCCAACTTCAAAGTTGAACCTGTATCTTCTTCATCCTCCTCCTGCCACAGCCAATATGTCGCTCCTGCTCCAAGCAAACTACCAAAAGCTGAACCGGCTAAAAATGTCGATTGAGCGGATTTTGTCGGCGGAGCGCTAACGGGATTTGCTTGCAACGAATATGTTCGATATCCCTTCAAAGGTTTCAAATATGACAGTAATCTCGACCTCGACTCAAATAGCAACCTAATCGTCATAATTTTGGTCTTTATCGCCCAATTGGTCACGCAGTAGGGTTTAAAAGAGATCACTGAGCGTTCTGGCGGAGAGTTGAAACCCCGTTTTTATAGTTTTGTAGTTTCCATGAGTTCTTCTCTTTCATCCCACGCCGCGCGGGATATTTCGGTTATATCATTCCACACATAAAAATTGCGATTTTCTTATTAGAAAGCGGAAGGTCTCGGACCATTGGCGACCATATGAGGACGTAAGTTAGCTTGTCTTAAATTTCGAGCTATTTTTTCTCGAAACTCTAATTCAAAGAGCTACTCGATTCTTTCTTCCCGACTTTATGTATCAGTTATATCGTAGTTAGCGCGGCTAAGATGTACGTGAATTACTTAAGCAGCGCCAGAAAAAATTACAGACTAAGTTCAGAGACGAACTTCGTGGGGGACGAAATTTTGGTTTGAAAAGAGGCATTCTGTATACACGACATTGTGGGTTTGATAGGGCGCATGTGCCTGTTTCCGGCGACTTGGAGAAATTGCCAAAAACGAAATAATCTTTCAAGTTGTACCTATGTAGGATGAGAATTTTTTTGAAAAACGCATAAACTATCGCCTGGACTGGATAAAAGGCTGATAAGGCGGAAGCTGTATTCTTCAGGAAGTCCTTGACGTCACAGACTGGCTTCTTGAAATTATCAAAAAAAGTCTCAGTATGGCATGTCATTTGGCAGAGAGCTTGACGGTCTTTGCATTGTCGGGCACTTTATAAATTAGGAACAGAAAAGAAGTATTTGGTCTTCTTTAGTGAAGGATCAGTATAAGTTAAGGAAATATCAGTTTAATGTCAATCTAAATCTTTATAACTTCAATTTCAGAAATAATTATTTTTGACAGCTACCTAAACCTGTAAAATGAAATCTGCGGTTGAAAAAGCCTTGACTTTCTCTATTATGTGGAACCCGCACTTTGAAACACAGCTTACCAGCGAGTTTTTTCAAAATTCCATGACGATACAGGGGCATCTAGGAATGTTTTGCAAATAAGAGGTTCCCACGCCCGTGTAAAATTTCAACGGGCAATTTGATGTAATATTCAAAATCTATTTAAAAACATTCGAAACTTTTTCGTACGGTAAGGTTTCGCGCTTGTTTTCATGAAACCTTTCAAACTGGTTGGTTCTATCGACTTACTTTCAGCGTGGCCGGCGAAACCCGCCTTTAAAAACCATCAGATGAGGTCACATGACCGTGATCTTATTAGAGCTCTGATTAAATAGGAGCTGCTTCCACACCGGATCACTTGATTATTAAGGTGACCAACTATTCTGTTTAAAGGATATACAGAGCTTTATCTTGGGTGGAAGTTCGCCTTCCAGTAGTGCGACGTCGGGTATGGAAAACCAGCAGGTCTTTTTACAGCCTCCGACCCCTAATGGCAACGGTGAGAGGTCCCGCAGCGTGTCGTTCACCAAGTTATTACCGCGGTCTTTAAGAAGGGCTAGCTATGCAAACAGCAGCGAAACGAGTGATGCGTCTGGCAGCGGGAGGGATGGGGAAAAAATGTACGGATTCAGGCACGAGGGTTCTCTGGGCCCAGTGGACCAAGAGGCCCCCTTGACGGAGACGTCTCGCCACGAGACCCGTGTTCAGACGCTTGGCATGGAAGTTTCAGAACAAAATGAAGCTGTCGACTCGGAAGTTGAGGTACAACAACATGAACAACTGTTCACTTCCACGAAACTCTCGTCTCGTATTCGAAATCTTTTCAAAACGAGTGCCGGAAATAAGTCGAGCTCCGAGACAGCGATCGCGTTTCCGGAGGCCCTTTCACCGGGAGAAGCTACTATCAGTCCGTCAACCGGTTGTCAGCAGGATATCAAACATCTCGACACTCAGGTCAGGGCTACTTCATCTGGATCCTCAAGACGAATTCGTTCCCCGTCGACTCCCATTATGCCAAGTCATATCTCAGTCAGTCCACAAGCACATTTTGCCACCGGAAAGAGTGCGCAAGCCTCACCAAACAGCGTCCCAGGAAAGCTGGGAGTGACCCGGGCTAATAGATCGGACACCGTGAGGGGAAGTAATCCTTATTTTGCATACCAGGGACTGCCACTGCATGCTCTTTCATCTCAAGAATTAAACACCATGAATAGTGATCTACAGATGGGCGAGCCAGGACTCGACTCGTCATTGCTAGCAACCCCACCTTTAACTGGCTCTTCCGCGCTTTCTTCAAGCTTTCTGAGAGAATTAAGCAACATGAGCAATGCCTCACTGAATGATATTAATGAAAATGAAGAAGTACAAGTTTTTGGGCAATTGGTGCAGGATCGGGACCAAAATCTCAGAACGGGCATCGAATTTTCCTCGCCAACCAAACATGCGAGCCATAAGCCATTAGAAAACAACAGCATCTACACCCCTCGCGTTTTTGTTGACAACGACGACTCTCCGAATTTGGAGGAGCTGAATTGTGAAAAGAGTAAATCACCGCCAGCACCTAGTTCTCAAGGAACATCACCAAATTCAGATGAACCTGTCCGCAAGCCGACTCTTCGTCGGGTTGCTTCTGAGCCGAATGCGCTGAAAAAGGTTGAAGTAAATGGCAAACAAAATGCCCCCGACGCGATAAAAACGGCTGCACCATATTCGAGCAACTCCCATTCCGCCGAAGAGCCTAGGCGATCAAGGCGGTTGCGAAACAAGTCCTTTAGCAAAAAGTTTCAAGAAGTTGTCGTTGGTCCTAAATCATTTGACAAGATCAAAATGCTTGGTCAAGGTGACGTGGGCAAAGTCTACTTGGTCAAGGAGAGAAATACTAAGAGACTTTACGCTCTTAAAATCTTTAACAAGGCCGAAATGATCAAGAGGAAAAAAATCAAGCGAATCTTGGCTGAACAAGAAATATTAGCAACCAGCAACCATCCTTTCATTGTAACATTATATCACTCATTCCAATCGGAAGACTTTCTTTACTTGTGCATGGAATACTGCATGGGAGGGGAATTTTTCAGGGCGCTTCAAACCCGCAAAACCAAATGCATTAACGAAGAAGACGCGCGGTTCTATGCCAGCGAAGTAACCGCAGCGCTCGAATACTTGCATCTGATGGGTTTTATTTACAGAGATTTAAAGCCCGAGAACATTCTTTTGCATCAATCTGGGCACATCATGCTCTCAGATTTCGATCTTTCCGTGCAGGCTAAAGATACGAAAGATCCAGTCGTCAAAGGGAGTGCTCAGTCGTCCTTGGTAGACACCAAGATTTGTTCAGACGGATTTCGAACCAACTCATTCGTTGGAACAGAGGAGTATATTGCTCCGGAAGTTATCAGAGGCAAAGGTCACACTGCAGCTGTAGATTGGTGGACTCTGGGAATCTTGATTTACGAAATGCTTTTCGGATTTACGCCCTTCAAGGGCGACAATACGAATCAAACGTTTTCAAACGTTCTGAAAAACGAGGTGACATTTCCAAACAACAATGAGATATCCAGAAGCTGCAAAGACTTGATCAAGAGACTTCTAGTGAAACAGGAGACCAAAAGACTTGGTTCAAAGCTCGGAGCCAGTGATATTAAAAAGCATCCATTTTTCAAAAAAATCCAGTGGTCTCTCCTTCGCAACCAAGAACCGCCGTTGATACCGGTCCTGACGAAAGATGGATATGACTTTTCGAAACTTTCAAGCAATGTAAAGAAAGACAAGTCAAAAAACGTGAATGATCAAGGAATCTCAGACGCCATGACGGAACAAGAACGTATCATGTTTCAGGAGAAGGTTGAGTTTGATGACATTGTTTCTGATGATGACCCTTTCCACGACTTCAACTCGATGAGTCTAATGGAGCAGGACAACAATTCTCTTATATACGGAGATTCTAACACATACGGCAGGATATCGTACACTCCAAATCAAAACAGGTCAAGAAGCAATAGTCATAGATTCTTCAAGCGATGAAAGTAACGAAAACAAAATATGGAAGAGTTTGTATTAGAGAATTTATTGGTCATTTAAGGTACTCAAGTTAAACAAACAACTGATCTTTTGCTGTTTGTCAAGGGTCGTGTCTGTAATGATGGACTTAACTTTGTAAAAGAAGTTTATGTTAGCAGCTTCCTCAGATTCTTCCCTCATTCTTTGCGAAATGTCAAATGCTCGATTGATGATATCAAGTGGTATGCCCGCTAACCGCGCAACGTTAAGGCCATAAGAACTGTGAGTTGGTCCTTGAACGAGCTTGTAAAGCATAACAACACTAGGCCATTTTTCTCCCGGTCTGGTCTCCTCCAAGTACGACATATGGCAATTTCCTATCAGAGGAGATTTAATGGCACCTAGTATTGGATAATGAGTAATGAACAGAATGTAGGGACACATGATTCCCTGATCTAGAAAATATTTCAAGATTCCATATGATATGCTAATTCCATCAATAGTGCCAGTGCCTCTTCCCACTTCATCAAGCAACAAAAGTGAGTCTTTCGTAGAATTCGTCAAGATGTCCAACATTTCGAGCATTTCAACCTTGAAAGTTGATTCTCCTTTCAGAAGATTATCGTAAGCACCTATCCGGGTGTGGATGCTGTCGAATGTAGGGAGAATTGCTTTCTCCGCGGGGACAAAGGAGCCAATTTGGGCCATAATGATTATAAGCGCGACCTGGCGAATATAAGATGACTTGCCTCCCATGTTCGGGCCAGTTATAACCGTAATTTTGTTTTCTTCAGACATATGCACATCGTTGGGGACATAATTGACATCCAGAGACTCGATTATTGGGTTCCGTCCGTTTGAAACAGATATTTCCCGCTTATCACTGCATAAGACCGGCCTCACATAATCCTTGTTCATAGAAGTGGCTGCTAAACTCAGAATGCAGTCAAAAGTCGCCAAGTTATCGATAATGCTCTTTAAATTCCCATAACTTTGGCGGATCTTCGATAAGAACCTCAAATACTCTTCTTCATTAATTATAATCAACAGGGTTTTTTGATAATCCAACTCGTCGACAAGCCTTTGAATTTCGGGCGTGCGGAATCTGCTAATCAGTTTCGTCGAATTGACTTTCACCCAACTTTTTGGCAAACCAGCAACCTGGGAATTGCGCACTTCTATCAGATACTCTATTTCATCTTTGTAATTGAAATTGGGTCGCTTTAACACCCTTCGTACTTCTTCCAGCTCATTATGCAACTTTTCCCTGATTCCCTCAATATCTCTAAGCTTAGCAACAATTACCTCTGCATTGTCGTAATTGTTCAAATTAAAAAATTCAACCTTGTTCTTTTCTTTGTCTTTATCCATGACAGCCACCACGTTAATCATATTCAGCTGGTGGTCGAATTGACATTCCGATAACATCTTGTTTAGAGAATTTAGAATGTCACTCAAAAGATGAGACTTTTGAGAAATTTTGCCGTCCTGGGCCAACACACTATCATCAAGGTACCTTAGATGTCTACGAAAATGGCATGCGATCTTGTCGAGGTGTTTCAGAAAAAAGTAGATTTCTTTCCGTGATGTTTGTCCATATGAAATTCGATTCAGAATGCGACGAAGATCCGGACTTTCTTTTAGTAGATTACACAAGCCTTCCATGAAAATTTTTGTTATTTCGCCCTTGATGCATTGAACTGCGTCGAAGCGCCGATTTATTTCACCTTCATCCGTTAAAGGTTTGGCAATCCACTTCCTTAACATTTCAAAACCATAAGGAGTTCTGGTATGGTCCATAAGCCATAGAAGAGATCCTTTAATTTTACCGTCCGTTCGGTTTTTGAAGACTTCCAAGCTTTCGAGGGTATTAGGTGACAAGACCATGTGGAATCTCGAGCTGAAAGGTGTATAATTTTCCTTTAGGCGCAAAACTTGCTCGGCGCCATAACTTCTAAGGTATGCGTCAAGAATTGAGGCCAAAACCATAAATTCTTCGCGCAAGTTTAGCGAGTTCTCTAAAAGGGTATTCAAAATCTCATCCTTCTCGAATTCCTTGCCAATTAAAGTAAACATTATCGTGGGATCATTCTTTTTCATGAGTTTCAAAACTCGGAAAGGAATTTCGGTATGATGAATGATTTCAACCGGACGCAGATAAGCAATGCGCTTTTCTAACTCACTTTTCTGGTCGAATCTTTCGGAAAATTGATCGTAAACAACCTCGCCCGAACTAAGTTCAACCGAAATTAAGAAATAGTAAAGTATTCCATTATCTTCTTTTGAGAAAAGACTCCATATGGCGTTGTCGCGCCTGTAAGAGTCGTCTTCTCCAGATGCAAAGTTCTCATTGATCGAAAAAGTAGCCTTAGTAAAGACTTTATCAACCTTTCTTTGAAACACCTTATTCCCAGTTCCACTGTTTTTCTTGAGTGCGAGTGTTTCAGTCTGTTCTACGACTCCAATTTTCAAATTATGGGGTAGAAGTCGCTTCAAATGTATTTCAAGTCGATTGTCGGGGATGCTGCAGTAAGCGAGCTGTTTATAAAGATGGTCTTGTGGATGAGAGTCGTCTAAGGTCCTCTTGCCATTAATGAGCATGATACGCAAAATTCCACTGACAACGACAGCATCTTGCGCAAAGAATTTGTATTTATAGCCAACACGAACAGCAAGTATTTTATCCAAATTTGCGAGTTTGAGATCTTTGACTTGCTGGTCGAGTGGCGTGAGTTGGTCAGTTTTCCTTCTTTTTCCGGATTCTGGCAGGTCTGACACGTCAGTTCCTTGTGGAGTTGTCTCGACTTCTGCAAGGTCATTGACCCTCAGATAATCAATCTCCTTCCTTTTTAGACTTTTATCAAGCTTACTAGCAAATTCAATAGAAGCCAAATTTCTACTGTTCTCGTCGAGAGTTTCGTAATTGCCATTGTTTGTAGCGTCCTGTTTCCTTAGATACGACAAATCTTTCAACTTTGTAATAGGAGAAATCGAAGAAAGCCCATTGACAGAAGTAAAGCCATTTTTTGGGATTTGCCGGTCTTTCTCAACTGACCTCCTTTGCTGAATTAACGAGTCTATTCGCGTTTTCTGGGATTGATGACGTGCCTTAAAGAATTTGCTTATAGTGGGTTGAGAGGGCATTACTTAGCTCACACAAAAAACACCCAATTCCTTATTAAGTTGCGGTCGAAAGGAAAAGCTTGGACCTCCATAAATCAGAGATACGGAAGTATTCGAATCCGCCGAGAAGCTGATTTGAGCTCACTATATATTGTTGTGTACTTCATTTGGCAGATTAGATGCCGGGTAAGTTTGTTCATAGAGGGGGCAAAATTTTATACCTGGATACATCGTCTTCAAACGGAAACGCCAACTAACTGAAATCAATAATTGCGTTTTTAGTAGGTCCGAACCCTCAGTAATTAGGTGGTATGTTTTTCGTTTTACTATTTGAGACCCTTGCAGCAACTTCTTGACATGAAAACTGATTCAATTTGCATTGAACGGTCAGCCAAGGTTTGACATTTTGTAAGCTTAGGCAATCCAATATCATTGAAAGCGATCCAGGACTACAATTATTTAAGTTGCAAACATCAATTTTCACAGTACTAACTATGATGATTCCTCAAGCCTTTTATTTACATGCATAGTTCGCAGTTCCTTGCAAGGTATACAAGCACCGATAGCCCATTAGAAGCCCAAATTATACACACACAGATCAGTGTATTAATAACACAACTAAACCACTCTAGTTTTTCGATCATCGAAAATCGCTTCAAGACTTTGTTGAACAAATCCCCGTTCAGTGTTTACGTTAACTACTGGAAAAAACACTTGAGGTTAGCCGCTGCTCATATCAAAGAACATTCAGAATTAAACACAGAAGGCAACGTTCTGCATCGCCTTTTGGATAGTCTTTTTGAAGATCTCAAAACCAAGACGAACGAGACTTTGCAACAATTAAGAGCCGAAATTTTTGAAAACCAAGACTTTCTCACGCAGGCCGACCTTCCGATAGACGACATCATCAAAATCTTTGAAAACAGGAAGGACAACGATATTATATCTAGAATACGTCCAGCAACAGCTATCAAACGTCTGAAGAAATTACAAAACTCGAAAATGAATACCTTACAGACATTGCAGCAATTTTTGACCGATCAATTGCCCTCAACCTTCGAGTCAAATCTGAGCAGTCTCCTCTGTTCTTTGGAAGGCGAAAGCCTCAATGATATGGTCGCTCTGATTTTGGCGGAGGTTTTGTCCCCTGGACAGAATATTCAGTCTAATTCATCATCATGGCTTACTCCCACCGCCATAGGTGAGGCAGTTGAAAGAGGCGGGCAAATTTGCACAGCTTTGACGAAACTAGGGCCTTCCACTATTGATTGGAATCGTGTTTTTAATTTAATGTCAACAAAATATTTCCTGAATAGGGCTGTTGACATAACGCTCGCATCTGTGAATTCTCTTTTCGCCGCCCTGAATAATGGCCCACTGATTGACCAATTTCTGAGTAGGGACTGGAGCATTCAAATAAAATTAATCATCTGCATCTTATTGCACAAGTGGAGCTTACAACAGGGATGTGTGGATTTATTGAAGATGCCTGGCATAAAACCCGTCTCTGACACAGTCTCAAACACAAAAGATTCATTAGTTTATTTGCTTTCGGTTGCAAAGCTTGATATCGAGATATTTCTCCTCAGGGAAGAATTGTCTTCTAACCCAATGCTTTCACTATTTCAAGAAAACTTTTTCGAAGATTATCATGCTGTTCCTGAATACCTGAGTTTGGCCTTGTTATCTGACAAAAAGCATTTTTCTCTCCTTATAGACAACAGGCCGATAATCAATGAGCTTTTGATAACTTTACTGGTTCAAGTTTTTGAGAGATCACCTGCTTCATTCAGACTATTGGTTAGGCAAGTTAAGTTTGACGTTCTCGTTGACGCGGGAAGGATTATTATCAAAAAAGAAACGACACCTTTGGAAGCCTTTATGAAGGTTCTTTTAGATGAAAAGCTCCTTGAGCGATTCATTTTAAGCATCTCTTTCAAAGAGGCTCTGAGAATTGCTCCAAGTGCAAGAAAGGTAGGATGGTCGGGCTTAGAAGATTTTATTAAATCCAATGCCTCTCCAGAAAATATGCCGGCCATTCTGGATTTCCTGGATTTACAGTCGAAGATGGACGACGTAAATACCCCATTTCGCTCTTCGAAGACTTTCGATTTACCGGCTATGCATTTTATGATAAGTTTTCTCTCCTCGTACTCCTTAAGCTATGAAGAAAGAAAACAATTAGAGGATATTGAGTTTGCATTGCTGATAACTTTCCCGCGACTTATCAATTTTGGTTTTGGCCATGACAAGACAATACTAGCAAATGGTGATTTGGTGCCCATCTCAATGGATGTCGAAAAAGAGATGCAAAGTTATTTGCAAAGAATGTATAGCGGGGAGCTTGCCATCAAAGATGTGATCGAAGTTTTGATAACTTTAAGAGACAGTGATGATCCTCATGATCAGGATCTCTTCGCTTGTATGGCGCATGCCGTAATTGCTGAGTCGAATTTCTTCAGAGACTATCCTTTAGAGGCGTTAGCCACGACTTCCGTGCTTTTTGGATCAATGATTTTGTTTCAGTTGCTGCGGGGACCTGTGCTTGACGTGGCTTTCAAAATCATACTCAATTTCGCAAAAGAAGGGCCTGAATCTAAAATGTTTAAATTCTCCGTCCAGGCCCTTTACGCTTTTCGTATGAGGCTCAAAGAGTTCCCTCAGTACTGCAAGCAACTCATAAGAGAAGTCCCAACGTTGCAAAGCCAGCCACAAATTTTTCAAACGCTCAGCCAGGCAGCAAGCCAGTCTACGGAGAATGTCGCCACGAAACCTGAGCAGTTTCAACAAGCTCCAGAGTTAGTTTCGCTCAAATACTTCACGATCACGGAAGTTCCTCCAAGAGTGGTTCAAGAAAGCCCACCTCGAGAAGTTACAGAAAAGGTTCTTTTTGGTGTAAACAACATCACAGAGGATAATTTTAACGAGAAAATCACTGATCTACAAGCCGTTTTGACGGAAAATCATTATAGTTGGTTTTCTAATTATCTCGTGAATCAGCGTGCAAAAACCGAGCCCAATTATCACTCACTGTACGCCAAAATTTTGCAGCACTTTGACTCCAAGCTGCTCTATGATTACATTTTAAACACCACCTATAAGCAACTATTCCTCTTACTGTCGATTAAATTTCCTCAATCAGCAGAAAAGTCACATTTAAAGAACTTGGGCTTATGGTTGGGAAATGTCACACTAGCATTGGACCGACCAATCGGCCATACTAATATATCTTTCCGAGAGGTATTATTGGATGCACACCGCAATGATAGATTAGAGACTGTTGTCCCCTTTGTCACTCGAGTATTGCAAAGCGCTGCGAAATCAAAAGTATTCCGCCCACCAAATCCTTGGACAGTCGGTATCTTGAAAGTCCTTCTAGAGTTGTATTGTAAAGCTAATTGGAAGCTTGCGCTTACTTTCGAAGTTGAGGTGTTGTTTAAAGCTATGAACATTAAACTTGAAGAGTTGGAACCTTCGTCGTTTCTCAGCCTGACTGACGCGCCAGAGATATTATCGGGAAACTTGGGTACCCTAAGTGCGGAGCAGCAGCAAACCGAGCAGCAACAACAACTCGTCGTAATGCAGCAATATCAACAACAGCTGTTATTGATGCAACATCGCCAACAGCAGCATCATCAACAACCACAACCACAACCACAACAACAGCAGCAACAGCAACCGCAACAACAACAACAGCAGCAGCAGCAGAAGAGAACGGTTTCCTCATCTCTTCCACATGTCACTGATCTGAATTCAGTTGATGTCACATCTGCCGAAAATCCGTTCGGCACTTTGAGCGGACAGACAATCTTTGTCTCGCATCCGGATTTGAAACGTGTTTTCCAAATGGCAATTGCCAAATCGGTGAGAGAGATTTTGGTTCCGGTGGCAGATAAGTCTTCGAGCGTTGCCGTCGTTGTTACCTTCAACGTGATCTTGAAAGATTTTGCGACTGAGCCTGATGAGGTCAAGTTAAAATCAGCCGCTATTTCAATGGTTCGCCACCTTTCTCGAAGCTTTGCACGTGCGACATCGGTAGACTTATTAAGGGATACCATTCGATCAACAACCCAGTCACTGGCACCAAACCTCATGAGCTTGCCAAATTCACCTATTGATGAGCTCAACGCAGCAATCAATGATAACATGGGAATTGCCTTGGCAATTATCGAAAAAGCTTCAATGGACAAGGCCACTCAAGATATTAGTGAACAACTCATGCAAGCTATTGCGGTACGCAAATACCACAAGGAAAGGCGTTCAGATCAACTCTTCCTTGCTCAAAATTATAATTCATATTCGCTCTCATTACCAGAGCCCTTAGGTTTGAAACCGTCCGGCGTTACAGCCCAGCAGCTCAAAATTTATGAGGAATTCGGTCAGAGCTTCAGTCGCTCCGAGTCCGCGGCTACATTACCAGGCTCGCTAATAGGTGCAAATTCAACTCAACAGGCTTCTCTCAACCAGCCTCTCCCACAACATCAGGCCGTTCAGCAACAACTCCAGCAGCAGCAGGCTCTCAAATTTGAGCAAGAGAATCAGCAGAAGCAGGAAGTACAGCACCAACAACAACAAAATCTTTTATTGAGACAACTGCAGCAATCTCAATCTCAGTCGCAATTGGGTAGCAGCTTACCAATTGTTCAAGCTCCACCTAATGTACAAAATGAACTTGAGCAAAATCATCGCATTTTGGTTTTACTCATGGATAATTTAGTGGATCAAATCAAGGAGAGCTCTGATCAACAACTTCAAGGTACTGCGCAACAAAAGTCGATCAAGGATATAATATCACAGATTCTGAACTTTATCTTACGCAGCAACCAAAAAGACCAATTAGCCTTAAAAGTATCCCAAGCTGTCGTTAACAGCCTTTTTGCCACGAGCGAGAGCCCTCTCTGTCGTGATGTTTTATCGTTGTTGTTGGAAAAACTATGTTCTCTGTCGGTTGTAGCTCGCAAGGATGTGGTATGGTGGCTGGTTTATGCTTTAGACTCGAGGAAGTTTAACGTACCAGTCATTCATTCATTGCTTGATGTGAATCTGATAAGCACTTCTGAGTTGGATTCTGTTCTTGTGGTAGCAATGCGTAGTTCGATGGAGAACGCAATGTCATTTGCTATCAGCTTAATTGAAGAACTCATTTTGTCGGATGAACCACTTTTCATGCGCTCCGATTTTGTCAAAACTCTGACTTATTTGAAAAATTCTAGTGAGGAAAATGCCGTGGCTTTTTTTGACAAATATGACGATGCCAAAATACTTCCAGTCAAGAAGTCGGCAAGGATTACCAAGGCGGAAAAAACTGCATTGGTGTTTACAGAATGGGTAAAATTAATTCAAAGGTTGGATGGTGATGACGAGACTGTCCTTGAGTTTATCAGACAAATGATCGAGAAAGGGGTACTTCAAGACAGCAATGGATTCATTTGCTTCATGAAATCCGCATTAGAACTTTCTGTTAATTCATTCAAAGAAAGCGATCCAACGAGTGAAGTTTTCATCGCAATTGATTCACTGAGTAAACTTCTAATAAAACTGATTTGCTTGCTTGATTTTAAGCAAAGTTCGAGAGAGGAATTTTTGAGCTTGATGTTTTCCGTGGTAACTTTAGTCTTTTCAGAGGATCAGGGAAGAAATGACACTTCTTTTAATGAGAGGCCATATTTCAGACTGTTTTCTAGTTTATTGTGTGACTGGGAAGCTTTGCGTGGCCATAAATTCGTCAAGATTAAAGATCCAGCTTGCAGGAAAGAGCTTGTAAACTTTGATGAGAGCTTCTACAACATTTTTGCATCCTTTTTACATGTTTACCAGCCAATTGCATTTCCTGGATTTGCGTTTGCTTGGATCACGCTCTTATCTCATCGCATGTTCTTACCAAGGATGCTCCGTCTCCCAAACAAAGCGGGCTGGTCCAAGCTCCTATTATTGTTTACTGACTTATTGAATTTTATGGCTCACTACACGAAGAGGACAGAAACTCATGATGCTGTCACGGTGGTCTACAAGGGTGCATTGCGTGTGATTTTGGCTGTGTCAAACGATGTTCCTGAGTTTTTAGTGGAAAATCACTATGAGCTCTTAAACAACATTCCTCCTATTTACATGCAGCTGAGGAACATCATTTTGAGCTCTGCACCTACCAAAGTTGTTATTCCAGATCCCTATGATCCTAACATAGAGCTTCATGACATCGAAGCCTGTCAAGTACCAGCAGCCATCTTCTATGATCCAGTCCAAGATCTAAAAGGTTTGAAGAAACCGGTGGACAACTACTTGCGTATTCCAAGTAGCTCCTTGATGAGAACCATTTTATCAGGATTATTCAGAACTGAACTCGAGCTAGATACCGGGATTGGCTATGAGACCACTAATGTGGACGTGAAACTAATCAATGCCATAACGTTGCATGTGGGCATAGAGGCTGCGTTGGAAAAAGATAGAACTTCCGCAAATGCGATTTTCAATACCAAATCTTCTTATTTTACGCTGTTCAAGGGACTAATTACAGAGGGCTCTACTGAGTTGAAATTCCATGTCATACAAGCGATTGCCAATCAACTTAGATACCCAAATGCGCACACACTATGGTTCAACTACGTTATCAAGAATTTGTTTTACTCAGATGAGTTCGAGGAGCAGCAACATGATGTGCAAGAAATTATCATCAGAACAGTTTTGGAGCGCATAATCACAAACAAGCCACACTGCTGGGGAATTGTGGTTACGTTCGTGGATATCTTAAAGTCGGATTCGTCCTCTCTTGCGGATTTATCCTTCATAAAGGATGTTCCCGAAATCGAGCTTATTATCAAGAATTTATCAAAGCATATTATACCGCACGTCAGGACAAAAGGCATGTATTCACAAAATGGTGAGGGTCATGAACAGTTTCCGGAGTTGAGGGCAGAGGCATAGCTCTTTATCAGGTAGACCGTTTTTTGACAAGCTGCTTTCAATCGACCACCGCAAGGCATAGTTAAAGTTTGATCACGTGACATATCCATTAATATAACAAATTAGAGCTGAACATCAATGTTGATCAAAATAGTATATATGTCCAGCAACAACACTTCAAACCCAAATATACCGTCTCCCTTCGAGCTTTTCCCTTACTTCTAGTTTCAAACAATTTGAAATTAGGTGAAGCACCGCGAGAAACACGACAATATGCTTTGGCGTCGTAAGAGCTCAGAAGATGACACTGAAGGCAGTGCAAGTCTCGCTCAAAAATCCAGAAAGCCACCTAATACGGCGTTCAGACAGCAGAGACTGAAGGCTTGGCAGCCAATATTGTCTCCACAGTCCGTTTTACCTCTGCTAATTCTGATTAGTGCTATCTTCGCTCCTATTGGCGTTGCACTGATTATCACAGCTAACAACGTTCAGAACTTGCAAATTGATTACAGCCACTGTGATACCCTTGCAACAAATAACTTTAAGGAAATTCCATCAAAATATGTGGGGTATCACTTCAAAAAAAAACTCAATGTGAAGCCCGTTTGGCGCCTGCAACAAGATCAAACAGACGTCAAAACATGCGCCATTCAGTTTGAGATCCCAAATGATATCAAAAAGTCAATATACATTTACTATAGGTTGACTAATTTTTATCAAAATCACCGGAAGTACGTTCAATCGTTTGATTTGAGCCAATTGAAAGGTCAAGCGGTAGCCAGCGATGATCTAAACAGCGACTGCAATCCTTTAAGGGAACAAAATGACAAAGCTATATACCCTTGTGGTCTGATAGCTAATTCGCTCTTCAACGATACCTTCGGTCCTGAATTGATGGGTGTGAACGATACACAGTCGTATGCTCTAACAAACAAAGGCATCTCATGGTCATCTGATAAGTCCAGATTTAAGAAAACAGAATATAATGCGTCGCAGATCGTGCCTCCTCCAAACTGGGCGAAGCGCTATCCTGACGGATACACTGATGATAACATCCCAGACCTTTCGGAATGGGAAGAACTGAAGGTGTGGATGAGAACAGCCGGCTTACCAAAATTTTATAAACTGGCATTGAAAAACGAAACTGCCACACTTCCCGCCGGTGCGTACCAAATGAATATTGATCTAGAATACCCCGTCACAATTTTCGGTGGATCTAAAACTTTTGTTTTGACTACAAATAGCATTATTGGTGGCCGCAACATGTCTCTAGGTGTCGTTTATCTGATAGTTGCAGGAATATCAATTATTTTCGGACTCATTTTTCTCATGAAAGTCATCATTCAGCCAAGAAAACTCGGCGATCACTCTTATTTGAGTTTTGATGAAAGAGAAGATGTCGTGTCTCGGTCGAGTGCACAACCACAACCTTTGAGGGAAATTTTATAACACATTAAAGGTGCCCATCTCTGTTAGTAAAAGATTGGACAAAAGCACCCTATCATTTGTCACTGCAAGTAAAACAAATCAATAGCATTTTATTAACGCTCAATTCCTCAATATGCGATAGTATTCTTGGTAGAGTTGGATCCGTTGATAAATCACGTGATCCGCTTGGAGTCCATGATAATTTGCAACGGTTTTTCATCGTGGCTTCTCGATGAGTACTTTGACGGTGGATCACGGCGATTAATACCTAAGGCTTTAGGCTTTAAGCTCACACCCAAGTCAAAAGAGCTTACCCTTTAGGTTCACGTTAAGAATGTCAAGAGAAAAGAGAATAATGAAGGAGATGCAAGCCATCAAAGAAGACCCGGAGGCCAACATTGGCTTGCAATTCGTGAACGAAGGCGACATTCATCTTATGAAAGGGTCATTTCTTGGACCTCCAGGAACACCTTACGAGGGCGGTAAGTTCATGGTTAACATAGAGGTACCCATGGAGTACCCTTTCAAGCCACCCCTGATGAAATTCGACACAAAAGTGTATCACCCTAATATTTCTTCTGTGACGGGAGCAATCTGTCTGGATATTTTGAAGAACGCATGGTCCCCGGTGATTACTTTAAAATCGGCTCTTATATCATTACAAGCATTACTTCAGTCTCCAGAACCCAACGATCCCCAAGACGCGGAAGTTGCGCAACATTTCATTAAAGACAAAGAATCTTTCAACAAAACGGCGGCTCTGTGGACTAAAACATATGCATGTGCTCATTTACAAGGAGAACCTGCAGATGTTGATGAGGCCTCACTTTATGGGATCGATAACGCTCTCATCGAACAATTCATGGCATTGGGTTTCACACGGTCAAAAATTATTGAGGTGGTAAGGAGACTAGGAATAAAAACTATGTCTCCGGGCGACAATGAAACGGTCAATAAAATATTAGAACAGCTTGTAAGATGAGCATATATATATATATATATATATATATCTATCAACATTATAGTATGTCTTCAACCGAGAAGAGCAAATAAGCTTGGCCCAATTCAACCAGGGACTTGAGGAAAAATTAAAGGGGATAAATGAAAGCCTTGTTTTCGTGATCAGTAAGATCCAGCAACGCGACATTCACTTTCAGTTTACCACTGCCTTCTTCAACAAATCCAACTTTGTCGTCCTCATACTCCAGGTTGGCAGCACGTTCCTTATTCCGCCTTCTCAAAATATACCAAATGACAATCGCAAGGGCGGGTGCAGTGAAGAAAGAGAGTACCGTCTGAACAATCCATGCAGGGTTGTAGCGAGGGGCGTCTCTCTCCTGCCATAGTTGAGGAGAAATAATATTGGCAACACCATACCAAAACATGATAATAGCATTCCGGGTTAGCTTTTTGGTGTATCCAGAACAAGTCTGTGACGTCCAGCTGAACATTAGAATCCAAGGGATACCAAAGGGAGAAGCTAGGCAAACCATTGCCAAAAGACCCAACTTGTTACCCCAAGGAAGTGACACCGCGCCAATGGATCCGACAAATGACGGAAGACTCCAAAATACGACGGAGAAAGCGACAAGGTTCTTTTTGTACAGCAAAACGGTCGTTGCAATTATAGCCAAAACGACCTGGAAGCCACCGGACGCTACCGAAACCAACGTCGAGTCCAAATTGGAAATGTTACCGAGACCTTCATATAACAGATTCTGTTGGTACGTCAAGTTATTAGCCAACTGCTGCAGTAGGAAAAACGCACCAAACAGCCAAGAAATAGGGTCCCTCAGAGCCTCTTTAACTTGGTATGGCTTGAAAACTTTAGATTCGATAGAGGAGCCGGTGCTCTCTTGAACTCTTCTGATAACCCAGACTTTTTCGTCCCGCGACAAAAATTTGGCATCAGTTGGGTTGTTGGGATAGATTATCAGGATCAAAACGGTTGTCAGGAAAGAAATTCCGCCGATAATGATCGTGAAAATCTTCCAAGCAGCGATAGGAGGATTCTGGATATTCAAGACACCATACGCGATAAAGCCCACAGGAATTGTCACCCCCATACAAGTGGAGTAGAAAACAGGTGCGGTGGCTGATTTTTCTCTGGGCGTTAAAAACTGTCCCATGGTCACATTGAGCGTGGGGACACCAATGGATTCAATAAAACCTAAGAAAAATCTCAGCGTGTACACACCTTTGTAATTGAAAGCAGCGCAATGTAGGAAAATGACGGCACACCACAAGGTTGTCATCACAACTAGCACACGCGCTAGAGGGAATTTCTGGATCCAGTATAAATTTCCTTGGCCGAGAATGTAGCCGAAGTAGAAAAGGGTGTTGGCGTTGTTGTACTTGTTTTGTGTGAGGCCCGTGTCCTTGAAGAACGTAAAAATCGCCGCGTAGGACATCACTGCCTTGTCTGCATACAACACCATATCAATAAACGCCGTAAGAGATACAATAATCCACATGACTTTACGAGAAAGCTTGCGTTCCTGTTCCGGGGTTATGGGTTCGACGAGATGGTCGTTCTCCTGCAGAAACTTGAGCGTCACATCTGCATCTCTCGACTTGATCACTTTATATCCGTCGCCTGCCTCCTGTATTTCCGCTGGGCTTGCCACGGACACGATGTGGTGCCGAGCTTCATCGCCTTTACCACCATCGTTGTTCAACGCGAGGTTTTTTTCTCCGAGTATAATTGCAGAAGCCTCTTCGGCCGACTGCGATTCTTGAGAACTCATTTGTCTGCTGCCGTGAGGTAAAACTCCAAACAAAAAACCCTTTAGCTAGCCATATTCGCACTGTTTATATGCGTTTCTTACTCATCGCACGAGATCTCTCATCTTATCTCGTGTCCGGCCAGGGGCCACCACAGCTGAGGACTGTTGCACGAGCCACGACTGGCCAGTAATGTGGGTCACCTGCGTCTGGCCAAGACAAAAAAGGCACTCACCGGCAAGATTCCTTATGCTGCATATCACTACTGGTAAGCCTCCATTAGTTGCAAACGCCCTGCGTCCGAGAAATTGCGAGACGTCGCTTATCAGGCTTAAAGCCAGGCTCGGTCTTAAGATAGACCCCTGTAATCATAGAGCTCGTCAAGCTTATCTCACATCTGTACATCTTGAACACCAACAAAATCTATAGCTCCAGAGAACGTGAAATTTGAAAATCATCCAGCACTCACTGCTAAGGATAAATTTCGATTTACATAGTAGAATACAGATCGCGTACAGACTGCAGCAGTCCGAGACGCCCGTTTAGGATCCAAAATCCCATGGATTTGAGTCTATGAGTTGCCCTTAGTGAGCTGATCACTCAAGGTGGGTCGCAGCAAGGTCTGTCCATTGTCCCTCTAAACGCCGTTTACCAAACGCTCATTTTTCCGCTGTGGTGTTTAACAACCCACTTATAGGTGAACCACTGCGAGCGCCGTACACATAGATAGTTCGTGGAACGAAAGACATTAAAGAGGGTCATGTCACGTGACATTAAGAGTATCATGTGGACTGCTTTGGAGCTTGGAGCCACTTTAGAAGCCATACCTTTCAAGGTGACCCTGGCCGCTCATCAACGCTGCTCGGCGACATTGTTCGAGTTGCCTATAGGTTGAACAGTCGGTTGTGGTTCTATAAATTGTCCTTCTACTAATGGGGTACGGGTCCAGAATCCAGTAAACAAATCCGGCCGTCAATAGTGCCCTTAGATTTAATCTATTTCGTAAGAAACTATTAAACGGTGCCAGAAATCCAGTGACTTTAATATGCGATACGACTAAAAAAGTGCGCTAATATGCCATGGTTTAAGACGAATCAAGTAGGCCAGTAGTTTTATTTTGTGTCTATTGGTTTCAATTAAAGTTACAATTAAAGTTACAATTAGCTAACCCATTGGAATCCAGTTTTTGAGAAGGGACTTCATTTGGTGACAGGATTATCCTTAATGTTGGTGCGAACTTTGACACTCTGACATTTTCTACGAAATGCACATGAAGAGTTGATAAGCATGGGATTTAGCGATTGGAACTATCGGCAAAGCGGTCATAAACAAGAAGTACATATAAGACAAAACCGCTGATAAGCATGTCGGTATGCGCTAACGGGCTTAGGATAAGGCTGACGGAAATTTTTGGCCCGTTTTTTGATTTTTCGTTTGTTACATCATAACCTTATCTATGCTTGTGCAAGGAAACCGGGTTTTCGGTTTTTGATTAGTTTCCCCTAGTTGTTTCAACGGCTGAGAAACTTGGCTGTGTCATGCTGATACGGCGATATATCCGCCAAGTACCCCATTCCCTTGCTTCGTCTTGATATCGGCATTTAGGGACCGCAGAAGCTAGAATCGCTTCCGCCGGCGTTCGAACCGCCGCTCATGCGGATCTCGAGTTCTAAAATCTAGAGATGCCCATCTAAATACCGACCTTCCCAAAAGGGTTAAGTTATACCGAGTTAAGATGCCGTTGGATCTTAACAAGATGAGTCAACAAAGCTAGCTCTGGCAGACAGAGGCAAGCTGGAAGATAGTCAGCAAAGAGCACACCATCGCTGGACTATTGAAACTCTTGATTACTTGTAGACTGTAGCATAGTTTGCAGGAGAAGAGCACTGTTCTTGTCGAAGCGAATGATGGACTCAATACGGAGCTGGTCTGGCACAGATGTGCACATGGACCTCAGAAGCGAAAACGAGGCTACCTCGGAGAAAGAGATCGGCAAGGCCCTGGTGCGCGAAAACACGCGAAATCTCGATAACGATGGCCAGTATGCGGGCGATGATTACCTGGATCCTCCGCCAGACGGTGGGTACGGCTGGGTCTGCTGTGTTTGCGTAGCAGTCATGAACTTCGCGACCTGGGGCCCGAATACATGCTACGGTATCTTCCTGTCCTTCTTCTTGTCCAGCAATTACTTCCCAGGTGCAACGCCGACCGATTATGCACTCATAGGCGGTCTTGTGATAGGCCTTACTCTCATCTTACTCCCTCTGAGCGCCTTTAGCCTTTCTTGTCTCGGATATCGCGCAACGCTTTCTATCGCTATTGTACTTGAGAGCGTGGCTTTCATTGCCAGCTCTTTCGTCAAGACAATTGGGGGTTTATACGTCACGTATGGTGTTCTCCTTGGCCTCTCCTTTGGCTTGAGTTTTGGTGCCAACACCATCATTATACCAAGCTGGTTTTTGAGAAGGCGGGCGTTGGCCAACGCTGTCAGCCACATTGGAGTTGGCTCGGGCGGCTGTGCATTTTCTTTTGCCGTTAACGCCTTAATAGCCAAGACGGGAAATCACCAGTGGGCCATGCGGATGCTGGCCATAGTCACTTTTGTTCTCAATGCCATTGCCATGCTTTTCGTCAAGGAACGTCAGAGTGAGATCAGCAGGCTTGAAAAACCATCAATGAAAGTAATCGCCAAAGAGATCTATGATCCGTCAATTTTAAAGATAATGCCTCTTCATTTTTGTACCTTATGGGCTTCATTCACGACCATGGGTTATGTCATTCTACTGTTCTCGCTTTCAAACTACGCGATCTCTTTAGGCATGTCCCCACATCAGGCAACAATTGCACTAGCAATATTCAATGCATCTCAGACGTTTGGAAGGCCCTTCATGGGCTGGATATCCGAGAAAATTGGGCGCTCAAACGCCAGTATTATCTTAATGTTGTATGATCTGGTCCTACTTCTACCTTTCTGGCTTAATATTCGGCATTTCAGAGAAATTATTCCTTTCGCTGTTCTCTTGGGATTTGGGGCAGGAATTGGAGCAGTAAATTCCGTTCCTCTGATAGCAGACGTCGTAGGCATCAAAAAGTTTCGCGCAGGGATCGGTTACAACAACTTCTGGAATGGGGCATTTAGCATAGTGGCCGAAATAATAGGGCTGCGATTGAGACAAAATGGCTCTCCAAGACCTTACCTTCACTGTCAAATTTACGTGGTCATGATGTATTTCGCAGGTATTTTGTTTCTAATACCTTATAGGGAATCAAAGGTCAGGCGGATGATGAAGGCCAAATTGCTCAATAAGAAGCTGGACGGAAGTCAAAGAGAAGCTTTTGAGAGACGTTTGAGCCCAACAATAGGGGGCTACATTAAGAGATGTCTTTATTCCATCCAATGCTGATAGAGATTACATAGACGGGCATGCCCATTCAATATAATAAAAGATTAAGATTGTCAGGGTTCATCGTCATTTCAAGGTCCTTCTGAAAATAAATTCAATACAACGATGATCAGCATTGAAAAGATGGACGAATAGTCATGCACAAATGCGAGCTTGCTGCATATTACAGTCTTAACGGGGGCATATAAAGAAGTTGCGCAAGTACGTGTATGCCTTTGGTTCATTAAAGTCTCTGGGACGTTTTTTTGGACCAATGTATGGCGATATGTGTCTTCCAGCCTTTCGTTAACATCTTGCTTCAAAAATCTTAAACCTAATTTTCTGGCGTTTCGTCTGTGTCCTTAAATATCCGGTAAACGACATCATTTCCCAGGTCTTTCGACGACCTCCAAGCTTAAACGCCAATGATTGATTGATACGATTGAACGAATCTCCAGAGGCTTCTTCATTTCAATTTCGTCCGGAATCGCTTTCTCTTCGGGACTTAGAATTTCAAGGTGGCTTGCTGACAAGGTAGACAGATCACCATTAACAATGAATCCTTATGTATTTCATTTCCTTTTGAGCCTTTCACGCATTAGCAGTGAAGAAGTTCGTTGCTCGGATGAGTTTTGCGATGGAAGACGAGTCACCCTTGATTGAAAAGGAGCCGAACTGTATGAAGAAGCCATTGAGCCATCATTTGGTGCAGCTTTATAAAATTCTTTAAAATCCCTCCCAGCTGTCCTCATAGATGGCTTAGGTGAGAGATTCCCAGATGACTGAGTTGATTGAGGATAAGCTGGCTCACCTGATCGTGGGTCATGTTTATGATTCTTTTGCTTTCTTAGAACTTTATCTTGATCTGGTAATTCTTCTTTATGACCTAGCCAATCTGGAAAACCTTGGAATGGGACTTGAGAGGTGTAGAATTTGACGAGAGCCTTGTGAACAACAGTTGAAGTTGGTGCATCTCCATCTTTCTCGTGCTTTATGGAGAGCTGAGAAAATGAAGATGATATGGATTTAGTCGATGACTTGACCCTACTCCAGAGTTTGTCAGGTCGATTATGGGCAAGTGAGCTCATTTGCTTTTCATGTATAATCTGCTCGCTACTAGGTGCACCCTCACCATAATATATTCACAAGTTTAACGAAAAAAGCGCCCTTGTAAAGAATTACGAAAACTGAGTTTTGAACGTCAGTAAACGAAAAATGCTAATAAATTAACACTGTAAATCGTTCAAATAAGTCTTCTGTTCTTTTGGAAAAGACATAATTCTATATGAGGCTTTCTCTATACAAAATGTGCATAAATCCTTGCAAACAATTAATGTGTAAACGCCCATACGTTATGTTCCTATAAAAATTGGATTAAGCGATCGACTTCTCTTTCAAGAAGATACCATACTTCTCCTTCAATTCCTTCATTATTGGGTCATTGATCTCAGGAGAGTATGGTGCAACGAGGCCAGGTCCCTTAATTGTGCCATTTAGAACCATCTTGGTAGCGATGGCACAAGGCAAACCAACGGTGGCCGCCATGGCACTGTAGCCTTTAGGTTCACCATATTGTACAAGAGTTGAGGTTCTCACTTCGTCAGAACCGTCTGCCCATTCAATACCAAACTTGTGTTGCAAGATAATGAGGTCTCTCTCTCCTTCTTCGAATTGCATCAATTTTTCCAAGGTAGCACAAAGCGTGTCAAGAGCGTTGCTCTTTGGGCTGATTTCCTGGCTGGAAAACAGACCTAGCCAGCCAAACCCGGACAAAATTCTTTCACGGTCTTCCTCGGAAACCCATTTCGTTTTAGAATCAATAGCGGCAATCAAGTCAGCCTTGGAAGCTGACTTGCTGCCCAAGTATTGTTTGAGAGCCTCATTCCATGCGATAGGCTTGGAGAAAATGGCGTTTTCTTCATCTTTGAGCATTCCTACGTCCACTAGAACCTTGACAAATTCAGGGAAGCCCTGATATCTCAAGGTACCTCTGATGACGGTGTCGGCTTCGGGAATATGGTAAAGATCCTTGAAAGGTGTGGAGTCTCTGTTTGGGTAACAAACAAGAGCATAACCCGGGAGGATGAAGTAAGGCTTGGCGGTAGCCATGAGGTCTTCCGAAGAAACTTCTTCGATCTTGCCGTTTCTCCACAACTTGGCAGAGTTTCTCAAGGCAAGGAGAACACCCCTCGAGGACCAAGAGAACTTATAACCTAGAGGGTTGTCGGAGTCTTCTGGAGCAGGAAGGCCACCACAGTATGACAAGAAAGACTTGATTTTACCGCCGGCTCTATGAACTTCGTCGATTGTCTTTACAGCGTATAGATGATCAATACCAGGATCCAGCCCAATTTCGTTCATCACAGTGATTCCAGCCTTCTTGATTTCTGGTTCCAACGCCTTCAAAGCTGGGGAAATGTACGAAGTAGTGACGACGTCTTTCTTCAATCTTATTGCGCTTTTCACGACATTAGCGTGATAAATGTAAGGAATTAAAGAAATGACCAAATCGTTCTTTGCCAATTCAGCATCAAGAGCCTTGTCGTCTGTCACATCCAAAGAAATCGCACCCGCCTTGGCGCTAGAAGCCAATTCCTTCGCTTTGGCCAAGGTTCTGCATGCAACTGTAACATTGATTTCTGGATCGGATGCCAAAGTGTCCACCACAGGCTGTGCGACAAAGCCAGACCCTAGAAGAAGAACGTTCTTAACCATTGTAAAGCTATGTTTATTTCGGTCGTCGGTCAGGTCATAGTTTGCAAATCTGGCGGGACTAGTCAACTCTTTTATAACTTCTTTTCTAATTCCACTGGAATTTCGCTTGGTGCGATGCCATATTCCAATTATTTTTCCGTCGGGATTTTCAAATGTTATGGCCATGCGCGGAGATATGACAGTAAAAGACCTGATAGTTACCTTATTAATCATACTAGTTGATATAGCCCAGGCCCATCAGCCTTTGACACACCATTGGTCACAAATACACGCTAAGATATCTTGACCTCGTGTTTGAAATTGAAATCGCATTATACTACAAGCCATCCTCTTCTAAAGAAATTTGAGCTCTGCTTTTTCCTGTAAATAATTGTAAAATTCCAACAACTACATTTAGATTTGGCTGAAAGTTTGATAACTGAAGGCCAAAGCTTTTCCACTGCCATGCCTTTGACAGATTTCTTTAATATAGCTTGCCGAGTCAGCCCTCATTCTGTAAATTTGTCGCAAGTCTGTCGTCTTTGAAAACCTATAAAAGCTTTGGAAAAAATTTCAGGCTTTCACTTGAAGAGTCTCCATAAAAATCATGGGACTTTATCTCCATGGCTATGCCACCTTCAGGTAGTCGCGGTAAACTAATCCCAGATAATTAATTCACAATTCATTTGCAGAGTGGATTGACCTAAGATGTTTCTTGCAAATATCTTTTCGTTAGTGGTCTACCCATTTTGATCGCGTGAGAAATATGCGAATGTTTTCATATTTGGAATATGCTCTCTTTGTAAAAGCTGTGCTCTTCAGCTGCATTTTCACTTTCCCATAGGTCTCTTTGAAATGTGAACCAAGACGGTAAGTGACTTTCTTTCGGCAACGACAACGTGACCATGTTATGACGGTTGGCCTTATAAAATGCGTAATCCGCGCGCTCACTTTTGTTGAACGCCAATCTGTAATGATTGGCAAAAACACCGAGATCCGAGTGCGTTCTTGCCATCGGAGACACAGACACGGAAGCTTCTCCGTTCTTGGCTGTACACTCGGCCTCCGCTTCCTGTAGTATCTTCGATAAATGTGACGGGAGGTTAGGGGACGACGAAAGATCAGATTCGTTTACAATTTCCCAGCTGGAGGCACTGTTGTCGGAGTTACTTGTGCCGCCAAAAAAATTGCCATTTAACGAGTCTCGTTTCTTGGTCCACATGTCGCCCATATCTTGTATCAACCGTATATTTATCAATTCTAGGAAGGTTTCGGCCATGTAGTTGCTGTTCTTCCCAGTAAAAAGGCGATATTCATTAACGACAGACGAAATATCCCATTTAAGAATTTTCCTTAAAATTCCAACGACAATTGATGACTTGTCAACCACTATCGTATTGTAATTTCGTTTGTCTAATAGCACCTCGAAAATTTTGTTTTGACTGGAGCTTTTTATTAGCATCAGGTCATCGTTATCCGTCAGCTCATAGATTTCCATCTCTGATTTGCCACTCTCGGCAGACTTACTCATTTTTTCTGCCGCAGGATTGACATTCGCCCGATGCGGAGGTGCTAGCGCTGACGACATGTCAGTAACTTTTATCAAAGACCAAGATATGCAACATCTCTCAAAGTATTCCTTAAAAAACTTTGAGGGCTCTTGGCCTCCAACAAAAATAACAGTTCGTAGATTTAGCGTCTCAATGAAAGATAAGTTCAGTGTCTCGATCTTTGAACAGCGATCTATAAGATTCGGGTCATTGGGGTCAGTACTAAAATCAGAAGCTCGAACATTGGAAAGTCAAACATACATATGCCTTCCTCAACGACACCAAAGTTGGCAGGAGGAACCAACATCAGGGATTACCTTGATAGAACTTTTGTTGTATTTTCCCTTCCGTCATGTGGGTTAACTTGCAATAATAATTGATCTAATTTCCATCTCTTGAAAATCGACTAAAAGGCCCTAATCGAGACGTCTACTCAAAAAAAATGCTGGCCATAGTGGGCATGGCTTTTTAGAAAATGATAAAGTCTATAAGAAAATTAATGCTAAAATGGGCTTACTTACAGTCTATTAATTCTTTTTTCTGTTCAAATGCTTTTTGTTAAACCGTTGCCCAGAAGGTGAGGAGGATGCAAACGTGTTAGTGGGTTTCCTCACCGTTTTTGGTTCCATGTGAACGTCGACGTTATTAATTCTTAAAACGCCTCTCTCTATGGCATCTGTTTGACATTGCTGATCCTCGAAATCAACAACTGCGAACGTTTCCTGGGAAGAAATCTTCCTCACAATACCGAATTCTTTTTCCAGCGCTTTCACTAGTTGCTCGTCCGTGACGCCTCCTGTCCCACGGACATATACAGGATAAAATCCGTCTTTGTTGACGTAATAAAATACTTTTTTCTTGAAGATCTTTGAATCGCGAGGTTGACCGCCCGGTGACGTTGACTTTCTTTCGTTAACCTTTTTACCAACTTGCGGAGATTCTGGTTCGGCTCGGATGTAATTGGTTGCGACGTTTGGTACTACTTTAGACTCAGAGTTAGCAATTTTAGATGCCCAATTCATTTTCTTGGGTTTCTCCTCAGTAGCTATTTCGACCGCGTGAGAGGCGGACTCATGAGTCATCGTATTTGAAACATCTTCGTCGTCTTCCATTTCAGCGTTCTGTACTGTTTCATGTGGAGTTTCCTCAGAAGCCGGTGGTTCTAAGGTTTCGGGAAGCTTACTAGCAGGAGCCTCCTTGTGATACGTGCCGTTGGCGAGGGCGGAAGACGATTCCTCGGGAACCTTGGAGTCATTAACTTCGTTACCAGCGGCTTGGCCGGAGGATTCGGTTTCCATGGCCTCCTCTTCTGGCAGGTTTTCGGTATCTTTCATTTGCTCAACGTTGCTGAACTGAGATTCCTCCGCACGATCGGGAGGGAAGTAAATCATATCGTTGCAGACATCGAATATTTTGGGGTTGGTTGCTGTTGGTACTAAAACAAAAGTTTGGCAAAACTTGTAACTTGGTGTACCAAGCCAAAACATTTCACCTAAGGTTAAAATGAGGATGCTCGTATTATTAGCGCCAGTAAACTGGAAATCGCACGAGTCGATTTTGACACGCAGAGTCTTCACTTTCTTCGCGTAACGTGCGTAAAACTTGCTTATATTTTCCTTACCAGTGATTTTTATCGTAGGCATCACCTCTAGATTGTCATCAAACTCGCATTGATAATTAATATGTGTCAGTTCCGCTGTTGCAGAGTATAAATGATGAATTTTGAGAGGATCCGCATTCATGCGCTGGTAGTAGGTATTTAAAAAGGCATAAGTGATTTCTCTAGCGTTCGTGGTCATTCTGAGCTCGAACTTTCAGCGTCTCTCAAGCCAATGTCAATGGGAGTTTGATCCAAATTAGCGGATTTGGCGGAACAAAGCAATCGAGCCAAATATAAGAATAATGATAGTGTTAACCAGCCACAAAAAATATGTCTAGTTGTTGCCTGCAGCTCCTGCTACATCTAACGTATTATCTATGAACTTCTATATTACAGAACGGTCTTGGCTCTTAGTTATTATCCGAAAATTTTTCGTTTCGTCAACTACGATTAATTATAATGATTTATTCAGGGAAACCTGGGAAACTAAGATACGAAACGATCAGTTTCATGCTGTGTTCTGCAAGCCCGATTCATTTGATATGCCATAAATCATGTTCTTGTATTCGGCAAAATCACTACTTGCTGGTATCGAAACTCCTAGAAGCTTTTTCAAAAATGTAAAAATCATCAAAGCAAGCAGACTTTGCCCGCCAGTAGTGGTAAAAATTGAGAATCTTGGTATCCCCAACTCATCTGCCATTGCCTCTAATGTGTACTGAGCTTGAGGATTTTGCTGTGACTGCTGATTTTTAGTAAAATGAGCTGATTTTCCGACTAAGTTCAGGTCGTAAAAGTTTGGTAAGTATGTTTTCACCCACCACACGTAGTCTTCCTTGTTGTTCGGCATGGAGTAGTCCATCAATAGCTTTAATAGGAAGCCAAAATCGTAAGCCGCATGATAGCTTACCCATGTGATCTCCTTTGAAAGCGCAAGTCCCGAATCTGTCATCAATTGAGCAAACTCATTAGCGCTTACACCTGCGTTCTGATGTTTTTCAAAGTTTATGCCCGACTTTTTGAGTAACTCAAGAGATTCTGCTGAAACCATTTCTTTTGTCACATCGAAGTGAAAGTTGAACTGCCAGGTTGATGGAACCCCTTCAGGCTTGTTACCAGCATGATCGCTTAAGGATAGTCCTATCTGAACTGGGTTGAGAAGATCCACATTAGCCCGCATCGTTTGGTAGTGATAATCGTCCTTGGACCGAAAATTACCAATCGGCCTTGCTATAGTCCCCACAAATTCGGTACTAATGGAAACGCAGTTGAAGGTGTCTGCCAACTTGCGAATTACAGCAAACTCAGAATAGAGATTGTCTGCCCACACATCACGAACTAAAAAGTGATTTGGTGGAGGTAGAGCAAACGTTCCCATCATTAGTGGTGCCATCGATCCACTTGGTGGTCCTAGTCCCGGTGCTTGTTGTAGCATGCTGATATTATGCGGCACGGGGCCTAGACTATTGTTAGTAACCAGATTTTGGGCTTGCAATTGTCGCTGCGAAAGCTGCTGCTGTCCAAAAGCAGCATTAGCGGCCTCCAATTTTTGCTTATACAAATACTGATTATGCAGCTCCTGATTATTTTCCATGGCGTGCATGTTTCCTATCAAGCCCGGCTGTTGTTGTTGCAGTCTGGCATGGCTTACTTGTGGAGAAAAGAGCTGAGGGCCAATACCAGGAGGCTGTTGGGCCTGATGTGGAAAAAACTGTTCGTTTACGGGCATAGAATGAATCTGATGATTCATCGCGAATCTTTTTCCAATTGAGCTCCAGAATTCCAAGATTCTGAAATTTCTTGGTTGAAGTTTTCTTCGTTGATAATCGTTTGACAGTACAGAAAACCTTGAGATTTTGAAGGTTTATGGTCCAGCATCCCCAAGCGATAACAACCGTACCAAAAAAACTAATTTACAACATGCTACTATAACTATGGGAGAGCCACTAGACTTATATCTTACTCTTTTTGTTTTGAGACACCTCTGAGTCTTGCTCCACTGGGGCTGATCTTTTTCCTGTTGAGGCGATATCGGCCCCGTCAGTCGACTCGTTAGTTTTACTACTATTCGAGGCGTTGATTTTCAACTCCTCTGGGGCGGTCTCTTTCTCGGGAGGTGAGACAAACCAGGGAATTTTCCCGCGGTTAAAGTCATTCAAGATTTGCCTTGAAACGCCATTCTCATCGGGTTCTCCACCTTTCAGCAGCCTACCTTGCTTGCGGGCCAAAATTTCGATAAAATCGGTAGAATCTGTCCATCCAGATATTTCGTAGGTTCTTTCTAGATGCTTTTTCTTACATTTGTTCAGAACAGCAGGAATATACTGTTCAGGATTTGTGACGTGCTCCACGCGCACGGCGCCTCTAAAAAGGATGTCTTCTTCCGTGTCTTTAGAAGAAGGTGGAACGATTCCCGGACAATCAATCAGAAAGATACGCTTCATTAAGGTGATATATTGCCAGACCTTAGTTTCACCTGGAATCGGGGCCACTTGGCAAACTTTCTTTTTTCTCAAAGTGTTGATAATAGAGGATTTCCCTGTATTGGGATAACCGATAAACCCAACAGATATTTGCTTCCTATCTTTATGTAGTTGAGCAAACTGACGAAGGAGTTGGATCAATGACCCTTTCCCAAAAGAATTCGTGATCGATGCATGGAAAGCCAATGTTGGGCGCTCCTTTGACAAATGCTTAACCCAAGCCGCCTGTCATGAAAAGTTAGTAAATGAAACATAAAAAATGTCCTTAAATTTGACGGGAATCAAAGTCGCCTGTCTTCGAGTGTCTTGCGCAAAAATTGAACCACATTAAATGTAGAGCAGATTGATAGAGGAGAGAATGGTTGAATACCCACTTCCCTTCGAGTTATCATATGCTCCTATCATAAAGACGAAGTAGACCCGCAAAACGCTTATCACTTGCCTTCTTCTATCGAGAAGCTTAGAACAAACTTTCCCATAGAATCAATTTTATTTCCCAATCCTGTAACAGACATTTCCATGTGGTATTTCCAATTCGGAAGGAAAACATCCTGACAAAGAGCATTGGTTAAAAGAATGATGATTCAGAAACTTTCGGCAAGTACTTGAATTGAGCGCGAAGAAAATCAAACTGAATGCAAACAAAAAAAATAACATACCGCAACCCACGTTGGAACAAGATCACACTTGTTCAAGACAAATATCAAATGTTTATGAGGAGCTTCTTTTTTCATATATTCTTCGACCGAAGCACACCGCGTACCTAATGGGTCTCTCGCATCCAGGACGTGAATAACAACATCAGAGGAATCGATGACTTTGTATAGCTCGTTCCATATACGCTTGGACTGTCCTTTGCTAAAAATTGCCTCCCGAGCAGCCTGAGACCAGCCGTCTGCTGCATCACTCTGCCCCATAAGTCCTAGTGTTGAGTCAAGTTCAATCTTTTCTTCGAAGGCCATGATCTCCTCGTCAGCCGTCTTAGCAAGTTCCTCTAAGGTCGAAACTGCCATTTTCGGTTTTTTCCTTTGAGCCTTTGGCCCAAAAGTCTGCTGATATGTCTCAGTTTCCAAAATTTTAGCTGTTGGTGACTCTGAAGTGTCCTTCTCATCCAAAAGAGACATTGGAAGTTTGTTTCTTCTCAAGAGAACTTGGTAGCTATTTTTTGCATTGTCTCCAAGAGCATCACGGAAGTGCTGTAATGCGTCTTGAGAGATGACACGAGTATTACCGAACCACCTTCGGTCAGGTTGGACACGAGCATTTGGTATTTCTGCACCTTGCAAAGGAGCAGCTCTGAGAACATCACCCTTTTTGTTGCGAACCGACTTTCCGCCTTTGTACATATTCAAAAATTGCACTTTCTTGGCATCATGATAAAAGTTCTCACCTTTGACCCGCAAATTCCCGTCGCGAGTATCGCCTTGGCGAACCCTTCTTTGCTTCTCACTTTTTCCAGTACCCATGGCTTTATTTTGCTTCTTAATAAGGTTGTTAAGCCCAATTTCCCGACTCTTTCAAGCTTCTAATCAGTTTGCTGATTTTCGGCGGTCGAGTGTTGTATTGCGACAGGAGGGCGATGAGATGAGATGAGCTGAAAATTTTTTTTCCTTTGGTCTTTTCCCATCAATTGCCTATGGTCTTGAAAAGAAAGTTGTTCGTTCGTCTGTAATGATCGCTTTACAACAGATTATCTATCACTGAGTCGAGATTTCTCGATGCCTGCTCCTTCATTCTTTCGTCATCGTTGGCTCTATTGCTTGTGACTTTGCGCTGTTTAAAGTTGCGAGTCTCTGCATTTCCATTTGAGGCCCTCGACTGCTTTTTCGAGGATTGCACTTTATTAACCATTTTGCTCCTTTCCACGTTTCTAATATACTCTGCGTTAAGCTTATTCGCTTGAGAAATCTCAAGTTGCAGTTTAGCTTGTCTCACATCATTTTCGCGAGCAATCTGGGCAGTAAGATCCGCCCACTTGAAACCAGGTAGATATTTCACGTTCATAACATCATCATGGTAAAAATTACCCTTTTTACCTCCAACAATATTTCCGTTCAAGGTTGTAGCACACAGCTTTGCATCTTTTTTTCTAATGAACTCCGCCCAGCCCTCTTCAAACATCTGTTTTTTATTTCCACCACCTTTTACTCGAGCTTTATATTTATGCTCTTCTTCTCTCTTCAAAAATAACCTGTCCACTTCCCCAAATCGCGAAAGTACTTGCCTCATTTTAGCTGGTTTCATGTAAGGGGGTATTTTTGATAGATAGACGACACCAGTTTTATGTTTAGTATTATTTGTGGCTCTAAGTTTTTTTATTCTCTCCACTCTTTGGGCATTGGAAACTTCCATCTTTTGTCCTTTGTCCCTTTCATCTGGCTTTGATTCAATTTGTTTTGATTCCGATGCGCAGCGCGAGATGGACTCATCATTCAAGTCATTTTCGTCGTGCCCGGAAGCGTCGAATTCTTTCTCGCTTTCCTCAGCGCTTAACGCCTCATCACTAGCGTCGCTCCCGACAGCTTCCCTTAGCGAAGCTTTCTTTGAAGTTATTAGAACATTCTTGTCTTCTTCCTCAGATAAGAAGTCATCCACCTCACTTTCATTGCCAGACATGATGGTTTCAGGTTCTTCTTTGGGTGATCTGGTATGCCGTGTTCATCTTTTGGGCCAGCTAAAATTTTCCGTGCGATGATGTATATATTTTTTAACGACAACGGGTTGGCGATGAAGGATAAGCGACAGTGTTCATCAGCAAAAGGGTATAAGCTGACGGCCTTAAATCTCAAAGTAACGTCCCGCCATGCCACTTTCTTACAGCCGATTACGTTGAAACTTTTGCTTATTATTAAGGAACGCAGACAGGGATACACTGTATTATTATTGGCTGGTGTCGTCAAAAAATAACGCCCTTTTCTCTCGATATCTCAAGGGGAAACGAACGAGGTATTTTGTCGCTCGACTATCTTCGCATCTCGAATGAATTTTTACGCAGTGGTAAATCTTTTAAGTAAATAAGTAACATAATGGAGTTCCCAGGGGGTAACACAAACGAACCTCATCTATTCGGCCGCGCAATTTATACGGCAGATCCCACCTGAAGGCAGAGTGAGATTCAAATTTGTGAACCAAGAAGGTAGGCGGTTGGGATTAAATCATGTATTCTTTTATCGTCAAGAAGCCTGAATGCTTGTCGCTGGAAGTTTTTTTTTTTCGATTTCTGGAGCCTACATACCCCATAACGTTCTTACCTTTATAAAGAGCGCTAGAAAGTTAAGCTTGGAAAACAAGCATACTCTTCTCATTTTATTTAGAATGTAAATACAGCAAAGAAAGCTTGGTCAGCTCATCTTTATGTCTCATTTATACTTGTCTCCCTATAGATACTCTCCATTACCGATCCATCCTATCTCTTGGCCTAATAGATTGCTATGTTTAGCGTCTCATTAATCTTGGCACCATTTTACTTAAACAACATTCGCTTCTGAGGACAAATATAGTAAACTACGTTCTTACAAGAATCACTTTGTTTGAATTAATTACATTTTTCGAACAACGTGAATTCCTGATGCCACCTACTCGATCCATGAGTCTTACAATATTCAACCTTGGAAAGAGTCACGAGGGCTCAAAGTTGACATCATACGCCTGCGCACAGCGGCTTTTCAAAAAATAGATCATCAAATTTTCATTGGGCGTCAATTTATAATGACTTCAATTTTCCTCGAAATTCGTCAATCGACTTGTAACCCTTTTTGTTCATAATTTCTCTCAATTCTTGCTGGAGGCGATCAAAGACAGAGACGCCTTCTTCATAAAGCTGCGTCCCGACCTGGAGCATTGATGCCCCACAAAGCAGGTGCTCAAAAGCGTCTCGTCCCGTGCAAATTCCACCGGTACCGATAATCTTGATTTCGGGCTTTAAACGCAAGTAAAACGCGCGAACATTGGCAAGAGCTGTTGGCTTAACGTACTCACCTCCAATACCACCAAAGCCATTTTTCGGCTTGATCACCACGCCTTCGCTCTCGATGTCAATGTACAATCCGTTTCCGACGCTGTTGATGCAGTTTATATATGCCAAAGGAAATTTGTTGAGAATTTGCGCCATGGCATCAAAATGGGCAAAATCAAAGAAGGGAGGTAATTTTACACCGAGAGGCTTCTTGTAAAAGTCAAAAACCTTAGTCAGAATTTCTTCAGTGACCTCGAAATCATATGCAACTTGTGGCTTGCCTGGGACGTTAGGACATGACAAATTGAGCTCCACTACGCCATTGAAGGCACTATCTTGAACAATCCGCAGCATGTGAAGGTTTTCGTCAATACTCATCCCTGCGACCGACAAGAAAGGCAATGAATCTGAAGATTTGCTTTGGAAGTCGAGCACATAGTTCAAATAATAATCAAAGCCTTTGTTAGGCAAACCCATAGAATTGATACTTCCTAGAGGTACCGAATAGTACCGTGGCTTCGGATTACCTTCACGTTCTTTAGTTGTGCAACTCTTTGTAATAAAGGCACCGGCCCGAGATGCGCTCAGCTCGTTCAGTTCTTTCACTGTCAAGCAATGAACCCCAGATGCATTCATGAAGGGATTTTGGTAATAAGAGCCCAAAAAGGCGGTTTGCAGCGATGAACTCATGGCGATTTTTGATGGCACTTGAGATACCGCTGACCGAAGTACATCCCGATGAGCCCAAATATGTACTTCATTGCAATTCAATCAGCTGATTTCATGTTGCTATAGGAATTATATTCTTTTTTTTCGTTTATGAGCAGATTTGAACGTTCATGTTCATTTTCCGTGAATCACAACAACGTGACAAGTCGAAAAAGTAACCAAACGTAATGCAAGAATGCTCATCTGATCTCCATCAAGAGACACGAGAACAAAACTTAAAAAAGTTAGACACCCTCATATTAGATAGAATACAGTTTACACCAGCTTTCCTTGTCAGTCTCCTCTTGCTCTTCCCATTACATGTCACATCAAGTCGTTTCACGATTTATCGCCACTGTCAACAGGACTCCAGTAGACTTTAGTCGAAAGACGTAATCAAGTTGTAAAACATGAAAGTATTGATATTATTTTTAAAAGAAGTGTTTTCAACTCTGCTCAAAGGCTGGAGACTATTATAATTTAACTTCAATGGAGGTTTCTTGACGAAAATGTTTGGCTCTCTCTTAGTAGCCAGGAAGTCGCTAAAGGTGAAAACAAATCAAAAATCTTGCGCCAAGCAGAGCTATACCAGGCAAGAAAGCGATGGTAATAAGACCAATCGTTAGATAACCAGAAGAACATTTCGAAAAAGCTTTGAGAATTTCAGGTTTTGTAAATTTTGGAAGTGTAGGTTTACAAACAACTAGTGGGCAATAAAGCTAATCATAATTAGTAGCAGCAGTTCCTTAGTTGCGCCTCGGGTACTTTCAAGCAATGAAATATTAAGACAGACTTCATTGAAAGCTTTCTTCAACCTTTCTAGGTTTTTAGTAAACAGTCAGGGTATCATGCAGTGTTGAGCATTTTCCCCAAACAGTCACCAATGCGTTTGGCACCCTCTTCTAATTGGTGAAAGCTCACAGTTGCAAAGCTTCCTCTAAAGAAAATCTGACAAGATTGGAAGGTATCCTTTTTTTCTTCATAGAGGACATCAGGGCTGCAAGTAAACCAGCTGCCAGGAACCAGTAAAACACCATCTTCCAAAAATTTGTTATAGAGCCTGTCCTCATAGGTTTTAGCGCCTAATTCTGGATCGAAGTGAGGAAGATAAGACAAATTGATATGGATTGTAAAAAACATGCCCGCTGTTGGAGCAGTAAATTGGACAAAGTTTCCCGATGGGAGCCGCTCTATCAAGGCATCACACACAACATCGCGGCTGTTTCTGTATATTCCGCTGAGCTGCATGAGCCATCGCGCGTATCCGTCTTGGCCCCACCTTTTAAAAAGCTCTAAGACCATCATCTGGCTAAACCCAGAGGGTGCTTGAATACTGACTGCTTGAAGATTCAGGTAATGAAGAAGAATCTTTTCCGAGGCTACAATCCAACCAAGCCGACAGGCAGGAGCAAGAATTTTAGACAAGCTGTCAAGGCGAATGACTCGTCCAGAAACGTCTAAGGAGAGAAACGACTTTTTCAAAGATCGCTTGTACTCTGACATTAATTGGTCATGTCTTTTGCGGTTGGATTTTGCTTTGATATAGCTTTCCATTTGTAAAAAATAATAAGGCTCATCCTCAACAATCAGAATGTCGTATTCTTCAGCAATTTTGTAAATGGCTTTTCTTCTCTCATTACTCAAAGTACTGCCTGTTGGATTTTGACCAGTAGGAATGATGTAGAAAAGTTTAGGTAGCTTTCGTTGGTGTTGCCAATTTTCGAGCATGTGTTGCAATTTTTGAGGAATCACACCATTCTCGTCCATGGGAACTGGATGAATATGGACCCCTTGCGACTGTGCTGTGCTGAGTGAAGGCGGATAAGAGAAAGTTTCAGCCAAAATTGAATCACCACGGTCGCAAAATATTCTCAGTATTGTTTCCCAGGCCTGCGTTGTACCCGCTGTCGCGGCAACCCCCCAGTCGCTATAGTTTAGTTCATGAAATAGTTTGACATGCTCCTTCACAAATTCTAAGAAGTCACCTCGTCCTCCAGCATTACCGTACTGCAAACCGGCCGACAAAGCCTTCGCATCAGAGTGCACCTCAACGAACGGGTTTGAATTGGTTTTCGTAGCCCAATCATCAATCGCCGCTTCGGGCTTTGAAGTATTTAGAACTGACTTGGAATAAAATTTCGATTTTAATTCTTTCCAAGGAAATAAATCCGGGGAAGGTAGACCACTTCCGAAAAAAATGATTTTCTCGTTATCAAAATGTTGGTTCAATGTTTCCAGAAGAGACGTCTTTCGGCATCGAGATTCCAGGGACAATTTATTGTCAAATGACTTGGATGAAGGCAACGCCATTTTTGTAGTTCTCAGGAAGAATCTTGCCAAAATGATGCACAGCGCGGCCCTTTGACCTTTATACAAGTTTTCGGTACGGCATCAATTTCTTATTTGTACGTAAGCGATATTTTAAGCAAGATACTGCCTAGATTATGTGGTCTATGAAAGTTGACTTTCCTATTCTACATGTTGTTGTTTTTGACGTTGCTTGCTTCAATCCTTTAACGGCAAGACTTGGACAGCGGTTCGCTTTCAAAAACCTTTAGTGGATTTGTAAAGATTTCCAAAAAAAAATTTTTAAGACGCAAAGCCTCGGTTGTTGAGATAAGAACGGCGTTGCTTGTTTCATGGTCAATTATGAATCACACGGCTTACCGTCTTGCTAAATAAGCTGAGCTAATATTACTCCAAGTAGAACCGTAAATCTCTTTATATATATGGTGACGCCACTATGAAATGCTTTGTCTTCACTGAAATTGAGTAAGATACGAGGGAAAATCTAATGCAACGATCATTCCGAATAAATTAATTTTATGAGCCATTTCATTTTAGGCTTGAACGCTGGCCTTTTTCTCGAGGAGAGCAACGCCGTAATGATCTGATAAGAGAATGTACCGTTGTGGAGTACTTGTAGTTTTCGCCCTAAGAGGTAAAATCTTAGTAAGGGATCAAGCATCATTAAATGAAGTGCAATGCTACTCGTGTAGCAGAGTTGACCCTAACAAGGTTGATCATTTCAAACGGGGGTTTTGAGGACCTCTCGAATAATATCAATAAACTGAAAATCTGAGAGTGAATGTCTTGTGGCTTGTAATTTATGCGTCATGTAAACATCTCATGAAAATTCAAGGGCCATAGGTGTCACCTTCAAAGGGCTCTTTGATGCCCAGATCTTGATGAGTTCCAATATACAGCAGCTTAATTAATACTGACAGAAGATAGCTAACATTGCTTTTAAAAGAACGATATTTTTAGCACCGTCTCACCGTAGTCAAAACATTTTTGCGTGGGTTAAGCACCTAAGCATAGGAGTTTCAAATGTGCATCCTGGAGGTCAACGAAATCTTTGATTGAGTTTTCTTGTCTCAAACCATTCCAGCGGGTTTAAAGCTCAATAACTCTTCATAAGACATGCAAGATCCTCCACAGGCGATCACAACTATAATGTCTTTTGGAGTTAAGTTTCGCTCCAACGAGGTAGCCACGATGTCTGGATAATAGCCCAGATGTAAAGAGGCACCGCATGCTGGCTCTGTGATTATATTAAATTCGTCAGCGAATTTCAAAGTTGTGCTAACGACTTCCCAATCACTGAGAACCACAGACTTACTACCATACTTGCGCGCGCTTTGATAGGCAAACTCAGCAAGGTAAGGCGAACCCAGGGAAGACGCTACAGTGGAAATTTTATTCAATTCGACGCGCTCTCCAGCACGCAGGGACTTCGCCATCACATCACTGCCTTCAGTCTCAACTGCTATGATTGGTACGCTTTCCGCCAATCCGTGCCTTTCTAGGCCTTTCACGATTCCACTGAACAAACCTCCACCACCGACGCTGCAAACAATACCTGCGAGATTCTCCGAAGGAATGTTCTCCTGTTTTAATTGTAGGAGCACTTCATCAACTATGCTTGAATGGCCCTCCCAAATCAATTCGTTATCGAAGGGGTGGACGTACAAAGGCGTTAGACCTTTCAACTTCGCTTCTTTCATGATTGTCTCCCGCAAATAAGTATCCGCGTGTCCCCAGTTTTCTCCATGGACCAAAACAGTTGCTCCTTCCTTTTCTATTTTCTGTATCATTCTCAGTTTCGTTGTCTTGGGTACAACCACGATGCATTCCATCCCGAAGGACTTAGCAGCTGTCGCAGCAGCTAAACCGGCATTCCCTCCTGAACTTGAATAGACCTTCATTGTATCGACCAAAATTGGCTTGCTGCTTATAGCTCTTTCAATAAAGTGGCTAATGCCTCTAAACTTAAAGCTCCTGCTGGGCTGCAGTGATTCATATTTGACGTAGATCGTTGGCGATTTACTTTGATGTCCAAATTCATGCTTTAACAAAGGGGTTTGGTACACCATCGCAGACGCCGAGTATAGCTTAGAAGAAACGAATACCTTTCCCCCAGTTTTCGCCGGAACTATAAGTCTTCATTTTTCGGGTGCTGTGCTGGCATGTAGCATTTTAAATGGCCTCATTAAATAGGCCTGATATGAAGTCGGATAGCGAACAACGAAAAGTTATGATTGGGACACTTTTTCCGCTTGAGCTCTCTTGAGATTCGATTGTTCAACCAACTTTCGACAAACATATATAGCACTTGCGACTCTCCGATTATTATACCATGAAAACAAGTAAAAGGCTTCCAATTTTGCTTTCTGTGAGAGCAGAACCTCGCACTCACTGTCTTGAATGATGACAAAATACAATCCTAACTCGTAGACAAATTAGAATAACTTTTAATTTTGTGAGATCCAGCTCCAAGAAGAATTGTATGCACGTTATGGTCGTCGACTCATTAAATATCACCGAGCCGAATCCTTCGATGAAACAGAAAACACAATGGCAACACGATCACCTATGCGAAGTCAAATTGGCAACATTGAATAACATTAACTTGTTATTGAGGGTGATCGTATTTAGGCACATTTTTAAAACCTAAATGCGAGCGCAGAGGCTCACGTCTCTCGACCATCTCTAATTTTTTGACTAAGGTTATGTTGCTTAAGCGGAATAGACGCCAGTCCGATTACGACCGACAGGCAAAAGATAAATGCAAAAACAATTTTGAGCGAGGACAGGTAGCTTTGAATAGCCTGACTTCTGTATTGCTCTGAGAATCCTCTCACTGAGTCTGAAGAAGTTAAGGCTAACTCTATTATTTGTTCGCGGTCAATGCCAACAACGAATTTATCAAGATAATGCCGCAGCGAATTCGAAAATATTGATGAAGATACCGCAACACCCATTGTCGAACCAAATCCCCGTGAAGCATATAAAATCGAGCTGCTGACTGCCTGAAGATTGGAAGGCACCGATGACATTAATGCCACTAACGCAATTGTTACGATGGTAGAATATCCAAACCCCAAAAAACCCACCGTGAGAACTTGCTTTAGCGTTGACGTTGTCACGTCAAAGGTACACAAATTACCACAATTTGCGATATACAGCATTCCACAGGAAAGGAGTAAAACCTTGTAACTACCTGTCGCTTTCATAATAAACCCCGATCCAAGTGACCCGAATGTGACACCAGCAAAGTTAATGGCAAGAATTGTTCCCGAAAAAGACGCACTTTTCTCTTGAACAATCTCAATGAAGATGGGAAGATGAAAAATGTAAGAGTATGCCGCCATTGAAGCAAATAAGCAAAGGGTAGAACATAGGCATACCGTAGCACTTTCGAAGAGCTCTAATGGAACTATTGAATTTTCCGGATTCCTTTTCTCGGCTCTTAAAAACCAAAAAGAAAATGTGAGAGACGCTAGTAATAGTACGCCCAACTGTACACTTCTCCAAGGTACATAGGCTCCACCAAGGTTCAGCGCCAAGAAGAAAAAGATGAAGGAGCCGAGCAGGGAAAAGCTGCCAAAAAAATCGACGCGTCCCAGCTGAGACCATACGCTCTCTAATCTACCCAGATTCTTCTCGTGCAGTTTCATACTAACCATAAAGATAGCTAGAAAAGAAATTCCCACTTGACCCAAAAACGCATATCTCCAACCAAATTTGTCACTTATTACCCCTCCAATACTTCCACCCAAGGAGGCTCCAATTCCAAACGATATATTTCCTATCCCCTGGTAAAGCCCGCGCTCACGCAGTGGTGTCATATCACTGACAACAATACTGCTCAATGCTACTAAACCACCACCACCAATTCCTTGCACGCATCTACCAAGAATAAGCGAGGCCATTTCTTGTGATAAGCCCGAGATCAAACTTCCAACTGCGAAAAGGGTATGGCATGTGAGAAGGCAGCGCTTTCGACCAAAGATATCACTTAGCTTTCCAAAAAGCGGCTGAAAAGCTGAGCTCAAAATCATGTACGAGCTGGCAATCCACGGACCAAAAGATAAATTCCCTAGTTCCGAAGCTATATGCGATAAGAGAGATGCAATGACAGTTCCATCTAACGCAGCTAATAAAACACCAGTATACAGTGAAATGAGAACGTAAAATTTATCTGAGTATGAAGTAACCTGGATGACATATTTGGGATATTTAATGTCTTGGAACGATGATGCTTCCGCTTCTTCATCGACAGCTGTCAATAATGAAGTCTCTTCGTTTTCTAGATATTTCTGCATTTTTGGAAGATTTATGATGAGGGCCTCAGCAAGGTACTATCAAGAGAATTGTCCGACTAATGACCAAAATTTGAATATATATTATGCGTGCCAGAGTCAGTAACAAGAACCTACCAGTATCTACCGGTTAGTCACCCGAAGCACCTTCTCTAATCCAAGTCACTTGCAGAGTTACTTTTCTCTAGTCAAAATTTTGAGAAAAATTCGGTTAATTACCCGAGATTTTGTTTCCTTATCTTATCGTCACTTACTCCCACTTAGTGCTGCGATACTTGTGGGTTTTTTTCTTATCAAGGCGAAAATTGTCAGGGTGACTTCCATGCCCTTATCGGGTTTCGTACTTTCTTTTTGCAGACGCGTGAGGTGCTCGAAAGATTCCGTTATCTATCCTGTCGCGCACCTTTATCGTCATAAAAGCAGGGCGAGCCGGGTACATACCCAAAATACAGCAAAAGAGGCAGGACTTATCGATAAAAAGACGGACACTTATGCTAGTTCTAATGCTTTAGTATCAGTATTTATTACGGCACAAGGTCGTGGCTTATCACCCTTTGAACTTTAGTGGACTAAGAATTAAAGAATCTCTGCAACAAAATGGGTCTAGAAAAGTTTGAACGTTATCCTCTTACCTTCGGTCCTTCTCCTATCACTCATATGAAGAGACTGTCCCAAATTCTTGGTGGAAATGTAGAGATTTACGCTAAAAGAGAAGACTGTAATAGCGGGCTCGCGTTTGGCGGCAACAAAATCAGAAAGCTTGAATATCTCATTCCGGAAGCATTAGAGGGTGGGTATGACACGTTGGTTTCCATTGGTGGAATTCAATCAAACCAAACCAGGCAGGTTGCGGCCGTTGCCGCGCATCTTGGAATGGAGTGTGTGCTCGTTCAAGAGAACTGGGTCGACTACCAGGCGGAGGTGTATGACAAAGTAGGCAATATCGAGCTCTCAAGAATAATGGGAGCTGATGTTAGACTTAACCCCGCTGGTTTCGACATTGGAATAAGGAAGAGCTGGCAAGAAGCAATGGATGGTGCAAAAGCTCAAGGCAAAAAACCATTCCCTATTCCAGCCGGATGCTCAGAACATCCTTACGGGGGATTGGGATTCGTTAACTTCGCGAATGAAGTTGCTGAGCAAGAAAAAGCTCTAGGTTTTGAGTTTGATTATATCGTGGTTTGTGCCGTGACTGGGAGTACAATGGCAGGTATGGTTGTCGGATTTGCTTTTCAGGGCCGCCAAAAGAAGGTCATTGGAATCGACGCCTCGGCCAAGCCAGAGCAAACCAAGGAACAAATTTTCAGAATTGCCCAAAACACTGCAAAGCTTGTTGATCTCCCACACGAACTGACTTCAGATGACATCATTTTGGATGAGAGATTTGGCGGACCGGCTTACGGACTTCCAAATGAAGGTACAATGGAGGCAATTCGGTTGTGTGGGCGCTCCGAGGGTGTTCTTGTTGACCCTGTTTACGAGGGAAAATCTATGGCCGGTCTAATTGGCCTCATTAAAGAGCAGAAAATACCAAAAGGATCCAAGGTTCTCTACGTTCATTTAGGGGGTGCTCCCGCCTTAAACGCCTACGCAGACTTGTTCAAAGAAGGCTAGACTGAAATACGTAGCAGATAAGAGAAACTTCGAGAGTCAGCCCACATGTAAAAAGCTTAGCCAGCAATTTTCTCTTATCTCAAACATTAATAAATGAGTGCGGACTATTTTTTGTATAAAAGGAGAGCGTTTTTAACTCATTCCCTTCATTGGAGCCAGATTTCCACGCCATTTTTCTGCCGGTCTACATCTATTTCACCAAGGCTTCTGAGGAAAAATACAATGACTCCGAACTCAACTAGGAGGACGGCCGCTAGTAAGGCTATCATTACCATGACAACATTACTGGTATTTTGTACCCTAATAAAAACCAGGTTTGATGCCAGTCACTTAACGGATTCTGATTACAGGGGATCGCAGGAAACAGGTGCGCAAGGTAATTATTGTTGGACGCCTCAAACTCTTGAAACATCTGAAGTGAACTCAAGTATATACGAGCAGATTAAGGAAACTTTGTCAGAGGCCAAATACCAAGCAAAGAGTATTTCAAGATTTCAGAGTGCTATTCAGGTTGATACCCAGGTCAATGATGATTTTAGCAGTGTCGACAAGGAAGAGCGTTGGTCCAAATTTAACGAATTTTCAGTTTTCCTAGCCAAGGAATTCCCTTTAGTTCACCAGAGTCTCTCACTTGAAAGGGTTAATAGTCATGGATTATTATATTCGTGGATCCCTACGCAGGGGCGAGAGGACTGTCCATCTGCCGCGAAACCATTTCTTTTAATGGCTCATCAAGATACTGTTTCGGTCTCAAATAAAAGCTTGAGTGACTGGAAATTCAATCCATTCGAAGGCCATATTGATGAAAATGGCATCATGTATGGGCGTGGTGTTCACGACGATAAGAACTCTTTAATATCAATACTTGAGGCAGCTGAACTCTTGTTGCAAAACGGTTTTTCGCCCAATCGACCAGCTATTTTCGCTTTTGGATTTGACGAGGAAGTAAGCGGCCAAAGAGGGGCGTTACAAATCTCTAAATTCCTGGAGGAGAGATACGGCCGAGATGGACTGGAGTTCATTCTGGACGAAGGGCCGGGGATAACCGTGCCAGTTGCATCTGGAAGTAACGCTGCCTATGCGACCGTGGCAACTTCTGAAAAGGGCTACTTAGACGTTTCGATTGAGGCGAAAGCTCCCGGGGGACATTCATCATTGGCAGGAAAGCACTCGCTCATAGGAATGGTTGCAGAAATGGTCACATCATTAGAAAACACAGAACCTTTCTTGGCAAGGGTGTCTAAAAACAACCCAGTATTGGACTACCTATCTTGCAAAGACTTTGATGATCAGCGCATTTCAGTTTTGATTGAAAAAATCAGGAAAGGTGATGCCGAAGCTGAATTTGAACTTGGTACACTGCTTCAAAATACGACTCTTGCTCCGCTGGTGCTAACCTCTCAAGGAATAGACTTGATCTCAGGAGGACAAAAGATAAACGCTCTTCCAGAAAGAGTATCCGTGGGAATCAACTACCGTTTGATACCTGGTACAAGCCTAAAGGAAGTCAAACGACGCGTTGCCGCTATATTAGAACCCATTGGCGTCAAGTACGGCATGCACTGCTCTTTCTTCAGTCCTGAAAAAGATGTCAGCTCTTTCGATAGATACCTGCGCGTATCGCAAATTGGAAAAGCGTTAGAGCCCGCCCAAACGTCACCACAAAATTCCACGGCTTTTTCTGTTGTATTTGGCACTGTGAGCTCAGCTCTAGGGCCCTTTTACAGCGACGTGATGCACGTTAAGACTTTACGCGTAGTGCCATCCCTGATGGCAGGGAATACGGACACCCGCCATTATTGGAATTTGACTAGAAATCTCTTCCGCTTCCGACCAACTCGAATTGACTCACAAAACAACGCAGGACACACAACCAATGAGCACCTGTACGCAAAAGATCACTACGCTTCCGTTCAGTTTTATGCCTCTCTGATACTAAACGCTAGTGATATGTGATTGTTGACTCGTCCATATAACGTCAATTTATGCTAGTTTCATAGATGTCTACAGTCACCAACTCTTGTTTGCCTTGTTGTGCTTAGCTGTTAAAACCCTATAATGGTTTATCAACAAGCATTCTTTCAAATAATCACTGATGTGCACAGCCAGGGGACTGGTTCGATTGGCTTATTTTTAGACCTATGATTATATTAATGCCTGCTAATTGAAATCATTCCAAGTGAGAAAAGAAGAGGGAGCGGTATGGCAAGTGAGCAAAAAATGCGGCCTCATGAACGCAATCCATAATTTTGCTCTACGCGAAATTTAGTCGTCCTCTTTACCTCGAAGCTAAAGTTAAACTTATTTTGCTTATTTTTTTCTGTTTCTCATGGTCGAGAGAAATTCACTCCGATAATCATGCACTTTAACACTCGTTTGAAATTATACGTACAGGAAAGGAGCTATCTTATCTCAGCGATAAGCTTGATAAGAAAAGGCAGTATTCGTTATAAAATATATCAGTAGATATCAGATCATACATCGTCTTGATTGAAATTCAATTATGGTAAGAAAGCTACTGAACTGGAATGATAGCTTAAATTCTCAAAGTCCGGATTGACGAGAAATGAACACCAGCGGAAAAACAAATGTTGTAAAAAAGAGGAGACGAGGGAAGGTTCCTGAAAGCGAACGTCTTCGCACAGCGGTCGCTTGCTTGGAGTGTAAAAGACAAAAATCAAAGTGCCTCGGAGGATTTCCATGCGACAGATGTGTATCCAAAAAAGCAAAATGCAAAAGGGTGCCTCACGTACGAGTTAGTCAAGAAACACTCCTCGCTAGCGAACAGCGACTTTCGTACATGGAAGCGATCATCAAAACGACATTTCCTGGGATTGAATCCTCTTTGGAACAAATGAAACTCAAGTTGGCTGAGTTAAATGGAGATGCTAAGGCTAGAGAGATGATAATGCATATTGATCTCCGGAACGTTCAGCAATCGGACGACAACGAACGCCATACTTTTTATGAGGACGTGGGATCCACATCGAGCTTTGTAGCTAGAGCTCACGAAATAGTCTCACATGGCTCTTCGAAAACCAGGTCACCAACTGAGCCATCTGAAAGTAGCGTACCAGTCCAAAACTTGGAAAGTATAACCAACGATGCATCTCATGTTTTGTCAGACTTGCTCAGAACTGCGCTTTCCTCACTTCCTCCCTTAGCCGAAACAACAAGGCTCATTAACACATTCGTATCTGTTGCCGGCAACAACACATTTTTCTATTTTGATAGCAAATGGTTTAAAGCTATCGTGCTGCGAATATACCAAAAGAGGTCAGAATTGGGATTGACAGATGTCAATCATGTCTGTCTATTATACATGGGGCTTTGCATGGGTTCTATCTTTGCCTACGTTTGGAAAGATAACAAGATCCTACTGGGCAGTCAGACGGGAAAGTTTCCAGGCTCTACGTTTTACGAGCATGCTCAGTTACTTTTTCCTGCGGTGATTAACGATAGCTCGGTGGAGGCCGTGCAGGTATTCTTTCTGGCTGCCATGTACGTTTTAGCAGGACAAGAACTAGAGAAAGCCTATATCTACCTGGGAATAGCTATGAGAGCGGCTGTAGCTAACGGTATGCATAAAAACTTCTTACTAGGAGACAGTTGTGACAAGAAAGTGGCAGAATCTAGAAAGAGGCTCTTTTGGAGCGTTTACACTATAGAAAGGCGTTCTGCTATCGCATTGGGCCGTCCAGAGACCTTGCCTGTTTCTGAGATAGATCTCGACCTCCCGGCTTACTGTGATGGTCTGGACGCAAATTCAGAGAACGCAAACGTCAGCTGTATGATACTCATTATTACCGTGTCTCTTTTAACTATTAAAATCCATGACATGTGGTTTCGAAGAGCTACAGATGGCCTGAAGTTTGCGACAATCATGGACCTTTATCATAGTATAGAGCGATGGCGCCGACAGGTGCCTCCGCAGTTCGAGCTGAAATTGATGGGTATCGGTGAGCGCTCTTATAGAGGAGCCGTTCACGTTCACTTTGCTCACAACTTAGCAAAAATAACGCTTGGGCGACCATTTCTCTTACTCAAGCTTAGGTACTCAAATATATCGGCAGAGCTTGACGAGAGCATGAACTCCTTCGCATCACAAATGGTAGGCTACACCTACAAGGCAGCGAGCGAAATTGTAGAAATTCTCTTGAATTTGCGGACCAACAATTTGCTCTCTTGTTACTCTTTTAACGACTATAATGCGTGCCATGCTGCTTCATTTGTGATGGTTGTCTATTTCGCTCTAATTCCCTCGACAGAGGTACTTCAAAGGCTAAATGAGTCTGTTAGCATTCTGCAACAAATTTCGCAGAGTTGCAAGTATACTCAAAGAAGCACTAATGTCATTTTGGGTCTGAAGGACATCATTCAACAGGGGCAAGGTTATCAGCGCTGGATCGATGAGGCAGTGCTTGGTATTGGAGATGCACGCAGCCCCGATGCTGCTCTTGATACGAGGCCAAGAGTCAATGACGATGAGCCGACGGAAGACAACTGGGGCAAACTCGACGCTTCATTAGGCGCACTCAATGACGAAAACAGATTTCCTCCAGTGTTTTGCGAAGGATCGTTTCCACTAGATCCTGACCATTTCGTTGAATATTTTCTTCAAGAGAACAAACCGGAAGACTAAATCAAGAAACTTCGATATTTGATAAGCTGATAAGCTGATAAGCTGAGAATGTGCGACTTAAATTGTTATTGACAAGCCTGCGAGAAGGAAGAGCCTCCGTGGATTTAATGGCGGAAATATGGGGAAGGCTTTTTGAAGATTCAAAGCTGTGTGTATCGCTGCTATGAGAGCGTGATAATTGAATACAGCTCAAGTTAATTTGTTAAAATTTTTTACGTAGAGTTTGTGGCATATGTATATGACATCAGAGTGAAAGTGCTTTCACTCGATGGGGTAATTACCAAAAAAAGATCAAGTTGCGGGAGCATGAAAGACAGTTGTTAAACTGAAAGGCCCGAAGCAGTTGCAAGGACATTTCCGACCTTCAACCCCCACTCCCAATTCGAATCAGGCTTTACCTCAATAGACCCATCAGAATTTAGGAACCGCATTTGCAGGGGGTTGGTTGATCCCCAATCCATACGCCCGTCTTTAAGCCATTGACAATATGGCTTCAACCATGAATGGTAAATTGGCCTCTCTTCTGGTAAAATGCCGTCAACATAATTATAAAACCATAAACCCATATCTCCTGCATGGGGTACTAGAATCTCTGGCGGCTCATACTTGTCAAAGTAAGAGCCTCTGAAGGCAATTTGATAGCGATTGATCTTGTCCGCAGGAACACTTCCCTGGATCAAACTGTTGACCAGGACCCGACTAGAGGCATACACTTGCCCGTCACTGATTATCTTGCCGTACAAGAATTTCAGATTTGCTAAATGCTCCTCCTCGCTATCAGCTTTAGGCAAGTCAGGATATAGATCTAAGAGAGCTTTAGTTACTGGCTTAGGATAATAGTTGTTAATCTGGTTAAACAGGTCTAGTGTGCTTTTTGGTGGATTGGTATTAGAGTAGATTGCGTGCTCGTTGATGACCTCTCCAATAATAAAGGACGTACCCTTGACCCTGGCTTTGTTCCCAAAGGTACCGTCCACGATGTCTCGAAGCATATTAGGCGAGACCATGTCATTATCGGTAACTCCTCTAAATGTGTGCAAATTCAAGTCCAGAATTTTGTCGGAAATAGTCTTAAAAGGAATGTCGCGCAAGGCTTCCAGCTGTCTGGCGCCAGGGAGGGTAGAATCAATGTCAAAAGTTTCTAAAACCTCCTGGTACTGTTCCTCACACTCTGCAACAGACTTTGGCTGAATAGCTAAGCCGTTCGATAGAAGAAGTACTTTTTTGATAATCTGATTGGCCTCTGGGTGATTAAGTTCATATGCAATTTGAAAGATTGAAGAATAAGAACCTGCGCTTACTCCGCCCACGGTGATATTATCGCTATTTCCTCCTAGTTTTGAAATGTGTTGGTACACCCACTCAAGACCGAGGCGCTGATCCCAGAAGCCGAAGTTTGAGTTCTTCTCATCTTCATCCAAGAGCTCTTTGCAGGCTAGAAATCCAAAGATATTCAATCTGTATCCCGGTGATACAAGTATGAATTTTTCAAAGCAATCCTCTGCTTGTAAGTCCTGCGGATCGCATTGGCGGTAATGTAGGGGGTTTCCGACCTGAAGCCAGCCCCCATGAATGAAGTACAAAACAGGCCAGCCCTCCGAGGGTGGCTCACTGGCAGGAACCCAGATATTCAAAAAAAGGCAATCTTCATCGTACTTAAAATCGGGGTTAGGCTTTCCACCTCTGTTGTTGTAAAAAGGTTGAGGGCAAATTGTTCGAAAAGAGGAGTAATCACCGGAGTAGTCGTAACCTTGAGGCAGTGGTTGTGGTCTGCGCCATCTCATTTGGCCCACTGGAGGCTTCGCAAACCGAATTCCAGTATAGCGATGGCACTTTTCGTTCATATTGCCGTCACAAATCGTCAACGCTGTGAGAGTCCCTAACCCATCCGTAAGTGTTGTTGTAAACTTCGAGTGCTCAATGACTGGAGATTCGTACATTTTTGTTCTGGTGGTATTTAGCTTTGGCTAGCCTTGATGGAATTCGAAACTATAAGTGTCTAGTGTCTCCTTAGCACGGTAGATTTTGTCAACTTCCAAGCAGGTAATATAAGATATACTTTTGATTAGCGCATGTATGACAAGCCCATTATCTTTGGTGAGTGTAGCGATAGGATAGACACCCGGAAATCACGCTTCAGTATCACTTACGTAATTTCCGTCTTCCATTACTTATTGATGGATATCTGGGAATTTCGATATCACTGTACTCTAGGTATCTTTTTTCTCGGGTGTTTACCCTATCAAGCTATATCGACTTTGCAGTATTGAATAGCCCAGACATGCATCTATGGAAGCCCACCCGAACAAACTCACACGAAGACACCTGAACTCTAAAAAAAATTGGAATATAAGCATGTAGCAGGTCTTCACTTCTGCTGAAAGTTTCTTAGTTCTCCCAAACTTCGCACAACTTATTGGTGTGGAACAATACAATACCTTAACTGCCGTTGGTAATCACCTCACATAAAAATGGCACACGAGAAAGAAGACGCCGTGATAATAGAGACCGACAATGTTCAACAGGGGTCAATTGATTTTTTTGATGACGTTTCTGAGTTCAAGGGTATCTCTAATCGTAAAGATGCCGACGAGGCATTAGACTATGCTTTGCAAGTCTCCCAACACAAAGACGTTGACCCCGAAGCCGACAGAAGATTAACACGTAAGATTGACATGATTGTTTTTCCAACTATGGCTCTAGTTTACGCCGCCCAATTTCTCGACAAAACGTCAATGTCATACGCTGCAGTAATGGGATTACAAAAGGATTTAAAAATGAAAGGAAACATGTATAGCTGGTCCGGAACCAGTTTTTACCTAGGGTATCTCGTGTTTGAGTACCCTGCTGCTTGGCTACTGCAAAGATTTCCGCTGGCTAAGACTTTGGGTGTTTTCCTCATAATTTGGGGGTTTGTTTTGACATTAACCTCTGTTGCGACGTACCCTGGATTCATTGCTATTAGAACAATCCTTGGAATGCTTGAATCCAGCACCTCAATGGGATTTATGCTACTGACTGCCCAATATTATCATCGGAAACATCAGGGCTCGAGAACATCCTTTTGGGTGGCCTTTAATGGACTGGGACAAATTATTGGAGGATCCATGGCGTATGGCTTGGCTAAGAGGCAAAATACGTTGCCCATGCCGGGATGGAAGTTGGTTTTCATTATCTGTGGTGTTATAACCATCTTTTTAGGGTTTGCTTTCTTGCTGATTATCCCTGACACTCCATTCAAAGCTTGGTTTCTAAATGATTTTGAGAAAGAATTAATCGTTCAGAGGCTGCGCGAAAATCAGCAAGGAGTAGGAAATCACAAATTCAAAAGGTATCAGTTTATTGAGGCTTTGAAAGACGTGCGCACTTGGATTATGTTCTTCTCTTCTGTCGCTCTGAATATTCCCAACGGCGGTATTGGTACTTTTTCATCTCTTTTGATCAAAGGAACAATGGGATATGATGAAATGATGACTTTGCTTATGGGTTTACCCGCTGGTGGATGCGAGTTTGGTGGACTGATATTGTTTGGGATCATTTCTCCTTTCGTCAAAAATAGGATGCTTCTCGCGTCAATCACTACTACTATCGCACTGATTGGCTCTTGCTTGATGTCCTTTGCAGGTCCGCCTAAGGCCCAGTTGGCCGGTTACTATCTTTTGATGGTTTCGCCAGGAGCAATGATAGTTATGTTTTCCATCGTCTCGTCAAATGTTTCGGGATATACAAAGAAAACAACGGTTGGTGCTATATATCTGATTGGGTATTGCGTAGGAAATCTAATTGGCCCTCAAACCTTCAAGGCTCAAGATGCTCCTGAATATCGCCCTGCTAAAATTGTGATGGTTGCCTTCTACGCGATTACTTTGACAACGCTACCATTGCTTTATTTTGTAAACCGCAAAGAAAACTTGAGAAGAGACAGGTTAGCCGAAGAGGGAAAGATTCACCACCAACAAAACTCAGAGTTTGCTGATTTAACGGACAAAGAAAATCTGGAATTTAGATATGTGCTTTGAAAATATGCGGTCACTTTTGAGGTATCCTTAATTCACAAAATACATCATATATGGAATTTTAAATATTGGTCTTTTTGAATTTTCTGTTTTATAAAATACTTTGCAAGCGAGTAAGATTATGGTATATGTTGATGTGTACCATTGTCGGTAGTCGATAGGCTCCTGTTTTGTTCATCTAATTTGTTCATAGTAAATTTAAACAAAAGGGCAGATAAGGGTTGAGTACTGATATCTCTCCGTGGCTATCTTACGACCATGGCCACTATGATCTTGGTCATATCAGCTCCTTTTATACAATTTTTGTAACACTGTTCTAAACTCTTACGGTGATGACGGAGTGTGCCGACATCATGACCATCGCTAGAATCATTTGCTCCCTACGACTTCATCTTGATCATGAGCCGTCCGTCCATTCCTCTAATTTTATTCTGTCACTTCGATCACGTGATTATAAAATTTAACGATATTATCTTCTCTCCAGCTCCTTCTAACAAGTTTGGACTTGCAATTCGATCACCGTTTATTTCATTCTATCATAATAGTTCATAAATGATCACCTAACAGTTAATTATGAGGAGCCCCTCCTTCACTGGTGTTGCGTAGAATTTAACATCGGAAGTAAATCTTCTTTCAAAGTGGAAGAGCTTCAAAGTTTATCGCTGTATGAGCTGCACTAGTCAAGCTTACCACTTGAATCTATCCCGCTTCGCCACTTGGAGTTCCAACAAACCGACTCGTCCAATTCAGTTGGCCTCAAACTACGAGTCCTCTGTGAGGTCCTTGATGCTATTAAGATGACAGTAAAGCCTTGAAAGCATAAAAAAACAGCTCGTGAAGATGCCCGGGATGTGGATATATATGTTGGAAGGAGCTGGCGAGAAGGTGATATGGTTCAATTGCATCATCAGGTGATCGATATGACAGAATAAAATTAGAGAAATAGATAGACGGTTGGCATTCTGTGGAAGAACTGGAAGCTAAAACAGGTCCATTGACAGTTCTAAAATCTTCAGAACATTGTGATCAGATCATATGTGGTATGATGAATGACGTATGATGAGAATTCACCGTCTAGTTTGAAGAAAGTAACGCATTCCAAATTTGGATCAATGTTACAGAAATTGTATAAAAGGAGCTGATATGACCAAGATCGTAGTGCTCATGGTCGTAAGATAGTCACGGAGAGATATAAGTACTCAATTCCTTACCAGCTTTATTAGTTAGATCAATCATGAACGAATTAAATGAACGGTTCAGAAACCTATCAACCACCGACAATGATAAACCTCAACAATTTTTAATGTCGATAGCCCAAAAATCAGGCAGTGCGTTCACAGAGGAGTTAGTGGACTTTATTGGTGGAGCAGAGATTGCATTAGCGAGATCCTAAAAGCTTCGTGTTTCCCGTCACGCCTTGGAAGATTATGTAAGCTTGCCTAAATTGCAGACACCTAAAATGAGTCATCAGTGTTCTATGCATTTGAGGGCAATTGTCGTTCAAGAGCCCAAAAAATATGAAAAAAAGAAACAGGAAAATTTTAACAAATCTCATCGCCAACCATGTCGTACCGAGAAAACATAAAAGGAAATTCACATCGGCTACTAGAACTACACAATTTGTGAACAAGAATAAACTTTCTCGACAACTGAAGACTTTCCAGATGGTACGTCTTCCTCTTCACGAACTTTTTTTCAAAAATCCGCATAAGGTTTTAGTGCTTGATGGCGGTCAAGGCACGGAAATGGAAAACAGAGGCATCAAGGTTGCAAACCCTGTGTGGTCAACCATTCCCTTTGTTGACAGGTCATTTTGGGAAGATAAGTCGTCTGCCCACAGAAGAATAGTGGAAGGAATGTTCGACGACTTTATGAAGGCAGGCGCCGAAATTCTGATGACCGTCACTTATCAGGCCAGCTTCAAATCCCTATCAGAAAACACACCTATCAAAACTCTTCCCGCCTACACCAATCTTCTCACCAAAATCGTCGACTTTTCCCGTGAATGTATCGGGGAAGACAAATATCTAATCGGCACGATTGGGCCATGGGGTGCGCACGTTTGTTGCGAGTTTACCGGAAATTATGGTCCACATCCCGAAAGCATTAATTACTATGAATACTTCAGGCCGCAATTAGAAATTTTTAACACAAACGATAATCTCGATCTGATTGGATTTGAAACCATTCCAAATGTTCACGAGCTGAAGGCAATTTTGTCGTGGGATGAAAGCATTTTATCGAAGCCTTTTTACATCGGCCTTTCTGTCCACGAAAACGGCGTTTTGAGGGATGGAACAACTATGGAGCAAATTGGAGATATAATAAAAGGTCTTGGAAACAGGAGAAACCCCAATCTTTTATTATTGGGAATCAACTGCGTCAGCTTTAACGAGTCCCCGGACATTTTGGAGTCTCTGCATCGAGCACTTCCTGACATGCCTCTACTGGCCTATCCAAATAGTGGCGAGGTATACGATACAGAGAAAAAGATTTGGAATGCAAACAGCGACAAACTGAACAGTTGGGACACAGTGGTTAAGAGATACATTGATTACGGGGCTCGCATCATCGGCGGCTGTTGCAGGACATCTCCAGCAGACATCGCTGAGGTGTCTGCTGCAGTAAAAAAGTATACTTGATTAGCATATAGAAAGCTTGACGAGTCATGGTAGGTGACGTTCATGTTAAATGGCGAAAGGCTTCAGAAACGAATTCCGAGAATTGAAGTAGTTTTTTTGAGTTCTATTCTGGTCAACTAAATATAATTCTGACAATCGCTGCAGTCAATAAGAGCGAGTGTGGCAATCCCTCGATAAGGCATTTTGTTGGTATGAATAGTTCGCGTGAGAGCTTAAAACAACCAATTACTTGCAGTCATGAGGTAAAGACCGACAAATGACGCCCTACAATTTAAAAACGATACACTCATGTATCGCTTGTTCTCATGAGACTAGACTGTTTGAGGTTTCTCGGGGTTGTTTCCAAGCTGAAATCTCGCTAGAACATGGTCATAATGTCTGAAAAGGGTAGGCTGGGTGACTTCGTCGAGTTGCATTATTCCGAACTTATATCCCGTGAGCACGATGACAGAATAAAATAACAGAGAATCGAATCAACAGGCCAAGTGCAAATCATCAGGAAGCTCTAGGAGTCCAAGAAATACCAGTAACCACCATGGACTCATCACACAACTGAGGTAACCTCACCAGTGGTATGATGGGTAGCAAGAGCTGTATATTTCTTGTCATTCATCTTGTCGGGAGTAATAGCCATAAGAGGAAATGGCGCCACAGAGTTTTGTAAAAGGAGGCCATATGACTAACTTTAAAACGGTCATTTTGTCATGAAAATCATCGAGAAAGTAAGTACTCATTACTCTATTTACTTTACCACCAAAAAAGTTTTCAATGACTTAGATATGCAATTTAGGATACTGTCTAACACTGAGGCCGGTTAAACTCAATACACATAACTTCTACCAATCATGCGGACCGCGTAACATCACACACAATTCGGTGCAACTAGAGGGACGCTAGCTATATGAATCATACGAAGTTTGGCAAATTCTCATCGCCAATATCGATACATGAGCATAGACTAAGTGATCTAGCAAGCCGAGATAAATTTCCGGTCTTCGATCAGTTCTCATACCAGGCGTAGCATGACTGGTCATTTTTTTGACTCCTCATAAATCTATCCTTTAAATTATACTGTCTTGAGAGCTGCTCCCCATTTTTTCATTGACTAACGACTGTGCCAATGTTAATTAAATTTAAAGGTTTCGCATATGAAAGCCTAATTGGTCATTCCAGACACTATCCATTAATTAAATCAGCGAAAAATACCTTTAGATTGTGATATCATGATGTTAAGCCAGCTCTTCTGATTGCTTTCGCTTAACGAGTACTAAGTGAACCAAATGGCCGAACAAAAAGCAGTTCTTTATAGTTTTTGGAATTTTTTCCGCTCTGCGAAGACTTTGATTTCTGCCAATTATGTACCCTCTAATGGTTAATATCGAAATTTCTCTCCGGAGTTTAAGCGCTCTACATTTTGTACGTCTGTTAAGATCATAGTCTCATCACCAACAGTGTTGATCAGGCGTATGAGATATTATGGGGGCCTTTGTTACTGACAGTAGATAAGGAGCTTACAACCGGATTTTCCAGCATAGAGATTGTAGTCAATGAGGTAAAGAAATACAGATAATGGGAAGCGTTTCTTTAGTCCATCCTGACTTGTCGTATCGTCTTTCTCAAGCGGCCAACTAGGCGGCAAGCACATACAAATCATCTCCTGCCTTGACTTACGTTTGGGACGATGTGCGCTACCATCCGATTAGATTACATACGAGGCTATCAAAGGAAGTTTTATTGGCATTGTCGAAGCTACTCTTTAACGGTAAAACTCGTAAACATTCTGCGCATCGCAAGAAATACAGAATCTGACAAGTTCCAGCCCACAAGCCATTCAAGCGTTGCTCGATCCATTGCCCTTTACCTCTATCAATTTGGTACCCACACTGTAGGGATCCATGTCGCTCAACAAGACCTAAGGCACAGGGATGCCTCTTTTTCGGGTATTCTTCCTCCTGATCCTCAACAAGATTTCTAACAAGCCCAAAATTCAAAGGAATTTCTCTTTTCAGTGCACACTGCTTCTGTGGATAGTTTCCAGCGCTGCTTTCACTTTCGCCGCTTCGCCCTGCGCGACTGGCTACATCTGAGCTTTCCGTGAGGCCTGGCAAGCCAATGGAAATCAGTTAGTTCTTAGCTGGATGGTCTACTGGCTTCTCATGTACGTGCACCTGCTTATCTCGGATTGCTGCGGCGCTTTTCTTCCCCTATAGGCGTAGCCATTTGTTGTTCTTTCATACATTATGATCAAGAGCATGGGAATCATCAGCCGTTCTGAAATCAGTCCAGGATTCTGCCGCTGGCATATGCGTTGCCGACAAGAGAGACATACGATGTCCTGACGGATATCTGGTCCGGCAGTCACGTACCAAGTCTATATCGGGCTTTGCCAGTGGTGTTTTCTTGATTGGTGGCTGCTGGCGTTCTAGCCGTTTTTGGATACCGGTTCAAGTATTACGGAGCGCTGCACAAGCTCAGGGAAGTAAACGAAACTCCAGAAAAACTAAGAAGTGCGATTGGCGGCCCGGCCATAAGCGATCGGACTTTACGTCGTCGCCTGGAAGAGGACACGGAGAGTGAGCTGTGACTGGGTGGTATCCTGACCTGCAAGTCTTCCTTTAAGTACTATATTCACAAAGGCTGGTTTCGTGTTTGACATAAGTTTGAATCCCGACCGTGACCTACAGTTCTTCTAGCTAGTAGCTCATGAACCTTGCGACTGCTAGGCATTTGAGGCGGATCCGCATTTCATCTTTTCAGTTCAGTGTTATCTACCTGGCTTAGAGAATTGGGACATCCCATGAGTTTTACGGACCTTGTAAATCCTTCGACAGCATCTGTCGCTCAATTAGAGGATTTCAGAACAACACGGGCTTGAAGTCAATTCTTGTATATAGTGCTGGTCGTTGAGTTACAAAAGCGAAGGAGACTCATAAGTACTCTTTATCATCTGAGGTGACTTATCAGAGAAAAACTATCAAATTCACAAATAGTTGGTGGCCTTTAAGCCTTCAGTCACCCTTACCGCGCTCTGGAGATAGAAAGAAGTTTTTGACACCTCGCTACTGTTTCACTTTGCGTTCTTTTGGAAAACATGATAGCTGTCTTTTCATGATATGGCGTTCACCCCGTTAACGGGGGACGTCTTGCTGTTTATGTGCCGAGCAATCTTTTGCTACAAAGTGTGTAAGCCTTCCAGGCTAAGGTCCACATTCTAAAGACCAAAAAGCTGCATATACGCTTGGCGTGAGCTTAGGGCTAAAGCACAGAACAACTGTTACTCAAGACTCTCGATTTTGGCCTCTCAATATGCATGCACCAAAAATTCTCGGTAAACTTGCTGCTATTGAACTTAATCGCTTATTTGTGACTTGAGAGTTAAATTCTTAACTAACGCTGCACTGTGATTCGGTTTGCTGAAGTGAAAAGGAGTCTGTTACAGAGAATTTTCGCCCAATAAGGAGATAAGGTAGAGCTACGAAAGTTCAAAAAGTTTCAGTAACGAGCGTGGAAATGGAACTTCAACAACGCAGGCTAGCAGTGGTATGATAGGATGGGGGCGATAAGCTACTATTGCACAAAACAAGATGACACCATCCGCCTAACATTCGAATTTTCAAGTTATCAACGGAAAGATAAACGTACTGTACCCGGCATTTTCAAAAGCAAGGAAAAGTTATTAACGAACTGAGTAGCTACTTTGGAAACCATTTACTATCGATGCTGGGGTAGCCCAGAATTTTATCCCTTGAGTGGCGATAGATGACTCGCAATGGAGGTATCTTTCGCCTGGGTTAGTAAGCTTACATTTGTCATGCGCATGTCAAAGCTGCGCTTGGCAAGTGGCAACTGCATTTTATTGACCCTGTAAGGCTGATGATTTTCGATGCATATGGCTAGTGTAATCAATTATGTGAGTTGCAGGTCATTGGTTGATCTCTATCATCAGTTTGACCTTCGTGACCATTGTTGTGCTTATCAATGGAATGAAAAAAAAGATCGACGCTCCTTATCTAAGTTAATTGTCCTCTCGCATGAAGGCAAAGCTCACAATAGCCTATTTAGGCAAAATGCAGCTAACGCGGTAATCTACCCGGATGATATCTTATCTTATAGGCAATCATGTTGTTTACCTTTATCGCACAGAAGAACCCACAAGGACTTTTCTTCGAGGAAAGTAAGCATATGACCCGAGTGCCTGTGTCCCATCAAAGGCCATGTTTGACTAGGAATTAGAGTATAAAGCCCGATAATCCTCGAAAGCTTAGCCTGAAATGACTTAACAATCTTCTTTTCCAACCAAATGAAGTTAGAAAGATATATCTTAATATTCTGTGCTTCCTCCCTCTGTGGAGCATCGCCAATATCTGCTCTTTGGAAAAGGCTGAGTGGAGAATCTCCGTCAGAATTGCAAGCCACCAATGCAACGGCCTTCACATACCCACAACTTAGTTCAGCGGAACGCTTCCCTATGGAAACGTGCCAAGGCATAACCCTCGAAGATGGCACGATTGACCAACTCCAGGGCTACCTGGAACAAGGCGTTTTGACTTCACAAGACCTTGTTCGCTGTTATCTGAACCGCTTTCTCCAGGTCAACAGCTATGTAAACAGCATAATGCAGATCAATCCGGACGCACTTTCTATTGCAGCAGCAATGGATGAGGAAAGGGCGCAAGGACTTGTACGGAGTCCTTTGCATGGAATCCCGTTTGTCGTCAAAGATAATTATGCCACTAAAGACAAGATGGATACAACGTGTGGCTCCTGGTCATTGATGGGCTCGATTGTTCCTAGGGACGCCCACGTTGTCGCCAAGCTGAGAGATGCGGGTGCAGTTTTATTTGGACACTCGACACTGAGCGAGTGGGCTGATATGCGCACCTCTCATTACTCGGAAGGATACTCTGCGCGCGGTGGACAATCGCGTTCTCCTTTCAATTTGACTGTTAATCCAGGTGGGAGTTCCTCCGGAAGCGCGGCAGCTGTTGCGGCGAACATGATCATGTTTAGTCTCGGTACCGAAACTGACGGAAGCATCATTGACCCAGCAATGAGAAATGGTGTGGTCGGCTTCAAGCCTACCGTAGGGTTAACTTCTAGAGCCGGGGTAATTCCCGAGTCAGAACATCAGGACTCCACTGGGTCAATTGCTAGGACGGTAAGAGACGCCGTGTATGCTTTCCAATATATGTGGGGAGTTGACTCTAGGGACAACTATACTCTCAACCAGACGGGAAATGTTCCTGAAGATGGCAATTATGTGAAGTTTCTTTCCGACAAGAGTGCTTTGGCCGGTGCGAGATTTGGACTTCCTTGGGAAAAGCTATGGAGTCTGGCGAAACCAGATCAGGTTGAAAGGCTTCTAGAAGTCGTGGAGCAGCTAAAAGACGCCGGAGCAATTGTGTACAATAGCACCAATTTCGGAAACCTCGACGTAATCTCAAGCCACGGGTGGAATTGGCAAATGGGGCGCACTAACGAAAGCGAGTTTACCGTGGTAAAAGTCGATTTCTATAACAATATTCAGGCGTACCTCAGTGAGCTACAAAACACAGAAATCAGATCGTTAGAGGATATTGTGGAGTATAACGACAGATACACTGGAACAGAGGGCGGCATCAATGGCACAGTTCCTGCTTTTAAGTCTGGTCAGGATTCGTTTTTGGACTCTCTCGCCTGGGGCGGGGTCAAGAACGAAACCTATTGGCAAGCGGTTGAATTCGTTCAAAGAACCTCTAGGGACGAAGGAATCGATTACGCGTTGAACTACACAGATCCTAACACAGGCGAAAATTTTCAATTAGATGCTCTTCTTGTTCCGAGTGGCCTTTCTATTACATACCAGCAAGCTGCTAAGGCAGGATATCCTATGGTGACACTTCCAGTGGATGTTGATGAAACAAATGGCAGACCTTATGGTCTCGGGCTCATGCAGAGTGCCTGGGGAGAGCCTAAACTCATCACTTACGCTTCTGCAATTGAGGATTTGTTGAATGTCAAACTCAAACCACAATTTTACGATTACTTGGCGAAAAATATACCTGTGGTTTGACCCCTAAAACTAATTTCAGTTTTGGATCTTCAATAAGTAACATCTGAGGTGGCCCTTCGTTATTATCACGTAAAACTTTATATGTTTTACGAGGAGGGAGACAGACCGGAGACAGGAGACCGATCGAAACCGGCGGTCATTAATTTTATAGACTGTTCTTTTAATCTACTCACAGTTTTATTGGCAAACAACGCCTAGTGGGGTACTTAGATGAACTTTAAGCAACGTCGAAAACTACCATAAGCGCCTGCACAGTTCTTATAGTGACACGAAAGCACGTGATCTTCAACGGTGAATTATGCTGATTGACGATATCACTCATTGTAAACCACTTCTAACATTAGCAAAGATGAACTAGCTAGAAGCTACGTGGTCAGCACGAGCATTGATAAAGAAGATAGAAGCATCGTGGTCTGGAACTTAATTACCGAAAGGCCGTCTCTTGCTATATTCAAAGAAACGTGACTGTCAAGATCTCGTGATTTCAATACTTCTAAAGCGCGCGTTTAGGTTAGATGTAGTTCTCCTGGCAGCAAGTTTGCCACTCGAGCAAGCACAGGGCATGTGCTTCGAAGGTACGAAGTATCCCGCCCTTCACATGACAAGTGGCTTTTCTTACAAGCGGCTTCATAGCACACCATACATGAGCAGCCCATGGTAAGAACGAAGAAAGCAACGAGATAGTGCGACTTCAAGTTGAAGTGGCAATCGCGAGACTTACAAATGGTGTGATAGTGAATGCTTACAGCGGCAAGAACTTTTGACACGGGCTGGTCTTGGCATTGGTTGGGCTGCATCCTCGAAAACAAAACCGTTGTAAAGCTGACAAACAGGCTACTTCTTGGCACCGCCTACTTTGAAAATGCTCTTGGTGGAGCAGACCAAAGCCACAGAGTGAGATACACACCGAGTGGTCAGAATGCACCAAATAGCGTGCAATCTACCCACTTGCTTGCATGCTATGCTTAATAATGGGTTTTCATGAACCATTAGTAAGTCTGAAGGCGAAGTGGTTCCAATAGAACGTAGAAATGCCAAGGACGTAACAGCTGGTCTGTCGCATTGCAAGATGCCACACATCGACAACATGACAAATTCGAAAAGTCAAGGAAGCTCAGAAAGAATATTTAAAGGCTTGAGGAAGCTCCTCAGACTGGGTTCTGGTTCTTCTAAAAACCACAGATCACAAATGACTAAACAAACTGTATTCATCTCTGGCGGAAACCGTGGCCTTGGCTTCTCGCTCGTTAAGGCCTTTGCCCAGGAAGCTGGCACCACCGTTGTCACCACCGCAAGAAATCCAGACGCCGCGGCAGAGCTGCAAAAGCTGTCGAAGAGCTCTGGAAACATCCACATCGTTAAGCTGGACGTCGACAGTGAAGAGAGTATCAACGCTGCTGGGGCTGCGATTGCTGCGATCACGAAGGAACTGGACATTTTCATCTCCAACAGTGGTATCGCTGATATCGATGGGTATGTGCTGACCACCAAGAAGCAAAACTGGATTAAGCACTACACGACCAACGCTCTTGGACCTATCCTCTTGTTTCAGGCGTTGTACCCGCTACTTGAGAAGGGTAAGCTAAAGAAGGCGTTCTTTCTCTCGACTGTGGCTGCTTCCATCCAGCTTGAGCTGCCAATTCCTGGATCCGCTTACGGTCAATCCAAGGCTGCTCTGAACTACACTGTCAGAGAGCTTGCTCTTGACCTCAAGAAGGAGGGGTTTACTATTGCACCTCTCCACCCGGGCGTTGTTGGATCCGACATGGGCAAAGAGGTTGGTGAGCAGTTGATTGCGCTTGATCCAAAAATCGCCAGCTTTTTCGATCCTGCCAACGTGCTTACGCCAGACCAGAGTGCTAGTGACCTGAAGAAGGTTATCGAGGGGCTTAAGCCCGAGGACACTGGCAAGTTCCTTGCCAACGACGGCAGCGAACTACCATGGTAAAGAGGCTTTAATTATAGATAAGTGCTATACATGGAGAATAAGATATTTTTAGACAGTTGTCAGAGAGGGAGACACCTACAAGGAACTCGTGAAGTTGACGCTTTTGTGATTTGAACTGCTAAAACATCGAATTGCGTTAGCAATCGTCTACTTCAAACTCCGTCCTTGTACCAAGGTAACCGTGTCCTACTCGAGAATAACGCTACAGCAATGGCTCCTGCTGCGCGGAAGAGATAGAGTTAAAATAAAGTGAGGAAGCTTAAGTCTACTGACTGGAGTACTCATATCTGTGTGCAACACTGTGTATGTCTTGGGCATTGCTTTTGGGCCTATTTTTTCGCAACTTTCTCGGTGCTCTGCTGAGAAAAAGGTTCATTTATGCCACTATCTGTATTCGTGGTATTTACATTGAGATCCGCAAGATCTGATGACTATGCAAGACTTTGGATTACGAGGTTTTTCTTAGAGTTTTCTGGGGATTGTTACGTAGCTTCGTCTGGCGGGGCCCTTGCGGATGGTTGGCCAATCGGTCCGAAAACAGTCGCGTTTGTATTTTATGCAATTTTTGTCGCGGACGGGCTGATGGTAGAACCGGCTACATCTGCTGTGCTAACACTTCATTTCGAATAAAGGGACCGGAGTTGTACGGCAAAAAAAGGCTATACAAATTCGCAAGCAAACTGAGAATTAGGCACACAATGCGAAGCACGTAGAATAGGAATTGGATTTCGAGGAATATACTAGTCTCTGTCTTGTACGGTCTTATGCAATGATTACCGCTTTTCCTCCCCCCGCAAAAGGTTTTTACCCTTGCAGTGTTTGGTAGTTGTTCGTTCGGTATTTTGTATTTATTGAGGTGTACCATTGTCGGTACTCGATAGGTTGTTGAACTGTTCATTCAATTCGTTCATAGTTAATTTAAATAACTAGGCAGATAATGGGTTGAATACTTTTATCTCTCCGTGATTATTATGCGAGCATGACAACTACGATCCTGGTCATATCGGCCTCTGTTATACAATTTTTGTAAGACTGTTCCAACTTCCGGATCCGTTACTTTCTCTAAGATTGATGGTGAGTCATCCTTACGTTACCCATTAGACCACTCTTGCGGTGATGACGGAGTGTGACGATATTATGTTTATTACTAAAAACTCTGCCCCTATGACTTCATCTTGATTATTTGTCGTCCGTTCAGTTTAATCCGTCGTCGTGATCACGTGATAATACAAGTTTACGATAGCCCTTCTCGTTATTTCCATCAAACCATACTTTCGATTTTAATCGGGTGTAAAGCGATTTACCAAATTGAATGAAGTGGGGACATTGACCAACCCCAAAACTAGCTTATGTGCATCTAAAAGCTCAAACCCCTGACTCAATCAAAGGATAATTTACAACGATAGTAAACGTAATTAATATCACGAAACGTTGATCATGCAATGGTTCTTGAGAGAAGAACCTCACAACGGCTATCAACGCTTACGTTTTCTCGAATTAATAGGTCCCCTGAAAGCAACAACATGTCCTATTTTGTAATTAGCTCCCATGAACTTTATTATAATTGTTGCGAGCAGCCCTCTTTTGGTCACCTCGTGGGCCACAATAAGCTAAAAGCCATTAGAGTTGTTCTAAGGTGCACGTCATCGTCGGTCGCCTTATGACAGAGTGCGCTGGCCAGCTCATCAGGAGTATTACAAAAGTTCTGCATAGCGCCTCCTGCTGCACGGCTTGTCTTAATACTGCGAATGAAATAATAAATTATACTGTCGCTGTAATTCCGTGTTCATGCGCTTTCTCGTTGCTTATGGGGCTGGATACCAACACCAATTCAAGGATCGAACCAAATGTTGCGACGTTTAAGTGGTTGAATCCACTCTAAAACACTATTCTTTAATGTACGATAGAATGGTGAGAATAGTGCTTCTGGAAGGAGATACCGAGAAGTCGTCAAATTGTAATTGTGACGTGATCGCGATGACAGAATAAAATTAGAAGATCGAACAGCGGTTCGCATTCTGTGGAAGCTCGGGAAACTCAAACAATTCCATCGAAAGCTCTAGCATCACCAGAACACATTAATAAGAATATGTGAGATATGATGAATGACGTGTGATGAGATTTACCGCCTAGTATGAAGAAAGTAACGGATTCAAAAGTTAGATCGGTGTTACGAGAATTATATAAAAGCAGACGGTTTGACTCATTATAAAGTGGTCACATCTTTAAAACGACCACGGAAAGATGAAAGTATTGAACACCTTATCATTTATATCAACTATGAACGAATTAAATGAACAGTTCAAAATTTCTCGACGACCAATATTGATGAACCTCACTCAACAAATACCAATCTACTTACTTTGTTAAAGCTAAAGCACAGAAAAGGCATCATAGCAACGGCAAGGCAATAATTACGTCCCTAAGCACGCTTGATTCACTGATGGGTGAAGCGTATGTTTCTAACTCAATTCGTAGTCGTGGCGGCCAACTCCAGCTATTCCCTGCCTCGCCTAGTGTGAAATCTCTCGACATTCTTCTTAAAAAACGGCAACGGAAGCGAAAGCGCATTTATGATATGTATATATACTTGATATTACTTGATATTACCTGATAACTTTACCTCAACTCACAAAAGGAGTCAAACAAAACGAAGGCATTTTTTGTTAATGATACTAAAATCATTTGCTTATGGAAGATAAGCATAGCGAGGCCATGTATGCTATTCAGAGCCGTTTGCCGAGCTTGTAGGGCAATTGCAGAGATGAAAAACATAACGCAATCAATGAAGTGAACTCTTTTGCAGGTCATACGAGCGAGAAATCACACATCTCTCATGACGTGCAAACTTAAAGGAAATTTTCGTATGCCCCTGTGCGGCCTCAGAGAAATAACGCCCCAACGCACAATTTGCATCGCGCCGTACGCTTATAAAACTTACTAGATGACAATAACAAGTTTTTCTGCGGAGGTACCTTTTTTAAGCTCTTCGAGACCATTCTGGATTGCCGCCAAACTGTTTCCGATCACGCGCGAAGGAGGCGATGGGACGAAGGAGCCGTTCTTGAGTCCAGCTGGAATGAAATTTCCGAAGACCGCTTCCTCAACTCCACTGCTCCTTAGCTCACTAAGTAAGATGAACTTGGAGCTGACTCCTTCTGGCAGCTCTGCAGGTGGTGCATTTGCGCTCGCAACGAACTTTTTACCTCCCACCTTAGCTACGATTTCAGAACATGGACCTGCAGTGTTTTGACCGATAGCTAGCGCTCCAACACTCTTCCTGCCAATAAAGGCCTTGGAAATGTCCTCGACGACAGTACGGCTGTGGTAGTCGAAGACTTGACTAGCGCCAAGTTTCTTGAGATAGTCCCAATTCTTAGGTGAGGAAGTCGAAAAGACCTCATAGCCCGAAGCAACAGCCAGCTGAATAGCATTGGTTCCTACACTAGAGGCCCCACCCCAGATCAAAATAGTCTCACCGGTGGCAGAACGCCTTGAGGCTTCTGGATAGAGTAGTCCGAGGTAATCTTTTTGGTAAAGCCCGCATGCTGCAGTAGCAACAGCAAGCGGGATTACCGCAGCATCTTCATACGAAACTTTACTGGGGATGGTAGAAGCCAAGTTTGTGTGCAAAACAGTATACGTCTGGAAAGCGGCTTCCGCTGCCCTATTAGAATAGAGAGCAGTAGCTAAGCCCAAGACTTTATCCCCGAGTTCGAAGTTATTGACACCTGGACCGACTTCAACAACCTCACCTGCCACATCTGAACCCAAAATGCAAGGATATTTGACCCATGCAAAAAGTTCGTTTCCCATTGTCTGTCTCGCCCAATCAACAAGGTTTAGGGCAACAGCATGATTTTTCACTAAAATCTCATTGGCGCCGGGCAACGTGTATTCTGCTGGCTTAACTTCCAGAGGAGTTGCCTTTTCGGCTGTCAACCATGCCGCAGTATTAGAAGGCATTCGGGGCTGTAGTGGGAAGTATGATAATGGTGAGAAAACTACGGCCTCCTTGAGTTATTTAGAGCGTGTCGTCAATAAAGTTTGGTTTTTATACTTTGTTTGTCAACATACGAATCACCCCCGAATTGTTGCCTAATCAAATTATGTCCGTGGTAGGACCGGAGTCGATCTTAGGAAATGGTTCGACATTTTGACTCGCATCTCTCGAAAGGAATCAATCGCTCTGTGAGAATAACATTCGAAGTCCATGGCCGTTGATCTTATATCACATTTATAAGCTTTTCTATAAGTGTCAGGGCTGTAAGGGCGCTAAGACAATTATGAGCCTTCTGGCGACTCTGTGATTTAGAGTTTAAAGGTAAGTTGACGGCCTCTGGTGACCCTATCCCGAACAATGGGAATTCATTTTCATCCGTGAATGACAATTTTCTATATCGGCCGCTTTGAAATGTTTACTTTCATTTTCCTAGAGGCGTTCACTTGGACACAGTGATATACCAAGACAACGGCTAGAAACCAGGCCGCTTTTAAAAACGCTTCTCTCCTCAATTATTTCGCGGCAATTGATGACTATTATGTCATGAACTGGTGTACGGCACGCTAATGTGAACAGATGACCACATTATGCGGTAACTACTCCTTTCCAGACCAAAAGGTACATAATCTCTGCGCACAATGATTGGTGACTATAGACGTATGAGGACAGGAGGCAGCGCCAATTACAAAACAATTTTCGCTTTGTTTTCAGCCTATAGGTACCCACGAGCTATAAACGTTCAAGTCCTTCGCTTCAAATCTACGACAGCCTTATCAGGTTCTCCATTGAATGACCACAAGAAGGTAAGCTGCGGGAGAAGCGAAATTCATCTCGACAACAACTGTTCGTGTTCGCACGCTAAATTTTACAAGAAGGAAGCAAGAACATCATGTTTATCAACGACAGAAAGCAGGCTCGGGTCGCATAGTTGCGGGACTAGAGGCCCCTTAGCCGTTCAAGGTTTCTATCGTGAGCGTAGAAGCCGCAGCAATACCTCTCTTTCGAAAAGTTGATTGAGACGATTGCCTTGGAGTCCCCTCACATTTTGAGCGACTCCTGGTATAATGGGTATCGACAGGTGCATGCAGGTAACCACGCCATACTTTCGATTGATAATATTAGTATGCGTCAGAAAAAGAACTTAATTAGATTAACATGGGTGTGACAACGGCATTCTCGCATAAAGCATTTCACGTCTTTCAGAGCGCTTAGCTTTTATCCTAATTTCGTTGAATTTCAGGATTTGTCTCATACAAAGCAATTTCACCGTTTTCCGTACTTGGCAGCTCAGCAATAGTCTCAAAAAGTAGCTGGAGAATCATCAACAGTGCGATGATTCCCATATACAGCGTAATTTTGATATGGGCAAATGATATACCCAAAACCACGAATGATACTAGAATCCGAGGGATGAGTCGAACCTTTGACGAAATTTTGCTAGCACCGATCGGATCTAAGCTTTTATCACACAAAGCTAATACACTCATGCAAATAATGGCAACACCAACACCCGCACCATAGAAAATCTGGACAGAGTGTAGATAATGCGGTCTCTCTGTTTCGAAACTGTCCGATTCCAAGTCGCCATTGGCATAAAGAGAGTGCGATCTCGTAAGCGCTCCGGCTGCATCCGCCGATATTATAAGAGAGATCATGAGAGGAATATGAACGTAAATCCAACAGTACGCCGACAATACACTGCGGCGAAGAGCATGTACCGCCTTTTTGGAGCCCTCTCCACGGAAGTAAAACCACGAAAGGCAGTAGGCTACAACGAGAACACTGATCGCACGCGCTGTCCTTTCATTGAAGCCGCTCGCCGCTGGAGACGAGGCTACTATGGTGTACAGATACTCTCCTAGAGCTATGACGACAAAGGCTCCGTGTCTCTCTACTTCATGTTCGATATTAACTGCAGTGGAGTATCGAGCGCCTATAAGCCTTTTGAACCAAGGATGAAAGGTAATTGCGTACACGAGAGTGTCATAAAAGTAGCACACAGCAGCTATCGCGATTTTGCCATGTAGAGGAGCAACGATTATGAACCCAAACACTAGCAGTGAAATGCAGGTGAGACTACAGAAGCATATCATTTGGCGTCTGTGCTCTTTCACAAAAACAGTGTAAACGAGAGTGAGAAGAATCGCACTAAAGCGAGCCAAAATGTAGCAGCCCACGACCAGTCCAGTTTGCGCTTTCGACATCAATATCGTATTGGCATTGTTAGCATATACTACCAAAAGTACCATAATCCATAGAACATAAGCCTTTTGACTCAAATCGTTATTATAATAATAGTCCATAAACTCCCTCATGTCCGCCCATATCTGCCACGCAGCCAAAAAGAGAAGGACATATTTGCCAAAAGAGGCACCCGTAGCCTCTTCTATAGCAGACTCAGCCAAGTTAGCAATGATTCCAACGTATAAGAGGTCGAAAAAGAGCTCAAACACAGCAGAGCCACGTTCCTGCCTAGTGCGATATAGTTTCCCGTCAAAAAAGTAGTTTAAGGCATATGGCCTAACAAAGAGTCTGTCGCTCGGTGGAGGCTCAATCCATTGCACGCGCACTGGACCGTATTTTTGAACGAACTCGGAATCAAATTCAGTCTCAGATTCCATAATACGGGCGTATCTGATCGTACTTGAAAATGATGCTTAATTTCAGGGTGAAAAAGGACAAGAAGTTAACACTGGAAGGTATTCAAAAGTAGAAAAGTAGAAAAAAAATTCCATTCATTGATAAGGACGCAAATCACTATTGTATTTGCTTGTGATTTTCCTGAATTCACAACCAGTGGATGTAGATGATGCTGAGTAGATCAAAGTCGGAAACGGGAATTTAAAGGAAACTACTTTTCTTAGTATTACCTTGTCAAGAATATGTACCGGTTTTTTTAGGGTATATCTTTAAGCAAGAAGACAAATCGACGTTAGAGATTCATTTTCTAGCTCGACACATTACAAAACCTGCATTTATCCGTAGTTAAGCACCATGTAAACTCGACCCAACTTTAACCATTCGGCTGCCATTACAAATAAGCACAGCATAAAGCGTTATGCCTCAAGGCTTAACTCTTAGGCTTCTTGCTTCGCCTTTGGTCTTGCAATTGCTGATGGTGCCACGTAGAGAATAGCTAAATTCACATAGAAGAGGGACCTGTAGTCGCCCTCTTCTAAATTAACGTTACTCTTGATAAATGCCTACCTCGGAATGCTTCTCTCTGGACTACAAAATTAAAGTCATACTATATGAGGCTCCTAATCATAGCACTCTCCGTACCCCTGATAAGCCCAAACCAGAGGTCTGAGGCTAGAGTGGGAGAACTGGAAGGTGTTTATCGACGGCCTCGTTTCCAATTTACTATCTTCACATCCGGCGATGAAAAAAAACCTTTTTAATTCAGCGGCGAGTCTCTGAGGCTGCTCTTCAGTGATAAAATGACCGCAATCTTCAATTGTTACATCCTCCACCTCGCCCGAGAAAGCTTCTAGAGAGCTAGCCATACTGGGAATTGAGCCCTGGTCTGAGGATACTGCTAGCAAGGGTGAGGCAAGTTTACTCTTCTTCAAAAAATCTTTATTTTGCTGAGCAGACTTTCCACAAGCCCTATAGTAAGATAGACCTGCACGCAGTGCCCCAGGTTGCATGAAAATGCGCTCATATTCGTCCAAATCAGCTTCAGTGAATATCGTAGGGTCGGCCGCTTTGCGCCGAAGAAACCACTCTAAATAAATGCGCTCCTTGTCGCGGATCATAAGTTCCGGAAGATCGGGAACGGCATGGAATGGAAAGTGCCACAATCGCCATGCGCCTTCGGGGCTCGTGGGAAGCATTTCTGGAAGCGTGACGCCTGGAATCCCGGCGTCTAACAGAGCCAATTTGTCGATCTCTTCACTAAATTTTAAGGCGTACGAAAAAGCGACCCAGGCGCCCACATCATGGGCAGCAAGGTGATAGCGAGACAATCCCAAATTTTCAATCAATCCATGAACGAGATCTGCTATCGTTGAAGTGTCGTAACCATCGCTAGGTTTATCAGAATCGCCTTGTCCTGGCAAGTCAATGGCAATAACGAAGAACTCAGTGAGTTGAGGAATCACTTTGCGCCACGCATACCAGCTTTCTGGGAAACCAGCGAGTAGAATAATTGGGGAGAGATGTGCGGATTTCCTTCCAGCCGTGACGTAGTGGATACGGATTCCTTTAACGGCTTTGAAGATATGCTTCAGTTGACTATTCATTCCTGTTCCTTTTGAGAGACTAATTGGTGCGGCTGCAATTATACAGCTTTGATAGCATCAGAAATGACGGGGTGTGGCCCTACTTGTACTTATTTGAGGATAAATGGGTGGTAATGATGTGCTTAACGTCTGGCGGGGATGACTCGCATATTAGTTTGAGAGCGGTTTTGAGCGGTGTTAGGCGGAGGGGCTCAGGAATGATACTAAAGAATTAGTCACTGCAGAAGGTGGAATTACTTAGAGTTTTGGAGCAGCACTGTGAACGAATCACCAACATGGTGCAGGAATCCGGCCCTAAAGAGTGCTCGTTGATTCGAATCATTTCGTTAGAAGCTTCTAAAATCACAACACATTCACCTTGAATCCGGCAATTTAGATGGACGATCCATTGACTACGAGTTTTATCAAAAATAAAGGTATTTATGTGTTTCTTATATATTACCTGTAATCGTGGTTGACTTCTGCCTTGCTTGAGTAAGTGCAATGTACAATGTCCTAACAAGAAAAGCTCACTTGCGGCTATCAAGAGATCGATTAAGGTTACCAAGTAAGTCATAGTTTGTTTAACGAGATAGGGTTTAAGTAACAAATCGTCGAATGATTGCGACTAACCCCGCATCACCCCCATTGAATGATTGCTCCGTCGAATCGCAAATCCGGTTTTTGGAAAGAGAACGGTTTCGTGAATCCCCGGATCTGTGGCGCAAAATGCCGAATTCGTCGGATTCGTGGCTCACAGCTCATTTATGACGAGGAATACCATCGCCTTCAGCGGTAGGTGGGAATTTTCCGTCGTCGTTAGGTAGAGCCACTACGAGGTTTACTTTGTGATCATGCCTAGCGTTTCGGAACTCCGAAATCACACCGGCGTCAATTATACCATCTAAACAAGCATCAGCCCGGCCTAGATGACATAAAAGAATTCAGCAGTCGTCTATGTAGAGCAGAAACAAATTTCCACGTCCAATTTTTGTTTAAAATTTGTCAAAGTAATTTGTGCTATCAGTTTGTTGGGATGGCTTCAAACCCACCGGGAAAGTGTTGTTTTACAGGAGTCGCCCACGCTGGCGTTGCCAAGGGCAAGCACTCTAAAATTTTTGGATTAGACACATATATCACAGGCGTCCATAGCAATGACAAAATCATCATCATTATGACCGATTCCTTCGGAAATAAATTCAACAACGTACTTCTCATCGCGGATGCATTTGGAGAAGCCGGTTATAAGGTTTTAATACCAGATATTTTGGACAACGATTTAATCGATATGAGCAATGATCGCAAAATGGAAGTTTGGATTACCAAGCATGACTCTAAATTCACCAGAAAGTTTTCTGAGCCTTTTTCAAAATCGGTTCGCAGCGAATTGAAACCAAAGTTTTTAGGAGTCGTGGGATACTGCTTGGGTGCCAAGTACGCTCTCCAGTTAATCAACGCAAAAGAAGGCATTGCAGATGTAGCCGCCATAGCTCACCCTTCCTTTGTGGACATAAAAGAGGTTGAAGCGATCGGTAAAAATCCACTATTGATCTCAGCAGCCGAAATTGATGCCATGTTTTCAACCGAAAAGAAGTACGAAACTGAAGCCAAACTTCAAGAAATCGGAGCAAGATACCAGCTGGATGTCTTTAGCGGTGTATCTCACGGCTACGCTGTGAGACATGGCACTTCTTGTCCCTTAATTAAGTACGCGAAGGAGAAAACCTTCCATGATCAAGTTTATTGGTTTAATCACTTCTCTGCGGCAATATTCTCGGCCTGATGATCTGCTTGCTCCTACGCTGCTCTAAGTGTTCGAAGGTCATGGAGCTCAAGTGATTGTGGTCTCCAGCGGCTTGACCATTTGTTCATCCTTTGTTGAAGTTGAGAATGGCGAGCTTCTCTTTATTTAATATGCAACACTCTTGAAATTCTCTAAAAACCCTTGTGATCTAAACATTTAATTGAAAATGATCTCTTGCCTCCAATAACTTTAAAGTCATTTGGAAGGATCTTTAAGATACAGCATGAGGTTTATGCTAAGATGAAATAGATAATTAAACCTAGTAGGAGTCCGTTCATGATATTCCGTCACTTCTTGCAAAAATTATTGGAAGAAGATTACGGCGAATAATATCGTCAAGTTGCATTATCACAGGTTAGGGTCACGCGATCACAATGACTTAATAAAATAAGAAAATGGAAGGCACGGGTCGCATTTTGTAAGAACATTGGAACATCAAACAATCCTAGTGAAGGTTTTGGAATCATTGCAATGCCAAGATCAAGTCATCCATGGTATGATGGATGAAGTGAGGTAGGAATTTGTCTTTCATCTTATCGAAAGTGGCGGAAAGTGAGTTGAAATGGTATTACACGAATTTCACATAGGTGTCCGATATGACCAGCCATAAAGTGGTTACGATGTTTAGTTAATTACGGTAGGTATAAGTACTCAATTTTTGATATATTCAAGTGAATTATGAACTAATTTAGTGAACAATTTGAGAGAACCTTCCTGCCACCGACGCTGGTCAACTTCAATAAAAAATAAATCTAAAAAGGCTTCGTGCAAAATTGCTACAACATAATACTTTTTAAAAATGTAATGAGGGGACAGGTATATTTCGACGCACTGATTCATTCATAATTAGGTTTGAGAGTTGACGCTGTAACGAATTGCTTGCTGCTGGCGGTCTAAAGCTTTAATGGCAGTACAAAAAAGCCGAACGCAATCGAAACGTCCTTTGCGAAAAAAAGCCTGTACCGCGTGCTCAAAAGCAAAGGTGAGGTGCGATCTAAAACGCAAGGCCTGTTCTCGCTGTGTAGAGCGCGGGATTGAAAACGGGTGTCACTACCCATTATCTGTAGATCAAGATGTGAACTCTACAACCCCAGTTCTTGATGATGCAATCAACTCCAATACTGTGGAATCGCAACAAGGAATAGGACAGGAGCCAGGACTGGATTACCAAGTCGCCGTGAACACGCCTCGGCCTTGTCCTCTGCTGCAGTCGGAGAACGACGAACCAGTAACCGAAAGCTCTCCTCAACACTTGATCAAGGTTGACAATCTAGTTAACAAGCTGGACTCTCCCAAAAATCGCGGATACTCTCCGGAATCTAAAGATGAAACTGAGGAGTTGAACTTCAAAAATGTTAAACTGGTATGCACCGTGAGCTACAAGAATATTGAGAACAGATGGCTCAACACTTACCTGTTACCTGCAGATCAGAAGCGCAAGAGCTATCCTCCGAATGTGACCATTTTCATTTCCCGCATGCTCAAAGCGTATTGCACGATGCCAATTCAACGGGATGTATTTCCACCCTTTGTACATAGCTGCCAGGTTAGCCCGTCGACCCTGCCGACTGCGCTGGCAATTTGCCTCAGTTTAATGCGATTGTTCGACAGACGAATGGCAGCTCAAAACTTCGTAATACAGGACACCCTCGACAGGGAAATGGCTCGTTTGTTCCAAGGATACAGCAGCTGTGATGAGGTTGATCTTTTAGCGTCTTTCCAGGCCTACCTTATTTATTCTATGACTCTCTACTTTGAACTTAAGCACCGGGATCACGATGGAATGCATGAGGTCATCATGAATTTACAGGTCATGGCATGTGAGCTCGCGCGGCGTGGGCTCACCTGTCCGGCCGAGTTGTCCTGTTCGAGGCCTGATTGGGAGTCTTGGATTATGGCTGAAGCTAAAAGAAGATCGATATTCACAATGTACCTTTTCGATAGCCTCCTTTCAGCCGAGAGTGGCCAGCCTACGTTTCTCGCTACAGAATTGCAAGGTACTTTGGCCCCTTCAGGGCAAACACTGTGGCAAGCCACAACGAGAGATGCGTGGACGATATGTTATAACCAGTATTTATACGAGTGGGGTGTTGATGGGCCGCTATTGATTGATGAGCTTTGGTCTTCTCCCCCCGGATTGACGACCTTAGAGCAAAAGGCTCGAAACCACAGAGTGGATCGATGGCTATCAGACCTAGATAATTATGGCGCCATGCTGTTCGCAGTGACTGCATGTACGCACAGCTCCTGAGTTTCTCGGCGCGTATTTTTCACGCCCTCTAGCTCTCTTGGATGTTCGTACGGAAAGACAGCAACCCATAGATTTAACAATATGATACTTGGAATTCAAGTTGAAGGCCGTTTCCTGTTTACGCACTTCTCCTTTCATGATGATAATGAAAGGTTACTGTGTTGGATGCCGGTTTGGATAATAATTGTTCCTTGCCTTCTATCGAACATAGGGAGATACTAGGGAAAGGAATGATTTGATTTCGGAGGTGGAAACATCACGTCGGAGTTCCGAAACTCATGATTGATGTGAGCAGCGTCGATATTGATGTATATATACACACTGTCTCTATGATAAGCTCAGTTGTGGTTTCAATTTTGATACCGAGAGGCAGCAATGAGTGACAATAATTCGTACGCTCTTGGCGTAGAAGGATTTGATACCAGCATTTCGACTGGCAATGAGCTTGGGAAGCATGTCGCAGTTGAAGCCAAAGATAAGCAACCGTACAGTATCTACTCCAACAATGAAAAAATGATTTTAATCATAATTGTGTCGACGGCCGCCTCGTTTTCTGGCTTTGCATCCAATATCTACTACCCTTCACTGCCTACGATTGCTACTGAACTTTGTGTCTCTGTGGAGCTCGTCAATTTAACGATCACATCTTACATGATATTTCAGGGCCTCGCTCCGACTTTTTGGGGTGCTCTAGCGGATGTTAAAGGGCGCCGAATCACCTTCATATGTACTTTTTTAGTATTCTTTGCTGCGTGCGTTACTCTTGCAAACACTCGAAACTATGGCACACTAGTGGGTGTAAGATGTCTACAGAGCACAGGAAGTGCTAGCAGCATAGCACTAGGCGCAGGAGTTATAGGCGATATTACCACAAGATCTGAAAGAGGGGGATACATGGGAATCTTCCAAGCGGGATTGCTTGTTCCTGTGGCTGTTGGACCAATCATTGGAGGGGGGCTTGCCGAATCTTTGGGATGGAGATCTGTCTTTTGGTTTTTGGCAATATACGTTGGAGTCTTTTTGATTTTTCTCGCTATATTGCTACCAGAGACGTTAAGGTCCGTTGCCGGAAATGGTTCATTCCGGATCCGAGGTTTTGGAAGGTTTCCCTTAGTGGTGTACCAGCGTCGATACTTGAGGAGGAACCCCTGCGCAAGTATCCAAACAGAAGCAAATTTACCATCCAAAAAACCTATCGATGTGTTAGGCTTTTTAAAGGCGCTACTGAACAAACGTGTCACTCTCGTAATCGTATTTCTGGCCATATACTATACTGTTTGGCAGATGACTATAACTGTTCTCTCAACTCTACTAGAGACAACGTACAAACTTAGCGAAACACAGGTTGGTCTCACATTTATCGCGAACGGTGTGGGTTCGATGGTGGGATCGTTGACAACTGGGAAACTACTGGACAAGGAATATAGAGTTATGAGCGCCAGATACGAAGGGAGAGAAGACGAGATGCCCATAGATCATGTTCGGCTCCGCCTGATGTGGTTATGGAGCGCATTACAGATCAGCTCTGTCCTCACATTTGGCTGGATGTTGGATAAACGAATTCACATGGCTGTGCCCATCATCTGCACTTTTCTCACAGGGTGGGCAGCTATGGCTATTCAAAGTACAGTTTCTACATATATGGTCGATTTGTTTCCTGACGGAAGTGCTTCGGCTTCGGCTGCCGTCAATTTGGCCCGTTGCCTACTCGGTGCTGGCGGTACAGCTGCAGCTATGCCCATTCTTAATGGCATCGGGATAGGCTGGGGGTTTACAATGCTGTCAGCTATAATGTTTGCGGCGCTTGGACTGATTATTTTACAACTTCACTTGGGCCGCAAATTGCGTCTACAGTATCAGCAAAACCGAGCCCACGTTATGGAAGGGTAGCATCTTACATGTAAACCATCTAGCCATGACGCAAAATACCTATTGAGGGTGCCATGCCATCCGGCTCTGACGGAGGACTTTCAAATTGTGAATTCCAAAGTGACAAAATGGGATGCCCGTAATGGCGATCTCGGGGCCGAACAAAAAGAAATTGCTACTAAACTCGGAACTGTGGCATTTGGCGTATCAAAGAATGTCATGTAGCATATAGAGAATTATAGCCTCTCGGATCGAGGTGTGAAGTGAGAAAGTCTTCAAAAATGTACTTATAATAGCTAAGATTGCACGGAAAAGTGCGGAAGGCTTTCCAGGCTGTCTTTACGTCTCTATAACAGAGAATTTCGTCCTACTACTTGTTGGAAGGAGCTGGCAAGAAGGTGATATCGTTCAATTTCATCATCACGTGATCTAAGTGACAGAATAAAGTCTTGTATATGGATAAATTGAAAACTATTGAGGTTTATCGTTGCCGGTAGTTGATAGATTTCTGAACTGTTCATTTAATTCGTTGATAATTGATCTAAATAATAAAGCTGTTTAGGAATGAGTACTTATATCTCTCCGTGGCTATCTCACGACCATGACCACTACGATCTTGGTCATATCTGCTCCTTTTATACAATTTATGTAACATTGATCCAAATTTAGAATCCGTTACTTTCTTCAAACTAGACGGTGAATTCTCATCATACGTCATTCATCATACCACATATGATCTGATCACAATGTTCTGATGATTCTAGAACTGCCAATGGACCTGTTTTAGCTTTCAGTTCTTCCACAGAATGCCAGCCGTCTGTCCATTTCTCTAATTTTATTGTCATATCGATCACGTGATGATGAAATTGAACCATATCACCTTCTCGCCAGCTCCTTCCAACGAAAACATCTCTAAAGAGGGTTTTCTAATCGAAGAAGATATCAATAATAGTGTTGGAAGAAGTTTACGACCGATTGAACCAACATTTTGCTTCATCGCATTTTAAGATCAAGTGGTCATGGTAAATTAATAACATAAGGCGCACACACGGACAGTACGCATTCTTAAGTAAGTCCTGGAAGTTCATGCGATCCAAGGCATGGTCTTGGAAACATTACATTGCCGAAATCAGGTCATCAGGGGTATGATGGATGACTTGAGGTGAGGATTCGTCGTTTATCTTACCAAAATAACGGATCGATAATACCGTGCCCAATACATTCAGCGGGTGACAAGTAAATTTGCTTGCCATAGTACCGGCACGCAACAAAGATAACTACATAGAAAAAAAGAAATTCTATGAGAGTTGAAAGACAAAATCTCAAATATCGGGGATTTTACAGCCTTTTTCTCTTTGCATCTTAGAATTGCGCGATCGTCCACCCTGGTGCCTTAAATTAGGCGGAACTTCACTTGAGAGAGAAGTTTGAAGACGTCCAGAGCCAATATCTTGAACGTCAGGTGTCATGGGAAATCCGAAAAATACACAAAGAAATGAATTGGGGCTCAAAAAGCTAGTGTCCTGTTCAGCGCTGCAATTCTCATCCCATGGAAATTTGGGACAAGTCTCTCTCGACGCTCTTGCAGAAAAGTACACTACGTTTGGAAATTTAATTGGTCGGTTGTAGTCTGCACACACCTTTCTTTGGGGCGTTACCGAGCAACATGCTGTAGTAGATAACGTCCACAACGCCCCAAAAAAGCGATAGCAGATTCCAATACCGACCTTTTGGAGAAGCCTGTTTAATCGCCTAAATTGAGTATTCTGGTCGACGAGTTAACATATAACGGCGTGACGCGAGACCAGCTGCTAGTTTCCGAAGTCAGATGATTGAACGGCATATTTGCATGCATGAAAAAACACTGATCGGAGGAGAGCTGGATTTACGAACAACACAGGTATGCACTTGTGCAGTCCATGCAGCTGTAAAACCCCTTTTGCGCAGGCTCGTCTAAGCAAAGTAATGTAGGGCGGAAATAAAAAACGTCTCAACGCGGCGGTACATAAAAATTTTTCGCCTCGTCGAAAACAACCTGCATCATTTAAACACAATGTGCTCCTATCGAGCATAATCCAGAGGATGGCTGTAATTCAAGATACCCTTTTGGGTAGTAGCGCCAACAGCTTCTACTGTTTATCGGAGTTTAGCGCCGAAGGGTGCATGCGCGGCCTTTTATCACGCGGCCTCCGGTGACCATCTGGGAAAGATCGCACTACCGGGGCTTAGTACATATGAATGTCTGAAGTAGCATCAGAAAGCACAGATGCTGGAAGAGTGTACATGTTCGCATATATTTGTAAGGAGAACAGATATTAGCCTCTGATTGATCGCCGAGATGTCCACGAACATTACCTGCACAAAGACGAACGGTGACACATGTTTGGCTCCAGGTGCAAGCACAGCTGGGGCCAACCTCAGTTTCCGACATAAGGGCGGCTTGGTATCGTACATTATTCACGCACTGATGTTGATTAGTTTAGCGGCTGCGGTCACACCGTCTTTTGACAAAGAGAATCCGTCTGTTTATTATAGTGCAACGATGCAATTGAATTCGGCAAGCAACTTACCTGCCGCGGTTCACCAAGCTTATTAAACGTACCTGAGTGGTTCGGATCCGTTGGCCATCTTCATTCTTGTCAGTGTCGCGGATACAATTGTGATCACTTTCGCCGTTTCAGAAAATACCACATTGTTTAAAAGGTTCAGTGCAGGCAATGTGTCCCAGCGGACATGGTTTCACCGGTGACAGGTTTCCTAACAATATTTATGGTATTAGAGATGGTACTCAGCCAGCGGTTGCCAATATACAACGTTTCTAGCACCTCGCTGAAGTACACGCAAGGGTGATCTCAGAAAACAACTTGGAGCGTTGACGCGGCAAGCTGTAACTGGGACGTCGGTAAAGGGCTTGTCCTAAATTTCAGTGCAACCCAAACAAAAGAATTTAGACGCTCTGGGTCTGGAAGGTTACTATCCCTGCAAATTCCGTCGGTCAGACTTGGACACAAAAGCGCTTGATGTGGCAAACCCAGCAACGTCAAAAGAGTGTGAGAAGGCACTCTGGCTCCACTGGTATGCTCTGTGATTCATGGAGGCCCTATATTCATGATGATATCACCCACGCTCAGACTTACATCTGGGAGTTTCGATCGGCTCTGACGACGTCCAGCTTTGATTGACTGTGATGATAAATAGAAGGTCAACGAGGTATAGATTTTGATATAGAAGGATAATCGCTGCGCATTGTAGAGCCGAAGATACACGTTGGAGTCAACGTTTAGTGATAGATTTCATTACAGATACTATATGGCATAAAATTGACTGAGGGAGGGCATGCAACTTGTAAATCATGAGGTACGAAATTTTTAACAGGGAACTACGAAGTGCGTGAGATGTCACTGCAAAAGTGCTTTGAACTTGACTTAAATGTTTATCTACTCTGTGCAAGACTGTTTAGTGCGCATTCTAAAATCTCTCACCTATCGAGAAACTCTGTGGTTCTCCATATATGGAATTGTTGAGGTTTATCATTGCCGGTGGTTGATAGGTTTCTGAACTGTTCATTTAATTTGTTCATAATTGATCTAAATAATAAAGCTGGTAATGAATTGAGTACTTATATCTCTCCAAGGCTATTTTACGACCATGACCACTACAATTCTGGTCATATTAGCTCCTTTTGTACAATTTCTGTAACATTGTTTCAATTTCGGAATCCGTTACTTTCTCTAAGATTGATGATGAGTCATCATTACGTCACCTATTGGGCCACTCTTACGGTGATGACGGAGTGTGACGACATCATGACCATCACGTGAATCATTTGGTTCCCATGACTTAGTCTTGATCATGAACCGTCCGTTCATTGTTCTAATTTTATTCTGTCATATCGATCACGTGATGACGCAATTGCACGATATCACCTTCTCGCTAGCTTCTTCCATCAGGTAAACCTCAATGTAAATATCGTAAACAAACGATGTTCCTTTCCGCGAATCGTCCGACCCTTCAGATGATCAACTTCTTCGTCTGATAAGGTTCTTCTAAGAACTGCTTTTCTTCCTCAGTTAACTGCGTCTCGAGAGCCTTCAGTGCTTGGTCGATCCTTTCAATCGAGCTGAGCCCCAGAATAGGATTGCAACCCTTACTCATAACCCATGCGGTCGCAATAGCAGCCATGGATACCTTCTTTTGTTCTGAAAGTTGCTGAACGCGTTGAATGATCTCAATGTCACTTTCACCCAGCTTGTCCAGACCAATAGAATATAACCCATTATCCGTTTGGGACCGCCCGGTCTCAACCCCATGTGGTCTAGTTAACAGGCCACGAGCGTTTGGAGACCATGGGATGAGGCCAATGCCATGCTTTTGTGTGAAGGGGATGACTTCTTTTTCATCTTCTCTCAAAAGTAGATTGTAGCAGGATTGCGAGCTTATAAATTTCGTCCAGTTATGCTTTTCAGCAATAAATTGCAGCTCAGCCAACTCTGTCGCTCGCATGGAAGAAGCACCAATGTAAAGAGCATCCCCACGCTCAACTATATCGTTTAGAGCCTTCATTATTTCTTCCATAGGAGTTTCGCGATCTAGCCGGTGAATCTGAAGTACGTCAATATACGTACCCAAGCGAGCGACGGATTTCGAAACTCCGTCCAAAATATGCTTGCGCGACAATCCCTTTTGGTTGCACATGTCAAGCTCTATCTTCTCGTTGACAGCCGACACTCTACTTGAAAGGAGAAGGCCCTCTCTAACAGGACAAAATACCTTTGATAAAATCACAACAGTCTCTCTATCGATTTTGTACTGTTTTAAAAATTCTCCGAGCAATATCTCGCTTTCACCATTGCTATAGACGTCGGCGGTGTCAAAAGTTCGCAGTCCATGGTCGTAACAGTACTTTAGAAGTTTAAAAACTTCTTCTTTCTCTTCAATCACCCAATCTGCCCACTTCTTTGAGCCATAAGACATGCACCCTACAACAATGGGGGAGATTTTTAGGCCAGATTTCCCTAGATATACTTGCTTTGGAAACTTCATTTGAGCTTTGAGCAGGTTCAGAAGGTTTTCATAAAGGTGCCACGCGTTGTCTCTTTATACAATTAGACAGAAGCTCGCTGATCATTGCGACGAACAAAATGGTAGAAAGACTTTCAAAGACTTCCGCCTTACAACCTTGGTGAAATCACGCATTTCAGACACTTACGGAGCTTACCTGCTTATAAGACCGATGCAAGCTGCCTGATCTTTGTATTCCTCCGTCTTACGCCCATGAAATGTTTTGTGAATAGTGATAAAAACTCCAGAAAGCCTTTTGCGTCCTTCCACGTCACGTGCCCAGAAATCTGCACTTAATAGCAGAATCCGAAAAGCATGTTGAAAAGAGATACTAAGATGTGTTATCGTCAAGTTGCGTTATGCAAGATCGGGGATCACATGATCATGATGTCAGAACAAGACAAGATTTATGAGTGATTCGAATCCGTATCTACAGAAAGGTCTAGAACCAAAAGATATATCAATGATGAGCCACGGGGCCACCGCCCACTTCAAGACATGTTGAGGAACAGGATGAAGATGTTAAGTAAGTATCGTTACAGGGATACGATATCAAATGAACAGATATCACAGATGTTGTATAAGAGGAGAAAATATTATCAAAGTTAGAGTAGTCATGCTATCAAAATAAGTACGGAGATTTATAAATACTCAGTACTCTACCAAAAATGAAAGAGGTAAGCGAACAGTTCAAGTGTTGAGGTTTATGATTGTCGGTGGTTGATAGATTTCTGAACTGTTCATTTAATTCGTTCATAGTTGATCTAAATATTAAAGCTGATAAGGTGTTGAGTACTTATATCTCTCCGGGGCTATCTTACAACCATGACCACTACGATACTGGTCATATTAGCTCCTTCTGTACAATTCCCTGTTACATTGTTCCAATTTCGGAATCCGTTACTTTATCTAAGATTGACGATGTGTCATTCTTACGTTACCTGTTAGGTCATTCTTGAAGTGATGACGGGGTGTGAAGATACCATAACCATCACTGGAATCATTTCATTCCTATGACTTCATCTTGATTACAACCGTCCGTTCATTCTTCTGTTCTGTCACATCGGTCACGCCATGATACAATTGAATGATATCCTGTCTCGCTATCTCCTTCTAACAGTTCTTGATGGCCAGGATACCCTACTTGTGTTCCGAATGCAAATATGAGCGTGGGTGTTCGGTGTGCGACAGCCTGAGGGTGCCGTTGTGCTGGAGGCGGCAGGGATCATGGTGGGTACAGGCAGCGCAGGAAGAATGTCACGTGCGACGGCGAGACACGGGTGTACTCTAACCTGCGAAGGACCACGTTTCGGGGGCTCTGGGCAAGATGTGGGGTGTGTGTGACAGTAGGTAGACGCACTGGTCAAGAGATGGACGAAAAGAGGGGGATTTGGTGTGAAATGGCCAGGGTGTAACTGCCTAACTTCGTGGGTGGTCTGGGTGTTGGGATGTGGTTTGTAGTTTTCTACGTGGTGCCAGTGTAAGTGTGGGGGAGAGAGAGTATGGAGGAGGAGTGTAGAGGAGGAGTGTGGAGGAGGAGTGTGGAGGAGGAGTGTGGAGGAGGAAGGTGGAGGAGGAATGTGGAGGAGGAATGTGGAGGAGGGAAGGTGTACTTGAATTTTGAAAGATAGGTGGTATTGTTTGCAGGAGTAAGGGCAGATGTGACGTTAGAAGTGATATAGAGTGGTAAGGCAAAGTTGAATGTCAGTTTTGGTGATGGAAATGTGAATATGTACGAACAAAGAGCGGTGAAGGTGGAGGAGAGGAAAGGGAAGAGAGAGGAGTTGGGTATTGAGAGTCGAAGATAATGAGGGGAATAGAAGAATGGCAGCAGAAGGTGGAGGGGCAGTAGCAGATGGAGAGGCAGTAGCAGATGAGGTAGGTGCTTATGTAAGGTGTTTTCAGCGAGGTGGAGAGAGAGGGGATCGAAGAGACAGGCGGGAGCACATTGATGGAGGGAGTTTATGTAGTTTGGAGCAGTGGAGGGGCAGTGGGGAGGAGAAGTGGGGAGGAGAAGGTGTGGAAGGTGACGATGTAGGAGAGTAGGTTAGT